CTAACCTAACCTAACCTAACCTAACCTAACCTAACCTAACCTAACCTAACCTAACCTAACCTAACCTAACCTAACCTAACCTAACCTAACCTAACCTAACCTAACCTAACCTAACCTAACCTAACCTAACCTAACCTAACGGGAGAGCGGGTCGGACGGGAGAGCGGGTCGGATGTGGGAGAGGTTGAGCGGACGAGAGGAGGGGGCGGCTAGAGTCGAGGGGTAGATTGTTGAAGGCGACATGGAGAGTCAGGTAGAAGGCGGGAGGTGTGCGTGTACGGGGGAGGAACTGGGGCGAGTGACGACGTACCTTTGTAGATATCCTCGTCGACCGTTTCCTTCCCTCTTCTGTGCTCCTCCTCGTCCTCCTCTTCGTTGTCGTGGTTGTCCGCGTCGTCGAGCCGCGCGAGTACGCAGGTGCTGGTGGAGCGGGACGCCATCGCCGTGGAAACCGTGCAGCACGCCAAACGAGACAGTTATTGGCGCAGGTGTGGGGTCGAAGGGATGCGTGTGCAAGGGGCCGAGGGAACAAGTGAGGGGTTGAGGCGGACGAGCGGGAGCTGGAGAGTCACGAAGTTAATTAAGTGGTCGCGTGCGCGCGACGCGAAGTTAAGTCTTTCGCACCTGTCTCTAACTCAACTCTGTCCGCGCGCAAACCTCAACCTTCGTCCCCTCACCCTCGCCTCGACACCATGCACACCCACCACCCACTTCCTTCGCCTTCGTCCTCTCATCCTCTCGGCCCCATGCACACGCGTCCACTCGGCCACAACAACCCCTTCGACCGCTCCCTCACAAGCCCCTGCCGCCGCCGCACCCGTGCTTCGCCCTTACGCACAGCGTATCGCAATCGTCACGCTGCCCGTGCTTCAGTGCGTCGACGTGGAGGGCGAGGAGCACTGTTAATGAGAAGAGAAGGTGCGAAGAGGAATGCCATGAAAAAGGTCCGTATCACTTACTTTCGCTAGCCCTCCCCCAGCCCTAGTCCTGCCCCTCCCTGCCCGGCCCTGCCTGTCCCGCGCACCTGCGCACACCCGGAAGCGGCTCCTCATGCCGCGTCTCTTCCCCTGCTCTCTCCTAGGAGGCGAGGGAACGACCACGCTCCCCGGTACCCTACCGCCCGACGCCTTGTTCTCCAAACACGCCCACTCGACGCTGCGCACCGCCGCGCACGCATCGCACGAGCGCACCCTGTCCTCCGCCTCCGGCTACGCGCACCACCATGTGGCCGGCGCTGCCAAGAGCACCACCTCGCCCACGAAGCAGCGCTACGTCGCGGACGCGCACAGCCTCGAGATCGTCAAGAAGATCCGGCAGGGCGAGGTCGAGCTGCACGATCGCACCATCGTCCTGTGCGACATCAAAATCAACGTCCGTCCAGCTCGCTTTGTGAAGCTGAGGGCCATCAAGGACACAAAGAAGCCAGGCAAAGCCCCCACCGCGATCCCTGCTGTCTCAGGTTTAAAACGCCTCCGCGGCCGACATCGTGGCGGCGCAGGGGAAAGAGGCGGCGGTGAGCGGGGGCGTAGGCGTGGACGAGGACAGAGACGGGGCCGGGAAGGGAAAGGTCAGTCCCTCGAGGATCTGTAGATAGTAGAAGTAGAAGAAAAGAGAAGGAAACATCATGTATCAGTACATGCCCTCGGCAATGCAGAGGCCCATCGTCCGTTTGCAAAGCCGAGTGTGAGAAATAAAGGGTACAATAAGATATAATAAGAACATACTCACAGCGCGGGCATCTGTAAGGTTAATGCTCGTAGGCTGTCTCATTCATGTAGAGTCAAGTTTGTGCAGGTTTTGTGCTTGTTGGCACAGCGGAATCCTGATACGCGCCTGACATGACGAGCCTATCTAGCCACGGATAGGCTCGTCATGTCAGCCGCGTATCAGGACTCAGACCTGCCAATACGCAGCTGACATGACGAGCCTCTCCAGCCGCAGTGAGGCTCGTCATGTCAGCCACGTATCAAGACTAAGCCAAGCTGATACGCGGCTGACATGACGAGCCTCTCCAGCCGCAGCGAGGCTCATCATGTCAGGTGTGTATCAGGACTCAGCCCTGCCAATACGTGGCTGACATGACGAGCCTCTCCAGCCACGGACAGGCTCGTCATGTTAGCCGTGTATTGGCATGGGTGGCTTCTTCACCTCTTAATGGCCTCTTTAGCCCTGCCATACCCCTGTCCTACCCTGAACCTTCTAGCTTTTCAGGTTAGAATTGTATTATTACTATTCTTCTCAATTGAATAATAAATATAATTATTACATGTGACAATTTAATTTCTGAGCTGTGACGAGTAATCATGTCAGCTGCTTGTTGGCACAGCGGAATCCTGATACGCGGCTGACATGACGAGCCTCTCCACGGCTGGAGAGGCTCGTCATGTCAGCCGCGTATCGGGACTCATCCCTGTCAATACGCGGCTGACATGACGAGCCTCTCCAGCCGCAGACAGGCTCGTCATGTCAGCCGTGTATATTGGCATGGGTGGCTTCTTCACCTCTTAATGGCCTCTTTAGCCCTGCCATACCCCTGTCCTACCCTGAACCTTCTAGCTTTTCAGGTTAGAATTGAACCCCTGATTCAATCTCACTGCTTCTGGGCCTCAAAGTTGAGGCAGGGTATGAAGATTACAGAAAATAATTTTTTGTATTTATAGTTGCATTTAATTGGCAACACAGTAGTTTCAGATATCGGTGGACTCAAAAGTGTCGGTAATACTACTAGGCTCGTCATGTCAGCCGTGTATTGGCATGGGTGGCTTCTTCACCTCTTAATGGCCTCTTTAGCCCTGCCATACCCCTGTCCTACCCTGAACCTTCTAGCTTTTCAGGTTAGAATGAAAATATTAGGGTACCATGACAAATACATTTTAAGCCTATTGAATCAGACAGAATTGTGTGCAACTTCGGATTTGGTTCCCAAAACCCAGACTGTGTGAAGCACAGTCTGGTTTTAGGGGGTAGACTGTTTAAATCCATATCTATTGAACCCCTCATTCAATCTCGCTGCTTCTGGGCCTCAAAGTTGAAGCAGGGTATGAAGATTACAGAAAATATTTTTTTGTATTTATAGTTGTATTTAATTGGCAACACAGTAGTTTCGGATATCGGTGGACTCAAAAGTGTCGGTAATACTACTAGAATCCCGGTCGGTCGTTCAAAGATAGCTCAATTGTTTACTGGCTGGGAACAGGCGTGAGAACGAGTTGAGAACGTCCACGATAGGGCATGACACAGGCTGTGTCCGTCGCACGTCATCATCTCCAAATGGCCTGTTACTGTAAGCGAGTCCCTCGAGGGATGCTTTCTTAGGATTGATTGCTACTTCGTACCCGACAGGTCAGCGAAATCACAACTTTGACTCAAGACCGCGTAGAAGCGACCAACTGATCGATGGCCGCTCGCCGCTGGGCGTCTCACAAACATCCATCTGCCTCGTGCGAAGAATATCACTCTCAGCGCTTCAACACGTATCTGTAAGTCCAGTTGTCTCCGCCTTTCTTTCAGAGCAGATAATTGATACACCACCTAGATTTCTACCCGCGTGTGGAGGCGTCCGGGATCGCCGTGAATGCGAGAGATGGTATTCCTATGATTAGATGCCTGTCGTATGTGCTTCAGGGTGGACTTTGAAAACCTCCTACCAAGATCGTTTTTTTTTTGGTAGGTTTGCGGTACCTTTTCTTGCTTCTGATCGTGATCCCCACCCTCAAGAGGTCAAGGAGGTCGAAGGCACTCGGTGGTGGGCGATCGTGAGCCAGAGGAGACAAGTGTGGGCTCTAAGGAACGCGCGCAGGCGGATGTAGGTCGCAGGCAAAGGCAGGTACATGAAGTCGAGAGTTCATGCACACACACTAAAGGCGGGATTGACTGTCAAAGGGGTCAAGTAAGCGAGCGAGCGTGGCGTCGAGGGGGTCGCAGAAGTCGCAGGGACACAGGTTGAACAACGGGTGGGTGAACAGGACGATAGCAGGAGAGACGGACCTTAAAAGAGCTCGGCCTCCCTCCTCATGGCTTATCTCTGCTGCTAGCTGCTCCTAACCCTCCTCGTCGACCCACTGAAGCGCGTGTGGCATGAGCTTCGCGATACCTTGTGCACGGGCGCGGAGCGCAAGTGCGACGGGAGCGGGGGCGTGTGGAAGGACAGTTCTGGTGGTGATACAGTGACTGTGTAGGGACAGCAGAGTCTCAGCGGTGACGCAGGACGTATGGGATCGAGGGGATGATTATGCGTGGGATCGATAGCGCGAACGTTGACGGCCGAGAAGGTCCCAGCGATGGGCCAGTGTGGACTGTAGGCGACAAGCGGGAGGGCACTCAGGGCAGGTGTCGAGAGGACACACGTGCGGGGCATGGGCTCGAAAGCGGGAGCATCAACGTCAACGTCAACGGCCTAGAGGTTTGAGGGTACTGGGCAGGTGGCGGATGTGGGTTGGGTCGCAGGCAAAGGCGTCTGCATGCACTGAAGGGGGTCGAGCATGCGCGGATGGGACCGGGAGTGGGATCGACACTTAAGCGGGTCGAGAGGGCGGGCGTGAGTGGAGTCAAGCATGCACATAGTCTCGGCGGAGACATGGTCTGGGACGTCTGGACGAGTGACTCGAATGAGAAAACCCTCGGCTTGAGCATGGAGATGTCGCTCTGCGTAGCAGCCTCTTGAGCTTGAAGCGTGCGCAAGAGCTCGAGCACAGATTCAAGCTGGAAAGCAAGAGCATTGATACGCTCCTTGGACACGGAAGGCGTCAAAGGCTGGTGCAAAAGGTTCTCGTACAGGGGTGACGGCAATTGTGAGTGCATGTTGAGCACGTGAAGGTGCCTTTTATCTCTGCCGTAGATATCCTCGTCGTCCATCCTCCAGTGCTCTCGGTCAGCACAGCTCATCTCTCCACCTCCGCTGTTCCTCCTCTTCCTCCACAGCCAGCTGCCCCTCGTTCTCCTCCCTGACGCGCTTGAGTTTGTGTGGTGTGACGTTCGCGATGCTCCGTGTATTGTAGTCATCGCCGCCAAACTTGCTGTCGTCGTGGCATGTAGTCAAGAGAACGTCGTCGATGATGGAAGGGGCGGCGGAGACTCGCTCACATCTTCTAATAGAGAACTCTAACACAGCCAAGGGGGCGCTTGTCGAGAACATGGACGAAGCCAAACGTCTAGTGTTTTTGACCACCTCTGACGGGACATCGTGAGGGCGCAGAAAAAAACGCAAATACGGGAAGGGTTCGCCGACTCAGCCCTTGCAGGTCCTGGAGTGCTCTCTGCCTCCAAAATTCTAGCTACCAGCAAGGCCCTCCGAGCGTAAATTCAGCAGTAGGAGTTTTCTCAAAGAAAGCAGGCGACGTGCCCATCTATCAGTCGCGATCCAGCGGGATCTGTTACCCCTCTCGCTCCCGCGCGTCGAGCTGCACGCCCTCGTCCGGGATGCTCCCTCGCGATGCCCGCACCGTCAGCGCGTCCCATTCGCGGCTCTGTGCGGCCCCAGTCCGTATCGTTGTTGCTCCGCCGGTCGCGGGGCGTGGAGTACCGGCCAACGTCCGGAACGTGCACGCTGGGGTCATCGTTGTGTGTGCCGCGCTCGGAGCGGGACATCGCCTCCTAGTCACGTCCACCCGGTTTCCGCCCTCCTTGTCCTTGTACCCACGATCCCGCTCCCACTGCGACTTGTCGTTGTGTGGTGGTGGTGGTGGTGGTGGTGGTGGTGGTGGTGGTGGTGGTGGTGGTGGTGGTGGTATCTGCCGTCGTGCCTGTACTCGCGCCCGCCATTGGGGCAAATGAAAGGCAAGAAGCCCGCATGGAGCGTCCTGATGGAGTTCAGGGCGAGTGACGATGATCTTGAGGTGAAGGTGTGAGGGACACGGCGTATGGTTGGAAGTGAAGCGAACCGTGAAACAGAACATGAACGAAGAGAAAATGAAAACAAGCGGAGGTGCAAAAAGATACGACAGACAGAGACGTACCAAGGACGAAGGCGGTGGTGCGGCCTTCGCAGCCAACCAGCAACGATCTGTTGCAGATGATCAGGAGGTTGATGACGAACAGCTTTGGGTCTGCAGACAATACCCGACACAGCATCAGTCTGTGACGCATAGACGAACAAGAGAAAGGAAAGCTTGTACTTGAGGAAGGAGACGGAGCCCACATGATCGAGCTAGGGAAGATGAAAACAGAGAACAGTTGAATAAATCACGTTGAGACGATGACGCGACATGACGCGAATAATTGACGCACCTCTGGGTGATACTGGTGAACTGCCTGTTACTGCATGCAAGGCCGTCCAGACGGATTGAGGAATTGACGTCGCAGCTACCAACAACAGTCTGTGTCTTCAACTTAGATAGCGTGGTGTCAAGCCAAGTTCCTATGCGATTCGAGCGCACTTCCAGAGAAGAGCTCGGTTTTCTTCAAATTGCGAATGTGCTTGATGATGGTCGTGAGATGCTGCAGCGCGGAAGCAAGCAGGGTTGTATTATTACTCTGTTCACTGTGTGCAAATGTAGCATCGGTCGCCTTTGGCAGGCGCTGCCAGACGCACGGGATCCACGCGCGGACACAGTCTCTCATCCAGAGCGTGATGTCTGCGCCACGCTCAAGCATCCAGCTTGTCACCAGGCACTGCAGGCACGCGCAGCTGGTCGTACGACTGGAAGAGGGCGGAGGGCAGCAGCCAGGCATGATCACAGGCAGAGACAACTCGCAATACTACTGCAAGGAAGCAGACGCGCAGAGCAACCCAAAGATCTTAGTGTTCGAGCGATTGATCACTAGCAGCACTGGCTTCCGAGGCACGCGGTCAGCGACAGGCCGATAGCGAGCGTGGGTTCGAGATCAACGACGAGAAGACAGAGGGAGCTGGGCGTGGGCATGGAGATAGTGGAGGGACAGTGCGTGGCGGCGGTGCGTGAGGTCGAAGGACGGGACGTCGGCCTTGAGACAGTGAAGCGACGCGGTCCAAGGTGCGTAGGGTTCAAGGCTGTTGAGAGGAGAGAGGACGCGTGTGCATGAGTTCGAGGCGATGCGTGCGTGCGGCGGAAATGTTAAGGGAGGGGCAACAAGAAACACGAGAGGAGGGACGTACCCTCGTAACAATCAGCCCTCCCTTTCTCGTCTTGTCTCTCCGCCGCCAGCTTGCCCTTGCCCTCCTTGTTGACACGTTCGGGCGCATGCAGCGCATCTGAGCAGAGCGCAGGGTGCATCTTGAGTCGTCGCGCTCGGGTTCACCTAGCGACGGTAGCGGCGAGTTGGTGGAGGAGGGGTCGTGCGAGGGTGAGGAGCCGCTCTCCTGCATGGACGTCGAGTCGGGGCGCGGGGGCAGGATGAACTTGCTGAGCGCGGGCACAAAGGCAGGGGATGTCGCAGCTCAAGAACGGGCTCAGGACGCGGGTCCTGGGCCCGTACACGTCGGCAGCGGAGTCGGGCAGACAAGGCCGTCCTTGAAGCGCTCCGCGAGGGAGATGCGCACGCGGAAGGCCTCGGCGACGCGGGAGAAGAGTGCAGGGTAGACGATGGGGGTGCGTCGGCCGCCGCGTCTCCTCCTCGCCGATCTTCTGCGTCGCGCGGAGTTTCTCCGTCCTGTACCGCTCATACAGCAGCCAAGGGTGAAGGGGGGCGTGACGCTGGGGGAAGGCAAGGCCGGCCGGTGCGCGAGGATGCGGATGCGGATGCGGCAGCGGAGGCCTGGTCGAGGAGGGCGGCGCGTATGTGAGCGGTGCTCGCCGCGGACATCGACTTGGGGCGGTCCTGCGAGGTCCGGTTGCGGTCGCGGCGGTTGGCGCTGGGCATGGTGCGCAAGGACTCGAGGAGCGGCGTGAGGAGGTGGAGGAGGAGGAGGTGGTGGTGGTGGTGGTGATGTGGGTGGTGATGATGGTGACGGCGGACGAGGCGTCGGAGGCAGAGGTGTTGACGAAGGTGGAGGAGGCGGAGGATATGCTAGGATGGTGGGTGGTGTCGAGCTGTAGCGAGCAGGCGAGCGCGACGTCGAGTGGGAGATGCGAGTGAGTCGAGCGTGGGTCCGGGCAACGCATGCGATGCGCAAGGCGATGTAGACGATGTGGGCGAGCCGGCCGGTGGGCCAGTGGGCATGAGATCGTGCGAGGCGAGCGGGGAGGGCAGTACAGCGAGCGATGGGGTCGAGAGGGCCGGACGGGAGAGCGGGTCGGACGGGAGAGCGGGTCGGACGGGAGAGCGGGTCGGATGTGGGAGAGGTTGAGCGGACGAGAGGAGGGGGCGGGTAGAGTCGAGGGGTAGATTGTTGAAGGCGACATGGAGAGTCAGGTAGAAGGCGGGAGGTGTGCGTGTACGGGGGAAGAACTGGGGCGAGTGACGACGTACCTTTGTAGATGTCCTCGTCGACCGTTTCCTTCCCTCTTCTGTGCTCCTCCTCGTCCTCCTCTTCGTTGTCGTGGTCGCGTGCGCGTCGTCGAGCCGCGCGAGTACGCAGGCGCTGGTGGAGCGGGACGCCATCGCCGTGGAAACCGTGCAGCACGCCAAACGAGACAGCGACGAGCGCAGGCGTGGGGTCGAAGGGATGCGTGTGCACGACGCCGAGGGAAGGAGTGAGGGGTTGAGGCGGACGAGAGTCACGAAGTTAATTAAGTGGTCGCGTGCGCGCGACGCGAAGTTAAGTCCTTCGCACCTGTCTCTAACTCAACTCTGTCCGCGCGCAAACCTCAACCTTCGTCCCCTCGCCCTCGCCTCGACACCATGCACACCCACCACCCACTTCCTTCGCCTTCGTCCTCTCATCCACTCTGCCCCATGCACACGCGTCCACTCGGCCACAACAACCCCTTCGACCGCTCCCTCACGAGCCCCTGCCGCCGCCGCACCCGCGCTTCGCCCTTGCGCACAGCGTGTCGCAATCGTCACGCTACCCGTGCTTCAGCGCGTCGACGTGGAGGGTGAGGAGCGTTTTTAATGAGAAGAGAAGGTGCGAAGAGGAATGCCATGAAAGAGGTCCGTATCACTTACTTTCGCTAGCCCTCCCCCAGCCCTAGTCCTGCCCCTCCCTGCCCGGCCCTTCCTGTCCCGCGCACCTGCGCGCACCCGGAAGCGGCTCCTCACGCCGCGTCTCTTCCCCTGCTCTCTCCGAGGAGGCGAGGGCACGACCACGCTCCCCGGTACCCCACCGCCCGACGCCTTCTTCTCCAAACACGCCCGCTCTACGCTGCGCACCGCCGCACACGCATCGCACGAGCGCACCTCGTCCTCCGCCTCCGGCTACGCGCACCACCATGTGGCCGGCGCTGCCAGAAGCACCACCTCGCCCGCGAAGCAGCGCTACGTCACGGACGCGCATGGCCTCGAGATCGTCAAAAAGATCCGGCAGGGCGAGGTCGAGCTGCGCGATCGCACCATCGTCCTGTGCGGCATCAAAGCCAACGTCCGTCCAGCTCGCTTTGCGTTGCATGTTTTGTGTTGTCACATTCGCGATCGCTCAGTGTCGAGCTGACCCTGTGCTTGATATGCTTTGTCCAGGAACATTGCTGCAGAGTAGTAAGTGTGTACCAAAGAAGATATCAACGGTGAAAAAGAAGGGTATCAACGAGTGAACTAGGCGGATGTGTCAAAAACCGGTGGGGAAGGAAGCGGAAGGCAATGAAAGGCTGGATGGCACGTGTGCCTTGTCACAATTAAGTAGCATAGTGGAACATGCGCCGATGGTCGCACATTGAATAGAGGAGCATAAGAGGGCAGGATCATAGATGGTGGCTGAAAAAGATACAAATATATAAACAAATGATGAGGTTTTTATGGACAACGCGCGCCGTGATGGAGTGCTGTGATAGATGAAATGCATTGGGAAGATGATTGAATGGTAGATGGCGTGGTGTCAATCACACAAGACGAGAGAAATCAGACAGTTAAACATGAAGTCGAGAACTAACCGCAGCTGCATCGAACACATTCAATGCCCACATAAACCAAGTATCAAAGCATACCCTCAGCGACAACGACGCGTCCTGTGGCCAACGCGCTCCTCGTCCGACTGAGCTTCTTTGTCTGCGGGAGAGACGCTCGTGCTTTGACGGCTTTGCAATCACGGCGGCGTATCGTAAGCGTTGCCACGAGCTGTGGCACGGTGTACACAGTCAGTGCGTCTGGCGCGACCGATATCGATCATGCACAAGAGGGAATGGGAGCATGGCGTCGTGGCATGGGCGGTGGCAAGGACACAATGCTGAAAGGAGAAGATATGGCAACAGATGCTTCGGGAGGAGGAGGCGACGATATTGTAGGAGGCGGCGGAAGGACTGCGGGGGAGTGAATAAGAGCTGAGATACCCGTCGGGAGCAATGACTCCATCCGGTGACTGGGAGCGATATCCATCGAAAGGTCTTCAACAACACCCACAGAATTCGAAGTCCTCGGTCGATCAGGCATGTCCACAGCCCTGTCGTCCAATAAAACGGGGCTACATCCTTGGTCCACCAGCCGCTGCCAGAGTCGAGCGACGAGCAATTCCTCATGTGCGTTCATTATTAACAAGCCGTCGTCTTTGGCTCCCATGCTCTTCATCTCCACATCTGTATTCTGCTCGCTGGACCCGTTGAGCTCTCTGGCACGCTTCATCCGACAGACGATGCTACGATGGACGGCAGCAGTGAACATTAGCTCGGCAGTGACGCACTTTCCGCGCTTGAGCCGTTTCTGGCTGTGCACAACTCCGGTCATGCTCGACTGGCTGGCGCTGCGTTGGCGTATGACACCAGGAAGAGGCAGAGCTTTGCGGCGCGGTGCGAGGGAGTGGGACGGTGGCGTCTGGCATCGTTGCCTGCGCGCGTCGAGCGGGAGCGCCCGTTTCGGTCGCGATAAAGAATCATAGTCTAGCGGTAGAGCAGACGAGATGGAAGGATCGGAGTGGCTATTGGTAGGGAAAGGAATGATATTGGTGCTAGGTTCGCAAGGGGGGTGCTCACATGCGCTGGAGAGTGCGACGGTAGGCGACGCCTTGCTATTTCAAAACGAGAGGCTGGATGGGAGGCCAGACGCGTTGAGCGAAGCATTAGTGTTCTCGACAAGAGCGGATCGCGACGCGAAGAGCGACTTGTGGTAATTGCAGAAGATGTATTGATGAATGTTCGTTGCGAGTGACGCCCGGCGTGGCTTGCTCCAACAAGAGAGAAGAAAAAATGGTGGTGATCTGGTCTTCCGCGATATGCTTCTCCGACATGGTCAGCTCGACGAGGGTATCCTCAAGTGTCCGCTTATCATTCGCCCACGACTCCCACTCCTTGTCAAACGTGCGCTTCGTCTCCGCCATCGCCTCCCGAGACGCCGTCAGCTCCTGCTGGACGATGTGCAAGTTCTCCGACAGAGCGATATAGTCAGACTACAACCCAAGTCAGCCATCAACGCAAATGTCCAGCATCCAACGAAACATACCTTGTGCTTCACGAGCTGAGACTCCGTGGATGACTTGTAGTTATCATAGGTCGCATTCAAGCTCGCTAGCACCACTTCATTCGCCTGGCTGATATCTTGGAACTGCTGCCCATGGCCTCGTGCATTCGCCAGGTCGAGTTCGGCAACCTTCAACGCAGCGCTGCGTTCATGAGTCAGTTAGCACCATAAGCCTCGCATTGGATATTGAAGGGCACAAAACACACCGAAGTTCTACCACCTCAGCCTCGAGGTGCTGCTCCTTGCTCAGATGATCAGTGCCAGAGACCTCTGGCTGCGCGTCATCGTTCGCCAGAGCGCTGGCAGGCCCACACCGCTCGTACATGGCCAACTTCTCCTCGTTGCCCTGGAGCTGGCGTGAAAGTTCTGCGACGCATTCCTCAAGATGCGGTTTGCTCATTTGAGTGCCGATCAACGACTCGTGGGTATGCGATAATTCCTACGCCTATAATTTGGTGCGCACCGATGAGTGAGGACACAGGGAAACGGGACGGGAACCAAGTGATAGCGACACGCACCTGCTAATCGACGCACGGCTGCAGTTATTTGACCTCAATCTCTTTCTTCAGTGTCAGATGCCTAACACTATCGCGTTCCTGGCTAGGTTGGCTCCTAAGATCCTGGCTGAAGCAACGAAATCAGATGGTAGTCGGCGCGGTCGAGATCTGGACCAGCGTCTGCGCTGGTTTTGCAACCGATCGTCCCGTAGAAGAAGAGGATGTGGCTGATGGCCTGTCGAGAAGTCTCTGGCTTGCAGGCTAGCAGAGGATGTCGACATTGGCACGGACAGGGTGTGGACGAGGGATCGCGGAGACGGAAGAGGTACTGAGAGACGAGCATAGACCGAAGAGTTGGATTGAGAGCTGTTCATTACGATCGAGGTAGAGTGGTGCTCCTTCCACTTCGGGCGAAAAATTTCGCCCACAAATCGTGTGGGTGAACGGGCCTGAGTTCAAAATATAAATCTAAATACAACAAGAAAAATAATACAGGCTGTAGCTACAGAGGAGCACCTAAGAAAGTAGCTTCGAGGGAGGTGTATATGCACGCAAAGTACATGGAACGAGTCGCGCGGACTACATGCATATGCTATTGGCCGACAAATAGAAGATACAAGGGGAGAATGAGGCTGCAAGCCTGGGCATGTTGCGCGACTGTACTCTTGAGACTGCTGGAACAGTAAGAGCGCGTGTTCTGCTGCCATCGTACACTCGACTAGCTCGCTTGAGGCCCTCTAGTGTCATGTGTCCGACAACGTTCTGCCGAGAAGGCTGTTCGTGATGTCAAATGTCAGCATCAAGAGCACGAGAGAGGAGGAGAGGGAGAGGAGGAAAGAAGGAAATGAGGCCGGCGAAGGCGGCGGCCGCGTGCTGTCTGCGGCAGCCAGGCTCCCCACCAAGCCCAAATTCACCTTCGGCCCGCGGCCGTTTCTGCAACATGACTTGTCCACCGGCACTTTTACGCCGCGTGGAGCGACTGGGCGCCCTGGACAGCGCGCCGCCAATTCTCGTCCTGCTTTGTCCTGCAACCAAGTGTCAACATTGAGCTGATCCGGCATTGTTTCAAGCGAGTCGTGGGTGGATGGAGAAGTGGGATGGTCCACAGGGCTAAGCGTGGTGGAGGACTGGGAAGGCGAAGGGTATGAGCGCGGAGGTGTGGGAGCGCGCGAGAGGCGAATTTGGGCCTCTTGTCGTGGTGCAACAGGTGGCGGTCGAGCGCACTGGGTGGCGGGAGTGCGTGGCATCGAGGGCGGGAGTGCGAACAGTCGAGGGTACGCAAGTCGAGGGAGGGGCGGGCGGATGGGAGGAGTAGTCGGTCCACACATGCGAGGAGGAGCCAGGGGGCTGAGAAGACGAATGCGTGGGGGTTCGAGGCGTGGATGTCGAGGGAGGGGCAGGCGGAAAGGGCGATAACAGGAGGTACGTACCGTCGTACCGCTCTGCCTGCTCGATGAGCGTGTGTCCGTCACCATCGTCCCGTCGCTCCACCCTCGTCTCTCGACAGCCGCTGTCCCTCCTCTGCCTCTATCACCATCTGCTCCTTGTTCTTCTCTTCAACGTGCTCAACCTCGCGTGATAAGATAGTCGCTTTGCTCCATGCGCCGTGAGACAGGATGGGCGCAGAGCAGTCGTTTAAAGAGAATGGCACTGACACGGATGTCGTGGATGTTGATGAGAAAAGAGAAAGCCGTGGAGATGGAAGAGGGTGTGGAAAGAGCGTGGAGTGGGTGCCCGGAGTATTGCAGCTGCAAACTGTAAGAAAAAACGCTATCAGTAGTGCGCACTTTCTCTGAGCATCTGTTGTCTGCTGGCGTCGTCGAGAGCATGCAGAGGAAGGGTTCAGAAGAAGAAAAAGCTCACTAATGAAATCCAAAATGTCCTGAGAGAGCAAAGAGACCTCGGCCGAGGAAGCGTGTTGTGCTCGATGTTCAAATGTGCGGGGAGGATCGACGCGACGCGACGTGGCGGCGTGCTTGATCACGAGACGTTGGAGGGCACTATGTGCCGACACAGTCGGAGGGAAAACTCCGACTGTGTCCGACACAGTCGGACTGTGTGCCGACACAGTCGGAGGGAAAACTTGGACTGTGTCCGACACAGTCGGACTGTGTGGCGCGACAATCATCGGACTGTGTGCGGCACGGCCGGACTGTGTGGCGCAGATTCACCGCCAAATCTCGGACTGTCACCGAGAATCCGGACTGTGTGGCGCTGAACCAGCGCCAAAATCCGGACTGTGTGCGGTCTCGGCCGGACTGTGTGGCGCAACAGAGAGACTGTGCACAGTGTGACAACAGTGTGACGACTGTGCGCCCGCAATCTCCCGACTGTGTGCCGCCCTTTCCCGATGCTGACTAAACTGTGTCTCCGGGTTGCAGAATACCCTCAACATCACAAACAATTACATATCTCTCGATCCCCTCATCCAAATAATAAGATTAGGGTATAATCTGAAAGGTAGTGTATGTAGGAGCATTTTATTAGTTTTGAAATGGAAATCCAAGGACAATTGTGGACTGAAGACTCGGTTTTTTGAGGTTTTCCCTCAATTCTGTATTTTGTCTGTAACATCTTCAGTACTCCATGTCTACTAATGAAAATATTAGGGTACCATGACAACTACATTTTAAGTCTATTGAATCAGACAGAATTGTGTGCAATTTCGGATTTGGTTCCCAAAACCCAGACTGTGCTTCACACAGTCTGGTTTTAGGGGGTAGACTGTTTAAATCCATATCTATTGAACCCCTGATTCAATCTCACATTTTCTGGGCCTCAAAGTTGGAGCAGGGTATGAAGATTACAGAAAGGATTTTTTGATATTTATACTTACATTTAATTGGCAACACAGTAGTTTCGGATATCGGTGGACTCAAAAGTGTCGGTAATACTACTAGGGGACGCATGTCGAAGGAGGGCTCCAGGCCGTAATAGGAGAGCGGCGTGAGTGACTGGCTGTGGCGTCGAGTAGGGGATGCGGGCGTGTCAAGCGAGGATCCGGAAAACGCAGACGATGCGCGAGGGGGCGCGGGCGATGCAGGAGAGCGGGCGGGCGGGCCAGTGGGTATGATATCGAGCAGGTAGAGCAGGGAGAGCGGGGAGAGCAGAAAGGCAGGGGATCGGTTTGAGAGGGTAGGACGGGAGAGAGGAGAAACTAGGGCGAGTGACGTACCTCTCGTAGATGTCCTCGTCGCTCGTTCCTTCCCTCTTCTGTGATCATCTCCACCGGTGCCGGACCTCATCCTCATCCTTATTGTCATAGATGCCTGCGTCGTTGAGCAGTGCAGGCGTAGGCGTATGGGCGTTGGTGGAGCGGGACGCCTCTGCGGTGGAGATGGTGGATAGCCCATGGGGAGAGAGACGACAGGAGTGTGAGCGTGGGCATGGACAGCGAGAGAGGACAGGATCGGGAAGGGAAAGGTCAATCCCTCGAGGATCTGTAGATAGTAACAACGCGCTGTTAGCAATGTGTGGACGCGACGCGACATTACAGCGTGCTTGATCACGAGACATTGGAGGGCACTGTGTTCCGACACAGTCGGACTGTGTTCCGGCACAGTCGGACTGTGTTCCGACACAGTCGGACTGTGTTCCGACACAGTCGGACTGTGTGCCGACACAGTCGGACTGTGTGGCGCGACAATCATCGGACTGTGTGCGGCACGGCCGGACTGTGTGGCGCAGATTCACCGCCAAATCTCGGACTGTCACCGAGAATCCGGACTGTGTGGCGCTGAACCAGCGCCAAAATCCGGACTGTGTGCGGTCTCGGCCGGACTGTGTGGCGCAACAGAGAGACTGTGCGTGGTGTGACAACAGTGTGACGACTGTGGGTCCGCAATCTCCCGACTGTGTGCCGCCCTTTCCCGATGCTGACTAAACTGTGTCTCCGGGTTGCAGAATACCCTCAACATCACAAACAATTACATATCTCTCGATCCCCTCATCCAAATGATAAAATTAGGGTATAATTTGAAAGGTAGTGTATGTAGAAGCATTTTCTTAGTTTTGCAATGGAAATCCAAAGACAATTGTGGACTGGAGACTCGGTTTTTTGAGGTTTTCTTTCAATTCTGTATTTTGCCTGTAACATCTTCAGTACTCCATGTCTACTAATGAAAATATTAGGGTACCATGACAAATACATTTTAAGCCTATTGAATCAGACAGAATTGTGTCCAACCTCGGATTTGGTTCCCAAAACCCAGACTGTGCTTCACACAGTCTGGTTTTAGGGGGTAGACTGTTTAAATCCATATCTATTGAACCCCTGATTCAATCTCACTGCTTCTGGGCCTCAAAGTTGAAGCAGGGTATGAAGATTACAGAAAAGATTTTTTTGTATTTATAGTTGCATTTAATTGGCAACACAGTAGTTTCGGATATCGGTGGACTCAAAAGTGTCGGTAATACTACTAGGTTAGAATACTACTAGGTTAGAATTGGCAACACAGTAGTTTCGGATATCGGTGGACTCAAAAGTGTCGGTAATACCACTAGACTGTGCTTCACACAGTCTGATTTTAGGGGGTTGACTGTTTAAATCCATATCTATTGAACCCTTGATTCAATCTCACTGCTTCTGGGCCTCAAAGTTGAAGCAGGGTATGAAGGTCACAGAAAATATTTTTTTGTATTTATAGTTGCATTTAATTGGCAACACAGTAGTTTTGGATATCGGTGGACTCAAAAGTGTGGGTAATACTACTAGCAATTGTAGGCTCGGTATTGGCGCGAAGCAAGTCAAGGAAGACGCTGGAAGACGCCGTGAAGAAGAGGGTCTCTTATTTCAAGCTCCGCGGTAGCTCGCGACGCAAAGCACGAAGCCTCAGTCGCGTATCTGAACTGCCGCAATTAAGATTTTCATAGCGAAAGAACGTGTGCATTCCCAATTTCAGCATGAATTGTCATATAACGTACAACCTAGCACCGCGCATAGCATATGATACAGCATGTTACAAAGACGCTTCTCTGCCGCCGAACGAGCACCGAGCCGCAAGACGCCGACCGATATTTTCGAGATGGGAGGGCCGCGCAGCCTTAGATCTTGTGGCCGAGGTTGACGTGGACCGCCTTGACCGAGGTGTAGCTGCGCCCGGGGATCAGCACCGGAAAGGGGCAGTATGACAGAGAAAAGGGCGTACTGGAGAAGTGCATACTCGCCGAGCTCGCATCCGACACCCGACTGTTTGAACCCACCGAACGGAATCGCTGCGTGAAGCTGGTTCGCACAGTTGATCTAGTCACACCGCCGTCAGCCAACCGAAGAAAGACCGGGAGAAGACCGGCAGAGCGTACCCAAGCGGTGCCCGCCTTCAGCTTGTGCGCCATCTGCAGCCCGCGCGTGATGTCCTGGGTGAAGATGGCGGCGGCGAGGCCGTACATCGAGTCGTTCGCCTGGTGCACGACATCTTCCTCGTCCTCGAACTTGATGACCACGCCGACGGGCCCGAAGATCTCCTCCTGCACGATCTTCATGTTCGGCTTCGTGTTCGTGAAGATCGTCGGCTGGATCCAGTAGCCCTCGTCGCCGTGGCGCTGGCCGCCAAGGTGCAGCGTGGCGCCCTCGGACTTGCCAGAGTCGATGTAAGACATGATGCGCTGGAGACAGGGTCAGCAATGAGGCACACCCAAACACCCTGTCGTCGTCCTCGGCCCTGGCCATATACGCCGCCCCCCCTCTCACATGTCCGTACAGGTTCTAGCCGTTGCCGTCGAGAAGGAGGTATCGGGGAGGAGTGCTTGTTGTCGGATGTGTTGAGCCATGGTTCAGGAGGCAGCCTCGTGCCCGTCGTCGTCGGGGCTGCCACTGGAGGAGCCATTCGTCGAATCTCTAGTCGTTCTGGGCGGCCTCGTCGGCGCGGGCCGGTGGCCCTCGACCCCGTGCGTGGTCGGAGACGGCATCAGGAGGGGTCCGCGCCCGGCGGACGCCACATCAGGGCCCTCCCAGACCCCTGTGTTGGCGGCCCCACACGTGGCAGAGACGGCGACGAGGCTGTCGTCATAGGCCCGTCCTCGACGCCGCGGTTCACGACGCCGCGGTTGTGCATGACGAGACACCGGGCAACGCCGCGTCCTCGGGGAGCCACCGTTGGAAGCGAGGAGAAGGCGGAGACGGGAAGGCGGCGACGCCGTGTTGGCGAGGAGGCAGGGCCGTCGAGGCCCCGCCGTTGACGATCTCGGCGGTGTGCACGGGGAGGCAAGGTCTAGGCGGTGAGGTGGTCGGCACCTGGCGTGTAGAGACGGCGTGCAGGCCGCAGCGTGACGAGCTGCCAGGTTCGAGGAGCCTGCTACACACCTGGGGTCGTTGGGACCGGGCGTGCAGGCCGCAGCGCGGAGGCTTCGGTGTCGTTGTCAGGGCCGTCGTCTCGAGCAGGCACCGTTGTTGTCGAGGAGCAGGCGAGGTGGATGAGGACGTGAGGAGGCGCCGTCGAGTGAGGAGCCTGGGGTGAGGAGGCCGGGGTTGTTCACGAGACCTCGGGCGACGCGCCGTTGTCAAGGCAAGGGACCGGCAGTGGAGGCGGCAGGGTGGAGGCGGGGGCGTGGTGGGGATCGGACGTGGAGGCGGCGTTGTCGAGCCTGGGACCGTCGTCGGCACCGGGCAGGGTCGAGGTGTGGTCGAGCCTGGCGGTGGAGGGGGCAGCATCGAGGCGGTAGAGTCGAGGGGGCGGAGTCGAGTCGAGGTCGTCGGAGGCGGTGGCTGCGAACCTGGTGTCGTCGTCGGGAGTGGGGATAGAGACGGAAGCATCGAGGCGGCAGCGTGGTCGGGACAGGGCCGCGTCGAGACGGTAGGGTCGAGGCGGCGTCGTCAAGTCTGTGTTGTCGAGTCGGTGTCGACAAGTCGGTGTCGTCGAGTCGGTGTCATCGAGTCGGCGTCGTCCGAGGCGGCAACTGCGAGCCTGATGTCGTCGCTAGCACCGGCCGGTGCGCGAGGATGCGGATGCGGATGGGGCAGCTGCTGCCTGATCGAGGAGGGCGGCACGGAGGAGGGCGGTGCGGAGGAGGGCGGTGCTTATGGCGGATATGGGCTTGGACTGGTCCTGCACGGTGCAGTCTCGGCCGCCGGCGCTGGGCATGGTGCGCCACAACTCAGAGGAGCGGCGTCAGCTGGAGGAAGCGGTGGTAGTGGTGGTGTGGGTGGTGGTGGTGGCGACAGCGGAGGAGGCGGAGGAGGTAGAGGGAAGGTGGAGGAGGCGGAGGACGTGTCGGGGTGGTGGACGGCGGTGGTGTCGAGCTGGAGCGAGCAGGCGAGCGCGGCGTCGAGCGGGAGATGCGGGTCAGTCGAGCGTAGGTCCGGGCAACCCATGGGATGCGCGAGGCGATGTGGACGATGCGGGCGAGCCGGCCGGTGGGCCAGCGGGCCAGTGGGTATGAGATCGTGCGAGGAGAGCGGAGAGGGTAGCACAGCGAGCGATCGGGTCGAGAGGGTCGGACGGGGGAGCGAGTCGGACGGGAGAGCGGGTCGAACGAGAGAGCGGGGCGGACGGGAGAGCGGGTCGGAAGTGGGTGAGGTTGAGCAGACGAGAGGAGGGGCGGGTAGAGTCGAGGGATAGGCCGTTGAGCGCGACGTGGAGAGGAGGTCGAGGGCGAGAGGTGTGCGTGTACGGGGGAGGAACTGGGGCGAGTGACGACATACCTATGGTTATGTCCTCGTCGTCGGTTTCCTCCCTCTTCTGCGCTCCTTCCCGTCCTCCTCCTCGTTGTCGTGATTTTCCGCGTCGTCGAGCAGCGTTGGTTCGTGGGTGTTGGTGGAGCGGGACGCCGCTGCCGCGGAGACCGTGGATCGTGTCGAATGAGACAGCGGTGGGAGCAGGCAGCTAGTCAAAGGGACGCGTGTGCAAGGGGCCGAGAGAACGAGTAGCTGAGGCAGATGAGCGGTCGTGGCATCGAACGAGCCGAGCGGGAGCGCACGAGGGTGCCAAGGGAGGGACGGGCATACAGGACGAGAGCGGCAGGGACGCATGTGCAGGGGCTGACGCAAAGGGAGACGGCGTACCCCATGGATAACCTCGTCGTTCGTTCCCTCTTTGTTCTCTCTTGTCTCTCCACCACCACCATTCCTCAGTGTCGTCGTTGTCGTTGTCATCGTCACGGTCGTTGAGACTCGGACGGTCGTGATGCTTGGCTCATCATCGGGCAGCGCGAGCGTATGGGTGTCGGTGGAATAGGATGCCTCAACGGGGGAGATCGTGGATGGCGCCATGGAAAGATGCGGCAGTAAGTGTAGGCGTGGACGAGGACGGCGTAGAGAAGGGCAGGGGGAGAATCTGTAGACAGTAAAAGTAAACAAAATGAAAAGAACCGTCAGTACACGCTCTCGAGTATGATCACTTTATCAGGGCCTCGGCGGAGGCCCATCGTCCATTGCAAAACCGAGTGCATGAAGGAAGAGGTATAAGTAGAATACGGGTACACTCACAGGAGCAGGTGTCTGTCATGCTAATGGGTTTAAGCCGTCTCGTTCGCGTAGAGCAGAGTTTGCAGGTTGCGCGATCCATTGTTGCATAGGTAGCGGCAAGGTATGCTGTCTATGAGAAACTCTTGAGTGGATTTCAGGATCAAGGTGGTGAACGATCCCTATACTCTTACCATGGATGATGGGACACAGAGGTATTAGAGACAAGCATGGGTTGGAAGTTGGATCAGTTTGTATTGAGCTGTCGATTACAATCGCATTGGCACAGATCGGCGCGGATTGACGCTCTCTCCGAAAATTTCGCCCACGCGTCGTGTGGGTGAATAGGGCCTTGGTGTAAAAACATAATCTCTTCTCCAATGGGAGAGGAAGAGACAATTTGCAAGACCGCGATCTATGCATAAAAAAAGAATCTAACTACAGATAGAGGAGGTACATCAAAAGTAGCGACAAGCGGTAGCGCGCATATAGTATACATGCAATGGATGAGGCGGTTGGGAAGTGTCGTCGTATCTCTGTCATACTCGGACTCGGCATCGACGTAATGGGAAGGGAGTGCTCACTTTGCAAATAAGAATAATCCTTCACTACTAGCCCCATGGCTTCAACTCAGGTCAGCCTAGCCGCTCTCACTTGACGGGGGCAGGGAATCGTCGGCGAAGCCAGCACCCGCGTACTGTCTGCGGCAGCCTGGCTCACCACCAAGCCCAAATTCACCTTCGGCGAATTTGGGCTGTGGCGAGCCAGGCTGCCGCAGACAGCACACGCCCGTTTCTACACCTTGACTTGTCAACCGCGGAGATCTCGTATTGAGGTTCTCGACTGCGCGCGCGAGCCATGCATCCTGTAGAACTCGCCCGCTGTGGCGTGCTTGATGCCAAGCATCTCTGATGCGTGCAGGCAAGGACGGCGGGCGGTATAGGGACGTGGGGAGAGGCTGAAGGGACGAGCACAGGAGGCGGCGCGGCAGCGCGTTGCGCATGCGTGCGCGCAGCCGGATAGGGGCTTGAGGCAGAGAAGGTGCAGGTTGGGATAGGGTCGGTGCAGGCTGTGTGGGGGAAACGGGCTGCAGGGGGGGAGGGGGGGGAAAAGGGCGTGGAGGAGGGTATTTGCCGCATGGGCAATGGGTTGTGAGGGCCGGGGAGAGTGGGCAGGGTGGAGGGATGCTGGAGGGCGATTGGCAGGGCTGGGTGCACCGATGAACGGTGCAGGCGAAGGGTCTAAGAAACACAGTTTTGTCAGTCGAAATCCGGCACAGATGGAGGAAGAACGTACCGATCGTACGAATTCCCACAATCAAACGGCCCGACCCACTGCTCCTCCTCCTCCCCGCTGTCTCCGCGTACTACAGCGCACGCCTCCTTCTTTCCCTCCCCGCATGCAAGCCGCTTCTCCACTTTCCCGCACCAGCACCGCGCCGCCTTGGTCACCGCGCACGGCGGACACGTGCCGGGATGGCATGGATCCGCACAGATGTGGTTCCCGCATGCGAGCCGCTTTTCGCAAGCGCGGCCACAGGAGAGGTCCACGCGCGTGGTGTCGGCGGTCGAGGACAGGTGCACAGGGGAGGGAGATGTGCGGGAGCACCGGAGGGAGACCGTCTACTTGCCGCAGTGGCACGGGCACTGCGTCGTCGCCTGGCAGGGCGGGCATGGGCCTGGGTGGCACGCAAGCACGTAGGGATGCCCGCACATGTGCGAGCGCGAGCAGGGGCTCGTGCATGAGTGGGGCGTCGAGAGGCACGGGGGCTTCGGGTCCTGGGTGGAGCCGCAGAAGCACCTGCCGGGTGCGGGTCAGGGCTATGGGAGCAGGCTCAGAGAAGGAACGGGGCGTACCAGTAGCAATGCGGGATGGACTCGCGCTTGAACCAGCTCCCAGGCAGCGCTAGTCGTCCTTCCTGCCGCTCTCGCTACGTCTGCACCAGGCTTCCTTGATGTCCTTGACACTCTTCGCGGCCCACAAGCGAACACACTTGAGGTGGAAGGTCGTCCAGCAGTACTTCACGCGCTCCTGCTCGTGCTCGTGGCCTGCAGGGGGCGCAGTGCCGGGGTCATGCAGGACGAAGGTGGGGGAGCAGGACCAGGTCGGCTGGGCAGGGACGATCGCGTTGAAGCAGATGGGGCAGTCGGGGTAGGGAGGGGTGCAGGGACGGTTGGGGGGTGGCAGGTCGAGGGGTCAGAAAGCGGAGAGGTTAAGAACGAGGTACTTGTATGCTTAGAGAGACTGGAAATGACGCACCTAATATCAAGGGGATGAGAGTAGGATTGATGTCAATATCGAGGTCAAGGGGTACTGGGAACCGGGAGTCAACACTACAACACGCTGTCAGCAATGTGTGGACGCGACACGACGTTGTAGTGTGCTTGATCACGAGACGTTGAAGGAGCACTGTGTGCCGACACAGTCGGAGGGAAAACTCTGACTCTCTCCGACACAGTCGGACTGTGTGCCGACACAGTCGGACTGTGTTCCGACACAGTCGGACTGTGTGCCGACACAGTCGGACTGTGTGGCGCGACAATCAACGGACTGTGTGCGGCACGGCCGGACTGTGTGGCGCAGATTCACCGCCAAATCTCGGACTGTCACCGAGAATCCGGACTGTGTGGCGCTGAACCAGCGCCAAAATCCGGACTGTGTGCGGTCTCGGCCGGACTGTGTGGCGCAACAGAGAGACTGTGCGTGGTGTGACAACAGTGTGACGACTGTGGGTCCGCAATCTCCCGACTGTGTGCCGCCCTTTCCCGATGCTGACTAAACTGTGTCTCCGGGTTGCAAAATACCCTCAACATCACAAACAATTACATATCTCTGGATCCCCTCATCCAAATAATAAAATTAGGGTATAATCTGAAAGGTAGTGTATGTAGGAGCATTTTATTAGTTTTGCAATGGAAATAAAAGGAAAATTGTGGACTGGAGACTCGGTTTTTTGAGGTTTTTCCTCAATTCTGTATTCTGCCTATAACATCTTCAGTACTCCATGTCTACTAATGAAAATATTAGGGTACCATGACAAATACATTTTAAGCCTATTCAATCAGACAGAATTGTGTGCAACTTCGGATTTGGTTCCCAAAACCCAGACTGTGCTTCACACAGTCTGGTTTTAGGGGGTAGACTGTTTAAATCCATATCTATTGAACCCCTGATTCAATCTCACTGCTTCTGGGCCTCAAAGTTGAAGCAGGGTATGAAGATCACAGAAATTATTTTTTTGTATTTATAGTTGCATTTAATTGGCAACACAGTAGTTTCGGATATCGGTGGACTCAAAAGTGTCGGTAATAGTACTAGTATGGGCCTGATGCAGCCTGCAGGGCGCGCGCCCGTAGGTGTTCAGCGTCGTGGAGGCAGCCATGAGGAGGCGGCTGAGCGGGGCAGTGTTTAGGATGAGACGGCGTTGCAGTCGGCAGCCGGCAGCATCGTCAAGCGTGGAGGTGGCGGCCTCGAGCGTCGAGCAGGTAGCGTGTACGACGCGCCAGCCTCGTCGGACTTTTATTCCATGCTTTTGGGATTCTATGCTTCCGCAGGGATTGAACCATAATAAAAGGACCGTGAGATTTGCCCGGCAACTATTATCCTTTGATACGCCATAGCACCGCCAAGGCGGCGACGCTGAGCATGAGCACGCCCACCGTCGTCGACATCTGTGCTAAATGTTGAACCATCTGTCGACACAGTGCCGTGAGCGAATGCACGAAAACGTAAAGAATAAAGCTCACTGGCGCCAGGTGTGCGCCCTTCAGATTGGCGGCGGCGGCAGACGAGGCATGTGCAGCGTCATCTTCCGTCGTCATCGTCGTCGTGGACCCTGTCGATGCCTTCTGGACCGACGACTCTGAGGTGATGGCATAGTGCTTCAAGGACATGATCCTCGCATCGTCACTTGCACGACGCACGTCCGAATCCGAATCATCCTGCGCCCAGGGCACGCGCGTGCGTGCTTTGGAAGCTGACTGGCGCTTGTCATCGAGCAGTGTCACGCCCTCGAATGAGCTCGCGTACCCACCGTCGTCCTTGTTCGACTCGGCCGAGTGCGAACGCGATCGGCCTCGGGAGATTGTCGATCGTTTCCGCCGATGGCGCTTGCCCGGGTCAGACGAGATGTTGCGTGGACTGGGGGGTGTGACGAGCCTGACACCGTGGCGCGCGTTCCCATTCACCTTGAGTTGGTGTTGCTGCAGCGTCGCGAGCCCGGCATCCACCTTCGTGACGGCGCCGTCAAACCCCTCCTCGGCAGCCCGCACGCGCACCTCCCAATCCTCACGCGCCCTACTGATCCGCACCCGCTCCTCAGCCCATTCCTCACGGACGCCGCTCCACTGGCCCTCGACATCCTTCTTCCACTCAGCGATGAGCGAGGTGAGCGAGGCGCGCTCTTGACTCACCTCGGTGGTATGCGACTGTATATTAGTCTGCGACGCCTGGACGAGTGGCTCGAGCGAGGAGATCTTGGACTCGAGCATGGAGATGATACTCTGTGCGGCAGCCTGCTGGGCTTGGAGCGTGCGCGAGAGCTTGAGCGCAGATTCGAGCTGTTCAAGCTGAGAGGCGAGGGCATTGAGGCGCTCCTCGGACACGGAAGATGTCGAAGGCTGAAGAGCAAAAGGCTCTCGTAGAGGGGGCGACGGCGATCGTGAGTGCATGTTGAGCACGTCAAGGTGCATTTTGGATCCGCCGTGGATGTCCTCGTTGTCCATGCCCATCCCTGTAGGCTCCGGTGTTCTCGGTCGACCCAGCTCGTCTCTCCGCTGCCGCCGCTCCTCTTCTTCCTCTGCCGCCAGCTGCTCCTCGTCCTCGTCCTCGACGCGCTCTAGCTAGTGGGGCGTGACGGTCGTGATACTCTGCGCGTCGTCGTCGTCGCCTCCGTACTTGCTGTCATCGTGATCCTCGGCACGCAGCGTCCCCGAACGTCGTCTGCCGCGTACGCTGTCTAATTCGCGTTTTTCCTCCTCCATCAGCTCGTGGAGGGTGCTGACTTCGCGATTGATGGCTTCGTGCTCGGAGAGCATGCCCTCCATGGCACGGATCTTATCGACGAAGGAGGCAAGAGAGATCAGCTTGTGGCTGTTCGGGCAGCCCGCAGGAGCACGCGACGGTCACGATCGCGCGGCACGGCTCGGTCTCCTGGCACGCCAACGGCGCGTGACACGGCTGCGTGTAGAGGTGGTGCGCGGGCGCGCTGCACGCACGCACGCGGGCAAGCAAATAACCAAAAAGAAAAGAAAAGTCGAGTCAACTCAGCGTCCATGCCGCGAGGCGGAAAGACGGAGGGAGACGCACCACAGCTTGCGCGGCTCGCCGCACACCTGCGCGCACACCTGCGCACACACTCGCCGCCATGGCACAGCCGCTCGCACACATGGAACCCGCAGCCCAACAGACGCCCGCACCCGCTGCTGCCGACACCGACGCGCTCGTGCGCCTGCGCGCACCGCACGTTGTCCACCGTGCGCTTCCTGCACGCGCACAGCTTCGTCGTTAAGAACGGGCACGGCGGGCACCCGCGCGCGTCCTCCGCGTGGCACGCGTACGGTGAGCGCGGGTGCTCACACGCCGGCGGCGGCCGTGTGCACGGGTGCGGGCAGCGCAGGCGCGTGCCGCACGGGATCGGCGGGTCGAGAATCGTGAGGCCGCAGTGGTAGATCATCTGCGCACGCGCGCACATCTCACCATCAAGTACAGTCCAGCCTAGTGAGATGACAAGCGCACGACGCACCTCTTCGAACGAGCTCCGCAGGCACGACGGGCACGGGCCCTTGTCGTCCCGCTCCTCGCAGCGGTGGTTCCCGTATGCGAGCGGCTTCCCACATACGAGGTCGCACTCGTGCCAGCCTGCCTCGTCCACGATGTCCTGTGGTCCCACGGCGCTCGCGGCTCTTGCCCTTCGCGGCACCCAGGCCGGCGAGCGCCACGGGGGGGTAGCACGCGCGCGTGCACTAGTGGCGCGCGCACGCCCGTAGCGCGCCGTAGGGCCTGTCACACAGGATCTCGGGCGCGGGCGCCGCGCCGCCGACAGCGCTGCACGGGACGTTGTGCGTCGTCGCGCCGCACCTGCATGGGCACACGAGAGGGATGGAGCGTAGGAGGCATGGGCCGGCGTAGCAGCGCATTGCGCACGCGTGCGCACAGCCAGATAGGGGCTTGAGGCAGCGGCCGTGGTGCCGAGTGGGTCGAGCACGAGAGCGAGCGAGCGGGTTGAGAGCGTCGGGCAAGCAGGTCGACAGGGTCGAGCAGGAGTGGATGAGAGGAAGACCGGACGAGGGTACAACGGGAGTAAGAGATGACGACGTACCTGCATCCCTCATGGATAGCCTCATCATCCGTGCCCATTCCCTTCTCAGCTCGTCTCTCCGCCGCACGACTTCCTCGTCCTCTGCCACCAGCTGGGTCTCATCCTCCTCGTCCACATTCGAACGGCCGCGATCCTTTGCGTGTCGTCAGGCAGCGTGCGCTCCGGGGGTGCAGACGACAGTGAACGTGGGCGTAGGTGTGGACGAGGACAGAGATGGCGGTCAGCGGAGGGGCAGTGCGTGGCGGCGGTGCGTGAAGTCGAAGGAGGGGACGTCGTTGTTGAGATAGTGAAGCGTGGTGGTCCAAGGGCGTGTAGGGTTCAAGGCCGTTGAGAGGAGAGAGTAAGCGTGTGCATGAGTTCGAGGCGATGCGTGCGTGCGGCGGAAATGTTAAGGGAGGGGCAAGAAGAAACACGAGAGGAGGGACATACCCTCGTAACAATCAGCCCTCCCTTTCCCGTCTTGTCTCTCCGCCGCCAGCTTGCCCTCGCCCTCCTTGTTGACACGTTCGAGCACATGCAGCGCATCTGAGCAGAGCGCAGAGTGCATGCTGAGTCGTCGCGCTCGGGGTCACCTAGCGACGGCAACGGCGAGTCGGTGGAGGAGGGATCGTGCGAGGGCGAGGAGCCGCTCTCCTGCATGGACGCCGAGTCGGGGCGCAGGGGCAGGATGAACTTGCTGAGCGCGGGCACAAAGGCAGGGGATGTCGCAGCTCAAGAACGGGCTCAGGACGCGGGTCCTGGGCCCGTACACGTCGGCAGCGGAGTCGGGCAGGCAAGGCCGTCCTTGAAGCGCTCCGCGAGGGAGATGCGCACGCGGAAGGCCTCGGCGACGCGGGAGAAGAGTGCAGGGTAGACGATGGGGGTGCGTCAGCCGCCGCGTCTCCTCCTCGCCGATCTTCTGCGTCGCGCGGAGTTTCTCCGTCCTGTACCGCTCATACAGCAGCCAAGGGTGAAGGGGGGCGTGACGCTGGGGGAAGGCAAGGCCGGCCGGTGCGCGAGGATGCGGATGCGGATGCGGCAGCGGAGGCCTGGTCGAGGAGGGCAGCGCGTATGTGAGCGGTGCTCGCCGCGGACATCGACTTGGAGCGGTCCTGCGAGGTCCGGTCGCGGTCGCGGCGGTTGGCGCTGGGCCTGGTGCGCAAGGACTCGGTGGAGCGGCGTGAGGAGGTGGAGGAGGCGGAGGCGGCGGCGGTGGTGGTGGTGACGGCAAACGAGGCGTCGGAGGCAGAGGTGTTGACGAAGGTGGAGGAGGCGGAGGACGTGCCGGGATGGTGGGTGGTGTCAAGCTGTAGCGAGTAGGCGAGCGCGACGTCGAGTGGAAGATGCGGGTGAGACGAGCGTGGGTCCAGGCAACGCATGCGATGCGCGAGGCGATGTGGACGATGCGGGCGAGCCGGCCGGTGGGCCAGTGGGCATGAGATCGTGCGAGGAGAGCGGGGAGGGCAGTACAGCGAGCGATGGGGTCGAGAGGGCCGGACGGGAGAGCGGGTCGGATGTGGGAGAGGTTGAGCGGACGAGAGGAGGGGGCGGGTAGAGTCGAGGGATAGGCCGTTGAGGGCGACGTGGAGAGGAGGTCGAGGGCGAGAGGTGTGCGTGTACGGGGGAGGAACTGGGGCGAGTGACGGCGTACCTATTGTTACGTCCTCGTCGTCCATTTCCTACCTCTTCTGTGCTCCTTCTCGTCCTCCTCCTCGTTGTCGTGGGTTTCCGCGTCGTCGAGCAGCGTTGGTTCGTGGGTGTTGGTGGAGCGGGACGCCACCGCTGTGAAAACCGTGGAACGCACCGAACGAGACAGTGATTGGTGCAGGCGTGGGGTCGAAGGGATGCGTGTGCACGACGCCGAGGGAACGAGTGAGGGGTTGAGGCGGACGAGCGGGAGCTGGAGAGTCACGAAGTTAATTAAGTGGTCGCGTGCGCGCGACGCGAAGTTGAGTCCTTCGCACCCGTCTCTAACTCAACTCTGTCCGCACGCAAACCTCAACCTTCGTCCCCTCGCCCTCGCCTCGACACCATGCACACCCACCACCCACTTCCTTCGCCTTCGTCCTCCCATCCTCTCGGCCCCATGCACACGCGTCCACTCGGCCACAACAACCCCTTCGACTGCTCCCTCACGCGCCCCTGCCGCCGCCGCACCCGTGCTTTGCCCTTGCGCACAGCGTGTCGCAATCGTCACGCTACCCGTGCTTCAGCGCGTCGACGGCGAGGGTGAGGAGCGTTGTTAATGAGAAGAGGAGTTGCGAAGAGGAATGCCATTAAAAAGGTCCGTATCACTTACTTTCGCTAGCCCTCCCCCAGCCCTAGTCCTGCCCCTCCCTGCCCGGCCCTGCCTGTCCCGCGCACCTGCGCACACCCGGAAGCGGCTCCTCACGCCGCGTCTCTTCCCCTGCTCTCTCCTAGGAGGCGAGGACACGACCACGCTCTCCGGTACCCTACCGCCCGACGCCTTCTTCTCCGGGCACGCCCACTCGACGCTGCGCACCGCCGCGCACGCATCGCACGAGCGCACCCTGTCCTCTGCCTCCGGCTACGCGCACCACCATGTGGCCGGCACTGCCAAGAGCACCACCTCGCCCACGAAGCAGCGCTACGTCGCGGACGCGCACGGCCTCGAGATTGTCAAGAAGATCCGGCAGGGCGAGGTCGAGCTGCGCGATCGCACCATCGTCCTGTGCGACATCAAAGTCAACGTCCGTCCAGCTCGCTTTGCGAAGCTGAGGGCCATCACGGACGCGAAGAAGCCAGGTAAAGCCCCGACCGCGATCCCCGCTGTCTCAGGTTTAAAACGCCTCCGCGGCCGACATCGTGGCGGCGCAGGGGAAAGAGGCGGCGGTGAGCGGGGGCGTAGGCGTGGACGAGGACAGAGACGGGGTCGGGAAGGGAAAGGTTAGTCCCTCGAGGATCTGTAGATAGTAGAAGTAGAGGAAAAGAGAAGGAAACATCATGTATCAGTACATGCCCTCGGCGATGCAGAGGCCCATCGTCCGTTTGCAAAGCCGAGTGCGAGAAATAAAGGGTACAATAAGATATAATAAAAACATACTCACAGTGCGGGCATCTGTAAGGCTAATGCTCGTAGACTGTCTCATTCATGTAGAGTCGAGTTTGTGCAGGTTTTGTGCTTGTTGGCACAGCGGAATCCCGATACGCGGCTGACATGACGAGCCTCTCCAGCCGCAGTGAGGCTCGTCATGTCAGGCGCGTATCGGGATTCAGCCCTGTCAATACGCGGCTGACATGACGAGCCTCTCCAGCTGCAGTGAGGCTCGTCATGTCAGTTGTGTATCAAGACTTAGCCAAGCTGATACGCGGCTGACATGACGAGCCTCTCCAGCCGCAGCGAGGCTCGCTATGTCAGGCGTGTATCAGAACTCATCCCTGTCAATACGCGGCTGACATGACGAGCCTCTCCAGCTGCGGACAGGCTCGTCATGTCAGCTGTGTATTGGCATGGGTGGCTTCTTCACCTCTTAATGGCCTCTTTAGCCCTGCCATACCCCTGTCCTACCCTGAACCTTCTAGCTTTTCAGGTTAGAATAACAACTACTCTTGTGCTTCTCCGTTCGTCTCCTTCCGGCCAGGAAAGACTAGGAGCTTAATGCCCGGTGTGTGAGTAGTTTGTAAGGTGGTGTTCCATGCCTGCATGCAATATGGCTCGTGATACTCGACCAACGATAGGTGATCCGTTGGGAGTGGATGACCAAGGTTATTATCTGTACCTTGTTGTACGCCTCAGCTTGTGAGGCCACTTGATATTTGTGATGATTGTGTCGGAATAGACTGCCGTTAAGGCCCGACAGAACATGATCATAACACAGTCTGGTTTTAGGGGGTAGACTGTTTAAATCCATATCTATTGAACCCCTGGTTCAATCTCACTGCTTCTGGGCCTCAAAGTTGAATCAGAGTATGAAGATCACAGAAAATATTTTTTTGTATTTATAGTTGCATTTAATTGGCAACACAGTAGTTCTGGATATCGGTGGGCTCAAAAGTATCGGTAATACTACTAGGCCTACGGACTAACGCCAGCCCACTCGATTGTCTCCCCAAGGCAGCAGTAAGGAGACCTCTGCGCATACCTGAGCATAAAATAAAGAATTTGGTAGAGATAAGTAGTGTAAGTACTACTTAGGTTCACAACATCCAGGACCTGTTGGTCAACATTTATTGTCAAGTGTTCAGACTCCAGCCACTCTAAGGACTATATCTACACAGACGAACCTCAGCTGATATAAAGCAAGAAAGAAACAAAAGAGGCATGTATATGTATCGAAAATCTATCAGTCAAATGGGTGATGCCAGTCTGGGCGAGGCGGCATCAAGTCGCGATGGGATGTGTACGGGGTATGGTATACTTACAGTGCGTGAGAATCCAATGGGGAGGTTAAAAGTGAAAGGATACATGTGGATGTCGTCGGTGCATTACGTGGCGGTATATGTATAGTGATGAAACAATGAGAACAAAATAAACGGCAGTACGGGCGGGCAATTGTGAGGGCCATTCGAGGCCTTTTGATACGAGAATAGGAGGTAAGCAATCAGAAACTGCTTCGTCGGCGCCTGCGCGGAGCCGCACGACTGGCAGAGGCTGGACTGGGGCTGGCACCGGAGCCAGAGCCAGAGCCAGTGAGGCCGAGAGTCAAAATGCGCTTAATGAGGGGGGTGCGTTTAGTGGGAGAGTTTGGGGACTGAATCGGAATGGCGCAAAAGGTGTGAATATTATGTTCATATACAGAACGGGTGATAACGCACTCGAGCATCGGTTCGGCTACCCCTAGACGGAACGGGTATAAATGTCGGCCCAGCCTTGGGCATGACAGGGGGATTTCTTGGGTCGTAGTAGATAACGTTAACCATACTGGGCTGGGTCGCCGTCTGTGGGGCAGCGGCATAGGAGTACGTGCGGGAGCGGCGCGGTTGTGGTACCCGTGACGAGGGAGGCACTGGGACCAGTTTCGGCGGAACAGGAATGCGAGAATTAGAAGCGTACGCTTGCCGTGGGACGGGCGCCTGTATTGGGATGTGCACGGGGACGGAGACGGATGTAGACTGGGAACGTGAGTGTGTGCGTGTACGAGTGTGCTGATGAGTGTCCTGCTGAGCCTGATGAACGATGTGTGGTTGGGAACCAGTGTGTGCGTGAGTGTGACGGGAAGTAGAGGGGTATACAGCGTTGGGAGCTGTCGTGTAGGACCGCGATGGAGTTGGACGCGTAGGTGGCGGCTGGGCTGCAGGATATACAGTGACGTATCCTTGGGATTGCGAGCGCTTTGGAGGAGATTTTGTGGGCGACGGCACAGGTTTGGCTGTAGGCAGAAGAGGTAGTGGTGGAGACTGGAACTTATAGCGGTTGACGTCGTCACGCCAATTTGAGATGCGATGTTGCGTGGCAAGGTAGCGGTCGTATGCCTCGGGTGAGTAGTCGTACTCTGTCATGGTGGGGATGGGTAGGAATGATGACGGAGACGACACGGGCAAACGATGGCGAGGGAGGCAGGAGGCAGGAGTGAGAGCGCTCCAAAAAAGATGGCACCAAGGTGGAGCACCGAACACGAGGCTCTCTCCTCGTATGGTCGCACGCTTGACGAGACAACCTGAATCAATACCCCAACCCAGTCATCCCGTAATTCTTACAAATTTGTCTCTTCAAATGGATCTAATGTTCCTCTGGCTCATAGCTCCTCGCGATGTCAATAGTAACAACCTCACGTGGAAATCTGCATCCGTCGCAAGGGAACGCATAGAGGATAGTCCCATTAGTGTCAACCTCTGAGCATGAGTACTCAGGTGTCAGACGCAGTAGCATGGTGCTTCCATATATTTATCGAATGGCTATTGTCCAAGGCAGCGCCCCATCCTGTTGCTTCTCACTAACGCCATCCTTTGTCCGCCTTCGCTTTTTGCGTTCCTCCAATTTCACCTCCTGATTCTTCCCGCAGTAAGTGTCCTCCATCTCTATCTCCAGCGAACGTTTCTTCACTGCATCGGCGCATACTACTTATTTTCCTGTCACTCTAGATAGAGGCCGTGCTGATTGCGATCCCGGCACTATGCTTAGTTTTTCACGTTGTGATTGGTCCACCACCAGCGACGACGTGTTCGACAACATATTCTTCTGTGCTAAGGGACTCAGTGAAGGAGCGAGGCATGCGCTGTCTCTTAGCCGTTAGAGTTTCGTGCTTGCTTACCACGTTAAGAGTCTGGGCCGTCTTCTTGAAAAATCCCTCGCATACATCCTCTCCAGATTCACAGAAAAAAAAACATAGCGGTCATCTAGTTCCCCCATCTAGGAGTTGTGGCCGCTACTCTTAATCTGGTCCAAGTCTCTGACTCTGCCCGTCATCCTAGCGATGTGACCTACCACCTCCTTTGTTCTCCAATAGAATCGGCAAGGCCCAAATGGTCACCGATACCACCAATAATCATCTCTCTGTCCTGGCTAGCGACGATTTCGACTCTGACCTCCACCTCCACCACCTCCTGCTCCTCCAACTGCACTGCGTCGCATCTCGTCTTCGTCAAGCCCAGACTCCGCCAAGATTCGCTCCATCTGTTCCAATATCGGCTTGTATTCCGCTGCCCCATGATGTTCGCCAGATCAACCAGGCTGGGAACGCGCGGCGGGGATGCCAAAGGTAAGCACGCACCGTATCGCTCTTCTGCGTGCGAGAACCCGTCTCGCCGAAGCATCTTGCCTCGATTTTCGCTTGTCTCGCATGCCTTCTGCGCCCAGTGTTCCCCTGTGCGGCATTAGTGTGGTGGACCTCAACCTACCTCAACAACCATCAATATCTACTTACGCGTTCGAGCATAGAAGGTCGCAAGCGTCTCGCCGGGAAGCGGTGTGCCTGTAATGTCCTCCGGCGCGCGGGGTAATTCTTTCGCCACGCCCTCAAATTTGCTCGCTTCACTCAGGAGCGCTTCCTGCGGACATCTAAAGTCGACATTGATGTCAGTGCAAATTGATGAGTGGTACGTACCTTCGGTGCTTGCATAGGTTCTTCGAGATCATCCTCCCCAATCTTCTCCATTTCTCCCAGCTTCCCTGTCTCCGTGCTCTCCACGACTATTCCGTCATCCAGTGCCGTCTCACCTTCGCTTTCGTAGTGCCCAGTGTTAGTTCCGTCAGTGTCTTCATCATCACTGCTGCTGCTCTCCTCGCCCGGTGGAGGAACGAGCACCCCACTTTCCTTCAAGCAGAGGTACCGGTCCATCTTGTCTAGTGCAAGTGCATAAAAATCATCGAGCGTGTACTCTCGGGATCCACGTTCGAAGATGCCTCCGTAGCTACTCTCGCATTGTACAAAAAAAAAATCAGCATCGTGAACAAATTGTATTGTAGATAGAAATTGAAGAGACAAGGGGCGTACATGTATAGAGTATTGCGAAGGACTGCAAGCATTGTGTTATACCGGGGTTGTGGAGTGCTGCGAACTGGGTCGTCAGGGTCAATAACGTCGTGTCCCAAGTGCATGTCCGAAAGGTGGACAAGTGTCTCGTTCGCTTTCAACGAAGGCCTTACCGCCGGTGGTTTTGAATCACCCTGAAGACGTATGTCAACGCACACGGACACATCGGCAACTATTCAAGGAATCAGAAAACAGACTTCGCTGTCGTTTTGTTCGTTTTGTTCCTCCTTCTCATCGAAACTCTCCTTGATTCTATCAGGAACTATTTTTTTTCTTTTTGCAGCCCCTCCTGGCTTTTTCGGTCGCTTGAGCATCATAGACGACCACTTTCCAGTTCCAATGTGGTACCCGTTCCTGAGATATGTCATGTGCCTCGATTTTTGGCAGAAGAAAGAGGATGACCAACAAATCTTGATGGAACACACTTTCAAGAGTCTCCTCGCTAGTGTCTTCATCTGTTACGCCCCCGAACATGACGCCCATCCCCTTTGTCGACCATAGCGTCATCGTGCACCCCGAGCGTAGCGAAGGGATGAAAGCTGTCGACGCTCGCTTGCGTTTTTCCCATTTGGTAATGACGCCAGCGTTACTTTGGCGCTTCGAAGAGCTCTCCAGAGAGGATGTGGCAATTGACATGCTGAGCCCAAGATGGAAAAGTGAGACATAAAAAATCAAAATGGACGAGGCGGTGAATCGTACGAGAGAAACCAAGTGTCTTCCAGCATGACACCGACAGGGCGTTTTCCTTTGACAAACTCCTTGCAGTAGCCGCCTGTGGTCCATTTGAAAGAGTTAGTGTGACAATGGAACCTTTTGTCGTCCAAGTCCCGACACGTACCATGTAGAAGGATCCCGTCTTGCGTGGGTAAGAAAGAAAACCCGCTCCTCGGTCTATTTTGCGAGGTAGCATTGACGGTAAATCCGTCACGTCGATTGAATAACGGAGGGTTTATAAACGTACGAGGGTCTTCTCTCTGTGGCATTAAACTCGATCTGGGTCCATTTATACTCCTGTATATCAAATATCCAGAGGTCGTTGAGATATCGGGCTAGACGATCCTTAAGATACTGAAATGTGACGAGGTGGAACAGGACACACTGGTGACGCCCGGGTCATAGAACCCGCCGAAAAGTACAATGTAGTGCTTCCACAGCGCTATCCTGGGAGCGCGTGATATGAGCGAGCAATATGCGACGACGTTCGAGGTGAGCAGCTACTGACCGATGCCCCGAACGAGCACTGGGCCGAACCTTGGTATCAATACGATCCCAAGAATGAGTCGCGATGTCGAAACACCAGAAATCACGATAATGATGGAAGGTGTTTTGGTAAAGTGACGAGAACTCTCCGCCTTAGACCAAAGGAGTGCGATTCGATGAGGAGGTAGCTAAATCAACGAGATGGAGATAATGAAGGTATCATGTTACAATACCAAAGAGGAAGAGCTTGCCGCCCCCCATGGGTGCAGCTGCGACTGCATGAGCAGACCGTGGACCAGGACACTCAGGTGAGATAAATTTGCGCCATTCATCCTTTCAAAATCCGTGAGCCTGCTTGAACAGAAGTTCGTGCTGTGAAAATGATGGCACCTTCTCTGGGGTGTATCTGAAGACGTCGTTATAAAAGTACTAGATTTGCGACATCATACATATAAGAATTGGTTGAACATGCAGGAGAGCTTACCGCCTTGCCGTCATCGCCGAAGAATTCGCCACCGATACACCAGAGATGATTCCCGGTGGGACAAGCAGTGAGGGTTGCATTGGCTCTTCGACTGGGCGGGCCCTCGACGAGCTCCTCGACAACTGCATGCGACTCCTCCCACTCTCGCCGCATCTACTGCGACCACCAGCATCAGAGAAAGGTTCTGATATGGGCGGAGAATATATCTTTGACGGCAAGGACCCACTTTGTCGAGGATGGCATCGAGATCTTGATCATCGTCGGACTCATCGACGGTGGCCTTGCCTTTGGATTTTTTCGTTTTTTTCTCCTCCTTGCGCTCGACCTTCTGTAGCGTCTTCACTTTCTTGGCTGCCTTAGCCGCGGACGTATGTCCGCTAGGGCCTGCAGCCTTCTTTTTCCCCATGCTGTGTCAGGCGAGATGATGAGCGTACGTCTATTGTAGTTGTTCTTTTTGGCCGTTGTGGCTGAGTCCGAGTTGCACCTTGCGCCTCCTTGCGCGACAACCTACGACAACACTCTTCACAACATGTCGTCTGATTGGGTACCTAACTCTTGGAGGTCTAAAAGCATCGCTCAGGTGTGTCTCCGAGCACACGTTGCGTATACATACCTGACCATCCAATCTCACGACAGGATGTAACGTATCCTGACGAGCAACACCTAGAAAAGTTTGCATATCCCTCACACGTCGCATCGTATTCTAAATCGCATACACCAGAGTCCTGTCGAAGATCAAGACACTTCCTCCACTCGTAACCCCATCAGAGGTAAGCCGTGTGGTCTTCTTTGAACTGCTTTGTCGACCTATGGCCCCAGATCGAGCGTCTCCGGAATCAGCTCAGCCTCGTGCAGCGAAACGAGGCCTTCCTCCTTCACGCAGGCGATTGCGCAGAAAGCTTTGACGCCTGTACTCATGTGCGTCTGTTTTCTTCATTCGGTCGCCTCCAACCATCCCTCACCGCGGCTCAACGCAACCCGTAGGAAAACATATCCGCCAAAATCGGGCTCATCCTATCTTTCTCCTTGATATTAATTTGGGGTGCGCGTCTCCCTGTCGTGCGAATCGGACGCATTGCGGGACAATATGCCAAGCCGCGCAGCAGTGGGATAGAGAAAATTGGTGATCGTGAAGTCTTCAGCTTTCGGTATGTCTACCTGGATGCCTCCATCACAACGCGTTCTGACTGTCGGCATCGTTAGCGGGGACAATGTAAACGGGTGCGCTACCGGCATCATCCATGCAGGAATCACAACCGGGCTGATGGATGAATAGGCTGGATCCCGACGATAGAACCCCTGATCCCGAAAGGCTGCTCAGGTTCGTACGACTCCGTCCAGCGTTCAGCCTTGACTCACAACGTGCATACGCTCAGCGCATACTTTCATTCGACAGCGACGTTGAACTACCTGCGTGGGTTACTCACCTCCGGCTTTGCATCCCTCCATCATCCCCGCGATTGGTCCCTTTCCCATGTCCGATCTCCATCACTCCGGTATTTCTTTCATTGAATATCGCATACATCAAACTCACCCGGACGCAGGACCGAGTTTGAAACGATCACCGAAGGTCTCGCGGACGCGCTTGATTTCACGCGCACGATCGGCTTTGATTCGGGTAGGGAGGCTGTGAATTATGAGCAAGGTGGGGGCCGTGGCGTCCTTGGTGAAGTCGATTTCTACACAAGGCAAGTACGGCATCTCGTTCCTAATTGCCACTTAGCAATTTACCTCGCATGCGCTGCAGCCATGAGGGCCTCATGCTACCATACGAAGAAGCCCTTACTCGCGCGTTCCCTATCCCTCCCGCGTCGCCTTCGTCGTCATCTCCTACCGTGCCTACGGCCCATTACAACATTTCGGCCCATTTCCTCTGGATCGGTGATCGCACGCGACAGCTGGACGGTGCACACGTGGAATATTTTAGAGGCATACGGAACCCCATCGGGATCAAGGTAGGACCCAGCATGCTCGGAGAGGAGCTTGTTAGGCTCTTAAGTGGTGCGTTCCATGTCCACACATCTGGTCACCAGGCTTGTTGATCGCGGCGGATATGCAGTTGTCAACCCTGACCGGGAGAGTGGACGAGTCACGTTGATCACCAGGTACGGTGCTAGCAAGGTCCGTATCTTCCTCGAACAGGATGCAACGTAGCCACTTACATGGCCTCCCTCCAGATAGAAACTCACCTGGAAGGTCATATCAAAGCCATTCAGCAGTCATCCCATCCCGTAATCTGGATTTGCGATCCTATGCATGGAAAGTGAGTGCGGCCCGGCTCTTGCCGCCTGGATTTTTGCTGACTCGACCAAATAGCACACAAACGTCGACTACGGGTCTCAAGACTCGGCATTTCGGCAACATCATCTCGGAGCTCACCTCCTGTCTGCGCATACACGCTGACTGTGGTTCGCAGCTCGGCGGCGTCAGTCTAGAGTTCACAGGCGAGATGAACGAGGAAGGATTCAGCGTCACCGAATGTCTAGGCGGCAGCATGGAGCTGGCTGAGGAAGAGCTGGGTTTGAGGTACCAGGTGCGTATTTCAGGCTGGTTTTGTGTTGAAGCGGACCTCGAGCTGATCGGGACTCGGTGTGCAGAGCTTCTGTGATCCGAGGCTGAATTTTGAGCAATCGCTGGGTACGTGCATCCGCACCGTCTAAAGGTCGATGGGCGCGATTGACAGGCGTTTTCTAGATGTCGCGTTCTTGATTTCAAATCATTTCAAGAATCAGCGCAGGGGAGTTAAAGCTGGGAGGAATGACGTGCTCTATACGGAGCTTGGAGGGAAGAAAACGGCGTGACTTGTGCGCCACTGGATGCATGGAAGGGATGTCTTTGCAAAAAAGAAGAGAGGTGTGTGGCATGCGCTATCTCCGCTTTCTCTCTTTAGGACTCTCAAAGCTGACTCTCGATGATCAGCAAAGTCAAACTGCTGCGAGAGCAGTCCCTTCGGTTCCATAATAGCAGGGCAGCCTAAATGCAGTGACAAACGAAGTATTGTACAATTGCGCAGGCGGATCCTATCTTGCCTTAAACTTAGGTGGGACAAGTGCTAGATTTGTAGGCGAGTACGGGTGTAATGGTACAAGAGCCGACAGCTGGCAGGTATGTAAGATAATTCTTCGTAGCTCAACTACGTGTGAGTGATCGAAGAGTGTGAGAGCGCGTCTCGCGCCTCACAAGAATAAAAATGTGGGTAGACTACAGTGCAAGGAGCGGGAGCATTAAAATAACACATGATGGCATACAACACGAGGAAACCCGAAAGCAGTGAACGTTAGAGTACAGTCCAGACACAACTCGAGCCCACATCGACAACGGCCTCTCGTCTAGATCACCGAAGGTTGCGCAGGGTGCGCAAGACGTCCGTGTAATCTTCCTCGACCCAACGCTTACCCTTCTTTTCCCGCATCCAATAGCGGCTGGGTGGTCGTCTTCTCCCTTTTAGGGCTTCATTCCCTGCATCGACGACGAGGCCCGTCACGTGCATGTTCCTTCGCAACTCGTCCTCCCACGAGAGTGCTGTGACGGGGTTCTTGCGATGCTTCGTGGCAATGGACTCGTCGGGTTCTGTGTTCCAGGCTGAGGGATGGTTCGCGGATGCGAAGGCAGGGTGTGAGGGCGTGTCGGAATCGAAGCTCGTGCGGAAGACGAGCTCTGTGGGAATGGGCTCTCCAAGGTGGCGGCGGAGTTTGTCGACGTTGTGATGGCGGATGTCGAGGGGCTTGTGCGGCGTAATGGGTGATATTGGGGACGGCGGGGAAGGTGTCGGGTCCTCATACGGTAGGGAAGACGAGCGTGAGGGAGGTCCGATTTCGATGCTGAGCGCTGTGCGGATGGGCTGTATTTTCCTTCCGTGCGGTGGTACCGACGACCCCGGGCGGGGCGGAGTGGGCAGTGGGCGCAGAGACGAAGAGGATGAGCGTCTCTCTGAGAACGGGGAAGGGATGGAGGCCGACGATCGCGTGGAGGACGAAGGGCTCGATGTGGAGAGCTCAAGTTGGGTGAGCTGGGTGAGGAGCGGCGGGGTGTTGAGAGGGGGCGTCGGGAGCGGACGGGAGTGGGGCAAGGGATGTGCCGGGGCGTAGAGCGGGATGGCGGGGCGCGCGGTCGACTCGTAGGGAGGGAGGTATGGGAGCGACACGTTGGAGGAAAGGGAGTCGAGGGACAAGAGAGAGGAGGGCCGCCGTGTAGGGTATCTATGCGCGGCGGGGGTCGAGGCCATCGCGGGTTGGACGGGGGCGGGAGGGTGAGCGGGAGGATGCTCGAGGGACACGAGGGGAGCGGGCGAGGGAGTGCGAGTGGGAGCGGGCCTAGGAGGCAATGCATGGAAGCAGAGGGATATTATAACGGACGGCTGTGGATCCAATAAATCACAACTGAGGCAATCTGCCAAAACGTCAGTGTTTGTGCAGGCGCACGGATGTCTTGACGACCAATACAATCATCATCCTACACAGTGCCGCCTTACTTACCCCCGGGCCATCCTCGACGCTCCTAACCTCGGATGGGCGCTGCGTTGCATTCCAGTTAGGCGTTTACTGAGGTTGTTGTCTTCAGTGCAACAAGAACAGATGTTCGTGGACACGGCAAAGCCTCGTCGGCATTTTCCGATGTCCACCTTGTCGCTCCACGACTATCGTGGATCACTCTCCGATCTCTCTTCAAGCTCTATATCTAGAACCTTTTTGCATCTGTCTGACGCGCGCACCATAGAGTTAGGAAAAGTTGATACGTAGAGCGATCGTCGGAAAGAACGCAACCGGACGTCCGAACCGTATTCACCCCCTCGGCTGTTCAAATGAAGGTCGGACTGACTCGCAAGATAATTCTATACGCTTTGAGCTCTGACGTTAACAGTCGTTCATCACAGGTTTATTATTGTTGCTTCGTCCATCGGAACCTTTCTTTACACCTGACCCAGATCTCGAGCCAATACATCTTGTATGTTTTGATCGAACTTATTTTTGCGATCTGGGCGCGTCAGCACAATACTACCAACAGGAAGATACGACCCTCGCCGTTCATAATGTTGAGCTATCTTATGGCGTCACAGAAGCCGCATTATCGAGAGCCCGTGTCTTGAATGGGCCTAACGAACGCGCTGCCCACCGATGTATCCCCCTTCTCACCCCACTTTATCCCCTGCGCCGACATCTAGCGCGCGCTCGACGGCGGTGGTTTTAATACAACACGGAGCTTGCCCAGTCTATGTCTTCCCTCCCGCCCCTCTCTTTTCCTCCGCTGATAACTCCTATGCGCCCATCCCATTTGGCATCGGCGTAATGGATCAACAGCAGAGGTTCAGTGCTGTTCGCGGTTATCTTTCTTGTATGTGCCACTCACTTTTGCCTTTTCAGGCATTAATTTAGGTGCGCTAGTGGCTAACATGACACCGGCCATAGATAGGATGTTGTGATATGGTCGACGAACGAGAGGTTCCTCGATGTCACGCAACTGGTTGCAGCACTGTTGACCGACCTGATGGGCTCGAGAATGAGCGGGCGCTTGCCAGATTTTGTTGTACCGAAGCTTCTGCGCGCAGTCGAAGGGAGGGCCTCATCACATGGGCGTCAAAACAGGCGGTATATGTGCTGGCTGCTCCTCACTTTCATTCCCCAGAGTTGAGATTTCGCTCGGATGAGAAAATCAGGGAGCATATCCCTGTCAGTGAGCTTTGTATATCCGTTCAGTGATTATAGGCGCCTCCAGCGTCTGATAGCGTTGAATTAATCCCCGAATCCGTTGGCACTTCCCTGCTTTGCCTTTTCCCCTGGGACGTCACCTTCCCACATTTGACTGTTTCGAGCTCAAATTCACCCCCTTCCATTATGCTGGTAGCGAGCCATGAGCTCCTTCAACTCGTGGTCAATATCTATTTCTTCGAGAAATTATGGATGTACAGGTTCGTAGAAGTCGTCGACGGACACCCCACCCTTGATTTCGGACGAGGAAGGTATCGCGGCGGCTTGAGCCAGTGCATGGCAATGGATCTGATCTATGGCCTCTGCCCCATCAAATAATGCAGCAGTCTCTTCAAGCGATAGGCCTCTTGTCTCTGTTACGAAGAAGTAGAGGTAGACTCCTTCGAATGCTAACCAGCAGATGTATACGATCTGGAGTATGTGGCTCAGTGACGACGGAGATCGGGAACGTGAGCGATGAAACGACCCACGTAGTATTTCCAGCCCAGTTTTTCGAGCGCAACCGGGTTTACATATTGGTTGAATATGAGAGCGATCGAGAGTGTCAGGCTATACAATGTGAAGCCTTTTGCGCGGACGGGGAAGGGTAAGATCTCGACGGTATACGATATGATAAGTGGCAAAAACGCCACGCTATACCGCAAATCGACAGGCGAGTTAATACAGCGGATGAATGAGAGTGGATTACTCACTCGTAGGCAGCATAGAAAAGAAAGATAAACGCGATGACAGCATGAGCGGCACCCTCTGTTTGACGCTGCGCAAATATTGCAGAGCAAACGGTCTGCATGATGAAGAAAATTATCATTCCACCGACCGATGTCAAAAAGAGAAGGCGGCGGCCGAGACGGTCGACTAGTAATGCTGCCGAGATGCCCCAGAACAAATTCCATATCGAAAGTATGCCGTTGATGAGAAGCTGTGATTGAACGCATACCATGAGCCCCGTCCGAGCGGTAGTGTTACGAAGTAAACAGACCTGAATAGTCGAATCGGTGATCCCGATGGTATCAAAAACTTTGTTCAGATAGTATGAGACAAGACCGTTGCCGGACCATTGAGAGAAGAATGCAATCGCCAGGATGATGCGCATGCGCTTTCTGTTTCCAACAGTGGTAAACAAGGACTTGTAACCGATGTTGGAAGCGACTGAGAAAGAGAATGGTGTCAGCAAAAAATCATGTGAACGAAGCACATAAAACACCATTTCTGTCAAAATGAATCGAAGCTTTGATCTCCTCGTACTCATAGACAACTAGGGGATCCTTTTCATTTCCATCGGCATGGTAATATGCAAGCGTCCTGAGAGCTTGCGCATCACGGCCGACACTGACCAGCCAGCGTGGAGACTCAGGCATAAATCCGATGAGGCAGACTTGAAGCATAGAAGGAAGGCCTTGGAGGAGGGATGGGATGCGCCATGACCAAGAAGTCGGAATGAACTGCGTTCCATAGGCAGTCCATGCCGCGCTAAATAAGTAAAGTGACTTCGTTTCAATCCATCGGACCGCGGTGGAGCTCAGCTCACATGATTGCACCAGAAGCATATAGGGAATTATAGAGGGACGTCATGGGGGCGCGATACTTAGGATAGGCTATTTCCGTCACAAGCAATGGTGCCGCATTACCTGCATTCAGGGTGGAAGCTGAATGACTAGTTTCCAGAAAACAAGACAAAAATCTCAGCTTACCAGCGAACGACAACCCAAAGCCAATGAGAAAGCTGCGCAAGCTCAGGTATGAGGGCGTAGTCAAGCCCCGAGGGACTCGATATCTTACCGAGCTCCGAGGAACATCCTGACAGACTGAGCGGCTGTTTGAACAGCAGTTGCAGCGCACATAACGACAGCTCCAAAGATCACAGTTCCACGGCGCCCGATGCCATCAGACATGTAGGGTGCGAATGGATAGGCAGCGAGAGACCCGATGTGCTATAAGAAGGTTCAAGAAGCAGACATGAGGGTATTAGAACGAACTCACCTGAATGGCATTCAATAGACCGAGTTGACTGCCATGAGGGCTATTGAAGTATGTATTCCATTGTTTTTCAGATTGAAGAGCGTTCATCATGCTCCCATCGTAACCGTTAGTCGAGGATGTGATTAGCCTAGCACAGATATCACTGAGCAGTAACATGGTGGGGTATGGGAATTTCACTGACAGCAAGACAATCCATGCATTAAGCACGATTATTCTATGGAAAGCATCTGAGGCTTCAGCTCTACAATTGACGACAATTAAGAATGAAATACAAGCCTCCTGTTATTGTACCATTTCCTGTTTGGATCAAGAAGGTGGTCGTATCCTGCTGGTCTTCCAAGAGCATTGATCTCTCGATTCATGGTGAATGATGATGCTGCACAGGATCAGCGCATCAACAGACAGACATCGAAGGATTTTATATACGGAGCGGAGGCGGAAGCTAGATATGCAGATCAGACGACCTGGAGAACGGAATCGTGGAGATATTTTCGACTCGGGTTGAGGCCTGAGGCCTGCTAAATTGAGGTTACGGGAAGTTTCCTACGCCAATCGTCCCTCGGCATCGCCAGATGTGAGCTTGAACACAGTCTCCAACCATAGTCTGGGCAAGGTCAGTCGAACAGGTTATGACCGGTGTCATTTCGCGTACGACTCGTGGAGAAACCTCGCGCAAGTACGCTATGGTAGCGGCGTCCCGCTTTACCATATCAACTTCTCACGACGAACGATCATGGGGGCTCAACTGGAGCGTCAAGTGACAAAGATCCAAGGACTCCGCAATCACCTTTGGTTCTTCGCAAGCAGCAGATAGAAGGCTTTCATGCCTTTTGTAGATTCATGGGTCCGAAGGGAGTTTTCTGGATCACAGAGATTTGGATAAAAATCTGTTACTATGACATCCCGAAAGCTACGATAAGTCTTGCCCCATTAGATTGTCGAATGATCACTTAACATATAAATTTGTAGTAAAATTGAGGAACTGTCATTTTCATAGAAAATCTTCGCGTTAACACGTTCTCACTTGGGGCTGTGTACAGCCAAGGAAGACTAGCTGATGAGATTGTTTATGTCGAGGTGAGACCCCGACTGCGCAATCGTCACCACACTCAAGCCGCATCAAGAGCTCCAGTGTAGCCCTTAGATTCGAAAAGGGAAGTGAGTGTGAATTGATTTATCTAGAAGAATAAAAACAAAAAGCGAGTGAGCGATCGCATGGAACGCCCAATAACAACACCGGTTGGCGGCATCTGCTCAAATTCACTGTTTGAGACTTGAAATGACTCGACAGATACCCATATATTTCAATTCACATTGAGTTCTATGACTTGAGTCCTGAAGCTTGAAGGCCTGAAGTTGTATGAGATACAATGCTGACGCTCGTCGTGGTGTCGAGAAAAGAAGTTCAGCTGACTCAGCCGGGCACTTCCTCAGACTTTTCCTCCTAACAGCCTTGTACTCGTACGTTGTCGCCGCGTCAGTTCATTTTTCCACTCTACCAGTACTTAATAGCCGGTTTCTCAACTATGTCTGCAGCAGTCACTACCAGGCTTTTCGGCGAGTTGCACCTCGATCCCACGCCCTGAATCGCGATATCACTCTAGGTCTTAGTATCACAAACCAGTCCATACCGCAGCTCTTACTATTAGCATAGGCACAAGTGGCTAGAATCCAGGTGTTATCTGGCAGCCAGGCTATTAGATGAAACATATGTGCGGTGCACACTGCATGGATTACTCTACTGATCGCCCTGTCCTGATGATCGTAACACAAGAAAGACAGCGATGGCATGTATATGTATGCTCTGATACAACCCATGAAAATCCAGACTCTTCATTATAATAAGGAAGATAGTATGTCAAATTCAAGGTCGAATCTAGGGTTGATCCTAAAAAAAGTGACGAATTAGTAGCCGCAGGCGAACAATGGGTATGCGGATTGGATCACCAACTGACTTTGAAAGGTGGTTGAAGATATCGTGCGTTCGGTCAGGGTACTTCTCGTAAGGCATCAGATTCATAGTATCCTGCCAGCCTTCCAGACGGCTGTGCTCGATGGCCCCAAGTTGCTCCGCAGTCCGCCAAAAATCTAAATCAATTCCAATGGTACGCAATTCGGCGATGTCCTCCCCGTCACTGCAATGCGCATCGCCAGGAATGGTTCTCCGAGACTCAACCACGTCCACCAACTGCTTGCAATATTGCCTGTAAAATTCCACATTCGAATTCTCGTCGTCCTCGTCCTCGTCCCAGGATGGACGAGAGTCAGGCTCCCAATCTGGTATGACGGTCAGATCAGACAAATTCGTGTTCTGTCCCCATATCAGTTGACCAGTAGGCGAGAAGCGAAAAGCCAGATGGTTGAGGATGTCGTAAGTAGAGGCCATGGAAGTCAAGGTGAGACTTTGGATGTTTTTAGCAACGGCCAGGACATTACGAAGATCGCCAGGTGGCATCTCGATGGCATGGAAAGATAACACAGAGATCGACTCAGTGCAAGAGGATAGGAGTACAATCAAATTCGGGCCTATCAGTTCAGACTCTAATCCCATTTCTGGTGCGGCGAACAACTCCAAGGACTCCAATCTAGGAAGTTTGAGCACGCGAATGAAGATAGCAAGCATGTCGAGGTCGTGTATGTTTAGGCTGAGGGTTTCGAGTTTGGGGAGCACGCAACGAGGGGTGTTTTCAAGCTCCTGGATATGCAAGTGCCCTAAGCACAGCTGGAGAGAAACTAGGTTATGACAGTGGGTCATATCGACGGCCAATCTACTCAAATTCAAGGTAGGATACCCAGCCCTACACCTAAGGGCGAAGGCCTCAATGCTCCGTGAAAATAAGAGTTTTTCAAACCCATCATGCCATGGGCTATGAATGGCGAGGGTCTGAAGGCGTTCTACGGACCGTAAGGCAACGATGAATGCCTCTGCGCCTGCGGTCCCGGAGGTATTCAAAACTAGCCTTTCAAGGAAAGGAAACTTCGCGGAAGATACACGAGGGAACGATGAGTGCGAAGGTAGATCGAAATGAATATCTCGCCAGCGGTGAGAATGAGCTCCGAGAATGGTCAAGTAACGGTCGATGCGTGAGGAGTTGCTGGACGAGGACTGCAGATAGAAATTGAGTGGCCTGTTTTTAGACAGTGAGAGCCAGTTGTCCAATGCACAAAATAATGAAATCGCCTTCGATGCCTTTGAGGGTAGGGATGGCAGACGCATGTTTGACCATAATGATGGGATTGAATACGCGATCGCACGCCACGATCTACACACGCGAGTAAAAATCAGAGGAGCCTTCCTGATTTCGAACGAATGCCTGTCTCTGCAGGCGCAGAGTAAGAAGATGTCGAAAATGATTTCAGGGGATAGGGAAGAGAAACATATGATGGTCCTCGATTCGCATGACCGAATGGTATGGTGACCATTCTTCAAGATCGGCAGATCGGCCGCGCTGTATGCAAGTTTCATTGTTCAACAGACATTGAAAGAGACATTGAGCGAGAAGTACATACACTTGCATGGGCCGTGCAGTCATGTAAATCTAACCCACGATGATATCCTAAACTACAGTGAGCATACCCACGGCAGTTTGTTATCTATTCACTCACGAGGCGATGGCAGACTACAATTACTTCGAAACTGGCTGCTCAGAGGTGCGATGGAGAAAGGGTACGGTGAGTGGGCAGGGGTGGGTTGAGCGGGTTCAGAGTTGCAAATAGAAATAGTTCCCACGAATCCTCGTGCTTCAACACATGCCTCGATAACATGGAAGGCGAAGACCCAAAACGGGCGCTCGCGGTTCCAGCCAGGAATCAGATTGAGATGATACCGGCACTGAAGTAGACAGCAATCACAAGTTCGAGAACCAGCGACAGCTCTTTGGTATGCTCGTCGTCTGCGTCTACCCACGCCAACAACGTGTTTCATTCGAGCGAGAGAAAGAAAGAAAATGGAAGGGACGATCGACTCTAGAAGCCTGATTGCGCAGTATTCCCGATAGCTTGCTAAGGACGTTAAGCGGATCTCTAGACGCATGTACAATGGAAAGGCGCTGAATCCTATGAGGTGTGAATACGTCTGCACGGAGCCATCAATCAAATCAAACGACACGGACTACAACGTACATTGGACCCCCACTTATACACTCGTCTGATGGCCCATACTCCACGAGGCCTCGTCGAATTCAACGAGCTTGATTTCAGGATTGAGCTCTAATCCGAAACCGGGTTTATTAAGCGCCTCGGCTTCTATCCGCCCATTTTGAGGTAACGGCTCGTTCAGGAACAGGCTCCCGAACGGAGGCTGCACCGACTTCCCGTCAGGCGCGTTGCACACAATCTACGACCATGGCCTCGTCAGTCAAGTGAAAAAGACTAAGGCGTGGAATAACTACATACCTCGGCAAACGGCGTGTTGGTCTGGCTCAAAGCGAAGTGATAGCTATAGGCACTTGAAGCGTGTGGGACGACAGGAATATCGTACGCGGCTGCATGTGCGCTGATCTTGAGAAGTTCGGTTAAGCCACCGACCCATGTTACGTCCGGTTGTAGAACGTCAATCGAGCGGGTTTCAATCAACTTGCGGAATCCATAACGTGTATACTCGTGCTATTTTAGAATTGGATGCAAAGACATTAACTCAAGAGACAAGAAAGGCTTGACAAAAGAAACACACCTCGCCCGTTGTCCATTTAATGTGCGGAAGAGCAGATTTCAAGCGTTTAAACCCATCCTCGTCGTCTGGATGCAGAACCTCTTCCCACCATTCAATGTCGAGTGACTGGCACTTGGTCGCCAATTCGATCGCGTATTGCACATTGAGGCTCATGTAGCAATCGACCTGTAAATCTGGTAAGATCAAGAAACAACCATATTGGGATGGTACAGACCATGATAGGATAGTCTGGTCCTACAGCACGACGATGCTCTGCAAGAAAATCGAAATTCTTCTTCAAGCCTCCAGGCTCTTCAGGACCATACGGTAGCGGCACCTTTCCACCCCAGAATCCTAATCTTTTCGCTTCTGCAGGCAACGGCCCGGTGGAGTAGAGACTCAGAAACTCCTTGGTAAGACCTCCGATGAGCTTGTAAACTGGCTCGCCCCGAATCTTGCCCAGCAAGTCCCAAATGGCCAAATCGATGCAAGATATGACGGTTATGACAAAGCCCTTGCGCCCGTAGAACATCGACGCGCGATACATCTGGTCCCAAAGCATGTTGGTATCGCGAGGATCAGCGTCGATGAGGAAGCGCTTGAAGTGAGCATGCACGAGCCAGCAGGCAGGCGGCCCACCTAGACCTGTCGCAAACCCTATTGTGCCATCCGACGCATGTATCTCAATGCAGAAAGAACCGAGGACGTTGATGCCCCATTGAACGCGGGAAGTCTTGTAGTTTGAGTAGCGAGACCTGCGCTTGTGTAAGCCAGAACAGGGTGCAAAAGGGCGAACAAACGCACATAGGGTTTGCTATCGGACTATCAATGATCCAATGCCCTCGGCTCTGCGAGTGATAATCTGCGCCATCGCCTTCCTAAGGCATAACCACTATAGGTTTGAGAGTACCGATCATACAACATTTAGGACGTACCCCTCCAACCAGGTATGTCTTGACCTTGGTGATGGTAGGAAACAAAGACGGTGACATAACTACAGGCAACGAACGTCTCGAATCCGACGCGAGATTTCGAGTTCCCTCAGCTCCATCAAAGGTTTTTAGACGAGATAATGATGTCGTCAGCTGACGGTGGGACTATGGGTCGATGTTCTTGCGCTGGAAAGAAGAATGTGGGGAGACTGGAAAGAAAAAGTGGGCCGACAAAAGGGATCAGCTGAAGGAGGTAAAGATTTGAACAGCTGAGGGACGAGCTGCAGATGATGGTCGAGTTGGCCTTGTCGCTCGCCAGCGGGCCGTGGGGACATGATCACGCTCAATTCAAAATTCCGCGGCTCTGGCTTCCCCCGCATTTCTCGGCCTTCTCCGACCCTCAGTGACTCTACCCCTCATATCTTCTTACGAAACTCTGAGCTCTAGCGTCTTGTCTTCTGGGGCCCATGACCAGGGATGTCATTTGTCGCACCGCAAGGGCGCAACCATTCCCCCTGGCGGTCATCATGTGTTCATCCTAGCCGCATCCTCCAAATAGTCCCCATGCCTTCCACAATTTTCTAGCCTCCTCTAGCTTCTCGCACACAGCCATCTCCACGTCTGTCGACAATCCCAACCAACTGACTCGGGATGTATACGACATCCCTTCGAGGGAAGTGGTTGGTCATTGCGATCACAGGTCCGCTGAATACAATCTCCCTCCAGTATACTTATGTTTTTGACCTGCCATGACTAGCATGCTGCTGCCAGGGATTCTTATTGCTAGGTTACGACCAAGGCGTGATGTCTGGTATTGTATGCCCCGCCTCGTATCTACGCGTGAATGGTTGCTAACTTGTTCTCGCACGTTTAGATTGGTGCAGATAATCAGTTTGGACGCGACTTCGGGAATCCAAATCCTACGACGCAGGGAACGATAGTGAGGTTTTCATTTTGATACCATGATATCGCTCTTAACTCAAGTTTTTTTTTTTGGCGCTGTAGGTCGCGATATACGTGAGTTGGATAGTTTTTACGTGACAGTCACAAGCTAATGTACGAGGTGTCCAGGATATAGGCTGTGCAGTGGGAAGCCTTTTTGTATTTGTATTCGGAGAACGCATTGGGAGAAAGAGGATGATTATGGCTGGCGCAATCACTATGATCATTGGTACCGTAAGTCTTCCGTCAAGCTCGACACCCTTTACATGCTCAGATTGCACTGTGCAGGCAATCCTTACGAGCTCGACAACAAGGGCCCAGCTATATGCTGGACGAATTGTGACTGGTATCGTGAGTCCATATTTCTGTACGTACCCGTGTTCTCTTGACAGACTTCGGTCTTCACAGGGCAATGGCTTCAATTCGTCCTCCATCCCTGTATACCAGTCTGAAACATGTGGAGCTCATATTCGTGGCTCTTTGGTGTGTCTCAACTCAACTATCACTATCGTTGGGCTTGTCATAGTAGGCACTGAGTAGTTTGATTCAACTCTATACTCTTACTTTGAATCATCTTCAGGCATATTGGCTGGACTACGGCATGTCATTCGTCAGCGGGCCTGCTCAATGGCGTCTTCCGGTCGGTATGTATATGGTATCTCTTCTCAGCACTGAGTCGACTTTTTTTAAATTATTTGCTCGCTGCTTGGTCCACAGGCTTTCAAGCGTTCTTTGCGGTTTGCCTTCTTCTCCAAGGAATGGTCCTCCCGGATTCTCCCCGTTGGCTAATCGCGCGCGGTAGGATAGAGGAGGGCACAAGGATATTAGCCCAACTGGAGGATAAAGAGTTAGACGACCCAGAAGTTCTCGAGAAGAAGAAAGAAATCGAGGTATCACTGATGCAAGAGAGTGCTGGAGGTTTGCATCGCGCCTTAGTGCCAGCGTGCGATTCCTTATGACTTCTTAGGGCCTTTCCGCTATCGCGAGTTGCTCGAAGGAGGACCCTTGGGGAATTTCAGGAGGATATGTCTGTGTGTGGGCGTGAACGTGATGCAGCAATTCACGGGGTGCGTTTATCTCATCTTCTATCTTTCTCGAGAAAAATACTCACATATGGATTTAGAGCGAATATGATCAAGTACGCCGATGCCTTTTTATGCGATCGTCCATTGCTGATATTATCTCAGCTATCTCGCACCTATTGTGTATCAGAACACCATGGGCTTGTCGCGTAACTTGTCACTTCTCCTTGGCGGTGGGACAGCATGCACGTACATGGTTGCTTCATTTATTCCCCTCTGGGTAAGCAAATTTGGTATTATACAAGAACAAGTACTGAACGTCCCTCGGTATTAGACTGTAGACCGATTCGGCAGAAGACCTTTGTTGATGATTTCCGCGGCAGGACAATCTCTATGCTTCATCATCGTGTCAATTTTGTTGTCAACAGGCTCGACAAACGCCGCGTACGGTGCGACGGCCTTCGTGTTTATCTTCCAAATCTTCCTCGGAATAGGATACCTACCAATTCCGTGGCTGTACCCTGCCGAGGTTTGTTAATTACCGTTGACCTGTCTCGGCGACATGAGCTTATTGAATGTCCAGATCACTACGACGCGTATCCGTTCGCGAGGCTCCGCCATCGCATCGTTCTTCAACTGGATGTGCGTCTTCGCCGTGGTTGAGATGACACCCCCAGCGATAGCCAACATCAACTGGAAAGTTTTTATCATATTCGCCATTACGAACGCACTATGGGTCCCACTTGTATATGCGTTCTTCCCAGAGACGAAAGGCTTGGAGTTGGAAGATATCGACTACATCTTCGAAAAGGGTGGAATCACAGGCGGCGTGTGGTCAAGTAAAGGCGGAAGAACGGTGGAGAAGAGGAAACTCGCGAAAGACGTGGAGATCATGGAAAAGGAGAAAGACAGCATGCAAGACAAGTCATGAGCATAACAACGCATTTTCCCAATCCCTCAGCCCACCGTATTGTATACTGACAGAATCAGCTCTAGTCATCATCATACATAGCTAACATAACTCATTTACTGTAATTGTATCTTCTCATTCGAAAGTGGCGTACCCTTGACCGATCGTTCCTCTATTGTTTCGTTCAACACCTTTCTGGACTTGTTTCTCCCAATCTGTACCAAGCCAAACGACGAAATATTCGCCTAAACCAACGAGGAAGAGCGCCACAACTTGACCTAAAGAAGGAACATGATCGGAATTCATGATTGCGGAAGGCGCATAGCGCATCACGTACCGATCCAAAGTCCCTGGAGTCCAAGACCATGGCGAAAAGCCAATGAGATTCCAATAGGCAGAGCCAGAATATAGTACGCAATGATGTTAAATAATGCTCCTAGATGCTGACGGCCTTGAGGATTCGACTTAAGTATACAGTCGAGAGATAAGATGTTTCGGGTATACCTTGTCCACGCAGCACACCACCACAAGATCCAGCCAAGCCATCTGCGATCTACGAAACCCCAAATCGCTCAGAAGCGCCCCAGTGAGCTATCTCGCGAACGAGGAGCGCTGGGCGTACCTGGAAAGAAGCCACTAATGGCATGACTTGACTGACAAGCCGAATGACCTCTTCTTCGTCGCTAAAGATATAACCATAGACCTGGAAATGAATAGATGAGCGTCGCGCCCATCATGACGGAGTTGAAAAATATACATCTTTGGCACATATCAGCACCACCATCACAATAGAGCCAGCAATAACGCTCATGTAGGCCGACATGTGTCCTGCAAGTTTGGCGCCGGGGGCATCTTTGGATCCGATCAGGTTCCCAACACGTATAGAAGCCGCTACTCCTGGAAAATACTATAAGACAGGGAAAGCGATGATTGGGTGATGATCTATTACCGATGCCGAAAGGTATCGTATTCAGAACTGAATACATGAGATTCGTAGGGCATCCGTAAGCAGTATAGACGTTCTGATGAAAGTGCGACTTACTCTGATCTGTGGTCATGATCACGGACTGGGCGGCCAGGGAGACATGCCCAAGTCGTCCCGCGGCTAATGCGACTATCTCAAAAGCAGCCCTAGATTCAAAATATTCATGGAGCCCCAGAGAATATTTGGCCATATTGAACCCAGACGCACCACTCTGTGCCGACCATAAGAATACCAGGAAGAGCCAATTTCAAAAAGAGCACACAGCTTTGAAATTCGAATACTGCACGCAACCGTATACCTCCCCAAGTTTTGTTGCGATGGTGAACTGGACTATAGATCGTAAAGAGTGTCAAAAGCCCAAACGAAAGCCAATAAGTTATCGTCAGCGCTACGGCAGAACCCCAGAGTCGAAGCGGCGTGTAGTGAATGAGGGCGATGTTCAGAAGGACATTGACAGGGGAGACGATGCACAGAACAATAGTAGACAAGGCCATAATCCCTGAGAAATAATTAGAATGATGCGTCAATATACTAGAGCGATAGTTGTTGACCTTGGCATTGGAGATATTTCTTCAGACTCTCGAAAGCAATATATCCGGGGGCGCCGTATAGAAGAATGCGCAGATAACGCTCAGTATCATAAGACAGATTGTCATCCTGACCAAGATACAGCAGAATAGAGGATGACTTGGTCCAGAGAATGCCGACAGGTACGAAGAGGATCCATAAGAGCAGGACACATCGCTGGAAGTGAACGGATAAGTCGGCAGAATGTTTTCCCCCAGTGAAAGCCTGAGAACCCAAGGTATCGAGAGCTGTTGTGCCTCCCAGTGCAACACACCATCCTATACAATTATAGACGTGGGATCATGCAGGGAAAAGTGTGTCAAAAGTCGAGTACTCGCCAGTCACGAATGCCAGCATGAGCGAAAAGGCAGCGACTGAGAGCTCATTGGAGCCAAGATACCCAGCGATAAAGATGGAGATAGTCTGGATCGAGTTTTGTAGGATATATGAAAGGATGACTGTGCGATGACCATTGTCAGTGGCAAAGACAGATGAGGGATGCAAGCCATACCGGGGTAAGAGTGTCTGAGAAGGGCAAGAAATTCGAATGAAGTGGCGCCACCCGGTTGGCGACGGGTTTCTCCTTCGGGATTGGCTTCGTAGGTTGGAATTGACGCTCGTCTGCTGGCGTCAAGCAAAGTCGCCCTCTCATCTGCTTCAGCAGTCGAAGCCATGTCTTCCTCGACAGTATTCAACGTAACGCGATCCTTTATATGTTCTTCTCTCATAATTATTTCTCCTATCGATCCGCAGTCTTGGTCCACTCCGTTTAGCTCCAGGTTCCGTCAGCGACTCATGTGCGCTTATGCATCCACATGCGATGTAGCTCGTGATACGATGCACACCCTTGTTTTGAGGCGAAAGGCTCAGTGTAAACCCTGAAGTAACGCCTGAGGAAGCTATCTTGGACATGAAGTCACTCGATAGGGTAACTATCCATCCGAATGCCTCGCCTCAAGGCCGTCATCGGTCCCTCAGCTGGGACAAGTTCTTCTCAGCCTGAACATGGGACTCCGACACCCGGTCGAATTGAAATGCTATCTTATCTCTAACAGATCACAATCAGCTATACATCTGATGCGATACTGTCTCTCCAGATAATGCGCGCTGTGCACCTAGTGTAGCCGCGGATAAAGAATTCCCTCGCTCGTCTCTTTTCCGCAGGACTTGAGTCCATAGCCAGTTCCAGAGGTGAACGGATCTCATGGTTCTTTCCTCCCAAGGTCCTGCCATGTGAGCGCCTCCCTTGTCATAGCTCTGATGTTCTTCGGTCACACTGCAGTTCACAACAGCTCGTGATGACCCTGTACGAGGAAATGGTAAGGTTGGGGCGTCTCAGGGCATTTCGGGGTTCGGGAAATTTTTCATGGATTGAGCCTTATCACGTCTGTACCGATAAGGCGGTCCTCGATCACCTCAAGGCAGACAAGAATCCAACTCCTGTGAGCTCCTGTGATAAAGAACCGATCGCCTCATCGGTCCTCGGCATTCCGATAATAAAACGTCAGTCATGAGGTGTAGAATATCGTCATCCTCATACACACTGAGGCTTATGTTTGAGCAGTTTTTGGCTTAAAAGCCCCTCCTCTCCTCGACAAACGAAAGATCCCCACCGTCCCGTTCCCTCTTATACGATGAAGAACCAGATTGTGATATTACTTCTTGCGATTATATCGCCATCCTTTTCCCATGACCACGACCATGACGATCAGATGCCCTTGGACTATGTCCGATTCCCCTATCAGGCGCTCTATCCTGGAGACAACGACGGTAAGGTCTACATATACCGTCTGCCACCTCTTCTTTCAACCTTTCTATATCAGTCACTGCGGACTCAATTTTCTCTGGGATTACAACGTTTGCAAGACTTCCGTGGCAGCAATGTTTGACCAAGGAGAAGAATGCCGCTTTCGACATTGCATTCCTTGGAGCACCATTTGTAAGTGCATGTGATGTATTTCGACGTGGTAATGCTTATCGATGCCAGGACACCGGGACGTCATACAGACCTGGAGCTCGCTTTGGGCCTGCCGGAATTCGCGCCGGCTCACGACGACTCACTCTGTACGGAGGCTACAACGTTCCCCTCGAAGTTAACCCCTTCCAGTCTGGTCTGAAGATCGTTGACTGCGGCGACATTCCCGTAACTCCCTACGACAACGCGTATGCTATCAAGCAGATCGAGGACGGCCACAAGGAACTATTGCACCGCACGCCCTTTTCTCCGCTGGGTAATGATTCATTGACGGGACAGCCTCTGCAGTCTATCGCCTTGGATGGCAAGCACCACCCCAGGATTATCACCCTCGGGGGGGACCACACTATTGTCCTTCCGCTGCTGAGGTCTATATATACCGCCTATGGCGCCATCTCTGTCATCCACTTCGACTCTCATCTGGACACATGGAAGCCTTCGGTCTTCGGCGGTGCACCCTCTTCCCAAGCGGCTATCAATCACGGTACTTACTTCTACTGGGCTAGCCAGGAGGGCCTGATCAAGAACGGAAGCTCAATTGCAAGTATCCAAAGTTCCCTTGATCTCGTTTTCGTTCCTTCATATTTGGTCGAGCTCGGTGATCCTAGTTTTTCCTTTTATACAGCACGGCGCTATCCGAACTACGCTCTCCGGTCCAGCTGACTACGCCAATGACGACGAATCAGGATTCCAGAGGATTGAGGCGAGAGAGATTGACACTATTGGTTCGTACTTACTATGTGGTCCCATCATCAAGTCCTTCATGATAATCTCGCATTTCTTCTCCCTCAGGTACCGCCGGCATCATTAAGAAGATCAGGGAGACGGTAGGCGACTCGCCGGTATATCTCTCTATCGATGTTAGTACACACGTCCCGTTTGCTCTCCAAGTCATATAGAACTCACAATTGTTGACACTTTCGACTAGATTGACTCAATCGATCCCGCTTTTGCGCCTGCAACCGGCACGCCTGAGACGGGCGGATGGTCCACTCGCGAATTGAGAACAATTCTGCGCGGTCTCGATGGTCTGAAAATCGTTTCTGCCGATATTGTCGAGGTTGCCCCGGCATATGATACTAACGCGGAACTCACGACCATGGCTGCTGCTGACGTTAGTATCATGTTCTCCGCTTGCTCGACGCTTGTTCTGACTCTTGTCTCGCTTTGTAGGTGTTGTTCGAAGTCATCAGTGTTATGGCCAAGACTCCTCTCGGCGTCGTCGCGAAATAAAGGTAGGAATACATTTCTTGTTATATACTCAAAGGGGTCTTCATCATTACTCTCATCTTTGCGTCTTCAAACTTGTGATGGGTTTTTGCATGAATTGACGCTTTTCGATTTGGGGGGACACTCGCCCAAGTTTGTTCCTTCCTTGTCTACAAATTGCGAAATGAGAATGAGGGTGCCTGTGAACGAGTACAGACCGAGCTCAAATTCTGGTGACGTCAAAACGTTTGACCATTTCATCAGTCATCGCAGTCTTTGCTACGGCGAAATATGACTGTCTTGTACCAATTGCTGTATGTCAGACGGAAGAAAATTCGATAGGTAGTGTTGATAGGGAGAGTTAGGCCATGGTGAAGTAATAATAAGTACATAGTAGTAGGTAACATGAGATCGACAGTGTAAACGACAAAGGCAAACAAACACTGACGACGTGCAGAAAGGGAAACAAGATTCTCGGATCAGGATTTCTTCATATCTGCCCCGATACCCGCCGCCAACCCCGTGAGCATTGGGTTTGAATATCCCGTATTCTCAATAGGGACGAAGACGGCCTTGTTCCCAAACGCCCCGACCCTCTCGACTTCGTTTCTACGGAGTTCCATCTCTCGAGCAAATGAATCAACCACCGCAGCGTCTGCCAGGGCCTTGACGCGAACGGCTTCTGCTTCTGCTTCTGCAGCGAGACGAGTCGCTGAGGCTTGGGCCTCAGCTTCAATTTGTGTGCGTTTAGCAGAAGCTTTCGCTGCGGCAACAACAGAGTAGGCTTCTGCATCCGCTTCAGTCTATAGCACATCCGAGAGCCCAGAACAGAATCAACGATGGTCCAAACGAGCATCTTGAGCGTGACACTTACATTGCGTGCTTGAGCCCTGATTCGCGCCACTGAGAGTGCGCCCTCCTCTTGCTTGACTTTATTGCTGTTTTCTCGGTCAACATTCTAATCGAGGGCCAAAATCAGAACGAGATCACTGTTGAAGATTAGATGAAACATACCGCAGCCTCAACTTGAGCCTGTAGGGCACGTGTCGTCAGCTTGTCCATCGTTGTCGCAATATCGCCTATGTAGAAGACCGACGCATATCGGCAATGTGCACTGACCGCTAGTAGAAAGACGGCGTACCTTTGAACTGTCGGTCAATCACAGCGAGGTCTTTCAGTACAATCCCATACTCCAATGAAGCAACGTGCATATCGTCCATTGCACGAGTACGAAGGGCGTCTAGGAAGGGCGAAGAAGGATCTGTTCCGTCCTCCATATTATCGGGCCCGAGGGAACGCTGCTTCACCATGGAACTGTAGTCCACTGCGTTAAAAATCAAAATGAGCTAGACGTTACGAAGTGGGCGATCAGATATACAGTGCGCAACGATCTGCGTGAGGATGGACTGCGTCTTGTCCCTGACATCAACTAACGTTTATGAACAGTCTCAATTTCAGAGTAAATGAGAATCAAACCTGAGAGCGTCATATGGAGTATGATAGCCGTGCGCGGCAAGCTAATAAATATTGGATCTATCAGTTTATACTCTTCCTAACAAATGTCGCAAGTACCTTGAGAGGTTCTGTGAGCTGCCATTTCAGATAAATTGTCAAGCTAACAGGAACTTGGTCGCGCGTAAATCTACCATGCACAAGGTCAGTCGATTCCGCTACCTCGTTATCCGGTGGGTTGAAGGACGTACATGTCCTTCGTTGGCATCTCGATTTGATTCTCGCCTAGCGTATACAACCCTCGGAGCGTCACGTTTGGGTTTGTGATATAGTGTTGCCCTGCAGGAAGAAGCTCAAGGTCGTTGCCCTTCTGCAGAATTGCACAATTATTTGCGGGAATGTTCAAGCTAAAAGCATAGATGGATCAGGGAATTTTGGTCACCAAGTTCAATGCAAATGAACTCGAGATCAACATACAACATCGCGACGATAAACTCTTGAGCTTTTCCTGCAACTGTACTCGTCATCTTGACATCATGCACTGCTCCGAGTATAGAGCCTGTGATCCGGTCCTTGACGGTCCCAGGGAGATGAGTCTGGTCGACAATTGCAAGGACGTCATAAGACCCATGAATGCCGTAGGCGACGAAACCAGCGTTCTTCACGACGAAGATATGATTCTAAGAGCAAGACTCAGTATCCATAGGCTGACGCCGGCCTGTAGCATACATACCTGGGGGTCGGATATTACCGCAGCCTATGATATCAAGAGACGTCATTCGGAATAAGAACTTACAGAGGAAACGCGACTCTTACTTGGTTCTGCGAGACCTGTACGATGGTCAGGCCCTGAAACTCTACAACCGTGTCCGATACTACGGCTACACGTCAGCCGATATTCCAACACCACGCATTTGTGATATGACGCACGCCCCTTGGTGCCCTGCCAGCTCCGCGCCCACCAGTTTCTCAGCGGAAACCCAGGGTACCGCCCCGGTTGCGTGAGCACCTTGGGGAGCCCGCCATGATTTACGAGGCCCAGCCGCCCGGGTGTGACTTCCTTTCCAATCCAATCTGTGGGTTTCTACATAAGTGGAAAGATGGTGAACAAGACAACACGATGATAAGGGTAATATGAGCCGCATGGACCTTCTTAGATATGATCTTGTTGTGTCCGGACTACGCCAGTGCACCGTTCAAGTGGTAAGCAACGCATGATGCACTGCAATGACTGATACGAACACACCTGTCGCAATTGCTCATCCAGCGTGCGCAACGCGCCATCCAATCCATCTTTCCCGATCTTCACGAAGAACTGTCGCTCCCCCGCAAGGTAGTCTATTGTCGTCGTGAAATCTCCCGCTGCCATCATCACGTTGCTGCCGCTTGGGCGAGATGGACTCGAGTGTTTGCCAGTTGAGAGGTCCTTATGGCCAAAGTTATTACTATGTCCTTCAACAACAGTGGAAGCGTCTCCAAATGTGCTGGACATTGTGTGGCTGAGTTATACGAGTGTGGGAGGGATGTTTGGGTATTGCGGGCGCTAAAGTTGGTGTGAACCGCTTGTCTTTATGTGGTTCAGGATGCACAGCACTGTTCGTGTCTCGCATGTCAGAGGGACTGAAAACACACCAATGTCAGCGCCTCCAACAGCCCATAATAATAGGATGTTGCGCAGCATTGCCCCAGTAGACTTGGGATGGACGGTGCCGTTGCGGCACGCTCGCGCTTAGTATGGAACACATGATCCTGCAATGCTTGTCTCATAGATAGAAACGTTATGTGGAATATATAGTCTAGCTGCATGAGGCTGTATGAGTTCGACTGTAAGTGACCGATATGATGTCAATCGAGCATATGTCTGGAGAGGATAATGGCAAACTGTGGGCAACAATACTGTGCGTGTTCCTGAAAGCCCCAAACAGGCGCTCAGGCGCTCAAAGGCCAAAAGCGTGAGAACAGCGCTCTGCCCGACGGACGGCGTGCGCTCTCCCGCCTTCGAGCACACCCCTGACCAGAAAACCCATCTCCTTCCAGTCCGCAAGGAGTTACTGACATAAGAAAATGAGATGCGTCAGGAGTATATTGCGCCGTACTGCAGACAAGGCAAATGAGTTATACACGAGGAGATTGTATACAGATATACAGTAGAAGTTACGAGTACATACACCCCTATAGGTGGAAGACACGGCGATTCAATCCCTGCCGAACCAGCTGTTTAAGGCGATGGGCGCACCATGCCGTCAAGACTAACAGAAAACGTATAAACTTTGTTACCCATCGCAGTGCATACCAGGAGGCCTGGCCAGCCTCCTGACCGTTGATTCTAAATAAGGCTCGCGGAAACGAGCGGCAAGCCGTTGTGAAAGTCAAGACAGACGCGTCTTTCTCAAATAGATCCGTCCGTCACCTGCGTGCCTCCGAGGCGAACTCTAACTTCACTCTGAAAGAATCCTGTACGTCCGGCATGAGATAGAGTATAGATCCAAACTTAATCACCGACAGGAGGTTCAAGTCGTAGCTGAGCCTATTCACAGATATCTCCCACAGACATAACATAGATAGACATTGCAGGAAGGACTGGCCGTGGGGATGACGTCGAGAATAGCACAATTCGAGGGAAGGACCGCGGCACGGTGGTAGTGACTTGATCACGAGGATCGGTCAGAAGCGTCGTTTACACACCTGGAACTTTTCGCACACAGAAAGAACACAATCAACGAAAACGGTGCCCGATCGAGCAATACTCAAGCAAGGTACTGATAAGGTAGACCGCTGCGAGCCAAAGTAGGCAATGAGTACACTATACCCAGAAGCAACGGTGTCGTGAAAGAGTGATAGCAGCATAAATATATCCAAGATCGTCTTTTTGAGATGGGCACGAAACGCGGAATTATTCAATGAAGCGAAAGAGATAAGGGGCTGACGTAGTCTTCAAGCCTTGAGGTCGCACACACACCGACAAGGTTCGATGATCTGTGATTGTCCTCACCACGCAGGGTCAGCTAGAAGCATGCGTGCCTCAGAGAAGAGCGATGACGAACCTAGATCGGCTATGTAGGGGCACTTATCTTCTTATCGATGACGCACATCGTGGATAGCTGAACTTCGCACGAGCGGGGGAAGCGGAGGGTTGCGCGAAGGGCCTAGATGAAGAAATACGGGACAAGCGCGACAAACGTGGTGTGCGGGAACCGCGGAGAGGAAAAGGGGATGCAGGGGTCGGGACCTATGAGAAACGGACGCTTGTTGAACTCACGAGAAGATGGTAGGTATAGAGAGCGCCAATGAGCGGCTGGATAGACGCTGGGGTCCAGATTGATGTCGAGGGAAGGGCGCAGCTATGCATTCTAAATGGGTCTGAAGAGGATCAATGCAACGTGGCTTGGAACGTTGTGGGTAGTTATTGAATATTCGATTCGGCAGGCTTGGGACGCATACGTACAATGAGTCTGTCTAGGGGAGGTTCTCGGCTGCACGATGCCAGCGCCATGCAAAGCAATGCTGAAGACACAAAACGTGCAGGATTTTCAGCGTCTAAGTGTCTGATAGGCAAAGAGCAAACGCCTGAGACTTGAGGGATTTTGGCTATGCGTTGGAATGCAGGCTTGAACAAGGCAGCGAGTCTGAAACAGGAGAATGGTTCCCGATAAGTCCAGCGCACCTGCTTAGATATACCGAGGTCGGAGAGTCGGAAAAGGTCGGAAAGTGACCAAGTGCGCGCACGTCAGGTTCCTCGGCGACTTGGATTCGATGAGAGAAGTGTCCGAAGATGCTGTAAGGTTTGCAGGCGTGTCATCGCGAAGCATGACGTGGACGCCCTGTTACGACAGCGGTAGCATGGACGCGGGCAAAAGCCGGACCGCCAACGAAGTTTTTACCAGCACTCGAGCATCGACCAGGCGTGCTGTAGAGCACCTAGAATAGAGAAGTTGAAGTACGGAAATGAGCATGCACGGAGGTTGCAGCTGGGACTCCGAGGAGAGTTGGTGCGGATCTGAGATCTGAGATCTCAGCCACCGGAATGCAGCCACCGTGCACTGCAGCTATAAACATTTCTCTCACCTCTCCTTCACCCCCTCTGACCATCGTCCATGTTTCTTTGCTCCTGCTCCTAACACCCACTATCGCCATCGCCATCGCCCTCGATGTCCAAGCCGCGCCCCATCCTCAAACGTTCTTCGCACACTGTTCCGCTCTCCAGCCCGCCCTCTTCAAGGGACCAGCATCGCTTTTCTCCCCCTCAGCATACCCCGCCCCGCCGTATTCATAATGTCCGTTTCCCCCCCTCTCCCACACTCACCCATACTTTTTCCACGCACGCCGCGTCTTCCTACGACCGCTCTCCCATTGTCGTCTTGCCGAACACCTGCGCCCTCCCTGCACGCGGGTGTCCGGGAAGGACATATCTTCCCGGAGACGCTCCTGGATCACCGGGCGGTTCCCCTGATAAGGAAAAGAGACGGTCCCAGAAGAACAGAGGGAAGCATGTCCATCCGCGGGCAGCGTTCGCTTTTGGGCTTCATAGCTCCAAAGCATGCGACATTGATGGATCAGCATCGTCGTCTGCGTCCTCGCACGTCGGCAGCTCGATGGCTACCCCTGTTGCCCCTGTACCGTCTCTCATACCCGACCTCTCATCCGAGTCTGACGAATCAGATGGTTTCATAAGTCCCCCGCCTGGTTCAAACGTCTTCACCAGCACTCCCATCGCAATGCACTCTAAGCTCTCTGTCGCGGGAGATATGCTTACTCCTCGCACTCCACCCAATACAGATCTCCTTTCGTTTCTCCCCTATACCCCTTCATCCTCGCAATCGCAGCTTCACCGCCCTGAACACACCTCGGAAGATCAGTATCAGCACCATACTTACGAGGAGGAGCGGCGCAGACGCAGAGAACGGGAGAAGGAGCGGGACAGAACAAAGCGGGATCGTGAATGCGAGCAGCGCGCTCGTCTGCGCGCTCGCGACCGCGATTCTTCGCGGGATCTAGAGCGGCAAATATCTGGGCTGGCTCTCGAAGAAGAGGACGAGGGGGACGACGACGAAGGGGATGACGATATACGTCCGGGAAGGTACAAAACCTTTGGCGCGACGAGCACGCTGGCCGGCTTTTCGCTTTCCGACCCGGACGATGGATGCCTCGGCGGTTTCTGAATGGTTCAAGCAGGACAATGCTGCCACCCTTCGGTAATTAGTGGGAATGTGACTTATACCTTTATGTGATCATGTTATGTTCATGACTGCTCATGACTTGTCCTCTACACTACGTGCGAGCCGTATTTTCGATATCGTCGTCCTACCTTCCTCTCGTGACGATACCCATATATCTTCTGTCTATACTTACTCTGGTCTTTTTTGTATTCCTGCGCTTCGATCTGCACTTGGTACATACAATCACACGAATAGAGAAAATAAAAACGTGTATTAAATCTCTCTTGGCAGTACACCATCGACCACGTTCTGCAGATTTGGAACTCTTCCAGTACTTTCCGATAATGTTGATCACTAGACAAAAAAAGGCCTTTCATTCGCAAGAGCTCCTGTACACGGACAATTGAAACCTGCACAATAGCAAGGCTCCTCGGCAAACGGCCTGAATATGGAGATGCCGGGGTGCCGCGACACGGAGTCAATCGGGGCTTCAATCCTATTGAACGCCCCACAGCTGCATCGTGCAGAACAGCTCAACCCCATCCCCTCGAAAATCAAGACTATCGACAATGGTGAGCTCAGAATTCGCGATTTATACGCTTGGGCAGCATAGTGCGCCTTTGGGGCTCTATCTCCATCGTTTCCCGTCGTAGAACAACCTCAAGCACGATGGATGGTGCGTCTCTCACTCGGATGACGTTCACTTTCCCTTACTCATTCCTTTCAGAATCCGCATAGCAATGAGGACTCATGTCGTCTGAGCTGAGCCCTATGGGCAATGAAGCACTGCATATGCTGGGCCCGTCTCGCTCGCGAGTCGGGCGATAGAGCTCCGGGGTGCATTGGCGATTTCCTGGCACCTGCCATACACATCGTATTGATGTACTTCGTCTCAATGACCAGCCCAAGGCCAAATCTGGATCCGGCAAGAAGCCTGCCCCCGCCCCCCACGGTGTCAGCAAGACTACCAAGGCGGTTAAGAACCCTCTCTTCGAATCTCGCCCTAAGAACTTCGGTATCGGTATGTATCCTCCTTTCGCCCTTCCGAGCACTTCCACCATACTTATTCAGCCATATAGGTCAGGACATCCAGCCAAAGACTGACCTGACTCGTTTTGTCAAATGGCCCGAATATGTTCGCCTCCAACGCCAAAAGGTCATTCTCAGCCAGCGCTTGAAAGTCCCCCCCGCCATCGCCCAGTTCTCCCACACTCTGGACAAGAACACCGCCACACAGCTCTTCAAACTTCTCGACAAGTACCGCCCCGAGACCAAGCAAGAGAAGAAGGCTCGTCTCGACGCCACTGCGAAGGCTACTGCCGAGGGCGCGGAGGCGCAGAAGGTTCGTCTCGTCGTTATACATGCTTATCTTGTCTGGTCTAACGTCTCCAAAGGATACTAAGAAGCCCATCTTCGCGAAGTACGGCTTGAACCACTGTGTAGCTCTCGTTGAGGCGAAGAAAGCGGCGCTCGTCGTCATCGCTCACGACGTTGACCCTATTGAACTAGTTGTATTCCTTCCCGCGCTCTGCCGGAAGATGGGTGTTCCATATGTGATCGTCAAGGGCAAGGCCCGTCTCGGCACGGTTGTTCACAAGAAGACTGCTGCCGTCCTCACCATACAGGAGGTTCGCAGCGAGGACGACCGGGAGCTTGCCACGCTCGTATCGGCTGCCAAAGCCAATTTGTAAGTGATATTTGTTCGTTGTAATGCTGTGTATCGTTCTGATCCTTACTCTTCCCCAGCTCGGACAAGTACGAGGAGCAGCGTCGCCAGTGGGGTGGAGGTGTGCGTGGCACCAAGTCGCAAGCGATGCTGCGGAAGCGTGCGAAGGCTTCCGGTCAGAGTATCTCTGCTGCGACTGCTGGCAAGCTCTAAGCTTAACCTTTTTCCTCGGGCGGGAGGGGTGTCTCTTGTTGGGCTGTGGGGAGCAAAAGACTGACCGCCAGTCACCATCGTGTAGTACATTCGGCTTGTCTTGTATGCATATGTCACGTCCATCATGCTATGCTTCACCCACCGTGTGCGTTGACACAATTTGTGGTGATTGTTATCGAGCTTGTAAGCCTGCAAGGCTGATAGGACGGATAATGCCGGGACTACGTGATGCATTTGTTACCTTTTCAGAAGGTTGTCTTGTTCAGCCCGGCAATCACTGGAACACCTTGATTTTTGCTCCCTGGATCTTATTGCAAGGAAACCCCTCAATCTGGCAGAATAAAGCATCAGAATATTCGTCTCTCCTCGCTGTCTTTGCAATAATATGCTTAGGGGGCAAACCACTCCGACAGGCCCCACTGTCACCTGCCCTCGCTCTGAGACCGCCGCGCCAGTATACGCCACGCAGACCGATCCTTCTCGACATGCTGACCTCTGGTTCCCAGATGGCTCGGTTGTTCTGCATGCAGAGAATACGCTTTTTCGCGTACACATGTCCCAGCTGTCTCGTCACTCCGTTGTCTTCCGCGACATGTTCTCTCTTCCTCGCTCGTCCGCGTCAGCACACGATCTCTCGGCCGACGATCTCTATGAAGGTTGCCCCTTGGTAAGGCTGCATGATCTCGCAGAAGACGTTGCCAATCTACTGTCGGCCCTGTACGACGGCCCGTGCGTCGATTCCTGTCTATTTTTGGCCGTTCAGTCTGCTCATCGTCCGAGCAGGACATTTGGTTCCAACGATTGCAGCGACTTTCGAATCGTCTCTGGCATCCTCCGCTTGTCGAACAAATATATGATAGAGTCTCTACGTGCTAAGGCGATCGCCCATCTGAACATCGCGTGGCCTATGACTCTCAAAGGCTGGGATGCCCGCGAAGACAAGGCGAGGGCTTACGAGCTTGAGAACATCCCGGGCAGTGCGCACCTCTACCCATCCCCTATCGTACGTCTCCGTCTTTCCTCGCTTGACTCATCTCTATCACTATCATGATCCGCCGTCCGTCTCCTCACCGTGAAGCACGATTTTCTGATCTCCCACAGGCCGTGATCAATCTCGCGCGCCAAGTGAACGCTCCCACGCTTCTCCCATCCGCATTCTACGACCTCTCTCGGTATACGTACACTCAGATATTTGAATCAGCCGATGACGATCAGTCTCGACTCCGCTCGTTCTCTCCTCCATTGTCGTCCCCACATGCGACTCCCCCTCCGCGCGCCCACCCAACGTCAGCGCCTGTGCCCATGCTCGAGACGACAGACCTGCAGAAACTAGCTCTAGGAAAGGAGTCGGCATCGCAGGCAGTGAGTGCCGTCATCAACGGCATGACCCGAGGGCCGTACACGCACTCCCGCAAGTCATCGCTGTCGCGCTCTTCAAACCCATCCTCCTCGTCGCTCTCGTCCGGTGTCTGCGCTTCGCCGGGTGCCTGCAGGCGCGATTTTGCCGAGCTTGTGGCGCTCGCGACGCAGCACTATGTCTGCGATCGTGAGCGCGGGTGCGCAGACCCCTTGTATGTCGCGGAGGAGCTGGGGACACTGAAGAGCGCCGAACTGTCGGAGTGCAGGGCATGCGCGAGGGGGCTGGAGATCTGGGCTGCGAGGGAGAGGGAGCGAATGTGGAAGATGATCCCGATTTGGTTCAGGTTAGAGTGCTGAGCTTGCGAGGAAGGTTGTCTGCTGTCTCTCCGTCTCTTTGTTTTTTTTCGTGACTTCAGATCACAACTCACACTCTCGATATTTCACTGCTTTTCATTGTGTACGTTGTATTCAGTTGTTGTAATATCATCACGACATATCCTTGTCATTTTCGCATACTTTTTCTCTCTTGTACCTCCGGAGAACTAGAGGCGTGGTGAGAATGCGAGAGATGTATATATTCGACGTGTCTCATTGATCTTTAATAGACAGGCACTTCAACATTTTGTGATGGATATCTACACGACCTAATGATTATGTGAATGTCTGTTTGCATATTACAATGCGTCACCAAGGAGAGTAGATATTCACCATAGATAGTATCACACTCGACGTGGCCTCTCATTGTTCCGGCCATCAGGCTCTCTTCAGTCGAGCCACATTCGGGATTAAGTCTTTGAGTCGATCCTCTAAGCCTGAATTGCCAAGGCCGCCGAAGTAGCTTATTTTGATCACTGCAGACAAGTCGCTTCGTTCACGTCTCTCTGCTAAACGCCGGACCAGAAGTTCGCCGAGATTATCCTTGTTATCAGTCTTGTCGGCGTCCTCGCTGTCCGCTTCGTATGAGATCTGGAATGAGTCCAGACGGGTACCCAGGGTAATATCACGCAAGCGAGGAAAGATCGGTGCGGCCACCGGGGGGGTGGGTGGTACGAGCTGACTAGTCTATCTTGCCCTGGCCATAGTCAATTGGGATTGACCATGTGCAAACCAGCGAGCGCCACTCACCGTACGCGGAGTCCTGCGCGGATGGCAATCCCCTGTGAACATTCTCCTTGGTCGGTCGTAGAGATGGCTGCGGATCATGTGTGGCGCTGTTTGCATCATGTATTTCCTGTATGAGGCGAGGCAACCCGCTCCTAGCTAAACGACGTGAGCTCCTGTACGATTATCCTCTGCGGCTCTCTTTCTAACAGACCAAATTATCACCATCCTCCTACAGTCAATATGCTATGTACGGTGGCAGTCAGCTGCTCTAAAGGGACGATTTGTCGGCATTCTGATTCCTAATTCGAAGATTTCCTTGTCTTGGCGAGTGCGGAAGCTCCATCGACTACGACAAAGCCTTGACCGCTACCGGTCAAGTTTCATTTCACAAAATTACATCGAGGCTGCAGTAACAGAGAAAAATGATAGCAAATACAATATCTAAACGTGTCACACCGAAATCAGAGGTAGGTCGCCGTTGGTCATGCATCTTAATAATTGTAATCGTCTATTGACAGCTCCTCCCAGGCTCTCTTGGACTCGTGCTGCTTGTCGAAATGAAGCTTGTCCCGATTTATTTTGAGGATCTCAGCAGCATCCTTGGCACTGTTATCGCGTTTCACCTTGTCGATTACGGCGCCCCAGTCTTCCGTACGACCAAAGTCGATGATACGGAATGAGGGCTGCTTGTGTGAGCGCTGTATAGGTGGGACTGTCAGTGGACCGGGCTGGACGAGGATATTGCGTCTGTAGAATGAGTTCTGGAGGAAGTCCTCGTGGTGCAAACGTTGAGGGAGGGAAAAACACTCCATCCTAGCCACAATCAAAAGAGGTCAGCGAAGTCTAAGACTAGGAGGAGAGGAGACACCGACTTGTCGTCGTAGGAGAATGCACTAGAATCGATGGGCTGGCCGCAGTGTTCCATAAGCAGGATCGGGCTGAGTCCCTCGATGCAGTGGCGCATTTTTTTCCTTTACTTCATCTGAAATATGTAGGTCATTCGGGTCGAAAACCGGCTTATAGTAGCCAAAGAACTTTGGCACGACGGCGCCAACGGGAACGGGGTGTTTGATAGGCGGGACGAGATTGTACCCGCACCACTCTTCCTGCAGGTGTCGCGGAAACGCATTGTAGACGCTGCCCTCGTTCTCAAGCAGAGATCGTGCCTCACGTCGTGGATAAGCTAGCTTTGCCGCAACAGCAACTGCTCCAGACGGCGTGCGCGCGGTGAGAGGTTTCGGGAGCTCCAATGGAGCCAGATAGACATCAGAGTGATGGCCGGAGCCAAGTTTATTCTCAGCTTTGAGACGCAGGCGCGCCACTCGGAGCTCGTGCGCAGGTTTGTCTTGTCGTACTTTTTCCGTTGTCGTTACCTTTTCGTCTACGACGTTTGAGTCAGGATAAAAAAAAACGGCAGTTTGTAGCAGGGCATGTGACTGACCTTTCTTGATGCTTTAGGGTGCTCTCAAGGTTTTCAAGTGAAGGAAGAACGCGCCTGTATTTCAAAGGCATTGAGGACAGCTTCCTGTGCGTCTCGTCGTCTGCAACGTGGTAGGAAAGGTCGATCACCCTCCTTTGAGTATCATCAACAAGAATTATATCAGGTAGATATTCGTTTGGGATGAACTCTTCTAATGCTGGAGGCATCTCCGCCAGAATTTCGTGGTCCCCTTTATCAGCACCTATATAGAATAAACAATCAAAGCGTGTTGATAATTGAACCTGAGATCGGTGCATACTGGCCACCTCAGCCTTCAAGTCCGCATGTAGATCTTTTAGCGATCTATATGTGGCGTGATCTCCTTCCTCTTCATCGTCTACGATCCGCTCAAAGCAACCGCCGTGCTCCGAGCCCTCATCGGGAATGCCATAGAGATCATCCAACATATGTCCCTTGGGAATTTGCAACAAAGGCCATGGCCTGCGTTGCCGTGGGTGAGGTTCCATCTCGAACGCCTCACTGGCATAGTTCTCTCCGAACTCGTGGATCATGCTTCGCGACCAGATCGTCACGACATCCGTGTTGGGAACGCGCTGGATAAAATAGAAATCACCGATAGAGTGTCCCCATATGATTCTGTTGGGCGTTCGGTATCCTGTGGGCGCATGTTCCTTTCGAAGAGTCGGACCTTTCGGGTGGCGCGGCCACCATTGGCAAACAAACCGAGTTGGTTGATTCATGATCAGCGCCATTGAGGTACGAGGTATAAAGGAACACTAATGGGCAGATTGTGTGTCGAATCGGGAAACGTGAGGTGCGCAGTGAGAAGTCTACGAAGACAAGACTTAGTATGTGGCTCAGCACTGGCTCAACCCGAGGATTTATAGAGGGTCACAATCACGGCACGAGTGCGTCACAAGGCATCGACCCTGTGTCGGCGATAGCCGATTGCATATGATCTGGCAACTTGTTTCCCGATGACTTTAGTCTCTCGTCACAACCCTCGAGCCGAGTCGTCCTGGAAGATGAGATATCTATCCACGCTTCGGAGTGGGTCCAGGCTTATGAGCTCAAGCTTTGACTATCGGAGGTGCGCTCTGTATCTTTATGGCCTGTTCAGCCAATGTATATTTGCGTGGTACATCAGATGTACAATACCCACGTTAGGTAGGCTGGGATAAGTTCGAGCGAGAACTGTCCATTACAGGATTCACAATTCCTTTCTGCTGCCCTCCCCGACGCTTGTTACCCTGTTATCATGAACTTGTACACTGCGGTGTTAATAAGTGGTAGGATTACAGCAAGGTATGTCTTGAATATTCAATGCTTAGTATCGTATATGGTTTCATGACCTTGTATTTTACCTTTCTTAGGAAAACATGCTTCCTGTCTGCGTTCCAGGAGACGTTGGTACTTTGGAACTTGAATATCTAACAAGCCACGTGTCGGTGTCTTGGTATCTGGGCAGGTTTCATTATCTTCTTTGCATGAAGAATACAATGTCAATTCTAAATCACAATCTTCATGATGGAAATATGCAGTGACCGATATCACCAGACTTCCCGCACTTCTTCCCCATTACTGTACTACAGGACCACTGACTACTATCCGAGGACATACACGCGTCCTCCCGATTTGGGCATCTCAAGTCGCCGCCCACACGTGATCGCGCCTTCCGTTTCTGTCTTCGACTCAAGCCTTGCATCTCCCTCCAGACTCCCTCGCGAAAGTATCTCCCTCCTTCCGACTCTATGCCTTTCGAACAGCCCACATTGTTCATATACAACCAGTGGGTCCGTGACCCCAATGGCCCGTTTCTTGACAAGCGCAAGGCACCGATCGGAAAACGGACGCCGAATGGGATGATCTGGGGCCACTCAATCAACGATTTCTTTTGGATAGAACGACAGAGCGGGATGAGAGTCATGACGGTCTGGTCACGTAGCATGATCCAGGAATTTGGGGAGAATTATGCCGACGAAGAGCACGATCCGGAACCGCAACCGCGTCTGATGCGACCGTGGCCACTGCTGAAGCTGAAGACGCCAAAGCATTTGCAGCCTGAAAATAACTTTGGCATTATTGACGAGGGTTGCGACTATTATGATGACGGCTGCTACGAGCGCATGATTGACTCTGGTGAGGATATGGATCAGGAGTCCGTTACTCTAGCAGATCTGGAAGCCAACGCGAACGCGTATCGTACAACTATAGGCTTAGATGAGGTTTCGAAGCCCAAAGGTGTGATGACTTACTCGATGTCTTGCTCCTCTGACCAGCGATCGTCGACAACTCCCGACACAGATGGCACAACGACACTGGAAGATGTTCCTAATTGCACAGGCAAGTCGTTATCAAGAAATTTTTATGTCAGGCTATTGAGTCTGACTTCTCGAGATATACTTCGGAAATAGATGACGATAGTTACCGCGCAAATGAACGGAACCTAGATTATCTCAAAGTAAAAGGGTTACCACCTGCTCTCGAAGAATTCATTCCTCCTCAGTACTTCCCCGATGTGCTCCTCGTCAAGGACTCCGATCAAATTGCGATCGCTAAGTCCTACTCCGCGCTCGATGCTGGTGTCCGCTCCACTCTTGCGGCGAACTGGATCAAATTCAACCGTGTTTTGCCACCGCCGAGCTCCCTTGATACGGACACTGGTAAGTATCTGAGACGAATACTACCGCTGATAGCCGTCTAAGCGTGTCTGACAGACGCCAGTAATGGTTTTTCGACATCCGCCTCACTCGATGACAAAACCGAAAAGCCAAGACAGACAGGATTGCGTGTGGCTTATATGCGTCTCTCTGCTGGCAGCATGCTTGGAGAAGGCCATCACTCGAGCGTCTACCTCTCGGCTTTGACACTTCCCAGGCCACTTTCTGCACGCACGCTAACTGGGGAGGTGTCCGTCGCATGCAAGATGTCAGATCCAGATCCAGAAGCACGGGAACATCTAGAGAATGAGGCTAAGATATATGCATCGTTCCCGAAGCATCTTCAGGAGGATTGGTGCGGACTTAACATGATGCCGCCGATTAAGACACCCGTCCCGGCATGCGCTGTAGTGCCCAAGTTCTACGGGTACTACAAACCTGCCTTCGATGAGGAGGCGTTCAGAAGCGAGAGTGAGGAGGTTAGGGCAGAGATGAAGGCATTCATTGAACGACTCAGCCCTATCTTGCTCATGGAGCATTGTGGGATTCCCATTGTGACGAGCAAAAATTTCCACGTTGATAAGAAGTGAGCATACAATTTGATCAACCCGCGATCGTGACTGACCCTCGCACGCTTTGCTGCTAGGATATTGTGTTATTCAATGCTCCGACGCCTGCACATCAACGACTATATACATAACTCATTCTACCAACGCAATGTGCTCGTCCAACCCGGTCCGCTAACAAGACCTCCGGAAGAGCGTTCCATGAAGATGCCCTCGTACCGTGTCATCGACTTTGGGCGAAGCGAGTTATATGGCCCATCCAATGACAAAATGTCAGAATACGACGCGGGCTGGGGTAATGAGTTATATCGCGCTACAGAGGAGTTGAACATGGAGCCTTTCGTTTACTAAGAGCCTCATTCCTGTCTGTTAAAAGTAAGTGATCACTTTGTCAAATGCATTGTCGTTTCTGCTATGCTGTATCACCAAGCTTCGCCATGCTGTCCAGCATGTTACCATGTCACTGTGCTGTGTAACCGTTATACCACGTTGCTTCTTGTTTCAGTAGAAGTTGATGCTCTTTCAGCTTTCTCTTCGATAGAACATTATGCTGCACCCTGATGCAAAAACCTCGCTGTTGATGTTCTCCTTCATCAGTAAATGGTGAGAAAAAGCTTACTAGGTCTCATGTTGCAAGTGTGATGTAGCTTGTGAACTACATAAGCCAGAGCAAAAGCTAGCTCCAGCAAAGTCCGTAAGTACCGGTGTCAAGTCTGACAATATAAATCCAACACCGGCAGACATTGAGAACTGAGGACCACCCACTATTTCATCCTCACCCTTCGATTTCAATATGCTATCGGCACTTGTGCATGAGGTCTGTGTGAAGACATCGGTTGCTTTATCCGATGGAAGCTAAGTAGCATTGCTGATTTCTCAAGAAGGACACGGTAAAGTGCAAGTACATGACTTTGTGATGAGTAGAAAAGTAAAGACCAAGAAAGTGGTATCAGGGTATCAAAGAGATATCGGATAGATGCAGAGGAAGAGACACGGGGAAGCCATCATTCCACTGGGGAAAATGACATGGAGAGGATCAAAAGGGTGCCATTCAGATAGTGCAAGGCAGACATGGCGGTCCAGGAAGTCAATATATGCTGCGTTCATGCTCAGCAATGAACTGCTCATTATGCGACTGCAGATCAACGATCAGTGACGGCACAAGAAGTTTGGCCTCACAGCCTCAAGAGACGTACCAATCGCCGCAGACTTCCTAACTACACAACACTAGGGTTAGCCAGAAATCCGTAGCACATGTTTAAATATACACACTTGCGGTGACTGCACATCAAATGCAAGCGGGGATCCTCCTGAACCCTCCTGACGAAGATACATATAACGCTCGCAGGCGGCGTCCCACAGACTTGTTCTATATCAATCCCAATCAACACTTGTCACCACAACTGTGTTGTAATCAATAGGAAATTACCGTAGACTTTGTTTGAGGTCGGAAACAGTGATAGAGGGGTTCTGTCCTAATCGAATCAATGATCTTTGAATGTTTATTTCTAGTGATAGAGATATTAAGCATACTTAAGATGCGCACAAGCGCCTGGGGTCAACACGGCTGCTTAATAAGATGAACGGATCAACACATCCGGAGACGGTGCTTACTGCTGTCATTGCTCCTTGACATTTACGGTTCTCCCATGCCAGCTGATGATCAGCACAAGACGACATTGAGATCTGTACAGGTGGCTTGGTGCTAAGTAAAGTCGACAGTCACAGGATAATAGCCACGTACGACGATAGGCCCGTCCTCCATGTATGTATACTTACAAGATCTGGTGCATATAGGCTGCTGTTTCGGGAAAGATACGCTCCCTGTCTGAGTCGGGGAGACAGCGGCAAGATCCAGCTTCTTCGTGACTGTTTTCAGCCTGATTATCGCACCAACTACGTTTCGGAGCCGGACTATTCTCGATTTGCATGCTCTTCGACCCGAAGCCCTCGGGAGCCCATTGAAATGCTTAGACAGGATGTGTGCAGGAAGCGTCTGTGAACGTTTATTAGACTGGAGTATGCGAGGGTTAGGTGTCGCTATTGCTGTGGTACGTGATAGATGTCAAGACGCAAACACATATGTTTATATCAAAACGTACGATGCGAAGAGATCCTGCTGAGAAAGTTGTTGCAATGGTAATGAGGGAGATCCAGAAGGGTACCAGAATGGCACGAATCGAAAATTGCCTTTCAAGCAAATTTTGAGCGAATGACGAAGCAGACAGTTAACCGAGCCCAAGTCGATTGTCAACGTACTGTCAACCTGCTCCTGGAAGGAAGGGGGTCGACCAAATATTTCCGCAGGTCCTGTCCATGTAAATGATTTAGTTACAAGACATGGATGTTGTGCTGACACTACTTGCGTCATCCAAGATCCATTGAAGGTCACATGTGATGAGGGCTGTCATGAGGAAATCGAGATACAATATCGCATTGAGGATGCCTATGATCATACCCTCGTCCATATTATCTTCCTCATTTTGATCCAATGTCGCTTTGGTTTGCCATGAGTGCCCGGCATCTGCATAGCCACAGTCAGATCGAGCCATAAATAGAAGCTAATACGGCGCACAGTGAAAGACCAACGAGTCTCCAGCACGCGCGCCATGTACAAGCTGTTGGATCGCGACGATCTATCGGCGACACTTGTCAGCGAGTTTCTGATCCGAACACGGTTACATACAATGTTACATCGCGTAGGCCATCTACTGGATGTATTCTCGGCTTCATCGTCATCGGTCATGATAACGACATCTTCATCCCGATATCCATAAATTTCTGGTAGTGCATTGTAACACAAGGGTCAGTAGTTGCATTCTGGCGATGTCAGGCCTCAGAAAGGAGGACAGAAGCAGCGCCGGTCACTTGCCTAGCAGAACCTTCCTCATCTCATTCACGTCATTTATAGGGCCGTTGAGCGGCATGAAGTCTTCTGAACTCTTCCATTTGTAGTTGATGCCAATGAGGAGGGCTTTCCTCCTGCCTTGAGTTGAGATAGCATGGAACGGAGGCATCAAGTCAGATCGTAGCCGTCAGTCACAAGAGGGAGAAGGCAAGAGAGACTGGGTCACTGTTCGAATGTCTTTTAACCTGTACAGGATGTGGACGGGGCTGTGCGACCGTGCCCGTGTATTGCTAGTAAGGTAGGCCGCAAGCAAACGCGACTACATCACGTGATGCTCAGATGTCACATTTGGCGGGGGAAGGCGTTACATTCGCAAGAAAACGCTATCTTCTCACTCACCGAGAAGAAATTGAGAAATCGGGCACGGAGCGATCCTTCATATCGGTTTTATTGACATTTGCTCCGTGCCGCTTTTTCCATTTTGGACTCGGTTAAAGAGAAGATACATTTTGAATGTTTTTGAGTGTTGCTATGACCGGAAGTGGAATATATATTTTTAATCATAAGTTTATTGGCATCTTGGGCAGCAAAAAGATACCACGGCCATCGCAGGCTTCCGGACTCAATTTTGGAGCAGCTAGATGAACATCACATAGAGTAAGATACTTATGCAGTATCACTTTCATTACACATACCACTTTCTGTCTCTCCTATCCCCCAGCTCACTTATTGTCAGCAAATACTACTTATTAACTACTTAATAAGTCTTGTGTCACTCCATGGTCACTCAATGTCATGTAAATGTAACGCCACGTGATGTAGTCGTGTTTGCTTGCGGCCTACCTTACTTAGAACGAAACTGGGCCATAGGCGGAGTTATTTGCCAACTAGCCAAAGGCGCTTTCCTGCTCCGAACTCTTTAAATGCCCACAAAACAGAGCGAGGACACAAACAGGGATTTGAATGCAACGCTGGGATATGGGAGCGCGGTGCCGTCACGCGAGGACAAGAACAAACCTTTCGCGACACGTCCCTATAAGTCCGATATGATAAGGCCTTAAAGCTTAAAGCTCAAAGCTTAAGGCCTTAGGTTTGCGACACGAACACATCATGATAAGACTTATATACATACAGTCGTACGTGATGTAATAGTTAACTAGTAATATTAATATAGAGAATGAATCAGCATTTTGAGATGGACCGAAGCAATCAACAGACGTATGAGAGCGCGATCAAACAATAAAACAGCAGGGAGACGTGAGGTAAATTTAGAGAATCAAGAGGTCATCCATGTTCTATTGGCGAATGTGAGTATGTTCTGGCAGTGCCACAGAAGAGATGGAACGTACTAGTTTTGAGAGGCTGCTGAGCTGTACGCACCATTCAAACAATATTCATATAATTTAGTCAACGGAAGGCATGAGAGAGCAGAATCTAAACGTACGACGGGTTCCTGGAACACATTCATCTCCCCTTCGAAATTGGTAGCGCGAGCCTTTAACTGCTGGCGCGTCCAATCGTGCAGTGCAAGAGATAGAGTATGTAGGTTGAAACTGTGTTGTGCGATGAATGCTGATGAGGCAGGGATCGAAGAGTAGATTCGGACACACTTGACGCTAGTCATAAGATCCTTGTAAGACGTTTTTTTGTGGCGGGCTGACCATACATAAGATCTCATCAGTCTAGACTCGACAACTGATTGATTAGCCAACGTACAAAGATATGTACAGATGGCCTGGGGGACTGACATTAGTATTTACGAATTCAGCGTAGAGGTTGGTTACAAACACTCGCCGCAGTCGTAGTCAATCCGTCACTTCCTTCCCAAGTCGTTTGTAAATCTGTACACGAAGAGATCGATACCTGGCAGGTATTTAGAATTGATATGATATACAAATAAGATGATATCACTCACAACATTTGCATTATCATCGCTCATCTGCTCGCACCATCCGTTGCATGCCAGATATGAAGAAGGGGAGTCACAATGCATGGCAGACGGTAGCATGTGAGATCTGACGCTCCGGCGAGACTTCGTGATATCAGTGACGGAATGGCTTTCTGCCTCGTTCTGGTTTCCCGACGCAGAGAGCAAGGTCTCCGATGCTGTACCGAGACTGACGAAGTATGGCTCAGGAATAATCGCTGTGTCGATTCGAAGCGTTTGTCGATTGGTCAAAGATGACAACGGTGCCGCGCTACCTTCCCTTATCGATGTCGCTGTAAGACACTCAATGGTCAGTCACAGGAGCGAGGTAACAGGATACGTACTGATTTCATACCGGCGCTCTGAAATGGAGAATGTATCAAAAAAGATAACACTGCAATTAAAAGACAGCGACTCACTGTTCGCGGCACGCAATGTGCTGCTCGTGCGGTGAGAACGGGATATCCAAGGTACGTATAGTTGATTGCAATGATAATGCGGAAGGTCGAGTAGTGTGCCGGAATGACAAGTATCGAAGATGGCCTGTGAGACATACTCGGTTTTGTGATGGTGCTACGGACAAAACAACACACACCATGAGGTTACTTCCTGACGGCAGATTGTTCACAAGAATTTTCCTCAACCTCTGCGGGTTATATGAGGACGGGCAACAATCCCCAACAAACAAGATAGCCACACATTATCAATGATTTTTCTGTTGTCGCAGGTGATGATAGCTAAGGGGTACAGAGGGAAACTATCGGCCATGGCGTAGGTATTATAGAGTCGCTTGACGCACCTTCATCTTGACCATCCTCTTCGCGAAGGTCATGTCGGGCGATTTGCTGATCACAGTGACCAGAGACTGGATAGAATGATCAGATCCGGACGAGAAATAGTCAAGCAATTGTACATACATAGAAATACAAACCGGTCACCCGCTTTGGCATCATGCACGAGCTGATGAAGCATCCGAATCTAGAGACCGTGAGTACTGAACACTGTTCATGGTCACAAATGGCTCCCACAATGTTAGCTCTTGTGGGCCTAAGGCCAGCACGAGTCGACTCATGGTCCTTCATGACATACACATCCTCGGGGCGATAATTATACGTCCCTGTTTCCAGCACTGTCAGTGTGATGGAAGCAAATTCATGTAAATGTCATACCGAGCAGTAGTTCTTGTAATCTGTCGACGTCCTTATGCGGCATACTTAAAGTGCCCCAGTCCGGCGTTTGCTCGTAGCAGATGCCAATAAGCAACGCTCTCCGCCGACCATGAAGAGCGTCGACAAATCTGCCACTCGTCTCGACGCCAGGTCCCATGATCGTGTTATCCTTAACAGTCATGAGCTAGTATGTTCGTCAACACGTCTTTGAAACCGCAGTAATTTGTTGAGGTGTGAATGAAGGATAGAATAGATATAATGTTCACAAGTTCTGTATGATAGAAGAGAGGTGAGTGGTGAAGGATAAGCGCGGTAGCGTGAGTGTATATATACGAATCAAATGGGCAGAATCATTCTGCAACGCCAATTTACCCATGCAGGTATGGCGCAAACCATGAATACGACACATGCCCGGGTGTCAATCCCGAGGCTCACGAGCAAATATAGTTCCATGGTCGTGATCGCCCTGCTGCTGACACTTGCATGATGAGGGCAATGCCAGGATTCCAATTCAATGGTGGTATGACAACGCCGACACCGAGAAGTCAGCGATTTGCTGTACTTGTGCTGTACGAATCTATGCCTGTGCGCACCCCATGTACAATGCACTGCAGCTGGTGTTTTGGCACAGTGTGAGCAACGTTCTGTATGGGAAAGACCGCGATTCGTCACCTTGAGCATAGTCAGATGCTCTCCAGATCAGATTCGCGCGGAGCGCTGAGCGAAGTCATCATCCTTCTAGACCGCGTAGTATCAGTTTCGCTCGGAATCGAGACGGTACGCCATGTTTATCAGGCAATCGCAATGTCGGGCATGGGATGACAAGGACACGGAAGCCTAAATCTATCACTGGCTTCATATCTGTCGGCGTCAACCCTGTTCGGTTGCGACTGGTTCGTGGTAATCAAGAGTACTTGGAGTGTGGAGTTGGGTCAGTATGATTAGTGCTCCGTATCTGGATAGTGGTTATGCACTTCCGACAGGATGTACTTAGACCGCATCCCACTGCAGTAACCCTTCCTTATGATACATTCCCAGCGCCCGGATCGAGAGACCTATTTTCAAGCCGAAGGGAACAGAAAGTGTTTCGCCTCACGCCTTCTACGCCCTATCATAGGTCCTCGAATACGATCTTTCGGTAAAATACTTTTTGGTATTAGAATTCTTTGCAGAGATTGTGCGTGGTGTAAAGATATGATGGGATGGACTGACGCCACGTCTGGGACCTCGCAGTCTGGCGGAGCCCACGTGACATTCATTTTGCAAAGACACCGCATCCCAGATCTAGAGATTGACATTGCCACAGAATAAGTACGAGTAGAATAAGCGACCGTCTCGTGAGACTCAGAATATGTCTAACCCAGAAATATAAGGATGGGTCATGAATGAAGTAGTGGCACGGTTAGGTATAGGATGGCTGTATCGTCCCATAGTAATACAAATGCACAGTAAGGGGAAAGCTATGACTGAGACAGAGGTGGCAATCGTGAGCAGGAAGTAATAATGATAAAATGCGATTCTAGAATTATAAATAATCAAGGTCATGAGGGTCGTGTTGAGGTGATTGAGGTGTAGATAAAGGTTCGAGGTAAGTGAATGGTAGGGGTAGTAGAGGTTAGAGTCCCGCATTGTTAAAGTGATAGTATGTCGTCCATGTTCTGAAACGGTCATGTAAGTTACAGGTGACCCGTTCAAATGGAGCGTATATGGGCACAATATCTTACCAATTTGACCAAGCTGCTTAGCTGCAAACGTTGAAACGAGATCCATTAGCGTCTACACCAGTAGTTCCCATAGAGAGACGCACGACAGGAGTCTGAAATACATTCATCTCCCCATTGACATCCTGTCTCGCCTCTTTCTTCGCGTTACGCGTCCACTCGTGCAGTGCCCGCGAGAGTTTATGCATATTGTAGCTAGAGATGAGGCCGTCAAAACACCGCAGATAGTAAAACTGATGAAACTGTACTTGATGTGCGTCATCAGTTCAAAGTAGGTTGGGTAGTTATGATCTCCTGGAAACCCCGCCGTGATGAGCGACTAGGAAGCTCTATGATGATTGGCTACGTACTGAGATACTGGCAGAGCGCCTGTCATGACAGGATGATCAGCGATAAAGTCGAGGACGGAGGCACCAAGACTCACCTGCGTCATAGACCCATTCGGACCATCCCATGCTAGCTGCTTGTCTGCGCACGCGGAAAGTGAGACCTAAAGGTCACCGCGAAGGACACATTAAGAAAAACAGAACATATAATAAGCTCCCAAGGTGATCATAGACATTGAACAAACGTCACGGACGATGTTTGCGCAGGGCACGGTGGACGGCTCGCACCAGCCCGAGCATGGGAATCGCGACTGGGGGCTCTCGCATTGCGTTGGGGACGACACAAGCGGCGACGCGAGCAGTGTCGAGTACCCAACCGTTGCATCCCAGATACTGTGAAACGCCCGCTTCGAGGAAGTGACAGAATTGACGGAACCCCTCTTGGACGAAGAGGTGTGTTTCTTTTCGATGTCCGCGTAGGGATCTTCGGCCATGAAGGGCCAATTGTCGGATGTAGATGTCCATCTATCAGCAGTAGATGAAGGGCTCTGCGGAAGGGAGAAAAGACCATCTGAGCAAGATGGTGCCTTCTCCAGTGCGGTCGGAAGAGCGGAAGATATGAAAACTTGAGTGTCTATGCTGAGTCGCGTCTGCGCCGTGACATGGGAAGATGCTCTTGAGTGTACAGAGCCGGAGCTTGAGGCGCTATGATTCTTCCCTATTACTAGTGGTTGGACGGTAGTCAGGATCTACCTGCCTCACCAAATTGAACAGCACATACGAGCTGCCATGCGACGCGCTGATGAGGGATAAAGGCTTAACAGTGAAGACGGATAGTATAATTCGTGAGGACGCACTTATCGATTCATACATTGTTCTAGTCTTGCGCCTACTCTTTGACATCCATGGAACATAGATCCTATTGCAATGATGATGCGGCAAGTCCAGGATAGTCCCAGAATGGCACGTATCAAAAATAGCCTTGCAAAGGTTTCAGTACAAGGAGCATAATCTCAGTCCCAGATTCAAAGGATTGGACCCACGGTCAAGCTGCAACCTGGTGGTAGAGGGTCGACAAGAGTTTTCTTCAATTCCTATTATTGTTGGTTAGTTTCTGACCCGGTCAAAACATAGTCTCGAATGAAGATGTTGCGCACATTATCTACAATCCTCTCCCCGTCACTTGTGATCATAACTATGCAGGCGATCCGTCAGCTCAACATCGGGCCCAGAAGATCACTTATACGGCAGTGTATCACCTTCGTCCTGCCCGTCCTCCTCTAGGTCATCTCGCGCATCCTGTTGAGTAGAATGACCAGCGACTCCAAACCACAGAAATGTTCAATTGTTTGAAACGGAAAAGGCAACAGAATGAACATACATAAAAGAATGAAGCGGTCATCTGATCGAGCACCGCTTACAAGCCATCGTAATTTGCGCCTCTGAGGCAAGGCCATGAAAGATCAAAATATCAATCAGAACTGGTAAAGATCAAAAGGAGACAGATCATGATTATCAACTCACGATATTCACTTGCGTCGGCACCAGCTCCGAGGAAGCCTTGACATCGTCCTTCATGACAATCATGTCCTCGGCACGATATCCGTAGACGTCTGATCATAGTAATGAATACAGTCCTCCTTGATAAAGATTTGAAGAATTGGTGAAACATACCGAGGAGTAAACGTCGGAATGTATCGACATCTTCGTGGGTCTTGTCCAGGGTGTCCCACTGCTCGTCCTGCTCATACCGTATGCCTATGAGCAGCGCACGTCGCCGTCCTCGACGCGATGAGCTACGATCCTCCTTCGCATGAAGTCGATCATCTTGAAGAATGTCCGCCACCTCTCTCTCCACGCTCACATCCGGTTTCTCACCAGCACAGGCCTCCACAGCCCCATTGCCATGTTTGGTCACCGGAGCCATGGAGCGCGTCCGATTACAAGGATGAGGAAGAGGTTAGAGAAGAGAAGAGAAGAAGTAGTGCGTTTGAACAGTGATGACCGCTCGAATGTGAAGCAAAAGGAGGAGGATGGATTATCAAGAGTGAAAAGGTCATGGTGGATTGATGAATCAGTTACGTATATTGAGAAGGCACGGATGGACACTAATTGACGCCGAGAGGATGGCGATATATGAGCCTTCTCTGAGACTCGGAGCGCGCCGAAGCCTTCCTCCGGAAGCAAACCCATTTGCAGCGCTCCACTACACTTCCACTACCTGTTTCTCGACGTTCCAACATGCCCGCGCCCTCGCAGGTAGTGTCATCGCTAGTACTACACTCTCCCTACTCCGTCTACCCGTCTCCTCTCATATGGGTTATCTGTTCCTCTTCCAGGAGTCGATCAAGCAATCAGCACTGCCCGATGCTAGCGTCAAGAACCACACGCTATGAAATACGATCATGCCAAATCATACAGCTGTCGTACGGATGAGCAATAGGGCGAATTATTCAGTTTGACGGGCAACAAATGCACGTACATACGTGAGTAATTTCTACGAATTCGTACCTAAGTCTTGCGGGCGTAACTTAATGTCTGCTGGATCAGGAAGAGCCCAATCGACTCGCTCTGATGAACAGACGGCAGGACGGCAGGATGACCAAAGTCATCAGTTGCCGCGCCAGCGCCCCAGAAATTAAATATGTACAGCCCGGCATACGATCCAAGTTGGCAACGCAAGCGCCAGTCAAGGGAGTTGCCTTCATATGGACACTCTGTCATCTCCTTCGTCCAGAATGCTCCAACAACGCAATTACACTTGCCCTCGGTGATCTGAGTGGGATATAATAAATGCATATCACAAGTCGCCAGGCGACGCGTCGGGATCAGCACACGCTATATATGACTGCCACGATCCATCCTCTCATCTAATGAGACATCGAAGCTTACATGTCTGGGTTGGACGCTGGGTGCACGTTTCCAGATTACTCACCGCCCTCGTTGATGTCGCACTTTCTTGGGATCCATCCTATCCCATCCGGAAAGCCTATATCAGTCCCAGCGCCCATACTATGCACCGAGCGTGAACCTAGTGAGTATTTGATGACTAGATATAGGTCCTGGCCGAGCCTAGCCCACGAGCACGACTAATCCGAGCTCGCCGAACGAGATGATGCAGTACGATCTATTTTTGCAAGTACTCACATCCCATTGTAGAACCTCAGGTGCCGGCGTTAGCTGAACTTCCATTGATCGGGCGCGTAGCATGTCACGAAACGACCCGCTCCCGCACCTGCTCGCTGTACGTCACGTACGCAACTCGCAAAAATCCGCAGGAGATGGCACCTGTCGCGCGCGGTAAGCCCCTATCTTCGCTGCTTGATGCTTGCCGTGCATTGTCCAATGACCGACGCTAGCCCGCGTTTGGTGGGTTCCCAAGGCTATGTGCGACACCCTCCAGCGTAATATCGGCAACCTAGATGGTGGCCGTAGCTCTCAACTGGGAATGTGGGCGTTTGGAAAGCTGTCTTCGAGGACAATAAATTGAATTGCCACACGTCATGACGGCAGTGAAACGGCACAGCCAGTCACGTTGTCGGCATCAGCCGTTCAGCTGTGTCTGCGATGAGGCTGCAAAGGAGCATGCCCCCTCCTTCTCTCGACTGTTGTGCATCTTGAAACCTAACCATGAAGAGTGCGCCTACATACGCCCTAATTATATCCACCATGTTTGCCTGCCCATCTCTTTTCTCGTACAGGCCAAGAAACCCGGACCCCAACACACCCACAACATGGGCACGTCTTCGGTAGATCGTCGCCCGTCTTGCACACATATATACCGAGCAATTCGTAAGATCGTACACACCCTCTATCTCCTTCTGGATACCATATGTACTGTGCGCGTAAGCCAAGAGGGTCGCCGAGGGTCGTCCTTCGTTGAGTGTTATCGCCCTGCTTAAAGGGTGCCACACGAGAAGGGGTGACTGTATGCGCCACTAGCATACTAGCAAACATGCAAAAATTCAGCGTGAGGAAAGGGAAGAGGCATCGGCACATACATTATCCGAGATACTCTTGATTGCGGAGTACATCCCCAGCACCATGATCGCTGCAGACATAACAATCTATCATCACGATACCATGAACACAACAAAAATAGATATCATCGATGGCATCGACGCACCACAAACACGCTGACTATGAAGTTTGCGATCGTCTTCTTGTTCTTGAAGTACCCTGAGTAACCTTTACCCTCGCGCGGACCGTGGTCGTACAGCCACAGCACGCCCGACAAGCCGTACGTGAACCATACGGTCAAGATCGACGAGATGATCGAGAGCAGATCCGAGAAGAACTACAGAGAATTCTGATATCAAAACAACGCTCGCGCATAGATGAAAATAAGCTCCCAACGCACCGGAATGAGCTCGGCGATGATAAACCCGGCTGACCAGATACATGCGCATATCAGGATCCACACGCCCCACGTTCGCAGCGAGCGCGACGTCAAACGCGGGGTGCCCCGGAACAGCGTCAGGAAGATGAATTTAGCGGCGATGTACGATGCGACGACGCCCGAGATGACTGCACGACGACAATAAAAACATCGTTAGAAATTGCTCGCTCGAGCACTGGGGATCGGAAGAGAGGTGCGCACTGATAGAGATGAGCGCGATGGAGCTGCAGATAGTGAAAAATCAGGGACATGCAGAGTGAGCTTCGAGAGGACGGCGTGCAATGTGGGAAGAACGTACTACGCGGTGATGCGCACCGGCTTCGACGTCATTGTCAGCGCGGGCGATGTGACGTACTGCCCTCCAAACTTATAGATAGTGGCACCAACGATGATGCTGAATAGTCACACGAAACCGATATCGCAAGGTCAGTATGGTCTGCGCGTTGAGGAGAGAGAAGCAGGATGCACTAAAATACGGTCGCGACGGTCTGCACGAGCGCGAGCGAGTATTTGAAATCGGCAGGGTTCCGCATTTCGGACGCAAATGAGAAGATAGCAACGTGTCCGCCGTAAGCAAAAATGATGTTCGTCAATGCTGAGATATAAGACGCGGTCAGCTCTCCGATCCGTCGCAGTAACATATGCACCCAAGCATACAGACGCACCGTTGATCGTGTCCGTCAGTCCATGGTTCTCGAATGCATGCCATTCGACGGGACCCTTGGATGGAAACTTAGGCAGGTCGTCATCCTGCTGTACACCGCTCGCGATGATGGTGATGAGACACGCTGTGAGTATTGCGGTGACCGACACGAATGAGATGTAGGACACTTTCTCGAACGTGCGAGGCACGGTCAGGCTGTCCAAAAGGCACACAGGTACCGTGTCAGTTTAAATGACGCAAGAGCAGAGCAATGGCGTACAGGAAGGAGATGAACGCAATGATGACTGCCCACGCAATGTTGCAGATCGCGTGGCTCGAGATGTTGTTCAATGCAATAGAACCAGATAGCGCGTGTGAGCCGGCAATGAACACTGACTGTCAGGGACACCGGCGATAGGGGTACACAAAGAAGTCCAATATCACATCATCATATCAGTTTCATCAAAAATGACAGGGTCATGCGATGAAGTGTACGCACCTTGACTGTGAGCATCGTACCGAACACCCAAAAGCCCCACCGGCCCGCAACTACCTGGCCTGCATCCGCGAAGTTCATGACGCCAGGATCTGCGCACAAGGGCCGTTGGGATGGAATATCAGAATAAGTAAGTCGAGCCAGCGGTGCGTAGAGTGGGTTAATGATGTAGCGCCAGGGTCGGCATCGGGGAGGAACAAGATGTCAGCAAACAAGGATGACGAACATGGAAGGAGGATAGACGCACGATTCATTTTAAATTTGACAAGGACATAGCCGGTCTGCCATGATAGGAGAGCGAAGGCGACGGTGGTGAAGACCTGATTCCACCGTCATGCGTTGAAGGACGATAAAGATGAAAGAGGCCAAGAAGACCCTCCGGTGAGCGAAGACATAATAACAAAGCGCATTTACGCACCCCTCCAAACATCCCGAGTCTATGGAAAATGGACGGGAAGCTTAAAATCCCAAGTGCAATCGTCTAAATATACCATGAAGTGACAGTTGGGCCATTGTGAGATCTTATGACCGGAGAGAGACGAGAGCAAAAGAAGAAAAGAAAAAAGAGAGGGAGGATGCGCACCTCAGCCATGATAAGCGCACCAGCCTTGATCCACCCCATGCTGCGGTAGTTGATGTGCTCGTCAGCGTTACCGCTTCCTGCGGCCTGGTCAAAAGCGTCGACGTCGATATCGACCGCAGCGCGCTTCTGGGCCTTTTCGTGGTCGACATCAGGGTAGGCAGGGGGAGTGGGGCTGGGGCTGGGGCTTGGGCTCAATTTTTTCTCCATGATCGTCGTGCGAAGGCTCGAAAGAGAATGACTGGCGTCGAAAGGACAGGCAGGTAATGGCCTTGCACGGAGATGAGGAGGGGGGGGTGGAGTGGTGGTGAGAGGGAGAGGGAGGACAAGACAGAGAAAAAAGGCGGAGGTGACGATGATAACTGAATTGGATGGCGGCAACTGGCGGCAAGCGCTCGCAGACCTAGATCCGGACTCCAGATCCGACCGCCGGTACCTTCCTTCGATTCGATCAACGGCTCGCCGGGCTTGGCAGCCTTGACACACAACACTCACACAACTCGCCTACTACACTCTTGCAATCCTTATCGCTGCCAAACCTCATATTCTGCCTGCGGCCGTTGCACTACCGATTCTATCTTGAAAGATTAAACATACGTGGCTCAGCTTCGAGCTTTTGGTACGAGCGACGAAAATATTTACCGATCGTCATGACAAGGCTCGTGCACACATCGGCCATGAACAGTACGGGCGCGGTGCAATCTGATGCAATGGCGGTTTGATTAGAGCAAGGAGAGTATGTAGCCCTTGCTGAACCTCAACGAAACCATTTCAACATACTCACCCCGACATGACAGGTGTCTGGGATGGCATTGTTTCTGTAATAAAACATGAGGAAGTATGACAACGTATATACTTATAATGAGTTTGAACGCACTTCTCGCAACCTATTATGACAATGACATGATGCACGAGATCACACGATAATGACAGGAAACGGCACCCTGAGCATGACTCTCTAGCCACAGACACTCGGTCCCTGGATTTAAATCAATGATTTGAAGAAAACGCGCATAGCAGCCATAAACAAAAACCCACACGTTCTAAGCTCTCTGTCACCACCATCTATCACCGGCATCGAGCGTACGCACAACACACAATGCACCGTGATCGAGGCATTAGCGCGGTAGCATACAAATGTCTACCTGGTCGCCTTCAATATGCCCGACACTGAGGTCGGTCGCACGAAATGACCTTATCTATGCGCGTAATAATTTGATCCAAATCATCCTCGACTGTCTCCTCTTCCCTCTTGGGCCCGCTATCCAATGTGACCGAGACATCCCTCCCGCCTAACGGCCACCACGTAGACATGTCTCGGTCCATATTGCTATCGCTAGGTGACGACTCTGTGATGTTCTGATCTTGTTGCACGGCCACCACGGCTGTCGTAGAGTTTGACCAAGCCCATCCAGCTTCCAAGCTTCACGACCCTCGCGAGCTCGTCTAGCCAACCCCGCTTATTGCGCCATGCGACATCGCTAGAGGCCGCTTCAGAGAGGGGATCTAACACCGGCGAGAATACAGAGAAAAGGGGTAGACTGCCTTTGTGCGAATGTGCATCCTCAGTCGATCAGCAGGCGATAGAGGTCTAGATTTGGACGTGTGAGAAAACCGCTGCAAGAGAGCTGTGCATTCTGTGGCGGAGAGGGACCATGGTGTTCGACTGATGACGAGCTAGGGATGTCGGTTCAAGATCAGTATGGCTATGAGGAGCGCGTGACGAAGAGCTCACTTGGTCAGGAAGACATGTAAAAGTTTCCACGAGCGGGCACGCGTAGGCGACCGTCTCCTCCCATGGCCATGGCTCATCACCTCCGCAGCTTTGAGGTGACACTCAGATCGACGAATCCTGCTCCGCTCCAGTCTCGTTTACTACTGCACCTTGTCTTAGCGGCAATACCATCACGGACCAATATTTATGCGCCTTGATATTCAGCACGACCGCAGGCCACCTCTTCATTTGCCACTCTGGTTCAGAAAAGGACGGGTCATCCCAATGGGAGACGTCCGTAGCCTGAGCGGTAATACCCTCAACGCTGAGGCGAGAGTGGATTTGCATATATACAAGTTCTCCGGGAGTGGCTGGTGCGGGGCCTAGAGACGGTTCGAGAAGCGGTGAATCGCAAATTGCCATTTGACGAGTCAAAACAGCAACATTTGAGCTTGGAGAAAGGGGTGAGGGCAGAAAAAAAATGAACTCACAGAAGTCGAGACCCTCGCATAATCCAGTAAGTCTCCGAACTCCTTTGGCTTTTCCTCACCCAACCGCCGGCCCAGCCATTTCATTTTCTTCTCCTTTACCTGCTTCATTGCTCCGAAACGCGTGCATCCACGAGAATTGTATCGCTACCATGGGAGACCTCCACGGAGTAGAAACAGTAGAGTACATGCGAGGGATTCAAGGTCATCACGCGGCGAGCTGTCTGTTGCGTTAGGTGTCGTCAATATTGTTTGCTGCGAAGGAAGGTTCAGAGCAGGATGCACACCATAACAGAAATGAGCATTGAGACTAGCCCAGTCAAGTGTCCCAGCGATATCCAGCCTCTCTAACCTGGGCTCGCGTCGAGCGGGAATTCCAGTGCAAAAAGATCGCGCGATACCAAAGTCGACGAGGCGCAGTATCGGCGGTTGGTCGAGTGTGAGAAGGACGTTCGACGGTTTGATGTCTCTATGTACAAGCCCGTGCGAATGAACGAACTCCAGGACAGAAAGCTGGAAGATATAAAAGCGGGATAAGAGTTGTTCTCGATATCATGATGTTCGGGTGACTCACGAGTTGTAGTGCGATCTTAGCCACCATTTCCGCTTCCATTACCTCCTTTGGTACCACATCATTCAGAGACTGACCCAGGAGCTCTAGCGCCAGATATTCAAAGTGCTCTAAGTGACCGTAGGCAACGGTGGGCGGTATGGCCAGATACCCTTTCAAAATATGGAGCATACGCACCTCGTGCTTCAGATGCGTGCGTCTGAGACGGGTGGAAGCGCGAGACTTTTGATGGCGACGTTGAGAGGACTATTCTGTGGATCGAGGGCACGGTAGACTTGGGCCTGTGCAATAAGATGGCATTAGTGCAAATGAGAAATCGCGGAGCAGTCAACGACTCACATAGCCGCCAGATCCTACCAAATTCCCGAGTTTGAATATTGACATGGTCAGACAATCAATCGCCTTGATTAGATCAATCAAGATGAGAGCAGTCAAAACATGCATCAATCTGGGCACCGGCGTCAAGAAGGGCGCGTACGATGGCGAGCCTATCCTTCGCCGGTGACTTAGACGTGGCGTAAAAGAGTGGGGTTCGGCCGTAGGAGAAAGGAGCATTAGGGCTTGCGTGATTATCGAGAAGTAGATGGACGATATGGAGATGGCCTCGGCAGGAGGCGGTGGTGAGTGGGGTGAGGGACTTTTGGCCGCCGACAGAGTCAATGTTGGTAGTTGTGAGGTAAAGCTTGAGACTGTCAGCGGTAAGCGTGCCGAGCCAGGCATCATCGTAGAGGTTGCACATCGCGAGTCGTGGTCGGATGGAAGAGATGCAGGCCTTGAAAGAAGTGAGTTATTGGGAACACCTTTCCTCCAGGCCTTGTGTACAAAGTTGAGAAACTTACCTGGCAGATTACAGTAACCCCAAAATACGTAGAGGTGACTTTGCCTCCCGTGACACGGACGGAGCTAAATCACCAAGGACTTAAGATACTTGGAGAAGAATGCGAAGACAAGCTCTGCGCTTCACAAAATGGCATTACAGTATCGATTGCTATCATCACTGCCATTGACTGAGATGAATGGAAGATGCATGTCTGCCGCAAGTTGAGAAACACCGGATGCGAAGAGCTTGGCAGTTCGGACCGAGTGTGAGCTTGACGAAAGACGGAGGAATGGTTTCCTTTCCTATCCTCGCGCGGTGGGATCCCGGTGGTGATGTAGTCTTAAGCGCTCGCAAGGTGTCGAGTAGAGGTCCGACGCAGCCATGATCCTGTGCGCAACAATCCTGGCTTGAGACTCGAAATTGAGCCAGAAAATTGGACCGAAAGGAGTGTGTGGGCCGCTGAAAGACGGAAGATGATCAGAGAAAGGGCTGCGTGAGCCTCAGGCCTCAGGGACTCCAGCGAGTGGCAGGTATTTATTCAAGAAACCATGGTGGTGGGAGAGCGAAAAACCAACTCACGTCTCATCCCTGATAAATCTCTATCATGACGACTCAGTTCCAGGATCTCATCCGCTGCCTCCTCACTGCCGTATCCAAGTCTGTACTCGAGGGGAAGGTGAGGCGGTTCTCTGTGGGGAAGAATGGAGAAATTTGAGAGTATCAACAGCACGGATCCATCAAGGTGGATAGAGGCAAGCGCGACGTTGTTTCTGATGAACATTACGGAAGTATGCTTGCCTATAGGTATGACAATAGATCGATAGGAGGAGCAGACAAACAGCCATGCAGCAATCGCGAAAACGAGTGGATAAAGCAGGCATCAGGAGCACGCATCCAAGCTTTCAATCCTACCTGGTCCCAAGATTGCTGTCCCCCTGATCGTCTCAACTTGCCTTGTTATACTCCCAACACTTACAACATCATTCCACCATCTCGCGATCCATCTCAAGTATATCGAGTCCGCCCTTGACAAGGGTACTGTCAATTTCAGATTGTTTTTAAGATCGACAACACATGTGATGGTACGAACCTGAAGTGTTCGAAGCATGCATAGGACCAGCAAGTAAAGACAGCAAGATGACACCGATAGCGATAACCCATGGCCACAAAGCCGTCGCGAGCGCACATTCGTTCATAGGCACCCCATGAAGGTCCGCGAGTTGGCATCACAGATGTATGTGTGCAACCCAAACGCGAAAATCCCATCGGTTCCTTTGACAGAGGAAGGCACGGAGATCATGACGACGACACGGTGTCCGTGCGCGAGCACTCCGAGCAACTTTCAAGGCTGCGAACAAGAGAGGGTGCTGTGATGTTGTGCTGATCCATACGGACGGCGCCGCTCGACAATGTGAAGAGAGTCCGAAAAGTCATAGAAACCGGGCGTACCACCGACCACAACGGGGCCAAGAACGAAACGCGCGCGTACCCCAGTGCCAGCGTGCGGCTTTTCGACACCCAGCGAGGAGCGGCATGCACAAGAACGCGCTTCAGGTCCAAATCCAAAGGTGCGTCGACGGTTCTCCCGTGCGAGTGCAAGAGTCTTCAATTTGAGCTTCCGCGGACGTCCATGGCCGATACAAGGTCCGCCTGATCGCCTGTGGACTGCATTCCCACATGCGGAATGTGGATGACAGTGGTTCGATCGCGCGACCCGCCAAAGCAGAAAGACGCAACGCGACGCGTCCGTGGCCATGTTCAACCGTCAACAAGGGGTACGTTAGCAGTGCGGGCGTCGATAGGTGCGGGTGCGAGCATACGTGGCACCTTCGGATCGTGGATGAAGGTGATCGTCGGTGCGTGCTGGCGTATATCAGCGTGTGCCGCATCCGACGCATGCAACAGAAGACACTTGGCCCGCTTGGGTCCACACGGGAAGAAAAGTGACGCCCATATCCAGCTTCATTGTAGCAAGGTACACCGCTCGAAGCTCGATATTTGACAGTGTACAGGGCCCAAGCGCGGGTAGGCGGGACGTGGGGGAGCGGCAGAGCGTGTTTGACCGTGTTGGTGCGCGCTGTACTTCTGACGCCTACGAACGGGGCTATCGTGAACGTCACAAACCCGTGAACATCGAGGGCTTCGAACCAGCAGGACCCCAAAAGACGCATATGCTTCCGCGGATTCCATCGGCACGTTCGACGAAGGCCTCCAGCATTCGACGAGAGTGAGTAGATTGGCGCAATTGTTCTGTAAACGCCGGGCCCTTGGAGTATGTTGTACCCCTCATTTGAAGCCCTTCGAGTTCTTCTGGGGTGTGTCCCATAAAGCGAAGAGCATGTTCGTCGAAGTCGACCTTCCGGCACCCGCTGTATCTATCTACAACAACCTTTCCAATTGAATGTGCTGATAACACTAGATTGTCAACGATTTCCCTGCTATGCGTCAAGCAGAGATCAATCGATGAGGAAAACGGAACACGTGTTCCCATTCATGGGCATGCGCAGGCTTAACTTCGCAACCCGAGCAGACACTGACCGGGTCCATAGTCATACCGGGTTGCAAATGCACATACCGCGGAAATTCCGAAGGGTAGGGCTATAGCATGGCCAATCACTCCTCGTGGAACGGATCCTGAGGGCCTCATCATCCAGGAGGCGAACTCGCCCTGAGATCAGAAAAGTGAATGCCGCTGAGAGTCAGGACGCAATAGAACAGAATGAAACTCGGTGGGAACTCGATAGATTCTGTACTATCCTTTTGCGGTGTAAGAAGGAGGCGGGTAGCCTCGTGCCTAGCGTCGAACTTGAAATCCGGATTCGACGAACAACCGAGCCTTCAAGCGCGCAGGGAATGCGTGCTCGATGATTCGAGGGCTCAGGCTCGATCGCGTTCAAACCGGACTGCAAGCGGGTGTGAAGGCATAGGCGCACGCCCGTAAACCTAAATGGTATAATCATTGATCAGCATCGCTCAAAGTCCGAGGGGAGAGTTTGTAGGTCCAAAGATAACACCCACACACAGCTTGCCGAAAATTCGATCACGGCGGGACATACGCGTCCATACTCTGAACCTTCAAGCCTGGATTGGGCATCCTTGTATTTTGTGTATCCATGGGAAAAAACAGCGAAACCCGATGCTGTTAGCATCGATGTCCTGTAGGCTCCCGATATCTTGCCACTGCTAATTTAGGGGCAAGCGTGCAGTAGAACGACGAGCAAAGGTATATTGCGATAGCCCAAGTTTGCCAAACTGTCCTTGCGATTCCGTTATCTGATCCACCTGCGAGCAACTGTGGGATGCGCATCCCTGACAGTGTAGGCCCAATCAAAACCTCCACACCCTGTCGTTCCTCGAATAACAAACCCTTACCACCACTGCACACCCTATAAGCGCACACGATCCTCCAACTGTGACCGCCGCAGCCGCCCACGTCACCTTACGCCCTCTGTCACGCCCGCCGTCCCCTATATCCTCCAACCCCACTGCGGCGAAAGAAAGCAGCCATATACCTGTGAGGACGAGCGCCGCAGAGAAAAGCGCCAGCACGCGGAGAACACGGCGCGCGCCCATGTCACGCTCTAGATCGATCTGATCCGAAGACGCTATGAGACCAGAGCTGGCCGCAGCGACGGCAGCGAGGATGAAGAGCGTTGCGGACCAGACTAGCAGGAGGAGGTTACCGCGGGTGGCGGAGAAGACGGAGGACCAGGCGATAGACGCGCCTGGATATGTGTAAGTGATGTCAGTAGGGTGCACGATTAGCAGGTACAAATTTAGGTGGCCTTCAAGGAGTATGCGTGATCGAAAGGCTGGCGAGAAATACGCACCAAAGAACGCGACAGCTCCCAACGTTGTGAACGTCTGTGCATATGATGATACGCTACTCATCGTGAGCGCGTCCTCGCCAGCATTCGCGCCTCCCACCGCGCTCAGTCTATGCCCGTCCCGTCCCGCACGCACCGCAGTCGGCCTCCCCGCATGTCTCGCATCCCAGTATCTTGCGCGGCTATTCGCCGTCTCTGCGCGTCCGCGCGTACGCATTCCAAGGCGAAGCTCGTGCGTAGGGCTTGGCGGTTTGCTTTCCGGCTGCTGCGCGCCTCTACTCAAAGGCGGGTGAGTGGAACGCGCGGTACTGATCTGCGCGCGCAAAGGCAATTGTAGGCTTATATGTGAGCACATATGAGATGATGGTGCAATCTGAAATGTACGTACGCCAGGGGCGCTTCTTTGGAAGGGAAGGTGCTGTAGCGAGAAGAGCGCCGCCTGTTCTAGTTCTGTCAGAATCTCGTCGACCCAAAATGCAACGTGCCGTAGCCAGATGAACTGGTGCATAAAATCATGAACACCGCACTCATGAATGATGAAGAAGTTGAAATCCAGACCTGTTCCCTAATCTCAGCCGGCACCTTCGCACGCGATATACGACGTCAGCATATAACAATCGGTGGTGAGCAGCAAATAGGATACCTCTGCACTCCATGATTTCGACACGATCTCATCGAGGTCCTTCATTTGTGACTACGGAGACAACCAAATCTCCGAAAATTGTCTTTTGAAGGTCCCAAATCTGAAGCTCACCATTGATTCAACGCTCACATCGATGCTTAAAATTCTCTCTGCTAATATATCGAGCCCCACTCTGTAAAACGTCTTGTTTTGGATCTACAGGCTCCTCAATATCGAGTAGAACGGTAATGATAATAATGGAGTATCACGCACATCTGTGACTTCGAGATCCCGTAAGCGATTTATTCGATGCGCCTGCGCAATTTTCTGATCGCCGTTGAACCAAAAGTGAGATGCAACCGTCAGGTTGTTCGATTTCCGATTTGAGTGACGTAAAAAGACGCTGCACACACCTGGGTATGTACAAAATTACGCACTTGAGCAGCGGGGAATGGACCTAGATTGCTGACACCCCACCCTAATCATACCTCTGATTTAGCGCATACGAAGCAGAAACTGAACACGATGATTATCGACAGGTGTCAAGAGATACGACGCTCACCCTGACTGCTCTTTTCCTCGGACTCTAACCAATGTTTATACGCAGCAGCGTCATCTGCGTCTACATTGACTGCTGTGCCATTTTGGCCGTTAGGCGGTGTCTGCAAGGGAGGCGGCGACGGTGGCGGGGATGCAATTGAGGACCGACGGTCGCTGTTGGCATGTCCAGAGATATCGTTGTGTGAAGTGGCATGCGGTGCCCGAGACACTGTTATGTACGACCAAGTGAACTCAGCCAGAGGCCCAGCTGCGCGAATGAAGACAAGACCCAGCAACCGTCAACACTCACCAAGACCCGAATACCGTTCGTCGTCACCCAAGCTCATCGATGACTTCGACCCCCTCCTCGACTTCAGATTTTTTCGCTCCAGAACGAAAGGTGTAAATTCGGCTTCTGTCGCGGGCGCGCTTGCAGGGCCTGAGGAACGATCTGATAACGCATACTGCCTAGTGTGCTGGATGACTGAGCTGCTGAGCTCGTCGAGAGATGTCAACGATTGCCGCACTGCACCGGATTCCATGGAGTGGGTTTGTTGTCAAGACAGACTGCTGGGAAAGAGAAGCTGAAGATGACCACCTTGCAGCTGCACCTGGTGCCCATTAGGGATCATGATAAATGCAATTCTGGCATACAGGTGCCGTCAACGGAGTCAACGCTCAGATTCTAAAGAACGGTACCTGAGCGCAGTAATTGAAGCACGATGCCCCGAGACGACACGTGCAGGTTCCAATGCAATGTGGCCAACAGTCTCCAACAGCGTCATTGGCCGGCGCGATATATTATTCTTCGTGTACACGCTCAACTGCTCACCGCGAGATGCAAAAGGCGCAAAATCAAACTGTCGATCTGTAGCTGCTAGATATGTCTCTCAATCAACATCATCGCCAGGTCGAATGGTTGACTGTTTGAAGGCAATCTCATGCGGGTTGCCGACATGATGTATGTACGGCCGTGATCATATACAACGAATCAGTCCTTTCGCGGATAAGACTGCGGCACCGTAGCCGTACGATCCTTGCGACTAATACTATGTAAGAGAGAAGCTCAAGGCGTAAGTGTTGCATATTAGACGTGCAACCAGTGTGCCCTCATAAGTTACAACAATATAGGTGGAATAGAGCAGGAAATCAGAGAATGGATCAAAGGCCATCGACATCGACACCCTGAAAGTTCTTCTCTACTTTAGTCACCTAACACGCAAGATCGCGTTAAATACGATGAGAAAGCCCATGGATTACAGGCGACGGAAGGACATGCGACACGGCACTTACCATCTTACATATTGTTTTGTGCCTCGGAAAATCACGCCTCTGGCACGCCGTCCCACAGTACCGAATTGTTTTGCACCAACTGCACGTCTGGATGGGGCTTGTGAAATGACAGACGGCACAGCCGGACGCAAGTGGCTCTTTACTCGGGACGTCCATCGTGGGAGCAAGGCAATTCTGCCAAGTTGCACCAGCCTCGGCCGCAATAACACGATTTTCTCTCTCGATAGCTCACCAGCACGCACAGCCTAGGCGATAGACAGCATGCACAAAATCGACGATAAACGGATCTGGGTTCTGGATGTATAAGGCGGGGGAGTGGATGAATTCGTGGGCTTCTTTGCCTAAAAAGGGGGGGCGCAATGAGACGAAAGATACTCGGAAATCAAGATAGGGTGAATGAGCAGGAAATGACATGAGGAAACGAGGCATACCACAGTTGCAACAACTCCAGCGGGCGGAGTGCTTGACCTCATTTTGAATATTCATCACCGTGTTCTCGATGAACCCCTGGTGGGCAAAGCTATCCGTCCGAACGCAGTTAAGATTGATCGAGACACTAAGATGGAGACGCATAGACTGGCGTTTCTTGTGAGTGCAGGTGATGACGTGAAACTTGCATAAGGCGGGAGAGCTCGTGTTATCTAGGATTTGTGGTCGAAAGGGTGAATGCTGCAAAGAGGAAATCTACAGAATAGAGGCTGGAACATGTTCTATCTGCTTGCGAGATGTAAATGAGGGCTATGAGCACTTTTTGAGATCAGGGGTGGTCCATCCACTTCTTCAATGCAACATGATGCACGATCTACTGATGTGATGTTCTAGGTCATGATCATCAGTAGGCAGACTCATGGTCAGAAGGTGGTCCCAAAATCTCTCTTGATGTCTGCATAAGTGCGCCATCGAATGAAGGCAGATGATGCATGGTCAGTTCACACTTCTTTTGAAGCGGGCCCTCTGCCAGCCGGCTCAGCAATCAATGAATGGCAGACCTCACTTTCTGCCTCTAGATCATCGCCGCGTCAACAACTGACTTCCTCAAACCTCTCAGAATCGAAAGGGTTCTCCAATGAAGGTGCCAGAGATGGACGCACAATTTGACGCGGCTTGTAGCATACAAGTACTTGGGTAATATGCTGAATACCCGCGGGCGATGGGCATGTGCTCTCAGAGCCGGAGGCATGATCTCAGAAGCCATTCGAGGGATGGCATCGAAGGTGAGGGACATAATCAATACTGGAGGGAGAGCTGGTGAGACATATGAGGAGACGACGAGTCGGATTGAAGGCGCGTCAATTGCAATCATTGTATATTCGCGATCAGTTGTCCCTGATCATAACTCCGCACGACCTCCTCCAGCCTCCTCCGGTTCCTGCCTCCTGCTTCAATATTGCTTCAATCTGAGGCTTTTCTTGCTCATGATGTCTGCAGAGCGATCTGTTTCAGTCTTTTTTCACGGTACAGCTAAGCTTTAGCACTACTCTAGTGAGTTGAATATTGTTATCATCATTTCCACCGTCGAGGAAGTTCAAATTTTGCAGATCATATAGCATCATTTGCTCAGCCAGCATCTTTAGTGTTTCTCGCGATCCCATCCTCAAAGATGGCACGAAACTGTATGTGGCCCAGCCCTAAGCTGCTTATACTGCAAAGAGTCTCCCCAAACTGCATGTAGATATGAATTCCTTCAGTATCGAGCTCATGCCTGCCTGCTCTCGCGTCCATGCTTGTCTATGCGCTCTGTCACCGCCTTCTCCGCTCTCGAGCGTACGTTCTCTATCTCACCTGACATACATGCTCAAAGTGATGATGAGGATGGCTCCATATGTGTAGACTCAATAAGTCATTAACATGCCCCGATTTGCCATTCTTGATTTTGGAAAGTTGCTTCGCGAAGGACTCTACAACGCCTCTTCAGCCCGCTGTCTCTCTACTTCCTCTTCACTGCCGTTTGTATGGCACCACAAGACAAGCATCATTATGCTAGGCTCCTCAGTTGGGAGATTTTTTGCTGTCGGCTCGATGATTAATTGACATTCATGATGCCGTCGGAGCACTGCTATTCCACCAAGAAGTTTGCGCTTGTCACATTGCAGGCTTGGTTTCTTCTTTCACTTGAAATTTACTGACCGCAGACGGTCTTCTTGCTAAATAGACATCGAACTGACATGCTCGAGCAGTGTTGGAGCCATCTCGTTCCCACCTCGATTCACCACTGTGGTGCTTTCTCCTTGGGAGACGGCATTCAAGAATTCGTACTGCCATCCTGATCTCGTCGATGTCATCCGTACGTCAATATGCGTCGACCGAAATATTCGCTGATGTCACGGAGCCCGCACTAGAACACATATTAACCCAGACAAGCTCTCATCATTCTCCTTCATCCTCCCATCCCAACGCTGAACAGTCAGTCATCAAAAAACCTTCTCTGTTGAACATGTCCAACTCCTACGAATTATTCGACGCCGTCGTCGGCGACCCGAAGGCCGGCTCTGACTTCGACGATAGTAAGCCTCATTCTACCCTCGTTGTCTCCGTTGTCGCTGACACTTTTGCGCAGCCCAGTATCTCCCTCAAGGCACGACCATCAAGTCCATCTCTTCGTATGTTGAAGTCTTGTTCAAAGCCCGAGCATCTCTCTGACTTGTGCGCGCGCTGACAAGGATCGCTGTCCGTTATGGATGGTACATCGACGCGCTCGATGTGGTCTACACCTTAAGCAATGGAGAGCCTCGCAGTACCGGCCACGGCGGCTGGGGCGACAACACGAACATCCAGAACTGGAGCTACAATTTTGGGAGTAAGAACACCGTCTCTCCTGGATCTCGTCTTTTGAGGTTCCTGACGCAATCCTTATCACGCATAGAGGGCGAGCAGCTTCTCAAAGTCGAGGCTCGTGGTGGACCCGGAAAACATGTCAACCTACTCCGTCTTCACGTGGGCACCAACGGAAAGATCACCAAGGTCTTCCCGAGCGAGAATGGGTAGGCCTCCTTGAGTGACCTGCATCCATCATTTTGCCCATTCACCCCGTATTGTGTTCTTTAGGTGGTTCGGTGACAAGAACAAGGGCAGCGGCGATATAGTCACCGTCGACAAGGAAGTCGTAGCCTTTGCCGGGACACAGTCCGACTACATCGAGTGGGTGTCGTTATGTTGCTCGGTCCATCTACCAGTAGATCTAAATTGATTATCCGCAGGAGTCTCCGCTTCTATGTCAAGAAGTAGTCAACTTGCTTACCTGAAAGTAGGAAATCGTGAACGGCTATGGGCTCGTTTACGATAAACCTGATCGGCGAATGTTGCTGTAATCTCGTGGTGCTCTTGTATGCCTGTAGCTCTGTTTGAAAGAACAAATTATGCGCATTGAATTTCGTCGAGACAACATTTTGTAGTATCGCTGGGCATCTGCCTGGCCCCCTCGAGTGACGGTGTTTGTCGAGCACAGCTAATCTGCGGTCACGACTGGTAGCCACCTCCATATGTCGTCTTCCCTCAGCGGCGTCATTGACATCCTCGAAAATCTAGAAGCCTCGAATGCACGTCTGTAAAGTGTACTAAACTGGCGCATGTGCCATACAGCAGTGCATTCCCTCGCCACTTTTACCATCTCGACGGAAGATGTTATTCGCCCGACCATGTCCGCTATCGACAGAAGTGGTCACTCACATTGCCGTCTTTGGTTAATGTCGGACCTGTCTGTAAATAGCGAGCCTGCCCCGGTGATTCTCGTTGAAAACATTGATAGACCATGTAATTATATCGCATGTTTCTAGAAGCGTTCCCGGATTATGAATGCAGTGCCGAAACGGTAGGGGTGAGCGCAAGGATGGCAGTGCAGCGTGCGAACACCATTCTGGCACGGAGGCTGTCCTTAGCTTGGCCCCTGGCATATCGCGTGGACATGCGGATACCGGTTCATAATTTTTCTCGACAGGATGGTATAACGCCGGCATCGGCATTGCCATCGTAAAAGCACAGCAATATCCCCTGCTCTCAGGAAGAATAGAATGAGTACACGAGCAGTGGATACATACCGAGAACCACAGGGAAAGTAACATTTCATGAGAGCGTAAAGGTCATAGAACCGTCCTCATGATGCATAGCAAGACCCACGCCAACCCCAACGTGCTAACCTTCGATGCAAGTAGAGCGGCGCTCGTCTCAGCCACGGCCGCGTCCACCAGCGGCACTGCATCGCCAATCGTCGAATTTAGACAATCAAGCAACGTCGTGTCGATGCCGCTCGGCAGCGGCGTCGCCGTCGTATTCTCGTTGTCGCTCAACGCGGCGGAGTTATTGTACCCGTCAAGCGTAAGCGCGACACTGCTCGAGCGGTAGTATTGAATCGTCTGCTCCGGCTGCGGGTCGGTTGCGCTCGACCCGTTGTACGACGCGGGCACGGTGCTCGAGTTGCTTGAGAGGTCGGTGCAGTTGGAGCGGATCGAGTCGATCAGCGAAACGAGCGTGCTGTTATCTGTGAGGATGTGGAACGTCGTGCCAGTGCTGTTCGATTGGAACTGCGCCTGGGTCATCACTCCGCCAGGGCGTGACGAGTTATCTGGGTTCCCGTACTGCACAAGTAGTGATGGCGTCAGTGCATGTGCCAGAGGGGACGACAATGTCAGAAACGCACTTCGTCTTGGTCATGTAAGTAGTGGGTCCCGCCGACGACAGCGCTAGTTGCAGCGCCGCCCCAGACGATGGGCCAAAAATAAAACGGAAATCCACGCCCTACGACGCCGCGACTGGCGACACCAGGGTATCCGCTCCCGTAAAATCTGCACGATAAGCCAAAGACACGATCAGTCGGAGCCCATACTCTGTATCCAGATATACACTCACGAAAGCCCATATACCTCACTTCTCGATGCGCCTCCTGCGGTGCGCCCTGCAAAGGGCTGCCCGCTCGCGATAGTAACCTGGCGTCCGCCTCCATTGCCATACGCGGTCGCAGACGACTTACCACCGGGAAGATTTGACACGGGCACACTGGACTTTGTGCCGCCTGAAGAACCCGAGGAGCCTGAGGAGCCCGATGAGCCAGACCCTTTCTTCCCCGAACTCCCAGACGAACCCGACCCGCTCTTACCACTGGAACCACCGCCGCTCTTGCCACCACTGGAACCGCCCTTACCGCCGCCGCCTCCGCCTTTGCGCTTGCCTAGACGCTTGCTGTTAGTCGACGATGCTGGAGACGTGAATAATGAAGTGATCCGCATGGGGTGACAAGCAGCTGTTGCTGGGAAGAGGGTATGAGTATAGGGCGAGGCACTAGTGCTACACCACATTCCCCGATCCGGATGATTTCATTCAGGCTCACTCACCGAATGATACGGCAGGGCAGTTGGACTCTACTGTCCAACAGACGACACTCCGTTTCTTATAGAGAAACGCTTAGGCCCTGGGCCACTCCTAGGCCGTCCGCTGACAAGTTGATCCATGCGCGTCCTCTACAGCGCCAGGAACAAAGAATAGACTGGTGATATGTGTGTTAAAATGCAGCGAGGCAGTGCTGTCAGATGTTCGAACGGCCCCCTAACGCAAGACTTGCAAACGTCGGAAACGTCACCAGACACAGCCGAGCGAAGCCAGGCAGTGTCAAATCCTAAACACTAATAAAATGTCATTCGAGGGGGTCTCAGGTGAAGTTCTGTGTTAATGAATCGGCGACAATGGAGGGCACATTGCGGCACAGCAAATATAACTATCGAACTATTCTATACGGGCCGGTTAGACGCCTGATTCATGTCGGGCGATCATTGATTAAGGCGATCATCGTCGTCGTGCGGCCATTCCGTATGATTGCAAGCAACAATACATTGGTGGTGGAAGACGCACCTGCAAGAACAGATTACAGCAGTAGTCTGATTCGCAGCTAGCATTGGAGGCTCTGATTTGACGGGAGATGTCTCAAATGGTTGGCCATACATCACATGCATAAACAGAATTGCAACAGAGGAAAGATGACTAGATGGAATAGAGAGGGCATGGGCGTAGCACCATATGAAACCGCATCCGCATGATATGGGAGGAGAGGAAGCACACGATAGACGAGCAAGATTACGCCGTCCTACGATATAGGTGAACATCACATAGTTAAAAAAGATATTGAACCAGACACTCACTTCTTGTGCAACGCCTTGATGGCAGCAACCTTCTCCTTCTTCTCGGCGATGCGCTTCGCAATGAGAGCACTGACAGCGTCTCGGATTAGCGAATGTATCAGAAAAGAGGAGAATGACTGACTCGTATTCCGACTTCTGCTCCCGCTGGTGCTCGATCCGGCGAGTCTTGAGTGCGTGGAGGTGACGGCGGCGCTGGAGACGAACGGGAGTGACCAATCGCTGAATTTTAGGTCTGTGCGACACAATTCAATACCCAAATTGTTTGGTACAGCAATATAAGCACTCACGCCTTGAAGTAGGGCTTCGCACCCTCCTTCTTCGAGCTCGTAACCTCACGCCTGACAACGTACTTCCTCACATCATCCTCCTTGTTCAAGTTGAAGAATTTGCGAATCTTGGTCGCACGCTTCGGCCCGAGACGCTTGGGGAGAACGTTGTCGGTGAGCCCCGGGATCTCGTTATCGCCCTGCTTGACGATAACGAGGGAGAGGACGGCGATGTCGGGGCCGACGATGCAGCCACGGACCGACTTGCGGCGGCGCTCACCGGCGCGACGGGTGCGGTAGCATGAGTGGCCGTCGGAAAGGAGGAGGCGGACACGGTAGGGGACAAGGACACCCTGCTTCATCGGGAAACCCTGTTTGTCGTTGCCGCCGGTGATACGGAAGACGTAGCCAGCCCACTCATCACCAATAGAGTCGGCAGGAACTTCCTGCGCGATTTTCTTGTCGAAGAAGACACGGCTGTACAGATATGGATATGAAACGGTCAAGTGGATTCAAGGATACATGACTGAAGTAAACGCACTATCTCTTCTCATCATCCAAGTCAATGGTCTTTTGTTCCCCAGTTGCGGGGTCTAATCGAGTGACCAAATTAGCAGCACGCCTCCGACAACGCTGACAATGACGCACAAGCAATGTTGAGCTTCATTCTGATCGAGGCGACAAGAGATTAGGACAGTCAGACAGCGTAGAAGTAATATATACGTGCCTTGAGGGAGAGGATTGGCCTGGTCACCGTTGGCGATAGCGACCTCGAGACTTGCAGACAGAGGAATGACTTGGACAAACAAACAGACACAACCAGGGCGCTGTGGCTGAGCGCGGAAACAAGGTTTAGAACTGTACAGAAACGCAAGCCACCGTTTCTCCTGTCACGCGTGACGCCTGCCCCGCTACTCAACGCGCCCAACGGCAACGACAAGACCCCTCAAGACCTCCTCCCCCCCTCACATTGTGCGTGCCTCTGCCCGTACTCCGTACAAGGTGTCGTGCTAACGAAATTGCCATCTCAGAGCAATCATGGGTCGCATGCACGCTCCCGGAAAGGGCATTTGTACGTCTTGGGTCTTAACTGGAAATATATGAAGGTATGGTCTAAGGCATCTGGGCTTATTTTGATAGCGTCCTCTGCCCTCCCTTACCGCCGCGCTCCCCCTTCCTGGCTCAAGACCACCCCCGATGATGTGGTCGAGCACATCGCCAAGCTCGCCCGTAAGGGCCTTACCCCCTCCCAGATCGGTGTCACCCTCCGGGACTCGCATGGTATCCCCCAAGTGCGCTTCGTCACCGGTAACAAAATCCTCCGTATCCTCAAGTCCAACGGTGCGTTTTTTAATAGGATTTCACAGCCGCTATAGATTGTTGTCGGAGGGAAAAGCGAAGTCAAATAGGGACTGATTGTGGGCTGTTGGGTTCATAGGACTTGGTCCATCCATCCCTGAGGACTTATGGCACCTCGTCAAGAAGGCCGTCGCCGTGCGCAAGCATCTCGAGACCAACCGCAAGGACAAGGACTCGAAGTTCCGTCTCATCTTGATCGAGTCGCGTATCCACCGCCTTGCACGTTACTACAAGACGAAGCAGCAGATCCCTCCCACGTTCAAGTACGACTCTGCTACCGCGTCGACGCTCATTGCATGAGCACGTCACCCGACGTCTTTTGGGGGATGACGGTCAGGCTTGTTGCGGTGTAGCTGCGAGTCGAGGTGTATTCATGTTTTCCGTCTTTTCATCTCTTACATGATTGTGAACGCAATACAAAATTAGGTTTATGCTCGATGAAGCTATGCCTTCCACATGATCGTCCTTTCAGCATTGCATGGCCAGGATCTCTGAGTGATAGAAAATCAACTACCGAAGTGAAAATAGAATCGGATTGTGCAACTGGAGAATCCAAGAGTGTGGCATCCACAAAGCTTGCCCGGATCCAGTCTTAGCGTGCTTGTTTCAATATTGAAAAGCGAACAGCATACCCGCAGGGATAATGTCCACTGAGACATGAGACACAAGTGATGTTCAGATCGTCTAGCAGAGTTCCGGAACGCCCCCATGTGCGACTCTTAGCTGCTTCTCCCTCGCAAAGGATCTCTGGATAATGCGAATATTACATGCGTTCCAACGGGCGGATGCTCAATAGCCGCATGCCGGCCCCGAGCACGTCCCGCGCGCACACATACAACCACATCTTCGCGCGCGCCTTCTCCGCGTCCTTCTCGCCTTTGACGACGACCGTCTCCCACGCGCTCGAGATCGCGTGGCTCAATCGGAATAGGAACGTCACGATCCCGCTGGGCTCGTGCGTCTTCAGCGCGGTCTTGACCACGTCGGGGTACGTGCCAAGCAGGAAGACGATCTCGCGGGCGGCGGGCTCGGTGAGGAGCGCCGTGTCGATGGAGGCGGGGGGCGGGAGCGGGAAGAGCTCGGGGTTTTTACGCGTGAGGGAGGCGAGGCGGACGTGCGCGTATTGGAGGTAGGGTCCAGTGTCGCCCTCGAAGGACTTCATGCGGTCCCAGCTGAATGTGTAGTTGTTGATACTAGACATCGCGAACCGTGAGCGGTCAAAGGGACCAGACGGGAGAAGCATCGGACGCGGCGTACCGTTTTGCAGCCATGTCTTGGATCTTGATGCCCGTGATGCCGATCTCGAGACTCGTCGTCTCGGGATCTTCGACAGCGTTGTACTTGTCCTCGTTCTTGCGCATCTGCTCGTGCATGACCGAGGCTGCTTCGCGGATGATCTGGTCGAGGAAGACGACGGTGCCCTTGCGGGTGCTCATCCCGAGGACGAGACCGTAGTTGACGTGCTCGAGCTTGTCCGCCCACGGGAACTCCATCAGGCGCAAGATCTTGAAGAACTGGGCAAGGTGGAGGTCCTGCTGGGCCGACACGACGTAGATCATTTTGTCGAACTTGTACTGCTCGTACCGCTCGATCGCGCCGCCGATGTCGCGCGTGAGGTAAATTGACGTGCCGTCTGCAATGAAGGAGTGCTGGCTGTTTAACAAGATTAGGGGAAGGGGGAGGGAAGCGAAAAGCGTACCCTTTTTCCGCAACACGGCCTTGCCGAGTTTCCACTTCTCCAGATCGACGAGCTTCGCACCTTCCGCATCGCTGATAAGCCCCATCTCGTCCAGCCGTTCCAGTGCCTTATCCTGCCATTCCTTCCCGACCTTACTCTCGCCCGTATACACGTCGAAGGGTACGTTCAGCCGTTCGTACTCTTCTTCGTATTTCTTCACGCTCAGCTCTCGCCACACCCGCCAGTTCTTCAGCGCCTCCTCGTCGCCATCCTCCATCCGCTTGAACCATTTGGCGGCCTCGACCTTGACGTTCGGATCATTCGCGGCGTCACTGTTGACTTTGACATAGACGTCGAACAGGTGCTTGATCGCGTCTTTCTCGAGCTCCTCTTGCGAGCCGTACTTCTCGAACCCGATGGCGATCATGCCGAACTACACCATCCCGCTTGCTTGAGGATCATAGGCTCGCAATCCAGAGGGACTAGAGCGGACAGACGCACCTGGGTACCCCAATCGCCGAGGTAGTTGAGCGACATGACCTCCCAGCCGCATGCGAGGTAGAGGTTGCGCAAGAACGCGCCGATGATAGTCGATCGGAGGTGCCCGACGTGGAAGCTTTTGGCGATGTTCGGCGAGGAGTACTCGAGGACGAGCTTTTTGCCCTGGCCGGAGGTATTGGAGCCGTACTCGGGCTTGCCGGAGGGTGTGTCGTGCGTGAGGGTGTGCACCTGGGTGAGGACGGAGCGGACGAGGGAGGGTGTTCGGCACATGAAGTGGAGGAAGGCTTTGTCGTGCACGACGCTCTCGACATAGTCGTCGGCTTGGAACTGCATGAACGTACCACCATCGGAACATTCAAGAGGCGCATCATCAACGCAGTAGCCGGGGATAGGAGTCAGGATCGGTGCAAAGGGATGAATATGCTCCTACGACTCACGCTTTCGACGACTTTGGAGGCGTGCTCGTCGACCTTTCCAGGCAGCCTGAAGCGCGGAAGCGCGATCGTAAAATCGACACCTTTTTTGCCATAGTCGACGCCCGAATACACCTGCTCGATGGTGAGCGGCGGCAGGGCCTCCGCGACCCGCTTGGCTATAGAGATCCGGAACGAATCGAGGACCGAGCGGGCGGGATCGGTGCCCGCGACCGGGGGAACCGATGGGAGCGACATGTGTCTCCTGACGACGATATTTCCTGATATGTTTTTGAGGAGGGGGTGGTATTTACAGAAGGAGGACAAGGCCCCTCGGCGCGGCAGAGAGCAGGAAATGACTCGGGCAAGAATTTTGACGAACAGACGGAGACAACTGGTCTATCCGCCACAAATTCGTCCAAAATATCGGCGCACGTGAGAAGAGCCCATCCCTCACGTGGTGCAAGCGCGTCGATGCGCGTCGGATCAGCTCCAAGTTGAACGATGCTTTAGAATCATACACCAGCAGTTCAGGAGAGGCAGATTGCACATGTTTCATAAATAATCAACCACTCCATCCCTTGGTTGAGGACTATACCACAAGGGAACATGTTCTCAAGCAGTCTTCACAAATCCGACACAGATGAGAAACGGGCGATGGATGAGCCCCTGGAAATAAAACCAAATATCACACCTTCGTCTACGCCGCTGAAACGTCGCTGATTTGGATGTGCATAATCAAAGCCTGGCTTCTGACACCCGCCTCAAAGGTGAGTAGCTCGGCAGGCAAACGACGACGCGTGCTGATGCTCTGAAAAGCATCATAACATCACAGCAACGGGTATACGTCGCGCCTGCCACTCCGCCAAACCCCTGCGCAAGCATACGTGTTTCAGTCCTGGAGTTTTGGACACAGCAACGAGGTGGGACCACCGCCTCCAGGTCACCCTCCGACCAACCGAGCCCAGCCAAAATAGACCTCGCTTAGGCATTGCAGGCTGTTGAGGCGACATACAGTGCGCCCTCGCGCATTGCGCATCTCGAACACCCGCCAATAACAAACGGAAGGGGGCCGCAATCATACGCCCGCACTAGCGAACAGCGATGCCGTGACGGTCGCCACGCAAGATCCCGTGAACACACCCTCCATACCCGACAGGATGTTCTCCACAACGGCGCCTGACCGACCGCCAACACGACGACATCCCACGCGTCTCGGCCGACCCTGCGCAGCGCCCAGCCCAGCACCCACCGTCGCACAGCTCGCAGCGCCCCGATGCAAACTCAATCGAGCTCGCTCCAGTCCTGCCCCTGCTCGAGTGCCTGTTGAGGCGACGAACAGAGCCCCTCCCCGCTCGCGCCTCTCGAACACCTGCAATGCAATGCGGTGACACAGCGGAAAACCGGTGGGATTGCTCGCTCGCAGCGGCGACGCAATAGCCACCGGACACGACCCCACCGATGTTCCCTTCTGTCCAATAGTGACCAAGAACACAGCGACCGCCTGCGCGCCTTGACGCGCTGACGGTCTATGTGCAGTGCCCATCCCGACTCCCGAGCGCCCCACACACCCAGCCGCGCTCTGTGTCCGCGCTCCAAAGAACGCAGAAACCGAATGAGGCGAGCTCGTCGTCGAACCACTCACCGAGCACCACGCACCTGCGGAGATGACCAACAGAGCGCCCTCGCTCATCGCCCATCTCGAAATCCAACGACGCGCGACACAACCAAAAAAAAAAAAGCGCGATCACCCGCTCGCATCGGGGCGCAGCGCAGCGCAGGTAATAGCATTTGCGGCGACGCGACGATCGCTAGGCAAGCCCCCCACCTTCATACCCGACGCCCACCGCGCACGGTCGCGAACCTCCGCAGGCTCATTCGCAGTCGAGCCAGCCAGCCCGAGCAACGCGGCGAGCTCATACCCCCGCCACCCGGATGCATCTGGGTCTGCGCCGCGCCCCTCGGAGCCAAAGTCGGAGCACTTGATCGCATGACCGTGACCGCACGTCCGATCAGCATCCAGACGCGACAAACAATGTCCCGAGATGAACTGATCGCGGCAACCTAAAGACTCCAAATTCACAAATATGGGTCAGAACTGCGTCAGAGCGCCCGGAGGATACGATCGATCGCGTCGCCCACCCATGCGAGAGCAGCGATGACCTGCGCCAAACCCGCACCTCCCCGTTCCCGCCGGCGGGCGCAGAGGGCCCGACGACGGACGACGGACGGCACACCGCACTCGAGCCCAAAGCAAACGCAGCAAAAAAGAAGATTAAGATAAACGGCGTCCACAGTTCAATACACTAACACCGCCCCGATTAGCTACCCGTTACCGCTATCCTACCACCACCGGAGACGAAACGAGCCGAGACGAGACGAGACGCGAGCAACGGCGACACGGCGCACGGAGCACGGAGCACGGAAACAGAAGCAGAGAGGGGGACAGAGACAGAGAGAGGGATACAGGCCGTACATACGCACAATCGACATATGTAGCACTTTGCACGGCGCACATACATACATACACAGACACACGCTGCCTCCGCCGACGCCACAGCGCTCGCTCAGATCGAGAGGCTGTACTCGTACTCGCTCGGCGCGCTTTGCGCGATCCAGAGGACGATGGCCGAGAGCATGAACGCGACGTTCTGCGACACGTTCGCGTAGCCGTAGTACAGGAACTCCTCGGGGTACGCGTGCAGCACGTACTTGAGCACCAGCACCGTCTACAACGCCCGCCCACCCACCACCGCACCAACAAAAACGAAAACCCGTCAGCCCACCAAGCAAAAAAGGACAAGCGAACAAAAAAAAAAAAAGAAAACCAGCAACGCACCACGCTCCCCGCCAACCCGCCCGCCATCAGCGCGAACCCCACGAACAACACCGCCCTCGCGCGCCACACCGCGCCCGCGTCCCCATACCCGACGTCCTCCCCGCGCACGCGGTCCTTGTCGATCACGTTGATCACGAGCATCCCCAGCAGCGAGCACAGCCCCGGCACCCAGTCCACGAAGGTAACGTGCACGGGCGCGGGGCGGTCCGGCTCGCCGGCGGGTGGGCGCGCGTGCGCAGAGAGCACGGCGGCGTCGAGGAATGTCCAGATGGCGAGCGCGAACTGGCGGGGCGGCGGCGGCGGCGGCGGTAGCAGCGTGAGAGGTCGGAGGCACGGGGAGCAGGCACGTGGTGAGCAGAGGCAGAGGAGAAGGACAGGAGGGTGGGGGGGGGGCGTGGAGTGCGCAGACTTACGAGGCCGCCTGCGAGATAAACGCCGATGGTGCGCCTGTGTTTAGTGAACGGGAGCGTGAAGTTCGGGAACGGGTTGAGGCAGACGCGGCGGGGGTCGTAGTTCGCGCGGGGCAGCGACATCGTCGTGCAATCGGTCGTGGTGGCGGCTCTGAGCAGCGAGCCTGTCCGCGCACACTGAATCGCCACCCGGCCGCAGCAGCCGTGCGACTCTCTTGCCTTATCCGGCTCCCTCACATTATCCTTGACAGCTTCGAAGCGACACCCCGCGCACACGGCGAATGGATCCAATAAAGCAAGAATATATATATATATGTACGCGAACGGGCCAGATATTACAAAAACACGCAGCGCGGCGCATCCACAGACACACGCAACATAATTACGAAGAACAGCTACAGCAGATGGGAAGGGAGGCGGGGGACGGGAGGCGGAGCGCGGACACGGACGCGCATCGATCCGGAGAGAGATATATTGCTACAGTGGGGACAGACACTTGACGCGCAAGCAGAGCAGTCGAAAGAAAACGACGAAACGACGAGACCGCAGAACAAGAGACGCGCGCGAGGCGCGGATTATCGTAGAAAGACAGCGGGCCCGCGGGGCCTGGGGTATTAAAGAGAGCGCGTACATGGATACAGCAGAGTAGTGTCCGCCCTCGAGGGAGGGCGTCGATGGTTGCGTAGTAGTGCCAGGGAACATGGAACATTTTTGTCGTGCAGAGATGGGATTGATGAGCGTGGGGACGGGGATATGCTGGAGAAGAGGCGTGTCGTCGTCGTCGTCGTCGTCGCGGAAAAGCCGATCAGGTTGGTTCAATGGAAGCCAGGATGCTGCAGCAGGTCGTCCAGGGTGAAGCTCATGCCGACGCCGAGGGCATTGTACACGTCGACGCCGTCGTACGGCGCGTACCCGTTCGGCGCATACGGCGCGTGATTCAGCGACGCGCCCACGGGGTCGCCGGCGGTGCCGGCGGCCACACCCGCCATCCCGAGCGCATACTGCAGCTCCGACTCGCCCGCCCCAAAGCCAAAGCCAAACCCGTCGCCCGCCGCCGCAAAGTCCGCCTGCGCGCCCTTCGGCGCGGGCTCGCCGCCCCATTCGTACGCGCGCTGGGGCTGCGGTGCGTGCAATGGGAGCGAGAACTCGGAGGAGGCGGGCGATCCGGAGCACGTGGACGGCGGGTCCGAGTGCGTCGTGCTGTCGGGGAACGACCACGGCGCGGCGCTGGGGTCGGCATCGAAGGGGTGGGGCGCGGCGGGCCCGAGGCCGAGGGGGTAGTCGGGCGGGTAGTCGGGCGGCATGGCGAACGCGGCGAGGTCGTGCGGCGTGAGCTGGTCGAGCGGGGAGATGTTCAGGTCAAACACGTGCGGCGGGGTGCCGTTCGGCGGGAGGGACGTGATGAAGGCCTCGAAGTTCTAACGAGATTTTCACACATGACAGGACATCGCGATAGGAGCGCGCGCGGGGATGCGACGGCGAGGAACGGACGGGTGAGCCGATCGCGTCGCGGACGAGATGCGCGGGGAGGGAAGCCACTCACGAAGGTGTCGTCGGCGGGCGTCTGTCCCGCGGCGGAGAAGCCGCCGTTCAGGAACGCCTGTTCGAAGAGCGACTCGTCGATCTCCGGCAGCTCAAACTGTTCGCGCGTCGGGTACGAGAACGGCTCTGCCCACGTGCGCGCCACGGCGGGGCCGGCGCTCGACGGGCGCCGGGGGAGCGCGAGGCGCGAGGCGGCATCGGGGGACTGGGGGCGGGAGGCCGACGAGAGGTGGAGTGCGGGCAGGGCGATCCCCGGGGCGTTGAGGGGTAAGGGCACGGAGGAGGGGCGGCGGGTGAGGCCGGAGGGGGTGGTGGAGCGCATCCTGTCGAGGCGCTTGACGGCGGCTGCGAGCTCCTCGCCCTTCATGCCCTCGAGGAGGAGCTGTGCGACGTCCTCGCAGCGCTGTTCGTCCTCGACGGGGAGCGGGACCTTGACCTTCTTCTCCTTGTTCTTGTTGTGGACGGGGCGGAAGCGGTAGTCGGGGTACATGAGCTTGTGCTCTGCCTTTGCGTGCTTCGCCTTGATTTCCCAGACGCGCTTCTCCTCGAGCGGGAGGGAGCGCCAGCAGTTGCCTGTTGGTGAGAAGATATCAGGATCAGGATTGAGATGACCTCGTGATGAGAGGTCGGGAAAGGGCAGTCGTGTGAGATGATGATGAGATGGGATGGGCTGTGATAGCTCGTGAAAAGGGCGAGTGCACGCATCGCGGACAGCTCGATGGGGGTGATGAAGGGATGATGGCGCGCGCACCTATGATCTTGGAGAGCGAGCCGTGGTTTGTCTCGATGGTGCCAGGGACGTGCTTCTGGCGGACAAAGTCTGCGCGGAAGAGCATGAACGCATTTGGGGGGCGGGGGATGTAGCCCTGGGAGCGGCGCTTGCCCGGGGGCAGACGCTTGCGGGTGGGGACGGGGGTGTGGGCGGCGGGGGGGAAGAGGCGGGAGGTCGGGGACGAGGAGTCGGAGGGGACGTCTGGGTCTGGGTCGTTGTAGGTGACGGGGGTGATGTTGGGGGCGAAGGTGACGGCCTTGGGGGACGGGGCGGGGATGCCGTATCTGCCCGGTTTTACGGGTGTGCGGAGGGTGACTGGAGGGGGGGGGGGATCAGCGAGAGCGGGCGCAGAGGAGCAGAGGCGGTACGCACGGAGGGCGAGAGAAGAGCGTCTGCGGCGGGACGAGCGAACGACGGGCATGTCTGCGGAAGCAAACGATGGATCAGCAGGCGACACACAAGCACGAGGATCGAAGCGACCTATGGACGGAAACAAACGAGGAGGGGCAAACAAAAGAGAGAGGGCGGGACTGCAGGGCTTATATCACCGAACAGGAACATGGCAGAAGCGTCCCCTTGTCGTCCCTTTTGGGTCTCCCTTTATTCCTCGACCCCTCCTTCCTTTCAGTCCGGTCCTCCCCTCCAGCTCGCGCGTCCCCCTCGGCCCGCGTCGTGTCCTCGTCGACCCCAAACCCGCGCTCGCCCTCGTCGCCTGCCTCGTCGTCGTCGGTCCGCACAGCTCGCACAGCCCGATCCCAATCACACCGCACCAGCCGCCCGTGCCGCGATAGCCTCTCGCTGGCAGGCGAGCGCACACCACCCTCCTCCTCACACGCCCGCTCTTCTCCCGGCCCTTCTCGGCCCTTTACGTGTTGCGTCGCAGAGAGGCACTCGAAAATCCCTCCGTGCGCCTCTCCTTTTCTCGTGACGCTGCGGTATGACCACGCCCCGTCAGCTTCCATGCCCGTTCGAGGGGCACACTAGTAGCCATCCACGATATCCATCCCTTGGCCCTCCACCGGATCACCGACGCTGCATCTTAACACAGAACGACTGCAATCTTCTGTGTTGGTCAGCCACGGAGACTAGACGCTGCACACCGTCCTCACGAGTCCGACACATCAATGAGCACTAGCGCATTCATCACGAGCCCAGAACACTCGCACGCTGCCCTCCTGATTCCGCACGTTTCCCACCGACTGAATCCAATCAACCGCACGGCGCTCTCGCCGCGCGCGACTCTGCACTCGCCGGGCCCCGGCGAACCACCCGCGCGCCAACCACGTCGACTCGAACCACGAACCGCGTCAGTACCATCTCTCGTCTCACCCCCCACATCGACGCCACCCCCGATCGATCCTCGAACGTGGGCCCTCGAGCCCCCCTTCGCGATCTCCCTTTCCAACCCCGATCCTTGTAATCGATTTCCACCGCTGACCTCCGCTATCAAAAATCAACGCACGGCCGCAAGCGTTCCTTGTACTCTCGAATCGGCTTCTCCCGGTGTTCTCCGCCACCGTCCATGCGCACTACATAGCACTCAGTCTGAGCATTCGCGATCAGATCACAAAGAAGCCCTTCCATCCCACCTGTATCCCACCCCAGCCCACCCCATCGTCGTCCCCGCCCGGCGTGTTTCATCCCCACGCCTGGCGCGGCGCATCTGACGCCCTGCCTTTCCCCTTTCTTTAGTTTTCTTTCCCTCCTCTGCGTCCCGTCGCCTAGCAACCGCGCCACAGATCCTGCGCCGCGAGCTTAGATGCCGGCTTGCAGACCGCTACAGTGATAGTACATACTTAGTACATGTACTGCACATGCACACGTCGCCTTGGATCGTGGCGATGTCGCGTTGTGCATATGTGCGCGGGGATGGCCCCGGGTCCTGATCGTCGCGCGGGAACGAGAACGAGGTCGGTCTGACCGGAGCCTCTGCGCGCGGGGATGCGTCGAGATGTCTACGCGCCGGGAGTCTCGTGGGCTCGGCGTACCTTCGAATGTGGCTGGACGGAGGCATCCCCGCCGCCACGGGTGAGTGAGCGCCGCGCACAGCCATAAGTGCGCCCTCGTCATCCGTGCCCACACGCGCGCGGCACCGCTCTACTACAAAGCCGCGCCTCCAGGCCCGGGGAAGGAGCCGGCCGACGCGACGCGCCCTCGCGCCCTGCCCCTGCGCCAACTCCGATGCCCTCCAGACCCGAGATCGAGATCGACTGCAAGCCCCATTCCATTCCAATCCCATCGCACATCGCCCATCCAGTCCCCATCCTCAACAAACGGTCCGATATCGATGCATCACAGAGCACGGAGCACAGAAGGTCCGCCGTGCATGACGGTCGCGCAGACCACAGCCGTCGGGAACGTCCCGCCAGACGCTACCATGCCTCATCATGCATCATCGCCCTCGATGCGCAGTGTACGGCGTACGCCGCACGCCGCACGCCGGGCTGCGCCGCATCGCCATCGCTCGTCCGTCTCTGCTCGACGGCCGCGCCCGAGATGCTGTTCCGGGGGTCGAGCGGCTGCCCGTCGTCGATATTTTCGATGCGCAGATGATGGCTCAGTAGATCCCGCCAGGGTCCTTCGAGGCGCTGATCACCCAGACCCTTGATAGATAGATAGATAGATAGATAGGTAGGTAGATAGACTCGCGCGCGACACGCAGTTCTATAATTGATTTTTGGTACTCAGTATCTTACCGTGAAGTAGCAGGTCATGCGTTAGGTGTCGACGGCTTCGATTCTCACAGTTCACGTGTCCATGTCCGAGTTCCATCGTCGCCTTGATCCGTCTCGTCATCGCGCTTACGCGCTTCATGTCTTTCCCTTCCTGTGCCAAGTTACATCTTTTGTGTTGAGAAGACGTTTGGTAGATGTACCAGCACAGATATTAACAAAAAGGCCGTGCCCGGAGCGCCGTATGATGGAGTACATACAGAAGATGCAGCACGACACTCGTCTGGTATCTTCGCCGTCTCAAACCATAGTCGCAGCACGTCGCAGCACGTCGCTAAAATGAAAGTAAAGAAAAAAAGGAAGTAAAAGAAGCCCGAGCTAATGAATGAACATAATCTATCTGGCCATCGTGGCATCCCGCATCTTCCTCCCGACGTGACTCGCGAACCCCTCGAACGCCGCCCTGTCCCGCCCGCGCACCCACACGAACGACACAGCGGCTCCCTCGTCGTCCTGCGCGACGCACGCGCGACACACCATAAACGGCGCGCGCTCCCCGCCAGCCGACTCCCTCTTCGCTTCCGCTGCCCCCGCCGCCCCCGCCGCCTCGACGTCCATCGGCGCCTCGGGCGTGGCGCTCGGACGCTTCCGCCGCGCCGCGCGCGACCACGTGTTTGCGGGCGCGGAGACGAGGAACGTTGGAGGCGGCGCGTCGGGGACGGGCGTCGCGCGCAGGTGCGGGATGCTCGCGAGCGTCGCGCGGAGGAGGTCGAGCTGCGGCGTGCGTGGGAGGTGCTGGCGGAGCGTCGTGCGCGGGGGCATCAAACTCTGGAGCGTGGGATTCGGGATCCGGGCGAGGGCCTGATGCGCGGCAGCGTTAGACGAGGGAAGACGGGGAGATGTGGACGTATGGAAATTTCGATGGAAGTTTGCAAGAACGAGAGAGGGGAAGAGGAAGAAAGACGTACGTCTGGGAGGCGGGCGTCGGAGAAGGACCATCCGATGGCCCAGCGCCGCGTCTGGCCTTGGACGAACTCGGTGATTGCGTAGTTGTCGATCTGGGCTCCCATTGTCAGTCGAACTCGAAAATGAACACGAACGCAAAGAAACGCACGGAGCGGGACCGGAGGAGCGCGACGACCTCAGTCAGGGAGGACAGCTTTCCAAGCATCGAGGTGTACCATCTATTCATCAGGAGCGTAAAACACGCGGAATCATCAGCATCAGCATCAGCATCAGCAACAGCGTTGACCCGTGAGTAGACATCAGCGATGGAAAAAATTGCCGCACCGACAGCGCTCCCTGAATTCTACACTCTCCCGGACCATCTTGCACACGAAGGCAGACTCGCCCCCTTCCGTGATCATCTCAACATCAGCGCCCGTACACACCTACACACCCACAATCAACCCGACAGGCCCCGAAATAAACCATAGACGTAAGCCGCAAGCCGCAAGACACGGGACTCAACACGAAACAGAAAGAAGCGGACAATGACATCAGAGGGAGGGCAATATTTAGATGGGAGCTCACCGCATTAGGCCCGAGCGTTTTAGTGTCCGCGGAGCGCGCAACGTCTGCAGCACTGCTGTAGAAGGGAGGGTTACACATCACGAAGTCGAACCTGCGCCGCGTGAACAGACGTCCCGTGCGAGGATCCTCGGAGTCAGAGGGGAGGACTGGGAGTGAGCTGCAGATAGAGCGACATGGACGCACGATTTTGTGGAGTCCATCGCGAGTGGGACAAGCGTTGGTCCGTCTGGCGAGGCTCGCATGATGTGGGTGCGGTCGGAAAGCCCGTTGCGCTGCACGTTCTCAAGTGCGCATCGAAGAGAGATATCATCGACATCTTGCCAGGCAACCAGTAATGTCGGTCAGACAACCCTCGGACGGCCGGGTGCAATTTTCATGAAGAAAAAGGAACATACCGGTGCCAATGAGTTGCCAGCTCGGAGACAGGCTACATGCGAGGAGTACATAAATGGCTGAGGCACCGGTACCTCTAGGAAACGAGTCTGAGGAATTTGAGACGCGATCGTTTGAATGGCAACATACATGTCGATTCCGCGGACAGGATCATCTGAGTTATCAGAGGTCGCGCATAGGATATCTTGGATCCAAAGAACATAGTTGAGTCTGTCATAAGAACAGAAAATTTCAGGGTGAGATGACACGCAGTTGGAGCGAAAATCAATACGAGCACTATTCGAGGCGTGGATAACACCGAACGTGCACGCGAGGGCAGCTCACCTGTTAGGCACCTAGCAGTTCCATGAGAAAATAGTCTCAGAATTCACCACGCGCGAGGAGACGCTCCAACGCTTCTCACTCACTGGTGGACACAGCCGATCCTCAGGAATGCGGAGAGATAAGCCAAAATCGCGATGCATTAACGCTTCCGTCAGCCTCCTGCGCTGCCCAACATCGACAAGTCAATAAGTCTGCCACGGTTCAAAGGGATGCACACACCTCTGCGCTGCTTCATCCTTATAGTTGATAGTAACACCGCCACCCGCCGATTCAATCAAGCTGACCAAACAGGCATGAGCTAAACTCTGTCACGGTTCTTATACGCTCTTTCTTACTGTTCTCGGAGGGGCGAATAGGATTCAGCGAGAGAGACGAAGTCAGGGGGCGTTCGATATGGATTTCGGGGATGCATGATAGGGTATGTCGCTTCTGTTATGTACAACCGGTAGTCAATTTCTGACACGAGAAACAGGGTCGTATCACTTACCGAAAGCCCAAGGCAGTGGATGCCACTGGTTCGAAAGTTCAAAATGCTCTTAAGGTGGCCCTGCCTGTGATGACGTCATCCAATTGGTTCAAAAATAGGCTGTCGAACGTTTCTCTCTCGGCTTCAACCCTCTCTCAACTTCAACCCTCAGAGCCATGTCGGGCGACAATCGTCAATGCTATGGTGATCAACAATTTCATAGACATGCGTCAAATCATGCGCATGCTCTCAACTTTCAAGTCTTTCAGAGACACTTTGTATTCTCTCAGTAATCAGCCAGGTCATCTGAAAATCTACGACAACGGTTCTTAATGTCAGGGATCATCTTCCGTACCTTGGATATTTTCTGTAGGCCACCATTCCGGACTGTTCCTTGATTCGACTTGGGCGATGTCTCCATTAGATTCCTGGCCGCGCGGTACAGCTTGATTCAGCTGCCCTGGGATTTTGTATACGAAGTACCATCGGTGTTGGTCGCTGATACTTCTCTATTTCTTCATTGGATCTAGATTCTATTGAATGAAGCTCAGGTCTATCTTTCTCCTCGAGGTGGTGAAAGTTTACTTCTTATCTGTTCTGTGCAGCGGGCAAGGTGCGGCAGAAGCAAGGGCGTGTACCATTTCAGTCCTTACCAGGGGCTGGACGCTGACCCGGACGACGAGCTACAGTTCTGGGGTTATCGCATTGGAAATCTCTCGTGTACCTATTCTATGTCAGCAGCTAATTACCTGCTCCTGAGCCGACCTACAGCTTAAATCTGCTATATAAACCGTTTGGTGCTTGTCTTGCTGTTTCCTCATCCCCCTCGTCCAGTTTCATCTCTGCGAGCTCCATCCTCTTGATCATCTGCTTTCGCCCTTCGTGGTCTAACATCGCAACTATGTTCTCGTTCGCCAAGGTTGCGTCTTTCGCTGTTCTAGCGTTGGGCACCCTCGCTTCCGCATCTGCACTCCCAGCGGTCAAGAACGCCGCACCTGTCACCGCCTCCAAAGCGACCATCCAAAAGCGTGATGATACCAGCATTGCCGCTATCTTTGCGAACCTGAACACGGCGCTCACGCCCGTTCTCTGTTTGTCACCTTTTCCATATTTTTTTCCTCCAAGACCCGCGACTGACACCTGTCCTTTCATCGCAGCTGGACTTACCGGGGCCACCGACACTGCCACCGTTCAGGCAGGCATTAGCGAAGTCACCTCGCTCATCCAGAGCGCCACGACCTCCCTTTCGGGCCTCACCGGGGAGCCCCAGTCCGAGGCGCTCGCTACCCTCGACGGCACTGGTACTCTCAGTGTCAGCGATGTCGCAGGCCTCCTCGGCGGACTCTTGAACACCGTCTTCGGTGTCCTCGGTCCTCTCACTACAGGCACAGACGCGACGGGCGGGCTTGACCTCCTTACACCTCTTCTGTACATCTCGTATCCGCTTGGATGGTTTTTTGATTGGGCTGATGAGCTCTCTCGCATAGGGACGTGGTCTCGTCGCTGCTGAGCGTCGTACTTTCGCTCCTCGGTACATCGGGGCTGCCCCTCGTCGGCGATCTCTTGCCGCTCATCCTTGGGCTCCTCCCCACGCTCCTCGACCTCCTCCTTCCTATCCTCTTGGGATTGCTTTCCCTCTGAGGGTCTTCTGGGTGAAATGGTGAGCAAAACTTTATGCGACCACGCCTTTTGTTACGCTCTCCAGCTACTCACATCTAAACGAGTAGAGTGTCCCGATTCTTCAATAATATGTGCGAGCAACCTCTTCGAACGTTGCTTGCCGATGACTTTTTCGCTTAACCCTGTCCTTTTTTTTTTTTTTGCGGTTGACAAGAATGTACCCACCGAGATTTTCTGATACTCTGCCTTCCAACCTTGAAAGTTGAATTTGGGCTTGTTCAATTGAGATGCCCGTATGTTGCCGCTTGCGTAAAAGCTTTCCCCCTTGAAAACCGCAACCCTGCTGCACCGACCTGGAAGTAGCTTTCGAAGCCACTATGGGGAATACGTTGTGACACCAGCCGGTCGGTGAGTATTCGGCGACTGCCGCTGTCTCAGACTGTCCCGCCCGCTCAACCGCCCGCTCCTCATGGCCATACGGCTTGTCAACGCCTCCTCCGTCACTGCGCTGACGTTCCGAATCTTCCCAACTCATACATCGCGCACAGATAAGTACTAGCCTAGCCGCATACTGACCTCACACTGACTATGTTCTCATGCCTTGTATCTTGCAGCGTAATTGTGACTGAATTTGGCCTTACAGGTGGCAGCGTTACTGTCTTCAAGAATCAAGACCAAGATACCCTACAGACGTACAAGTCTTCACTCATTTGAAATGTGACTTGACTTAGCATATAGACTGGTCCAACAATCGAAGAGGTGAACACAATCTTTCAGCCAAAGACCGATGAGTTGCGAGTGTTTGTATGGATTTAGGTATGGGTGTGGGACTGGTTTGGAGCATGTGCTAGGTGTGTCGCTTCTGCAACGTAAACCCTATATGCTTCGTTTCTCTCTTGCTTCCTATCGCGACATCTTGTTTGGAGCTCCACAGTCCACTCGGACAGCGTACGTTAATCACGCATTGTGATTGTGAAGGGTATGCAGGACGAGTTCATTCCGGCTGCTTTACACCAGAAACCTCGTCGATGTAGTCGACATGTGAAGGGCAAAGACGGCATTGAGCGACGACAGCCCGATGACTGATGGGCGGGCGCACTAGATCAGGAAAGTCTCGCTACAACTCCGTGGACCACCATGGGAAAGCGTCATTCATGGCTGACAGTCGGCTTCGATGATGAGGGACGACGTCATCCAACATCTCAAGTTCTCCAAAGGCTCGCAATGTACATCCAGCCCTTACCCCAGAGCTCAGAGGTCAATATGGTGAGTAATAACGGCATAAAAACCTCACGAGCGCACAACAATATTCCTACTCGTATGGCAGGCTGCTCGATTTGTGGGAATACATCAGTGCACATGTATCCTTTTGACAGTTCTCCATTCCATGATTCGTCTTCCTGATCATCTTTCACTATTTATGGTATGTTGCTTCATTCAATTGAATACTTCCAGGTATACACCTGCCCTCAACATCTGTGATGACTTCTGAGAAGAAGCGACGGAGCAGCCAGTGAAAACTCACTGCCTCGAGGTTGTCATTCCATATCTAGGGCCATTCCGCTCCGTGACTTCGGGTTTTGGCTTCTTTTCTCGCTCCCGATCCCAACTTGTCGGGAGGTGCGGCGGGAGAGAGGGCCTTCTGGCTCCAGCACGCTGGATGCCGACCAACGAGCTATGGAACACCACTTCTGTTTTCCGTCTGGAACTATATCTTGTTCTGTTCACTCCCAGCCTTGACACCTAGGACGCACTGTGGAGCCGAGTCAGCACTCTCAAAATACTATTTGAGCTCGTTGGTCTTGGTGCTCATCCCCTCGTCAAGCACCCTCAGTGAGGTCTTGTCTTTTGGTCCTTCGCCTTCACACTTTGTGTCTACACATCGCATCATGTTCTCGTTCTCCAGGGTCGCTTCTTTCGCTGTCCTCGCTTTAGGCACCCTCGCCTCAGCGTCTGCAATCCCAGCAGTCCGTGAGACTGTGCGCGACCTCATCGACATCCCCGTCAATGTGGACCCTGTCATTGCCACTGTAACGACTATTACAGTGCGTGACGGCGACAGTTTAGCGTCCATCTTCGCAAACCTGAACTCAGCACTTGGCCCCGCCCTTTGTACGCTTCTTTCCGTTCAATATTCTCCTGAGCCGATGTTGATGTATTCATTTCAGCGGGCGTTTCTTCGGTCAAAGACCCAGCGACGGTGCAGTCCGGCGCGGTTAAGGTCACCTCACTCATCCAGTCTGCTACGACCTCCCTGTCAGCGCTTTCCGGTCAGCCCCAGTCCAAGGTCCTCTCCAACCTTGACGGCACAGGCGTGCTCAGTACCTCTGACGTCGCGAGCCTCGTCGGAGGGATGATAAATAACGTCTTTGGTACCTTCGGCCCTCTCACCACAGGCACAGATGCGGTCACCAGCGTCGATGTCCTTACGCCTCTTCTGTATGTCCCTTCTCTTTTTTTATGGTTCTCTGCTCATGCTGATATGTGTTTCTATGCCGTGTAGTGGTGTAGTTGGGATTTTTCTGACTGTCGTGCTTGGGCTCGTCGGTGTGTCGGCATTGGCGCTCGTCGGCTCCCTCCTGCCGCTCATTCTCGTGCTCCTCCCCACCGTTCTCGATCTCGTGCTCCCCCTTGTTTTGGGCTTGCTCTGAAGGCTTCCTGTTACGGCGAGCTGTTTTTTTGGTGCTCATTGCAAAACCAGATGCTTATATCCAGCAATAGCAGAATACCCTGGCCTCGCAAACGAGAGGAGATTTGTTGTTGTTTTCAAAAAATATTCTATCAACGATTTGTTACGATTGATCGAATCCATCCCCCTTTTTTTTTTGTAGTCTTGTTGAGCGTGTGTGTACGATTGCGCTACCGATGGCTCCCGGATCTTCCCTTTAAGAACCATAGTTCTATTGGAAGTGTATTCGTGCTAGTTGTGCTCCACAGTCCCGTAAATAATAATTATACAAGGGAGTTGGACGCTGGAGAAAATTACAAGGTGTTCTAAGGCCTGTCTTCAGACTGATCTGTACGCCCAGAGTGGGATCAGCGCTGTCTTTCCCTATGTAATCGAGTCTTCGGATGATTTAAATTCTTACTTCGCAATTTTTTTCGTTCTGGTCCACCTTTGACATGGAATAAATGAAAGGCTAAAATTCAGACCAGTGAACGTTATAGACGGCGGTCAACAAGTAGAGCGTGGGCTCATGGGCTCGGATGACGTCACCGCGACCTCTTGGCAAGTTGCAACGAGCGAATCTTCATCCGACACACAACGTCCCTCATCCCATCTCCAGAACGAAAGACAATGCAGGACACTTGGTATGGTAAGTGCGGAATGTGAGGTGTGTACAGCAACCCAATGAGCGTGCTTTATATCTGCTCTGCTGGAATGAATGGCGCTACCTAGGTTCATCTCTGTCAGCACGTCCTCAGCACCGCCAACGTCTCCCGCAAACAACCATTTCTAGTTAGGCCTTGAAGCTCAGCTACGGACGACACGCTCGAAAATCTCCCAGGCTGCGCGGTACGACCCGATCCAGTTCTTCTTGGATTTTGTGCTTGCTTCTTCGACGAGTAGCAACGCTCTTCGACGCTCATTTACTGCCTCGAAGTCGTCAGATCACACGCACAAGGCGTGTTTCGTACCACGGGGCTAGGATCTGCTTCGTTCCTGTTTCGCATCTTGCTGTCTGCACATCGGAGAAGACCGTGGAGCGGGAGAGAGAGGATATGCACGCCTTCCGCTCTGTGCAGGTCGGATGTTGGCCTGCGAGGGATGGAATGAGGTTGCCGTCAGAAACAGCTCGTCCCATTGCTCTGTCTCGGTAGCAAAGCAGCTGCCCTCGGGATAGCTTTCGTAGCTCGCTCGAATCCGCTATTTAAACCGCCCGCTGCTCACCTTCTGTTTCCTCACCACCCGCCCCCGGTTCAATCCCTGCGAGCTCTTGCCCCCTTGATCCTCTGCTCTCGCACTTTGTGGTCTTTGCCTACCATCCCATCATGTTCTCCTTCGCCAAGATCGCCTCGTTCGCCGCCCTCGCTCTGGGCACCCTCGCCTCCGTGTCTGCGGTCCCAGCAGCCAAGGACGCCGCCGTCACCGCTCCCGTTGTCGTCGCGGCACCCGTCACGGTCGACCCCGTCGTCGCGCCCGTGGTGACTCTCGAAGCACGCGCCAGCACCCCCAGCATCGCGTCCATCTTCGCCAACCTGACCTCCGCGCTCGAGCCCATCCTCTGTACGTCTCCCGCGCTCCCGCGCTCCCCGCCCGCGCCCCCGCTAACGCGCTACCCCAGCCGGCCTATCCACGAGCACCGAGCTCGCCACGCTCGAGTCCGAGGTCGCGACGATCACGTCGCTCATCCAGTCCGCCTCGACCTCCCTCTCCGCGCTCTCCGGCCAGCCCCAATCCGTGATCCTCGCGAACCTCGACGGCACCGGCCTGCTCAGCACCGACGACCTCGCGGGCCTCCTCGGCGGGCTCCTCAACAGCGTCTTCGGCACGCTCGGGCCCCTCACCACGGGCGCGGACGCGGTCGGCACCCTCGGCGTCCTCACGCCCGTCCTGTACGTTCTCGTCTTCCTCGCCGGGTTCGCGCGACTGACGCGTGGGGCCGATGCGCAGGGGCGTCGTCGGCGTGCTGCTGACCGTCGTGCTCGGGCTCGTCGGCGTGCTCGCGGGGCCCCTCCTCGTGGTGGTGATCGGGCTCGTCCTCGGGCTGCTCCCCGCGGTCCTCGGCCTCCTGCTCCCCATCCTCCTCGCCCTGCTCCTGCTCTGAGGTGCGCCCGGTGGGGCGACACGGTGAGCGAGCTCCTTTCCGATCCGCGCCCGACGCGTAAGGCGGACGCTTATGCTCTCGTATCAGGTGGGACGTCGTGCGCGGGCTTCGCAGACGAGACGAGACGACGCGGGGGCGCGCTTGATTAGATAGTTCTCGCATTGTCTCGGGACGTTTACATTCTTCACGCCGTTGTTGCGCCCGCTTGGCGGACTCGTTGGGTTTAATGGTATTTTGTGTTTTTATTTAATCTGGTGGGATCGCGATGTCGTGCGTCGTGCGTCGTGCGTTCTCATGCTTGCGCTCGAGTCAGTCAGTGGTCGCTCCCCGCAGACTCCTGCTCTGGGAGGATCATCTAAGCGACGACGGTGCGTGCCCTACCTTTCGACGCGCCCACGACGCTCGACGACAGGTCGTGGCTCCGGCACTCGGTAGGCAGCCAACAAACCACACCACGTCATACCTCGCCTCGCCTCGCCTCGCCTCGCACTTCACCGCAGACTCGGACACGGGCAACCGAGCAGAGAACCCGGGAACAACTGACCGACTATCGGCTTTCATAAGGTAAGTTAGGATACAGGGCGCGGAGGCGGGCGGGATACAAGACGCGGCGGCGGGGGATCGGGGTGCGGGGGCGTACAGGTGCGTGAGTGGGAGTGCGTGTGCGTGTGTAGCGATGTAGCGATGTAGCGATGTAGCGATGGGTTGTGGACTAGAGCTGGGACTGGGGCTGGGACTGGGACTGGGACGAAGGAAACGGAAGGGGAGGGGAAGGGGATTCTGGGAGACGGGGAAGAGAGATGCGGAGATGCGGAGAGAGAGATGCGGGGAGAGAGGGCAGAGAGCGGAGAAAGCAGAGAGGGGGAGGCGAGGGGTAAGGGAGTAATGTCAGATAGAGCATGGGAGGGGGCAGCGCTCGGGAGGGGAGGGGTGGGGTAGGGTGGGTGGGAGCAAGGGAGGGCAGGGAAACATACAGGTAGCGCGCGCTCTACATCACAATACGCACGCACGCACGCACGGAGACGAGTCCCGTCCGTCCGGAATTACCTAGCCATCAGAGTCCAGAACGGCGCGCGAACGGACGAACGGACGAACGAGAAGCAAAAGGTCGCAAGACAGAACGAACGAACGAACGAAACGCAAAAGATCGAGAAAGAAAGAAAGAAAGAAAGAAAAGAAAAGAGACAGCAGACGAACTCCAGCCGACCGAAAAAAAGCACGAACGGAAAACACGAACGCGAGCGAACCCTCCAACCCCCCAACGCCCGCCTCCTACTCATCGTCCCTCCTACCCCCTACCACCTCCTATCCCCGCGCGCCCTCCGAAACCCTCCTCAGCCTCCTCGGCTGCCTCTGCCGCACCGGCACTGGCACTGGCACCAGCCCCGCCGCGCCCGCGCCCACGCCCGCACCCACGCCCCCTCGGGAGCCCAGACCGCGCGCCGCACGCCCACCACCACCACCGCCTCCTCTATCCAGACCTCCTCCCGGACCACTAATCGCGCCGCCCGGGCCACCTATCGAGCCCGCCGGACCGCCCGCCGCGCCGCCGAACCCGAACCCGAGGCGCGGGAAGAAGCGCTGGAAGAGCGGGCGCTTCGTCGCGGCGCCCGTCGATGTCGATGACGACGTGAGGGAGGTGGGCGATGTGGGCGAGGTCGGGGACGCGGGGGACGCGGGCGATGTGGGCGATGTGGGGGAGCGCGGGGCGTAGAATTTGTTGGGCGGCATCGGTGTGTGCGCGTGCGCGTGCGCGTGGGGGGCGAAGGAGGGCGGGATCGGGGGCTGGTGGGGGTACGAGGACGAACGTGTGAGCGACGGCGAAGAGAAGCGAAGAGAGGGAGATGGGGAGCGCGGCGCACGCACCACGACGGTGACCTTCTGGCCCGGGGACGGCAGCACATAATACGTGCTCCCCGAGCTCGCGCTGGCGACCTCCACCGCGTCGCCGTGTCCGCGTCCGCGTCCGTGTCCCGCGGCGCGCGGGGGGTCCGCGAACTCGGGCGGCGACGGCGTAGGCGACGGCGACGGGGACGCGGACGCGGAGGGAGAGGCGGAGGGCGAGGGCGAGGGGGAGAACTGCTCGTAGAGGCGCCCGCGGCTGGGCGTGCGGCCTTGTGGCGCGTAGATCTGCTGAGCATGGGGTTGCTGTCGTTGCTGGGAATACTGTTGTTGTTGTTGTTGCGGGTACTGGTGCTGGTGGGAAGCGTGATGACGGGAGCCGGAGCCGGGTGTCGGGTCCGAGTAGGACGCCGCGATGCCGGGCGGCGGGGGCGTCTTCGTGGCGTGGTGCGAGGGATGTGGGGGGTGTAAAGAGGCGGGGTAGGAAGCGGCGCCGGTTGTGGTGGTGGGGTGCTGGGAAGCGGAGCGCTGGAGGGCGGAAGGCGGGGGGTAGGGGAGGATGAGCGGGGGGTTGTAGGCGTATGAGGCGGCGGAAGCGGCGTGGTTGGAGGGGGCGTAGATGATGGGGGGCGGGCGGTGGTGGGGGCGGTGTTTGTGCTGGCTGTGGTGGGAGGCGTTGCTGGAGGCTTGCGAGCGCGCGTGCGGCTGTGGATGCGGTTGCGGCTGGGGGTCGAGCGCGGCGGGGTCGGGCGGGGGGTGCGCGGAGAAGGCGTACACGGGGGATGGGGAGTGGATCGGGGGCGGGGGGCGGGCGCCGGCGCGCGGGACGGAGTGGGCGGGGTTGTAGATCATCTGGAGGGACGGGTGGGTGTAGGCCGTGCGCGAGGACTGCGAGGACTGGGGGGAGTGCGACTGGGAGTGGGAGGACTTTTTGGAGCGGGAGCGCGGCGCGTGGACGGGCGCGGCGTGGGAGGCGGAGGTGGGGGTTGTGGGGGAAGGGTGGATGTGGATGGTTTCGGGGTGGCGGGCGAGCTGGGAGGGCGCGGGCGCGGGAGGGATGTAGAGGGTGGTTGGGGGAGCGGGGTGGGGCGGGGTGCGGTGGCTCGCGGGCTGACGCGACGGGGAGGACGCGGGCGGCGGGTAGGTCTCTGCGCGGGCGCGAGCGGGGGCGGGGGCGGGGGCGTAGGTGTGGGGCGCGCGAAAGGACGCGGGCCTGCCGCGGTCGTCGTAGATGGGGATCTTTGTGCCATCTGGGTAGTTGAGGTGCATCTTCGGGGGGAGCGAGTGCACGCTCGCGTCGTCGTCGTCGTCGGGAGAGCTCATGCCGTCGTCAGAGACGTGGATGAAGGACGGGCGTCTCCACGGGTCGGCGAAGGCGGTGGCGGCGGGGGTGTGTGTGGCGACCCAGTCGGCGGTGCGATGGCGCGAGGAGCGGAAGTCGGCGATGGCCTCGGGGGAGGAGGTGTACTCTGTCATTCCTGCATGCGAGGGGCGAGTAGATCACGACGGGTGAGAGAGACGGGTGGGGGGGGAGGAGGGGCAGCGAGGAGGGGAGAAAGGGAGATGAGGCCCGATCTGTGCTTTATAGTCGCCGGCGCCATGAATCGGTATTCTTGGGCTGGAGCTCGAGAGGGCGGAACGCGACCTGGTTCAACGGGCCGCGGACCTCCCCATCGCGAGGCACGGCTCTTTCCGGCTGCGGTCCACAGCTCCCTGCGCGCACCGGCCGACCACGCCCAGCTCTGGCCCGAGTCCCGCCAGCTCACCGCAGCCTTACATCTCCCCCGCGCCCAGCGTCAGGCATCTCATCGCCCACCCGCGTATGGCCATTCCGCCTCTCGTCGCCCCAATCGCCTTTCCCAGCCCCGCCCACTCGCCGCAGCTCGGGTGCCCAGCCCCCATGTGACCCGAGCCACCGCGCCTGCGCTCCTATCCCCGCCTCCTTTTCCGCTCGCCATCGCCGCACGCGTTCAGTTCTGCCCTCGCTCTTTCCTCCCGGGGGTGCAACCCGGCCCAGGGTCCGCGGACGCCTGAATCACAGGTCGCCCGTCTAGACTCCCTCGATGCATGCCGGCAAGCAGACCCTGGCCTTTCCTGTATGTGCGAACGTGATGACTGACCGACCGGTCCTCACTTACTGCACTTACACGCCACGCCACGCACGTCACGCCACGTCTCGGCATGACTCGGTCTCTCGCAGTCCAGTCGCCTGCCGTCAGCCACTGACGCATCTCCGGGCCCTCCTCCGCGACGCCTGCGACGCCCACGGCGCTCGCAAGGGGGACTTGCGCATGCGCACGCCCACCAACACCACGCGATCACAGAAGCACCCCCCTCCCTCCTTCCTTCCCTCTGCTCCGCCCCTTCCGACCCCTGTCCTTCTCCTTCTCCTTCTCTCCCCGACTTGGCTTCGCACGTCGCCCCCGTCGGCACCTCCATCTCAGGGTGCGATCTCCAGACTCGTCCGTACCGTCCATCCATTATAATAACCCCTTGGAGCCGCCGCTTCTCCCACGCGCTCACCACCACACCCCCCAATGGCAGCGCGGCGACGTCGTGTGCCGACGTCGCTGCACTCGCCGCGCACCGACGTGCACCGGCACGGCGCGGGACGGCGGGTCCGTGCATATGCGCGCATGGCCTGCTCTAGGGGTTTGTTCTGTGCTGCACTGTACTGTACTGTGCGACGCGCTGCGCCGCCGTGCGTCCCGTCTGTCGTCGTCTCGCGCGTGCTGCGTGCGGCGCGGTGGGGCCTCCGCTCAGGAGAAGAGCCGCGCGTGCGCGCACCAGATAGGAGCTGGCGAGGTAGCCGCGCCGCGGTCGATGGCTCGACGCGCAATCAGCGACGATCGTGTTTGCGTCTGTGCGCATGCGCGGGGCTGGATCTGCCCTGCTGGGCTCGCCGCGGGCGATCCTGACAGCGCGCGTGCGCGCATATACGCACACGCCTGCTCGGCTTGGTCTCAGCGACATCTTCGGTTCACAGCGTTCGGGAATAGCAATGGTATGGCTGGCTGATCGTGCGGGCTTGCCCCGTCCGGTTGTGGACGCGGCCCCTGAGTGCGTCGCATGTGCTCTGGTCGCTCTCTGGTTGCTGTCTGGTCCGGTGGTCTGTGTACCGCTCACGGGAGACGCGGCGGCTGGCGTTTGACGTGCTCCCGCACCCCACTCCCGCCTTTCTCCCCCCCCCCCCTCCTTCCTGATATTCCCACCTCCGCTAAAGTCGCAGCCCGTCAGGCGCCGCGCTGGCCCAGCACCATACCAGGCGCTCTGCGTCCACGCACCCCGACAACCCGCGACCCGCGACCCGCGACCCGCAACCCGTGCCCCGTGACCGCACGCGCTCCCATAACGGCCCCCAATCCGAGTCGACGTTCCTCCGTGCGCCCGTTTTGTCGCCCGTTCGTCCTTCTTTGCTTCTTTGCTGGCTGGCTTCGTGATGTTTGGCGCGGTTACAGCATCGCGCCATCTGGCCATGTCCCGTGCGCGTGTGCGTCTGTGGGCGTGCGTGCGTGCGTCTGGGTGTGCGGTCCCAGGGGCTTCTGTGTTTCGCCCGCGCCGTTCCTTCTTTGGCTTGTTTGTCTTCGGCGCTGCGTGCGGGACTAGGGAGACGCTCGGGAGTTTGGATCTCGCGGGATAGGTAGGCGCGCGGGCAGGCGGCGAGCGGTGGGGTCGGGGTCTCAAGACTTGCTGGTGGGGGGGAGCCCTCACTTCCTTTTGGTCGTGCCGCGTTCTGGGGGCGGGGTGGGGCGGGGTGGGTCGGGGTGGGTGGAAGCTGGGGATTCGCCTTGGGTCGTGGGGGGGCTATGGGGCCTGCGCGTGTACGGTACGTACGTAGCGTCGGATGCTGTCAGACGCCACCAGGGTCCTCCGATCTCGGATCGCGCGCGCGTCGTCGGATCCCAGGTCTCTTCTCGTATGGCGGTCTCGCGTCCTCGTCCTCGTCTTCGTCATCCCCATCGCGCGTGCACGTGCGTGGCCGACTCGTTTGGGCGTCGGCGTCGCTGTGGCGGGCGCGTGCGGGTCTGTGGGCAGGTCCTCCTGCTTGCTGTTTGCGGCCATCTGATCGTCTGGTGCTGGCTCAGCGCTCGTGTGCGTGCCGTCTTTCGGTCGGGGCGCTTGTCGCGCTCTGCTCCTTCCGCTGGAGTCCGCTGGAGCCCGTCGGCTCTCTGCTCTCTGCTCTTTCGACTTCTGCGGGTCGTTGGATGTCGAGCGGGTCTCGGAGCTGGAGGGGTGGCGCCCTCAAACTTCTGCGTGTTCGTGTCGTCTGATCTGCTGACCTTGGCGGCTGGCGCTCGTTTGTGGGGGCGACAATGGCCGTCTGTGTCGTGCTCTTCGTCAGCTCGCCGTGCTCTGTCCCCCCTGGGCGTTTCTGGGCTCGCCGCCGTCTTCGTTGATCCTGCGGCGCGCGCGGATCTTGCGCCTTCTGATGATTGCGCTGGTGCTGGTCGTTCTGTGGATTCGCGGTTCGGGAGCGGTTTGCTGGGCGATTGCTTGCGTGGGTGCGGGGGCCTTGGGTTGTGGGATCGATCTGTAGGGTGTCTGATGTGCTGATGTGCTGATGCGCTGATGCGCTGTTCTCTGGGGTCGTCTTGCGGTTTCTGTTTGTTCGGGATGCTTTGATTGGCTTGTGCGCTGTCTTCCGCCCCACTACATGCCCAAGCAGCGTCTCTGGTTGGTCACTTGGACACGGAAACCTTGGATGGTGGCTGAATACTCCTTTCAAGCTTCAACGCGTCGCTGAAGACCATGTTTGGCCTGCTCGAATGTTCACTTTGTATCATCCGCCTCATTCGCCGGTGGCCTCGTGCATTCACGACGCATCCCACCCTCGTTATCATCTCTTCATCTCCGTTGCCTCTTGCGGTCTGCCCGCGCCCAATTCATGTCGTCTTCTCTCGTTCCCTGTCACATTGCATACTCATGCACACGCATACATTCTATGTCTGGGTGGGCCACGTAACCCCGCTCCAGCGATCAATACTCGATCTGTCACGCCCTGTTTTTCCCGCCTGCTTCGCCTTTAGCCTGTTCTGCCTAGGTCTTTGCGCAACCCTCCCCTGACCTGGTGTCTCTGTATGCTATGTATAACGCTGGCCGCCCTGTCACGCTATCTCTCCGGGTGGTGACTTCATAGGTCGCCTCTAATCTATTCATTGCTTCCGCCTAGCGCTTCGCTATGACGTCCATCGTCGACGCTCATGACCTTCATCGTCCTCTTTTACGCTTGGCCCGTATCATCACTCGTCTCGATGGCGTTCACACGGAGACGTCACCAGCCCTCTTTTCCCTTCACCTTTGACACTGATTGGACGCGTCGCAGCTCACAGCCTCTTTGTCTAGGTTACTCACGATGAAGTCCACCCGGTCCGTCCGTCCAAGGCGTACTCGCAGCTGGGTCCCGGATCGGCGAGAGCGGGCGTGTCTGCGGACGTAATGACCCCCTCCGTCCGAACCAACCGCCTCGCGAGTCGACTCCCCGCACCCAATCACCCGCTCTCCTTCCACGGAGCTTCGTCTGTTTCTCACCTTTCACCTTCATGCGCGGATTCGCACCGCGTAACGCGCGCCCCCGTACGCGCCTCGTGGCGCCTCCGTTTCTACGTCCGCTTCGGTGGGCGCGCCGCCCCGCGGCGACCGCGGCGTGCGCAGCCTGATGGTACCCAGGACTCTCCTTGCGCGCTTTGGCCACCCGGACGACGCCCGCCCGCTCTGGTCGCTCGGCCGCCCCTCCTCGCGTCCGAAATAGAGTTCGGCCCACGCGAGGAGTCGCCCACTGGGGTGTGGGACGCTGTGCGAAGGCGGGTCTTCTTCGGGCTTGGGCGCTTGTACGGTTTGGGTTTACCACGAAGAGTGCGGGACGTCGTGCCCCGCCAGGACGTCTCTGAGCCCCGCGCGCCCGCTCTTCAGCTTTATGCTCCTGGCGGACCGCGATGGGTGGGCTTTTGCCTCCGTTGGCCGATCACTTCGCGTTGCGGTTTGGCCTTTAGGCTATTCGCCCGTCGCAACCCCACCGTACGAGAGATCCCTCCATCACTCAGCTCACAGCCCCTGCATCTTCGATCGCACCTGGCGGCTCTCCCCAACTTCCGATGCGACGATCATGCCTAAGCAATGTCGTGTGCGCGACATACACGTGTTGCCTGCGTGGCCGCTGTCACGAGCATAGAGGTCGCCGCCTCGTGTTCTGCCATCTCTCACGGACGGGGACCCTCGTCGTCCCCAGGACTCCGATCGATAATCATCGCTGGTTGGGGTGTGGGACGGTCGCGAGACTAGAAGCCCGGAGCTCTCCAGCGGTAAAAAATGCATGCTTCATAGCTTCATATGTAGACCTGTCTGCTCGTCATCGTGTCTCTACACAGGCCTCGAACCGAACGGCGAAATCGAGGTATTTTTAACAGTGACACGGGGATACATTTTCGGATGTGAACGTCCGGCCCTCCATCCATCCATACTGTAAACTTAGCTGAGAATCGCACCTCCCCTTCGAATCATGCCGCGATCCCGATGCGAACAAAGTCGGGCGCCCATGCGCTTGGGTTCCCGAATTGGACGGTGTTCGCGGCCCCCGCTACGAACCCATCCAGCTCGACGACGTACCCTGAATAATCGATGTCCCAGCTCTGGACGATCCAGCCCGCCAGATCAGCAACCGCAGCCGACAGGCACACAGCCCGCAGGTCATGAGAGAGGGATCCTCACCTGTGCCGAGATCGGGAACTGCACTTGCACGGCGGTGCCCCCGTTGACGCTCACGTACGCGTTCCGGCAGTTGGAGCACGCGGTGTTGGACATCGTGAAGTCCGCGTTGATGTAGTCGACGCTGACGAGCTTGCTCCCGCCCGTCGTGCCCCCGGTGACGTTGTGGAAGGTCAGCGTGGCCCCGTTCCCGACGAATCCGACGACGGTGACGGTGCCGTTCACTACTCGGGTGCTGGCGCCGCCTGATAGAATCGTGTTGGAGGCGGATGCAGGATAGTATGTGTACGAAGGCGCAGAAGCGGCTACGCCGGAGGATAGTCTGAGAGCCAGAGATCCATGGGCTGCGACTGTCTTCGTATACCTGGACGGATTAGCGTGTAAGAGACTCTATTGGCAAGATGATGGTGATGATCGAGCATGACGAACGAAGTGTTGAGCGTGCCCAGATGGGCACCAGTCCACAGGTCTACCGCCGACGCCGATGTGAAGCCGACATCCGGCAACGAAAACGTCAGACTCCTAGAAGAGTTCTGCAGGTTGATGACGACTGCGACCGATCGCACAAGATCAAAAGCGCCGGGATCAGAAAATGGTCCCGCATGAGAAGGATCAGTAAAAACGCACTAGCGACCGTAGACCCGTCTGCCAAGGGTCCGTACCACACGTCGTGATCGTTCGTATAGCGCCGTCCGAACCCTATCGACTTCCCCAAGGAATCTCCCTGTATGCGTGTCACGTTGAACACAGGGGAATTAAGCGCTGTCAATCGTGATCGGTCGAAAACGGCATACGTGAAGATCGAGGATGTTCTTGTTCTTGAGGATCGCAAGCGCGTCGCTCGATATCTTGGTCAAATCCGTCGAGATCAACAAGGGAGACCTTCATACGATCGCAAAAGTAAGTCAACCAAGAGACAAGCTCGCCGGTACGTTCAAACCGGTTCACTCACTTGGCCGCAGCCCAAAAGACGAAGTGCGTCCTCTGCTCGTCAATCGTGAGCCCCGAATTGCCAACTTCCAGCATGTCGAGATCGTTCCATGCTCCTGGGCCTGCAAATCCAGTGATAGGAACGACTTGGTTGATGATGCGGAACAGGTTATCCCAGGACGCGGGCGGGCCGATGTCATTTCTATGAAATCACGTCGTACCCGACTTCATAAGCGCATGTCATAGGCTACCTAGGCGGGGACACTCACGAGATGCGCCAAGAGTTCCCTACAGGCGCTGCCCATCTCGCCGGATCTTGGACGCCCCATTCACAGACAGAATAGACAATAGGTCGGCCAGTGGCGTTCAGTGCGTCCCGCATAGCGGTGTAGTGAGGCTGGACACCAAAAATGAACGATGGAGGGGGATCAGCTGTTGGTGACGATCGAGATAAACGGCGGTCCATACCTGGAGAGAAAACGATGGATTGTAGTCTACGAAATCCGTCGCGCTGACTCTATAGAGAATACAATTACTTTGTGCGCGCGTGTCGCTTGGAGCCGCACTTACGCATAGCAGTTATCATACCTGTTCACAACGTCGTATCAGCCTCAGAACCAACTGAGAACTTTTAAACATTTTACGAACTTGAGATAATCAGCGCCCCACTCTGCAAACGAATTTGCGTCGTCCACCTCATGCCCCAAGCTGCCAATGAAATGCGCAGACCCGCCGACAAAATCGCACGCATAATAGCCTCTGTAATTCGATTGAGCGGATGGATCTGCGATTCGGAATCTGACGGATCGGGGCTTACGCATCGCTGTACAGCCCAAACTTGAGGCCGAGGTCGTGCACATAGCTCGAGAGCGCAGGAATACCGGAGGGAAAACGCGTCGTGTCCCACGCGAATTTGCCATCCGACGTTCGGTTCTTGGCTTGCCATCCACAGTCACTGCGCAGTCGACGCGTAAACACATCAGGGAGTGTCATGAAAGACTCCGGAATACACTGACATGCCCAATGTGTCATAGCCTAGGGCAAAAAGGCCCAAGTCGACGAGATTTTTCGCCATCGAGCGGTATTGGTCCTCAGTGCCATCGCAGCTATTGCGTAGGCCTCCGATCAGCGACTGATACTTCCCAAAAGTTCACAATACGCACGCAAATGCATTGTACCCATTGAATGCCATTGCTGGCGTTCGGGATAGCCCATTGTCAAGAGACACGATCCCGGGAACAAGACCGAGGACCAGCAATAGAGAAGATGTCGAGATGAAGACAGACATTGCGGCGAAAACAATTGAGAGTAGCTCTGACGCACACCGAGGGGGAGCCTTAGCCTTCCATCTGAGGGCCTTTTAAGACGAAAATCGTTTCAGAGATCGAGGAGAGCAGGTGATGGGCAACTTCTAGCCTCGGCGGTCCGCAGTCCATACGACCATCGCAGGCCTTGTGCACTGCTCTTGCATAGGTATGTCGTCAAGCCAGCATCAAAAGAGGATCGGAACGAGGCTTGCGTGAAGCATATAGGCTCAAAGGAACAGCACACATTAGTAGAACGTAAGATTCGTCTGACGAGATAGGCAGCCTCATATCAATGTTGCTGCGGAGTACTGCGACATCGTGTTTTTTCCGGATAGCCTCACTCAAAAGCCAGGAGGAGATTGCTTGAATAATGTGAAATGAGAAGAGAAAAGGTCAAGCAGCTGACCGTCGTAGACGGTCCGGACGCAAGTGTATTGGCTGGCACGGCGTTCTGTGACAGGGTGTGACCGAGGGCAAATCGAACGAACCGCTGGGAGAGCTCACCAGGCAAAATATGCTTTCCAAGGCGTGATAGAGAGGGACGCTGCGCATGCGTGGTGGCGCCGTGCCGCAAGCAGTACTGTGAGGGATGGCGCTGCAGCTGGACGACGATTATGGGAATTGGGGCGTAGGACTTGTTCCGCGCCCGAAATAACAACTCCCTTCTTCCTGCTGGCTGTGCTTCGCTCAGCGCTACGATGCAGTTCTCCCACTCCCTCTCCTCCTAACCCGCTCTCTCCTCAGGCCTCTGGCCACCGTCTGCCGGTGCGACTCTCTCCTAGCTTCTCGCTGCAGCATTCTCGGCGCACATATCTTCTGTGACTCGCACATTTTGCCTCCGCGTCATGTCGGGCCTTCCGCCTCTGGTCGAGCGTGATGCGACTCCCTGGCCAGATCAGTACTCTCAAAGCCCTAGCAATATCCCTCCCATAGGCGCCGCATTTCCCGGCATCCAGCAGCAATTCCCCGGCACACCCGCTGGTGGAGGGCCGTCTATGCAATGGCCCGTCTCGCCGCCGCCTGCTGCAGACGCTTGGGGCATGCCTCAAGCGTTTGCGAATCCATATCCTAACAATCAGTACCCTAGTCCCTCTTTTAACCCATATCCGAGCCCCAGTGCCAACCCTCCCCCGCTTGCAGCCCCCGCTCCCCTCTCCTGGAGCCAGCCTGGCAATTTCGACTCGAATGTGCCTTATAACCCCCCGCCACAACCCCCGACCTGGATCGATCATAATCATTACAGCCCCCCTTCCGGTGGCCCATCGCAAGGATACGAGCCCGCGACCTACGAGCCCCGCACGGGCGAGAGCGCCTCACTCGATCTCCCGATATCGCCGCGCCCTCGACCGTCGACGCCTTACAAACTTCCTCGACGAGCTTCGCACCCACGGACACCGTCAGCGACCCATTACGATCGTCCTGCGAACTGGAGGACCGACTTCAAGATGCCGCGCTCGGCCTTTGACGTGATCCTCCCACACAAGCGCGAAAAGGGCTTCTTCCAGAGTGCGCACCACTTTCCTCCCTCGTCTCTCTCTTCCATCTCTCGCATCGCTGAGCTGAATTGAACGTAGATGATGTGACGCTCAACGCCTATATCAGATATGGGATGCTGCGCGAACCGCCTATGACGTGGGATCTCCATGTCCCTCCTACGGGCGTTCGTTTCCGCGAGCTGCAGCGCCCCGTCACCACGAACGATCTGTACCAATTCGCCTCTGAGCCTCCCCTGATGTTCATGCGCCTCTACCACTCACGCCTCCCATGGTACATCGACGTCTACCCCTCCCGACCCGTCGGGATCACCCTCCAGGATCTGTTTACCACCATTCATACCAAATTGTTCTCCCGGGCTACGCACTCGGATCTGTACAATAACGATGTGTCGGAGGAGGCGAAGCGGAAGGTGGTGCGAGCGTACTCGGAGCGGTGCAATGGGAACGAGGGCGTGAGGAACCAGGGGGTCTTGAAGGTCGATTTCTTGATGCGCGATTACATCTTCCTGGGCCTCGCCAAGGGGAGCAACGGCATGTGGGAGATGAAGACGAAGAAGATGTAAGAAAGGGCGTGCCCGCTCTCCTGTTTGTTTATCATGTGTTTTATTTCTCTCAACCGCATTTTACTTTAGACACCATCACCGCTTATACCACTTGCTTTCTATCTGTACCCTGCTGTATGTTATATTGGTATCCGCCGATTTGTCCTTGGCTGCCTCGAATGTTTCGAATGACGACCTCGATTTCTTTGCGATTTAGGCGCCAGATGGATCCTCGATATATCGCGTCTGTTCCATCAAGATGCCTGCGATATAAGTTCATACTATCCTCTTCAAGATTCGAACTAGACGCAGTGTTCTCCAGCGCCAGGTACGCCTAGAACAGATATGTCTCTTCTGAACTTCTTCTTCCAAGGATTCGACAAAACACGAGGACACCCAAAGCACCGGAAGCATCAAGTTCGAACTGTCCGGGAAGTGCTTCCTTACACGCTCCCAAACCGAACCGTGAAGAGGAAGACGGGAGGCGACGATGGGTTTCCCGAACAGGTCGGAAGCCTTCCCTCGTGAGCGACCGACGTTGAAGGCGTTCGCTATACTAACCAATGTCTGTTGAAAGGTGAGCCAGGTGGAAGCCGAAAATGACTACCGACATCTCTTGAGATGACGTGCTTGAGCGGGCAACATGTGTCCTTTGAGTGTCCTCTGGCGATGCGGGTTCAAACTGATCAGGTGAGAGAAGGCTCGGAGAGGTCGACGAAGTGTTGAAAACGCCACTACACAAAGCGAGAACAATATGCACATTGGTGATCATACCAGGTTACTATACACCTACTGATAAGACACAATCCTCGAATAAGGAACCTTTGCACTGGTAGGCGTCGTATCTCAGAGAAGCTGAAACCAAGCTTGCGAATCGCCAGTTGTACCTGGTAATGAAAAAAATGACGTCAAGAATACTCGCAGTGCGGTGGGCGACACTCAGAACCTCTCAAAATAGCAAACGATGGACAGGTCATCGCGATATATAGCCCAATGCCATACAGACCAAGGGTGGTAACATATGGCGCTAGATTCGTACAACATCCGGTCATCAGACTCAGGCACAACTGCTCGTTTGTTTCATGAGCGAATCCTGGTGATTTAAGTTCGAGAGACTCACATATTGGCATCGGCACGGATGGACATGCGATGTAAAATCAGCTGAAGCATAGCGTCATCTGGCTATGATCCTATCTTCGATGGCAAAGAGCAGAGAACCCGTCGCACGAATCATATCTCCATCTGAGCATCGTCGACCCTAGGATGCTCCTGAGCGACTGGATGCGATACAGTTTTGTTTGCCTTAGCGCCCAGGCTCTCTTTCATGGCGACCCATACTTTTCGAGCTCCAACCCCTGCCAACTCCTTCGCGCGCATCACGTCGTCCTCGTCGAAGGCTCCTGTGGTGCTTTGCCAATTGGACCACACAATCCCGTGTGGCGGGATCGCGTCTGAGGTTGGCGAACCGGTGAGCTCAGCGGAAAACATGAATGCGAAACACCCATAGACATCGGCGAGCGATAATTCCCGTTCACTCAGATCAAGAACGAGAGCGGACGAGCTAGTGGCTGATGCGGATGACCGTAAGCGACCGACAGAAACAGCACATATGACGCCGCGCATAGGGATGGAGCCGGCGTTGAGAAGAGTGAGGGTGGATACATTGATGAAGGCGGCGATGAGAGATGGGTGGAAGCGGGAGGATATGCTCGGTGTGAGCGATTGTACGACTAGCTGGATGAGTGTACGAGGGTATCGCGAGAGCAGGAGAGAAGGAGTAAGCAGTGTTCGTAACGAAGTCGACAGTGATTTCGATTCTGTCCCTGGAACATTGGATAATGGGCGCAGCAAGACTTCGAACGTAGCCTTTGACGGTTGCTCGGCGTTCAGACGAACCTCTATCGGCCCTGAGACAGACGCAAGAGCTTTGCATTCACCTGATGATGATGTTATTGACGAGTTGAGACAGGTTTGTTTGCACTCACCGAATCCAAATCGTGCCGATCCGTCCACTCTGTCTAATCCTTCATAGTGAATAGACAGCGGCCGAAGTTCATCATAGTCGCGAGTGTCGTCTCTTCGAAGCAACATGAGAGATACAGATCTGACTAGCAAAATTTAGAGACTTGTGGGATCAGTTGGTGCAGGTGCAGTTACAACTGCTAGAGGGAGGGAAGGAAAAGCTAAGAAAAGACGGAAATGTATAGTCACGGCGTCACAATCAAATATTCGTGACAACGTGTGACGAGTCGCGTATGGTGACTCTGCCCTGCTGCATCTCGTTCGACAATTCAATCGACTCTGATTCGACAAAGCTATAAAACTGGCTGCATATTCTGGTATTGCGATATTCACTACATCGCCACGAAGAAATATCCTAATCTTAGTCAAAAAAATCTTGTACAGTAACTCTAGCGATCCTAAAATCGCGAACACTCAACCAAACAAGTTCTTGAGGCCCTCCAATTTCAGAGGAAATCACGCTTGAGGTACTTTTAGCACTTATCCTTCATGATCCGCGAGTTCCTCGTTCTCACCAGAAGCGCTGTGCATTTGGATCATGCATCAGCACTAACAAGCGTAAACGGTACAATCCTATCAGCAGATTCAGGCTTGAGCAAAGATGGCTTACATTGTCTATCATCTTTCATCTGCTCGGCCTCTTCAACAGCGCTCCAGTCAGAACATCAAGGCGGAAGCATACCTTCAATGAACATCGCGACTTGCGATCCCTGTTCGTGAGATACGAGACACCTGTGCGCGATTCGTCGTTCTAGCATATAACATGCATGCTGGAAACATCACCTAACAGCGAGAGCCTTATGAATCATGCCCATGAAACGGTCATCAACAGGGATGGTGATGTCGGACTTTAATGAGACAAGAGGAAAGAAGCCTCGCTTACTGTGGTCGAAGATCCTTATAGCACAGTACCTTGAATCGAGCAACCCGTCGGCCCTGTCGCTGAGCTAGAGATGATCTGTATGTCGAGCCGCGGGCCAATGTCGTTCACAGAGAGCGATTTGAACAAACATCAATGTCTTAGATTTATAAGTGAAGCGAAGAAAAGGCATCTCAGGGCGTCCCGCATGCCGGCCATCAACGTCAGAGATTTCCTTTTCGGGAGTCAACTCGTGTGACCTCTGCTTTTCCATACCCTTCCTCTCCTTTGTTTCTGCTCTGGGTTGCGTAAGATCGCGAATGGCTGCAATCCAATCGAGGAATGGACTTAAAGAATCACAGACTGGATGTTCGGGCATATAAGATCCTTCATTTACTTGATCATATGGATACCCTCTCTCAGCTTTCCAAAGGATCCTCGCTTGCCTCGTCTTCGGGTGTACATGTCCTCCGGTACACTCAGCTATTTCAGGTGCGTCATCCCAAAGTCATAATCGGCAACTTATACAAACTCATTGGGCATCTTTACTTCCAAATCCTAGACTATCTTCTAGCATGATCACTGTGGGGTGTTTCGGATTGCAAGCAGGCGCGCATGATGTGGTTGGCTACACTTAGTTGGCGCATCGATTCCTTGTGCTGTGAGCATGTACTCCCTCCCAACAACGCTCACCGTCGCCACGACGCCAGCCCTTGATCCGAAGAAGACGTGCTTGACGAATAGCTGGAATAATGTAAGATATACCCCAACTATCGCCGCGTCCACTCTGACCTGATATGTCATGATTTACTCATCTCCCATGTCGCACGCGCTCATTCTTGGTTTCTTTACGAGAGTTTGAACCTTCATTTCAGGGGACCATTTCTACAGAGAACATCGATGACACACTGGGCTCGACACATCATGGGTCCATCTTTATTAGTCTTGCCACCCGGCGCTCTCCGTTCTTGGCTTCTCAGCTAGTATCCACATAATCCCAAATCTCTCTGCCGCCCGTCCACTCTGTCGAGACTATGCTTGCTACTCATCACGCTGCTTGTCGAGACGACTCGTGCCCTGTCTGCTCCCTATTCTCCTCCTATTCTTCGTCCAGCACCGCAGACGCTGTCAACGACGAAGCCCAATTACGTGCTTATTGGAGTACCGGCGGCCGCCATGCGGACCCTAGATTGACTCTAAACCCCATGTCTACGAGGCGTTTATCCTGTGCTTCCATTCTCTGATTTCCTATCTTGGCTTTTGCCATGAACTCGTCACCTACACGGTCCTATCCTTCCGTATTCCTCAATCAGCTGATGCCTCGTATCTTTACGCCAGTAGAATCCTCAGGGCTATCAGTTAGAACGCATGGGGGCGATACATTCGAATAGGTACAGTGAATCGATATTCTTGCATTCAGATGGCTCGCGATAACTATATACAAAATAATAAAAAATCGAGGTAGTGTGTGACACAGGTCCGGGAAAACAACAGGATCCAGAACAGAGGCACAGGATCGATAGCACAGACGGTGAGAGTTGGGGGACACACTAATACAACAGAGCCGAAACCCACGGGTAGCGCGATAGTACAAGAGGGATGATTCTGGGAAGACAAATAAGGGAAAGTTCTCCAATTGGTACGTGTGTGGGAATAGTGTAGCCGAGTAAAAACGCCATCATTGTGCGAAATTCGGAAGGAGAAGGGGTTCCGCGAGGTAGTCCGAGAAGCTGACATCCTGGTGAGCATTCTCGGGGAGATTGTTGTAGGTCAAAAAAGTGAAAGCGCCTTTCGAAGGCGGCAAGGAGAAATTGGAATGGAAAACTGTAGCGTCTAACTGATGATACGGCGATGCGTAGTCACCTGGACCAAACATCGACTGCGGCCGTACTCCACAGTTATCAAAATTATCTCCAGAGAACGCTCGCATCGTCTGCTGTGTAACCAAGAACTGGTCGTCCGTATCTGATTGGACCGAGATGGGTGAGACGCAGGTGTTCGCAAAATCGTACGGGGTGCTAGGAGGACTGGAAAACTGGGACGGAGATGTAGGCCACTCGTTACAAACGGACGTGTCGATTGAAGGATGGGTCATCTCGAACACATCAGATTGGTTGGACGGGTGATGAATCTGTTGTGCTGTCCACATCGGCTCGAAGGGAATCAGGCCGTCAGGCGGTGGCGAAAGAGGATCACAGGAGTCTGTGTAAGAGGCAGTAGCCTCGTTGTAAATGAATGGATTGATCTGTTTTTGGCGCAATCAGTGTCTGAAGAGGATGCATGAAATGAATGACGCACAAAAGATTGTTCAGGTGTTGAAGAGAGCGAATAATTCGAGAAATCGGGAGGTGGGAGGGGTGGGAGGACGAGAGGGGGCATGGACTCATCACCGAGGTCCTCAGGCGGAGTCGAAGCAGAAGAAATGAACGATGCCTCAGGCTTGACTGATGGGGAGCGCGAACGTCCGGGCTGTGAACTGACGGCACGAAGACGACGCGAAGACGTTTTGGGGGATGAGACCAGGAATGCCGGAATAGAGGTATCGGTATCGGGCGCGGGCTCCGACGACGAACGCCTGTACATTCTGGCTGTCAACGGCGCCTCGAAGCGTGTTATGATAGGTGGAATGTGATGACGGTCGAACTCCTGAATGGCAGCTTCAAGCTCGGCGCCCTTCTTCCCCTCAACAAGAAGCTCGGCAATCTTCTCGCAACGCTTGATGTCCTTAGGACCGACCTCCCTTACCTTGCGTTTATCCGGAGTACCTTTTCCTTTCAGATGAAGCGGGCGGAAGGCGTAGTCGGGGAACTTGCGCTTATGCTCGGCCTGCGCGACCTTGGCCTTGCTATGCCAGAACTGACGCTCCTCGTGAGGCATGTTCTGCCAGGTGATGCCGATGATCTTTGAGAGCGTGCTGTGATTCGTCTCGACCTCGGACGAAACATGCTGACTTTTAATGAAGGAAGAGCGGAAGAGGATGAACGCGTTCGGAGGACGGGGAATATGGTTGTCTGCCTTCTTCTTGCCGTGCCCTGGTCGGCGCGGGGAGGAGACGCCGACAGTGGAGGGAAACAAGGATGGCTCTGTGTCGGGCTCAGGAGTAGAGCAAGGCTCCGTGAACGTCCCGGGTGTCATCGTCGGTGCAAACGCAATGTGCTGCGGCATTGCGGGTTCGACAGGCGCAGTCCAAGTCAGTTGAATTCCTAGAGCGGGCATCAGCTCGGTGTATAAACACGGTGAAAGCAGTAGAACCATACCTTCTCCCTCCTCCTTCTTGGCACCTCGCTTCCGTTCAGCAGGCATGTTGAAGTGAAATACGGCCGATGGACAGAAACGGCAGCAACTGGAGGGGAACGCTGAATCGGGGGAAAGAGGAAGATCACGATCGGTTGGACATGTTTAGAGGACATACAGCTTTATACACCCCCCCGAGATGCCATGTCCTCGGGAAGGCCCTGTCCAGAAGGGAGCCTGGCGTAACCTCTACTAAAAAAACATGATTCGCCGCCTTACCGCTACCGTGGTTCCGACTTCCCACTAGGAAATCGTTATGTAAATGTCGACCGAACCAGTTCCTCCGGCGCATGTCGACGAACCGGCTGCGTAATCGCCGTTGTTGCCTTCGCCGCTGCCGGTCTACAATTTGCCTCCGTCTTGTCTATTTCGCCATCTTCCGTCTCTGGGCAGCCCGAATCTGGCTCCCCTGTCCTCCAAAACGATCTCCTCCTGCTCTTCAGACGAGCCGAGCGAGATCTCACTCCGATCGTACTGAAAACTCACCGCCCTGCACTAAATCGTCAGGACATCAACGTGGGCAGTTGATGATTCCATTTCAACATATGAATGGGATATTAGATGTCGAGACCATCGAGCCCCGACTCTTCCATCTTTAGTGCCTCTTGTTCTACTGGATCGTGCTATCGCGATGACCTCGTCTTGACCTATTCGGTGCCAAGTTGCCATCCGTTCTCCTTTTAATCACGTTGACGCCACCCACATACCCTCCGACACTGCTGCTCCAAAATAGCAGAAAATCACGGCGCACCAATCAGGACATCTTTCTGCTCACTCCACTGGTCATCGATTCTCAATGCGCGGGACCTGGGTATGCAGGGGTCAGGATACTTCGCCTTTCTAGATGCGCGACCAGCAGACCCCGAGACCTCTGACACATATAAGCCGTTGCTCACGCTGCTGCAAAGTTCAAACCTAAACCCACAAGGTTCAACCTCTTTCGGGGAAATTTTCAACCCGAGTTTCTTGATAACCTCAAGAGACTGAACGCACGGCATTCTTTTCATTTCTGTGCTTGTTCGGACCTTCTATCTGATTCTCAACCCTTATTAGGTCATGAACGATCCACTGAAGTGTCTCGGGCTCGCCCTGCGCGTCTCGTTTCTGTTGAACTCGGACTAGAAGTATATCTGACAAGATGCACTCATATTGGAGACAAAAAGGTCAATTAGCTACACGAGGTATAGAATTGTGCAGCGTATATCGTGTCATATTAATTTCGCTTCGAGGGTGCGCCCACAATCGATGAAATCTTTCCCCCGAGGTACGAATGAACAATCTCTATATTCAATGACGTGTAAATTGATAACTCGATTAGTCAAGAGAATTTCAGCGGCTAGTTCTAATCTGATCATAAATTCCAGCGCCTCTGGCCATGTCATGCGAACAGATTGAGCATCGAACTGGTTTGCGCCATACGTGTTCCCAAGCCCTCTATGGCGGTCAACACGGGTCAGGCCTATTGATCCGGAAAGGTGCTCTTCTATCTTTCTCGCTTAGGTGTAAATCGTCACACTAACTCCGGTGGCAAATGCGCTTTCAGCGAGCCCGATTGAACCAGAACTCCCGAATTAGTTCAACAAGATTTGACTATAGCGACGTTCCCGTTCCTGGTGTCACCTGGCGGCGGCAGCCACTGCATTCGAGCGAAACCGGGTAGCGAGAAATATTGGCCTATCTAGCCACTTAGTCGAATGAGGTCGTCCGGATGGGGATTCCAAAGCCGCGAGAGTCCTGAGTAATAGGTAAGTCGCCCCCGCTTGCTGAAGCGTACATTGCCATGACGTTGGAGACGGGGGACGCTCTCAACTTGAGACGAGAGTCGCGTTGTGGAGCTTTCGATAGGATGAGACCACCAGCGATCCTGCTGTCTCGTTTGTAAACTTTCACTCCTGATCCACTGCTCATCAATTTCATAGTTTCCTAGCCAGGTGGATAGAAGATGTAAACACGCACCCGTGGAGTACGTTGCCCACTGCCCATACTGTCCATCTGCCTACATCCAACCTTGTGGATGGCTTATCATGAAAGCGATCGATGAATTTCCCGGAGCCAGGCCACTTAGCCCGTGTCAGGTGAACGGCATCGGCTTGCTCCAAGACAAGGATGGACATGTTGGGAGCAAACCTTGCCCCTTGAGCTCTACCGCCCAGAATCTAGCGCCCGGTCTAGTTCAAGTTCCCTGGTCTGATGTCGGACACTGCAACCTAGGAGCTGATATCTCTGGTGCTGCTGATGCTCCGGTAGCCACGTCTGCGCTTCCACATGTAGGGAACATCTTCATCTTCTCGTCGTGACCTGTTCACCTCTCAGCGGCGAGCTTCCATTTTGAATTTGCATGTTAGAACAGCCCATCAGCCGTCATGCTGTTGTCTGGCAAGCCTTACCGCCCAGAGTTGTCAGCCATTGGTTGGCACTGATGCTCGAATCACTGTCGCCGCCGGACATAAAGTTTAATGGTACGGCAGTATGATCTTTCACTCCAAAATGTGTCCAGTCGATGCTGTAATCTGTCCTGAGAAGCGCGTAACTGAGAGTACGAGCCAATATCACCGTGGTGATGCACCTCAATCTTGGCTACACGCCACATGATGCATGATCTGTGGGAAGGGCATCATCTTTCTAACGAAAGTATGCGCGCACTTACCAGGTAAGGCCACTCTCATAGTCAGAATGCACGACAGACACTTTGTTATCGAATGAAGGAGAGAAAGCTAACGTCAGCTAGTTCGGTCATCCGACTCGGTCCCGTCTCTTCTCTCAAGGCTCCACAGCAATGCCTGTCGCAGCCACATATTGGTGTGCTGCTCCGTTTCATGTCCTGCACCTAATCACAGAGTCCGATCAATGGTCTATCCACCGGTGCGTTCTGCTGCAACGTACTTGTCCCTTGTTCTATTCAATAATGCTCGCATCATCATCATCATCAAGAACAAGCTCTCAATGTATCTCCTCCAGATCTTGGTACGGCAAATATTACATGGCATAATGACATTGTCATCGCTGGACAAGGGGCTGAGGCGACCTCTGAAGCGATTCGAAGCGATTATGGACGTGAGTTGCCAAATGTCGGATGATTGATAATATAATTGAGAGCTAGGTAATCCAAGGAAAAACAGCGACAGGAAGCGGGGGGTTTAGTCCGCAAACGAAAGACGAACCAACTGACTTCAGACTGTCCATGCGTACTGCCAGCGGATTGAACAGGCGAACGGTGAGGGATTTCCCTTGTGTCTTATCTTCAGGCAGGTTCGTGACTTCTGGTGCGGGTGAGCGGGTCTTTCGAAGCCAGAGTCACGGCTAAAAACTACCATGGAGCGATTGGCATCGAAAATACCGAACGCGCTGCGGCCCCAATCGTTCTTGGAGTAAAACCTGCCTCGTGTATTTACCAGCATGATCTATCAATCCATCGGTCGCGTGCTTTTTCTAAAAGAAAAAGCAAAAATCTCGGATTTCTTCAATGCCGGTCGGATTCCATTCTTGTGCGCGCCACACTTTCCGGCGAATATTCAATTGCATAGCCCGGCCCATTCGAAACGCATAGCCCACCTACAGATGTTCAAGATAGTTGTGAACTACGACCCCTTCCTATTTAGGCAGTTGTTCAGCGGGACCTAGATCACTGATCGTGATTTGCCTCCGGATGATAGAGCCATTCATATCGTGTGATATATGTAAGTAGCATCTGGCGGAGTGCTTGACGAGTGGAGTAAGCGCAAGATTTACTACATACAAAACAGCGGCGCTCCCGCACCTTGGATTCGAAAGACACCCTTAGTCGGCGACGAGGACCTAGAGACTGCTGTCACCACAACCATACGCTGCTGGTAGTAAGTTACAAGACCAGGAGAGATAGTCTCGACTGGTCTAGAGAAAAAGGGCGCTCCTAGGATAGCTCAGGATCTTAATCATAGTGCCTCGATTCTAAGGCCTAAGGGCGAGCGAGCGACGGTCCTCAAAATGCAAACGGCGAATTTTTAGGTGCATCCATTGATTGGGTTCAAGGTCATGATAATGTGGCGGTCACTACACATGTCGCAAAATATGATTGAGTTCTATACAGAAGGGCATAGTGTTCTCTTGCCGTACAGACCGAAGACTGTTCAGGGTCTCCATATCAATTCCAGGGAATGATACGACATGTTACTGAGGCGGAAGTGACCTAGAAGATGAAAAGCAAACCTTGCTGGGTAACGGTTCAAACATTCAAGAGATAGGCCCGGATGCACCACGTGATTTGGCAATCACTCTTCAACGAAGTTTTACTTGATGCTCAACGCCTCGGAATATACCGTACAGGCGTTCAAGAAATGTATCGAGGTCTCGAACTGGACAGACGAAGAAATGTATCGAGGTCTCGGGACAGACGAGGAACTATGAAATTAGTTATATTCATACTATCGAAAGCCTTGATACAACATGGAGACTTGAAAAAATGAGGGGAAACCCAAGGTTACCTACAGTATATCATAGGAGATAAACGACAGGGAGTAAACGACTCTTCAAGAGTCAATGTCCATACGTGAGCTGTTGCCTTCCGCGGCGAAGTCTCCTGCATCCTCGTGGTCGATGGAATCGCCATGGTCCGCGGAGATTGAGGGTCTCGAAGACGAAGGGGTGCGTCCCTTAGCCGTGGGAGTTGCATGACTGAGAGATCCCAAGCGAGTTTGTCGTACAGGAGATGAAGCAGAATGCGGCGTTTGTGGAGATAAACCGTGCTTGAGAGAGCGTGCTGATGGATTGAAATGCCCGCACTTAGGGCAGAGATATTCTGTTTTCCACGCGTATAACAATTCCAGCATCGTTCGCACAACATACAGAAACAAAGACATACGGGCATCCTCCCACATACTTTCCTTAATTAATCCGTTGTGGGCAAAACACTTCTGGCAGATAAGGGCATAGCGAGACGCAGCTATATTGGTGGAAGACTCATCATCTCCCAGCAAGGCGTCCGCAAGTTTATCAAACCACTGCTTGCGCGGAGGTGCCATCGGTTGTTGCGGTGTCGCTGTAAAATCCGAATCAATGGTAGATTCAAACATGGATATCAGGACAGTCGTACGAGCTAATTGAGTCTGCAACTCGAGCGATATTGGCCCTTGGGGGAGTTGACGATTGGACTGTGAGAATGACCTCTGGGGAGTGACAGGGAGTTGTGATTGAGGACCTGGAATAGGTCTGCCACGTAACGGTGAATTGGGGACGGAACTTCCATCATAGCGCTCGATGAGGTTGCGAGTGCTGTAGTAGTTTGTCTTCTTTTTAATATCCTCAACTTTCGTCCGTTGTTCTTTGTAGAGTGCCTGCAAAGTCTGCTCTGAAGGTATGTATAAGTACATGAGGTTGATGTTAGGCATATGGCGCACCTTCCGCGTCGCCTATGCGTGTGTAATACAGTTGCACGATGCGGCGTGTAAATAAGATGCTACGATGACATTCAGACATGCAGGAGGAAAATGTAACATGCGACGCACACTATAGGTCCCAAGAATACTGGTGTGCCCATCACAGTCTTCTTGAACTGCGTACTGGCATATATGGTACTCCGACCATGATAGCCACTGAACTTTGGCAATAGGCCGGTATACCAAAAGCTGACGTATAATCCCCAGAGCCCCAGCGCCCATAGTGTTACAAGGAGTGTGGATCGGCGTTCCCGCAAACGGATTTCGGATAGGCGAGTTTGACGCTTTTGAATGTCAAGAGCGAGAGATGCAAGAATTTGCTCGTAGTCTTCTGGTTCAGTCTGTGCACATGATGTGTGGACCTTAGGCGGTTGTCAATGTCCAAAATCCACCACTGCTCACCTTCTTGAACCAGCGGCTGATAAATGACATGTTGACAACAACAAGAGGGATAATGGCAGCACTGTCCCCAACTTACGCGAGTGACGCGTACTGGGGGGTCACGGGACTATGTTTAGGGCAGGCGTTCCACTGACACTCTTCCAACATGCATAGCTCTCGCCATGTATCCAAGCTTTCCATGTCATATATCCCAAATTTCGGACGAGCCGCTGATAGGGCTCGTCCTGGACTCAAGGCTTAAAGTTTAAAGCTGTTTCCCGTTGAATAAGCAAGGACCGTCAACTCCTCAGAGTGGCTGCGTATGATTTGCTGTATAAACTTTTTGGGTGCTCGCGACAATCATGGTCGATTTTCAATGAGTACTCACGCGGTATTACTCTTGATGTAGCCGACCAGGACTAGGACTAGCGAGGGAAACCCACCATATGTTCTTCCTTCAAATTATTCGTCAGCACCACATTTGCGCCGATGTGCCTGTGAACAGTGTACGACATAAGCTGCCATAAGTCGGGCGCCGTTACCCCAAAGGATTACAGAGCCCAGTGTCGAGACTCAAGATTCATAAAAGGCCGTGCGAGAGGGAAGGCTCTTTTGATCCTGCCAGCTCACCTTAGCATTCACTGATAGAGTCATCCATCCATCATGGCCAGTCAAACTCACTTCAAGCTGAACACCGGTGCATCTATGCCCGCTATCGGTAAGGAACTCATGTCCAGCTATGAATATCTCAAGTCTATATCTGTCGTCAGCCTTTGGAACATGGGCTGGTTTGACGAAGGAAGAACGCTTGGCCGCCAAATTGTGGATTATCAGTGCATTGCAAGTAAGTTGCTCGGTTCATGGACCCCCCTCCCCTCATATTAACTACCCAACAGGCTGGCTACAGACACCTCGACACCGCATGGTTCTACGGTACGGCACAAATGCTTTAGAGCGGACCATATCTGATATATATGTTTTCAGGTACAGAGGTCTCTGTCGGCGCCGCAATTCGAGAATCTGGGATTCCTCGCGAGGACATATTCGTCACCACGAAGCTTCCGTTCGTCTGTCTGCCTTCTTCGATCTATAATTTCCTGCATGTAACATGATTGAAACAGCTGGCATCACTGTGGCAAGGTCGCAGAATCCATTAATCAGAGCCTCACCAACCTTGGGCTTGACTATGTGGATTTGGTAGCACCTAGCCTCCCTTTGTAAGGCAGGCTTTCCTGACGATTTTTCTACTCCTAGTACCTTATCCACTGGCCTCAAGCTATGAAATTCTACTCTGGTATCTATCCAACCATTCATATTCAGAGGGTGGCTCGGCTGACCTTCCTTCTAGACGATAATTCGATGCCGAGGACGGCTAGCGGAGACCTGGAAGTTGTTGAATTCCCGACCTTCGTAGAGACATGGGCGGCCATGGAGCAGGTTCTGGCGAGTGGCAAAGCAAAAGCGATCGGGGTCAGTAATTTCTCTATCAAGCAGTACGTGACTTGGCCGCCTATTGGTTTCACGCCAGGTGTTAACCATAAAATAGCCTCGAGCGACTGCTACAGACTGCAAAAGTGGTGCCAGCTGTCAATCAAGTCGAGTATGCATGCCGTTTACATCATCGGAGCGGGCTAACATCTTTGCATCAGATTGAACCCGCTGCTCACGCAGAATGATCTTGTCGCTTACTCCGAATCCAAAGGCATTCGTGTTGCGGCATACACGCCCAGCGGTACTGTTTCATACCATGTGCCAAAAGAGACAACTCATGAACCTGCACATAGGCTACGCGGCCGTTAGAGAGCACCCGACAATACTCGAATTAGCGACCAAGTATCACTCTACAGCCAATCAGATCACATTGGGATGGCATTTAGCTCGAGGGGTTGCGGTGGTGACTGCCAGCAAGAATACCGAGAGGCAACAAGAGAACTTGAAGGTGAGATGTTCATCGTCGAAGTCTTCAGTTATAACTCCAGGCGATGCTGATTGATCTGAAATAAACTAGCCCGCTACCTTGGAATGGGCAGATATAGAAAATATCACGGCATTGAACCGTAATCTGAGGCAGCCTCTCCCAACTAATGAGAATGGCAAAGTGATGGGCTGGACTCTCGAACAGTTGGGTTGGTAAAGTACGCCGAGCTGCAGTGCTTCGTGTGTGAGCTGCTTGAGGTACCTACATCGAATGCATCACACGTATGAAAGGTACCAGCAGGTACCAAACCTTCAAGCCTCATAATCCGTCCAATAGTCCGTGGACAGTAAGTAGTGGGGGTTAGACGTTCTTCTGTGATTCGGGGCTTTGTCAGCAAGACCCGTTACGTGCCTGACTCTCAGCAATCTCCTCATGATGCTGTGCCCGATGTCATGGATCTTAGTGCTTGGTTTTGAACAGTCAACTACTGGTCAATCTCAGCTTTACCATCCTAACCATACGAGACGGGAGATCCAAGACAAGGGCTGATCCGTGCAGGTCGGCAACTTGCGTGCACCTCGAACCCGCGGTATGTGCTTAACTGATGTCTCAGGGCACGAATCTATTTTTCGATTCCCAACTGAGGCTCAGGAATGCAGGTCTATAAGAGGAACTAGACCTGCTGTGATGCTTGAGGGCTATTGAGCGCTCTATCAAGCATTCCCGGTAGCCAACCCTGCTGCCTTTCACCATGTCTGTCCCTCCGTCAGGCGTTGGGCCACCGAGCTATCATTTGAAACTCTCCAGCACGACGGTCATGGATACGACATATGTTGATACAGCTACTAGCAGGCCAGTGTTTGCCACGATCACTCGAGCAGGCGTGACCACTCTCTATCGCTTCGGGGGAAGAGATGGGATCGAGGATGTAGGGGAAATACGATGGAACGGGGGTGCGAGGGGGGGTCAACTGGTCACTCTGCATGGACAGACCGTCCCATGTGAAGACTTCGTTCGAAAGTCGAAGGGTATACTCGGAGGAGTGTGAGTAATCCTTAGATGCTCTCCTCGCTGCTGTCGCCTCATCGATCGCATGTCTAGTTCACACACGTTTGAAGCCGCCAGACAGCGCTGCAAGTGGAAGAGCGGCGAAACCATCGGTTTCATGCATGAGACATCTGGGTACCCCGGCATGCGCGAATGGCACTGTCGTTTAGTCGCTCAATCCGCCTCGTCTACTGCTACTGCACTGTGTAGCCCGACGCAATCAACATCTGATACGCTTCTGGCAAGGTTTGTGCCGCCGCAGCTCGGGCTTATCAAATCGGAGCTCTCCATTTACCCCGCTGGGGCGGCGATCATCGATGAATTGCTCCTCACCTCCATCATGGTCGCTGCTGGAAAGTCGGAGTGGCGCACACGCGAGAGCCCAAGCAGCCGGACGCGCGAAAGCCTTGCTCGTGGGCGCGCCAGTGGGCTTCCGCTTTACCGGCTCCAACTCGCACCTGGTCACCAACGAGTGCGCTCTCTACCAATGCCCATGATTCCATTCGATGGCGATGATGATCCAGACTTGCCGCCGTATCGGTCGACTCTGACGGTCAACATGGAGGGTGCAGGCGTTGTTCCGTATTCGTATTCTCAGGCCATTCGGGAGGAGTAGCGTGCAGCGCTCCTTGAACAGGACTATATTTATCCGAACCCCTTGATATTCTGGGTTATCATCTTTTAAGGATCTTTCTTCTCAGCTACTTACACTCGTTTATCTCTTGTACAGAAGGACTCGGACTATGCACTACACACACTATACACCGATTAAGCGACACTTCTTCCTAATTTCACATCTGAATCGCACCGCTGAGGTGAAATATGGTTGTACTTACCAGAATCTGGCAATTTATTCTTGGTATGCAAACCTTTAGCGTAACTAGCTGAGTGCATGGGCTGATAGTAGGATGTACCGCTACTAGCCTAGGACCCCCTCAAGTTGCTTTCTTTGGCACATCGAGGCAAATGATTTACGTAGAAGCTGGTCGTAGCGAGGTGCGTCAGGCTGAATGATCCGTCAGTAACCTCAGGTGCCATGGCAAACCTGACTGCAACGTGCGCGACCTATTCAAGATACCAGGTCGGTCGCTGGCCCAGTTTCTTTGGCGTGGGGGTCATCTGCGAACCGGTTCAACCGTCGCGACGAAGAACACGACCCTTGTTTCACCCGCAACAGATTCTGCCCAGGCTAGCCATCCTGAGATGCAGGTGATATCTCCTCTTGGCTTTGAGATCTAAGGGTTCAATCCAACGTTCGGAACCGCAATCCAATAACCTGTGTCTGGCTGATGCTGAGTCTTGCATCGAAGCTCGCCTTGCCATATCACGTATCATCGATCCTCACATTGACTTGCCCCATTCGAGCAAGGTTGGCTGCGCATCTTGTATGGCTAGATGCTTGCAAGAGCTATCAGAACGTGTACCATCAGACTACTGTACTGCTATGTGCTATTTGTAGAATGTGGAGAGTAAGCAGAGATGACCAATCAGTAGAGTGTCGTTGTTTTTGCTGGTTGGAGGAAGTTGACGCGATCGGTCGACGAGCTCGCAAACACACTCGCCCTTCCTCAGCCCCGCGCGCAGCATTGGAGCTTCTTGCTTTGCCTACGCTGCTACGCGTCGGCCTTGGTTCGAATGTCCACTTTTCCCGCATGTCAATATCTTCTTTCAGACAGAGATGCTCGTTTCGCCCGTTACATACCTCCCAGACACAGCGGTCGCTGCAGCTGAAGCCGTCTCTGTATCCTTCTCAGAGACCGCAGAACCTACAGAATGTACGAGTCGAACGTGTCAAACTAGCCCCAACGCAATCCAGACCCGTGATACCTATAGATAATTATGGTGCGTTCTCCTGAGCATAGTACCGTGTCATGTCATGTCTCAATTTCCTCCTAGTGAAACGAAATGAGCTAGGCGTGCAGATGCTTTCGCGTCGGCTGCATGCCCAGATCTTCAAGAACGTGTCGTTCCCCCCGCCGGACCCACGCTACGTCCGTATCGCACAGGGGCATCTCGAGATGCATGGGCTGGACCCCTCGCAAGGCTCCGTCCTCCCAGACACGAACTTCGACCTCCCTCCCTTACAAGGCTCCACCATTGATGAACACTTCCACCGAATCGGCGATCGCGCCGCGCATCCCTGGCTCGAGCTTGCTGTCACGCTCGCTGCGTCAACACTCCCGCCTCGTCCAGACCAGTGGGAGATCCAGTCGGGGTGGACCAAATACTACTATCACGCAGACGGCTCCAGCTACAGCGAGCACGTCGACTTTCCCATCCACGACGGGCAGCCTGAGGACATGATAGTCTTCGACGTGGAGACGATGCCCAATTACCACCCCTATGCGATCATGGCGTGCGCTGCCTCACGTAACGGATGGTATGCTTGGATATCACCATGGCTGTTGGGCGAGACTACCGAGCAGCAGCATCTTATTCCTTTCGGTGACACCACTGTTCCTCGTGTCATAGTCGGTCACAACGTATCTTACGATCGCGCCCGGATCAAGGACGAGTACCACATTCAAGGCTCACAGAACCGGTTCCTCGACACGATGGCATTACACGTCGCCGTGAAGGGCATCTCGTCTCACCAACGCCCGGCGTGGATGAAATATCGCAAGTCCAAGCTGAAGGAACGCGAGCGGAAAGAGGAGGCGTACGAGGCCGTCGTGGCGTTGCTCCGCGAGACGGAATTCAGGATCGGACACGAAGAGGACGAAAAGAAGCGAGGGGAGCTCCAGAAGCTCCGCCTCGCCATGCAGGACAGTCTCTCTCAGATGTTGGACGCCCCGTCTGCGAGCGACGAGTCAGCCGACGGTGACGAAGAGATGGCTTCTAAGCGCTGGGAGGACATCACCTCCGCCAACTCGCTCGCTGACGTCGCGAAATTGCACTGCGATATCGAGATGGACAAAGAAATTCGGAACGACTTCATGACTCAGAATCCGGAGACGATCCGCCAGGGCATTCAGGACTACCTGCACTATTGTGCCGAGGACGTTTTCGTCACTCACTCTGTCTACTCACATGTCCTCCCCGAATTCCTCACTGTCTGTCCAAGCCCTGTGTCGTTCGCTGGCATCCTTACGATGGGATCCAGCTTTCTGACGGTCAACGAGAGCTGGGAGAAGTATCTGAGAGATGCCGAGCGCACTTACCGAGATTTGGAGGACAAGGTCAAGACCAGGTTGATTGATCTTGCCACCGAGGCGAAGGGCCTCATGGAGACCGGAGGATGGAAAGACGACGTCTGGCTGTCTCAGCTTGACTGGACGCCGAAGATCGCTGGCGTGTCCAGAGGTATCCTCAGCCCTGAGCAGGTGCGTTAGTCATAGGTTATTTTGACGTTGCGTGGTCGTTGACTATTTGATACCCAGGAGCTACAACAAGCGTCGTCTTCTTTGGCTCCCGGCTCGGCTGATACCGCACCCTCCATCTTGCAATATCCTACTTGGTACAGTGAACTCTTGACGTCGGGCCCTTTCAACAAGACGGTCGTGTCGCGGATCCTGCCTCTGCTACTCCAATTGTCTTTCGAAGGACGCCCACTTCAATACACGTCAGCCGAGAGATGGCATTACGTGGTAGATGGCGAGGTCCTGCGTTTACCCACAGCCGGAAAAAGCAAAACCTCCCTCGTTCTAGGACCTTCCCACGGCGTTCCCTTGCTGAAACAAGGCAAGATGCATTCAGTCGACGTCGATTTAGCGCTTGCTATATCCCAAGGAGACACCTCCAACGCTGTCTTCGAGTGTATCTTGAGTCTGGCTGAGAGGATCTGCAAAACACCGCAGTCATCGCGCGATAGCGATCCTTGGTTGAAACAGCTTGACTGGACTGTTTCCAGCCATACCTCCGTTGACATCCCTTCTCAACCGAAGCCAAAGGCCAAACCCCCTAAACGTCCCGCTGTCATGTGGCCAAAATGGTACTGGGACTTGACAAAGCCGAAGAAGGACACCCCTCCGGGCACGATCGATATCACCTCCCGCAGTCGCATTTCCCCCATCCTCCTCAAACTTTCTTGGCAAGGGTGGCCTCTCTTCCACTCCCGCGAGCATGGCTGGACCTTCCGTGTCCCGAAGAGCGCTCACTATGTCACCAGGTCGGCGTCCGTTGACTTTCATGACGCTGCGGACGACGTTCTGCAGAACATGGCTCTCCAGGACGGATTTGTGTTCTACAAGCTCCCGCACAAGGATGGCGAGAGCGCGAATGTCGGGAATCCGCTCGCCAAGGCGTTCATCAAGTTTTCGCAGGATGGGACGCTCACGAGCCCGGGGACGGAAGCGAAGGACGCCCTCGACATGAACGCGCAGTGCAGCTACTGGATCAGCGCGCGCGATCGGGTGCTGAACCAGATGGTCGTCTGGCACAAGGCGCAGACGATGGAGATGGGCATGGGCCAAGCTCCCGCGCAGAGCTCCGACGATGCCGACGCCGAAAAGAAGTGGGGCATCATCGTCCCGCAGGTGATCACCATGGGCGCCGTCACCCGCCGCGCCATCGAGAAGACCTGGCTCACCGCCAGCAACGCGAAGAAGAACCGCGTAGGCTCGGAGCTAAAGGCCATGGTCCGTGCGCCGGACGGGTACGCCATCGTCGGTGCGGACGTGGACTCCGAGGAGCTCTGGATCTCCAGTGTGATGGGCGATGCTCAGTTCGGCCTGCATGGTGCGACTGCGATCGGGTGGATGACGTTGGAGGGCACAAAGGCTGCCGGGACAGATTTGCATTCCAAGACCGCGGGCATCCTGGGGATCTCGCGCGACCAGGCAAAGGTCTTCAACTACTCGCGGATCTACGGCGCGGGCATGCGCCACGCCGTGCTGCTGCTTCTGCAGGCGAACGCCAGCATGTTGCCCGACGAGGCGCAGAAGCTCGCGGAGCAGCTGTACGCGTCGACCAAGGGCAAGAACACGCACCGCGGGGACATCTTCGGGCGCAAGTTCTGGTTCGGCGGGACGGAGAGCTTCGTGTTCAACAAGCTGGAGGAGATCGCGCTCTCCGATCGGCCCCAGACCCCGGCGCTGGGGTGCGGTGTGACCTACGCGCTGTCGAAGGAGTACTTGCCGGCGGAATTTGGCTCGGACTACATGCCGTCGCGGATCAACTGGGTCGTCCAGTCTTCTGGCGTCGATTATCTGCACCTGCTCATCGTGGCGATGGAGCACCTGATCGCGACGTACGACATCGAGGCGCGTTACCTCATCTCGGTGCACGACGAGCTGCGGTACCTCGTGAAGGAGGAGGACCGGTATCGCGCGGCTCTGGCGTTGCAGATCGCGAACTTGTGGACGCGCAGCCAGTTTGCGTACAAGCTGGGGATGGACGACCTGCCGCAGGGCGTGGCGTTCTTCTCCGCCGTGGACGTCGACCACGTCCTGCGCAAGGAGACGGACATGCCGTGCGTGACCCCGTCGCAGCCCGACCCGATACCGCCCGGGGAGTGCTTGGACATCCAGAAGACGCTCGACTTGACGAACGGAGGGTCGCTGTTGCGCGGCGGACGCCCGATGAAGGAGTTTGTGCAGGCAGAGGCCAACGAATTCTCGAGTAACTACCCACAGCCGGACTGCTTGCAGTACCGCGCCGAGAGCGCGGCGTTTTTGCAGGCGCAGGCGACGAACGAGTTTGCGGAGGTGAAGCACCTAGCGCAACAGGTGACGGGGAATAAGTTCGAGGGAGGCATCGGAGGGGAAAAGAGGAAGCACAAACGCACCAAGGCGCGCACGCCTGAAACGAAGCTTGGCGATGGGGAGGGGGTGGACTGGACCGAGGCGGTTGAAAAGTACTTTAGAGAGGAGTTGGAGCGGCATCCGGTTTCTTAGATCATCTTTGGGGAAGGGCTTATCCTGATATATAATGTACTCGGAGCGCAGTATACGGTATATTCGTGTAATGGATGTTGGCACAGCATCGACCACGTTTCACAATGGGCGGGAGGGTTGTGACGAGAAGCCGACGTGCGCGCTGCTGCGGGCAGTCTTCGCCGACGTTCTTTGGAAGGGCGGGAACCCTTGACCCTTGGCTAGAAGGACACGAGGTGGGCGGTTAGCGCCGGGCGTGGCAGCGGCGCGACACAGCAACGGTTCCCGACGCTGCTCCACGGGCGCCTTTGGGCGCTCTGGTCGGTATCATTACTATATCGGGCAAATACCGACGTCGGGAGGTGGGCGCGCGGCGGGCTTCGATCAGCGCGCGTTGGACATGTGCGCCTCATTGCAGCTCGCTGCGCCCTCCGCCCCACATCCCCGCCCTCCATTGGCTCGATAGCCCCGCCCTCCATTGGCTCGATAGCCCCGCCCTCCCGCCCGTCCCGTCCCGTATGCTGTGCGTCCGCCACGCGTCGGGTCCGAGCCTCTATAAAGCCTGACGAGGGCGGGGCCGATTCCTCCAACACCGCACTCCCCGCCCCCATCTCCCCCGCAACTGACTCGACTCGACTCGACTCCTCCGTCCGTCATTGGCTCCCCTGCCCGTCTTCATCGTTCATACTACAACCATGTCTTCGCACAAATCCTACGCCGCTTCGAACACGACCTACGTCCCCACCCCGCACTGGTCGCCAAACAACCTCACCGGCACGACCTTGACGTCGGGGTTGCCCGCGGTGCCATATCAACAGTCCGCCGCGAACAATGAGACTGGGTACAGAGGCCCTTACCCTGGCTCTGTCGGGCTCACGTCCGCGTCTCCCGCGTCCTCGACGGGGTCTCCTCGTTCTCTTGAGTCGTATGCTACAGCATACTCGATGTCCGTGCCCTCTACACCGGGCGCTCCCTATATGCACACAGTGCCATTACCGCTCGTTTCCGGATCTTGTACGTGTCTTCTCGATCCGTCCACGATCATTTGTTCACGACCACACAGACGGCCTCCCCACCCCACCCAACAGCCCCCAGACACGTCCCCATCCAAAACTCGACCAAACTTTAACTTATAACACACACTCTCCTTACAACTTCGATGTTTCTTACGCGCCGAGCGGCGATCTGCTCGCGCTCCGCCAGAGCGCGCTCCAGCCGGCCACCGCGCGCATGGTCCTGACCGTGCCGGGCATCTGGACGTTCGAGGCCGCGAACCCGCGCGGCGTCACCGTCGCGGACGTCATCAGCGCGATCTCGCAGCACCTGTGTGCGCGTGCGACGGGGCACGAGCCCGAGTACCACTCCCGCGCGGGCCAGCCGGACGTTGTGCGCGCGTACGCGCGCCGCACCGCGCACGCGCGCGGCGATGGCCTCCGCCGCGTTGACCTGCTCATGTCGCACACGCGCTTCGCGGGCCTCTCCCGCGCGCGCGACGGCTCGGACAGCTGGATCGTGCACTTTGTCTGATTGAACGCGCCCGCCTCAAAACCGCCGCCGCCGCCGCCGCCGACCGCCAACCCCCAAGCCCAGCTAAAGATCGACGGCGGAAGCCATCCCAGGTAAGCGCGTCTCACCCCCCCACGAGTGTTCAAGGACAATCCCCCACCCCCCACCGCCACGAAAAACAACAAATATATACCACGGACATTATTGGTTCAACGGACAAACCGGACCACTGCGCGCGCTGGCCGCCACCTTGCGAGCTCGCTCGATGTGCCGGACCACGTCGTAGAGGGGCATCCCTGTGTTATTAGCCGCATCTCATCCTGTATCTTTATCAACGATGTAACGCGTATCTCCATTCGCTCGTTTTTCTTGCTTAGCAACCCCCCCCCCCCCTCCGACTGCGCTCCATTCTGTCATTGTATAGATCCTGTAAATCCAGTAGCCGCAGATCAATCAATATACTCCCTGATTATTCCCAGAGCCCCGCAACCGATTCGAACGACTGACGAGTGCCCCCTCCCCGCCTGTACCTCTGGACATTTGTTCCCACTCATGTCGAAACCGCACAGAGTCGTCACCTTGCCTTCCCCCCTCTCCTACTGCAATCCGCCTTGTCAACCCATATCTCCTGTACCTTTTACAGAGGCAGTTCGATTAAAAACATTTTTCCCGTGCAGCATCACGTGGGGAACAACTCGAAGAAATAGATGTGTAGACACATGCAGGTCCCATTTTCTCAGCTCCTGCGCTCAAGAAAATAGCTCTACCACCAGCTGGGTCTTGCGCACCTCTTGAGGCCCACAAAAAACATCTGCGAGATCGCCAAAACTTTCCCGCTAGCCGATTTGAACGACTGACCTCGTCATTGCGTAAGCCAACAGCACGTGGATACTAGTGACGCGCTCTACCAACTGAGCTAAGAGGGATATGTTCAATGGAATCGACAGCCCGATGCTATCACCTTTCATGCTCCACTACAGTGGGCTACAGTCAGCAAAGCTTTGAGTCCCTTTCAATGTGATTGCTCATGAACCTCGGGCTGCATCTGCTGTTAGCACCCCCAAGGCTGACTGGCTTTGCCAATGCTGTATAGACAAGAATGGCATCAATGCTAGCTCACCACTTCAGTCTCCAAAAAGTTTGAGTAGTGGGGTGCCTACTAAGGATAACCTTGGTCACTATAGCCATCTTTGTCAAGTGGTCCCCTAACCCTAGTGAACTCAATATATTTGGTCAAGCACACGTCAATATATTTTGAATTATTAGAGAGTGATGATCTCTGCTAGTGCATTAGGCTCTCATAGAGATAAATGGAGCAAGAAAAAATGTACCTGACATTCATTTATCAATTAATCCCTTCTAGCATTGCCTGTATTCTTAGTAGTAAAAAATGTCTCTGGCACATGGTGCAATACCATTCATGGCACATCAACAAAACTTGTGTAATTATGACCCACAGCTCATGCTATAGTGAGTGAGACTCTATTGTGAATTCACTGACTTGCACTAATCACCTATTTGATACTTCCATTGCTCTTTTGCCCCATGCATGAGCTTTGTCACTTATGAGTTTCCAGTCAATTGGACAAGATGTTCTCATAAGTTACAGCCCAAAATGCCAATGGCATGGCCAGATACAGAGTTATATAATGAGTGGTTTTATAGCAGAGATGTGGCTATAGACACACATAGGCCCACAATTATGAGCTCCCACACTCAGAAGAAGATTGCTACGTCATCAGCGGGACCCTATAGACCACTTGAGCTCGATAAAACAAATAAGTAAGATTACCAAAACTTTCCCGCTAGCCGATTTGAACGACTGACCTCGTCATTGCGTAAGCCAACAACATGTGGATACTAGTGACGCGCTCTACCAACTGAGCTAAGAGGGATATGTTCGATGCTATAAACAACATGTATATATAGACCAAACACCATGGCCATTCCGGGTCTCCTCAAAGCTCACGCAAGTCATAAAGGCCCTTCAACCTTCCTTCGACTATCATGTACCGCTGTGTCTTTCCGTGTGTGTTTCTTCTTCTGGTGACTCTCTCTCGATGTGCTGTGCCGTACGATCCTGCACGATTTCCCGCCATCAGTTACGATCTTCATCCCTACCGAGCCGCTCTTTTAGCAAGAATGCATAACTCGACGGCTTCCGACAGAACTACTCCGAAAGCCGCCAAGGACCAGGCTCAACCCGGGAGCTCGAACGCCTCGTCTACTAGATACCTGCCTCATGCTACGCGCTCCCAGGGCGAAAACCAGCCAGCGCGTCGTGCGCCGACCGAAACGTTAGACGCGGATACGAGGCCGACCCCTCAACCCACGGGCGATCCGTCGCCTTCGACGACGGTGCACATCAACAGCGAGCAGGATTTCTCCTTACTTCTGCCTGATACTCCCGGCGGTACGTCCTGCGTGCGTCATCGCGCCGATCGAGCTGATATCCGTTATCCGGCGGCGACAGAGCTCATATCTGACGCGGAAGCCGACGGCGTGTCCTTCTGCGCGCCAGGAAGCACCGATCCCCACTGTGCTAAGACCTTCCCGGACGGCTTCGTGCGCGCGGCGGCCATCTCCAGATCTGACGACGGCGCGTGGATCCAGGTATGTCGCGTTCATTCCCCCTCTACCCTCAGCCCTGCCTTGCACCCAGCCCACAATGAACGAACGAACTCTGCTCGTTCTGTGATATTCGCACCACATTGCCAATTTCATATCCGATGCCGCACGTAGATCACCGGATGCCTCGACTCGAGCAAGTTCCAGGTCGACACGCAGGACGCTGGCGGCCAGTTCGACGTCCGCTTTCCCAACGGCGCGCAGTGCACGTTCGGTGGGTACGCGGCCAGTTTCATCGAGCTGTACGTTGTCCTGTCACCTCAGCCTCGCATATTGCCACTTATCAAATATTGCCACTTGCGGTCCACCCTGGTCCACCCCGCGCACGGACATTGGCCCCGACCGCGCCCACCTCGACGGTCGATCGGGCCCCGCATTTTCCTGCTTCGCGTATTTTACATACAACACCCTGTCGCCTGCGGCCCCACCTGCAGCGTCGAGCCGGCCCTCAACCGCTTTTGCCTGCGCTGCTGCCAGTCCGCCAACGATCAGGTCAATTGCAATTCGCACCGCGATCGGCAAGGGTGCATCAACGCGGTTCCCGGCGTGTACGACTTTCCTGAGCTCGGTGTCTCCTGCTCGTGATCCGGCCCTGCGCGCGTCTCGTCTCTTGGCTGTCTGCTGGCTGGATGGCTGGCTGGCTGGGCGCGCCTGCGCCTCTCGGGACGCTTTCTGATATTCCTAGGTCTTATTACGATAATATTACTGTCCGCCTCGTCACAGGTCCCCTCTATCATGTACCTCGCCCGCGTCGCTCGCCCGCATGCCGTGTGTATGTCTTCTCGGTGTGTTATCCGGGCACGAGTTTGTGGAGCGCGCCCATTCTTTTTGTACCTCAGCGCATGTAGGCTTTATGTATAACAGCCTAGTTGGCCCGTTCACGGTGTCACCTGCATGCACGCTCGGACACGCCTCGCCGCGCAACTTTGGAGCCTGCATGGCGCATGAAGGGAAGGAACAAGCGACAAGGTCAATGCATTGCATAGATAAGGGAAAGCATGGAACATATCATCCGTGGCTAATATACACAACCATGGTGTGAAGCAAAGGGGAGAGTCTGTGAGAAGAGGGGTGCGTGTGTGGGTATGAAACAGTAAAGTACAGATGCAGGATAAAATTATACACACACAAACCGTGTATCGCCTCGCGCTTGCAAGCGCTGAGGAGCATCAGCCCGATAAGTACGAGTCCGCACCTATAACCACAAGAAAGAAGAATCCATTTAAAGGAGCCGATGACGGGGGTTTGCGTGAACGAGCGGAGACAGTTGACAGAAAACAGGACAGAACGAAGACGAGAACCGAGACCAAGAGAAACCGGAGCAGGAAAACGACCACACAAAACGAGACGAAAACAAAACCTGAAAAAACGAGACGAGATGATCCAGGCGAGCCCGGACGGAATTGACACCTGAGACATGGGAGCGAGACCCCGCCTTGCTCGAGCAGTGGCAATCAGGCCTTACCAAAGACGAGCTTACCAACACTTCCGCCTGCTACGGCGCCCTTGTCCACTTCGATGCCGACGAACCGCGTCTTGCTACCCAACCAATCAAGCCTCCTCACACCGCCCTCCCAGCCTCCACCCATGCGCTGGCATCTCTTCTCATACGCGGCGGCAACCTTCCGTTGCGCCTTGCTCCCATAACCCAAATTTTCCCACTCTTCCGGTGTGACCCGCGTCATCAGCGTGGTGTGCACGGCGTACAGCACATCCAAATTCGTCAAGCACGCATTGCTGCGGCTCGATTTCCCAGAGCCAGAGCCCAGGTAAAAGTTAGATGAAGGAGAAGAGCTCGCGGAGGAACCTACGGGTCCCACGACGACAAGCCAAGGAAACTTGTGCGAGCGAAGGACCAGCCGGGCGCTCGCGGGGGTTGGGGGCTCTGTCGCAGGCTGCGCGAGGGTGTGTGCGGGAACGGGAGAGTGAATGGTGCGGTCCAGCACGGTACGGGCGGATGGCGTGAAGGAGATATCGTATGAGATAGGAGCATGGTGAAGACGCGTGTACGCAAGAAGAGGATGCATGTGAAGGCTTTTTGGCTGGACCGGGGTATGGGGCGTTTGACCATCTGTTTGCAGCCAGACGTCGATCAGTGAGGGATGCGCAGACATATTGCACTGATACTCACAAGAAGATGAAGACGCGCTAGGGCTAGTACCGGTACCGTTCCATGTGTGATTCTGCTTGGCACGAGGGCGTCGCTCAGCATACGGAACACTTCCACGGGAGCTGGTTGACAGCGGTGCAGACGGAGGGACCCCATTGGCATACAGTGACGAGCTCGAGTTAGATCGAGAGCTCGTCGGTGTTCCATAGCCGGGCGGGGAAAATGTTGGGTAGTGCACTAGTTCCGGGCCCCATTCAGTTAAACATCACGACGCTAGCACGGTAAACGGCTCACCATGTTCCTTGGGTTTATAGCTTGCACGCCGATACACCGGCGTCGACGTCGCTGCAGCCGACGAGGACGCTTTAGGACGAGGGCTTTCATGTGAGTGCCGCGAGTCGTAGGTCGGGTAGCGCAAGGGAGAAGGCGTGTTTGTTCGCGACGAGACGTTGTAGCTGTTAGCTCTCTTCACGTCAGGATGACCAGACGAAGCAGCGGAAGGCGTGGCTGCGGGAACGGGATATGCTTTTCCATATACGGGAGCAGCGCTAGAGGCAGCGCGAGAGCGACTGTGGGACTTGCCGCTGCTCTGTCCTGAGGACGACGAGTTACCGTATCCGAAGATGCTGCGGAGGTAGGAGGCCATGATGAAGAGGTAGATTGAGAGAGCGAGGATGGTTTTGACGTGGGTCGTGGACGAGGTCGTGAATGGGTAATGTACAGGGTTGCGGAGGGTCATGAGCGAAAACGTTTTAACAGGTAGAGGGCGAGGAGCCAGCCACCGTGACGTTCGTTCGATTCGGAAGAGGTCTTTATAGCGAGGGACAGTGCCTCGTTACATAGCAGATCGGCTGGGGTGGCTTCTTTGTTCTAGGCTTAACAAAGAGTTATCGTAATGCACATAATGCAAGATCAACCAATGTTGGACAGCCATGTTTTCAGATGGAACCGCGCCCGGCAATTTAGGCCAGAATTCTTCTGAGGACGCTTGGAAGCGCACGGAAGCGACGGTGACATGCCCGAAAGGGAGGGCGCACCGTGCATGAGAGCTGGCGGTAGGGATTTGTCCGAAAAGTCCGTGCAGGCGTGAGGTGCGCTGTCAGTGGCCAGTCAGAACGAGGCTAGCTGGGTCCTGAGAGCTGCAGAGGCGCCGTTGGAGAGACCGTATGAGGTAACCGATTGGTGTTAAGCGACACATAGAAGAAGACTTTCTCTTCCGGAAGATGATGGCATCGTTCGAAAAGCTCAGCGCCGACGCGTGCAGGGGGCGTGTTGGACGCGTGTTGGCTGCGAAGCGGTTCACTGCGCTCGCTCCGGTCTAGACCCCGCCCTCGCCTCCCACTTTGGGGCCCGCCCCAATGCGCTCGCGCTTCATATATTCCGACGCGAATTCGCTGGGCCTGTTCCGCCGTGACTGTTCAAAGATACTGTAGGAGAAAGTACGCCGCGTCTATCAAACTTTTGCTAAGGAGCTCTACCGCGTACGAGAATATTCAGGGTGGGCCGACAAACTCATCAAGCAGTTGGAGAAGGTGGGAAGGTGAGTCGAGAAGTAATGAAAACAAGACCGAAGGGTCACAGTGTCACGACACGTTTGAAGGCAATCTAGACTGCGCTTCAAACTCCCCGCCGCCGAGGAGAAATAAGGGGCGACGACAATGTACGCGATCGTCAGAAGCGAGAGCGCCTGGCCACAGAAGAATATTGTATCCCTTTTAGAAGCCAGTAAAGCATGGAGAACTCTCAGCTGATGTCATTAACATCGCGCGGCGACGATGCAGCCGCAAAGTCGGCCCCAGTCGGCCCCTGTCAGAAAAGCCGAGGGTATTGGAGCAATGAGGGCAACACGAAGATAGAACGGCTGATACATGTTCAAGGCCATGGAGCGGCAAGAACTGGAAGAGCTTCATGACATACAGCGGATCGTTCAGAGAACAGGCGTCGCCGATCAAAGTACAGACAACTTGAAGGTACTGGTTTTCGATACTGGCCGAGGCTTCTCTAAGATAGAACCAAGATAGAACGGTAAGACAGTTGCTGGCAAACAGGAATGTATGGTTGCAAGACGTAGAAGGCCAGGCACAGCGCGCAGCGCATACGGTGCCCATAGGTGCCTAGTGACCCTGAAAGTGGAGCACCAGCTTCAAAAGATCTGCCAGGCGCTTGTAGCTCGCCATGAGGACCAATGATACATCTTCGTATAGCATGAACATGGCGATGTCAGGTAAAACCGAGTGTGTCGGATGTACAAAAATACGACTGAGGATTCGGAAGTCGTCAAGCTCCTATATGCCGAAAAGCAAACGCAGACTACCAGAAGTTGTCAAGGCGCTGATCACGCCTTCTGGTGACAGGCTCCAGAGCACGACGCACGAAAGGGGGGTTACACATGAGGGGTACTGCAGCGCGTCGGTTGCAGTGATGAGATTGGAAAGGGCAAGGGGAGTGCTGCTCAGGTCTGCTCAGGGTTGCATACAAGCTGTAGTACTCGTGCATTGAGAAGCGATGATCGCTGGAGAGCTATCGGGGCTACCGCTGCGGTGACAGTTCTGAACTGGTTTGATCAAGCGCTATCGCACGATTTTTGGTCGGACAGCTGTGGTATTGTCGCCGTTTGAAGTCTAGCGAATGACAGAATGATAGGGAGCTGTAGTCTTCCAAGAGATCTAGAGATCCGCGAATATTACGCCAGGCGATATGCTCCAAACCCAGCAGCATGGATCATAGCATAGAAGATGCAGATCTCCGAAGTGCAACGCTCAGTGATTCTGAGGTCAGCCAGCTGTAAAGAGGGTGATCACGAGAGCACATCACACACCAGATGTAGTGGAAACGAGGCAGGCGCTCGCTTGATAAGCGACGACCCTCGACTCGAGCCCGACGCATAACCTGAGCCGTCGGAGTGAGGTCCTCAACCAATGGAGAACTGAGAGAAGGTACACTGAAAGCTAGAACACTGAAGCCGCGATGCATGGAAAGAGAGCTGGACACCGAGTTGAGAGGCAAATACGGTTGATGTCAACATGTGCCGATATTAAAGCGGAGCATGAGCTGGCCTGCGTCGGCACACCAGCTGAGTTTGGAGCCCAAATTCGACGTCGCAAGCAACTCCGATAGACGTTTGAAGTAATCACATAGTAGCGGATTGTCATGATCTATGTACAGGAGAAAAAGTAAATAAAATGTACCTGCATCGAAGTGTCCAGGCTCTCAAGATATTCACTAGGCAACTGAGGATAAAAGGGTGTGGCTATAGATAACAGTAAGTATAGACATCAACAGGCATTGGTTCATGAAAGTACGTGGAGTGTATGATATCAAGAAAGAAAGAAAGAAAGCAGTACGCAAAGCTTTTGTCACAGCAAGTAAGATAACAAGAAAAAACAGGAAAAGATGGGTCAGAGAGCTCAATTGTGTCGGCCGTAAAGATGCAAATGAAGTACCCAAGTACCATCCAAGCCTACGGACACCGACAATCCCTTGAACATGGTTCGTATGTCGAGATAGTCAATTCGCTTTAATCCCTGCCGTCGCTCAAATTCGGCAAGCCCTGGGGTACGCATGCATCTCCGATGGCAGCTATCCGACATCATCCTCTTGATTCCAGGATACTGCCGCTCCATGTGCTCGATCTCGACATCAGAGAAGCGCTGTTGGAAATATTCCCAGATGGAACTGAGCATTTCGTAACATGTGACGGAGTGTGTCTTTTCGATCAGCAGTGGTGGCCAATCGAATGTGGCCCCTCCAATATCGCGGACACAGGATATCATGATTTTGGTCGCTGCAGGACGGACAGCATCCTCTTGGAAGTGATCTCTCACTGACTCCCAAGTCTTGCGAGCAGTCACTCGCATCGCTGTCTCAGGCTGCATTCTGAGATCCCATACGAGAGGAGGATACGAAGACCGAGCCTCATCCCACTCTAACCACGGTGTGAGCTGCACGGGATTAGGGCGACGTTTGGGCGGCCACTCAGGAGGTGGGGTAGGCGGCGCTCTACTTGGTGCTGGCGTCGGCGATGGCCATGGGTACCATGCTACAGGAACCACCCATGGGATTGGCACGGGCCAAGGAACAGCATAACCCCCTAGTATGACAAAGGGTGTTGGAATATGCGGAGACGCTGGCTCGGAAGGGGGAGGCGTTGGCAACCCGCCTGCTTTCCTGATATTTGTGGCTGCGGCTGGCCAAGCAGCTCGAGGTGGGTAGGGATAAGGATTTGGTTCGCCCCCATAATTTGCGTATGGATAATGGAACATTTGGGCGCGTGGCGAAGGCGCCGATCCTGCGGAGATATGATTGTGGTTGTTGAGATAGCCCGTTCGATATGGACTGATGGGTTGTGGTGTTAGCGGAGGTGGTATGACAGGTGGTAGGATAGGCTCTGATGGCCGCTGTCCAGTCTGTCTTTGATATGCTATTTGAGAATCAACGAGGTGAAGAGACAATATTTGAAAAAAAAAATCCATACCACGGCAATGATAGTTCTCGAGCCCTTCTTGTGATATAAACTAATCAGCAACCAAAATCAGCATCGTATAAGGTCACGTACCAGGATCACGCCTGCCTTCTGCCGGAGGTGGCGTTTCTACCTCGTGCGCACGTGGATTTGTACGGCGTAGAATGCCTCGTGGCTCTGGATGAGTACGGTGTTGAGGTATGTAGGTGGTGTTTCGATCTGCCGGCTGCTCTCGCTGGGTGCGTCCCATGGAGATGAGGTCCTTCGAGAGTTTTAATAGGCGCGGAGTGAGGCGTTAATAGGATCAGCAGAAGGGTTAACACTTTAGGAGACCGAGGGTAAAATTACACACGCAACAACTGAAGATGGATGAGCAATCGATAACGCGATACAGCTCCGCTTTTTATCTTGGTTCTGAGATCCTAGGTTAGTCGAAGAACAGGCACCAACTCGGACCATCAACAGGATCACGTCAGTCATCACTACAACCCGATGCTTCCCAATTATGAACTCGTTAGAAAGAAGAACATAGCATTGCTACGTAGGCGCCACATTGGGCTGGACGCTCAGCGCTCGTTGAAGACGAGAAGGTGAAGTGTGGGAACAAGCCCGCAACTCCGACAAGCCTACTTGGGGCAGACTCGCTCCTTTGCGCAGCGAACCTATGCTAAAATCACAGCTATTGTCAGATGGACAAGGAGATCGAAGAAAAAACTTCTTACCATCAAGTAGCATGAATAATGATAAATGTAGAACAAGACTAAACAAGAAGGCTAAACAACACAAGGATCAAGATTACGGGGCCTTGTAGCGCTACCTGTCACTGTTCGAAGGCGTAGAAATTACGCAAGAGCGGGAAGAATGCGATATATTCACCGCGGTGAGAGACGTAATTCTAAAAACAGCGACGACGCAGTCATCGACCGAAAACGCTGCATCAACGTTAAACATGCATAAGCAGTCAGTGTCTTTTCCTCAAGGCCAGGAGACAGACCTAAAGGTGATCAATCGATCAAGCGTACCACGGAATCAACTTCCACAGTTGTTTTAGGATGGTACTTAGTGTGTACACCTGTGAGCTTTTCATATTAATATTATCCCAAAAACATCTACCAATGCCCCGTGCTCACAGCTGTCTAGTACATGGAAGCTGGCCTTGGTAACGTCCATCTGCCAACTACCATTGAAATGTCGGTGCAAATGCACAGAGTGTTCGTCCTAAAGAGGACAGATAACATGAACGGAATGATTGTGAATTATTGATGAGCTTGATGCAGTTCCACAAGGCAACTTACAGCGTCTAGCGAGATATAATTAGGACCAGCCGTCCGTCGATTCGACCTTCACCGGAGTAGTGCGAGTCGTTGCCTGTATGGCGGCTTAGAATATAATAGTACATTGTCTTCGATGACGCTTAAAATGAACATTCGCTGGCGTAGATCGGCGCCTCAACGATGTGCCCATGATCAGCTATTTTCATCCGTGGCACGGTACGAGAGCACAGCGAAGATGGCATCCGGATTCGTCCAAGCTGATGTGAGTTTCCACGCAAGAGCAAAGCTGCGCGGTCCTCGTCAACCGCTGTGGTGATTGCGCCGTTCGATGATGGTTGACTCGACTGATCCATCGCGGATCATGAGAAGTAGAGGAACGTTGCTACCTTCCAAGGCTTGGTGGCGTAACCCGTCGACAAGTAGACCACATGATTATACGGTGAGAACGACGCCTCGCAGCAACATGAATCCTTCGAGTCTACACGGAACGCGCTGGAACATGCTAAAATAAGCAGACACATTTGAAGGGAAAATGGCGGTGATGAGGCATAGCGTTGGACTTGTTGCACCTAGGCAATGAGAATAGATGTTTCTAATCAGGTAGTGGCTTCGGGCATGTGAACGCTCCTGTTTGTATAACAGGACAGGCAGCGCTCGTAGCACCGCCGTACCATTCCGCATCCCTGAGAAAAGAAGCCCGTACTTTGATAAGTGGCAGCAACATACCTACCTAGAGTTAGCGAATAATCAAAGATAAGAGACGTGGGCAAGTGAGCAAGCATCCACGATGCACGGCCGCCACCGCACTTCTCTGATAGTGCACAAACCTGACGGGAGCAACCGACGAACAGTATTCGATGGAATGAGACAAAGAAAGCGTTGGTTGATGCTCCACAAGGGCGCCGCACTCATGGACAGAGGCGAGAGCATCGCAAAAGATGAAGCGCTCAATGCACACTAGACCGTATACATGCACGAGTGATCGAATCTACAGAGCATAAGCCAGAGGAAACCACCTCTTTCGCATCGCGGAGCGCATTCTAAATCGAGCGAGACGTACGTGGGCACTGCAAGACCGGAGTTGATCAACCCCACGGGGTCACGAAGATAGTCTGTGGTCGAGATCGAGCCAAAGAAGACGCAAAAGGGGGCATCAAAGATGATCAGCACCGTTTTGGTCACGGAATCGGCGCGGCGGTGGTTATCCCCACTAAAACACTGAGATATCATGATCGAAGGGCTATCGATGAGCGCCGCAGTTCTCGATTCATCCCCGCCCCAGATGCCGGATGTACATAGGCATGAGTTCCTTGAAACACAAAAATTTCACGGTGCAGCTTGGCAGGGGTGCGCGGGAGAAGACTGATACGACGTCACGAAGGATGTGAGAGTCTTCAGATTGCCAGTTTATATATATCCTGCAACAACAAATCACAATTAAAGATCTGATAAGCACAAAGACACAGCAGGGCATAGTTCACTGAGACCGTCAGCGTCGTGCGCGTCTTATCAAGCGCGGCTTCCAATGCGCTGTCGCCGAGTTGAACGACGAGCGCGTCCAAAGCCGCAGCACCACGCGGCGCACTTGATCTATGCTTGACGCTGGGCGTTAACGTCCCTCCCAGAAAGATATGACTCTGCCTGTTCTTGGGGTAATGGTTGAGACAACCCGGTGTCTTAGAGTTGACCGACAACCTAGATTTGTAAATGGTGCAAAGCATCGCTCGATGAAGAGGTCTTATCCGGCTGTGTGCTGGGGCACTGACATCGAGGCTGAGAGTCTAAGATTGGCCCAAGGCCATGTCAACGTATCAAGTCCGATGATTCGACTCGTAAGCCATCGATACACGGACTATGACCAAGACCTCTTCATTGAGCGCACAGCCATCAGCGCGGGGTTAATGCTGATAAAGGGTTGTCAGTGATCGTTCAGCGAACAAGCGAACCATGCTCGCTCAAGAACTTACCCAAGAACACGTCGTGTACGCTCGCCGACCATCCTTGGCCGACCATCTTCGCCGCGTGCATCGCGAGGTATATTCCTTCGAGACTCGACCACATCCGCCAACTAGTTGCAGTAGTCTCGATAGATATGGCGAACCTGGACCATCTCCAGCTCCAAGGTGGCATTCTACATATGCGCTGTGTGTCATCGGGGTGCCGTTCTGGCGTCATGAACAGGTAGGATAAATGACGACTTTGCTCAGAAATGAGTTGGCAAGGAGGGAAGCGCAGGGCCAGATAATGGAGGACCTCGGTAGCGTGAGACTGTCAATATTACATGCCATAGACTGGACGCTCCAAAGATGTTCAAAAAGCATGTGAATGGTGTCGAAAGTGAGTTCGGAAATGGATTTGGTGCAACGAACCCGGATACCGCTCTTGTACCCATCGCGGCGACCAGATGTAAAACCCCGAGTCAGAAAGCTCGAACACACTGGTGACGACAGCAATGCGGCATTGCGGGAAGTATCTTTCATGTGAAGACGCAAAACTTCGGGCTTGGGGAGCAGATAGCGTGAACCTTTCCCGAGACCCTCGAGATGTGTGACCCAGAAAGTGAAGAGGTGCACAGTGACCAGGTTGCTGCTGTGAGCCATAGTGGCCGCCGGCTACCTCATGTCCCAGGTGAGATCTCCCCTAAAGCGGTTTCCCCTAAAGCAGAGCAGAAAACTCACTTCCAGACTCTGAGATGATACTAAATCATCGAGCCCATCATGACACGGGAAGATGCCTCGCAGACCGTGAGGCGGAAGCCAAAAACCAGCCTCTCGAAGGAGGGGAGCGTCACGGAGCATGTGAGAGGCCAGGAAGAACAGCCTGAGACGTCGAATCGTACATCTTCCAGCAGCAGAAGCGGGTGCCGAGGCTGCCCAGGTAGCAAGCAACAAACTCCCACCCGCCGCGACCTCGTGTACAAAAACGAGCGGAGCATCTGTACACAGCGATGATCGACAGATAGCACACGCCCGCACGCACGCACGCCTGACGTGATCGACGAGCTCGGGTGACTATCCAGCTAAGATACTTTTCGCGGGCTGATTCGACGACCACCATGACGCGCGCCAAGCGCGAAGATATCGGGGAGAGCTCCAATGAGAGGAGAGAGGTGTTCTGCGCGTCGGTCATCGAGTGAAGTCCAGCTTGTAAGAAGACAAAAAAACGGGGACCGGGTTGTTCTGTCTAGAGCACCGAGTCGCGTGACATTCAGCTTTCGATGTCTAGCAGAAAATAAGGACTTCGGCCATGCCGGGCGGAGGATGGCATATACAGTACCATCTCCTACACATCCACAACGGTGGCTACCAGCAGTGTTTTTGAACGCCGAAGCTGGAGCGATTCACGGGACGAAGCCACCGCGGCAGACTTAGCTCCCGTGTCTCAACTTTCTCACGGCATTTAGTCAAAATTAATCCACGTCTCGTTTAGGTGTTATCTCCCTTTATTACCGCTATCATTCCAGCCATGATATGCAAGGTCGCGCTTTGTGCAGTAGACCACGGATTCAGCGAGGACAGAAGAAAAAAAAAATCAAAGTAACATTGTCAAGATTTTCAAAGATAGCAGACGTATAGGTCCAGATGGTAACCTTCCATGTCAACACAAAGCCCAAAGGCTTCGCCAGCGACACGGTAGCCCTCGCAACGTTGATTTTCGGAGACCGCCGGTCGATCGAAAAGCCAGATGTATGGACGAGTATAGTCACCAAGCGAAACCACCACGCACACTGCGCAGGGACGTTGGGGTCCTTCAACAGCGCAGAACAAAGCACTGCATCGTCTTCACTCCGCGTCGGGCCATCACAGACAGAACAAGAACCACCACCACCGGCAGCGGAAAAGGGTGACACAGAACGTCCCACGCAGAGCCCCCCAACAGCGCACATGCACGTGTGAACGTAGACCAGCAAGAGCCAAACACGCACCGCCGACAGAAAAACCCGGGCCCCCCAGAGCACGGTCCTGTTGACGTGTCCCCTCGACACCGCCCAGGGTAGGAACCCAGCCCGAGCAGCGCACCACCAGGGTGCCGCCCGAGACCTCCAGGCGACCATCTGCCACCGCCCGGACTTCCTCTCTATCGAAGCCTTCACTGCCGGACAAGCGTCTGCGAGCATGTATGACATCGTGCGGGGGTTTCCGACTCTCTTCACGCCCCGTCTATGCGCTTGTCCTATCTCGTCGCCGGTGCTTCGCTTCCTCGGCGTCACGGAACCTCACGGAACTTCGAGTGCTGAGCGGGCTTTGCACCTTCACGCCTTTGGAGCCGCCGGCCGAGGGATGCTAGGCCATCTAGCGCGCAGTACATCGGAAGGCTTGCGGAGAGCAATGGCGAACACCGACTGAGGTCGAGAACAGTAGGGCTCACCTTACAAAGCTCTAAATCACGACGCCCTACCGCACAACATCTCCGACCCCGACGCCAACCTCGCATACGACCCCTCGGCCGGCCCCAACCCCACCCAAACGCCGCCCAAACGAACGACCGCCCAGTTATCCGCGATAACACCAGCGCGCAGCCACAAAGGCACATCGTGGGAACGCCCACCGACTTCCCAAAGCGTCTTGACGGGAGGGAGGGGGAGTGGAGGAAAAGAAGGAAGCACGAGACAAGGGGCCGGCGTGCCAGCTATATACGCAGGCGGAGCGCGTACGTCACTCGCGAGGCTAGCCCCGAAGCAGGACACGCGCGGCGCGATCACCGTCGAATCGAGAGACGTGGCTGCCTTTTTCAGTGGTGCAGGGAGGTGCAGGGTCGCGGTTCTGTGGGGAGCGGCTGGATAGGGGCTTATCGCGGGCGCGGCCTGGGCTGACGTCCAACGAGGGAAAGCTGGGGGCGCGTGGCCCTGTTTATCACCGGGGGCGTCGGGGAGGGCTTGACGAGCCGACGAGAGAAACCTAGCGCGATCGAACGAGGGAGCGCGCATACGTCGAGATCCGTGCAGCACGAGTGCGAGGCCAAGGTTTCCCCACGCGCCGAGCAGAGGCTCCAGAGGCTCCAGAGAGGAGAAAGTGGCCCGCGGAAGGCCGCCGACGATATCGAGATTTCATGTCATGCGGTACTGTAGCACTTGGCTATTGAAGCCGAGAACGGCCCGTCGTGTGAGCACCCATCACCCCCAAGGACGCGCCCGAAACTCTCCCAGGACGTGCTGCGGCGGGTCGCGTGCTCTAGCACGAAGACCGCGCGGAGGGAAAAGACGAGACAGGAAGAACGTCGGCGTTTGCTGCCAGTCCGAGCGCGAGCCTGCCTGGTGAGCGCCGTGAGATATCGAGAAAGGAAAGGGATGCGCACCTCGTCGATCGACCGAGCGGGTGGGTTGCGAGCCCAGGATGGATACATGCGATGGCTGTTATGTCGTCTGAGAGCGGCGCACTCACACGGCAGGCGCTGCACTCCCCACCCTGCAGGCAAACGCAGAGGCAAGCCCTCGTCCGTGCTTGACTGATTTACCTGCAGAGAGCCTCGTATGAACAACGCCGGGGAACCCGAGGGAGCGCAGATCTGTTCCCGCGCACCACGTGATGTGACGACGCGACGCGCGAGCCAATCACGACGCGTCTTTGTCGAAATGACGACACGTCGGCAGGCCTCGCCCCGCGCGCGACGAAATCCCCACTCGGTCGATCGTCCGTCCGTGCTGACGTCGACGTCCACCCTTCCCGTCGGCGGCGGCGGCTCCTCGACGCATTCGTCCGTGCGCATTCCATACCCGGAATCGAATAACGCCCTCGCACGCACTCCGAGCACCGCGGCGTGCAGATCCCTCGCATTCCATGTCGCGACACGTCGTGCACACGTACGACGCATATATATACATGCATACATACGCATATATTTTGCATATCTGTACTATAGTAACCAATGAATCTCGATACAACAAGTGGGTTTTCTTCTACTGTGTGTGTCGTACAATGCAATCCGCAATCCATCATGACCGTCGTCGTCGTCGTCTCGTGAACGAAAGAAAAGGAGAGAGGGGGAGGAAAAAGAGAAACATAAAAAGCCCATGGAGGAAGGTGGAACAGGTCTAAGCGTAACACGCTGCGTTCCACAATAGCAGGCCAGAGATGAAACAAAAGAGAATGAACCTGACGGCCGAAGGCCGTCGCAATAACACGAGAGAATAAAAAGAGGCGCTGCAAAGCAGCAGGGGCGGGATGGGGAATAGGGAATAAGCGATAACAGTAGGGCGTCCAGTCCGTGATGCAGCCAGCAAGATGAATAAACGGGAGGTAATAACGTAGTGGAGATGCGTCGTGATTGGTGATGCGCTTTGCCTATGGGCGGCGGCGGCAGCGGCAGCGACAGCGACAGGTGATGGCAGGAATGGGTATGGGGTCACAGTGTCGTCGGTCGTCCGCGCCGCTCATGGTGATGATGAGTGGTGTACAATGATACTTTTCTTCTTCTTCTTCTTCTTCTTCTTCTTCGTCACTAGCTTCTTCGTCAACTCCTGCGTCGACTCCCGCGTCGACCTCCTCGGCTCCCTCCTCGCACTCTCCCCTCTCGACCTGATCCTTCACCGCGAAGTGAAGAACCACACGTCCTCCTTCGACCCGGGGCCCCTAAACACCGTCTCGACCCGCGTCCGGCCGCAGAGCACGTCGATGCGCCGCACGCCCTTCATCTTCTCCGTCTCGCGGTACGCCCCCGCCGCCCTGCAGCGCGCTTCGTACGCGCGCTTCACCTCGTCGACGCGCGGCAGCGCCTCCCACTCCTCGCGGCGGATCTGCGTGCGCAGCGTCGTGTACAGCGCCGCGAGCACGTCCGCGACGCTCACGAAGCGGCTGCCGGGCGAGGTGCTCGGTGTGGGGCGCACCGCGATCGCCCACGGGAGCTGCGCCGAGCGGAGCGTCATCTGGGCCAGGGGCGGGCTCGTCGCGGGCGCGGCGAGCGTGGACGCGGGGAGGGCGGGGTTCTGCACGGAGATGGGCTGGGAGACGTCGAAGGCGAGGTTGAGCGCGGCGAGCGCGGGGTGGAGGTAGATATTGGACGGCTGGGGGGACGGCGGGAAGGCAGGGCTGGGGAGGTGCGTATAGGGCATGGCGTTGGGGGGTGAGGGGGTATAGACCATTGGGGAGGGGTAGGCGGACGGGCTGGGGTGCGCGCGGGGGAGGAGGGGCGAGGGGAAGGCGGAGTGCGAGTCTGGTGGGGTGGAGGGGCCGTCGGACGACTCGCCTGAGGAGAGGGGCGAGTCGACCCGGAAGGGGCGGACGTCGGGGGTGGGGTTGAACCGAACGTGTCGCGGGGTACTCATTGCGGGAACGGTGGTGGTGGTGGTAGCGGTGGTGGTGGTGGTGGTAGCGGCGAGGGAAGCGGTGGTAAAGAGGCTCGAGTGAGTTCGGGTGATGATGTGCGTTGGGTGATGTGCGTTGGTGTGGGTGGGGTAAGAGGTGGGAGGGATGAGCGGTGCGGATGGAGGGGGTTAAATATGAGGAGAGGAGGGACAGCAACAGGTAGATATTCAAGCTATGGGTCCATAAAGGAAGCTTGGCAACTGGCGCATAGACAGTGAGTGCCGTCAAACCGGCGACGGATTCGGAGCAGAAAAGGCGCAGCCAGCCATGGATCGGGTCCGTTCAGCAGGCCGACATGGCGCTCAGAGCAGGGGCACGTTTGGCAGGTCTGTGCTTGGGCGGCCTGGGCTGTGAACGAGTTACTGGGAAGACGCTTTGGGAGGAGGAGGGAGCCAGGGCAGCCCGTGAGTCAACGCAAGCCCCCGTGCGGTGCAAATATAAATTTGATTACCACACGATTTCGCGACTTTGGCACCCGCACCGCTCCCAATCAGGCCCGTTTCGGTAGCCCACCGCCACTGATTCGGTTGCTGGCGACGCGGCCTCTCTCGCTCTCGCTGGTCCACCCTGGTCCACTCCAATGCGACATCAATCCTTTGATGTCCCGCGACCGCGTTACGTGGCGTGCTTGCATCGTGTGTGGCCGTAGCGCGATGTAGATCACAATTGCGGATGCAAATGCGCTGTCGCTGATAGATTCCTTCCCCCGCTTGGTCCTCACCCTCGCTCCGATCCAAATCAGCCACACAGGTAACATCATCGTCCAGTCATCGTCCGTGCCCATCCATCTCGCGTCTCTGATCCACGCCGCGTCCACCCGTCGTGGCATGAAATGCCACGGCATCTGCTGCGCGCGGTTTGCACTGTGCACTTTGCCCATCGATGCACGAAACATCATTGTAACTCGCATCGTAAGCAACGAGCCTTCCGTGACCTGCCACGGACGCCGCGACACGCTCCCATCCACCCAGCCTCCACGTGCGCGTGCCAGTCCTAATATCCCAGAACCGCGGCGCGCCGCGCACAGGTGCAGCTGCAGGCGCCCAGGCGCCACGGCGCACGACGACGGCCCCACCCGCGTCCTCGTCCGCGCACATCACGCATCTGCGAACCGAGACAAGGACGCGACCTGCAGCTCCTCCCTCCGCGGCTTTCGTCCCTGCAGCTCCTAGCTATGATATCATCCACGCTCGCTAGCTCGTTCGCTAGGATCTCCCTCCTAGGATCCCGACAGCTCGTCGTGCGCGCGCGCAGACCCACACTCATTACTTCCTTATTCGCCGTATTTATTTCTGGCGACCTGAACGTGCAAATTCGCCGGCGTCAACTCGCGCCGAATGATGCAAGGTACGTGGATCCCGGCGCTACGCTCCACGTGGCTCGCACTCAGAGCCGGTCCTAGTCACTCGCGAGCCTAGTCATCCCCAGCTCGGTCACGGGCTGGCTGCCAACCTCCAAAAATGCGATGCCAACTCGAGCCAATCGCATTAATGGCGTCTGCACAGTCTCGGGCCCAGACATGGCCCTCGGAATGGCGTCGGATGGACCTTGCTCGAGTTGCTTGGTCGTGCTCAGCGAAGAGCGGACTGGCGCGGCCGGACGCGGGCGGTCCTTCCGGCTGCGCCGCCGCACGACACGGCATGATGCCATCAGTCAGCGCATGCAGTGGCAGGAGGGGCCCGCTGGGAAGGTGGAACCACCGCGATGCGAAGGGTGGGAAGCTCCCGGGCTCTTTGTCCCGGTGGCCCTCCGTGGTGGCGGGGCCCTGCCTGCGTTTGGGACGCGGCGCTGCTCGGTCGAGTCGCAGTAGCAACGGTGGCTTCGCACCCCTTCGCGCGCGAGATGGCCCTTGCGAGCCGCGCTGTCCCACCAGATCGAGGCGAGGCGGGCGATGGCGTGTGACCGCCTTGTTTTTGTTGGCTGTTGATTGTTGTTGATGGATGGACAGACGACGCGCTTGGGCCTTCTGTTCCAAGCCGCAGCGGGCTCGAGGGCCTCAGCCTCTGGGTCGCGTTAGGTAGCGCATTGGTCCCACACGCCGGCGCGTCGGTCAATGACATCACTGATTGCAATATTGGGCTTGACGGCTTGCATTCGAGTCGCTCCGGAACAGAGATCGTGCTCTCCGACGGTGTGAATCCAGGGTCGACCAGCGTCAACGACGAGGCTCCTCCCGAGGAACTCGAAGAACCCCCAAGCCCAAGCCCAAGCCCAAGCCGCTGCGCACACCAGCGCCTTTTCCCGCCCAGCGCTCGCAAAGTCGACGGGCCACATCGTGTCCGTTCGCTGATCGTGGGCAGCAGGATCGCTCTAATCACGTCATGATAGCCCCTTACTCGCCGCCATCACGTCTACAAACTTGCGAGCTTGCGACGCCCGCCCGCGCACAATCAGTTCCCGGAGGTCCCCTGCCTGTCAACTAGTCCTGGCTCGTTCGACTTGGCTACATAACGGGATCGCCGCGGTGCGCTGCGGCCCCGCGCGAGTCACTCGATGCGCCATAGCTCCGTGATGCCCGACACGATATGTGCGTGCGGGCCCGCAGTCGCGCAGTTTTAGCCATAACGCCGCTTGGCAGACCGCGTCAGGCGTCGGGCGTCAGGCCGTCATGCGCGACGGACGCTCCGAAACTTTGCGTCTCGGTTCGCAATCACGTCGCGCATACACTCGCGGTGTGCTCCGTCGGCGGCCCCACCGTGTCGGCGGCGGGCGTGGAGCGCACTTCGGACGGAGCTTGTGATCATCACGAACGCGGGCGAAATCGTCATTTGAAGCAGCTCGATGTCGATGTTCCGCTCGCACCGTGCGTGAGGGGTATTGGATTTCGAGTGCCGCGCACAAAATCCAATGATTGCAGACTTAGCGCGCGCGCAACGTTTGGCATGGCGGCGGGCGAGTTCCAGGCAACAGGACGCGGTCTGGCAGCCTTGGGTACGCACCCTCAAACTCTGCGCATCCAGCTCGACTCCCCCTCGGTGACACAGTCTAGGCGCGTCGCCCAAAACGGCAGCTCGTTGATGGGCCTGCACCGATCCCGCTCCGGCTGCGCTTTTGGATACCTGGGGGCGTCTGGCGGGCCTGCGGTGTCTCAGGCAGCAGCTCCGCCCTCTGGCCTCGCACGATATTGCTTCCTTAGTCGGGCGGTGCATGCGCAGCGCATCTCAGCTGTCCACCCATTCAATCGTAATCAAGTCAGTGCGTGAGCGTGTTTCGGACACGTCTTCACGTGTGGTCCTATTTGGGAACTGATTGCGGAGGCAGCACTGGTGCCACAGCCGTTCCCGGCTGCGATATTTCTGCCCGCCCGCCGGCCGTCCGGACGGTGGCCGAGCTACGTGTCCCTCGGGCTCATCATCCTCCGACTGCGCGCTATCAAGACGCGTTGTACCCCCGTCCTCTGGCCCCGTCCGACCTATCCTTAGCTCGAGTTGACATGGAGCGACAGGCGAATTGATGGCGCCGACTATGGCATCATCACACCCGCTTTGCATACTCTTTGAATAGTTCTCTCGCGACGGGAGGCCGCAGCTTGATCCTAGGACACCCGACGGGCAAAGCAAGTCTCATACGCCTCTGCCGGGCGCGAGGCTGCGACCCGTCTACAGAGGTGGAGCAGCACCGACGCCACCGACTGCGGCAGTTCTGCCCTTTGTCTTTGCGTGCGTCCTGGAGAACAGATCATGTGCTGGCACCGAACAAATAAGATGTGCATCATCAAGCTCATGATTTTCCGTCGCACTTCCCCTCACTGAATCATGCCTTTGATGGTGTTGATGTGGGCACCCGCCGCAGCGCGACGGAAGATCGTCTCAGTCAGGGTTGACGTGGTCAGTCGCGGGTGATGCCAGATGGTGCATGTCATGACGCATGATGCTGCATGATGGCACTCGTTCTGATGATTCGAGCACAACGACTTGCTCTGCTCTGCTTTGCGCAGTCGTTTTCCTGCTACCGGCGAAAGGGATGCTTCCGCGTATCTTCCGAGCCTCAAACGACATTTATTGCCACCTATCGCCACCTACTACCGCCACCCACCGCCACTTTCCACGCCCTTCACGCGCCGCACACACACGCCTGCAGCTTCGCACGCTGCACCGCTGAGTGGCCGTCCACGCGGAGTTCGACGGATCGCCTGCGGGTCGTTCGATGATGACCTCAGTCGCAGACAGGGCTCGCGGACGCCGCGGCGCGTTTCGCACACACGCGTCGGCCTCGTTCTCGACTGCGACGCGATTGCCGCCGGGGCTGCATACGTGGGACGGGCGAGCACAAGACCGGCTGATTCTGGTCTGGTGGAGATTTCTGGGCGGGCGGCTCCGGCGCGCGTGGGCATCGGTGCGCACGCTCTGTTGGGAAGATGGGCACCGCTGCGTAAGTAGGTGTTTCGGTTCGGCTTCCACGATCGTACGTGGCGCTCTCGTGCTTTGCTCTCGAGGCATGCGCCGACGGCGGCTCAGATCCGCCCAATTCGAGACTTTATCTGTACCTAGCCTGCTCGCTGCCTAGGCACCTAGTGCCACCTCGATCCACACGCTTGCGGAACCAAGCTGACACCTCTCGCCCTTCCCTTCCCAGTTCTATCTCTGACTCTCTTTATTAGCGCACTGCCTTTGCGTTCCGTATAGCCAACGATGTACAAGTGGACGACCTGCTGCACCGCTTGCCTCGTTCCTGGACTGGGGGCGCTGACGCGCGCCTACAGCTATATTGACGCCACTGGATGCGCTGCCCATCAACATCGCGTCGGCAGATTCGCTCTCGGTGCCTAAATATGGTGTGTCGGGGCTGTGATCGCTGATACCTCCGACTCGGGTATATGGAGCAGGCGGTTCGTTAGTGTAGGTCATCCTTCCCGAGGACTCTGATCGAGTGTACCGTTGAGCTGTTCGACGGCCGCAGAAATTGTTGGGCTAACTTAAGTATGTAGTCTCGTCGGGCACTGGACAGGCTTTCCAGCTGGATTAAATTAGATCGGTACTTATTCCGAACTTGTATGAAACTTGTACAGCTGTAGATAAATAGAAGCTAAGCTTTATTGGTAAGTGATATCCTTGAAACTATGTAGGGTCCAGACAGAACAGAAAGCACGAAGATAATGCACCTAGGTCATTGTGCTGCTTGGGTCGCATGAGACATCTGTAGTACTCGTGGAGAGGCAGTGTCATGTTAATCTCGCGCATCGCGTGGTGCATCGGATAGAGTGGCAACCTGAGGAGGATAGTGTATTCTGCTGTAAAAATGAAAATAATGCACTTGCAGAGGAGGCTATGCTGAATGCTTCAAATTGACCGAAGCAACAAAGCTGAGGATGTCAGCGCGACGCGTTTGATCCACGTGCAATCCACATGACTTGTCGTACGTCCGGAAATCGTCCAAGTCGAGCATCATTTCCTGCAGCCTCACTTTCCTCCGTTCCGTCCACTTTGCTCACAATGTCCGGTACGTATCTCACAACCTTCGCGGTCCAACACAAGGCTGATGCGCTTCAGAAGACCAAGTCGAACTCTCCTCTCCTCCATTCGACAGTGTATCCTCCGTTCTGTTCTCCCCGAACAACCCAAACCACCTTCTAGTTTCATCATGGGATACTGTGCGTGCTGCCCCTACTGAAAATATGTTGACTAACTTAGGCACGTAAAGACCGTCCGATTCTACGATGTCGCCGCTAACGAGCAAAAGTCAAAATTCGATCATCGCGCCGCCGTGCTTGCCGTCGCCTTCTCCGACGAATCGCATGCTTACAGTGGAGGCTTAGACACGTCCGTTCGACAGTGCGTCTACATTTTGTCATCACCAGTCTGAATCCTGCCGACCGCGCTCGATAACGAGACAGGTTGGAGCTGGAGACCGAAAAGATACACAACTTGGGACAGCACAATGACCCCATTTCCAGCATGAACTACTCGCAGGACACCCGTGCGTACCGATTTTCTCGCGATTTGTTCTCCTGCGCTCACATCGCTCTAGATGCTCTGATCACGGGCTCCTGGGATCGCACTGTCCGCTTCTGGGATCCACGAGCCTCCACACCACAGGTCGCCTCGCACGAACAACCGGAACGCGTTTACTTCATGGACCTCGTCGGGAACCACCTGGTCGTCGCGATGGCCAGCCGGCTCTTCCACATCTTCGACATCCGAAAGATGGAGAAGCCAGAGCAGACGCGGGAAAGCAGCTTGAAGTTCATGACGCGAGCGCTGGCGTGTATGTCGGATGGACAAGGTAAGTCCTGCGTCTCTCATTTCAGCCCTCATCTGCATCCGTATGTGGGTGTCCGCCTTGCCACCGAAACGATGCTGATCCGTTCGTTCTCATCCTTGATATGTGTGGCTCTGAAGGATACGCGACTGCTTCTGTCGAGGGAAGGATCGCTGTCGAATACTTCGATCCGAGCTCAGAAGCGCAGGACAAAAAATACGCATTCAAGTGCCATCGTCAGACCATTGAGGACGTGGACCACGTCTGGCCCGTGAACTCGCTCGCCTTTCACCCAACGTGCGCGGGTCTATCGTACCTTCTCCCTTGCCGCATACAAGCCACTCACAATCTTACCTCGGTTTTTCAGCTACAACACCTTTGCTTCTGCGGGCTCGGACGGGACCGTGTCCATATGGGACCACAAGGTCAAAAAGCGCCTGCGCCAGTACCCACGATACCACTCCCCGATCTCAAGCATTGCATTCAACTGCGACGGAACGAAGCTCGCGACGGGCGTCAGCTACACATGGGACTCAGGGGAAGAGGGCCAGAAGACGGCGGAGAGGCCAAGTGTCTACATACGCTCACTTGGGGAGGAGGTCAAGGTGCGTCTTTGCTTCGTGATTTATCACGCAATCTTGTTTTGGCTAACTGGTACACCTATAGCCGAAGGGATGGACTGGGAGCTAGATGCTCGTCGCATTGTATGTTTTCAGATTGTTATAGGTGTATGGATGGCGCTATCGTATCCGGCGGTTTATGCAGTCGAGATGTCGGGAGCAAAAATGAGCGGTCGTCCGTCGCGCTGATTTTGCTCAATGCTCACTTTGGAGCGGAATTTGTGTGATGGGCGTGCGAGTAAAAGGAAACACGACGCGATCAGAAAGTGTGAGTTAATGGTATCTGTTGTTGCAGCTATCCAAATCCTAGACATAATACATCCATAGCGTGAATTACTCGTAGCAATGTTGGCGGTACGCCGATCTCAGTGACTTCAAAGGACACCCCTATTCGATTTTTCTTCGTGAAAACTTTACATAAAACGACGAAAACTCGTCAACAATCTGTCCAACTATGCAGTGATCACACGAAACACGTACCAGCGCGACAACAGTTCCATCCTCCAACACCTCTTTCCTAGGCACGAGTTCGTACCCGAATACTTTCGGTAAAATGATGCGCCACGAAGCCCAGTAGAGGACACCGAAAGTGAGAACACCAATACCGACTAGACAATACAGATAGTAAGGAAGAGGGGGAGTGTCTCCAACTTTGTTCGCAGGGTGGAGGAAGGGCGTGATGAGCACTATGGTCAAAGCGATCAGCAACCAATACCAGGCACAAGCGATGATGAACATCGTACAGAAAACAGCCGCCGCCAGGAAAAAGAATGCGAGCGGCAGCCATACTGAGAAGTGATAAGAAGTAGTTAGTTTCGCTTCACATCAGGGCTCGTCGCAGCAGCTGTACCTTTGAATGGGCGGTGGAGATTTGGCTTTGTCCACCTCAGATAGAAGAGGCCCTACAATCAAAGAGTTGATATCTAGGCCCAGCAAGAACAAGATGCAGACGCACTAGGACGATGAACAGGTTGATGATCTGTTGTGGATAGCCTTCAACATCGAGTATGAAGGGATATGCGACGGATGGTGGAGGCGCAATGATCACGATAACCTGTTCACCAATTTCTCTTCAATCATGATATCCTGTTTGGGCATACGGGGTGTCACGTACCGACGGAATCAGATGGATGATGAGGCCGGGCAAAGGCGACTTGCCAGTTGGCCAGTTGGATGCCCAGAAACGGTTCCCAAAGGGAAGCGGGACACCTTCTTTTGCCAGCTCTTGGTTGACCCGCGCAGCTGAAAAAGTCTAGGATGCTGATTAGAGACCTGCGAGGAATGCTGTATCGGGAACAAAGGCACGCACGACGGTGACGACGTTCTAAACAATGGTCAGTGTTCGAGTACGACGGCTTGAGAATCACAGAGACTGACCCTGCACATGAAACCCAGATGATTATCAACGACTTTGATTAGCATCTATCAGATGAGTACCAAGCAGCGATGTCATACCCCAGAGCACTGTAGAGTTGCGTTAGATGAATAGAGATATGTTCAGACGACAAAGACTTGCCTCAATGCAACAAAGACGGAAAGTGCTTTCTGAGCCTTCGTACCAAAAACATTCTTAAAGAATAGAGATGCGACAGTGACGCCTGACTTAAGAATCTGTGGCTTCGAGGCAGCTCTGCAAAAACAAGCGTGTGTTGGTTAATTCAATCGAAAGTGACCAGGGGTATTCAAGCGACTAACGAAAAATAAGCCACGTTCGCAAGCATATACAGAATAGTGACAAGGCTCAAGCCGAGTGGTCCTGCTATCTTAAGCGTCCGAACTGGATTTTTGACATCGTTCATCACGTAGTTTACGCCCGACCAACCTGCATAGGCATTGAGGACTTTAAACGTCGCGGTTGCGTACTGTGAAGCGTCAGTTAGGCAGCAGCAGTTGTCCAGTAACCTCAGGTCAAAGTATGTACGAAAGTCCAGAAGCGACGTACGTCGTTGCTGCTATGTGAGCTTCCTGCGAATGCATTGCGGAAGTTTACATGCGGGTCTTCGATGCGAGTTTTACCAGATAGAACCACCCAGCCTGTATGAAACACATATGGCCTGAGCATACAGGAACTGAATTGCGGATGATGGGGATACACTGACCCGTGATAACCACGAAGAGGAGGATAAAGATTTTAAGCAATGACAGTGCCTGGTGCTCGCCGTCAGCTCATGAGTGAATAGACAAGATAAGAAACTAACGTTCATAAAGTAAACTCCCACTCTGGGAGCAAAACCATGAAGAAACGTGGCAAAGAAAATCACTACTTTTCATCAGTATAAGATCGACTGTCGAATCCCTAGGACTGACCTCCAAGGGCGATACCACGTTCTGTCCAACGATCTGCTGTATGCCCAGCAGCAACTAATATGCTGCAACGCGGTTAAAACCTGGTGCAGTTGAAATTGATAAGAAGATACCGACTTCGAAGCAAAGACCTGCCGATAGGGTCAGCACCGCTTGTAATCCGCCTTGCCGACACAGAAGCTAAAGAACTCACGATACACCCAGACGCTGTGAACCCCAACAGTATAGCCTGCATGGAAAAGATAACGGTGGCCAGATATCTCGGCTTCCGATACACGGCCTCGAGATACACCTTCTCTCCTCCCGACCTCGGAAACATCGAGCCAAACTCAAGCCATATGAACAGCCCACAGAAAGAGAGGACGAAACCGAGGATCCAGAGCATGAGAGAGGCCCCAACAGAGCCTACGGAGTTGAGAATAGATGAAGGTGTGGAGAAGATGCCAGTGCCTATGATGCGACCGACACTGGATCGAGGAGTAGTGAGCGGCCGATGCTCTGAGCGCGATCGATGTGGTCACAGCAGCGTTGGAAAACAAGTACTCACATTAAGAGGGTGCAGCTGAAGACACCCAGATGACGACCCATGCCCCCAGCAGTGTCTGTCAAAGCATTTAGCAGCCAGTCAGCCCTGCAAGCTACGACAACAGTCAGATACATCCGAAGATATCGTCATGTACCTTCTTCAAAAGTGAGCTCCCCAGGGTTGACGACTTGGACGGAGCTGCCTTCTCCATCCTTCGAGTCGATATAATCTCCTTTCTCGCTGCCGCTTTCCACTTCAGCTGGTATGGCGCTCGCATGTGCTTCGGAATTGTCTCCGGAGCTCTTGAAGGCGCTCAGAAAGAAAGCCATGGCAGCTGCGATAGGCGTGCTACGAAAGCTAGGGGGATCCCGAGGAAGCGCGGACCATGCTATCGCTCGAAGACAATCTATTTATAAGAAAAACATGGAGCGCGCATCAGAGACAATTGCCGCATCTGTGTATCGGCACAAGCGATAGGGGACGCTGACATGCAGAAGTTGATGGTGTTTGCAGACTAAGATGGCGCAAATGTCAGACAGGCTGGCGAAGTCTCGCGACTTACGAGAAGCCAAAACCGGATGTGAAACTGAGAAACGCCATTTCCAAGGAACGAGTGCTTATCGCAGTAAGTTCGTGCCTCCGTATACGTCGCTGAATCAAAATGTATCCAAGTCGAGGGGACTGGCAGAGTATTACTGACAGTCGCAAGAGCGCACATGTCCACAACATCCGTCTCACGTGCAATAACACGACGCGATCGAGCATATTCCTGAACAGAGTCGTGTCTATTCGTCAAGTGAAACCACTCTTCTTTGTTTTGTTTGGAAACAGTGCTGCTGCCATTGACGTGAAAACCCGTGAAGATTAAAAGGCTTATATTCAAATTTTACATGACGCGATTTCTGGTACCATATGCAGACTCTTTGAACCGCTCCTCGGACTGAATCTGAAGGATCTGTTTTTCTTCGTGTGACGCAAAGGGTGTCGATCTTCCAGCTTTACAGGGCCGTCGTCTACCAAGGAATATCAAGGAAACGACGAACATAATTCTAGTAGGACATCGCTCACCAAAACACGAAACAACATAATCTATAAGCACAAAACGTATCAGCAGAACGGTTTGCCATACATCCTGATGGTGGTAGAATTCAACTACATCACTGCAGGCATCAAGTACAAAAGCCCACACGATAGCATCGCCCGATATACCAGAAACATTCGAAGTGCCGATAGGAGAGAGGATGTCAGCAAATGAAATACTCTCCACTGAGCCACAAGGGCAGAGAGAGTGCCTCCTTAAAGGCGGCAAGCGAAAGACATGCGAGATGCAACAACCAACAAAGGGCAGCACCCATGACAATGACACGCACTTTTGGATATTTCAGAAAGAAGCTACGTTCAGAAGCCGTGACGTCCACACACTGCTCGAGGTAAGATACGACGCTTTGAACTGATACACATAGTAGATCGATGTAACACCAACGCACCGATTGACATAACACCGGGCAGGCCAACTGTTAAGAAAGATACACGATCTGATAGTACACACATGTCATAGGTTTTCATACTGTCCACTAGAAAAGCCCTTGCAGCAATCGATACGAGTCACTGACCAGTCACCAACTTGTCGCTGCACATATGGATAGAAGTGAGCGAAGAGTGAGGGCACAAAAGAGATCTTCGACTTACGGGTATCTGTCTCTCCCCAGTCCAAACTAGACTTCTTCTCGAGATAACCCGGCGCCTCCCTTAGATCCAGATCCCACTCTCGTCCATCTTTCCACCTCTTGAACTCTTCTTCCTCCGTCCACACTTGCTTCCATATTGCCTCCTTCTTTTCTCTCCTTGATCCTTCCTCTGCCTCTGCCTCTATCTCGCGCCATTCCTTCGCACGCGAAAAAACGTCTGGTTGACGAGAAGTGATGTCGTCCCATTCTAGCCGCGCTGGTCGGACATAGGGGAGAAGAAAAAATCTAGGGTGTGATGCGCAAAAGCTGAGGATCCTATCCCAGCATGTCAAATAGTAGCAGTAGCCTTCATGGCCACGGAAGGCTGGGGTACCAAGGCTCAGGACGATCATCTGCAGGTTCCCGCAATCATGTAAAAGCTCCCGTATCTGAGCGGTGATGTTATGCATTACTCTCTCGGGTTGCGATGCCCGTACGGTGAGCGCAACGTGTGTGAGTGCAGGCAGATCTCGAAGAGAGGATGAATGGAATCCGGTGAGTGTAGAGGTATAGAGGTGCGTGACATGACTGAAATAAGATTCGCGGAAATTGACAGGGTTAGGAAGGCCGAGATGGAAAATCATGGCAGTGGTCGGCCGAACGTGATGTTTCCGCAGCCAGAACGCGTGCGCACCCAGAAGTGGGGCAGTAATACTGAGGTTCGAGATGTTTTTGAAAGCATTCCCAATAGAGCCGAGCATCTCTTCAATGGAAGGCCTTCGTGCAGGGACAGCAAGCGCCAAGGAGTAGATTGGGAAAGGGGAAACTGGTTTGCGTTGAGACGAAGACGACAGAAATAAAGAGCGTTTGGGAAGAAATGGTGAGGCAAAAGAGGTCACTTGCTCCGCATTTCGCAGAAGAACATTGTGATAAAGACATGAGGAGATCAGCCGTCGGATAGAACTTGATACTAGACAGAGGTTTTTAGCATCTGTGCGATCGGCAACAGCCATGTAGATGAGGATTTCTGTAACCAGTTCGATCGGCAAATTCCTCCATACTTCGACACTGAGGGATGGCTTTCGTTCGGCAAGAGTGTCCGGACTCGCTGGGGGAAGCTCCCACCTGGCAGAAGTTTTCGTCAGAAACTCAATCTCTTTCGTCCATAACAGAGAAATAGAAAGAGGTATAAGTCCTCCAAATGGAAGAGAACCAAAGCACGGTTGACTCGACAGCCGTGCAATTTCGTCGAGCGGATAGACATGGCCAAAAATGCGCACGACAATAATCTGATCGAGCAGGAAGTAATACAACACGATCATGCGGATTGATACCTGTAGAGTCGAATCCTCTGAACAGACGTCGTTACGTCGACGGTCGCAGTGACATGTTGGCTTCTAGACAGACACGACCAGTTGTAAATGCAATTGTCATGCACTACTCAGCTGCCAGCTGTTCTCAGGTCTTGTAGACCTATATAGCTGATGCTCGTCGACCTCCTGATGCGTTGCGCTCTGTGCATACTAGCGGGTGTGACCAACTTACGTGCGAACACCTGGCTTCCTTCCTTGTGGGCTTTTGGTCGTCATTCCTTTGCAACGAGACGTTGAGACTGCTTGTAGAGAAAATGAGAGATGACTAGAGCTCGAAGTTGAAGATCAAGGGGAGGACGACTGCTTGTGGCTGATGCTTGTGGTAACCAGTCACACGTGTCATCTGGGAAATGTTGAGATACTGTTGAGATCAATTGCGTTCCCCTTAACACTTCTCAATAATGCACGACAACCCGTGCGCTATCATACTGATTGTTTAGTTGCTGAGCATTGATGCGACACTGTGGGTTTTGAGTCGAACAAAGCAAGAGCAAAATTGAAGCGCTGACAATGGCTAGATCACTCCACGTGGGACACACGTGGAGTATAGTGTCTGCCGCTCGAGTTGCCAGCAGCAACCGTCTCCATTGTCCTCTCCCTCCACAGGTCATCCCACACGCCCATTGTCTGAAACCTACATATAATCGCGTTCTCATCTCTCGTTTACTGCTCAATTCCATCGAGAAGTTGAATTCCTGTCAGCTAGGTGAGTACATCACAGATATGCGAATAAGACATCGAGCAACCGATAATGGAAATGTCATCAGCAGTCATAATGGAAGGAAATCCGCTGTGGAAGGTATCCCGGGGGAATAGTGAGTAGAAGTGTAGTGAAAGGGTCATAAAGACGTGACTGATACAGCAGATCATCAAGACCAACCGTACGATGGGAACTACAGGTAATACAGGGGTGAGCATGAATTGTTCAGAAGTATCGCGGGCGTGAGTGGGATACAGTTTAAGAGTGCGGTGAGGTGGAAGGGAGATATGGAAAACAGGTGAGTATACAACTATCTGTACATGCCGCTTCCACCGGGGACAGCAGCATCATCGATGGAGTCATGAAAAGTGTTCGCCAGACATCTGCAGATCATTGTAGCCAAACATCGCAGTGAACGGATCGTGGCCCAGTCTGTCGACATCCATATGCGTTGGACTGCAGTACTGTTCGTGGGGAAATCCGGATCCCATGGACTCGACGGTGGCGGCCTTGGGATCATCAGAGTACTTGACACCCTCGAGCTCGATTGGCGAGAGGCTACTCAGATCGAAGTCCTCGTTGAACAGTGGTTGTGAACCGTTTGTCCATCCGCCTTTTATCGTCGCAGAGGGCCAGGCGAAAGGCCGATATTCGAATTCGAGCATTTCGGGAGGACATTGGGATGTGGGGACGTCAGGAATACAGAACGCTTCGTGTTGTTGCCAGATTTCGCCGGGGATACCAATCACTTCAAGGGAGGACGTTGGCGTGAATGGTCTATCGTCTGGCGAGGGGGGACCCGACGAGCCAGCAGCATACGAAGACACAAGCAGCTGCTGAGAAGGCGCGAACATGCGTTGATCTGGGCATCCACCGAACGAGTCAAGGGAAACGTCATTTTTGTTATTGTTATCGACAAAGAACGGCGTCGGGTCGAACGTTCCAACAAAACCCGCCGAGCCCTGCGGACGGCAACAAGGTACGCTTAGTCTTCTTAGGGACGTGAGAAGGAGATGCCACCAATACGTACATTGACGTTTGGATCCCAGCCTTGTGGTTCGGGGTACGGCTGCTGAAGGCCATCCGAAGGTGCGAAATCGAAATTGAATCCTCCATTCTGCGCAGGGAAAGGGAACGAAGGTCGCCGTGCGCCTGTTGGGACCATCGAGGGTGATGATGGTGTTGAGGACATGAAGACGGGCGGGACGGTGATATGCTGCTGATAGGGAGGAGTAGGTGCCGATGCCGCGCGCGGACCTGGACGAACTGATAGTGGCATGATGAACGAAATCTCACCATCGTCCATCTCTTCATCGTCCGGCTTCTTTCCCTTCCCTTTCAGAGCTGCCGCCTTCTTTCCCTTGACTCGCTGGGGCCTATACACGTAGTTGGGATGCAGCTGCTCGTGCTCCTTCTTCTTCTCCTTGGCGAGTTCCTCCCAGTACTGGCGTTCCTCAGCTGTGAGGGCCTTCCATTCCCTGCTAATCGCCTTTGAGAGATCAGCCTGTCGTTGCTTCTTGGTTGGCGCGGACGCCTTGTCGCCACCCTCGCCTGCCTCTCCTGCGCCCAGCGCAGAATTACGGTCCTCGCAACATTTGCGCCTGAAGAGAATGAACGCGTTCTCTGGCCGCTTGACGTAGTCCTCGTCTCCCTTCTTCGGTCGACGCTCGTTGAGATCGCTGGCTGTAGAGCGGCGCCGGCGGTGCGTCTTGGTGGGAGCGGGCGCGGGCGGTGCTTGTGTGCGCTCCGCGATTTGGAGAGAAACATCGGATGAAATGTGCGAGGAGGGGGTGGGGGTCGTTGGTGGGGGAGTGAGCGTGGATGGTTTGAGCTCGGCCTCAAACGGAGAGTTGGACGGCGAAGATAAAGGAGAGGTCATGATATTAGGGAACGTGAAGGCGCGCGGCGTCGGGGATATGATATTGAACATCGGGGTGTGGACGTGGTCTACGGTCACTTCGAGTGCTGCAGGGGGATTGCGAGACGGTGAGTGCGATCAGATCGCGTTATCTTCGCTGTGGCATCATGATAGAGTGCTTACATCGAGAGTGTGTATCGCGAGTGCGGTAGGCGGGCATGATGGATGATGTTCTAGTGAGGACAATGGGGGGTCGCTGTGGAAGTTATGGAGTGGGGAAGGTAGCGGAAACGAAGAACAGTTGGAACTCCTGCTGCGGCAGGAGGGAGGCTGGTGGGGAAGTGCTCAGGAGAGTTTGGAGGTAACGCTTGTTCTTTTGTCTCGCGAGGACCCGGAGGGCGCTTACAATTGCGTGCAGGTCGCAGCGGACAAGACAATACGGATGCGCCAAAGCTTTATAGTCTTTGAGCAGATGGCACCTGAGTTCCTCCGAAGACCTCCATCGCTTTCCGTAAGTACTAGATCTGCCAGCCACAGTCTCACCATTGTTTCTCCCTGATTGGGATCGGCGAGGGCCCTGTTCCCAAATATTGGTTGGGGTCCTCGCGCGTCGTCTCCATATTTCTGCCAAATAGGACCAAATACAACAGCCACCTGCCGAATCCCTATTGTCTTGCTCTTGACGAGAAGACGACACATGGATGCCGGCCATCCGGTCGAATTTTCCCGTGAGACCAGCTGTTCCGATGACCAGTCCATCCTGTTATCGCCTGCCGCTCTTTTGCTTCCATTTTGCAGCGCCGCGAACTCGATTAAAAAATCGACCTGGTATAACCTCCGCACTTTCCGCCGACGAAGCTCGATGTTACTCGTTTTTTCCCTGCTGGCCGACGGATCCGGCTTGTACCTGCTTCTCCGCTGGTCCCACCGGAGTCACCTTGCAGGCCTGACGCCACCTTAATCTCGCTTTGGGCGGTTGGAAATTACGTTGCCCGCAAAGCCTCCCTGCATTTGGCAAGAGTGCTCCTGTTGCTCTTGGAGATGCCGCTTACGTCTGAGCGTTCACTTCTGCTCGCCCTTCGAGACTGACTGTTTGCATCGGAGTGGCTGTGTCGTTCTCTAGCCCTCGCGCCTCAAAGCTTGATATTGTTCTTGCTGCCTGGAGAACCCGATTTTCTTTCTACTAGCGCTGTAATGCAATCTCGCCGCGTCTCGAGTCCTGTGGTCGTTTGTCCCAGTCGCCGAGAATATTCAAAGCATGTTCAACCGTATATTACCCGCTGTGTCATTCATCGGTAATCATAAACTCTTTTTTGTTCGAAATACCTATCTGGGCCATCATCCTCGGCCATATGCGATTAACCCGTGATATAGCTCGATAATGCCGTTCTTTGCACTCTATTCTGACGTCCATACCGCGTTAGAAGCTTAATATTACGCTGAGCATGTGTTGATAGGTGTTCAGAACGTTCGTACTGACTACACTCGCAATGAGGATGTATCATCCGCTTGGCCACCCGCGGCGACTCGCGAGTGGCTGTGTTTGCTATCAGATTCAGCGGAAACACGTTGAGCGCCGCATATCTTTATCAGCGCTTCAGCGTTCTCTCATTTCATCTTGCGGTGCTACGGTGTTCTCGTGGATGGACAAACAGAGGCTATATTTTCCCGTATGCATCCGCTCGTCCATCACCGCGAGGATCCCAAACCTTCAGAGCCAAGTATAGCACCGGGGCGCGCCTCGTCTCTCGGCGAGTTCGGACCACTTCCTTGAAGTTGTCATACTAGGCACATTAAACGGGTCTTCATCTATACAAAGCCTCCGCCTTTTTGTCATATGATGCTTAACAGCAATGGAAAAAAAAGCAAGTCAGAAGATCAAATATTGTTCCCGCAGCTGCCGCGAGGCATACGGAGCACCATACCTGAACTGCTCGCTCACGACATACTCTACCGCTAGGGCCTCATGATATGTGATACCATATAACGCTCTATAACGCTCCACTATCTGCATATGATATCCCGGCCATCGCTCAACATTTCCTCAGGGGACGGGGAGCTCCGAGACTAATCCCCGCCCGCGCGCACTGTTTTGGCCTTGCTAAGATGCTCCCACCATCGCTCATGATCCGTCGCAAGATATCTCACGGATTCCGTCCCGACCCAGATTTAGATCGATTCCATTCTTCTTGGGCCTTTCTGGGTGTAGGTGTCAGATCTGATAGGTTGTCTCGGTGTTGCTCTATGTCACTTGGTTTAGACAGCCTCCTCGCGCCCCGTGGGCATTTCCCCTCGCCGCCTCTCACATGCTCGGGACGATCGGAGTTCCAGTGCCTGTGTAATCTCAATGATCTCGTTCCCTTGACTACGCTGGCCTTGGAGCTCAGGCAGTGCTCATGCCCAAGACCCTCCAAGACCGTCCATTACAAAGAGCTTGACTTAATTGTTATCCAACCTCTCAACATGCGCAGGCATAAGCTATGGCCTTCGGAACAGGAGCTCTGCACCGAAGCGTGGGAGCTCATTTGTACGCGGATACGAACCGATAGCTGATGATCATATTCCTGCATCACGATTCTACTGGTCCATGCTTCAGTGTTCATGTGCACGCCTTCGCCACATGGCGCCAAAGATACATTGCCTCACCGAAGAACAGCTTTCAAGAACCAGAAATCCTTCAAATCCAGACCCGCGCACCTTTCGCGATACGGATATAGCAGAAAGGCATCTAGGGCCTAGACGCCCGACTGCTCATTCTTTGATACCCTTTAAATGAATGGACTCCCACCGCCGTTCTTACTATGGGCAAGATTTCCGGCACAGAGTCAAGTTTTCGAGATTTGGTCGTCTTATAATGACTCATATGGTAGCGATGCGTGTTAGGAACGGAATACTTACCCATGCCTCCCCGTATTGCCCGTCGGCGTACAGGTTTCGAAGAGATGTACACTGGTGAACACCACATCATGATCCTTTGATCACAGTGAGAAGTACCTCGCGTCTATGAGCACACATCTGAAGACATCTGACTATCTTGATGGTCTGACGTTCTGAAATTCGGAAGCGCTGAAGGCGGTTCTATTTGTGGCACAGTAGAGCGCAGTCTGGTCCGTCGTGGGTCGGTCCAAACTATCGAGCGTGATTAACATAACCCTACGCCCTTACCATTCTTCTCACCATCAGCCTCAAACCCGAACTTGCGCGTCAAAGGACCCTGTACTATCCTTCTATATTGAACAACCTGAACCCCGAGGGGACTAGAATTCAGTTGACAACAGACGCTGAAGGCTGCGACAATGATACTTCACTGCATTGCTCTTCTTTGCTTTGCCTAGAGCATACGGTCGTATGATTTTTCATAGACGTTTGGGCCGCATAGCAGCAATCGGAGAGGCTAGGTGACCGTTCATTACGAGATGCTCTCGGAGGCTCTCGGTAACTAAAGAGATCAAGACAAGGCGTCCATCGAGATCTAGATATCTTTATCTTATCTTATCTCACCTTAGATTAGGAGTGGTGCGAATCGATCAAGGTAAGACATCGGTCCTTATTTAATGGATTACAGCGCACTCCTGTGAGCGACGAAATCATGATGCTCACGCGTCTTCAAGGTGAGAGTGCTATGGGTTTAACGGTCATGAAGTAGACGCTCGCATCACTGCGCCTAATGCCGGTCAGCTACGACGAGTTCGGTATCTCGAAATCTAGAAGGCAAAAAAAAAACCCCGCTTACTCACGAAGCAGTATTAATGACAGCTGCCTTCGGTTTCGAAAGATCCAACCCCCTTTCTCGTTGCAGAGATTTCCTCGCCCTGAACCGCCGGTAGTAGTGATGCCTCAAAGTGAGTCCTAGACAGCATGTTTCACATACATACAAAACAAAGCTCACAGAGAGTGCTAGCGGCTTAGACGAAGCGGCCCTTTTCGCAAGGCATACCGTTTCGTTACACCGCCTCTTCTTCCCGGGCTAGTCATGTGGCGATTAATGCGATGGACCTGGGCAGCGAGGGACAGCGGGGCGAGCCCCGAGGTCCGTGCAGCTGACCACGCGAAAGCCTCGGAGAAGTGGTATCTACCGCCAAAGTCTACGCTCTATACATTACGATAACTGATGCGTGGCGCGCGCGATGAGGTCACGGAGGGCGGCTTTGACTAGCATCTGGTCATCGGCAGCGACAGTGGCGCCTGAATCGAGTGATTTTGGTCAATACAGGGACGAGAGTGTCATTCGATGTACACACATATAATCAATGCACCTTGAAACGTAAAAGGAGGCGCCCGCTTTGAGCAATGTTCAAATTGCTTCATACGACAAGCTCGTTGTTGAGTCCACTGAGAGGGAATTGAGTCACCTCTCCTGAGACACACCACCCGCATGGAAGGGGCGAAAAGGCATGGAACGCATGACCCGGTAACTGGATTGCTCGACCTCTGCTTATTTTGGGGACATTCACTCCTACAAAGGAAAGACGGTCAGATGGACAGCCCCCCTTAGCTTGAATGCCATCATCGCTCGCACCGGGTATTTCAAGAAAAAACGGAAGACAGGAAAGTGGGTGAGAAGCTTCGCAGGGAGTCTGGGGGCCTCCATTCTTCGCACTTGATTGACCAAGTGGGTGCTGAATACGATATGATGCTTCCGAATCCGTGCGGAGAACGCTCTTTTGAAAGCTAAATAAGAGAAAGCTTTCTCACCGTGCTTGACTCAGGTGGGATCTTTGCATTTATCGGTGATGGTCCGAGCGAGCAAAATAACAGAAAGTTCGACACGTGTCAAGGACGCACGTGAGACCTGCTTAGCGTCACGCGTAGGTTTGGTTTTCTTTCCTCCTCAGTCCACGCGTCCTCTGCCTTTGGCTTTGCTGCTGATCATATATTATCAATTGCCGCTTCCTCTGTAGCGCCAGGTGCTCACAAGCCAGATTAATTGCTTTTTTCAGGTCGTCGTTTTCCCATCTCAGGGACAATCTGCTTAGGAGTCTCAAGCCAGTTGTCTTTCCAAGTGCCGCGGGCTTAACGCGACTTTGTTACACTCATCCCGAATTGACCAGCGCCGAGATGCCTTGTGAAATCAAACGTCGTCGATCTCCTTCCCCTGACGAAGTGCTGCTCAAGAGAGAACCATCGTCATCTCTTTCGCCACCGCCACCTTCGCCCCTAGTCTTTCCTCCCAAGGTCTCTTCCGCAAAGTCAACTCACAAGGCAAAAAAGCTTAAAATTCTATCCGACTTCACTTCCTCCTCCCCCTTTCCAGATTACTCTCATCCTACACACGAAGAGGCTCAAGATGTCTGTGCGCTTCTTGCGAAGACTCATCCCCAGCACGCAGGCGCCCGCAGAGCTCCTTCATCCGCGGGAAACTCGGCATCGACATGCGGAGGCGTGTCCAATGTCATCGACTCGCTCATAGGCACCATTCTTTCGCAGAACACGAATGCGGCCAACTCGACTTCTGCCAAACGCAGTCTAGATGCGACGTTCGGATTGCACAACTTCGGTGCTATCGCCGATGCCCCTCGGGAGGACGTGATTGAAGCTATACGGCATGGTGGCCTTGCGAACCGCAAAGCCACCATCATTCAGAATCTTCTGCGCGCGATTCATGTTCGACATAGCACTTACTCTCTTCAGCACCTCGCTTCCCCATCAGTCTGTGACGCGGCTGCCATGGAAGAACTCGTTTCATATGACGGCGTCGGACCGAAAACAGCCGCATGCGTCTTGTTGTTTTGTCTTGGGAGAGATTCATTCGCGGTGGATACACACATATATCGCCTAACTAGGTTATTAGGATGGGTGCCGCAGAAGGCAGACCGGATCCAGGCGCAGATGCATTTAGACGTGAGGGTACCGAAAGAGCTGAAGTATCCGCTGCACGTCCTGATGATTCAGCATGGTCGAACTTGCAAGGGGTGTAAAGCAAACGGGCGAGGTGGTATAGGGGAGTGCATACTGAAGGAGTATATGAGGGACAAGAAGAGCGTTAAAAGTGAGGTAATCGAGACGACTATCGAAGGTACGGAGCGCATCATGAGCGAACGAGATTGACATTCATATGCAATATTCGTTGTCGCGCTGAGTTGTGTAGAGGTTCATATTGATTGGTCCATGTACCATAAAGGCCCAATCTATGTATATCATCGATCACATCGTTCATGCGGTTCATCTCTTTATGCAGGACGCGACTGGTCATTTCTTATTTGTTCTCTTCGCTTGAGAAGCGCAGGACCTAATCTCATACAAGTATCTCATCTCCGCCTGCTGTTACCTACCCGAGTACATCTCTCGGCTCTCGACTAATTTCTGGATGACTCGACCACGGCATCAAGAACTCATCATTTCATTTCTATCGTCAATGCGTCAACCAAGAACTCATGCCTCAATCAACTCTTGCCAAGCCTCCGTCGGGCCACTCGATGACTTCTCTATGATACCGCATGCTTGTGCCATTTTGGCGTTCGTCATTGTTCAAGGACCAGGAAAACACGGCATTCATTGCCATCAACCATCCAAGCAGACACAGTTGTGATCCGTGTCAGCGAGGTTCGTGCCAACGCATTTCATCTGAGAACTGTTAATATATTTTCTTGAAGTTCACCAGTACGCCTCTTGATCGTTCAAAATGGTCCGTGTGATTATTGAACGTTTGAACCCCGATATAGGTCACTGCAAATTTCTGCCTAGAAAAAGTGTGGCCCACTAACACACAACTCCCATACGATGCACAGGGTCCTAGTGTGGATGAATTGATATATCGCATGCCTGCTAGAATACAACGAATCATGCCCTTTGCAAATGCAACGAAAGCCCAAACCTTGACTTCTGGGATCGACCGTTGCCTGGTTTATCGAAGTAAGTAGACTCAAAACATCGGGACTATCACCAAAGCCATATACCTGCTCATTGTCGTAACTCACTTTAGATCCATTCAGTCTTTCACCTTCACCAGGGCTGAGGACGTGTCGACGTGAGTGTAGAATGATGGAAGGGATCGGGATAGCTGAGTTTTGCTTCCGCTCGGAGCCGACACGACGGCCCGATGGGTAGGGAAAAGTGTATTATTCGCTTGGGTTTTCCATATATAGGCACCCGCCGGCAATCCAGCCCGTCTCCAAGGCGCAGTTAATTGTTTCCCCTTCACTCGTCTCTTCCTCTCCTACCACTTCAACGATGATTGCTTGCCAAAACTCTGTCACAAATTTTCCAACCCGAAGTCCTCAATTTTACCACCTTGGTCCTGTACTCTGGTCGTAGAGGCGAAGATGCTCATTCCGATGCAGTGTCATGGCTGTATATCCGTGACGCAACCACTTACACCGACACAGCTCCCTTAGACATAGCCCTACTCACATCGATGGGCAAGGAGTTTGGATTGTTCTGTGCGAATTCTACTCAGATGCTTCCATCATAGGTCATCGTGGGATGCCTCATGCCTCGCGCCGGCGAACGCGTGGCATTGGCGGCTCAGCTGTGTCGCCTTCAAACCATGACCTCTTTCTTCCCATCCTCACTCGAAACTTGTTCTTCCCTTCATAGGGGTGCAACACGCAGTTCTTGAAATATCGTGGAACGGTAGATTGAGGCAACAACACGCGTATGTCAGTTTTACCTTGTTTATCTTCCTTGAGCCAGCTGCACGGAGAGGGCGATCGATTGCTTAATCCTGTCTCTTGAAGCTTTTCTTCATCGTCACCTCCTTCCCTCGTCATCCTCCATCATCATTCAGTTTTAGCTTACGACTCCATCTACAATTGTCTACAGTAATTGACTAATGAACTTTAAGACAGTACTGAGGCTACTCTCTGGATAAGAAATTGACGCTAGGATTGTAAGTCCTTGTTTCTATGTACCCTTTTACTCACATTGAATGCGATCTGACATGTCTCCTTTAGTTTCCTCCCCTTTTTCGTCTTACTAGTGCATCGTTCATCATTGCAGCCGAAATGTCTCGATCCTCGGGCTTTGATCGCTTGCACTATCAGCTTGATTACATGCATTCATTACCGGGCAATTCCCGCAGCACACAACCTATCACTATGCATTTCCAGGAGCCTTCAATGCAGCGCGAGCCAACCCCTCCGGAATTAAGCTATCCTACAGGATATGCTCCAGTGAGCACCATACCACCACAATACCATACGTACTCGCCACGTACTCCAAGTCCATTGCCAACTCATTTCCTGGAGCCACCCCGTGACAGCCCGCGACTCACTTATAATCTTGCACCGGTGGATGTTGCCGCACTAGAGTCGATCAATCCTGAAGTCATCGATACGCAGACTTCTTCGCCACCTCAGGTGATCGGAGCTTTTCTTTTGATTCGCAAGACATCTTCACTCATCGCCACACAGTCTCAAATACCATTTCTTCATGAGCCAGCCCCTCGATCACGATCAATACCATTGGACGCCACTCAATTCATTGCTCTCTCCATGAGCGAGGCTGCTCTTTTCCCTGTTCCTAGGTCACAGCATCTTCCTTCAGTACCATCGGATGCTATGCCATTCGTCCCTCCCCCACAGATACTCGACGACCTGCAACCTTCGCAGCCCACATTCCCCCCTCCACCTCCACCAGCACCAGCAGATACCACTCTGTTCAATCCTCTCACATCTGTAAGCAACATGCCATTTCAGAACTCTTCACGGATTGAATTTGCCCGTTCGAGCAGATCCCTTCTCAACGAACACCGATTCAGCCCTCTGGACAGCAGAATTATCTCGAACCGCCACCACCAGGGTTCGTGCCTCCTCCCCAGCAACTTCCCCAGCAGCATTTGCTATCCCTGTTTCCAGGGCCAATCCTTGATCCTCCAGAGCACCCTGACAATGGCAATGAACCTGTGCCGGCAATGAGGTCACCAACACCAGGAGGTCCGTTCTATCCCCCAAACTCGGAGTTCGCAGAGCCTCGGCGCATTCAAATTCATGATTTGTGGATTCCTGCGACGAACGGACCCGTTGTTGCTGATTTCAATGCAGACCCGTGGACGAGTCCGTTAATCCATCGTGTACGTTTGCCTGGCGATGACTCATCCACAGGCCTAAGCGGAGCTATCAGCCCGATACGTCCATTGCCACAGCTCACAGGGCGGTATATCGCCGATTGGAAAGAGCTGAGAAGATGGAAGAAAGTCTGTAAGGCACAAGACAGAGCACTCGCAAAGAGAATGAAGACAGAGGCCAAGGAGAGGGTGCGGGTGCAGGAAATTGAGCGGATAAAACAGGAAGAAAGGGAACGGAGGAATGCAGCAAATGTGGTCAGCGTTACCTCGGGTTCGACACCCGCGTCTAACTCAGGACGGAAGTGGGCCACTGTGCTGGCTCTGTTCAAAAATCGCAAAGGTCTGTCTTTGTTTACAAGGCTTCGTGTCTCCTAGAGCTGAATATCGGATTGCGACACAGATTCGGGTTCATCCATAGGGACCCCAGATACTGTCACAGATGCTGATTGGCGAATGTTTGGTCAATGGGCGCGGCCGCACATCAATAACATGCACGTCGACAACATCAGTGAGTTTGGAAGCTTTCTACATGCGCACGTCTTATGCAAGTACCTTCAGCACCGCGCGATCTTCCTCCGAACCTTGTCAGCGTTGCACAAGTTTTTCGCAGCCTGATAGGCCGCAACCATTCGCCGCATCCAGAAAACTGGGTGCCTGGGCTGCAGCATCCCTCTCTTCCCCCTCGCCCTGCTGCCTTTCCACCACCAGATCCTACTGCTCCACCACTCCGGCCGTCTCAGTATAAGCTGAACCCATTTTTCAGACACTCGCGCTGGGGGCCGGGCACGATCCACTGGGATATACGCGGGGAGCCGACGACTGTGTTCTTCAAGACGGAAAGCGAACGCACAGGTGAGCGGTGTTTGGTGCCGATCGGTCTTTCCGACTTTGCACAACCGGCAACCCACCCACTTTGCACGTCGATGCGTATCGCGGCAGTCGCGGACGATGCGGCGAAGACATTCCCTTGGGTGGTAGAAGTGCACAACCCCTTGGGCGTACGGTGCGAGGACGTGTTCCGAGCGCTGTCGACTAATTTCACGCAACATATCACACGGGAAGAATGGGCTGGCTTGAATGAGGAGCGTCAGGGGCGTGTGGCCAATGCGTGGAAAGAGCGCTGTAGGATCCGAGATCAAAGGCTCGCGTTCGGACCCCGGGAGACTGTGCGCTGGGGCGCTGGGGCTGATGCTCTAAGGAGAGTGGACTATTTAGGAGATCGAGTGCGGTTTAGGGGGCTGGAGCCACTCGGAGATGGGGACGTCGAGGAGGGATGGATGATGTTCGTCGGACCGCTCTGACGAGTGTGCGAGTGTGGCAGTGTCCGGTGAGGAATGAGGCTTTTTTTTCTAACCAAATCGCACTGTTTTCTGTTCATCTCTGTTTTCTTTAGGCTTTGTCTCCTTTCACGTGCTTCGTTTGTACTATTATGTCTTGGCTTCCATTTTGCTTTCACCACGTTGTCGTCATCATGAGTCTACATTTTCACCTCCAGCTTCCAGTCAAGTGCTATCTTCTGCTGTCTAACTCTGTTTTGCATCTTTTATTTTGAACATATACGGGCATCGTCTACGTTACATTCTCGTGGCGCTTCACATGCTGCAGCTGTTTGCCTCATGACAGCCGCGTGCACAGCAAAGTTAGAAATCAATTGAGCAGTAGTATCTCCAGCTGGAGAAATTCATGCAGCCCGGCGGTGCATTGCATCCAGCAGTCCTCGGATAGCGCGGCACGAGCCTCCGCTGTCGTTCCAGGTCGGGTTCGTGATCCGCATGCCACTGCATATTGCGGATACCCTTACTGGTCCCATAGCTTGTTTTCTTTGAGGAGCAAGCTTACGGTGTTCCGTACTCCAAAAGCGGGCGGGGCGCCGACTCGACAGAGAAAGCACTCTTGCTTGATCGAAAACAGCGCGTATCTGCGTGCGGGATGTCGGACCGAGGGGTTGATCGCCGCTCGGAGACAGATTTGGGCGCCTGGTTAAGAGTTGAGCGGCGTCGATGAGCGGGTTCCACCGTCTCGAGGCCTCAGGCCTGAAGGTCCGAACGGAAGTCAAAGCGATACGGAATCGAATTAGAGTTAGTAGGATCAACGGCTGAATGATCCGTAGAGGAAACAGGCCACAAAAAACTCGAGTTCATGCAATATTGAAGCGAGGAGCGGGGAATGCAAGGGAATGCAGAGCATCGAAGCGCTGGTGGTGAACATGGAGAATCAGTCTCGAGGCCGCGGGGGCCGTCTGGCATCAGTGTCAGCCAACGTTGATGAACCAGTTCAAGACGGAACCAATTCTCCAGATGACCTGGCCGACACGGACGGGTCATACTGATATCCGAGAAAAATGAGGATGGAGGACAGATAGGTGACCATGCTCCGGTTCAGGGGACCACAGATTCTGCGCATTGGGCATAGGGCGCACGGAAATGTGGTGTCTTTTCTTCCGGGGCAAAGATGCCCGTTGTAGAGCCGATGGTGATCTCGGAGCGAAAAAGTCAGGAGGTGAAAAATGGGGAAGGGCAAAATACTCACATATGGCTCAGAACGCTATCTGATCGCAGCTCCCGCACCTCGCTCTCGGAGGAGAAAGCATCGACGTACCTGAACGTTTGGGAATCCGGTCAGAATTACAAACCTGACGAGGCGGTGAGAACGGCGCGCGGCAGAGCGATGCTAGCATACGTACACTGAGAAGTCAGGTGAAGAAAATGAGGCAAAGTCTCCAATCTCAGCGGACGTAAATCCTATTCCGCTGCAGAAAAACACCCGGTGGAGCTGAGGAGTTTCCTTCCGGTTGCGATAAGCAAGGGATCCGTATGACCCATGACAAAACGGGGGCAGGCTGGCCTCTCACGTCGCCTTTGCTTGATTTTCTGGGTCAAAAGACAAGATGAGGTTTAGTCCCGGTATTCAGCGTCCCAGGATAACTTGACATTCGGTGGGACTGGGTGATGCATGATGAAGCTGGATCAATGACGTGTCAAGTGTATCTAAGCATGGAGTCGTCCATGAGACGCTAGTAGGTAAGTAAGGCTTTCAGAAGCATGTAATGACCACTCAACGTCAAAGTAGGGGACGCCAGCACGGAAGGTTTGAACCAGCTCACAGTCACTCTCAGCGACGGCACGGACGCAGATTGCATCGAAATCTTATCGACGACGACGACGATATGCCTCCGCCTCGGTGAGATAAATATTACATAATCACGCAAATTTCCCCGCCCGATCGATCATCGTTGGCGAATGGATGAACTTACCACTGCTTGCCATTGCCCTCTCCTTCGAAGCGAGCTGCTTCATGACCCTCATCAAGGCTGCAGCAAACTCTCGTGCGATGCAGTGAAACCTTGGACTTGGTGCTTCTTCTCCTCCCTTAGGCTCTATAGTACGCGCCCAGTTCTTCGCACCGGGGAGAAAAAACACGTTCCACTGTCAGGACACCTGCCGACCTTAATTCACGGCTCCCTCGGGCATCGAGAAATCGCGCCTTTGCTTCTGATTTAATCACCGCTACAAGGCTCGAGGCAAGCAAATGCTGGGTGCCAGCGGTCCCGTCACGGCCTATCCCATGCTCCTGCTGTCCCCGAAGTTCGAAGGAAGGCTCCATGATGATATCGCATCGCTGCCTTCCTCACTCTTCCTATTTCCGAAAAAGCAGAGGAACGTTCTCCCAAACCCTCTTTCGGCCGCAGCTTGCAGCGGAGAACTCGAGCGAGCGAGCGTTAGCTCAGGGGCACGCCGGGCTCGTGAGTCGTCTCGTGGGGCCAGACGCGCCTCCGTGTGGCCAAACCTGCATATGGTCCGTCGGGCTCCCGCTTGAATTCAAAAGCGTCACTGGGAATCTCTCGCTCGCGTCCAACGGTTCGCACACGCATTCGGGGGTGCGTTCGCGTGCTTCCAATCGCTTCCACGCCCGGCTGGGTCGCTGCCTGCTCGGGCGTCTTGTGCTCAGGCGTGCTCGGGAACGCAGGCGTCTAGAAGGGGAACTACGCTCCACGGACTCGCTCGCGCGCACAAGATAGGCACGCACGTATCTATACCGGGGCGCGCGTCCGCAGACAATAAGAGCCAACCTTTGCCAACGCGTCGAGAGCGGGCGCCCAGGATTCATGTAAGTAATCTCTAAAATGTCAAGAACGCTGGGCTCACGCTCGCGTCGCCTCGGCGCGTGCCTTGGCTGCCCAGCGCCCCCGAAGCCCCTGCGAATGCCCATAGCCCTACCCGCACGGCTCGGCACCCATGACTCGTCGCGTCCACGGCGATCAGAGCACACCGCCGACCGAGGACTGTCACCGAGTGCCCGCAAAAGGGCATCCTTGTATTCCGCTATCTGAGGTAACAGGCGGTGGGTAAGTTGGCCCTCCTTCCCACCCCAAATTCAAACCTTAACTCTGCGAACCCCTCCTCCCGCCGCACCGACGCCGCGCCAGAAAATGGTTCGATACGGCTGAGGGAGCCAGATTCGACCCTAGTTGAGTTATGGGAATGGGGAGGCCGCGCGCTGGGGGTCGTGCGAGCGAGGACGGGGAGACCCGACGATGTTCCGTGTGGCCACCTTGACAAGATATTTTCCATTTTCTGACTTATTCTCGTCCACACGACGACGTAAATAGCACGCGGGGCGCGGAGCCGTCGCCGCCAGATCATTCGCTCTACGACTCGCAACACGATCGGTCGGTCTTAATTCCGTCGCAGTCCGATCGGCCCATGACGAAACAGAGGTTCGCGATGTGCAGCTGGCGCGATCGTGACTACCCCGGGGTCGCAGAGGGCCACAGGCGCGCAGAGAGGTGCGCGCGCGCCTCGCGGCAGACGCGTGTACCGTACCATACACGCACACGTACACACACACGCCGAGCCTAAAAAACCAGTGCAACGCGGCGTACACGCGCGCGCGCACGCCGGGGCGAAGCGGTCGTGCGCCGCGATCTGGTATCTGGCATCTGGCATCTGGCAGCGCACCGAGGTCAGATGGCCACGTCTGCGCGACGCAGGGAACGTGGTGGGGGTGGCACGCGTCTCGGGCAACGTTTACATCACCGGCGCGAGACGAACCTGGCTTCGGAAGGCTTCGGACGAGCCTCGAATCAGCGTGGGAGATGCGGGACCGCGCGCGCGAGAGCGCGGGGACGCGGGGGCTAACGGGAGCGGCGGCGGGAGAGGATGAAGTGGGTTACATTGCGTACATGTGTAAGAGTACATACGACGTACGGTGCATGGACATATGTATTAAGGGGGGCAGCAGAGGGATTTGGGGAGGATCAGCGCGAATCGGACGGACATGGAGTATTCGAATGGGAAGAGAGGAACGAGGTACATACACGCATATGCCGAAAGTGACAGCGAGGCGGCGGGGGCAGGACAAATCGACAGAAAGGGACGGGAAGGATCTGGCCTGGCCAAGTCTGGGCCACAAAGGACGGATGGGGCGAGAGGATGGCGGCGGGGGCGTACGTACAGCGGAGCATACACGTTGGGTACAAGGGGTGGAGACGCTTACTACGAACGCGGGGCGCGGAACGAACAATAGAGGGGGCGGGGGAAAGGAGGAGGATGTGGAAGGGAGAAGCCGAGGACGCGACGGGCCCGAGGAGCGGCGCGATCGGCGGGCTGGGCTGGGCGTAGCGACGTATGATGTGGGAGAAAGGGAACAGGACTGTATGAACGGAGCAACGCGAAGAGGAGAGAGAATGTGGACAGGGACGAGGCTGTGCTCGGGGAATGAACGGAGATGGGGAGGGCGCGCGCGAATGGATAGACGGGGCCGAAGGCGTAGGTGAGACAGAGATAGGAACAAAAGCACAGATGGAGGGTGCGATGGTGATGATGGGGGGGGACAGAAATAGCGGTAGCGACAAAGACGGAGACGGGGACGGGGACGGAAATAGGGACAGAGACGGAAACAGCAGGAGGGACGATGAAGGCAGCTCGATGTCTCCCACCTCGGAGCATGGGTCATACAAAGTAGACCACGGCCGACGAAAGCACAACCGCATCCGTCGAATCAAAGGCGGAAGACCGCCAACGCCACGGGCATCCAGCGGTCGCGGGGGTCCACGCAACGACACACACGCGACGACACGCACGCGCCCACGGCAAGTCATCACGGGAGGCTCGCGAGCAGCCTCAGGGAACCACTGTGATCCGAGCCGCGTGAATACGTGCACGATCGGACGATAGGCCGTCGGAGTGGCGGTGGCGGTGCCCCCATCCACAGGCGCGAAATCAGCCGCCCACGCGCCCACACGGCGCCCGCGCGCCCTAAAGAGGCGTACAATGGGGCCGGGTGGGGTGCACCGAAGCGCGACGACCGCGCGCGATGAGGAGGAACAAAGAGGAGCTGAGTCGGACAGAAGACGTGGAAGGCGCGAAGGAAGGGAAGAAGAGGCGACGGATTAGGAGGACAATGTCGTTGATGCCGGGTGAAGACATGATGCGAGCGACGTGTGCGATAGACGGCAGACGGCGGAAGGACGATAGGCGACGGGAGAGGCTGCGCACGCGTGATGGTCGACGGGTGCATGCGCGCGAAGGCAGGAAGGTAGGTAAGATGACGATCGTCGATGGATCGGGAGAACAGATCGATGAGTACGTTGGGCAGTCGAAATCGAGAAATCGTGTATCGGGGTGCTGCGAAGTAGAGATCCATACGAGACGCGCGTGATATGATGTGATGCGATGGGAGTTCGGTGTGGCCTTTTGACGCCTGACCCGGAGCAAGAAAGACAGAAGTATATGATACAATGCGCGATGCGCAGCCGAGACGATCCACGATCCGGAGACATGCACGAGAGATACTGACTTCCATTCCGCTTCCGCGTTCCGAGATCCTTGTGTGATTTTTTTTGGTGATTTTTGGTGATTTTCTGTCTAGTTTTGTGGGAATCCGAAGGGAAATAAGAGGCAAGGCAAGGCAAGGCGAGACGAGACGAGACGAGGCTGATACTGGTACGAGGGAGAGCGAGCACGCGCGATGGCCGCTAGAACAAGAACGAAAGCGCGAGACGAGACAAGACAGCGGGAGAAGAGACACGAAGACAGAGTTGAGCAAACGCGATTTTCGAAGAGGAGCCGCATAGACCTAGTCGTACACAGAAAACGAAGCGCGAGACGAAGAGACAGCGAGGAAACCGAGACCGAGACCGAGACCTGCGAACGAACGGTCAACAAGCACGAAGAACGCAGCACGCAGCACGTCGAGCGGGGGACTCACATTCCTCCAACGCACAAACGCACATCAGGCGTATGCGCCCGCGACGCCGCCGTACACGGGCACCCCAGCCCCGACCCCAACCCCACCGCCGCCGAACAGCCCACCGCCGATCCCAAAGCCGACGTCGAGCCCCTCCGAGTAGCACGCGCCATACGGATGACACACGCACGCCCCCGCCCCCGCCTCGCCATGCCCCGCCCCACCGCTCTCCGTCCCCACGTCCACGTCCACGTCCACGCCCATCTCCACATCCACGTCCACGTCCGCGCCCAGATCCCCAACAAAGCCGTACCCGCCGGCGCCCTTGACGCCCCACGTCCCCCCGCCGTCGTACAGACCCCACCCGCCCCCTCCGCCATACACGCCCGCACCGACGTCACCGACGCCGCCGACGCCGCCGGCCCAGTCCTGGAGCGACGACCAGGTAGAGAGGCACCCCGCGTGCGCAAAGCCGTCCTGTGCCAGCGGCGCCCCGGCCCAGCTCCCGCTCCCATCGAGCCCATCGAGCTCCCCGAGCCCGAACGGCGAGGCGGGCGGCACGGCCGGCGAGCGCGGCGAGCGTATCGAGGCAGTAGGCGAGGTGGGGCACATCGAGGTAGCAGGCGACGTCGGGCACATCGAAGCAGCAGGCGACGTCGGGCCCATCGAAGCAGCGGGCGACGTCGGGCACATCGACATGGCAGGCGACACGGGGCCCATCGACATGGCAGGCGACACGGGGCCCATCGCCCCCGACCCCGACCCCGACCCCGACCCGAACGGAGACGCGAGCACGGGAGAGGCCGCGAGCGGGGTCGCGAACGTAGCCAGTGGCGCGGGCGCGGGCGCCGACGCGGCGCGGCGGAACATGGCCGTGAGCGGGACGCCGAGGTCGCGCGTCGGCGGGTCCATCGCCGTCGCCATCGCCGTCGCCGTCGCCATCGCCGTCGCCGTCGCCATCGCCGTCGCCGTCGCCATCGCCGTCGCCATCATCGGAGTGTCGGCGGACGATGCAGATGACGATGCGGCGGACGTGCGCGCAAACGGCGACGCCGAGCGCGCCTTGACGCTCAGCACGTCGGGCACGCCGCGCGCCGCAGGGCCTCGCGCGGCGTCCCACGCGCCGACGGCGGCCTCGAGCGCGCGCCCGTGCACCCCGCGCGCGACGAGGCGCGCGATCTGCGCGCACCTGCGCTCCGTCTCCTGTTTCCTCCGCTTCGCTTCTGCCTCCGCCTCCGCCTCTGCCTCTGCCTCCGCCCCAGCCTCCGCCCCAGCCCCAGCCCCAGCCCCAGCCCCAGCCCCAGCCCCAGCCCCAATCTCCGCAGTACCCTCGCGCGCTTCCCGCTCGTCTCCGCTCCGGGTCTTGTCTTCTTGCTCGGCGGCACACGCAGGCGGCGCGACGACAGGCGAGACGCGCGCGGGGTCGGCGTGCGCGTCGGCGTCGGCGTCGGCGTCAGCGTCGGCGTCAGCGTCAGCGTGCAGGTAGAGGACGGGGGCCATGACGCGCCGCGTGCGCCGCGCGCCGTCCTTGACCTTCGCCTTGGCCTTGGCCTTGTCCTCGAGCGCGCGCGCCCGCGCCCGCGCGGCGCCCTTGGCCTTCCCCTTCGCCTGCGCGCGCTTCGCTCCCCCGCCGCCGCCCCCGCCGCCTTGTCCTTGCGCGTCGCGCGCCCACCCGCGATCGGGCGGTGGCGGTGGCGGTGGCGGCGGAGATGAAGGAGGCGGAGGGGGAGATGGAGGGGGCGGGGGCGGGGGGGCGTGCGCGGGGGGGCGGAAGCGCCAGTGTGGGTAGCGCGCGCGGTGGGCGGCTTGGGCGCGGACGGCTTCTGCTTCCCAGTGGGCGCGCTCGGGTTTTGGGAGGGCTTTCCAGACGTGGGCTGCCGAGAGAGGGTGAGCGGGCGAGCGGGGGTGGTGAGAGAGGTGGAGAGGGAGGGAGAGGGAGGGAGAGGTGCAGAAGAAGGAGAGGTGGGGAGGAAGTGAAAGAAAGAGGCGGGAAGCGGTGGAAGATGGGAGGGAGGGAGGGTGAGGGACGCACCGACGATCTTGGAGAGCGTGCTGTGGTTTCCCTCTACGCGGCCGGGGACGCGCTCGCTGCGGATGAAGGAAGAGCGGAAGAGGATGAACGCGTTCGGGGGGCGCGGGATGTAGGACGCGTCGCGCTTCTTCGCGGACGCGGACGCGCCCACATTCGCTCGCGTGGTTGGGATCGGGGTGTAGCTGTACGTGGGCGGGGGCGGGGACGAGTCGGGGACGGGGGTGATGTACGCGCCGCCGACGGTGCTGGCGTCGAGGTCAGGGTCAGGGTCGGCATCGTGGTCGCGGTCAGGGTCGTGGTCGTGGTCGTGGTCGGCATCGTCGGAGAGCGTCGAGGGCGCGGGCGAGGCCTGCCAGCGCCAGCTGTCGAGTGCGGCCGTGCGCGGAGCGGAGCGAGTCTTGGCTGTTATTCGGGGCTCGAAGCCGCGCGGGGGTGGGCGCGGGCGGAGGCTTGGGCGGGCGGCTGCGGCGGCGGAGGTGGCGGAGAAGGAGGAGGGCGGGGCGGTGCTGTATGCGAGGGGCGTGAAGTCTGCGGAGAAGGTGCATGTCATGGAGGACATCGCGGTCGGGGATGGGGCGAGCGAGAAGGGGTAGGGGTAGGAAGGGAGATCGGGGGGGCGGTCGACGAGCGGGGGCATGCCGTCTGGGGAGGGGCGTGAGATGATGGAGGGACGGGATGGGAGGAGGAGGGGACTGACCGTCGTCGTCCATGTTGATGGGGCTGGGGCTGGGGCTGGGGAGAGAGGAGCCGTCAGCGATGGGATGCGATGAGAGGATGTGCTAAGTAGCGGGGGCAAGGACGCAGAGGGCGAGTGCCGGAATGAGCAGCGTCGGCTGGACGGCAGCGCGTGCTTTATTCTCTTCTGGGCAGCGCGATGCTGTCATCGACCCGCGTCCGCCATCCAGCCACAAGACCCCAGGCGCTCACCTGCTCGCACAGCCTGCCGTGGACTCGACTCTCTCACACACCGCATCTCACGCCCGAACAGAACCGGACTGGTCCAGGAATCGACTCGGGGCTCGCGCTCCACTGCTGAAGCGCTGAACCCACGGCCCGACTCCCGTTCCATGCCTCCCGTCGACCCACTGTCGACATCACCCGTGACGACGTACAGTGCGTGCGGCCGCCTCGAGGCCCGCGCTCGCTCGCTCGCTCGCCTCCGCCGTACGTGCGACCAGACTGCACCCGCACCCGCATTTCACTTCATCACACCGCACCGCGTCGCACTTCATCACCGTCTCCCCGCGTCCGCTTTCGTCCCACCGCGTCCGCTTTCGCCCCCCCCTTTGTGCGCTCACCCACCCACTTCATCTCGCGCGCTTTCATCTCGGGCATGATTCCATCCCCCACCACACAGGAACCACCGTCCTTCGAATCGCTGACAACGGCCGCGCGCGTGCGTACTTAGTATCACAATGCGACGGCCGCGGTGGTCCCTGCGCGTGCGTTCACCACAACGTCATGCCTCGTTCCCCCGCTCTTCCAAAGAGACCGTCTAACTGTGCTGCACGTCCCCCGCAGCAGCGGCGCTCGATGCCCGCGCCCCTGCTGCCTACCGCCGCCGCCGACCCTAACCCCCGCTCCCCGCTCGTCTGCGCATCCTGCACGACGCCCTCCCGAGCACCCAGCGCGGCCATACCACCACACGCCCGCACGCAGACCCTCGTGCGACCGAGCGCGAGGGCTCGCAGGGCGGTCAAGACGCCGTCGCGCGCGGCGTCCTGTCTCCTCTTTGTACATGTCCCCCTCGAATGGACGAACGAGCGGGCGCGCGTCCGACCCCCGGCGCCGCCTTTCGAGTCACCGTCGCGACCGTGACCGCGTCCCGATCACGACTCGCCCCTCCGCCGCCACGCACCGCACGCGTCCACCCTCTGACCCGACACTTGCAGCGTGCGTGTGCCGTTGCGCGTCACGCCTGCCGCGCGGGCCTGCTGTGCGGTGCGGGGCGCTGGCCTTCGGCGGCCGCTGCGGACACACCCGCGGACGAGGGCGCGATGCCGGTGTCGGTGCCAGAATACGAAACGACACACAGGAGGAGGTCCGAGGGCCTGCCTATGGGCGGCCTCTCGCGCTCTCCTCCCTCCTCTGCGCATGGCCGCCCAGCCGTTCTTGCGGCCTCTGCGTGCAGCGGACCGACGGCCGCCGGCCGCCTGTTCGCCGTCGCCCGAGATGCGCGCCGTGCGGGCTCGTCTGCGTATAGCCCCGACTGTCTCCCCTCATCGCATCGTCGAGATTGACCCCGCTCGCCGTGCACCCATCCTCGAGAGCGAAAGAACAGGTCCTGAATGCTGCTCGAGGTAGACACGCTAAAGGCGGGGAAGGGGTCGAGCAAGGCGCAGCGATTCCGCGGAGCTTGGACGATGGCGAACAGTGGCCGTGGGAGGAGACGATCGCGGGCGCCCTTCTCTTCCTCAAATGGACAGATGCCCGTCGTCAGCCCGATGCGAGCCCCGCGCTCTTCCAACTTGGGTCTACAGATGACGGGTGATGGCCCTTTGGCGGGAGGGGTGTGCGACGTACGTCGGCGGGCGGCGCTGTGGTGGGTGCGCTGGTGCCGCGCGAGCGTACAGCATCAAATCCACTGGCACACTGCTGCCAACCATGGGTAGAGGAGTGCTCGGACCATATCGAGCATCCCTCGACGTCCACACTTGACTCTCGATATACGACAAGCCCGCTGCGCCCGATTTGAATCCAGCGCTGTGATCTCTGACGTGCTCGCTCGCGTTGTGGAGGCCGCATATATCCAAGTGTCGATCCCATTCGAGCAGCAGTCCCCCGAACGACACTCCACGGGCGTAAAAGCCAACCGTGCAGGAGCCCGCTTTGAACGACTCCTTTCAACAGCGTCGTACAAGATCTGCCCACCTTCGGCTACACCGGGACAAAGACGATATGGTTCGCCCCATCTCCGTTCCCCGCTCAGAGATCAAGATCGGCCGAGTCATCTGGGCCACGTTGGTCCTTGACGTGGCCTCCGTTCCCCCCAAGGCGCCGAGAAAGAACCCTGCGCAGGTATTCAGAATTATCCAGCTCGTTCGCCCCCCTCCGTATCCGAGACCTGATACCTGCAGTTGACTCACTTGATGTCCGCAGAATCGTGAAAGGGAAGCCATGCCAGCGCATGGCCGTCGCCTTAGATGTCGCCGGTAACCAATTCACTATGGCATACCTGACATCGTCTGGGAAGGCTCGGCGACATTGGTCTCGGTGGGTATAGACAAAGACCAGATTCACAAATGGTGGCCTATCAAGCCGGCAGAAAAAGAGGGCGATCTCGAGCCCATCGACGTGGTGGGACACCGAGGTGGGCTCGAAGGGCGTTGGGTGTCGTTAAAGAACAAGTATTTTGCGACTTCCGAGGATGCAAGTTACATCTCGCCATTTGTTGGTGCCTCTACATGCTGATGTGGAAATGCAGGTCAAACTACTCGACCGGCGCTTTTTTGGGGGAGGATGAGTGATGCCGAGACAGCGACGGTGGCGAATGCGTAGGCAAGTGCAGCTTAGGCGCTATCGGTCAGAAAACGAAAAGTCTCTTGACGATCGTCCGCGTTTCTTCATGGCTTCCGTTGAGGATAACCTAATTTTATCGTGAGAAGATGATGTGCATTTGAACACTTGTTGGTGTGTAACGAAAGGCGCTGGACCGAAGCTGAAAAGTGGCTGGAGTTGTCACTTGATGCTTCGGCCGCAGCCGAGGGCCAATATACGAATGCTCCGTGCTCTCTTCGACGATTTTCGGTGCGCCCCTGACCAAGGATACCGCCAGAAGCGTCGAACCAATGTCATTCAAACTCGGCGAATTGATAGGATCGGGTGGTTATGTGAGTCGTCAGCCACCGTTCCTTCCCGGTCTCTCTTCGTTCGCACTCACATCGTACCTATCGCGCAGGCCCAAGTCTACCGTGCCCTCGATCCGCAAAACACCCCGCTCAACGTCGCTATCAAAAAGTCCCGCGCTTCCACCCGTCTCAGACGCCCACACCTGAAGCACGAGGCGCACGTTCTCCAGCTTTTGAGAGGGCATCCGGCCATTCCGCACGCGGTCGCCTACGGCCACTTGGAGCACTTTGAATATCTGGCTCTAGAGCTCCTGGGCCCGTCTCTGAACGATGCGGTGCCACAGCAGGGGATGGAAGTGAAAATGGTGGCTCGGATCGCACTACAACTCGTGAGTCACCCGAACGTCGTGGTATCAAGGGCGATTCTTATCCCGCTTCTGTGTCTTCCAGCTTTCTGCCCTCGAGTTCGTTCATTCGCGCGGGCTTGTACACAGAGACATCAAACCGTCGAACGTCCTTCTCACACTCGACCAACCGCCGATACTGCGCCTCGTCGACTTTGGCATCGCGCGACCCTTTCGCACTGGAATTCCCGCTCGACGCGAGCCCACGTTGGAGAGGCTGAATATCGCTGGGACACTTGACTGGGCTAGCCTCAACGCCCATCTCGGCTATGGTATGCATCCCACCCTGAATCTTCCTTCGCAGCGAACGATAGTGACGACGCCCAACGCAACAGACAGCTCGCCGCGCGATGACCTCGAATCGCTCGCATATACTCTACTGTTTTTACTCCGCGGAGGCCTTCCATGGCAGCGGTACAATTCTCGTGGCTGCACGCGTTTTGGGGCAATGAAGCAGATAAGGGAGAAGAAGATGAAATGGCCGGGCCCGCGGTTGGGCGAGGGAAAGCCAAGGGACTTTGGGGACTTACTGGATTACGCGAGGGCGCTGGCGTTCGAGGACAAGCCAGATTACGAGAGACTGAGCAGAGGCTTTGAACGGCTCGCCGGAGAGCCGACAGAGGGTCTCGACTTTTGTGAGTGCGTTCTTTTGTCCGCGCTCATTTCCTTCAAGCTAAAATCTTGCAGCTTTGACGAGTCAAGTAGCAACCTGCAATTCACCGCTTCTCGAGCGCTCTCTAGGCCCCGCCCCGGTCACCGCCGGAGAACTTGTGTATATGCAGATCCATCCTCGCCTCAGCGTTGAGGGCGTTACCGCGCAGGCTACGGACGCCTCCCATTGGGATGACCCGTCCTTTTCTGAACCGGAGTGGCAAATGAAGAGGTGGCCTGCGGTCGTGCTGAATGTCAAGGCGTATAAGTATTGGTCCGTGATGGTGTTGCCGCTCAGACAAGGTGCAGTAGTAGATGAGACAGGGGCGGAGCAGGATTTGGCGATCCGAGTGTCACCTCAAAGCTACGAAGGTGGCGAGAAGTGGCCATGGGAGGAGACGGTCGCCTACGCGTGCCCGCTCGTGGAAACATTCACATGTCTTCCTGACCAAGTGAGCATTTTGTCGCGCGCTCACCCATAACAGCCATGCCGATCTTGAGCCGACCATCACCTAGCCCATCGTCAGCCGAACGCCGTGGTTCCTCTCCGCCGCAGAGTGCACGGCGCTTTTGCAGCATTTTTCCCACACGTCCAAATCTAGGCCTCTGTCGCCTGCCGATCGACTGAGGATGCGCATTCGCACGAAGGCGGTTTATCCTTTTTTCTCTGTATTCTCGCCGGTGTTAGATCCCCGCTCTGAGGCGGCGGCCCACGATGTCGCATGGCGCGACGAGCGGGGTTGGCTAGACGAGCTCGCGAGGGTCGTGAAGAGGCGTACCTTGGAAGCTGGATGGGCTTGGTCAAATTGTACGACAGCCGTGGTGGCCGCGCAACAAGGCCAGGACATCACGGAGCCGTCGCCCAGCGATAGCAATATGGACCCGGACATGTCTACGTGGTGGCCGTTAGGCGGGAGGGATGTCTCGGTCACATTGGACAGCGGGCCCAAGAGGGAACAGGGGACAGGCGAGGATGATTTGGATCCAAGTATTATGCGCATCGACAAAGTCATCCCGCGCGACCGACCTCGGCGCCGGGCATGTTGAATGCGACCAGGCAGTCCTTTGTATGCTAACGCCCTAATGCCCCGCTCACGGTACATCGTATGTTGCGCACATGCGCAGTGGCGGTGCTAGATGGCTGCGACAGGGAGCTTAGAACGTGCGAGTCTTTTTTTGTGGCTGCTATGCGCGTTTTCCTTGATTCGTTCCTCTTATAGATTTAGAGACCGAGTCGAAGTCTGTGGCGCGGATACAAGAGTAATGCGCAGGACGCCGTTTCCCGGAATGATCGTCGGATCTCGTGAATCGTGTCGTTGTCATAGGTTGCGAGAGGTGCGCTCAAACGATTTATAAGCATGTACGTTGTCAATGCTTCCTATACGGTCGCGCGGTGGCAGCACAGCGCCCTCTCTCGTTTGCGCTCCGCAGCCTTGCGAGCTGCTCGCGCGCGGACGCACCGGGCGTGGCGTTGTCGTGATCTGGGTCTGGGTCTGGGCCTGGCTTTGGCAAGCAGCAGCCTTGCGGGTCCTGATGCGTGGTGTCTTTGGGCCGTCGCCCTCGACGTCGTGTCGCTGGATTCGCCTGCTGGTCCTTGATAGGTGCCGACGGCGGCCGTCGGCACAGCGCCGTGTCTCGCCCCTGTTCTTCTCGCTCGCACATGCGTGCTCGGGGTGCTACTAGACGTTGGCCTTGCGGATTTTGATGCGCGGTGGCTCAAGGCTCGTACCACCGTGTTCGCCGTCGACATATATTGCTTTCGGCGATTGGAGGGTCGACTGTTGGCCGTGCTGCGTGCTCTGATTTGATTGATAGGGTCTGCAAGCGCTCCCGTGATCCTCGTCGAGTACCGTGCTGTCTATCTCGATCTCGCCAATATATCTTCTGCCTTCCTACGCCCGGTGCACTAAGGGCCTTGAGAAATTGGGAATGCAGCTGACATCCGTGCGACAGCCAGCCAGATGGCGCGAATTCCGACCGATTCCGACGCCAGTGCAGTGAAGCGCAACCTCTGTGAGCATGGCACGGGGCTGTGTGCCTCCGGACTTTCGTATATTATCGGGCTCCCTCGCTCTCACGAAATGTAGGTCTCTCCATAGCCTAACCCACAATGGTCAAGAAATTCGATATTCCCGAGGAACTCCAGGACTCCAGCTGGACAGGCAACGCGCCCGACGTCGTCTCTCCCCCCGGCCTGAAATTCGCCAACCTCAACCTCGTCGAGAACTGGACGGTCAAGCTCGAGTTCCACGTGAACGGCGCGCTCACCACCGGCAGCGGGTTCTTTGTCAACTTCCCCGACTGCGCGTACGACGTCGTCCTCACCGCCGCGCACAACCTCATCAGCCCCGCCGGCACGCTCTCTTCCGACCTCACCGTGCTGCTCGCCGACGGCACCCGCGTGCCCGCTACTAATTTCCGCGTCTCGGACGCGTACAAGGTCCAACAGACGCCGGTGGATGACTACGGCGCCATCCTCCTCCCTCGCGCGCCCTCGGGCGTGCCGCGCGACGGCTATCCATTCAGCATGCGGCTCGCGTTCGAAGACGCGTTCAAGGGCAGCATCTACGTCAGTGGGTACCGTGCCGACACCCAGCCGGGCCAGCCCAAGACGTCCTCGGGTGCCTGCGTGGGCTGCTACGCGGAGCAGCTGGAATACAAGGCCGGCACCGAGCAGGGCATCAGCGGCTCGCCGGTGTGGATCGAGTACCAGGGCCTCCAGACCGCCGTCGCCATCCAGTGCGCCCTCACCCTTTTGTTACGCCGCCGATCCCGTTTCGCGACGCTGACCCCTCGCGCGCGTGCACAGCAACCGCCGCCCGGAGAGGGCCCGGGGAGGGAGCCGCGGGTCGCGCCTCAGCCCGAAGCTGCTGCGCGAGGTGTTCGTGTGGGCGTCTGTGGGCGAGTACGGTGTCGAGCTCAGCGCGCAGGCCAGCATCGCGACGCGTGCGCTGCTCCCCGCGCGCGGGCTCTACCTCTCCTTCCCTGAGGACTTTCCCTTCGCGCGCGTGCGTCTCGGCTCGGGCACGAAGCTCGATGTGCTGCCCGCGTACGCGACGTCCGAGACGGTGCTGTACGCGATGATGACGGTGGACAGGAAGTGGGTGACGTTCAATCCCGCCAAGGGGGAGCTGGTGCTGAGCGAGCGGATGCGCGACGGGAGCCTGTTCAAGAAGGCGAACGTGAAGCTGAAGAAGAAGGCGATGCGGATTGTGGTGGAGAGCGGCGGGAAGAGCTATCAGCTGCGCGTGCAGGGGACGCGGATCAGGAAGGCCGATGGTGAGAACGCGGAGAGCTCGGAGGTGTCGATGGTGGAGTATCCGATGGAGAACGACAAGGCGGTGAGTGGACCGACTTGCGGTCGTTCCGGGCTTGTGCTGACGGGGCGTTATATCCAGTTCACTGAGTTCTGGTTTGAGTCGAGATAAGTAGCTGTGGAGGATAACGTCTCTGAGTTTCTGTCGATTCTTGTACGAGTACGTCATGTACCCAGTCCGAGTGTTTCCGAAAATCCAGGCGCGATGTCTCGAGGATTGAGTCCGAATGCCAAAATCATGCGTGTTCCGTGTGCGAGGCAATATGTGTCGCTTTGCACAAAAACATTTCATTGCCAGAGATATGATCCATCTTTGTTACAAAGAACTGATCAGCATGGCATCGTGCATTCCTCTACGCCTCGTTCCTTTCCATGATCGGACTCGTCAACAACCTCAACAGCCACTCCTCCATCCTCCTCTCGTTCTCCTTCAGCTCCTGCAACTTGGTGTCCAGCTGATCCGTCGTGCAGCGGAGGACGTCCTCGATCTCCGGGTCGTCCCTCAACCCGTCCAAAAACGCCTTCGCGCTCTTGTCGCCCCCGATTTGGCTGATGGAGAACATCACCGCCGTCGACTCGTACCCGTGGTTCACCACCTCCCGCCTGCACTCCACGATCGCCTCCTTGAAGGTGGTTTCGCGCTCGTTGCTGGGACATCCGTCGGTGATCGTGCACACGAGCAGTGGGCGACGGAGAGACTGGCTGGGGAGCGCCTTGTACACTAGCGGGTCCAAAATCTTCTTGCGCAGCTCGGTGCCGATCGTCGTTCCTCCGTTGGGATGCACGGCACCGACGGCCGCGTCGATCTCGGCTGCGGTCAGATTCTTCGAGGACCCGGAGTTGATGAAGCGGAGCTCGACGCCAAGGTCATCGGGGACGATCTTGGTGGCGATGCGGGCGATGCGATTGACGAGCTCGCGCTGGTGCGTGTATCGGTCTTCCGCCTGCATCGACCCGCTGTCGTCGCAGTAGATAACAGGCTGATATAGACTAAGGCGAGTGAGATGCTTGATGTTGTCGGGTTTGCCCAGGAAGGTCGTGCTGTCGTCGCGCAGTGCTGCAGCCTTCTCTGCAAGGGTCTGAAGGAAGGGATCGTCGCGAGCAAAAAACTTCTCGAGGCCGGAATCCTTGACGTAGGTGTTGAGACTCTCCTTGAACTCCTCAGCCGTGCGAGGCTCGGGGATGTCCTAGGTGATGACAAGAGTGAGCATATCAGGACCATCGGTAAGTGAGCGCGAAACAGTACCTTTGCAAGCTCCGGGTCCTTACTACCGTTGATTCCGTACAGCTTCTTGACGATGCCAGCGACGACGTCCTTCATCACGCCACTGTTGATGTACGCGATGATGATCATCACCACTGAGAGGATGGCGTCGATGATCTGTGCCCGAGTAGAATTCCTCTCCGCCCGCGGTCGGAGGTCTCGCTCCATCCCTGTCTTCTTGGCCAGATCCTGAGCCGTCTGGCCCTGCGCATTCTTCTGCGTGAGTGATGCGCCGCGATCCACAAGCTCGTGCACGACATCCTTGTCGCGTATCTCGGTGACGGCGTTCATGAGCGGCGTGTACAGATCGTCGTCGGCAGAGCATGCGTCGATCTGGGCACCGGCATCAAGAAGGGCGTGTACGATGGCGAGCCGATCCTTTGCCGGCGACTTGGAGGTGGCGTAAAAGAGTGGAGTGCGGCCATAAGGGGAGGGGGCATTAGGGCTCGCGTGATTACTGAGAAGCAGGTGGACGATATCGAGATGGCCTCGGGAGGAGGCGGCAGCGAGTGGGGTGAGGGACTTTTGGCCGCCGACGGAGTCGATGTTGGTATTTGCGAGGTAAAGTTTAAGGCTGTCGGCCGTAAGCGTGCCGAGCCAGGCATCATCGTAGAGGTTGCTCATCGCGAACCTTGGTGGGATGAGAAAGACGCAGACCTAGTGAGTCACTGAAACACACTTTGAGGGTATCTCCAGGCCTTATATGCAATGTCTAAGATACCCAAGCAATGAGCGCAACGCACCGGGAGCTCAGGAATGCGAGATACAAAGGCGACCTTGCCGACCGTGACACGGACCTAGGCGGAATGAGCCCTCGACACAGCCTAACTGTGAGGAGCGATGTACCTGCGATATAGCTAGACGAGGATGTGAAGACAAGCTCTTGGCTTCACGTTTACGGTATTATTTGGACACTGTGGTGGTCTTTGGCACCGGATGATGTGAAATGTCCTCGGAATTGTATCGGGATCAGCTGAACTCATTGCAATTCAAAAGCACCAGACGAAAAGAGCTTGACTGTTCCGACAGCGCATGAGGCGGAAGGGCGCAGATGAAAAGGTCGTAAAGACTGTTAGCTTTTCCATGCTCTGACCTCTTCGTCCTTAAAATTTTCCCCACACTGTGATCACCTGTCGAAACCCGGGCATGCAAAAATGAGTGGTATGAGACTAAGAAATATTCAGTCGTCCACGTCGATACTTCACAGAGTCTACAATCGTAATGGGATATGACTTGAACGCACTCACAGCGCGCGGAGTTGAGGTTGACAGGGCTGATCTGATGTACAATATTGCGAGCAGCTGGCAGTTGTCCACATTGTAGATTAGGAGCCGGAATGCAGACGGAAATGAGCCAGACTAATGGGCTGGATGTAGTGTGGGAGTCACTCAGAGACGGAAGAAGAGCGGAATAGTGCTGCGCATGAGGCAGGACCTACAGCGATCCGCGAATATTTAAGAGGCTGTGATCGTAGGAGAGAGATGGACAGACACAACTCACATTGCATCGTCTAAGAATCTCTATCATCATGGCTCAGTTCCAAGACCTCACCCGCCGCCTCCTCGCTGCCGGTGGTGCTATGGACCCGGAGGGCAAAAGCATGTTCCTCCTCTACACAGACCGCTCCTCCCTCGTATCCAAACACTGGACGGGCGAGACCTTCGGTGACCAAGACGTTGTCGCTACCTCCATCCGCGCGAATTCCACTGCCTCTTACCTCTTTTCCCCGAACTCCCGTCGCATCATCTGCATCTCTGCCGCCTCTGCCATTCGCTCGCTCACCTTCAACGAGGACGAAGAGGAGTGGGTCGACGACGCTATCCCTCGTCACGATGTCCACCCCGAGGGCAAGCTTGCCACAGCCTTTGGCGCGGACCATCGCGCATACGTATTTTTCCAGAACCCGGCGGGGCAGCTGGTCCAGCTTGACGATAGATGGAACCCCACCATCCTCCCTGCAGATCCCGTAGTGGGTAGCCCTCTTGCGACCACGGTTGGGGAGAAGATCCACCTCTTCTACCTTTCGACCAAGGACAACTGTATCCACTACGTAGTCCAAGGAGACGAAGGGAGCTGGAGCGACAAGGTCGTGTCCAAAGCTGCACTCGAGGGGAAGGTGAAGCGGTTTTCGGTGGGGAAGAACGAGGAGACCGGTGTCTTCGAGGTATATGTGCTGACAGAGAAGAATGGCTTGCTGCAGATCGTGGGCGACGAGGATGGGAAAGCCAATGCGAGCGCAGAGAAGACGGTCTTAGGGAAGGTGGACGAGAACGGTACGTTCGTTGCGGGAACAAGCGCAGAGTGCTGCCCTCGCGTCTGGGGTCCTGTATACTATCCGGTCTACGTGCCTGTTTACTACGGAAGGCCTTGGTGCTGCTGCTGAACCCTCACAGATGCGGTGAGGGCTGCAGGACGCTGCGAAGGGAGAGATGCATATTCGACCGCGTTGTATAATAGCAGTTCGGTATTCGTCGCTCGGACTAGTTAGTAGCTCCAATTGACGAACAGATCATTTCGCCCTGGCCACCTTCGTTCCGACTCTTGATCTCATATTCTTGTCCGATTCATGTACTACACCTTACTCGTTACAGATATGTTTTATGTTCTGCTGGAAAGTGTTCTATATGCGAAGGCGAAGTGGGGAATCATCAGTATGGGTCACTCTTCAGAGCCAAGGAACAGGACCATACCGCCGAGAATCTCCAATCATCACGAGTCATGCGCACAGCACGTCATCTGCAATATACGGAGACTGTATGGAGGAGAAATAGGCCCGATTCCTGATGTAAAAGTACGTCGACATGGAGATAGGGTGGACAAGGGGAAGTTAGCGACATCATTCATGACAAACTTGATTGAAGCATACTCGCTTTGAGCGTAGGAACCGGCGCGTTCCTACATATCGCTGGAGATGATGTGGACGTTTACCATAGGCTCAACCACTTCTGTCGAAGGCGACGATACGGCGACCAGCACATAGATGACGGTCAAATGAACCTATGTAAGTCCTATATAGCATGAGAGGCTGGGGAGCGCCAAGCTGGTTTGAGTTCGCTATTCCGCCAATATGGGACCATGCTTCGCCCAACGGCTTGTCGAAGACTCGCTCACTTAGAGTGATTCGGCGTGGTAGGGATAAGGATATCTGTTGTCTGACTGTTGTCTGTGACATAGTGTATCACGTCGGCCCTTGTGAACATAGGATACAACGGTAATTTCTCCCCTGTGCGCCTAGTTTAATAGCTCCAAGAAGCCCGTAGTCATAGAGTTGCTTTCCCTGTATTATTTCAGCCTTGTATATAATAGATAGCTTTCCCTGTATTATTTCAGCCTTGTATATAATAGATATAGAATGCAAATTGCTGTGCCTCTGTGTGTGATGAAGTTTTGCGATGTCAAACGAGAACGACAGCAACTCAGATAGTGAAAGCAAACATGGATCTGCGAGACATTCAACTTCAACGTTCAACGCTCGTGTTCTAGGAATGTTTCGTACTTACTCTCTTTCAGCCTCTTTGGCGCGAAATTGCGCTGTGTGGTGGTAGATGAAAAAGGGTCGATCTATATGCATCCTGAGGGTGATGGTGTACCGCGGCTCTGAACATCAGGCTCGATGCTCGAGCAGTCGGCGTGCTCAAGACTGAGACCATTGGTGTTTACTATCGAGCGACGACAAGGGTGATGGTGGAAATTCGAGAACGAGTAAGAATGGGGCGGCCGCTGGCAATGGCTTGGGCGACACGCAGACGAGCTGGGAGGATGCAGCGCGGACGATGGGCGGAGATAGAATGACACGAGATTCTCTTTGGGCGTACGAAGGAATGAGAGAATGACGTTATAGTGGACTCACACAGGAACGACTACGTTCGCTGCTATGTGCGCGCTTGTCGTTCTTTCATCAACAGTCAACGTGAAGTCGTTCCCTGGATGAAATGAAGTGAGATGAGCAAGGAGATGGGGCAAACGCACCAAGGAGGATACGCAAGGTTGGGAGACGCGTGCGTGCAGGTGTATTCTGACCGCATCTGGGCGCATGTAGAGCAAAAGCGGGCAATGCGGGTGAGTGCATCGAGAGGGACAGAGCCAAAGCACGCTGGAGGCAATGGCACTTGCGAGTCACTCGCGCGAGCGGAGAGCTCCGGCGGTTGCCGAGGCAAAGTCGAAGCAAATCCTCTCAGCACCCTCTAACATCCCTCGTTTCAGCCGATCATCCTTTCTTCCAGCTCTCTTCCTTGTCGTCAGCTCAGACATTGCTTTGGTACATAAGTGATATACCACGGCCTTTGGGAAACATCTGGCACCTGATCGTGTATTCTTGACAAGCCTGGTACCTTCTGCTGAGGAGACTAGCTTCGTCTGGCAGCCCTTGAAAGAAAGGATCCGGCTCATCATGCTCCTCAGGATCCTTAGGCGGTTCAAAGTCTCATGTGCCTGTCTCGAGTATGGCCGGTGGCAAGCCTTCTGCAGCGGCAACGGAGGCGGACACCATGTTTCTATCCCGAGCAGGCAGCTCTTTGCGGGGTGCATAGCAGGACGGGCGTCAAGAAATCAGGTGTACGGAGCAGTGTGGATTTCTGAACAGAAATGCCGGACGATGACAGCGCACACCCTGACTTCGAAGATCGCGGTATTGTAGAACGTGAGTTCCCTTTCTGGTTCTGGGGCAGTCTCCTCACTAAGGTTGTCATTCCTGGCGCCTACCTACATGAGGAAGAATAAGTAAGATTTCTATCCAATCCCTCACGCTGGACTACATGGCTCTTCTGAGCGCTGATGCTTTTGCTACCCCCACAGTACGGGCGTCCGGACAACTCGTCTTGCCCCGGCGAGGCCTTGACCAAGGTGCAGTTCCAATCGAACACCTCGAGCACGCTGCACCACGTCGTCGCTGATTGACTCGGTCTGGTCGAATTGCATCCCCCTCTCGAGCAACTCAAGCACCGTGCCCGCGATAAACGACGGGTCGACCACGTCGGACCCATAGCTGGAGCAGGCGGTCCAATACTATTGCGCAAGCAGCATTGTGTTGACGTTCTACAGGTACAACAACTCCGCTGCTTTGAGCTCCCCAACACGACGGTAATGCCGCTGCCGACCGATATCGACATGGCGTTGCTGTCGTGTTTGAATGCGACAATCGGCGACGGGGTGCCGCTCGTGGATGTGGCAGCGGCCGGATCGAGTGTGTCTGTCCTTGCATCGAAGGTCAGAACGTTAGGGTTGGCATGGATTATAATGTGCATAGTCAAGACGTTCATTTTGTGTTCTGTTCTGTCCGATTTGTGCTCTGTTTCTGATATCCGAGTCCTTGTTTGTTCTGTCGGGCAGATTTGCATCACTTTTGAGAACGCAATCATGGCCATGATTTATTTTTCATTACTAACAAAGTTTAGCTCTGGCGACTACAATGTGGCGCATCAGCGCTCAGTCCACAAGGTCTCACGGTCTGTCCACAGTGTCCCGCCTTTGGGTATCGCTCTACCTACCTCAGTGACAGCAATTCAATCTTCGACTCCATATGCAGTGAGAAATGCTCCTTGTCTAGTGCCTGATATAAACAGCGTAAAGGTCCGGATGATACCCTGTCTTTTCACTTCCTCCCTCAAGGATGAGTACCTTGCATGCTGGTTCGCTCCTGGTCATTGTCTTGCTTGTGTACGTTATCTTTAGGTGGCTCCAGTCAAGAGACTTGCGACTGCCCCCTGGTCCAAGAAAGCTTCCGCTGATTGGCAACCTTCTTGACATGCCTAGCGGTCGAGACTGGTTGACTTACGCAAAGTGGTGCCGTCAATACGGTAGATTTCTGGTTTGAAACCATTACTGTTATTTGCTGTCTCACGTAGTTTGCGGCACATAGATTCCGACATTATCCATCTTAGCGTAGCCGGCCAATCCGTCGTTGTGCTCAACTCCGCAGAGCTAGCGAGCGACCTCCTCGAAAAAAAATCGTCAATATATTCTAGCCGGGTGCAGCTGACGATGTTGCATGAATTGATAGGGTGGGTTTCATTTCTCTCTCGGTTTAGCTTGTACAATACCATGTGAGTTGATATTTGCGGCTAGGTGGAATCACAGTTTTACGTTCAAACCATACGACGCCGCTTGGAGGTCTCAGCGAAAGGTCTTCACCCAGACTGTGAATCCTTCAGATGCAGCCCAATTTTTCCCTCACCAGATCAATGCAGCACACGAGTTTCTTCGACGCCTGCTCTCCTCTTCAAACCTCTTCCATGATATACACCAGTTGCGTGCTATAATTTAATTTATCTCTCAGTGGGCCTCCGAAACTGATCTGCAGCGTCCTGTGGATAGCTGGGCAGCTGTCATGATAATGGATATCACATATGGCATCCGCGGAGAGGCCGCCGATCCGTATATTTCCACCGCCATAGAGGCCCTCGATGGTGTTGCCAGAGCGGCCACGCCTGGCGCTTTCTTGGTCGATTACCTGCCTTTTCGTGAGCATCGTGATTTACGTGATAATAGCCTGCTTACCGGCCGTGCATAGTCAAGTATGTTCCCGGATGGGTCCCAGGTGCTGGCTTCCAGCAAAAGGCAAAGAAATGGAGCACGTCAAGGTACGATATGACTGAAAAGCCTTTTCAGGCTGCGAAGCGCCAGATTGTGAGGGTGAAAGCTATATTTGTGTATGCTGTTCTACATGTTCCATTCGCAGGCTACGGGGGTTTATACACCATCCCTCATCTCATCGGCCCTGGCAAACATGGATTTGGCGCAGGATATTTCCATTCAGGAGGATGTGATGAAGGGAGTTGCAGTCACTTGCTATGGAGGTCAGGATGCCCATTTCATTGATGTGTCTTTCTGCTAATGACTCAGCGCAATAGCGGGATTCGACACCGTGAGCAATAGACTTCTGTTCAGTCTCTAGAACATCCACCCATTAGTCTTCAGATTGTCGCTACCTTGGCCGCCTTTATCTTAGCGATGCTCCTTCATCCCGAAGTCCAAACCAGCGCACAGCAAGAGTTGGACAAGGTTTTGGGCGAAGGGGATCTTCCAACTTTCAATGACGAGCCCTCATTGCCATATATCACTGCATTGGTCAAAGAAGTTCTGAGATACAGCCCAGCCATACCACTAGGTAAGACATCAGAAGACTCCTCACCCGATACCTTGATGAAGCAATTACATGTTTAGGTGTCCCACACTTATCTGAGGAGGACGATACACACGATGGTTATTGGATTCCGAAGGGCTCGATTGTAATTGCAAACTCCTGGTGCGGGGTGTGTTCTCTGCTAGTCAGATTCCGTCTGACCACTCTGCCTTATAGGTCAATGCTACATAACGAAGAAACGTACCCGGATCCCTCGTCGTTTAACCCAGCACGTTTCCTCACCACTGATGGAAAACTGAACCCTGAATGCAAGGACCCGGCGACGGCAGCATTTGGATTCGGTAGGAGAATTTGTGTACGTACTCTGCGGTCTCAGCTGCACTATCTTTGTCCTCACCACTGATCCATGATTATGACACCCCAATGCTAGCCTGGGCGTCACTTCGCCATATCAGCGGTTTGGATAGCGGTGGCGTCCATATTAGCGACCTATAACATCACGAAGGATGTCGATGCGGACGGAAAAGTGATAGAACCGTCTGGAGAGTGGAGTCATGGATCGACGCTTTTCAATCATCCGTTGCCGTTCAAGTGCACATTCACACCGCGATCAAAGGCTGCAGAAGTGGCTATTCGAGCGACCGGCGAAGACCCTTAGAGAATGCGATACGTACCTGCCGGAGATGCGGCCATTAGTGCAGGGGCGCCTTCAACAGAGTCGATGTAACCATCACGTCGTTGCTACGACACTCAAGAGTTATCAGGACTATCGTGTTGAAAGCTTTGTTGGCAGAGCCCAGACGACACAAAATTTTGTCTAATAGCTTGTTATGGACATGGCAACCCCAGGTATAGGGGTGAAGCTGGAAGAAGTCTCTATACGGCGAAGATGAGTGATCTGATGAGGCTTGTAGATTGAGTGCTGGTGAGGAACATGATGGATGACATACATCAATCGCGCTACATCGCATCTGAGACGCCACATGGTCGCACGCAAGGCAAGCAGAGCAAGGCAGAAAAAGGGATCAGATGAAGAGACACGAACACTAGCTAGTAGGCAGGTAGTATCGGGGAAGGAAGCCAGAGGTACGTCTGCTTGCGGTGAGATCTCCATTGAGCTCTACCGAGGTCCGAGCCTCCCCTGCTGCTGATCCGGTTTGAAGTTGATGGCTGATAGTCCCGTGGCGCTTGAGATACTCTCTACTAGAAATCATAACTATAGTATCGTATAGAAGTGAATGAATGACGAATTGCGAGAGCTGGCGCTGGGAACTTCGGGAGGCGGCACACCGGACCGCCCGGTGCGCATGTCCGTTACTGCAGACGGGCTCGATAGCCTCTCTTGAATGCTCATGATCACTTCGAAGCAGGTCCCGACAATATAAAAGCCCACGGCCTGTACTCTTGGTAATTTCCCCCCACTGGAATACTAAAATACAGCCAGACTGATCAGAATGGCAGCCCCGACGTACAGGCTCAATAATGGCCTCGAAGTTCCTGCAATCGCATATGGTGCGTCTTCATCCTCGCTGAGAATGCTGGGAAGCTAGAACTGATCACGTATTACATGGCATAGGGACATGGCAGTCTCCGCCTGAGGAACTCTCCAAAGCGGTCGAATTTGCGATCAAGGAGGCTGGATATCGGCATATCGACTGTGCATGGGGGTACCGCAACGAGAAGGCTGTCGGGGAGGGAATCAAGGCGTCAGGTGTCCCCCGCTCCGAGCTTTTTGTAAGTCGAATCCATCTTTCTGCAGAGATGCATTTATGTAGATGGGCATATGCATCGTGTCTAGATCACCAGTAAACTCTGGGGGACGTGGCACAGCCGCGTTGAACAAGGTCTCGATGAGACGCTTGCCGACCTCGGGACTGATTATATTGATCGTGAGTGCTCCATTTCTCACCATAGAGAACGAATTTTTCATCTGTCCTACAGTTTACCTGATGCACTGGCCTATCCCATTGAATCCAAATGGAAACCACTTCCTCATCCCAACCCGACCTGACGGTTCACGTGACATCGATGAATCTTGGAATATCAAGGACACATGGAAGCAGCTGGAAGCCATGCTCAAGAAAGGTAGCTCTTACATGTCCTCAGCCCTCTTGAACACGTGAACTAAAACTCAAATTTTCCAGGCAAAGTCAAGGCCATCGGTGTTTCCAACATGTCTCAGAAGAAATTCGAGTCATTCCTGCCTGATGTTGAGGTCATCCCCGCTGCGAACCAACTTGAGCTGCACGTATACAATCCGGATCACGCCCTCGTCTCGTTTTTCAAGTCCAAGGGCATCCTCGTGCAGGCATATTCCCCGCTCGGCTCGTCCGGCTCGCCGCTCATCAGTGATGAGACTGTCGTCAAAGTTGCACAGAAGTACGAGGAGTTCACGCCCGCGGACATATTGTTGGGATGGCTCCGTGCGTATCTTTTCTTTTTGCCTTCTGTTTTGTTTTCTTGTAGGCGATCCTACGGAATAACGAAACGAACTCTCATCGAAATCGATGGCGTGACTGACTCGCTCTAAACATAGTCTCGAAGGACTTGGAGATCATCACGCGTTCGCTTAACCGCGAGCGCATCACGTCGAACCTAAAGAATGCGGTCGCTGCCTCGAAGGCTTTGTCGAAAGAAGATATCGAGACCCTAGATGGCATTGCCGCTGCTGGAAAGCAGAAAAGGTCCGTTGCGGTCTTCATATCACCCTATCGACGATCCCTGACTACATCTCTCTCTCTCTCTTCGATTCCAGACTTGTGACGCCGCCGTGGGGTGAGTCTTGCGTTCGCCATGAGCATACAAACATTTATTGACTTCTTTGAAATCAGGCGTCGAACTCGGATTTGATAACTGGCCCACGAAGGCTTGAGGTAATTCAACGAGGAATACATAATGTGATTTTATTTGTGTAATAAGATTCGCAGCATATTTTCTGTGAATCCAGGTGTCGTGCGCTATTGTCAACTTACTCTTTCGGTCGAGCATTGACTAACTTTGAGTATCCTTGCAACTAAGTACCATATAGGAGCCGCCAGGTGACTCATGCGACGCAACCACAACGACGCATGACAAGTAACGCCAAGTGTGAATTTAGGTTACAACTGTCAAAATCTTCATGACCCCCTTTGAGATATTTGTTGCAAGCCCGACGGATCCTCTTTTATCTTCAGGGCATGTTCCCATTCACGCAATTCGTATCGACCAAACCTCGTATCAAGTCTGCTAAGGATAGGTTTCTTGGTTTGATGTTCGACAAAAATTGTAGTGTTGATGCTCAAGCAATCTTGTGCGCTCACCTTTGAGGGCATTGAGCGGTCCGTGGTGCTGGCGCACATCAGGCTTTTGCTAGGCACGCTCAATGCCAAATTACAACCCATAGATCGGCCCTGTCGGAGATGGCGACGACGATCCCGCGGGTATGACGACGACAAATGAAACCCTTCACTGAGCCTTTGTTCCTCCCAAACAAACGCGATAAGTAGTCGTATTTCAGCTGTTCAGAGCTTGCAGAGGATCCCTCTCCTGATGGGCGGGTACTATCTGGCTGGCATGACCTCGCAGAATGAGAGTGCTGCGCCGGCATGGGCCATGAGCGCTGAGCCTCTACCAGAGACGAGGGCTGGTAACTTCCAGGGTTTCTCGAGGTATCTGCTCATCATTTTCGAGTCGCTCAGATTTTTAAAAGACATTTTTCAGAATTGGCTGTCTATCGGACCAATTCCCGAGGACATTTTGGCATTGCCCTGGAATGTCGTCACCCCGAAATCTGACGGAAAGCGACATATCGTTACAGGCACCCCCGTTCTGGTGTACATGTGTGCCGAGCGTCATATCAGTGTCATATCCATGACCCTCGACTCGGATTGCGACTGCTTTGCGAAAAGCTCACGCGTTTCGGGAACAATCGTAACATCCTAGACGTCGGTTGCGTGGTGCGCCTAAGGCTAGTATGTGAAGCTGTGAAGGGCTCCACTGTAGGCGCTATGAATTCTGCCAACAAGTTGGTCTCCGTAGAGGCGATAAAAAGAGGAAGATGTGGTGCGACACAAGACGTCCGAGACACAATTCCATCAGAACAATGCCAGATATGAGCGACTTCACGGCGCAGCGCTTCGTATAAGGTGCGTGGAGACAGGCGAGAAGGCGAACTTTATGAAGATCATGGTGGTAAGGCAAAGTTAGGAGAAGTTTACGGGAACGGAACTTCTGTGACTTCAGCCGGTGAATGCGGTATGATAGGGATACGACGTGGCTCGGATGGCCGTAATTTAGATGCTGGTCGTTCGTGCGGTGACGGGCAACCGCATAGATATTTTTAAACTGGTACTACTTTTTGATTTGCAGGCTGATCTTCGCTTTCGAGACATGTACGTGAAGATAACTGGAAAGGCTAGTTCAAACAACGGCGGTAGCCACGGCCGAAGACTTCTCTTCATGAACGTGGAGCGACGAGAAGGAGTCTAGGGCAGTTCGAGGCAATATACGATCAAGCACATTTGTCGGAAGGAGACTCCAACAGCGGCAATTCGAGCCACCTGGAGACATAGGGGTGGCGCTGCGACGGCGATGACATCACGATAAATCGTCGCGGCCAGAGATTTTTCTTCTTTTTTCATGAAACCCAAAATTATTCGAGTCAAGAAAATAGAAAATGATTCAGGGGCGCTTCTTCGGTGGGGCTATAGAAACTCCGCGGCGGGTCGGTTGTCTCGATATGGTAGGCGTGAATGAAGGCGGCACTGCTTACGTCGAGTGCAACCCTCTCGACGACGCCGCCGAATTTCTCCCCTTGCAAACTGAACCCCATCGATGGCCCCGCTCGTCCCGACTAGGAAATACGGCGTCGCGGGCTCCACACCGCCGTCGCAATCTCCGTCGCTTTGGCTTTCCGCTCCTCTTGGGAGATCGTTCTGCATTTCCAGATGCGTCGCGTTTGGCGTCGCTTTCGGGGCTCTCTGCGTATCCCGATCATGCGAGCCTCGCATATATCACTCCAATTCGGAGTGGTAGACAAAGGTGGTAACTTCAGTTTTTTTTCGTCGCTCCTCCGGACGGAGGATTGAAACGTACTTAAGGCTTGCGTGATAGCGACACCCAGGTGCAGACCACCTTTCCCTCCCGCCCCCACACCTCATTCATATCACCTTAGACGCTTAGACGCTTTCCATTTAGACACACCTTCCTAGACACTTCGTCCACATACCACTCGCTTTGATACCATGGGCAAACCATCCATCTCCGCTCCCACCTCCGCCGCCTCCCTCCATGCCCCCATGTTCAAGTTGAACAACGGCGCAGAGATTTGTGCCGTCGGTCTCGGTGGGCCTTATTTAATCTCTATCGCCTTCGACTTGTTTTGTTGACTCGGCGTCTTGCAGGTACATACCAGTCGAAGCCTGAAGAGGTTTCCAGCGCCGTCGAATACGCCGTCAAGCACGCCGGATATCGTCACATTGACTGTGCTTGGAAGTACGTCAATGAGCGTGATGTAGGCGAGGGCATCCGCCGGTCCGGAGTCCCTCGGTCAGAGATCTTCGTGAGTCGTTCGCCCCGCCTTTCCGGCGGACTTTCAGCTGATACGGCTTTCATTTAGCTCACGAGCAAAGTGTGGGTCACATACCACGCCCGGGTTGAGGAGTGCTTGGATCAGACACTCGCCAACCTCGGCACTGACTATCTTGACCGTAAGTGTCACTTTGACCACCGCTCGAAGACTTGCACTCATCGCAAGCTTATCTAGTCTACCTCATCCACTGGCCTGTGCCTCTGAACCCCAACGGAAACGACATCTTCTACCCCACTCTCCCTGACGGTTCTCGTGATGTCGACAACAGTGTCACGCTCGCAGAGACCTGGCGGCAGATGGAGGAGATGCAGCTCAAGGGCAAGGTCCGCGCCATTGGTGTCTCAAACTTCTCCAAAAAGACGCTCGAGGAGATTCTTCCTACGGCCCGGATTGTCCCTGCCGTCAACCAGGTGAGCTGACTAGACCCCTCCCGGCTTTCAATGCGAGTCTGACCGTGATTTTGAACAGATCGAGCTCCACCTGTACAACCCACAGCACGAGCTCATCGAGTACCTCAAGGAGAAGAACATCGTCCCTCAGGCGTACTCTCCCCTTGGCTCAACCAACTCTCCTCTCATGAAGGATGAGGTTGTTCTAGAACTCGCTAAGAAATACAGCGTGTCCGCCGCCGACATTCTTCTTGGCTATCTTCGTGAGTATACCCTTGCCTTATTTTCAAGAATAAGATTACTGACCGGCAATTTCGTAGTCGCCAAGGGTGTCATCATCCTTCCCAAGTCTGTGACGCCTCACCGGATTGCCTCTAACATTAAGGGTGCCATCCGTGCCACGGAAGTCCTCAGCGAGGCCGATATCAAACGCCTCGATAACCTTGCGCCTAGCGGCAAGCAGACACGCTTCTTCATGCCTTCGTGGGGTGAGTATTTCCTCCCTTACCGTTGGAGAATGCAATTCTGACGACTTGTCTCTTTTTATCAGGGCGGGATCTTGGTTTCGACCACTGGCCCAAGAAGGACTGGTGAAGAGCTCTCCTACTGTATCTTATAGCATCATCGCATCTCGCTGCGCGAGATTCCTCACATCTTAGCATTTGTATCGTTACACCACATAGTTCTTACTTTTATTAGATAGAGGGCTGAACAGTCCACTCCGATATAGAGGAATGGCTGAATCGTCTTCTCTCTCTTGCATCGTCATCCATTTTTCCACTATCGCTGTTCTCTCCCTATTCTCTGCAATCCACATGTCCCCGTTTGCATGCGAGTGCCTTAGCTATGTGTCGAATCGCCTTGGTTGAAAGCCACCTGTTCCAGAGGTAGGTGACTTCTTTCCGGAATTCGGATGTTCGTCCCGAAATTCCTGGGACGGAACATGTCAGACAACGAAGAAGCCCATTCGATTTCGGTATGAACGCATACGCATCTTGGCTCTCGCCTCTATCTTCTGGCTTCCCAGTCCCTTCATTCTCCTCACGCGATCCCAAGGCCATCACCTTCATCCGCAGGTTTGGCGGCTGGAGCTTTGTGCTGGTAGGTCGAGGTCGAGGTCGGCCCCTTTCGCTTGATAGCTCGTGTATTCTATAGGCGAACAGGGCCGATGCTGATCACAACCCAACATCCTACCTCGTCAGCTGCCACGCCCCTTCTGCTCCGTTAGCCACCGGCAATCCCGCGTCTGCGTATCCTACTCTGTTCATCTCCAATTTCGCTGCAGACTAACCCTCCTCCCGCACGGAGACACGGTCCGCATTCCTGAACGTTAGTGCGTCCCTCGTCTTGTGGGCAGGGCTGGGAAGTAGGGAATTTGGACGGGAGGATGCACGCGCGACGAGATGGAAGGGGTATATAAGGCCAGGAGCTGTGCAGACTTCATCTGTCGCAGATTGCTGTGGAGACTTGTCTCGAACGCGGCGCTTTTTTGATTTTGCACTATACATCATCGCCCTTGGCCCTCCTTGGCCACACTCCTGCCACATTCCCTTTCCCCTTGTGTTTTGCCACTCGGTCTATACCCATCACCATCTCGCTGTGCTATGCCTACTCTCGCTCAAGCCGTTCGGGACACTCGCGCGTTCGATGAGGTTTCTGATGCCATCGATGACGGTATGCTGCTTCTCTACTCCACTTTTTGAGTACTGACTAGTTGAAAATATCAGTGAATGTACAGAAGCTCAAGCTTTGGGACGGCCAGTCTAACTTCGATACCGAGAAAGACAAGACACAGTTCCGTCGTTACGAGGAGGCCTGCGATCGCGTCAAGAGTTTTTACAAGGAACAACATGGTGAGATCTCCTGTTGATTGATGAGAAGGACACCTCTCATCGTGCTCCGCCATGCAGAGAAGCAGACTGTAGATTTCAACATCAAGGCGCGCGTAGAGTTCAAGAGCAAGAAGAGGGCTCGGATGGGCATCTGGGAGGCGATGGAGATGCTCAACACTCTCGTCGACGAGTCTGACCCCGACGTACGTGCGCTGCTGTGCATTTCGTGTGCCACGCTCATACCCTTTGTCATAGACGGATCTATCGCAGATCGAACACCTGCTTCAAACCGCCGAGGCCATGCGTCGTGATGGGAAGCCCGAATGGATGCAGGTCACCGGCCTCGTGCACGATCTCGGAAAACTGCTCTTCATGTTCGGGTCCGAGGGCCAATGGGACGTCGTCGGTGTGCGTGTTCATCGTCGCCGCTTATTGCATACATCGCTCCAGGCTCACCCTGCGTCATATCACTTCAACAGGATACATTCGTTGTCGGCTGCCGCTACTCTGACAAGATCGTATACCCTGAAACGTTCGCTGGGAACCCTGATGCACACGACGCCGTCTTCTCTTCTGAGTATGGTATCTACCAGCCGGGCTGCGGGCTAGACAACGTCATGCTCTCTTGGGGCCATGACGAGGTATCTACTCACCCCTTTCTGCTATCTGACTTCTTACTCACGGACGAGTCATATGCAGTATCTCTACCACGTTCTCAAGGACCAGAGCACCTTGCCGGAAGAGGGTCTCGCAATGATCCGCTACCACAGCTTCTATCCGTAAGCACCTTCCTGTATCTTACACGTTTGAGATTCATGAGTCGAGCAATGTGATTCGGTCAACAGATGGCATCGCGAGGGCGCATACGCTCATCTTACCAACGAGAAGGACGAGGCATACTTGAAGGCTGTGCGCGCGTTCAACCCCTATGATTTGTACTCAAAGAGCGATGGCAGCGTCGACGCTGCAGCGCTCAAGCCTTATTACGAGGGGTTGATTGCTAAGTTCTTCCCTGAGAAGCTTGACTGGTAGATACGTTGCTGCGTATGTTTACTCTCCATCGCCGTTACTCCCAGTCTCGACTCGCCCCTAACGCTCTAGACAAATGCACACCCTCCGAGGGGTGACGCTATGTTTGTATGCAGACCCATTATGTCGTACCTTTTTTGTTCGGCCGTTGCTTTAGTGACTTTCACGGACAGGCGGTTACTCGTAAACCAAATTATGGCCATGGGTCAACGGCTGGTGTTATATCTCTAAGACGGTTTCCTTGAGAGGGGCAGGAAACCCGGGTTAGGACGAGGGTCCTCATTGCCTGCGACCTCATCAGTTCACCTTCCATCCTTTATTGTATATTGTCCCCTTACCGATGCACCACAACTATTTAGTCAAATACAGCGGCTCATCGCTGACCTGACCTGTCTCCACACTTGCACATTTCGGACCACGGTATGACATCCCAACTTATAAAGGTTTTATATTATTCTCTCATCTGTCTACCAATGAGTCACTGACGGAATCCCCGGTTTCGAAGATCGGAATGTACCAACCAGAGACAATCATCTTATTTCTGCCGCTTGTCTTGCCATTCCTATCGCACCTGCTTCCCACTTCGCCCCATGGATTGGTCTATTATACACTTACGCTCCCAAGGAGTGCTAACATTTTTTGTAGATGGCGGTCTTGACCCACACATTTCTATACTATCACTGGAGCGGTGTTCGGAAATTTCGGAGTCATTATAATAGGAAAATCCACAGACCTCATTTCATTGTCTTTCTTCTTGATTCCTGCACAGGTAGCTAGTATTTACCTCCCTCTATTATATTCCACTGTCAACGAGACAGAATAAGAGAGGGTGCTGTTGCCAGAGCCTTTACGCTCAGGTGTGTGGTTTCCACTATAGTAGTGTTCAGAAACTTTAGCTGCACCGCGCCGCATATGCCGCCGGGAGCCGAGCACGTGAGTTCAAATCCTGACAAGCACGGCAAGTTGCGCACGCCGTGCGGCCGCGCAGTGGAGAATGGATTTTCGCGTGTGAATTCCACTGTTTTCTCCCCTCGACAAAAGTGTCCCTATTTCCTGATGATTCTCTCCAACGAGGCCTCGTCAAACGTGTACCATATATGTAAAATGACTGAAATGATATGTCTGAAGTTTCTCGCCTCGAACGGAGGTCTTCTGAGCTCCTCGGAAATATCCCGGATGCCGTGCCCGCACACTTTGCGACCGCTTGTAGACGGACTCGCGGTATTCAACCTCGACGTTGTCGATGTCGAACTTCGCGAGAAGGTCGAAGACGTCGTTGCTTAGACTGAAGGCGTCCTCGGCCTGAAGCGAATCAGGATGAACGCCGATCCAGAGGACGACAGGACCGCGGGTCTTCTCGTCTATGTCTCCGTCGGTAATAAAACGAACGACGTCGATGGACGTCCAAGCAACCTTCCGGGCGTTCAGCAGGTCCCGAACCACGGGACCCACGTCCTTCCAGACGACATTGAGCCTGTGCCCGAACACCCCACGCGCCTGCTTGAGCTTGCGATAGGAGTCGGATCCCGTAGGCTTGACCCAGGGCGTCTTCAAGCTCCCCGTACGGTAGACGAGCTTCGGGGGAGTCGGAGAGATGCCCGAATAGTAGAGCATGGCTTCGAGCTTGGAGACAAGGTAGGGAGGAGAGTTGGAGGAAGCAACGGACACGTAGTCGCTCAAGAGGTCGAGCCGGGAGAACTCGCTCTCCGTGGGGGAGACGGCAATATGATTTCTGCCTTACAGTCTGCGACATGTCTTTGTCAAATAGACACACAGATGCGTGATATGACGGGCTTGACAGTCTAGTATCCTCTCAGAGCATGAAGGTATGTTCTTTGAATTGCGAGGGGAGACACATCATCTAGGGCATAGGGAGATCGGTGGCTAATAACTTGACTTGCAAGTTTCGGCCGGTTTCAACCAATGCCTAATGAGTCTGAGCATCAAGCCGTGGATCGAGTATTCCGTGTCGCCAGGCTCAGCGCCTCTGTGCGCCGGACATCCGCGAGCCTCCTCATTCTTCTTCATCACATTTGTTTTTCTGAGCCGTTGTTGGATCAGTCGGATGTCGGTGCTCGGAAGTCCGAGCTCCATAATTGAGGAGAGGTGACAAATCTGCGTGACCAAAACGGGTCTTTCGTTACCTAAGTTTTGCGCCAATGTTTGGAGCGCGCCGCAGCGGTCTCCAAGAGGTTTTCCGAGAAATAAATTCGGACCTCTTTTTTCTTCGATTGCCTGAAGATTGCTTGAGGGCTCCAAGGGCTCCAACGATGACGAGATGGGATCGAGATCTGAAATTACGGCGGGCGATTTGGCGGACAAGGGCGCGATGATCCCTGCCGCGGTCCTGGCGAGCAGTACGCACCGCCATCTAGCGAACCCACCACCGCCTGCACTTGCGCTTTTTTTCCTTGGGCGCCCCGTTATAAGTTCCCGACGACCGCGTCAGACCGAAGCCTACCACACCGCCCACCCGCCGCACCCGTCTCTTCATAATACCCCTTGTCATTCCTGCATACTCCTTCAGCCGCATTACACCATGACCGCTCCCGAGAGCACGCTCCCTTATCCACCCATCCACCAGGACAAGCCATTCGTTGTTCTTTCTGACTGGTCAGTGCCCCTTGCTCTGTCGCTTCTCGAGTCTCGTCGAGCCTCGGCCTGGTCCTCGCTTTCGTTCGTTGCAGTGCGTGCTGACGTCGGTCTGGGATTCGCTACCGCAGGGATGGCACAATCACGACTCGTGACACGAACGACTGTGAGTCTGGGTATCCGTTCTGCTTGTGGGATCGCGGGGAGCTGATGAGGCGCGATGTCTAGATTTGGTAGATAACATGGGTTATGGCCAGGCGAACAGGCGCGCGGAGAACGAGAGGATTCTGGACGGGTCGACGACTTTCAGGTACGCGTGTAGGCGGCGTCCGGTTAGTGCAGGCTCAGCTGACTGGTTGTCTCAGGGATGCGTTCCAGGGAATGCTGGAGAGCGTTTTGGCCAAGGGCCATAGTTTCGAGGAATGCAAGGAGGTCTTGAAGAAGAGTAGGTCTTCATCCTTGCCCTTCGCCTCGTGTTGTATCCTAACCTTATCGCTTCCCAGACATTCATTTGGACTCGGGGTTCAAAGAGTTTTACCACTACTGCAAAGCTAATGACATACCCTTTGTTATCGTATCGAGGTACGTGTTATCACTCGTCTTTGTGCAGGGCCTTGTCTGACTCGCGTATTCAGCGGGATGAAGCCGCTGATCCAGGCGATTCTCGCGAGCCTCGTCGGGGAGGAGGACGCGAAGGAGATCGAGATTATCTCGAATGAGACCGTGTTCGGCGAAGACGGGTCATGGCGCATCAAGTACCGCCACCCCTCGAGGTGCGTTTCGTCTCGGAGCGCGGCTTGCTTAGTATGCTTACTATTGTGCTCATTGCATTTAGTGGGTTCGGTCACGACAAGTCGCAAGCCATCCTCCCTTACCGCCAGCTGGCAAAGCCGCCAACGCTCTTTTTCTTCGGCGACGGCGTCTCAGGTGCATACATTTCTCGCCGTGATGCGAAATGACTCGACTGACGCACATCGCTTCATTGTACAGACATGTCGGCGGCGAAGCACGCGGACGTGCTCTTCGTGAAGCTGAAGCCGGACGGGGACAGCGACCTCGCGAAGTACGTCGTTGCGGAGAACATCCCGCACGTCACCTTCAGGAATTTCTCCCAGGCGCTGGGCGTCGTGCGCTCCGTCGTGAGCGGGGAGAAGTCCAAGGAGGAGGTGCTGAAGCACGGCAGGGCCGATTAGACTAGAGCGCGAGACTCACGCTGGGATGTGTGTATAGACGCAGCAGTTATAGATGTTTTTTTAGCTTTAAAGTGCAATCCTGCTCGATGTTACCCTGCCCAGCTGTTTCGGTGTCGCGTTGGCGGGTTTCCCACCACGTGTCACTGACGTGCACGCGTGGTGCACACTTCCGCATTCGGGTCGGATCATCCGCCCAGCGCTGCTTCACGTGGACCTCCTCATGAATTCCAAAGCGCCGTTGCATCCCCGCGTTCCGTGCTCTTTCCCTGCGACTGCTCGGCGACGACATCGACGCCGACAGTGGAAGCTTCTTGGTTGACTGCGTCGCGTCGGCGTTCTATTTCTCCACGCTCCATCTGACATGCTGGCGCTACCATCGAGGTCGCCAGTGACGCGCTTGAGGCTAAATGGATTCATCAGCTGCAGGAAATACCACGACGAATCGTTTGGATTCCGCAGACCACGCGAATTTGTGCTCCCCGATTGTCAGTGTTCTCTGCCTATGTGCCGCTAGACGATTTGACGTCTACCGCTAACCTCACGTCCTGCTCTCCGCCGCCAGACTCTGAAATACAGCTCAAGAACCGTGCCGAGAACGCGCCCCTGCTCCGCTACGCCGACTCTCTACGCACGCACGGCCACCGCGCGGCGCGCATCGACCCGCTCGACCTCCTCCAGCGCGAAGAGATCGCCGCGCTCAGCCCCGCGCGCTACGGGCTCGTCGACGGCGCAAAGCAGTACAACGTGAACGGCATCCTCTGGGCGAAGCCTGTCGGCGAGGACGCCGACACAGAAGACTGGTGGTCCTTGCGCGACATCGAGGCGCACCTCCGTGCGGTCTATGTCGGGCGCATCGCGTACGAGTACATGAACTCGCCATCCAAGACGGAGCGCATGTGGTTCGCGCATATGCTCGAGTCTCAGGGCGCCGCCGCGCGCGCGGCGGACGACGCGCAGAAGAAGCGCATACATGAGCTCTTGGCGCGGAGCGAAACGTTCGATCAGTTCTTGCAGCTCAAGTTCCCCAATTTGAAGCGGTATGGGCTGGAGGGCGGCGAGTCGATGATCACGGCGTTAGATACCTTGTTCTCGGTCGCCGCAAAAGGTGCGTATTTTAATTGAAACATCAGAGGTGAACGCTGACAGACACGTTTACTAGCCGGGATGCAGCACGTCATCCTGGGCATGCCCCACCGCGGACGACTGAACTTGCTCACCGGCCTCCTGCAATTCCCCCCTTCCGCGCTGTTCCACAAGATCAGAGGCGGGTTCGAGATCCCCGAAGAGCTCGGCGCCGTCGGCGACGTGATCAGCCACCTGGGTAAGCACAAGCTTTTTGCCTTGTATTCCTCAGCAATGCCGACGTACGCGCTCTAGTGTCGTCTCCCAGCCTCATCTACGAGGGTGCGGACCCCATCAAGGTCTCCCTACTGCCCAATCCGTCCCACCTCGAAGCCGTGAACCCCGTCGCGCTCGGAAAGACGCGCGCGAAGCAGTATTCGCTGCTGAAGACGTCTCCGGATGACTGTATGCTCGGTGACAAGGTCATGTGTGTGCAGCTGCACGGTGATGCAAGCTTTGCGGGGCAGGGTGTCATCATGGAAGGACTGGGACTGAGTGAGTGCCTTTGCCTTCAGAAATGCGTTCTTGGGGTCATGTATGCTTTTGTTTTAAGGTAACCTGCCACACTACACCAGTGGTGGGAGTGTGCATATTGTGGTCAAGTGAGTCTTTGCTTTAAGTCCTGCTAACTACTCTTCCTGATGCAATCGGTACTCTCAGCAACAAGTAGGTTTCTTATAGTTCTCAATCACGCTGTCCCAGTCTCAACTGTTACAAAGCATCGGGTACACGACGCCTGCCTCGGGTGCTCGGTCGTCCCTGTATTGCTCGGACATCGCCAAGATGATCCATGCACCGGTCCTGCACGTGAACGGAGACTACCCGGAAGGTGAGCGGATCTATGAACTGTCCATCAAGTTGATAACATGCTGATGTCCATCCATAGATGTTGCTAGAGCTGTGGACATCGCTTTCAAGTACAGAAATCATTTCCGCAAGGCAAGCGGTCTAAGCTCCCAGATCACATCGGTTGTATTGATCCGTACGCCCCTCAGGATATCATCATCGACTTGCTTGTATACCGGCGCTGGTGAGTGGTGGGGTCTGGCACACCAGTTCTAGATTTCATTCGACATTTATGCAGGGGACACAATGAACTGGATGAGCCGGCGTTCACTCAGCCGCTCATGTACGAACAGATTCGGTCCCGCAAGTCCGTTCCCACCCTCTACGAAGAGAAGCTTGTCGTATGCATCCTTGCTCTCCCTTCTCTTGCATCGCTTGATCCTCAATCCCTTCAACCATTGCAGGCCGATGACGTCCTCACCGACGCCGACGCCAAATCCGTCCGTGCGTCCTATAAAGCTGAGCTCGAGGCCGAGCTCGCAAGAGCGGGCGAGCATGTCCCGTCCGCGTCGATGCTGCAGGACCAGTGGAGCGGCATGGTGTGGCCCGCGAGCCCGGAGGCGGTGCGGAATCCGCAGACGGGCGTAGCGCGCGAGGTGCTGGAGCAGGTCGGCCGCGCGAGCGTGACGGTTCCAAATGGATTTGTTCGTATTTTCTTTTTCCTTTAACCGAGCTTTTCTTGTTGCCAGATGAGCGCGCGTTGATGCTTTGGGCTTTGTTTTACTTGCAGGAGATTCATCCGCGCTTGCAGAGGCATGTGAAGCATCGGCTGCAGAGCGTCACCGCTGGGAAAGGGTTGGACTGGGCAACCGCCGAGGTGCGTGGACAGCTTGTATCGTTGGAAGCTAGTTTATTCGTTGACGGCGCTCTGTCGGATTACAGGCCATGGCTTTCGGCTCGCTGATGTTGGAAGACTGCGATATCCGGATATCGGGACAGGACGTCGGACGCGGGACGTTTAGCCAGAGGTGAGCGGCGGCGCGCAGCATCGCGGGTATTATTCTCTGATGTGTCAGCTGACGCGGGGGTTGCTAGACATGCCATGTTCGTGAACCAGAAGACGGAGGACGTGGTCGTGCCCTTGAACGCGGAGCTGAAGTCTGAGGGCAAGCTCGAGCTCGCAAACAGTGAGCGCTTAGTGGATATTGAGATATTGTGGACGAGCGTCGACGCTTCTGTTTACTAGGTTCGCTCAGCGAGATGGCCGTCCTCGGGGTAAGTGCGAAATGCTCGCCTTTCGCGATTCTGCTGTTCAATATGTTTGCCGCAGTTCGAGTTTGGCGTTAGCTGGGAAAAGCCAAACTTACTTCCTATATGGGAGGCGCAGGTACGAACGCGGCGCCCACGGTCGCGGTCATTGACGCTGATATGGAATGCTCTTGACAGTTCGGAGACTTCTTCAATGGCGCTCAGGTAGGAGTCCAGTCTCCTAGGCGTGCGAAGTTCTCTGAAGTCTCGTCGATAGGTCATCATCGACACGTTCATTTCCTCGGCAGAAAGTAGGTGTCTATAATACTGGAAATTACAGCGTCTCACATCGTGCTCCAGCAAAATGGCTGAAGCAAAGCGGAATCGTGCTCCTCCTCCCGCACGGACTGGATGGCGCGGGCCCGGAACACTCATCGTCCAGGAATGAGCGGATGCTGCAGGTCAGTCCCGCCGCGCGCGCGCGCGTGCACGTGCGACCGAGTCGACGCTGAACGTCTGCTGGCCGTGGCTAGCTCACGAACGACCCGTACGAGCCTGGCGCGTCGCCGAACGTGAACATGCACGTCGTGTACCCGACGACGCCTGCGCAGTACTTCCACCTCCTGAGGCGCCAGATCAAGCGCAACTTCCGCAAGCCGCTCGTCGTTTGTGCGCCCAAGGGACTGCTCAGGCTGCCGGTGCGTCCCTCCGTCTCATTCTCTTCTGCGTCGACTCCCCCGCTGATCGCGCGCGCGCCCAGGCCGCCGCGTCCACACTCGCAGAGCTCGAGCCGGGCACCGCGTTCCAGCCCGTGCTGGCCGACCCGGTGTCCAACGCGACCACCGCGGAGCGCGTCGTGCTCGTCGCGGGCAAGCTCTACTACGACCTCGCGAAAGCGCGCGCGGCGCGCGGGCTCGACGCGCGCGTCGCGCTCGTGCGGCTTGAGGAGCTGTGCCCGTTCCCGTTTGCCGCGCTCACCGCTGCGCTGCGCGCGCACGGGGCCGCGCGCGAGGTCGTGTGGGCGCAGGAGGAGCCGCGGAACCAGGGCGCGTACGCGCACGTGGCGGCGCGCGTCGGGGCGGTGATGGAGGCGTGCGGGCGGGGCGCCGGGGAGCGCGTGCGGTACGTCGGGAGGCGGGAGGAGGCGGTGCCGGCGCCGGGGGTGGGGGCGCTGTATAAGGCGCAGCAGGAGGCGGTGATCGAGGGTGTGTTCGAGGGGCTGTGAGACGGCGGGCGTCGCGATCTGAAACGGGGTTTTTGTTTATTTCGTGTGTCTCGTTTCTTTCATTATTGATGAGGCGGATTGCTGCCGTGCATGCTCGTGTATTCTCGCTCTGGAGGGAGCGGAAGGTACGCTACTCGTTGTTCTAGCTATCTATGACGTCATGAATGGACCTAACCCCGTTCTAGGTGCTGCTAGCCTGGGTCTCGAGAAAATGAATCCCGTAGGGTAGCGTAGGGTGTACAGTAATCCGAATCAGGCCCTGTGCTTGTGCGAGGGTCTCGACCGTAGACGACCGTCGTATTTGTGCAGTGCGTTGTGCGCTGGCAGTGGCGACGATAAGGTCTAAGGTACGGCGTGCAGGGCCGGCGCCCCCCGTCGAATGTTCTGTTTCTGGAAGGCGGGGATCAGAGCGTGCCGGGTGTTCTGGAGAGCGTTTTGTGGTAGTAGGGGAGTTCTGGAGTTCTGGAGTTCTGGAAATTCGTGAGGGGGGTTATCTGGCGCAGGGGGGGCTCGTGACTTGTGACGCTTGGGGTCATGGTTCGTGGTCATTCAAGATGCGCATAGATGGGCGTGGGTGGACGGAGGGTTGTGGGTGGTACAATGGTGCTGTGGGCACTATTAGACGGTGCTTACAGCGGAATGCTGCCTGGCACTGCCTGTTCGAAGAGTTGCTATGGTGCGCTCGGGGCTCGGTAGGCAGGACGGCGAGGAGATTGATGCGGGTGCGATGCGGTGGGCTTGGTGCGGTGTGTTTGCTGATATGTCTCGCGTGGGATGCTGGGTCAGGATGATGCGGGGCAGTGGTGATCGTTGGGCGGAAGGACTGAGATGTTGGGTGGTGATGGAGGGGCTCGTGCGACAGGCGAAGGGCTGGAGAGTGAGCGACGTCAATACGTGGCGAGGAGTTCAGTGGTCGTGTTGCACCGTATGCTGAGCATATTTGTGGGTGGCCGAGATGGGAGAGGGCAGGGAGGAGTGCAGCTGGCGACGTGGCTAAGTATAACGTACGTCGGATCGCTGTGCCCAAGCTGGCCCTGCGAATGCCGGTTTGGGCAATGGGAAGTGAGGTCGGTTAGGAACACGTTGCGGCAGCGGACACGGGGGCGCTTCGATTCGAAGGGCGAAATAGACTCGGGATGCGGTGCATGCCGTGAGGCTGGGTGTGTTTCATGTGGCGGGTGCTGAGCGTCGGGCGGCGGGCGTGGTAGCCGGGAGGTGGGGATGCAGGAGCGGCAGAGCGTGGGCGTCGTGCTCGCCAGTGCACCGATGAATGAGACGTGGTTGCTGTGTGTTCTGCATTTGTGGATGGGCCGCGCAGGGCGTGTTTGCGTTCTAGCGAGAAGGACGTTGAGGGGTAGGAGGACTTCTGTTGTGAGCCAGGTGACCAGGTTCTCACGGCTGAACGGCCTCCATCTTTTGCCTTCGACCGCTCGTCCGCTCGTTCGTCGTGCACACCGTCCCTCCTTTCTCTCCTCTCTCCTCTCCCCTCACCCTCCTTAGCTTTCCCCTCTTCTGTCTTCCGTTCCACGACAGCACCCGTACCTGACCGCGACACGGCACGGCCAGGCACACTTGCGACACCTCTTGGCTTGCTTCCTCTCACGTCCATCACACCCGTGCATGTTCACCACATTCCCCCTCTCAGCCAGCCAGCCAGTCAGTCAGTCTGCCAACTTCGTCCGCGCACCGTCACCCGCTCACAGCGCCTAGCTTCGACAGGACAGCAGCAGAGCGGGCACATCCTCTCTCTCTGACTATTAGATGAGCATCAAAACTCAATCACCCGCCCCCGCCCCCGCCCTTGCGTCTGCTCTTGCCTCTACGTCTGCATCTGCGTCTGCGTCTGCGTCTGCTCCCGCCGCTCCGTCCTCGTCTTCGTCCCGGTTCTCCCTCTTCGGCTTTGGGATCGGCACTCCCAAACAGGCGCGTCCCGCCTACGACCCGGCCCGGTCACAGCACCAACAACAACAACACCCACACCCACACCACCACCAACAGCAGCAGCGGGGGGACGCGGACGGCGACGACTGGTTCACACCCTACAACGGCCCATACGAGCTCCCCGCACAACCTCCGAAGCAGAACCGCGACAGCTGGGGGAACCTCCTCGCCGCCGGCGACGCACGCTACAGCTCCCCCGTGTCCGACCGCAGCCTCGGCGCCATGGGGATCGCGCTCGCGAGCGCGGGCACGGGGGCAGGGCAGGGCGTGGGCATGGGCGTGGGCAGTGACAGGTCCAGCCGCGCGCGCGCCGTGTCCGAGGCGACCATGTCCTCCGGCGTCATTGACCCTTTGCAACACCAGTACCAGCACCAGTACCAGCAGGCCCAGCAGCAGCAGCGACGCGGCGCGGCGGGCGCGACGTCCCCACGCGCGCCGCGCTTCCGCTCGCTCACGTCCTCGTCCTCGTCCCCGTCCGCGTCGCCATCGCCCTATCTCTCGGGCTTCAGCGCCGTCGGCGGCATCGGCGCCGCGCGGCACGCAGCGACCGCAGCATCGTTCGCGCCCCTCGATGGCGTGCGGGGCGTTGGCGAGTCGCCCATGCCGGCGCAGCGCGTCCTGGACTCGGGCTATGGCAGCGCGTCGGCGATGCAGCAGCAGCAGCAGGAGGCGGGGCCGTCGAATATAGCGGCCGCTGGCGCTAGCGTTGGGACCGGCGGGGGCACTGCGAACCGCATGAGCCTCGCGGGGCTGTTCACCGCCGCGCGCCGCAGCATCACGCCGTCCGGCGCGGGCGGCGAGCGCCCTGCGTCGCTCGTGTCGCGGCGGTCGCGCCGCGGGCGGGATCGTGTGCCTGGCCAGGGGCAGGGCATGGGGCAGGGGGAGGGCGGGGCAAGGCCGCGCGCGAGCACGGTCGCGTCGGAGGTGCAGCGCGACGAGGAGTATTATGATTCGTATTATTCGACGCTGTTGCCGGACGTGCCGGGGGCGGGGGCGCGGCCGCGCGCATATACGGTGGACTCGGGCGAGGCGCGGGCGGGGTGTGGGCATGCGGGCGCTGGCGGGAGCGAGGGCGCGGGTGCAGGTGTGGGCGTGGGCGCGGGAGCGGACGTGTATGGCTCGGCGCATCCGTATGCGTATCCGTTTCCTTCAAGTTCGACTTCTGCATCTGCATCCGCGAGCGCGTCCGCGTCTACCTCCGTCCCCGCGCCCATCTCGGCCTCGACTTCCGCGTCCGTTTCGGCGCCGCCAGACCGCCGCGTTCCCATCGCCACTGCCGCCCCCACCACCACCACCACCACCACCGCTACTGCCATTTCCTCACATCCGTTCTCCGCCTCGTCTTCCGCCCCCGCCGCAACCAACGCGAAAGGCAAGTCCCCTTCTGCTGTCGCTATCGCTATCGCCCCTGCGGCCGACGGCGGCAGCACGGCGGCGCGCCAGTACCGCTACCCGCGCCCGCCGCCCGTGCATATCCTCAATCCTAACGGGACCGCGACCGCGGGGGCGTCTGCGCACCCACATACACGCTTCCAGGATGGGCTGCGTTCGGATTCGCAGACGCATTCGCATAACGGCCATGGAAACGGGTACGGGTACGGAAGCGGTTATGGGAGCGGTTATGGGAGCGGGAGCGGGAGCCGTGCGCACCCCGGGTCTGGGCCTGGCCCAGGGCCCCTCTCGAAGGCGCTGTCCACGCCGAACCTGCGCCCGCCGAAACACGCACAGCAGCAGCAGTCACAGCAGCAGTCACAGCGGGAGGGCGTGGGCACAGGCAAGGACGCGCACTCGCCGCCCGCGGCGTCCCCGTCTCCGCCGGCGACCGCCACGTCGCCCTCGCCTGTGTATCGGCGTCACCACCAACAGCAGCAGCAGCAACAACAACAACAGCGCGGGCAAAGGCAGCGGTGGCTGAAGCCCGAGACGTGGTGCGATGCGCTACTGTTCCCACGTCCGCGGTTTACGGTGCGGGAGCGCGCGGAGGGGGAGGACGTAGGAGTGGGGGTGGGTGTGGGTTACGAGAGCGCGCCGCCGACGACGGGTGGCAGTGGGCGGATCGTGAGTCCGCCGGAGAGCCCGATTGCTGCGTGGGAGCAGGGGTCGCAGCAGCCGCAGCAGTCCCAACAAGACCAGTCTCAGCAGCACCAGCAGCACCAGCAGAGGGAGAGCAAACTGTCGCGGCTCGGCTTCGGGCGCCGGCGGCTGCCCAAGTCGCGCTCCGCTGTGAACCTGTCGACGCCGCCGTCGTCGCTGTCGTGGGCCGCCGGTGGGGCGCCTGTGGTTGGTGCTGCGGGCGGGGCTGGGGCTGGGGCTGTGGCGGGGCCGTCGCGCGTGCAGGGGCGTGGGTGGGGCGGGGCAGGGGCGGGTAGCGGGCTGCTGTCGCCAGAGGACGCGAGAAGGGGGGAGGCGGGAGAGGGAAGGGGACGGCCGAGGAGCTTTGCGCAGGATGATTTGGCGCTGCCGTCGCCGGTGCCTTCGTTGGCGAAGTGAGTGCCTTCTTGTGTCATGATGGTCATCAGCATCATCTCTCTTTGCCGTCCTTGTGCACAAATGCTGATTTTATTTCGTTTCTTTGTTGTTGGCGAACGCAGGGTGCTCGAGGCGGGCGAGAACCTCGAGCGCGAGCGCCGCGCGTGGCAGATGCAGGCCGCGCGTTCGTTCCAGAACAAGCGCGTGCGCGCCGTGTCTGCGCGCACCGCGCGCGGGCGGTCCAAGTCGTTCAACACTGCCAACGGCAGCGGCTTCGGCCACAGCGGCCACGCCGGCGGCGGCAACATGGACTTTTTGGCAGAGCGCACGTTCTTGGGGAACCAGACGGTCGCGCCGCGGGTGAACGCGCCGACGTCGCCGGGCTCGCGTGCTGCCAGTGGTGGTGGAGGTGGAGGCGGGGGGCTCGCGACGCTGTCGTCGATGTCTCTGCCGCGCCTGCCTTCGCGGAATCGGTCGCAGTCGCATGCGCATTCGAACTCGCTCGGGCGGACGGTGTCGACCAAGTCGGACGCGCGCACTGGGAACGGGAGCGCGAGCGGGAACGGGATGGGTGGACCAGGGCAGGGACAGGGACAGGGGCAGCATAGCCGGAATCCGTCGTGGGGGAAGACGGCGCTGCGGAGCGCGGCGGGGATGTGCTTCGGCCCCGCGCCGGAGGAGATCAGTCCGCGTCTGGGCCAGCACCCGCACCCGCATGCGCATGCGCAGGAGGCGGAGGGGCCCGCGTGGGGCCCGCGGACGGCGTTCGACTCGTCGCTGACGCGAGAGGAGACGAAGGTGGTGAGGCTCGAGGAGCAGATGCGCCGCGAGCGGCTGGACGTGGAAGTTTTGACGCCTGGGACTGGGACCGCGACCGCGACGGACGAGGGGAGCCCTGGGATCAGTGTGAGCGCTGGCGGTGGCAGCGGCAGCGGCGGGGGTGGGGGTGGAGGTGGGTTGCTGCCGCTCGGGCCGTCGCCGACGCCGTCGGGCATGACGATCTCGGCGGAGGGGCTGCCAGTGGGCATCGCGCTGTCGTCGCCGCCGCCGTCAGATAGCCACTCGGTCGAGTTGAGTCTGCCGGACCATCCGTACGCGAAGGGCGGGTTCTCGTCGTCGGTGTACGACCCGCCCCAGCATTCATACCAGCAACAACAACAACAGCAGCAGCAGCGTTACCAGCACCATCAGCACCAGCGGTCGACGTCCACCAAGGCGTCGGACTATGCGGGCCCGCATCCGTCGACGCCGCACGTCGTCCTCGCCGGAGGGCCGGTTGCGAGCGAGGTGGCGGCGCGGCACCGGCTCCCGCCGCACGCGATTCTGCACCCGTACGCGCAGACCGCGGCGCCGGCGCACCTCAGGGACAGCGAGCGCGAGCGGGGGCACGAGCGGGAGGACGAGGCAATGTTCGCGCAGATGCCGGAAGCGCCGGAGGAGGTCCGTGCGGTGCCGTTGCCTGTCGCTCGGCTGAAGGCGGGGGGCGTGGGCGTGGGCGTGGGCGTGAGCTCGGGCCATGTGTACGCTGCGGGGAACAGGGATAGCGGGGGGCCGTTGGACATCGGGGAGGCACTGGCGCGCGCGATGAGGAGTCGCGCGAGCGTCGATAGCGGGCTTGGGATAAGCGTGAGCGGGGACCACGGTGAGCGCGTCGAGAAGGCAGCAGAGCATCAGCCGTCGATGTCGTCGCTGAGACCGCCGCGGGAGGCTGTCCAGTATCCGTACAACCAGCATCACCCGCACATCCTCGATTTCAGTACACAGCAGAACACCTTGCGTTCGCAGAACCATCCTGCTTTGCCCGCCTCCGGGGAAGAACACCTGACGCCGCCGCCATTCGCCCGAAGCGCTGCGGCGCGGGCGGTGCTCGGCACGCCGTCGGACCCTTCGCCCGGCATCGTCTCGCACGAGTCATCGCCGCCGGTGTCCCCACGCCCGTTCAGCAGCACGGACGATCTCGAGCGGTTCCGCGACCTGTTTTGGAAGCCGAACGGCCGCGCGCCGTCCACGTCGTCGTCGGCGGCGGCGGCGGCAGGCGGCAGCAGGCACGCGCGCCAGTCCCAGTCGAGCGCGGGCGTACCGTTCGATGTCAGCTCGCGCAGCACCCTCAGCCAGTCTGGTGGCGGGCTGGCGCAGCTAACGCGTCAGCTGAGCGAGGAGCTCGAGGTGATGCAGGAGCACGACGACGAGGCGCTCGTCGACCCGGCGTCGCATCCCATGTATGGTGGGCGGTTCGGCGGGCTCCGTGGCGAACGGCCGCTCGAGGGGTATTCTGACCCTAATGTCATACTGGGAGCCGCCCGCTCGGAGTCGCCGGAGCCTGTTGCGGCGGCGCTCCCGCTGCGGCTGCATAGAGGACAGGGTCACTTGTCGGACGATCTTCCGGCGATCGTTCCGGAGGACGTGGAGTCGTCTCGCGCGTCCTCGATCCTGGAACGGTCGCCGTTGGAGGATACCGACTACGATCGTGAGTGCAGCCATGCTCAGGTGGTGCGTCGAACGCGAGTGCTGATGATGTTTTCGGTCCAGGTGTCGTGCGGCTGGGCACGATCGAAGCGGTCGCGACGCCGCTCACCAAGGAGGCCGACCAGCGGTTCTCCGGCCACCTCTCGTTCGTGAGCGACGTGGGCGGGCGGCGGAGCGACGACATGTCCATCGGTGCCGTGCGCTTCCTCTCCCAGCGCTCCAGCCTGATGCCCGGCTCGGCGCGCGACTTGGCGCGCTCGAGCTACATGACGACCGACACCAGCCGCTCGCGCATGTCCGGCCTCTCCGAGTTCCCCGCTCCCCCTGAGCAGCTCACCGTTTCGCCCACGCAGGCCGGGCTGCTCCAGTCTTATCTCAGTGCCACCTCTCGGTCTCAGATCCGTGTCAACGACGTTTCGGAGACGGTCGTCGGCGTCAGCCTTCGAGAGAACATACCCCACTACGATCCCCACTACCGTACCACCTTTGGACGGGAAGAAGATTTTTCCCGGCCGTATTGACCTCGGACTCGTTCCCCTCCCTTCCGATCCTCACACCTCTCTCGACATATCCCATTATTGTACTCTATACTTTAGTGTTTACATGGAATTATTTCGGTGCTCGTTCTTCCACTGCAGATACCTCCTAGACGTCGCTACCACATCGCATCCTTTGCTTTTGTCTTTATCACACTTCAGTCTGGCGTAGCTGCTGTCCTAAAATTATTCGTTTACATATGAGCCGGTTGACATTGGTGAATATAATTCTACGGCTACAGCCAAAAACATACACGCGGTACACGGGGGAAAGTATTAGAAAGCTAGAAAACAAAGCGATAGCACAAAACAGTCCGGTCGTTCATCATTCATCGTATTGCGTCAACTGCGAGGTGGAGGAGAGGTGTGTCAGATAGAGAGGGCACGCGAAAGGGGTGCGCGACTCACATCCAGCGTAAGCGTGCGTGAGCTGTTGACATCCTGGTCGCGGTAGATGCCCACTAGCGAGTTTCCACGCTCGTACAGAGAGCCTTTCAGGCTGATCACGATGAACTGGAACGTGTCGGAGGCCTGTGAACGGATGTAGTTGGCGATCTTAGCGACGTTCGTGTTGTCGAGGGCGGCATCGACTTCATCCAGGACGAAGAAAGGACTGGGTTGATAGCTGCAGAGAGAATCAGAGTCAGACGCGCTGCCCCGTTACGTTGGCATGCGGCGAACCTGTGGATAGCAAATAGGAGCGCCAGTGCCGCGACTGTTTTCTCGCCACCTGAGAGCTGCTCCATATCTCGGAAACGTTTCATAGGAGGCATGGCATGATATTTAATACCGCTGGCGTACGGTTCCTGTTCAACAAGCGGTTAGAACGATGATGTGGCTAAGAAATCATTCGACCTTGCCTCGTTGTCTTCCAAGCTGAGGTATGCCACACCACCCATAGGTGCTGCCTTTCCCTTGGTCAGGTCCTTGTAAACTTGATCGATACGTTCGGAAATGTGATTGTAGGCTTTGTTGAACATTTCTGTCCTACAGACAGATCGTAAGATTTTGGATGCATTGGTGACCGAGTGCGGCCTACCGTCTATTCTTGACGTCGTTAAAGAAATCCCTGGCGTTCTTGGATTCTTTGCGAGCCTTTTCCGCTTCTTTCTCGGTGTCGGCGAGTTTCGCTTCCACATCATCAAGCCTGCACAAGAAAAAAAAAATTAAGTGAGAGACCATGGACAAGGCAACATGTATCGCGCACCGTTCAATCGCTTTGAGGTTGGGCGCCATTCGTTCAATGTCTCCGTTCAGTTTCGTGATCGAAGCATCTATCTCGGCGAGTGTCTCTCCCGACTCATCCTGTGAGGCGATGATTGTTGGGCTTTTGCTCTCAGTGTAGTCATTTGCACAACGCACCTCGCGATCCTCTTCGTCGAGGGTCTCGAAATCGACTTCGATGCCGTAGTCCGAGACTGACTTTGGACGCTGCGTGCCGCTATCGTCTTCATCAACATCCATAGCAACCTCGTCCCGCAAGTTCTATTTGCAGATATCAGCAAGAAGTGCTTCAATGAGCCTTCGAAACGATTACCTCTTCCATAGGCACATTCTTCAGATTGCCTTGTAGCAATGGCAGGGCAATTTCTTCCAAACGACACTTGCGGTACAAAGCTGATCGCTCCAAGCCAAGTTTCTCGATTTCGTCGTTCTATGTCAACTGAAGTAAGCAATCTATTCACCGGGGGAGGTCGCGGGACGCACCTTGGTCGCGATCTCCTTGAGTGCCTGGTCCAGGACTTTCGTCGCCTTCATCGTAGAACGCTTCACTTTGTCGAGGGTTTCATTTCTCTCTTCCAGCACAGCGTTAGATGTCTTGACATCCTCTTTTAGCTCTTCTAGTCCCTGCTCCATTTCGTCGATCTCTTCTTGTGTCTGCGCCTTGGTGTCTTCTAACCTTGCCACGTTAGCTTGCTCAGCAGAGATTGTGTCAGCAAAACCAGCGAGACGCGCTTGAATGGCATTTAGCGATTCCTCTTCGAAGCGAGATCTGGTTATAATAAAGACATCAGCGTAGCGCACTTGTCCGGCAACAGATGACGCTCTCACTGGTTCGTGAGTCGGGCGATCTGTGTTTCAAACCGCAGTCGAGCCTCGCTCTCTTCCTGAGCAAGCTTAAGTTGCCGTTCTTCGTATTCCCGGATGTTGGCAACACCGATCTCCTCACAGAAGGGCGCGAAAATCTCGTCCTCTGCAGCGTTGACGACGGCCGCTACCCCCTCTATTCTCTCCCGAAGTGTATCGAGGGCTTTCTGAGCCTTGATGCGGACACATCATCAGCCTCACAATATCACAATCGTGAGCAATACAACTTACCTTGTTCAACTCAGGGGTATTTTGCCTTATCGACCTCTCAACATGTTTCAGCTCGTCTTTCAAGCCACTGACGCGCAATGTGCACGCGTTCTGGGGATCGAAATCAACAAACGATTCACATTGATTTGAGGTTGGCAACGCACCAACTCATCCTTCGCGACAGCTAGCGCCGACTCTAGCCTCGTGATCTCCGAGATGAGGTTATCGTCTACCTTGTTGCGAGGCTTGGACTGGATGAGTTCGTTCAGGCGGGTAAGGAATTCGTCTCGGACGCGTTGAAGCCCTTCGGAAGATATGAACATGCGAATATTGGCGCATATACCGACGCCATACCTTGGATGTCTTTCGCCTCCCATTTCTTGTTTCCACCATGCGTGCTTCGTCCACCAGTGATAAGGCCGCTCTTGTGGATTATCGTCCCTTCCAACGTGACAGCTACACCAGCGAGATGAATATCACGAATGAGAATGAGACATATGTCTGACGTACCTTTGACTTCCTGCCCCTTTTCATAACACACGTACCTTGCTACCTCCATGCTGTCGCAGACCAGCGCGTTACCGCAAGCATGATGCATGGCCCGCTCCACGGCAGGCTCGTATTGAATGACGTCGACGGCGAGTCGCGCGCCTTTGGCAAAAGAACGGAACTTATCGTTGATGGGCTTGATTTGTATTGTGTCCAGCGGGATGAAGGTCAACTGGCCAGCCCGTTGGTTGCGCATGTACTATCACGCGTCGGACCCAAGGATACGCATTTTTTTCTCAGCTGGTCGCTAAACGAATGATGGACGCAATACTTACCTCAATACAGTCAATGGCCGTCTTTTCTTCGTCGACGACTACAGCGTCGATATTCCTCCCAAAAACGACAGAGATGGCAGTCTCGTATTTCCGCTGGGTAGGCTTACACAGGTCCATGAGACGCCCACGCACACCTGCAGCAAGAATGAGCGATCGAAACTCTACCAAGAAGGGCGCCAATGACACCGACCCGGGAATATTCTCTGAAGAGTGCTCAACGTTTCTTTGAGCCGAGCGTCGCGCTCCGATTCGCGTTGATCCACGCCAGCCTGAAGCAGTTTGTTGTGGACGTCTTGGAGCTTCTCGTTCAGCTCGGCCTCCAGTTTTCTGAAGAGCGAACGTTTTGTAAACTCTACGCACGGGTGACAATCGGAAAAAGAATGAACGTACGCTATTCGTGTCCGTTCGGCTTCCTGGTTGTGGAGCTCTTGTCTAGTCTTGTTGAGATCCGCTTGTAGCGACGCAACTGACCCCTCCAGCTAGAAGATCACTTAAGGTCAGATAACTTAACTCGTGAAGAAGTAAGGCAGAATACGCCACTTCATCTTTCTTTCGTCCTTGATCATCGATGTCTTCCTTCAGCTTTTCCCTCTTGCGCTGGAACTCTTCTTGCTTGTCATTCAGCTGCGCGAACGTTCGAGAGGCGGTCTTCTCCTCCCTGTTCAGCGTATCCAAGGCCTGACGTTCATCCACTGCTAAGAGACTTGCTTCGGCTTTTCTAGAGAATTCAAGTATTGTAAGTCCGTTGTGTCAAACGTCTCAAAAAGAAGCATCATGTCAAAGCGTACAATCGACGGTACTCGTCAAGGCTGTCCTGACTCAGAGACAGGTTGTTCTGCGAGAGTCTTCTCTGATCCTCTTGCGTGCCCAACGTTAGCGCGTACAAAGCAATCCTTGGAAATAGGGAGCAAACCTTGCGCGGCATCGGCAGCTCTCTGGACGTTTTCGAGGTCCTCTTGAAGCTTTCGGACCTTGTCCTTCTGTTTTGTCTCATCTTGAGTCACCTGCTCCCTAACGTTCTGAGCATTTTTGATCTTCTTTGTCGAATGCGCAAGTTGGGCCTCTACGGCAATCAGTTCAGGTTTCTGAGAGTAAGGGAAGAAATGAATGGGCGGCACACATGTATCAACTGGAGGAAAATACCTTTGCCTCCAGAGCCTTCTCTGCCTTCTTAAGCTTCTTCTCTCTTTGCATTAGAGCTGAACGGGCTTTGGCTTGTTCGGCGCGCGCGTCGTTTAACGCGTCGTCGTGGGTCTTCTGCTCTTCCCGCAAGCCTGCTAGGGTCTTGCTCTGTTCTCTGACCTCGTGCGCATCTTTCTCCAGAGCCTCTTCAATATGGAACAGTTTGAACAGGATACGCCGCAGAATGAGTAGTTCCTAGAAGTGACACGAGGCTCGCTGCTCCATCACATTCAAAAGATACCAGTTGGACGAACCCTATCTTGGACAAGCGCCTCGAACTTGTCCGCCTCGCCCTTCTGTTCCTTGTACTGTTTGATCTCGCCCGCGATGCCCCGCCGCTTCGTGAAGTTGAATGTTGCGTTCTCAGTCGCGCGCTCCTGCTCCCCTTTCGCCTTCTCGTATTCTGCAGCGAGTTCCAGTGACCCGCTAATCTGTTCTATGAGGCGGGTGAGCTCCTTGGGTGACTGCGACGCGACGGCCTCTACGTCGCCCTGGAAGACAAGGAAATTTTTCGCCTTGACGAGGATGTTGTGCTTGATGAGCGCGTTGTTGTACGTCGCATATGTCACGACCCTGTCGTTGAGCTTATATTCTGAGGCGCCGGTGGTGGATATCCTGCGAGCATTCATGGAGACAGTGTTAGAGATGCGGTGCGGTGGACTCACGTTCGCTGAAACCGCCACTCCTTCTTCTCCGCATCCTCATAGACGGCGAGTACCCATGCCTTCTTTGCGGTGCCTTCACCCTCATCTTCCTCCTCCTCGTCTTCCTCGACCGCCTGCGAGCCCGCTTCCGCGCTCTCCCTCGCAAGGCGTCTTCCGCGGTAAACGAGATCCTTGAGCTGGCTACTTCGGAGCTGCGCACTCTTCACTCCCAGAACGAACGAGATGGCATCCATGAGATTGGACTTTCCCGCGCCATTGGGCCCAATTACGGACGTGAAATTACGGAATGGCCCAACTGTCTGGTGACCTCTAGGGAGGATTCGTGGTTCAGTTGTTTCTGTGATACCAATGGGAGTGCATTATACCTGTATGACTTGAAGTCGCACACCTCTATGCGTACGAGCGGCATTTCTGGTATAGTGCAGAGCACGCGAAACGATGAGTGGCACTTGGCGAGCGGTCGGACGCGTCAGGACGCGTCGACGTGACTGATGTGACATGATGAATAGCTACGTCACGCCTCATCACGAAATTTCGGTTGGCCACTGACGACAACTTCCACATTCTTGCAACACAGCTCGACTTGGGACGACGATGGTTCAACTCACGCTCGACTCACGCCCATGTGAGTATGCTTTGTAGGACTAAGAAAAGCAGCAATACGAGGTAATTTTTTGTTAGTTAACTTGTCTCCGAAGCATTAGCATGTTTCTTCTTCCTACTTTCCTGCAACAAATTGGACCTTTTGAGTAAAGCCCAGATACATCCCCCGATAACCCAACATGGGTAGTCCTGGTACGTTCTGCGTTACTCCGTTGCCGGCCTTGAAACATGCACCCAGGTGTCCCCGATCCGCTGATTGCAGGATTGGTTCCGCTTATTCCACATCATTTCATCCTCTGGCACCTTCTTGAATCAAATTTTGTCGTATGCGGCTTCATTATTTCCTGAAGGACTCTCCCAGCGCTTGAAATGGCCACGAGTGTAACGCACGTGGAGTGTAGGTGATCCTGTTCGAGTCACGGAGATCGTGGGAATGGAAGATTGTGGGTCCGTATTTGTGCTCGCTGCGCAGATGTACGATCCTCGGGTGCATCTTGCATCTTGACTCTCTCGTAGACTCCTCAGCATGAACACAATGCTCCCAGATGAAGAACAAGATCAGTTAGATCCTCAGTCTTTCAACAAGTTCATCGATGATCTTGAATTGGACCTTGCCGACATTTCAGGAGATCCGTTGCGATGTTTCACCACCCGCCCCGCTACAGGGGGCTTTTCTAACTACACATCTGATTCTTCCCTGCCCTCGCTTCTGAATGACTCAGACTCTGATTACTCATTGTCCAACTCGAGCTCCCTTTCAGAATTCATGGCATTGTTTCCGGACCCGGATATACAGATGGACGAGTTCCAGGATCATAACTCAGGAAATGTGCTCATCGATGAGGTGAATCAATCACCTCAACGTGAACTCTTTATCGCAGATGATCACTACCCAGTGAGACGCGAGTTCCCGTCTAGTTCTTCCTCCTCTCTGACTAGGTACTCGATGTTGGTTACAGGAGAGGTGTCAGGAGATCTCTGCCGTCACCGACGATGTCAAGGTTCAAACCGAAAGCGATAGCATGGGATGTTTAGCATGGTTCGCTGCCAATACCGCCTCTATCGAGAAAATAGAACGGCTATCAGACGCATCGATTCGCGATTCTGGAACGGAGTACATGCCGACATCCGAGTTAGAGCCTCCTCCGAACGCCTTCATGCAGTTGTCCCTTCCGCAGCTAGAGCCCATGGTCATACCGACTTCTGAGTATGTTCCCCCAACGTTCATGGTCGGTGCGCCCTCGACCTCGCCTCCGACCCCGACCCCGCCGCCCTCGCAGGATGCGAAAAAGCATATTTGCATAGTCTGCTCGAGACGTGAGACCACTCCTTTATTTGAATGTAGTGCCCCCGTATTAATTCAACCTTCGTCGGCATAGGCTTCAAAACACGCTGGAATCTCAAGACACACAGCGAAATACATCTCCCCAATCGGGAGAAGCGCTACGTCTGCGCCAATGCGGGGTGTCGGTACGCGTCCGCCAGAAAGAACGATCTGAAGAGACACGGGATGTCTTGTGGACAGAAGGCCTAGGGCCCACAATGGGCGGATGGTATGGCGCGACGCTCCTGAGACTGTCTACTATCTCTGACTCGATCTCATAACCCTAGCTCCCGAACCCCCTCTCTCTTCCATCGACTTCCACTCCTACTCAATTCCAAAACAGAAGCAACCTTCAGGTATATTAGCTACCTTTCGTGCGTCTGGTTTTCACGCGACCTGACCATCCCCAGCATCACGTCCGGCCACCCCATTGAGCATTCAATGTTTCAAGAGGGTAGAATCGCGTGCCATGAAGCAGCACGCACATATTGATTCAGACTCGATGTAAGATGAATCACTTTGTTTCTACACGTTTCCATATGCCTAAGAGTCGATTTTCAGGCTACAATCTTCTTGTATCAGTTCGAACAGCTTCTCTGTTTGACGACTGTTTTAGCTCTGATGATTCCCGACCTAAGCACGCTCAAATGTACTCGATCTCGAACAAATGTAGAACGAATTTCGAAACTGAGAACAAATGTCCTCATAAAGATTGTCACGACGTGAGGTGGGTCTAGGAGCATCAAAATAATCTCAACATGTCGGAGAATAAGGACTGCTCGTTCACCCGTTTGCCTGTGCGTGCTCGCTGTATGAATTTATATCCATCGACGAGGCGCAGATGCTCCTCTATTCACTCTCGAGTCTCGCGAGGTCTCGCAGCATTAATGCCATCGAGGATGGTCCTCTACAGATATGTACTGAAGAGCGCATGAAGAATGTGTGACCCTCGCGAAATTGCCGAGCGCCCGTGAGCAGGCGACTCGACCAGATATGGAAAGTGCGCAGGACCTCGCAAGATTGCTGGAAAACACTGTTCGCCGAACATGACCAGTCCTGGTACATTCTGCTTTGCTGGCTTGCTGGCTTGGTGCCGCTCAGTTCACGTTTCCGAACCTTGGCATCTCTCTCAAATCAATGTTTGTCCTATGCAACTTTTTTCGCTCTCGAAAAGAGTCTTCTAGCACTTGGGATGGCCACGAGTGTAACGCACGTGGAGTGCAGGTGGCTCTGCTGGAGTCACGGAGATCGTGGGACAGGCTGATTATGGGTCCGTATTTATGCTCGCTGCGCATATGCTGATACTCGAGTCCACCTTGACTCGCCCTCCCTAACCTCTCCATCATGGATCCAACTCAGTATCATTTCAATCCCTCGTTCTTTGACAACGATATCGACGAAGTCGGAGCCGAACTTGATCGCATCCCGGAGGATCAATATTGGCCGTACTTCCCCGATCCCATCCTTAATCCCTCCCTGGAAGACATACTAGGTACAGGTTATAGATTTGATATCTCGGCCTCCTCCGAGTCATCCGTATCGTATGACTCGCAATCCAACTTCTCTTCGTTATACGATTCGGAGCCCCTTCCGGACAATACTGCGGTATTGTTTTCAAGTATGCAGCTGGAGAACGCTCCTCCTCATTTGAATTCACACATCAACGAGGCCTATGCATATGAGAGCCCTCAATATCAACATGGTTTTCGCTTGGTGCACCTAGCATCTGACTCTTTACCCTTTCCAACCTGACATTTAGTACCAGGATCAGTCTTTGGATATCTCTTCCTTCGACAATGAGATCGATCAAGCCCAAGCCGAACTTGACGGCAAAGGTCATTCAATGGCATGGTTTGATTCTGAACCCACCCCAAGTAGCATCGTGGGCACGGGTTATCCATCGGGAACCTTCTCTGAATCATCGCTTTCGCATGACTCTCAATCCTCCTATACATCGTATGCGTCAGAGTATCTTCCGAACAATTCGATGGTCGTCCCGATGGAGACAATATCATCGCAAGCTTCGGTCACCGCACCCTCTCCCTCACAGTGTGTGCAAGCAGGTCGTAAGCACGTTTGCATGCATTGCCACAGACGTGAGTCCCCGCGATTTTTCTGCCCTCCTTGAATGAGGTACACATATTCATTCATCTCCCATAGGCTTCAAAACGCGATGGAACCTTAAGACCCATATAGAAACGCATCTTCCCGTTAGGGAGAGGGAGAAGCAATACGGGTGCACGAACGCAGGTTGTGGATACGTGTCTGCCCGCAAGAATGATTTGAAGAGACATGAGACCTCTTGCAGACATAAAGCTCAGGAAACGGGCGGTATGGTGTGACATCCCGTTAGAATATCCATTATTGCTGAATCCGTCCCACAGCTTAGTGCGCCTCCCCACCCCCGCTCTTCCGCAATAACAGAAGAAATATCTAGGTATATACCTTACCTTTCGTGCATTTGAATTACACGACCTGATGAATTATTGACCATCCCCAGCGTTCGGCCACCTCTTGAACATTCAAGAAGGATGAATTGTGCATCAGCCAACGCGCACTATCGATCTACTTACAACGTATGTCAGATCAAAAAATTCCCGCACATCCCCTGGTATATGAATATCCATTCTCAGGTCACGTCCCTGAACAACTTCCACGAGTCAGTTCGAAAGACGACGCTATGACCCTCTTCTCGCGAATGTTTGAATACGAGTTTTTGGCGCTGTCCAACCCTCGCACGCCATCCAAGGGTGTGAGGTCTAAGGCTCGGCCAGTGGCTCGTTACATGTGTTCATGTATTTGATCTCTGAAAAACCAGAACGAAATTAGGAATCGAGAATATGATGTATATTGGATGTCCTCACAGCTGTTTCCGACAAGATCGTGGCACAGATTGTTGAAGCGCTGCTTCTGAAATTGGGAAATTTCAAATAGCGGTCTTGCTACGTGCCATCAACCAGGGTCCATTAGGGTCCATTTCACTCTCTCCCAGCATCAAGACAGATGCATAAGGGGCTGCCTCCTATAGGTACTGAAGAGCGCATGAAGAGTGTGCGCATTGCTAGTATGCATCGCGAAATTGTCCAATGCACGTGAGCAGGCGACTCGATCGGATATGGAAAGTGCACAGGACCTCGCAGGCTGCAGACCCGTATTTATGCTCGCTGCGCGCATGTCTGATTCGCAGATGCCTTGCATCTTGATTCCTACCCCTCTATCTCCAGCCCGGTCATGTATACAGCGTCGTATATTCAGTCTGATCTCTATTCGTTGAATCCACTGGGACGTGAACCCGCTGATATTCCAGACTATCCGCTCGGAGGCATCACCTCCAACGTCATTCCAGAAGGCATTGCATTCATGAACTATGGGAATGACACTTATCATTCGCCATACGTCCCCGCGGATACCAATTCAGACGAGCTTATGGAGTTTTTCCCGAGTATACAGCCAGAGCCTACAATACTGGACAACTTCCCTGATGAGACCGGTTTGCTTGAGGCTTTCCAGTCTCACCATATGATCCCACAAATCGCCGATTTCAGTTCTACTGGATATGATTTTTCGGTACGTCTTGCGCCTGAAATCTACTTCCTCTCCCATCTTATGGAACAGTTAACCCACCGACAGGACCAGCCCTCAGACGTCCGCTCATTCGATTGGTTGATTGATCAAGACCAGTTCGAAATTGATAATATAGGATATTCAGTCGCATCTTTCACTGCTAAGCCAGCCCCGAGTGGTATTGTGGGCATTAGGCCTCACTTGGAAGGCTCAGCGTTTTCAGAATCGTCGCTCTCGTACGATTCCGGATTAGATCATCCTTCGTCATGCACTCCAGACGAATTCACGGAGTCGAATTCGGGTACACAACCAGAAGCACAGAGCTGTGTCTCGAACATAGTCACCAGTCCTGAGGAACGCGCTTTCCCGGAGGAGACGAAATCACCGGCGCATAACATCTGTGGGGTTTGTCTTAGACGTGAGTCTGTGCTACCTTTCTTCCTCCCCTCAACGCCATGCATGTGTTCAACTGATCTCCATTAATACAGGGTGCAGTACCCCTTGGAATTCGAAGGAACACGTGGAAACCCATAACCCCGAACGAGTGAAGCAGCATGTCTGCACAATTGAGGGTTGTGAGTATGCATCCAGGCGGAAGAATGATGTCGAAAGACATATGAAGTCCCGCAAGCACACAGCCTAAGCACAATGTTTTTACGACAATATTGCTACGCAGCATGCAAGCATGCTGGGGTGTTCATTAGGTGTGTGTGTGTTGGCTTCTATGCACATGCGAGTTATTTGAATGCAATCTCATTCTCATCTTCAGCACCCCTGATCATCGAAAATTTTCCATCCGGCCACCTCTTGACTATGGATGTCATCTTGTTGCCATTCAAGAAGGTAGAGTCGCGTGTCAAGCATCGCGCACATTGTGATACGTTCCCAATGTAAGACGAATAATTTCTTTTTGCACGCTTTCAAATGTCTAAACTTACACTATCAGCCCTCCGAACGAACGTCACGTATAAAATCAATTTGCGACAACTAATTTTCGTTTTTTGTTTCGTTCCGCGGCTGCTGCGTATCACGATTGGTTCAATTTTCGATCATGGTGCCTCATACCTTCTATGCATCCACTCAAGAGTAAAATTCTTTATCTCATCAGATCTGTTTGTTTTGAAAGGCGAAATCCTAAGTCGAGAACGTGATATACACACCGGTCTTTTTACATCTTATCCTTCTGAAGAGACTATTTGGCCGTCGCTTTCGCGAACCAGTCAGCTGCTGCCTCCCAGCTAATTCTCGCAGCTTCCACACCCTCGAGCGGATGGCCCTCCCCGGGAAACTCCAACATATCCACTGGGTTTCCTCTTCCCTTTAGTGCATGGTAATACGACTTGCCTTGTGCCGGCGCGACCCTGCGGTCGTCCTTCCCGATAAGCAACAGCACTGACGCTTTCACCTTGTCGACATATGCGATAGGTGACGTGGGATAGAGCTTCTTGTACAATTCTGGGGTGACTTCTGATTGCGCAGTGAATGGCAGCCCGAATTCCCAGAAATACCAGTCGGGAATGTCAGTCTCTGCGGGCTGCGCGCAGCTGATGACAGGATTCCTTAACACTGCTGCACTGAACACCTCTGGGTATTGTCCGATAACTGGAGGGCGTCCACAGAATTTAGTGTTCCGCTCACTGTGCAGGCTGTGCACCTTACTATGTGCTCCCAAGAACCCTCCGTGGCTTCCTCCCCATGCGAACTGCTTACCGGGGCCTTGCTCTGCGACGCCGAGCTTGACTAGGTGATCGATCGACCCCATGACATCCTGGACATCCAGGGTCCCGCATTGGCCGACCAACTTGCGCACATAGGTCTCGCCAAAGCCCAGTGAACCCGTGTAGTTGGGAAGGGAAAGTGTGTCTGCTCGTAATCTCGGTGAATAAAATAAATGGAGCAAACAAGATAGGTGTACATACAACCTTGCAAGGCCATTGCTACAATGGACGGACTGAAGGCGGTTAAACTAGTCGCATGCGGACCACCGTGGATAAAAGATACAAGTGGACGTTTGCCTTCCTCCTTCGACACTGATTCGATCAAAATCGTTTCGGTTGGGAAACGATCTGGGATGGGAACCACGGATGATTTGAGAGAATTTAAGGCCCTACCCACTGTGCCAAGATGTATAAGAAGGAGGCAAATGAAAAACATAAGCGCTTACCATCCTCAGGGATCGTCAGCTTGTCAATGATATTCCATGAAACTACTGGGTTGCCATTCTCATTGGTCAATTGTCCCAAAAAAAGCTCGTTTGGAGATGTTGGGGAGCTCCTGATGCAAACAACTTGCGTCTTCCTATCTGTTCCTAAGACGGTCCAGCTCCAAACCGATTCTTCCAGTGAATTCACAGGCGTCAAGTGCACAACTTTCTGGGGCTCATATGCGTCGACGAGAATGACGGTCATCCTTGAACCTTGAACGGTATGAGTAACAATGAACTCCTTGTTCTCGAGGCTGAGAAATGGTTGCGCGGGAAGACCATAATCGGTATATAGTCCGGCAAATCCTCCCATGTGCTGCGATTTCACCTCGAATATGGTATCTAGCAGGAGCTTGGAATGCCCTGTGGTCAGATCAAAAGAATGAAGATTGGAACATCCTGCGTGCGCTCCCCCGAGAGCATTCGATATCCAATACAAGAACACACTGCCAGAGGTAGGGTTTCTGTAAATGCGCGCAGAGCGAGAAGAGCGTGCAGAATCCGAGATTTTGAAGGCCGAAGCAATTATGGAGGAATTATCTTGCTCGCCAGATTCGTGTGGGACTTGATTGGATAGAGCCACAGATATATCCCATATGCCGGCTGGCCTGTTGAAACAACCTTTGATCCCCAACCGATGGCCGTCCTCGGTGAGCTCGTAGCCAGTAGCGATAATGCGATCGTCAGTAGCGAACACTGCCTGCCCAAACACGATCTCCGCAGAAGATGGTATATGAGCTTCCAATGGCTTTACAGTTCCGTATATTCTGCCGGATGTCGAAGTCGGCTTGATCTGCCACTGACAGATATAAATACGGGGCCGCTTTCGACCAGTCAGCGATTCCCCAAAATCAGGAAGATAACGAAAGCGAGCGAAAGAGTCAGAGTGGTCGGCTGGCAGTGGGTTCTCTTCGGAGACATATACCAACGACTTCTCCGAAGGGGAGAAAGAGAGGGAGTAGAACTGATCTGTTGCGTGCTTTGATCAGGTTTTGTGTGAGAAGTTATAATTTCTTAACTACACTTACCGTCGGTGTAGAAAGAGCCATGAAGTTTGGATACTTCTACAGAAACCTCTAGTCTGTCGCCAGCCCATACCTCGACGAACCGTTTCTTTCCGCCACCGGAATCGCTGGTCTCGCGAAGGATTGCGATCAGCTTGCCCGATTGTGAGACGATCGATGCAAGCACTTCGGGCGAAACCTCTTGAGAGAGAGACACCAAATTTTGAGCGATATCGACTTGAGTATATATAGTCTTTGTGGAGGACCTCTTTGTATTCCTGGTATGGTCTCTTGAAGACGACGTGACTCGAATTACTGCGGGAGCTAGTAATTAGTGGTGACTTTTTTGGTTGGCTTCATCTTACCATTCTTAGCGAGAAATTGAGCAGAAGTATAGACCGGAAGTTCTGCGAGGTCATTGTAAATGGTCTTCGAAAGCTCAGAGGACTGTGACATGTTGATATGAGTAGTGAACAAGTCGTGAAAGTCCTGGGGAACAGGCGGCCCAGATTGCTATTTTTGATCTCCGCGAATTTCAACAGCTCGTGGATACTTTGCTCAAGTGGTCAGCGCTTCAGCTGATCAGTACTGTCAGGACAGCCAGTAATTCAGTACTCAGTGCAAAAATCCATGAACTTCGAAATATAAATAAGAGCATCTAATGTCCAAGATTTTTACACCCTAAGGAGTTTTCAAAGTTCATCCCGAATAGGGATTCGCGAAGTCTCATCCTCCAAGCCTACATCTCCAACAGCTGGGGTGGACCCCGCCCTTGCAAGGGCGTTTACATCAGCTGTCGCTGCACTCGAATGTATCCGCCCATCTTCTGCGAGCAGCCGAGCGAATTTAGCGATCTCTGTATCGTATTCTTCCCACTCTGGTATTTGTCGTGCGCGAGAGAGCTTAGGTTCTTTCTGCTCGAGCAGTCAAGATTAACGAGATTTTTTTTGTCGCTACTGTGCGAAGTACTGACCGTAAGGGGATTTTGACACAAGTCAATGGTTTTCGCGCGATGAAGTCGATCTTTGCTGCCTGATGTCAAAACTATCAGGACCATAATTGTACCTATAAGGCTGAATCCAACTTACACCATGTTTCACACTGTGCAACAGATCTTATTAGCCGTTGATTGCAGGACAAAAGTCAAGATGAAAGCCTACCCATAGCCAGTCTTCGTGCAGTGAATACTGCGTCACGAGGAACATATATCAGCTACGATTCCAAATGCAGATGATTCTGCTTACGATCGGAACTTGCATCTGCAGATTGTTTGGAAGGTCTGAAAAGGATTTTTAGTACCCCATCAATGTTATAACAAACGTGAGGACCTTGATCAAGATTTGCTAGCGAGTTAGGGTCTGCCGAAAGTTGTTGGTAGTGGGAGCGAAGAATATCCTAGCATCGCAACTTGAGTCTTCAGACGTACGGTTCACAGCCTGATAACTCACCCCTGCAGCCATCTGTAATGGTGGGGTCAGTCGATGCTCGTTCATACACAGTAGAAACACAAACCTGGCGGAATCGCACAAGATCAACGACATAGAGAGCACTAGAGACGACATTAAATGCTGCACAGACTATCACTTGTCTCGTCGTACCTGATATGGTAGGGCCGACCACGCAAGAAATTCTCCCAATATCCCGTTTTCCAGAAGCGGAAGCCTTCCATGTCGTGATTATCATCACCCATCGGCGTATATCCATATGGCGCTCCATGCAAGTCCAGATCAACCAGCTCTTTCAGATCAGTACGAACGATTTGATCTGCGTCCACAAATATGACCTTGTCAAGGTCCATAGGGAAGAGCACGTCTAGAAAGAGAATTTTATATGCCCATATAATTCGCTGTTTCTCTCGTTGTTGACGAAGCCATGTAGGCCATTTGTACGTGACCAACTCGTACTTGAATCCATACTCCCCCGCGAAGTGGGGAATGAATTCCTGCAGTCGCCTCAGCCACAGAGAAAGAATAGAAGAAGACCGGAGCGTACGAGGAAAGAAGGTGAGAGGAAATTCTCAATGAACCAGAATTTGACGCTATGCTTGGTATTGCGAAGAACGCTAAGAATCATGATGGAGGCAAACCGCTGAGGTGCAAGGCATCATCAAGACAAGCTGGTCCAAGAGCATAAAAATGACTTACTTCATACAACAGTCCAGATGCGACAGTAAAGATGTTGATATCACCATGAGGAGAAGCAGGTTTGACGTCCGTCAAGTCTTTCGGATGGAAAAAAGAATGTACACTGACAAATTCGGTTAAATCGATAAGCTGAGGAAGAATTCAAGGCTTACTGTGAAATGACAGTATCAATGATATTCGTTGGCTCTTTCTCCTCTTCTACCACGTTAAGGACTTCTTCCTGCTCCATACCAGGCAGTCGAGTCAGACGAGGATACAAAGTTAGTCCTTCGAAGCTGGTCAGGGTGATCTCATCTCCAACTTCCTCTACCGTAGGACTATCCCACCCATCATTCCCCACGCTCTCGATCGAAAAGATGTCTCGTCCGCGACCTTCACGGATTTCCAGGCGGTAAACCCCCGGCTTCGCTTTGAATTGAAGGTAGCCTAGATTGGCGACAACGAGGGTATCGTCTATAGGTATACACTCCAAGTTGGTTGTCGACAGCTGAAGCTGCACTCCGCGTGGAGGAGCGTTTGTGAATGTGTCCCTGGCATGCCCTCCAACAATCAAATAATCGAGTTCATAGATGACTTCGACACCTCGCTGACGTTCATCTCCAGAGAGGGCGCCAAGCTGAATGTTGTCGAGGTCGTACAGAGCTTCTCTAGGACGCACAAGCCATGAAGATGGCTCATCCAACCCAAGTGTATAGATAGGATCTATGGGAAGACCAGAAAATTGTACGTTGGAGGGAATCTCTTGCCTGACGCAAGAGGTTAGGAGGTATCGGTCTGCCAGATGCATTTGGGAAACTGACCCGCTCTCGTCAAATGTCAAGGATTGTCGAAGGTTATACCGGTAAAAGCGTTTCAAAGGGAGCTGTAATAATATTCATAAAAGTAGAAATTCGAGAAGATGGGTTTCCAATTACCTCGTGATACTGGGCAGGATTGATGTAGAACGCCACGTGAACGGATGGGAAGCTGGACAGCCACTGAAAGAGATGAGCATTGTTGCAGACAATATTGGTGGATTGTTACCTCAAAAAGACTAGTATATCTCTGTGCCTGTTCGCTCAAGGGATCTAGGACAACAGCAAATTGGTACAACGCAGTCGAAGTATTCCCGAAGTCAAAGCCACTGCGGTCCAGTCTCAATGATCATAACGACCCGGGCGCATTAATGGAAGAATACCTGAATTGGCTTTCCATAAGCTTGTAGTTCTGGTTGCGGGTCATCACAGGCTGATTGAGTAGACCTGCTTCAGAAGGATCAGCGATGTGGATGCTCGAAATAATAGGCGATATCATAGATATCGTTTGCGCGAAGGTATGTCTATATCTCCGATGAGTTCTATGGATATGCATTCCTGAAGTCGCACTTACCGATCGTATTGGATTTCTGCAGAAAGAACATCGCCCAACGCCGATATCACCGGCTCCACACGTCTAACATATTCATAATCCTCTAGAACTTTGAAATCTTCCGTTGAAAACTCGCCTGGTCCCATGGGTCCCACAAGCTGCAAAGGATATGTTTAAGATCTAATGGGCTTTCTTTGAATAATGATCTGCGTACTCGGCCATTCACAACCAAAGCCGTCTCTCCGCGACGCAATCGAAGTGACCGGACCATCATACGACAAGATCGGACATAGTCCTCATATTCAGATGCATCGAGGTCACTCAGCGCGATGCCTCCTATAAGGTCCTGGAAAACAGCGTCTGGGCTCAAAACAATCTGCTCGTGGTCGTTGGTCGTGATAACATCCTTGAGACCAAGAGCCTTCAGAAGGCGGGTAGGTTGAACCGTCCACAGCTTCTCCTTAGATACAAGATGCGATAGAAGTGCAGATACTCGTCTTTGCCCTTCGCCTACATCGGACGACTTCGGGTTATGTATGAAGGATAGGCGTGCCCGAGAGGTTCCCTAGATTAGGGTGAGCAACTGGGTGTACCGCGTTGTCACATCAATACTCACCACGTACGACAGAGCCGCTTGAACGATAGACAGACCGTTCTCGGTGTCAAGGTCTGCTACAACATAGGTCGTGAAGGGGACCAAATCAACCTCCGCTTGATCACCGAATGTCAATCACGCAATATTGGAGGTGACTAGCTTCGTCGCTCACGTGGGTAGACAAAGTTTGTTGACTGTGTGTTCAAACCAGCTGACTCTGTGAGTTCGACCATATTATGAATCTCAAGGCTATCGGCATTGCTGGAAGGGAAGATATGGCGATTCCGGCTTTTATGTGAACCAGGCAAATCATAGAAGTATGCTGATACGTCCACTACTTGGTCAAGTGCGCCTTCATAGAGCTGAATACTCGGAGCTGTAGGTTAATGTCAATCATATTCGAGAGAGGAGACGTACACGTTCTTGCAGATATTGCAAGTATTTTGGAAATTGCATTTGGAGCGATTGTACGAATGTCTTTGCCCGGTGAATGGTTGAAACACTGTGGACATGCAGGAAAAAGTTGAATACTTACATCGTCCAAGTCATAATGCTTCCCATTGAAGAAGGCGTGCCCTTGTGCAGAGGAAGCCATGGTTGCTCCCAAGCGCTTTGCATATGCACGAGCCTTATCGACTTTTGCTTGTAATTCCTGCGGTGTATCATTCACCACGGTGTCAAAGTCTAAAGCAACTCCGCCTTCTTTCGGTTCTTCCACTTTGATCAAGTCGGCCAATTCGAAACGAACTCGGTCCCAGTCGACCGTTTCCGATGTCATTTGAGGGATTGCAGGGAGTTGGAGTACCTGTGAAGTAGGCATTCGAAAAGATGCTCAGGGCATTGAATTGAAACGATCACCTTTTTGATGAAAATCATAGTCCTCGCACGACCATAGTTGTCGACCAAATAATTGAAGATCTTCGCCATCCGTGCGCCACCTTCCGATTCGATCGAGGGTACGATGCCGAACCTGACGGGAAAAGCCCGATTGATGATGTTGGCGACCGTGCCTGCAATATAATACAAGCTACTAGATTGTGAAAGGTCCATGACTAGAACGACGTTGAAAAGATTCAACCGGGTAACGGGGATTTGACCGGGGTATGTGGGGCGCATGAGCTAGAGCGAAATGATCTGAGCAGGTCAAATGTTTAATTCTGCATTGACACTCACTGCATGGATGCCAGTCGGCCATCGGGCGTATCTTTGATAGTCGAGTTAAGCGACAATTTCTGTAATCATGCCGATCTAGTTAGGACTCACCGACTGTCCTTTTCGATATCATTCCACCATACAATAAGACCGCCATCTTCAAGCCGGTCACTCGCGTCAAAGACGCCGTCCAAAAGACTTCCAGAGCTCCCATGAGCAGCTTGGATGGCAGGGTGTGTGATAAGGTCCAGGGCCTGGCTAGGTTCGATGCCAAGGGACGACAAAGATGACATGATGTCTCGCTCCTTGCGAATGAGCTTGAGAAGACTTCACAGGGTGTAAATTCGAGATACGAAATATAAGGAAAGAGAAGGCATTTACCCGAAAGGATTCATACTATTTTCTGACACAGTGGCACCGTTGAACCATACTGCGCTAACACCCGGTTGAGCCTTCATCGAATTTCTAGATACCTCATCTCTCAAATCCGAGTTTACAACAACCCGTCGCGCGAGCGACGAAGCGTATCTCGGAAAGTCCTGCGCGAGTTGCTTGAGAGTCTCAAAGGGCGTCGAGGACTCGTGAATGAGCTGAGTAGCCTGTATGCCAATCTCTTATATATAAGGATCAGCTGAGTGTACATGGGTGCGCAAGTTAGACTGATCGCCTACCCATCAACTCCTCCTCTGTCAAAGGCTCGCTCGCGTCCAGCGTGGTGTTGAGCGGATGGTGGCTAAGGAGCGACACGATAGGGTCAATATTCACAGCAGGAGATTCCACCTTCTCGATAGTCTCATCATCATGTGTATCTTTATGAAAAACGATAAGTCGGACAACCCTTTGGAAGATTCATATTCCCTAACCTCTACTATTTGAATGCCGATCATCTAGTGCGAGGTAGTCCATTTTCTTAAGATCGAGAGTGACACCGTAGCCGGAGATATAGGTCTTCTCTTTAGTTCCAGCTGCCGGAGGGATGGGTCTAAAGATATATTCAAGCCTTGGTGCTGGGCCGCTCGACAAGCGCAGAAGACATAAGTGAAGTTCGCGGAAATTTGACGAGTCAATGGAAGCATAGAAGATGGCCGTTCTAGATGGACGATCTAAAATCTCAGCGGGCAGCGGATAGATGTGATCAAATGGAAGGGTCCTGGGTCTCACGAACGAGTCTCTGTGTAACACTTCAGAATACGTGCATCATGCCCCGATACAGAGGACCACGTACGAGGATTGTGAAGTCGCGTTGATCGGGTCTATTGTCTCGGGTCCAGCAAGATGAACAAGCCTTTCCATATCACAGACTACTTCTCCATACCAGTCTACCCATGACTCGCATTCGTCTCGATTTCTAGATTCCGCGAACGAAGCCGCCGTGTCAAGATAGTGCTGGTAGAAAGCCTCTATTTTAGGGGTAGCGGCGTGCAGGGCAAACTGCATCTCGACCGAGGTAAGAGCTCCGTGTTTGGACAAGAAATTTAGAGAAAGCGCAGCTTGCAGCGCGAGTTGATGCAAAGCTTCTGGTCGCAAAGGCTCCCGAGAGGACAGTGTTTCGGGGTTAGTGAGCACATCTAGAAGAGGGAAAAAGGCATCCGGCTCTTCAAGGGCTATCGTTTCACTTACAGAACAGCGTCAATCGTTGCTATTACGCTCTGTCGTAGATATCGCTACGTACATAGCTTCCAACAAGAATGGTGGTGATGGCCATGAAGATCGAAGAGAGACTGTCACAGGAGGGGACGCCGCCTTGGTCCCTACTATAGAGAGGGCCGCCGCGAATGTTGTCGACAAGGCAAAACTTGCCCTCATCCCGGATATATTCACCTAGCCTGTTGACATACTGATCAATGCGAGGGCTCCTGATAGAACGTAAGCACTGACCTCGACTATCTTCCGTTCTGATACCAAGGTGCTACGCAATATATTTGGAGGTTGCGTGAGTAAGGCGGTATAGGGCGGTACACACTGCGTAGCCTAAGACTGCGACGCTTGAATGAACGGACTCGGATAGTGTCCTGCCACGTCACAGCGCTGCGTCACGCGCCGAACGCGTCGCGTCCTGCGGACGCATGACTTGCCGGAGACTGTCATTCGCTTCTTTGCTCCCTCCCTTACGCGGACTGCTGCTGAATGCACCTTGCGAAGACTTTAAATAGGCCTTGCTCGATTACAAAGGGAAACCGACATTTCCCCATGCTAGGTCGGCTATATATGACAAGATATGGCTGCTCTACTCTTCTCTCAACTCCGTCTCACCCCCTGAGACGCCTCTCGCAAAGGTCACCGTGCAAACATGGAGTCTGAAGTGCGAACATGGCTTGTCACGGGGTGAGTTTGACGTATCAAAGCTGAAGCCGAGCATCTCTTACGTTCACCATACATAGGTCTAATCGTGGAATAGGACTGGAATATGTTCGGCAGCTGATTTCTTCAGCTTCAAATATTGTAATTGCAACCTGTCGGAACCCTGTAACCGCATCAGAGCTGCAGGCATTGAAAGACATAGCCATTGGAAATCTCTACATCCACGAGCTGGATGTCACCAATCCGGAATCCATTGATACTTCCTTGGCCTTGGTGAAGGACATCCTCGATATTCATGGCCTTGATTATTTGATCAACAATGCTGCAGTGGTGCGTCAATATTTATATCTGAGATTAAGCATCAGCTCGACTCACATAGCCTATCTTCTTGACATCATTCAGACGGAAGGGAACGACCTCGCTTTCAGCATGACAATGTCGGGCCTCATGAATTCTCTTCAGGCGAATGTCGCTGGACCAGCCTTGATCTCCCAAGTGTACTTACCCTACCTGGAGAAGAGCAAGCGAAAGGTCATCGTGAACATGACCAGCGGCTTGAGCAGTATTGGCCTCGATTGTGGGAAGAAGAACGCATCGTATAGCATTGCGAAGACAGCGCTCAACATGCTTGTGAGCGTTTTTGTTCATAGAGCTGCATGACTCGATGCTGACTTGGTAGTGCAGACTTATAAGCAAGCAACTGAGAGGCACGACTTGATCTCTTTCGTCATTGATCCTGGCTGGGTAAAGACTGGTACGCTGCGAAATAATTGCTCTAGGTCACCGAGTTCATATCTACGATGTTGACTTAAAAGAAATGGGTGGCGAGGGTGCCGTACTCGAGCCTCACGAAAGCGTCTCGGCACTTCTGAAATTTGCGGTTGATGCCACGAAGGAGCATTCTGGTAAGTTGTTCAAATACACAGGTGAACCTTTGCCATGGTGAGAGTATCGTGGAGTCTTGAGTGGTGCTGTGAGGTGTCTCAGAGAGTGCATAGCTGTAGTGCAGAGTGTACGCTTTCCAATAGTAGTGCAGTGCTAGATTGAACATGGTCACTCAAAAGGTACGAAGACACGCCATCACGTGGCGAGAGCCGACACGATCACGAGAAGATTACGTATGAAACACGCTTGAAGTGCATGTTCGACTTTCGGCGGCCACCTCAACTTTCCGTTTCATTCTAAGCGTTGAGCAACAGGCGATTCGCGGTTAAGTCTTTTTCTTTTCTCATTCTCTTAGGGTGGGTGAATGATCTGCTCGTCTCTCGTGCTCTTTTTGATATCCATCGGCTTGCAGTAGCATTTCTCGCATCTCCAGGACATCATCGGTGTTAGGCCACGGTGACGATGCCCCCCCACGCGCTATCTCGTATGCCATCTATACCCGCTCCAGCACCCTCCGCAGCCTCGCGCAGAAACCCATTCTCGGATGCAATCAATAATTTGCAACAGGCGGGCTCCGATCCTCAATCCAGAAAGGTTCAACAGGAACCAGCGAAGGCACCTCAACCTGCGTCACCACCTCTTCCTCGACAAAACGCAAAAGTCCAACCGCCCTCTCCCCCACCTGTCATTACAGATAACCTTAGAGCTATACAGTTCCGCAGAACGGGGTTTCTGGGAGAAGTGAGCCTTTCCCACGTAGTACTGCCCCAATAGGATTGTTTACTTTCATGCAGGGTGGCTTTGCACGCGTTTATGAAGTTCAAGACACCCGGGGCGCACGATATGCTTGTAAAGTTGTGACAAAGAGTAGCTTAAAGACGAAGAAGGCGAAGACCAAAGTGTGTCATCACGTTTGTTGCCAATCTTTCTTGCAGCTGACACATTATGTAGCTGTACGCAGAGATCAAAATTCACCGCGCCCTGGAGCACCCAAACATCGTCACGTTTGGTGACTGCTTCGAGGATGACGAAAACGTTTACATGACCCTCGAGCTTTGTCAGAGTGGTTCCCTCATGGACATGCTTCGCCGTCGTCGCCGCTTCACAGAGCCTGAATCGCGCTTTTTTATGGTGCAGCTCATCGGTGCATGCCATTACATGCATACCCACCAAGTCATTCATCGTGATCTCAAATTGGGTAACTTATTTCTCGATGGTAACATGAATGTCAAGGTCGGGGATTTTGGTCTCGCTGCACTCATCGAGAACCCAGGGGAGAGGAAGAAGACAATCTGCGGTACCCCCAACTATATTGCCCCTGAAGTCCTCTTCGATACTGCGAACGGACATAGCTTCGAAGTGGATACCTGGTCTATTGGTGTTATCCTCTATACCCTGGTGGTCGGGCGACCTCCGTTCCAGACGAAGGATGTAAAGACCATCTACAAGTGGGCCATTAACCCTCTTTGCTCTCCTACCTGCTAACATTTGATGAAGACGTATCCGCGACAACCAGTACGAATTCCCAACCGAGAGCCAAGTTTCGATAGAAGCTCGCGAGCTTGTGCAAGGCATACTCACGCCCGATCCCCAACAGCGCCCCTCTCTCCATGACATTATAGACCACGAGTTCTTCACTCGTGGTATCGTCCCTGCGTACATTCCAACGACCGCGCGCGATACTATACCAGAATTCCGTCATATTTCCCGCGTTGTCTCTCAGTCCAACCTCGCGCGGTTACGGAAGTACGCCTTGCTCGACGAAGAGCAACCCTCATCCATCGCTGTGCCTAATGCGCAGTCTTCTTCTGGTACTCAGGGGAGAAATAGGACTGGAGTCAGCATGACGTCGAGCATCGCCCAGCAGGAGAAGGAATTCCTAAAGGCCGTACAGCCTGGCAGCCCCATCTCGGCTCTGTTGAGCTCTGCGCGTCAGCCTCTTTTAGTTGCCCCAAGCAATGCGCCTCGCGAGTCCCTGTTGCGTAAGCTGCAGACAGCGCAGAAGGAGGGTAGATCTCCTCCGCGTGGAGGACGACTGGGCCCGTTGCAAAATATTGAAGAAGAGACGCTGGATCGGGAGGAAGTGGTGAGGAGAAAGGAGCTCGCGAGCCAGAAGGCTCGTATTGTCGCGCAAATGGTCCCTAATGGGAATGGGAATAGCGAAGAGGAGAACATATCTCCAGTAGAACCGAGGGAATCGAGGGGCAAGAGCAAGGATCCAGGCGCAGCGAGAGAAGATCCATTCTCAGGTACGATGATTCGTTCTATATAGACGCCCGACGCTGATGGTTCCCAGAAGGAGATGGCAATGACCCTTTAAGATCGAATACCTACGAGACGGCTTGCGCAACCCTAACTGCTGCTTTCAGAGCTAGGGCAGTAGGCAAGCTTTTCCGTGACCCAGCAGAGGACGATGACCTGCCTCTGGAGAAGATTTTCATCGTTTCATGGGTTGATTATTGCAGCAAATACGGGATGGGCTATGCGCTCACCGATGGAACTGTCGGCGTACATTTCAACGACAGCACGACGATCGCCTTATCTCCAGACAAGCAGTGCGTCCCATATGATCTTGTTTTCACTCATGCATGTCGTTGACCATCCCAACTAGTCACTTTGATTACATAACATCTCGGCGACAGGGTACGGTCTATGTCCGCAAGAGTCACACGGTGTCGGACTATCCTGAAGACATTAAGAGCAAGGTGTACCTACTGAAGCACTTCGAGCGATATATGATGGATCGCTTGTACGGTGACCATACGTATACGTTTGAGGATATTGAGAAAACGAAGGGAATGTATTTCGTGCAGAAATACCTCCGGATGAAACAAGTCATCGTATTCAAATTGAGCCATGACGCCTTACAGGCAAGAATCTATTTTCGTCGATCATATTTTTTCACTAATACCAATATTGCGTGCCCAGTTCAACTTTTATGACCATTCCAAGGTCGTTCTCTCCGCACAGGGCCTCGTCGTTACTCACATCGACAAGGATCACGCGATGTTCTGCGGCAAGCTAAGCCAAATTATGGCTCAGTCTCTTTTGCCTACCATGACAGAGCCCGAGCAAGCAAAGCTTAATCAACGCTTGGTCGACAAACTCAAATACTGCAAGGAGGTGCTGGTGTCTATAAAGAACGCGAGCGCAGCACAGGCAGGGGGAGGCGATCCCCAGGCTGCTACTAGCAAGGCTGCACAGGTAGAAGATAGGTTCGGATCGATCAAGATGAGATCGAAGGCCTCCCTGCGGTAGGGCGGTGGTAAGCATGCGCTGCCGACATCAGGTCGTAGCCGCGCCCTTGGACACCATGGTTTTGAAATCCAATCCAAATTCCACAATTCAGCATCTACGATACCCTGTCATATCTACACACTAGCCGACGCCCTTTCTATGCCTGCATGGTCCCGCTCCTTTCTGTCACAGTTCCTCGTGTGCACACGCTACATCCTGAGGCAGTTACGAGTTTGCTTCTTGGACCGCCTGCCATATCTTCTCAGATTTCTCTCCATATCCCAGCGACAATCATACCACCGATATTCTATTAGTGTAACATGGATGTCGTTGAAGCATGTATCTTTTGGTCCTCTCGCAATGCCGCATGAGATTTAAGCAATGCCTCAAGCAAGTCCTGCTGGAGCGTAGCCTTTAGACTTTCTATCGCTGGCGAATAGCTTGCTTGTAATAGTGGCGCTGACAGTGCTGGGTTAGTACATACGGTGACAGTGTCAACAAAATAAAATATAAAAAGTACACAATACATATCAGCCCGATATCATAGATCACCTCAACAAAAATTGCTCAGATTCTCTAGTTCAACCATCGGAACCGAGTAATCCATCAACTTCTTCTACCTCGTCTTCCTCTGAGTCCACCACGGAATCTTGCGGTAAATCATCGTCCAACAAATCATCGATATCTTCATCCAATTGCTGCTCCTCGACTGACTTTTTGTGACCGTTAGGTTTCCCTCGACTGTTCACAATTTGCCTGGTCAGCACGGCGAATACAAGGCTACCAGGTGAATTCACCTTTCGACGGTGTTCCGATGTCTCTGCGGCGGGACAGGCGTTGCCTGCTCAACGTCTTCGTCTTCATCTTCGTCCTCTTCAGAGTCCGGTAACTTCAAAGGTGTCATGTCTACCTTCTTCGTTCTACGAAAAGGGTCAGCTCCAGATAGTCCGAATTGGAGAGGGAAAAAGACATACGCTGCCCGCTTAGGCATACTTCGAGTAGGCGCTGCAGAAGTAGGTGGAGATACTGCCCGAACTTCTTCCTCGTCGGAACCCTCGAAGCGGCGTCTCCTGCAAGATGAATTCAGTAACAGTCATCAATATTCGCAGTCGAACAGCGCACTTTGCCCTGCCCTGTCCTCGCTTGCGAGTAGGCGTGGCTGATCGTTCTTCTTGACTAGTCTCTGTGGCATCTGATATAATACTGTCTGATCGCCTGGAACGTATACGCGGCCGTCAGCTACGAGAACAACAACAAAAAGGTCGCTAACATACCGCTTTCTTGTCCTCTTCTTTGGTGGCATCTCATCTTCCTCGTCGTCTTCAGGAAATATATCATCCAAGAACTCAAAGAGCTCCTTCAGCGACTCAAGTTGACGATACTCTTCCTCATTGAAGTCTTCCAGCTGCTTTTCGTATTTTTTCGAGATGGACGCATCGAAACGGTTTAACGCGTTGTTGGAAGCCGTGTCTCGCAAGGGACGCCTCTGCCACCGAAAGTCAGTCAAGCGATATTTCCAGGATTCTCTAGGCGACAAACGCCTTACCAAGCGTAGGTTGTGTATGAGCAACTTTAGCGTGCAGAGTTTATCATCGTCAATCTCCGGGGGAATATACATCTTGCCAAGTAATTGACACAATACTTTCTTTTCCTCCTCTAGAAACGCAATAAGTTCCAAAAAAGAGGTTCGCAAATTTTTGAGACACTTACTTTCCGTCTGTTTATTGAACAAAGCCTTCACAATATCCGAAGCCATGTCAATATGTATCGATGGATCTGGCGTTTGACCTTGAATTTCTCTACATCCGTGCATTCAAAAAGGGTCATAATTCTGAAAAAGCGGTGACAAGCGTCGAAAAGTACTGACACTGCTTTCTGCGGATCTGTCCAATCGATAAACATGCTACCGACTTGAGCAGGCGACACCATTTCTTGATCATCGTCTAGCGCCTTGTACGCCGTTGCGAGCTGTTCAAATATCGAAGGGAAGACCTGCTGCATCCGGCGCTGGTTCGCTGGAGAGGAGTAGCAATAAACAGGGAAGAAATATGACAAGCATTGCCTCAGTTCTTGGTTATCGGCTGTATCAGGAGAGAGATAGACAAGAATGAGACTTGAAAGGACCTTAAGATCGAAAGGTGAGCAACCCACTGAACAAAGAAAATGCAAGCTACCACAAACCCGGTTGTCGGTGACCATCCGTGAAAGCATTAGCTTTGCGAATCCCATGCAAATGATGGCCTGGACCTTTTCCGATTCATCGTTATTCAGTACATGCAGAAGGAATTCGATGACTCGATCTCCCTGTCGAACATGAGTATGCGGCTTGGATGGCGCAAGGTATTACAAGGAAGCTTACACCGACGTGTCCATTCGCCAGGAAGTCACCCTCGTGAACCATGAGGATATCGAACACCACCTGAAGCACTCGAATTTTGAGGACTTCCGGTGCTGCCTGTACTTGACTGAGGAAAAGTTGGAAAGAGTTCAAGGCCATCCGCTAGAGCATCCATAGATTCAGATTCTAGCAATATTTCTACGCCAGATAGAGAGACGCACCCGAGCAATAAGACAGCACAAGCCCAAGCTGACTAGACCTTTCTCTCTCAAGGCCAGTTCCTTCCGTTTGACCGCTGGAACAATTAGCTCACCCAAAATGCCCTCCAACGTCGAGTTTTCCTCAAAAGTCTACGGCCGGAGTCAACGATGTCATCAGTTTATGATCATCAGCAAGACTTTCTTACCCCGTTGACTCGCTCTAGCATCCCGATGCAGAGATCGAGACACCGTACATCAAGAGCGTCTGCCCTTGTCTTTTCCTCCGGGGTCATCTCCGACACCGGTTTCGGTGCTGCAGGCGCACGGGCAACCCGCACGGGTACGGGGGTTTCAGCGAACGAGGTCGATGCATCATCAGCGCCGGAAGGTTCTTGATCCTTCTGAAATAATACGAGCATCAGATGTGCTCATGCCGCTGAGGTGTTGAGGGATGCTGACTAGAACATCCTCGTCTGGGTCACTGGGATCACGAAGTTCGTGTACCACTTCGACGACAACGCGTATCAGGTCGCGTTCATTCGGGGAGAGCTTGCGCAGAATGTCCAAGCACCGAGTGACGAGGTTTTCGGGGAGTGCCTCCTGCGAAATCATATCACCTGAAACAACAGTTGAAGTGGAGGTCAAGATAGTAGGTTCGTCCCGAGGAACTTGACTTACGAACGAGCTGAAACATCTTCCTCCGCCCGATCTCATCTGCATAATCCAGATTTACTGCCAGCTTGAGCAGTTCGCAGATGATGAACTCGCGATCCATGCGTGCATCATCATCACCATCATCGCCCTCACCGCCGCGGAGGAACCTTTCCTCTTCATCAGATTGTATTTGCTCGAGAAGATCATTGTAGCCGTGCTGAATGCGGAATGCGAGTTCTGTAACGACGGGGAGGACAGACTCAAGGCGGACGTCATCCTTAGTGGAGATGCAATGGTCGACAAAGACCCGCGCAAGAAAGGCTTTTTCGGGAGTCAACATGTCCCAGAACGTCTCTTGAAGAATCAATATTATTAGCCAAGACACCGAAATTAAACACCAGTGGCATTTACCTTCAAACTCGAGTCCATCGAAAACATCTACACGGGTCACGAGTACGCTGAGCAGCGCTTCCTCCGCAACAGTGTTCTCTGTCAAGTCGAACGTCTGTAAAAAGGCGATAACATCTTCCGTGATGGATCCTTTGCCACTCCCGACAGCATCGACCCATGTTCCGACAAGCTTGCCTGCGGCTGCGCGCACGGCAGTCTCCCGATCTCCGAGGCCGTTGCGCACGATCAACTCTCGCTGCGCTATTGTGAGCGCGCGGGGATGTGTCACGCCTACAGTGTCTTCCGTGCTAACTACGAAACAGTTGGGTTCCAGGATGGCGGAGTATACGAGCTTGCGGATGGTTGTGTCGATGTCTCGCGTTCGGGTGAGAAGAGAGGGAATGGTGGCAGGTGAAAGGGGTATATTTAGGAGGGCTGCACGTCGAACATCACTAGGATCTTCTCTCAGAGATTATATCAGGGAAAGAAAGTAGGGGAGGCATACGCAGAAGGATCATGAGCAAGCATGTCCTCGAGGACGTCGATTGCTGTTGCCTCATCATCTTCAAGTTCGTCCGGGTCCTCAGAGCCGCAAAGTTTGGAAAGAGCAATAACAGCTTGTACGCGTATTGTTGGCTCCTTGTCGCGTACCCGTTCCATGAGGGACATGCGAAGGGACGTGTACATGTCTTCTCTTGAAAATCGTCAGTACGCACTTCGCATTTGATCATATACAATGTTACGTACTCCAGTTCTCCCAGGTGCGATATCATGTCTGCGACAAAATGGGAGACACGATAGCGGACATGTTTGTCTTTGGCTAAGAAGCCCTTGAGGAGATGTGTGAGAAGCCGAGCAGTGAATCGTGATACAACGCTCTCATCATCCTCTTCATCTCCGTCTTCTCGCTTGGCTTCAACGGCTAATGGGAATCAAAGAGCAACAGACGAGACAATAGACGACCCACTTTTTGCGTGAATGAATTTAATATAGCCTCCTACAAACTTGACGATCCTGTCTGCGACAGTAATGCCCTTCTTGATGATAAGGACGTGGTTGATCATCTCAATAAACCGGTCTCCAAACACACGCTCCCCAGTGAGTCTGACACCTGATTCGATGGACTCCTTGAATGTAGCTGCTTCGACATGGAGCTTGTATAATACAACAAAATTCTTCTGGTGGTTGGCGGTCGACGACTGAGCCTGATCAAAGACCTTGGCAATGGCTGGTGGTAGAGTGTCAATCACGGACGCAGTTCGAGCGGGCATCGTAAGAAACAAGATATGGAGGGGATAGATAGGCGAGGGCTAGATGGCAGAGCAGCGGAGAAAGGGAGCTCTCTGCTGAGCGCGTCGCGTCGCGAACCGATGCAGCACGTGACCTTGTCGGATTTACTCCGCCTCTCGCCATCGTTGTTCTTGGAAATCTCACAAATCTCTCCTCCAGTGTCCCTTTAGAAATGCAAGTTTCTCCTCGCCAGCGCTTCGCATGCCCATGATGTGGCGAAGTATGAACTCGCACCGGAAAGGCGCCTTGTCATATTTCCCTAAAAGGTAATCAAGGTCATGAGGGTTGGAGCAGAGCAGCCCCATCCTCATTGCACCAGCATGCCTTGTTCTTAACTCTCGTCATGCAGCCCCCAGCTCGAGTCCATTCAGATCAACGTATCGCTGAAGCAGTTCGAGTTGCACCATATCTCACCCATGTCGTTCGCCACCATGGACGTCTTACGCTCATCCCGCCAGACAATGCAGGCCGCGTTCGCAAAGCGAGGCACGAGAAATCCAGCGGTCGCCTCAGAGCCGAGAGGCCTGCACGATCAACAGAAGAACCACATTTCAATACGGGGGTCAGTCGATTGCCCAGGCTTGGCCCCGTTGCCTCGCCCACAGGCCGTGCACGGCAGCAAGGCAATCAGGATAGGAGACGGAATGAGGCGAGCGGAGGTAAGTTCTTGTTCGACTGCTGAGGATCGGCTGTCTTTGAGTACGATGTCTCCTAATATTGAAATTTCTTTCTTTCTGTAGAATACCCAGACTTTCCGCCTCCTTCATTCGATGAGGCCATGTCCGCCACTCCGGTAATTCAACCACCACCTGGTCCTCATTCATCGGGCGCCGCATCCCAGCCCTCCTCTCCGGCATTGATGTCTTCATCATCAGCATCAACTGTCTCTGGGCCTAACGAGTCTTCGTCTCCTACGCTCGTTTCTCCAACCGATTCTCAGTCTAGCGACTCATCTTGGACTAGGCTACAGCCGGAGCCTGTGATGATCCCCCCGGCGCTTCCCTCAAAGAGCCAACTCAACCTATCTATTCCTCAGCCTCCATCACCCTCGGATAACCCTCGGTACAGCACGCAGGCTAATGACTCCAGCTCAGACTTGGACTCTGCTTTAGATAGTAACACGAGCAGCTCAAACTTCGTTACAAAGCATGAAGAAATGCATCTTCCAAACGATGAATTGGCAGATGATACGACACGGGGGATAGAATGGGAGCAAGACCGATTGCAAGGCTTGCCACTGGAAGTGCGCCTCCAACGGGAACATGAGAGAGAACTGGAAAGACTGGGCTTGACCTCCGCCGTGTCTATGTTGGCAATGGGGCCTTCGCGCTCTCAACTTACCCTTGTGCCTGCAAACCGAGAACGTCCATATCAGCCGGAGACTCCGAGAGATCTCCTTATATTGGATCCACCCTCAGCTTCACAAACTCCGAAATCCTTGAAGTCGCCTCGTTCTCGTCCGTTCTTAGGATTTGGACGCCGAGATCGTGAATCACACGAAGCATCTGAGGGGCAGGCCTCAGCACCCTCGATTCGGCCTACGCGCTCTCAGCTGACTCTCTCGCCCGCAAAGCAGGAGGATGCTCCTCGACATGAGGCCGTAGACGAGTCCTCTGGATCTAGTCCCTCTGCAGAAAGTCAGGAAGACGAGTTGCGTGGCCGTAGCCCGACTCCACAATCTCCTACACGCGCCAACAAGAGGCTATTCCACATATTCTCTTCTGGGAAGCCCTTCCGAGATCAACGACCAACTTCTCCATCATCTCCCACATTTTCGTCCTCTCAGCTTTCATTACCTCTCCAAGTCATCCCTCAAGCGATTGCGGTTGATGTTGGTCACAAGCCAAAAACACGCAGCGAGGGGTTCATCACGAAAAAGCTCTTCGGATACAAAGGAAAGGAGAAAGAGAAGGCCAGAGAATCCCTTGAATCGTGGGATATGTTTGACGATTCCTCTGTGGAGGAAACGTTGCGTACGAAGAAGACCACTATGACGTCCCCTGCTCGCCTCCAGGAACAGAACACCGTCCCATTAACCGAACCGTCTCCTTCGCTTTCCAGCATACGTTCACCACCCCTCGCTGCGCATGCCGAATCCGTACATCCAAAGCGTCACTCGATGCTCGATCGACCGATTCCAGCACCTCCTATCGCACCGCCCACTGACGTCGTTCGGCCGCCACCTCCACCGCCACCGCCACTCCGTTCTTCGGCATCCCAAGCCCCGCGCAGAACGTCGGGCAATACCCACGAGACTCCTCGGAGCGTGCCCGGGTTGTTAGTCCCAGAAGCATCCCCGCAAGTCTGGGCACGAGCACCTCGCACGACCGCTCCTGCCACTGACGAAGCGCGCCAAGTCAACCAAATCCAGTCTCCTGTCACGTATCCGCAACCTTTATCCCACTCTCACTCTGTATCTCCGCTTAGGCCGTCGACGTCGAGAACCTTGTCGCAGGCTGGACATCTTGAATCTACCCATCTATTCTTCCCGTTCGCTCCGTCTCCACCTCCATCAATCAGTCCTGCAAGTTCTCCGATATCCACCAAGTCCGGCGTGACGTACATTGATTATGGGCCCGGGACACCTTCGACACCAGTAAGCCTGCACTCGTTTGGAGAACGCCCTCGCCGTCCTGTAGCCGCTAGATCACCACTGTATGTCGCCGAGGCATACGACTCATTGACCGAGGATGAGCAAGAAAGCCCTGATGGCGTCGTGAATACTGAACAAGCTCGTCGAGAAAGGTCGAAATCGACCAGCCCCGCAATGTACGCCCCCACCCACAGTTTACACGGTCCTCGCACTGGTGACAGACGACACACTGCACCACACCCATTTGCACTCCCAAGTTCGAGTCCCCTTGCAAACCGCACAATTACTCCTGTCTCTGCTGTTGTTGAGCCGGAACCGGACAATAGAGTCGTTTCCGTCATCGGCGATATCATCGACCTTTACGATCACACACCTGCACCCACAAATCCCAATATCACTTTTGCAGACCTTGAGGGTTTGGAACATAGTGATCAGCCACAGCAAGACGGGGGCGACAGCCCAGGAAGACATTACCCCGGCAGGCCACTGCCGCTTCCGCCTGGTGTGAACGCAACCGTACAGCGGCCCGTCTCTGCAGATCTTTTTCTAGCAGGCTTGGCCCGACGTGCGCGCTCTCAAGAAGGAGACCTTAGCCATCAGGCCAACCGCTCTCCCATACAAGTGGCATACACATCGAGTCTTCCCCCATCCCCACCATTTCAGGCCCATGAAGGACCTCGCACGCAATTTGATACCTCACCCATATTGAGTGGCAGCTCGAACTCGTTCGCTGAAACTGAATCAACTGAGGGCGCGTCGCCCACCGCATCGCGCACGCAGGATGGCGAGCATCGTTCACCTGAGTATACGGACCTCGATGTTCTTCTCTCACGCATAGACGATGGGGACAGCCGCACCGGCGATAACTATGAGGTATCCGGAATCTCTCTAGCTCCATCAACGAAATCGTTTTCTCAACACCCCTCCGCAGAATTTGCTGCTCGTGCAGGAGATCATGGGCCACGGGGGACCTGCCCAAGCTGCCCGCACTCCTCCTGCCCCGCCTATCGGGCGGATCGAGCAGCAGCGCCGGCGGGTCACAAAAGACGGGCGCGTGAAGCTTAAGTTGGCGCTGCTGGGTGTTACGGTTGATCGATGCGGCATCTGTCTTTCACAATTCAAGGACGGTCAGCTGGCAGGTTTAGGCGCAGGGTGTCAACATGCGTAAGTATCCCTCTCCTTTATACCGCTTATTAAAGTGGCATTGACCTCAATGTTTGGTGTCGGTGTTGTTTATAGGTTCCACGAGAAGTGTTTGAGCAGCTGGCTTGCTCGCAATCACACATGTCCGCTGTGTAGAGCTCCATTTGCATAAGCTGTCCGCGTTGATCGCTCTGTTACTCTCACCCCACACATCCTCATTAAGAGATCATGATACATGTTCTTCATAGGGACTCAGTGGCTGTTGTGCATCAAGTTTTAAGTTCGAGCTTTACGCTGCAATCTTGTCAGTTACATGTAGCACCCCCCCTGCTCTTTGGGCAACTGTCGACTGTATCGTTTACAAAGTGTATAGCCATACATCAGAGTCCAATTTCGTTCAGTCCGAAAGTCCCATCGCTCATATACATCTGATACAGCGACTGTGGGTTCTATGGGGTCTCCTGTACATCATCGTCTATCCACGAGACCTTGTCAGTGTTCTGCATCACTATGGCAGAGTCTTCAATCCCCGGGAGGCGAGGTAGTGCCAAGGTTAACGACGCCACGTCGTGCATTCGGAAGATCCTACAGATTTGGGCGAAAACTTGGGCTCTGTGCTTATATATGAACGGCTTCTCCGTGAAGTTCAGCCTTAGTGTTGCCCGGTAAGACAGGGAATCGGGATCGTCGGACTCTGGCAAAGCCTCGGCCAGGAGAGAGTACCAGGTGTCTATCATGAGCTCCATAGTGTCACTGCCCACCATGTACTGGGTAAAGGCTGACAGGATCGCCGAAGTGTCTTGCAGAGTGGCAACCTCTTCGCACTCCAGCATGACAGAGAACATGAGTGCGGTGGGCGTCGACACCTTAAGGGCCATCATAAACTCGGCGCATTCGAGTGCCCCGCCAGCCAGTGCGAGCTCGGAGAGAGACGGGAGTTCGATTGAGGGAAGGGAAGGCCTCGACCGCAGAGCACCCGAGGCAAGCGGTATGAGAATTTGAAAGAGACTCAGCTTCTGGAGTTGAGGCGTCCCCTTGAGAAGCTCGGCCAGCCGCTCAAGGCTTGGTTTTACACTAGGAGCATGGATCCGCAAGTCGGTAAGGGCCCCGAGTGCCGATAAATCACAGGGGAAAGTAAGCCCCTTTAGACACACACTCTGTAGGCGAGGAGTGCATCCCTTGAAGATATCAGCGGGAAGACCAGGCCATGGCGCGTCCTTCGGGCCAGGAAGCTGCCTGTCTGCTTTCAAGTACAATGTCTCTAAGACAGGTGCTGGATACCGCTGGAAAGTGTCGTAGATAAATTTGAAGAAGGCTTCCGTGCTCGTTGAAAGGGATAATTGTATACAAAGGTGCCGGATGCGAGGGAGCTCCGGTAATATGAGGGAGAATACTTGATATAGGTCCAGCCCTAGGTCCCAGAATAGGTCGACGTGTAGCGAGGCCCGCTTCGACCGAAGGAGATATACCTTTGTCCATTCAAGGTTCTTGAAGAATGGAATTGTCGTCCACAAGCTCGCGTTCTGCAATGCGATGTTTCTCCAGTGCCTGTAGACGTGGGTGACCTGGATCCACCCGAGATGTGAACTCTGTGGCCAGTTGTCCCACCATGCCACTGGATCCTCCTCGACTAGAATATTGAAGATAAGAGAGATAATGTCTGAGGGGAGTCGTGATATAGGCGCGAGGGCGTTCAGATGCGACTTGAGGGTAGAAACATGGTGAGCGGCTAGACGAATCTGGGCGTTGAGCTCGCGTCGGGCCACCTCAATATCGGTCTCGCTGCTGGAGCAGACAGAAACATGGGCGGTCTTCAATGATTTACGGTCGTCTGGCGGCGCACATGCCTCTGGTAATTCTGACTGGCTATCAAGAAGATGAATATACACTGGGCCACTGAGAGGAACCTTCGTTTGCTTACCTCGATGTGCCACTGAATATTCGTGCCATCTCCGTCGATAATATCTGAGAGCCGGGTTGAAGGAAATCAGGAGGTAGCTGCGTCGGTGAAGGCTGTTGGAGGTGAAGGTAAGAGAGTGGGCGCAAAAGTTGAGCTTTTGAAGCTCGGACCCGCGACGCCACCCTTGCCATATCAGAACAACAAGGGCAGTTTCAGAAGATTAAACAACAAGGGCAGTTTCAGAAGATTAGAAGCTTTTCAGATTTTCGATACTCGATCAACAAGGTTCAGACGATTAGGCGAGTGGCGAGCAGCGCGCCAACCGCTGCAGGCGCCCCAGCACCTAGAACTCCGCGCTCGTGAAGCTTCTCAATGGCACGCTGATTATTGAAGAATTCTCCACGGCTTAGAGGTTGAGAAGAATGCGGTCCAGAACTCAAAGAGCTTCGCCACCAACACCTCATGAAGCCAGAAAAGGACATTGTTTTCGGAATCTGGGGTGTAAAAGCATTCAGCGTTTCACGCAAAGATACAGTGTGCCATACAATCGGAGGAACAAAAATACAATAATCGGTAGACCGAGAATAGAGTAAGTCAAATTTTTAGTTCGGTACTCCTTGCCAATGATATAGAACCGAGCCCTGGTGGACACAAAGCAAGATATGAACAAAAGAGGTCGGCAGCGGCGTTTATGCGCGAAGATCTCACAGATGTATTATCCTTAAGCACGATTTTTCTGTTGACGAGTGCGATAAGACACTTGTTGACCCGCGCTTGGTTAAGATCTGGTGGTTTGATGAGATCGTGCACTGGCAAAGGGGGCGGGAGATGAGTGAGATATGATACGTGAGATAACGTCGAACGTACATCTGATACCACGGCCTTCGCTCTCAATGAGTCCTTCGATAACCGCATCGATGTTGCGTCGCAAATTCTAGAGTCGGGGTTGAGAAGCGAAGAACAAAAGGGCGAAGAAAGGGCGAACGGGATCGCTGCCTCGAAATTCGAGTGGCAGGCACGCTACGGTCTTCTCAATCGCCACCTACAAAGCCCAATAAAGAGTCATAGTTTTTTTGTGTGGAAATTGCGGGCGAGGAGAGAAACGTACATTTCGCTCCTTTCTCTCCTTAGCTGTGAGCTTGGGCTTTCCTTTCTTCTTCACCATCATCTTCTTCTTGGGTGCAGAAGACTCGCCCGTCTGATCGGCCATCGTCATGTCATTCATAGTCTCTGTTACCATTTGAGTCTTCTCGATCAGCGCGAGTTCGTGCGCCTGCTGTGCTTGAATGGCAGCAAGTGCGATGCGCGCATCTTCTTCTATTGACACGAAAATGAGATGGATACACGAATGCACATATTCAAGGTGACAACGCGCACCAGCTCTGCGTTTTGCAAACACGTATGATGCATCTGTCGGTGCCTGCGCGAATCACAAAACTCTCCCGATTTACATTTCCCTCCTACTGCACGTATGTACAACAGACACACCTGTGGCCAATCCACGGTCAAGGCATTCATATTCAAGACATACAACCAGCTCGCGAAGCTCTCGTTGAACGTCTGCAGCGAGTCGCCGAGAGCCCGCAATCCCGCAACGTTTGCATGGAGTGCGTCGGCCTCGTCGGCCAATTCTGCGAGCGCAGGTTCGAGGAAGCCGAGACCATAGGGCGTATCAGGGTTGTTCTCTGAGCGTGAAAGAGCAAAGAGGGAGCCTTGGGAGATGCGTCGAAGAGGTGTGCGGTGTGGGGTCGGGCCTGGCATCTTCAAAGTCGTTCGTGGCACTGGCGGATGGCCCGAAATGGCAATTCTGCTCACTTTCTGTCTCAGCTGCATGTTTTCCTACGATGTTTACCCGCATGCTATGCGCGCAGAGTGATACACATACACTTGCCAACATCTACGACTTTTTCTGTACGCTATTCGAGGGACTGACTATGGAACCCGGAAGACTATCATGTCGATTCGAGTCGCTCAAATTTCAGATTTGATACATCTTTCCTGCGGCCAAGCCAAGACAGCAAACTAGAGGTCTGAAACATTTTTGCTTTACCCCAGACACATAACGTCCGTGGCCACACGTGAAGGACATCTCTATTTCTTCGATGCGCCGGACTGGTTCCTGTTCTGCGTGGGCGAATAAATACATTGAAGCCACCACAAATCAAGCAGGTAAGGAGATAGGTAAGAGCTGTGGATCGAAGACGGCCCAGAAGGTGGCCTCGATATCCTCCCTCAGATGATGTTCCACGGCCTCAATAATACCAGACCGGTCGACATGTGACCACCCACGAAGTTTGAGCCCACGCAAGATCCTGAGAGCGACCAAATCCGTCAGATACATCGCAGGTGAACAATGAATGTCCGCAAGCACCATTGAAGAGCCTGTATCCTGTCCACACCCATGAGAGCTGCAGTCTCTCGCTCATCGATCAAGACTCGCGCCCATACATCCAACATCACAAGTCGGAGATGCGTGATGAAACTAAGATCCTGTATATCTCGCACATTACGGGCGACGTCTAACGCCGCTGTTACTGTCATTCTCTTCAACCCCTGAGACAGTAGCTCCATCCGCTGTAACGACGGTTCACTATAGTCCGCGTTGGCTGAAGGCGGAGCAGCGACGACGGTGATGCTGAGGCGACGTTTGAGTTCGAGGTAAACAGGATGGACGAGAGCTGCCCAAGCAAGGGATGTCGTGAACAGACAGGATCGAAGAGCACGATCGATGAAAGGGGTGTTAGGCCCTGGTAAAAGAAGGTGAATGCGAGCAATGATTGCATCCAAGATGGCGCGGAGAGCGTCCAGGGAGGTGAGGTGGGATAGTAAGAGCGTTTCATTGAATGGCTTGCGACGTGCTGTTACTAGAATTAAATCATCAGCAAAATTGAGAAATCGTCAGGGATCTATAAACCTCCTGTGAGGCATTCATAGCCCTCTCGCGCAAGGCGAGTGACATGGAAGGAATCTACGAACATGGTTTCAGTCACAGGATCAGATGCATATCATGGATGTGAAAATCACAGACAAGGCCGTAAGTAATCAAAGACCGACTTCTCCCTTGACAGCCATTCTGGGTTCATCAAGTTGGCCAAGATCTGATCCATCGAGGGAGGATCATCTCCACATAACAGATGTTCATCATAAGAAGAGCTGTAGGTTTGATTATATAAATGATGCAGATAGAGGATGCGACAGCTCACAAAGGTAGAGGTTTGTTGATTAATACCGCTGAGCACGCATTGATCATCTTTGCAGGGCGCAATTGTCAGATCAAAGAACAAATAATCGGCACTTACGCACCAGATGCATGGACCACTTGATCGATTTTTCGCCATACACAGGAGACTCATCAATCAGATCGCGAGTATGTGTTATAAACGCCGAGTCATAGACTCTCGAACCCTTGTCGTCTCCTGCCAAGAAGTCATTAGTTTTCTCTATCATTCAGGAACAAGATCTGATTCTTGACATACGGGATTCCAAGAAATCTAATAATAGACAGGCTGCCGCATTTTCCTGAGACACCTTAGTTGTCACTCCATCTTCCCTGGCAAGCTTGAAGGCCTCGCTACAAAAAAAATTGCAGACACCTTCACGTTTGACGCCGTATTCACGTAGATCGGGTTCAGTGTACGGATAACTAGGAGTGGGAATTAGATGGCCGATGATGAGAGCGTCGGAGGAGTACAAGGCGGAGACTGCGATTATGGCGTGTACCAGCACTCGGGATCACAAAGGAAGATGAGCAAGACGGAAAGAACAAAAGTGAAGGTCGGCATGTATGGTAGCCATAGGGATTGCAGGGTGGTTATGTTGATAAAGGCGTTGAAAGACTGTGAGATGTTCACGTATCATTTCCGAGAGGAAAGGACTGTACAATCAATCTCACCCTCAAGCAAATTCCTGACAAGAGAAGTATAAACCTCGCACGAGCTGATCCGGGACATGATGTTAAGACCGAGTACGGGTTGAAAGGGAGCTGAGCAGCTGTTATCTCGGGGAGGGGAGCTCGGAGCAGGGCCTGGCGTAGAAGACGAGCTCTGACTTGTACTCGCTGCCCGCACGGGGCTACAGCTCCATATCAGACATTAAGCCTATAAGCTATAGGATTATTATGCATGGAAGGAGGTGAAGACACCTTGGTTCAATAGCGGCCTTCACCTTCCTCGTCGGCTTTCTACGGACGACGGGCGTGGTCTTACATCTTTGATAGAAGGTACAAGGTGAGATATTAGACGGCTATTGTGAATAAAGAGTACTGACGCTATCCCTTTTGCAAGACACCTAGGGCACGGTGAGCCATTTGGCTGCCGGTGACAAAGTACTCGCTTTGCTTTGCACCAGTCACAAGCTGGAGGTTTCTTTTTGCGTTGCTCGGTGATATTCAGAGGCAAGATGACGGAGAAATCATTGCAAATGGTAGATTCGACCATGTCGAGTCGGTATTTCGTGAATAGTAGGGACGTCAAGTGCCGACGTGTCCCCGAGACACCTTACAGGCTGAATATTACGTCACCCGAAAGCAGTGTCGTTGAAAATAGTTGCGCATCTCCTCTTCAACAACCCCCGCTCCATCTAGTCTCCGTTGCTGACCAACACAGAAGACAGTCGTTCTGTGTTACGCTCCATCTATCTTTTCATCAGACCTCAACCAGATCAATCTGAATCATGATATCCTGGAAGACAACTGTACACTGGGATCAAGCGGGCGGTGTATGCAGAGTACGTTGTTCACACGGGTGGTCATACGTCGATCGTTCGGACATCGTCGTCGCCGTAAAGCAGCATTTGCGGGGAGATGTAGACGATTACATCCAGGTAACTCTTAATGCGTATCCTACGTGTTGATCACTTCCCCGTGTCCTTTGAGTTATATGGAATCTCACCCAAATAGCTTATTCTTCTATTCAGACTCCCTCCGTCGTATATCAGGGTTTTAACGGGATCATAAGCCTCAAGTAGAACCGGGTCAGGATCCTACGAGTTAAGCCCCAAAGGCCTGATTGTCGATAACATGTGCACATAGGACGACATGGGTATGGAGGACACCATTCCATCGACCACCTTCGCCTCGTTCGATAATTTGTCCATTTGAGTGTCTTATTGTCCATTTATTAAATAAACTAGAAGGCGAAGGAATGTTAGGTAAGTGGGATGCCATAGCAATAATCGAGAAAGGAAACGTTGTGCAACAGCGGACTGTGTTGATGGTGTCATGTACGAGCAAGTCCTACCCCAGCCTCTCACGCACTCTCGTGTGTTTCGAGCATACTCATACCCGCCAGATCTCGACACCCATCTTGGACGAACCGAGGCGGCCAAACAAAACAAAAGATGGTCATGGAAATCCAGAGAGGCAGCGCGTCGAGAAGGTAGAAAAATCCTTCGTGTGTAGCTAGATATCCAGTGTATCTGAACGAGAAAACACCCCAGGATTAGGACTTCATTCCCCCGCTGCCGGAACGTTTGAAGAGTGGAACGTACCCTTGAGAGAGCTCAGCGATGCGGAAGACCGATCGTATCTGGAATCAGAGATATTGAGAGGTCAACGGAAGTATCGGCTTTGTAGAGGAGTCTTACCAGGATCCCCACGCACGTGCAGCACATTGCGAAAAAAAGAATTCGCCAGTCTTCGATGGCATGAGTCTCCCATGGTTGCATGAGATGGAACGACGATCTTTTACGCGGGAACCATAAGCTCGGAAACACGGTAAGCCTACGAAGAAATATATTAGAAATTCTATCCTGTTGTAAAAGGAAGATGGACAAATATACACTCTCCATCCGAACACGAGTATGACGACCGTGAAGAATGCAAACGAGATGAGTTGAAGCACCAGGCCAATCACGGAGATCTATGGAGGGTCATTACAATCAAGTGAGAGCATTGATGTAGATGAAAACATGCCTTCTGCCCAAGTTTTGCGATATTGCCTGCGATAGCCCCCATCCCACCGCCAGACATCTGGAGCAAGAACGTCACGACATCACTCCATATGAATATCTTGACGATCCGAGAGGACGGAACCAAGAGGCATTTGTTAGCAATTTCAGGACCGAGTGTGTGTGAGATGCGCGCGAGCAGCACGTAGTCCGTAGCCAAGAAGGCGCAGGGCTAGGTAGTCATCACTTCTGTGTCAAGGACAAGAAGAGGCCGCAATGTACATGTACGAACCGAGAGCAGGACGAGCTGACAGACCGGGGGATATCAGCGATGTTCGTGAGAGAAGAATGCGAGTACTCACAAGCGTCGTGAAAATATACAAACCAAGTGACGTCGATGAAAACGAGTATATCATTCGGACCATAAGACCCACAGACATGACTGAGGACCGTAACGTCAACGATGAGGAAGAGTAAGCATGAGATCATACTAACGGGTCATCCCCACTGTAAGTGTTAGCATATACTTCTGGCGCATGATGACATAGTCTGGAGAAAATCTCAGCCGCCCTCATACTGAGACAGAATGTGATATGACGCACGCCGCCAATGTACCAGCCCAGATACAGCGTAGCAAATGGTGCTCAGTATGGCAGGCCATAGTTTCGGGATATAAGCGGCACTACGAGACAGCGTAAGGAGGGTAAGCTTATAATTGGAGCCCAAGCGATGGTATTCACATTGGTCTCTTCGAAGTGTCGTCCCTTGGTATGCGCACAGAAGTTTCATCGTCGGCGGCGGCAGCCGAGAGGATTGACGAGATGATCAGCACCAGTGCCAGTGCGGGAAGTTTGAAATTCAGCATCGCAAGAGAGGCTTGAGTCTCAAGAGAGAGGGTATGAGGAATAGCGAGAACATGGCTGGATACGGGTCTTTTGTAGGGCGAGTTGGCCAAGCAGCGAGCTGCTTGTAACACTTTGGACAAATCAAAAGGATGCCAAAAGCGGAAGTAGCGAGACGGCCGCAGTACGCCGCAGCCCACAGCCATTACCACAGGCGATAATCAGAGATCCTGAATGTCTGTCCAGTGTCCTGGGAGATTTGCTGGTGCAGCGTTCCTTTCAAAAGCCCTTCAGAAATGTAAGCTCTTTCGGGATACCAGTCGCAACCCCACAAGCACGTGACTCCCGAGTTGTTAGTGAGGTGCCGCGGGACCGAGAAACAATGTTGAAGAGCACCACAAACATGGTACAAGAAGGGCTGTCAGTCAAATACCGCCAATGATTGCGTGCATCAGCTTAGCCCCTCCCCTAATTTTCTCCTTTCCTCCTCGATGGCTCTCGGCCCGTCCGTCTTCTCGTCGAATCTGTAGATCGGCCAATCCAACAACACGGTCCGCTTCACGATCTCCGGAAGGCGACGGTACAATGCAGGCGGAAGCGGGACCAAGAGCGAGGTAGAGCGCAGATAAGCCTTGTACGCCGTCCACGCGGAAACGCCCTCGTCAGGCGCACGGGGACCGTGGGTCATCAGGTAGAATCGGCGCGCAGACGGCTTTTCAGCCGTAGGGACGCCTGAGCCGAAGAGGAGGAGCCTGTGGAGAGTGACAAATGTGAGGCGAGGTTGTAGGCGGCAGGGCAGGGGGCATATCAAGTACATACAGTGTGGTGAAGAGCGGAGATACGACGGAACCATATTGTGCAGCTTTTGCGGAGCCTGCCAGCGCGCCGTTCGTGCTCGGGGAAATGGTTAAGATCCAGATACCCCACCAACACATGATCCTGAGGGGCGATGAGTTCAGATTTCCTGAGAGTTACAGAAGGCGCGATCGGACTTACTCTCCGAAGTATGGTGGATGACGAGACCACGCCCAAATACCGTACTATCGGATCAACGTCAGTAAGAACGTCTACAATTCCCGAGAAGCAGATACACGCACGGTGTTGGGCTGGTTTCTCGGGGGCTTTGTGGACTTGTAATAAAACTAAAACAAAGTCTCGGCCATCAGCTTTCTACAAAACAACAAGATAGCGGAACCTTCTGCGCATCCGCGACCGTCTCCACAATCCACCCAAGAGCCCAGATAACGATCCCCGCGATATCTTTCGACGTGCCGAAAGCGGGGTTCACGCCGCCCCGTGCAGGGTCAGACACCGCGGGCGAGTTGAGAATGATGACAGGCAGTGAAACAGTCCACACCTAGGTATGCCGTGCGGTGGAGACATAAATGATATGCAAGTCAGAGCAGAACGCAAGAGGCGGGGGCTGGCAGCGTACCCAGACAATTTGGCCTGCGAACAGCCCAGGCACAGTGGTAGAGTGAGCAAAGACCGTGAGGAGACAGTGATTATATGCAGGGTCACGTACCGATCCAGAAGGCTAGATGTGGTATCAAAGGATTGTCATAAACACAAACATGATGAGTGAGTACGCAGCATGACTTTGAGACCCACCGAAAAACTTGAAAAAATGCGACCTGATCTCGTCAAACCGCGCGTCGCTCCCCACCTTCAATACACGGAACAGCAAAAACCCTGCGCGTATGTGAGTACATAATCCAAGACCCTCGTCGGCACAAAACAAGCCGCATACACGCATATATGCACATGCACACGCATGCAGATGGCACAGAACGACACACAGTACTCACCGGCCAAGCGCGTTGCCCACACCATGACGAGGACACTCGCGACCACATTGCGCACGTAGAACGTGTTGCCGATCAACAGCGTGAGCAGGGCTGGATGACGTCCCGCAAAAGACATTGAGCAAGCGCCGTCCCGTTCAGCGCTTGGGGACGCACCTAACAAGAGAAAGTTTGAGCCTGTCCAGATGAAACGAAACCAAATCGTCAGCGCTCCGCACTCCGCATCGAAGAGAGCTCAAACACCCGCCTCCCGTGAAATCCGTAATCTTGTCAAACTGTCCAATGACCCGACAATCAGCTAACTCCCGATCAATACAACTCGAGATGAACGTAACTCACCTGAAAAGTCCAAGCGATCGCAAATCCTAAGAGCTGATACCCCGTCGTAACAAGGATCGCGAGACCCAGGTAATACGGGTCGAGCGCGTGCACAGGGGCCATGATATCAATCGGCTGTAGCGCGGTGCTTCAAATTGAGATTCAGCCGTCCACTCGCAAATGTGATGCAGACAAGGCTTTCGAGACAAGACGATGAGAAGGCCTTAAGACGGACACCGTTAAGGGGATAGAATGACAGCGTAGAGCATGCCAGCAGTCGCCAGGACTGTTAGAAATACGACGAGATGTTGGAGAGAGACAACGTCGATGCGCCGCCCACGATTGACACTGATCACGCTGTCCGTCATCGCGACCGTCTCATGAAGCATCGGCCACGTTAACTCAAGCTGCCCCATATCGAGCATAATCCAAAATCTGGTCAGCATCGCGAATTCTTGACAACCTATTTATTCCAAACTTTGGCAGTCGTGGTTGTTTTTAAACTGGCAGAAATTCTATTATGGCATCCTCATTACTTGACTACTTAGATCGTCGTGTCTTTTGCTCTTGGATGGAAATTACGCGACATATATAAATCGCACGTCACGGATTAACACACGTAGCGAGCGGATCGAATCGTTAAACAAGAGACCGGTCGGGCGCAGAAAGGCTCTCGAGTGGAAAAAGGATGAGGAAATATGGGTGTACGGAATACGCGATGTAATGCATGACTGTGTGCGTGCAGGAACGTGGATCGATGAAGAAAGGAGCGTGAACCATAGCGTCGTGCTGCCCTACGTTCTCCACAGCAAGGCATGCCAACAGGGTGTCCGGTGTCGGGGGAGGGTGTACGGAGGGGTAAATAGATAGGAAGGAGAGGACACCGGAGCCCGAGACAAGTCTAGCCAGAGAAACAGCGGGGACGGCAACGATCTGCGGCTCCGTCGTCTATGCGGTAGGGCGCGATGGGTGGCGGGCAAGGGTCTGCCCGGTCTGGTGTGCCTGGATGCTGCTGAAGCGCTGGAGCTCTTCAGGCTTGACGCGCACCTTCTGGCCGAAGCCGACCTTGCGGGCAGCACGACGGATGAAGGAGGTACGGTTCGAGTAGAGCGATTCGTGGATCGAGGCGACGCGGGACTGGGTGCGAGTGATGGGCACACCGGTTTCCGCTGAAGCACGAGTGGCAGCAGCCGCCTCGGCCTCGTGACGCTCGCGTAGGTACTTGATGACGGTGGCCTTCATCGCAAACTTGATGAGGTCCAACGGGAGGAACCACACGATGTTCTGCAAAACGCTATTGAGCTCTTGCATAATCACCAATGATCAGAGCGACGTACCCAGACCCACACGATACCAATCCATCCACCAGAGATACCCTTGATCTGCGTGAATCCCCAGTCGGCGTACGCGGCAATGATCGAGGAGACAAGCTGGGCAACGCAGAAAGCACCCATCAAGGCGAACGAGGGACGTTCCATGAAGAAGAATCCGTGCGAACGCGTGACGAAGATCAAAGCCTGCGAGATGATAGCGACCTGAAGGTACACAATCATGTGAAGCTGAGGATCGTCGATGGAGATCTGGCCAGCGGGAGATTCGAGGCTGACACCAAACTTCCTTTGGAAGAAGCTCGACTCCATGATGACCACGACAAGGATGACACTGTCATGAACAGTTTAGCATACACACGTACGAAGCGAGATACGGTACTTACGTCGAGGCAGTCAGGTATAGACCATATGCGACAGCATACGAGAAGATCTCAGCCAGGTCCCAACTATCAGGGGTCATTGAAGGCAAGACACGATCGACGGACAGCGTCATGATGGTACCGTCGTTGAGCAGAGCAATGATAAGAACCATGAATGGTGGAAACTGGAACTTGTAACCGAATGCGAGGATGGAGAAGCAGACGACAATACGGATCGTGACGGCGCAAGCGTAGATGGCGTAGTTACGCATGCGCTGGAAGATCTGGCGAGAACCACGAATGGCATGAACGATGGTAGAGAGACCGGGCTCAGTCAAGACGATATCAGCGGCGCCACGAGCAGCGTCAGTAGCACCTTCAACAGCAATACCGACGTTGGCACGAGAAAGCGCAGGGGCGTCATTGGCACCGTCACCAGTCATGGCACATAGATGGCCGAGACCCTGAAGACGCTTGACAATTTCGTACTTGTGCTCTGGGAAAACTCCAGCGAAACCATCGGCATCCATGATCATCTCGTCGAGGGTAGCGTGCTTGCCGTTCGGAGGGGGTCCATCCTTCAAAACCTTGGCGGGATACATATGGTCACCGAGACCAAGACGACGACCGGTCTCCTTCGCAATGGCGAGCTGATCACCAGTCACCATCTTGACTTTAACACCGAGGGCCATGGCATCGTCAATAGTCTGCTTGGTATCCTCACGGGGAGGATCGAAGATAGCGAGGAGACCAATGAGCTCGAAACCGTTGCCTTCGCCTTCATGGTCATCACCACTGAGTTCCTCGTGGGCGACGGCCAAAGCACGGAGACCGCGACTAGCGAACTCTTCGACGTCGGCTTCCAGACGGTTCTCCTGTTCCTCTGTCTTGTTGCGCGTGCAAAGTTCGATGATGATACCGGTCATACCCTTCGTGACACGCTTGAGCTTGCCAGACGACTCCTCGCGGTAGGTGATCTCGGTACGTTTGTCGACAGGGTTGAACGGCTTGAAGTCGAGAAGCTTGATTCCAGCACGAGCACGGCCCACATCACCAAGGGCACCGACAACGGAGGCATCGATGGCGTCCTGGTTCTCAGTACGGGAGGCGTAGGCAGCGAGGAGGATGACATCATCGGCAGTGAAAGGACCGTAAGTCTTGATGGTGCTGCGGTCGATGGTGAGTTTGTTGGTGGTGAGAGTACCAGTCTTGTCGGAGCAAAGAATGGTGACACCGGCCAACTCTTCGATGGCAGTGATACGGGTGACAATGGCCTTGTGCTTGGCAAGCTGCTGGGCACCAACGGCGAGAGTGACGGACAGAACAGTGGGCATGGCAATTGGGATACCGCCGATCAAAAGGACGAGGATGTTGTTAAGACCCTCACGGTAGTGGAACCTGTAGCCAGCGTAGAGAACGAGGATCTCGGCAACGACAAAGATACCGATAACGACCAAACAGAAGGTACCGATCTGGGCAAGAATCTTCTGCAAGTGACCGGTGGTATCATCGTCCTGCCCGACAAGAGAAGCGGCACGGCCGAAGAAAGTGTTGGGACCAGTGGAGATGACCACACCCTCAGCCTCACCCTGTTTACAGGTAGAGCCGCTAAAAACCTTGATAAGCGTCATACAGTCAAACTGAAGCTAAAACTACTCACGAGAAGCACTGGTCGGCCTCCTTCTTGCTCACGGGGAGCGACTCACCCGTCAGGGCAGCTTGATCAATAGATACGTTGATGGCTTCCGTGAGACGACAATCGGCCGGAACGATATCACCAATTTTGAACGAGACCATATCACCAGGAACGAGAATAGAGGACTCGATCTCGGACCACTTTCCGTCACGCTTGACCTTGGCTTTAGGAGCGAGCGAGTCCATGAGGGCCTTGACAGCGTTACCGGCGTTACGTTCCTCGTAGAAACCGATGGCGGAGTTGATGAGCAGGAGCAAGACGATGCCGACAAAATCCTGCCAATCCGGCGGTTGACCTTCACCATTGGACAGAGCGATAGCGACGAGGGCAGCAGCTTCCATGACCCAGGACAAAGGGTTCCACATGAAACTCAGGAACTGCGGAGACAACGCATTTGAGACCGATAGCGTCACACATACAAATGAAGACTGACCTGGAAGAAGGGGTTCTGTTCCTCGCTCTCGAGCTTGTTGGGGCCGAAAATATCCAAACGACGAGCAGCCTCCTCGCCCGTTAAACCGTTATCGTCACACTGCAGAAGCTTGAAGACATCCTCGATAATGATGGTCTCGAGGTCGACCTTCTCCTTGTCGTAGAGGTCCTCCGCCTTCAATTCGATCTGAAGAGCGGGGTGGCATGAGCATACAAACTTGGGAGATGAGGTTGAGACGAAGACGTACTTGCGACATGTCCACATTGGCATCTGCGGAGGCGAGATGTAAATTTTCGCGGGACGAAAAAAAGAGGAAAAAGACATACGGGTCGCTTCCACTTTATCGTGACCGAAATCTTTGTACTCGCGCTTCTTTTTCTCGGGTGCTGCATCCTCCGAAGATCCGTTGGAGGCCGGTTCAGCCGGGCTGTCAGCCAGGGCAGGCGGACCAGCTTCCTTCTCTACGATGGGGTCAGACATGGTCACTGGGGGTCCGGAGGGGTAGGAGGAGGGGGACAGGGGAAACCCTGGAAGGGCTGTCGGATGAGAACGCTGGGGAGCGAGGGAGACGACGGAGCGGAGGAGATTGAGGGAGAGTGGAAGAGGGGAGAGGACGTCGACGGTCGTTGAGGAGGAACCCTTTTTATTCAGACCAAACCGAGCACGATCAAATCGGCCAAATAAGCACAAATAGGCAAGCCGCCCTCTTCCCCGATTCTCAGAGTCGACCAATCCCAACGCATCAGATCCTTCGTTCTCCGCACTCCCTTCCATGGCCCTCGGCTTTACGCATTCCCGTTTCCACACGACCCCTCTCCCCCCTCCTCCCGTCCCCGACTCTCCCTGCACGCCCTGCACAACCCGCAATCCATCCGGTCCGACGTCCTCCTCCTCAGGGCTCCAGCCTCGAACGGCGTCCCGGCTCCGACGGCTCCCGGAAAAACTTCCCATTCCAAAAATATATCAGATCTTGTGTGCAATTTATTTCCTTGAGGTCCTACTTAAGACAGCGCTCCACCGCATACATGCACACCTGCTGTATGCGCGCGACAGTCAGTCCGCCACTGCTCGCCGTTGCTCACAGCGTCCTGAGAACAGCATGTGCGGTCAATCTCGCTAAATATATCCCCCATGTGACTCAGAAAAATATATATAAACGACGTCATGGCCGTTATGTTTAAACACCAGCTTGCATGCCCGACCACCAGCGATGTTTGTTGTTTGAGCCTGTGGGGGCGCCCAACATCGTTCACAGTCTCAGTTGCCCAGCGCGACGTTAGCTCGGCCGCTCTTGGCCCTTTTTTACCCTTGCCCGCGCCCAGAAACATCGAATGCCGAGGCGCGGAGCGATAGAAGTAACCCCACAACAAGGTGCTGCAGAGGACGACTGAGTCCGCTTCCCCCGCGAAGTTCCTCCACGACAAATCGCATCGCGTGCTCATTGGCGACCTCCTCGTGCACCGCCTACGAGGACGACTTGCCCGTGTGGGCTCGAGACCGCATCGATGCCGCCAATCTCCACATCCTATGCATATGCACGTCTCTTTCTGGCGAGCAGATACAGCAGTGCTTGTACTTGGCGCTGTCCATCCTTGTCCTGTCCATCGCGCTCACCGCATTCATCGTCAATTAATCACGCAGGGTAGATCGTCCTGAGTCATAAAAATAGAATTCACCGTTCTAGGCTGGTTGACCCAACATGGACTCATGAATGTAATATTTTCGCCCGGTCGTTGGGGTCGCCCAGCGTCCAGAACGAAATGGAGTTGCACCTTTCAGTCGGTCCAAGACTTTGCCCAAGCCGATTCAGCTGTTCTCGGCTTCTGTGATGGTGTTGTTACTCGGCCCGGGCGACCGGCTCCAAATCTCAAGCTGGCTTCACCCACCACTGACGAGATCAGCCGCCCGCCAGACTTAGTCTCCGTTGCTGACCAGCGAAGAAGATACTGTAAAGCGCCAGATTGTCAGCGGTCAACGTCTCAGATACTCGGCTGGGCGGCAGTACCTGCATCATTACCTATCATCGCCCGCGGCAGTCTCAGCCACAGAACAGAGCGTCAGGCGCGACATCTCAGACCACACATTGGTTGCGCATGGTCCGAACGGCATCCTCTCGGCCGCAGTGCGCTCTTTTCGCTGTACGCTGTACTCAACGGCGAGCACGGGGATTCTCACGTTGCTGTAGTGCCTGCGGTCGCGGGTTCGGCCCTTGTCGGTCGACGACAGCGCATCCGTATAGCACTACGCTGTGGTCGCTGTATGAGGCTGCCCGCCGTGAGTGACATCATTCATACTCGGTTGCGATAGACGCGAATCCGAATCCCCCCGCCGTACAACAGACCGGTGTCGTCGTCCTTGGCGTGTTCATGAGCATATACATCCGCAACCATATCATCGTCGACGCAACACACTCGCAACACATCGTTGACTTTGAGGATCGTGCCCTGTTGCTGGCGTCGGGCGGTCGGCGACGGCTCGCGTGGACGACGTTCAGGGGCGGCTACGCCCGCGCCACTTTATCTTGTGCGCCTGTCTGCTGGGCACAAATTTGACCCTATCGACCTGGCCCGTGCACGTCATCGTCCATGATCCACGAGCCCAAACACTGCCCAAACACCAGCGCGCCCGCTGAGAACACGCAGGAACACGCAGCAGCTCAATCGGTTCGGGAACTCAAATACCGGCACGTCGGGATATGTACGAAGATGTACGACTTGCTCAGTGTTGCGGCGCCCTGCGGGTGTGAATCGGCTGTTCGGGGCGCTGACGAGCGGGTGTGGATATAGCCCGATGGCCTGACAGCGCTGGCTTACTTACGCTTATTACTTACCCCTCGCGCGCTCGTCATTGCGAACGACCTTGACGCCTGTTTGCTCGGCCTCTGTAATATGGAGACTTGTCGGCTCGAGCCTCGAACTCCCTCGAGGGCTCGCACTGGGCTCGCTCGGGCTGAATGTTTGACCTGATTACCGGGTGGACGTAAAGCGGAGATTGATCCTGATTGACCCCGTCGAAGACGAGTGGAGGCGGGAGGTGAGTGAATCCCAGCCGACGCCACGCAAATTGAGCTTCATGATCGGTAGGCTTCGGGCTTCGAGGATGCGCTTGGCATCCCCGACAGCTTGCGACTGCTACCTACTACAACAGCCTGCAATGATACACATCCGACCGCAGCAGCAGAACCAGCTAGTAGTCGTCCAACCCAAGCGCAGAGAGAGGAGGCATCAGATTCTCAAAGACATCAAAGAATCCGCGACGTTGACTTGGTTACGCGAGGGATAACAGGCACGCGACCAGTTGCATATAACCTCATATAACTTGCGCTCAAAAAGCTGTTGACTCTTTGCAGCTGCAGTCACCCTTCCTACTGAGAGCACATAAGTCGACGTGCGTAAAAGTTTGTGTAATTACTAACGACGCGCAAGCGCGCAGAAGTCAAATCGACTGGCTTCATTATTGCCGGTATGGAGGATCCCATTATTGGTCGAACAGGAATGCTGTATCTGTGTGAAATTCCCGACGCGCATCAAGACATTCGCATGCCAAACACATGATCCCCAACTGCTCTCGAGATAATGATCAATGTATGGGCGCTGAACGGGACGCTTGAGAAAATGATGGGAATTGAAGGATGGGTTAGACGAGCCGCGCGAAACCCACCAATACTGCGCCGCATAGAGATGTAAGGATGCGTACGCGACATGCCATAGGCAGCCGCTGTGCATCGCATCCAGCGCTTCAGCATTGGCTGAGAGGCTCTAGCCCCGTCAACAGCTGACGAACAATCACTGGTTGACTGATGCACACACCTAGACGGACGTCTGCCTTCTACGAACAACGGATGTGCCATAAGTATGCTAGGACTAGTATGGATAGGGCCACTGGGGACGACGAAGCATAATGATGGTCGCTGCAGAGCCTTCGCTCGACAGGAGCACGTTGCACATACAGGTCGGTGTACGATCTTCTATACCCTGGCCAGTAGCGATACGAAGAAGCGGCAACTTGTAAGTATATCTGTCGAGGCTTTAGTGTATGACAAATTCAGTACATGGAAACAGAGGCAAGCTGGATTGCGGGCTGCGCACATAGAGTACACATTCGAAGAGCTCCCGGTGCTGCATAAGGAGGCGCGCTCCACTGTACTACAGAGCCATCAAGGACATCTGGCGTTGTAGATGCGAAGCGGCACGAGGATCATCGAGGATGAGTGCTGAGCTCCATTGTACTTTGCCCGAGACTTGACATTGGCACAAGCACGATTCAGATTTGAAAGCCTCAGGTCGGAGGATGTGCAACATGAGCTGGAAAAATCCAGATTCTTGCTTGGCCGCTTCGTGGCAGTCTAACATAGTCACGACAGAAATCAATACATTTTCGAACTTGAGCCATGTTCTACACTTCGAATCGAGTGAGACTTGACAAAACAGGACCGAGACGTACACAGCAGCGATCATTCTCGGGTGAACAGAACTTCAGACGAGTGACTTTCGAAACGAGGACAACGACGCGCTATCGTACATGCGCCGAAAACAGAATCAACACATCGTTAGACCTAAAATGAACCGGTGAATCGCAGACCAGAAGAATTTACGAACGCGGTCTTACATTTATACGACAATCAGCACGTACAGGATCGGCGGCGTGGTGCATGATCAAGCGCCTAGAGGCTGCGAACAAGCAGAAGAGCGAGAGTGATGATCAGCGTGCGTACGGTCAGGATATGTAAAGACAAACCTATTTGAGTTCTTTAAACGCATGGCTAAGAGCTGCCATGCGTTGTGGGTGTCGAAGAGCACCTAAGTGTGGCTACAAGAGGTCATGTGCCTTTGTAGGTCGTTCTTACGATCTGAAGAATAGAAACAGCCCCTGTGCGGGCAATGGTAGGGTTTCACGCGGTTGGGATCATGGCATTTCATGTGAGATTTCAAATTCCATGCAGTTGTGAGGCCTGAGATGTATACAAATCAGTCAACATTATGAAGGTAAAAAAGAAGGCAAAAATGACTAACTTCGACCACAGTGACAAAGAAATCTTCCAAGCGGCGCGGCTTGCTGCTGCAAGTCCGGATATGGTTGTGGGGCCGAAAATATGTAGGAAGGTAGGATTCCTTCCTGAGATACAAGGTCTGTGTCTTCGTCACTGGGATCAGAGAAATGTTGCTGGAATTTAGGATAGGATTGTTGTTGGGGGAAGGATAGCATGGCTGTAGTTTCGGGATTAAAGTCCGGCATGTTAGTCAGGTATTCAGAAGGATCTATGAATGAAGTGGGCATGGCTAGGTCCGAGGCCGAAATTACAAGGTGAGAGAATTTTTCTTTGAGGCTCATGGTGGTCTCCACAGTAGCCTCAGAGAAGGGTGTATGGAAATGGGGGTAGGATGATCGTTGAAAAGGGAAGATAGGCCAACCAAGGGGGGGTTGAGCACCAAATTGGTCGAGCTCAACATGAATGGTGCCCATATGATCCTCATTGTACTCTGGCATATCAATCGGAAACTCAGAAGGATCTGTGGAATAAGAAGAGGTGGAGCTGGAGGATGCGGGTGGGCGGGTGGGTATGTGAGTTGTGTCAAAATATAGATCAGGGCTGGTAATCGTATCAAATATTTCGTTGGGAATATCGGCTAGTTCCTGATTGTCGATGTCGGTCTCAAACGAGGAAGTGTGGTAGTAATCCATCGGACAAATTGAGCTGTTGTAGGGGGAGATTGACGAAGAGTTGAGCGTCAAGACGTACTCAAAGCCACGCAGGGAGATATATACTGGCCTACCATCTGCGCGCAGTCAACATACATCCTTACATACTGTCTTCTTCGCATGTCGCAGCTTGCGAGCTTCGAATGTTCCGCGATCCCGATGCGGGCGCCCAGTTTACTTATGTTGAGGAAGACGGAAGCACAAGCTAGTGTGGTAGAATGTCATGCTGGCTAGATGGCCACGAGCGTGAGCGGTTATCGCACCGTGCAGATCGCATGATTCAAAAAAGATATAGGAATGTTGAGGACGGTCAACGAAAAAAGCGAAAGACCCGCTATGGAGGGCAAATGGTCGAAGTTTGTGGCCCAGGAGCTAACTTGCCTGTAGAGATCGAGACTGACGTATCTCTCGAGGCGTTTCACATGCTTTTCTGATGAGCTCTGCATCCTACTCTCTGCGGCTGCGCTTGGAAGCGTGCTAGAGGGGAACGTTATGCCACGGCGCGGATTGATAGCACATCTCGGAGAAAGTGATGTCATTTCTGTAAGTGGCCCGAGGCGCGCAGGCCACCACGTTGTATGCGCATGTCTGCACAGCAGGTTCTTGTAAAGGGGCTAGAGGTGCCGCAGAAGATGCCTAGTACTGACTGAGAAAATTTCGGAACATAAGTAGCCAGGTGGATTACTGCGCATCTAACATCTTCAAAAGTCTCGGTATGGCAGACTCGGATTTGCATATTGAGCGTGCTACTTACCTTCAGATATACAAGTCGATCCTCACTTGCAGGCGTAAATAAGTAATGAACAAGATTAGACATACCAAGAAAGCTCATTTCAGACCTCGCACAGATCACTTCGGTGTCTAGTCTGGTGTAGTCCTCGTATTACACCATTATCGTACAAGGCTACTGGGAGGGTGGGAATCAAAGGTAATCCTTCTTCTCTTTTGTTCGCTCCATGGCTAAGTACAAACAATTTGGGTAGTCTTCGTCCTGACTAAAAGGTAAAAAAAAAAAAACCCACGGTTGTAATGGAGAAGCTTTTCGATAAGATCAACATGCGTGAGGACCATACGACGACAACAGTACCGTTTCAGTTGAAGTTCGTTCAGAGCGTCACTAAAGAAAGATTATGGAATCGAGTTAGAGATGTGAACCTGAAGGAAACGTACCCCTCGCTCTTGTCCTCAGAAAGTAACTTCAAATACTGGTTCCATTTGTCCCCAACAACTTTTCCGCAAGAGAAACACCGCACAGGAATGATCTAGAAAGGGTTCCGTTGAGAGGAATAGCGCACAAGAAGGACGTATAGATACCAACCATGACAGTGGGAGCGGGTGAGGATGAGTGAGCAGCGAATTGGCCCGAGTGACAAGAGTGACTGAATGTGACACTTCATGACTTAGTGTGACGGACGCGTCGAAAACGCGTCCGTTTGTGGCCAGCGGGTTCTTCATGCAACAACGGCGGTGACAATGTCAAGGTTCGACCTTCAAGAAGAACTGCAGGCCATCCAAGACCTCAGTAACTATGACATTGAAGGTGAATACGATGTGCGCTCTATGGACCCTCCCGCAGTTGCAGGCTTGCTTGACAGTACGTTGTACTTCCGCACACCGAGGCTCGTCTGATGATCACACAGAGGCCGTTGGCGCTGTTTCCGAATCATCTGATTCTATCACGGACACTAGCATATTCAACATCTATCGAAGCCTTCTCAAGGACGCAGATATTCTCTCCGGCCCTCTCATGAGCAAACTACTCGACTCTCTGTCTTCAGGCTTTCTCACTCAGACAGACGCTGCGATACGCGACGTGGACCAGGAAGATCAACAGACATATGTGGCACACCAAGCGCCTCTAGAAATGTACGCTTTCTTACTCGGGTGGTTTGTGACGGCAGCAGAGAAGGTGAGAGCATCTGGGGGCGAGGACGTCATGATTGCTGCACCTTCGAGGTCGCGCCGTGGCAGAGGAGGAAAGAACGTGCAGGCCCGACACAACTCGAAGCAGAAGGCGGCGGAATGGTCATGGGAAGACCAAATACCTCCGACACTTGCCTTGATCAGTAAGGTGTTGAGGTTGAAGACGAACAAATTGTGGACCACGACGGGCGAAAGAGATACATTCATTGGGTGAGCCATAATATCATTATTTCTTCTTTCCCATCTCTGTACTGCATGATTAATGCATGCTTTCCTAAATCGGCTCATTTGCGTCGCCTCCTTCAATGGTGTTCTAAAAATTTGGTACTCTTTCAAGGTGTTTGACACGTCCAGTCTACCAGCTCACTGAAAGTGAGCAGTATATGAAGTCGGCTCATATCAAGATGGGGATCTACAAAGTTATATGTCTCGCAGTAAAACATCACGGTCACGCCCTCGGTGCTCAGATCAGCATCATGCAGTCTCTCCAATATTTCGAGCACCTCTCCGACCCGATGGCCGAGTGCCTCACGGTTCTAGCGAAGGAGTTTGACCACAGTCAGCTTGGTGACGAGATTTTGAGGGAAATAGCGGCGAAAAATTTCAATGCTCAGGATACCAAAGGTCCTCGCGCTTTCTCCAAGTTCTTAATCAGGTTTGCAGAGTTGGCGCCAAGGCCAGTACTCAAACAGATTAGTTTGCTCCTGGCTCATTTGGATTCAGAGGTGAGTCGCATAATGATGCAGACCGTGGTTGTCTACTGACAGGAGCGGAGGGCTAGTCCTATCCTATGAGAATGGCCATTGTCGAAATCATCGGCCATCTCATCCGGGAACTAGCATCATCTCCAGATATCATGGCAGATGCACATCAAACCCAGAAGCAACTGAACGGATTTTACGATCTTTTGTTGGAGCGCACACTTGATCTGTCTTCCTATGTTCGAACGAAGGTGTTTACGGTGTTGGCCCGGCTTTGCGATCTCCCTGTCAAGTTCCCCAAACAAAGATTGGCTATCGCTCGTGCGGCGGTAGGTGCTCTGGAAGACAAGGGCGCAGGCGTTCGAAAGAGCGCCGTAGCTCTACTAGTCAGACTGGTCGTCACACATCCGTACGGTTTGATGCACGGGGGTCTTCTGGGACTCAAGGAGTGGGAGAACAGATATCAAACTGTCGCTGTAGAGCTAGCGAAGGTGGAGAAGACATTGGGAGGTGCTGTAGCAGGAGGTGATGATGGTGACGAGGCGGGAGAGGGTGACGATAAATTGCAGGGAATCAAAGATGAACAGCAAGAAGATGAAGACAAGGACGGGGAAGATGTAGACGAGGATGAACAAGCTACGTCCAAGAAGGCCAAAAAACGGCGGAGGTGATCGCGCACATTCCATATCATTCTTATAGACTTAGGCTGACATACACCAACAGGTCGAAGGATGTGGAACGGAGGGCAGAAGACGAGATGGATGTGGATGAAGAAGGCGAAGATGAAGATGCGTCGATGGACGAAGACATGGAAGGTACTCCTCGCCCGAAGAAGGGTTCCAAAGGCGAAAGGAAGGTCAAATCGAAGGGGCGCAAATCTGAGATGGACATCGCGGCTCTTACGAACGAGCAAGCCGCACTCGCAGCTCTCGAAAGCAACCAAATTCTGCACCTCAGACTTCGAAAGCGATACTACGCTGAAGGGCTCAACTTTATCCGGCAGATCGAAAATGCGATGGAGATGCTGAGTCAACTGCTAGGGTCAACAAACAAGGCAGAGGTGCTGGAGGCTATGGAGTTCTTCCGTGTGGCGTATGAATATCAGTTTGACAGCGCAGAGGTACTTTGCTTTTGCTTTTGTCGGGTTGTACAACGCTCACGAACTGGTAATTACCGCAGGCTGGGATCAAGAAGATGCTTCATCTGATCTGGACCAAGGACAACAATGCTGTGTCAGAAGATGGTAAGGAACTGAAGGGTGTACGTTCAAGGCTACTGGAGTGTTATCGAAGTTTGTACTTTGACCCCCTTCCCGACATGGAAGCCAAGCAACAGGTCAATCGTATTGCGAAGAACATGATTGAGTGAGCATTTTGTTCTTGTCATTCGAGCTGCGCAGAGCATCTGACATTATTGATGACAGATTGACATACGACGCCACCCTTGCCGAACTGACTAGCCTCGAGGAAATGATGCGATATATGATGGATGATGGGCAGATACACAGTGATGTAATTAGCAAACTTTGGCAGGTGTATAGTGAGTCCAGCGGTGCTCTTTCAACACTGAGGTCTCATAAAATTTCCAGGCTCGGACAGACAGCTGCCAAAGCAGCAACGAAGAGGAGCAATCATCATTCTAGGCATGCTAGCACTGGCACGACGCAGTGTGGTGACCGATCGAGTCGATACTCTCCTCAGAGTGGGTTTGGGGCCATTAGGGAAGGTGAGTCGTTATCATGCAGTTATATAGGCGGCCATCATCTGACTGCTCGAATGCGCCTCATCATGTCAGGCTGATTTAATCTTAGCCAAGTATACCTGCGTAGCTCTCCAGCGTTTGAATGGAAGTGCTAAGAAAGTCAAAGGTGTGTGTGTTGATGGAGGGCTATCCATTTACTGAGCGTGGTTGCAGGCTCGCTCATGGACAATAATGTGCGAATTGACATGGAAAACCCTATCTTCCGGAAGTTGCAAGACGCCATTGAACATCCCTGCCGATCGCGAGACTGGTTCGGCATGGCTGAACAGGCGATCAATACTGTCTACGCATTAGGAGAGCACCCGGACGACCTATGCAACAATTTGATCAAGAACCTCACTCGGCTAGCTTTCACTCATCAGCGAGGTACTGCAGCCTCAGCAGATCCCGCCAATGATCCAGATCCAATGGACGAGGATCTTTCTGAAGTAGTAGATGTGACGCAGAACCCATCAATCTCCCAGGAGCCAGGTCAAGAGGCCAAAGATACCGGTGATGCGTTTGAGCTCAGCCAGCTATTATTTGCCGTAGGGCATGTTGCAATCAAGCATATAGTCTATCTAGAGCTCGTCGAAAGAGAATGGAAACGCCAGAAGCACGAGAGGGAATTAGGTGAGAGACGCCTGTCTTCGGATTTGCCGACTCAGTTGCTGATACTTCTTACAGCTGAAAAATTAGCAGCGGGGACTGAAGACGCCTCGAACCCGGCCAAGGATGGTGAGGAGCTTGATCAAGTAGCTGGGAATGCAGAAGACGAGATCGGCGAACGCATAGCGGGCATCCGAGAGTCCGAGCTCCTGTACGGGCCTGACTCTCTTTTGGCGCTGTATGGCCCTTTACTGGTTCATATCTGTGGAAGTCCTCACAAATTCAAGGTGAATAGATAAGTCATTCACATGCACCCCTGCTGATCCTGACGCGCTTAGAATCGGACGCTGCGAGCGGCAGCAACACTGTCGTTCAGTAAATTCCTCTGCATAAGCTCACAGTTCTGTGATCAACACCACCGGCTACTTTTTAAGATCCTGGAGACATCTAAGGATCCCAACATCCGAAGTAACGTCGTCATCGCTCTTGGTGACGTCGCGGTTTCCTTCAGCAATATCGTCGACGAGAACAGCAACGAGCTGTACAAGGGCCTTTCCGACGTGGACCTTGTGGTCAAGAAGAACACGCTTATGGTGCTTACTCATTTGATCCTGAACGGCATGATCAAAGTCAAGGGTCAACTGGGTGAGATGGCGAAATGCCTCGAAGACGAGGAGCCTCGAATCGCAGACCTGGCGAAGCTCTTCTTCACAGAACTATCTACGAAGGATAACGCTATATACAATAATCTGCCGGACGGTACGTCCAGGCGCCGCTCGCTTTACCTTCACCTGACAATATTCTTTTTTTCTAGTGATCAGCCATCTGTCAGTCGGTGAACATGCAGTGGACGAGGAAGCATTCCAGAGCACCATGAAGTACATCTTCTCCTTTATCGAAAAGGCGAGCGTCACATTTTTCCCGCCTTCACATCATTCGACTTACTGATTTCGTGATCATAGGAGAAACAAGCAGAGAGCATTGTGGAGAAGCTCTGCCAGCGATTCCGCCTGTCCGAAGAGCCGCGCCAATGGCGTGACATCGCGTTTTGCCTGTCCTTGCTGCCGTTCAAGTCAGAAAGATCTGTGAAGAAGCTGATTGAGGGCTTGCAATATTATCGCGACAAGCTGCACGAAGAGACCGTCTACAACCGCTTCCAGGAAATCCTAGCGAAGGTATGATCGGGTTTCCTGATCATTTTCAGGATGAGATCCTGACCTAGACGTTTGACGATCGCGATGCGACCCCCTGGTGACCAGGCTCGGACCAACAAGTCCACGAACAAACCAGATTCTGAGCTGAACGAGTTTGAGAGTGTGAGCATTCACTCACCGTCTAACTCACTTCTATGATTTGATCCGCGTCCTTTCTTCCCCAGATTCTCGAAGAGCACAGACGCCAGGGTGAAGAGGATCAAGCATTCGAGAAGCGAGTCCGCGGCAAAAAGGCAGCAGCCAAGAAGCGCCAGACAAAACGATGTAAGAGCCACTTACCTCAAAGATAGCGCTCGCAGATTGACATCCACCTGTGATTTTTATCACCCAGCGCGTAAGAAAGTGGCTGTCCAAGAAGAGGATTCCGAGTAGATGGCTGTGGAGAATTGGTTCCAGCGAGGTTCAGTTGTATTGCCCATGTATCAACACTTGTACTGATAAAGCACCTTGACGATGTCAAACGGGAAGATGCAGGAGATGCCTGGTGAAAAAAATGCGGAGGAAGTTAGGGGTACCCGACGAAGGAAGGAAAGCAAGGGACCAAAGGTCAGTGCGAAAAGCAAATAAACGATAAGGAGTGTGAGGGCACTTGCGCAGAATTCCGCAGTGAGAAGAAAAACCCAGTCAAAGAGTGTGGTGAGACATGAAAGTCCCGAAGCGAAGAAAAAAATAGGAATATCCATATGATATGATAGGCGCGTAAGATATGCAGGTACAAAGCAGTTGTTGGATGCGACGAAGAGAAATAAGTCCTTGTGTCAATGCGATAGACAAAAAGAAGAAAAGACGAAGAAAAAGAAGATAAAGACAAGAAACCCCGATTACTCCGCCTTGAACTTGGCACCACCTTCACCGCCCCGCATGATCGCTTTCATGAAAGAGAAGAATCGATCTGCATACTCTATTGGTGGAACTGGACTGATCTTGTGCTATTTATGTGATGATGATGATGATGATGATGATGATGATGCAAAACATGAGCGCTAGCAGATCGCAAGGCACACAATGACACTCACCCGATCAGCCGAGAGCCCCTTCCAGAGATGCTCGAGCTTCTTCGCGGTCGTGTACGGCGTCAGAATGTCGATGACCCCCACATAATAAATCGTTTCCATCAGTTCGTTCTGCTCGTCGGTCGCCCGCAGCCCGCCTTCATCTTGATAAAAAATGAAGTGTTGACGGTCGCCCGTGTCTTCTTCAGGAAGCTGTATTGTGCCGTGGCCAAGCCCTTTCAGGTCAGACTCGCGCATGGCTCTGCGCATCGCAACGGCCTCCGGGGAAGACCCGTTGACTTGTGTCGGTTTTCGGCGTATATGCGGCACGTCAGGCTACGATATCAATGTAAATTCGGTGAGCACATGTTATGAATGGAAGGGAGCTGAGGCGCTGCTGACTTACCGAGAATACCTTGAGCGTCCGCCTTCGCACGTTGTCGCGATTCCCGCGCTGCATGTTGTGGATGCCGACCAGCAGACTGTAGTCCATGACCCACAGCTTCTTCAAAAACTCAGAATCGCGACGCAGCTGCTCCGTCAAAAGTGCTTGCTTCTCCGGACCCAAGTTGAGCGACTTTTCCCTGTTGATCCAATTTAGGTCCTTCAGCACCGCGCGGGGGTTCTCCGCTGCCTTTTCTTCGGGATACAAGCGCCCGACCGTGCTCCCTTTCAGGTCATACGTTTCATGTATGTCCTTGTGCGCCGGGAACAGATTGTTCATGATGACGAAGTGGATCTTACGTCCTCGGGGCAGCTTGACGCGATGCAAGCCATAGAACCGTGACAGGAGCGTGTGTGGGTTCTCCTTGACATGCTTGTAATAGTCCTTCAGTATCGAGCGCAGGTATTTGTGTTCCGAGTGGTGTATTGTCTTGATGATGAACCGGTAGTCGCGCGAGAAGTAAAAGAACGAGCCCGACTTGCCCGGCGAGCCCAATTCTGACAGGATGTACTTGGCAGTCAGCGACAAGAGGTAATCTGCAGGGTCAAGGTGGAAAAGATCCTCTCGCAACTCGCGAAACACGAATGGGGCGTAGTCCTTGAATTTGAAGTCATACTTGGCAGACGGCGTCAATTCGTTTCCGATGATATCGAATGAGTACTTGTGCCGCGCCGTGAAGTCCTCGTCTGTCAACGTCCGCTTGATCTTTGCCTGACACCGCGAAACCTAAAAAAAAGCGATCAGACTCCTGTGATATATGAAGCCAAGCAGACCTACCGCGATCCGAATCCCTGTTAGCATATTATACATCAACACGTAGTTGACGTGGTCCTCCCCTATCAGATTACCGACCAACACTCTAGTCTCATCCTGAGTCCGAGATGCCGTGCGCGTCAACGCCGCCTCGGCCTCCTGCTGCGCCTTGGCGCGCTTCGACTGCCTCTCCCGCCGTATTTGTTCTGCCTGCAGCTGAATATCCGAGGCCAGCTCGCCCTCAATCTCAGAATCGTCATACGCAGCCTGCCCCTTAACGGGCACGCGCGGCGGTCTGCTTGTCGCAGAGTCCGTGGTGTGACGTCGCGACGGCCGCGAGTGGGTGGTTACTGGCGGCGGTTGCAGATACCCATCTGCAGACTGATGCAGAGACATTGAACCTTTCGACGGAAGGGACTGCGAAAGGGACGTGCGGTCTTCTAGGGGCTCTGTCGCAAAGTCGTCAGATCGCGCGCGGGGGTGAACCTTGGTATCTGTAGCCGCCCGGACATGGGAGGACAGTGAGGACGGCCCTGCTACTGAGCCCTGGGAAGAGGAAGAAGACATGCGAGGGGCACGGTGGGTATCCTTGACCGCTGGATCGAAGGTCACCCCCTGAGGACTCGACTCTGAGCGGGCACCCTTGAGGGTCGATGGAGGGAGGTGAGATTCTTCAACATGCTCTTCGCTGGCTGGAGGCGAGGGAGGGGGAGGCCCTGAAGAGAGGGTATCGTCCGAAATACGTTCTGTGCGGGCGACGACGCGAAGAACATTGTCGCCGGCCTTGTGAAAACGAGACTGCGGCGGAGTTCCGGACTGAAGGTGGACAGTATCATCGGTGACCTTGATAATATGCACCTCCTGTGCTGAAATCTCCCCGCCAGCAGCAGATTGAGAGAGGATGTGAATAGGGGTAAGCGTCTGCGTCTCGTTTTCGCGGTTGAGCTCGAGCGCAGACGACGTTCTGGAAGATTTAGGGGATAGTTGCACGTCTGGTGAAGCCGTGCGGGCAACAGTTACGATGGCTGCCATCATCGAGAATTAAGAGAATGATATCTAAAGAGTATTCGCAGAGGTGGTCGAGCTAAATGTTGCACTGCAGCTTTGCTCGGTGATGGTGGTTAGAAGGATCCCGTTCACTCCGTCCTCGACAAACACCAAACGTCACACCCGGCCTTTCCCACGCCCCTCTCTCCTTTGTACGAGTACGTCAGGGGCTGGCCGCTGTCGGGGGCCCCATATTCAACTTTGGCTATCTGCTCAGTCGTCGAGGACGTCTTTGTCGACTTATAAGTGTTGTCGAATATCGGCTAACCATCTTCTTACTTTCGGCTAATATCGTTGCGCCGCCATATTGCTAGTGTAACTTGACAAATACGCTGGCGGAGTCCCTGCACGTCAGGGTACCTCTGTACTGGGCCGTTAGGGGCATTCTTAGGGGTATTCTCTCATCCTGATGTATCTGTTACGCAAGACCGTGGCGAGAAAACCTGCAATTCATTGGTCGATGATCACCAAGAGCCCTACTTCACAGAGTGGAAACCGCTATGCCTTCGTGCTCATCTAGGTTAAAAGCTATGCACAAAGTTGGTGAGTTGCTAGTTGACAGTATCTCCAGTCACGTCTATTATCAAGACTACGAGCAACTCACGATATCTGCGCTAATACTTGCCATATTCGCAGGATGCACTTTGAGCCCCGATAGACCCTCCTTTGTTTTGATCTACCAAGGTGCTGCGATCTATATAGGTCATACCCGATGGCGAAAAACTATGCGCGGCATGAGGGACCATGAGACAATGGCATCTGAGCCATAGTCCAGCGGCCGATTATACCTGAGGCCTTTCGTGCTCCCGAAGCCCAGCCCCACTCGTTGCTCCACCTTCCTACTCACTACAAGCCGTACCGCTCCTGGTTTATCCTGGGATCACTCGGTTCGTACCCAGGCATCCTCAATTTGGTCTGTTCGTTTGAAGCGGCAAGACGCAAGGTCGATCAAAACAACAGTGAGGAGATAATTTTCTGCGCGACATGCAATGACGAGGTGGGCTGCTCCACAGTGTTCGAGACTCACCCGAGAAATTTTCAGGCGGACGTCTGTGTTGAGCCCCGCCAGGTCGGAGACCCTGTCCACTGAGGCTACCGCCCCATCGCAGACAGCTTTTAACACTTCAAGAGGAAGACGAGGGCTGAGTGCCATCCGGGTGTCAACGAACTGACGGAGGGTTGTTGACACGATGTTTTCTAGCAAGGGTCCGCGGACTATGTCTCTCTCTACACCCGAGCTCTGAGTTCGTTGAATGGACACGGCACCGTAGCATCGAGGCAGCCGTGCCCCTGTCCCTGCTCCAACCGCACGTATGCATGTTTCTCCGCACGATAGGCACGTTAACACTAGCGCTCAAGGAGGGCCTCAAACACGCCTTCAGATGTCTCTTTCTCGCAAAATAATGCAGTCGTCAAAATTCTCGACAGGTCGCTGCGCGGCGCTCCCAGATACCGGCGTTAGGGGCGCCCTTTGTCTGGCGACCAGGGCTTGCCCTCGTAGGAATCTGCTCGTTTGTCACAGCCACAATAATTTAACTTGGGACAAACAAGAGTGTAGGGAGGAAAGGGTGTGGCGCCACGGTGCTGTTGAAAGGAGAGATTTTGACACGTGGGGAGTCGGGCTGGGGAGCCGGGACATGGTAAATAGTCGCAAAACATGTGTGCTCTCGACCGACAGGCCGAAACTCCACCCGACGTTTCTACCATAGGGCCATATAGATGTCCTTTTGTAAGGTATGCGAAAGGATCGTCTATGATGCAGATAGCCTGAGTACTGCCTGAGTCTACCATTGGCGATGAGATGATGCAAGGCTCCGGAAACGTCCGACTAGCTTCGCACTCAGTCGCCAAGTCGTGGAATACTGCTAGAGTTCTGTTTAAGTGTCGTTGACGCGAGCCCTACAAGCATAGCGTGTACGAAAAAATCTTAAATGCATAACATCTTGTGATCAAATTCCATCCCTTCCAGCTGATGGTCACTGACCAACTTTACCTGGTCATAGCGACCTTTTCAGTTTCCTAATGCCCATGAACTAATTATTGATTAAGATTTATTGTATAATACCTCGTACTGTATTCATGGATAGTGGATTGTTCGAATAGCATGTCAAAACTGTGCAAGTTATCTGGAACATCGTCACGATCAACAACCAGTGTCGCATTATCAAAAAGATGAGGTGAGGGAAATCCACAGTTTGTCGAGTAGTCAATAACAAAAATTTCAGCGAGGCAAAGCGTGCGATGCCGCCTCAAGCTCAAGGGTCACAAGTAGAATGGGATGCCATACACAACGGGTGCCGCGCCTGTGAGATACTTCAGTTTGCAGTGTTCGCGTGCTTTCGCTACGGCTGTAATGATAGAGGTGTCCTTGGAAGCGTCTCGGCTTTCTCGTTCGTGCCTTCGGATATCATCAGGTGTTAGATGTATCTGGTCGAAAACCCCCTGCGAGAACTTGTCGATGTCACGGTCTGTTACATCCCAAAGATTGGCGACCAGCGTGGGGCTGTCCACCATACTTCAGTTTTTGTAAACGATCGATAATTGATTTTGACTTACCAGCCTGCTAGCATGTAATTATACGGGGTGCCTATGCGGTCGAACTCTCCCATCTCCTTGAGAGCACCGGAAGAACATCCCCATAACATTGTTGCAGCGCAACGTGGAAGGTGTCGGATTTTGTGGGAACGCACGTACTGCTCCGCACCACCGTGTCCGAAATAACTGCATTTTAAATTTCAGAAAGAGAAGAGTAAGCAGGAAAACGACCAACATCACAAGATCCTTCCTCAACAATGCGTCCAGAAGCTGTTGTTCGCTAGGCGGTTTTCCAACAACGCCCTCCCATCCTACAGCCCGCATATCATTCACCCAAGCCTTGAACCTCTTTTCAGTGCCCGCGAGATCTCCGCTTGGATTGAGCACGTAGTAAGTGCTGCGAGGGTCAACAGGAGATCGGTCTATTACTTGGTCGTCCGTGTGCGAAGGCGAAGCGTCGCTCGACTGCGTCCGATGCCACTTGACAAGGTCCATTCGGTCAAGCAGGAAATCAATGCTTGGGATCCGACTGACGCTTTGACCGCGTAGAACTGGTATTGATTCCCATGGGATTCCCTGCACGTTCTTGTCCAGCACCAGGAAGAGATGGCTATCCTGTATTGACATGACCTCGGTACTCGTGGCGTGCTCTTCAAGGACACTCCGAAGATCCAATACGACCTGGTCCACATCGACCTCTGCTATTGCAACGGGTGTACCGTGAAGCTGGTAGAGGTCAAGAATGAAGTACAGGAAATCCTCAAGTTCTTCATCGCGGCATTTGGGAGAGAGCATCGAGAAGCACTCGAGAAGAGCGTCATTGAGGCGGGTACTTGTCTTCCGCTTCTTGTCATGGGAAACTAGACTTCGCTTGAAAATTTTGTCAAGGCGACTCCTGAGACGTAGAAGGACATCCGTAGACATATTGACTGGTTGACTTAGAGCCGTCTACATTTTGAGCGTGAGCAAAGGCAACGAAGGATGGCGAGAAAGGCATGTCAAACCTTGAAAGCACCCAACCAACAGAATTCAATACTCTCCAGTAGTTCCTGCAGTCGCTTATCCAGTGCCGCTCGATCTGTCCACCACGCAGCCCTCGCTTTCTTATCATCAATCTTCACATTCACAGCTGATTTTGTGCCCTCGTCACTAAGGCGCACAATCTCTTTCAGCTCGTCTAGGGCATCACTGAAACCCAGGTGGCTGTCATCACCTCCCTCCCTGTGTCCTTGAAGAGGTAGACTGAAGATGAGCGGCTCGTGACGAGCCCTTTGGCGAGTCACAAACAACGTGTTCTTGTCCTCGGTGACAAAGATATTCACCACAGTCCAATGTCTGGGTAGATGATCGGCTTTTGAGTGCAGCAGGCTCTTCGCATCTAAGACCTGAGAGTGATACTTTTCTCGAATGTGTTCCCAGTATCTCTTGAGTGAAGTGTCGTTGTTACCAGATTCTTCCAAGTCGGATTCATAAACCGATTGCAGACGTTTGCTATTCCGCTCCGGAGAATGCGCCAGCGGTGAACCATTGTTTGTGATACGGGGCCATTGAAGATCGTCGGAAAGATGGAAAATAGGAAACTTGTTCTGGATAGCTTCCAGGATCTCCCGCCGAAGAGTGATACTTGTAGATGCATCTGTCAATGAGCGAAATCTAGTCAGCGAGACTGAGTTTGAACAGCTTTCATCTACGTTACCTAAGAGATTGGCAATAAGGCTATGGCCTGTGCTGCCCGGCTTTCCTAAGGAAGTCTGGAATGTGCGAATCAACGCAAGGGACCCTGCAGAATCACGGATATGCGAGACTCTCCCACGTCGCGTGATGGCAGAGATATTGGACCAAAACATTTTTTCTGCCTCGTTCAGCATATCCAGGATCTCTTGATTGGCTGGAGATGAGCGAGTCTTATCTCTAGAAATGCCGATCGGGAGGGCGATGGCTAGAGCCAACTAGGTGAATTGCGTCTTCCAGGACAAGCCAAGACAAAGAACTTACTTGATTCAGTGAGGGTGTTGAGAAACATATCTTCACTAAATCGATCATATACATCGTGGAGGGTGAGTTTAGCGAGTAGTGCATTTTTTTCCGCCTGATAATAAGGTCACTGGTGTTATAAATCCGTAAAGTGAACGATGATTACCTTTGTTTCAACAGAAGGCGGCAATGCCAAGAATCTGTCCAACAAGGATTTATATTCATCCCCGATGTCATCTCGCAAGAGCCAAACTAAGGAAGGTAGCAGTTATTATTGTGAAAGGAGGCAAACAACTATAGACGTACTGTGTTGACGAAGGACGGCCGACAATAAGGCAGGTAGCACCCCCTCTTTTCCTTGAGTCGAGCCTTGCATGCTGGAGTGCCTGGATAATGGTCAGTTAAGAGTAGATAGTCCATAATAGGTTAACGAACCTAGTCCCAATGCCATCCAGAGAAGAAAACATCTTGTCTAACTCTTCGAGGATTGTGATAGCCTCCGAGTACAACTCTAGTGCATCTTTGTCCTTCGAGTTCAGTTGATTGTATTCTCCGCAGAGACGACGAATGTCAGCCGCATCGGGCCCTGGTAAATCACTCAAAACTTCTGCCGCTTGGACTAAGCTATTATAGCCATCTTCGAGGTGCCCCAAGTAAAGTTGGATTTCACCCTTCTTCGCCAAGGCACGACTAACCATAGCAGGGGCATTTAAAGAATAGGCCAGATCTTGCGCTTGCTGAGAGAAATACTCAGCTTCTCGCGCGGATCCACGTGAAAAATAAGCCTGGGTAAGCGCCAGCAGCGTTAGAATCAGGCCTTCTGCAATGCGCCATTCTAGACCGTCCATGAAAGGCCTTGGTGGAACGACCTGTGGTTTTGGTTCTTCGGCTATCGGTGAATTGACTTCTTCAATTTTGGAAATAGCCTTTTTCATGTCACCAAGATCAAACGGGTTTGAGGTATCGACAGCATTCTTAGCTCCAACCGCGGGGCGGTTAAGGCGGGTAAGTGTACTCAATGCACGATTCCAGAGACGAAGGGATTGCAGCAACCCGATGAGGCATTCCGCAGGATCGTCCTAATCAGCACAATAAGTATGATATTAAACCCAACTGTGAACGGCCTACTCTAGTCAACTGAAGGCTAGCAAATGCACTTGCGGCCATCGCAGATCGCTCGAGGAGGCCGACTCTGGTCCGAATTCGTTGCACAGTGGATATACCCTTATCTTCGCCTTCAAGGCCATCAGCTTGCGCGAGAGCCTCGCAGTAAATACTAGAACTATAACAACTAATGGTCAATGATTCGGAAGGACAATTAATAAGTTGAATCACCTTTGCACCACGTTGCCAGTAACAGCCAATGACTCGGAAAAGCGTAAGAAAAATAGTATACGGACTTCATCAGATGTGCTCTGTCTTCTAACAGAACTAAGGGCATTGCTATAGATCACGCCTGCCTTCGCGGTTTTACCGAGTTTCACATATTCGTGTGCCAGATCTATGGAGGCTTTGATATAGTCTGAAATGGGCATGTCGTCAATTGCCGGCAAGGATAAGCGCAATGATGGGGAAAACATACGATCTTCCGATACGCCTCCATATCGCTCGCTTAGTCGACGCATGATCTGAAGGAGACGAATCTTGATAAGGACATGTCCCAACAATCCAACAAGCTGTACATTTAGAACTGGTGACCCGATCTATCGTTAGTGAGAGCATTATAGCGAAACGGACCAGGCGTCTCACAGATCAGATTGACAATCCTCTCAAAAGTATCAAAAGCGATCGTTTCCTGGCCCGTCTTGCGGTCAGACTTTGTTCGATTCATGGATTCTAGGAAAGCATAAACGGTGAAAGTATGGATATTATCTTCAAGGTCGATGCTTACCTCTGGGCAGTCTCGCAGCAGCCGTTGACCTTTTCGCGGCGACCTTTGTAGTCTTTGCTTTTGCCGATGCTGACGTCGTTCGCACTGCTGTTGTCCTAGGTCGCGCGATCCTGGTAGGAGGTGCTTGTCTCGATGACTTTTTACCCTTAGGACTGGTTTCCGCCATCGGTTGTGAGATCAAGAAGGATTTCAAGATACGACATGCGTTCTCGCAATGTCGAACGACTAGCTCCGATTGGCGCGAGTCTTGTCGGCGATGCACATGCAAAGCCAGCCAAAGATGTGTAGCTGCCTCGTATTGTGAGCAGAAGCGCCTTAATCCAGAGTCCAAGCCAATGTTCTAACAAGGTTGACTGAGTATATAGATATCATCATGCCGAATGAAAACACTTACCTCCACATAGAGTAAATCAGTGATCTCATTACCCATCTGATCAGGACGTAGGGTGCTATCAGACATCCCGATCTCACTGCTGTAGTAAATGTGTTCCAGACATTGGAGCAGTACCCCAGCCCTTCTAATAGGCCTTTGTGCACCATACACAAACAATGCATGCGTAATAAGCACCATGATCACGTTCGTTATGTTATCCTTCCACCTACTGCCATCCAGGCTCTGTATCTGCCTTTCAAGGATGGCGCCGGTGATACAATCCCGCTCTCCGGTGGAGAGGTCATTGATGTCGTCCCTAACCAATACATCTCTCAGCGAGACAGAACTAGGATCTTGCATGAGTTCGCAAGCGCCCATATACGTGACTCTGTCAACGATAACGCCAATTTGTTTGAAGGCGGGGGAAGAATCAAACACGCTACCCGGGCCCATGGTTCGGATGGTCTGGACTATGGATCTAGGGAAGTCGTACGATTTGATACACTCCACGAAAGCGTCGTATGACAACTTCAGCGTGGTCAGCACCAGTGCGAAGTCATGATTATCAATGTCGCACCTTTCGGTCTCCAATCTTTGAGTAGCAGACTCCGAGTAGTTCCCACCGACGAGTGAGTTGGTCTCTCAGCTGTCGCCACGCAGCATCGTGGCTCTCGCCTGATTGGCCCTCTGCGTCTCGAAGCATTCCACATCTCTTGCCCGAGCGCAGTGCCCGCCGCCCAAGAACACATCCTTGGCGCAAAAACCTGATGGCAGGGCCATACCTGGAAGCCTGATATAGGGTCCCCGCAAGATTGTGAAATGCACCAGACAAACAACGGACGTAATTGGAGTACGTCTCCGCATCGATGGCTGTGAGTGGAACATGATCGTCCATGTCCTGATCATCATTGGAAAGCTGAAGTCCCAAGATCGTTGCTGCTTTTGAGAGAAATTCATAGGCAAGCTCATATGTCGCGGGGTTGTGAGGGATAAGGGTAGTTCGCGCAAGAACGAACAAAGTGTCGATGGCTGGGGTGAATGATTCTGAGTCTGGCTTCTGGCAGGAGAACCAAAATTGAGCATATTCGCAAACTACATAAGATAAAACGTACCATTTTCAGTCCATGTTCTAGAATGTTTGTCACATGAGAAAGCATGATTTTAACCTGCCCTGCAATGCTCATGTTGCTCGAGGAGGTCAAAGCCAATTTCTCCAGCACTTTCACGGCAGCTCTTCTTAGGCGCTCGATGGCTCGCCTTAACTTACCCTCTGCTCTCAAATAACTCTCGTTATGTGTGGAGGCTGTTGCCTTCATACGAGCCTCAGCTACCTTCAGAGCAGCGACAGCATCGTCTATTCGGCTGGAAACGTGTCCTTCAGAATCTGTGTTATCATCAGGACCTTATTTGAAGCGCAGTAAAAGTCTAAAGAGTCGCACCCGCTGATATGTCATATTCAATGACTGCAGTAGTTTGTGCAATGACGGCACTAATCTTGGCCATCTCAAGAATTGGTACATCCGCATTGTTAGCATCCCTCACATCGTTCTTGGAAGATTCCTGGTCTCCATTGTCCTTTCTTGGGATATGATTGAGACCTTGAACCGCTTCAGCTTTCTCGGTATGATCTATAGACGGTGTCGCGTGAGGTATCTGGACAGCATGCATAATCCCTGCGACTGAGTCCAAAGTTTTGATGTCACCGGCCTTGAGGGATAATGTCAGCGTTTTCCTCGGTGCCAAGAGGGTTCGCTAACTCACTCTTTTTGCATATCCAAGCCAGTATTCGCAGAATGATACGAAGGCCTTTCCTGAAAGAAAGGTGTCCTTATCTTCTCGATCCTCCGCCTGAGCATGCAGTTGGGAAAAACGTGACAGAACCAGACGAGTAGCCTCGTTCTCTGGCTCCCGGTCTTTGGTATTGTTCAGCCATAACGCTGGCATCGAGCGAGCAAAGCCAACACCGAATTTAACGCATTGATTCCAAAACATGTCGGGCTGAACTGTAGAGGGGCTGGTGTACAACAGACATGATAGCGCATAGCATCGTATGCGGAATACCTCATGTGGGTGTCTTTGATATTGACTGAACGCTTTTGCTAAAGCAGTGTAAGCCCGAGTGAGCAAGGAATCACAATGTTTGGAAGTCAAGGGTGAAAATAAATGGATCCAGGCTGTTAGGGTGGGCGCATCATATAGAGCATTCGAGAGTTTCATAATGGCTCCTTCGTGTGCAGCGGATACTTGCGTAGATATTGGCGGCGAGATGCAGTATGCTAGAGCGGTTAGGGAGTGTGTCAAAAATGTGGAGATCAGTAAAAGTAGTATGTTGTCTAGAGCGGGACCATCTGCGGATGGCAGTGGAAGGGAGAGAAGGCGTATACGATCATGATATGATGAAACATCAACAGTCGAGCGACTGTTAGACTTGACCGTCTTGGTTGGTAGCTTGGACGTCGCTTCCGCAGGTGGTGGTGTGTTCGGATACAACGTAATAAGATGACTATACATATCCGCAAGAAGGTCAAGTGCAGTTGCGTACTGAGAATAATGAGCTATCTCTAGTGCACGCCGAGATCGTGTATTGTATTGACGCACCAGCTCGAGAGCTATAAGTTTCCCTACTACGCTGGACGCTGCCCTCTCTATGTCCAAGCTTCCTGGATCCAGACTTCGGAGTTCCACGAGTGAACGCTGGCATGATACAGCGAGCGACGCGGCATCTGGTCCTGCCTGAGTCTTGCTAGGTGGCGATGCATTCGAAGCCTTCCATCCAGATTGAACTAGATCTGTAAGTGCTTGAGACGACGCATTCACAGAGCGCATTGCGGCAGTGCTTCTCTCCTTCGGCGTCCCGGTAGGTAGGTTCTTCCTCACTCTTGGTTTCGAGATGGTAAGTTTCGATGCGAGTTGGTCTGCGAGATCGTCGGTGGAGGTGGCATTCGCCCCTGCTTTGCGGGGCGCACCACGGATTGAAGAAGGGGCTGCCTTGCGGCTAGTCGTCGCTGCTGCTGGCATTGCGAGAAAAAGATGATGAGAGTGGGTTGAACGCGGGTCGAGAACAATTTCGACGCGACAGTCTCGTGAGCGTGGCGTGAATCACATGATGATTATAACCTGTGGTGCCCACTTGAAATGGGTCAGGTTTTCCGCTGAGCGATTCATCGACATCACGAGAGGTACTACATAGGACACAAAAAAAATCTATTATACACGACTTTCGCAGCGCGCTACAATTCCTCAGTCTCACCGCCATCGCCGTCACCATCGCCATCGCCATCGCCCAGCGTCATCTCATCGAAGTTATCTAATAACTCGTCCAGTTTCACTTCGGGGAAATCAGCTTCCTCTTCCTCCTCCTCCGGGGCACCATCCATCTCAACCTCGGCTTCACCGTGGCCGTCGTCTACGTCCATCGCAGATTGAACCTTTCTCCTCGTCTTGCCACCCGCTAACCCAGATCCTGCCTTTTCGCTCTTCATACCCTCTGTCTTGTATAGGTTGACCATCCCACGCATCTCCGGATCCTCCTCTAGATCGCGCAAGAACAGCTCATAATCCTGCTCCACCTTCTTGGTATCGCGCCCACCCATCCTTCCAACCACGCCACGCCCGCTTCCAGTTTCGCCTTCTTCTCCCGCCTCCATTGCGATACTCCGCAACTTCCAGCTTCTCGTCTTCGTCTTCTTCCGACGGTTTGGATATGCCTTCTTAACCAGGATGATGTCGGGGATGCGGTCCTGTGGCAAGTTGGCGTAATCGTCGGAATTGAAGTTGGCGTGACTGAGATGGAAGCCCATTGCGCTATCGCCTGGTTGAAGGATCGCTCCCAGGTGGGTCCGTGTGTGGAAGATCTGGTTTACAGCGGATGCGCTCTCGTAGTCCATCATTCCGTCATCTTCTTGCATGCCAGTCGATCGGAATGCGCCCGACATAGCTACTTGCGCATCAGCAAGCACTACCTTTCCCCGAGCCAATCCAGAAGCCTCAATATCAAGAACGGTAAATTCGCTAAGCTCCGAAGTAGTGGCAAGCGCTTCGAAGGGCGTCCGCCAATACATTGCCGACGTCACTTCGCATGATTGAAGGGTAGCAGGATCTAGTAGATGTATTGAGTTGCCCACACGCGTGCAGACCGTCAGTGGGTTAATGCTTCCCAAGGATCTCGCAAGCTTTGGTGGAAGAACGACAAGATCGTCTTTACATATGGGGATGATTTCAACTGAATAGGTGTGCTTGAAGGTCGCCGTGTTGGTGTGGGTATCAGAAGAGAGCAAGCGCTCAGATGATTTTGTGCTGATTCGACGATTGTAAGCTCCGGGTTGAGATACAATGCAAGATACTCACCGGATCGGAACCACACTAGCCAGAAACTCTACCATTTTGAGAGCATGATTTCGTTGGCTGTAAAAAAAGTCTAGACCATCTCGGACCTCCTTCACGGAGATCGTATCCTTTTGCGCGCCGTGTTTCAAGATAAGCTGTTCCAGATATAAGAACGTGCGCTTATGCGGCACTTTCTGGCGGACTTGTACAAGAGCCTTCCAGGTATTTTTGGCTGCTAGTTTCGTACAATCAGGGCATTGTCCGTGCTGGACGAGATATTCAATCTCAAAAATTTGTTCTAAGATAGTCGATGTAAGGACCTGTGAAATGATCAGTCATGATGCTTCATCTGACCACCAGTTTGAAATCGCACCTCTTTCTGAATCGTCAGCGATACTCTCAAACGCTTGGAATGCGGCTCCGTCCAGATGAAATGAGCCTCAGTCAATCGAACCTTATTGAGACCCTTCAATTTTTTTAGGCAAATGGCAAGGAGCTCCTGAGATTCGGGTCGTGCAATAGTCCATGCTAGAGGCGGCGAGAGAAAACGTTCACAGTTTCGGCAATATGATACAGATGCTATGATCCGAGAAATTTAGCCTCCCACAACGGATCGGCGTGAGGTAAATCCGCTTACCTTGCTTAGGGATCCCCTCCGTGATATCTACCCTGTATATCTCTCAGGGATGCGCGAGCAGATAATGGCCAGACGTACTCACGTATTGCGCAAGCAATTGACGCACAAGTTCGCCGAGTTGGGTACGATGGGGGTTCCTGAGCAAATTGGCCGTCGAGTGTTGTGTAGATTAGATGTCTTTGCAGTGCGATGGTACGCAAAAGAAGCACTTACCACAGTCAGCGCACAGCACTCGATGCACTGCAGGCGATGGCACAAACTCCATGGCGGTCAGCTTTTTTGAGATAGAATACAGGGGAAAGAATTATCCCGATGATGAGGGGAAGGCTTTGTCGAACTGACGAAGGATTTTACCAAGCTTGAAGTTACTCAGAGATGAGTCAGCATGGCCCCGGTACCGGCGCCACGTGGAAGATGCACCCTCGGAGTCAGTCTGTCCTAACACGGGACGGTAGAAGAGTCAAACTTATGTCCAAATCCTTGATCGGTTTCGAATTGAAATATAATCGAACAAGCGTCTTCATTCGAGCGGCAAAGACAGTTGTAACGTACAACAAGGTAGTGAGTTCAGAAGATGTGTTATGGATACAAGAGTCTTCAATCCTGCGATTCGTGGATTAAGAAAGCCGAGATCTTCTTAGAGAGCGGAGAGAGGAAGGGAGAGAGGAAGGAGACGAGAGCTAACATAAGTTGTGAGGGTATGAGAGGGATGTCTCCATGATACACGTCACATGGGGGGAGCAGAAGATGATCTAGAAATGTCCTGACCTAATGAGTACTGATAGATGTCAACATTTTGTCTATCAACATGAAGCAGTGTTGACGGAACGACAGCTCGTAAAGGGGGGGTTTCAAACGACGGTCTGTCAATGAGTTCCAATATCGAGACACGTCGACGTTTGGTCGCCGGTCCCTTGACCAACGACGCCTCAGAGGTATCATTCAGGAATGAATGGATAGACGAACCTGGGAGTTTACGACGGGAGGACAGTCATCTATGGAATAAAGGGCATTTGCTTTCCCGAAGGCCAAACATAGGAAAACATCGTTACGCCAAATCTCGATGGAGCGTCGAGGATGGCTGGGAGAAAAAGCGAGGGAACGTAGCCCAGCATCCTGCTCCGAGGTGTCGCTAAAATTGAAGCTTCCGATAGCGGTGCCCTCTGAGAAGGAATCCAAATCCTTCAAAAGGGGAGCAGGGGGTCGATCTTCTCCACGATGATGTAGATACCCGGATATGCTGATAAGAGTGATGAAATGACAAGAGGAGGATCATAACATAGCGTCGAATGAGCTTCAATCAAGGATATAGTGACTTCACTCGTGCTTACAGGTAAGGGTTTACAGGAGAGGGCGTAGAAGGGAAATTCCGTTCATTGGTAAATGTGTCGTCGTAAAGGCCTAACGACGACGCGTGAAGCATGCTATACGAGAAGATTGAGGAGTGAATGGACATTGAATGTGTGATACTCACTGTCCAGGCGTAGTGAGCAGACCTTGGAAGGGAGCATCGAACGGAAGCTCATGCAAGGGCTCGAGAAGATAAGAAGAATAAAGTCCATTTGGTTTCATGTCGCACGTTACGGTAGCATAATGGGGGAAGGGGGGGCACATATGAAAGAAGGGTGCTCGAAAAGCAGACGAAAGTGAATATAGGAAGCCGTGACGGTAGTGAACCACAAGCGAAGAGAGTAAGAGGGTCAAGGAGATGTATGAACGCAAACAGAAACGGAGGGGGAAAGGTAGAGGGGGGAGAAATGGGAAGGGGGGGAGGATTGAGAGGGGAAAGCAAGGGGCATACCTTGTTTGCGCGATTTGTGCTGTTTATCAGTGTTGACATAATAGTTATGGCTTGCCTTGAGAAATAAGGTTAACTGCATATGTTAACAACAAGGGGAATTGATATATAGCGGCCCGTAGGGACGTTCAAGAAACAGAGCATACCTCAATTCCGCCTAAAATTCCCCACTTTTGACTTGGCATCTTCAAGACTTGCAGCATGCATTCCCTAGCCCTCCTCTCTCCACTGTCAATGCCATCTCACTGCAGCAAAGTGATGATAGCGGTGGCATCACGGGTTTTGGGTAATTACTTGTGATAGACTGTTAACTAATCAAAGTCTCTGCAAAGAAAGTTACGGGTTATCTACCTCATGATAATCCTTGATTGATGCGGCTCATGACCTCAGATTCTGGTTAAGGTTATACTTGCAAATTCTGCGTCGGTCTGTGCGCTAGAATCATAGGGTCAATAAGCTCTCACCGGCCAGTGCGAGTCCGTATAACGTTTAATGATCAGAAATATGATACAAGTCGATTGGCGTGGTGAGCACAAAACCAAGATGTTGTGAGTCCATATCGTCGTTGTGAAAGAAATCAACTACTACCAATCGGTGCGATGTTTGCCGTTGTTTGTCATCATCCACTCAGATCAACGACGTGTCGCACGACGGGCCAAACTCTTTCGCTCACTACTATTGATTCAAATTTTCGAGTATGCTTAACTTCGAGGACGTCGAGGAACATGACGGTGCGTCTGGGATAATATGAATGTACTTTAATGTCCTAAATTTTATGAAGGCGTGCGGCTTTCGTGGAATGTCTGGCCATCGTCCCGCATCGAAGCCAACCGCACAGTCGTTCCGATATCTGCTTTGTACACGCCCTTGAAGCAGAGGGACGATCTACCACCAGTACTATATGAGCCAGTGACATGCAAACCCCCGTGTCGTGCGGTCTTGAATCCATACTGGTACGTGTCAATTGTCACACACGTAGCTGCTGCAAACGGAATGCAACGAAGATGATGATAATTAGTATCTCACCACCCCTTCTTGATGTAGCCAAATTGACATTCGTGGCAAACTCTGGATCTGCCCATTTTGCTTGCAGCGGAATGCCTTCCCCCCTCACTATAAAGACATATCCAACACCAACCTCCCGGCTGAACTACTTCCAAAATACACCACCATTGAATACACCCTGGCCAGGCCAGCTCAAGTTCCGCCCATCTTCTTATTTGTTGTCGATACTTGTCTGGACCAAGACGATCTCAAGGCTCTCCGCGATGCGATAGTCGTCAGTCTCAGTTTACTTCCGCCCTATGCGCTTGTCGGCCTGATTACATTTGGGACAATGGTATGAGTTCCATTAATTTTCACTTTGCGACCTTTTTCGACAAGCCTTTCAGGCTCAAGTTCACGAGATTGGATACGCTGAATGCAGTAAATCCTACGTGTTTCGTGGAGGGAAGGAGTACACACCGAAGCAAATTCAAGACATGCTTGGGCTAAGTGCTCAGAATCGAGCAGCACCTCGTCCTGGCCAACCTATGCCTCCACAAACATTTGGAGCAGCGCGCTTCTTGATGCCCGTTCAGCAATGCGAATTCCAACTGACGGGTATTCTGGAGTCGCTTACACGGGATCCTTGGCCGGTGGCTAATGACAAACGCGCACTTCGTTGCACTGGTGTAGCCTTGAGCGTCGCTGTCGGGTTGCTGGAGGTTCGTCATTCCTGCGTTATGATTTCTTTCGCTTAACATATTATTCTAGACGACGTTCCCCAGTACTGGTGCTCGTGTGATGCTATTCTCCGGTGGTGCTGCAACAGAGGGACCTGGCTTGGTTGTTGGTCCGGAACTCAAGGAACCCATTCGATCACACCATGACATCGATCGCGATAGCGTCAAACATTTCAAGCGCGCTACTAAGGTCTGTTCTCATTTTGACTCAATCTCAACGATCCTAATCTCCGAACAGTTTTATGAAGGCCTTGCAAAACGCGCCTCTAACAATGGTCATACGGTCGATCTATTCGCCGGGTGCCTTGACCAGGTTGGCTTGCTGGAGATGAAGTCCTTGCCTAATTCAACCAACGGTGTGATGGTCCTGTCTGATTCTTTCGCGACCTCGATCTTCAAGCAGAGTTTCCTGCGGGTCTTTGCTAAGGATGATCAAGGCAACCTCCAGATGGGCTTTAATGCAACCTTCGATGTCCAGGTGTCTATTGCGAGGAAATTTTATTTGTTTTGTACCCATCGCTCACATACTTTCACAGACTACGAAAGAACTGAAGGTCTCCGGTCTGATTGGACATGCTATCTCCGCGGCGAAGAAGTCGGCATGTGTTGGCGAGACAGAGATAGGCATTGGCCAGACATCGGCCTGGAGAATTAACTCCATCACTCCACGCACATCTGAAGCCGTTTACTTCGAGGTTGTGACTCCTGCTGGACAGCCTCTGCAACCAGGCTCTCGGGGTCTCATTCAATTCGTCACTCACTATCAGCACTCTTCTGGTCAGATGCGACTCCGAGTTACGACCATCGCACGTAACTTCGCAGAAGCTGGCTCCCCAAGCATTGCTGCATCGTTTGACCAGGAGGCCGCCGCCGTCTTGATGGCGCGCATCGCCGTATTCAAGGCGGAGATTGACGACTCTCCAGACGTTCTTCGCTGGCTCGACCGCATGCTCATTCGTCTTTGCCAGAAGTTTGCGGATTACAGGAAGGAAGACCCTACAAGCTTCCGGCTGACAGACAACTTCAGCATATACCCGCAGTTCATGTTCCATCTGCGGCGAAGTCAGTTTTTACAAGTATTTAATAACAGTCCAGATGAGACTGCATTCTACAGGCAAGTGGCAATTTTGTATCCCTGATTGTCATCTTTCTGATTACCCTCACATCTAAAGGCATATTCTCAATGAAGAGGACGTCAACAACTCGCTTATCATGATTCAGCCTACACTTATGTCTTATGGACTCGATGCCCCACCTCAACCTGTTCTTTTAGACAGCGTTTCTATCAAACCAGATGTCGTCCTATTACTCGACACGTTCTTCCACATTCTTATCTTCCACGGAGAGACTGTTGCTCAGTGGCGAAAGGCTGGCTACCAAGATCAAGAAGGCTATGAAAACTTGAAGGAGCTCCTCGAGACACCTGTCAGCGATGCCCAGGTTCGTGCTCATTGCTGGCGTGTTCAGTGACATCATCGGGCTGAGTTCATAGTATTTTTCGTTCAGGACCTTCTGGCAGATCGACAGCCTATTCCTCGGTATATTGTCTGCGATCAGGGCGGTTCCCAAGCACGTTTCCTCCTGTCAAAGCTCAACCCATCCACCACACATATGTCAGCAACGATGTATGGATCCGGGCCAGCTGCAGGCGCAGGGCAGGCTATCTTCACAGATGATGTTAGTTTGCAAGTCTTTATGGAACATCTCAAACGTTTGGTACGCTACACTCTTTCTACCTCCTAGATCTTATGATTGATCTTTCTCGGCACAGGCGGTGGGCGCGCAGACGAATTGATGTGTCTAGAATAGTCGTTGTGTGTATCCCATACGTATTTGCCATGTGTTTCTTTGGACTCTCTCATATTATCGTGATGCTGAAGCGCTGATGAGGTTCTTGGTTGAGGGGGATGATCCCTCGCCGGTCAAGCCGTGTCTATACGTTCGACCCGACCGACGTCTCATGACCCCTCTAGAGAACTTGAACCTTCAATCGTGTGAATGGTCTCTGGGACCTTTTGCGCTTAGACTGCTTTTCATTTCCCAGCGCTCCAGTGCTCATTGATCGACAACTCTATCCGTGAACATCTGAGAGGAGATCGGAACTGCAACGGAATTATTCAAGGTGGGCGATCATACGTTCCTGGCGGCACTTGTTACCGAGGAGATCTCAAGACCTCAGAGGGGATAGATTGTCAGTCTGCTATTCTGATACGTCTAAGACTCATGTCCAGATTGATTGATGTCACCATCTTAACGACTATGCCATTCACTCCATTAGCAGATTGGCTGGATTCAATTGAGAGCCTGGGAGGTGGCGTCCGCGCTTCAACAAAGTGCCGTCGCCCTTTGAGGCGCGCAAAGTGTCTCTATAAAGGCCTACAGAGAAAGGTCTGTTTGCGACACCCCACATCACTTCCCAATCATTTCAAAAACCACATGTCTATCGCTATTCGCGACCGGACTATCATTAGTGAGCAGACTGAATAATTACTCTTTGGATATGCATTGTTGACGTTGACCGACGATTCCGTAGGCCGTCACATTGCCCCAGCTGTCCAGAGTTTGCAAAATGCGGGTACTTTGATAGACAGTGCAGCGAGAGAGAGTACGCTATATCTTGCCGTCTTACATTATCTTAAGTTTATCATTTGGCAGAGAAACCAAGCAAAACCAAAGACTTCGCACGGAAGGTCCTCCATGGTACTAATCAAATCATGCCCGTTGTTGAAGGAGTCGCCGAGCTCCATCCCGTGGCGAAGGTGAGCATCGTGTTGTCCAGACATGAATCCTCGCTCATTTGTCTGGTGTAGGCAGTGGTAATGGTCTTCAAGGCTGTTTTCGCATCTTCCCATGGTTTGTCGCTGATTTACGGCCCAAAAAAGTCTATCACCAAATTAGAGACAGATAAAATGGAGAACGATGACCGGATTGCAGTGGTCCATTTTTCAATGATCAGTTCTTCCTCGTCTCATCTGCCACCTTCGCTTGTCAAATAACACTTTTGCCATAGGCCATGACCCTTTTCACCTTGCAACATTTGAGCAAACTCTCGTTCATGCCCGAGGACCTTGAACTTGCGCTGGGCGAAGCCTTCGGCAAACTTGAAAAATAATCAATAGTTTTAGTAACCAAAACCATGCATTTCTTTCTTGTTGCAGATCACTGATGCCTGCGGCGACCACAGGGAATTTTTCCAGGTGCGTATGTTGTGCGCCTTAACCTCCCTCGGGCATCTCAAATTATGCCTTCAGCGTCTACTACGCCCACAAGCAAAGCACATGTAAGTTCTAAACAATCCGCGTGAAGGTCCTAAACTAATTATTTGATAAGTCCGCGTCGTGCGCTCTGGGGAGTTCAAGGAGAAATTGACCGGTTTCATGCAAGATTTTACCTAGATCAGAAGACACTTCCTCGAAATCGTGCATATATAATCTGCGAACAGCATCGATTCCATGAATATCAATATTCAACGGATTATCGAAACTCTAGGCAGAGACGGTGCTAGGGAAGCTGCGGCTACCCGTGTGGTTGAGAGCAGAGGTGGCTTCGAGGCGCTATACATGAAGATCTCAGCGAGATGCTGGGGAGTAACAAGTATGTCATTGTACATTCCACGGCCTCAGCAGTGTTGTGAATGAATAATTCTCAGATCCAATTTCGAAAAGAAAATACATGGCGCTACCTTTCAGATCAAGGAGGCAGTGGAAAGCTCAAAGGATGCTATTCTGCGCCAGGTGAGCGGTATATACTCTTGCCGTCTGGATTCTTGGCCAACAAAACGACCTCAGCTGAATGAAGGACCACATGAAGCCCTCGACGACGAAGATATCAAAGTTATTTGGAGCGGTAAGCTACATTCCGCACCTTTGTCGTCGCGATTCTGAATTTCTTTAGAATCGGTGCGCATCTCATTCCGCAAAGCAATCAGAACTTCAGGCCTATATCCATTCAACAGAAATGGAGAAACAGCGTCAAGTGGCATGTATTTATTGATGGTAATATATTTCCAAGCTTCGCTATACTTGCGCTCACATGTTGTGGTTCATAGCGATACATGACCGATTCTCTCAAAAGTTTGGAGAGCACCTTCGCGAGAACGAGGACTATTACCAAGATCAGTGGATGCTTATGGTCCTGTCAAAGGTCGTGTGTATATCAATTTCATTCAGCTCTAGTTAATTGAAATCCACCAACACTTTCCAACAATACATAGTCCACTATGCACTGGGAGAAGCCATTGACGAGGATGGCAGTGGTTTTGTATCCGTACACGAAATGAACCATTTTTTGAATCGACGGCCAATAGAAGATTTCAGTGTTCCTGAATGGCTCGCTTTGTGGGTTAACATACTGTTGTTCTTCCAAGACTCATTCAGTGCCGATTGCCGCTGGTACAGCTGGGCCCAGGGTCGGTCCGAGACGAACGAAATGTAAGGGCTATTCCCATCATATCTGTCAGGATGTTCTCATATAACTGGCTGAATCCTTTAGATACCGTGACCGCATACAAGACCTTCTCGCCGAAACTCAGGCCAACGCGGAATCAGTCCAACAAGAGAATGAAGAAGGAACTGTCGAGTTACTGAATTTCGTGTCAGAATTCGTCAATGCCATCGTTATTGGTCAACCTTGAGTAGAACTCGTGGGTCACATGAACTTTTGGATCATTGTGCTTTTCACTCATCCATACCTTCTGAAAAAGTCCATTATGCCGTTGGTATTTCTATGGCTTGGACGCGTGCATATCCTGGTAAATCGTGCACGAGAGGAAGATTTGGGAGATGACGACTCCGATGCTCTATCAACTGTTGTATCCATGGTCACTATGGACCTACAACGATAGGGTTACCGAGTTGATTCGAGTGTGGCGACAACAGCGCATGAATGTGTCCGCTCAGATTCGATGCTTCTGTGGTGGTATCTTCAACTCTTGGTACGAGGTAACGCGTACATGTGCCTTGAGTAATAATGAATTTTCTGACATACATTTTCGCAGTCACAAAATCTTAACAACATTTATCGGCGGCTCCTCACTGCAATCAATGAAGGTGACGAAGATCGAGATTACGTCGAGGATGACGACGACGACAGCAGCAACGATGAAGGCGCCGAAAGGCAACAGAAACTTATCGTAAAAGAGAGTAAACCTGACCGACAGCCAAAGCTCAAGGGTGATGTCGACAGAAAAGTTCGCTTTTGATTATCAGAACCGATGAAGTGACCCACTGACGGTCCTGTCACGTCCAGATGCAACAATTATGGCAGCGCATGAACGGCCTTGATGATCGACTCGGTAATATCGAGAACCTGCTGAAGGCTCTCGTTACGGCGAAGAATATTGGACCACTCAGTTCTAGTACTAGTACGGTTCAACCCATCTCGAGACAGGTAGCACAGAACGATGCTCCTGTTGACTGCGAGCCACCCACATCAAGCCGTGGGAGCAACGACCAGGATACCGACAAAGACAATGAAGCAGTCAGAGGAGAGTATTTTGGGGTGAGCTATGGACAGGGAAATGAGCGGTATGAACGGTAATAATATGACTACCAACAGGAGACCAGAGAATATTACGGCGATGAGTGAACTGTCCGTTTTCATGTATGATAGATTCGGAGTCAAGGCTTGATATATTGATGACCTGATTGTATGCGCGACATCCTGTCAAGCCTTGAGTATTACAAATCACATTTTGTTCGTCTCTACGTCTTTGCTCATTCTCATCACGACCTTTGCATTGAAGCCCTTGTGGATGGCCCAGTATGCGGTGGGAGTCGAAGCCTGCGAAGGATGCTCAGGACTTGCCTCTTCCGATTGACCAGTTCGCCGTTGGCCAGATCAGAGATGGAGAAATTTTCTACATCCACGTCTACCCTCTCAGCCCGCTTAGCGGTGCGTATGCTATGTCTTTGAAATCTTCTTTCTAAGATGCATTTTAGTCGCCCTCATCGTGGTTGCGATCCTCGTCATCGTCATCTTCATCAGTTTTTATCTTTTCCCAGTCGTCTCCAACAGGCTTTTTGGTTGGAGTGGGTATCCCTCAGGACATCAAACCATAAGCTGGTCAACTCGGTTTCGCAATCGACGTGTTAAGATAATCCCAAGTAATTCTCAAACAACTACCGCCCCGTCTGCTCAGCCTCAGTCCGGAATGGGAATATCCCCTAGCCTTGCTCACCTCGACGCACTATCTTCATCCACAGAACCACCCACACTTTCTATATCTATAATGGCTCCTGGAAACCTTCTTCGACCTCCTTCGAGGGATGCTGGCGGCGACTTCTGTCGAATATCTGCATCTTCTCTTATTGTCATTCCTGCCAGTTCTGAAGGGCGCGGAACGAGATCTCGTAGTTCCCCTCGCAAGCAAGCGGCTTCCAATGGCGATGTTGAGGCTCAGCACATCTCGATCTTCTCTAGCTAGGATTTGGTCAATCGTCTTTGAGCTGGAGGTCCATCGTGCATAGGAACACTTGGTCTTGTTGACCAATTGGTTGGTTCATTGAAGCTGGGGTTTGAGATGAGGATGTATCACATCTTGTTCAATATCATGGGGACACTCTATTATCGCACATCCATGCACCTTTCGAACTTTGTTCCCAAATCCAGGTATTCGCGTTTGAAAGCCTAAGTCACCTCTCAATTTGTTGCTGTCCTCCATTCATCCAGTAGACAAGTTGAACGCGATCTTAAACAGAACATTGAACATCAGTGGAGTTTGATGTGAGTGGATTTCTCATTCAGTGGATTTCTCATTTAGTGATACGGCAATGAAGACGCATTCCAAGTAAATTTTTGAAAGGCTATCCTTCGTCGCTCGAGGGTCTTTCAATACCTATTTCATAGGCATTCGTGCTCTGCTCGTATGACATATATTCGCATGCCCCATCCGGACATATCGCCGTTTCCCCTCTATTAGTGGTATGTCATAGCATGCCATGCATCACAAACGACATACTCTCATCTCCCAGCACGCTGAGCGGAGCCAGTGGTGAGTCCAAGTCCGACGATGAAAGCTCCAATGTCCGATCTAGGACTATCGAATCCGTCGATGACAGAAATGGTAGCTGGAACTCCTTGACTGCAGCTGTCGCCTTCTTGACCGCAAGGATTTTTTGTTCTTATCAGCGTCGCGAGGTCAACCATGGACGGTTGGGTTCGCCATGGGAAAATGTTGGACGGTGGACATACATCTGAACCTGGGCTTCATGTTCTCCACAAGATGAACGCTTTCTAGGAATCCGTGGCGACTTTCGCATTCATCGCAGGTGGTTCCGGGAATCCCGGGGTGATTGCGGAGGCGCCTATAGATTACATCGATCACGCGTCAAGTGAGAGCTATGCTTGCAACCACCAGGACGAAGGTCATTCTCGTTTTGCATCCCAAAGACCTCTGCTAAACTCTTGAGGAGGCATGATACCGGAACCTGCAGTATTGTCGTCGGGGCTGCATGGTTCACGCCATCGGTCAAGATCTTTTTAAGCCCGCGTATAACCACTGATCATCACAAAATGTCTGCCGCTTGCCCCAGAGCGCTGAGCGCTTGTTGCTCAGCAACCGTAAGTGCGGGTCTCAATTGAATGGGTCGTAATTCCCAGTATCATTATCTCTTTTGATGGTCTGATCCTTGTCCATCCATTCATCAATCTTTTTCTCAGCGTCGTCGGCGACGATGACGGCTTTCATCAGCCGATAGATCATCATCTTGCCTTGACATCTCTGCAGCGCGTTATGCTGTGGCGCATGTCGCCAACACCTCCTTTCGACGACCCCTCCGTCTCTTAATTATCCTCTCACTACTGGTGCAGGGCACCCGGCACTAGCAGCATTACTTTAATACTTCGACCATGAACATGATTTACGCTTCAGATCCTGCGTTGAAGTATGAGCCTTTATCTGCCTGGAACAGTACAAATCCGAAGACAAACCAGACCGGGTCTACCGTCTCAGTCCAATTTCAAGGTAAGTCCCCAATACGCTCGCCCGCGAAAGTCGTGAAGAGTGAGGTCGCTGTTGCTCCAGGGACGACATTGAAGGCGTTCGGGAAAACAGAGCTGCCGTCCATCTTTTACTCTGAAGATGATCACCAGATACACAACCAGTCTATCTCGGCCCATGAAGAGAAAGACAGCGTCATGATCCTCGAGCTTTCCTACCATGAATGCTCAAATCATGCCGTGAAATTGATAGTGTTCAACTCGGCCGAGCAAGGGCATGGCTTGGCCATCAGCAAGTTCGAGTATACACCGTGCACACCGAATATTACCCTAGCCCAACCCTCGATCCCATACACGCCTATCGTCCCGCCGGCGACGCCCGCAGCCCAATCTACGTCACCCTCGACATCGTCAGTATCGTCGTCGTCGTCATCGAGCAACGACACCGCCCAAACCGTAGGGATCGCCATCGGCTGCGTCCTCGGCGCGCTCCTGATCCTCTCGGTCGCCGGTCTGCTATGGTGCCGCAGGCGGCACCGGATGCGCCAGAAAAAGCCCCCCTCGGCGAGCTTCCTCGTCCTACCTTCCTCAGGCAAGCACCACACCCCTCTGGCCCGCCTAAACTGACCGCTCTCCGTGCAGATCTGCCGCCACACTTCCCTTCAAGCGCCCTCAGCAAGTACGCGCCCGCCGCAGACAGCCGCGCACTCTTCTCGGTGGAGGTCATCGCGCCGTCGCGCGACGAGAAGTCCGAGCTGCCCGCGCCCGCGATCAGGCCGGTAGAGGGCACGAGCGGGGCCGCGTACCTACGCGGGTACCTCCCCGACTCTAAGGAATGGCTCCGCAACGCAGAGCGCGCGCGCGTCGCCGCGGCGGCGGCAGCGGCAGCACAGAGCGCGCATGGAGAGCCCGGTGGGCACGCGGCCGCGTACGAGGGCGGGATCGCAGGCGGGAACGGCGAGCGACCTGTGGTATGAGCGGGTGGCCTGCGCCGGAGTGCCGTCTTCGAGCTCGGCAGACTGGCTATGCGCGGGGCGGCGTGGTGGCCCGCCCGCGTGCGGTCCCTCTCACCGGGCACGCGGACCTCATGAGGGCGAGGGTCGTCGGGCGGGGTCATTCTGTCGTCGGGGTCGCGTGCCTGCTGTCGCTAGGCGTGTATAATATGCATGTGTGTGTATTATGCCGTGTGCTTTGTCTGTCCCTCCGCGAGTGCCTTGCTGCCATCGGCGTGAGTGATTCGAACGCGCCAGAACGCGCCTCGGACAGGCGATCACGATCATGACCGTGATCACGTCCGCCGAAAAGCAAGCTCGGAAAGTGATAAAAGCGATCCTAAATACAAAACAAGGATGCAAGCTCTTAACAATGCGTGATCAACCCCGCCCGTCCATCCATCCATCCCCCTAAGTTACCGCGCGAGGCCCACCTAGAACCCCCCAAACGCACCAACGAGCCTCACTACACTCTCCAGGCCCTCCCGGACCCCACCAACACCCCTACCAAACCCAAACCCAAACCCGGCACCTCCACACCCGCGCCCACCGCCATACCCGCACCCATACAGCGCAACCGCGACCGCGAGCCCCAGCACGAGCACCGCGCTCGCGCCCACGAGCGCCTGCCGCGCGTCGCGCCGCCGCCGCCACCGCCAGTACTGCGGGCCGTGCGCGCGCGGCAGCCGCTTCTTCGCGCGCCCGCGCGCCCCGGGGGCGGGTTTTTCGTCCGCGGAGGCGGGCGCGCGCGGCGTGCGCCGGCGGCGGAGGCGGAACCAGCTCGTTTTCTCGCGCTCGTGCTCCTCCTCCGCCCAGTCGCCGTCCTCGCCCTCGTCCTCGTCCTCGCCTGCGTCGTCGTCCGCGTCGTCGGCCCCCTCCTCGTCCGACTCGTCCGCGGGCACCACGACGTCGGCGCCCCGCACCACGATAGCCTCCGCGTCCGCGTCCGCCGCGGCCCAGTCCCAGCCCCCCTCTGCGTCCCCGTCCCCGCCCGCGCCCCCGAGCGCGTGCTCGCGCCACGTGCGCACGGCGCTCGCGGGCCCGAGGGTGCGCTCGAGGCGCAGCGCGGGGTGCGACGCGGGGTAGAGCGTTATGAGCGCGTCGGCGTGCGCGAGCAGCGCGCGGAGGGAGTGGGTCGGTTTCGGGGCGTGCGGGGGTCGGCTGGGAGCGTGGGGTGCCGATGCGGGCGCGGGCGCCGGCGTGGGTGTGTGTGCGGGTGCGGGTGCAGGTGCGGGTGCGGGTGCGGGTGACGCGAGCTGGGGTGTACAAGGGCGCGAAGGCGGCGGGGACGGCGGGAGGGGCACGCGCGTCGGGTCGAGGGGCTGCACGCGCGCCGCCTGATCTCGCAGAGGCGCAGTCGGCGGCGGCGAGGGGGGGAGCGGGACGTCTGCTGGATCGCGCGGGACGTCTGCTGGGTCGCGCGGGTCGGCGGGCTGCGGCGGCGGGATAGAGGCCAGGCCCGGTGCGCGCTCGCCCTGCACTTCTCGCTCGTCGCCGTCGCCGCCGTTGGCCGTACCGTGCGCGCCCGCGGTGACGTCCTGTGCGCGCGGGGCATCCCGCGCGTCCTGCTGCGCAGCGTGATCATCGCCGTCACCGCCACCGTCACCGTCATCGCCACCGTCACCGCCATCGTCACCGTCATCGTCGTCGTCATCGTCATCGTCGTCGTCGTCACCGCCACCGTCATCGTCATCATGGCCGTCATCCCCGTCATCATCCCCGTCATCAGCAAAATCCGGCAACCCGCTCAACACGGCGTGCACCATGCCCTCCTCCCCCGCATCCGCGAGCTCGTGCACCTCCGCGCGGCGCGCGAGCGTCACCTGCGGCACGCGCGAGACATTGCGCGGCGCGTGCGGGGCGGGGCGCGCGTATACGCATGAATGGTGTGCGTTTCGTGGGCCGGACGGATATGGATAAGCAAAGAAGCGAGAATGTCAGCGCCGTCGTCGTCGTCGTCGTGCACATCTCCCAAACTCGGGCGAGAGGCACGGATGGAGATGCAAGAATGCAAGACGCAACAAGACGCCGCGGCGCCCCCGCTATAGCGCTCTGCTCCGCGTCCCGCGTCCTCGCGCACGCGCATCGGTGTCGGGAGCGGCTACACACGACGATGGGGTCCTCAAGACAAATACGAAGCAAGAAGCAAGAAGCAAGAAACAAGAAACAAGAAACGAGAAACGAAAAAAAAGAAAGGAGAGAGAGGGAGGGACACGCACCGCAGCGGCGAGGTACACGACCGCGACGGGCGGGCGCGCGAGGAGGTAGTCGAAGATGCGCTGGGCGCAGGCGAGGGAGGGCGCGTCGTGCGCGAAGAGGGTGAGGAGGTGGGAGAGCGAGGCGTACGGGAGCGGGGCGACGCTGTGCGGCGGGGGGGGGGGGGGGGGGGGTGAGTGCGGGGCGAATGAGCGCATGGGTGGGGAGGGGGGGATTGTTAGCGGTGGGACGCACGATTCGAGGAGGGCGGCGTAGGTGGGGTCGGCGAGGCGGAGGAGGCGCATGAGGACGCTGTCGGGCGGGGCGGCCCGGGGGGGGGGGGGGGGGGGGGTAGAGTGAGCGGGGCGCGTGGAAGGAGGGACTACGGGGGCGCACCGGAGGAGGCCGAGGAGGGGCTCGAGGGTGCGGCCCATGGCGTCGCGGAGGCGGTGTAGGCTGAGGCGGGCGAGGGCGGGGAGCTGGGCGCGCGGCGGGAGGGTGAGGAGGAGGACGGAGGCGATGTCGTGGAAGCCCTGGCTGGCGCGGGTGAGCGGGGCGCGTGTGCGTGTGCGGCGGCGGCGACGGGGGGAGGACGGACCTGGAAGTAGCTGAGGCCGGGGTGGCGGCGGAAGAGGGCGGTGACGAGGGCGTTGAGGGCGTGTTGGCGCTGGGCGTGGTCTGCGGGGGAGTCGTCTGGCGCGCGTGCGGCGGGTCAGTAGGGAGGAGGAGGAGGAGGAGGAGGAGGAGGAGGAGGAGGAGGAGAGGAAAGGCAGACCTGTTGGGTAGAGGACGAAGCTGCGGTCCGTGTCGAGGCGGATCTGGCGCTCGTCTGGGTGCGCCTCACCGTCGCCGTCGCGGTCGCCGTCGCAGTCGAGGGCGCAGTCGACGTCGCGGACGTGCAGGAGGCGGAGCCTAGAAGCGGGCGCGGTGTGTCAGCGCGTGTTTTCCGGGGTGCAGCTTCGAGAGCGTCGAGCCCAGAGCAGATAAGAGCGAGCCGAAAGCGAGCACGTATCGGGATGAGGGGAGAGGAAGCGCGGGGACGCACCATATGGCAGCTCTGGCGCTGCCGAAGCCGCCTGGGGCGAGGCTGCGGCGGCGCAGGGCGTCCCAATCGATGGGGTCCGCCGTGGGGAGGTCGGGTAGCGGGGGGTGCGACGGGGAGGGAGAGGGCGGGCTGGGCCCGGGAGGGGATGGCGAGTGCACCATGTCCTCTCGCCGGCGTGCGCCCGTTGCCAGACGCAGCAGCCCGCACCCATCACGTGCTCCCTCGCGCACGCGAGCCGTCCAGATCGCCCGAGAGCACCGAATCGAGCGAGCGTGTCCCAATCGGGGTGCGAGGAGAATCACATGCTCGCGGCGCAGCGTTCAAAACGGGGATCTCCCAACACACAGCAGCACCTCGCACACACCGCACACACCGCACACACACCGCACTCCTCCGTCCCCAATGGCAGACACCCAGTCCGCGCCCGGCCTCCCAGAGCTCACCGTCCTCTCCCGCGTCGCCTCCATCCCCCTCATCACCTCCTCCCTCGCTGCCCTCACCGCCTACCCCGCCACCCAGCACGCCCGCGACGCCGCCCACGCCCTCGCAGCCCCCCTCGCCCCCTACACCGCACCCTTCGCCGCCCGCTGCGCCCCCCTCCTCACCCGCGCAGACGGCCTCGCAAACGCCGGCCTCGACGCCGTCGAGTCGCGCTACCCCTACCCCTTCCGCACCCCCCCGCAGGACATCATCGCGGACATCAGGGGCTCCGCAGACCACGCCCGCGCAGTCGCCGCAAAGACCGTCGACGATCGCCTCAAGAACCCCGCCGTCGCCGTCGCGCAGGGCATCGACCAGGTATGACCTCATTCCCTTATCAGCGCGTCATGCCCCAGAGATTAACCCCTTCCGTCCCTCCGCCCTCGCTTGCAGCGCTTCACGCCCCTCGTAGACTACTTTGCCCTCGCCGTCTCTCGCCTCCACCCCGCGGACCCGGCCGGGCCCTCGGCCTCCGACTCTTCCGACTCGGCCTCGTCCTCGTCCGCCTCGACCGCCGCCGACGACGCAAAGTACCAGTACCAGCGCGCCTACGCCCTCTCCCTCGACCTCAAAGACCAGCTCTACGTCTACTCCAACGACCAGCTCGCCCACCTCCAAGCCCAGAGCGCCCTCGTGTAAGCCCCGCCTCCGCGCCCATCTCCCGACCCTCACCTCTCCTCCTGCGCAGCCAAAAAGCCACCCAGACCGCCCACAGCCTCTCCGTCCTCGCCGCCTCGTCCGCCCACGCCGTCCAGACCCGCGCCCACGCCCTCTCCGAGACCATGCTCCAGGAGCTCCACCGCGTGCAGACCGCGACCGCAGCCCTCCCCGCCCACCTGCAGGCCGCCCTCGCCCCGCTCACCGCCGCCCTCGCCGACGCCCAGGCCGAGATCGCCCGCGTGCGCGCGCAGGACGCGCCCGTCGCCGACAAGGCCGCCGCCCTCGGTCGCACCGTCAGCGCCAAGGTCAAGCCCGTCCTCGAGGCCGTCGCCAGGCGCGTCGACGGCGTGCGCAGGCGCGCCTCGGGCCAGCCCCCCGACGCGGTGCCCGACGCCATCCCTGCGCCTGCGGGAGAGAAGTGAGCGCTCGGGGGCTGGCGGTTTGGTCATAGACGATGTCGATGTGTCACTGTATCGTACTGGTTCCCCTCTAGACTTTCTCTCTCTCTCTCTCTCTCTCTCTCTCTCTCTCTCTCTCTCGTGGTCTTGGCCTTGGTGTTGGTGTTTTCTGGCCGTGTCTTACGATTCGATCATGATCATGTCCAGCTCGCGCACGCCGATTGTTTCTTTTCGTGTCTTTCTTACTTTACGCTACCCTCCCCTCCCTGTCCTCGTCCCCGTCCCCGTCCCCGTCCCGTACTTGTTTCCATCTCCGCGCCACGTATGTCCGATGGTCTATGCACGCACGTCTTTTTCGTCGCCATCGTCACCATCGTCGTCACCATCGCTCGACCATGCGCGTCTCCAAAAAGCCCGAACAGACGAAATATCATATTCTGCCGACGTCGAGGAGTGCGGTACGGTACACAGTCCGGCGAATGACGTGAGAGAGACGGAAGAAAGCGAACATCCGAGAAAATAAGAACGGAGCGGGATGGCACGGAACGTCGCGAGCGGCGCGTCGAGCGGCGCGCTCATCGCGGCCCCTCGCCCTCGCCCTCGCCCTCGCCTGCGTCTGCGTCCCCATCTACATCTTCGTCCCCAACCCCAACGCCAACGCCAACCCCAACGCCGACGCCGACGCCCAAACTCGACGCGACGGACCCCACCGGCGCCTCCGCCCCAGCCCCCGCCTCCGCCCCAGCCCCCGCCCCCGCCCCAAGACCGAACCCCACCCGCGGCACCGCGACCGGCACCGGAACTGCCACCGGAACTGCCACCGCGCGCGCGCGCAAGGCCGCCTTTTCGTCCATCACGACCGCCGCCGCCGCCGTCGCCGCCGCCGTCGCGCGCTTCTCGTCGTACGCGCCGCCGTACGCGCCGTCTCGCGAGTCCGAGTCCGAGTCCGAGTCCGAGTCCGAGTCTGCGCCGGAGCGGGAGGAGGCGTCGGAGTGGGAGGCGTCGGAGCGGGAGGAGGCGGGGGCTTCTTCTTCGAGGAGGGCGCCGGCGAGGCGGAGGGGGGCGTGTGTGGTGTCGAGGATCTGTGGCGGGGGCGGCGGTCAGGAACGATGCGGGTCGGATGGAGGGAAGGATCGGGAGGGAAGGATCGGGAGGGGGATCGGGAGGGACGCACGGCGAGGTTCTGCCCTGCGCAGATGGCCTTGACGAGGAGGCCCTCGTGGCGCGCGTGCACCGCGCGGCGGAGCGAGCGCGCGAGGAACGTGGAGAGCGCGGGGAGCGCCCAGGTTGGCGGGACGCGCTCGAGGACCTGGCGCGTGGCGGGTCGACGTTTCAGATGCGCGCATATATATAGAGAGAGAGAAAGAGAGAGAGAGAGAGAGAGAGAGAGAGCCATGCGTTAGATCGGTTTCGGGGAGTCAAGAGTCGGGTGGGGCGACGCACGTCGACGACGTCGAAGTTGGCGGCTTGGGCGTTGAGCAGCGCCGTGCTTGCGCTGATGGAGGCGGAGGACGTGATTGGCGAGGGGGACGTCGAAGGGCCCGTCGAGGGCGAGGACGAAGATGGCGGCGGTGGCGGCGGTGGCGGCGATGGCGAGGACGGTGAAGACGGCGGTGGCGCGCGGTCGCGTCCCGGCGCGTCGCTGTCGTCATCATTATCGTCGCCGTCGTCGTCGTCAAAAAAAAGATCACGCAGAGCGCAGCCGACAGACGCACCCGCTCATGTACACCTCCAGCAGCGCCTTCAGCAGCCGCCTCGTCTCCGCGGGGTCCGCATCCCCTTCTCTCCCCGCGCCCGACACCGCCTGCGCCGCCTTCGCCGACGCACCGCCGACGCCCGCCCACGGCCCGAGCCCATGCTTGTCCGCCAGCGCGCGCGCGACGCGCGGCGGGATCGCGCTGCTGCCGCCGGTCGCGCAGTACGCCTCTGCCGACGCGTGGTCCCGCACGGTGAGCGCGAGGAGCGTGAGCGCCGCGGTGTGGTTGCCGAGCTGCGGCGAGGGGAAGGGGGTCAGGAGGTTCGGCCTTGGTGTCTTTGGTCGCGACGAAACGCGCGCGCGCACCTTGCCCTCGACGATCGCGACCTCGACGGCTAGCGCGCGTTCCCGCGGCGCGAGGCGCGCGCGCACGGCCCGCGCGTCGTATAGCCTTGAGTTCTGCAGGAAGAGCGCGGTGCGCAGGCGCGCGCGCTTGGCGGGCGAGTCGGGCGTCGTGGACGCGAAGTAAGCGAGGAAGGGGGTTAGGTTCGGCGTCGGCGTCGACGCGTAGGACGCAGCTGGGGTGGGGGAGCATCAGTCGGCCGAGCGGTCGTGAGACGTGGCTACGGACATTTGGCGCGCCAGAGCTTCGAGGTGGCGTCTTCGGACAGGAAGGAGAGGAGTTGGTCGATGCAGGTGATCGCGAGTTCGGTGTGTAGTGTCCGATCCTGTGCGGGCTCTGGTGAGGACGAAAAAGAGGAGTGCCGGAAGCAAGGGACGCACCGTGCTCCGCTTCTGTAACACTAGATGCTCGAGGAACTGCGTTCCCGCTTCAGGGTTCGCATCCCGGATCTGCTGCAGCATCGCGAGGTCATCTTCAGCCCTATTAGCACGCCTCGTTGAGCCTTGTGAGGTGAGCAACTGCTCGAGGTATTAGTTATTCATAGGTGTGGTGGACATGGAGAGTCGCAAACCTTGAGAGCGCGCTCCGAATCTTTTCTGGTGAGCCAGATGCCCCACTGCTGCGTGAGTTGTCGATTCCGCCTTTCGGTGAGGAGCGCAAACATGTCTGACAGTGGATCTGGGATGTCCGCGTCCGTCCATTCGCCTTCGGCCAGTCTGATTTCGAGCGTGAGTGGAATCCCGATGGGTTGCCATCAGGGTATCTTAGACCACGCACTTGGACCACGCTTCGAGCAGCTTCGCGTCGTCTCCACGTTTTGCGTAGATTTTGCAGAGCGCGTTGTATTGCCCCGTCGACCGAAAGATGGATTCCAGCTCGGAGAGGACGAGATGTGTTGAATCGTCCAGAAGCGTATACAGCTCTTCTGTTTTCTCTCCGTGGGCAAAGAGCTTCGCGAGCACTGTGTCTACAATCTGCTCTCAAAAGCCATCGTTGTGTTAGCACCAATGATGAACCTGACAGAGAGGCACCCACTGCGTGCACCTCGGGAGTGCCCGAGTCCCCACGTATCCGCCGCCATTTCCTCAGAAACGTCTCGAGCATCTCACGGGCCTCGATGCCGAGTATCCGCCTCAGCTCGGCGGTGGGCGGCGCGGATCGCGTATTGGGCGCGAGGTGCGGGGAGTAGTTCCTGACTAGGTTCGCGGCAACTAGATCAGTCCAAGGAGGGCGGGGCGTGACGAAGGATGCCAGTGTTCGCAAGCAGGGACACGGGGGTATCAACCGGAAACATGTAAAGAGTCGTCGGTGAATTTGGACAGACGGATGGAGGGACATGGGACACGGCATTGAACAGGCAACACTGGGAGAGGGACGCACTTATATCGTCGACCGAGTCGTACGGCGGCATGCAGTCCGCCACGCCGACGAACATATCGACCTCGAGCACGGAGGAGAGCAGGGAGCCGCGGAGGTCGGGGAAGTAGGAGACGAGGGCGCTCGGGTCGAGGTTACCTTCGAAGAAATTGTATCCCGCGTCTTCAAAGCGCGTCTCAGACATCAGCTGGAAGCCCAACCGCTGGTAGACGTAGCGGAGCTCATCTGCCTAGAAAGCATCGCACCTTCGGGGGTTCATGCTCGAGCGGAACGGCCACACACGCACCTCGTCCTCGTCCACCGTCAGCTTGCCCTGCAGCTTCTTCCGCTGCTGATCAGCCAGTTCTACGACATCGTCGAGTCTATGGCTCTCTAACAAGGACTCGGCTTGTGAGATGAGTGTCGCAGGAAGAAGTGAATGTAGCGAATTGATGCCCAGGATCAGCACGCTCGAACGAGGAAACGTAGAGCGCCGTGCCATAGAATAGACGTCGCGATTGTCTCCCTTCCAGTATTATATAGACAATACAAGGATTCTAACGGAACAGCAGCAGATTTTGTGGAAATACAAAAGTCAAGCTCGCAGCAAGGTGGAAGTTGTGTAAAGCGTGAGAAAATCCGCTAAACGATCATGTCTCGACAGGTAGTACCTCTATCTCCTGTCCGTTGTCCTCCAAATCCTCCATCCGTTTCTCTAGTGTCTCGAGACCCTCTTGCACAACAACTCTTTCAATGAACTTGGGGCGTCCTTGCAGCTTCACCTTCTTTATGCGCAATTTCTCAGACTGCTCTTGCGATGGCACGAGGAACCCATTGAGGCTAATGGTGAGCGTGCGACGCTCTTGCGCAAGAAAAGATGTTGGTGAAGCGGAGGGCAACGGAAGTGGGGGAGCTGGGATAACTTGAACGATCGTCTGTGTGTCTAGATTGTGGACTTCGATGGTCTGATTTGGGAGCAGAGTCGTGATGTATGGGTAATCAAGGCCTTGCAAACGACTTTGAGTCAGCGGCCTCTCCTTCAAAACATTACGAAACAACAAGGATACGCACAAAGTGCGATCGGATGACTTGGCCATTCGAGCGTCCCTCGCACCGGGTCACCATCCCCAGTGATGAACAAGCCCATCGTGCTGGCGCCATTCCATGATAATATGAGAAACTCGTTCTCTGCAATCACAGTGATCACAGGGCGGATGCGGGGTCCACCCGAGTCTCCAGCCTGATTTATTGGCATTACAGGTGTCTGTACGGCTTGGTCAAGATCGACCATCGAATAATTCTCGCGGTCAGCGATGCACAGTCGACGACCGGAACGCTTTGCGAAAAAAGCGCCACGGAGCGGGATAGACTGTCACTCTCACTGTTAGCGCAAGCTGCGACAGAACGATATGTGTGTGTGATTCGACACACCTTCTCGATGTACAAACGTTCCCGCAGTCCGCAAAGCATGATGCTGTCCCGCTTGACGACGCAGAATTCGACCTGTTCCGCTTGCAGTGGCGGATCTGTGAGAGGCGGTGCTGAAAGCTGCAATTGCTGGTGATCGACTGCCAACGCGACTACGTTGCGCATAGGCTTGATAGATACGGCATCGAGTGAGGGAAGCGTGTAGAAATGAATCTGATGGTCTTCAAACATCCATGTCAACGATAATGTTGAGGGCTTTAGCTGCATTCATGCACGAAAACACATACCAGACAGTATGAATGCGCGGCTTATACTGGGCGCAAGCACGATCTCATCAACAGGCTTGTCGTTTGGCAGACTCTGGCGGGAGAGAAGGCTGTAGGATTCAGGCTACCGACCATGTGAGCGAGATAACTTGAAGTGGGGCCAGGCTCAAGCACCTCTTCTGGTCCATTGGCTTGCAGAGCAAACCGTAGCAGTTCGCCATTGGAGCAGCCAACATATATTTCAGAGCCTGGATCAACATCAGTCTTGAGACGTCATCAGAAAGTCTTGTCGCATTGGGGCACGCGCCATCGCGAAGTCCATAGTATTCTGAACACCGAGAAACATACCTAGAGCCTGGGCACACTTCACATCTACAGTCGGAATCCCTTCGGATGAGTTATAGCCTATAAACCAGCACTATTATTTTTCGATGTCTACCAAGATAATATTGCAGAGAAGCAAACCGTAAGATTCGACGACAGTGTCTATGAGGGGTTGAACTTGATAAGGTGGGACATCAACTGGTTTTGTCGGTGCGGAGGTCATCGAGTAGGCGCGAAAGGAAAGCGTGACTTCATACTATGACATCGTCCTGTGACGTCCTGTGACTTCTACATCGCCAGAGCAGCTCCCGATCGAGCACTCTCGAGACTCGGGCTCTCGAGGGTCGCCATGAGTCGCTTGTACACTTTCAACTCGGACATCATCACCTCGACATTCTTGTGAGTCCAGAACTCGTATGCGATAGGTTGCCCTTGCAATACTGTGTCATATTTTGACTTCTTCCCACAGCTGATCTTCACGGCGTCAAATGGGGAACACCAATCACGATATTTACGAACAGACGCTCCCCTCTATGCAACTGAAACGCCACCACTCATCCCTCAATGACATTATTCCAGATGATATCCTCGTTTCCATATTCCATGCCATCGTCAATCGCGAGTTTGCAGATCAGGCACAAGCGTCAGACTGGGAGCGCCAACGCCACCAGTTCCTGTGCACAATGGACTTGATCCAGATCACCCACGTTTGCCGGCGCTGGCGCTACGTCTCCGTGAACGATCCCAGACTATGGTCTCACATTCTTTGGAAGCGACCGAAGTGGTCCGCAGAGATGCTACTTCGCTGCAAAGGATTACCCATTACCATCGATCAGACTATCGACAATCATCCGTCAATTGCAGATATGCGCGAGATCTTGTCTCATCTGCCTCGCACGAGGGCGCTTCGTCTCAGCGGGCGTCAGAATGTCTGCAGAGCGTTTGACAAAGAGCTCTCACAGCCAGCGCCGATGTTGCAATCAGCGACACTCATTGGCCTGGAGAAGGCCTACTATTTTTGGGATGATGAATCCTCAATCGTCCCGTCTAACCTGTTCGCCGGGAATGCACCGTACCTCCGTCGCCTCGTCATCTCTAGGTACACGTTGTCGTGGAAAGCGCCCATCATATCTGGCCTTAGGCATCTGGAGGTGCGAATGGACAACCCATACCCCTATCGCACGATCAGCGACTACCGGGATAGGATGATACCACTCACGTCGACCAATGACATTCTTGATGCCTTAGAGCAGGCGCATGAGCTGCAGACTCTCATCCTCGCGTTCACCTTACCCTACATCCCCGATAACAAGCCACTCCGTTCCATCGATCGTATCATCCGCATGCCTAGACTCTCTCAGCTCATTCTGCAAGGGTACATGCGCGACTGCGCAGATTTCGCGGGTCATCTCGCTATTCATCCCAACGCTCGGCTGCAATATCATTGCCTGTACGCCGGAAACGGCGAAGACTCATCTGATCTCGCTTTGAGGCTATTGCAGCCTTGTCACGCCAGCATTACATCGAAACCTATGGATGTGTTTTATGCACATCACGAGCTTCGATTCTTTGACCTGAAAGCTGTAGAACGAATGAGTCAGAGCCCTACATTTGACTTGATGCTCGATCAAGGGCCTTTGCGGGGCCCCGATTCTGAAACACGGAACGCGTGTTTATTGGCTGCGCTACAGATCTTGCGCAGCCAATTCGTTCGACGTGCCGAGGAACACATTCCTGCAATCCATGTCCCCCGTCCTCTCAATTCTGTAATTTTGAGTACATACTCGACACCTGCGATTGCTTAGATATGAGTGCGTGATAGTTTCATGGACTGGACGAGTCTTGATATTTTTGCGGTAAATGTCATAGACTCTCACCTGTGACTAGCGTAAGTATAGCCGTCTGTAGCACATTGCTTTCGTTTTGAACATTTGAATACAATGCTGAATACTTTGCTGTTCGACTCGGACCGTTGCCGACGTGCCGCTAACTGCCGCGGGGCCTCAATTGCTTACGTCAGAACTCTATTCACAAAACCATCAGCCCGCTTTTTTTTCTCTCTCTTCACTACCGCGACAGATCCAAGGCCACAATGCTCGTCCCGCACAGGACGTCTGAACGACAGTTCTGGCTTCCATCTTTGCGAGCGGGCTAAGGTCTGAGTGTATAGCTCCCTCGATCGACTCTCGCAGGGTCCGAGTCTAACGGCTCGAGCAACATACAAGAAATCCGTCTGCTTCACCTTGTCCGAAGACACGCTATCTGTTTCTCTAGATTCGGCGGCGTCGAGGGTGGTGAATGTAGGCTTGAGATATGTTGCGGAGTTTGGGCAGTACGTTTTGTCTCATCTATCCTCCGAGTCGTGGGTCGGAGTGCCCTCGATGCCCTATCGCACCTTTCGTCTGTGTCAGACGATCAGACATCAGGCAGTGTCTGAAGTGTTGTCAACTCGCTTCATTGCGACACAGACAGGAGTATATGACTCTGGGAGCACACCACTCCGATCAGAGCCTCCGGGAGAACACCACTCCAGTCTGATTAGGGAACACCCTTCTCCAAGTCGAACCTCTTTCCTGGACGAATGTTAGCCCTTCAGTCATGATCCGTGGCGAGAAGCGGGGGTCATAACTCACACCTGCCGCCTTTACCCAACGAGATCAGAAGACATAACCTGTCGCTGTTGTGGCTAATACAGGAAAGAGTGTCTGCCAAACCCTGGTGGGACGTGGACCTTGTCCAGTTGCGTTTCGATGGTCATGAGTTGATGACACTGGTGTATGAGGGGTTGGGAGTTTGTGAGGTGCACATCGGTACTGTCCTTCAGTGCAATTTGTGGCTCGCGCCTTTCGTTCTCCTTCTGGAAACGAAGGCGTGAAACTCGATTCAGACTACTCTGGGTCTGTCGCTATCAATTTTTTCCCCTCCTTTCCTCCTCGTGAGGCTTTCTATGTATATGGCTCCTGCTATAAGAATGCATATCTGTATGAAGTTGTCACTGTATCTTGTATCTGTCTGAAGCTCGTCATAACAGTCACATATCCCAGCAACTACATAAATGAAACAATAAGCACTGTATCCTCCATGCCTTTGTTCTCGTCGCGCCGTCCAAGATACGTCTCTCGCATCCTGCAGTTCACGGCCAGCTCCCCGCTAGTACCAGTTGGATGGGCTAGCGATAATGCGCGTCCAGTTGGATGGACCACGGCTTTGTACCAGTTGGATGGGCTTCGCTCACTCCTCAGAGAAAAAGGGTCCAGTTGGATGGACAAACAGCCTCGACACTCTACCTCATCACTCACGGGGCGATCGTCTGTTGAGCCTCTTCCGCCGCCTTCAACGCCGTCTTGAAGGCATCCAAAAGAACTTCCCGAGACTCCATTCCAACGCTCACGCGCACGAGGTCTGACGGCACGCCAAAGGACGCCGCCCATTCGAGCTCGGTGTAGTGTGCCAGGATGGCATAAGGACAAGCCAGGGTAAAGTTGGTGCCGAGGCTGGGCCCTTTGAAGCAAGGAAGATTGTCGAAGAACGCCTTCCCAGCCTGCATGGAGTGGAAGGAAAGGGAGAATAGACCTCCGTATCCGCCCTTGCGTCCGTCGACACCTTTGAGCCGGCACTGATCGTAGTTGTGTGCGGTCTGCCATTTCGGATAGTAGACTTCTTTGATGGCGGGAGACGCAGACTGCTTTGCGGCGTATAGGAGATCGCAGACAGCTTCGGCATTGGCGTCGATGACGGCGATACGGCGGCCAAAATTGCGCGAGTTGCGTTCCATGAAGATAGCGTCTTCGTCGAAATAGACGTCCTCATAGTTTTCCTGGAGATGGGCCTTGAGAGTCTCGTAATGTTTCTGGGATGGGTTCAGGACCAAACTGAAAGACATGTTAACACATCTCCTGTATTTCGGAGCCACACGGGCATACCTTCCACCCATGACGTTAGAATCACCGCTGAAGACCTTCGTCAAGCTCGTCACGACGATATCTGCATACTGCAGCACCTGGACATTCATGAAGTTGCCGATGGTCTCATCGATTATGATGAGGAAATCGTATTTGTCCGCCAATTGACGGAGGCGAGGCAGATTCCCTGAGCGGAGGAGTGGATTAGACGGAAATTCGGTCACAAGCGCAAGGATAGGTGGTCTCAATGGATCCTGCGCCGACAGTGTCGAAAGAGTGGTTTCCAATTCATCTAGAGTTTCGTCCAGACCGTGACCAAAGAAATAACACCCGGGACCCCATTTTTCCAAGGTCTTCAAGGTGTCTGTGTATGGGAAACTGATTTGATGATGAGCATGGATTATGCAAGAGTATGCGAAAAAAGACTACGTACCCAAAACATACGGTCTTCCTCTCTCCTATCGCTCCCAATGCCAGCTGGTGTGAAGACCAAATGGCCGCCATGCCAGTAGGGTATAAGAAGACGTCGTTCTCGGTGACGGGTACCCCTCGGACACTCTGCCCGACCTCGGTCTCTGCCTCGCTGTTTTCGGCGGTGTTGACGAGCACACCTGCGATGCGCCGACGAAGGGCCACTTTTGCGTTCGAAGCAGACGAGACGTTGAGATTGCGTCCATAACGCTCCTCTATGAACCTAGCCATGTCCGCATCGAAGTCGTCGCTCTTGTCGCCAAGAGTAGATAATGTATTTGGCCCACCACGGCTGATCGTAGTATTCCCAGGCGGCGATCCTGCGATCGCCTTGCCCTTTGCAGCGTAGTGCTTGTTCGGTGTCTTCGACGGTGCAGATGTGGCGGGAGGCTGAGTCGTCGCATCACGGGCAAGCACTGAAAGACAATGCTCAGCAAGGCGGCTGGAAATTCCGAGGCCGGTATGCTGCCAGAATTGTTTGGCGACGGGGAAGAATTCTGCTGGGAAGAGGACAGCGTGCACGCCTGAATCTGGACCGACATCAGGGAGGCGTAGTTGGACGACACGTGCTGAGACACAACGGACAGTGAGGAACGCGCGGGCAAATTCAGCGGTGCGTGCGGAGGGAAGGAGGAGAGCATTTTCGGAGGGCGTCCCAAATTTTTGTTCACAAATACTCGCAAGCTATGCAATGTCAAAGATTGTCAGTCAATGCTTTCAAAAAGTAGTGTGCAATTTAATATAAATCGCTATGTCGAGCTATATGCTAGTTGAGGAAAGGGCATCGCTCACCTTCCGAATACTCAAGTGGATAAAAAACCTCGGGTATCCTGTCTGCATACGACTGACGACACTCGGGTCGCCTTCTTCATATCCAACGTTATCCGCCCATGTAGGCAGCGATACTGAGATCGCGTGCTGTGTGTAAGGTGGGACAGAGTTGCCAGTCGGGTTGTGAGGTGCAGTCATTCTGTGCAAATTGGAGCCAGGTTGAGAAGAGTGAGCGATATGTGGGGTATATATGAATAATGAGCGAGATTTAGAAGAGGAATGTGGTCTGATCAGAAAAATCGAAAGGCGCTGAGAGGTGGAAACTCCAGAACAGCTGGTCGTGGCGCGTTGACGAGTCATATGAGGGCATCTTATCTTATCTCACCGGATTCGGTTCCATCGGCCGAAGCGCCACAGCCTGCTCAGGTATAATGACACAGAGCATTACATTTGGTATAATATACAGCGTACAACGCAGCTGGACAAAAACAACTATGTATACAGACTTGGATTGCGTGTTTATGATTTACAGAAATGGGAACCAAAACGATCATCAGAATCAGGACGTCACTCACGATTGTGAACTTGAGAATGTCTGCACGTAATTGCAGACGCATCATCGCCCAGGCCCGCGACCACCAATGCTACCACGTGAATTGGTTCTCACCAAGTCACTGAACACACCAGAAGAAGAGCTTTGACTCGAGGCAGATGAAGCGCGCCTATGGCGTTGCATCCGGGTTGGGTCAACATTGGGAACGTTCGCAATGCGTGCGAAAAGGGAGAGAACTAGAAAGGTTTCATATGTCATGGCTGACATTATAGAGAGCAATGGGAGGTGATAACGCACTGTCCACGATGGACACGATGCCCGATAAGTTTCCTTTTGCCGACCGGCCTGCTGACGGTGACACGGAGCCTTCTGCGGTGACGAATACACGATGTGCATTGGCTAGAGCAAAAAAGAATGAATCAGCACTCAGATAATAGTAGATGAATTGACGTACTAGCGAGAAGTTTCTGCATGCAGTAGGAAAGTGTGGATGAAGGGGAGACACTGTAAACTGCGAATGATAATCGATACATGTTATCCACCTTTATATTGAGCGCATTCCCTTACCTGGGTATTTGTCTCTTCCATCTGTGGAACCATCTGGCATCTATATCATGCTGTTTAATAAAGAAGACAACGCAACGACGCCCAAAGAAGCATTTACTTTAATTTGTGTCACCAGCTGTTGCAATGGCATTGTCAACACTTGGTTGCTTTGCGATGGCACGACGGTCTACCATAAGATATTTCCAGTTCTGCTTAATGTCTGAGATGCGAATCGATACAGCTCACCTTCCCGATATCTGTTACACTGACAGCACTCAGCAGGTTGCCAGTATCCTCGTGGACAACAGCAACACTGCTCACCCCGAGCTCACTCATGACCTTCATAGCATTCAGCACAGTGTCGCCGGCCGTTACCGCAACGACTTCAGAGTACAGGTTGAGGGAAGGCAAGGAAAGAGAGCTCAATGGGTTATTGAGGTAGCGTAAGAATGACGACGTGGGCGAGTTGAATGAGGCAGAGCGCACAGAGATTGGAGACGCGAGAACAGGTGATGAAGAAGGCGATGTCGGTTGGGGACGAGCAAATGAGGCGAAGTAGGCAAGTAGGCGGCGATCAGAGATGATACCAATGTGTGTTGAGCTGCTTCCTATCGGGGACTGAACAAGCACTAGCGAGAGCAAATGAGACTCTGAGCAGGAAGTCTTGACAAATGCAGTGCGTACCTCGATGTGTTCCAGAAGAAAATGCACCCAGCAGGGAAACGACGGTTGCGTCATGCGGCAGCTCAACAAGCGGGTTCTTCTCTGACAGGTCTTGTACCATCCCCAAGAACTTTCAGAGGTAGTTAGCCTGGATAAAAAGAAATAACTCACTGCTAACAAGATTGACTGGCACTCTTCCAGCCTTAGCCGCTTCCATGATCTGTGTCACCCGCGGATTCTCTATGAGATGCTCAGGGCTGTATGTATGTCGCGTAGCAGCGAATGTAAGAAACGCGTTTACATCGGCGAACTGGATGCTTATAATCAATTCGCGCAGGAGCACAAGCCGGTAGACGACGTCACTCACGTCAAAAAGACCAATGTATGGTGTCTCTGGAGCTTCAGAGGACGGCGCTGATTTGACAGCCAGACACAGAATGTTGCGTGAGAGCAGCAACTGTGATTATATGTGCTTCTGTGACCTGTGTACACTGTCAACAATCCGAGGATCGCCTACCTCGCATGCCTCTTCGACGGTAGTCTCCGCATCAACATCGACGATCGGACAGTCGACCAAGTCTTCGACAGATCCAAGAAATCATAAGGCATAGACTACGCGAGGAGGTGATATAACAGCTGACCTTGCGCAAGCGCACCTTTCCATGCATTCACCCACTCCTCGCTCTCCGCGTTAGGAGCGACGACGAAGCGCGCAAGAGGACTCTGACTCCTTCCACTCCTGGTGCTGGAGACAGACATGCGCTTGTTGAGGGACATAGCTCTTCTTCTTCCTCAATATCGCCGGAATATGTGACTACAGGGTCTTCTGCGAAGGCAGAGAGGATACAGGAGGATATACGGTGGTGAACGGACTGTGGAGAAAGAGCGGACATGCGCTCAATAATGCGCCAGAGATTGGGGTAGAAATCCCGTTTTGGAAGGTCTTATGTTCGATCAAAACATAGGAAAATCTGGAAATCACTCAAGTTGTTTCTATCTCCGAGAGACCACGGTTGCGGGTTGGTATAAAGTAGTATGTTTCGCAAGCATGCATATTTTCTAGAAATTTCAACTTATTACTGGTCGAACAGCACATCTATGGTGCCCTCGCGAGACCCGCCCTTCCGCACATACGTAGGTCGATTATTTGAGTTACAAGCACATAAGCTGCTGTAGAATGCGCGACGATTTGCGACCGAAGAGGGGGCTGATAGCGGCACGTGACCTACGCGACGATTCGATCGCGGCTTTGTTGTGCCAGGACGCGTGCCAATCGCCATTTTGAGCGCGGTGGCACTTGAACACAACTCAACCGCCTTCCACCACAACCCGCGGCATCGTACAGTTCTTCTCGCGTGTACTCCCTTACCTTCATTGCAGCCATTCTCATATATCAACATTCCGATTTCGAAGGCGTATCTTCATTTCAGTTCTTCATTTCAACCTAAAATTCCAGACCGAAGCATGGATTGTGGCATGAAAAACAAACCCGCTAAGAACAGCATCGAAAGAAACCGCAAGTCCCTGGTCAAATCTTTCTTCACTAGCTCTATACCCGTACCCGTCTCCTCTCCCATTTCCGACCTCGGCACAAAGTCAGAACTTCCATCTCGCTCTCCAAGTAGGATGAGCTTCCATGAACCCACTCCACCAGACCCTCCTCGCCGCCCTCGTACTCTTCGTCGCTCAAAGAGGCTAAGTGATGGAGGACTACAAGATGCAAATATGTTCTTCAAGAAGAGCCAAGATGTTGCAGGGATGTTATACTCAATCGACGAAGGAGACTCATCAGACAGTTCGGACGACTCATGGCCACCGGAAGACGGAAGCCTAGACTCGGACCCATTCTTGGCAGCATTTGCCTCCCCCTTCCCATCAGTAATAGAGCCCATACCCCACCATGTCCTCTCTATCGATCTTGAGACGGATGAGTGCCCATCAATTTTTCCGGTTTGCCACAACAACGAACCGCTGCCTCTGGTCATCCTACCTCCATCTAACTCCGTCCGCCCGCTCCCAGCACATCATGGACATTCACGCAGCGCTCTACAGCATCTCAAATGGGTCTGGAGTTTGCGCTACGAGGAGTGGATGAAATATCACCTACAACTCGAGCGCATCGCCCAAGCCAGTGCCTACGGGGGAATTGTCGATGTCGCCATCCCAGAGCCCCCTTCATCTAGATCGAGATCTACATCGCCTACAAAACCTGTGGTGCGCTCTGCGGAAAAGGGGAGGTTTGAGATGAACCCCAATATCTTTCCACGGACCGGCGACCTATCCAGCCTTCATGATCCCGAGGCTGCTATGATTGACCGTGCCTTCTGCCATTACCCTCTGTACACGATACAGAAGGTGCTCTTCGTCCATGGCATGGACACCCGTGCATCTCGGAGCAGCAGATGGGACCACAGTGGTGACTCATCGGAGAATTGTGCGTCACTATGTGAGGACCCTCTTCCTCAGAGTCCCCCCCGCCCGTGCGTAGCGATCTCCTCGTGCGACCTCGATGAGACGCCCATCGAAGATTGGGATTCAGCCAACACATCGTTCTACATGTCGGCTGAGGAGATGAAGAACTCTAAACTGATCCCGCTCACAGAATCTTACCGAGAAAGGAGAGCGCGCGAGGATAGCTGGCAGGGGCGATGGGAGGTCTTGTCGGAGCTCGTGAATAGCCAGCTGGAAGACGAGTTAATCTCTATGGAACAACACAGTGGCGAAAGGTTCAAGTCCACGACTGTGACAACTTCGATCGGCCTTCCTGTCGTTGTACGTCCCCTAGAACATGTACCGTCGATGGAGCCGAATATCGATGTCCAGCGACCGAAAAGTCCAGCGAAATTCTTTCTCGGTGATCTGGAAAACGAGATTGATTGGGACGATGACGACGACGACGAGACCTACGGACTTATCATGGCCAATCCCATGTTCACAAGGCAGAAAGAAGGTCCACGAGAAGAGACCTTCGCGATTCACACTTCGGAGAAAGGAGATATCAAGGTGGGGATAATGAGCTCGGCCACCATGGTCTGCGTCTGAGCGTCTGATGGTCTGGCCAAAGATTAGGGGGAGGGCGTTCTACCCATACTGCTAACAGACGTCTATAAACGCTTCTGTATTTTCGCATCGACTGTAACCTGTAGCGCTGTTCTCAACCATCAAATTCGTTTTGTCACGACTCGCTCATATCTCTATTACATCACATCAATCATTATTCAAGGATATCGTGGAGAAGAGGATGAGCCACATAGCGAGGACTGCTGCTTCCTAGTTCTTCTTCGCCGCTCTGCCCGATCCAATCCCAAAGCCCCATTCAATCTGTCTGGAAGATCGAACCTTGACTCCTAGATCGTCAGCAAAGCTCCAGACGGTACCAGGATTTTTCTGGAACGTCCGTCCGACGAAAATAATATCTGCTTCGCCCTTGTCAAGACATTCTTGCGCGATCTTCCCATTACTAATCGAGCCGACGGCTGAGACAAGGATCTTTCCTCCGTACACCTTCTTGGCAGCGGCCGAAAAGTGAGCTTGATAAAGTCCAAAAGTATTCTTTTTCTGCTGGGGGTGAACACCACCAGTGGAAACATCCAAGACGTCGACACCGTGTTCAGCAAGAATGCCTGTGAACTGGACTGTGTCTTCGATGCGCCAGGACGGCTCATCTGGCATGGATTCCTCGAGCCAGTCGGTAGCAGAGATGCTGGTCCAGATGAAGTGAGAAACGACGCAGTAGAGAAAAGAGTGAGACTCACCGAAGGAAGAGGGGCGTGTCGGCGGGGATTGCAGCACGTACGGCATCGACAACCTCCAGGGTGAGTCGAATACGGTTCTCAAAACTACCACCGTATTCGTCCGTCCGCTTGTTGCTCACCGGGCTCAGGAACGAGTGCAACAAGTATCCGTGAGCATTATGGATCTCGATGACGTCGAAGCCTGCGCGGATCGAGCGTTCAGCTGCACTGACGTACGCTTTGACGAGATCCCTGATGGCCTCCTTCGTCAGTTCCTTTGGGACGGGGTGGGTCTCAGCGTATGCGATGGCGGAGGGGGCCCAGAGATTGTCGGGCCATCCTCCAGCTTCCTTCGTCGCTATCAAGCCAGAGGTAACCCATGGGGCAACAGTGGAGGCTTTGCGACCGGCGTGTGCAAGCTGGATACCGATCTTCTGGTTCTGAGCATGGGCAAAATCGACAATTTTGGCCAACGCCTTCTCCTGCTCCTCGTTCCAGATCCCGACATCCTCAGGAGTGATGCGGCCCTCGGGAACAACAGCCGAAGCTTCGATGACTGTGAGACCGGGGCCTCGAGTGAAAATTCCGCCAACTTGGAAATTTAGTAGGGCGTGGGTGATAGGACGTTAATCATCGGATACACGTTCACTCACGGTGGGCAAGATGCCAAGGCTGTACGACACCGTCTCTCGCAGAATACTGGCACATTGGGGAGACCTATTGCAGAGCTTTACGTTGAAATTGGCGCAACAGCATCAAAATGGTTATACGAACCCATATACGGTTGGGGAACTCAACACCTCGGATCTTGAGAGGCTTGAACAGGGTCGGGATGGGCTTGTCATCTGGCTGAGGATCAATTGCGGAACCAGCAGGTGGATTCTGAGCAGGAGTGAAATATGGGACGTTGGGCGCTCCCTCATTCTTGATAATTGGAACAGTGGGCGACATGTTTAGAGAAATAACAAGACGGTAGGGACCAAGGCAGGATGGTAGGGACTAAGGGACTGGGAGATTAGGTGGAAGTTCGATGCCGCGATAATCTTATGTACTTCGCGACCATGATAGTTTAGAGACCGATTCCGATGACGAAGACGGACGAAGACGCCACCACAGTGACAAACGCTCTTGACTCGATTGTCTTTTGAAAAATGAATTTCCGGTGGTACCGGTTATCCTCTTTAGATCAGTTCAGACATGCTAGAATTAGCATTGCCTAGAAGGTGCTGGAACTTTCCCAGACAAAAGATGGATGCTGGTGAGTTCCATGCCGGTGGATGTTGATGTAGATGCTGGTGGATGTCGACCGAGTCTCACACGGTGAGGCCTGTGAGGGCCGCCGTGCCGGTGCCAGCTTGCAAAATGTGATTGGATTGTCTACGTGAAATATCTTCCATCCACAGCTCCTGGAAAGTCCATCATAAACTACTGAAACGTCATGAATCGTAATGCGAACAGAATAGAAATAAGAAACAGGGGGGAGGGAGTAACGGAGGGAGCGTATTCTAAAACCGAACAAATGCATAAGATATTAGAGAAACACAGAGGATGCGTCCAAACCAAGGAAACGGAAACGAGATCATCATGTATCTACCGCGTCTACCCGCTATACCAGACCATACCAGACCATACCAGACAAGATCAATGACACAAAAATCAATATCGTACAATTTCGAAACTCGACTTCACCAATTATTTGTTGTTTATCGTCCGCGTTCTCCTCTGCACCAAAGCTGTGCGTTTTAGAGCCTAGGCAGTCATAGCTTAGCCTCGTCCGCAGTGCCGCTGGCCTTGTTCGCACCTGCGAGCCTCAGCAGCTCATTCACCACCTCCGCTGGGCTCGTGACATGCCACTTCGCCAACGTGCGCTTGCTGGGGTGTCCAACAGCTGTGGTGAACACACCGTGAGGAGTAAGAGCGAGCGATTTCGTCATCAGCTCCTCTGTGGCATCTTTTGTCACCAGCGAGACGGAGATGGGTGGGTCCATGGTGAGTGGGCCATCAGGCTCTGAGAAGCTGAGCGCGCGGAACATGTCCTCGTCGGTCTTATCGTCGCCAGCGCAGAAAACAAATTCGGCATCAGGGTTCTCATAGAGAATGCGCTTGACAATTTCGCCCTTGTTGACAGCGATCGGACGGACTTCGAGGTTTTTCTTTCCGACCAGAACTGTCGAAAGAATGTATTAGCACCGCCGATAAACAAAGGCGAAGGACTGAACAAAGGTACCTTCGATAGGTCGCTTGTGAGCAACGTTGTTCTCGAGCAGGTCCTGGCACTGTCGGCATTGAAATTGTCTGTGGGCACGCAAGCATCAGGGTCAGGCGGCCGTCCCTAATTGAAGGAGAAGCACGCGTACGTACCCCCATTCTGGGTCACTCGATCTATAATGCCATGTAATGGAACTTTTCTTAACCTCGATGTGGCTCCCGGTTGTCCTCTCCGTATAATACTTGAACACTTCTAGTACCTCGCCCATCCAGTCCATGTCCAAGCTCTCCGTGAAGTTAACCCAGTCTCGCGACCCTGGTTCGCGAATGAAGCCGCCGTGCTCCGCAGACATACCAAGGCTCTCGATGTGCCCAAGATGCTGTTCGAGGAAAGCGCCATCCCGTCCCGAGATAATGTAGACGAGATTGCGAGGGTCGGCAGCGAGCTGGGTCAGGGCTGTCAGTGTGTCCTCAGTCGGGATGGCCATGGAGGGCGTCTTGACAATTGGTGCGAGAGTTCCCTAACAAAGAGAAAGACAATCATGCTGTCATTCCGGGAGCTGGGAAAACCATAAAATGAAGGGCACACACATCGTAGTCGCATAGGAACAACCGCTTCTTTGCCTTCGCGTACGACTCAAACATATTGTCCGTAGGCAACACGGGTGTTTGTCTCGCCATGTTCGACGTGCCCATGACGCCGAGCAGCATCTTGACGAGCATCGCGGCCCAGGTATGCGAAGTTTGAGTTGTCACGACCTCGTGCAGCTTCGCATGTCTCTGTTCTTTCTCCGCAGTAGACATCAACAGGCCGCGGTTCATCGCGCTAGCGACATCCTGATGATCAAGTAATCAGTGACGGGCCAGGATAGATGGACAAAGAACATACGCCTAGATTCCAAGGATTGATCTGCAGAGCGTCGGTCATGTTGCTGGAGATACCCATAAACTCGCTGAGCACGAGGGGGCTTTTCTTCGTCTTGCCCTGAGCAATGACGAACTCCATCGAGGTGGTGTTCATGCCATCCCGAAGAGGGGTGATGACGGCGAGATCAGCAGCGGACAAGAGCGCGTAAAACTCGTCCTTTTTGATCGTTTGGTGGCTGTGAGAGGGTGATTGAATTGGACATAGATGCGCAAGCGCAGATGAAGAGCAAAATCTTACTAGTGATGCACGGGAATGAAGTCTAGACCGCCATATTCCCCATTGATACTGCTCACAAGCTCGCTGATCTGGCGCTCGAGTTTCGGGCTGTCAGTGAGCGCCGGCGACGTGACTTGTATGAGCACGACATTGCCTATCCACTCGGGATAGTCTTGCAGCAGCTTCGCAAACGCGCGCAGCTTCTGCACAACACCTTTGACGACGTCCAACTTATCGCGACCAATGATGATCTTCTTGCCAGCGTACAATTTCAAGAGCGCCTGTAGCTTCGGTTGAATACCAGGACGAAGACTACCAGACAAACAAGGTTAGGGTGAAGACGTCAGCTGAAATGTGGGCAGACGCACAGATCCTGTGCCACGCGATCGGCGTCGACGCCTACTGGGCAGTGCATGACAGAGGTGACGTGACCTTGGACGTCAATGCCCCGTGCGGCAACTTCGTATCCACATACCCGCACACATGACGACGTGAAATGGCGCGAATACGAGTACGTCTGGAAGCAGACAAGGTTGGCGCCGAGCATGCCGTCCAGGATCTCCTTGCGGCGCGGTAGGCAGCGGAAAACTTCGCTACTAGGCCAGGGCGTGTGGACAAATAGGCCAACACACGCATCTGGGACGGTCACTCTGAGCTGCTTCGGGACGAGTAGCAGGTGGTAGTCATGAACCCAGACGAGATCGCCGGGTTGATAGACATCAAGAATGCGTCGCGTGAAGGCAGCGTTGGCCTGCTCATAGGGGGGCCAGTGAGTGTCGGCGGAGAAGGAGGCAGAGTTCGAAGTAGGAGAAACGTCTTGCCAGAGGAGGTAGTGGAAGAGTGGCCAGAGGGCTATAGCGATCAATCAGTGACTAATTCGTCAAAACCGGGAGTTGGTGTAGGATGCAGCCTAATATGAACGTGATTGGTCTCCCAAATTTCTCCGACGACGATCGCCAAGCACAACGGAGGAGACTTCATAGCATGCAGTGGATCTATTTCTAAGAACATAAACACAGTCCTCGATCGACTGGGCAAGAACACGACACATCGACGGAAATCTCCGAAGAACGCTCCTGCATACCGAATTAGAACACTCACTCTGTTTGCAATAACCATCATAATGGCCGTGTGCGACCTTGTCGTCGAGCCAGACGGGGACGTATGTTGTCTTGCCGTGTTCTTCTTCGGCTTTGAAGTTCGAGATTTCCTCTTCCAGCACTGTTCTGTCTTCCTCTGAGAGAGAATTCGCGGATATCTTGAGCTTCTCACCACCTGATGGATCCAATTCAGCTGTGCACGATAATAACGTCGGGTCGGAAAAGTACCTGAAGACGTTACTGGGCTCTCAATATCGCCCGTCCATCCAATGATGAGCTGTTCATGAGTCGAGGATAAGGAGCGGATGCCGCTGATCATCGCTGCATGGCCTTGTCGAGTGGCCAGGCTCCATTTGGGATGCAGAACGGAATCATCTTGGCCCGCGGTTCCATTTGTTGTGGGCGCGGACGCGTCAGTAGGAGACGGGGGGATATCAGAGGGTTGTGAGGGCGGGGTAGCGGGCGGGCTCAGAATGCCGGGGCGCGATGAAGAGTGCAACGTCGCGGTAATAGGGAGATAGTGACAGACATGGAGGACACGGCCTGAGAGCGGAATGCCCTTTGCACGGTGCTCTGCCTCGAGGGATGCGACAGCGGTGCGTACGTCTCCGAGATGAATGACTTCGGGAAGACGGCGAGGCTCAGAGAAGCTATCCATGATTGTGGGACGGGGAAAGAAAGAAAGAAAGAGGGAGAGGGAGAGAAAGAGGGCGCTGTGGATGCGATAGTACGGCTGCTGGCGTATATATAGGAGATTATTGCAGATGGTTATCGTTATTCTGAGAATTTGGAGGTTCAATACGAATCAGGATGCAATCTCTCCTTCGCCTTTCAGAGACCGAGGACTCCGGTCACCTCCATATGCTTCCTCCTCTTCTGTCCCGCTGCCGACTTTCTCCCTTCCCTCAATCATACTACGCCCTAGAATGGTTGTTGAAGTTCTCGCTGTAGATACAGAAGAACACCCCGCAATGGACTCGTTCAGGATGGCCTTTACTCTGACAAGCGCTGTCCGAGGGTACTCCTTCTCCAGTCATTAACTAGCCTGGTCGCTGGGCCTGTTTCACCGGGTTAAGCGACTGCGCGACTTCAATTCTCGACGCCGTGTCTTGACCTTGCGGCTATTGACGCCGACAAATATTGTCGAACCGTCAGACACCCCCAAAGTTCCAGCGTTTCCCACGTCATACCAGAGCCTCTTCGTCATGGGTTTCATCATCAGGCAGACTTTGGAAAAGCCCTTTCAGTATACGGTCCGAGCAGGCTCATCTACCAAGACCCCAGCAGTGGCGTATCGGTCTTTCTAACACTCCCCAGAAAACTAGCTGGTGAGTTCCTTCTTTGGGTAACTGGCAGTGCACATTGCACCGCTAACCTTTGCTCCTATGGGTCAATTTTAGTATTCGGCGACTGGGCCCATGTCAGTTGGACACATCTTATTTCGCATCTAGGGTCCAGCAATGCCCGCGCTCCCAACGCACCTCAGATCTTGCGGCTTGCCTAGAGCCTAGACTGTTCAAGTAAAGACCAGCACGGACCCGGCAAGTTCGAGACCACAGCGCACCCGATGGCATGTGATCATGGTGGCAGCACGCAGCCGCAACTTGAATTATGTGTCTGTGAGTGTGGCGATAATTTGATCGGCCGTGTACGGCCTCTCGCAGTGCAAACCATCTACACGTTCATGATAGAAGCCCATCGACATCCAATCCAAAAGATAATACACTGTCTTCTTGAACACGCTCTCACACCTTCCTTTCATATCCGACTGATCCTTTACATATGCGGTTATGCAGATAAGTATCACCGATCAGACTCAAGCATCGTATCTGTCCCCTTCGACAACCATCTGCAACTATCTGCCCTGTCCCCGTCCCGTTCTACCCTAACACGTCCGCGATATCCCACAAATAACCATCATCGATCAAGTAAAGAAACTTCGCAACCTGACCTTGGCTCGGCATATCCTCGTCGATCGCGGCCCGATCGCTCTGGCGCAATTCGACGCCTGTTGCCCCTTTTGCCGTGTTCGCACCTCTCCGGCGCATACCGTCATCTAACCGAGATCTTTCCATACATCATGCCAGATCCTAAGCTGTGCGAACTCGCAACATGTGCTTTACTCAAGCATTCTCTGACATTCTCTTCTCCGAGTCCGTTCACGACAGGCGAATGGGGTTCCCGCGGCCTGCCCTCTTGGTACCTGCATCTCTTACAGTAAAAGATTCTATCATGTTACGTACACTCTCCGCTCCGCATGCGCACCCTCTGTATCCGTGATTCTCAATAGTATCTTCAGGGAGCGCCGTATCCTGCGCCGTACCGTTAGACCCGCCTACGGTCGTATTTTTACCGCAGGTTACAGGGCAAAAGTCGAGGAACTTAACGACGGTTGAAGCATCCGACTACCAGTAGCTCTGCTGCAGAAGGCTCCGCCTCACTCCAAGCGGCCTCAAGCAGTTCGTCGTGTATGGATGATGTCTTCCTTTGTTCATCCAGCCGTCGTGTTGTTGAGAAGTCAAGAAGGGGTACTCCACAAAGGCGCCCCTTGCGCATGGGCCAGTCACCAGACAAACGTATCAAGGTGTAAGGCGCCCCTAAAGGCCAGTATCATAGCTTTTCCAGGATCAGATACCCTCGCTCGTTGTCCACCTCTGTCCGGTGTACCTGACAGTTGGACATTTGTGGTTGCCTATTCGAGCATTTGTTCCTAGTCCGCAGCGGGGGCGACTCGGGCCGTGGCAGCCAAGGTCAGATCGAGAGGCATTTGCCTCTACAGACGATATGTCCCCTGATCTTTGGCTGATACCAAGTGGCCCGGCCGCATCCAAGCACGCCAGAAGAACAGCCGTTTGTGAAACTACTTGCAGTATCTATATCAGATGAGGGCCAGCTGCATGTTAATTTCTTTTTCTTTTTGACAAGCATCATTATCAGACAGCAATCAGACGAGTTAAGCCCTGCTTGACTCAACTATGACAGAAGCTGCATTTCTCCCGGTGTTGCCAGGCTACGTCTCATTAGGTTGTTCAGATTTTTATGTGAAATCCAGCAGAATGATTTTTGTGTAAGGTGCCAGTCATACAATACGAGGCATTGGAAGTCCTGATATAACGGATTGTACACCTTAGATTGCCGTCTTCAACAATTTACATGTCTGCGGGCTTACGCACAACCGCTAAAACAAGGTGTGTCAACGTACACCCCAGCAATCGTTCGGGCAATAGCTAGTTTGAGCAGCATATGCGAGTGGCCATCTTCGTGCGTCACTATGGGTAGTCATCTTATACAACGTCACGGTTACATTTGCAGCGAGACTTATATTTTTGTAAACTGTTTTGGGAGACTAGGTGCAGATAAACTAAAATACTTCGAGCCACATGTCTGTGGGGCATGATGCATACGCCGCAATGGACCAACCTGCGAGGCTACGAAATGGTCCATCCGTGAATCGGCAGAAGACCGACTATCAACACGGCTTCGAACAAGAGGCAAAGAATGGTAGAAAAGAAAGAACCATACGTGACACTCGCGGAATAGAATTTTGAATGGCAGTTGTCAGCGTACAATCGAACTTCATAGACCGTTGTCACTGTGTAGAAAGGAAATAAGATGGAGTAGCAAGTTAGACTACATCAGCCTGCATGGGTACCGCCTGTCCGCCTTTCGCAGCACCAGGGGTGAAAGTGTGCCAGCGATCGTTGTAACGAACGTCTGCAAGCGGGAGAATATAAGAATCTGTATACATGACAGCTCCACTCGATACATACCTAGTGGACGGCCTCCATACATATATTGCTGGAATTTAGCTAAAAATGAAGTACGATGCAGTGAGCTGGGTTAGTAGACTGGCTGATTGGTATAGAACGCACCGATGGCCGTCTCAGCCTCTCCAACCTGAGCGAACTGAACAACTCCAGCACCCTTCGATCGTGTCCCTTCGAACAAGATTTCTGCAAGCTCGACTTGGCCGGTCGTTTCGAAAAGTTCGACGAGATCCTCGTTGGCGGTCGACCAGGGGAGCTGAGACACGACGACAAGAAAATTAGCACTCTAAGAACGACAGGTGACAGTAGATCACATACATTGCGAACCATGATCTGTTGACTTGGCTCCGGCTCATACCCCGCTGCACCATATCCAGCCTGGGCACTGAAACCAGCGGCAGGGGGAGCCCCGTACCCGTCCATTCTTAATCCACCCGACTGCTGATCTGGGCCAATGTAGTCTGCATACAAATCTTGGTTCGAGAAATCGCGCCCAGCAGCGGCACCACCGAAACCACCGCCGCCGCCGCCACCACGACCAAAGCCGCCGCGCCCGCCGAATCCACGCAGACCGCCGCGGAAGCCACCTCTGAGGCCACGTAGCCCTCCGCGGAAGCCGCCTGAGCCAGAGAGACCGGCGTAACGATCCTGATGATGATGAGGCAATATTCTTTTCAGAGCGAAGAAATTTAACATACCTCACGAACTTCGAGAATCCTGCCGTACCAGTCAAACCCGTTGTACATGCCTTAACGAGGGCTGAATTTCCGCGCTATGAAGATGGTATGTAAACGAGACGCACTTATGGCTTGCCCGGCATCCTTCGCTGTCTCAAAAATGACAGTACCGCTCCCCTTGGGCCGACCGTCGGCACCGATGTTGATATCAGCACGAACAATGTTCCCGGCGGATCGGAACAGGTCCTTTAAATCTTGCCATCCAGCTTGGTAAGGTAGCTAGAAATATAAAGTGTTCAAACACAAGAGGAGATGATTTATTTTATCTACAACTCACATTTCCAACATACAGTTGATTACCAGGATTATTAGCACCGCCAAAGGAGTTGTGGTACGCCGGACGCGGCGGTGGTGCTGCATGCAGGCCCTGTCCTGCCATAGCCATCCCAATTTTCCCTGGTACAGGTGTAGCACCAAAACGGGACTCATTTTCACGGTCCTGAGTGACAATCACTTAGAGCAGCAGATGTAACAAAAGTAATCACACGCACCTCGCGAATGAAGACCGGACGACCAAGCAGCGGAGACTCCGAAAGCTCTCGAACAGAGCGTTGAGCGTCTTCATGGGAGGCAAATTCAACGATGCTAGATGATCGAAAGAATCAGCGCAAGGCCGATGGGGAAATGGATGAGGAAGTGCGTACCCGCAACCCTTGGAGATTCCGGTCGGTGTGACGAGTACTTCCGCGAAGAGGACCTCACCAGCTAACAAATCCCAAAAGAAAAGACCCATCAATAACAGATCCTCACATCTCGCTTTTCCATCAGCAAAACCAGAAAACTATAAAATGACCCCGCGCCTGCCCCGCTCCTTCGAGCTCAGCAAGATCCTTGCCTCCGCCGCCGGCTCCGTCAAAACGAGAACCATGAGGACGAGGCTGTTGATGCCAAAGCCGCAAACGGTAACGTGAATCGAAATGCCAAACGCCTCCGTTCCGCTCAACCTAGACACCTCGGACTCGATGTCATCCACATCTTTGCCCACTTCTCGCACCACTGCAACCTCGTCCTCGTCACCAGGCCGATCCTATAGGCAAGACAAGGACCCCCGCCACCACCGAAACCACCAAAAATAACAGCAGCTAATCCCCACCCACCTCCCCTCATGAATTCCATCAAGTCACGGTACTTGACGTCGTAGCTCAGGTTGCCGACATAGACCCGGTTTTCACGTTTGCTCAGCTTGGCAAACTCGACGGCCTCTTCATGCGGCGCATTCATGGGGCCACCAAGCGAGCGCGGGAACGGCTCAGACGGCTTACGGTCCCGAGACCTCGAACGGCTGCGACTCCGAGATGGGGAGTGCGTGCGCGATCGGGAGCGTCTGGGGCGTCGTCGTGGAGAGGCAGAACGACGACGTGAACGGGAGCGTGAACGAGAGCGACGACGGCGCTGGCAAAAAATTAGGGCATAAGGAATCGCCATTGAGTGGTTCCGCAGAAAATTTGACACTTACATCCCCGCCTCGTCTGTCCTCGGGCTCCCAATGATCTCCACGACCGCCACCCCCGCGAGTTCGCACTATGTATTGAGATTGAGACAGTCAGAATTTGCATCAGGTGAACGTTGACCGTAATACGCGAGAAAGTCGAGGATACTCACCAGAGTCACGACGGTCACGCTCCCTCTCGCGGGGACGTTCTCTCTCTCGTTCGCGTTCCGGCTTCACCTCGCGTTCGCGTTCGCGTTCACGGTCAAAGTCACGATCCTTGTCCTTCTCGCGCTTATCGTCAACCTCGTCTTTGGTCTTCATATCAACGTCCATGGTCGTAAAAATTCTGAAGACTGTGATACTAGAGAATATAGGTTAGTGGGAGGAATGGGAGGCGCAATGAGGTGGCGAGGCTATTTTTCGTCGAGGGGGAAAGATGACCGAATGAAAGCAGAGCGAAGCGTCGGTGCTTGAAAATGAAAGCTGCTGTCGGCGCTTGATTTGGTGGCGCAACCGTGGCCGAATCTCAAAAGATACCATTCTTTTATGTGCTTCGTGCTCTTCCTCACAACTGATAGTGATTCAACGTTTCAACGCTTCTCGCCTTCCTGCGAACAGCATCGAATTTTGGAATAATCTCACGATTTTTTTCCAGTGCTGGCAAAATCATGAGCACTCGATACATGATGTCGACACGGCTTTCAATTTCCTGGTGTGCCCCAGTGACCAGTGTCTCATCGTGATAATGAGGCAGATGGTCTTGGGACCAATCTGCTAGGTATGTTACCGATGGGGTCTGTACCCACATAGTACTGAGCTTCCTTCCTTCACAACGCATGGCCTATCTACTCAGGTCCAAGGACTTCAAATCTCCATGAATGCAACTTAGCTGCAGGGTCTCGACTCGCTTCTTATCTACGCTCGTTGGCACTTCACATGACTAGCCAATGTTGCTGAGCGAACGTTTTTGAGACGTGATGCATAGGCTTGAGGACTGTACGTACAGATACAAGGAATGACTCTAAATGCCGCCCTGCATGAACCGCGACCTCAGGTGAGCTCTCGGTGTGAAGCCCTCATATAAACTCCAGAGCTGCAATACTGCTACAATACCAAAGATCAGCCGAATCTAGTATGAGCGAGAAGTACACCAGTGCCCAAATTTGGATCAGCTTACGAGCCTACAAAGCTTCTTATGGGACTTCAGACTGGCACTCTTTCTAGCTGTTAATTCTAGGTCAGTGCAATACAAGGGTTCTCCATACTGGGGTCTTTTTGCCAACGCTCTGTTCGTTGTAGCGTGAGGTGTGCACCTCCCGAAGCGGGTCAGTACGCACACGTCTCATGAACTTGGACTGAATTAGGTTGACTGGCTCTCGATCGCGTCTCCTGCCTTTTAGCTAGCTCCGTTCTAATGACGAAGAAGAGAGCCTCAACGTCTACCTGTCATCCGGCCTTCTAGTTTTGCATAGAAGCTAGCAGGGCTCGAAGCATGTTCATATAAGTCTAGCCGCAAGGGTTCGTATTCCACAGTTCCCCCTCATTATATTCACTCACCCACACACCGATCAATGAAAACCCTCCGCCTGCGCACGATATCCCTAGTTCTCTTGTGCGCTCCTGCCGTGTTCTGTGCGCAAGTCCAGAAGCCGGGACTCACCTTGCCGTCAAGCGCGAGCACACATCGCCAAGCAGTGCGAGATATATTCACAGACAGTTACCAGGCCTATAGGCATGCATACACTATTGTCGGCTGTAATCCTCCGAAATTGAACAGCTGCATAGGAAATACGCTTTCGGACATGATGATCTTTCTCCTCTCAGTCAAAGTTTCTCTGATGGTCGTAATGGATGGGGCGCGAGCATTGTCGATGCCATGGGAACTATGGTTCGTGTCCTCGTCTGCCTATTTCGCAATTCGATGCATACGTGGCTTTCACGGTAGCAAATAATGGGTCTTTCCGTGAGTGTAGGCTAAATACGCCCAATTACACGACCTCATATAGAATAAATATAGGGCATATTCGAAGAAGCCCTTAATTTTACTCAGAATATCGACTTCAATGTCTCTAACACGCCGGACACCGTCAAGTGAGTGTTTGCCGACTTCAAAACAAGATATATTGTGTCAACATAACTTCAACGTCACAGCTTATTCGAAACCACTATCCGCTACGTTGGAGGTCTTCTGAGCGCATATGAGCTCAGTGGAAAGAAGCACAGCTTCTTGGTGAGCAAAGTCAAGCAGCTTACTGACAAATTATCGTTCGCCTGGGCACCAGTAAGGTCATCCAACTGCTCTAGAAGTAGCTGGTTCTCACACAGATCCGTAGGGCCTTGTAGTCCCATTTAACACCATCAACTTCACGAGCAACACGCCTGTTGTCGACACGGTATATTTGCCAGAATGTTATTAGACTTTCCCGCCTTCACTTATTGAACCCTCTCTCTAGACCGGGATCGCAGCAGTTGGCACTGTAAGCATCCGCGTTTGTTACTATCCACGCAATTGAGACCTAAAATCGAATTTAAGTTGACCTTGGAATGGTCAACGCTTAGGTTGGTGGCTGCTCGGGCTCTGTATATCTCCAGCCCGATTTGAACGATAAATTACAGCAAGTACACAGGTAACGATACATATCGCCAGCTGACAGTAGACACCTTCAAGCATTTAGCGGAGAACGTGAGCACAGAACTACTATACTGGGATTCAAATTGATTGAGCTCGTGTGTTGCTTCCGAATAGCCTGCGCCTCTTCCAGGTATGCCGCGTTTCGTGTTTCATCGTGCCTCTTGCTCATGTGAGCGCATAGGGCTTCCCGCTCAGGACATAGACCCCTCAACAGGCGAGCCTTTTGGTGGATATGTCGTATGTGTTTTCTCTTCGGAAATGTTTGCATCGCCTCGCTCAATCGCTTGGTATGTTACAGACATGGGGTGGAGGATCGGACAGCTACTTCGAATACCTCATCAAATATGCTCGCCTCTCTAACACTGACGACGACACATTCGCCAACGCATGGCGCACAGCTGTCGACTCATCGATCAGCACCCTCGCCAGGGTAATCTCGATCTAGAGTAGACTGCTCTGTAGTGTCTGATCTCTATGTTTGTCTTCAGACTTCAACTGTGGGCAACCACCTGTACATGGCTGACTTTGACGAGAATCGCCAAATCCGACACGTTGGTTCTCATCTGGAATGTTTCATGGCAGGCAACTGGCTTCTCGGAGGCAAGCTTATCAACAACGTCACGATTGTCGACATCGCTCTGAAGTTGAATGATGCATGCTGGAATACATATGCCAGTGACGCGTGTGTTGTTTTCATCCCATGATCTGATCATCATGTTTGATGCTCATATACTTATAGCACCGGCATTGGCCCGGAATCGTTCGCCTACATATCCTCAGACGGAAATTTCACAGGTGGCGATGCCCCCACCGCAGAGCAGTTAGCGTTCTACAACGAACACGGGTACTATATCACCGGTTCAGACTACATACAGCGCCCGGAGGTACTTGAGTCAAATTTCTACGCGTGGCGGGTGACAGGCAATACGACCTACCTGGATAGGGCAGCGAGCGCGGTGAAGAGCTTCCAAACATTTTTGAAGACGCCTACTGGCTATGCGGGGATTAATGATGTTAACAACTTGAACACGACGAAGATCGATGATACAGAGAGTTTCTGGTACGCGGAGGTGTTGAAGTATCTGTGAGTCTGCCCCTTTTCGAATGACAAGCATCATGATGTTGTCGCTCAATGACTGGTGTGTTAGGTACCTGACGTTCGATGACCCGGAGCATATTAGCCTCGACCACTGTGAGTGTACTCATCTCTTGATGGTTTTCGGCGTTAATCATATGATGCAACATAGATGTTTTTAACACCGAAGGGCACCCTTTTATAGCACCTCCTGCGAAGCCGACATACGGCACCGGTTTACTCCCTACCTCCTCGAAGCGGTCTATCTAAGGATCTGATACCGCTCATCACAGCACATTTGGTCTATAGAGTTCACACGGCTGTTTGCCGCTTCTTATTTTTGACACAAATCAGGGTTTGTGAGGCATATTGGGTTTATTGGTCTTTATTCATCGCAAGACGCCATGCTCTCCCTTTAGGATAGCCTATGTGCTATGGGTACTGTACGCACTCTACTGTATACCTCGGCAGGCCATCGCTCTATTCCATCTCATAGGGAAAGCAGAGCATATATCTATATCTATTTCCAGATACGACTGTAGCGACAATGAGCAACTGCATTTCCTTTCAAATCTCTTCGACAGAAAAACACGTAATTGGCAGCGATGTCTCCTATCCTCATACAGTAGAGCAGGTGGGACACGATCCCGGACTCTCGAAACTCCTGCCACGACCCAGTGGATGCAGATATGGTCTACGATTAATGTATTATTGGCATTTTCCGAAGAAACAGGTCAATACACATCCACGTCGCCACAGCGGATGGCAGCAGCAGTCGCGTGTTGGGTACATACTGCGTCGACCTTTCAGCTGTTAGGGGAAACCCGGCGAGACCGCCCATTTTAACTCGCTTCGCGAAGGTCTATGCATCACGCGTCTGAGCTGGAAGGACTGTGATCAGGTCATGTGATCACGACGCGTCTTTACTAGTAAGCTACGCGACGAGGAGCTCGAACGCATGATGTATCAAAGCGAAGTTGATTAGCAGCGAGTAAAGGGAGTAGGGTATTAAATTAAACTATACAACCATCACATCCGACGGAATGGTCGATGAAAGAAAGATACAAGTACAGGTTACAAATTGGATGGTGTATCGTAGAAGATGTCGTCAAAGGGTCCGTGAAAGCGATGGCAGAAGAATTGGGATCGAAGTTGGTCACCGTGAAAATGAGTTTCCCTTTCTAGTTGCTGCTATCTGAGTCGGTCGCCGAGTGACCTGCCTCTGAAGCCTCGTGCGGCTTGCGACCCCGCGCAACGTCGGAGCCCTGGTTGGCCTTACGGCTGCGTCTCCACACATGATGTGCAACGAGGTCGCTGACGACAGCTTGCGAAGCCGGGGAGAGCCCCACGAGGGGCGAGAATGAGAGCCGAAGAAGATCGGCGGGGGTATAGACTAACGGCGCAGACGAGCTCGCCACTGTCACTGCAAAGATTAAATGACAGGGGTGAGCTGGATGAAGAAGATTTTATGTAGGAAGGATCGCTTACATTGTGAGGATGGGGTATCTTGCGAACGCAGCTCGACAGCTTGCTTGACAGGCGAAGCAGCTATGGAGGATGGGGGTGAAGGGCGCCGGCTCGAAGTGAGGCTTGCAGTAGACGACGACGAGTCATTGCGCGAATGTGAATGGGTGCGGGAGGAAGGTAAGCGTGTAGGTGAGGAGGGGCTTGCGACACGGCGCCTCGGCTTCTGCCCTGGTGCTGGCGCTGGCGCGTTGGACACCGGCGCGCGCACACGCCAGGAAGAGGTTGTCGACGCGGGCGAGGGCGCGTGCTTATAGTGGTTGTAGGTATGTCCATGCCCGTGACTCGCGAATGCTTCGTATCCATTATGCAGGTGTGCAGAGAGTGCAGGACCGACAGCATGGCCGTAAGGCGCACTGTGCGCGAGGAAGTGCCGCGATTGGGGGGCTCCAGAGGAGGGGAGAGAAGGGGACGATGCGACGGCAGCCATTGTAATTACTGAATGCTAGAGGATTGGTGGAGGATGGCGATCGGGGCGATAGAGGACAACGTTACAGGATGAAGTTGAAGCTGGAAGGAGTCACAATAGACTTAGAGTTGGCGAGGGACAGTGGGGCACAAAGCACCGGAGGACCTGGGCAGAGCTGGACAGGTAGGAGTGTTTAAGTAGGCTAGGCAGTCGACTTGGGGGAGTCATGCTGGGCTCGGCCGTCCATATTTATACGAAGCTCCAGCCCGGCGCAGTCCCTAAGAGCACAGGAACAAGCTCGACAGATGACCGCAGCGCTAGCGTTACATTGCGCTGGGGCGTCGTCAGCGCTCACCTGCTTGTGCGTGCCCGAGTCCGAGCGTGTCCGGGCAAGATCACGACGTTGCTAGAACGTCCGAGGACGAGCGTCCCGGCAGTGGGAGAACGTTCGAGGGCCCGTGCCTCAGCTGATGCCGAGGTCTGCGCTGGTCTGCGACGTGGCGCTGACAATCAAACCGTTGGGGAAACCCGGCACATGACCAATGAAGATGACGTGGCCCAAGGAGGGAACGGGGATGGAACGTCGAACAAGAATAGGATAAGGAAGAACAGGGGTGCACTGACAAGAAAGTGCTCGAACATACCGATCCAAGGCGATCCTATATCGTCGGCGCCGGCAACTCCAGGAGCGAAGAACGCCAGGGTGACTCAAGTTGAATGAGACGGACATCGGCCCAAGTCGCAGCTGATTTCTCAACACAATCCTGCAGTGGGGCCACAATCATAGTTGACACACCGGGTCACATTCGGGTCCCCTACGTCCATAAGCCCAGTACGAACAAGGGCATCCGAATCATGCGTCATAAACGTGATGAGAGGTGACAGCGACTATGGTAAACATTATAACGGGACTAGTTATAGCAAAAGCATGCAACGAGCAGCAGGTGCATTTTGATAGTAGGGGCAGGATGGGGTGCGTCAGATGGGGTGAAACAACCCTATGATGTAACAGAGTAATAGTGACACTTAGGCGTCAATGAACGTCTTGACATTCTGCAGCCACCTCACATACTCCTGTAAACAACGGAGTGATAAGTAAACAAGTGGACAGGTGTGGAACAAGAACTGAACAAACCTTCTGCTCCTTGTGCTCAGCGTACTCCGGAACGAAGAACGCAAGGCTCTCGTTGATACCACGCTCCTGAAGGAACTTGTCGAACTCGTCCTGCACGGCAACATCAAGCGTGTCAAACTATTTCAAGACCTCGATCAATAAAAGGTTGAAGGCTGACACAGAGTCATGTGCACAAACCTGAGGCCCAATGTAGAGTCCCCTGCGCTTCCAGTCCGCTTCAGCAGTCAGCTCAGTCGCGAGTTTACTATCCTTATAGAACGAGATGTTGTCCACGAGGAACGTTCCCTCCTGACACATCGCGTCGATGGTGAGTGCGCCCGATATACCGGGCTAAGGAGTTCAAACACACAGGAAGATAGGAGTGAGCAGGGCACATGTCTCAAAAAGGGCCAGGAAGAAACATACCTTCGAGATAGAGAACGAGCAGCGAAGAGGGTACGACGTCGAGAGCTCATCTTCTGACGACTCGCCCTCGGATTCCTCCTGCTCGAGCTCAGACTCCTCGGGATTTTGGATATCAGCGATGGAGAAGACCAAACGAATGCTAAGAACGTGCATCAACAATAAGTTCGGATTTTCGACAAGCGCAAAGAAATGAATTCCTACTCTTCATTGCCAAACTTGCGGTGAATAGTAACCTCATCATTGCCGACCACGTCCTCGATCTATAGGAGAGGATAGATTAACAATCTAACATCAGAGGGCAGACAGCTGTGGGTATGATGACAGAAAAACATACCGTCCAGATACCCGACTGCCTGAAATCCTTCAAGAAATCAGGCTCTGCGTCTGTCGACGCCTCTTTCTCATACTGCAACTCCTCCGCCAGCTTTTGCGACAGTGCGAGGTCCGCTGGCAACAAGAGGTCAATATTGCAAACTTCACACATACGCGACTTTCACTGTAGAATGAAGAGAAGAGAAATAGACTCACAAGACCCTTCACCAAGCCTCCTCATGCTCATTGAAAACGCTCTGACTGCAGGTTGCGCGACGGCGGCGGTCCGCGAAAGCGCAAATGCAGGGAGACGCGAACGCGCAGAGGTGGAGAGCAGCGAGCGGGTCGAGAGCGTCCTGCTCGACGAGGCGGTCAGCTGGCGGAGAGAGCGGAGGGCAGACATTTGAGTGCGTTTGCTTTTTTTGAGGATCGCTGGTACGTCTGCTTTCGAAGTGACGTGCAGGACCGTGGGAGTCTGGGAGGGCGAGTTTTATGGGTGGCGTAGGAGTCTGGCGCTACGTCACTCATTTGTACGTGACAGCGCTATAGTAGTCCTCCTTTCCTAAATCCTTAATTCATCATTTCTTGCAATGGTCTTCCAGACGCCTTGCTAAAAATCTGCTTGTAGTTTCTCGGTGGGTGAAAATCAAAGTGTTGGAGACACGCATTATTAGTGCTCACCTTGGCCTTTGTAGAAAAGTTTGCCCGTAAATCGGACGAAATGTCGACATTCTAGTACGAGCGGACTACAGGCATCATGTCCGAATTGCAATGCACTGTCAGTGCCTCAACGAAATCCTTGAAAAGAATTGAGCTCTTCTCAATATACGTGCTGATGCCCATAATTCTCTGACGGAGGCCCTTGAGGGCTGGTCTGGGTGATGAGCTTGTTCTTTCCTCGCTGTCTCCCATAGTAGACGAGACTGCTGCCCATATGCCCTCTTCTCCTCGGGTCTCATGACCGAAGCGCGTCGTTTGGACGGGCGGGTGATACAGTCATCGATCCAGAGAATATCCTCTGTTCCAGTTCTCCGCTGCTTCCTACGCCCATCTCGTTTAGAACCGGACGGTACGTCTTCTCCTAATCTCAGCGCCTGACCACCTGACTCGCCGGCGTTGAATCTCAGGCCTCGAGCTTGCTAGGCGTTTCTGAGGAGTGCTTCGTCGCTGACGCTCTCGATTGATATCCAGATGCCCGCCCTGCGTCCGACGTCAGTGTCGCCGTTAGCGGTGCTCCCTTTGTATCAGCATTTAGGCACTGTTATCCCCTTCTATTTATGAAGCCCTTCACGCAGCATTCAAACATATTGCAACAACACGCAGCGCGGGGACCGCAGCTTTCCTGGTACCCACATACTCGAGGTGTACCGCCGAATCGATCATACGTATTTAGCTCACCAACAACATACGCCTCAATTGTCTCCTATGTCGACCTCGACTCATCATCTAGTTACCGAGGTCCGAGCCGCTTGATGCCTCTGCTTTAGACATGAGCCTGAGCCAAAATATGGTTGAGGTCATGCCAACAAACCTTCCTCTCAAGCCCTCCCTCATATATCAACTGTGCGAAAAGGTCGTACGGCAATTCAAAAGTTGAGTTCACCATCAGCGCCGCAAATAAATAATAAGTCGATTTCAGCGTACGTGTACATGTCGAACAAACGGCGATCACGATGGAGTAACCATAAGTCACCAATAGCAAGCCTAGCACTGCGAGTGCCGTAGCGATGACACACTGCGCACACGAATAAATAGACGATTCGGCCACATGCATTACCAGAAAAAGCCAATCCAGAACCACATCCCGGTCCTCGAGTATCACGGGCTGCATCTCAAACACGGGAGCGTTCTATAAAATAATAGCAGACAGCATAACTAGCCAATGCAACACTGGATTCAGGATTGCGTCGATAACGAGGAGATGCGGACAGCGGACTAGGGATCAAATTGGACAGACGATGAGAAACCTCTTCCCGCCATGCAGGATCCGTATTCATTAGTCCAGCACTCACGTCGGGACATCAGTGGTGGACGAATAATATACGGATGACGATGCGAGTCGAACTGAGAAGAATAGAGAGCTGAAATTCCGTAGGCGAGGGCTGCGGGATGTGACAGAACAAGACAGTGCAAGACGTGATTGATAGATAGATCAAGTCCCCGACAAGGAATGCACAAGGATAAACATAGAAAGCACCGAGACTTCAGGGGATACAGCATATCGAAGGCGCACCGATGGCTAGATATTTGTGGTGATGATGGTGGAGCATAGTGGGGCAGGGCAAGGCAGGACAGGGACAGAGCTAGACCGCTGCAATGACGGGGGGATGGGCGTCTGTGCCGCTGAGGACCGCCGAGCACACGACGGGACTGCTATCGCCCCCTTCTGAACTCGCTCCTGCTGTCGCTGGCGTGCCAACTGTTAACATCTCGTCGCGCCTTTCCGCCTCCACGCTCCCGTTCCCCTCCGTTCCGTCGGCGCGCTTGCCTTTCTTCGGCGCCTTCTCCTGCGTCGCGCTCTGCTCCTCCGGAGCCTTTCCCCTCTTCCTTTTCTTCTTTTCAGCACCGCTGGCCCCCACGGCCACCCCACTGTCAGATGCCCCACGCACAGCACCATGCCCGTTCTTTGCAACTTCCGCTGGCTCTACGACTTGACCTTGCCCTTGCCCTTGCTGGCCAGGTTGGAGCATGTAACTAGAAGAGTAGATCGGCATCGGCGGGTATGCTGGATGGAGGGGATAGAATGTGGGATGGGGTGGAGGCGGAGCGTTTGCACCAGGATCACCATTAGCGTGAGGATCATGCTGGGCAGACATGTAGCCCGGATGAGGTGGGTAATAGTAAGGATAATAGCCCTCTGGGGCTGGCATGAACTGCGGGGGCGGGAGCATTGCGGGCGTGTTGGAAGGGCCACCGTTGGTCTGCTCGGGAGCCCACTGGCTTTCGCCGTTGGAATATCCTACAAGATGCATTACGTTATTAGGGCAGAAGTATCACACGGCGTACGAGATGATGGACGGGCAGGCGATACATACCAGGGTAGGCCGGGTTCTCTGGGGGGCCCAGTTTGTTTTTACGTTTGTATGGACCTCGTTTGATGCCTTTCTTCCGCTCCTTCCTGACGCCATCAACACAAGAGTCCGCGATTCCATACTTGACGCATCGTTCGCACGGGCGAGCTTCGTCACAGCGTTTACATGCGGCTGCACAGTTCGTACACTAGTGAAACCATGTCAATCGCAGACAAAGATGAATGATGCGCCCAAGAGAGCATCAAATGTGAAAACACACAGCCATCTTGACCTGTTTGCGTTTGGGACGCGTGGCATTACCAGGGGGGGACATCATAGGGGCGTAGCCTAGAGATCAATATCTGTGTCAGCAGGCCCGAATACATCGTCAAGGGGCTTACCTGGCGCTGGGGGCGGGGGTGGGTACGCATATACGAGACCAGGGTGGGGGAAAGGCATCATGTAAGGCCCGGGGGGCATTCCGTTGGCAACGTTGGGGTCTGCATCGGGGTGGGTTGGGTAATAGTATGGTTGGTATGGGGCTGGGGGAGGATACGCCCCGCTGGTGAAGTGTTGGGGGGGATATGCAACTGCGGGAGGAGACTGGGCCGGTTCAGCAACAGACGAGGAAGATTTGGAGTGATCGCTGCTCATGGTGGCGGCAACGAGTCCCAGGGAGCAAAATGTAGAGATTTGGCAAGACCTGGACGCTCGCACGACGCTGGAAACATTGCGCGCATGGTGAAGGACGAGATGAGGAGGATTGAATGGAGCAGGCAGGGGACAGGGCTCACTGCACTCCGACTCAAATTCGAGATTTCCGATCCCGTCGCCGCTCAGACCGCTAGCTCAACGACACTCCGACTCAAATCGACACCGAATAACCACCTGTGAGTGTTAGCAATCAGCGACACCATGCCTCATCGACCCGTACTCCACTCACGGGTTTGTTTTGCAGCCGAGTCGCCCACGATGCGCTGATGAGGAGAGAAATGATGGATGAGGAGACTCAAACAGTTGAGAAACAAAGGCCACGTGCGAGCTCGGTCCTGCTTTCGCCTTGCGGCTGTTACAAAGCGCCGCCACCGCACAGCGCTCGACGACTGCTTCGAGTTCGTCGCCAGCGTTGGGAGTAGGTCTGATGCCCTTGCGTCTACGCAGGCGCTCGTTATTTGTCTCGTGTAGACCATATCGGCCCCTTAGACATCTCTCGCGGTCCATAGATCTTGCCATGGGGTTCTCTTTCTCCGATTCAACGCTCTCACTCCGCTGGGCGCTACCACTCCCGTCGCAGACCACGACCCGGCATCGCTCTGATTCCCTTCATCGACCTCGATTCAAGCCCTCGACGCCCATTCGGACCCTCATGTCCGTCTTCGACCAGTCGGACGTTGCATGTCCGCCCTGTATCCAATGCGGTCGGTTGCATCTTCAGTCGTAAGTTCGCGTGGCGTGATGAGTTCGCTGACCAAATTCTCGGCCTTTATGTTGATCTCCATATAGCCCTTCTCGTGCCAGAATGCTCGTCGTGCCTTCCCCATTCCCGTTCATTCCTGCATAAGGAATCGCGCATGTACAGCCGCTCTGTTCTCTGAGGCTGTAAACAGAGCCTCCTTCTCGTCCTGCAAGCGCGCAGAAAATAGCTTCATTGGATGCGATAACTTGTTTCCCATGGCTGATATCTGGGCAACATCCACGCACATTGGTTTCACACAAGCGCTTCTGCCTTCAAGTTTCTTCTTTGGAGCCGTGGCTGTCACAGTACTACATCTTGCCTGGTGTACCCTCGGAGCAAAAGTGCCATGTATGGCCAGTCTCGATTTGACCATGATTCGCATCTGCGCCCTCATCACTGAATGTGCGTCCCAGGTAATTGAGCCGGACTGTGCCCCAAATTATTTGGCGCGCTGTTTCCACAGTGGGGATTCAGATTGCCTACTGATAGCATGGATCTCTTGACCCTCGAAATAAGCGCGCGTCGTCCATGTTTCCCACCCATCGTCTTCGGTCTTGTCTGGCCCCTGTGCGGATCCTAAACTGCTGCTGCATCTCTCCGCTCTCTATGACCGCCTACATCAACACCGATTTCCAAATCTAAGCAACAGTCCATGATGATCCCCCGGGGCTGAGGTCTTGTTCGTCTCTTGAGCTATGTTAGGTACAACAATTCGCCTTCGTTGTTTCAACTGTTGATCGTAACTTGTATCAGGCCGAAGGGATGCGTCCGTGAAAATTTGTCCACGTATTGCGTGCAAACCTCGGTCTGATGTATGCGGGATCAAGGGCACTTATCGCATCGGCAGACGGGAAGATGCTTCGGCGATTGCAAACTAGCAGGGAAGCCCGTTCTGGCCGAACTCACAATGTAACACTGCGTGTGAGTAAGTTTGACATCGAGTGGAAAATGATGTGATTTTCAAACTGCAACTTTTCGATATTTTCTCCTCGCAACTCGCCCCGCCGATCTACATCGTTTGTGCGACCTTGTCGTGTATCTGGGATAACACAATGCGGACGCAGTCCGAGCGTATGTCGGGTACGAGTGCCCCTTCAAGCATGGGCCAAATGGATGTCATGAGTTAGTCATAAACGCCATGATGATACAAAAAGAGGGTATTGCATGCTATCAAGTACAGATCTATCATCTTCCTCGCTCTTCCTCCTCGTACACTGGAGGCAGTTCGTCCAACCACCGCTCTGCATTCCTTTCGTCGCGCAGTCGTTCGATCTTCGCGAGCAACACGACAATTTCCTCCCTCAACTCCTCTTCCCTCGACCAACCATCCCTCCGGTCTATGCGTACCCCGGGCTGATTGTTATATATCACAACGCTGGCCTGCGAACTAGAGGGGGCGGAGGGAGCGGGGAGTGGTGGCCTCGCGGGATTTTCGGTAGCCTGCATCAAGGTGATCTGCTCGCGCATGTCCTGGACTTGCCGCGTGAGTTTCTCTAATCGCCGTCTGGATCTTTTCCTGTGTGCCGAGGATCGTGTGCGTGATGAAGATGCTGCAGGTGTTCCGGAAGAAGATGCGGATCCAGATGAAGGAACAGATGAGGTGCCGCTTGATAAGTTTTCGTCAGACGTCGTGAGCGACGACTGAAAAGAAGAGGAAGATTTCGATGGTGGTATGCCTCTCGGATTTGAGGCTGCATCGCGTCTCGTTCCCCGCTCCAGACTGTCCAATGATCCTTGCGACGCAGGGTTGGAAACGTTTGGATCTGATAGACTGTTGGGTTGCGTGAATGGCTCGATTTGAATCGAGACGACATCTTCATGGTCAGCTCGAAGTCGACGACGCCGCGCACAAAAGAACAGGGAGACGAAGAAGGACATGACGAACAAGCCGCCGATCACGCCGCCGACAATGGCGCCCACGGGGACTTTCCGAGTAAGAGAAGCGAGCTGAGCTCCGTTGGTGCCTGTGGACTGTTGAACGGACGACGTGGTTGACTGGGAAGCCTGATTGTTAGTCCCTGTGGACTGTTGATTGGACGACGTGGATGACTGGGAAGCCTGATTGTTAGTCCCTGTGGACTGTTGATTGGGCGCGTTAGATCGAGAGGACGCAGTCGTGCTTGTTACGTCAGGAACCTCTGAGCTGTTATCGAGTTCACAGCCTGGGTTGTAAAGCGCAGCTGGCTCACTCACGTGTATATGGCGTAATCGAAGAGAAAGAGAGAGGGGGCTTCGGAGCTGTTGGCGGTAATGACGAGTTGATGCGGGATATTCTCCAAATTTTGAACAGCAAATATGGACGCGTTGTATTGGATGTCTGTGCTGTTCGTGGGGCTGTGGACGAAATTTCCCACGGTGAGTTGGTCCAGAACGACCGACAGGTTTGTCAACGTTGTGACCCCAGGGCCGAAGTCATTCCCCATGATGCCGAAAGCATACACAGCAGTACCTAGCGTCGAAACATCCATCAGAGCGAAAGGGGCATCCCTTGTGGACCAGACTCACCGGAGAAAGACAGTGTGACTGTACGCCCGCCATCCCCTGGATGATGTGTGGAGTCGTGCCAAGTCCCATTAAAGGCGGAATTGTTGGAAACTCCACCTTGGGTGGCCTTGCATCCAAAACAAGTTGAGCCCTGTGACCACCCGTCGGAGGGAGAGAACTGGATCTCCGAATCGCCCTGTTCATCGTCGATGGTGTGGTTGACAAGAACAGCCTGAGCGATCGGGAGTGCAAGGAGATACCATGCCCGCATGGACGCGAGGACTGTGCCAGCAGTGACAGAAGGGACGCCGCCGGGCCAGAGTGAAGAGGAGCTCGAAGCAGGCGTGGCCGGTCGAAGAGGAAAGACAAGAAGAGCTGAGACCAAGAGGCATACTTGTGCTTCATCTGTGCTGAAAGCGGTGGGTGATCAACGTAAGGCGATCCTAGTCGCTAGGCTGATGAACCAGGAGTACTTACGCAGATCAGTGACAACGGTGGACGTAGACGTGCCGCATCATCTCCCCTGCACGTGAGCCCTTAGGAAGGCAATGCGAGTACAGGAAATACCTAGAAGAGCTCGGGAATTATCTGTCAAGCCAAGAACGTCAATCGCCAGTGCTAGTGTCGCCAGTGCTCAGTGCGAGAGCAGCACTGCAGCCAGGTTTTCTTTCATGATAGGCCCTTTCCAGAAGATGTATTTAGTCGGAGTATGAAAGTTGACAATCAGACAGCGCATGACGCGGCAGTGGGGAGCGGAGAACAAACAGAGAAATCGGCATCCAATAGCACACTGCTAAATATTCCAGCACCCACGCATTTCGCTGGGCATTTTTTCCCCAAACGTCCCAGTTATGAGTCTCACTGAGCTCAAGTCATACCGCCAATGATCATGGAAATTTCTCCGAAATTTAGCGATCGATAGGGTAGGAGTGTACGCCTGAAACTCACTTTCAAGCTCCGATTGCATACGACTGAACTGAGTTCCCACAATGTATCGAGCATTCAAATGTCTGGGTTTCGCATCTAGCGCAAGCTGGGATGTCCGCGAGATGGCTTCGGATGAAGTTTGAAGAGCTAACAAGCACCAGACAGGCAATCAACCAAATCAGATATTCTCATAGGATAGTCAAGCATAATTGAAAAAGGTCGAATAATCAAACAGCAATCAAAAACCAATCAATTCCCTTTCTTGCTCGAGGATAGATATTGCCTCAGGAAACCGAGGTGTAGTCTTGCACTTGAAGGGAACAGGACGACTGCATGCATTTTCAATTTCCTCATCACTGACGAACGCAGAATGTACTCACACCATGAGCCCCTCGTCAACAGATCCATCAATATCTAATGGGAGCTCGATACCATTTTCGTCCGTCGCACGCTCTATATTCATCGCCCAGAGCATGATGGCCATATCAATCAATAATGAGTTATTTGCCAGGTGCTTCCCGATACAAATTCGCCTCCCGAACCCATACGAGACATGGCCGTCCTCCTTTGTATCAGAGGAACCAGGAACGATAAGAGCCTGATTGTTAAGATGACGGTCTGGTCTGAATTGATCAACGTCTGGCCCGTATATATCCGGATCGTGGTTGAGCGCCCAGCAGTTGACTATGCAGATAGTGCCGGCGGGAATGAACAAGCCTTGATACCAATCGTCTTTGCAAGAAGAATGTGGCACACCAAGGGGGTCGGGAGAGCGCCAGCGAAATGTTTCCTTGACCATAGCACGAAGATACGGCAGATGGTCCATATCGGAAAAGGAAGGGAGACGAGAACGCCCAACGACGCTGTCAATTTCAGCCTGCGCACGTTTCTGTGCGTCGGGATATGCAAGCATAGCAAGCATCCACCAGGAAAACGAGGCGGCTGTTGTGTCAGCGCCTGCGACACTATTTAAGATCTGATCACTTGTTCACACACGTATAGGACTCAAAGCCACTCACTATGTGGATGCTGCAGCCCAAGCACTCTCTCGCTCAGATAAATCGTGACGTGCTTGTTCCTCAATCAGAGTAGCACAGAGGCTAGGGCGATTATCGCCTTTCATCTATGTGAAGCAAGATATTCAGATGTTGGTGCAATTGAAACGTGGCTACTTACCAGGCTCTTGCGCACACCATTGTATAGCCCTTCGAACATCATAGAATCGCGGACAAAGCATTGTTCCGCATCGCGCTTCCACTTAGCGAACCTATCCGATAGCTACCTGTGAGTTCAGCAGATGATCCAAGGCATGGCTCACGTGCCTACTAGGAATATGTAGCATGGAAGGAAAGAGCTCGACAAGATGGGCTCCGGGGAGACTCGCTGAAGCGAGCCCATTGATAACCTCGGTCATTCGGTGGGCGCGTGAATCCTTCTCTGACAGAATGGGATCGGAATCGTACACAAACGACATGATGAACGAAGCAGCGTTTCGTTCGATGTGACTCTTCCAATTCTGAGGGGAAGTGAGCATGTCAGACGCCATGATGATAGCTTCTCGCCTCTGATTTGGATGGTATCGGTGGACAATGTTCTTTCGCATGCATTCGTGAGTGGCTTTCCTCATACGCCGCCAACTGGTACAAATGTGAATGATGAGGCTTCGAATGTAGGATTAGGCTTACACATCGGTGTATCTAGCTAAGAATATGTGAAGCCCACCCGACATGATTTCAGATCCGACAACAAATCGAGGACGGTCGGAGTAATTTGCTGCGCGATGATCAAGAAGGTCCGTCGCAACTTTGTGCGAATTAATGACGACCATAGGCTGTCCAGCCATATTCAAGTACACAAGGGCACCTATAAATTTAAGGCTCAATAATGATCAAGAAAAATTAAGAAAACCAGTCACACTGACCATAAGATTTTTTCCACTCGGTAAACATGAGCCATTGCTGGTTTCGGGGCAGGAACACATTGCCGATGATGGGAAGGCCCCTGGGCCCCGGAGGCAACTTGCGCCATGGACTTCTGGTATGCTTTACAAGACGATAAGCAACAAACACAATCACGAAGACCGCGAGAGAGGAGGGACTGATGGACGGCATTAGAGCGGACTGGGCAAGGATATCTGGCATCCTAGCGCCTCGACAGCTGAACTTTATTGTAAAGTTGGGGAGCGTTTATATAGGACCTCCGATCCGAAGATTTGACAGGCTGCTTGTTTGGCAACAAGCATGGAACATTGTCAAGTGGAGTGGTTAGACGCTATTCGGACCACGTCAGCGGCTGACTTCACATGAGTGCACACCGAACTTCACTCACAATGCAGGGATAAGCCAGCTCATTCATGCGACAATTGTGGGTATGCGGATATCCCGAGGTCTGTGCTGGTCTGGGACGGAGCTTATGCAAGACTCAGGAGACACAGATGCGACGGAAATCAAACGTTCCATACATAGCAGAACGAATAAGATACACAATGGGCGATCAACCGCCGATGACAAGCGAGCACCTTCCCTCGTCAAATCACGCAAAGAGAGGAGAGATCTCATCAAAGCAAGAAAAAAGTCAGCAATACAGCAGACGCTCTTGCAGAAGATACCAAATGATTGTAGCAATAAATGAAAGGAAACCGGACCAGGCACAGGGTCGGTACTCGAGCGTACGCTTATCCAGTTATCCAGCCTCCTCGACGCGAGAGTTTCTCATGACCATCGGAGCGGACGGGGTATCGGAGTGACGGTGATGACCCACCTAGGCACTACGCACCCGTGCGCGGTTCGTCAGCACACCCGATGTTGAAAGCGCTACAGCGAGGGCGAAGAGGAACCATTTTCCCCACCTCTTCATGAACGACTTCCCCGCTGCGTTGCGTGGCGGCAAGCTCGGGAAGAGGAGTGAATTCATCCTCTGCGCCTTCTTCGCCTGTTGTACGCGATAAGCATGACGGGGTCAAAGAACGTGTTGCTAGGATGGACGGAATCAGACTTACAGTGAAAGGAGGGTAGCGGCCGCTCATGAGCATATCCACCCTACAAGGAGATTGTCAGGCGTCTGTGATAACATCTCAAATCAGGAATCGACATACCAGGCAGGGTTATCGAGAGTGGATCGAATATGAGTGAAAAGATCGAAGGAGAATTTGCCGGTATGTGCGCCCGCTATATACATTTTATACAGGTCAGAATGAAGACAGACAAGATACCAAATACATACATCCACTGGGACCGATGCCGCCGAATGGCAGGCCCTCCGCTGAATAATCCTCAGGGAGTAAGCATGGGGCTTGTGTGTCAGATGTCACTTTGAAACGCACCGACTGTTTGAAGCATAGTCTCATTCACGACAGCCGAGCCGCTCTGGGTGTTATCGATGACTAGAAACAATGTTTGAGAATTGAATCCGGTTGTACATCCACATGTTCTAGCGTTACCTTTTGCCTTGAAGGCAGCACTTTGGGAGAAGACATAGATCGCGAGAGGATGGTCACTTGACGAACATGCAAGCTGTCAAGCAAAGCTGTCACGTCATTGAGATTCGATGCCACTGCTTACCGAGCGTTGATGAACTCTATGGCCTCATCCAGGCTGTCGACTGGCACAATTGGCAGAACGGGCCCGAAGATTTCCCTGTGCAGAATCGCGTCCATCAGCCAAAAGGGGTTTGTAGCAGATAAACATGTCGACGTACTCGCTCATCAAGGAATCCGCTCCGTCAACTCCAGCTACGATAGTCGGTTCGATGAACTTTTTCTCCTCGTTCGTGCCTCCACCGTATACAATTTCTCCTTTGGTGTTGTCAAGCAGCGCCTTGATGCGATTGAAGTGCGATACAGAGACGATGCGCGAGAATGAATCGGATTTTTCAGCGCCTTCGGGGTAAAATTCATTCAGGCTGTGGTGTTGGACATGAGTTCGAGGGAGAAGCTTAGAATACGCATGGACGTACACGGCCTTGCAGGCTTGAACAAGTGTAGGCATGAAGTCTCTCTGTACCAAAACATAATCGGGAGCAACACATGTCTATGTCCCGAGAGTGTCAGGGCTCCTCATTTGATTTGAAAGTGTATGGACGCGCACGTACTTGTCCAGAATTCGAAACCTTTCCCCACATTAGCCTCTTGGCCGCCGTCTTCAAGTCGCATTTGGAGTCAATGACAACAGGCGACTTTCCACCGAGCTACAACACAGCAGCGCCTTGAACATCCCGGACTCCCCAACATGGCTGATTTGAAACATGAAACGCACCTCGGTAGTTACAGGTGTTAGTGTTTGAGCAGCTGCTGTCAACACAATACGAGCCACTCGCCCACCTCCGGTGTACAAAACTGAGGACAATTTTTCAGTATATATGTAAACAAGAATAAGGATAAACATACTATGGTCCCATGGCAGTCCCAAAATCTTTTCAAAAGAACGAGGTCCATCAATGAAGTTAATACTCGTGCATGTGTGCATACTTTAGTTGTCTCGGGGATTCCCCCAAGAACCACCCGCACGGCGTCAGGGTCCAGGTGTTTCTCTACAAGCTCAGCGAGCAAAGCACTATATGCGGGCGTAAGTTCAGAGGGCTTCAGCACCGCAGCGTTGCCTGCTGCAATTGCACCAGCCTATAAAGATAATTACGCCAAGGTCATGAGTACTGCAGAAAATGGAGCTGTATGTAGGAACAGACGTACCAATGGGCCAATCGAAAGCCAAACAGGATAATTGAACGGACTGATGATAAGGACGACACCCTTGGGCTCCTTCCTCAACGTCGGACTCATGGCAAACCAGTTCATCGACCACGCAGCGCGCTCGGGTTTGGACCATTTCCCGACTTCATCGTATGCCAACTTCACCTCGGTCAAGGTGTTTCCGAGCTCGAGCCTACATTCACAATGAGCGGTTCGGCACGGAGCTGCGATGCGTGGGCTGCGTACACGTTTGATTCAGCATGAGGGCGACCCAAGTCGGCAGCAAGAGCCTCCTGGAAGCGGAGGAGGTTGTCTTTGAGGAGGTAGGCGAGGGCGAGGAGCTGTTGCTTGCGGTACGCAAGGGGGCGGGTCTTTCCAGATTTGAAGTTCTTTTGCAACTCGCTGCGAATCTAGAGAGAACGAGAGACGTCAGAAGAGCGAGCAGGTCACTGATTACAGCAGATAAAGTCCATGAATAACTTGTGGAAGAGGACTTACAACAGGAATCTGCTCGATGGGTGTTGCCTCGAATTGTTTAGCGCTCATAGTGGATGGTTGGATACTGGACGCGACGCGTCGTGAGCGCAGCGCTCGGCTGGAAGAACCGAAAGGAGTGCGTACGTGTGCGGGGGATGCTGTCCACTTATTACGATGTGGGGAAGGGCTAGTCAAGCGCTGGGGTTAAGTACTTGAAAGATTTGGCACCCCGTGGGGCCGTGCACTCAAAGGCACGCGGCTTGCCGTCTCGGGCTGCCTTTTCACGCCTTTATCAACGGAGAGACAATTGCGCACTTCCTAACTTCTTCAGTTACCAAGTGACACACCGAGACCGACTTGTGACTCCAGAGTTTTCCAACTCAAAGTCCGATCCATGGTCTGACCATCGTCGGGCAACATCTGGATTGCGCAGCGGATATCATTGCAAAGTTGGGCGAATCCCTACTGTACATCATATTTGGCCCACTTCATTCAAGGGTACGCCCTTCCAGCATTCAAAGGCGTCCTGAATAAATGCCTGCATGCCCTGGTGACAGGTGGGCTCCCGGGCACCAATCAGACAGACTCCGGTTCGATTACGAACCCTTTTGTCCACAGCCTTCCCGGATCATACTTGGCTTTCAACTTCCTGAGCCTCGGCAAGTTCAAGCCAAACACGGCATCGGCTGGCTCATCGCCCTGCGCCATGTTGAGCAGGATGCCGAGATCGTCCCCCGTCTTCTCGACATTGGTGCGGCGGATGAATTCAACGGTAGAAGCGACGAAAGCTCGGGATGCTTCGTCAGTCTCAGGACGCGAGTTCCTAGATATGGCGTGAGTTTTTCAAGTGTCAACAATGATTTCGGAGTGAGTCAACCCACCTTCCCTGGATGGCGACAGAATAATGAGGACGTCTGATAGCGAACGCGGTTTCTTCTCTCCCCACTTGCACAATCTTTTCCCATTGACGCGTGTCCCACAGAACCATACTCGACCTCGCGTCTTCGTTATCTTCCGTGAACTTGCACCAACGTACCCACACCTCAGTTATCATGTCCGTCCACAACTCCGAGAAGGCGACCCCTCGGATGGTGAGACGACGGGGTGCACGAGAGAGGCCAGCATCAGCCGAATGGGAGATGGTGAGTTGATCGGGAGCAGAGGATATTCTGTCAACTGTTGGCGTTACTCGGATGCGGAATGGAGCCAAGATCTCTTCAGCGGAGCGGGAGCTTGCGGCCGAGATCCAAGGTGCTATCACAATTGTAGGCTGAGCTCTCGAAAATCAGAAGAGATCTTGGAAGTCAAGACAAGCAAAATACCTTGAAATGTGGACCAGGACGGGTAAACATCATGCTAACCTTCTCATGCACAGATGCGGCTGATACAAAGTCCTGTTTTCGCCCGCTGATTAGATTAGGGGAGCACACTAACTATTTGAAGATCGCACCTGAACGACCTGGATCACATCGGCAAACGCAGTTCCTGGGTACACCAGAGCACCGACAGTTGAAGGACCGGGGGAAGGGAAGGCTTTCAAAACGAATTCGACGACGATACCGAACTGGTTTCCACCACCTAGGATGTGACCAGGGACTAAGCACACGAACACGACGACGATCGATGCCCAGAACGCACCCCTTATAGCCCAGAAGAGATCAGGTTCTTCGGTAGCGCTTGTCTTCACGATGCGCCCGTCAGCGAGGACGACCGTCGCTGCCACCATGTTATCGATCCCGAGGCCATGCTCGGAAGTCAAATTGCCGTACGCGCCGCCCAAGAGCGACCCGCCTACACCGACGAACCACAAAGGCGCGCCGGCCACTTCGATTCCTTCTTTACTGCCGACTTCGTACACATTACCCCAGTTCGCACCACCCTGGATAACGATTGTCTTGCGGTCATCAGACAGCTTTACCAAGTTCAATAAAGAGAGATCGATGACGATCCCTCCCTGGGTGCTCGACCAAGTCGACGAATGGCAGCCTCCACCCTTGACAGCTATCTCGAATCTAGGCGAGTGAGACAAGGCATAGGATAGAATTATCGGGATATCTGTGTATACCGCCGGTTGAATGACGTATGCTGCCTCAAGGATGGACAGGTCTGAGTTGCGCTGGAGCGCCTCTCTATACCCAGCGGATGCGGGGGAAAGCACATTGCCCTGGATTTTCAAAGATTCGATATCAGCCATGCTCAGGTGCAGAAAGGGAGGGGAAATGTGAGTGTCTGATGTGAAAGAAACGCACACTATTTATGGTTCGGGCACTCGCACAAGGATGTCATTGCACATAAAAGGTGGGTAACTTACGGTGCTTCAAGCGCGCCGCAGTGCAGTCGAAGCCGAGCCGAGTCCTGTCGAGCCCGAAGGCGTGCTGCGTGACTGTGATGATGTCACTGTCACGATCAGCTGTAGCCCTTCCGACGATTTCTTCCAACACACTGAACAGATATCTTTGCTTCTATCGTTGTGGAAAACCTTAGAAAACCCTTTCGGCTCGATTTTTTCGGTGGAGGCCGATTTAGCTCCCAGGATTAAACATTCACTGGCTGTGCAAGTAGGCACTATCATATTTTAGCGCCCAGCTTTCCTGCCCCGAGTCGAGTCTTTCCTTCACAAGCTCCAGAATCTGCCACAGGAACGTCCGTGATCTTCCTTTTGATGGAGTGAATCGAGGTCATCTTTTTAGCTGCTATGCCTAGCCTACTCATCAGACTTGTGACCTTTTGCATCACAAATGATATACAGAGGGTAGCAACACGAAAGCATCTGCCAGCAAGCATACATTGCTCCCGGGATTGTATGCACTGCTTTGCCGTGATGGTGCGTTTGTTTGATTGAACGTAAGATCTTCCCTATTGTGCCACAACGTTCGCACTTGTTGCTTCTCAGCAGGTCGTTGTTCACATCATCACTGCTACAAGATGCCTACGTAGATCCGACATCCGAGGAACACAGACTCGTTGCTCATACAAACTTGGATTTCAATGGGGGAATTTCTCGGTGGGAAACCGAGCATTTGCACTATCATCAATAAATAGCTCTGGTCGTATCATGACCATGACGTCCATGCATGCTTCCACAAGGCTGCCTCTTCAGCTTCATCATGTCCCACGAAGTTGTCGGGTTGGAAATCGAAAACACCCAATGCCAGACAAGCGCTCGTTCATTCATCTCATGATCGACGGCAATGGGCGCTCATATATCTCTACGCTCCCCCCTGCAGCCTCCCTGCATCAGCTTTGTTCTTAGACCTATTCAGTTTCCCCTGACTGTGAGCTGTTTCAGAGCGATAGCTCGCCTTGAAACGGTAAGGCCTTTTACGCAGCTCCTGATCTTCACTCTAATATTACTATCAAGACTAGCATCAGAAGCCTTGATTCTTTGGAGCATTGCCGACGGCCAGGGTCGTTACGCAAGACTGTCCTTTACTTATACCTGGCGTTCTTCGAGAGCACCCCAGGTGTCCCATTCAGCGTGTGTCGTGTTCAATGGCTCTGCAAATCGATGTCGCCGAATTTGGTGGCCTAGTGGCCGAGGGCATACTATATGGTGAGCGAGTTTTGCATATCTGGGGAATATAATTATGATACTTCAGTTCATAGGCATCTACTTATCACTGTTCGGTTATTCTGGTTACCTGCTCGTCTCTCGAAGGAAACGGGGCGAGCTCATCAGCTATCCGATGTTGCTCGTGGCGCTGTTGATGTTTCTTCTGGTCACCGGGCAGATCATTGCCGATACTTTCAACTTATTCGTCGCGTTCTTCCACCACGACACGCGCGAGGAACGTATCAAATATTTGGAAGACGTTTCGCAGCAGCTCTTTGCATGGAAGCATAATATCTTGAATGCTACGCTCCTTGTCGGTGACTTATTTGTGGTGCGTACAAGGCTATACATTGTCACTTTTGCACTGCACTAACACGAGGCTTCGATGCATGCTCATGGTATGCTAAGTGCTATCGCTGCTATATCATATGGGGAAGGGATTTGCGTGTCATTGCGCTACCGCTGTCCCTGTCTGCCGCAAGCGTCGGTATGCCGTTGCTTCTCTAATCTCTGCGAATATCAACAAACTGAATGCACATCAGCATGTGGGATTCAAGTGACTTGGGCAACCCAGCATCTCGCATCGACCACGGTCAAAGCACAGACTAGTTGGATCACTGCGCTCTTCACGCTCAGCCTGTGCGCCAACGCTATATCGACATGTGAGTGCCGCTGCGGGTCTTGTCCAGCTCATCACGTTTACCGTGTCTTGTAGCTCTCCTTGCCTTCAAGATCTGGCAAGTCGACAGAGCGGCCAGACGGTTTATGGCAGGATCTGGATCGTCTCTCGTCCCAGTTCTCCGGATCGTCGTCGAGTCAGGTGCCATGAATGCCGCGTACCTCTTCGTCTACACCATGACGCTCGTTACGGGGACGGAAGCACTTGAGACCATGGCCGAGATGGTATGTCCCTCGGCAGATTTCATCTCAGTAACAGATTAATCTGGTTATGCATAATAGGCAACGGCTGTGATTTCAATCATCGCGACGCTGCTCATTATTCGTGTTCAAACCAATGCTGAGCGCGAAGCACGCTACACCACTGGGCGTGCGGTGAGCACGTTCCGCGCTGGTCCCCGCAAAAACGAGCTATCGGGGCAAGTCAAAACCATCAGTACCGACGGCACTCTGGAAGGAACGCAATCTCCGAGTCAATCTGCAGATCTGAACGTAATTGCAGTATGACGCTGATCGACATTGATGTGTTGACGGGTTGTCTCCATGTTAATACGGTCCGATCTTGACGAGTCTATTTGTCGTATTTCACTACATGGGCTAGGCAACGGTGTGTATTAACATGTCTATCGTCCCGCAAGTGTTCTTCTTCCATCGAATGATTTTATGCGTTAGGGATCAATTTGCCATCTGATGGTCATTAATGGAATCATCGACATCATCTGGATTTAAGGGATGCATTGTTGATCGGTTGTCCGATCTACCAAATTCTCCTCGTCAGTGCGGTTCGTATAAGTGAATATCTAGTGTTCAAAAAAAAACATGATATCATTTCAGACGAGGTGGTTTTCGTAGCACTTCAAATTGTTCTGCCTTAGACACGAAATGGGTTGTCGCGTTGACGGAGGTTGTCACGTTGACGAGTGCTATAATCTGCTATAATACGCACGACAAATAGTTATCCGGAGCTCGGTTCCTTACCCCACAACCCTGCTTTTCGCCGAGCTCAATGATATTTTTTCTGGCGTACTTTTCCTTTAGCTCCACCATCTGTCCCTCTGCCCAACTATCCTTAATACCAGGCGTTACGAAAAGCGGCCATGTCCAATTTCTACGAGCGCCAGCTCACGCTCCTTGTCGTTGTATGCGTTCTCGTCCTGCTGCTTGAACGATGGGTTTCTTCGAAAGACAAGAAACCTCAAACCTCGACCTCAGCAGCGAAGGCTCAAGTCGACGATTCCCTCGAGAACGGACGTAGTCCTGCTCAACACGCTCCTAGCGGAAGCATATCTGGCATGCCGAGCGCGCGCGTGGGCGCCTTGAATACTCTGATGAGGAAGTATCTAACGGTTTACGCGATTGTTATGGGTGCGTCTCTCGTCATCGTTTCGTTGTCTTGAGCGCCATAAGGGGGTGATCACAATGGTTCGACTGGCCCATCTGATAAGTTTTTGTGGGACAATAGGTGCGGACTGGTTACAGGGTCCATATGTCTATTCGCTCTACCATGAACAATACGCTTTCCCTGAACGGATGGTTGCTATTCTGTTCGTCACAGGCTTTGTGAGCGCCGGTCTCTCTGCACCCCTTGTTGGAGTCTGGGCTGATCAATAGTACGTCTTCATCCACATCACGTTCTCCTTTTCTTTTACTGTAAACCAATCCCTGTGTGTTGTGATGAAACCATCAACACGAGCTCCCGGATTAGCTGTGCATAATTTCTACAAATTGAATATCATGGAGTCATGCACGTCTTCATACTCTACCCTCAGCCCGAGCGCCTTGCGGACCACATACCGCTCTCTCTCGTCTCGCGCGCCTAGACTTAACCATTGCTCACCGCACCTTATTAGTGGCCGCCGCCGGTTATGTCTCATGTTTTGTGTGACGTACTCGCTCACCTGTGGCCTACTTCTCGTTCCCTCCCTCCCTGTCTTGCTGCTGGGGCGTGTTCTGGGTGGGATCTCGACATCGATCTTGTTTTCTGCCTTCGAGAGCTGGCTCGTCTCAGCAAGCTCGACAGCCGCGCTTCAAAGCGAGGATCTGAGTGCTATCATGGGTCGTGCAACGCTCGTCAACGGGTTTGTTGCGGCCGCTGCTGGCGTACGTTCCCTCATTTGTCGATTTGAATGGTGCGCTCATAAATGCCTATGGTTTTCGCGAAATATATAGGTGTCTTCGAACACGCTTGTAGAATGGAACGGGGGCGGCTACCGCTCACCATTTATTGCGAGCGGTGTATTGCTCGTTCTGGCTTGGATCGTTATACGTGGGACTTGGGGCGAGAATTATGGTGGTGGTGGTGGTGCACAGGTTTCTACTGACGATATCTTTCAGATCAAACGCTTGGGAGCAGCATGGAAGATTGTAGCTGCCGGTACGCCTCTTCACTCCGCTGGACTTACACCACAGCTTAACGCGCGTCCATATTGCAGACCCCACGCTGCTCGTCCTCGGGCTCACACAGACGATATTCGAAGGGTCCATGTACCTCTTCGTCTTCATCTGGGTTCCTGCACTCCAAGCATGCTCGATCACGCCTACATCCATACCCCTAGGCTACGTCTTCTCCGCTTTCATGATCTCCATGATGCTCGGTTCGCTCTTCTACACATTCATCACCTTGCACTGGCACCGCCCACCCCCGCCGCATCTGCAGCACACGCGCTCTGTGTCTGTCTCCTCGACGTTGTCGACAGCATCTTCGGCGGCGACGCCTGATTCGACACTCACGCTGCACGCGAAGCTGAGTTCGCTTGTGTGCGCAGTATCGGCCCTCGCGTTTGCTGCGAGCGTAAGCGCCGGGCGCACGAAGGGGGAAGGGAATGCGGAGATGGTCAAGTTCTGGGCGTTCTGCCTGTTCGAGGCGTGTGTGGGGATGTATTACCCTGTGCAAGGTATGCTCCGCGGGTCCCTCATCGCTAACGAACACCGCGCCACCGTACGTCTTACTATCGTCTCTGTTTTTTTACCTTTCTGCCGCAGGCTGATTGCGCGTTTGTATGGGGCGTCAGCTGTCGGCGCTCTTCCGCGTCCCACTCAACATATTTGTCGTTGCGTCTCTCCTGACAGGCGTCTCGTCGGCGCGAGACTTCGTACTTATAGCGTGCGCAGTAGTACTCGCTCTCTCGGCGGTCACAACAGCTGTCATTGTCCTCCCTCGCGTGGAGACTTTACCGCCACAGGGGCGTACCGCTTAGACATTCATTGCAAACGGCAACCACATTGGGCCACGAAGCCGGGCGCTTGGGCGCTTGGTCACAATATTGTCGATTTTTTGGCCTCTTGGATAGAGGCTGGAAGGAGGCTCTCTTAGATCAATATAAATCACGGACATTTCATTTATAATTTACGCTGTATACCTAAGTCTCTTCGCCATTTCGTTTGGGTGTCGGTCACCTCGCGAAGTTTAGTTGCCGTATAAATAACAACATAATGAGGAAAGTCGCGGGAAGAGAAACGCTCGGTGCAGCGACCTTTAAGAATCATGGTAATATCATGCAGTTGTACCTGGAAGCACATGCAGTTCGATGACTTAAACGACGAGGTAGCTCAAGTAGCCGCTCTTATCCTTATGTGTATTCCTGTTGGCCTCTCATAAATTCCATGTTCTACTTCCCCTTGACATTGCACATATTGCTATCGCAGCTGTTCATTCTAGATTTTCTGATTAGTCGTGCCACTTGCGCTGACTCCAAATATCGGTGATCAAATTAGCTAGGCGTGTGGGTATACCGTAAACATGCACCAATTATCGACGAGGAATGTTTATGATACACACTTTTAAGACGTAGAGAGGGTTTCATGACGCTGGTGACGGAGAGATAAGTCGTGGGTGACGCACAATGAATAAGCCATTCTTAACAAAGTTGGCAGCCAGAGGACTACGAAGCAGAAATCTATACACAAAAGACAAGAATTTATCGTACACGCGTCCAATCCCACTTCAGGAGGCAGCCAATATCAAAGATCGCTTCTCTGTTTCGTGGCATCAGTCAATGGGACATACTGTCCGAGAGATTGAACACATCAATGTCAAGGACTTGCTCTGCCTGTAGACGACGAGAAAGCTTACAAGGACACCAAAGAGTTCCTTGTCGGTTACGTGCCCATTCTCGTCCTTGTCGATTTGTCGAACGGCTTGACTATGAGTTCCGACAGGAATGAACATTCTACCTGGACGGGCGAGCTGGTCGACAAGAGGCTGCGGGAGAGTAGGCGCAGCGGCGCCAACATGAATCGCGTCGTACGGACCTCCCTCGAGAAATCCTGGTTCCCAAAAACAGATTTTCATAAATCACGAAAGTTCGCTCCATCATTGAGCAATGAGCAAGGCGTCCTAAGTTCTCACCGAGTCGTCCGTCGCCCGCGACTAAGACGATCTGTCCATCGTCTAACGCTCCCTGAAGCCCGTCTGCGCGCAAGTTTTTTTTGCTCCAGTCCACAAGCTCAGGTATGTGGTCGATGCCGATAACTTTGCCTTTTTTGGACTCGGAGTTGACGAGATGATGAAAGACGGCACTGAGGTAGCCCGAGCCCGAGCCCACATCGAGGACATGAGCGCCTGGGCGGAGGTAAGGGAGAAGGATTTCAGCGGCATGGCCGTGCTGTAGAGCATCGAAAATACTTCAGTTCAGTGAATTTGAATCGACCGATGGAGTACTGACCATGTGGGGCGCAGATATGGTCGCGCCGTGTCCAATGGGCCTATACGGCGTCATCCCGTGGTCCGATGCAAGGCAGTGCTGTGCTTTCGCGACTCACTGAGGCGAATCAAAGTATGCATCAGACTTGTCAATCACGTAGTTTGCGCGATCGACCTTCTTCATTGCCTGCATTCATGACGTGAGTGAGCGGAGCATTGACACAATCGACCATCGAGATTCAAGAAGGCTTACGGCTGCTACGATGTCTGACTTGAGGATTGCTCCAGACATATTTGTGATCAGTTCGGTGTTTGTCCTTCCACTAGAACGCCAGGCCATTGCGGAGCACAGGAGCTTGAGCGCTTGAGCGCTTGAGCTTGAGCAAGCCAAGGTCGACGTATGGGATGACGTCGATCAAACCCCAACCTCGATACGGACAAGCCCTAACGTTATGGCAACCGTGAGTGATCTGCTATGAAAACGTAAGCAGAAGATCACGTTTTGCATGCAGGACCCCTGGAACGGTTCTCAGATATTCAATTATATATATCATCGTCTAGTATCCGATACTCGAGGGCGGACTTGACGAGAGACGATCCAGGGGCAGCAAGCATCAAATTATAGATTAGACGTTTGTTTATTATTGCTCAATTTCAAACCAACAAGCTAATACATCGGTCGAGGATGAGCTCAAAGATATGATCAACACCCGGTAGACATGTAGACTCGTACATGAGCTCGGCGATGTCGCGCGCAGACGCGAGCACAGTGATGCACTGGTCGACCGTGTGTTCCGGGCACGCAGAGAGGTAGAGCACGCTGTGGGCGGCGGTGCGGAAGCGGTGCCTGACACGGATGAGGGCGGAGAGGTCGCGCGGGGCGATGTGCATGTAGACGAGGCTAAGCAGGATGGGGAACATTTTGCGCATGTTGTGGAGGGGAAGAAGCACGCAGGGGCCGTTCCGGCTGGTTGTGGTCATGCTGGGGAGGAACAAAAGGGAGGATTGGGGATGCGGGGGAGTGCAGCGGGGCCAGTGCGTATGGGGGGTGTGCGTGTGAGTGGCGGAAAGCGCGTGTGTCGGTGGTGGGGCAGCTGCGTGTGCGCGCGCAAGGACGGTGGAGGAGAGACCACTTTGATGGGGAGCAGGTCGAGGACAAGGCCAAGACCAGGCTCCATGCGCGAGAGGCGGTTGCTGCGGTCTGTCTCCAGTGTCGCCATAGGCATCGGCACACGCAGGTGCGGCGGCAGCGTCTTCTCGGTCTTGCAAGGCCCTGAGGGCAATGCATTCGGCAAGCTCAGCGTTGGCGAGCATCTGCCGAGGGCGGTAGGGGAAGGCGAGGGGGTGCTAGGTAGCTTCATTGGCAGCCCAGGTCTGCGATGTGCTCGACACCCTTGCTGTGGGTCCGGAGGAGAGAGAGGCAATATTGGTGTGGGCGCTGGCATGAGTGTTGAGACAAGGTGGTAGAAGAGCTCACTTCCAACAACTTAGGACTATGTAGCATCATGATACCGCAGAGGCATGAGTACAGCACAATGCACTCAGCAAGATATGCCAGCTTGGGTGAGCACATAGACACATCCACTTACGCCAGCTCGGGTGAGCGCATAGACACATCTACTGTTATGAATGCAGGGTGGGCAGGTCGGGGCGATGCAAATGTAGTGAGTGCATCTAGCACGAATTCGTAACAAGCATGGGGCGGCAGTGGGCATCTGCAAGCAAGTGAGTGCATGTCGCAAGATGGCGGACATTCAAAGATGAGAGCTTTGCCCCGTATACTGCACGCGTGCCTATATGCGTGCACATGAAGAAGCCATGGGTATGAACTAGATTCCAATCTAGTGGGTATCATGATGGTAGGTAGATAGAGGGTGAAAAGAGTCATTGTATCGGTAGTGACAGGATCAGCAACAAGTATACTTCAAGGATTAAGCTATTAGGGGGAAATATTGTCCGAATAAGATGAAAGAAAAGAGCAAAGAAGATAAAAAAGAGCAAAGAAGATCAGTCAAAACTAAGCATATGGTGCACATCGAGCGCATGCAGGCCATAACGTTCAGGCTGCATCGGTGCACTCTAGATGAGAACTCCGAGGAGATTTTGTAGACATCGCCCGCGTCCCATCACCACTCTTAGCCTAGGAGTTTATTGTAATTAATTGAAGATCTATACTGAAGTATAATCACGTACCAAATCAGATGTGCTGCTAACAGAGAGAAAAAGTGGTGTGTCCCGAATGCGCTTCTTCTCCGCATCGTCACCGTCTGCATATGACTTGGGCAGCTTGAAGAATTCACAGAATAAGTTGCACTCATGGTCAATTTCGAAATCATCGTGCGTGCTAGTGAGATTCCCACTGCCAAATAGTGGGCCGAGATCACTATAAGCTCAATAAGGAGGTGTCAGAGGGTTTGTTTGAAAGCACAATAACACGTACGGGTGAGTAATAATCTGCGGGTCCGAAAGGCAACTATTGCCTCCTATTCAAATAAAGGTAAAAAAACCGAGATCATTTTCAATGTAGTATTAGAAATGTACATACCTTGGAAGTCGCTAACAAAAACGAGCTTGCTCGTCTTCCAGTACTGGACATGCTGACAAAATGCCAGGAATTCTCCACATTGCTGGTCACCAAAATGCCGATAAGGAATAGGGATGGCAGAGTCGTTGTTGATATATTTCCGCCACTTGCCCTCGATGGCCGGGTCGACAAGCTCCTCTAGAAGGAATGCCTCCTGTTGTTCTGTTTTGTCGGATGGTGGCATGCTAGTTGCAAGGGCTACCTTGACATAACGGAGCTGTGGGATTTCGAAGGGTGGATGACTGAGTTCAGGCTTCTGAATGTTGTCAGCAATGAAGTCGTATACTAGTGATAGAAGGGCCGATGCCCATTGGGTGCCAAGCACATCCTGAGAAAGAATCTCGACTTGACGACAAACATCCAAGGTTTGAACCTCATCGGACTTGACCTTACGGCGGTAAGCCTGTTTGACGGCAATCCGGCCATCCTGTGCTTCAAAATCATATGGAAGTGGGTCGATCTTTGCCCTACGCATGCCCTTGAAGGAACCATACTCAACATTGTCCTCTCGTTTGAGGAACAATGTGGCCATGGTGGGCTTGACTTCCTGCATCCACGTCGCAAACCCTGTTGACTTTGCTGACTGCCGTTGATTAACGAGCACATCAAAGGATTTGATGGGCAGTGGGTATACAATAACCCTCAAAGCAGTGATTTTGACTGCGAGGTCGCCATAGGTCGAACAAGGTCTTAGTATCAATATTACAGAATCAATAGTAAAAAAGATGCTGGTGATTGACTCACGGAATGATTGCACGATGTTCTTCTGAGGTTTTTTATGTGCTTGCAGTGCTTCTTGAACGCGGTCTGCATCTGGTATAGAGGATAGCGAGAACCTAGTGGATGGTTTTCCATGTTTGATGTGCCGTGTTTCATTGCTTAGGAGAGGCTCGTCATCTTCAACTGGCTGTAAGACCCTAGAGTGAGCACATTGCCAGGGAGAAATTGCTATTGTGCTTGCACATTACTCACCAATGCACACTTTTTGCCTCGGCGCTTGCTGCTTTCGTTCATTCTTGATTGTTGTGACGAGTCAGTGATCGTGAATTGTGCACGAACGCCTGTTGCACCCTTAAACTAATTTGCAAGTAAGTTATTAACTTAGTCATATGTAGGTAGGGATGTAAAGACGCACAACTAATCCATTGTCTTCCAATGCAATGCTGTCATTTCTGTTAACCATTGCTGACCCATTGACTTCGGAAGTGATCATTTCCAGGCGATGTGTCTCAGCGTCATTGTAAGATTCAGTTGGAACCTGTAGATGTAAGATCACTTCCCCTTTCTTGAATCTCCCTGTCTTTGTGTTGTAGAATGAAGCTGAAATCACATCGGCCTTGATCTCAGCATCCAGTTCCACCCAGTGGGCGTCTCGAAGGCGCATGTCATCAATAGAAATGTGAAAGCCCTTGAACCATTTGAGGAAACCAGGATACAAAGCATTGAAGACGATCATCTTTAAGTCAGAAGTTCCGATCCGTGCAGGAACATTAGCGATGGAGTCGATGATGTTCTACAAGTATGAAACCCGCTCCCAGGATTGATCAGCTTCAGTTATTGTGTACAGGCAATAAGGTTGCTTACGCCCAAAATCTTTGCCTTGACTCGGCCTTCGACCAACGTGGCCATCCGTGCCTTCACTGTAATAACCTCGTCCTTTGCTCCTGTCCGAGCATACTCACGAAGCTTTTGTCGTAAAGCATCATACGACTTGTGCGATTCTTGATAACCGAGGCCATCCTGGCAACTGATCCGGAGGGGAGGAAGATTATGCCTAGTTGGACCGGGCACACTTATATGAGGGAGTTGTGGATTTGGAGGTGGAGGCATGCGATCGCGAGATGATAGCTGCAATAGGGCAGCTCCTACGGCACGAACCGGCATAGACCTCTCTATTGATATCATTAATAAAGTGAGTGGATTAAGATATGGAAAATAGAGACTGACCGCCTCGTTGAGCAGCCGCAATTTGTTTGCCTATATGAGCACGGTACTCATGATGTTGAGGTGATGATGATGGGCCAGCCTGTGAGCGGGCTTGTTCCATGAAACAATCAGGAACTATTTCGTCAGATTGTCCAAACTAACCAAATAGGAAGGTTATCAGCACTCACCTGACGACACCACACGACTACCAAGTTTATTGCGGTAGTATGTAAAGCAATCTTGGCAGACCTTCTTGCTAGGTCCGCCATTTGCATCCTCCACAGAAAAAGAATGCTGAGCCGAAATCCTATTCTTGCAGTTGTGCTTCTCGCATGGCTGTGATGAGGGCTCTGGAGTGAACTGTGCAGCCACGTAAGACATTCCTAGTGAGTATAATTAGAAAGAGAAAGAAAGGAGCAGCAAGAGTAATCGAATAGCAAGGAGAGACTAAGGCAAAGCACTGGATCACTGTGACGGAGATGGCGGGCACATACACTGGCCTCAGAGATATACCCACAAAATTCCCGGCTTCATCCAAAAACGTCCAGAGAGTGTAGAGCAGTGTAAATTGGAACACCGCCGCTAAGGGGCAATCTTGTCGATCAAGATACTAGTGCCCTTAGCTGCTCCTTCAACCAAAGCGGGTCCCAGACTGAGCTGTTCGTACTACCAAAGAAGGGATGATGTGGGCTTGTAATAAAGCTCACCGCAGTCAAATTATGAGAGAGGCAACCACTTGAACAGACATCACAAGCAAGATAAATGAAACAAACATATAAAAATTGTGGGCGAGACGTTCGGGTGACGGGCCGAGCCTTCCGCATATGCAATCGACCATAGTACAGATAATGATGAAGAGGAATAGGGAAATATGAGTGGCAGCGAAGAGGAAATCACTATTCAAAAAATGTTGCTATTCTCTTCAGCATGCTCTCCATCAGATTCAGTATCTGTAAAAATAGCATATACCTCTTCATCAGAATCCCTATCGATAGGATCCCTACCTACTCCAACAACTCGATCATCTACGAGGTCTTGCAACCCAGAGATTACGGGAACAGATTCTTGTTCTTGCATCTGACCCTCACTGTAAGACACGTGGTCATCAAGCATCTGCTGAAACGACGCATCCAAGGGCATGGCCTCGAGCGCCGCAAGCATCTGTCGATATATGTTCCAAAATGTGCCTGATGAGATGACAGGCTCATTCATTAGGCCGTAACAAGCTCCAACCCGAGCAGCAAACTCTTCGGGAACCAGCTTGAAGACGTTATGATCAGGAGGTGCCCAAGTTCTCTCGATCTCATCAAAAACATCATTCGGGACAGACACCTATAATAATCACAAGGGTGAGCACAGGCCTAGTCGAGTATATTCATTAACAGATGGGAGCCCGTACTTTAAAGTCTTGGCAACCATACGCCGGAGGGTTCTGCCGAATCAACTCGGGAACCCCTTGAGGTAGAATTTTGTTCTTGTCGGCACGGCGCGCTGTCATGTTGCGTTGATACACCCAAGCATCTAGCTCTCGTTGTAGCCAGGGAATTGCAAGCCAGCGGAACAAGAGCCTAAAAATACAATCAGAAACTCCATACAAAGCATACATAATGAAATAGATTAACTCATGGAGCGGATTGCCTATGTCGTACCAACCATTTTCGACCCCGTTGTCCAGCATGTTCTCAAATCCTGGGGTCCAGGTCCTACGCAATAGTGACCAATGAATTTCCGGTTTGATATTTTGATGTTTGCGCATCCAACGATGTTGCAACGTGCCGGCAAGTGATGCATCGAGACGGTGACGAACGTTGGTGTGTGCATTCGCAACACCAAAATTCTCAGAGCCAGGGTCACTCTGGGTGACGAGAGGAATGCCTGATCCAATATCAATGCAACGTACCTCAATGAGAAAACCAGAATGGACTTACCGTTCTGCTTGCGTGCCACTTCAATATAATAGGATGTTATAAGCCGAGGGTTGCTGTTTGTCCACCATATTTTGTTCCAAAGAATGAATCCTGGAAAAGGATCAACTCCGACATGGAGGAAAAGCCCAAACCGCTTCCACTTATCATGTTGATCGATTGCCCAAACATCATTGACACCGGCGGCCCAGAAGCAGCGTCGCTTGAAGCGGCGTTGACGGCGCGCGTTCACAGCTTCAGGCTCTGTCTGCTTCAGATATGCAGCAACAATATCTCTGCATAAAGAATCCCATTTTTGTTATCAATCACATTGTGTAGGTAGCATAGAGAGAGATTGGACACACACCTTGGTACGCGAATATTTCGCTCAAATAACAATGTTTTCTTGACAGAATCTGCTCCTCCCCCAGGAAAACGAGTCTTGATCTCAGCGACATGCTCCGCAATGCTTGCGACGGTGTGCTGTTGCTGTCGAGTACTTCTAAGACCCCATTTCTTGCGCAAACGGCGAACTGAGATGACACTTTTCAACATATATCAGCTGCAAGCATCCAAAACATGCACATAGATCCCATACCCGAGACCATAGACTTCTTTGTCGAAGTGGTTCAAGCAGTGTGAGGCAATCTTGATATCGCTCAGGCCGATGTGATAGTAGAACTCGAGAACTGGCTTCAAATCAACTTCAGGTGCTAGAAAGTATGGTGAGTTTGGTTCTGAAGAGAAAGATATGTAATACACACGTATCGGCTTATGTTGATTGGGCATCTATCGTACAAGCGAGCAGCAGCTATAATTATTCGAACCTGACCCAACGCAGTGATTGGGAATCTGGGACAACAAGAGACGCCCAGAGTTCAACCTGATCCAACATAGTATGTAATCACGGCCTTATGGTGTCCTTCGTAATTCCTTTGTCTTGATCCTTATCTCTATCAGCTACTTATTGTCTTCAATGACCTGGATTCCCCTGGATTCCCCTTGTGCTCATAGGTGAGAGTGCGTGCTTTTGGTTCATATATTGACACTAACATGTCTTAACCCTCGGTCTCAGGACAAACACAGACATGGTGGTCCTGGGCAACTTGCCTGAAGTCACTGCCGCTGATGGATCTTGGACTGCGATCGTGAGTACGTTCAGCTCTTTTGCATGCGCTCCTACTACAAGATCGCACCAATCTCATCCTCTACGCTGTCCCCACCCTCTTAGGCATCGTCACATTCCTTGTTGGCTGGGCTGGCATCCACCTCAATAATCTCTCCCTTATGACCGTCCACACCTTCATCTGCGTTATCTCTCTCAATGCCATACTCGGGCTGCCGATGAAGCTACCCAGCACACCCTTGCCTTCTCCCACCGCCCTCGACATACGCCCCCATAGCGAGCTGAGTCGCCGTTTCTCATTCCTAGAGAGCATGATGACCAGTGCGAGCTTGACCGTCGACCAGCGCCGATGCTCGCCAACGCTGAGCTTGCCGAATGCATTGCCCTCAGGGCCTTGCAAGACCGAGAAGACGCTGCCGCCGCACCTGCGTGTGCCGATGCCTATGGCGACACTGGAGACAGACCGCAGCAACCGCCTCTCGCGCATGGAGCCTGGTCTTGGCCTTGTCCTCGACCTGCTCCCCATCAAAGTGGTCTCTCCTCCACCGTCCTTGCGCGCGCACACGCAGCTGCCCCACCACCGACACACGCGCTTTCCGCCACTCACACGCACACCCCCCGTACGCACTGGCCCCGCTGCACTCCCCCGCATCCCCAATCCTCCCTTTTGTTCCTCCCCAGCATGACCACAACCAGCCGGAACGGCCCCTGCGCGCTTCTTCCCCTCCACAACATGCGCAAAATGTTCCCCATCCTGCTTAGCCTCGTCTACATGCACATCGCCCCGCGCGACCTCTCCGCCCTCATCCGTGTCAGGCACCGCTTCCGCACCGCCGCCCACAGCGTGCTCTACCTCTCTGCGTGCCCGGAACACACGGTCGACCAGTGCATCACTGTGCTCGCGTCTGCGCGCGACATTGCCGAGCTCATGTACGAGTCTACATGTCTACCGGGTGTTGATCATATCTTTGAGCTCATCCTCGACCGATGTATTAGCTTGTTGGTTTGAAATTGAGCAATAATAAACAAACGTCTAATCTATAATTTGATGCTTGCTGCCCCTGGATCGTCTCTCGTCAAGTCCGCCCTCGAGTATCGGATACTAGACGATGATATATATAATTGAATATCTGAGAACCGTTCCAGGGGTCCTGCATGCAAAACGTGATCTTCTGCTTACGTTTTCATAGCAGATCACTCACGGTTGCCATATAACGTCGATATTGCTCACATAATCATCCAGCAAGCAGCCTCTGACAGGACGTCTCCGAATCCTCACCGTATCACCTCTCATCTACTAGGCGAGTTCAGCCTTAAGCATAGCTTCAGAGGAAAGCAAGAGAAATTTTCTCAAGGGCTGGACAGCATAATTGTGGTGAGATAAATGAAAGCGTATGGCACGCACGTGTGTGCCTGATATCGACGCACCCTGTGCAGCAATTACTTGGCTTGGACCAGACCGAAGCGTAGCTGCTGCGTCAATACGCCCCTCAACAATCGATGCAATAACCCCACTTCCTTCTCTCTCTCTCACCACCATTCACTGCTTGACAAGTACATGGTCTCTTCTACCACCGGCACCCCCGTCTGGCCCTTGTTAAAGACCGTCTTCTCCGTGAGTAAATTATAGCATACCGTCCCGTTGAAAATGCTCATGGTGCATGTAGTCTATCCTTGAGGTTTTCCTAACATGCCTGGCAGGCTTCATACTGGCACGTAAGGGTATCTTGGACAAGAAGACACAAAAGGCAAGTACACTCCCAAGTTCGCGCGCAGAGCGATACCGGCATCCTGACAGTCAGATGACGCACAGCAAATCAACCATCTAAACATATCCCTGTTCACACCATGCCTTCTCTTCTCGAAGGTTGCGTTCTTCCTGTCACCCGGTCAGTCGATCGACCTTGTTGGTCTATATGTATTGTGCTGATACAGTGTCGACAGCTAAATTGAGAGAGCTATGGATTATCCCTCTATTCTTCTGCGCTGTGACTGCTGTGTCCATGGCGGTGGCGTGGCTTCTTGGATGGATGTTCAGACTCAAGCGCTCGCAAAGGTATGTCGCGTCTGTCTGTCAATGATTGTTATACTCATTCATTCGTACCAAGGAATTTCGCAATGGCGGCTTCTATGTTCATGAATTCCAATTCCCTTCCCATCGCTTTACTACAGTCACTTGTTGTCACTGTTCCGGGTCTCACTTGGGGAGACGACGATAACACAGACGCCATGGTAGGACGCGCATTGACATATCTGGTGCTGTGCAGCACGCTCGGGATGATCGTGAGTCCGTACTTGTCGACAATGAGGACGAAATGTTCAGCAGCTATGTCTCCGTGTGTCATTGATAGGTGCGATGGAGCTACGGTGTGCGCCTGCTTTCTCAAGCCGACACTGAGGGTACGGAGCCTCAAGGTCTCCAAGACGAGTCAACTCTTCTGTTAGACAGTGAGCAGACTCTGGTGCCCGAATTAGCTCAAGAACAGCATCCAAACTTGGCCGAACCGGAGGACTACCTGAATCACCAACCCCTCATCCCTTCTATTGCTGTGCACACTCCAGGGAATCAGCGCTCCGTTTTCTATTCTTTCCCAAATACACCCTCAATCTCACCTTCTGAGCTCCCTCCTCTAACGCCTGATGACGGACTCACGACTGACGAATCTGACAGTGAGACGGACGATGATCTTGATTTTCCACATCCTCTTCCGCGTCACACCACGGTGCCGAGCTCGACCCGCACACAAGCATTTTTCCGTCGCACGAAACACCGCGTGTTGACGACCTTCCGGAAGCTGAACAGTTTCATGACCGCACCTCTTTGGGCCGCGCTCCTCTCGTTGGTGGTCGCCCTCATCCCTGCGCTCCAGCACACTCTCGAAGTGCATATGAAGCCCGTCAAGGGTGCCGTCAGCCAGGCGGGTAACTGCTCCATCCCACTTACACTCGTCGTCCTTGGCGCGTACTTTTACCGGCCCTCGTCTGAAACCGGCTCCAGAGAGACGCGATGGCATCGCGTACGCTCTCAAGTGTCGCTCGTCGACAGCGTGCGCGAGATGTTCAGTCTTAAAAACGGTCGTACAAGCACCAGATCGCCACCGCTGAAGAAGGAGAGCAGTGGGGAGGGAAAGACGGTGTTTGTGGCGATCGCGGCGAGGATGGTGATCACGCCGGCATTATTCTTGCCTCTTATGTGTCTGGGTGCATGGTTGGATTTGCCAACTGTGTTCGAGGAGTGAGTATTCTTTTGCTCTTGCCTTGGAGATGCCCGATGATGCTCCGTACTTCTCCTTGGAATTTTGACTAACTTTACCAATCTCTAGCCCTGTGTTCGTGCTGGCCCTTGTGCTGTTGTGCTCATCGCCGCCAGCTCTAACCCTTGCCCAGGTATATGTCTATTGATCGTTAACGAGATCTTCCTTGACATGTTTGTCGCTTGTCACAGATTACGCAGGCGGCATCTGGCGATGCATTTGAGCGTCTGATCAGCCGGACCATATTCTGGTCTTACTGCATTATCACCCCGCCTGCAACGATTATCTACTCCGTGCTCGCGATGATCATCGCAAAGCTGTAATCCGACCGGTCCCTTTCGCCATTTCCCCGAATATCTTATCTCATTTTCAGCGTCTGATCCTTTCGTGTCTCTGCGGCCATCTATATACTTCTAGGATCCTGATATACAATAGACAGACGAGCCTTGACCGCAATCCCACAGACGGATTTCTTATGGTGAATACTGAATTGCTTACTTGCAGATTCTCGTGAACGATTTAGGCTGATCCTGTACTTACTTGTACGATACTTGGGGTGCTTTGTTCAAACTTGTCCCTTAGTCTCTCGACATACTTACTTTGGCATATGACTGACGCGCGAATAATACGCATCGCCTCTCTGCGAGTCCCTGCATGTCACTCAGGAAAACAGAGGCAAACAGATAGCGTGCTGCGCACATAGAGTATACTTTCGAAGAGCGCCTGGTGCTGCATAAAGGGGCGCGCTCCACTGCACTACAGTGTTATCAAGGACGTCTGATGTTGTATGTGCGAAAGCGGCACGGAGATCATCGAGGATGAGCAACTCCACTGTACTTTGCCCGAGACATCAACATCAACATAAGCATGATTCGGATGCCAGGCCTCAGATCGGAGGACTTACAACATGAGCTGGGATGATCCAAAGTCTTCCTCGGCCGCTTCATGGCAGTCTCACATGATCACGACAACTATTACATTTCGGGCCATGTTCTGCATCTCGAGACCTGACCAAAACAGAGATTGAAACGTACAAGCAGAGATCGTGTGCGGGAAATTGTAATTTCAAACGAGCGAATCGAGACAGGAGCAATGAGTCTTGACAACCGCTATCGTACATCGGAGACAGGATCGACACATCATGAAAGCTGGAAAGAATCGTTGAATCGCAGACCAGAAGAAGTCACGAACAGTACAAATGAGGCTGCGAGCAAGCAGAAAGCAAAAGTGATGATCAGCGTGCATATGGTCAGGATATGTAAAGACAAACCCATTTGAGACGACTTTAAACGCATGGCGAAGAGCCACCATGCGTTGTGGGTGCCCGAAGAGCGCCTAAGCGTGGCTACAAGAGCCCATGTGCCTTTTTAGGTCGTTCTTACGAGCTGATGCATAATGACAGCCCTTGTGCGTGCAAGCGAAAAGTTTCATGCGGTTGGGGTCATGGAGATCCATGTGCGTCTTTAGATTCCACCGAGTGGCAAAGCCTGAGATGTACAATCAGTCAACATCATGAAGGTAGAAAATGAAATAAATCAAGACCGACTTCGATCACAGTAGTTGCAAGAAAATATTCGAACTTGTTGCTGCAAATCCGGATATGGTTGTGAGGCCGAGGATGCATCGATCGTATCGTCGAAAAAGAAAGATAGTTCCGTCTGTGCATCGATCGTATCGTAGGGAACGATAGGTGGTTCCGTTCGTGCATCACTCATATTATAGGAAATGATGATATTTCCGTTTGTGCGTCGAAAATGATATCAAGTTTCGCTTGAGAATGAAAGTAACACGTTGCACGGGTCGGGCTGTTGTAGATGTAGATTGACGAAGGGTAGAGTGTTAAGACGTACCCAAAGCCACGTAGGGAGATATATACAGGGCGACCATCTGCGCGCAGCTGCGCGCTAATCAACACTCATTTTCATCTACTACAATCTTCTTCGCAGGTCGCAGGCTCCAGACTTCAAATACCAGTTCGTGATCCCACTGCGGGCGCACACTTCATTTATGTTGAGGAAGACGGGAGTAGTACAAGCTATGGCAGTGTTAGGATGACATGCCAGCTACACAGTCACCGGCGTAAGTAGATATCGCACCGTGCACTGCAGATCGCACGATTCAGGAAACGATAGGGAATAGTTGAGGACTCCGAGGACGGTCCATGAAAAAACGAAAGACCCATCATTGTGAAGGGCACATGACTGACTTGCCTTTAGGGGTCAAAACCGACCATTCTTAGATGTCATGCACCAGGCATGCACCCTGCTCTCTGCGGCTGCGCTTGGAAGCATGCCTGGGAGGAACGTTATGCCATCTCGGGTGAAAACATGGCGCGCAGCCCACCACGTTGTATGCACAGCTTGACAGTTGTACAGTAAGGCTCGACCGACCCTCCCGAACGCCAAACGCGTGAAGGTGAGCGGTCTTGGAATGAGACTAACCACACAGAGGCCGTTGGTGTTGTAGTCAGATACGGATATCCGGAGACGACATCGGGGGTTGAAGCTTTGAAGGAGGATCGCATACGTTGCTGACTTTGGGAGACTAGTTGTTTCCGAATCTTCTGATTCTATCAGACACTAGAATGATTAACATCTATTGAAGCCTTCTTCAGGATGTAGATGTTCTCTCAAGCCCTTGCATGAGCAAACTACTCGACTCTCTGTCTTCTGGCTTTCTCACTCAGACAGATGTTGCGATACGGGACGTGGACCAGGAAGATCAACAGACATATGTGGTACACCAAACGCCTCTAAAAATGTACGCTTTCTTACCCGGGTGGTTTGTGACGGCAGCAGAGAAGGCGAGAACATCTGGAGGCGAGGACGTCATGATCGCTGCACCTTCGAGGTCGCGCCGTGGCAGAGGAGGAAAGAACGTACAGACCCGACAGAACTTGAAGTGGAAGGCGGCGGAATGGTCATAGGAAAACCAAATACCTCCGACACTTGCCTTGATCGGTGAGGCGTTGAGGTTGATTGCTATATGCTTTTGAATTAGTTCATTCAGCCAACGTCATAGCATCCGTCAGGTTAGCGTACGATCTTCTATACCCTGTCCGGTAGCGATATGACTGTCGAGTCTTTAGTGGATGGCGGAATCATTCATAGGTAAACAGGATTGCGGGCTGCGTACGTAGAATATACATTCAAAGAGCGCCCGGTGCTGCATAGGGAGGCGCGCTCCACGTATTACAGTGTTATCAAGGACGTCTGGTGTTGTACGCGCGAAAGCGGTACGAAGATAATTGAGGATGAGCTCCACTGTACTCTGCCCGAGACATGGATGCATGAACATCAGCACAAGCCTGATTCGGATGCTAGGCCTCAGATCGGAGGATCTACAACATGAACTGGAAAGATCGGCCGCAGTCTCGCATGATCACGACAAACCACTACATTTCGGGCCATGTTTTACACTTCGAGACCTGACAGAGATTGAAACGTACAAGACAGAGATCGTGTGCGGGAAATTGTAATTTCAGACGAGCGAATCGAGACAGGAGCAATGAGTCTTGACAACCGCTATCGTACATCGGAGACAGGATCGACACATCATGAAAGCTGGAAAGAATCGGTGAACCGCAGACCAGAAAAATTTACGAATGAAGTCTTACATTAATAAGATAATCAGCACATAGAAAACCGACAGCGGAATGCACAATCAAGTGCAGAGAGGCTGCGAGCAGGCAGAAGAGCAAGAGTGATGATCAGCGTGCATATGGTCAGGATATGTAGAGACAAACCCATTTGAGACGACTTTAAACGCATGGCGAAGAGCCACCATGCGTTGTGGGTGCCCGAAGAGCGCCTAAGCGTGGCTACAAGAGCCCATGTGCCTTTTTAGGTCGTTCTTACGAGCTGATGCGTAATGACAGCCCTCATGCGTGCAAGCGAAAGGTTTCATGCGGTTGGGGTTATGGAGATTCATGTGCGTCTTTAGATTCCACCGAGTGGCAAAGCCTGAGATGTACAATCAGTCAACATCATGAAGGTAGAAAATGAAACAAATTAAAACTGACTTCGATCACAGTGTTTGCAAGGAAATCTTCGAAGCGGCCCGGTGGTCTGCTGCAAGTCCGGATATGGTTGTGTGGCCGAAACTACGTGGGAGGGTGGTATTCCTTCTTGAGATATGGGGTCCATGGCTATGCTATCCTCATTAGGCTGAGAGAAGGACAGCGGGGAGTATGATGTATGTGGAAATGTGGAGGATGGCTGGGCTGTAATATCAGAAATAAAGCCCTGACTATCATTGAAACAGGCAGACATCTGCTCTGGCCCATCGGTCAAATATTCCAGGTCCGGATAGGACTGCTGGGCTAGAAATATATCAGAAGGTGATATACCTCCCTGATAAATTTGGCCCATGGCTATGGTGTCTTCATTGGGGCAAAAGATGTCTGGATGGAGGGTAGACAGAGGGACGGCTCCAAGATAGTCTAGCCCCCTATCAGTAGTGATGTACGTAGGTTCCTGATCCGGAGTGTCAGCTGGGTATCCGGAGGAATCCCCAGAATATGAGGAGGCGGGGCTGAGGGAGAAGGATGGAGATTCTGCTAGCGAGTCGGGGTCTATGAAAGTTGTGTCAAAATAGTGCTGATTGATGATCGAAGTGATCACATCGTCTGGGACATCTTGCAATTTGCGTTTACAATTGATAAAGTTCTCAAAAGAGGGGACGTCACAATCATGACCCATCGGGCGTCGCGTGCAGGTTATAGTATAGAGGATGAACGGGAGTGGTGGAAAAAGCCAAGACGCACCCAAACGTCTACGATGCGCCACAGGGGGGTATATACTGACCTACCATCTGCGCGCATCTTATCTGCGCACATCTCATCTGCGTGCTTACCTACTGTGTTTTTCTCCTATGAAGAACCCGACAGCGGCGAAGTTTCCCGTTCTAGCTGCGCGAGCACATTTAAAGAGGAAGACGGATGTAAAGGCTGGGAGCAGGATGTGGTGAGGGCCAGAATATCACAGCATGAGTGGTTAGCGCATCGCAGACGTATAGGTGAGAGATTGTGAACCCATGAATAGTCTCCAAGATGAACGAAAGATCTATCATGAAGCGCATATGACCGAGATCTGTAGCTTAGGATCGGACTTGCCACTAAGGGTCAAGACTGATCTGTCTTTCGAGGCCTCCTGCGCGCTATGCTGGGTACAGTGCGCCTTCCTTTCAGCGTTCTGCCCTCTGCGGCTGCGCTCAGAAGCGTGTCCGAGGGAACCATTACGCGAAGTAATGACAATTCTCGGGTGAAATGATGTCCTTCCCATTGGTGGCCTGCGGAGCGCAAGCCACCACGTTTGATTCATGTGTCTGCACAGCGATTTCTAGAAAAGGGGCTCGAGGTGACACAGAAGATGCCTGGTACTGGCTGAGGAAAGTTTGGACCGTAAGTAGCCGGGTGTATTACTGCGCCTCGAATGCCATGCGGACGTACAGTCTTGGTGCGGCAGACTCGGATCTGTAGGCTGAGCGTGCCCCTGACCTTCATATATGCAGTTCGATCTTCGCTTGCAGGCGTCAACAAGTGGTGAACAAGATTAGACATACCAAGAAAGCTCGTTTCAGACCTCGCACGAATCACTTCAGTGTCTAGACTGGTGCAGTCCTCATATTACACCATTATCGTACAAGGCTACTGAGAGGGTGGGAACTAAAGAAAATCGGTCTTCTCTTTTGTTCGCCCATGGCTAAGTACAAACAATTTGAGCAGTCTTCGTCATGACTGAAAGGCAAAAAAAACCCACGGTTGTGATGAAGAAGCATTTTGGTAAGATCAACATGCGCAAGGACCATACAACAGCAACAGTGTCGCTTCAGTTGAAGTTCGTTCGTATCATTGACGAAAGATTATGGAATCGATTTTAAGATATCAGCCTAGAAGAAGCGTACCCTTCGCTCTTGTCTTCAGAAAGGAACTTCAAATATTGGTTCCATTTGTCCCCAACAATTTTTCTGCGGGAGAAACATCGCACAGGAATGATCTGGGAAGGTTTCTGATGAGAGAGATGGCGCACAAGAAGGAGAGATGGCGCACAAGAAGGAGAGATAGACACCGACCACTGCTGACAGTGGATGAGCCAGTGAGTCCGCGTCTGGGTTAGGTTTAGCAGTGCGCCTATTTATGCCAAATCGAGCAGTCTCGCTTTTCTCCACTACCATCACCCCGTGTTGTTCCCCGCCGCTCTTACATACCAAGCAGCCTTTCCACAAACCTCACATCAACTAATGGACAAGATCAGAGAGGTCCTGTGCCATTGCTCCCTAGGAGTGCTATGAAGCTGACGTGGTGCCACATGGCGTACAGAAACTGACTCTTCTTCGCGCGGAGGCTGACGAGGCCGTCGCGCGCGCCGAGGAGGCGGAAGCGAAGAATAAGCGGTTTGACCAGCAGCTGCTCGAGAAGGACCAAGAGATCTCGTCGCTGCAGCACAGGCTATCCGTGCTTGAGGAGGAGCTCGACTCGGCGGAGAAGAACGGTAAGGAGACCGTCGAGAAGTGAGTGCTCATCCACCCGTTGTGGTGACAGATCTCCTGAATGCGAGTGTCGTGCCCGCGCGCTCTCAACTTCTGTTCTCAAACTCTCTAGGTCGCGCGATCTCGATGTCAAGGTCGAGCACCTTGAGCGGCAACTCCAGCGCACTGAGCAGGAACGTGACGATTGGGAGAGGAAGTATGAGGTAATGTCGTGTTTCACACCAAGCTTCGCGCGTGCTGTGATCGGGGCTGATCACATTTTCGGATGGGCATTCAGGAGGCGCAAGAGAAGTACCGCATCTCCAAGGCGGAACTTGACGAGATGGTGAAGAGCATGGAGAGCTTGTAAGCCGGCGCTCTTATCTGTGCACTCGATACCCCCTCTCCCGGACTACACTGGACTATCTCGTGCTCTATATGCCTCCTGTATCTTCAGTCGAACTTCCGTTCCGATCAGATACCGGATGATGGTGAACGTCCATGACATGGTCGCCTGTTGTTTCGGATTGAGCGGAGGGAAGGATTGGGACGACCAGGCTTGGATCGAAGCGGGCGCAGACTTCTGATTACTACACTGATATTGTATGGAATATCTTTCGATCAACTTGTGAACGACTTGGACTATAGACTCTGATAATGGAAGGCTTTGTTGCTTATCTTGCGACTTTCGTTCTTTACTGAGACACCGATATGCCCTAGGTATCTGCAGCTGCGTATAACGTGGATGTAGAATGATACAACTAATACAATACAATAAAGTCACCATCTACAAATGTAAGCATATACGAAATCAGTACAATACCTGGTCAGGTCCAATGGGTATCAACACGGAAGAAAAGTTGTCCGAATCCAAAGAGCCAGAAAAACCGATCACAATCCTATATCGTCTTCTGTGAGATGTCATCTGTCCTACCCCGTGAGTGGCTGATCAGCCTCGATCAGTATTCCTTCGTCCTCGTCATTGCTAAATGTCTCCCTGAACTCCTCCATCAGCTCAGTAGTTTCTTGCGACACCTCCCTCAGCGCCCTCGCCAATGTCCAAGCCCTTAAGCTCTTCACGTCTTCAGCGTCATCCAACACACCGTCTAGCCCTGGCAGCAAGGTTGGATAGCACATCAAGTGCTGTACCACTCTGATGCGACGATATGTCGCTTGCACCAACGAGATGGATTTAAGAGTGGTTGATTTGGCCACGGTGAGACGTATCTGTCCTCCGAGCCCGCTATTAGGCGATAAAGAGCGCCTGAAGGGATCTATGCCACGAACAGGTCCCAAATGAACGATTTTGGGTCCAGCATACTCTTGTGCTCCTGAAACGAGCGGACTTGCGAAGCGTGCGTATCCAGGCTGTCGCTCCGCGGGCCTTTGAGGCGTCACCGGCGTAGATAGTAGATCGCCTACGGGAAATGATCGCGACGCCGATAGGAGCGGTGAGTTCTCTGGTGATGGACCATTGGACCAGTGCCCCGAACCCCTGCGCCGTTTCGAGAAGACCGAGGCGAATGATAGCCTGTTACTGTGTGGCTGACGTTGGCCTTCCATGTCCTGGCCGAGGATCGCGACCTTCTCTTGCATGAGGATGCGCAGCTGGAGGAAGAGCGGGCACCGATAAAGACAGATAAACTCCAGGGTGGACCAGAGTAGATAATCAATGAGACGTGGCTGAGAAAAGGGTAATCTGGTGGGTGAGGCACCGCGGGAGCCAGGGGGAGTGAACGGACTGAGATCTTCTAAGCTAGTCGGACGAAGGCCTTTAGATGAAGGCAAAGGAGATGGCGGCTCAGATATATCTTGCGATTGCAGAGCAAATCCTGCGTCCCCGTCAGCCAACAACGATCGAAGTGAGCTGCCAATTTGGAACCAGATTCCAGGAAGTGCATTAGATAGATCATCTTCGGCTCTGATGACAATGATCTTCAGAATTTGAAGGGCTACAGAGAGTACCATCACTGAGGTAGATCGAGCCATATTTCGGCGTTTTTCTTGCGACTTGGTACGCTCCAACATGATGTTTGATGACCGACTGGAATCCATAGGGGTCTCCGTCCTCTGAAAAACCCTCATGACCAACGATAACAACCTGATCCATGCTCTCCGAGGAGCGCCGCGAGAATAAGCGTCCGTCCATACGCTGTTCCGAACAGTGTCTTGAGTAGACGGTAAGGTCAACACTAACGGGAATATGATGCCAGCCATGTAGTCGTATGAAGGTGTTCTGTTCTGGAGCTCTTCCGTGATATCGATACCAAATAAGAATATCGACTGACTGAGTAGCTTGATTAGGGCAGGTCGGAGGGGTGAAGAGAACAAGAGGTTTTCTGAAGCAACTAGCTCGCAAACCTCGAGACCAACCATGCAGAATTGCGAGACCACCATGCGCGAGAAGGACGGTTCCTTGGCGTAGAATGGCTTGCTTGCCAAGCTGGAAAGGACATCTAAGACGCCGGAGAAGTCAATCATTGAGGCGTAAGCTTTGAATACGGGCGCTAGCTCGGTGAGAAAAGCAAGAACATTCTTTACTCGCACAGGCTCTTCATGAACAAGCGATGTCCTTGTGTACCCTGAAAGGAAGGCAGCAACACGGTCATTACCTCCTCGCCCACCATCCCTAAGAATAAGCTTGACAAGCTCAAAGACTCGTTGGTTTGCAGAAGAACCAACGTTTCCTCCAGAAGCAGTGAAGGCGTTCACTAAGGATAGATAATCAAGTCGCATCTCCGATAGATCACTCGGCTCCTTTGACTTTCCGTGTAGATCGTTCGATAAAGGTGTCTGTTGCGACCAAACTTCATAACTGAAGTTATTGACAGGACGAATTTGGGCGGCTTCAGAAACCTTGGTCTTTCCAGCGCTGCGTGTGAGAAATATGATGCTCAGGGCATCTATACCCTCGTCGAGGACCTTTCTAGCAAGGGGAGAAGCATCGTAGAGTTTGGGAGCCATGAATCGCAGGAGATGTAGAAAAGATTCAGCCCGTCGGATGGTAGGATCGTGACCAATCACAGTAAGGAAAAGGCGGACCAAGTCGTCGAGAGCTAGGTGGCCATCCTCGTATTGATCAGGAAGGGCGACTTCTATTCGGTCGCCATTCTGTCCAGCTCCGCGTTTGAGCAGCGATAGAAATGCTTGAGGTTTATCCTCTGCGGTGTTCACGAGTAACGCTTCTCGCTCTTGGACTTTGTTCAAGTCATGGATTCCCGCTGCATCCGGAGCAAATTGAGATGCGCTATCTTTGAGAGTAGAAAAGAGAGCGAAAAGCTGATTCGCCATCCACGGTCCGTCGACTGTTGGCATCATTGCAACGTGAGACACAGCATCTAGACTTTGAAAGACGAACGCTTCCTGATGCAAGCTGTAGAATCGCCCAGCCGCATATTCTATTGCTGCCCGTATGCCTTGATTGAGTTCTGATTCTGCATAGACCTTGATGATAGCAGGCATGAATGCAGTGTAGCCTCCACCAGACGTGAACATACGGCGGAAACGCGCACTGGCGACCATGAAAGCTAGAGACAGATACATGACTTTTCAGTCAATTCGACAAATCGCTTCACACACCTATGATCACCTGACTGACGACCCCGATGTCATCACCATGTACCAGCAGGCAACGGTTCAAACCATCTGCGAGAACAGCAAACTCGCTTCTATCGCTGAGATGGCGGGGCATAGAGCGAAATATTTGGGCAACCAAGAGGATGTAACTGCGACAAAGGATGAGAGACAACGCCGCTAGATTGGGGTTGGATGTAGCTGGTATTTCCTTCCGAGGTACCAAGTCGTTCAACTCGATCGGTGGTGCTTCAACAGGTCCATTCACCGAGGGGAGAACAAGCCTAGACATGTTTTTCCTAACGGCCTGCACATCTCCGGGATTTCGTTTAAGCAAATTTAGGAAGAACATGTTTTGTGCAATTCGGACCACAGTGACCTGAGCTAGCTGAAGTGGGACGCCAGATTGAACATGAAGTTCAGAGTCGGTAAGGGATTTGGGAAACATAGGTCCACCTGGCGCAGAGGGAGGGAACCAGAGAACACCAGATGGAATCAAGAATATCTCCACCTTGGCCCTCCGAATCTCCCGAATAGACATTTCACTGACTTGATCCACTAGCTGGGACAAGATGGGGATAGAATACGCAAATTGCCCAAGTGCGTTCGGCGCCTCGACTTTGGCGGTGTACTTGAGGAACCCTGTAATATGATTGAAAAGATGATGTGCCATCGCAGGCGGCAGGTGGCGGTGGACATGCAAGAAAGCACGGAGCGTAGATATCGCAGAGTTGAAATTACTTCCCCCCTCGGAAAGCAGGTCCAAAACGGGACGAAAGAGTAACGTTGGATCATCTCGCATGAAGTCAATGATAGTGTTTCGCGCTGCAGTGGCCACAGCGTAGTTCGAGTCGGAAACCAGGGCGGCCAGGTCTGGAAGAACTGTGGCAAGAGGAGGCACGAATATTGCACGTCGCCTAACAGTGTTATATGAACTATTGACTCTCCCAAGTTCGACTTCTCCTGTAGAAATAGGTGACGAAGGGACTCCATCCATGGGGGAAGGCGAACGCGACTGTGTAAACGAGCTGCCTACCTCCAGACGATCCATCTGGGCACTAGGAAACAAGGACATAGGTGTCTTTATCCATTCGTGTTGCTGGTCCACAGGCTTGTCGTCATCAGTCCACCCTATTTCCAGCAATCTCTTCCGTAATTCAAGGGGAAGCACGATACCATTGCTGTCTTTCAGCTCCTCCCCATCTTCTTCAAGTACGAAATGACTGGAGCCGATATCTGTTGCTACGAATGCAATAGGTCCTCTGGCGAGTTTGAATGGCCGACGATGATGCTTGTCGATGATGTACTTTTGAGAAAGAAGTTGGAAGCGCCAGCTAGAGAGGGTACTGAGTCTTCGCGCTGTTCGTAGCCGCGTTGAGATTTCCGGGCTGGACATCCTCAATCAAAAACAGATCACACGAGGAAGACTGGAACGCATATTTACCTCTGTATATCATCTCGAATTAGGCGAAGGAAATCGTTGGGATTTTTTTCTGCATTCTGCATGATAAGAAACGTCGCCTGGTAAGATTGTCCGTAAGTTCAATGGCAAATCGACAATGAACCCAGACCTGATACGCACCGACGCCTGCACTTCGAGATTATTTCCATCCAAGCATTGCCGCCAAAGCACGGAACTCAGCTGTATATGATGTTTCGTATCGAGGAGGCCAGAAACGGCCACGAAAAGTCTCAAGGCATTCCGCACCAAACCTTTCGAATAAGTCTCAAATATCCGAATGCGTTCCGATAAATGTGAGAAGAAATTGGCATTGAGATCCGTTATTGATGCCGCAGGCATGAAGCTATCCACTGTTACGGATGCAGACAGTATATGTGTACTGTTACGCTGGAGAATGTGAAAAATGATAGGAAAATGAATTAAAAGAGGTTACGTACCTGATGTAAAACACGCGGACGTTCTTGTGATTCCACGTATAGACCAGCTAGTTTGTTGAAGACTGCAGACGGCTCGTCGGCTTCGACTTCTTCGTATGCATCACCATTCGGATTGGCGACAGCCCACGAAATGGTACGAGCGAGCCACGGTGCTCTAGAGACGACAAAAAATGTAAGAAAAAACATTGCTGCATAGACATACAGAGGAACATACGGTTTCAGGGATCTGACCAGTAGGCGCGTTTCGTAGAAGAGAACACAGATGACCGCCCGAAGGGCAACAGGTATCAACGTTGTCCGTTCCTATCGCCTGATCAATATCGTGATGACATAGCAGCCAACATACTGACCTTCGCCTCAAGGAGTGCACCCAACCGTGACTCCAACGCGAAGAAAAATCCAGCCTTTACAGCGAATGTTTGATCCGTCGTCTTGAAATGAACGTCAGGACTTTGTGACTGTATGTGAACTGATTTCAGCACTCACCAACAGACTCTCTTTGTCCTGCGATACGCTCTGTACATGTGCAATCAATTCGGTGAAAACTACTAACTGACCCATCCTTATATGGCCCCATACAGGCCCCTCTGCATCCTGAACCGCTTTTGACGGAGGCTTGCTGTCACTCATGAGGGCTACAAGCAACATCTCGACATCTCGTGTCCAGAATTGTGGAAGAAATCGGGCAAGGACAAAGATGATCCGCAGCTGCGTGATGATGGTGGTATCCTTGGCGGCGGCTGCACAAGCGAATAAAGGTTTGTAAAACATCTTCGGATAGGTATGAGAGATAGTGTCGAGGAGTTCCGTCAGACGAGGGAAGGGATACTCCGGTGGATCTTTCACGAGTCTCTGCAATAAGACTTTTCATTGATAAAGCTTCTGAAATCTGATGCACGAGAACTCACATCGTTGAGTATCGGCAGGAAGAATGCTGTCAGCGGGGTTCCGAAGTCATCCGACAGCTCCTCCACTAACGCCGTCAACACAGCGACAACAGATGGCCAAGGGCTCCCTTCAACCTTGAAGCAAGCCATTCACATATCGTACTCGTTTCAAATAAGCTTTATTTACTTACAATGCGCTGGAACCCCTTCTCGAATGGAAGCTTCCATAGACTACCTGGGCCGTGCCATCCTTGTATAATTGCCTTGAGATATTCTTGCTCCTGCGAGCCCTCCAGGGAGAAGATATTCAAGACGACCATGACGAGCAACGCTCTTGTTTCGCTGAAATCTCCTTCAGCGATAGCCTCAGCCTCTGGGATGATGCGAGTGCGAAGGAGGCGGGTGATGATATTGACATCGAGGAGAGACTTCGACGACTCGTTCGCAGCCCGGAAGAGGGAGAGCAGCGTTTGGAGGAAACGGTTCAGCCGTCGAATACACAGGTCCGTAAATGGATGTTTGTATGAGCGTAGTGCTGATTCGGAGGGCCAATACTCCTAGATAGGGTCTCAGTACCGTCGTGCAAATCCCGTAAATTCCACATACGTCCACTAAATATTGCAATGCCCATCGACAGCTTGGTGCTGTATCGTTCTCAAGGCATGCAGAGAGAGCCAGCACTACGGTACAGTCCCTGATGAAGCCAGCGTCTTTTGCTGAGTAGGTGATTCCATACTCTTTTTCCACGAGTGCTCCATCGAATTCGTTAGCAGAGCCGCCCAGAATCCCGGCTATAAGTTCGCGAACATATTGAGTTTCTTCGAGGGTGTCGGACTGAAGAGACAGGAAAGCAAGCAGGGAAAACATTGCTTGGAGCACAGTCTGAAGCATGAGAGGAGAGTCGATCCTGGAAGGTCCGTGCGGTGCAAGTAGACATGAAGAAAAGAGCCCAAGGAGTCGCATCTTGATATGTTTTTGCAGCGACCCAGCGAACATAGCTTTACAACACCACAGACAGCGTTGAAGTTCTCCCTACGATATTCATTGACGATTTAAGCTTAGACGAAATATACAGTAAATGACTCACTGCATTAGAGTCAGCTCTCCATGATTTGACAGAGACTTCAAAAGCTTCGATAGCAATGATGCGCTCTGCGTCGATTTGAGAGCCGTTCACAGGATTCAGAAACGGGATCAAAAGCGTCGAGAGAACGTGCGCCTCGTGCGGAAGTGTATCTACATAGTCTTGCGAAGTTGCAGAAAGGGACGAATATCGAGAAAGGACGGAGCTCAATGTCAAGACAGTGGGTGTCGAGCGAGATGAGGATGCCAAGGACTGCATTGAAGGCGGTCGACGCAGCCCGCGTTTGTTGAGCATAGTCGTCGACAAACTAGCTGTGCTTGAGTTGCCCAGCCCGTGGATACCTGGAACGGAAGCGTTGCTCATGAACGTGAGGTTGAAAGCGCCCGGCGTTACCTCCCGCTCTGGCTTCTGTGCCCTCTGCTCCCCAAAACGCGCCATCCAACACGCGTCCCATACGTCCTTCGCGAACCTCTCGCTTTGATCTCCAGAAACTTCCTGCACATGTTCCACGACCTGCTTGAACCCCAGCTTGCCGATTCTGAATTGTTTGGTGGGGGTCCCAGGACGCGACGGGGGCGTGAAGATAGACGAGGACGCGATCGGCAGTGGAGGACGAAGTGCAGCGTTGGTGGGTAGGACATGTTGACGAACATGGTCCCATCGTAGCTTCGAAGGCGAAGAAGGCTCCTCATTGCTTTCGGAATACGCCTCGGACCGGGCGGAAAGCATTGAAGGCTTCTTCCTTGGACGCAGCCACCCCGATGACGCTGTAGAGGACTTCTCGACAGCGACCCTGCCGGGCAAGTTTGTGGTGCTGGACTGGAGAGAGAATGACCGATCTTCCGCGGAAGCAGAGTCTGGCGAGTCCATCATTCGGCCTCCTCCCCAACCTCCAGTTCCAGCGCGTGACGTAGCGGAGGACGGGCTGTCAGAGAAAGGATCCTGGCCCTCGTCGATACTGCCCCTAGGCTTCTCCATGAAGGTGAAGTCCAAACGTTTCGAAAGCCCAGGGACGCGAGGCCGGGAGTTGTGAGGCACATCGCTTGAGCCTGGCTGTGATTCATCCAGAGAACTCTTCTCCGCAGCGGCTAGTGTTGCCTGAGATTCTGTTCGCTTACTTGACTTGTTGAGGTCGAGAGAAAACAGGCGTTTGGTAAACGGTTGTCCGCCAGACGGTCTCTTCTTCCGTTCGTCTTTGGAGCTCATCGTGAGCCGAAATCATACAGTAATTTACCAAGAGAAGAGGTGATGACGCATACAGAACAAATGCTCTGGTAACTGCGAGCCAGATCCTGGGAAATCCTCCAAAAAAGGCGATGGCATTTCCGCTTTTGTCACATTTGTAGTGCAAAATAAAATGGGACAAAATCTATGTGGAAACCCCAGCGACAACATGCAAAGAACCACGCAGAAGAGAAAGTTGATTGCACCAGTGAATGATGCTGCGAAAGTGAAAATTCAATGAATAACGTCTTTGTCGGTATCGGTCATAAGAGCGTCGATCATTCAGCGTACTCAGACTCCCATACTGCGAGAAGCTCTGCCAACATCTCCCCGCTCGCATCTTTCCACTTCCCTTCCTTATTGGCCGCCACGAACTCGACCTCAGGCACGATGTCTAACCGATCCCCCACCCACGCGCCGCGATGGAGGTTCCCTCCATACTGCATCGCAATAGATGGGTCAGAAGACCAACATGTTCGTATAACGACCATCTCACCAAATCCAACATTCTCGAACTTGTGTGCGACCAGTATGTCAGGATGTTCCTCACAGTAATAGTATTGAAACTCCTTGAAGGTCTTGTCATGCACGAATTCGTTCCGTGATAGGTTGCGAAGTATGGGCCAGCGTTCGAGCGAATTGGACCTCTCGGGATCGGGCTGTTCAGTCAGGCTGTCGAACAACTGCAAGGTTTCCATTTCTGCCCGGATGTCACGCACGCCATGTCTGGGGCGGAGCTTCTTGATCATGTCTGAAACAAGGTCGACCTGCACCCGGCGGCGCAACCCGCTCACGAGATCGAATAAAGAAAAGGGCCCCGTACGCTCGGAGTCTTCTTCATCCTCCGAGTCGACACTCCAGGGGAGCTCTTCTCTGCGAGCGTCAGCTCCAATGTGGGAGGCATATCGCCAGGCTTGCACCCATCTTCAACGCAGATAATGCGTTCACCGGCCCAGCAGGTCAATGCAAGGATGCGCGATCTGATGTGGGGCCGACCGATCTGCTAGTGCTGGCACGAAGTCAAGGCAAAAAAGAGGACTTGTATATCACCAGGGAGAAAGGTGTAGATAAGATTAAAAAGCTCAGTGGGGAGGGAGGTGAAGTAAGGGATGGTGATGATAGACCCGGCATGCGAGCTTTTGGAGGGAACGTTGTGCTCGGGGTCGGCAGCATCAGAAGCAGCCTCGATTTTCTTGCTGGGCTTCGACGGATGTGTCATTTCAACGTGAGACGAACTAGGATGACTAGACGTCAGGCTGGAAGACGAAACGACTTGTTTGCTGTATGACCTGTTATCAAGAGAGAACAGTCAGGTATGAGAGTGTGGACATGACTTGCGATTTAAACATTTGAGCGTGTGCCAGATCGGCGAGGTGGTTTAAGCAGCGCTGGAGTGATTGGGCAAGAAATCCAGGGCTTGTGTCGAAGAGACCTTCGCCGAGCTTCCCCAAGTGGGTTTGTTGGCGCCTGTCGAGATTTACGATGTTCCAATATTGACCCATTCCAGCCGCAGGTCATCGGCAAGATACTTGTTCAGGATTCAAGCACTTAGAACTGCACGCTGAGATCTGCTGTGAGTAAATTGGAAACAAACAGGACGTTTGCCACGTCGATCGCCTTGACGTGGCCATTTGCCAATTCTCCCACGGACAAATGTAGCGCCGTGCTGCAGGCACGTACATCTCAAGAGATCTCAAGAGGTATGGTTGACGGTCCTGGGTTATGAAGACCACACGCAATGTTCTACCAACCCAGTCGGCGTTTCTCAGTATCGAACCGCCGACCAATTACGGGGGTGGATCATCCTCCCATGTGTCTTGCGAGTGTCCGCATTGACCCTACGCAACCTATTCTCGGTATCGCCGCTCATTTCTTCTTTGAGCAAATCGGGGTGGAGGGGTTGATAGATGCGGAGGAGACCATTTGGCAATGCGATGTTAGCGCGGATACGGTCTTGGAAGGCAGATCGGACATAGTATCGCGTAACATGAAGTTGTCGCTGGGGATCCGATTTATCAACGACCGCCTCTACAGCGTTACTTGTCTCACAAGAATAACAAAGTTCAGAAGCTCACTCAGCGTCTTGACCCTATTTAAAGGGACGCCTCACATCTTCTGATCGAGGGCGCGCAGATGTAGGCAAGATTGGAGCAGGGTGTTCTATACCCTGACACACCGCATGCTGAAGCTCGAAGCCCTAGCTTTGCAAAAAGACCCGGGAAGTTGTTGTGGGCAACGGGCTATGTGCCCGAAGCGTCATTGATCAAAGGTCTAATACACGTTTAATCAGACGCAAGGTGCTCTACAAGGGAAGTAGTAGCAGGACGGATGCCTAGCCGACAGCAGAGCCTGATGCGCCCGTATAAACGCCAGCGGCGACATGTTAGGGAAAAGATGCGTCCCTAGTAGTGCAGAACCGGAGCAGCAAGGCCGGTCCAGGGAGAGACCAAAAATACAAGCTCGAGAAGCCATACCGACCTGAAAATGACGTCGGGGGTCGCGGACAGAGACGATGTTGGACTGTCGGAGCGGTGCGGAGCGAGCGCATGGGACGCTATGGGACGAAGGAGGGTGGCAAGGGATGGCCTGCCTGGGAGCACCGCAGTTGAGCGGGCGAGGCGGTGGACGGGGCCGCCGGGGGCGATGCACAGCGCGCTCCGTTTGGCCTTATTTGGTCATTAGCACCTTTCACATTTATAGCAGCCAAAGCGGGCTGTCAACTGCTCTCCATCCGCGCCGTGTACCCTTGACCCTCCCCCGCTTCCTCATCGCCCTCGGCGTCGGTAACAACAGCGCTCGCGGCCTTCCCTAGTCTCATTCTTCCCGTCTGCAGTCTCCTTTTCTTCTGCAACGCTTGCACTATGTGCGGTATCTTCGCTTATTGCAGTTTCCTCAGGGAGAAGGTGAGTTGTCTAGATCGTTCGCGACATTCCTTCGTTCGGCCCTCTTCATAGAAAGCATAAGCTGGCTACCGCATCGGGCGATCTCGCGATGGGCCAGACACTCGTCGCTCGTCTTATCGCCTCAGTCGTTGTTTCATGTTTGCGATCGCACGCACCGTATGTCACCGCGCCGTCTTTGACAGACGGCTGTCAGCCTCACTCATACATAGTGCGCGGCATCGTGATCTTGGAGGAGAACATGTCTCTTTGCGAGCGGCGCGTCGCAATATTTCCCGCGGCCCTCCCTTATGTCCGCTTTTTGGAGCACGGATGCTGACCACCTCTTGACTTTGTCCTAATCAGGACCGCAAAGAAATTTGCGATATCCTCTGCAGCGGCCTTGCACGCCAGGAATATCGCGGCTATGACTCTGCCGGTATTGGCATTGACGGTGACAAGCCTGGTGAGGTGCTCTTCTTCAAGGAAGTAGGAAAGGTCGCCGGCCTTCGTCAGCGCATCGCGCAGGCAAAGGTGGACACCACCAAGACATTTGTGTCTCAAGTATCCATTGCGCACACGCGTTGGGCGACCCATGGCCCGCCATCCATTGCCAACTGCCATCCTATGCGCTCCGATCTCACGAGCGAATTCACCCTCGTGCACAACGGTATCGTCACCAACTCCGCCGAGCTCAGACTCGTTCTGCAGAAGCGCGGCTACAAGTTCGAGAGTGACACCGACACCGAGGCCGTCGCTATTCTCACAAAATACGTCTACGATTCGCAGCCTGACAAGCGGATCACCTTCACCGAGCTCGTGAAGACCGTCTTGAAGGAGCTCGAAGGCTCCTTCGCCTTCGTCTTCAAATCGCTGCATTATCCGAACGAGATTGTCACTGCCCGCCGCGGCTCTCCTCTTTTGATCGGCGTTAAGACCGAAAAGAAACTCAAGGTTGACTTTGTCGATGTCGAATTTGCGGGACAAGAGACAGAGACAAGAGGTCTCGAGACTCGTGGGTTGATTTCTTGATGTTTTTGACGTAACATGTCTCACCCCTCTTGTTTATGTCAGTGACACCCACTTCCCCAGGTGGCCTGCTTGCACCTCCTGGACCCAAGATCATGCGCACCCAGTCGCGCGCATTCATGTCCGAGGACGGGCTCCCCCAACCTATCGAATTCTTCGTTGCTTCCGATGCCGCTGCTATCGTGGAACACACCAAACGGGTCTTGTACCTTGAGGATGACGATATCGCTCATATCGCTGCCGGCGAGCTCCATATCCACCGTCTTCGCCGCAAGGAGGACGGCGCTGCGACCCCGTCGATCCGCAGCATTGAGACCCTGGAGATCGAGATTGCCGAGATCATGAAGGGCAAATTTGACCATTTCATGCAGAAGGAGATCTACGAGCAGCCCGAATCCGTCGTCAACACTATGCGTGGTCGCGTCAACTTTGACACCAACACCATCACGCTTGGGGGCTTGCGCGCTTACCTCCCCATCATGCGCCGTTGCCGTCGTATCGTGTTCACTGCCTGCGGTACCAGCTATCACTCATGCCTTGCCACTCGCGCGATTTTCGAGGAGCTCACCGAGATTCCGGTCGGTGTCGAGCTTGCCTCTGATTTCTTGGACCGCAAGACGCCCATTTTCCGTGATGACGTCTGTGTGTTCCTCAGCCAGAGTGGCGAGACGGCGGACACGATCTTGGCGATGCGGTACTGCCTGGAGCGTGGCGCGCTGTGTGTCGGTGTTGTCAACACTGTCGGCTCCACGATCTCGCGCGAGACCCACTGTGGTGTTCACATCAACGCTGGCCCCGAGGTCGGCGTCGCGTCCACCAAGGCATACACGTCGCAGTACATCGCGCTGTTGATGATGGCGCTGCAGCTTTCCGAGGACCGCATCTCCTTCACTGAGCGGAGAAACCAGATCATCCAGGGCTTGCATGCTCTGCCTGCACAGATCAAGACCGTGCTCGAGGCGGACCGGAGTTTGCAGGAGCTCGCGGACGGTGTTCTGGCCAACTCAAGGAGTCTGTTGCTCATGGGGAGAGGATACCAGTATGTTTTCGACCTGTCTTGGTCTGGACCGTGCTGACATTTGGACTGCGCCGCAGGCACGCTACGGTCCTCGAAGGTGCTCTCAAGATCAAGGAAATCAGCTACATGCACTCCGAGGGTGAGTGACTTGTCCCTTTACATCGAATCGTCCATTGACATTTCGATATCTCACAGGCATCCTTGCTGGCGAACTCAAGCATGGTCCGCTGGCGCTCATCGACGAGAACATGCCGGTGATCATCGTCATGACGCGCGATTCGCTGTACCCGAAGGTGCAGTCCGCGTACGCGCAGATCACGGCGCGCAAGGCGCGGCCGATCGTGCTGTGCAACGAGGGCGACGCCGGGATCCCACAGGGCGTGCAGACGATCCGGGTGCCGCAGACGGTGGACTGCCTGCAGGGCCTGCTGAACATCATCCCGATGCAGCTTTTGAGCTATCACCTCGCTATCAAGAAGGGCTTCGATGTGGACTTCCCGAGGAACTTGTGCGTGCTCTCTGCTTGTCGTCGAACGTCATTGCTGATTCTGCTGCTTTTTTCCCTTTTACACAGGGCGAAGTCAGTCACGACTGAGTGAGTGCCCCTCCAGGGCGCCATCCAAGGATCTTGGGAGCATACGGACCACTACTACTTACTACCCATATAACATACGTACAACGCGAGATCGACAGACAGACAGAGAGCGAGACAGGGAGACAGGGAGAGGGCGAGGGAGAGCGGGGCATGCACTGTAGGAAAAACAAAACAACTGTACATAGGTATACCACCATGGACATCATCGACATCGTATGTTATGCGCGCAATGTTCTTTTTTAGATTCTATGGGCTCTTTTCTCTTACCGCTTTTGATCGTTGTCGTTTGTCGTTGCGTTGGTTTATCGATGAAGGACTATTTTCATGTCTTTGTTTGGGGGTCCCATTCATGCGGGAGCGTTGCTGGCAGGCTGTTTTTGCTGCATTGAAAAATGTGGATGGAGTAGTATAGCTGCATCTTCAAATTTGTGGTGTGCATGAAGTACGCGAAGGAAGACTCTGATTTATTGGCCATGTATCAGTCAATTTACTACTTGACGATGCATAAAGCATCATTCTCTTAGTGCTGGATGTGTACTCGTACATGGCATGAAAAACTGTTATACACAGAGGCCAGGACAAAGCGGTATTGATACAATTTACTAATCAGTTGCTAAAATGCTACTCTGCGCTATCCGCTTAAAATACATTCGTGAATGCCCTTCCTCGCTATTGTGCTGTCGGCCGCCTTGAGTTCAAAGCACTCCAGACGAGCCAGGGCCGCCGAGGTGCCTGTTGTCGGGATGTGCACCTGGGCGAACGACGGGTGAGTATAAGGGTACTAGGTTGTCACGACGTGAAGCACGAACCATGAGCGACCGCGCGTTCGCGCCGCAGCATCGCCTCGCGCTCGAGCCGCTCCGCCTCGGCCAGCTCCGAGCTCTGCGCCTTATACGCGTTCGCTTCCCTGCGCCGAAAAAAACACCTCCCGTCAGCGGTCGTGATCACGCCTGCGGACCCGCCCTGCAACCGGGAAAGCGGGGTGGAGCGAGATGGGGTGTGAAGCTGTGAGGAACTGACATTTCCTTCTCGGCTGCGCGCTCTTTGAGTTTATTGCTGCCGACGAGGGAGCCGACGGCGTGCTCGACTTTACTTGTCATGCGGCCGCTGGTGTTGCCGTGCGCCTGGCCGGGCTGCTGGTTGAGGCTGTTGGACGGTGGGAGACCGCCGCCAGTGCCGGCGCCCGAAGACGCGTTGTCGAACTGCTGGCTGCGTCCCACGTGCTGTTGGGCCGGGTGTTGCTGGTGGGCGGCGCCCATGCCGCCGCCTGTGCCGGGGACCTGAGAGATAGATCCAGCGTAAGTTGGAGAGTTTTGACAGAGTAGATAAGAAAGAAAGTCTGACGTTACGCACGTTGGGATCGGCATAGCCTTGACCTTGGTTCATAGGTGTGGAATTGTCGTAGCCGCCTTGCATTGGGCCGCCGCCCATTCCGCGGTTGGCACCAGCGACGCCCGTATTGGCGTAGTCGGTGGACTGGGACAGGCCGGCGCCAGTGCCAGTACCGACGCCGGGAGCATGATGCTCATCGCGGACGGCGTCAGCGGCCTTGTTCTAATCACAAAAAGCGCAAAGGTTGAGCTTCTTAGACTCGGACAGGTGGACAGCGGGCAAGTGTCACGGTAGACGAAGACGTACGTCGTGCTTCTTTCCGAAGAGGGGCATGTTCGATGAATGGGGCTGTTGTGTGATTTGTTGGAAAGGGAATTTGTGCAGGTAATGGAAGATATAAAGATCGATGTACGAGGAGGAGGGGGTTATATACCGAATGGCTAGGGGAGGGATCCATGGGTGTGACGTAGGGGCTAAGCGGATGATATCACTTGCCCCCGGGGCGCCCTCCATCTTCCCGTCCCACGCCTGCCTTTTCGAGCGGTCGGGTGGCGCACGCGGACGAGGGAGGCCTTGACTTGCACAAGTGCAGGCGCTTGTTCGTGTGGTCTTCTCGATGCGGGCGTGGAGATCGCCACCATCCTGGTCAGTCAACTTGTTCCAGGCTGGGGCTCACAGCGCTCACAGCTCGGCTGCTGAGCGACGTGGGGCATTCATTCCAAGCAGTGCAGTAGCAGTGAGCCGTCCGAGCGATCATCTGACAGCGATGCGATCTCGACATTATAACGCATACAGCGCCATGTCTAACAATAAGCACGAGGAAAACATGTCTTTTCGAGATGCGCGGCACAGACTTACTTGCTACCTCCGTAGACACGTAGGCTTCTCCACAAATTCCTGAATGGAGGCACGCTTCACGATAGCAGCCTGAGAAGTGTGAGCCTTCTGGTCGCCTGTGTGCCAGTCCGTGTAATACGCAGAAGAGGCTCGCACGCGACCTTGACCTCACAGATCACCATGGACGATGACCATCAGCACAGCTGTACAGATCGCAGCCAGTCGACCTTGAGGTCGAGGTGCGGACAGAGACATGCGGCGCTCGAGGCGAGCCAGAGAGCGCGTCCAAGATTAGAACATCATATAAGAGAGAAATTGAGAGCGATGGAGGAGCCGTAATATACGAAAACAGAGCCTGCCGATGGCGGCGACCACGACGGCGTCGATGAGGGTCGCGTCTGAAGCCGAGTCTGCTTTATTTGGGTCGATTTCCCGCGCGGAAGAGCGAGCAAACAACGCGGCGCGGATTCTGCGCACCGCCCTCGACGACATCGAACTCAGCCAACGCTCGCGCAAGCAACACTCTCCCCCCGCTTTCCTTGACAGTGACTCGGGGTACATGTCTAACGATAGCGCTGTAGACGCGGCCGACTCCCAGGAGCACACAAAAGCGCTGTCACAAACACAAGCGCATGCGGAGGCACACCCAACGGAGCCAGAGCCGTCGACGGTGTCGGATGCACATACCCCTCCACGTCGACGGGCGAGCAACGACGATGCCCAGGCGATGGTGATCGCCTCTCTCCGCTCGCAGGTTCAGGACCTCTTCTCCCAAGTCACCGCGCTCAACAACAAGCTCGTCAAGTCGTACGACCGCGTCTCCGACCTCGAGGATGACCTCCACGTCTCCTCCCAGAACCTCCGCAACTGCACCATCAAGGTCTCCCAGCTCGAGCTCGAGCGCACCCAGCACCTCTCGGCGCTCAACACCGGCCTGCTCGTCGAGAAGGAGCAGGTGACGGCGGAGCTGACGCGCCTGATGGAGAAGGCAACGGACGAGGCGGCGAGGCGGGGCCAGGCCGAGAGCGCGCGCATGGAGATCGAGAAGGACTTGGACGACCTCTCTGCGGGGCTCTTCGGCCAGGCAAACACGATGGTCGCCGAGGCGCGCTTCGAGCGCGCACGGAGCGAGCGCAAGGCTGAAGACGCGGAGCGCGCACTGAAGGAGACGGAGGAAGTCATCGGGCTCATGCAGCAGCAGATGCAGGCGCTCCAAGTCGAGAAGGAGGCGTCGGAGCGGCGGCTGGAGGAGATGGAGGTCACGATGGGGAAGGGCAAGTGGGTGGAGCGCGCGCCCTCGCCGGCGCCGGCGCAGACGTTGCGCCTGCTGAGCTCGCATCTGCCGTACCAGGAGTTCCTGTTCTTCGTCGCGCACCTCCGCTCGCTCCGCCTCTCGACGCCACAGGCCCCCGCGATGTCGACGCTCCTTCCGCTCCCCTTCCTTGCCCGTCTGCTCACCGAAGATACGTGCGTAGCTTTTTCACTCCCGTGCATCCTTTTCTTTTTCTTTCCTTATGGCTGACGCCCCGCGTTCGACAGCGAGCCCACTGTTCGCCTCGACCTCGCGCCCTCACTGAACTGGCTCACTCGTCGCAATGTTGTCGGCGCCATCCATAACGGCCAGCTGTCCATCGAGCCCACGTCGCCCAGCACCCTCCTAGATGCCACATTCGGCCTCGTCTCGTCCGGGCAGAGCTCCGGTTCGACGATCTGCTGTGCCCTCTGCGGCACTTCCATCCTGCCCTCCTCACATGCTGCCCGACCTCCTTCCCGCACGGGTTTCTTTATGGCACGCTCCATCAGCGGTCCAAACACGAATACCAGCTCGTGGTCCACATCAAATTTCAAGAACACAATCGCCCAATCTGTCTCCAACATCTCCAACTCCAACTCGCGCTCCGCGCCGCCCTCGCCCCCGCCGCAGGCCTCCACACACGCGCTTCCCTCCCATGTCTACATCTTCCGCATCAGCAACCCTCCCTCTGCGCTCCCCGTGCCCCAACAGGGGCGCAACCCGACGACAGCCTATCCGCTGTGCACCTCCGGATGGTGTCTCTCACGACTACGTTCGACGTGCTCTCTCTGGGCGTTCGTCCGCACCAGCGTCGTTGAGAAAGTGTGGGAAGAGGAAGTCCCCGCGTTCCCACCGCCTCCGCGACGGAGTGATCGCGACAACACCGGGGCCTCGATGGCCGTGGCGCCAGGACCTGCAGCAGCCGGGGACAACAAGCCGCCTGTGCCTCCGAGGCGGCGATCGAAGATGGGCGGGTTGTGGGGCGTTGCGTCCGCGCTGGGCATGGATCGGGGGTTGAGCTGGAGCGAGAGCGACAGCAAGGACCCGAGCAAGCCCTCTGGCGACCACGCGGCGAAGGCGCCGCCGAACGAGAAGGGGACGGAGAGACCGAAGGAGAAGCCGCTGCCTCTGCACCCGCCGCCGCCGACGCATCCGTCGCTCGCGCACCCGACACCGCAGCGCCCGAAAGCGCCAGGGCCGCCGCCGCCGTTGCCGAAGCGCAGCCAGTCGCGCGCGCAGGTCGCGAAGCCCGCAGGGCCGAACGGCGCGTCTCTCGATGCGACGGCCGACGCTGACGTTCCAGAGCCGCCACACCCGCACACGAACGGTATCGCAACCGCATCAGAGCCCGACGCGCATCCCGTCAACGGACACGTCGAGCACGAGCCGGAGCGCGCCGCCTCCCCCGAACAGTACCCCGATTCTCCGCGTCCGACAGACACCACCGACGCGCCCTCGCGCGACTCCTTCTCCACGCCGACCGAGGAGCCCATCTCGCTCCCCACCGCGCTCACGCCGCCACGCTCCCCGTCGCCTGCCGACATCCCGCTCCCCGAGTCCTCGCCCAACACCCCTGCGCGCGCGGCGTTCGCGCAGAGCGCCGAAGGATCTGCGCACGAGGGCGATGCGGAGGCTGCGTCGCGTGCGGCGGAGCCCAGCGGGGGATGCTGGACGGCCGTCGACGCCGGTCATTGTTGGGGATGTGCCGCCGCCACTTCCTCGCCGCGCGCCTGCCAGGAGGGCGGTGCCGCCGCCCCCAACGTCATTGCAATCCGCACCTGCGCTCGAGTCTGCAGTTGTGCCTGCGTCCGATCCTCCATCAACGACTGCCGAATCTATTCCCGTGGCCGAGACTTTACCAAGCGTGAATGGCGAGCCCAAAGAAGGCGCTCATGACCCAGCCGCGCCAGAACCAGAATCAACAGAGGCTCCCGCTGTATCCTCAGCCGAAGCGATTGTCTCAGAAACATCACCGGAGTCACCTGCTGGATCAGAACCCGAGACGATCACTGTCCTCGACCCTCTGCCGACCCCGCTCGAGGATGACAAGGCGCACGCCGAGGCCGTCCCACTCGTGTTGCCGCCCGACGAGGAGGCCAGCTCGGCGCCCAGCTCCGTCGCGGCCGCCGAGCCCCCGCCGTACGAGCCGCAGGGCCGCGCGCACAGCCTGCACACTCTGCACAGCCGCGGGTCCGACGCGAAGCAGGAGGTGCTGGTGGGCGAGGACGGGGAGGTGTATATCGGGCATGCGACGTGGGAGGAGCGGACGTGGAAGGAGCTCGTGAGGCTGCGGGAGGATATGTTCTTGGCCCGGATCGGTGCGTTGCGGTGAGGTCGCGGTGCAGGAGGGAAGGAGACGGGTTGTGTTCATTTATCGGTGGTGAAGTGATGCTGTGGCTGAAGAGGCTGATCTCTCGTGTAGCGAAGTTAAGAATGTTTCTCGTAATGGACCTTTGGCGGTAGTGTTGTTTCCAGTTGATTTATCTGTCTCTCTCCGCGTTTGCGGTGCACCATATACCATAACGCTACTCATCGAATCTCGTACATATCATCTCTTGGACGGCACGTCAGTAGCTATACGAATAGTTAGATATCCACTTCTAGTAGCTTGGCCAGCGTAAATGTTGATAGACCGTATGCTCCGCGGGTGTGGTATGGTACAGGACGATAGATGGTGCACAAACTATTTTGCTTTGATACATACATTTCGAGTCGCTGATACTGCAATCACACCGTTATTCCACTTCCCGACAGCTTCCTCTGGTATCGCGACACATCGATGAATGGATATCAGTGAATCGATGCGGTTGAACGGCAGACTAGGCAGCCTCCTTCGCGCGCTGTGCTTGGGCAGCCGCAGACTCGGCTTCGGTGACGAGGATGATGTCGAACTGCAGGAGCTTGAACTTCTTGTCCTGCGGGAACCCACGCTTGCGCGCTTCTGCCGGATCTTCCACGTCCGAGAGGTTCTGCACAGTCTCTTAGTTCCGTCTCGATAGGATGTGTGCGATAACGCAGCGCAATCGAGAAGGGCATCTGAATAGGGAGGGTACGTACCACAACGAGAGACTTCTTCACGCCGAAGACGGCGTCGCTTGTGATGTAGGGGTCGCCGTCGGGGTACAGCGCGGTCGTGAGCTTCTTGAACCCGGGCGCCTCGATCATCATGTGCAAGTGGTTAGGGCGCATGTTGTGGCGGCCGAGGTGGAGGAGGAGATCGCCGACGGGGCCCTGCCGAAAGCTCGATCGTCAGCTGCGATCGACTGGGCGGATGGGATGAGACGTACGTCGCCCGGGATGGGGTACGCGACGGGGACAACGGCGCGGTAGCCGAACGAACCGTCGGGACCAGAGCGAAGGCGGCCGCGGCAGTCTGCCTGGGTGCGGCCGGCGTACTGAGTGTCATAGAAGCCTGACGAGCGAGTGTCACAAGCGAGACCTTCAATTGAAAGAAAATGATATGGATACCATTGGCATCAGTCTCCCAAGTCTCGATGACAGCATCGGGGATGGGGATTCCTTCAGTCGTGAGCACCCGCCCCTCTACGTACATGTAGTCGCCCTTCCCCTCCGACGCGATCGAGTCACCTTGAGCCACTACGAGAGGATCAGCTCCGATCCTGGAAAAGCAAAGCTATGGTATCTTGTTACATACCATCTGGCGCATCTTCGGTGAAGAAAGGTCCCAAAACGCTACTTTCCGTCGACTTGCCCACGAGCGGATTGTTAAGGGCGTCGACAAGGGCCGATACACCGAGGACATCGGATAAGAGGATGAATTCCTGTCTGATGGGCGTGCATATCTGACCGGTCCGCGTCAGGAAGTTAATCGTCGCCATCCATTCTTCCGTGGTGATACTACGTATCGTCTGCATCGATTCGTCTATGTATACGAGAAGCAAGGCGGACGCACTTTGTCTCGCTGACGAACTCGTGCAGTTTGGATATGAGGTTATGGAAGATGAACTTGGTCCTCCTGTAATTAAATCAGCCCCACTTGCGATGCGGATCATGTTTGACAGAGCATACGGGTTCGGAGCAAGCTCTGTGAGCTTCAGCAAATTGCCCGTGATGATCTCTGGCCTGTCAGGCAGCTGGAAGGACAATATCAGCACACATCGCGGCCATAATCAAGCTATACGTACGGGGAGATCCAGGTTTGGCGCTGGGATGCCGTTGGACACGGCTCTGCCTTCGAGGATGGGGGCGTCTTGGCTGGACATGTCTGTTTGCTAGTCCAAGCGTCAAGGCGGCTGGTATTTATGGCGGCAGAGAGTCGAGAGCACGGAATATGCATTTCGGCAAGCTACCATGGTTAGCCATAAAAGGGGTGCATGTTCCGGTCGTCCAAGTCAGCAGATGTCTCTGTTTGAACATTTTTGCCTCACGGTGTAAGCCATTATAGCTAATGGTCATTATCCTTCTTTTCTTTGGCCGCCGAGCTCGTTGGCAGAGCCATCGCTCAATCGCATCTCCCTCCTTTGAATGTGGAGGAGAAATCGTTCAATCGCTCAAACCGTGGTCCTGCCATTGGTCGTGTGATGATCTTATCAGATAAATATTCATGATAAGATGTACGTCACTTGGCGCGTTGTAGTACTCCAGCTTGACTCTTGACGCTCTTATACTTATCAACAGATCATGGCAACAGCGGCATTGCTACAGAGCCAGAAAAAGGCTCTTCGCAAGGCCGTTTCTACTACTCTTCGTGCGCTACAACCGGTAGACGTCCATACACAATGTGAGTAGCATGTTCACTGTCTTCAAATCACCACCTACCCGCCGCAACTGAATGCGGGCTCATTGTCCTCCCCTTCAATTAAACTTCATACAAAGCAACTTGAACTCAATCATTCTCTTCACAGCGCGCGCTATCGCCGAGAGAATCCTGTCCTCGCGCTTCTTCGAAGAGAGCAGGTCCATCAGCTGTTACCTTAGTATGCCTACAGCCGAAGTCGATACCTCTCAGCTCGTGCCTGAGATTCTGAGTTCTGGTATGTGGATGCACTATATGCTCACACTGGTTTAATGCAGACTGAGCGGAAGGGAAGACACTATATGTGCCCAAGGTTGACTTGTCAACAGAAGGGTGGATGGAGTTCTTAAAGGTTTACGGGCCAGAAGATCTTGAGTCATTCCCTGCTGGCCTTTGGGGGATCAGAGAGCCAACAGTTCATTGGAAGGATCAGAAGAGGATGAGCGGTAAGTGCGCTGCAACCCTTTTCTTGAACCGCTTTGCTAACGCTCAATAGCTATGGATGCCGACAGTGATCCTCTCGACGTGATTCTTCTTCCAGGTTTGTAGTCTCTATCCTTGCGTGCCATGTGGACCAATGTCACGTACGACACTTTTTGCCAGGCATCGCGTTTGATCGTTCGATGTCTCGCCTGGGTCACGGGAAGGGTTATTACGATCGCTTCATTTCCTCTTACGCTGCGTTTGCGGAAAGCCAAGGGAGAAAGAGGCCTTTATTGGGTCAGCTTGCTCCACGTTTTCACTATCTGAATATCGAAATGACGCCACCGACCACCTTTTCTTTCACACTGTCAGTTGCTTTGGCATTGAGACAGCAGGTTCTAGAGGAATCTGTACCGTCGGGGGAACACGATTGGAAGGTGGATCTTATCATCAGTCCAGACGAAGTTCTGGGCAGGAGTTCCCTTGTATGATTCTCGTAAATGCAGGTTTAAGTATCTATAACCCTACTAAAGATAGGTACGCCACGAGGATGTGGTCAAACAGGCTTGACAAGCGTATATATGGTTACATGAGGGCGTCTCAATCGTATATAGAACTCGAATGGCAATGAAGCCACACGCGAGGCCCTGGTCGCTGACTCTCAACTTTTCATTTCGTGCATCTTCCCCCCAACCTAGCGAACCCATCAGTGTCGTGACGTTTCATTAGATTTCTGGAACGTTGTCGGAACGCACCAGTTCGTAGGCTTCCTCGCTGCTTCCCAGTCTGTTCCCTGGTGACGACAGGAGGCGCAAAACTCTGCGAAATGCGAAAGGGCGTATTCACACGTCAATACTGGCTCGAGCATTCAGACTACCCATGTGCAAGAAACATGTCACCCTGTTGTTCGCGAGTCTGGGACAACGATAACCCGGTGCGTACGGCTCACTGGTAGATACGCAGCTCCTGTAAATAAGCTAGCGTGAGCGGTGCATAATCGACCATATGGTCGGTGACGCGCTCAGATTGAGAACACCAACCAAGCTGAGGGACTAAAACGGCACGTGAGCCTGTGTCAAAGTTTGCGGGAGACCCGTCCGGGTTGAGCAGCTTTGTAGACATATGGTTTGTGACTACCACCTGTCAGACCAGGCGGTAAGGCGATGTGATCGCAGCCCATACGTTCGAAACGGGCAGCACTGCCTACCGAAAGGTTCCGCGAAGCACAGAGCCGTGACAAGGTCTGTCTCACGAGTGCAAGCAGCGAGCTCCGTGTGGACAGTGACATGTCGGAATCATGTTGGAACGGGAACCAAATCGAGCTGAGGACGAGAAAAGAGACCTGTGAATGATTGCGTGATCATGGCACTCAAAACGTATGGAAAGCGCCGAGGTCAATACCGTGACGTACCGCCGGATGTCCATCCAAAAAGGCAGGGAGGTTGTGGAGGAAAACGAGAAATTCAGATGCAGTGTGAAGCGAAAGATAATGGACGAGTCTATTGGGTTTTCCTGTGAGAGAAAGTCGAGCGTTTATGGAGTAAAAGAAGGGCACGAGGACTTACGAGACAGTGATTTCCAAAGAGCAGCAGGACTTGTCATATTCTGCATGTCTATAAATACGGGAAGGTCCATGAGCCGCAATCATCTGGTTCTACATTGGACAGGGCTGACCAATGAATAATACACCTTGATTAGCTCTGACGGCCTCGTGAACGAAATCTATTGCGAGGGACTCTTTACGAGTACCCGGGGGACCAGAGATCTCAAGAACATGGCCGCACGGCAGTCCTCCATCTAAAAGCCTATCAAGAGGCGCACAGGAGGATCCAAATTTTCTTGAAGATGTAGAGGTAATCAAGCTCGCTGCCGATTGGCCCAATCGTGGCGTTGCAGGTTTGGGTTTTTGGATGGCGGAGAAGATCGATTGAGCAGTTTGTAGAGGAATGTTGAGATCTTTTCTAGAGCCATGAGCATATGTGCACAAAATGGGTCAATTGCACACCTTGAGCTAGTTTTTCTGGATTTGAAGATGAAATTTCCTCCACCGTACCATATCCCGCTCTTGCGAGTGCGAATAGGGTTGATGGGGACAAAGACAGGGCAAAAAGTGGTGTTGACGACATGGTCATATTCTTCAATGTGTGATTTATGGATGCAGGCTCGCAGGTTCCAGAGGCACTGGAGAGCAAGCAAGGATCTTTCCGAGGAATGAACAAGTTGCTGTCCAAGCATAAGGCGCGGTCGCGATAGCTTGTGATCGACCTATCACGTAATGAGAACGTGATCTTAGGACTGGTCACGGACACGACGCGTCTGGGGCGTGGGAAGTTCCGTCATGAATCCCGCCGCCGCCATTCAAATTGGCACTGTCGGACTCATCCCTCTTGTTCACTCCTTCCACTTCTTGCTCTCTCCGCCCCGCTGCGGTATTCTTCTACTTAAACTCAATTCCCTCATTTTTCTCGTTATCGCCTTGCATTTTTTTAAATAACGTTTGTGTAATCTTACAGAGGGATTTCATGTCGGCGTTGAATCCTGTGTTCAAATTTCCTCGCGAGGCATATGCTGTGAGTGTAGAGTGTGGCTCCCCGAATGGTAAGGGGCTCCTTTCAAGGCCAAAAAATCCTCTTTCTGACCTGGCGGGATGGATCTACAGTCACTCGGCGTCAAATTGTCGATCTTTTCACCACTTTAGTCGGTGAGTCCTATAACGGATGCATGATACCTCTCCCATTAATGAAGAGTGTTCAGGTGACATTAAGAGTGTTGAAGAACAAGGCAATGGACGATGCATGGACGTGACCTTTCACAGTCACGACGCCGCCAGGTATGTACAGTCTTGCTCAGTCTGCGTTTGTCGGGAGATCTTCAACATCACCCTCAGGAAAGCGCTTTGCATGTCGGGATACACCGTGGCGGGGATACCACTGTAAGAAAAACATCATAAACAATTTGCTTGTGCTCATCGAACCTCATTGTTGGAAAGTAATGTAACGGCTATGACGCCGCCGCGGCCGCCCCGCAACTTCGGTCACACAAAACCGACAGACACGCGTCGCAATCTCTATGTCCTTGGATTGCCATTCGATTTGTCCAAGTAAGGAGACTCGCCTTTCTGTGCTTTTGAAAACCTAATGGTTTGCAGGTTGGAGTTCACAGAGCTTTTCTCGCGCTATGGTACTGTTTCGCATTGTGTCATTCTAGCTACGGTCGACAATGCTTCTCGCCGACGAGGGTTCGTCGTAATGTCGAGCAATACGGAAGCAAGGACTGCCATGGCTGCATTGTCTCGCACGGAGATCAGGCAAGTCTGTCGAGGCTGACCTCATTCAGTTAGCTAACAAATTGCAGTGGGAGTGTCATCGATGTGTCTTGGGCCGTTGTGCAACGTTCCCAAGGTATTATTTCAACTTCATGTTGTATCTTAACGAACTTACATCCACTCTTTCAGGATTTCTTGATGGGGGAGATCGCGCAATGGTATTGGCTATTTTTAAATGCATCGCATTCTAGTGTTCGGGATGGTAGTTAACTGATTCTGGGTTTCAGCCACCCCGCGATCCTTCTCCTGAAGATGTGCTTGAACAACACCAGCCACTGGCTATTCTGCAGTCACCGACAGGGATTGCGACCTTGCTCGTAACAAACTTGCCCATTGTTCTCTTCTGGCAGGCCGCTGATCTGGAGCCTCTGTTCTATCCTTTCGGCGAGGTCAAAAAAATTGAGAGATTACCCTCCTCTCCTTCATCTTCTGCCTCTTATTCTCCTGTGATGTCTGTGGTCGTTACCTATGTTTCTGCTAGTAGCGCTCAGGAGGCAAAGAATATTCTTCATGGACAAGTATATGCTGATCAAACACTCTGTGTCGAATTCATTACGCCATCCGGTACTTCCTATGGACACGCAACTGGTAGCTTTGGAACGGGGGCTGGACCAGCTCTTTCTTCTGGGAAGCTTCTGAACCCTCGTGCTTCACCCTTCGTCTGCGACACTGCGTCTTCCCTCTCGGCCCCTCCCACTTGCTCTCTCGTTGAACCTCGCTTTGATTACTTTGGTTCCATAAAACCGGTCTCGGCTGGAATGGCGACACCTCAACACCTGCACAATGCGACATCACCGACTTTCTCAGTCCCCTTCCCTGCTGGCGGTCTGCCTTCGCGGACTAACTCTGCTGCCTCTTGGTACGTTGATCGGCTTGGAGCTCGGCGTCTCGTTCGACAACGCTGAGGCTTGCTCTAGGTGGAGTGCCGATGCTGCCTCCCATCCAACAGCTCGTGAACGGCGGCCCCAGTTTTCTCGAAACATGTACAGCGAAACATTCTTCTCTCACGCATAATTCTCGATCAATATTCCATTGATGTCCATGACCAGCCATTCTCTCCTTTTTTTGCACGTGGAATTCTCTCACTCGTCCGTCAACAACAAGCTTCTTATGGATCACGCAAAAAGACTAGATGCCCTCCCCCACTTTTTAAGTGAGTTCTTGCTTGCGCATGTCACTGAAAGCATGCATCTGACATGATCAAGTACCCACAAGCATTTTTTTTGTTTTCAACATACCATGATAGTGCAATACGTTTTGTATATACCCTGCTTCCTCCCCTCATTTGCGAGTTGTATTTTTTTTGTTCGATATGAATTTGAGTCAAATTGCATAATAAACGCGTTGACACGTGACAATGCATAACGCGACGCGATGTTTGTGTCTCTTTTCTTGTTTTGGTCTTGGCCTAGGCGCTTGGGCGTCTAAACCACTGTGGATTCGCCAACCTTTACGGAAGGCCACCTATCTATGTCGACGGCTGCCTCATCTCTCTCTCTCCATCCACCACGTTGTTTTAATTCTAATGGGAATATCTGGACTGCTACCTCTTCTCAAATCCATCCACGTCCAGAAACACCTTTCTGAATTTTCGGGACAGACATTGGCAGTCGACGGATATGTTTGGCTACATCGTGGAGCGTATGCATGTGCGACAGAGTTGGCGACAGGGAGGAGCACGAGAAAGTGAGTGACTTATGACTGAGGACCCGGTAGATGCACTGTTGGTCGGTGAAGACCGTTGCATGGGACAGGATCGCACTTCGAGGCTTTGGCAGACAAGCGTCTGCACGTACTAACCACCCTTGCAGATACGTCGACTATGCAATGCAGAGGGTGCGGCTGCTTCGGCACTACGGAATCCAACCGTATCTAGTTTTCGACGGCGGACCATTGCCTGCGAAACGAGGGACCGAGAACGAGCGGAGAGAACGGCGCGAAGAAAACTTGATGCGAGGCAATGCGCTTGCGGCCCAAGGGCGTCATGCACAGGCTAGGGAACTCTACTGCAAATGCCTGGACGTGACGCCGCAAATGGCGTATCAATTCATCAAGGTATGTTCGTCGCCGTCTGGGGTCCCCGACTCGCATTCATGACTGATCTATGATAGGCCCTGCGAGCAGAAAACGTTCCGTACATTGTGGCACCTTATGAGGCCGACGCCCAGCTTGCCTACCTTGAGCGCACAGGCGTTGTCGATGGCATCATCACGGAGGACTCAGATCTGCTTGTCTTCGGTTGCAAAAACGTTCTGTTCAAGCTTGACTCCGTTTCGGCAACCCTGACCTCGATATCCCGAAAAGACTTTGGCTCCGTCAACGATGCTTCTGGCGGGCTCTCCCTCCGAGGCTGGTCTGACGTCGAATTTCGCAGTATGGCTATTCTCAGTGGGTGCGACTACCTGCCGAGTATACCTGGGGTAGGGCTGAAAACCGCGTGGACGCTGTTGAGAAAGCACCGGACTGCAGAGAACGTGATTCGCGCACTGAAGCTGGAGGGCAAGAAAGACGTCCCGCGCGGATACCTTGAAGCGTTCAAGTTGGCCGAAAAGGTATTCTTGCATCAGAGGGTGTACGATCCCGTCCAGGAGAAACTTGTCTACTTGCACCCCATCCCGGACGGCGAAGTGTGGAAGGCGGAGCAAGAAGCCTACTGTGGCGAGTACGTTGCCAACTTCACAGTATACTTGGGCAAGTCATGATACTTTGCAGGGACATTGAACCGACATTGGCAAAGAAAGTAGCGCAAGGCGACGTCGACCCTATCAGTCTTCTAGCCATGGTCGACATCAACCCCTCCTTTATGCCCCGTACCGTCAAGCCCCTTCCACTCACGTCTACCGACCTCAACCGATCGGCTAAGGACAAGGGGAAACTCCCCGCAAAACTGAAAACTGAAAACATCCTCAGTTTCTTCAGTACGTCAACTCATCCCCACGCCATCGTCAGAGCTAACAGCTGTCATGTACAGCGCCCGAGGCAAAGGGTGGCGTAGAGCCAAAGAGCGCGTCACAGCGTCAATCTGCGACGCCTAAAATCATTGCAGGTCGTGCCAGTGGCAAGCGGTCGCTGACGGACGTAATGCGTGAGGATATGACGGCAAAGCGGAAGAGACAAAGTGATGCAGAAGAAGAACCAGAGAACCTTATCTCCGTGCAGAGCCGCTTCTTCGCTCCCGATACGCCAGTTGCAGGGCCCTCCCGTCAAGGAAGCCGACAATTCCGTACTGTGTTCGACAACGATGACAACGAGATGGTTCAGGACAAAATGATTGACCCAGTGACGCAGGAAGACGGGTACCTTTCTCCCGCTGAATCCATCTCGCATTTTGACCTCTCGGACGTCTCTTCACCTACGCGCCCTGAAGACAATGATCGCAAAAGTCATAAACACAAATGGACGGACGATGACTTTGATGATGCAGATGTGCTGTCCAGTCCGACAGCAGACCGGACGTACGCCCCGCAGCTGTCGGAGATATCACCCCGGCTGTTGCCCATCAGGTTGTTTTCTCCGCGAAGGGAACAACCTACTAGCCGTGAAGGCAAGTCGGAGGTCGTACTTGTTCCAGATTCGCCGGGACGGGCGCCGACGCGGACAGACACTGGAATGGAGCTCAAGCTTCAGGGCCCAAATCTCCGGAAGGTTTTTGTTGATCGACAGGAGGACGCAAGCAGCGACATCGAGATGGATGAGGGCCTTGATGATGATGTGGCACCGACGCCTCAATGTTCGCTGGACAGCACAGGAACCACCGTATCGATGTCGGGACCTGAGACACCTGTTGATGTCAACGTGATCGATGTCGATGTGGAGGAGATCGACCTGGACGTGGCGGCTGAAAGCGGCCGTGCGAGACAAGCGGCCGTCGCGAAGGGGTGGTGGGCGAAGTGGGCCGGCGGCGGCGCAAAGGCGGGAAAGTCAAAGGTAAGTTCTCCGTCCTATTCGACGTCTTCCGACCCTTGTCTCTTGCGTTCGACGCTGATGAGCATTATCCTTCTTCCGCTGCGACGTCCGCGCATCAGCACATATCGCCGCTCAAACGCAGGGACACGACCGTCATCAGCGCCAGCACGCCAGTCGGGCGGCACGAAGTGTTCAGGTTCCGGCCGCAGTCCGCGCCCACCAAGAGCGCCTCTTCAAAGCATTCCAAGGCGAAGTCTAAAGCGCTACCGCAAACAGCACGGCGGAGCCTGGTCTTCACGGAATCGATGGATATGATTACGCTTAAGCCGCAGTCTAAGTCGACGGGTGGCATGGGTAAGAGTGGCGTGCTGGATGCTGGCAGGCAGAAGCCAGTCAATGCAAGCGTACGCACAAGGGAACTTAAATCCTCCACAACTGCCATGACTACTGGAGCACCCGTCTGACCGAGTTTAAGTGAGTGATTCTCATGTCGGATAGCATGCATGCGCACGGCGGGTGGACTGACCTCCTCATGGTTCGACTCTAGAAGCCGCATATCTTGGTCACGATATCGTAACTGCATCTCTCCCATCCGGCATGTATTCATTTTCGGTCTCACACTGTCATCCGTCGCTGTCGATCGCTCTGTCGTCTTGTGCACACCTACTTCATCACGTACCGCAGGCTCGGACTTAATACCCCGCATGTGCATACCACTCACGTATGTTATTCTTTGTGTAATAGATTATTGATTATTGGTTGCATCCCCGTCAACATCAGAGCGCTGCAAGAGCGTGAGCGAGTGCGGCTACTTTTGGCTGCCAGTCAGTATTTAGGCGTCAGCATCGGAAGCCGCCCGGAAACAGGGTCTCACCATGGACTAGCACACCAGAACGGCAAGCGGCCTGGCTCATTCAGCCCGATAGCACCCTAGCGGATTGAGGTGCGTATTTCTGGAATTCTGGTGCGCATGAGACTGGAAGATCATTTCGCAGGCCTTGCTCACCGTGCGAGAACAGCCGGGCACGGAGCAGCGCCGGCGATGTGGCGCACGATGATAAGGCAAGGGATGGGGCATAATTGAGAGGCTCGGCGCTCGACAGCGTTTAGGGGATTCGAAATCTACGCAACTCTTTGCCTTCTGACTCCAGCGTTATCGTGGATACGGCGGGGAAGCCACTGCATGTAGGGGACGCGAGGATAAGTAGATGATGAGTTGGACAACACCCTCATGGATGGCAAGTCGCCTTGGCGCGCCCGATGTCAAGGCTTTGAGTGCTCCAGCTGGGTAGGTCAATGGTTACTGAGAGCGGGCTTCACGGCCAACCTACGTTGCGCTTTATGGCTTGGTGAGTCGGATGGCAGGGTCTTTACGCGTTATGCCCAATACCGACGGATCACGGATCACGGTGGCCGGAGTAAGTGTGCGAGTCGACTTGTGCTGGAAAGCGAGCCTCTCCATAGACGCAGCACGAGAGCGGGAGAACGGCTGATTTCGTTGCTATCGGCCTCCTTGGTCCTCCTTGTCCATGCTGTTGCTTTTGCGAGAAGAACCAGCGAACCGATTCATCCCCGCCGTTCCACGTGCACGGTGAGTTGTAGGGGGGCGGGGATCTTTCCATTGCCGACGGCGTTTTCCAGAGCGAAGTCTACAGGCGGGGGAAATCTCATTGATCTCGTTCAAAAAGCTCGGGGTTTGAGAGTAAGGTGAAGATGCACTCGACGCTGTCGGAGAAGTCTGCCCCCTGTCGTCGGTGAACTTGCCTGCGTGGTGGAAGCCTTGCAGTCGGCGCGAAAACATCTTACACAGGCGCAGGGGCCGCGCAACATAGCCGTTCGGGAGCGGCGCTCGGACTGGGTCGGACGGAGAGCCAAGGCATCTGATTTCTGCCATCACGAACGATCGTGAGCAGCGAGCGCCCCCGCCTTTCGTCGTCCCCCCCTGTGTGCACAGCGGATCGCAGCCCATCGACCACGGTGCACCCGATGCAGAACGAGGCATCGTGTCCCTCGTGCTTTGCTGGTGAGCTGCACAGGCGTTCAGAGGACATCGTAGAAGCGTGACGGGAGAATCCTTGTGAGTCACGGCGTTTGCCGACGTCTTCCGACCGGTTGGCCATTGCCAATTGTAGCGCGATCCAATTCGGAAGCAAATGCTTTTCTTGCAGCGTCGTCGTGGACAGCGTCGCGAGTCTGTCGCAGGCCCCACCGACGCCGTGCCCCTCCCCCTCCACTTTCTTCCGCCGTCCTGCGCGAAGCCCGTACAATAGACGCGAACTCGTCGCGAATAACTGAGTTCTAAGCTCACATGAACTGTCATCCTATAGTCCCGAACCTCCTGTCACAAAACAATCCTAGCGCCAGCATCGCTTCATTCTCTCAACGTTCTCAGCTGCCCTTACGGCGGCAGGCGGCGAATGAAGGGCGCTACCGCGTCCCAGGCGCCCAAGTATGGCAACTCGTGGCGCTGGCCTACGGTAGGCACCGATAAGTAGCCCGTCAGCCATCATCAATCTGCATCAACCGCAATCATTATCTCTCCAAGTCCGTGCATGGCATTTTATGGTTCTCTGTCACAGACTGATCAGGCGTTGCTCAACCTTCAGGCGCTTCGTCGTCACCTGAGCATTGCTAACCTCGCGGATGTCTGGCGTCATCAACGGACCGTGGACAGGCATCATGGTGAGTAGCAGAGCAAGCCTCCATTCGTTTTTTTTTAGTCTGGTGAACAGCCTGAATTTGTAGTGCTGTGGCGTGCTGGCTTTGAACTCCCGTCCTTTGTGTACATATGGGGCAAGGATCTAGGTCAGCTTGGGGCGCTAAACCGGCCAGCTCGGGCATAGCCAAGCCTCGAACTCGAACGAAGTCTCTTCAAGGTAGTAAGAAAGGGGCCGAGAGGCCGTGAATTGCTGCCGTGAGCCTTTTAATTTGTTCGCGCGCATTGTTTGCTCGTACCTGGACGACTGACGCTCGTGGACATACGCACAGAGGGCAATCGGACGGCAACCTCAACAAACAAAGATGAGACATTCCTCCATCGATATAGGTTCGATCCCGACAGGATCAAAAAAAAGTCCATCAAGTCAGGACTGGAACAGAAGCTTCAGAAGGCCTCGGACTCGGTGTCGGAGATCCGGATCGTTTTGTGGGCGTATGTCTCTGCAGGCATGACGTGCGGTAAGTAAGCCACTTGGACGGACCTAGTGGCTGGGCTCTCTCGGTGACTTATTTAGCGCTCTTCCTGCGCGGTGCTTTAGCCCGAGTATCTGTGGAGGGTGCCGGTGTACTGCTCGCGCACGTCAATGACAGCAGCGTGGTAGATCGCCGATAGTGCACATAGTGTACATTGCTCAGTGTACACGCTTACTGGATGCTCCGAGCTCGAGCTCCAACGCTCGAGTGGGCTTCTGGGCTTCAGCGGTGCATGTTCGTGCGCTTCTTCTCGAGTAGGTGTGACATTTCCTCATGCTCCGTACGGTTCTGTTTAATCAAGTGCCTTCGCAGTTGTGTAGGACGATACCGATGCTTACTGAGATGAACGCAACGTAACTGCGGTGACGTCTCCACATCGAGACTCGCACGCAGATGCTTACTCGCTTGCTCCTGTGTCTCACAGCAGCCGCAGTTGCAGTCCTCAATATCTTTACCGCGCGACCAATGGGTGGCCTTCGAAGGGCCAAGGGCTATTTCAGCCAATCGTCGGCAATTCTTTGCAGGCACCCAACCAGAGTTAACCATTGCGGCAACCCGCGCCGATGGCGGCCGCTCGTCAACCAACAGCAATTACAGTAAGCGATCAGCAACAAATGCACCCCCGACCGCCCCTCTTGCCACCCGGCGCCTTCTTGCTTTGTTTCGATTTCTAGGATTTTAATTTACGAGGCGGGTTTAGCTCGCGATCGCGATTTGGACGCTTGAGGGGACAAGGTCTCCGGGCTAAGGCCTTCTTAGGGTTCGACCAATTCCAAAGGACAGAATCAGATGCCAGCCGCTAATTGCTGTTTGGTCGATGGCTTACGGGGGCCTGTGGCACTGTCGCAGACATGGGCGTGGACGGTGATTTGAAGGGGTCACCGCTGCCGCTGCCATGCTGCAGTGTCGGAGTCGTTCTCAATTCTGAACCCCCTCGAGGCTTTGCGGCGTGCACGACGCGTGCCGCGCGAAACGTGCCCGAAACGCGAGGACAACAAGGAGTCTTGGGACGGTGCCTGGGTCCTCTCTTTCGCTCTCGTGCACGGGCGTGGAGTTGAGTGGGACATATCGCATCGTGGTGCGACATATGCCTGCCCACGCGTCGTTCGTACTCGCTTCCTAAGGTCCGCCCAGCGCTGGTCGAGAGCGCGCGCGCGATGTGACGCATGGAAACCTCCCTTGACGGCAACGGATCGAATTACACTGCAACACGCTGAACGCAGGGCGAGTGGACGCGGTTCGGAGGGGCCTCGGGGTTGTTTTCGCCTGCAGACGCTGCTCACCCGATTCCGTGCTGCGACACCCACGCACGCCCACAATCCCGTCTATCTGTGCTCAGAGCGTTTTTTTATTCGCCAGGACGGGTTAGAGCGCGTTGAGTGTTCTGCCATCGAACTTCTAGGCGCCCTGCACGTCACCCGTGCACCGTGCTCGATATGCCGATCGTGATTGGGCCGATGCTCGAGTCTGCTAGTGGTGCAATCAGAATCTGTTCGCGGGCGGGTGGATGCCCGAACGTTCACATTTTCATTTGCGCAATGGATGACGCGGACGCGGCATGGCCGATTAGTGGCGGCGCTAGGTCGTGCTGTGCTGTGCTGTGATTGGGTTGGGCTCGCTAGGCGATGCGCTGGTGTCGTGCACTATCGGCGAGATCGGATCTGCTATCTGGGTCGTCTGCAGTGGGTTCTTCGAGTGCGTCGATCCCGCCGGGTCTGGACTCTTCGTTGGGTCGGTCTATGGAGATCTCTGAGTCTGAGACGGAGTTTCTCCCTCGTCGTCTGCAATGGGCTGGGGTGCTGCTGACCTCTTGCATTGCATTGCGGTGCATCGTAGTGGATGCTAATGTGCATCGTGCACGTCGAGATCCGGCCTGCCGCGTCGTCTCGTGGCCGCTCACTTGGTGGTCCGCGGGTCCTTGTCTGTTCAGTCGAGGAGGACTTCTTAATCTTAGCGCGGTGTCGCCGTCGCCGTCGACGTGTGGACCGCGAAGATAATGAAGAGGCACTCGCTAGTACCGAAATCCACGCTCGGGGACGTGTGGAGCCCGGTGGCTTGTTGGAGGACGGGTGCGCCTGTATTTTTGTGTTTGGCGCTGCTCGGCCATGCGCGTTGGCGATCCCTCTGGCACGGCTTCTAGATTGTGGTTTTAATTCTGGTTCTGGTTCTGGTTCTGGTTCTGGTTTTGGCTTTAGGTCCGCCTTCTTCTTGCCGTCGATGTCTGTTGATCGGGTGACGGGTTGACATCGACGTCGAGCGACGGTGGCAGTGGCAGAGCTGCGCTACGCCCGCCTGCACTGTTTTTTCTCGGAGCCCGTTGATCACCCTCTTTTTTTTCATTTTTCTTACATTCCAGGACCGCTGGAGACGCATCGCACACTTGTCGCACTGACGAGAACGTTCGGTTTTTTTCTGGGGCTACGTTTCTTGTGTTATTGCACGTCGCGTCGACGCGTCGGGCCGCGGTGTGATCGCCCGCCCCGATCTTTAGGCCTGCGTATTTCAGGGGCGGCGGAGGGTCGTCGATGATTGATCGTCTCTGTCTTGTGGCTGTTTAATTGAGAAGGGTCGGGAGTAATTTGGGGAGCACGGAATTCGATTCAGATCGCGGTATGTATCTGGGTCTAGCGCGAGGGTAGAAGGAGTGCGCGAGAGATGACAAGGGTGGATCTACGAAATGCTTTTTTCTTTTGTTCTAGCTGGGGCGATGGGAAGTGGGAGGGTGTAGCGACATTGGGAGGCGAATGAAGAGAGCGGGGAGTGGAAGGGTGGCGGGAGTGGCCGGGATGGGAGGCCGGTATTCTGAATCGGAATCTGGTGGACGAGGGACACGGAGAGAGAGAGAGGCCCTGGAGCGGGGCGTGGAGGGACGTTGGTGCGCAGAATTACGTGAGCGGACATTGTGATGGAGGGCGTGGTGAGATGCCGGATCTAGGGACTCTGACGCGCCGAGATGGACACTGGGATGGGACGTCTTCGCGATTCGATGCGCAGGTGCCAGCGACGCGTCCCAAACGGGGGGGAGGCAAGCCTTGTGGGGACAGCTTCTGGGCGCGGGAGGGCGAGCGAGGCACCGACGCGGGGTCGGTGCAATTTGCCTCAATCGGGCTCGTCCACTCGCCTCGCAGTCCACGCACTGGGTCGCAGAGTCCACTCCGCTCGGAAGCAGCGCTCAGTCAGACTCGGTCTCCAGCTTCTCTCTCTCTCTCGCGCGCGTGCGGGCGGCGGCTCCTGTTGCGTTCGCTTCCAGGAGTTAAAGAGCAGATGCGATCGTCCTCCCAGTCCCGTCTGACTCCCCCCTCCAGTCACTCCTCCCCTCCGCCTCCCGACGCCAGCCCCCCATGCACCCCGGTCCCCCTCTCGCACCCCATTTCTCCTACTGGTCCGACCCCCACCACGACTATCCCCCGCCCCCGTACCCGCCCGGCGGCGCCGACGCCCAGCCCGTCCCCTCCTTCCCCCCGACGTTCGCCCACTGTCCCCCGCAAGAACACGTGTCGCCGCTCTACGCGCTTCCTGCCCCCGCCTACGACGCGGTCCCGCAGCACGGTCTCTCGTACCTCGACTCTACGCAGAGATCCTCCCTCGCACTCGCGGACCACCCCGCGCCCGTCTCCCCGCGCCTCTTCTCGCACTACGACCCCCGGTCCCAGCCCCCGCCCGAGCCTGCCTATGTGTTCGCTGCCCCGAACGCCTCCACGTCTGCGTCCTTCTCCTCCTCGACAGGCTCCTTCCACTTTGGCGTGCCCGAGTCACAGCCTCCCTCCTTCCAGCCGGCGCCTCTTTCATACCACTTTGACACTTCGAGTCATCCCCATCAAGGACGTCCTCTGAGGTCCGTGCGCGTCCTCCGTTCCTCGTGCACTTCCTCACTCACTCGCTCACTTGCCCATCGACCAGCTCCTCTGACGACCTCGGCCTCGGGTTCGAGCCCCGAACTCTCATGCTGCGTCTCGACCAGCGCTCCCTCGAACCCGTCTCCTCGTCCGCCAGCCCCCCGCTCGTCTTTCCCACCTCCGACTCTGACAGCAGCAGCTCCAACGGCAGCGGCGCCTCCGACTCGGACCCCGACTGGGAGGACAGGGACGGCGCGTACTCCCGCTTTGCCCTGACGACCGCCCTCCCTCCGACGACGCTGCCACCGGCACCCCCATCATTTGGCTCGCCAGATGCACAGGGGGCTATGGGGGCACTCCCATCGACGAGCGTCGACGCCGTTATGGGCATCGACAGCGAAATGGGTGCCGCAGACATGATGAGCACGCGCAGGCGCTCATCGCGCAGCTTTGTCTCGGGCGATTCTCCTGCGCCTGGAACCTCGTCGACACACCGAGCTTACTCTGCTCACGACGACGCTCATCACAGCGCGGAGGAGGGAGCTCCGACGGAGCCCAAGCCGCCTCGACGCCGCGCGAAAAAGCCGAGCGCAAAGACACCCAAGATGCACGCATGCATCGTGTGTCGCAAGCAGTTCCCGCGGCCCAGCGGGCTCGCGACCCACATGAACACGCACTCGGGGGCAAAGCGTGAGTCTCCGTCTCCCCCTTTCCCCCCTCAACGATCTTCGTGTCCATTTTTGGCGTTATTCATCAATCCCGAGTAATTTGGCGAGTTGGCTGACGACAGGGGTCGGCTGTCATACAGCGTACAAATGCCCGGTCCAGACGTGCAACAAGTCGTTTGCCGTGCGCTCCAACGCGAAGCGGCACCTCCGCACTCACCGCTCCGCCTTTGCGTCATCACCCGCGCTCCAGACCTTGTCGCTCGACGCGTCTACCTCCGGTTCGATCGCACGCACCATACGCAGGTCATCAACGCCGACATCCGCGCCGTACCCACATCGCCGTTCGTCTACCGTGTCGGCGCTCCATCCTGCGCCTGCGAGACTTTCACCTCCTCCCACACCTCTGTCCCTGTCCTTGGCTCTGCCCGCCCCACACCTACATTCGCGCGGGGATATGGTTGCAGGTTCGCCGCCGCCGCCTCCCCTCGCGACGAAACCCCGCGGCGATGCGCACACGCACACCGCCCCCTCGCATGCGCAGGGATACGCCAGTCCCAGCGCGGACACGGGGCCCGCGAGCTGCTTCCCGGCCTCGCTCCACTCGCGCGATAACGCGGGCTGGCTCGCTGCGCGGGGGGTGTTCGCGGCCCCGGGCGACTTTGGGATCGATCTCCCGTGGGCGCCGCGCGTGAGCGTGCCCATGGCTGCTGCGCCCTCGCGGCCGCGGTATCACGATGGCTTCGCGGCCGGCGCGAGCTGGGGCGGGAAGTACGAGGAGGCGGTGGAGGCGGCGTCGGTCAGGGCGGGAGAAGGCGGGGCGGGGAGGTGGACGGGGATGGACCCGAGAGTAGACTCTGGCTTGGGGTTCCCGTATCATCCGGCAGAGGTGCGTTTCGTCGCATCCCCCCGTCTCGGGCGCTTCGTGTATGCGTCGATGCTGAGCGATGGTTTCCTTATTATTTTGATTTGTACAGTGGCAGACGTTGCCGGGGCCGGTCGTGGCGTGTCGGACTTGAACTCTATACACGTAGAGGCGGGACGGCGAGCGGATCTATGGACTCGACGGGGCGGGGGTCGCGTCGCGCGAGAATAAAACAAAGTTGGTTAGTGATCGCGTTATTTTATTCTATTTCTATTCTGTTCTGTCGGCCGTTGGCCGCCCCACTGTCTGATCTTCGATGTTTGTGCTCTCTACGTACGTACGTACGCACGCACACAGCTCTTCCCGTCGCTGCGCTCTCCCGATCGCTTTTTCGTTGCTCTTCATTCACATCACGTGGTGCTTGCTTTGCTCGTGTCGTCTGGTTTTGGTTTGGTTTGGTTTGGTTCAGGCTTGGGTTCTCTTCCTTTTTCTTCTTTGTGTGCTTTTTTCGCCTTTTCTGCCCGGGTCGGCGCGGTCGTCACACCGGCTTGCTTCGCCTCGCCTACGACGAGTCTCTTCCCTTGTTTTATCGCCGTGTGTTTTTAGTGGTGCTGGTGCTGCCTCGCTCGAGCGCGGCGATGTACTCCGCATGAACGTGCACTGTACAAGTACTGTAGGGTACCATATGTACCATGTGCCGTCTGTGGTAGCACGCGCACCGTCGCAGGTGCCGCCGTTGTACTGCTGTACCTATGTACTTATGTACCCATGTACCATCGCTAGGCTGAACCGTGTATGCATGTGCCGCAGTACCCGAATCGATGCCTGTGCTTTTGCTTTTCTTGTATTGTTTTTACCCCCCTCTCTTGCGAGCGTGGGCGTGGTGGGCGCTGGCGCTGTGCAGGGCCCCCTCGCGGGTGCTTGGAGCGCGGAGGCGGCGCGCGGCTGCTGTGCGCTGTGCGCCGTGCACGGGAAGCTGGGGGTCGTGGGTCACGGGGCGGTGTGTGAGTGCGACGACTTGGGGGCGGGCGGGACCGCTCGTCGCGCGCGCGCGTGCGGGAGGTCACGGGGTCGCGTGCGGGGCGCGCGCGCGTCGGCGGGGGCGGGCGGGGGACGGGATCGGATTCAGGTCGGGGTCGGGCGCGAGGTCTGGCTCTGGGTCGTGGTCGAAATCGGGGTCGGGGTCGGGGTCGGGACCGAGGCGCGGGCGGTGGTAGAGGACGCGGTTGACGAGCCCGATCGGGATGTCGAAGGCTGCGGGGATGGCGTCGGGGTGGGCGTGGGGGTGGTATGGGGATGGGCCGTCGCGGCGGCTGTTGGGAGGGGGGGGGTCGGGGAAGAGGGCTTTGGAGTCTGGTTTGTGTTGGTGGGTGGGTGTGTGAGTGGGAGTGTGAGTGCGGGTGCGTGTGGGGAGGGATTCGCAAGGGGTGGGAGAGTGGGGGGAAGGAAAGAAGGGGCAGGGGCAGGGGCAGGGAGTGGGGGGAAGGAGACGAATGGAGGTGGACGGGTGGGTGAGTGGATGTATGGACGGGAGGCGAGGATCGAGGATCGAGGATCAGGGCGGGAAGAGGGCGGTTTGGAGGGAGGGACGGGCGGACGGACGGATGGATGGACGGAAGGGGAGGGGACGTGCCTGTAAGGGTGCGGAGGTCGGAAAAGGCGGGCGTGTTGCGCAGGGCGAGGGCGAGATGCGTGGTGTAGGTCAGCAGGACCACGACGGTCGTCCACGCGGGGACGAGCAGGGCCCATTCCCTGTATATATGTGTGTGTGCGTGCGCGCGCACACGGGGGAAGGAGGGTGGGGGGAGGTGAGACGGAAATAGAGGCGAATGGGGGCGGCGGCGGATCGGGGCGCGTCGCGGGCGTTTGGGGTGCGTCCGGATGCGGACGGGCGAGGGCCAGCGCGGGCGCGCGATGCGAGCAGAAGAAGGGGAAGAAGACGCGTCAGCACACGAACCACGCCTTCCGTCCACGCCTTCCATCCCCATCCACCTCTTTCCATCCGTCCTCACGTCCGCACACGCGCCCTACTCGCATGGCCGCACACCGCGCCCCACACGCATACACCTCAAAGCGGACGAACGAACGAACGAACGAACGAACGAACGAACGAGCTCCGAGAGCGGAAACGCGCACGCACCGGTTCGGGTACCACGCGACGCCCGCGCGGCGGATCCACGCGTCGGGGAGGAGCGCCCAGAGAACGTACAGCGCGAAGAGCACGTACGTCGTCGACCACACCGCGAACCCGTAGAACTCGGGCGCGCGGCTGCGGTGCTCGGGCGCAGGGAGCGGCGGGTAGGGCGCGAGGGGGGACGTCGGGGACGTCGGGTTCGGCGCTGGGCTCGAGCTTGGGCTTGGGCTTGGGCTTGAACTTGGACTTGGACTTGGAATCGGACTTGGACTTGGACTTGGACTTGGGCCCCGGCTCTGGCGCGACATGGCGAGCAGAAGTGGTCGACTGAAACTGGTGTTCCCCTCCGGGTCAAGTGAGCTGAATGATGCGCGACAAGGCCTGGACGGAAGCAAACTGTGGCAAGGCAGCTGAAAGCAGCCATCATTAGACACACTTTCCTTATTTGGTGCGGACCGCCGGTTTTGTCCGACCGAAAGCTTTCCGACCAAGGGCGATTGGAGATTATAGAAATCCAGCTGCTTGCAAAACCCTAGACCGGTATTTCTCATCATCCAGCTTGGGATATTTGTTTAACATCGCACTGGGGCGAAGGATACGACACGGTACCTATCATAATTTATTCTTGTTAGTCTATGGGCTTAAGCTCTTCTGCACATCGACTGGGCAGCTTTCAAATTTCAGAGGCAGACCAACAGCCGGAATGGCTCTTGACCTAAGGTCTGCTTTGATTTACAGCAAGTGGCAATGATCACAGGACAATTATCACAGGTGAACGAGGACCCTGAGCAGAATCTTTGTGAACGCGGTCTAGGGCTTTGCAAGCAGCTGTATCAATGCGCTTCAAATTCCGTTCTGGCAGTGCTGTCCTCGGCAACAAATACACAAGTCTCGAATACAGCTGTGTCCTTTGTCGACGATTCGACGTGTCTAGGACTTCGAGGCCACCCACGCGTCGTGCCGCTGCACCAGCTCTGCGACGATGTCCTCCTCGATCTCTCTCGGCCGCCCGCGCGCGTCGACCGCGTGCGGGTCGATGCGGATCCACGACTCCGTCGCGGCCGGGGTGGTGGGATGGGTGGCGGGGGGCAGAGGAGGCGACGGCGACGAAGACGGGCGCGAGACGAAGACGACCTCGTGCTTGCGCGTGTTGAGGTCGTTCCCGATCACGATCTGGTGCCCGTACCGCTCGAGCGCGGCGCGCGCCTTCGGAATCAGGAGCGCGGGGTCTGTTTCGAGCTGCGAGGATGATAAGGGTGCGATGCGTCGGAGCGGGAGAGACTTACTTTGAACGAGACGATGAAGCCGTCTGGCGTCCATTCGTCGACCATCGGTTTCAGGATCTTGGGTACTTGGTCCATCTCGATTAGCAAACTGCCCTTGCCAGACTGGATCTTGTGCTCCGACTGCGCTAAACGTGAGATGGGCGCCACCACGCAGTAGGAGGGGGATGGGGGAAGCCTGAATCACACACCATCTTCTGGCGCGGGAGGAAGAAATCGCTGACGGCGGCGGCGAGGTAGTAGAGCACGCGCGGGCCGAGGACGGACAGCTCCTGGCTGACGGCGCGCAGAAGCCAGAGGTAGTCGTTCACGGTGACGAACGCGAGCGTGTGCAGCAGGCCGTCTGCGTGCGCGCGCTTGTACGCGCGGAGCACCTCGCGCAACGCGTCCCGCTTCGACGGCGTCACGTGGATGTCCGCGCTCGCGCCCGGCGCGGGCGCCTCGACGTCGAGGAAGTCGAGGAAGGGGTTCGTCGAGTGCGAGTAGTGCCGGCTGAAGGGCTGCAGGCTGAACTGGCGATGCATGAAGACGACGGCGTAGCCCGCTTGGAGGAAGTATTCGGCGGACGTCGCGCCGCGGGTGCCTAGAGACCGCGCGCGGCGCTCGCGCTATCAGCGTTCGTGTACCAGGGGATCCGAGCGGGGGGAATGAAAGGGGGAGCAGGACAGGGACGCACCTGCGCTGAAGTTATCGAGGAAGCGCACGCTGAAAGGTCGAACCGTATAGAGGGTGTGAGCAAACGCGAGCGGGCGGCACGCTTCGAGACACGGCGCTCACACGTTGAGCTCCAGGGGGACCGTCGTTCCTCCGCTCTACGCAACGCACATGAGGGGTCAAGATGCCGACGTGAGCCGCTCGCTGCCAGGGGACGTTGGGGAGGCAGAGGAGGTGGGAGGAAGTGGAGGGACGGGGACAGGACGCCGCCGCGCGGAGACTCACAGTGACGAGGACGACCTTGCGGCCCAGCGCGCGCTGGCGCCCGACGAACGCGCGCACGCCCGCGATGTCGTGCTCGAGGTGCGCGGGGGGCGGCTGCGTCGCAAAGTACGACTCTGCGGAGAACTGGCCCGCCGTGGGATTCGTATCGTGATCGGTCGTCGTCATCGCAGCGTGGGGGGTCCTCGCTCGGGTTCCGAGGAGGCGAGGCGGGAGGGGTGGGCGGGGTCAGGGATCGCGGGTGTCGTGCCTGCTTTTCTCGATGAGGTGCTCGGCGGCTGACGGTCGGCCTTGGTCATCGTCTGAAACGACGAGGACGACCGCTCGGATGCATTACATAAGCGGATTCTTTCGCCAGCCCGCGGGCCGGATATTGCCGATATCCCTTTAGTGGAGCCTGCAACAGGCACCGCCCTCAATCTGTTGTTGAACCCCAGTCGACATATCAGGCCGACACGAAGTGCTCTTGGTCAAGCACGCTTAATTTATCTCAAGGAGGAGGTGAGTGTAATTGTTCCCGAGCACTTCACTGCTTCATACTTGTCCAATATTATTGGTGTTGATGCTCGGTGCCCGATATCACAGGTACAGGCTCCAAGGCTTTCCTTGGAGCCGTGGATGGTTTCAGATTCATTGTGCAAACTTACTATGCCGCAGAATTTTAGCAGGGCGCCTGCTGAGGCTGAAAATTGTGGGCATCGTGTCAGAAAGTTTCCTTGATTGCAGCGCTTGATCTTCCCGCAACGCGAGGCACATCGCGGTGCGTACGGTCGCCTCTGGCGAGGCCCTGAGCATTCGGGGAAGATGGGACACACGTCCAAAGCCCAAGTTTTTCGCAGCTAGCAGCCAATTTTACGCACATCTAGCCTCGTTATGCTCGTTCCGGCGCTCAGTGATGGGGTCGGGTTTGCGAAGCCGGCGGTGGAGCGTGTCCGGCCTGTGTAGGTCCTCACCTGCGGCTCTGGATCGCGCCAGCGTACCCCAATGCCGGTACGACAAGGTTCCATACCGCGCAATCAGCTCCCTGCCACTGCGATACGCTCTAGCGAGTACGTGTCCAGTGATCTTCTTCCTGCAACACTCCGCCGATGACTCATGCGCGAACACGCTCAGTCTATACATATGGGGAGGTCAATAGTCCATGCCGAATGCATCGTGCACGCACCGCGCCCTGTCATCCGCCTAGCGCGGCATAGCATAGCATGCGTTCTAATGTCGGCCGTCCACGAGGCGCGACGGCTCGGAGACATGTCTGCAACGTGCCCCTGAACGAATGGGAGGCCATCCCTCGAGCGAGAGACCTCCGAGGACTTGTGGATTGTTGCGAATTGTGGGTGGTGTCGACGCACCTGCGACGATCTTGGTCCTTGTTGTTTCTGGGCGGCGTGCGTTTCCGAACTTGGGACTAGCCTCTGTGAACGGGGCCCCATCGCCCCTGTGACATCGTTTCTCCAGCGGCTTCGAACCGACGGCGAGGGGTCGAGAGGTTTAGAGGGTGCGGCAGGCTCAGCAGGCCTAGACCAGCACAGTTATTGTCTGTGCCTTCCTCTCGTAGTAGATCCTGTGTCCGACAGACGTTCACAAGCACCGCCGAAATTGCACCCCAATCTGCGCAGGCTGATCTCTGCAGCCCTGCATTGATCTAAATTACGTCCACCAGTCATCTGCGGTAGTGAGTCCTGCAGCCGCGCTGTGTTTTTCGGTTTGTCTCCAGTTGCCGGTTCGTCGTCGCGGGGGCCTTCAGGGGCCGTCTCCTTCTCGTACTGCTGTCCAAAGTGGAATTAGCCAGGGACGAAGGCACATGATCGCGATTTGCGGTCAGGATCGATTTTCGCTCATATGTTCTTATATGCTTGAGCTGGATGATGCTCCTAGAGTCTGACATATCTCTTCGCGTCGGCTTATTGGGATCTGATCCACCTCCTTCCCAGTGTTCGGTCACTGCTAGCAGCCATATCGCGAACCTGGGGAAGCTGTCAGAAGGTCGGTGTCTTCAACCTCCTTCAAGCTGTCAGATGCAACGTAGAAGCGAGAGGGCCCAGGGAGCTTGTTCACGATGACCATTGTAGGCACTAATCTATGCATTTGTGGGGCCAGAATCGCACGAAAAAAACACATATATACCGCTAGCGGTGCAGACTACACTGTCTGCATTGCGCGCATTTATCCACTTCCCCATCGTGTGTTCTTTGACAGATCGACAATATACGGATCGAATAGGACGAGAGGAGGGCAAGCCGGTTCGGGCCATCGAATCTATCCCCGGCTTCCTTGGTCTGTCGTTTTGCGTGAGTGCCCATGAGGTGATGACGACCAGAATTGACTGATCCTCGGTGTCTTTAGAGTCGCCCGGTTCAAGTCATTTCGGTTGGCGTGCATAACGAATGAGCTTCTGTGAGCTTTGTGAACCCGAAATGGCTTGCTTGCTTCGATTGTTACACGAGAAGCTGGCCTTGGTGCAGCGGGAGAGCTTCCACGACCTGGTGTTGGCACATTCACCTTGGCTACTTCTAATACCGCATTCTCTCACAGCTCCTCGCCGGTCGCTTATCGATCCCAGGACGGAAAGGCTGTTGCAGCCCGGGGTCGCCAAGGGTATATGTTTTGACTAAGGCACCTCTTTCACCTGTACCTACGTCTCCGCGTAGGCGGTGAAGAGATAAATGGAGTATGTCTTTGTATTCTCTGATCTCGCTTGCACAGTGTCTCGCTGACGAAATAGTGGGCTCTTTACCACTCGTTCGACTGAGGACTGCCTCTGTACGTCGTCCTATGCCTTCTGCCTCTGGTGCGTTGCTACCGAAGGCTTTACCTGAACCACGGGACTGGAGAGTCGCTATATGAGACCCAAGGGATCTGAGGGCCATGTTGCTGGTGTGATTTGGGATCTGTTGCCATGGCTGCGCTTGATGGTCTGCATGCGTTGTTTGCGGTTGTTGACGTTGGTTCCTCGACGCAGGACGCCAGTATGGCGCCGTGATTGGACCAGCGCGTTTCCCAGTTCTGATTTGGCGCCACGGACGAACGAATCAGACAGAATCCGTGCTTTTGTCCAATCAAACAATTGCACTCGTATGCAACACATTTCCGTGCGAGAGCGAAACGAGGCTAAAGGGCCAAGGCACGTGTGCAGTCATCCGTCCTATAAAGTCTCCAGAAATCCGCCCTTCCCGTTCCTCAGGCTTGCCTCTTGCTTTCCATCTTTCTTTGACGCCATCTAGGACTGGTTCCTCCCCTGCACAGACTCGTCCCTCGTTCTACATCCGTTCTTTGCAAACTCAGCTGGTCTTTCATCGCATCAGTCATTTCCTAGCCAGTTTCAAATATTGTCATTTTCGAGTCCAGCATGTTTTCCAAGTCCTTCATCGCGTCTCTCCTCGTCCTCGCCCTCTCCGCGCAGGTCCACGCCCACGCTGCGATCGCGCCCGCACTCGGCGTGAAAGGTACACCTGTCCGCAGCGACGTCCAGCGCCCATCTGCAGCCAAGCCCTGCGGCAATGCCAACATTGCGGGCACCATCGACTCTTCCACGGCAGTCGCCGCCGCTGCCGATGGCACTTTCGCCGCCACGATCTCTAACTTCAACGCGTATGTCGATTTTGATGCCATCAGATTTATTTTTGTTCGCGCGCTCATGACCCTGTCATATACCAGCGGCAAAGATGGCTCGCGCCAAGTGACCGCCCAGATCGATGCCACCGGCACAGGCAAGAGTTTCGTTGCTGCAACGGTAGTGACCAATGGCGATGCTGTGCGAATTTTCCTCTGCATCATCCGTCGAGAATATCAGGCTTAGACTTTTTTTCTCTCCTCCAGGCTCCTACCAACGTCGGCTCGCAACAGCTCTCCATCAAGCTCCCCGCTGGGACTAAATGCTCTGGCGGTGCCTCCGGCGACCTCTGTCTCGCCTCGTTCACCACCGCAGGCGGGTTCGGCAATTGTGTCGTCGTCTCCCAGGGCGCTGCAACTGGAAATGCCGCTGCCGCGGCTCCCGCAACGAGTGCTGCCGCGACCGGTGCCGTGACCGGAGCTGCTACTGGTGCTGCCACTGGCGCCGCTGCTGGCGCTGCCGCTGGTGCCGCTGGTCGCAAGGGTAAGGGTCAGAAGGCGAAGGCCGCCGCGGCTGCCGCCAAGGCAAACGCTGCCAAGACCAACGCTGCCAAGGTTAATGCCGCCAAGGCCCAGAAGGCCGCTCGCTCCTTCGACCGTGCTTGTGAGTGCATTCGCTCCCATCGCAGCAGCGTCTCGCTTACTGACGTCGGTCCAAACAGGGGCTTCCCGCCGTAACGTGTACGTTCCCGTGGCGTAAAGCGATGAGGGCCTGTGTGCGCGGGTCTCGCTGGGTCATGATTTTTGCTTTTTTAATGGGTTTGTTGCTATGGACGTACACTGCTCTGTACGGGATTTGGTTTTCAATGCAAAGGAAAGCTTTGAGCCGGATATGGTCTTGAACGTGTGGATGCATTCTCAATGGGCGGCTGAGGCCAGTCGACACCAGGCAGTCCAATTGTTAAATAAATGGAATCATCCGTGCTCGATTCGTTCGATTCACATAACAGTCCGTCGTAATTAAATTACAGAAGGCATACAATGGCGCGGCGCAGGACATAGACGAAAATAGATAACTAATATGAAGAAGCCCCACCTTTTAGGACGATCGGGCATTCCCACAAACGACAGACAGCTCGGAAGAAACTCTGGTATACATGCTCTCTGCGACATCTCGTTCTTCGTGGTCGCAGGAGAAGGGGGTGGCATCTACCCCCGGTGGGTGAAGTTCGGTTCATTTCCCGTGTGGGATGCCTGAATCATCCTCGACCGTGTTCATCACGTGGATGACGACAGGCTGGCGGAATCCGTTGAAGACCGAGGCCGTGGAGAGGGACGACGGGACGTTACGCATTGGCATGCCGAAGGAGGTGTCGAAGTCGCTGTCTTCTACCGCGTCGCTATGCGTCATTTGGAGGGCGACGAGGACGATTATCAGCGTGGAGTATATGCCCTGAAAGAGCAAGTGAGAAGGAGGATTCGGCGACGGTTCAGGGAGGATGGGTCGTGTACCGTCAGCTGTGCGATCATGTCTGCGATCATGAAATTGCCGCTGCTTCGTGTCCAGTAGATGATGAAGAAGATGACCTGAGAAGCGTAAGTCTTATTGCGCGACATGAATACCTATGCACTCACCCATATGAGACAGTATAGGAACCCAGATTCGATGAGGAGCCTCAATACAGCTTGACTTTGTCTCCGTTCGTCGGTGTCCTGGGCAGATTCATTTGACAGCCGATTATACCACCTGTTCAACGCACTCAGAGGGAGTTAACCAACGTACGCCGAAATGCGACTCACCTCGCGCGGTACGCCACCAGGCAGGTTGTAAGGACGTTCGTCGACAGCGTGAGAACGTCCAACGAAAGGTACCAAGGATAAGACGCCGTGAGCTGCACTGTTGCGATGTTTGCTGCCGTTTGTTGCACGCCTACTACGGCAATCACTGTGAAAGGACATGAATTTGAAAGTTGGCGGAGATAATTTCATCGAAAAGCGAACCTGCAGTTGACAGTAATAGGAATACAGGCACAAGACATGGCCCTATTTCGAAGTTCCAGAGCACGTACGCGCGCCAGATAATGATGGCGTCAGATAAAAGGAACTGCACGCATCATAATTGTTCGTCAGATCAAGGAGGCAATGAAGATGAAGACGCACATTGATGGCAGGAAGGTACAGCTTTGCTATACGCAGTGCAGTGGTCCCGATCTCAAATGAGCTCGGGGAATGTCCATCCAGAAACTCGTTGAAAAACTCCCGGACACTCAGCCCCATGTGGGTTGTGGAGACGAGAAACATGGTGACGGTCATGGTCATGACGGTGTTATGCACCACCCGCACCGGGATCGTATGCCGTCGTCGTCTGGAACCATGTCTCAACCCTTCATTCGCTGGAGATTGACAGGATCACGCACAATAAGAGATACATTGATATTGAGAAGAGGACAATGTAGATGCCTGTATCCGGAATTTGCATTCAGCACTATAGATGCGGGGTAGGCGGACGCGCATACCATAAAGGATAGACTCGCAAATGAGCGCCGCATATGCCTCTACGAGCATGGTGAAAACCGGTTCACAGTGTCCAAGTGCCGTATGGCACGTAGTGGTGCGGGGGATGAGAGGGAGCGTCCGGGGAAACTGCCACCTACAAGTAGTGCGGGCATGCCGAGAAGTATCCTGGGGTCACCGGGTGATAGAGATTTATGCTCCCTCGGAATCGCCTCGATAGAGATGCGATGATGCTTCAATCAGCGCATGCCTCCAAAGCAAGCACTGACTGACGATAGAAGCCAAAGAATGCCCGAAGGTGTTCTTTCAATGTGACCCTTCGGCGTATACCTGATCGTGTCAGGAGCTTGTGATAGCTGGTAAATGTCCTAAAATTCAACACAGTACTGAGCCTGCAGCTTTGTTTCGGTCCCGCAATCGATGCTCTGCAGGCCGCAAACCTGTAACACGCGTTTGCTCGGGTATTAGTAGGCCTCGGGCTTTGAGCTGCTCAGAGTATATAAGAACCTCGGTTACGTGATCATCTCACAGATCAAAGAGCCTCGGAACCACGGGAAAGTTGAGTCTTGATGCTCGGAGACGAAAAAGGATCCTGGCATGATCCCAGTCGAGAGATACAGGTGAGACCATTCCTGGTGATTCGGGCACAAGGCTGATTCACAATGCTGTGTTGTAGCAACGAGAACAGAGTTTCCGAGGGCGAACAAGACATGGGACGAGTTCGCAATTTGGATATCTGATAGCACCGTAAGCTTGCCAATCTCTATCCTTGGTGCTCTCCCACGGCGGAACACAGAAACATTGTTCTTGTTGTGAGGTGTGTCGAGGTCATGGAGTGAGGTCTCAAACGGTGGCCTCGACAAGACCAGATATTTTTGTTGAATTCAAACGGTAAGACGATCACAACGCTAGGAGTACCTGGGAATGCCCATAATGGACAGTGTCACAATGATAAGATAACGGAACGCACTGGAAGGAAGACAGCCGCAATATAGCAATACTAGCACGGTACTGCAGTGAAATAGCGCCGACTCTTTATGGCAGAGAAGCCTCTTGGACTTCCTCTTCAAAAGAATTCTATTCCTGTGAATCCAGCTAGGCAATGTCTGAACTCACTAGGCACTTTAGAAGGATTGTTAAGGCCGTCTTAGGGCAAGGGGTATCACTGTATGCCTATAACCAGGATCCCTGAGCACTGAAAGGATAGCGATGTAAGTTGACGTGCACATGATTCGGACGGAAGAGAATGCAATTCGCGACGCTGATTGGAGTTCGTGACCCAACATCGTCATGTGACACACCATTTTGTTCAAAAATCGATCCTCATATGGGTCAGCGCCGCCCAGCCGCATCAGCACCCCCGTTTTCCAGACTTATATTCTTCGTTAGCGATTCAGCGCATGCATCGTCTGATCCATGAGACGCCTGTCAACTTTCCCTGTGCATGTGAGAGATGGCAACGAGGTGGCTTGCGACCTTGACTTACTCATAAGTATCATACCAGCTGCAGCCAAACAAGTTCTTCTCCGTTTAGATCGGAATAGACTCTCATTCCTATAGGGTGATCTAGCTGAAGCGCTGAGCGATGGAACTTGTGTCCGCGTTGCTCTCAGCCTAAGGGATCACACTCGGACTCCGGGAAATGTGAAGCGGGGCGCTTACCGCAGGTATGGGCATGTATGGACGCATTTAATGTTGATCCTCCGTTGCTGATATAATAATCAAGCAAGTTCCCTTGACATGGCATCGTAGGCAATGCTGATCAAGTGATTCTTTGGGACTTGGAGTGTGAGTATACGCGTCATCCTCCCCTCATCTACCGGAGAATTATGTCGTCTGTCAATTGTGTTAGCATCCCTCCGAGCGATGACCCGCCGGCTCTACAACGACGCGGTAAAGGGCTGTACGTCCTTGTAATTCTTGTCAGATGTGCATGCTGGAACAACAGCATCTCCCTCCGATGCTTCTAAATCTCTCGTCAGCTCTCAGCTATTCTGGAGTTGGTGCATGCGTCAGCTCTCCCATCTGCAGCTCCACAAACACCATTCGACTTGAGACAGGCCGCTGATCTTGGAGTCCCAGACAGGATATAAGGCAGGCTTCCATCTTGTCAGTCATCCACCAACACCCCCAGTCAACCAACTCATACCTCTCTAAGCACCGCAATGTCTATCCCCACTCGCAAACTTGGTGGTTTTCAAGTTAACTCTATCGGCTTCGGCGCGATGGGTCTCTCTGTCGGATACGGCGATGCTGGCTCCATTGAGGAGCGCTTGGAGGTGTGCAAGCAGCTTCTCTATCTGCGTGCATTGATCCTCACTTTTTTATTATTACCTAGTTCCTTGACGCTGTCTACGCACGTGGGAGCACGTTCTGGGACACCTCTGACGCATACCAAGACAACGAAGAGCTGATTGGGAAATGGTTCGCCAAGACTGGCAAGCGCAAGGACATCTTCCTCGCTACCAAGTTTGGTCTGGCGGATCCGACGCGCTTCCCGAATGCGGACCCTGCGTATGTAAAGGTCGCATTCGAAAATTCGTTGAAGAAACTCCAGACGGACTACGTTGACTTGTACTACCTCCACCGGTAAGATATCTCATAGGAATAATACACAGTCCACCTGATCAATCTGGCACACAGTGCTGACCCCACGGTTCCTATCGAAAAGACGATTGCTGCCATGGCTGAGCTCGTCAAGTAAGAATTTCTCGGCGGTTTCCAATTCAAAACTAATGTCACCTGGAAATCAGGGAGGGCAAGGTCAAGGCCATCGGTGTTTCTGAAGTCTCCGCTGCTGCTCTCCGTCGCGCACACGCCGTTCATCCTATTGCCGCTCTGCAAGTCGAATACTCCCCTCTTTGCCTCGACGTTGAGTTCGAGAAACTCAACTTGTTCAAAACCGCGCAAGAGCTCGGCATTGCCATCGTCGCGTACTCTCCTCTTGGCCGCGGCCTTCTCACCGGCTCCTTCGTGCGTTTTCTCTCTCGCATATCATTGATGTATTTATTGACTATTTGCTCATACAGCGCACTGCTGAGTCGGTCCCTGAAGGCCACTACGCCAAGTATATTCCTCGTTTCAATGCAGACAACTTCCCCAAGATCGTCAAGCTCGCGGACGAGTTTGCTGCCATTGGTGCTAAACACAAAGCTTCCTCTGGTCAGGTCGTGCTTGCATGGCTACTCGCGCAGGGTGGCAACGTCTTCGTCATTCCCGGAACGAAGAAAGTGAAGGTAAGGTTGAAGTGATCTAAAACTTGAAATATCATCTGACCCTTCTATGTAGTACCTCGAAGACAACCTGGGCGCTGCGAAGGTGACCTTGACATCGGAGGAGGTAGCTCACTTGCGCTCGCTGGCGGAGGAGATCCACAAGACAGCCCCTGGAGAGCGGTACCCAGGAGAGTTCAACAACCTCTCGTTCATCGATACCCCTGCTCTCTGAGTGGATAACGCATAGTAATCAAAGTTGTCGCTGTTGTACCTATTGCTCTTATTAGATTTGGAATCGCATAGTATCATTGCATTATGTTCACAACGAAGTGAGGGTGAGCCTGGGGTGTATGTGCTTACCTGCTCATGTTCTGCGGCTGGGGCGGGTGTAATGCTACCTACGGTCGACTCGGAGAATTCATTCCTGCGAGTAATTTTCTCTTCTGCGTGCACATACCTCGTCCTTTGCCATCTTGAATACTCGGACCTTTGTTGAATTGAGGTAAATCACCTATTTCTTCTATATTACTTAACTCGCTTCTCATTGGCTCGGGTGTTACCGAGATACTACACAGTTCTCTGCCACCGCGCTCGTAGTAGGAGCACGGCCAGCTCGGGCCTCCCTCAGTGTTCTAATAGACGCTGAGGTGAGCCCGCTTCTATTACATACTCTCAGATTGACACTTTGGAATAGATATTACCTTCTAGGTAGATGTCGTATAGCCTTTTGCAGTGTTCTAATAGACACTGAGATATTACCTTCTAACCACATTGCTACAGCCTTGAGCTCAAGCTTGAGCTCGAGCGCTTAGGCCTCGACATGTGGCACGGTAAACGTAACAACAAAAGAAATCTAATCATTGCGAAATGTTGGGATTGAGCTTGCTTGCGGTCTACGGTCTGTGATAATAGGCCTTGCTCATGCTCCGCATAAGACCTGAAACAACTGCCCTAGAATGTGATTGTACCTGAGTAAAAGATCCTGAAAAACCCGCCACAACCTATGGTCGGCAGTAGGCCCTGCGAGCAAGGTGAACACAGGACAAGTGGCAATCTGATGATTCAACGAGCTGCCCACTGGATGATGTAGTAAGCGTACTCGACCTCCCCAACCACTCCAGGCTGCGCCTCGCAGAGGATAATCTCCTTATGTGATATGTGTAAGGCGGAGCATCCGTCCTGAAGTGCATCAAGGTTGCGTAAGAAAGGGAAAACTTGCTCAATGGTGCTCGACTCGATTGCGAACGTTGGGCGTAGGGGAATCACCAGGTGAAATTGGGCCGAGGGAGTTGTGCGTGACTGCGTCGCCGATGGGCGCCGGAGGAGCCTTTCGAGGCATGATCGAATCCATAGAGCATGTTCGGCCTCATAAATGATGTCGGCGCCGAAGATAAGATCGAAGGAGTCGTCAAAAGGGACTAGGTGTTTGTCCAAGGTCACCGTGTCAGACCAGTCCAATTTATGAGCAGAAAGCACGACGGAGGACGAGGTTGCAGATGTGGAAGGGAAATTGGAGGCAATATTGAGGTTGAGATTGGAAAGGGTGGAGGGGTGGAAGTCGGATGCAATGATTTCTGCGAGTCGCTGCGTGCACACCTGCTGCAGGAGTTTGCCTACCGTCAAGCTGACCAGCCCAGTTCCTGCGCCGAGCTCAAGCACCCTCAGCCTTTCCCCTGTGACGTGGCCCAGATTCAGGTCAAAATGTTCCGGCATCTCGACGAGCATCTCGGCCAGCACGCACGCGCTTCCCCACGTCTGCACCCCGACCGTCCCAAAGTCCTGGTTCTCCAGCGGTGCGTCCGTCAGCTGCACCGTGACTTCTCCCGTTCCGTGGCCAAATGAAAAGGAGCGCGTGACAGACCCCGCGGCGGACGTACCGGCGCAGATGGACAGGAGCGATGCGGCAGTCTGGATGATCGATTCGAAAGACGTGGAATCGCTGCTGCCTTCGAGTTCCATGACTTCGACTTGGGCGATCAGAGATGTGAGCCAACGAATAGCATATGACCTCTCGAAAGCGTCGGAGCGTAGAGCGCCCAATTCTTCATCCCGATCAGTCCCGCTTCGCAGACTCGACGACTGAGAGTGTGTCTTGCGGTTGACGCGGCGCGAACCGCGAACCTCAGGACTGTACACCAGGCGCAAGTACCGTAAGGATTCCTGAAGTTTCTCGATTGAAGCGCCTCTAATTCTTCCGATCGGCGGAAGGGCGGCGGTTGGTGACTCTAGGGCAGGGAGGGTAATGATGGTCATCGATTATAGTGCAGTAAATCCTTCTAGCTAGATGTTAGCAGGTTCTATGTGAGTGAACTCTATGAGACTAGGCGAGATATTCTAATGAAACCAACGCTCTAAATAAACGATGTTAGTAGTCGTATACATCCATCTTGAATCTTGAGGAAGGGGAGTTCTGAGCAGGCAATGAACAAAAAGAATTAGAGGTGCACAAGATAACCCTTTGTTTATCATTATTTACACCCAACGAACCACAAAATTTCAACCCGATTCAGCACACCAGGAACATGGAACTTTTATAACACAGGACGATTAGGACATGATGTTAGACGATAATCCCTGTGCTTTATCGAAGCACCTCAATAAGAGCTAGTATCCGATGCCAAGATGGAGGGGATCACCAGCTCAGAACAACCCAACAACACCCAGTACTGCAGCGATAGCTAGCCACCGCAAGCCATCAAACACTGGATCAGCACTCATGGAGCGCGCGCCGTTGACCATCGTCGAAGCGTTCGAGAATGCGACACTAGGCGTCATAGCAGACGAGTTGGCGCCATAGACATAGGAGGTAATATTGGAGGAGGGCGTGGTCGGATCCGCGCATTTGATCGTGACTGAGGAAACCATGGCATAGAAATGACCTGACAGAGACGATGAAGGCGCTGAGAGATTAGATTCCGAAAAATAAACAGGCTGGGGTGACCGTACCCGCAGAAGTGTAGTCAGGATCATTCCAGTTGATCAACCCGCCAGACCATTCGATCGTTCCGGGAGCAGAGGTGTTGATTCCAGCAGGCCATAAACTATGATCGAAGGCACATGCGCGGTGGGCAAAAATGATAGTCAGTCGGAAGCAAAGAGGGTGGGGAATAGGAAGCGAGAAGCAGAGGGAAATCGAAAAGGCGCTGAGGGATGGAAGGGTGTGTGAGAAGAATGAAGAGCACCTCAGCTGAACGGAAGATGGAGTTGAGGGATAGTGCGCGACACCATTGCCATCAATCGTATCGGATTTCTTGATGGTTCGCACGGTGTTGTTGTCGATTGCGAAAGTCAGTGTATCAGGTTGCCAGTCGATCTGTGAGACAGCAAGAAGCAAGGTTTCAATCAGTACTACATGGTAACACAGGAAAGTTGAATCGAAGCGTGACAGTGAACACTGCGGAAGCGATTGAGATATTTCAACATACAGTGTAGTCATGGTAGTTGGCAAAGGTATCGGTAAGCCCGGTCGTTGTATCACCATCGGTCTTCGAGGCTTCGTTGCGAGAAAGGCAGAAAAATGCAGGTTAAATAGGATAGACAGACACAAAATCGCTATGGATGGACGTACGAATGACAGCTTGCCAGAAGAAGTTGGTCTGCCCAGTAGTAATGTTCGAACCCGGAAACTCCCAATCGATTTCATCCTTGATGTCGCTCATCGTGATGAAGGCTGTGACAACACCATTCCAGCGACCAGTCTTGACTATATCGTCCAAGCATCATTGTACGACAAGGAAGCAACATCAGAACAGAGGGATCCACGAGTTGAGAGCAGGGAAGACGCACGGCGAGCCGTGATGGTTCCGTAGTGAACATAACGCGTGGACGAGATCCGCGTGCCGCCGTTGGTCTCGGTAAGTAGAAGCACAAGTTCGCCACCGGAAGAGTTGGTGTTCATGATGTTGCCTGAGTTCACGACCCAATCTGCACATTATGAAACAGAGGTAAGTGGACTTCTTTCGTTATGCAAAAAAAATATGATCATCAGAAGTCGATGTGATAGAACGGTTGTGAGGGACAAAAGACATTCAAGATGCAAGTGTTGATCATCGATTTGGCGAAACCATCCACACGCACCATACTCAGTGGCATTGCCGTCAAACGTGGACGAATTAGAGTAGATGCGAGAGTTGTCCGCGAACGTGTGCTGGATCCCCAAAGGATCGATGCAGTTAGCAGTACAACAGGTAAAATAGAAAAAGGCGTACAGTAGCAGATTGGCATATGGGGTCAGGGCGGCACGAATCGAGGGAGTGAGAAGAAAGGGGGTTGCACCCGCCGAGACAAAACTGTGGCAAATGTCATATTGAAACTTGACAATCAGAGCGTGGGGGATTCTCGAGCTCACATCTCCCGCTCCACAGAACCCGAAAGAACCTGTAGTGGCGGCGTCGGGCTTTGGGGTGCATGAGGAAACAACGTGGAGACTCACTGCAGCATGGTGCAGAACTAGAACATGGGGTCGTGATGTTACTGGCATTCGACAGAAAGTGTCAGTGTGCGCCGCTCATCCGTCACAGTGTGCTGGCGCCCACCAAGTCTGTCCGCCTTGGGCGCTCACGACAGTTGTCGAGCATGCTATGAAGACGGGTAGAAGAGCGAAGATTCGATTGCGAAACATGGCTTCTTGTGTTGAGGGAGTGGAGTGTGTTCAAAGAGCAGTAGGGGGCGATGGGATACGGTGGGGTATATATGATGGATGTTGTTTGAGCGAGAACCAGCAGACTCAAGGCGTGGACAAAGATAGAACGTCGGAGCAAAAGCACGGATCCATTGTAGGGCATTCATGACCGCATGGCGTTGACAAATCAGAATGAACTTCGTCGGTGTTCTCCGGAATGCCACACTTTCCCACTACGTGCACCGCAAGGTTTTTCCCGGGATAAACCGTGGATAAAACCCTAGATATAAATAAAGTTTTTGTGTGGATTTATCCGTGGAAACTACCGAAACACAAACTTAAGGTCTTTTTAATATTTTATTATGGGATATGAGTAAATATCAGATAAACCTTAAGTTTTTGTTTCAGTGAATAAACCGGAACAAAAACTTTATCTATATCCAGAGTTTTATCCACGGTTTATCCCGGGAAAAATCCTGCAGTGCACGCAGTGAGGTCCCGGGAGGCTCACCCAAATGTTTCCCCGAGAGTTAATCTTTTTGAGGGTAGAATTGGGCCATTTCCTTCCCCATTTTTAATCTTTTTGAGGGGGAAATGGCCAAAAAAAACCAAACCTTCTCGGGTTTTAATCTTTTTTAGGCATTATTCGGTGTTCATCCCGACCCAATTTGTCATAGGTGGGGGTAAATTTTTAGAATGTTCATCGTCTTATGCTCAACTTTGTGACATTTTGTGACATTTGTGACAACCCTTAGCGGAATTAATCTTTTTCTGGGCCAAAAGTTAATCTTTTTTTAGCTTGATTTTGGGGGTTTTGATGGGGAAACATTTGGGTGAGCTTCCCGAGGCCTACGCAGTGTCCGCAATCATGGGCGTGGTCAATAACTTCCAACGTCGGAGTTTACTGGGGGCATGCATGTGTGGTGTGGTCCATAATTGATGCCATGCAACTGCTGCTCTCTTCCGTCTATCCCTTCCGGCGTAAGTAGGTTGAGAGGAATTACTTGCCACACCCGGCAGAGAAATGTCAACCGTGCGCGTCATCTTCGTCTCCAGTTTACTTGTTGATGGGGTTTTTTCTCACGCCTTGCCTCCTTTACAACACGAGGTAATCACAGCTTGTCAGTCTACTTCGTTGCTTGCCAGTCCTTCTCCCTCTTCGACATCCATGAGCAACCCTGGTGCCATTCTCGCAGGCAGACTCGATAGCAACCAGGGTAGTGCTATTTTTTGGACTGCCACTACGATTGCTGTGATGGTCTCATTGGTCCAAGGTGCAATCACAACACTCACAGACATCTGCGAGGGTGAAGGGTTATGGACAATCCGATTTAATTTAGGACGGTTCGAGCATTTATGGTGGACCGCAATTGCTATGGCACTTGTTGCATCGTTGGGATCCATGATCACATCATTTCTTGCCGGTACGAGCAACCTCTAAGTTTAATAGTAACCCATTGACCTCACCTCCCCTTCATAGGAAATAACAATGATTCCCTCGGCATCTTACTACTCGCAACAGCATCATCGCTCACCGTTTTCCGCTACGCTTGGCCTGCCTGGCGCAATCGGCATTATTGCAGGAACCGATGGTTTGCGTGGACAGGCCCAAGTCGTACCGGAATTGATCCAGTTTTAGTACCCCTCATAGAGGGCACTAATCACTGGCAAAGTCTTGCAGAGAGTGCGCCGATTGTGAAGATGCATCCTGTTGACATTCGCCTTCCATTCCTTAAATCAAAGCTTATCACCGGCGATCCAACAGACATATTAAAGGCACGCCAGCGGAACTTACAGAGAGCACCGCAGGGATCGCTTCTTAAATCTACGACTTCCCCTTCCGAAAAGCAGCCAATCCCCGTATCTACACTCGCGTCTGTAACACCGTCCTCACTGATTAATGGTGTTGGCCTTTATGCTCCTGTAGTCCCCAGCCAAGCCGCATCCCTTTTGTGGGGGTCTCATCTGGGGTTCGCACCTCGTGTCAGTCGAGGTATCTTGGGCGTACCACAAAGACTCTTGACATCACATCCCCTGACCGAGTCCGGTCACAATGGCCAGGCTATGTGTCTTGCCCACGGTATCCTTGGTCGTAACAAGGGACTAGAACCCATGCGCTTTATCCTTCGTTTGGATATCGGAAAACTTGAAGAAAAAAGTGTTCAGTGGCCTCGCCCTTCAAAAGTCTTGCGAAGTTATTACAAGAAGGAGATGGATGCTGCATATGGCGGCCTTGGTATCAACTATGTCAACGCCGCCACCGAGTTGGCACTTCTATTGGCGGACTCAAGTCAGGGTCTTATTGAGGATTGGCTTTTGGCACGTATGGAGCATCAGGATTATGAGCTGAACCGCGAAGCGTGTCGTCTAGGTGCGCCCGACGATGATCTTCGATTACTATACCTTCTATCATACGGAGCCATGCTGGTCAGTCTGAGTGCTCACAACATAGGTCATCGCTTTCGTCCAGAGATTACACTGTTCGTAACATACTGGCAGACTCACAAAGCAGATCCCCTTCCGCAATGGGTAATGTCCGAGGCCATGCAGAGCAGAATTCATCAAGAACATGCTGGCCTCGACGTCGGCACTGATCTTGATGGACTGGTTCTGGCTGTCATCCCTCCCATCTCTTGATGATTCACCCACAACAATGATAGGTCACTTTCTCCAGATACCAGGATATTTATCATGCGTGTTTCATTACTGTCTGTGTATCGTTACTTACAAGCTGAAAACAAGTCGATCAACAATAAGATGTAACCCACAAGATACTAATATATGATCAGAGACAATCTAGTTCGCATGAATCTGCATCACTCGCAGCATGGACAAAATAAAAGTTTCCCTGCAGTACAAATGTACATTGATAGCTTCATTTTCCATTCGCAACCGTGCTATGCAGGCCATATATTCCTGAATGCATCGAGGAGGGCAATGAAGTTGTGGGCAAGCAGCAACCTGCACGACATCGAGAAGGCAGTTAACACGTGAGGTCAAGGAGAGTGTCTTTCTCATCCTTCCTGAATCCAAAAATAGTCCAAAAGATATGGAGGTCGTGCTACTATGAAGCATGCAAGTCAGTCGATGGCTCGAGGTTTGATAGTAAACCTTTCTGCATCGAAACTGGGAATGTATGCGGTGGAGAAGAAAATAGCAAGCAAGATAATCACTAAAAAAGCCCTGCAGCGGTGATCACTCTACGGGAAGCGCACGAACGACCATGAATCCACGCTCTGAGTGAGGGGAAATCGAGAATTTCTCGTCGTCACAATGTGTGACAATAGCTAATTTGTGACTGAACAAACAAGGGCTCACGCGCCTATTTCGACGGGTCGCGTCGCGTTCAAACTACTCATCGATCGTTGTCGTCCATTGTTGTCTGCACGAAATGGCGCCCAAGAAGAACCAAGAATCAATGAAGCAGAAAAGCCTCATGAGCTTCTTCTCAAAGCCATCTGGGAACAAGAGCGGCGAGGACAATGCCAAGGTGCCCAGTATGAAGCCAGCAGCGAAGTCGAGACCCCCAGCCCCGCGTTCTTCGAGCCCACCTGCAGATTCTGACTACGGCAACCGCACCCCTGCGTCAAAGGGGTCATCTGCGATTATCGTTGACGCGAGTTATACGCGTTCTTCTGATGGAGGCAGCAGCTTCAAGGACACGCCGCCTACCAGTGACCCTGTCGACGTGGATATGAAAGACATAGAGGCAGAACCCCCGAAGACGGTGAGTCACGACGTGGATTCGAAAGTTTGAACTCGTTCGAGTGTCATGGGGCCACAGAACCGCAAAAAACGCAAGATAGTCATTGACGATTCAGATGACAGTATGCAGGAGCTAGACAGTGTTGCGTATAAGAAGGGTCTATCAGCATATAAGCCATCTCCTATGCCCCGGAAGTCGTCCTCTAAGAGTATGTTAATCATCATACTACTTCGTTCTTATATGTATGCAGCTGAACTCGTTGGTAAGGTCAAGTGAAGAAAGCTCGCGTCTCTGCAACTCCTTCTGCCGACGAGGGTCTAGATGACGATGCAGAAGAGGATGATGAGGTTGTCTCGTCTTTCTCGGCTAAGCTGACCAAGTTCAAGAAATCACCAAAGAAGCAAAGTTCGTGCTATGAGCACTCATCCTCTCTGTCGATATTCGATTGCTCACGAATTGCGCATATAGCTCGCAAGTCTCGCTCGGAAGATGACGACTTCATTGTGCCCTCTGATGAGCCACTTTCTGACGAAGAACCAGCTCGCTCCTCTTCTCGTTCTTCGGGTCGTTCATCTCGGCTCTCTATGATTACTTCCGATGAAGAAGACGGCAATGACGAAGCACCGGCCAAGTCGTCTAACAAGTCAGCCAAGCAAAAGCAAAAGCGGCCACCTCTGAAGAAAACTTCAGCGTCCAATAGCAATGCGAATGCGAACAGCTTTCTCACTGCGGCCGAACAAAGGGAACAGGACAAGCAGATTGAGAAGAAATCACAAGAAGATCCATTCGCCTTTTTGGTTGACCCACGCGACGTGAGTAGATTGTCGGTGTTGTTTCATGGGGAGGTTATCGATGAAAGCTTATTTCATCTTGTCTAGAAAGATAAAGTTAGACCGGATGAGCCTGGGTACGATCCACGAACGCTGTATATCCCACGGAGCGCTTGGGATTCTTTCACTCCATTCGAGAAACAAGTAGGTTGATTTTTTTCTATGTTTACCGATACGTATTAATTCGATCTATCTTTCCTTGTAGTTCTGGGAAATCAAGCAGAATCATTATGATACCGTTGAGTGTCGATTTTTCGTCCTTCAGGATGATTGATCTGACTCCACCTTAGGTCTTGTTTTTCCAGAAAGGGTAAGATTGCGAGCAAACTCAAGCGGATGCTGACATACTTTCTGACGGCATTCCAAATATAGGAAATTCTTAGAGGCATGCATTACAATGACCTTGCAGTTTCAGTCAGGTGTTGATAGTGATGTTTTTTATTTGTAGCTCTACGAAGAGGATGCTCGTATTGGACATCGCGAGTTCGACCTCAAACTCACTCAACGTGTCAAGATGTCCATGGTAAGATTTTCAGATTGACACATCGACATTCAAATTGATGAGATCACACAGGTTGGTGTCCCGGAAAGCGCCTTCAACTTTTGGGCTGCGTATGTCCGACTTGAGCTTCTGAAATGATATATTTCATGTTGACACGTTTTGATCTCGTCGTACAGAAAATTCCTTGCGAAAGGTATCCTTGAACTTGACGCGTTTGCGCTCGGCGCAGGATGTTAACGGAGATCGCACCTAGGCTTCAAAGTGGGTCGGGTGGATCAGGCGGAGACAGCCTTGGGCGCGGAGATGCGTGTCGCGGCTAACAAGGGTAAGGGGAAATCCAGCGCTGCAGATAAGCAAAAGGAAAAGATCGTCAGGCGGTGCGGTTATAGTTTTCATAAAATGATTCAACTGACTCACTTGGCGTTCATATCGTTTCCGAAAATCTCAGAGAGCTCAATAAAGTATACACGAATGGTACACTTGTCGACGAAGATCTCCTTACGGACGAGCAAGCTGGTCATTGCGTCTCCATCCGGGAGTTCGACGAAGACGAGAGGGGAGTCGATAGCGCAAACTTTGGTATCTGCGTGCTAGACAGTGCGACGAGTGAGTTCAACTTGAGCGCATTCGAAGATGACGTTTGTAAGACGAGGTTGGAGACGTTGCTGCGGCAGCTGAGGCCGAAGGAGATTTTATTCACGAAGGTTGGCCTGTTTCTCCTTCAGCTTGCCTTCGCTCTGATTTCGTTCACGATACGTTTGGTGGAGTTTAGGGCAACTTGTCAGTATCCACGACACGGTTGCTCAAGACTGTCCTTCCTGTGACGTGCCTTTGGACTAGCTTGCGAGACGTCGAAGGGTTTAGCTATGACAAGACACTAGACGAACTAAAGTTACTTTACCCTGCCGATGATGGGGTAGATGAGGATCCAGAAGAGGAAGGACTCAGTGGTGTGCCAGACGCCATCAGAAGCATGCTTAGCTGTCGAACGGCTATCGAAGCACTTGGGTCGATGATATGGTCCGAGCTCCCTCGCCTAGAGGATCGCCCTGCTGATTGTCCTCTGATTAGGTACCTTCGCCAACTGAATATCGACAAGGACATACTTACGATGAGAAATTTCAACATCTATGATCCGATGAAAAAAGGCCAGGGCTTAGTGCTCGATGGACAAACGCTGGCTCATATCGAGGTGTTGTTAAACAATGAGGGCACGGAGGAGGGGTCCTTGCTACAGTTACTCGGCAGATGCATCACGCCTTTTGGTATGTCGGTGTCTGAGCAATTTTAAGGTCGGTATCTGAAACTTTGCTATCTTTCTAGGTAAGAGGTTGTTCCGAATCTGGTTGTGTATGCCGTTGCGAGAGGTGACAGATATCAATGCTCGGTAGATATTCTTTCAGTGTTCCGATATCTTTTCACGTTCTGACTCACTTCTGAATCTTAGACTTGATGCTGTGGAAATCTTGATGGGAAATCTTCAGTTCGAATCCGAATTCACAGCAGTTGCGAAGGGTCTCCCCGATCTTGAACGCATAGTCTCGCGTATTCATGCTAGAAATTGCAGAGTCAAGGACTTTGTGAACGTCCTCAAGGTAACTCTCGTACCTTCTCGTTTGTTTGTGGTACCAGCATAAATTTTCTGTTCGCAGGCGTTTGGAAGGCTCAGCAATGGGCTGAGTACCCTAGCGCAGTCGGCAGAGTGTTTCGAGTCTAAAACAATTTTGGGACTCCTGAGGTCCGCACCTGATTTGACACCCAACATCGAGAACGTGCAAACGATGTATAAGCAAGAAAAAGGCATGACGGTCTTAGGCTTCTTTGGTTTCTCAATCCTTATTCTCGGCTTAGATTCGGATGATCTCATACCAGTTGAGGGCAAAGACGAGGCGTACGATGAAATCATAGCAGAGATTAAACAATTGGAGCAACAGTTAGAGAAGGACTTGAAAAAGTTGCAGAAGGAGGTCGGGTAAGCCTATTCCCGTTCAGTGAATTAAAGATGAGTCGTTGACGATTGCGACATCACAGTTGCCCGTTAACATACTGGCATAGTGCTACGGGAACCAAGGTCAGATTCCTATAGGGCATGCCACGTCATTTACTAATTGATCTCATGTCAAAGGATATCTACCTTGTCCAAGTCAAGGCTGGAACCAAGGATCTCCCATTGAAATGGATCAAGAGTGGTGGGACAAAGGCATGTATTGTGTGATTCGTGAAGGACGCAACTTGACTGACGAAGCGTCGTAGGCTGTAGCGCGGTACACCGTCCCCTCCCTTGCCACAAATATCCGAAGCCTCAAAGAAGCGCGTGAAACCCGCAATGCCGCAATCAAAAACTTCAAGTTTAGGCTTTTCGACGAGTTTGATCAGGATCGTAGTGTCTGGCTACGAGCGATCCGTGTGCTCGCAGAACTCGATTGCCTGTTCAGTTTGGCCAAGGCTTCCAATGCGCTCGGCGAGCCGGCTTGCAGGCCTGAGCTTGTTGAAGGAGATACCGCCTGGGTAGAGTTCGAGCAGTTAAGGCACCCAGCTTTGGCAGTGAAGACGAAGAACGATTTCATTCCAAATGATGTCCGACTCGGTGGTGATGCAGGAAGAATCGCATTGTTGACCGGTATGTCCGATCTCTGGGGAATGCAGAGGATACTAATAATTTCAATGATAGGGCCTAATATGGGGTAAGCTTAGCATTCCGCGTCAGATACAATAATTGATCCCCTGGGCAGAGGCAAGTCTACTGTCATGCGCATGACAGCCGCCGGTGTTGTAAGGCGCCTCGATGTTTTCAACTTCCTTGGAATTCATGTGTCTTCCTTCCTAGATCATGGCACAGCTAGGGATGTTCGTTCCAGCGGAGAAAGCGCGGTACGGGCGACTCAATCATCATCGCGATCTTTTATTTGACTTGTCGACGTTTTATAGCCTTTGCCCAGTTGACTCAATTCTCACTCGAATGGGTGCATACGATAACATGTTCTCCAACGCCAGCACGTTCAAGGTTGAACTAGATGAGTGGTATGTTTTATACACGCTTCACGATGTATCTCGACTAATTCATATATCCGTACAGTTGCAAGATCCTTCGTGATGCGACTCCGAAGTCTCTGGTTGTCTTGGATGGTCAGCGCTCTCCTACCTGTCTTGATCATCCTTCATGCTAAGTTTCGACAGAATTGGGACGAGGCACGTCGACCTATGTGAGTGGTCTCTGCGCCTATACTCTTTTGCTCGTACTGATGCATCTTGAAGGACGGGATGGCAATCGCAGGGGTAAACGAGAAATTTTATCGAGTCTGGAAATGGATGCTCAGATATTTTCTAGGCTGTTCTGCACCAACTGGCAACGCATACACTTTCGCTGACCTTTTTTGCCACACACTATGGCTCCCTCACGGACGACTTTTCTTATCACCCTAACATCAGGACCATGCACATGGAGACGATGGTAGATGATGAGAAACGGGAGGTAGGCCGACTTTACAGATCCCTATCGCCATCGCATAGCTTAGCGGCCTTCTCTCCAGCTGGTCTTCCTGTACAAGCTCATCGAAGGCGTCGCGTCGGGGTCCTTCGGTACCCATGTCGCCAACCTCGCTGGCGTGCCTGCGGACGTCGTCCAACGCGCCGAAACCGTCTCGAAGGACTTCGCACGTCAGTTCAAAGAAAAGGTGGAGGGAAAACGGAAGAAAGCTGCCACCGCGCGATTGCCCTTGGTTTCCCAGGCCGACTTCGCTTACCTCCACGGTTTGGCGACGGGCAGGCTAGAGTTGGATCAAAACCCTGTCAGGCAGCGAGAGGTGCTCAAGGGTTTGAAGGCCGCTGTCTTGAGAGCCTTGCAGGAAGTGTGAAAGGATCGGTACTGATGGATGTTTTCGCTCGCTCGCAATGCTTTCCGAATGTCGCTAATGCTTTGGCTGTTACACCTTGCTCTGGACCTTTATTTCGGCTGTTCAACCCTATGCTGCTTCATACTGTACCTTGCTTTGACAACTCACTTTTCGTCTTAACCGATACTGACAACAAACGGTCGTTACGAGTACTAGTTCGATTGCATGTTAGGATCCACCCACCAATATGCACATTGCTCATTGCCGCTTGCGAGGGTCTGTGTATGTATTATCTCGAGTATGCAACCTCTTAGATAGATGCAAAGGGTGGCTCCGAAGCAACATATAACTACAGGCAATCCGAGGCACTGTAACGGACGGAGCAACAAACGAGCACGACACAGATGTACATCAGCAGAAGTCACTCGCAAGAAGCAACAGATAACCAAAAATTCGATGGGTACGACAACTGGGAGTACGACGGGCCGGCCCCAAATACGGAGGCTGCAGCTCGCACTCAAGGATACGCTCACCCATCATCGTCTCGTCAGCCTGATCTCCGCCTCATACATCTCACCGGCTTTCAAACCAGAAGGGTGGATGGTGCTCCTAGAAAACTCAGTACCAGTGGCACCAAGTTGAGTACCGGATTCCCCGGATACTCTGAACCATTATGGTCCATGACCACAAACTTGTGGTAGGAGCTCGCACAGCTCATTTACTTTTACAGATGTAGTAAAAGGTGTAGCCACGCCTATGATGCGGGCATATGAGTGGAGCACCATACCGGCCACAATCACGAGATCAGTGATCACGGCCACAGAGATTGCGATAGCGGAGAGGTCGCGCCGACAGAGACCGCCGCAACGAGCGTACTCATGCTCACCACCTCATCTGCGCACCCGGCCGCCGATCCGCCAACAGGCCAGCCAAGCGCGACAGTGCGAGCAGCGTGAGGTGGGGGTGGGTGTACACGGAATGGGCCAAAGCCAATCGGGGATGATGCGACCTCAGACCCCCACTGGCCCGCTCACGGAGAAGACGTGCGAGCGACGACGACGTCCTGCGTGGAGCGAGGGAGCAACCCAGTTGTCGTAGGGAAGATGGTGTGCGTTGTGGGCCCACGCCTTATGAACGCAGCAGTTGGTTCTCCGATTCAACATTCACGCTGCATGCGAAGAGCAGACGTGGGAATCGAAGGATGATGATATCGCAGGGACGCGGACGCGGCGACCCGATGGAGTACAGTACCGGTTCGGCGTGAAAGCATCCAGCGGAGGGATAGCGGCCGAGCGCGGGGACGTGCAAGTCTGGTCTATATACATATGTGGCGTACGCGGTCAATACAGGAGTTGTAACATATCTGCGAGTAAAGGATCCAAAAAAGGGATAAAAAAATGGATAAAGAGACGCTGGTGGATGGATCACTCATCGGATGAGCAAGCTGTGAAGCACTGCGAGGGCACAGAACGCGGCACAGGCGAAGAAACCGAGATAGTATCCTGAAGGGTTCCCTTCGACAGAGACGGACCAGAGCTGTCATGATGGAACGAGAAGGATTTGAGTCAGAATAAATCGAGCAAGTGGTGGAAGCTACGAACCCAACCGCCTAGGATAGGACCGAAGCAACGAGCAAGACTGACGATGCTCTGCGCCACGCCATTTGCTAAACTTACCACGGGCGGGGGAGACACTAGTAGAATGACAGTCAGCAATGATGTTAGGTGATCAAATCATGGTGTCGCCTACTGTAATTGAGGAGAATCGAGACGGAGGTGTACGCAAATGTATTGCCGCAATATCTCACAGCACTGCAAAAGTAGGTTGCAAGTCAGCTGAGTCCCCAACTACGGTCTGCGTTTGGACGTACGTGCTGACGGCCAACGCTGAAAGGGACGTCAATGGTTCAATTTTTTTTTTCGCAAGGCCAGCACCAAACTCACCGGTCATGAGCATGAAATTTCCGTCGTCTTCAGCACTCGCGAAGGTGCGATACAGGGTCACAGTGATATAAGCAGGGATAAACAACAGCGAGCCCAGGCGGAACATCGCTAAATGAGAGAAGCGTCCTCTAGGAGGGCTATATGACCAGACGGTGGTGAGTTGTAAACCAACAATAGTTGTGATTGGCAGACGTACCCGATATTTCTATAAAAATGCATTATGTTGAGCATGAATTGGAGCGATAGTAGAGCATAAGACATACGGATAGAGATAGAACTGGTACATGATCTGTGCGAGGCACATGAGGGCAGCTAGACAGGACAGTCAACACACACGCGACAGCGCTCAAGACAAATGACATGCTCAATTGTGAGAAGTGTCCGGCGTTCAGATTCAGACCGCCCGATTCGTACTTTCTGCACGAAAAAAAAGGATCAAAAAATCAACCGGCAAGCCAGGTTCTTCGTGTGGCGCGCGGTTCACTCACGAAACAAGGTACGACAAAAACACCATGTCGTGGGTCGTCGAATGCAGCGCCAGAAGCCCATACTGCGTGATGATCAAGATCGGCAGCTGCGAAAACAGAGGCGGCGACGGCTCCTCCACAAGGTCGCCCTCAGCCGGAACCGCCGCGCCGCGCCGCTCAAGCATGCTGTTCAATGCGTTTCTGTCCACGTCGTCGGGCTGAGACAGCAGCCTCTGCGCGTCGAGGACAGCGGATGGAGACTTGACTCCGGGGTGCGCAAAAATAGACGGCACGGTGGAGAAGCGACGCTCGTGGGGGCCTTGTCCAAAGGAGGGCATGCGGGGGTTCGTGGACGACTGCGGGCGGTATGACGTCGACGCCGACGGACGCCTGGGCGAGCCAAAGGTCCTCGGAGCCTGCGAAAGCCGACGGCCCGCGAAAGAGGGCTGATGAGCAGATAGTATGGACGGCTTCGAGAGCCGTCCACGCCGCGTAGGGGTATCCAGAACATCCTCCTCTTCATCCTCTTCCTCTTCATCTTCCATATCAAACACAGCGCCGTCGTCGTCGCCCGCACTCTCCAGCTCGGTGTCGCTCTCAAAGACCTCCTCGTTATCCACGTTCATCGCAGACGCGACCCACAGATCCGCGATATTCGTCACCGCGTTCTCGTTCGCCATGAGCAGCCGCTGCGCGAAATTCAGCTCGCCCGCGTCTCCGAACGACCGGGGCAAGCCATCCGGCCCGGCGCTCCCGCGCCTGCGCACCGAGCTCGACGCGCTCGCCCTCCGCATCGTCGCGCCGCTCGCGAGACGGCTCCGCACGCGCGCAGTGCCCCCGCCATAGCCGTACGCCGACCCGTTCGCGCGGCTCATGCGCGAAAACCGGCGGCCAGGGACCGAGGTCGAAAGCGGCATAGCAGGCGGCGGGGAGGCGTCGGGAGCGTACGCGTCGTGCACGCGATTCGCGAAGTATCCCGAAAGGCGGCTGGATACCTTCCGGCGAAGGTTTCTATAGAAACCCTGTTTGGGCGATTGGGAAGGACTGGGAGGCAGGGAGGCCTCTTCTGGAATTGTCGGGTGTTCGTCGACTTTCTCGGGCGAGAGACGAATCGCACCGTCGCGTGGACCTGCATCGGGTCCCAGAAAGAGTGAGAGCAAACAGCCTGATGAAAGGAAGAAATTAAGAATCAAGGAAAAAATCCAACAAAGACGTCTGCGTCTCAAACTCACCGATCAACGTCACAGACGCGGCCATAGCACACGGCAGTAGATACGGGTATGTCACGAAAATAGGAACCGAGTCGAACACTCCAGGCCACTTTTTCGCTGGCGATTCGACTACCAAACAGAGTTAGCATTGGCGTCGAGACTATGACTGTTCCCTTCAATGCTTATGGGCGCACGACACCAATCCTCATGTTACGCACAAATACTCCTCACGCGCGAAGGAGCACTGGATAATCGGGAAAGCGCGAACTCACATGTTCCGCCTACGATGGCACCCGCAACACCGCCAAAGCCCCAACAAAAGCCCAAGATAGCATAAGCGCGCCCCTCATTGCTAGGATCGGTGATCACAGTGACGCATCCACGGGCGACACCAATGGCGCCGGCAAAGATCCCCTGCATCAAACGGATCGCGATGGCCTGCTTGAGCGTCGTCGCCGAGCCAAAGACGCAGCATGTGAGCGAGCTCCCCAGGAGGGAGATGAAGAGCACGAGGCGCTGGCCGTGTCTGTCCGCGACCGTCGCCTGCGAAAGGTGCCAGTGTCAGCGCGCGAAGCCGATCTCTCGACGCTCGAAATGGACGTGGGCTCGGTCGCGTGACGTCATCCCTCCTTGAAACATGTCACGCAAACGCAGCAAGATAGCCCGTCCACCGCGCCGGCGGTGCGAATGCATCGCGATGCGGCGGCGAGTGGCCGTTGGGACGAGCGGCGGATGAGGAGAGCACGCACCCAGAGAAGCGAAGTTAGGAATTGCGTGAGGAAGAAGCTGGCGACTGACGGCGCGCGGCGTCAATCACTTAGGACGGCCGCCATCAATCAATGCGCACCTAGTATCCCTGTCCAGAATCCCACGTCCGCCTCGTCCTTCAGCTCTCCGAAACCTACATGCGCGATTGTCTTCGTCAAGACACAGCGAACAAGCATCCGCAGGGAGCGTTCGCACCTTTAACCATGAACAGCAGGAAAGGCATGGATACGTTCGCGGTCAAAAACTCCCCGAGCAGCGCCTGATAGCACAAACGTCTGGTGAAACCTCTCCACTGCCAACTATATAAACCAACCGCGACGCACTATAGACAACACGATCATGGGCAGCAGGGGCAGAGGCGTCGTGTACGTCTCCGCGGACTGCTGCAGGGCACTCGGTATCGGGGGCCGCTCAGATGTGGGCGTGAGCGTGGGCGCCGCCGCGGCCTCCTCGTCTCCAGCGCCTCTCCACCGCGCTGCAAGACTCTGTCTGCTGAAGGATATTCGGCCGGGCCGTGGACGCGCAGTGTTAGTCGGGTCGGTGGAGTCGCCGTCAGCAGCGAAGAAAGTGTCGTCCGCGCCGCCGAATACGCGTGCGGGAGGGGGGTTCGCAGCGCCGCTCATGGCGACCGAGGAGGAGGAGAGGTTCGATCTGGGGATGCGGGAGTCTCACTGAAAGGCCGCGCTCTCGACATGTCCAAATCGGTATCCAAGCTGTGTGTGCACTTGTTTGGCGCTATATTCGCCGGACCAGGCTCCCGATCCTCCGCGGACTTCGAAAGATGTGGCGTCGCTCTTGGCCGATTGAGGCTGCGCGATGGCAGTGGGGTGGAGTTTTCGTAGTCCATCCCAAACGACATTTTAACCTAGGCGATGAAATCTCGATGTATCACAAGCTAGCCTGTCCACTAGCGTTCCCAAAGCCTTGACCAATCACGGAAGGCATCGTACTCGTACATAGTGCTGAATATTGCGACACAGACACACCCCAGAAGCGAGAGGTTCTCCATTGTATCAAAACAGCCGCCGCACCGCTCGAAAGATTCGCGCAATGCTCGATGCCTCAATCGTGAATGTATTGCCCGCGCTCTGCTTAGCAAGGCTGATGGGACGGATAATGCCGGGACTACGTGATGCATTGTGTTACCTTTTCGGAAGGTTGTCTTGTTCAGCCCGGCAATCACTGGAACACCTTGATTTTTGCTCCCTAGATCTTACTGCAAGGAAAACCCTTAATCTGGCAGCATAAAGCATCAGAATATTCGTCTTTCCTCGCTGTCTTTGCAATAATATGCTTAGGGGGCAAACCACTCCGACAGGCCCCACTGTCACCTGCCCTCGCTCTGAGACCGCCGCGCCAGTATACGCCACGCAGACCGATCCTTCTCGACATGCTGACCTCTGGTTCCCAGATGGCTCGGTTGTTCTGCGTGCAGAGAATACGCTGTTTTGCGTACACATGTCCCAGCTGTCTCGTCACTCCGTTGTCTTCCGCGACATGTTCTCTCTTCCTCGCTCGTCCGCGTCAGCACACGATCTCTCGGCCAACGATCTCTATGAAGGTTGCCCCTTGGTAAGGCTGCATGATCTCGCAGAAGACGTTGTCAATCTGCTGTCGGCCCTGTACGACGGCCCGTGCGTCGATTCCTGTCTATTTTTGGCCGTTCAGTCTGCTCATCGTCCGAGCAGGACATTTGGTTCCAACGATTGCAGCGACTTTCGAATCGTCTCTGGCATCCTCCGCTTGTCGAACAAATATATGATAGAGTCTCTACGTGCTAAGGCGATCGCCCATCTGAACATCGCGTGGCCTATGACTCTCAAAGGCTGGGATGCCCGCGAAGACAAGGCGAGGGCTTACGAGCTTGAGAACATCCCGGGCAGTGCGCACCTCTACCCATCCCCTATCGTACGTCTCCATCTTTCCTCGCTTGACTCATCTCTATCACTATCATGATCCGCCGTCCGTCTCCTCACCGTGAAGCACGATTTTCTGATCTCACACAGGCCGTGATCAATCTCGCGCGCCAAGTGAACGCTTCCACGCTTCTCCCATCCGCATTCTACGACCTCTCTCGGTATACGTACACTCAGATATTTGAATCAGCCGATGACGATCAGTCTCGACTCCGCTCGTTCTCTCCCCCATTGTCATCCCCACATGCGACTCCCCCTCCGCGCGCCCACCCAACGTCAGCGCCTGGGCCCATGCTCGAGACGACAGACCTGCAGAAACTGGCTCTGGGAAAGGAGTCGGCATCGCAGGCAGTGAGTGCCGTCATCAACGGCATGACCCGAGGGCCGTACACGCACTCCCGCAAGTCATCGCTGTCGCGCTCTTCAAACCCATCCTCCTCGTCGCTCTCGTCCGGTGTCTGCGCTTCGCCGGGCGCCTGCAGGCGCGATTTTGCCGAGCTTGTGGCGCTCGCGACGCAGCACTATGTCTGCGATCGTGAGCGCGGGTGCGCGGACCCCTTGTATGTCGCGGAGGAGCTGGGGACACTGAAGAGCGCCGAACTGTCGGAGTGCAGGGCATGCGCGAGGGGGCTGGAGATCTGGGCTGCGAGGGAGAGGGAGCGAATGTGGAAGATGATCCCGATTTGGTTCAGGTTAGAGTGCTGAGCTTGTGAGGAAGGTTGTCTGCTGTCTCTCCGTCTCTTTGTTTTTTTCATGACCTCATATCACATCTCACACTCTCGATATTTCACGGCTTTTCATTGTGTACGTTGTATCCAGTTGTTGTAATATCATCACGACATATCCTTATCATTTTCGCATACTTTTTCTCTCTTGTACCTCCGGAGAACTAGAGGCGTGGTGAGAATGCGAGAGATGTATATATTCGACGCGTCTCATTGATCATTAATAGACAGGCACTTCGACATTTTGCGATGGATATCGACACGACCTAATGATTATGTGAATGTCTGTTTGCATATTACAATGCGTCACCAAGGAGAGTAGATATTCACCATAGATAGTATCACATTCGACGTGGCCTCTCGTTGTTCCGGCCATCGGGCCCTCTTTAGTCGAGTCACATTCGGGATTAAGTCTTTAAGTCGATCTTCCAAGCCTGAATTGCCAAGGCCGCCGAAATAGCTTATTTTGATCACTGCAGACAAGTCGCTTCGTTCGCGTCTCTCTGCTAAATGCCGGACCAGAAGTTCGCCGAGATTATCCTTGCTATCAGTCTTGTCGGCGTCCTCGCTGTCCGCTTCGTATGAGATCTGGAATGAGTCCAGACAGGTGCCCAGGGTAATATCACGCAAGCGAGGAAAGATCGATGCGGCCACCGGGGGGTGGGTTGGTACGAGCTGACTAGTCTGTCTTGCCCTGGCCATAGTCAATTGGCATTGACCATGTGCAAACCAGCGAGCGCCACTCACCGTACGCGGAGTCCTGCGCGGATGGCAATCTCCTATAAACATTCTCCTTGGTCGGTCGTAGAGATGGCTGCGGATCATGCGTGGCGCTGTTTGCATCATGTATCTCCTGTATGAGGCGAGGCAACCCGCTCCTAGCTAAACGACGTGAGCTCCTATACGATTTCCTCTGCGGCTCTCTTTCTAACAGACCAAATTATCACCACCCTCCTACAGTCAATATACTATGTACGGTGGCAGTCAGCTGCTCCAAAGGGACGATTTGTCGGCATTCTGATTCCTAATTCGAAGATTTCCTTGTCTTGGCGAGTGCGGAAGCTCCATCGACTACGACAAAGTCTTGACCGCTACCAGTCAAGTTTCATTTCACAAAAGTACATCGAGGCCGCAGTAACAGAGAAAGATGATAGCAAATACAATATCTAAACGTGTCACACCGAAATCAGAGGTAGATCGCCGTTCATCATGCATCTCAATAATTGTAATCGTCCATTGACAGCTCCTCCCAGGCGCTCTTGGACTCTTGCTGCTTGTCAAAACGAAGCGTGTCCCGCTTTGTTTTGAGGATCTCAGCAACATCCTTGGCACTGTGATTGCGTTTCACCTTGTCGATTACGGCGCCCCAGTCTTTCGTACGACCGAAGTCGATGATACGGAATGAGGGCTGCTTGTGTGAGCGCTGTATAGGTGGGGCTGTCAGTGGACCGGGCTGGACGAGGATATTGCGTCTGTGGAATGAGTTCTGGAGGAAGTCCTCGTGGTGCAAACGTTGAAGGAGGGAAAAACACTCCATCCTAGCCACGATCAAAAGAGGTCAGCGAAGTCTAAGACTAGGAGGAGAGGAGACACCGACTTGTCGTCGTAGGAGAATGCACTAGAATCGATGGGCTGGCCGCAGTGTTCCATAAGTAGGATCGGGCTGAGTCCCTCGATGCAGTGGCGCATTTCTTCCTTTACTTCATCTGAAACATGTAGGTCATTCGGGTCGAAAACCGGCTCATAGTAGCCAAAGAACTTTGGCACGACGGCGCCAACGGGAACGGGGTGTTTGATAGGCGGGACGAGATTGTACCCGCACCACTCTTCCTGCAGGTGTCGCGGAAACGCATTGTAGATGATGCCCTCGTTCTCAAGCAGAGATCGTGCCTCACTTCGTGGATAAGCTAGCTTTGCCGCAACAGCAACTGCTCCAGACGGCGTGCGCGCGGTGAGAGGTTTCGGGAGCTCCAATGGAGCCAGATAGACATCAGAGTGATGGCCGGAGCCAAGTTTATTCTCAGCTTTGAGACGCAGGCGCGCCACTCGGAGCTCGTGCGCAGGTTTGTCTTGTCGTCCTTTTTCCGTTGTCGTTACCGTTTCGTCTACAACGTTTGAGTCAGGATAAAAAAAACGGCAGTTTGTAGAAGGGCATGTGACTGACCTTCTTGATGCTTTATGGTGCTCTCAGGGTTTTCAAGTGAAGGAAGAACGCGACTGTATTTCAAAGGCATTGAGGACAGCTTCCTGCGCGTCTCGTCGTCTGTATCGTGGTAGGAAAGGTCGATCACCCTCCTTTGAGTATCATCAACAAGAATTATATCAGGCAGATATTCGTTTGGGATGAACTCTTCTAATGCTGGAGGCATCTCCGCCAGAATTTCGTGGTCCCCTTTATCAGCACCTATATAGAATAAACAATCAAAGCGTGTTGATAATTGAACCTGAGATCAATGCATACTGGCCACCTCAGCCTTCAAGTCCACATGAAGATCTTTTAACGATCTATATGTGGCGTGATCTCCTTCCTCTTCATCGTCTACGATCCGCTCAAAGCAACCGCCGTGCTCCGATCCCTCATCGGGAATGCCATAGTGATCATCCAACATATGTCCCTTGGGAATTTGCAACAAAGGCCATGGCCTGCGTAGCCGTGGGTGAGGTTCCATCTCGAACGCCTCACTGGCATAGTTCTCTCCGAACTCGTCGATCATGGATCGCGACCAGATCGTCACGACATCCGTGTTGGGAACGCGCTGGATAAAATAGAAATCACCGATAGAGTGTCCCCATATGATTCTGTTGGGCGTTCGGTATCCTGTGGGCGCATGTTCCTTTCGAAGAGTCGGACCTTTCGGGTGGCGCGGCCACCATTGGTAAACAAACCGAGTTGGTTGATTCATGATCAGTGCCATCGAGGTACGAGGTATAAAGGGACACTAATGGGCAGATTGTGTGTCGAATCGGGAAACGTGAGGTGCGCAGTGAGAAGTCTACGAAGACAAGACTTAGTATGTGGCTCAGCACCCGAGGATTTATTGAGGGTCACAATCACGGCACGAGTGCGTCACAAGGCATCGACCCTGTGTCGGCGATAGCCGATTGCATATGATCTGGCAACTTGTTTCTAGTCTCTCGTCACAACCCTCGAGCCGAGTCGTCCTGGAAGATGAGATATCTATCCACGCTTCGGAGTGGGTCCAGGCTTATGAGCTCAAGCTTTGACTATCGGAGGTGCGCTCTGTATCTTTATGGCCTGTTCAGCCAATGTATATTTGCGTGGTACATCAGATGTACAATACCCACGTTAGGTAGGCTGGGATAAGTTCGAGCGAGAACTGTCCATTACAGGACTCACAATTCCTTTCTGCTGCCCTCCCCGACGCTTGTTACCCTGTTATCATGAACTTGTACACTGCGGTGTTCATAAGTGGTAGGATTACAGCAAGGTATGTCTTGAATATTCAATGCTTAGTATCGTATATGGTTTCATGATCTTGTATTTTACCTTTCTTAGGAAAACATGCTTCCTGTCTGCGTTCTGGGAGACGTTGGTACTTTGGAACTTGAATATCTAACAAGCCACGTGTCGGTGTCTTGGTATCTGGGCAGGTTTCATTATCTTCTTTGCATGAAGAATACAATGTCAATTCTAAGTCATAATCTTCATGATGGAAATATGCAGTGACCGATATCACCAGACTTCCCGCACTTCTTCCTCATTACTGTACTACAGGACCACTGACTACTATCCGAGGCCATACACGCGTCCTCCCGATTTGGGCATCTCAAGTCGCCGCCCACACGTGATCGCGCCTTCCGTTTCTGTCTTCGACTCAAGCCTTGCATCTCCCTCCAGACTCCCTCGCGAAAGTATCTCCCTCCTTCCGACTCTATGCCTTTCAAACAGCCCACGTTGCTCATATACAAGCGGTGGGTCTGTGACCCCAATGGCCCGTTTCTTGACGAGCACAAGGCACCGATCGGAAAACGGACGCCGAATGGGATGATCTGGGGCCACTCAATCAACGATTTCTTTTGGATAGACCGACAGAGCGGGATGATATTCACGACGGTCTGGACACGTAGCATGATCCAGGAACTCGGGGAGAATTATGCCGACGAAGAGCACGATCCGGAACCGCAACCGCGTCTGATGCGACCGTGGCCACTGCTGAAGTTGAAGACGCCAAAGCGTTTGCAGCCTGAAAATAACTTTGGCATGATTGACGAGGGTTGCGACTATTATGATGACGGCTGCTACGAGCGCATGATTGACTCTGGTGAGGATATGGATCAGGAGTCCGTTACTCTAGCAGATCTGGAAGCCAACGCGAACGCGTATCGTACAACTATAGGCTTAAATGAGGTTTCGAAGCCCAAAGGTGTGATGACTTACTCGATGTCTTGCTCCTCTGACCAGCGATTGTCGACAACTCCCGACACAGATAGCACAACGACACTGGAAGATGTTCCTAATCGCACAGGCAAGTCGTTATCAAGAAATTTTTATGTCAGGCTATTGAGTCTGACTCCTCGAAATATACATCGAGATATACATCGGAAATAGATGACGATAGTTACCGCGCAAGTGAACGGAACCTAGATTCTCTCAAAGTAAGGGGGTTGCCACCTGCTCTCGAAGAATTCATTCCTCCTCAGTACTTCCCCGATGTGCTCCTCGTCAAGGACTCCGATCAAATTGCGATCGCTAAGTCCTACTCCGCGCTCGATGCTGGTGTCCGCTCCACTCTTGCGGCGAACTGGATCAAATTCAACCGTGTTTTGCCACCGCCGAGCTCCCTTGATACAGACACTGGTAAGTATCTGAGACGAATACCACCGCTGATAGCCATCTAAGCGTGTCTGACAGACGCCAGTAATGGTTTTTCGACATCCGCCTCACTCGATGACAAAACCGAAAAGTCAAGACAGACAGGATTGCGTGTGGCTTATATGCGTCTCTCTGCTGGCAGCATGCTTGGAGAAGGCCATCACTCGAGCGTCTACCTCTCGGCTTTGACACTTCCCAGGCCACTTTCTGCACGCACGCTAACTGGGGAGGTGTCCGTCGCATGCAAGATGTCAGATTTAGATCCAGAAGCACGGGAACATCTGGAGAATGAGGCTAAAATATATGCATCGTTCCCGAAGCATCTTCAGGAGGATTGGTGCGGACTTAACATGATGCCGCCGATTAAGACACCCGTCCCGGCATGCGCTGTAGTGCCCAAGTTCTACGGGTACTACAAACCTGCCTTCGATGAGGAGGCGTTCAGAAGCGAGAGTGATGAGGTTAGGGCAGAGATGAAGGCATTCATTGAACGACTCAGCCCTATCTTGCTCATGGAGCATTGTGGGATTCCCATTGTGACGAGCAAAAATTTCCACGTTGATAAGAAGTGAGCATACAATTTGACCAACCCGCGATCGTGACTGACCCTCGCACGCTTTGCTGCTAGGATATTGTGTTATTCAATGCTCCGACGCCTGCACATGAACGACTACATACATAACTCATTCTACCAACGCAATGTGCTCGTCCAAACCGGTCCGCTAACAACACCTCCGGAAGAGCGTTCCATGAAGATGCCCTCGTACCGTGTCATCGACTTTGGGCGAAGCAAGTTATATGGCTTATCTAATGACAAAGCGGCAAAATTCGACGCGGGCTGGGGTAATGAGTTAAATCGCGCCACAGAGGAGTTAAATATGGAGCCTTTCGTTTATCAAGAGCCTCATTCCTGTCTGTTAAAAGTAAGTGATCACTTTGTCAAATGCATTGTCGTTTCTGCTATGCTGTATCACCAAGCTTCGCCATGCTGTCCAGCATGTTACCATGTCACTGTGCTGTGTAACCGTTATACCACGTTGCTTTTTGTTTCAGTAGAAGTTGATGCTCTTTCAGCTTTCTCTTCGATCGAACATTATGCTGCACCCTGATGCAAAAACCTTGCTGTTGCTGTTCTCCTTCATCAGTAAATGGTGAGAAAAAGCTTACTAGGTTTCATGTTGCAAGTGTGATGTAGCTTGTGAACTACATAAGCCAGAGCAAAAGCTAGCTCCAGCAAAGTCCGTAAGTACCGGTGTCAAGTCTGACAATATAAATCCAACACCGGCAGACATTGAGAACTGAGGACCACCCACTATCTCATCCTCACCCTTCGATTTCAATATGCTATCGGCACTTGTGTATGAGGTCTGTGTGAAGATATCGGTTGCTTTATCCGATGGAAGCTAAGTAGCATTGCTGATTTCTCAAGAAGGACACGGTGAGGTGCGAGTACATGACTTTGTGACGAGTAGAAAAGTAAAGACCAAGAAAGTGGTATCAGGGTATCAAAGAGATATCAAATAGATGCAGAGGAAGAGACACGGGGAAGCCATCATTCCACTGAGGAAAATGACATGGATAAGATCAAAAGGTTGCCACTCAGATAGTGCAAAGCAGACATGGCGGTCCGGGAAGTCAATATATGCTGCGTTCATGTTCAGCAATGAACTGCTCATTATGTGACTGCAGATCAACAATCAGTGACGGCACAAGAAGTGTGGCCTCACTGCCTCAAGAGGCGTACCAATCGCCGCAGACTTCCCAACTACACAACACTAGGGTTAGCCAGAAATCCAGGAGTAGCACATGTTTACATATACACACTTGCGGTGACTGCACACCAAATGCAAGCGGGGATCCTCTTGAATCCTCCTGACGAAAATACATCACCCGCTCGCAGGCGGCGTCCCACAGACTTGTTCTATATTAATCCCAATCAACACTTGTCACCACAACTGTGTTGTAAGTAATAGGAAATTACCGTAGACTTTGTTTGAGGTCGGAAACAGTGATCGAGGGATTCTGCCCTAATCGAATCAATGATCTTTGAATGTTTATTTCTAGTGATAGAGATATTAAGCATACTCAAGATGCGCACAAGCGCCTGGGGTCAACACGGCTGCTTAATAAGATGAACGGATCAACACATCCGGAGACGGTGCTTACTGCTGTCATTGCTCCTTGACATTTACGGTTCTCCCATGCCAGCTGATGATCAGCACAAGACGACATTGAGATCTGTACAGGTGGCTTGGTGCTAAGTAAAGTCAACAGTCACAGGATAATAGCCACGTACGACGATAGGCCCGTCCTCCATGTATGTATGCTTACAAGATCTGGTGCATATAGGCTGCTGTTCCGGGAAAGACACGCTCCCTGTCTGAGTCGGGGAGACAGCGGCAAGATCCAGCTTCTTCGTGACCTGCTTCAGTCGAATAATTGCGCCGACTACATTTCAGAGCCGGACTATTCTCGATTTGCATGCTCTTCGACCCGAAGCCCTCGGGAGCCCATTGAAATGCTTAGACAGGATGTGTACAGGAAGCGTCTGTGAACGTTTATTAGACTGGAGTATGCGAGGGTTAGATGTCGCTATTGCTGTGGTACGTGATAGATGTCAAGACGCAAACACATATGTTTATATCAAAACGTACGATGCGAAGAGATCCTGCTGAGAAAGTTGTTGCAATGGTAATGAGAGAGATACAGAAGGGTACCAGAATGGCGCGAATCGAAAATTGCCTTTCAAGCAAATTTTGAGCGAACGACGAAGCAGACAGTTAACCGAGCCCAAGTCGATTGTCAACGTACTGTCAACCTGCTCACGGAGTATGGACCCGCTCGTACGTCTGACGTTGTCACAATATTACTCGCGCATCTTAGAGGCCTCCCCTCGGCGTCACCCAAGTGCTGCTCACGAGACTGCGCTCTCTGCTCCGAAGTGGTCCGATCACGGCCTCCCCTCGATGCTCGTGTCGGGTCTCGTGGTAAGACTGCCCAGGCATAAGGCCTTCTTCGCATGTGCCTCTGGTCGAGCCTCAGAGCAAACCCCGACGACGGAAGATACAGAGCCAAACTCAATTTCTAGTAGACAGCACAGCCATATCCGAGGACGAACGTGAGTGCAGGCGGAAGTGCAACCCTGCCAGCCAGCGCGGCTCTTTCCCAACCGTCGTGCAAATCAAGCCAAAGAGTCCGTAAACCAATATAGGCAGTATCGTACGACTCAATGCCTCAAGAAGGATTGCCGGCCGAAGCAAACCCAGAAACGAAAGAGAAAGACGCGTCCGTCCGTCCCCGCAATCTATCACCTCCGCGAACGGCCGCCACATGCATGTACTGGTCGAGCGACGCCCCACCGCGCGACCCGAACAGCGCTCCGCCGTAGAAACAGAGCCGCGCCGCGCGCTCGACGCAAAACGTGTTATTCGCGCGCACGTTTCACGATCACGATCGAATCACGGAAACGCTCTGTTCGGGGCGTCGCCTGGCGTCGCGTCGCGTGAGACGACGTGAGAAGTGGCGGTGACGACCGCGAAAGCGATCGAATTCCGTCGCATCGAGCGCGGCCGGGTGCGTGTTGCCCAGGTCCCAGCGGGACCTCGGCGCTGATGCGCTGGGACCGTCGCGGCGGGGGCGATGGAAGTCTCGCGACTGAGGAACGTTATATATCGGGCCCTTATGAGCGACAGGAGAGATCAGACCGTGCGAAGGAATCGCAGTGGTGGTAGAAGAAGGCCTGCTCGTATGTGCCTCTGGAGAAAATCACATCATATGGACATAGCAGGTCCGAACAGAAATGGCCTGCACGAATTATCGCCGGATGTGGATCGAACTCGGGGATCGTCTGCGGGGTGATGGAGGTAGAGGGACATCGGATCCGCAGTGTGTTTGTCTTGGGGCAAGTAATTGGGAGAAGCGTGGGCGGTCGGTGCGCGGATGAAGAGATGATTCACTCGTCGATCGTGACAAGACGGCGGGAAACGGACTAAAGGTGGCTTTTTCCGTGCTGATAGATCCCGTATTGGGATAGTTTATGAGTCAAATAACTATTGGTCACGAACTTCGCGTTCCAGAGCTTTACCTTCTCATCGACGGCGGCTGAAGCGAACAGACTTCACACTTCTGCAGTCGCGAAGACTGGCTATATCGGGGGTCTTGTGGCGTCCACGTCTGTCTCGCATCCACATCTCCCAGCGACTGGCGTTCGTCCTGCACGACGAACTGCGTACTACGACACACGTGAGCGGGATTTTATTTTTTATATTAGTTCGTCGTGCATCCCAAGGACTGAGCGTCCTTAGGCTGGTTCCATGCCTCGGGAATGACGCGCGCACGAGCAGCGGAGATGCGGAGAGGCAAAAAGCGGGCATGACAAGTGACAGTAGTTGTCGATCCGACTGATGGCCAACTCCCGTCGAACCGCGCCGTCCAGGGTGTGCGTGGCGCGCTGACAGCGAGACGGGGAGCCGCGAGCGTTCGGGACGAGGGGTTCTTTTCCCGGACGTGCAGAGGGGACTGGTTGGGGACTGACTGCCTGGACGGCGCGGATGCGATCGGGATTCTTGGCTTCGGAGGTGGTTCGCGGCGCGCGTAGGGTGTGAATTGTGAAGGACGCTGTGCGGGGGCTGGCAGCGACTGGCGTTGCTTGCCGGCTGGCGGGGCGACAGGTGCGTGAGGTGGAGGGTGTGCGTGTCCGGACCGACTTGATCAGACTGCGTTTAGGCTTTGATGGGTGTGGCTGTGGAGGGGGAGAAATGGCGACGTGTGTGGTGCTCTGGGAACACTTAACGCCAACGCCCTGTAGCACCGTCTGTCAAGCGCCGGCTCTCGAGGATCGCACGGGGGGAGATCTTCGACGGTGAGTGCGTGGGACTCGAGGGTCGCGCGGGGGGCTGACAGCCGATTCCAAGATAAGCTCGGGGAGGAGAGCTGGAAAGCGGAGGAGCGTCCCCGCCCGATGTGGATCCTGGGGGACGCCGGGCAGCTAGGACGGATGAGGGATGCGGATGGCCGTTTCTGGCGGGAGGGGCGAGGACGTGTGGAAGGCGGGGGGCGCAGATCGGACGGGAGGGCTGAACGTCAGCGGTCGTGGGCCCGAATAGGAAAGGTGAGAGCGTCGAGGCTGGTGGTCGGGGCGTCGGGGCGGTCAAGGGGTCCGGGACACATGGAAGGGCGGGTCGAGCAGGGAAAGAGGCGGCCGGCCTGGACAGTTTCGTGCCGCGAGAACCCGCGAATTGTCGCCGATTTCCGTGAATATTCGCTCGACGGCTTTGGCCATCGTCGCTACTTAACGCGTCCCCCTGACCCGTGCCCCCGCACACAGACTCAATGTCTCCCCCGCACCCGCCTGCTCTCTCCATCGACACAGACCACACCCTCCTCGTCCACCCCATGGACCCCTCCCCCTCCCCCAGCCTCTGTCCCACTCTGCTGTCCTCCACCTCCCTCGCAACCTCCCCCTCCTCCCTCTCCTCGTACCCGAACACCCCGCCAGAGGTAAGCGCCGCCTCCACGCCGCTCTCCTCCCCGTCGCTCGAAGCACCGCCCCCCGTTGCCCGTCAACGCGGCGTGTCAAGTTCAAACCAAAAACGCGCGTATCGCCGCGAGGCCAACCGCCTGGCATTTCCACCCGGTATCCCTCGCGATATGCTCGTGTCCTTCAGCGCTGTCCCAGACTCCAAGCCTGCCTATCCCTGGGCTCCCGACGGCGCATATACCCACTCTCCTCTTGACGAGGACACCGCATATCGCCACTTTGGCGCGTCTGACGAGATCGACAGCGACGGCGACAGGTATGACTACGACCTTTCGTCCAACGCGTCGTCCAAGTCCTCGCTCTCTCCTTCGCCATCGCTCATGAAGGAGCTCTGGAACCGCCGCCGCCTCACGTCGCCAGATTTCCCCTTTCTTGCCACTGGCCCTCCGGAAACGTTCACCTCCGAGTTCAGGGTAAAACTCTCGATTCCGTACGTCCCCAAGGCCGCCGATCTCCCTGCGGCCACAGACCAATACGGCCAGGGCGATCAGCCTACGCCCACTTTTTTGTCCGCCGAGCATGGTCAGCCCGTGGGTTGGCCTGGTCACGAGATGCACCAAACTTCCCCTGCCCACCAGTATCATCAGCAAATGGGCATGCCCGACATTTACCCTTGGCCAGGGTCCGCATCTGCGCACGAGCAACCTTCACACCCCATATTTTATCCCCCACCGTCGCATCCCCCACCCTCGATGACCCTGCCCTGTCACTCTCTATATGCCTATACACCGCACGGCGCCTACATAAAGTCTTCTCTGGACCAGTCGCATACATTCGCCTTGCGTTCTGCTCATAATTTCCCGACGGCCTCAGGGCCAAGCCCACACCTTTTCCTCCCGACAACCCACATACCCACTGATTTGCACTTATCAAAGGCACGGTACGGCCTCGCACATCACCAGCACTACTCCGATACCGAACATCTTCACTACGCGAACACTCTCGCGGTCTGGGGCCTATCGAACCCGGCTTCGGCTCATCCCGCTTTGCTTGCACAGGCGCCTCTGTCCGCAGACCCAAAGCCGAAAATGCACGCGTGCAACCTCTGCCCGCGCATGTTCAACCGGCCGAACGGGCTCGCAATTCACGTTAAGTCTCATAAACGTAGGGCGGCGCAATTACAGGCGCAGGCGCAGGCCGAAGCGGAGGCCGAAGCGGAAGCGGATGCTACTGGTGCGAACCATCAGCGCGGCGAGTATGACCAGGAGGACGAGAATCCACGGAAGCGTGCGCGCCGAGCGAAGAGCGAGGAGCTCGAGCTCATGGACATAAGTCATGGTACGGAGGTGCAGATGCAGAACGTCGATATCGACGTTCAGACCGCGGGTGATAGCAACGTGGAGCGGCTGGAGTATCATGGGTTTCATGTACTTCCTGGAAGCTCTGAATTCTCGCTCTCGCTCCCGGTCCCGGCGCAGTTCAATTATAGCCGTCCACGGTACCCATCTGCAGTATGTCATCCCTGTCCTATGCGCGCACCTCCGGAATATCTGGTACTGATTGTTTGTTTTCGCGTTTGGCTTGTCGTAGAGCCAACACTATGCGATGACCGCCATTGAGGGCGCTGATTGTCCAACCGCGTCTGCGCTGTTCGGCGGTGTGACTCCTCCCTCAGCCGCATTAGTTGGTGTCCACGGCACGCCATCAGGAATATCCATGCCGATGCCGGCACCAGTTCCAGTGCCAGTGAATGATGTGGATGTGGATGTGGATGTGGATGGGGGACCTGTACCGTTTCTCACGCCGCTGCAGGGCTTTGCGACGCTTGAAGCGCTGCCGTTCATGCAGAGTGTGCACAGTTGAGGTGTCCACTGCCTCCCGCGCTTCTCTTCCCTTTTTTCCGCCCCGCCGAGGATCTTTTTCAAAAAGTCTTCCACTTCTTTTTCCTCCCTCGATTTTTGTATCGCAAAACTTGTAATTTTCTTGTATTAGGTATATCCTCATGGCCTTGTACTCTCTCTCGTCACTGTGGTGTCTCACTAGGACTCATGTCGTCGCATCTGCACGCCTCCCTCCCCCCTCCCATCCTCGCATCACTGGATATGTTCTTTCATCCATGTTTCGGCTTCGATTTCGCGCGCTTGCAAACAACCACACATACTGTACCGAACGCGGCTCTACTGTAGCTCGCGCATATAACCATACACGCATCACGGACTGTGGACTGTGGACTTTTGTGTCGTCCTTTATCTCATATCGTACACCCGTTTATTACTTTATTTCTCCACCTTATTTCTGCCCATTTTTGTTTCCTGTGGCTTGTTTTACCGTTTATTGTTTTTGTACTTATTATTATCTTTACCACCTTGTCCCTTGCCTTGTCGTTAATCCTGTACATAGTGGTCTGGGGCCCACGCGCTTGGCTGCGTCTGAATTATCCATGACAAGGCCCAATCGGTCATAGGCGTTTGTCAATGCGGATGTTGTCTGGGAGAAAATCACGGTGAGCATGTTCTGCATACTGGTAACGACACTCACGAGTATGCAATTGGGCTGTTGAATCTGTCATGGTTGAATAGCGACGTGGAGAGGGAAGCGTCCAATAGCGGGCGCAGTATAAGTGAACCCTCCACAGTCCCTCTACCCTCGTGCACTGTCGACTATCTAATATGCTACAGTGACCTCTGGCATTGGTGCTCACGAAACATCTTCACAGGGATAGATCCGCTCAAAAGACCCATTCGGCGCAACGTATCAAGGGTTCAAAGTTTCCTATCGATGGACTATTCAGCGAGGCAACGACGCGTCTTCGCACAGCCAAGAAAAATCAATCCGAATCAGGATCACACCTCAACGAAGAAAAATCGATAAAAATCGATAAAAAAAAATCCAACCGTCGCACGAGTGTTCAGGATGCTCGATTAACATAGGGCATCGCGCAGAGACAGCTAAAGAATCATATTACAATTTTTGTCTTCATCTTCTCATAAATTTCCTCCTCTCAATCGCAGGTCCCAGCATTCCCGCTGCGGGTGAGGCTAGCGTGAGTCTCCAAGTGTCGGTATCCAGGTATCTTTCAAGCTTCAAGGCTATTCGGTAGGCTATAGGCTACCTACTTTACATTCCATGCGACCAGCACTCGTTCGAGCTTACTCTTTCTGTAATTTAGTGTGGATCGGATGCATTACGCTGTCAATGCACTCGCGTATCTTCTATTCCATCTAGAACAGCTCATACCGCTCATGAGCGCTTACTCTTCTGAGTCGAGTCATCCAGACCGCTCCGATATGTATTGAGTTGCGACGCATTTACGAAGAGAGCCTTGTTATGTGATCATGGTGTAGACTGCATAGCACTATAGCAGGTGCGCATCCTTAGACGGCGCCGGCAACCGGGCGAGCGAGCTCGGACCGCGTCCTCTCAAGGTAGTCGATCTGCTCCTGCACGAACCGGTCTATAGCATCCGGGTCGACGATCGCGGAGCCCCCACGGCCGTCTGCATCGTCATCGGCGGGGAGCGCTGCGTGCCGCCGCTCGAGGTCTGCCGCGAGAGCGGCGAAGCGCGAGGCGAGGAGCTGCGTGCGGTAGAGCGTCCATTGGTAGCTGTCGGATTGAGGGGACGGAGGGGGGTTAGTTCAGTTTTGGAGGTATGGGGCTGTGGGAGGGGGGCTACTTGCTTGATGCGGTTCGGTTTCGTGATGGGGTGAATGGTGGTGAGGACTGACGTCGGGAGTACGTTGATGCTGAGCGGGTGTGGACGGGAAAAGGGTGTGATCGTACCAGATGCGTCTCTGATCAGCGAGTCTTTGGCCCGGAAGGACGTGACCATCGTGATCCGCTATCAGAGCGACCGGACATCAGCCAATAAGCAAGCAGACCACTTCGAGGGAGGGAGGCACCTCCGGGGCGTTGTACGATCGGAGCGCGACGTGCTTCACGTGGCGGCCCTGCAGGACCACGGCGCTCCCGACGCTCGGCCCTCGCACTTTCGTCACGCCGCCGTCACCTCGCTATGTGTGTGTGAGTGAGTGAGTGAGAGAGAGGGTCAGGTCGGTCCCGCCGGGACACGTGGATAGAGAAGCTTTGCTCGCCTGCAGCGCCGTCTCCCCGCCGATCATGTTCGACACGTCTGAGAGCATAAGCACGCAGACAAACGGGTAACTGTCGCCCAACGGAAGAACACAAGACGGCGCCGGAAGAGGGGAGGAGGGGCGAGCCAGCGGAGAGCGTTAACGCGAGTGCGGGAAGGATCAGGATTGACGGAAGGATGCGCACCTGTCATGGTGCCAGTTCACGACGTTCCCGTCGGAGAGGCCGAGATCAGCGTCGGCAAGGGCTTTCAGCTCCTCTGCGTTGGCTGCCGGCATCGCGGGTTTCGGGTCTGGCCCGCTGAGTGCTCGGATGCCGTGCTTGCCCGCGAGCCCGACCTGATGGTTCGTGTGCCCGAGCTCCAGGTCCATGCTGAGCGCATGCGTCGTTGCACCAGAGGGATCAAGAATGCAAGCGGTGAGCGATCGATGCGGGGACGCAGAGAAGGCGTGGAAGGAACATGCATTGGCACCAGCTCGACTCCCGCGGCGTCGCTCACGATCCGTAGCACTTCGGGGTGCGTCCACACCTGGTGCACAAATGGCGCGGCCTCCCTCGGGAACTCGCGGCTCTGGCACGGCGCGATGTAGCTCGAGACGGTGTACTTGTCGATGACGTCTTTCGAGAGGATGTCCCTGCGCAGCTCGCGTACGCCCGCGAGTGACATGAGGGGGAAAGGCTGCGTCACCGCGACGGGAGAGATGCCGGCGTCGGCGGGAAGGCCGATGTCGGCCATGGTGAGCTTCGAAGAAGGGGGCGTGTAGGCGAGGTGTATGGCGGGATCAAATACGACGCTGGAGGGCGCATCGTCGCTGATATGTGCGGACGAAGCCAACGCGGTAGACAGAATAGTAGCAGTGGTGCTCTCTGTTGTCGACATCGTAGAGTGCTGGTACGCTGGGGAGATGGGATGTGAGAATAGACTGTTAATAAGACCTTCGGAGTTCCTCCTGCTAGCTATATACCATCCAATTCCTGACCCCTTCTCAACCTAGAAATACGCGCATTTTCGGGACCCGGTGCCCCACGCTATCGTCAACGAGAGAGATTAACAATAGCCAGAATCGGTGCTTATCGATATCAGCGATAGCAATACATCAAAGAGGATCGAGACAAGGCGAAAAGAACACGCGGCTTGAGATTTGAGTCCTCATGGGAATATCGGCAAGGCGTGGGCCTGTTCGCATCTTGACAATATATCAGAAAGGCGCGCACGCGTAGCGGTCATACAGCTGTCTTTTACAAGAGTCGTTCAGCATGTAGGAGGCTCCATCGCACGATCCCTGGTTTCTTATTTAGACGATATCAAGGTTAGATAAGGGTATCAAGAAGCGACAACTCACAGGTGACCAAGGTCGCATGTCCCAATGCTTCCGGAATAACACGTACGTAGCACATATTCTGTGAAAAAGTGATAGAATGGAAGTGAAGAGTAATTGTCTTATGATCCAGCGAGTGCTTGAGAGTGCGTTCATGAGACTTTGCGTGCAAGTTTTCTTTACGGATCTGCGGCCCTGCGAGGTACATACGAGTGGTCGACCTTGATGACGTCAAGACGACGAAGACGGTCTAGGATATACAAGCAGAGGAAGACAGTTGATGGACACAAGTGACGAGGCACGTGCGATGGAGATGAGTGTAATACACGCTGTATGAGAGTTTCCGATGCGAAATATACATACAATACGAAAGGGCCTGAGGAATGAGACAAGTCGTCTATTGAACATTCTGTTCGCTTTTCACCGGAGTTAAAATTAGAGGCATCGACGGCTGGGAAGTCCCCTCCAGGACAGGTCCCGTGAGTCCTCCCATCACCCAACCTATGCGTTTCTTCGAAGCAGAGAACCGGATGGCAGGAATCAAAGAGGCAAGGATAACCTCTGAGCGCGTAGTCAGTGCATCGCAACGGAATTAATTCAAAACATCCACTCACTCATTTCCAGCTGAGAAAATTTAAAGCCGCTAGTCACGAAGCAAATGTTAGCCAAATCAGATGCTCCTTTTGTCGTGGCAACATACATGCACGAGCGACCACCACCCAAGAATGTTAACCTGCGACGTTTGTTAGCATGACGAGACCTACCTTGATGGGGACAAGCAGGTAAGAACGTACGTGTTTGAGTAGATCCCCGGGATGCGAGCGTCTGTCACCGACGCGGGCAGGGTCGAAAGCCACCTTTCGGGTTTCCATTCCATCACATCTGGGCCCCAGATGCCTGGATCACGGTTGACTGCGATGATGCTGACGATGATCCCTGTATTCCTGGGAATCGTGATTTTTGAAATTTCAGTTCCATCGACCCCGGTTATGGGCGTCCCCAAAGGTAGAACTACGTCCTGGCGAGTACTAGAACGCTTATCAGCCGTCGATATCGCATCGAGAGAAGGTAAGACGTACGTTCTATTTACATACGGGACCGGAGGATACCTGGATAGAAATAATTTGATTCAAGGTTTCGCTAGCAAGGTTCTCAATTGCTTACAGTCTGAGCGTTTCCCTGCATACGGCATCCAAGTAAGGAAGGCCATTTAGACTGTCGAAATCCAGGGCGCCTTTGGCTGCAGCCTCCGTGAGTTCGGCACGAAGCTTCTCTTGGACTTCAACATGTTCGCTCAGCAGATGGAGAATGCGGGCGAGTGCAGATGATGTCGTGTCCATAGCTGCGAAGATCAGAACGCTAGACAGATATCAGCCGAAGCTCTCGAGATGAACATCGTGATAGATACTTCATTTGAGCTAGCAGCTCTGATTCGGTAAGTGAATCTTCTTCCGAAGCAGCCAGGTTCGCTTTCACTAAGTGAAGTACTCTGTCAAGCTATGTTGGGTCGAGTGAGGAAAGACACATACATAGGATGCTCATGATGTCTTTGCCCTCTCCTATTTGTGCAAGCATAGCCTCGTCACCTTTGTTAAGAGCCGTCTTCTTGATCTCGAAAACTTCCTTAGCCGTAGTGTCCATGATATTGACGATATTAACAAGTTGCCGGATGGTTTTTTCGGGAATTGCTTCCGCAATAGCCCTGCGGAAAGCGGCATTTCCAAACTTGACAGCCCAAGGTAAGAATTGCCCTATGATCATGATCGGTGGCGAGTTGATGGTAGGCCTATTGATATGATTGTCCCGTCATGAATACGAGTCGACCATGATCAGGTAAGTGGTGCGCACCATAAGGTTTTCGCCGCATTACCATACGAGTTCTCGATCTTGTCATTTAGGCTATCAAAAGAGTATCCAAGCCCTCCTTGACCGATGATCTCAAGCGCAGCACGCGTCATCCAGTCCATCATATCAACCTCTGCCGAACAACCCTTGGTCATCCGAATAAGGACATCTCGAAGCTAACCAACCATAAGCTCATCTTCAGTTGTTATGATGTTGAGTATCTTACCTGATGAGAAATTCGATGGAAAGTTGGCATCATATACCGCATATGGCTGCTGGAAAAGACAGGGTTCAAGAGCTTCCGTTGTCGCTTATGATGGTCGCCTGGAGAATCGGGTGAGTTTTGTGAAGGAGTGATTCTTACCTCGTTCACATACCTAAGGTCGATGCCAGTCCCATGCCGAATATGAGTCTATTCTGCCTATTGAAAACAATTCCAGTCTCAGTTTATCATGTCGCAAGTCAAGAGACGTACTGGATGAAATGCGACGACTCTTCAAATATGTGCTGATCTTTGACCAAGATATTATGAAGAGCTCTGGTATCGCTGACATATAAGTGTGCGTCCTGAGCATCCGCTTCGCTTGAGCATTGCTAACATTGTGTCATAAACTCTCCCAGCTTACTCCTAGGATTCCATCGAGCTTGACGACTTTGCCGTAATTTGCTGCAAGATCGGCATGAAACTTCCAACCTTGTTGACTATATACCTGGCCCATATGACCTGTGAATCTGATAAACGACAAGTATGGAATCGAGAGAGATATCAGACTAACCTGTCAATAACGACGGGCTAGGCGGGCCTGCGATTTTACGCAGAGGGGCTTGTCTATTCCACCGATTCATCAGCTTCCACAGAACCCATGAAGCAAAGAAGAAGGCTGAGATCACTGTGATCATGTCAGAAATAAACCTGTCCGTAGCCGGAGCGTGGCTAGCTGTTAGAGGAAGTAGACGATGTCGGCCGCTGCAGATAGCCTTCACCGATTCTTTATAGCAAGTGGTTCCGACCTGCTGACACCGATCCTTCGAGGACATTCCGCAAACAGGACCCTCGAACCATAGCGGAAAGACAAACACAGGCGTTCGACTGGTGGCGGAGGGAGTAGAAGCAGCGGTATCGCCGACAAACTGACTGTTCATGACGAGATCTTAGCGACGTTTCTAGTACCCGTGCGCTCCGTCGCTCCATGGCCACTGCTTTTGGGCATGGAAGCCTGGGTGAAGTCAACAACTTCTTAATATGACGCGTCGATATCGCCGATGCGACGGGGATAGACGCATGCTCTATCCATGGTATGTTAGCGCCGATGAGATGGGGTCGACTACTCACTGCAGACTAGATGAACTGAGGGTAATGTGGACGCCGTTTGACATGAACTCGATAATGTCACAAGCAGAAGCTCGCATTTTTGTCGATGCCAAATGGGCCTAGCAACTGCCAAATGGGTCTACTTGAGCCTACTTGTTGCTAATCCGCTCGGAGTGTTCCGTGGGGACCTCATCGGCCTTCCGTTGGTCATTTGGTTCATATCCATCTTGAAAGCGGAACGAAACTAATAGGCGACACCATAGAAAGGAAAAAGTCGCTGAGAGTCGCTGAGCAACTCTGCAACTCCGAAATCTACGATTATGTAAATGTCTTGGCGGTGAAGCTGTTCTACTGGATTGCTTGGGAACGTTCTACATGTTCACCGCGATTACGGGACGTCTCGGAGCTCATGATTTTATGAGTTGCTCGTTTTGTCTCACTCTGAATTGGGCTCTAAAGTGTCTCTGCAAGCTTGGTGTGAAAATGACAGGGTACGTCCAATTATCATAACTGTCGTGCTCTAGTATCTTAACGTTACCCCTCTTCGCTCCTATACAGCCGACCTTTGGTCATCTACGAGCGCTGAAGCGCGAAGCGCTGTCCATAATGGATCCATCAGCAGAGAACCTGAATGGCTGGAGAGGCTCACCATAGACGATGTACACGGGTCTTGATCAAAACTTGTCGCAGGCCTCGTGAATGCCATGCTAATAAGTTTCAAGCAGAAATTTTCAGTCCTGCGGTGCAAGCTGCATGCTACAGCGCTCATGTCACATCTCGGTCTTAGGGCGACATGCTGCAGGCTACAACTGGAGACCCGATTCACCTATAACACGGTCCTGGTACGGAACTGACGCCGTCGGAACTTCTTCCGGAGAATATCAAGTCATCCACTACACATCTGAGTAATCACTCGACCCTTCCTGTTTCGCACTCGGATTCAGCGATAGAATCCCTTTCTAGGATTAAGTCTAAAAGAAGCCACTTACCTCCAGGGGGCCTCTTATGTGCCGCCGGCGCCAACCTTGCCACTTGCATTGCGCCCCAATCCGACATATACACGATGGCGCACACCGAAACCCGACGAGGATTCGTGCGCTGAACTGTCGAAATATCTCGGCTTAGAATCTTGTCTATCCTGTCAAGCGATTAGTGCGCACGCCGATACACGTCGGAACGTACAGAGGCCGATATCTAGTTTCTGACAAGGCTTGTCCACGGGTTATCTCTTGGATGCCGGAATGAGCAAAGACGTACTCCACGCACGTATCGCGTGAGATCACTGACATAAATAGAATGGGGTGCGCTGCTTATGCATGAGCGTTGGTGTTAGGGCTTCCTCATGTTCGGTCCGTGCCAGGTACTCCCCAAGTTCGAAGTATAAATTAGATAAAAGTTTGCCTGGGTAGACTTGGTCCCTTGGCTACCCTCCGCTTGGCTAGGTGCGTAATTTCAGCGACTCAGTTTCGATAGGTGAATCCCAATCCTGATAGACTTTTGTTGTGCTTGCTGATGGCCGCACTCACAAGGCACGTCGCGAGGTAGGCTGAATGCATCGAGTCGCATGCGTACCCTTGGCCACATTTCTGCCGCCTCCTCTCCATGCGCAGCTTCCGATTGAGGCTCGCTAGTCAGCTGTAGACCCGAACCGATGGGAAGTCTATATTGGCAGGGGAGACTCGATATTCACCCGTCAGTCATTTTCGCGTGTGGAAATTCACTGCGGCCGACTTCGTTGGCTCTAGATCCGATATCTCACCTCACAGTGCGCACCTAGCAGCTCGTTCCCTTGACCTCTACAATCATAGCTCTGCGTTTTTCTCGCATCCTGCAATAGTTCTCACACGGATGGACGTCGCTCAATATTTGCTCTTCGCAGTTCCGCATTAAAGATTTCTTTTCATGTCGGCGTCGGCGATCGCCGACTTGCCCAACCTTGGATTTTCGAATCCAATTACTTGATTAAATCATCTTGGGCCCAGGAATTGAATGCTCGGTTGCCTACACATGCCACTGCTGTGTATGGGCATTGTTGCATCATTGTAGGGCTGACGCCGGTGCATAACCAACAACAATAACAACATCGTCGTTGTTGGCATCGTCATCTTTTAAGAATTTAGAGACAAAAAGCACAACGACGGGTGATAACAACCATTGCACGCGTTCAAGGACAGCAACAATAAGTGTATCCTGGCATGGTAACATTCATCCGTCTCAACGCGTACGCGCGCATACTGCAAGGCAATGAGATTTGTGAGCTAGCATAGTTCTAGTGTCGCTTTCTAGATGCGACCGACGCAAAAAATCAAGTGGCCCAGGTAATATATGATTAGCTCGCGTGCAGTAGACTCGGGATTCGGGTCGATCCGGGGTGGGACAGTCTATCAGTCGAACCCACGACGCAAATAGGAGCAGGAGTCAGCAGACGACGACGAAACGGTCACGAAGAGGGTTATTATGAGTGCTTGCAAGTCCAGTGGCCGACGGCTAGAAGTAGGCGCCGAGCGAGGGGGTTTCATGGACAACTGAGGGGACTGTGAGCACGGGGAAGCCCCTGAGAGTGCTTGGTGTAGACAAAGGAAAGGATGAGATGGTGTGCGAGGAGAGCCACTGGCGGGTGTTTGTCCCACGCGGGTGGGTGTTTGTCCGGGATTGGTCGCTGGGATCAAACGAGAGACGGTCGTTATCGGTCTTGAGCGCAACGCCGAGACCCACCGCCCCATCGATTTTCTCTTTTTCTGTCTTTTTTCTCTTTTTCCCCCATCGCTCCCCGCAGCCGGCTCTCTTCCGAGCGGCCAGCTTGCTTTCCTCTCTCCGCTCTCAATTTCACACAAAAATACCGACTCAACACCTAGACTGTGTTTCTCTTCACACCAAACAACAACACCGCTCAACGTCCTCCGCACCTCTTCTTCCGTCTTCCGCATATCCTTATCCCAGGACCGCTTTGGACTCCGCATCCCGCTCGCGCCACAACCCTCGCTAGGCAGGATACGACACACGACCGTTGCTACCGAACCGTTCACAATGGCTGATAATGCGACGGAGATCGATCTTGACTCGGTCATCGACCGCTTGCTCGAAGGTGAGCTGTCCTCCTCACATCCTCTGCACCTCCCTCGGCGTCATCCTATGCCACCCCATGTCTTCGGGCGGGCCCACACCCGTCGTGCTTCGGCGAGATGCTTGTGATTCGTCATCAACACACTCCCGCAGTAGGGCCTCAGCGAAAAGGGTTTTCTGGCCAAGCCTACGTGGCTATACGCCTCCTATCCTTCGAAGCAACAAGGAGAGCGTGCTACGGACACCAGCGGGGAGACGTTGCTCGACGTCGCGCCAGGCATGGGGTTATGTAACCGAATGGCATGCTGGACCGTTCTGTTTGTCATACCTGGTTGACACCCGACATCTCCTCTGCACGCCGCTATCTGTTAGCTCTTGGTGACCATTGGCACGCTATGATGCCACTCCCGGATCCACAGACTCATCCATGCTCTTTTTTATGCACCAGTTCGAGGCAACCGACCAGGGAAACCTGTCCAACTGCAAGAGTACGAGATCAAGTACCTCTGTACCAAAGCCCGCGAGATTTTCATAAATCAACCTATCCTGCTGGAGTTGGAAGCGCCCATCAAGATATGCGGTTCGTCGTTAACCTGGAGCTGCGCGCTCTTATTTCTCTGCAGGGGTCCTTACACTCCTGCATAGGTGACATCCACGGTCAATACTATGATCTCCTCCGACTTTTTGAGTACGGCGGCTTCCCGCCAGAATCCAACTACCTCTTTTTGGGCGATTATGTCGATCGGGGGAAGCAGTCGCTCGAGACAATCTGCCTGCTCCTGGCATACAAGATTAAATACCCCGAAAACTTTTTCATCCTACGAGGCAACCACGAGTGTGCGAGTATAAACCGGATTTACGGGTTTTATGACGAGTGTGCGTGTCATCGCCATTACTGGTTTTTGAATACGCTTTTTGGGCGGGTCTGTAGGCATGAAAGCTGACTGAACGATGTCACGCAGGCAAACGGCGGTACAACATCAAGCTATGGAAGACGTTCACAGACTGTTTCAACTGCTTGCCTATCGCTGCTATCATTGATGAGAAGATCTTCACAATGCATGGTGGACTCAGTCCGGATCTCCAGTCGATGGAGCAAATCAGACGAGTGATGAGACCCACGGATGTGCCGGACACAGGTGCCCATCTTGTTGATATCATGATGGTGGCCTTAGCTGACAGGTTGTCTTGATTGCATGCAGGTCTACTTTGTGATTTGCTATGGTCCGACCCAGACAAGGATATCACGGGATGGTCAGAGAATGATCGAGGAGTCTCGTTTACGTTCGGTCCAGACGTTGTCTCGCGATTCTTGCAGAAGCATGATATGGATCTCATATGTCGAGCTCATCAGGTACGTAGCGCCATCTTTGATGATTCATAGCACTTACAATTGTGGCTGTTACTCGGGGCTTATTTCGCCGATCATTACAACAATTTCCTTGTTCCTCGCATGGCGTCTCGGTTGCGCCCTCACCGTTTTCCACCACCCACCCCAGGTCGTCGAGGATGGATACGAGTTCTTCGCAAAGCGACAGCTGGTCACGCTATTTTCAGCGCCAAATTACTGCGGAGAGTTTGACAACGCGGGCGCCATGATGAGTGTGGATGAGACGCTATTGTGTTCCTTCCAGGTACGTCTACCTTCAAATCACTTTTCTGTGCTCACTGACACCGAATTCAGATCTTGAAGCCGGCCGAGAAAAAGGCCAAGTATCCTTATGGAGGGATGAATATGGGACGACCAGTAACTCCGCCGCGTAAACAGAAGAAGAAAGACGGCAAAATGGGCTGAGCGCCGCATGGCCACACCTCCCCGACGCGCATCGGATCGAAACCCATCAATCGCGCTCCCACGTTTTGAGTCGTTTTCTTTTTTATTTCCTTCAGTTTCGTCTCCCCGATCTCGGTTTTTGTCGTCATCGTCTTCATCTTCGTCGTTTGCGGCTGGTTGGTCGGTTTTCATGGTGTCTGTCGGGTCAGGTAGGTGGGCAAGTGGGCGGACGAGGATGGATGTGGCGTAATCGGGATATAGGCGGTCGGACGAGGCAGGACTGGGAAAGTGGGTGAAAGGACGCAAGACGTGATGGGTGCATATAGGGGTTTTTGTGCGGTGGGGATATTGTTGGAGGCGGATGGGTGGGCTATGTCGGACGCGGTGGCGCGAAGAAAAAGTAATGACTGGAACGCGCATGGACAGCACAAAGCACACATAGGATCCATTCGACTCGAATATCACGTCCGTTTGTATTTTCAGACCAGACCGCATCCTCTGCCCTCTTTTCGCTCCGCCACGTTATGCACACTGCCTGGCTCCGCGCGACGCGGCACGGCTCCCCTCTGCGTTGGAATCTGACGCTTTCGCTATTTCGCCCTACCTCTGTCTGTTTGCTCACCGTCTGGTCTGTGTATCGTTCGTCTTGGCGCAATGTCTGAACCTCCCTTGTTTGTCCCCATGTCTTTCTAGTATCATCTCTCTTCCCCTTTTCTCCCCTCTCCCTACCTTCTTTCCTCTTCTTCGATGCCGACTCGACCCTTCTTGCCGCGCTCCTCGCCACCTCCCAGATGATACCATAACCAACCCCGCTTGTCCATAGTGTCTCGCCAATATATATATGTTCCTATCGCACTCGTTCTACTCCCCGCTCGCGCTCTGTACATACGCGAGTCCTTCCCCCCCTCGTTCCCCTGTCTTATTCTTTCTCCCCCTAGGTGTCAGTCTCGTTTGTCCCGCTCTGCTGCTCTTCTAATATTGCGACTGTGAGATTACTAGGTTATCGGCCATCTTGCTACCTTTACGCGTGCAGTATTTCATTTCATCTACATATTCGTTCGGCGGCGTTATATTCGGCGTTTTATAGAGTGGATGAGCGTCGCTGGTGCTGGTAAGTAGACGCGGCTAATGGTATCGGCCCTCTGGGCAGAATCTTGTGCTACATCAATCCAATGTTTATCCGACAAAAAATGGTCGAGGGTCGAGGAAGAAAGCGTGAGTGCGATATCGAGATCGACCAAAGCCACGTGAGCCGTGAGAATGACAATGTATCGCCGCTTGCCCTTCGGCGGCCCTCGACAAGCCTGGTTCCAGCAATGTATTTTGAGAGACATCCTTTCCACCCTACATGCTCGTACTACCAGGTCACCGCCTGACCGGATGGACTACATAGAACGCGAACATTCATCGAACATCCGGACACTATGGCAAAGGCATCTTGTGACCTGAAATGCACAAAAGCCAGAAGTCAGGTCGCCAACCTTCTCAAACTAGTAATGTCTGTCAGATACGGGTGTATTGTCTTCCTCATTGCGCGCGCATAAACTGGCCAGACCAGACATCCATCGGCTCTACTTTTTTCGGCCCCCCAACCATGTCCACCGCCGCCCTCACTGCATCCCGCATTGCAATCACCACCGCCCTCTCCTGCTCGTCTTTCACGAACTCATCCATCTCCTTCTCAAAGGCCGGATCCAGCACCGCCTCTACCTCCCATTGCCCGTCCGGCGTCCTCGCCGCCGGCTTGAAACGGCTCTCCTTCACCAGTTTCCATCCGCCTCCCTTGGGTGACTCTGCGGCGCGCACGATGGTCGCAGGCGGGAATATTGTGCGCACGTTCAACGTGGCCCCGGGGTTGTGGTATTCGAGCGCCGCCTGTGCGAGCGACGCGAGGACGTGCCCGTGCGCCTCAGGGTCGGAAGCGATCAAACTCCATTCCGCGATGCAGAGACGTTTGGCGTGCGGTGCAAGGGCAGCGAGGACCGCAGAAAATACGGACGGGGAGGAGAAGTACCAAATGGAGAGGGAGAATACGACGACATCGTACGGCTCACTGGTCGGCTTCAATGTGCTAGCACCAGAGAGGAAGGCGAGCGGATCGGCATGGACCCAGGTGATGCGGCTGCCGAGGCGGCCGGCGGAGAGGCGCGCTTGCGCTTCGCTGAGTGTAAGTGGCAGGCCTGCAAAGACCGAGCACGATGGTGTCAACGATTATGAGTCGGCAACAAGCCTCAGCATACGATGGGCTGAAGCTCCAAGCAGCAAGACGTACCGTAATCGAGCGATGCTGGATCGACGCCCGTGACATGGCCGTTCTCACCGACGAGCTCTGCAAGTACAGCGGTGGTATCTCCCTGGCCGCACCCGATCTCGAGGACACGCGCGCCGACGGGAATGTCCCACTGCGAAACAATCGCAGCGCGGTGCGCGGCGGACTCCAGTTGGACCTCAAAATACTCATCGGGAATAAACGGATCAGAGACGCGCTTGGAGAGGGAAGCGGCATCGTCGCGGGCTGCAGAGAACGGTGAGCATCCTTCTTCCGCACGACGTCGCCGACTTTGGCTTACCGACAACTATGAGCAAGATGATGATAATTGTTCACGGAGTTCACAACAAGCGATTCTGTCAGTGCCATGCCTGAGTACTAGGAGCGTTATTAATTTTACCTCGGGCCTGCGCACCCACGAAGAAAGCGAAGAGGGTGACGAGGGCGCGGAGCTGCATGGCGAAGAGATGCAAAAAGGCCGAGGTCAAAGCGGACGATGCAAGTCAAGTAAGTCACTCAGGAGCGAGACGATAGGTTCCTCTAGCCTGCCCCTTAGGCGCGAGCGAGTCCTAGCCGGCCACCTTTATGCGATGCGCACATATTGGCGTTTTGCTATTGCGGCGAATCTCGTGACCTTCTTTCGTCTATCGGCGTCATCTCAGTGCTGATAGCAGCGGCTGTAATTCCTGTGACGACCATAGGGATTATGCGCCACGCGGCTGCGTTAGATCGGAAGGAATGGCACCGAAACGCTTGTGAAGATTTGATTTGCAACGGAGCTCCCAAAATGAAATCAGCGTGGAGAACTCGTGGAGAACAACACTAGACCATCGTCGTTGGGGTTCTGACAGTGTTCCGACGCGTTACTGCTCTTCTCTACCAATTGTGTTCCGTGCTTACCGCTAGCTGAGGCAAAGTGTGGAAAGCGACACAATACACACAGAAGGATTGACTTTCTCATACATACACCACATGCGATTACCTCCGAATGCCCTCTCCAAATTTACTCTCGAGCATCCCCTCTAATTCTACAACGGGATAATTTAGTCGGAGACTGACAATTCCTTGATCCTCCGGCTTCCTCCGGTAAGTCCGTGATATTTCATATAGCATATCAAAATCCATAATTCAACTTGTCCAGACTTGTAGAGACTTGTCCTCCTCGAGTCCTCGAACTGTCCCCGTCACAGCAAAATGTAGGATATTTGTCTCGAGCCTGTTGGTCACCATCGCCAATCCTGTATCATGGTATTTCCGAGCCCCGACAGGGTCGAAACAGTCGAAATTCACGCGGATCCTGCAACCATCCTGCAGCAATGTGGGATGACACACCGGAACCCATTCCTGCCCGTGTCCGCGGTGTTGAGGTCATAGGAAATCAAACTTTATTGCTCTTCCCTGCACTGCACCGCACAACCTCTGCAAAAATTGCTCTAGATTGGCGAGTGCCGGGCTATCTAGAGTCTCGAGCGTCAAATTGGCATTGCATCTCATGTCGGTTGTATGTGCTTTTCCCAAGCAGGCATATTGTTTGATGGAGACTTGCGACGAGAAGAAAAAAACACCTCATCTGGCCTCGAACGATCTCAATCAGACCCGAATGTATCCACCCCCGTGTCGCGATCCATGGGCGACAAGGCATACGAATACAACGGTGGCGCGGTGGGGTCGAGTGTTTGCGTCACATCATGACTTCCACTGAGAATAGCGTCTCCTTCCGAATCTTCTAATGACGGAGCCCCCACGCGAGGGAGTACGACGACGGCCGTCGTGATTGCCGAGATCGCAAGCCCAACCGCGCATACCAGCGAGACAAAGTCTCGCGCCGATACGCCCGTCAGCAGGGACACGACGACGAACACGTTGAGCGGGACACGGAAGAGCGCCGACAGCTGATGTCCCGGGAAAATGAACACTATCAGCCTGGAGCAGAAATGCGGAACACAACTGGAACAGAGAGATATGCGAGACTTACGGTGGCGCGGTACTCGTTAGCGATGAGGGACCCGCGGAGCATGCCTTGCACCGGGTAATACATCCCTATGCACGCCTCGAACATGCAGAATGTCCAGAACTTGACCATCTCCCCATTTTCTCCCATAACGTGCCCAGCACTCACGCTCACGCCGAATGCGATGGCCGACACTGCGCATACAAGCGAGCTCAGCTTCGCGTGCAGCGTGAGCGTTGAAGTATGCTGCATGTGTGACGGGGGCGGGTGGTGCCAGTGCAAGGTGATGAATGTGTATAGGAGCGAGCCGAGCATCATGGAGATCATGAAGGCAGAGAAGACGTAACCGAGAGGTATAGAATCAGGTGTGCTTGAGCATTCCTTAAGCGCAGGAACCCAGATGACAACGAAGAGGTACATAGACCCTTCAAGTATCGTCTGTGTGAATCCGAGGACAAGTAGCGTGGGGTCTGCAATGTAGACGCGCGGTGAGCCAGCCTTTGAATCTAGCGAAATGAAGGGACGTACCGGCGACTACGATCTTCCATGCTGCACCTAAGCGTTTAATCTGGAAAATATCGTCGGTCGATACGTGTGCGCCACCACCTTCACCATAATTTTCGCCCCAAGTCCAACTTATTACGACCCAAGCCAACGCGAGCAATATACCGCTTGCAATAAACGGTGAGCGGTATCCGCCTCCGTTCCATTCCACCAGCTGATTCGAAGAAAGCTATAGGCAGATTCAAAAGTATACGCATTTATGAATGCATCACGCAAATTGACAAAGGAGAGGACGTACGCCAGCAGCTGCCGCGACAAACCCGTTGACGAGCGTTGCACGACCCATGATGGCGCTCAGGTCCTCGCTACGAAGCGCGGCTATCGAGCTTGCCGAGACAAGCCAGCTCTCAAAGGCAGAAAACAAAATCGAAGTTGAGATGCCGCCGAGGACACGGGCCAAAAGCGAGACAGGCAGGGAGGGAACAAGAAGTAGGCCACATGTGAGCGAGTACGTGACACAAAATGTAAGGCATAACCGGCGTCGGCCACTGGATAATATGTGGTGAGCAGGGGTAGCATCGAGACAGAAAGGGAGCTGTAAGGCGCTCAAGATGGTAATTGAAGATGCCCATGCAGTCATGCATGACTGCATAACATTCATTTGGTGATTACGCCACTTTGCTCATGCAAGAGCTCATGTTGACAACGTATCTATGATGCACAGGAACCACACTCGTGTACGCCAAAGGCGAAGGCAAATATGCTGATAAAGACTCACTATTGATCTGCCCATACCCCAACAAGAGGTGCAGAGAGACCCGCGCTCACAAAGCCTGTGACAAACAGAACAGCGACAATCCGTTCGGGAAAAGCATACTGTTCATGGTAGAGCGAATAGACATATGGACCCTGCAACCAGTCCGCGCCTGTTGTCCCACAAAGATGTGTCAGATGGACGGGTCAAACCCTCACGATCACTCCTTCCAATGCTCAATACAACGGGGGGCTGACGGAGAACGCACCCATGACAATCGCGTAAACCGTCAGATACTTCCTCATCAGGGTACTTAGCGCGCCCGTCGGCGTGCTAGATACGCTCTTGTTGTCTTCATCCTCGAGCGAATTGTCGACTTCGGCCCCAGCTACTGAGGTTGGATCCTGAGGCTTGTCTCTCGAAGAGACCCATCGTTCAAGCAGCAGGACGACAACGCATACGACAATGAGAAGCACGAGCTGGCGCTCGTAGAAGTTGGACATGGCCATTTACGTGTTGCCTGGCAAGGATAGGTGGAAAAAGGGACAGGGAACCTTGCTTGCAAGGTCACATCGTTCATTTTGAGCAGCAGTATGCTCGAGCGAGGCGTTTCGGTATTCCTCGGACAAGCCAGTCAATGGTCATTAGCAATCTGACCAGCTCACCGGAGCGCGTCGCGACGGATCGCAATGGCAGGGACCCGGTGCTGAATTACAGTCGCAATTGGAAAGTCTCTCCTACGAAGAGCACGGAAGAGCCAAGCTCTGCGCAATTCGATCAAATCTGCGGTTCAAGGGCAATTTGACATCAACGTAATGAAGTAGCAGCAGGTAGCTCTCAGGTAGCCTCTTTGTGTACGAACAGCGTCCTTTGTGACTTATGCGGCGTTCATATTCAGCGTTCGACGTTCAATACCCCGACATCACGATTGACCCTCACATCCTGAAGATCTCCCAACGACGCGACTTGCATCCCGCCCGCTCGCACGAAGTGCGAATGTGGTGCAGGAGGTATGAAATCGCACCCCACTAGCCTGCTAACTGCAATCTCAGTTCGGCCACTACTCGAGTAGCGTGCGTACTTCGGACGTGTTTCACACATGTGTTGTCAAGCGTATGTGCTCCAATTCCATATTTAAGCATGATGTCTCGCACAGACCCTACCCTACCTTACCGCTCACTGCGGTAGCCTCGAAGTGGGGAACAATCTGACCTCTGTGAGACCACAAAAGATAATCGTGCAGTGCTAGACTGACCTAAAGAGATCCTAAGCCATTGTACTAGACTGGAGCAACCTGAAAAGCAGGGATCAATGTCGTCGAAGGCCACGTGGAGCGAGGCTCGATTTCAGCAGGCTATTGACATGGGGATTGCGAATCCCGTCTCCTCTTATCCCGAGTCCTCTCCTGCTACTTCCTATTTTGTTCTCATTGAGAAACGAAATCAAGACGGTGGGCAATGTTTTGTAAGAGTCTGTAATACGGTCGGGAACTGTAGCACTTTTTTCGATAGAGGGCAAATTTTTCATATGCTCATGATAGTGACTGTGCACGGGCCGTAGCTGGCGAGGACCCCCGTGAATCACGCCAGAGGTCCGAGCTGGGTCCGGGGGGAGAATGGGTACATCAGGAAAAGCGCCTAAATCTGGCGACGCCTGGCGAGGCCGGCGAATCCCGACATGGGCTTACACGGGCTTGTCAGCCCGGGTATGTTTTTTGAGCTCTCCCCAGGCTTCCCCAGTCGACGTCTCTACGCGGTCTCGTACTGGTCGGTACAAGTACAGTACAGCTACGAAATGCGAGGCTTTTATGGCTCCAACCAGCTTGCTACAGCTACCCTCGCGTGAAAACAACTACTAGGCCATGCAGTTCTATCGACGCACAACAAAAACAAGCACGGGCGACAAGTTAGGTGACCTACAGTGGGCCGTAGCCTTCACGGTCTCGAATCGCCTCGTCGTCGGCCTCGTCGTCAGTGTCCCCGCTCTCTGATCCCTCGTCCGCAGCATCCTCCGAGCCGCTCCCATCATCGGACTCGGACTCAGACTCGGACTCATCTTCGGACCCGGACTCGGACTCGCCTTCATGTTCGCCCTCGTCCTCTTCCTCGTCCTCGTCCTTGTCATCATCGTGGGTGTCGCTTTCCCCCGCTGTTTCACGGCTCTTACCTTTTGATATGTTCTCAGGATCCTCCGGCATACCCGAGTCCTCGCTGTCTGAAATCCCCCCTCCTTTGTCGGCAACACCGTCAGCATCACCCTCTGTTGACGGCATGTCCACGTATAATGTCGCTGTGGCATTGGCAGTGCTCATGTGCGCGTCGTTTGACGCTACGTCGGCTTCGGCAGCGCTGACCGTGGCGGCGTTCGTGTTGCTCGGGCCATTCAAAGGTGCCTCGTGCTCTTCGGTGAGATCCTCGGGGTCAAGGGTGTACGTATCCTGTTGGAGGTACTTGTCAACACTGCGTGTACCTCTATGGCCTATTCCGCCACCGCGGAACCTCATAAACATATCACGGTCGGCAAACCTGGTGCCTGTCAGTCATGACTCGCAAGATGAATAAGAAATGCGTACATTCCGACATAATAAAAAAGGTAGTCGGTCTCTTCGCAGCGCTCGTCATACTCATTTTGATACATCCATTCAGGGTCTTCTTCGTCATCATTCCCGTCAGGTTTGTTTTCTTCATGTTTTCTAGCAATTGAATGCGCTAAAAGTTCGGACGTGCGACCGTAAGCAAATCCCGGGATCATATGAACACCGCGGATCACATCTTGAGGATTAACAAAACCAAATGCGCTCGGGTCGTTGCTATCGACAAAGCCAACACGATGTAGGCGTCTCGCGGCCCATCCACTTGGCGAGCCCGTATCGCGGCCGAACCAGCGGACCCAAAGGAAATCAAGCCGTCTAGGTTCAGGCGACAGGGTCGGGTGCGTGACGAAGACATGGTAGATGCCGATGACACGGGCATACCAGTAGGGGTGCGGAGGGGTTGCGTCGCCGTCATCTTCATGCGACAGTAGCATGATATCGGCATGACTGTGCGTGTTGATGGAATCCTGGGCTCGACGTATATCATATGTCGTGTAGTTGATCCGTACAGTGCTGTGTCGGTAAAGGCGGTCATTATCGAACAGAATTTGTCTCCGCTCTGCATCTGTGAAGCTGTGCTCGTCACCGTCCCAAATTTTGCCTAGTAAGTGTGCAAGCAGGTGGTCCCGAAGACGCGGAAGAAATTCGTTTAGAAAAAAAAGCTTGTAAGAGGTGAGAATGTCGATCGGGAACTATACATGCATACCTTGAGTGCAGGGTCCCCTAGGTTCTCGGTAAGCCAAGGGGTGATGTAGTCATACTCTTTGACAGACTCAGCAATGTGATGGTGTATTTCTGGCCGTGTGCACAGGAGGGCATCACCACGAGCAGTCAACTTCTTACCACCAGGGGCCGGGAGGGGTTGACTGGAGGCCATCATGCGTTCATTTACTTTGCGCACAGCATGTTCTCGGCTCTCATGTTGTGCGAGCTGCTTCGTGAACTGGTTTTTGTTTGTCCTTTTGAAGCGGCGCTTTGAGTGGCGGTGCTGAAGTTCTCCCTGCTCGTAACAAGTCAGCCAAGATGCTTCAAAAAAGAGGCTAACTTATGACTTGCGATGTATATGAATCTGTCGTACCAAAGAGCCGGATTGTCTTGGCGTAATGCCCAAGCGCGTGATTCTTGTATGTGGAAATGTTGAAGTCCTTCCGTCGTTTTCCTGGCTGTGTGAGTTTTTTCTTCTTTGCACTGAGTGCCGTTGTTTTCTTTTGTTGGTTCGCGGCCTTGGCAACTTGCCGTCGTACACGGCGAGTTTCTTCTCCTGGAAGCTCCATTGTCTCATAGGATGCGCAGGTAGTAGCTTTGAATTTGCGCATGTGTTGGCTGAGTGCTGTTGTCGCCAACTCGAGAGATATCAATATTGAGTCAGTGTGGAGCCGCAGCTTAGCGTAAGCATGCCATGTTGCAAGAGCAAAAAGCAGGTCCATAACAATGGCATGGTGGGGTACAGGTAGCAGGCTGTCAAAACAAGGAATGGCACACTGCAGAAATATATAAACACTGTATAAACTGAGGGAGCATGCATGAACATGTACCTGAATAAGATCTTCGAAGTCTCGTGCAGCTGGTTTCTTCATGGCAGATGCATTGTTATGAAATCTTCGGATGGCGTCTACACTGAATGTTGGAACCCGTCAGTATCTATGATTTGTTAATATCCACCAAATACGAGTACGTAACAAACATACCGCTCATCCAAGTGCTGAACCTGGTCACCACCCTCAGCGTACAAGATACGGATCAGGTGAGTAAATGTGGCTTTCCAAACGCCAAGTTCAAATTCATGCAAGAGATCAACAACAAACATCCGGAAGAAATTTGATCCAGATTGATGGAATCGGTGCGAAAATATATTCTGTACACAAAATGAGCAAATAACCAAAGATGTTCTATGAGATGACGCACCCGTGTCGGAGTAAGAGAGTGATTGCCCAGGACCTTGTCGACTCTCTTACTGTCGACAGGAACTCCATTCTGAAAGATGATTTTACGTGCAGTTTCTAATTCAATATGTCGGATAGGGGTGTCAAGGCGGATGGCTTCACGCCGCCGTATATCCAACTTAGAGCCCATTTGTGAGATCTCGCTCTTCTCGATGAGGCACTGAGGACATGGACAGGTTCCAAGGTACTTAATTGTGGCGAGGAGGACTCTAGAAGTATGTTCATCATCAACAAATATTGTAGACCGTGTGAAGACTTACTTCTCTGGATAGTCTGCAGAGTATGTCAGGAATCGCAGGAAAAAAAGGCGCCAAACATTGTCGCTGCATAGAATCTTCATTCCGTGCTTGTGCGCCTTCATGAATTCTTTATCTAGTAAGTGCTCCCAGATTTTTTGCATGAGTTCGCGCTTGCAGTGAGTGATAACCTTTGAAGATGCTGTTTCTCCGTAGACCTTTCTGTAATATTCCTGAATCTGGCTGGGAAGCTGGACAAAATTGAGCGGAAAATAGTATGTCGTGAGTGTAGAAACATACCGAAGGAATGTAGGCCAGATGATGGCATGCATGAGATGTTGGCTTTCCACGAACGTACTTTGATTGGTTTCCGAACGAGACGTAGATTGGCCAGAGCGATGCATCCCCAAAGCTTGCAAGATGTGTTGAATCGGACCAGGCCATCAATGGGACGACGACACGTTCGAGATCGTCACCGGGTTCATGTGGCAGCGCGCAGACCTCCTTGTGGGCCTCAAGCATCGCATCCGAGGAGTAGATCTCGGAATACACCCGCTCACGTTTGCCATTGTCTGTGACCCAGAATTGTTCAAAGGGGGTCATGTGGAATGTTTGCGCGACCGGATCTGACAGGGTTCCTTTGATGATGTCGATGAGACGGCGGTGATGGATGTCTTTCACCTCAAACTGAGGGGCAGCTGACTCGCTCGGGAACTTTTTGCCCGTCTTGGGCAACCAAATTTTTACAGACACCTTGAGCCATCCATCCTCGCCTGAGAACGGATTGTCAATGTCATTAAGATAACGGTCAAGGCGCTCATTTTCTTGGTTGAGGTTGAATTTCACGAGCTCCTTCACATCAAATCGAGGATCGCGAAGTGCCTCTACCAATCGATTTGTCTCACCAATAGATTTATCAGAAGACCCAGAGTAGTGCCAGCCAGCAATTTTGGCTGAGCTGTAGTTTGAGAATGGAAAAAACCAGTCTTTTGAACCATTGATCCCAGAGTTTGTCTCGGGGCCACGCGAAGCGGCCGTTTGATTAGTCTGAGCAAGAGTTGGAGTGTCACAGATACTGTCAAGTGAAAATGAAGATTCTGGATCAATCGTTGGCTGTGTCGGGTAGCGACGGAAGAGTCCAAAACCATTTGGCTTCGTGATGATAGGCTTCGGGGGCTCTGGAGTCGAAGCGGAGGGGTGCAATTGTTCTGCAGAAGGTGGTGGCGGCAGAATCAATGTCGCATCTGCAACGCCAGGATTCTGTGCACGAGTTATATTTGGAATATGCGCCAAGGGAGTCGGCGCGACTGGCACAAAGTCGTCAAATCGCCGAGGGAAATGCACAGCATGTCCAGAATGGCCCGAGTGAGTTGATGAATCTGGGGCTTGAGAGAGAGGCTGGGGTAGATCTGAAATGTGGATTCTCTGATTCTCTACATCCACGTACATATCGTTCTTTGGATTGAGAAAAGGTGAGCTTGTGCGTCCATCCGCAAAGTATGTATACTTACATCGAGATCCCGCACCAACTGTTGTGAGCTCCCTTCTCCCTTGTCTCTGCCATCTTCAACACATGCGCGCTTTGTGACTTGATCAGCAGTGGTTTCCTCATCCCATGTGCGTTTTCGGGTAATGATACCCTTGACATATTCCAAATAGGCCATGCAAGACCTGATATGCCGTTTGAGGCCCTTTTCGGATTTGAAGTCATCGCGCCTGCATCCCTGGCAGAGGTGGGGAGCCATTGAGATAATGTATCGAGGGCTGAACACTGAGCGAGGGCTGTAAATGTGATTCACGACGAGGTAAGTATTTGCATTTGTTTGTATGTCCACTTGCACCGTCAACGATGCGACTTACCTCTCTCTCTCTTTGGTGGGGTACCACACGTAGCTGCGCCCACAAGGGAAGTGGCCAGATACCCCACCCCCACAGCATTCATACCATGTCCAACGACCGCTCTCCAGGTCGACGCCAAATTTTGACTAGACTTGACCAGTGATGACGAGGCGCTCAAGACGATGCAGCGGCGGCTCTAGGACCTCCCAGGACCCTCTCGCAAGCTTGCTGAGCAAGTTCAAGCCTGCACCATCCATGCTTGCCGGTGTAGGAGAGCAAGGAATGCGATAATGGAGAAGAGAGAGATGGTGAGTCACCCGTTTGTCTGTCTGCCCACCCACGTCTGAGTCGTTCATGCAGAGCTCACCTTGCAGGACCACTTGGCCACCTCCACCTTCCTACACACCCAAAGGCTCTTCTAGAACCCTGGCCTGCCGTCCTCCAATGCCGTCCTCCCTCACCCACTCACAGGTGAGCTCCTGCTCCCCGCTCACTGCTACCCCACCCGCCTTTTCCAGTGTCCAGAGTACTAGGCCACCGCTTTACCAGAGACCAAACGGTACCGTTCTTCTCCGGTGTCCAGCATAGGCATGGTGGCGCGACAATGAATGGCCCATAGAGGCAGTCGTTCTGGAGGTAGCGCATATCGTACACCCTGATGCGCGCGAGGCGCCTGGCACCGTCGCTCCCACCCCAAAACTCGTTCTCCTCTGCCAGCGCCTCCTCCTCGAGCTCTGCCGCGCTCGTGGACGACTCGTCCTACAGAGTTCATAAATGCGATGTCATTCGCTATGAACGGCAACATTGCATCAAGGTATACTTCCACGTCCATGAGTCCAATCATTCGTTAATGTATTGTCTCGTGCAGTATGGAAATTGGGTCTGCGTATGCACTGCAAGTTTGTCTTCTCCAAATTCCTGCGATGGTTGCCTTTTCGGCTTGGTATGACCCAGCAGACGTAGGAAAGGTTGTCAATACCTTCACGTGCGTGTCTATCGGGTTTTTTTTTCTGTGGCTGATTCGCTCACAATGGTATCCGTAGGTTGATTTTCCCTCGTTGGGATGTCATTGTCATCATCTTGTCTATTTTCCTTTTGACTTATACGTATATTGAAGCAAAGGCCAACTATCATCGTGGCAGTATCCTTATTCTCAGGTACGTGCAGTGTTCTGTCGTCTCGAGTTGTGGGTTTTCATCCTTGTCCCATTTTCCATAGTTATCTCGTACTCGCCTCTGGATTCTATTTTGCGCCTCCTAGAATGGAACACTCCGGTGAAGATACCATGATTTTTGGCGCCACCGTCATCCAGTCCTTTAAGGACTCTGCCCAATTGTTTTTCATGTCCCTAGTCAATTAGATAGTAACATCACCAAGTTGACCAATGAGATGGACTTTTGTTCTCTGCGCTACATGTAGCCGTTACGACTTATTATGATTTCTCGTCTCTACGCATACAATTCAATGTTGATCACATATATAATGGCATCTTGTCTGAGCTTGCACCGTGTTCGCGTTGTTTGCAAAAAAAACACATTTGCGTAGAATTGATGGCACACAAAAAGTACACACGACGCCACTCGTCAGGCGACCTTTTTCTCTCTTGTGAGTGCACCAGGAACCGCGCACGTGCACGCATTGTCGGCACTTGAAACGCGTCTCGCTCACGTTCTCCATCATGTCGAGTCTTGCTCACAAGGCTCGCCCCATTGTCACATCTGATACTGATCACTCCTCCGATGTAGAGTTAGTCAATGAAGAGTCATTGGCAGGCAACAACCCAACAGCATCCAAGCAGGCAATGATCACGAAGACCCACAGGCGCGCGAATGCTCAGTCAGTTTGTTATCTTTTGATCATGGCTGTCATCTCATACGCCACAGGGTGTCTGAATTTGACCAGAAGATCTATGAGCGTGCTGGTCGTTGGGCCCGGTGATACGCTAGAGGTGGCTCTAAGTGCCGGGCACAACACCAAAACAACCTCTAATGCAGGGGGTGCTGGAGCTAGTATCTAATACACAAGGAATTGTTAGTGATGACTTTAGAAATCGATGGCGTACTGAGAAGCAACGGGGAGTATGAGATTATAGCGCCCGAACGGTTTCGGGACTGCGCCGAACACCGACCGAACGTTCGGTCAGTCATGTCGGGGATTCGGTCGGTAACGAGAAGGTAGTGTCGCGACCGACAACTACGTGCTTCAAGAGCCACACGGGACTCTGACAAAATAGACGAGGGAGGATGGGGGTACGAGCGAAGAGATGAGTACGAACGCGAATGAGGCCGAACGACGAGGATGACAAGTTTTCGGGAGTCGATGAAGACGATTTCGATGGTTGAGACGAGTGCGAATGAGCTCTGAACTGTGGGGTGCGAAAGCTGGTTTATTCCAGAGTTGTATGTAGGTTTTTATAGTAAACTGAGCCCCTAAGTAAAATATTAAACAAGAAATGAGAGTAGATGTCGAATGGGCGCCAAGCCTTGGCGATCAGAGAAGATAAGGAGGTAGGTGAGATGTCCATATGGGTTCCGAAGGTGATAAGGTAAAAGGTAATCAGTGATGTCGAAATCCCGAACGTTCGGGATCCGTCGCCCGAGTGTAGGTAGCAGGAACAGGCGTTGGAGAACCAATGAAAAATAAAGAAGAGGTATCGTACGACCAGGGTGGCCAAGCAATGGTGTAAGATTGCGTTTGACCAACCATGCGGAAGTCGGGACGATAAGTGATAAGGACCGACTGACTCACGGAGGACATCGGCCGATACGGAATACTGGCTCCGATCTCGTACACACCTATCGTAACCCTCCTGTGCGGTCATGGTAAGTACGTGAAGTGTGGGCGAACTGACCCAAGTGCTGCCGAATCGTCCTTCGGTGGCTTGTCGTCGGTCGGGTAGGGACCGACCGTGTTCGGTAAAAGTCGGCGTCTTCGGTACTTGTCTAGCACTGTTCGGTATCTCCCCAAAGCTTCCCGAATCCCTCCCTCGGACCCTAGCGCGGGTGCATGCTCATCATCTCCTCCCTACTGAAATCCTGACTGTCCCCAGTCAGTGGTCGGCGGCTATGAGTCGGAGCGGGAAAAAAAAATGGCGTGGAAAATGTGGTGGCGTGGCAACTGATTAGGTGAGGCAGTGGCTGAGACCTAGAGTGCCCCAACTAGACGCTGGCGTGAGAGTCGTGTCGGCAAAGAGCGGTGGCGCGTATCGCGGCTTTTGCTGAACGCAGCGGCACGGGGCTTTGTCAGGTGACCACAATCACCTGATGATCGTTGATTCTCCAGCGACTAAGTCCCTCATCGCCTTCTTTCCTCCCTCTTCGTCTCTCATGTCGTCCCTTATTTCTGTCCTGAAGGCGAAACTCGCCGATTACATGCTCTCCCTCCCGGACGGCGCTGCCGAATATGAGGATTACGAGGTCTGGGGGCAAGGGTTCGCCAAACGGGTGGTGAGTCAGTCCTTCCTCTCGTCTTCTGCTGGCTGCTGACGCCCGACAGGCTGTTTTCGAACGTTCGGCGCATGGGCAAGACGTGCCCGAACTCGCCGACTTTATCACTGAGGCCGAACGTGGTCTCGATCCGATGGCTACTGACGACTGGCTGGTATGGGGAGCGCGAATCCTGCCGCAGCGGGCGGCGCGCGTCGCTTTGCAGCAACAACAGGCGGCCGAGGAACAGGCACTAGTGGAGGAGAGGGAGCGTGTTGCCGTCGCCGAACAGGAGGCTGCCGAAGCTGAGGCGACGCGGGCTGCTGCGGCTCGGAAGTCGGCTGAAGTAGATCGTGAACGGCGCCGGGAGTTGCTGGTGGACGCGATGTTTGATGGCTCGCTCGATCCTGAAGAGGGTGAGCGTCAATTGGCTGAGCTCGAGGCCGAGTCCGTCTTCCCTCTCCCTCTCTTCCTTCTCTCTCCTTCTCCCTCCGCCGCCGCTTCCTCTTCTCATCCTGTCCCGTCCGCCGACTTATCCCATCCCGATCCGTCCGCCGACTCGTCCTATCCCGACCCGTCCGCCGACTCGTCCTATCCCGACCCGTCCGCCGACTCGTCCTATCCCGACCCGTCCGCCGACTTGTCCTATCCCGACCCGTCCGCCGCTGACTCTGCGCTTGCATCCGCAACCGATGCCCTGGACCGAATGAGCATGGGTCGGGTCGCCGCCGCTGCCCCGACCGACGTGAAGGGCAAACAGTCGGCCGCGGCTGTTGTCGTCGAGTTTGCTCACCAACGGACGCCACCTCTTGGACGTGTTGTCCTTCCTCTCGGCCCTGGGACGGGCCGAATGTCGACCGTTAGGTCCCCTGTGGAGCGGAATGGTGCCGGTAAAATGCTCGAAGATCCGCCCGAGTTGTTACCTGGTGATGTACTGGTGAGTTCCCTCCCTCTTGCCGCCGTTTCCTCTTGCTAACCATCCTTCTTCTAGGCCAACTACACTTGTCACCGCTGTGCGACCGCCTTTCTGACCAAGGCGTTCCGTTGCTACCAGAGACCTGGGCTGGTGTCGTGCACTAAGTGTGCCAGGGAGTCGAAGGGGTGTAGCTTCCAGCCCGGGTGGATGCCGGTGGAGAAGGGGAAGGGGAAGTCGAAGGAGAAGGGGAAGGGGAAGTCGAAGGAGCAGTCGGCGCCCAAGGCGGAGGAGAGGGAACGCCCCTTAAAGCGTCGTAAGGTAGAGGTGGTTATCCCCGTGCGGTCAGTCGGGGATAGCATCGCCCAAACGAAAGGTAAGTTATTTTTCGGTTGGATTGGAGATGGGAGCTCATCGTTCGGTATTGTTCGGTGCAGCCGTTCGCACCCGAAAGCCGGTCCAGCGGCTTCCTACCACGGCTAGGGCCGTCCTCGCTCCTACCCGCCCTTCCCGCGCTCGTTCGGCTGCCTTCCCCGCTCCTTCCGACTCTTCTCTTCTCTCGCCCATCGTCGCCCAAGGCATCGCGTCTGAGCTTCGGTACCGCATCGCGGTGGCTGAGGGTACGCGTGCTTCGCTGGCGTGATCAGTCGCGATGTGGCAGGCTGAGCTCGAGTCGCTCGAGGTGCGGGCGGGTCCATCCACGTCCCCCGACGCTGTCTTGGTCGAGGACTCGTCGGAGGCAGACGATTCGGGAAGGTCGGTGTCGGACGACTTTCTTCCCGATGAGTAGAATAGCTTCGAGGGTTCTGTCGTATAGTAAAATGTATCATAAAAGTGAATGGACTGTCCTGAGTTTAAACTGAGACGTTCGGTGAAGACTAGAGGCATTGTTTCGGAAAATCGGTCGGCGAAATGGCTGTGTGAATGTACTTGTAAGCGACGCGTTCGGCAGAAATGAAGAGAATAAATTGGAATATTAGGGGAAGCCTCAGTATGTCATCACAGGCATAAAACCCTATGGTTTTGCGCAAATCGGAAGAAGTCTTCAATGCGGCTTGGTACTTGAAGGAGTGATGGGGAAAATGAGTGCCGACTATTCGGTCGGCGATTGGTCGGCGGCAAAAGTACTAAGAGATGCGGAAATAATCGGGTGTCAGTCCATGTCTGTGACGAATAAATTGGAATAAGGAATGGGTATATCTGTGCATCCTCCTCCCTACTGAAATCGTGACTGTCCCCAGTCACCGACCGAAGAGAGCGAAGAGTGGGAGGGTGGGTCTAGTCGGAAGTCGCCGAAGCCACATCGTCGTCTTCTGCTGATCGGATGGAGCTGGTGTCGGTATCCTCTTCGTCGGCGTCGTCGTCTTCAGCGTCGTCGTCGTTCGATCTGGATTCTTCCATGGCCCGAAGGCGTGCTTGTGAGATGTCGAGGAGGGCTTCAAGGTCGGAGAGCTTCAGAGATCTGTGAGCAAAGTAAGGAATAATGCGGAATGCTGCCACTGGCCGATCAAAGACCAATCCGTCAAGTTCGGCCAGAATATACGCTCCTCCTCGGTTCCTAGAAATCACCAGCAAAGGTCCCAAATATCGTGGACGCATCTTCCGATTGAGCGCCTTTTCTATGGCTGTGTTGCGCATCAGGACAAGCGAGTCTCGGTGGAAATTGAAGTCGCGAAGGGTGGCCGAATGCTGTTGTTCGAATCGGATGGCGGCCTGGACACGGGCGCCGACAACTGAGCTGCGAAGGTGGGCGAGGTCCGATCGGCGTTTCTGCAAGGCTATGGCCCGTCGGGTGATGAGGTCGGTGGTGCTGAGGGTTGTGGGCGGCGGTGGCAGGAGGTAGGTGGCTTCGGCGATGTCGAGGGGGAGAAGGGGATGGGTTCCGGTCGCTGCGAAGTATGGCGAGCAACCCATTCAGCGCCGAACAGTAATGCGATCAGCCCAGAATACGAAATGAGCTGCACAATTCCACTTGGCCTGATCTCCATCAACGGCTTTGAACAGGGCCTGCTGAACGTCGAAGTGAGGTCGTTCGGCGATGCCGTTGGCGCGGGAATTGTAGCCCGAAATGCGGATGTGCCGAACGTGGTACTTTTTCGCTAACTGGTCGAGCGCCTTGACGAACGCTGGTCCGTTGTCGGAGACGATCTCTACCAATGTTCCCCATCGGCACAGGATATCCTCGAAGATCCAGTCGGCGAGGGCTGAGCTTGTTTCGCGTCGCAGCATTCGGAATTCGGGGTAGTGCGATACTGAACAGCGACCTTGAAGGAGATACTTGAAACCACCAGCGGTCGGCATGTGCATGGTGTCCATATACATCTTCGCGAAGAGTGGTGCAGGCGTGGCGACGGTTGGGGGAATGAGGACGTTGCGAGTCTGGCGAATCTGGCAAAGGTGACAGGTCCGAACAAACCAGGAAATGTCTTGCCTCATGTGCGGCCACCAGAAGCGTTCGGCGATCAAGGCAGTCGTGGCGTAGAAACCCTTGTGAGCGACGTCGTCGTGGGCGGCAGTGAGAATTGTGATCCGACTAGAGGGGGCTGCAACAATCTTGTGTCGGCCGTGTGAGTCTTTTCTCCATAGCTTGTCGGCTGCGATAAAGAACTCAGTGCAATATCGTAGAAAAGTCGCATATTCGGAGTCGGAGAGAGAAGGGGGCCGAACCAATGTTCGGTGCCAGTCGCGGACCAACCATAGGCGTTCTTCGGCTTCCAAAGCTTTTTGCGATCTTGGGATATCTGAGTAGTCGATGGTCGGGCCTTCGTCGTCGGACTCGGTATCGGTCGGGAGGTTGCCTATGAGCGAGGAGGTGAAGATGGTGGTTGTCGAGGTTGAGATGGAGGTGGGGAACGTGTTGTTGATCTGATGGAGGAAGCCGTAGAGATTGTCGATCCAGTCGTCAAAGTCGTCTTCGGGTTCGGGTCGATCGGAGGGTTGTGGTGGTCGTCGGGAGAGGCCATCGGGGCCATGAGAGGTGCCGGGGACGTGGACAAGTGTGAAATGGAAGGTGAGGATGGAGACGATCCACCGATTGATGCTGGCGCTGGGTTCGAGATCCGGGTTAGTGAGCATGCCCTTGATGTAGCGTGCGTCTACTTCGACTATCAGGTTCCGAACGCCGATGAGATACATTTTGAGCGATCGGAGGGCACGGAAGAGGCCGTAGAGTTCGAGCTTGGGTTGGGAGAATCGTGATTCGCGGTCGTTAAGGGTGATGGAGCCGAATCGGGCATAATACCGAACCCGCGGATTGTCGAGTGCGCATTGACAGAGGTGGAAGCCGACCGCAATTTGAGAGGTATCGACGGCGAGGATGACGTTGGCTGCCGACCCATAGTCGATCGGCCGCAGGGCTGGCGATTCGAGAAGTGCCGACTGTTATGATCACGTTCTGTCGGGCCTTAACGGCGGTCTATACCGACACGATCATCACAAATATCACGCGGCCTCACAGGTTGAGGCGTACACCAAGGTACAGATATTAACCTTGGTCATCCACTCCCAACGGATCACCTTATCGTTGGTCGAGTATCACGGGCCTATTGTATTAGCGGGCATGGAACGCCGCCTTATAAATTACTCACACGCAGGGCATGAACCTCCTAGTCTCTCCTGGCCGGAAGGAGACCAACGGAGAAGCACAAGAGTAGTCGTTATTGAGAGAGACGACTTAGAGAATACCTACAGATACATATTCGGTATTCTCACGCCCTACTTCCCAAAGTAGTATAAAAGGCCCATAGAATAGGCTGACGATCTTCAGTCTATTCTCTTCGTTCAGTACTGTCTTCCTACAGTACTCCTTCGTTCTTAGGCAGTCTTCATACTGTCTACCCTTCATTCGCTGCAGTCTACCTACTGCAGCCTTCATTGTTATATCGCAATACACTTCTGGCTCCTGTGCTGCACGTACAGTCGAGACCACCGTTCCACACATCCTCCACGAGTGACCTAGGGAAGAACCTCCTACTCTTGGGGTTACCGACGAGCAGTCGTAACACCGACCGGAGGTCGTCCTGGGCCGCTATCTGGTCTGGGCCGAACACGAATGGAAAATCTTTGCGCGTTAACATTGTCAGTGCATGCGCCCTGTGTGCAAAATTCCGAATGAAGATCCGAACGACACCGATCGTCCCCAAAAATGCCCAAACGTCAGAGAGATCCCTGCAAGGTCCCCACTTCATAATTGACTCTACCCTAGATTCGTCGGGTAATCGTCCTTCATACGTGCACCGATGGCCGACCACCGTGATTTCGGCTGCGCAGAGTGTCGCCTTGTGTCCCGAAAAGGTCCCTCCGCTATACTTCATCCGCTGAACCACTCGATTGAGGCCTTGAAAGTGTTCCCACACAAACCGTCGTATGCCGGGGTTGTCGGGATGCGTCTCGAAGCCGCCGTTCGGAAGTTCGTATCGGGTTGGCGGGCCCCGAATCGGAACATCGTCGATGAAAGGAATGGTGGTGTCTGGTATCTCTGGCTGGAGGATGTGGGTGACGTCGTCGTGGAAGATCGGGACCGAATTCGTCCATCCCATGGGTAGGGTGACGAGTCGGTGGGCGCCGAATGGGGTCTGGAACGTGGTGAAGTCGCGAGATGATTCGGAGAGCCCTCGTTTGTCATAGCCGACATAGAGATCCAGAATGCCGCCGCAGGCGCGAGCTGCAAACTGTTCAGCGATCTGATCGGTATATGGGGGCACACCTGAATGCTGGATGGTGACGGCGTTCAGGGGTTCGAGGCTGTGAACGATTCGGAGTTTGGTGCCAGTGGAGGTGCTATTCGTCTTCTTGACAACCGTAAACCAGCGCGATCGGTAGGACGAATTCGACGGCTCATAGACTCCAGCGGCGATCTTGGTTTTGATAAGTCGGCACACTTCGTCGTAGATGCCTGGTGGAATCGGAATGTTGCGTTGAACCCAGGGCTTGTGTTCGACCACCGGCATATTGACTGGAGGAAAGAAATCCTCGCGGAAACGTCCGCGTTCCGAATCGTCCCAGGCAAATCCCATCTCTTGTAGACACATGAAATGGTGCATGAGCTGTCGTTCGGCTGGCCAAAGGAAGTCGTCCAAGTGGACTTTGTCGATGAGGTCGCGTCGTTCGGCTGTGTATCTGCCGGTCGGCGTGAAGGGTGGGGGGTTCGGTGTCAGCGTCGGAAGGGCAGCGAGAGGGTCACCGAGGATGTTCCGAACGATTCGGAACTTTTCGAGGAGGTCGGCCAAGACTGGTCGTGTTTTCTGTGCGACCGGTTTGTACTTGCGCTTGGCGGCGAAAATGGTGACCGGGTCGGCGATATTAGTGGAATGGAGAGAACCGGGAACGAATGAGGAGAATAAGGACAACATATCGGAATCGAGATTGTTTTTGAGATGATTTTCGGGCCCCAAATCGGAGGCCATAATGTACTTGAGACAAAGATCGCGACGAGAGGGAGATGGAGAATGGAAATCTGAGGACGCTTCGATAAGTGGGAAATGGGGGGTATCATGATCGGTGGAAATGATCAGTGCAACTTCTCCTTGATCTCGGATCAATTCATCGAGTCGCGAAAACCCGCTTGTCTTCGGTGAAGGACTCGAGGGGGTCCTCGTCTGATCGTCGGAATGGTGGCTCGTCGTCCCGTGTTCGGGTCGCTGATGGTGATCGTCTGGTCTTCGTTTGAATAATTTTTGACGATACTTTCGGTGAGGATGTCGAATGGCCGACCGAGGAGAACGTCATAGGCGGGGTTCCGAATGATGTGGACTTGGAGGTACAGGGTGATGTCGCCGATGAGGAATGGCACGTTGCGTGCCAGGCCCAAGGATCGGTCGATTTCGCCGTTCGCCGACTGCATATTGAGGACGATTTCGGGGTCGTAGATGAGCGCCAGTTCGTTGCAAATGCCTTCCGACATGGCAATGACTTGTGAACCCGGGTCGATGACGCATTCGACTTCCTGCTGATGATCGACGAGGGGAACAATAGACCTTAGGGCAGACGATTCTTTAGCAACTATCAATGGCTGAGGAACCTGACCGGGCTGTAGATTCTTCAGGTACGTTTCGTACATGTCGGGGATGATGATCGCGCCCGGCGGGGGTGTTTCCGGTTGGTGCAGGACATTGACGAAGGAGGAGACGGTCGGTCGAGTCGGTGGTTCGAGGTCGTCGATGGCATAGGGTAGATCGGCATCTTGGTAGAAGGTCCGAACATTGCTGGCGTCTCTGGCAGGCGATCGGCGTGCCGACGTGGCTTCCCTGACCTGTGAACGGACTTCGGCGGAGAGAGAGAGTAGTTCGCGCTGGGTAAGCGTCACCTGAGTGGCCATTGCCCTGTTGTAGACCTCAGCTGCTACCTTCTCGTCGTAGATCGGTGCCGTGGTTTTGTAGGCCGGAGCGTCCTTCTTTGCCAATGGTATCTTCGCCGGGGCTCCCATGTTGCGGTCGTGTGGCGGTGCATAGGTGGCGTCCTGGGCTTTGGCATATGGGTGGATCGGAGCATCGTCCTTGGCTGGTACCGGGGGTGGTCGCTGAGTCGGGGTGGTCGGTCGGGGTTCGGGTTCGGGAGTTTCGGTCCTCGCTCGTCGTTCGGGGGCCGGTGAAGGGGTAGGTGCCGAACGTCCTGCCTGCGCCATTTCGCGTGCCCTTGCGCCCTGCGTTCGGAGCGCGAATAGTTCGTGTTCGAGGCTCGCGATTCGCTGGACGTCGGTGAGTTGGTAAGTCGGGGTGACATCCAGCAATGAGGGTGAATCGTGACGGGAGGCTATCGTCATCGGGTGAGTCGGCACCGCGTTTACCGTAAACATCATCTGTCCGGTCGCCAACTGGCCTGGATTCCTGCGATGCCATTCGTCAACTCGGTCCTTCAGGTTACTACCCGTGATTTCTCTCGGTACGAATGCCCCACTTGACAATACCACCTTCCCCTCGATATTCCTCTTGCATTTTCCGATCCGAATGTATTCGGTGACCTCGGGACAGGCGCGCATGAAGTGTTCGGGACTGCCGCAGAACATGCAGTTGTCGCCGCCTTGTCCTGGCTGTCGGGATGGTCGATCGGCTGGCCTGGTCGTCCCCTGAGCTGTGATGGCCTTGACAAAGGTGTCGGTGAGCCGTTCGAACATGGTCGCCAGGTCTTCGGCCTTGATCGCGTTGGTGGGCGGCGTGGCGGGGGCTGCTCGAGAGATGTCGGTAGGGATCGTGCTGTAGGCGGACGTGGTGCCGTGCAAGACGAATCGGGCCGTGTCGTGGATGTCTTGGAGGTTGTATGGGTCGTCTGGGAAATGATTGGGGAACTTGAGTTGTAGACGTTGAGAGATTCTTGCCCATAGCTCCGGTTGGAATCCTCTAGCGAAGGCGCGTCCTTGTTCGGCGACCGAGATCCGTGCCTTGCTGAGGAGGAATACCATGATCGCCAGGAATCGCCGATGATAGTCGCCGAGTTCGCTGAGAGACAAGATGCCGACCCTGCTCGTTTCGCCGACTAGCTTGTCCATATCCGATACCGACCATTTGCGTTCTTCCTCCGATCCGGGGTATAGCCTGTAGACCTCTTCGCAGAACTCCTTGAAGGTCTTCGTGGCATCGGTGAAAGTGGTGAGCGATTCCCAAAGCTCACAGGTGTCAACATCTAGGAATCGGCAAGCGTGTTTCTTTCTTTCTTGTTCGTCCACTACCGCAGACCGAACGAAGTGGAAGTCCAGATCGGAGAAATATCGTCTCAATTCGCGGGGTTGATGGGGGTCAAAGGTCGGGGCCGTTCGATCTCCACGAGCGGGCATGGATGGGGTCGCCATAGTGAGAAAGTCAAAGGTGGGGGAGAAGGTATTGTTTTCTAAGGTGATCGGGGATGGAGTCGCTGGTTCGAAGGAGCGTTCTAGTGAAGTCGGTCGGATGGTCGGCGTCCAGAAGACGGGGCTGCGTGGGATTAACGGAGAGATGGAGTCGTGGAGAGATGGGATAGGAGACGGGGGTGATTGTTCTAAGAGTGCAAGGTCGAGGATAGGGGAAATCGGTGGGAGTAACGATCGGTTCGGCGACGAAGGTGGGGTTAAGAAGAAAGTGGAGTCGGGTGGTGGTGAGAGCGCTGGCGAGGATTCGAGATCAAGGTAGTGATGGTGGGATAAGTGTTCTGGGACTATATCGGCGTCTCCGAACAAACTTCGGTCGGCAGATGTTTCCTGAGTATTGAAGCTATCGATAACTGTTTGTCGTTCTTCGCGCTCCGCTGTTGGTCGGGATGAGCGACGTAGATTCCTTGAGGTAATTTTGAATACTAACCCCTCGCGGTGGGCTCCAAAATGATATGCTAGAGGTGGCTCTAAGTGCCGGGCACAACACCAAAACAACCTCTAATGCAGGGGGTGCTGGAGCTAGTATCTAATACACAAGGAATTGTTAGTGATGACTTTAGAAATCGATGGCGTACTGAGAAGCAACGGGGAGTATGAGATTATAGCGCCCGAACGGTTTCGGGACTGCGCCGAACACCGACCGAACGTTCGGTCAGTCATGTCGGGGATTCGGTCGGTAACGAGAAGGTAGTGTCGCGACCGACAACTACGTGCTTCAAGAGCCACACGGGACTCTGACAAAATAGACGAGGGAGGATGGGGGTACGAGCGAAGAGACGAGTACGAACGCGAATGAGGCCGAACGACGAGGATGACAAGTTTTCGGGAGTCGATGAAGACGATTTCGATGGTTGAGACGAGTGCGAATGAGCTCTGAACTGTGGGGTGCGAAAGCTGGTTTATTCCAGAGTTGTATGTAGGTTTTTATAGTAAACTGAGCCCCTAAGTAAAATATTAAACAAGAAATGAGAGTAGATGTCGAATGGGCGCCAAGCCTTGGCGATCAGAGAAGATAAGGAGGTAGGTGAGATGTCCATATGGGTTCCGAAGGTGATAAGGTAAAAGGTAATCAGTGATGTCGAAATCCCGAACGTTCGGGATCCGTCGCCCGAGTGTAGGTAGCAGGAACAGGCGTTGGAGAACCAATGAAAAATAAAGAAGAGGTATCGTACGACCAGGGTGGCCAAGCAATGGTGTAAGATTGCGTTTGACCAACCATGCGGAAGTCGGGACGATAAGTGATAAGGACCGACTGACTCACGGAGGACATCGGCCGATACGGAATACTGGCTCCGATCTCGTACACACCTATCGTAACCCTCCTGTGCGGTCATGGTAAGTACGTGAAGTGTGGGCGAACTGACCCAAGTGCTGCCGAATCGTCCTTCGGTGGCTTGTCGTTGGTCGGGTAGGGACCGACCGTGTTCGGTAAAAGTCGGCGTCTTCGGTACTTGTCTAGCACTGTTCGGTATCTCCCCAAAGCTTCCCGAATCCCTCCCTCGGACCCTAGCGCGGGTGCATGCTCATCACCGGAAGGGTATAGACCCTTTCCGACCCCTCGAACAAGCTTTTTGGCACAGCATCAACTGCTTGTCCAGAAGCACTGACAACTCCACCAAACTCCATGCCTTGATGGCTGGAGAAGTGTAGGTCTTCATCATGACCTTCGTCTTCTTCTGACCTTTCCATTGTGCGCCAGATCTGACAAAGAGAAGGCCCAGTACCGACGCATATACAACGCGATCGTGAGCTATGTCCCGCAGTTGGGCCAATTGGCCAAACAGCCAGGCAATGGTGACCTTGCAAACAAGGCACTCGAGACGGCAAGTGGATATATGCGCTTATTTTGTTTTGAGAGGTCACTATATGCGTGCATACGTTGACCATAGCTTTACAGATGAATAAGGCTGGTGCACAAGGACGCAGTGACGACACCAACAGCATCAAAGGCCAGATCCTCAAATTCATTCCAAAGCTCCTCAATGCTGGCCTTGTCCCTCCGCTCTCTGAAGTCACAAAGACTGGACGAGGGTTTGATCACCCCCAAACAGCATTCTATCTGATGCCTGCACGCTGGGTCAGTGAATGGAAAAAAGATGCTGACGGGTAAGTTTGCATCTCGCAAAAGTATACTCGCTAACATCATTTATAGAACCTTTTGCAAACTGAAAGATGGACGGCTGAGCATCAGCGCAGATCTGATGCCGGCATTCATGTACCAAGATCCCGATTTGTATAATCGTCTCCAGCCATATGAAGGATTTGCGCATGGGCATATTCTCATCCACGTAAGTTTCATTCTAAGTCACTAATCTTGCTAACTAGTCATTTTAGGTTGCCCAAACGTTATACACGTGCCCGTTGTCCGTCGATAGGATAAGTGGCACAATCAACCCCCGCAGCAATGCCCGAAAGCTTGGCATCCAGCGCATGACGCCAATGCTAATTGCTTACGCCGCCGCACATGTACGTCAAGTGAACACTACTATTGCCATACTTATTTCTATTGCAGACACGATTTGCCCTGGGCTCGACGAAAAGCTGGGACACCGAGGGCAGTGATGGCTTCAATTACCATGCATTTGTCGACAATATCATTGCTGCATTCGAGAATGATCCGGACTGGGCCAAGGACACTCTTCAATATTGGAACAAGCATGTAGTCTCTTTTTTGATACCTGCCTGATGCTCAATCATTACAGGAAAATCTTTTACACTGATGAAGACCTTCAAACCACTGAAAAGTCCCCCAAAGACCGTGAAATGACCAATGCAGATTTTTTTGCTGCGCGGCGTGAGGAACACGAGTTGTGCCGAGCAACAAGTATTCTCCTTCATGTAATTCAATTATGGCAATACTGATATGATCGTGGTTCTAAACAGACTCTGTTCCTGCTGCATCTGAATCAAGTGCTGATACAGAACCTGTGCCTGCGCCTGCTGTATTTGAATCAAGTGCCGACACGCGACCTGCACCTGCACCTGCTGCTATATCTGAGTCGAGTGCCAACACACAAACTCCACCTGCGCCTGCTTCACCAACCATCGAGACGACTCAAGAGAATTTGGATTCTTTAGCTCCCGCGTACCCAGTCGCTCCACTCCCTGTGAAGACGGTGTCTTTTGTGCTGGATCCCCTGACTCCGTTGTCTTCACCTGGCCCTCAGGCAGCATCTTCATCTACTATGTGGACCAACTTGTCTCCTCACACATCCCCTAGCCGCCATTTGACATGCCCACCGGTTGCCAGCAGCTCTGGTGTCACCTCTCACCCGAAGCCGAGGCCACGACCCAAGCGCAAGCCTGCAGATGACCCTCCAGCTGGCGCTGAGATAAAACGCCCAAAAACTCATCCTGGATCTTCAGCGAAGCGCCCGACAAGAATGCAGCCGTTACGCACTTCCTAGGTACTATGCATTTCCCCTGATCTGTAACGGCATGCATCGTATGTCTTTCAAACTCCTGTGTATTAGTATAGCTAGTGTATAATGACAAGGACATCGAATTTTATAAACGAGCTTGCCAGTCCGAGTGGATCAGACATGAGAATGTGGAGCCTGCAAACATTGACAATGACATTCATGATATATCTATTCTTGAATGACCTGCCCAGGGTGGAGGAATCTGATATGAGCTGCCGAGACTGGCCAGACTGGCGAGATCTCGTCAGACTGACCAAATCTCGCCATGATGGCCATTTTCATGTTACCCTTCCCGACTCTTACAAGACCGGCGGCGCCTGGCGAGGCCGTGTCACCACCCCCCGCTTACATAGCCTTCCCAGGCCGTGTCCGGCCATGGAAGATCTGCGCGCTTTTCCTGATGTAGTCTCCGCTGCTGACCAACACAGAAGATTGCAGTTGTTCTGTGTTAAGGTCTGCTTCCAAATGATCAAACCTTGCAGGTAGTATGGATTTTGGCTTTAGCCGGTCGCGCTCAAGGGTTTGAGGCCTCCTGCCGAGCAATGCCGTGATTGATAATCAATCGAACATCAGCTCGATGACAACATCGTCAGCATGATTACCATACATAAGCATGACCCTCCGAGCAGTGTAAATCTGAGTTGCAGGTCACATATCATGAATCCCTCATTCTATGGGACACAAGGGAGCCAATCTCATGACTATATTCAACATTCACTCTTCTATCAGACACTAATGATCAACCTGCCTTAGACACAAACCCCGCAATATAAGACAAACCCACCAAAGAGGAAAGCAGATGGTCAACCTGCAGCTCGCTGATGAGCATGGGTGTTTTCTAGGCACCAATACCCCACTTTTCACAGCTTTTCAGTATTATTTGACCATTTGGCATACTTAGGACTGACCGATCCTGATCCGTTTGGCGATCTCAGCTATTTGTCAGGTGCCAACTTTGCATTTAGACCTCTGCACAGTTGTTTGGAGCTGTTCACAGTCATCTTATCCATCTATCATCACTCTTAGCAGTAGGGGCTCTCCACAGACTGTCACGGCTGATCGCCAATCGGTTCAGTATGCTTTACATGGTCGGCACATTCGGTCGGCTTCGGTGTCCCAAATTGGAGGCAGCCGAACACTTTGTTGACTTAGAATGGATCTGTCTTTCTATCTCTTATTATTCTTATAACTTCTGTTGACCTATCCTTTGTTATCCTCAGAGCTCCCAAGTTTTTAAATGGTTTACCCATGTGGCATGTGATTCTTATCTTCAGGTCCATGTGGACTCACCTTGGCAATCTCTCCACTTATTTAGAATTTAGAGTTATTGCTTCTTATCTTATAGTGTTTGCAACATCACTCTCTTATCTTCTTTACCTTTGATCACTCTTGGCACACATTTCCGATTGTTCTATGCCTCTGCCGATCTCCTTATCTTGTACCTATTTGGACTTACTATAAAAGAGCACCTATGGCCTTGCAATACATCAGCTTTGGCTCCCCCCTTGTTCCAACTCCATTTGTGTGCTTGTGTCCATAAGACTTTGAGCTATTGCATTCCAACCCTTATTCACAGTTTTCCCCTTTGTTTGTGTTGTTGCATTTGATTGCAGCCCTCTGTCAGAGCCCTTGTCATCTTGCTCTCTTCCTCTCATCTAGTATGTCACCCTCTGCCAGTGTCTAGTGTGGCCTCACACCTATTCCCTTCCCTTTGCATCCTGATTAAATCCCAATGAAACACTGACCGACCAACTGACCTACTGACCGACTGACTAACCTACCAACTGACCAACTGACTGCCCAACTGCCCAACCAACTGACCAACCAAATATTTCAATTTTGGAGTTGTTTGTTTGCTACACTCCAAACACTTTTAGTATGCTTTTTTGTTGGTTGTTCCACAGGTTATAGTTTCTTGCATACTAGAACCAGCTCCTGCCTACCTGTGCTTATAGGGGTGTTTCTTGGGTGTGTTTTGCACTCAGAAGCATCACTAGCATATCATCGCCCATACAAACTGTGGCGCCTAGACAGTTAAAAGCTTAATGACATTCTGGTGAAGATTCAGGAGGCTGACTAGACTCTTGGGGAGTTCCTGCACAAGCTCTTTGCCGAGCCTAGAAAACAATCAGTCATGGAAAATCCTGCCAAAAAAAAAGCAAAAGGGATATCCTTCCGATCTGACAGCCATGGACAATATGTAGCAAAATTTCTGTCCGGGAGCACAGAGTACAAGCCCTGTGACATCATGAAGCTCATGTATTGTAGCAAGGCAGCCCGACCACCATACTTTCAACCTGACACGCACCAGTACTTCTCAGTGTCTCAGTGGACACAAAGTACTCAGACATCAGGCATGCATACCCTGGACTATCTACCTGGGCCCTGGAGCTCGTTATATCCTAACTGACAAAAGAATCAAACTACCTTTCATCAGAGAAATCTCATCTTCAAGTGCATGCCTCACAAAAGAAATCGGAAGCACTGAGTGAGGAAGGCATTGTCCTTGCAACCAAAGCACCACAAATACAAGAGGTTTCAATACCCATATCTTCTCATCCACTGCTGCCAAATGAGCCAGAAACAAATCTGCAAGTGCTGCCAATTGAAGATGTGGATTCAGGTTCAGAGAACGCATGGGATGACATAGAAGACACACTGCTGAATGGAGATGGACAGGTGACAACAGGATCAGGTGACAGCAAGGCAGAAGCAATGGAACCTACAGAAGAGAGTGTGGTGTGCTCAAATGATCTTGCTGGAGGTCCTAATGCAATGACAACAGAGCCGCTATCCATGGTCCCACAGATCACAGACACCACATCCATGGTCCCACAGATCACAGACACCACACCACAAGAGAAAGAGACCATCGCAAGGGTTGGCATCTCATGGAACATTGTCAGTGGGTTTTCATTTGAGGCACTGCGCAAGACCTATAAGACACATGCACCGACTACTTGGCACCTATTATGGAAATTTGTGGCACCAAAATCTGTGAAGAAATGTCGAAGAATGACAGCACGCGTGTACTAACATAAATGGATTGTGAGTGGAATCTTGATGAGTTCTTGACAGGCTATACTTACCCATTCATTTTTCAGGCTTTCACAAGTATCTTGAGCGAGCTTGTCTATATTAGGAATCAGTGGGCTAATTTGTTGCTGCTCTGTCAGTCCATCGCACTATTTGGTTCAAAAGCCTATCATTCTATTTACAGAGTGGGCAGTTGCTTAGTGAAATGCACACCTTTTTCAACTACATGTTGCACACTAGTCCAAATGGCATAGGAGGAATGCGTCGTGCTTTGCACACTGGTCAAGACAGGTGAAAAGCACTTCATGACAGTTATTGATAATGTGCAGGTGTATGCACATTATTGAAAGCGATACATGGGAGGTGAGAGTTGCATGATTACTGGCACAGGGGGCACAGTGGTGGAAATGGAAGACTGTCCAGATGGAGCCTTTAAACTTTAGCCAATTTTAGATCTCTATGCAAGAAGAGAACATGAGATGCTTACAGTGGAAACACTTGCGGACAACATCAACTGCAGCCATTTAGAGAAAGTGGCATTGTACCACTGGCTGGCTGCTCTTGTGGCTTACATTCCAGACCTTGCTAGTTATCATATACTGGTGGCATGTCTATTTAAAGAGAAGGCTGTGGAGCATTAGATCAACTCCTATTGGCATACCAAGATTTATCCCTTGGGCATGAACAGTGCCCAGGAAATCACTCCACACAGTGCAAAGGATGCCATAGTTGACTCCTTGTCACAAATTGGTATTGAAGAATCAACCGCCTAAGGTGATATTTTATTTTTTACTGGAAATGGGTTAACCTTCACAAACATAAACAAAGTGAAGGCTTACCTTTCAAGCAAGCCAGGGAACTTCAAATCCTTCTGCTTTATTCAAGGGGTCCTTGAGATTTGGCATACCAAGTGGATGGACTTGAGCTGCATCTGTCATGGCACTTGGGGTACAGGGAGCCCATTGGATCCTTTTACCCTAGGCTATATCTGGAAAAACACCCCCTTGTATTAGCTCTGGATTATATCTAATAGCATCTAAAAGTATCTAAAAGTGTTAATAGCATCTAAAAGTGTCTAATTTCCTAATTGGGAGCAACACATTGTAAGCATTGGATTGGTTTCTAATTTCATGATATTAGCACTAATTCTATACCAAGAAGTCTTTAATTAGCAGTAGGAAATAGTAAGTACTACTGCTCTATCAGTAAGAAAATAAAAATGTGGCACATTTTATACTATTTTAGCATATTACTCTTCTTCATATATGCCTGTACCATAATCTTGTAGCTCTTTTGCTGACTTTACAGCTGCCTTTAAAAGGACATAGAAAGAGAAAAATATGCATTGATGCCCCTAGCCACTTTGTTGGCAGCTGCCAAGCTGCCACAAGAGGCTATAAAGACCTTAGTACCTTGGCCTTGCATACAAGATCATTAAAGTTGTTATTGTTAGCCAATGCCTGCTACTGGTTATTATAGAACACAACATGTGGGTTGGGCTTAGGGATATGCTATATGCAGCCTTGTAGACCTTGTCTATTAGTACAGTGATTAATACTGTCTTGTGCAGCACATAATCATCATCACTATTGATACTACAATTTTTAGCACTATTTATATTGTTTATTGCCTTGTTATACAGAAGATGCTCAAACTTGGTGTTTTCCTCTAGCTATTAGGCTGTGGAAAAGACAGTCATATTGGTATGTGGTGCCAGAATGATATATTTGCCTGCCATTGAATATTACACTCAATCATAGTTTTACACATTCTCAGTCCAAATTGTATAAGTGCCATAATTTTTTTTATCCTATATAAAGTATAATATCAATTTTCCATTGGTTTATTATCTTCTTAGCTGGTGTTTAAACTAAATCCTGAAAGACCTGACTTTTTAGGTATTTATTGACCTATTTATTTATAAGATAGAGGAAAGATAGATGTTAAATAAAATCAGAGATGTTGAGGTTGCCTATATTATGTCTACTTATTTAGATTACCAAGTTTATATCTTAGACCTTGTGGTTTAGTGGCTTAGAGCATCTGTCCCAGGTGCTTGCATACATGAGGTTGTTGGTTCAACTCTGGCAGAAGGCAAGTTTGTTATAAGGTATATTCTGTGTTTAGGTATTGAACTAGTGCTTTAATAGACATGACTCTATAAGAAGGCTATGAGAACTATGATGCTTGATTTATTATGATTTTTCTGAAATTTGAAGTTATAATCAATCCTAATAATTCCTAATTTAGGAAAATTATGTCTAATTAGAACAGGTTTAGAGGGGGGTAAGCTAAAAATGTCTAATCCTAATCGTTCTTAATTATGCATAAATAGGGCTAATTAGAGCTTAATACAAAGGGATGGTTTTCCAGATGAGTTCAGCCATCAAGGTTAAGATCGCCACTTCCATTCCTTTGACTGCAGAAGGATGCCTTCGATATAACTCTGCAATGGCTTCCTTGGCATTGGTGACATTTGCTGCTGATTCCCAAGAGTTCTCCAATTCAGGATAGCCTTTCCATTTGATCAGATATTGCAGGGTCTTTTATTGACCGAAGCGTTGGGGCCCAATGATCTTTTCGACTTTGAATTCTTCTTGACCTTTAATCAGGTCCAGAGCTGGTTTGGGATAGTTAGGACTATAGACTGTGTTCTCCTTGTAGGGCATGAGTCAACTAGCATGGAAGATGTTGTGAATGCATTGCCAGCTGTTGGGCAGTTTCAGCTTGAAATTGACTGTTCCGATAGTGTCAATGATCTCAAATGGCCCAAATCGTTTGGGTCTTAGTTTCTCTGAAGGGTGGTCCATGTGGATGTGCTTTCCATCTAACCATACTTGGTCTCCTTTCTTGAAGGGCAGTAGTTCCGTTCCAAAATGGTCATGTTATATCCTCATGGCTTTAGCTGTGATTTTGAGACTGGCTTGTGCTTCCTTCCTAGCACGTTGCAGAGTGTCAAGTCGTGTGTTGGTGGTGGGTACATTCGTGTTTCCTATAATGGCTAGATATGCTCTCGGTTGGTATCTGTGGAGAAGTTCAAATGGTGACTTCTTCATGGCTGAGTACTGATGTATATTGTGGGCATATTCTGCATAAGGAATTAGATCAGCCCAATCGTCTTGTAACGAGTTGCAAAATACTCTGAGATATTGCTCCAGTTCTTGGTTCATTCGTTCAGTGGCACCATCTGTCTGTGGGTGGTATGCTGTGCTAAGCAACAATTTGATCCTTAGTTCCTTAAGTAGTGCTTGTGCTACTTTTAACATGAATTGTGTCCCTCTGTCTGATATGATTTTATCGGGCAGTCCGTATTTTCTCCAGGTGTGGTCTAGTAATAGTTGGGCTGTTCTGTCTAAGTTGATGCTTTTCAGACATGGTGTGATTATCATTACCTTTGTGAATCTGTCTGTTACTACGTGGAGTGAGTCAAATTCTTTTGACTGGGGTAAATCCGTAATGAAGTCCATAGTAATTATTCTGAAGGGTCAGTCTGGAATCTCCATTGGTTGGAAAGAAACCATTATTGGATAAGTGTCATTTTTTGTAGATTGGCAGGTTGCGCATCCTTCCACATATTAGTAGACTGTGTTTGATATTCTGGGCCAAGTAAATTCTTGTCCTACTGAGGCTAGCATTCCTCTTTGTCCTGGATGTCCTGTGGCTAGATTGTCATGATTCATTTTGATTATTTCTCAACAAAGTTGTTCATCTTGAGGAACATAGATTTTTCCTCTGTGTAGAACAAGCCCTTCTTCATTGTTCCATTCCTGTAGGCCTTTCTTCATGCTGCGAGGTCCTAGCTCCTTGATTTTGGCTAGAGTTTCGATTAACCACTTGTCTTTCTGGCTTGCCTTTATAATTTGTTTTTTGAGCTCTTCATCAATAATTGTGACACTTCCTCATTCTATGGCTTTGATGTGCCATATCCTGTGGGGGTCTAGTTCTTCCACTGTGGTAATTTTATTGTTGTCTGTGAAGGGTCTCCATCCTGTTTCTTTTGCTTGATTGAAAAGTTTGGGTATCAAGAGTGTTTCACCTGAATTGTCAAATTCCACCCCTTCTCTATGGTCTAGATGCCATGACAGACCGTCAGATTTATTGATGACTCCCGCCTTGTGCATTAATTTATAGTCAAAATATGAGAGGAATAATGACCCTCTTGCTTATTGACAGTTCAACTTTTGACTTGATCTGAACCATTCTAGGTTTTTATAGTCCATTCAGACATCTACCAGGTTCTTGGCACCTTCCAAGTAATGTTGCCAGGCTTTGAAGGCTCAAATAACTGCTAGCAACTCTTTGTCGTATATGGGATAGTTGCGTTTTGTGGGTGAGAGTGATTTAGAAATGTAGGCACAAGGGTGCTATTTTCCATCTGGGGCGGCTTGTGATAATATGGCTCCTGTAGCGAAGTCGGATGCATTGCATTCGATGTGGAAGGGGTTCCTAGTTTCTGGCATGATAAGCACTAGGGATAATATGAATGTCTTCTTGAGTGTTTGAAATGCTTCTTTGCATGCTGGTGTCCAATCCCAGCTATGTTTCTTCTGTGTTAATTCAAATAGTGGTTTGGCTATTTTTGAATAGTTCTTGATAAATCTGTGATAGAAATTGCAAAATCCAAAAAACGATTGGACCTCCTTAACTTTAGTTGGAGTCAGCCACTCCGTGATTCTGGCCACTTTGATTGGGTCCATTTCCAGGTGTCCATGTGATATGATGTATCCCAGATAGTCAATTTTCTTCTTGTGAAAATAATACTTCGAGGGTTGCAAGTATAAGCCATTGTCCTGTAATATCTGTAAAACCTGTTGCATTGTCTTAATGTGTTTGTCCATAGTCTTCAAGAATACCAGAATGTTGTTCATGTAGATGGCTACCTTTCCTCCATAGATAAGGTTTTTGAAAAGCGAGTTCATCATTGTTTGGAATGTTGCCGGCGAGTTGGTGAGTCCAAAGTACATCACCAGAGGTTTGTACATTCCTAGATTTGTTACAAATGCTGCCTTGTGGACATATTTTTCATTGATGAGTACATTGTTGTATTCTGTGTCAATGTCCACCAGCAAGAAGTATTCTGCCTCTGTCAAAAGATCCAGTAATTCTTGAATAATCGGTAGAGGATACTTGTTTTTGATCGTTATTTCATTCAGCTTTTGGTAGTCCATTACTGGCCATAGTTTCCCATTTTTCTTCTTGATAAAGAAGAATGGTGATGCTATATGCAACTTGGATTTCCCAATGAATCCCTTCTTGAGACTTTCATTAATGAATTTCTTGAGCTCTTCTTGCTCCATCAGGCTGAGGCTGTATAACTTGGGTCTGAGCAGGTGTTCCATGTTGTCTTTGAGTTCTATCTTGTGATCCCATGGTCATTTGGGTAGTAACTTCCCTGGTTTTTGGCCTTTGAAAACCTTCTTATACTCCTAATATGCTTTAGGGATTATTTTTTTCAAAGGGCAATTCAGTTTTTCCTTTTGAAGCTTCTTCTGCTAATTTTTTCAAATTGGTGTGTTTGGTCTGTTTGCCTACTGCTGCTTTGGTGGGTTCTGCTTTACGTGCCGGTGTATTGGTGGCCAAGGTCTTGGTACGATGGATGTCAAATCCTTTGTCCTGGTCATTGCATAGCTCCAGGGCTTCCAATTGCCCTATGTCCAGGATTCTGATGAGGTATACTCCATCTTTGTCTAGATCCATAGAAGGTAGAGCCGATAGTGGTTCACCACCTTCTTGAGTCTCCTCTTTGGCCCATCTCAGTGCCATATAATGTTTGGCTTGGGTCCTGAGGTAGTACTCTAGTTTCATTCCTTTGGGTTATGAACCCTGGATTTTAGGTATTATCCACAGAAGTGGTACTATAGTGTTTCCCACTCTCCGGCCTAGCTGTCCTTTTCCTGGCTTTTGCAATAGAATTGAGTAGTCACTTTTCTATGGTACTATTACTATGCGCTGTATTTCTGGTTGTTGATGTCCTGGTTTCTTAAAGGCCCTCTTGGCTTTGATTAGCCCTCCTGTGATTTTGCAGGATGGTGGGCATCTAGTAAAATGTAATCCATAGGCATGCCAGTCGACTTCCGGATTGTGTTCCAATAGCCAGTTGGTTCCTAAAATGATGTCTTCTTTCCTGATTTCAGCTATGTAGAATTTTGCCGATTCAGTGTGTGTTCCTCCTTGTTCACCTAGCACTTGTAGTTTTAGTTCTGCAAATCTAGTGATAGGTCCTCCCTTGAACTCTATGTTCTGGACCGTTATCATGATGCAAACAAGTTTGTGCCTTGGCAGGGTAATTTCCAAGAATGTTCCATAGAAAGAAATAACTATGCAAGTCTAGGCCAATGCAAGGAACATTGGAAAGGAACAGGAAATTGAGGAACAAGGTGATTCAAGAACCGCTGGTAATCACATCTATGCATCACTCCCTCACATCATGTCCAACAACACCTCTGCACACTCATCACTCTGGGGCACATTCCCTCGATCATTGTTCCATTTTCATCGCCACACAGAGCTGCGACAGCCACCACCAGACTTCCATCCACTAATTGTCCCATCAGGTCCACAACCTGACTTGCTTAATATATCCTCTGTCTTCCCACCACCTCACTCTTTTATAACCATCCTCTACAAACCCACATACCGCATCGATGTCACCTCCCATACTCTTCTAGCTCCATCACCTTTGAATGAGCCACCCATGATGTCAATCCCTCCCGCCAAAGATGGAATTCGACTGCCACCTGTTTCGGCTGGAGGAGTATCAATGGAGGTCTGTGTCCTTCCTAGGAAAGAGGGGATTTGGTTGGAAGATGGGGTTTCAGTGGATGTGATTGAAAGAAAGCCAGATGGCGACTACGAGTTTATGACTATCATTCTTTCCAAAATAGTCTGGCAAGATGATCATATTGCCATCTTTGGTGGTGCAGGCAACGAGCAGCAGTTCATAGTGGTGACATCTACTTTCCATGTCAACTCTCCTCCCCTACTTGGCTATGCGATGTATTACACGTTCGGTGAGTACATTCGAGCTCTCTTCAGCTCTGACCGCGAACGTGTTCCTACATCTGATGGCAATGTCTTGGAGATTGCGAGGCGAGCATTAGCAGGAGTGGGAAGTATGATCTTTCATCGATTTGCTAGGCCATGAATGCTTTACCTATTCATGATTCATTAAGTTCTTACTCCTTTAGTCTAGTGTTTCTTGTTTATTTCTTTTCCTAAAATTCATACAGTCTTTACATTTCAAGTATAACACTCTCACTTGGCTTCAGTTTCATGCTTAGGATGTGGATAGACATTTTGATCTATATTTGTGAATATATGCAGCTGTATTTCATTAAACCTTGACTTATCAGGGACTTAAAATATCTGTATTTATTAACAAAGCTGCCTTGGTGCTATTTTAACAGACCGGATGAAGCCTAGAAGGGACCAGAGTAGAGCCAAACTGATCCAGACTCTCATAGAATTGCATGGATCTTATGCGCTCTCTAATGCACTAAAAGGCTTTGTAATGGCTTAGTGAGCGGATGAGGAATCGAGAGGCTAGAGAACCTAGAGCTACTCAGGTGACTAATAGAGAATCTAGAATAATTCCAGGCCATGCTCCAGAGGAATCTAGGAAAGCCTACTCAGTTCTAGTTTAGACCAGACACATTATTCTAGAATCTTTAGCACCTAGATACATCTGTAAATACCCAAATCCAGGTCTCATGCACAGCCTCTCCAGAAACACATAAAAGAGGAGTGCATGTGCCCTGAAATGCATGCAGTTTGTTGCCCCTCTTGTTGAAGTTGCTCTTGCCCTGTAAAGTGATCTTTATTTTGTAAGGCAGTCTTAACTAATCACTGAAGTCTTTGAAGTCAGCACCAAGTATCTTCTGATAAGTCTAAAGCTGTGTTAGTCCAAATGGGACGCTGAGTTAGTTCTAAGTCTGATCTGGTCAGAAAACATCTGAACCTGCATCAGTAAAGAAGCTCTGAAAACACCAAGTTCAACACCTATTAGTCTGATATCCTGGTCTTGTCTCTTTATCACACTCATCCTCTGGATTCTTTCAAATAGAAAGAGTCTGAATTCAGGAAAGTATTTCTTATGCTGCTCTACCAATCCTAATGCACAGCACCTTGATAGGAACAACACACTTCACAGCACACTAGTAACCACTCCCTTAGGATCCATACACCTCCTAACCTAGGCACATAGCTTTGCATAGTAAGATAAACTGGTACCACTACATAAACAAGAGAAATTACCCTCAACAACGAACAACTAGGCTGCTCCGGGAAAGAAGGAAAACCTGAGTTAGTCTAGGCGACAATTCTTTGGAATTGGTTGGCGTGTCAATTAGACTATTTCCCACCCTCTGACTTCAAACCATCTCACCGCATGACACCGTGTTAACTGGTATAGGGTAGGGTGTCTTCCATGTGTAGATTCAATTTTTTCCACAAAGTTAGGATGCATAAATATTCCTGTTGCTCTACTGTCAACTAGAGCCTATGTAGCAGCCTTTCGATTCTTGCCTATGAGTTTTGTCTCTATTCAAAGTGATAGTGCACCATGTGTTTTCATTTTGGAGAGATACAACATTTGGAAAACCACCCCTTTGTATTAAGCTCTAATTAGCCCTATTTATGCATAATTAAGAATGATTAGAATTAGACATTTTTAGCTTACCCCCCTCTAAACCTGTTCTAATTAGACATAATTTTCCTAAATTAGGAATTATTAGGATTGATTATAACTTCAAATTTCAGAAAAATCATAATAAATCAAGCATCATAGTTCTCATAGCCTTCTTATAGAGTCATGTCTATTAAAGCACTAGTTCAATACCTAAACACAGAATATACCTTATAACAAACTTGCCTTCTGCCAGAGTTGAACCAACAACCTCATGTATGCAAGCACCTGGGACAGATGCTCTAAGCCACTAAACCACAAGGTCTAAGATATAAACTTGGTAATCTAAATAAGTAGACATAATATAGGCAACCTCAACATCTCTGATTTTATTTAACATTTATCTTTCCTCTATCTTATAAATAAATAGGTCAATAAATACCTAAAAAGTCAGGTCTTTCAGGATTTAGTTTAAACACTAGCTAAGAAGATAATAAACCAATGGAAAATTGATATTATACTTTATATAGGATAAAAAAAATTATGGCACTTATACAATTTGGACTGAGAATGCGTAAAACTATGATTGAGTGTAATATTCAATGGGACTCTACTAGTCTAGACAATGCTACCTAAATTTGCAAATTTGATCAAAAACATGATTATGAATAATCAAGATCCAATAAGAGAGAGGGGTTTTCCAAATAGCCACTAGTGAGGTAGAGGGTGGGGACAAGAGTATATGTATGGCATGCCTATATATAAATAAGCACAAGATTGTTGGAGGTGATCTTAATATGCTTAATGCATATATTTCCTATATAGCAGGCAAATATATCATTCTGGCACCACATACCAATATGACTGTCTTTTCCACAGCCTAATAGCTAGAGGAAAACACCAAGTTTGAGCATCTTCTATATAACAAGGCAATAAACAATATAAATAGTGCTAAAAATTGTAGTATCAATAGTGATGATGATTGTGTGCTGCACAAGACAGTATTAGCCACTGTACTAATAGACAAGGTCTATAAGGCTGCATATAGCATATCCCTAAGTCCAACCCACATGTTGTGTCCTATAATGACCAGTAGCAGGCATTGGCTAACAATGACAACTTTAATAATCTTGTGTGCAAGGACAAGGTACCTAGGTCTTCATAGCCTCTTGTGGCAGCTGCTAAGCTGCCAACAAAGTGGCTAGGGGCATCAATGCACATTTCTCTCTTTCTATATCCCTTATAAAAGCAGCTAGAAAGTCAGCAAAAGAGCTACAAGATGATGGTATAGGCATATATGAAAGAGAGTAATATGCTGAAATAGTATAGAATGTGCCACATCTTTATTTTCTTACTGATAGAGCAGTAGTACTTACTATTTCCTACTGCTAATTAAAGACTTCTTGGTATAGAATTAGTGCTAATATCATGAAATTAGAAACCAATCCAATGCTTACAATGTGTTGCTCCCAATTAGGAAATTAGACACTTTTAGATGCTATTAATACTTTTAGATACTTTTAGACACTATTAGATATAATCCGGAGCTAATACAAAAGGTGGTTTTTCCAGATGACTTCACTTAACTCTTGGAGGAGCGCCTCCTGTTCATCCTACTTCATTTTTCCTATGAGCCTCTGGATCTCTTCTCGGCTAATCTCAGGCTCCTTCTGATGTACAAGTGCATTCTCTCCAGATGCGTAGGCTTGGCGCGCTGCGAGTCTAGCCCAAAATGGGTTAGTTATTGCCATGCTTCTATCTTCGCCCGGAGTTGCTGTCTCGCCACTGCTCTGAGCTCTTGCCAGGAGCGCTCTGCCATAGCTTCTTCCTCTGCCAGCCAATGCTCCACCGGCTTGAGCCAGGCGGTTCCCCACTTTTCCACTACTTGGTTGAACATATCTAGTTCCCCCTTCATATACCCTAGACAAAATCCTAGCCAGACATTGGCTTGCTATGTGTCCTTTCTGACAACAGCAAAAACACCTACCCTCTGTGCGCAGTCTGGCGCATTCATCGTCAGAGAGGGGAGTGCGGATAGTGTCTATGGCCATGAGTATAACTAAGTTGTTCAGGGAGGTAGAAGCATTGGAGGAGTCGTAGCGGAAGGGGTGGATAGCCTAAGGCTTCCCTACTGCACTGCAGCTGCTATAAATATGTACAAGCCAGAGCATGGACCAACTAGCAGTGGATCAGGAATGCAAGGTATAGTTGGGAGAAAGGTCCTATGTATCCTTATACTGATTGTGGGAAAGACAAGAAAGGTACAGTAGGCAGTTCATAACAGGTTCAGGAATTCTTGATTGCTATTAATCTTGTCCTCAAATAGATGGAGGAGGTACTGATTAACAAGGTGTCGTTGTTTGTCTGGTATGAACAAGTCTTTTCCAATGCAACAAATGACTTCAGAGGGATCCCAATGGATGACTCAATAAGCAGCAAGTCCTTGATATGTTGCAGGTGGGAGAGGATGATGAGAGCGATGAGACAAGTCTAGTGCTTTGTCAGACTAAGTGTGGTTCCATGGATCTGGCAGAGTTCACAAAGCATGGGCTAAAGGGGCCAGACGCCGGGTGCAGTGCAGAGATCAATATGTATACAAAGTGAACAAGCTGATCCTCCAAGAAGCTCAGCTCCCCTATATATAGTACATGCTCTCAGGGCCAGGGCAGACATAAGGCCCATGCTAAGTAATCCGCAGTCACTAGTCCAGACTCCACGGCTCTTCGATGTAATTGTATATAGTAAGTATATCAAATGTCTGTCCGCAGCAATGTTCTAATAGAACTTGATCACAATGAACATCAGTAACCATAACAAGGAGGGAATCATAGTATCATAAGTGTTCATGTGTCAGTATATAAATGGTAATCAGCCTGAGTCTGAGTCATATGTGTAGCTCATGACCATGTCCTGAGTCACGTGCCTAGACATGTGTCAAGCCACAGTCCTAGTCATTAATGTCTAGTCAAGGGTGAAATGCCTGACCTTCCCTTCTGTCCACATGCCAAGCACATGTTAGGATGCAGTCCTAACAATATGCCTTTCTTGATGCTGTTCCAGGGTGAACTGAAGTAAGACCATTAGGCAGGGACCCATGGCGAAACAAATCAATGGGTGAAGGAAGAACATTCTATAGATAAGGGGTTTGGAATGCTCCAATAGTCAACAAACAAATAGCTAAATAGAGATAGAAAACTCCTAGAAGATCAAATGACATAAGTCAGTCCCCCTCCAGAAGACACAGCCACACCCCAGAAAATGCAACCAGTTGATACATTATTGGATCAAGAAAGCAAATTGTATATGGAATGGCAATAAAATGCAAGGTATTGTCCTACCAGGCAAATAGGACATAGAAAGGATGTATTGTTATGATCACAACTTATTGGGCCTTTATGGTGGTCTATTCCAATATGATTATCACAACTACTAGGCAGCCTCATATCATGAGACATACACCAAGGTACAGATATTACCTTTGGTCATCCACTCCTAGCAGACTACCCATTGCTGGTTAAGTATCATGAGCCTATTGCAGTGGGCATCCTTTCCCACCTTACAAACTACTCATACATGGGTATGGAGCCCCTTGTCCTCCTAGTCAGAAGGAGACAAGTGGAGAAGCAAGAGTAGTCATTCTGAGAGAGAAATGACTTAAAGAATACCTACAAGTATATATACAGGATTCTCATGCCCTTTTAAAAAGTAGTATAAAAGGCCCATAGAATAGGCTAACATTCTTTAGTCTATTCTCTTTGTCCAGTGTAGTCTTTTTACTACACCTTTGTTCTGGGATAGTCTTCATACTATCCCCTTTGTATTGTATAGGCTTCCTACTGTACAATCTTTGTTCTATTGCTTATGCTGCAATACACATCTGGCTCCTGTGCTATGTGTACAGTCAAGACCATTGTTCCACTCTTCTTTCACAAGTGACCTAGGGAAGAACCTCCTACTCTTGGGGTTACCAAATAAGCAGTTTGTAACAACAAGAACAGTCTGTCAAGTTTGTTGGATTGGATTTGGAGCAGCCTGTATTTTCCTATGGCCAACTTTATATTGCACTGTCATGCTGCACATTAAGAGATAGAATCAAGGTGTTATTCCCACTAGACTCACAAGGCACCAAAACCACCAATATAGTGTATCCTGAGGTATTGCAAGGCATTTTGAATAATCAATGGTATGTCTTGGATTATAATTATTGTGACATGGCTGATGATTATAATAGGACTTGAACAAGGACTGTAGTATAAAACTTATATAAAAATTTCTTACACTTTGACTCTCAATCCCCATTCTCACTTTTTATATGTATGCTTGAAATTAAAACTGCTACTCTGACTTAGCTGCTCTACCAAAACCCAACCATAAACTAAGCACTATGGCACAAACTTAGATTAAGCACTGTTACATTACCTCAGACTAAGCACTACAACAAAAACTTGGATTAAGCATGGTTGTGCCATTGCAACACAATGGGTGGGAAGCTAGTATAAATACTATTGAGAGAAAATGGTGGCACTCATGGACCCATAACAACTGTTAACCAGTTTACAGGCTTCACTGTGATGCAAGGGTGTAGGGACAAGGACAAGTGTTTGTACCACACATTCTGGGCAGATCCGAGGCATGGCGCGAATCCATCCATGGAGTTTTCGATGGCAATTGAGATCGTCAGATCGACAAGGTCGATGACTGTCCGGAGGCAGTGAACCTCGGTGAACGCGGAGTTTCCGGCATTCGGCGAGCCACGTGGGCAATTTACACATATCGCATTTTTGGACAGATTTTCGAGAGCTGATGAAGTCCAACTACAAGGTAGGTCTCCTACCACTCCTCTTTCCTTGACCACACATACAACCCTGTCTCGTTACAGTTCTCGAACCTTTGCGGGACTGTATATCGTCAGGGGAACATCCTATTCACTCCGGATGGCAACTCTGTACTTAGCCCTGTAGGGAATCGGGTATCCGTGTTTGATTTGGTCAAGTGAGTCTGTTCGCGCTGTGTTCATACAGTCTTGTAATTACTTGTCCTAGCAACAAGTCATTCACGTTCCCATTCGAAAACCGGAAGAACATCGCAGTCATCGCTTTGAGCCCCGATGCCAATGTGTTGATCAGTGTGGACGAAGGTGCGTCTAGCGTTCATCTATTACGCATGTCCTGTCTTTACATCGAACATTCCGTCCCATACAGACGGCCGGGCATTGCTTGTCAATTTCCGCAGAGGTGTCGTCCTTCATCACTTCAATTTCCACAAACCTGTCAAGGCCATCAAATTCTCTCCTGATGGCAAGTACATCGCTGCCACGCACGACACTCATGTCCAAGTCTGGCGCACTCCCAATCATCTTGTTCGTGAATTTGCTCCCTTTGTATTGCATAGGACATATACAGGGCATCACGACGAAGTGTTGAGCATCGAGTGGTCACCGGATTCAAAGTCAGGCAACTCCCTCTGTGATTCTTTTTGGTATGCTTAGACTGACAAGTGGAACGGAAGATGCTTCATCTCGACGAGTCGAGATATGACCGCACGATTGTTCACCTTGGATCCGGTCCAGGGATTCCGCCCAAAGACATTTGCAGGCCATAAGGACGCGGTCTTGAATGCCTATTTCTCCACTGACGCAAAAACAGTGTGTAATCATCTCGATCAGTCTTGATACCGATCTCTCATATTCCTGCAGATATACACTGTGGCCCGTGATGGCGCTGTGTTCACATGGAAAGCCAAAATTCCTGAGGCTGGCTCATCCGACAGCGACTCAGACTTGGACGAGTCAGTTGCGTCAACTTCGACTGACAATCTTGTAGCTCAAACGCGTTGGGGCGTACATAAACGTAACTACTTCAATCAAGCCGGCACGAAAGCGGTCTGCAGCACTTTCCATCGTAGATCCAACCTCCTCATTGTTGGCTTCTCGACGGGCATTTTCGGGCTGTGGGAAATGCCTGCTTTCACAAACGTCCATACCCTCAGTATCTCTCAGGAAAAAATCTCGTCCGTTGCCGTCAATCCTTCCGGCGAATGGCTCGCGTTCGGCGCGCGCAAGCTTGGACAATTGCTCGTGTGGGAGTGGCAGTCAGAGTCGTATGTTCTCAAACAGCAAGGTCATTATTTCGATATGAATGCGCTCGCGTATTCTCCAGACGGACAATACGTCGCTACGGGAGGTGACGACGGCAAGGTCAAGCTATGGAATACGCACTCTGGGTTCTGTGTTATTACCTTTTCGCAGCACACCTCTTCCGTTTCATCTGTTCAATTCGCTGCCCAAGGTCAAGTGTTGTTCTCCGCGTCCCTTGATGGCACTGTCCGCGCCTTTGACCTTGTTCGGTATCGCAATTTCCGTACATTCACGTCGCCCTCTCCAGTACAGTTTTCGTGTCTCGCAGTCGATCCCAGCGGCGAAGTTGTGGCAGCGGGTTCGACTGACTCCTTCGAGGTGTTCCTATGGTCTGTACAGACAGGGAAACTCTTAGATGTCCTCGCGGGTCATGAAGGTCCTATAAGTACATTGGCATTCTCCCCGACTACGAACGTCTTGGCCAGCGGATCTTGGGACAAGACCGTTCGAGTGTGGAACGTATTCGGGCGTTCTCATGCGGTGGAGCCATTCCAGCTTAGCACAGATGTCCTCTCATTGGGCTTCCGTCCTGATGGTCAAGAACTTGTGGTATCGACACTAGATGGACAACTCACCTTCTTCTCCACCAACATCTCCCAACAGACGAACGTCATCGAAGGGAGGAAGGACATTGCTGGTGGGCGCAAAGCCGATGACCGAGTAGCTGCTATCAACAATGCGTCGGGGAAGGCCTTCACCAGTGTGGCATACAGTGCAGATGGCTTGTGTGTCCTCGCGGGCGGGAACAGCAAATACGTGGTCCTTTATGACGCCCGCGAAGGTGTCCTTATTCGACGATGGCAGATCTCCGACAATCTTTCACTCGATGGGACCGAGGAATTCTTGGACAGCAGACGCGTGACGGAAGCAGGGAATCTAGACCTGATCGATGACAGAGGCGATGAGAGCGACCTTGCGGATCGAATGGACGTGAGTTTGCCTGGGGCGCAGAGAGGCGACATGTCAAAACGGCGGTACAAGCAGGAGGCACGGACCAAGTGCGTTCGCTTCGCGCCGACGGGTCGCGCGTGGGCGGCCGCGTCGACCGAAGGGCTGCTCATCTATTCTGTAGATGACGCGATGGCCTTTGATCCCTTCGACCTGACGATGGAGTTGACGCCGCAGTCTGTGTTGGCGACGTTACAGGAGCGCTCGTACCTGCAAGCGCTCGTGATGGCTTTCCGACTGAATGAAAAGGCTGCCATCCATAGGGTATACGAGGGCGTGCCCTACGATGAAATACGGCTGGTCGCGCGGCAGTTGCCGACGCTATATATCGCCAAACTGTTGAGTGTGGCAGCAGAGCGACTGGAAAATGGAGTCAGGCTGGAGTGGGGACTGCGTTGGGTCAAGGAGGTGCTTGCAGTGCATGGGCGGTGGATCAGAGAAAGGGGAGTAGAGCTGGCGAGCGTCCTGAGGGAAGTCAAAAGGGCGGTAGGCGGGTTCGAAGACGCGGTTGCGAAACTGTGAGTCGTGATTTCGTGTTTCCCTACTGGAAGTCGGCTGATTTGTACCTTCAGGTGCGACGAGAACACGGCGACGCTAGAGTTTTTGATCGACCAGTCGAAGGTGAGGGAACAAGCGGACGCGAGGATGGTTGTCGATTGAGGATACGGAGGAAAGTGGGTGCTATGCACTCAGTAGATCTCCAAAAGTACGGTATGTGCTCGGTAAGAATGTAATCCTGAACAATCCATATGTGCGATCCGCAGAGCATTCGATACCCTTCTCACGACACGGGCTCTGACTAAAGACTCCACGATGGCTTCGACGAGCCGTGTCGACGACGCGAAGTTACCTGATGGATGAGTGACCCGGCAGCGCAGACGCCCGAGCCGCGTGGATGCACGACCAGCGTCTACAATCGCCTTCCGCATATGGCCCAAGGCACTCCTATGACATCTGCAGAGCGCGAGGGCCCTCGGCCCATCTTCCTTCCTTGTCCCAAAGTCGCGGCAGGTCGCGGCACTCCCATGATGGAAGGACCGGGCCCGGCGTCTGTCCAGATGAAGATGATCAGACCCGAGCGGATAAGTCAAGTATCAAGTAGAATATCATAGGCTCTCGAATACAACGTCAGCCTCTTTCGGCGCGCGCGACATGTGGAACTTCGCCACCTGCGGGGCGCGTTCCTGAGCGTAGGTGTGGGCCGCTGGCGCCAAGCGGCGCTGAGCCGAATATGAGGACGCGTTGTTGATGTGCGTCGTGGTCGTGGGTCGGCTCGCGCCATGCACCATGCACTTTTGTAAGTACATGTCCGTGCGTGTTCGACGCCGCTCAATCCCCCCCGCCCGGGCTGGCCAAGGCCTGGGTCGAAAAGGCCCGGCGCGGGTGCAGACACCGGCTCGTGGGTGTCACTGAGAGTTCTTGAGGACAAAGAGAACTAGGACTCGACAGCCGATCGACACCAAGTACTGGGGGTGATCCGCAACCACAAGGACAAGGACGAACACATACAGAAGAACAAAAGGAAAAGAGGAAAAGAGATAGAATATTAAATTAAACGACGCGGACAGGTAGATAGATGCTGGCAGATGGAACACATGATGGCGGGGATATGGGTGTACTGTACGGATGTCGACGTGATGCAGCAGAGGCCGAGAGCAGCATAGAGATGGAGATGAAGATAAAGATGAGGATGGAGATGGAGATGAGGATGGAGATATGTATGTTCATGGGTTGGGATGAGATGGACTAGCAGTAGCAATAGTGACGAATGGGGATAATGATTGTGCGGGTGACATGAATAGAAATGAGGCAGAAGCGAGACGGGCAGAGAGGCGTAGACAAATGGTAAGCAGCGAGGGAAAGACGAAACAAAACCAAGATGTAGAAGAAAAGGTCGTAAAGGACACCCACTTACTCGGAATACAGAAGTGTAGACAAAAGACGGAATAAAAGGAAACAGAACCAAGCGACGTGGGGGAAGAAGACCGGGACTGAGCTAGTAGAGGGAGTAGACACGAGAAGGACTAGACTAGCTAGCAGATGATATATATCCAGCCAACGACTGACCGCGACCGCCCAACCGACCGACACGACACACAACCCACCCATGTGAACCGGACCCGATATGAGGATATGCACCAACTCAAACCCAAACCCAAACCCAAACCCAAACTGTCAACCTAGATCTAAAACCAAATCCACGACCGACCGACCGATTGACCGACCAACCAACCGAATGAGAATGAGTGAGAAAGGATCCATTGGAGGCGAAACGGAGTTCATCGCAATCCGACGAGACCGACTGCGCCGAGTCCGAGCGCCGCCCTGCGTCCCAGCGCCCCCGCTGCCGCGGACTGCCCACCGCCACCGTCCGACACGACCTCCGCAAAACTCGCGCGTCTCTCCCCGGTGCCCCCGATCCCAGTCCACGCGCCCGCACCGGCCCCGCCTGAACTTGTCGTCGGGCGCGACCCCGTCTCCTTCTCCTTCTCCTTCTCCTTCATTGTATGCTGCGCGGGGTCCGAGCCAGTCCGATGTATTTGCACCGGAGGCGGTGGAGGAGGCGACGTGTGCGCCGAGACCGACTGCGCCCTCTGCGCGGCCTCCCTTCCAGCTCCCGCTCCCGCTCCCGCCCCGCCCTGTCCATTCGCCCACCCGTTCCAAAACACATCGTCCCCAATATCGACCCCCCTCATCCGCTCCAAAACACCATTCACGCCCTCCCGATCGCCCTCGCCCTCGCGCCACGCGTCGCCGACCACTCCTTCCCCCGCGCTCCCCGCCGCACTTTTCCCGCCGCTCCCGCTCGCCTCCGACTCGCCGCTCGCACTCATGCCTACACCCACAGCCGCACCGGCCCTTTCGCCGCTCCGTAAAATCTCATTCGCGAGCCTGCTCCCGCTCGCCGGCACATACGAGAAATACGAGTCCTCCCGCGGCACCGGCGGAAAATACCCGTCGCCCTCCCTCGCGCCCTGTTCGTCGCTCTCGTCCTCGCCGCGCGCGGGCCCCCGCCCGTACGCCTGCGCCTGTCCCTGCCCGGGTGCGCCCTGCTCTCCCCGCACCGGCGCGCCCACCGCCGCGTTAATGAACGGGTTCCCGCCTCCGCCAGGCCGGCCCCAGAACGCGCCGGGGCTCATTGTGAGGCCAGGGCTGAATGCCGCGTGCGCGGGCACGAAGCTGAAGCTCGGCATCGACGGCGTGATGGGCGGCAGCCCGTGCGGCGTCATGCTCAGCGCGTGCGCGTGTGCGGCCTGCATCGCGGGGGCATGGAGCGGCGAGGGGAGCGGCATCGGGAGCAGCGGCGCGCGCGAGGGCGAGGGGAGCGCGGGAGAGTGAGGTCCATTGGGGGTGTGTGGGAAGCCGAGGGGATAGTGCGCGAGCGGGTACGGCGAGCTCGGGGAGAGCGAGTGCACAGGCGGAAGAGGGAAGCCATGCACGTGGGGAGGCGGGAGGGAGATGGGGCCGGGGTGCGCGGGATGCTGTTGAGAGTGTGCATGCGGGTGCATCTGGTTGTGGGCGTGGTGCGAGCGCGCGTATGGATGGGCGTTCGCGTGCCGCGGCGTGGATGGCGCCTGGGGTTGAGTCTGCGGTGCGGGCTGCGACCGCGCCTGATGCAGCTCGAGCGGCGACCGCGCATGTACGCGTGTTTTCTCTGACACCGGCCGGGTGAGCGTCTGGACCAGTGGCAACGGCGGCGGCCTGTGCGGGTGATGTTGGCGCAATTCAGACTGATGATGCTGTTGCTGCTGTTGCTGCTGTTGCCTTTGCTGTTGTTGTTGTTGCTGCTGCTGATGGAATGCCGACTGCGCATGCGCCCAGTTATCCTCGCCGCTCCCCGTCCTATTCGGTGACACAGGCAACTGCTGCTGCTGCTGATGTAGCTGCGCATTCACAGGCGACGACAAGCGATCTCCTGCGCCCTGCCCATGGTCGAACTGCCCTTTCACCAGGCCCTGCGCGAACGCTTCGAACGCAAGCGGCGAGCCCGGTCCGGGCCCGGGTCCGGACGGCAGGGGCAGCGGCGACGTCGCGGTCGCGGAGGCAGGCGAGGGTGGGCCCCGCGCATACGCCTGTGCGAGGGGCGACGCGAACGAGGGCGGCATGGACATCGGCACGGGCACCGCCAATCGCTGGGCGTTGGGCCCGAATGACGCGACGGTCACGGTCGTGGGCTGCGTTGACGGGGAGTACTTGTCGAAGTGCACCTTGAGCGGTCTCCCGTTGTACTCGTACCTGATATCGAGATGGCCGCAACAGTGCAACGATACCCAAAAACAGTCGAAGCACAAAAAAGACGAGACGATGATGATCAGCTTGCCATCCCGTGAGACTGAATCATGTGAAGAGTCCGATAGGGAACAGCCCGACGCGCGACGCACCCGTTGAACATCTGCACCGCACGCTCAGCATCAGTGTCCGTCGCGAACACGACGGTGCCGAATCCGCGCGAACGGCCGTCCTGTCCGAGGGCGACGTCGGCACGGAGGATAGTCCCCGCCTGCCTGAAGAGGTCTTTTAGGTCTTGCCATTGGCAGTGGAAGGGAAGCTGTAGACAATGAGAAGGTAAGGCGATCAGCGACAGGATCAGAGAGTAAGCAAATTAGTGAGGCCTGAATGTGGGGAAACAACCGAAGATAGGCGAACGTATAGAAAAAATAGAGAAAGAACAGCTTGAAGGAGAAAAAAGCGAGGCCAAAAAAAAAAGACGCACATTGCCAACGAACAAATTCCGGCTCATTGCCCCTCCAAGTCCCCCCAATCCAAAACCCCCCACCCCCATCCCAATGCCTATCCCCATGCCCGAGCCCGTCCCTGGCCTTTCAAGATACGCCGACCCATAATCCGCACCATAGTCCACCCCATAATCGTACTCGTACTCGTACTCGTATTCCCCAGCCCGCGCGACAGGCGACAGACTCTGCTGCCGCTGCGAGGAGGGCTGCTGGAGCTGGGGCTGTGACTGTGACTGTGGCTGAGATTGGGGCTGTGAAGACATCTGCGGAGGCGGCGGCCCGCCTCCGAACCTAAACGTCGCGCTTGCAGGCGTCTGGTACCCCGAGGACCCCTGCACGCTCCCAAGGGGCGCGCCATACCCCACGGCGAGGATTCCGGCCACACCAAATCCATTCCCAAATCCATTCCCGGACCCCATCCCTGCGATCCCGTGCATCGCGCCCGCGACGCCAGCCGCCGCGTTGCTGTTGGCCATGATGCTGCCGAGGCTGGCGTTCGCGAGCGTGGCAGCGGTAGCAGAGCCAGTAAAGCCGGATCCGGGCGGGTTGTCGAGGTCGGGCGGCAGGCGGTCGAGGCGGACCTCAAGCACGCGGGTCTGCCACGAGTAGCCATTGAACATGTCGACGGCACGTCCTGCATCCTCAGCGGTCGCAAGCAGGACGGTACCGTACCCGCGGGAGCGCTAGAGACGAACGAGGGGAGAAGCGTTCAACGTTGATTGACGGCGGTGAAAAGAGAACGGGAAAAAACAGGAAACGTTGGAGCGGGCATGAATAGGAAAGGAAATGGAAGCGATGGAAGCAGAAAGATCGAAAGATCAAGGGTTTTAGCAAGGGTTTCGTCACGACCGTGCGGATCAGCGCAGAAAGAATTAAAGAAGCCAAAACAAAATAGACAACCGTGATTTGTTATAATCAATAAATGAGCACAGAACAGATAACCCCATCAAGGTGAAGTTCTGTATTCAAATGCAAAATACAAATACGAGACGCAAGACACGAACTCACATTATCAGGCCCAAGCGACACGTCTGCACGGAGAACAGTTCCGGCTTTTCGGAAGAGGTCCTTCAGATCTTGCCAACGGACGCGGTATGGAAGCTAATTTATAGCAAAATAAGAGGAGGGTTCATTAGCTTCAAAGACTTCGCGGCAAATCTCTCGGTGGAAGGGCAGGAAACAAATAGCTGAGGCAGCAGAGGAATAGCGAAAGCAACAAGCCGCGATGGACGGAGTAGATGAGAAAGATAAAATAATCAAGTGGCAAAAGGACACGAAAGGCAGCGTTCATAGGGTTCTCGACATCTGCCTCCGTCAATTAATTCTCTGGAGCATCAAGAACGAAGGACGGAGTATCACCTACGAGAACACCAGCTACGCGACATCGATGGAGAGGTGGCGCGTGAATGAGCGAATTGGAAGCCGAGGGGGAGCGCCACCGGCATCGGAGCAGATTCCGACGCGTGTAAAACACAGAAGCTAACCCAAAATTCGAGCCCCAAACCCACGCGCACGAGATCCACGAAGCGCACGAAGCGAAAGAATAGAAAAAATAAAAAAGCGGGGGAGACAAAGGACTCACGTTTCCGACGAAAAGCTGGGTGCGCGTGTCCTTGAGAGGGACGGGGCGACCGTCGGGGGACGGGCGTGCGGACGTGGCCATCTGTATGACGGCGTCGATCTCGTCGCTTGTTGGGGGATGAAGGTGCGCGTGGCCCTGTGACTGCGGCTGCGAATGGGGGCCCGGGCTTGGTGGGGATACCGGCGGGCGGGGAGAGGGCCGCGCGGAGGGCACTGCAGAGGGCGGGGCTGTGGGCAGGCCAGAGGCCGAACTCGCCGTGGAGGTGGTGACGGCGGGGTCAGCGGCCGGTGGCGGGCGGTGGAGGGGGAGGGAGGGAGGGGAAAGGACGGCAAGGTAGAGGCTCGACATTGTGGATGGAGGACGACGAGTAGGATGGATTGCTAGGGCGGATTGTAGAGGCGGGCTAGAGTGGGCGGGAGGCGCGCAGCCAGGCTGGCTGACTGTTGTGGGAAATCCGAGGGACAAAGAGGTCCAGGTGGGGCGGACAGATGCAGACAACGGGTGCGCGGGGGACGGGAGAACGAGGAGAGAGAGAAGGAGGGAAGTATGGATGGAGGGGAGACGGGGGAGGCTGAGGAGTGTGAGGGTGTCGGAGGGAGGCCGGATGCTCCACGGACGACGCGCCAGAAAAAACGGGGTCTGTTCGGAATCTTCGCCTGCTAGCTCAGTCGACCAGACGTCATCGTCTCAGATCCACGCTTATGTCACCCCCTCTCCACCCGTCCGTCCACTACCGCGACCGCCCTCCACCTCTCCATCCCAGCTCCGTCCGGGTCGTCTGCGACAGCACCGGTCTGCATGCAGCCAACGACCGGCTAACGACCGAGTATCTTCGATGCCATCCTGTCCATGTTCCGCTCCGTATCTCCGCCCGCGACACGTCTCAGCACCCCCGCGTTAGGATGCATATTGATCCCATCCTATCGCCCGCGTCATCACCATAACAAGCTATCTTACCAACGGCCCATAAGCGCGCGTCTCTTTTCGCACCGAATTATTGCGGCTGCACTTGACGCTTCCTTTCCGCTCCACCACCCCACCTGGCCCTCACTAGGCCTTCTTGATCCACGCTCGCCTATTCCCAACGCCAACCTTAAATACGGCACGCGCACGCACATGCAAACAGGCCATCCTCATCTCCATCGTGCGCAACGACGACCACATCGCATCTCACGCCCGCGCTTTCGAGCGCTCTGCACCGCTTCCCACATCACCCAATCATCATAAGCTTCCCTCCATACACGAACATCATCTGCGGTTCGAAATTAACTTATCCCATCTCCAGGCTCTGGGCCCCTGGGTCCCATGCGCACATGCACCGAATTATGCTGGCGCGCACCCAGTGCGGCCGCGACTGGGTAACTTATGAACGTCGGCATGCGGCCCTCTTGCCCGAGGCGAGTCACGGCGCTCGCGAGTGACGTCACCCACCGGTTGCGGTGCGATCATAAGTTCCGCAGTGCGCACTACTGTGACGCTACTGCAATCGCGCCGTGCGACCTCTGCTGCAACCGCGGTCGAACAGGACTGGCAAGAAATAGGTTTCGATATATGATCACCATTCCCATCGATGCCTGCGCTCCGAGCTAGACTTCCACCTTAGGTACTGAGCAGGCCTCGCAGCCGCTCACTCGCCTTTCTTTTCCACGCTCGGTCCGCGCACTGCCTGGTAACTAACAGACGGGACCACCAGCACACAAGATTTGAACGCCTCATCTGTCAGACTTGCTACCTTGCCTGCACCATCCTCCCAGACCCCTGATGCTCCACGCCGAGCTCATGCGTGCGCGGCACACTCATCTGGAGCGGTGCGCGCCATCGACCTTCACGGCGAGCCGCTCACCACACGTCAGTGCTGCTCCTTGCCTTCGGCGCGCTTGCATGCAGAGACAGACAGATAGAAGGTAACTACCGCCCCGCCGCGTGGTGCGCCCCGCGCGGGAACACTGCGCTTGCATGCATACCAGATGTAGGGCTGCATGGAACTCAGTTGTATATATAATGTCACATACGTACGTACGCAGGGAAGCCGCCCATTGGTTCCAGTCGTGCATCTGTCTCTGCCGATGGGAAGCATCGCTGGCTCGCTGCAGAGCGCGCAGCTTCGACAGTTTTGACATCGCCTGCGACCCGCGCGGTTTTCGATCTGGTCGAATAGCAGCGTTGTGCTCCGCTTGGCTCTCGTTCTTTTACCATCACGCTCTCGCCTCTGGTGTCTGTGTATGCGAAGCACGACAGTGCCGTAGGCCTTGTTAGGCCTGACTGCTTTTGATACTTGGGGGCGAACATACGGCGTCTTTCGCTCTGTGGCATGGCTGCCTATGCTAGTCCTATGCTTGTCGACGCCTTTCGAATGTCGGACTTGGCCGGTATGGCGCTTGAGCTGCGCGGATCGTGTTTCAGCATCGGGACGAGGTGGCGGCGATGACCAAGCCGGCGATCTTGTTAGCTCTCTATATGACGGCGATGCCTTCACGCAGTCTGCGTGCCTAGCTCACCCGTGCATATTGTGAGTATGCTGTTGATTTCTTAGAGGGGCTCGCTCAGCGTTCCGGCGCCGCCGTGGCCTTCGGATGGTAATGGCCGAACTGTTGTGTGCATGCCACTTGAATAAAGTCTCATCATCGCAGCAAGCCGAAATACTGCTGCTTAGCTGGGTGCGGTTTCAGTATCCATCTGGTGAAAGGAAACCTACCAGTGCAAGTCGCGTCATCATCTTAACCACACCCTGAGAATCCAACTTCAAAACTAAATGCAGATCATGTATTGCATCATCGTACGAACCGAGCCAAGGCAGCGAAATGCGCCCGAAGATTCCCACCCCATAGTAAAATTAAAAAAAGAAACACGGTTGTCAAGCCATGTATGGAGGCGCCAAGCGAACGCTGGTCCGATACCAGCGGCGCCTGCACCGGCAGTCCTACGAGGGCATGAATTGTGGCTGTCCCCCGCCCAACCTCGTTGAATGAGGTTGCACCCCGCCACCCTGTTTTGTCGTTGGGCTCCACGCGCGTAGCCGCGCGCTCGTCGCGGTCGGTCTGGCTTATCCTCGAAAGCGGTCGGCGGCGCAGCTTCAATCGCTTCCTCAAGGTCCTGCATGTGTCTCGTCAAAGCCGGGGCGCGTGCTTCGGGATGAACTCGTGAGCGGGTCCGCCGCGCGCGCGGTGGGTGGGTACACATGCTGGTCGCTTCGGGAAGGGGGGCGGATCTGGCCAGTCGAGACCACGGCCCACGGCATGCAAACTCCTCTTGCACCTCTGATGAGCGACCTTGTCACATGTGACGCCCGCCCCATCCGTTGGCCTTTCGCCGCATCCAGCGAGCTCCCATGCAGAGTGCAGCGATTGCTTCACTTTCGTCCCTGTGGCTTGACGTTCGGCAGGTTCGGTCTCAATCTCTGTGATGGAACCTTTTGATTGGACCCAGCTGCTGGGTTCAGCCGCCAGTTGTCAGGCATCGACCAAGCTGCTGAGACGGGTGCCGCCCTACCACACGCCGGTGTCGAGATACCGTGCCGGTTCTCGAAAAGTCGGTGCCAAGAGCATCGACAGCCGCGCACGCCCAGCGCGTACACATGCTGTTTGCTCCGGTGTGTGGGTTGTACACCCCGACAATGAACAGGCGGCCTCCTGCGCTGAAAGCCCCGTCGCTTCGCATTGCGACTTGACCGCGCCCGTCATTTCCGCACATCCCGAGTGGGGTTGCCGGGTATGACCACGACGGTGATGTGTGAGACATCATGGGAGCGGGGAGGCGAGCTCGGCCGACAGGGCCTTCCGGTCCGCAGATATGAAGTGGTGCTGCCATACCACTGGAGCTCGACGGACGCCTCAACGGTGCGATGACGATACTGCAATAGCAAGATGAAGGACGTCAATCAGGTGTGCAAGAGAGGGAGGAAATGGAAAGTCGCAACGTACAGGCTATGCGCCTCGGATACACATGCTGTTGGCTTCGGATAATTCGTATTTTGAGCGGGGGGAGGCAGCGCTCGAGAGCGCTGCCGGTAGTAGACGACGTTATCATCGTCGCGAGTGAGTTCGAAGAGCGTTTGTGTGTATGAGCGAGGAGATGTAAGTATAAGAGAGCAGGGGATGTTGGGTCTGTAGAGCTGACGGTGGAGGATCTTTTATAGGCTCAACAGGGCCCATGCCACGCTCCAAGCGTCCAATTATCCAATCCTCGGAGGGCCACCGGGCCAATGCGACCACACAAAGCTGAGACAGAGGCCGCGTCACCGAGGCGGGCATATTGTGGCTGGAGCATCGCTTGACCACCGGGTGGCCTGTCTGGCTACTTCTTCACGGCACATAGCCCAAGCCTGGCAAAGCCAACGCGCAATTAACGTCGATCGCGCCGCCTGCATCGAGGCAGCGGATGGTCATCCCCTCGACAGAATGGGCAAAATGCTTTAGAAATGCGCGATGGGCAATTGGTTTTTGCGCGCAACGCTGGTCTTGACGGCGTACAACAAGGGCGCGGGAACGGGTGGTCCATGCACAGACATTATGGCGGTCGTGGCGGGCGACTCGAACCGCCTCTGGGGCAGTTTGAAATGCGCTACGTGTTTTTTAGGCTCCGCGAGCTCCCGAACAAAGCGACAGCCAAGCCCGTGTTGTGCTTTCACAGCCGTGCGCATAGCACAAGGCCCAGACCAGACCGGACGCCGCAAGAGGTCGGTAGTTGAGGTGTTTGTTGTTCTCCGCCTTGATGAGGCCATACGTGACGCGTCACGCATGATGAAGACGGCGTTTCTTCCTCCTTTCGGCTCCGACAATCGACACATCATTCTTTCCAACGAGAATACAAACGGCTTCCTTGCTCTACGAGGGCTACTGGACGTCTATCACCGTAGTCTGGAGGAGTCTATCAGAACCTACGGCGAGCTGCTTGAACTCGATTTCTGACTCTCACCCTTTGATTCTGTGTATGTTTCTCTTGTCCTCAAGGGACGACGACCGACCTTGTTCTGACGCCTTTCCGAGAATTATGACTTCGGAAATGGCACTGAGGAAAAATTCATCTGCAAAGGGTATGAACTTGCTGTGACATCCTGAATGAGGGGCTCTGGATCGCGCGTCGAGAGGATGCGAACTATTGTCGCAAAATTGGGTGTTTCATTCGAACACGTTGATGTCTATCCATGAGGACGACAATGCATATGGCTCTACTGCTGGATTGATTGTGTCCGTGCTCTATGGATGCCGTCCGCTGTTTGTTGCTGAATTACGCTCAGTGTAACTGGCATCGACTCTTCACCATGTCGTCTGCTTCTTGTTTGCTGCGCGCATGCTTGTAATAGACCTTACACTCATAAGCAGTGACCCCGACTTCACACGAATGCCACATCACTGAAAATCCGATGATAATATTGAATCCATATCACAGATTCTGAATTTGATACATGATAAAGGTACCATGTACAAGTATAAGTTTCCCCCACCCTACAGCAAGCACAGCGAATTTCATCGCTTTGTCGCGACCACGAGTGTTTATGATAAAAAGAAATGTCAGGCAATCAGGCGCCCACCCAATCACTCCATCGACGCATATCCATTAGGGACGGCAATCTCCCACTTCTCCATATAGGTACCGCAGGAAAGGGAAACGATCGAAGATCCCCGCGCGCGCGTGTACTCGTTATGCCTACGCAAGGTGACAAATGTTCCAAAGGGCCATGGAACAGGACGGGTGGGCATCTGCATGAACCGCCGACTTGAATGTGGGTTTCCCCGTCAGTGCATAAAGCAGGATAGTACTGTGAGAGTCAAATGTAAGAAAAGAAAAGTTATCACATGAATTGAGAAGCGTACAGAGAGGAGAGTAGTCGTCCCGTACTCGCAATCTTCGTCCTCGTCGACCAAGACACTAACCGTATGCAGGTGGCGGGTTTCGTGTGCAGGTGAAAGAGGTGGCATGTCACATAACCACGTCTTGTTCGATGGCGATGCGTTGATACGCATATGCCGATGATGAAATATCCTCGCCATAGTATACGTCCATAGGGTCGTCTGATCACCGATGCTACACATTGCAGTTGAGCCATATGTTAGGCAACATAAATAAAGCACGGTCAGGCATACCCGCGATGCGTCAGGTGAGGTCGCTTCGTTTCCATATTAATATGAAGTCGATGTCATTGCAAGTGAGACGCAGGGGTAACTGAACGCTTAGAGCTGGGGAGGGATGTGAGGTGATGGTCAACAGGAAGAATATGAGGCGACGTACGGCTCCGAATTTATAGTGGCGGAGAGTGCGCGGAGGCAGCCTTTCTACATGACGGTGACGCCGTGCCGGGCCATGGCTGCCCTCTTGCGGAGTCAACATATGCTGGCTCTGTTCGAAGAAGCTGGAACACAACTCCAGCCGGCTTGCCCACAGTCGTGATCTATTGGTTCATTTAGCTTTTGGTCACGGGGGAGAATGAGGGAAACCCGACATCGTTCCGTAAGTGAGACACAGGGGTTGATCCATATACACTGAGCTGAGCATATGTAAGGATGGCCAAGGGCCAGACTACGGCGCGGCGGCGGGTCCTCCACCCACCAGAGAGCGTGGGTTTGATTCTAGTTTACGATTGCGAGACCGTAGCTTGGGTGGCATTCAAGGCTTTGGGTGGTTTGTATCGGCGGAGCGCCAGAGCGTCATAATTTCGGCTATGGATTGTAGATCCGCGATGCTAACATGTCATGACAAGATCAGGTCAAGTACTCCATAAGAAAGCGAAAAAAACGTACCCCCTATCCCCGAGAGCGGTCGCATAGGCTGCCGAATACCAGCCTCCCCGTCAGGCCACGGTGTCGCTAGACGGAACAGACGATGAGTGCCCGTGCCGTAGCGACAGATCCTATTATGCAGATCGTGAAAAAGCATATCGGCAAGAAATGATGAGTCGCGCACCTGCCGCCAGTGAACTCTCGACCGCACAACGTGCGCTCCGCGTGGTTGCCGCCATAGCAGCCGATGAGGAATGAATATGCATCGACACATGTGGTGAGTCGACGCGAGTGTACACATGCTGTTGGCTTCGGAGAGCTGCAGATTTGGTCGTGGGCGAGCAGCGCATTGCGCCGCAACAAGGAAACCTCATGGTCGAAAGAGTCTACAAAAATGTGGTGAAGGATGTAGAGCTGGAAGGATTGTTGGTGAGGTCAAGGGAGTGAAAGGCGGGCTATTTATATGACGAGAGGGTGGCCTATGCAGCGGCAAGCTGTTGTGTGGACAAAGCGCGTGACTGGTCAAAGAGCTACAGGTCAAGTGGTTCAATTGTCAGCAATGACAAGATGGCGTCGCCACGGCCATGTCGAAGCAGCAATCGTGACTCCCAGACATGCACTGGATAAGATGATTCGCCGTACCATTGTGAATGCTTGAAGACAAACGGACCACATTTTCCAGTAGAGCGTCGACCGGCGCTACTGATGACGTGTCATACTGTGAGTATTCAGTATTGTTGCGTCCCTCGCACGATGAGAAAAGACCATCCATGACTCTTGATATTGAGGCCTAAGCGCTCTCAAGTTTGGAGAAGAAGGTTGGTTTTCGAGCCAACCCCTTTCGGGCCTTTGCGAACCGAGACGCTGGCTCAGTATGCGACGGGGTGTCACGGGGTCCGCGCGTGCGCATGACGCAGCGTGTCAACAAGCCGTCCTAGACTCATGAATCCAAGTTGTCAACCATCTTAATGGCCTGTACCTCTGTTGTGTCTTCTGATGCAGCAAAGCTACCGTGGTCCATTTGACCACTTTCTAGTCGATGCTCTATCACGACTCCCGTGCAGGCTCTGAAATAGTGCTGTTCAACAACAAGCTCGACGACGTTAAAAAAGTCCTTATCGCGAAGAACTCAATAAAAATGCATGCTCCACCATCTGGTCGCATGTCTCGAGGCTCCTACAAACAGCTATCCCATGATCGTGTTCAGAAAGACCCACGATCTTGCCTCCCTACCGAGCGGGACCTATCACGGACCGATAAGATTACATACGCTTGGCTAGCAGGTGAGCACTTGAAGGACTTCCATAGAATGGGGTGTCTTACGAGGGAGAAAGTCTTTGTGAAGATTGAGGAGAAATCAGAGGTCGCATTCGCGAACCGTGGGCCCTTGTGTGCGCCGCTTCTCTTGGGACCGACGGTCTTGACCAGTGAAAACGTCCCGGAAATCCGCGCATGCATATCCCGTCCCCGACAACGACTCTTCAACTCGGCTATGGCTCGGCTCCTCTGACCATGAGGGCTGTTTCGACTTCGTGTGCACAAAAGCAGGCGAGGCCACAAACTCGCCGCTCGAGTTCAGCTATAGTTGACGCCCGATCAACTCTCGTTGTAGGACCAACTCTTCGAATGTCTGAAAAGTGGCTTTTGCATCGGAGTCAGATGTGTCCCGCAGAGAAATTCATTCTTTGTTGGTGCATGCATGCAAGCGGATTGTGCGCTTTGCTGTTCCGTGCGTGTCCTGCACGATGCCGTGAACTTTCCTCGACTGGCCAACTAAAGACGGACCACTGTCGTGCTTTGCTCACCGATGTCGTTCTTGATAACCTATCATACTTGTGATACACGATACTCATTTATGAAGTGTCTTTCTGACGAGAATTAGCGCAGAAGGCATCATGACACACAAATGTCAGGTTAAGATCTGCATTTTGAGTGGCATTGGAATCTAGAAAGGTTCAGGATCGTGGTGAAAACTCTGCATACAAACGCAGCGACCGTAAGTACCTCGACACAACATAGACGATCGCGAATGCGAAAGGTTCAAAATTCTGATCACACGAAAGGTATATAGAAATTATTCATAGAAATTATTCATTTGAATTATTCATTTGCAAGTACCCCCCCCGCAAAAAAAAAAATGAAAAAAAGGAAATGCTAATCAATCTCACCACTTCGTCACGACACCAGTCCTAACCGATAACAGTGCGCTGACAGCGTCGAGTTGTCCTGGTCTGGTCTGAGGCCAAGGAGGACCGGCCCCTTACTCGCATTCAGATACGCCGTTCCCCAACCAGATGATAGCATGTATAATATTGTGTGTCTATGTACGGCGCGCAGGGACGAGTGTCAGGTTAGGCGACGAGGCGCGAGGGCAAGGAAGGAGACGTACTATGTGTAAAGCTCTGGGGATCACGTGTATCTCCGCGGAGTACACATGCTGTTGGCTTCGGTGTAGAGTATACTTTCGGTGCTTAGAGGTACACCAGTGCGCAGCAGCATTGGGGAGTCGAGCATGAGGATGGTTTTGATCAAGACGAGGATGTGACCGTGGTCGAGTGCGTGGTATGGAAGAGCGTAAGTGGGGAGAGACTGCAGGTGAGGTCGTCTTTTATACGTGCAGGAACAAAGGGTCGCCTGTGTGTTGCAGTTGGGCGCCACAGGTTTCAAGCTTTGTCCACGAATTCAAGAAGGTATGTCATGCCACGCGGCAAGGCTTCCACCCCGCGCGAGTGAACAAAAAGTGGGCCATGACGGTGGTGAGACATTATCACAGAGCAGATCCTAGAGACGCATGTAGTCGAGCCGATATCGGTTAGGAGAGGTATACAGTTTTCGCGTCGAATATATCAGATAGTTCGGTGCGGTGGCAATCCATTTCGCAACTCGACGTCGAAGGACTTGGTGGATTGCGTTAAAGATGGAGAGAGCCCGTCGAGGACGAGTCCGGCCGGCTGGCACGGGCCGAGCCGAGGAAAATTCTTCCTGAACCGAACAATGCGGCAGTGGCGGCGGTCGAGCAGCCTCTGGGCCAGAATCACGATTCGCAACGCTCTTCACCTGCCCAGCACAGCTGCGAGGGCCATCGATCAAGACTCGGCCGAACACGACGATCTCCAATCCTGACAGATCTTGTGCGCCGCCGCGTCTGTGCGTTTGGATCTCTGTCTTCCGTTTCTGCTCTGGACTGTTCCAAATATGACGCATTCTCTCTGTCAACTTGTCATTTGCCATATCACCCATCCTCTCGATGCGGCATGGGCGAGATCGCGTGCTTCTACTCAATCTCTGCCAGCAGCTAGTGCACCGGCACTGGCGGTGGACGCCATGTAGGCGTCACGCGCCGACATCCCTTCATCGCTCGAAAAGTACTGCAAGTGCGGCTGAAAGCTGGTACATCCGAGGCAGAGTGACTGGCAATGAAGCTGCCCCGTTGATGTTCTTGTAACTTGATGGGTCGGAGGTCGATCGAGGGTCGGGTGACTGATGGGCAGCTCCAGTCGAACACCCCGCATGCTACGAGCGGAGGATTGCGTTCTCGCTCGGCTATCGGAAGCTCCTTTGTTCGGGTCATCGGACTGTGGGCGAGATCGTACTTGTGGTGCGATGGGTTCCGCTGCTGTGAAATGTGAAGGCTCTTTGCCATCGCCATCTGTTGTGATATGTTCTCGAGGACTGGGATAGGCCAGTGAGTTTCTTGCCTGTTTTATGTAGGATTTCCGTTGCACTGAGCCTCGAGACTTCAGCCAGTGAATATTCGGTGAACAATGTTGTTAAAGGCCGGAAAGGCCGAGAAGCAGCGGCCCTGGCTGCGTTACGGAGCATCGTGGTGCGCAGAAGCTCTGGTGATCACACTTCTGTAGCTGATCTGCTGAACAATGAGAGGACGAGAGCTTACTAAATCCATACTGAGCTCGTGAGCTTGCGGCAGGTGTTTCAGGGACTTTTCTGTCTAGACGTGTCTGTGCCAGAGATCCGGCCGCGATCTGGCGTCCGGACGGGTGTGCATCCTCCGCCACTACGATTCTGGTTTGGAATCTTTCTGGTGCGGGTGCTGCTCGTTTGTGGGCCAGGACCACGGTATGTGGCATGGAAGGCGTCCCCGTCTGATTTGGGCGCGAGGAGCCTGGCCGCACGAGTGATCTACGCCATCCCCGGTACCGTCGAACCGCGCCCGCTCACTTTCAACCTCATAACATGTGTATTTAACTCTTCCCGCCACAGCATGTTGATTCGCGATTGGCTTCCCCTGCACTCATATTAAACTTCCTTTCCTTCGCTCTTGCTTGACCCACCGCCTGTTCTCTTTTTATACCGCACGCCGCCCCTTCCCTTTTTATATAGCCTGCAGCCAAACCCCTCCCTTCTGTGGTCCACCCGATGCTTCTGAACAGCCTTCTCGCCCCAACCGCCATCGAGCGTGACGCCCACGCGCGGTCGTCGGAGATGCCATCGACCGTATACTCTTCTCACTGCGCCTCTCCCACCTCAACCTGGGCGTCTTGCCCTACTCTTCTGTCCGCTAGCTCGGCGGCGCCCTCCCCGTTGTCTCACACCTCCGACACCGACACCCCCGTCTCAGATAATCCCTCTGATCTAATAAGCTTGCGTTCAAACACCACATCCACGTCGTCTCCTTCCCCTCCCGTTTCTTGTTCTTCTCAGAAATCGAAGCTCGGGCTTCCCAACTCGTCAAAGAGCTATGCGACCCGTGCGGCCAAGCGCGCCTCTGCAGCTCGAGTGGATTCCAGGCTCACATTGGGATCGACGGGTAGGGAGCAGCAAAGACCAAATCCTAACGCATATAGTGACAATGCGAACGAGTACGAGGTCCAGCGGGTCGCATATGCGGCAGGCGTACCTCGCGAAATGCTCAGTGTCTTCCGCGCGGACCCCTTCGAAACAAAGCTCTGTGTTTTCGGCCCCGACGCGGTGTTTGAAACTGCAGATGACCAGGTATGAAATATTTCACCGCCGTTAATCGGTGCATATATGCGCTCGAGGACTGATGGCGGCGTCCCCATTTAGACTACAGGCGACGAGGTCGTCGTTGCCTTGCGCAGGAAACGTGTACGCTCGTCCCCTCGTGCGAGCACTCAAGCTCAGCGCAAGCGTCGCGCCGTTCAGGTATACCAGCAACAGCTTTTGAGCTCGGCATTTCTCTCGACGCAACCGATGGTGCACTTCCAGCACGAGCTCAAGCTAGACTTGGACGACGTGCCGGGGCTGTTCCCATTCGCTTCTGATAACAAGGTATGCCCAGCCCGAGCGGAGCAAAAGGACAAGCAATGTGAGGATGAGAATGCCGGTAGACGCAATCGGCGTGGCCAAGGGAACAGACGGGCTCCGCCACCGCTCTTTACGCCTGTCCATCAGTTCCTGCGGCACACACCCAAATCTCAGGGCGATCACGCGGTACAGGCTACTGGTCACTCACAGGAGGAGATAGTCCCACCGACTGATGTAGACCATCAATATAATCCCCCACAAATCCCCATAACACACTCCGAGGACCACGTCTTCTCCGCACATACCCTATATGCGCCACCCTTCAATCTCTCCGAACTTCCTTATCTCCCGCCCTCGAGGTTCGACTCACCGCTGAGCGTCTGGACGCACACTGCACCATCTTCTCCGTCGTCGATTGCTCGCTTACAGAATAACAGTTTCAGCAGTATCAGCAGCATGGATAGTGCCCCTTGTGCTACTCCGCTTGGCGCGTCCTACAATCCGAGCGTTGTCGAGAACGTTGCTCGGCCCTTCTATGCGCCGATGTTCGCTTCCGAGTTGGGGCAAGATTATCTGTGCTCTGGCCTCCATGCGCGTTCCTTCGGTGGATTGGTAGATAACTTCGCTGCCCCGTATTTGCTGCATCAGGGCGGTGACTCGGCGCCAACCTACGAGCCTGCAATATACGCACCTACCCCCCGACCCGCACTGACTAGCTTCATCGCGCATTATACCGCAATGCAGGCTCCTGATATTCAGGCTCCCCATGTTCCTGGCCTCAGCAACGTATCCCTTCCCATAGGGCTTGTTGAAGTCTCTGGCGCCTCCGGTCATTCACCCTCTACCTGCGCGCGCCCAAGAGAGCAAGATTCGATGCCAAAGCTTGAGCCGCAGAGTCCGGGCTCCATCGGATCGCCGACGCGAGAGCCACTTCATCCGTGCTCTTTGTGCCCTCGCAAATTTAACCACGCCCAGGGGCTCTCGCTACATATAAAGTCCCATGGACATCACGGAGAAGCGGGAGAGCGAAGGGATGAGATGGAAGAGAGTGTAGACTCGGCCAATCAATTGAGAAGGGCGGAGATGAGGAATATGGAACAGAGGAGGCCACCTTTTGGACTCGAGGACGTGAGTGCATGGATTATGAATGCTGGTCGCAGTACGGAAGTTGAGGAACGTCTCCAGGGCGACTGGAACGCTCAAAGTCAAGGGGACTCGAATCGCAAGCCACTTGCACCGATGTCCAACATGCGGACAGGCTTGGAGCAAGATTCGCATGAGGGCGGATCGGGACTTAATTTCGCGCAATTCGAAGGAGCTGCGGATCGGCGGCTTGGAGAGCGGTCTGTGGGATGTGCGGGACCATTGTCGCACTCGCTCTATCATGACCCGGCTCATCACGGCTATCATGTACTAGATGGTCCCGATGGTGGGAACGGATATTATGGACAGTCTGCACAAGCAGTAAGCATCCTTATTCACCTTGCACATCCCCCTTTCTTTCCTCCGCTGAAGCATCTTGCTTTAGCAGAACATATCAGGTCACATGGAAGGCTTCTTCGATCCTCAGTCACAGGCATCCGCCCTCTTTCCCACTGCAGAGCCAGCCATGAGTTGTGACAACGAAGAGCCCACAGCGTTGCCTGGGTGTTCTCTATTCCTTGCACCCCTGGACGCACTAGGGGGACTCGAGACATTGCCGTTTGTTCAAAGCCCCGGTTGGATGCACATGATGAGTATGTGAACGAGAACCGTGGTTGGGGGGCGCAGGCTGGTCTTTCGCTTCTTTTGATTCTCTTTCTTTTCTGGCGCGTCTTTTCTGGCGCCGAAAGATCACCAGCGAGCGACATGGAATGATTTCCGTTTTTTTTTGTGTAATACGACATATCAGGAGCTCACTGGAACGGTTTCGATGGACCAACCATAGTCATTAGCATCATAACACCCGACATTTCTCGCATACATGACTCGAGTTCCGTCCTTTTCCTATTTTTTTATTGTCCTTTGTAGGCGCTTTTAGTTGTGCATTTGTATATCATCCAATTTTGTCGGTATGTCATACGGTTGTCCTCAGCATCATCCCTGTACAAGCCTTCGGATATAGCGAACGCATGATCAACATACAACGAGTTGTTTGATTATTGTACAATCAAACCAAGTTCTCAACATAGTTTTCACAACTCATACACCCTTGCGACACGAAGGACGTACGCATATAGATCATACATCAATCCCAATACAGTCACAATCTTCCTGGACATGTCGCGAGGGGACGAGGGATCATGAACCGACCCGCGGCCACTGCTCGGACTCGCAGACAGGCGGACAATCCACTTTCAGTTGGTCCGTCGAGGTCAGTGAGGAAGCATGAGAGATCCAGGCTGTCAGGAGAGGTCTCTAGGATTTCAGTAGGGACGGAGACAGCGCCTTCAATCGGTCGGGCGAGAGAAGTCAAGATCGATCAGACTGAAGCTCGGAGCTGTACGAGCCCGAAGACCTCAAAGCGAGGGTGAGCTTGGGGCTTGGACGGCTTGGAGGGGACCCGTGTGGACCCGTGGCTGGTGGTCGGATCGAACGGCGGGCTCGTGGAGTGGGCGGCGCGCGCGCCCGTTCCAGCGGCGTGCCGCAGTGTGCACTGCACAAAGTCGAGATGGTGCAGCACTGCAGGCTCGTTACTCGTGGTTGGAGGAGACGCTGCCGGGTTACGGTTGGATTGGGCGACGGGCACTTGGTGTCGGGGATGGCGTAGGGGGTGGTTTCCGCTGCTCGAGTCACGTCGACGGCGACGACGACGACGAGGGAGGAGGCCTCGGCTCGTGATGGCTCGTGCAGTGAGCGCAGCGCGCGCGCGACGCGACGCGACTCGGAGTTTGAAAGAAGACGCGCTCGCCCAGTGCTCGCAGGTGCTCGCCCTTACGGCCTTACCACGAAGATACGAGCCAGGAAAAAGCGTTCTAGCGTACATGCAGACAATCATGACCAGATACATCGTGAAAATCCAGCAAGCCGGGCGGCTAGTGAGATCCTCACCAGGACAGCGCCGCATGGCAGGACAGCAAGCCGTCACTGGCGACACGACGACAAGAAGCAAACGGCGATAGACACGGCGCATATACGTATGTTATAGGAGAAACAGCTAAATACTGGAGTTGGACGACGGTTAGACGAGACGAGACGAGACGAGGGCGGGGGTGCCGGAGGAGAAGTACTAGTACGTGGGGGGACATCGTCAGGAAGAGGAGGACGAGGAGGCGGTGGCAGCGGGCAGGTTGGCGCCGGTGCTGCTCTTGCGCGTGCGCACGACCTTGTTCCGCAGCGCGCGCTCCTTCAGCTCGTTCTCCCTACGCTCGAGCTCGTCGCAGTCAATTCCCCGCTCCTGCACCTGCACCTGCACGCCGACCGTCCAAACGTCCACACGAAACCACACGAAACGAACGCAGACGCAAAAACAAACAAGCAAACGAACGAATAAAGGAGAAACCGAGGCGCGATCAGCTCACGCGCGCCCGAGGACACAGGTCAAGTGGAGCGCGACGCACGCACCTCGTCCTGCCCCTCGCGCTCGGCCTTCTCGCCCTCGCGCTCCCGCTCCTTTTCGCGCTCGGCCTGCCCCTTAATTCTCAGCTCGCCTTTCGCCGCCGCCGTTGCTGCCGCGGCCCCCGAGCCGGAGCCGTCCGCGTTAGGCTGGCTAACGTCTGGCACGGCTGCCTTTTCTTTTTCCTTTTCCTTTCCTTTATCCTGATCCCGATCCCCGTCCCCGTCCCCGTCCTTTACCTTTTCCTTCTCTTTTTCCTTTTCTTTGTCCGTTTCTTTTCCCTTCGCCTGGTCGTTGCCTTTCTCCGCCTCCTTCCCCTCGCGCTTCCCACGCCCGGCATCAACAGACCCTTTCCTCGGCCCCCGACTGCGGCTTTTACTCCTGCTCCCGCTACGACTCCTACTCCTGCTCGCGCTGCGCATCCGCACGTCCCTGTCCTTCTCCTTCTCGTGATCCTTGCCATTATCCCTATCTTTATCCCGCGCCCGCTCTCGCTCCCTCTCGCGCTCCCTCTCCAACGCCTTCCTCATCTTCCGCTCCCGCTCTCGTCGCCCCCCACGCTCCCGCCGCCGCGGCACCGGAGGCGGCAGCGGTGGGAGATGTGGCGGCGGAGACCGCGAGCGCGACACCGAGCGCCGGCGCCGCCTCCGCGCGGCGGGTGGGCTCACGCTGCGCCCCCCTCCGCCCCGTCGCGCGCGGGGACTCGGGCTGCGGCCGCCGCGGCGCACCCGGCTCCGGGAGCGGCTGCGACTGCGACTGCGACTGCTCCGGCGGCTGCTGCGGCTGCTCGCGGGGCTGAGGCGGCGGCGGCGTGGCGGGGGGCTGCGGCTGTCGCGTCCGCGCCCGCGCCGGCGGGGTGGGGAGAAAGAGCGGGAGCGGGAGCGGGCGCGGCGCCGTGGGGGAGGGGAGCGGCGCGAGCCGCGGGCGTAGGGCGAACGGGAGCGGTCGTGTGCGCGATGGCGGTCGCGATCGCGAGAGCGGGAGCGGTGCATGTGGGGCGGGGTGGAGCGCGAGCGCGAGCGTTTGCGGAGGTGGGGAGGGGGAGAGCGCGAGCGATCGCGGGAGCGGGAGCGTTTGCGAAGGTGGGGAGGGGGAGAGCGCGAGCGATCGCGGGAGCGGGAGCGTTTGCGGGCGGGTGCGGCGGCGGCGGTGGCGGTGGCGGTGGCAGGTGCGGCGGGGGCAGGGGGGGAGGGGGAGCGAGCGCGGCGGGCGGGGGGCGAGCGGGAGCGGGAGGAGCGGGTCGGGGAGGGGCTGCGGGTGCGTGAGCGAGAACGTCGGCGGGTGGGGGTGCGCGAGCGCGAGCGTGAGCGGGGGTGTGGACGCTGTTGGGAGTCGGGTCAGTGAAATCGATCAAGTAGAAATGGCTAGATTTCATGCGTACTCCGCCACGATTTCCCCATCCGTTGTCTCTTCCCCTCCCGCCACCGCCGCCACCGCCGCCACCGCCACGATCGTCATCAAAACCGCTGCCTCTTCCTCTCCTGCCGCCGCCCCGACCCCGACCTCGGCCATTCCGACCGTCTCTCTCGCGCTCTCTGATCTCATCGAGGCGCACTCTGCGATCGCGCTCCTCGAGGGCACGTGTGTCCCCCTCGCGAGCACGGCGAAATTCTTCCTTCTTTTCCTCGACGAAGGTCTTTGGTATGCCTGCGGGGGACTCCTGGGCCTCGAGGAGGAGGGCCCAGAGGGCGGACATGAAGGCGGGGGTCGAGGCGGTGAGGAAGCCTGTCAGATTTATTTGCATTTTTTTAGGGTCGGGCGTCTAGAGGCAACGAGGTCGGCTCTGGGAACGAAGAGACGAAAAACACGTGGAAGGGAGGGGGACGCACCGGCTGAGACTCGTCTTCGAGGAGACCCATCGCGTACTCGACGACGACCTCGTCCTCGAAGCCGACGAGCTCGACGACCTTTTTGGCGACCCACGGGCGGATGACCTCGATGTTGACCTTGCGCATGTCGACCTTGAGTGGCGGGGAGAGGCACGTGAGCGAGTGCGCGGGGGAGACGGGGACGGGGTGGATGAGCACAGTACCTTTTTGTCAAACTCGGGGGGAAACTTGATGGACTTGAGGAGCTTGAGCTCCTTGTCTGAGAACCTGCGGTCCTGGTCTGCCGACGTGCCCTTGAAGAAGCCTTGTGAGATGAACGGACGGGTCAGTGAGGAGACAGGAGCACGCGGAGGGGGAGGGCGTTCTGACCTGCATCCGCCATTGGGAGATATCGAGGCCGGGATGAGCTGTGGAGGAGAGAGCGTGGATGGCCTGTTGTGTCGCGGGCGTGGGAACATTGCGTGACGGAGAGCGCCCGTTTATCGCGTGGCCACGACGCCGGCGCGCGAGTCACAGGCTGTCACACGCGACCACGCGCTCCCTGACCGCACGTACGTGATCGCCTTCCCGCTCCCAATTTCCAGTATGCCTCCTCCCTTTCCCTCCTCTCTCCTCCTCCCATGGCCCCCTCCTCCACAGAGCCCCCGCCCCTCCACTATACCCGCTTCAACCCCCTCGCGCAGGCCGCCACCGCCTCCGACTCCACCCTCCCCGCCGCCCCCACCCCGACCGGCAGCTCCAGCAGCAGCAGCGGCGCGGATGATAAGGCCCCCGGCTTCTCACACAGCTCCCTCGGCCTTTTACTCATCTTCCTCGGCTGCTTCGCCGCACTCCTCGTCGCCTGCGTCGTCGGGCACCGCATCTACATCCGCCGCCATGGCCTCCGAAACCCCGCCCCGCCGCAGACATCGCCCGCGCGCCGGCCGCGGCGGGCGAGAGAGCGGCCGCGCATGTGGGACGTGTGGCTGCTGGACGATCGCCGCTCTGCGAACGGGCGCGCCAGCGGCGTAGACGGCGGCGACAGCGCGAGGTGGGCAGACATCATGGTGCGCGACCGTCTCCCTCCCTCCCTCCCTCTGCTCTGCTCTGCTCGAATCGTTCGCCACGAGATCCTGACTGGCGCGGAACCTTTTTTTCACGTTTGGCGCCCCGGCGATTCATTGATCTGGGATCAACGCGCGACATCGAACTTCTTTCGCTGCACGTCACTTTATCGCCCGTCCGTCCGATCCGGCACCGCCGTATTATAGCCCGTCGCCGCCTACCTCCATACCCCCACCCCGACTCCGCCGGCCGCCCCGCCGGCTGCCTCGCCGCCGCGGACGCGGACGCGCCCCCGATCGCGCTCGCCGTCTGTGCCGGTGCGCGCACGGACCCGCGATGCTCCGCCATCTGTGCCGTACGCCATGGAACACCATATCATGATGTCCCAGGCCTGGTTCCGCGGCGTCTACCCCCTCGAGCCAGAATACTCGCCCCGCCCACGACCCCGACCTCAGCCGCAGCCCTCGTTCTCGAACACGCCCCCGTCCCAACCCCCTCCCGAACCCTCCCCACCCGAGATGCGCGTCGCAGTTCTCATCGCTATGCCCTCCCCATCCCGCTCTACTAATTTCACCTTGACTCGATCTCATTATTCTCTCGACGACCGGCGCTCCCCGCACGAAGCATCGAACCACGCGGACCCACATTCGCACTCTCACCCTGGGGACGCCACTGATCGGGACCAGAAGCGCGTTCGGAGCCAGAAGCAGCGCGATATCGGACCTGGGTCCGTGGACGATGCCGGCACCGACGCGTCTGCCAGCGCCTCCGCCTCTGGCTCTGGCTCTGGCTCGGTCGACGCTGGGCCGTATAACGTCGTCGAGGAGGAGCGGCGGGGCGCGTGCTCGCTGGGGGCGGACGGCGCATATGTGTTCGGCGTCGTCGATCTCCCGTGGGAGCCTGGCGGCGTGCCTTGAGTCTGGCGCCCGGCCAGCCAGCCTGCTGCTGCCTCCGCCTCTGCCTCTGCCTCTGCCTCTTTTCGCCTTCTTCTCTCACACTCGCACGCCCGCTCGCAGTCTCGCAGTCTCGCAACCTCTCAGCGGACACACGTGGCAGCGGTGTTGTGCGCCCGACGCGCCCGACGCCGCCGCCTTCTCACTCGGTTCCCTGCCTTTGCCCCCGTCTTGACGCTCCCGTCTCCCGTCCTCCCCGCCCTCCGCGCGTCTATGTTGCATCGTCGCGCCCTGTCTTGCCACATGCCCAGCCTCGCGCCCCGTCTTGTCTTGCCTTGCCCCTGCCCCTGCCCCTGCTCTTCCGCTTGCTCGCTTCGCTCTCCGCAGCGCGTCCTTGGTTCCGCGCCCGAGCGCGTCGTTTATTGTTTTGTTGACCCACACACACCGCACTTGTGTTTGTCCCGGAGCGCACATACGCATACACACAGATACACATGCATGCACGCACGCACGCACGCATACACATACCACACATGTGCATGCCATTCCTGTGTTCGCGCCGTGCGTGAGGGCGGCACGTTCGCGGCGCTGATTGACTAGCCTGCCTGCCTGCCGACTTCCTCACGCCGACTTCCTCACGCTTTGCGCCGCGGATGATTCTTCGTACCCTACTGTTCCCGAGGCGGCTTTCAGGCGACCCGGGTGACTCGCAGGCGCGTGTGATGAGGAGGGCAGGGCGCATTGGAGGCCTTGATTCTTTTCTTATGTAGACAACGAGGCAAGGGTGTGCCGCCGGTCGGCTGGCTGGGGAGAAGGGAGAGGGGGTCGGGAGTGGGAGTGGGCGTGATGCGGGCGCCATGCGCGCGGGCACGGCCAGCCGGGGGTTCTGATGCTTTATCTTTGGGGGTCGGGAGTCGGGAGGCGGGCGGGATATGGGGTTCGGGGTGGTTTCGAGGTCGCGGGTTGGGGAAGTTGGAGCGCTGAGTGAAGAGGTGGGAGCGAGGAGGCGGGGACGGGCGAAGGATAGACACGAGCTGGCGTTTGACATATATCCGTCGCGTCGTCGGTCCTCCCACGCGCGGCCGCCTCTCCGCCGTCCGTCCGTACCGGCCTTGTGGTGGTCGACTCTGCGCGCACGCAGGCGCGGTGCAGGTATGCATACATCCGCACACAGACCTCGGAACGATTTTTTTTTGCCCTTTTTTCATATTTTTGTTGTTTTTGTTGTTTTTGTGACCGCCGTTATCGCCGAAAGCTGACCCTCCCGCGCTCGCGTCGTAGGGGGCCAGCAAGGCGCCCGAGCTGCAGCGTATGGCCAGCGCGCGGTCGTGTGACGATGTACTGTATAATCACCTTCTTTTTACTTCCGCTTTTCCTTCCCCTCCACTCTCCCTCCCTCCCTCCCTCACCCCTCTTCGTTCTTCGTTCTTCGCTCTTGCTTCCTTTTTGCATCTCCCCTCTTTGCTCCGATCTGACCCCGACGTTTTTTTTGTCCTGTGTGCTGCGTTGTGTAATGATGTTGTGTGTGGATGCCGAAGTGCTCGATTGCATACCTCGTCCTGTAGAAGAAGCGCTTAATCACCTACTTACTTACTTACTGTACGGATCGCCGTGCGCGGAGCGCTACGTTGTGTTGTGTTGTGTTGTGTTTTATATAAAGATATATATTCTGGTGTACTCGTATATTTTGTTGGATAGAGCGGGGGTGTGGTGCACATCGGGGGAGCGTTCGATGATGAATCACGCGTGCGTTGATGCGATGAGACGATCCGACGACGGGTGTCGTCGCTGGCACTGGCCAAAGAGCGGGGATAGCGATATCATTCCAACCACAGCGCGTACACAATAAACACAGCACAACACAAGCCCCCACCCCATCCAATCTCATAACATAACATATACCGGCACGCACCCACGCACCCACGCCCTCACGCCCGCAGCCCCGCCCTATCCCCAACCAGCCCCCGCGCCGCCTCCCGCCCGCCCTTAACGCAATCCCCGACGCTGACGCCGCCAACGCCCGCCCCGACGACGCGCAGGCGCCCGCCCCACGGCGCGCGCTGCAGCGCGGCGCGGAGCTCGGCCATGCGCTGCACGTGGCCGACGGCGTACGTCGGGATGCAGCGCGCGTGCGTGTGGTGGTGCGCGTGCACCGGTGGCGGGAGCGAGGCGCCGCTGGGGGATGCGGACGCGGACACGGGCAGGGAGGGGGAGGGGTGGCCGAGCTGGCGCGCGACGGCGGCGAGGACGGAGGAGAGCGCGAGGTGGGGGGTGGTGGGGTGGAAGGAGGGGGGCGGGTACGGCCCGCCGAGCATGGCTGTGAGCTTGACGAAGGGGGGCGCGCCCGCGCCCGAGGCGGCGGGGCCCCCGGTGGGCGCGTCTTGTTCTGCGAGGCTCGCGGTGTCGAAGACGACGCCGAGGAGCCCCGGCTCGTCGTCGATGCCGACGTCGACGTCCAAGCGCTTCTCCGCGTCGGGCGGCGGCGCGCTATCCGCGACGGCGGTGTACCCGCGCAAGGGCCGCGGGACGAGGTAGCCGAAGCCGGGGGGGTGGAGGGGCGCGGGGAGGCGGGCGGTGGCGAAGACGAGGGTGAAGACGTGCATGGTGGAGGAGGTGTTCGCGAGCAGGTGCGGGAGGGGTGCGGAGGGCGGGAGGGCTGGGGCGAGTGCGGGGAGGGGGAGGGCGGAGATGACGTGCGTGGCGACGAGGGGGGCGGCGGTGTCGTCGGCGACGCGGATCTGTCGCGCGCGCGTGTGTTAGCCCCAGGAGCAGAAGCAGGAGAGGGAGAATGAATAGGGGCGGGAACGGGAGCGCACCTCGAGCGTCTGGCCGTCCTCGGTGGGGCGCAGCGAGACGACCTCTGCGCCGCGGCGGAGCTCGACGCGCGGGTTGCTCTCGAGCGCGGCGACGAGGGCGAGCACGAGCTGCTCAAGGCCATCCTTGAACGAGATGACGGCAGCCTCGTCGACGCGGCGCACGAAAGCGGGATCCGCGCTAAGCTCCCAGGCCTCCTCCCGCTCGCGGGCCTCCCTCTCCCTGCGGCGGTCCTTGGCAGTCCACCAGGCGCGCCAGCCGAGCTCGCCGAGGAGGACGCTCCCGTTTCCGCGGGCCTCTGCGTCCCACAGGGCGGGGAAGGCTGCGCGGACGCTGAGGACGCGGGCGTCGGCGCCGTAGACGCCGTGACAGAAGGCGCTGCCGAGGACGCGGGCAAAGGCGGGGCCGAAGCGGCGGGTGAGGAAGGCGTCGAGGGACTCGTCTGTGGCGCCAGTGGGGCGGTTGGCGGGGCGGAAGGGCTCTCGGAGGAGGGCGGGGAGGATGATGCGGGAGAGCGGGGAGGTGAGGAGGGACCAGAGGGAGGAGGGGAGGGCGAGAAGGCCCGGGGTGGGCGGGACGTGGAGGAAGCGGGCGCGGGCGGCGGGGGAGGAGCGCGGGGTGGTGATCGTGTGCGGCTCGAGATGGAGAAGGTGGATCTGCGGGTGGAGTGGAGGACGGTGTGAGAGACGGCGGGCGCGATGGTGATGGCGGCGCGAGACTCACGAGCTCGAGCACGGACTTGGTGTTCGCGCGGACGGTGCGCGGGCCGGCCTCGAGGAGGATGCTCGCGCTGTTCCCGTCGTCGTCGTGCACGTCGACGCGCTCGCTGCGGACCCAGCCGCCCATGCGGGCGTCTTTTTCGAGGAGGGTGATGCGCACGGTGGGGTCGAGGCGGGCGAGGTGGAAGGCGGCGCTGAGGCCGGTGAGGCCGCCGCCGAGGACGACGACGTGCTGGGGCGGGGGCGGGGGCGAGGAGGCCATGGGCGTAGGGGCCACGGTGGGTGTGTCAGGAGGCGGTGGGTGGCGGTGGGAGAAAGGCGGCGGAGCGGGCGGCGAGGCCGTGTGCTTGGGGACATGTCTCGGCCTTCGCGGCGGCGGATTCGCACGCGCAAAAATGGCGAGAAATGCGGGGACGTCGTTCGCGTGCGTGCAGGACGTCTGCGGGGACGATGCTTGCCGCGGGCGAGGGCGGGACGGAGGAGAGGGGACGGCGGTGCGGAGGACGGCGCGGCGAACCGAACCAGTCCGGAAAGCGAACAAGACGGACACGGTCCACGTAGCACCTCCTCCCTTGCTCCTCTCCCCTCCTCTCCTCCTCTCCTCCTCTCCCTTTCTCTCCTCCCCTTCTCCGCACAACCACCCAAACCACCCACGCAGCACCATGGCACGCGGCAGAAAAATCCTCAACGGCGACTCCGCCGACAAGCCGATCACATCCACAGAGCCCTCCGAGACCAAGCCGAGCCCGCCACGCGCGTCCCTCCCCGCCCTCGCCATCTCCGCCGCAGCCCAGGACGTCGACCGCGACGAGGTCAAAGTCAACAGTGCGAACCTCTCCGAGCTCAAGAATGCCTGCGACGATGCCCTCAAGCGCGTGCGTCCCTTTTTGCCTCCACTTCCTTTCTCTCTCTCTCATACGACGCTCCGTGTCGCGTGCCATGGCATGCGCTGTCTGTCCTGTCGTGCCGCCGCGAGCAGTTCCTCTCCCGCCCCGACCTCTTCAAGCAGATCCACCTCCACACCGACGTCCGCCTCGCCCTCGGCTGGGCCGGCGTCTTCGTCGCCGCCGGCACCGCCTTCTACGGCTGGAAAGTCGACTTTGAGCAGTCCAAGCCCGTCATGTGGGTCGGCCTCGTCCTGTGCGTTCTCTCCCTTCCCTTGTGCCGCGTGCGCGCATGCTCATTGCTTGGGCTCTGTGGCTCTCGCGGTTGCTCGTGTGCAGCTACGTCCTGCTGACGCTCCTCCAAACGCTCTACGCCTATTTCATCGAGGGCGACATCGTCTTCGTCGGCAAGCGTAAAACATTCGATAAGCGCGTACGTCTCCTCCCATCACCCGTCAACTCCTCTCCACCCCCCAACTCCGCTCCGCTCCCTACCCACCCCATTCGCCGTCCGCCGTCGGACTCCGGCTGATCGCCCGCCTATAGATCGTCACAGAGCGGATAACCCTCTCCGCGCGCACGCTCCCCTCCACCCCCGAAAAGGCGCCGCACTACTCCCTCTCCGTCGCCTACCTCCGCTCCTCGGGCGCCGGCAAGTCGCTGCTCGCCAAGGGCCACGCGGACGCCGCGCGCGGATACGACGCCTTCTTCGACGCCGCGGGCGTGCTCGACCAGGTCCGCTTCGAGGCCTGGCTCAGCGAGCTCGTCGGCCGCGTCATGGAGGCCGGCGCGGAGTGATCGCGTCGCGGGGTGACCGCGGGGAGGGGTGGCGTGCGTGCGTGGCTTTGTGTGTCGCTTTGTGTGTCGCTTTTTTTTGGATATTGCGAGATGGGGAGGGTGCGTTGTCGTTGTCGTTGGTGAGCTTTTTGGTTAGTCGCGTTGAGCGCAGAGGGAGCAGTCGGTGCGTCCCGCCCTCGTCCTCGTCCTCGTCCCCGTCCATGACGCGCCCTCCTGATGCGCTCTTGCCCCCCTCGGCGTCTCGGCGTCTCAGTGTCCAAAGTCCGTCGCAGTCCCGCCCCCGTCGCAGTCCCGCCCCCGTCGCAGTCCCGCCCCCGTCGCAGTCCCGCCCCCGTTCCTGTCCCTATCCCTATCCCTATCCCTATCGCTCTCTACCCCTCCCCGTTCTATCCGTCCCGCCTGTCGATTTGTGTCCTCCCCCGTGCACGCCGCGGATCGGGGCGGTCCCCGCCGCCCGCCCGCCGCCTGCGCACCGTGTAGCTGTAAGTACATTACATACGTATACCACTAGGCTTGTCGAAATTTTCCATACTTCTCTTTTCTTCTCTCTCTCTGATTTGATTCTGCGCGCGTGTGAGTGCGAGTGCGAGTGCGGGTAGGAGCGTGCGTGCGTTGGCTTTGCGGTGGTTGGAGCGGGCGCTCGGCGCGTACCCTGCGACCGTACGTACGTTGGGTTTATTTTCCTGCGAGTGGTTTTTGGAGTGGTTCATGATCGAGTGTGTGACGGGATGTCGACGTCGACGACCCGACGGGGTGGACTGGGATATTTCGCGCTGGGCGCCGTGGGAATTTGAGCTTTTCGCAGCTTTGAACGTGTCGTTCCCGGCGACGGCCAGCGATACTCAGGAGATAGCCAGCAACACTCGGGAGACAGCGCATACTAAGTCAGTACTACTCGACGTTAACGAGAGGCCCTGCGGGCTCTCGCTTTGTCGCGGATTCTTTTTCTTTGCGGCGCTAGCTCTTGAGCCTGAGCCTGCAGGGCGCGCGTCACCGACACACCTTTACCATGCCTCTCTCGCTCCCCCCCATACAGGCATTAGAAGAAAATAGCAATCAACGGTTCATCCTTCGCAACGACGACCCGAACAGCGGCTCCGACCCCGATCTCGTCATTACTGCGTTAGAGTTGCTACACGAGGGCCACAGAAAAGAGGTATATCGTGGGACATTAGCGGAACCCATCGAGGAGGCGCCGTACGTCGCGTGCAAGGTCGCGTATGGCCTGAATGCGATTCGGAAGCTTAGACACGAGGCAGCGCTGTACCAGGGCAGGCTCAAACCTCTCCAGGACGCCTGGGTGCCCATATGCTATGGGTACTTCGTCGGCGACACCGATGAAGGACTCACTGGCTGTCTCATTCTTGACTACTGTGGCGAGCCCGTCAATACGAGGTTCTCGTGCCTGGAATACAATTTCAGGTACGTTTACTTCTTTCGATTTGTACACTGTCAATTTCACGTCGTTTGAAGGGTCCAAGTCATCAGTGCGTTCGTAGAGATTCACAATGCGGGCGTCTGTCACGACGACGTTTCGGAGAGGAGTGTTCTCAACTGTGATGGCATTCCCTTGGTGATCGATTTTGAAGATGCGACGGAAGAGGAGTGTGGGCGCAAGGTGGATGTTGTTGTCAACACTATCGAGCCACATCCGGCCAAGTTTGGGTGCAAAGAACTCTTCGACTTGACTGTCGACCTTGGTTTGTGGAAGCCAGATCAGTGCAGACGATGATTGAGTAGAAAAGTTTATCGCTGACGAGGTGTGCTAGCCATTGTGCTCTATGGTGGCGAATATCAATCGACAAGGCTCCTTGATGATCCGCGCAAACTTGCTGCGACTGCTCCGGAAGAGTGGTCTGAGGGACGAGCGTTTGATGAAGCCTGTAAAGTCATCGCAGAGCATTATAAGATTTATTATCCTTCTCGCTACAAAAAGTGGCTAGCTGAACGAAGTGCGTCCTCTTATCCACACACTTTGTTTGTAATGCATGCTCCTGACGTTGAGGGAACAAATAGGGGCAGATGAAGGTGGTGGTGCGTCTGAGGTTGCAGCAGTCGGACATCCTTCTGTGGAGACAGGCGAGAAATGACCTATAAACGAGGAGTGCCGTTGAGTGGCTCGTAGCTGTAGTGCGTGCCCTTCCTTGATTCTCTGCTACAGACTCGCACTCAAAGACATCCGTCTCCTCTGCCCCGTCCAAGTCCCAACCATGTAAGCAAGGAACCAATTAGTCTGAATAGAATCCGTCATTTTGAACACAAGCGCGCGGGCCCCGGTGAGTTGTGCTCACTCCAGAAGTTGTCGGAACGTCGCACGCGTCCGTCGGGTCGCTGGCATCTTGAGAGTGCGTGCCGTTGCTCGACTTTGGTAGTCAGGACTAGTCAGGAACGTTTTGGCAGTTGGTAACTTTTTCGCCTACTTTTTTGACGGACACATGACAAGAGCTTCAGTCTTTCTTTTTGACCTAACTCAAGCTTGACCGGTTGACCACTTGAATCTCTGTTTTGTTTTATTGAGACCGGTGACTTGGCATAATATCCCGCAAGGTAGCGCAGGATGCCGTGAGATTCAAGCGCTTTGAGCTTTGAACGTAACATCTCCAGCTCGCTTCGTGGCCACCACAGCGCCGGCCATAAGCTTGCAGGCGCTGCCTCACGCTGCATCGCCGCACCCCACCATGCCTCTCTCACTCCCTCCCATACAGGCATTGGAAGAAAACAGCGATCAACGGTTTATCCTACGCAACGCCGACCCGAACAGCGGCTCTGACCCCGATCTCGTCATCACCGAGCTGAAACTGCTCCACGAGGGCTGCAGGAAAGGGGTCTATCGTACAACGTGATCGGAACTCATCGAGGATGCGCCGTATGTCGCGTGCAAGGTGGCGTATGGTCAGAATGCAATGAAGAAACTCAGACACGAGGCAGCACTGTACCAAGGCAGGCTCAAGCCTCTCCAGGACGTCTGGGTGCCCATATGTTATGGACATTTTGTCGGTGAGACCGACGAAGGGCTTACTGGGGTGTCTCGTTCTTGATTACTGCGGCGAGGCTCTCAATACGAGGTTCCCGTGCCTGGAACATGATTTAAAGTAAATTTATCTCCTTTCCGGCTCTACACCGTCGATCTCACGTCGTATAAAGAGTCCAATCATCGGTGCTTTCGTGGAAATCCACAATTCCGGCGTCTCCCACAACGATGTTTCGGAGAGGAATGTCCTCGGCCACAACGACATTCCCTTGGTGATCGACTTTGAAGATGCCACAGAAGAGGAGTGCGAGCGCAAGATGGACGTTGTCGTGAACAACATCCGGCCGCATCCCCACAAGTTTGGATGTAGGGAACTCTTCGAGTTGACCAACGAACTCGAGTTGTGGTAGCCAGGTCAGTGGAGACGACATTGAGTAAAGAACTTTGTTGTCGACTTAGCGTGTTAGCCTTCGTGCTCTATGGTTGCGGTTATCGACCAATAAGGCTTCTCGAGGATCCGCACAAACTTGCTGCGACTGCTCCGAAAGAATGCTCTTTGGCGTGTGCGTTGAGTGAAGCGTACGAGGTTATCGCAGAGTACTACAAGAGATATTATCCTGCTCGGTACAAGAGATGGCTGGCTGAAAGGAGTGCATTTTCTGATTTGCGATACTTTGGCTTCTGACATCGAGGGGCTCAAGAAAATTTGATACAGGTCAAGAGTGGGTTGCAATTGCAGCAGCCGGGAATCATTCAGTCGAGATAGATGAGAAACCAACTTCAAGTGAGGATAATTATCGAGCGGTTCGGTACGTGCTAGGCTCTCTCCTCGAATTTCTTGACTGCTCATGTCAAGACAGCATATTTTGTCACCGAAATGCGACATTTCCTTTGATCCTGGCCAAGTAATCCGGAAGCAAAGGATTAGTTGGCATAAATTGAGCTGTCATCTGGAAACAAGGAGAAGCATGCCCCTCTCTCGGATAAGAGTGAGGAGGGTGATTTGATTGGGCCTCGATTATAGTTGGTTCGTCCCATCACCATCTTATTGCCACGCGCCAACCTAACATTGTGTCCTCGTCCCTCTTCCCCTCAATGTCTCAGCGCAAAGCCCGTCATGGTTCCCTCACCTACTTTGTTAGTTCCATCCCGTCCTGTCATATGTATAGCTGTATGTGCTAGACACATATCACTGGGCTGTTGGAATTACATGTTTCATATAGGTGCTTGTCATGCCGCGTCGCGCGCTTCCGTTGGGTCGCTGCGTCGTTGGCTGCGCTGGCGTCGGAGTGCCTCCGTAATCAACCTCGGCGGTCGGTGGCCGGTGGTTTTTATGGCAGTTTTCTTTTTTGGTTGAGTGCGCACAGCTGTCGACTCTTTCTGTACCGAGATGTTGACGAGTGACCCATATTCAGCAGGACACAATGAGGATTCAGGATCTCAGAAGGCACCATCTGCAACATACGACACCCTGGATGTGTCATTGCGATGATACCAATTGACACTGCCCTCCGTTTTGACTACATTGACCTGACGTGAATTGCCAAAGCTCAGGGTGACAGTCTACACCACGGAAATCGTGCTGGCGCACAAGGCTCGGAAGTATGCTCATCAACATGTACACACACCTGCTGTTTCACTGTACCAAAGGTGTGCCATGAATCATTACTCCTTGGGGCATCATTACCCGTGGGCGCTGACGGACGTTGACGCCGACTTTCTTTCGAGGCTCGTTCACAGTCAGCAGCGCCGCCGATCGCACTATTTTTGCAGAACTATATTCGCTTGTCATGCCTCGCGATGTGGCTAAGTGGCGCGAAGCGGCTTTACTGAGGTAGTAGCAGGTGGGTGTAGTTGTAGGAAGGCCTAGCTGGCCGGCTCAAGGCCACGAGGGTCGTGCGTCCGGCAGCATGGCACGATGTACGGCGAAGACTAGGAGGAAAGATCGCTCCGGTCACCCGCGCGTCGATGGGTGGCAAGGAGATGCAGGCTCTTAGTGTGGCTACGATCGTCGAGATGAATTCTCCGTGGGCCTCGCGCGGGCGTCAGAACGGGCAGGCAGGCGGCTGTGCACACTAATATGTTACACAGGCCCGCATCGTGCAATCGCGTCTCATTCGTCCAGGTTTTGGCTCAAAGTGGTGAGTACCACTAACATAGCCGTTTGTCCACCCCGTTCTGCGATATCGTGCTTTTCCTACTGGTGGGGTGCTCATGTGCCTGACATACGACGGTCATTCTACGTACCATTCAAGGTGCGTGCGCTTGTATGCGACGCATCTGTTCAAGCGCTAATTCCGCTCTCGTCTCTATATAAGAGGCCCAACAGACGTACCAGAAATACAAACACACATCCCTGCAAAGGTTCAAATCGCCAGCCTCGTACCACCCATTTGCCCACTCCAGCATTTATAGCACCATGTCCAAGTGATGTCGCGCCTCAGCCTGAACGGGTGAGTTACTTTAGCTCGAGTAATTTTTGGCTCCAAACTTGTGATGCATGGTTACTGACCCTCTCGCTCGTGCAGAATCCGGATGGAGCGGCACCAGTGCAAGGCGTCCCAGTTCCCCGTCCCGATGCCCGCAGGGCGGCCGAGTCGCCCCACTCAAGGCCCTGCGCCGGTGAAGACGAGTGGGAAGCCCATGCAGACGAAGTGAGAGCTTTCTGCTCTAGGACCTACTCGAGAAGCGTGGTGATCATGCAGAATTGATATGCTGGTGTGAAGAAAGCACGCGCGCGAGTGAGTCGGGTGACCATCAAAGCATGTTGTATAGTGTCAGGGATTTTCCGATTATGATGTCTACGTATGAACCCGAAGATGCATGTGCTGTGGAAAATTATGCTCAGCTGTGACCCCATGGCTTCCAGGTGTAGAGTAGAGTCTATGTTTACCGTCTATATCAACTTGCCATGATCGAAAGCCGAAACGTGCGCCACACTGTTGGGTTGCACTCGGATTTGATTTTGACCAATCATCATCTCGGTGACGGGAAACTTGTATACTCCCCTTCAATGCCTGTATCACTTCCTCCTATCCAGTCAAAAATGGGCAACCAGCGGTCCGTCCTTTGTAATGCCAACCCAAATGTCAGGGACGATCCTGATATAGTGATCACCGAGTTGCTTTTGCTACGAGAGGGCCGTCGAAAAGAAGTGTATCGCGGTACGTTGTCAGACCCTGTCGGGGGCAAGTCCTTCGTGGTGTGCAAGGCCACGTACGGTCAAAACGCCATGGCGGTCCTCAAACCCGAAACAGAGCTTTACCAAAACTGACGCCTGATGCCATCGTGTTTTGATTACTTCATTGGGGAGACGGATGAAGGTCTTACTGGCTGCCTCGCTCTCAACTATAGCGGCGAGCCTGCCGAAACTTGCTTTGAAGACCTGGATCTGGAATTCAATCAAAGTTTTTTATTTCCCTCCAGCGCCGCGAAACGCTATACATTCAGATATTTTTCCAAGGATCGACGTGATCAATGCATTCGTGGATCTGGCGTCTCCTTCAATAACGTCCCCAAGACAAAAGACCTCGATTGCCTTGGTTCTCCTATCATTGTCGTGCGAAGATGCTATGGAAGAATGCGAGCGCAAGATGAAGGTCGAGATAAATGCAATCGAACCTCATCCATATAAATTTGGGCGTAAGGAACTTCACAGACTATGTAACGAGCTCAATCTGTGGAAGCCATGTGAGTGCGCCCTCTACGTTCAGTTGAACGCTATTGCCCACCAACAGTCAGAAAGTGATCGCCCCGAAGACTCTTCAGTAAAGGGAGCTGCCCAGTTGATTGTATTCGTATGAACGCGGCTTTGTTGACTGCTCACGGCAATGTATACCTGGCTGTGTCGTCTATTTAGATACCAAAATGATTGATCTTTTGCGATTCCTGTTATTGAGTGCTTACGATAAACCCGCAAGAGAGCGGCCACAGAGATCAGACGGTCGGGCATTGCATGTCGTTGTGTTCACAATGAGAAGGCAAAGCAACTATCACGAGTTAGCCTAAAGGTGTTATGTTTGAGAGCATTACACTGTATTGGTGGTGTTAAATCATAAACTCAGATGTGACAAGGAAGATAGAAACTCGCTCTAGATATGTGGAATTCTTTTTTGGTCCGGTGTCATTGAGTGACTGCTGCCAGTATTTCTACCCACTCGTTTACCCACATATACCGCGAGAAAACTAAATAAAGCCATCTAAACCATATCATCTGAGATTTATGCTGCCGCAACGCGCGGGCGGCGGTCAGATAGTCCTTAGCACCCGCGACAAAAACGGGAATATCAGAGGAGGGGTATCCAAAGTAAGAGACTGCGTGGGCGAAGGCGATGTCTAGCTTTGCGAGGAGGGGCGCGACTACGCCAAAATATTTGGCGAGTGTGGGAAGTGAGATGAGGGCATAGGCTTTTGGAGGGTCCGGGATCGTGGAAAGCAGGTGAGCTACGCCATGGAAAAGAGACCTGTGATTTGGATGATAAGATATGCCTCGATGGTCGAACGTCAGGATCTGGACAGTCAGACGGGATGAAATTACGCCCAATAAGCCCAATTCATGGATCAGAGTGGAGGCACGTACAGTCGAGATCCGATGTTCAATGACGTAGGGCCTTACAACGTCTGCTATGAGATTTGCATCCCATGTTGTAGTAAAATTGTCCTTCAATCCTCTGCGGACAAACATGTCAGCGTCACAGCCTTGAATTCACTCATCCCGTTTCTTCGCCGACACCATCAACAAACGGTGGACATACTCTTTATCTAAAAGCCATCGCCTTCCCTCTGCAATACCCAATGCGTCGAGGCTGCGTACAAGCTCTCCCTTTCTGATGTCCCCGAGCCCATCTGCATCGCCAGTAGAGAGACACAAAGAATACAGCTCCCCGGCGCTACTATCACCCCTCAGCTGGGAGGCTAGAGATACAATAGTGGGTCCGAAGAAGAATGCCTCGTCGTCTGGGTGCGCAGTTAGCAACAAGATTCGTGCCGATCGTAACGATGTTGGTTTCTCCTCTTCAGAGTCCCCAACGTCTAAGAATATGTTGTTAGCGTTCCACGGAGTGAGCAGTACGGCAGTCAGTACCGAGACGAGTACAAGGAAAATGGGAATCCGATTCGTGGGCATCACGGAGAATAACGATGCTAGAGTTCCGTGAAATCGGGAGGGAGAGTAGCTGAAGGGAGCCTGGCGCCTGATTTGTCAGCACATTCCGACGCGTTCGCGTCGTTCAACAGCGTACAACCTGCCCTTGTACCAGCTTGTACCGTACATCAGCGTTGCCAGCTGTTCAAAGGCGCTCAGTCGCTCGGGCACTTAGTCTCTATTGCATTAACATCTACATCTAGAGCTCCCTGGCTCTCGCCATCCCTGTCCGCGCAATGCCTGCCTAAGGTGCAGAAAATGAGAGACCTTCGGTCTTCGTATGCTGTCGTGTCTGCAGTTTTTGATCAGTGAGATATCATCAAGGTATTATGCCAATACACAATCCCATGCATGTGCCGTCTACTGAACTACGCGTATCGCATTCGCTTGCAAATAGGAACGTTAAGAACATTCAACTCAACTGCAATCCATAAACTTGCGCAGGCTGCCATTCACGGCCTCGCCAAATGACACTGCGGGCGCGTGCCTTCATCGACTTTCATGGTTGATGGTCGAAAAGGTACACACATTGGTTAATACATACGCCGAGTGGACTGTGCAAGAGCGATGAGCGTGATTCAAATGACACCGCCCTTCATTTGTAGGTCGGGGTCGGGAATGGAATGTATTGAACTTGACAGTGTGGGTATGGTGCAGGCCCACAAGACTCAGATAAATCTTCGACAACATGTATGCAGGCTTACTGGTGGCACATATACTAAAGGTGCATGTCCTGTGTTATTCCTCCTTAGGGCATCATTCGTTGTGGGCGCCGATGACTGTTGACGCCGAATTTCTCTTTAGGAGGCTCGTTTAAAGCCGGCAACGCCGCCGATCCCACTATTTGTGCAGGACCTTACTCGCTCGTCATGCCTTGCGCCGTGGCTATTTGCTGCGCCGTGGCAGCAGCAGGTGATGGTACTGGTGAGTAGGTCGAGTTGGCCGAGTTGATACCATGCATGAGGCGCGTCACTACCGTGTGTCCGGCAGCTCGATAATTGGGCAGGAAGGTCGCTCCGGTCCCGCGTTGACGGGCTAGGAGCTGCAGGCTTTTGGTGTCGAGATGAATTCTGCGTGGGCCTTGCACGAGAGCCGGAGCTAGCAGGCTGGCGGCCGTGTGCGTTAATTCTTGACACAGGCCCGCATCGTAACGCATCTTATTTGTCCATGTTTTGGATCAGAGATTGCCATCGTCGTCTACACACCTGGACAATGCCCTGCTTTTCCTTTTCTTGGGGCGCGTCTATACCTGACATATACACGCCAACCGACCAAACCACCGAGTATTGTCATACTCATCCGGCCACCGACCGCCCGCGCACCGAGCGATGCCGAGCCTCAATCTAAACTCGTAAGTTTATTCAGCTCCAGCCCCCATGGTAGCTCTACGCTTGACGGCCCTTTGCTTCAAAATTGCGCCGCATGACAACTGACCTTGTGTGGATATCATATGGAGTGGCGCTGGTGCGAGGCGTCCCAGAGTCCTCGTCCGGGCGCTCGCAGGGAGAGAAGCCCACAGGCAAAGGAAACGTCGTTATGGATTGGTACGCTGGTATGGCGCGAGCACGGATATGATATCCGGTAAAAATTCGAGGAAATTGGAGTGTATAATGCAGTGTTCAATCTTGCTCTGATGCAAAGATGCTTAGTTCAGCATGGCAAATGGGCGTAGATGTAATCCAACATGATGCTCTCACCTCTACGCTTTCGGTCCAAGCTGTCGTGGTCCAACCTGGTTGTCTATTCTGACTTAAAACGACAAGCTTTACATCACCGAACCTCGGTATGCCTGTCCTGATTCCACCCATATAGGCAGAAAATCACGAGGGCCGCCAGAAAGAGGTCTATCGTGGTACATTACCTGAACCCATCAAGGGTGTCGCGCCATATGACGCATGGAAGGTGACGTGCGGTCAAAGCGCCATGAGGAAACTCAGACACGAGGCAGAGTTATACCAAGAAGCTCTTCAAGATGCTTGGGTGCTCGTATGCTACGAAATTCGTCGGTGACACCGATGAGGGACTCACTGACTATCTCGTTCTTGACGACTGCGGTGAGCCTAACAAATTCAGGACATTGTGCCTGGGACACGATTTGAAGTATGTCTGTTCCTTTCGAGCAGTGCACTGTTAGATGGCTCTGACATCGGACGAAGGCTTTGAATCATCAGTGCTTTCGTAGAAATACACAAGGCCGGTGTCTCCCACAATCACGTTTCCGAGAGGAATGTCCTCGATTGCAACGGCCTTCCAGCGGTTATTCGAAGATGCCAATGAGCGGGAGAGCGGGCGCAAAACGGATATCACTGTAAGCAGTCTTGAGCAGCATCCCTATGAGTTCAGATGCGAGGAATTGTTCGAGATTTGTACAGACTTCAAACTGTGGAAGCCATCTCAGTGGAGATGAATCTGGGCGCAAAACATGGCTGACCAGTCCACTATCCTTTCACCAGTATCGACCGGCGGGTTTTCGTCTTTTGCGGTGCTATTAGGTTTCCACTTGTCCTTGAAAAATCACACAGTCAAAACACGACCCAATGAACAGATTGACATATAGAAAGGTTTTATCAAATCAATGAACCAAGAAACAAGGTTCGCAATCGGCATTTGGGTGGGGAGAGCCTGGCGACCCGGGAAGAGTGGGTTTTCCTATCGATTTGTAAGCAATATCAGCACATTCCCGATGCGCGACCCCGTGGCGCGTTCGCGTCGTACGACCTGCCCTCGTACCACATCTCGGCATCATCGGCAGTATAAAAGGCAGTACGATCGCTGGGAGTCGTTAGGGCGCGACGACCATCTAAGGAACCCTTCACTGTTCCCCTCACCTTACTCGTCCGCCGAATGTCCTCAAAATCTCGGTCTACATTCGCCTCTAAGGTGACAAAAAAGCGGGATCCTATCACTAAATGGGTCCTTCGTGCTGTCTTCGTATGCGTCGTGTCTGCACTTTTTAGCTGGCTCGACGCCATTAAGGTACGCGGTCATATAATATGATCCACGTGCCGTTCACTAAACTGTGCGTATCCCGTTTGTTGACCAAAAGGACCGTTGGTATGTCTTCGATCCAACTGCGATCCACGAACTTGCGCAGGCAGCCATTGCGGCCTCCCCGAACAATACTGCGGGCATGATATCCCACATAGTTTCAAACCTCACCGCTACCTACCCGTCGACGCAGATCGCGCTCAACGCGGATACGTCCGAATGGATGTTCAACAACGCCGGCGGTGCGATGGGCGCGATGTACGTCATCCACGCGAGCATCACCGAGTACCTGATCATCTTTGGCACCCCGCTCGGGACGGAGGGGCACTCGGGGCTGCACACCGCGGACGACTACTTCAACATTCTAGTCGGCGAGCAGTGGGCGTTCCAGCCAGGTGCTCTGGAGATGGAGAGGTATCCTGCTGGGAGCGTGCATCTCATGCCAAGAGGTGTTGCAAAGCAGTATAAAATGCATGAGGGGTGCTGGGCCATGGAATATGCCCGAGGTGCGTTTCGATATCCCCATGTCTCGTTCTCGTGTGGTTCCAGCTTACCGCTCTCGCAGGCTGGATCCCTCTAATGCTTCCGTTCGGGTTTGCGGACGGGTTGACGTCGACGCTCGACATCCCTACACTGTGGAAGACGACCCGGGTGACCGCTCGAGAGATGATTAGAAACTTGCTCATAGGCAAGATATAGCTCTCATAGGCTATGAGCAGTTATACGACCAATATGAATGCCTTGATAGCCTTTCATAATTTATGGTTCTTCGATGCTCAACAAACCTTAGATCGTACATTGCGAAATCGTCTCCTAAAAATTGTGGGTCGCAAGTTGAGAAACTACATCGGCTTGCAGAGCAGATGGTTGAACAAAGTTGAACAGTTGAGCATGTCTGCTGAACGATCCAACCTACCGGTGAGCTGTGATACTTATGAGCCAGAGCGGAAGCAAGCGAGAAAAGTGAAATCAAGCTGGCAAGTAGTCGATAAATATACTAGTAATGTACACGGCAATATACATCAAAACAATCACTCCCCAAAATAAACAATCACTTGGCACCGACGCTCGAGAACTGGAAAACGAAGTGATTAGCTGAAAGTATCGAATGTAAAAAGACCGACCAGCATACCTTCGTCACGGACTTCGTGCCTTCAGAGATGGCGTGCTTCGACAACTCGCCAGGGAGAATCAACCGGACTGCTGTCTGGATTTCTCGCGAGGAGATAGTGGATTTTTTGGAGTACGCGGCAAGTTCTATAGAAAATCAGATTCATCCGAGGCGAAGTGTCAACCTGACAACTCACTGGATGCTTCTGTTGCAATCCGTTCGAAGATGTCGTTGACGAAGCTGTTGAGGATAGCCATCGCCTTATTGGAGATACCGGTGTCTGGGTGGACCTGCTTAAGGACTGCGCAAGTAAAGGTCAGGGCATGGCTGATTTCTAAACTCAAATACACATACCCTTGTAGATGTATGACGAGTATGTCTCCTTGCGAGTCTTGCGCCGCTTTTTCTTCTCCTCACCCTCAGCTCCAGTCTTTGCGGTCTTCTTTGTTGCCTTTGAGCCCTCAGTAGTCTTTGCCGGCGCCTTGGACGCGGTGGAAGCAGGGGCCTTGCCGGCAGTGGAAGCGGGTTTGGGTGCCATTGATGAGTGAAAGGATGGAGATGGTTATGAGAGTGGCGAGAGTTGGTGAGAGTGAACGGGAGAGGCAAGAAGGACGGGGTTTAGGAGCAAACACGATTCGGAGAGGAAGCGCGCTATATACGTTGAGCACTGGCTTTGTGTGTGTTTGGTCGCCGACGCGTCGACGCGTCGCGTTGATTACCAAACCTTATTTTGTTTAACGCCGCTCGTGACTTTCACGATCGCGTTGTATAAAGCTATATGCCTTTCCTCTCCACATTGGTTTCAACTCTTTCTCCTCGCGTCCTCTATCCTTACCCCACCGCTTCACCATCGTAACCAGTCCTCACTTCCACGCACAAATTCCACCATGTCTGGCAAAGTTAGCGGTAAATCAAAGTCTGGCAAGGCCTCCACAGAGGGCTCCAAATCCCAATCGCGCTCTGCAAAGGCTGGCCTTCAGTTTCCTGTTGGTCGTGTCCATCGTCTGTTGAAGCGAGGTAACTACGCTCAGCGCGTCGGCGCTGGTGCACCTGGTGCGTGTCTTCCTTTGTCCAAGCGAAATGATGTTGATCCAAATTGTAGTATACCTTGCTGCCGTCCTCGAATACCTTGCCGCTGAAATCCTCGAGCTCGCCGGCAATGCTGCTCGTGATAACAAAAAGCAGCGTATCGTGCCACGACACTTGCAACTCGCCATCCGTAACGATGAGGAGTAAGTTCACGTGTTTCTACATGCCACACATTCGTTAACGTACGCCTTACAGGTTGAACAAGCTTCTTGGCGACGTCGTCATTTCGCAGGGCGGTGTTGTACCATTCATCAACCCTGAGGTACGCTCCTTTTCGATATTATTTAGCGGCAAATGCTTATCTTCTATCAGCTTCTTCCCAGCAAAACGCAGAAGGGAAAGAAAGAGAGCCAGGAGGTTTGAGTTTCAGGATTTATCGTTGTCTTTTATTGTATTGTCTGTACTATTGGCGTCATAACATTATTCACATTTTACCCTTCACAACTCCCCCTTGGGTGATTCTGACTTGCCCATTTTAATGATCCAAAAGTCATCATGTGCTACACCGCCGATGTGAGACGCTAATTGAAGGTCCGCCATGAACCTGACATTCACAACTCCCTCCACACCGATATCAATAAGAAATCATCTTCATCATAATTCGAGACAGCTATATATTATACACTTGAACGGATCTTGAGGAAAACGTCACAGTTCGCTTGGACACGAGCAGGAGGGACGAAGTATTGTGGATCAACCGGCCCTTCCGATTCCGACGCCAGCACTGGAGGAATATCAGCACTAGCTGTCCAATCGGCCAGTCGAGGGGACTCAACGACATCATGGTTTACTGGTAAGACACGCTGTCGGACTGGAACAGTGAAGTGCAATTCCGGTTTGCCCGGACGCACTAGCAAATACGCCATACCTTCGTTCAGAACGAACGTTTTCCCTCTGAGGCGCATTTAGCTATCTTGAATGCCAACGCTACGGTCCAAGGTAGTCAGAAAGGCACACGAGAGGGTTAAGGGGTTCGTGGTGAATTCATGAGAGACCTTCGAGGTGTTCATAGGTAACTTGCTGTATAAGCACTAGGGCGGGTCTCTGTTGAGGTCAATATGAAGCATCGAAGTAGAAGCGGTCAAGTGACCACAGCGTAAATTAGACAAAGGTTTCATTTCACTCTTTAACATTGAACGTTTGAACAAAGATCAAGTAGTTTGTGGCAGTTTTGTGTTTTGTGGCACCTTTCTGAACAGCTGGCCTGCTTCCCCATGTTGGAGATTTCGGGAAATTCCGTGAATCAAAGCGGAGACCCAAAATCTTGTATAGACTCGAGGGCAAAGTTTCGGTTTCTTCAACCACAACAGCTCCAAGGCCGCGAGGCTCACACCGTACAGGACGTCTTGCACGTCTCTTTCGTGAGCGGGCTAAGGTCTGAGTCCATCTCTATCGGCTCTAGCAGAGCCTAGTCTCAACAGGCTGCTCGACATACCAGAAATACGCCCTCTATCCATATCCGAAGAACTTGTCCATGTGTGCCCGTCAGCTAACATGTATAGGGAGGCGGGATAGAGCGGCTTGGTACGTGTCGATTGGAATGGGTGTATCGTCTTCCTCTATGCCATTGTTGTCCGTTCACCTTTGCCATCGCGCCGAGTCATCTTGTTTGGCACAGAGTTCACACGCAAAGCCGCTGCTGCAGCTTGGGTAGCTCTGTTGTGTTCCTCGACGCCTCTGTAAAGTGCCGTAGATGCTTGCAGAGTTGTTGAGGAAAGGCGTATGAAGCATTGGTAGGAGACATTGGCTGGTTGGTCGGCCAACTATCCTTCAGTTCACTTCGCGGCTCATGACCTTGCTCTCACCTTGAGGTGGGGACATCATGAAACTCGATTCAGACTACTCTCGGGCTGTTGTGTTCGATGAAATTTTTTCCTTCCTCACTCTTCGCGAGTGTTCATATCTTTGTGTTCCTGGACTCTCATTTTTGTATCTCGATGACGAATACCTTCCATCAAATTATGTGTATGAACCCGATTTCCATTGCAGTCAGATGAGAGAATGATCATATCAAGCATGTGTTCGTAGTCGTAGGCAGGAGGTTAGAATAGCGCCAGTCTATTTACCTGTCACTTTCAACATCGTATGAGGTCGTGAAGCTAACAAACATCGAGCAAAATCTAACGTCTCAAGAGCCACATACTCCAGGCGACCAAAACAACTGGGACAACTGAAATCATCTCGCCCAGACCCGCGTACTGGGGGGCGACGCGCACTCTCACGAACGCGCCCGCGGCAAAGAGAACCGCGACCGTATTATATACGAATGCCCATACGAAGTTGACCGTGATTCTGCGTACCGCGCCCTGGGAGATGCTGAAGATAGTCCGAAGGCTGCGCGCGAGGTCAGCGGTATCAGAGTCGAGGATGATGACGTCTGCAGCGCTAAGGGCAATGTCTGTCCCGGAGCTGAGGGACACGCCAATGTCGGCCTGTGCGAGTGCAAGACTGTCGTTCGTCCCGTCGCCGACAAACATCACAGCGCCATTCTTAGCCCTACCCTTAACCGCAGATGCAGTCTGCAGAGCCCGCACGCGCTCCTGTTTGGCCTGCGGCCGACATTCCCCGATGGCATGATCGGGGTCGACACCGAGTTTCTCGGCAAGGGTGCTGACGACACTCTGCTCATCGCCGCTGACAATATATATATCAGCTTTGCGCTGCTTGAGGAGCTGAATAGCAGCACGGGCGCTGGGGCGGACGGTATCTGCAAGGCCAAACGTGGCAACGAGATTCTGCCCCGCGGTCACAGCAAATAAAGTGAGTGCCTTCCTTTGCAAGTCCTGGATAGACGGGTCCTCTGTGATCTTGAGCCAGGTCGGGTTCCCGCCTCGGACCAGCAGTTGTCCATGCTGCGCCTCGATACCTTCCCCGGGTATCTCCTTCATATCAGTGAGTTGCACTTCCGAAACGTCTGGATATGTGACTCGTAAGTATTCTGCTACTGCTTGCGCGACGGGATGGCGACTGCTTGAAACGAGTCCGAGGATCATGCTGATCGACGCGTCCGATGGAATATGGACCTGCACTGCGGAAAGGTTTCCTGTCGTCAACGTTCCCGTTTTGTCAAACACGACTACCTGGGCATTCTTGCCATACTGCACTGCTTTGACAGACTGATGTGTGTCAGCCGAGGGGCTTGAAAAGCACAAAGAGTCTCCTCACCTTGAATAAAATACCTTCCTTGGCAGAAACAGCAGCAGAAATCACCACTACCATGGGCACACAGAGGACCAAAGCACACGGACAAGAAATGACAAGCACGGAGATAGAGTAGCGAAGTGCCGCAATTCCTGCAGTGCTGGAATCCTGGCTTCGGACGCGTATCCCGACCGCGATCCAGACACAAAAGACGACCACCGCTATTGCTAAAATCACAGGGGCGAGATACGATGCCACGCGGTCAGCCAGATCCTGAACGGGAAGGCGCGAGTCCTGAACCTCAAGCAGGAGTCTCCCGATGTCGGACACCGTATTGTCTGAGGGCACTCGCTCGACTCCCATTTCTAGGACACCAGACTGATTCAAGGTTCCGGCCGTCAGCTTACATCCTTCGCTCTTTTGCACAGGCATACTCTCGCCCGTGATAGAAGACTCGTTGACTTGACTGGTACCACGCAACACAACACCATCTGTTGGAATGAGCGTGTCTGGCAAGACCCTCAGGACATCATCTTTATGGACTAGCTCCGCAGAGATTGTCACGATGGAGCCATCTGAATCCACGAGGTCTACCGTCTCGGCTTGCAGCGCCCTGATATCGTCGAGAGATGACGTAGCCCGTCGCCGCGCATACGCAGAGATGAGGCGGCCTAAGATGATCAGGGTGATGAGTAAGGTTGGAGTTTCGAAGAATGGCTCAGAGAATGGTTTCCCAGCAACCTGCATTAAGAAGGCGACAGCCGAGAATATGTAGGCTATAGAGGAGCTGAGGACGACCAATAGGTCCATGTCTATGAGCCGTTGATAGAAAAGGGAGCGCAATGCGGAAGAATATAAGGGGGCTGCTATGAACGACTGAATCAGAGTTGCGAGAGCGAGGGAACACCCGCCATAGACGTTGGGCCTTGCTGGAAGTGGTGCCCACGCAAATACAAGGACAGGGATGCACAAGGAAGCCGAGGCCAGCGTGCGACGAAGAAGCGCGATAAGTTCCTCTACTGCCTGGTCACTAGCCTTTGGTTTTGGAGTAGGTAGGAAGCTCGCTTCCCAAGGCGCAAACGCTGCTAAAACTAAGCGAGGCTGGATGACAGCGGCATCGTACTCGATTTCGAGGATATTCATGGTCTGCTGACGTCTCATAGCCATCACTGTCACGCTAGGGGGTAGGTTGGTCTTCTCCCAAGACACGTCCTTGTCGGGAATGATGACGCGCATGGTCTTGCAATTGCCTTCGACCCTAACCTCCTGGAGGACAGCGCAAGTGAAGCCTGTAAGTTCTGACGCGCGTTTTGCGACGTTTTCAGGAAGAACCACGCCCTCCTTGTACATCAGCGTCGCCTGGTCAGTGAACGAGTTCACCTTGACGTTTGTCACGGAGGGGAGCGTGAGGAGAGCTTTAGTGAGTTTCGAAGCGCACGATGGACAGTCCATGCCGTGAACTGATAGGACGAGGTTGCGAATTTCGGATCCACCTCGCTCAAGAAGAGTCTCATCGACTAACGACGAGCCTTCAGCTCTCGTAAAAGTACGGATGATACCGTTCTTCACAACGGGGCTGGGAGAGTCTTTCTTGGGGTGATGATGATGCCCAGCACGAGGGGCCTTGTGACTCCAGTCGATGAGACAGCAACAAGCAGCTTCAAAGAACCGACCAAGAGTATTTCCCATCCCACATTGCGTGTGAGCATTGTGGTGAGAAGGCCTGACTTTGGCGTGTGAATGCCCAATGGACTCCTTTTCACATGCATTGCGATGTATAGTGCGACGACGAATTGTTGGCTTCGAGCAGCCGTCGTCTTCACAGCATTTTTTCTCATCAGCGACTGGTGGAGAAACCGTGTCATTTATGCTCCTCCAGTTACGGCTCCCATACAACTCACTTCGTAGCGCGGCGTCAGGTTTTGCGCAGCAGCTTTCAGAACCGGAAGGTGGACTAGACGCTCCAGCACAGCAGTTGTCTTTGCAATCGTCTTCAAGCGCCGAACCTTGATTCGAGCAGCATGTGTTATCTTTGGGTGGTGTTCCGCAATCCGAGCAACATTCATCCTTGATTGCTGGTGCACGATCCGAGCAGCACTCATCTTCTTCAGTCTCAGCTCCACAATCAGAGCAGCATTCTTCTTCTCCAGCAACCTCAGTGCAGCAGGGTCCTATGAGAGACAAGGTAAGATAAGAGGCCGCCCTTCTCCACCCTTGCTCGGTGTTGAATGGGGTCCATACCTGCAATTACCCTGTCGCTGTTAGACGTGCAACAGCTGGTCTCGCGACCTTGCGACCTCTGACAGCCTCCTGCTCCATCAGGAATGCACTCGCCTACAATTATCTCGATTTCTTGAGCGCCAAGTCCTTCGTTAGCGCAGCAATTCTCATGGCACGAATTCTGGCTAGAAATCATCGTATCAGCAAGCTGAGGGCCCTCTGAAATATTCGAATCGTCTTCAGGAGAGTCCTTCAGCGGCATAATGAAGGTGGTGGGGAGAGGAAACGCGCGCAGACAACGCCGTGGGAGTCGAAGGAGATCCAAGAGGCCGCATGACCGAACTCAGCATGTCGTCGACGACCGTTCTCGGTCAAGGCGTCCACGGTTTACGTCATCTCCTCACGTCCTTGAAGCCAAACGCGGCATCGACGACGATTGCAACGGCTTTCGAGCGGTTCATTCGATCTAAACACTAAGCTTCTAACCAGCGTCATCTTCCAGCTTGCAGAGCTTTAGAAATCCCGCTTCTCACTGCCTGAGAACTCTTTCCTTGCAAGCCGCAGCGCATCATCGGCCCCACAGGCGATGCTCTCGGGCCCTTCGCATAGATTGAGTCCCCAACTGTTACCTGTTCCTCTGACCTTTGATCACCTCCTCCCTTTGATATGTCTTCGTGTGGAGTGAAATGATCGTCTAGCTTGTGCTGTGCTAACTTGTTACTCGACACTCCATACCGACTCTCATGCAGATCTCAAAATGGCCCCATCCTTATACTTCTAAGGCAAGCTCTACATCTAAGTCCCACATCAAAAAGGTCTCTCCCGAATACGCCTCCATCACGTCAAGCGCGCTATATGCCCATCTGTCCAGTTTAGTTAAACCACACGTACTCGATACCTTGCACAAATTCTTTGTTGACGTCTCGACGAAGCTTTATCCTAGCCTCAAGTTCGGAAACGACTACAATTTTGCAACACTGTAACGAAGCTCGCTGAGACTACCGGTGTACGTGATTCCTATACATCGCTGCGTTTTTCAATCGACAGTCTTGATCAGCGAAAAACGCGTCCTAGAGATCCGCGTATCCATATCCGTCCCATCCCCAAATACTCGATTCAGTTGTGGCCTGGCGCCTCTTCTGGAAATGAGTTCTGTCTCGAATTTTCACATCAGGCGAGTCCACGAACTTGCCGTTTATATACCAGCTGTGGTCGGTGCCCGATCTGCCATCGTTGCCTATGCATCTCTAATCGCTGGAAAGTGGCAAAGACTTGCGCCCATTCTGAAAGAGGGCATGTCATGTCTGTTAGTATGCACTTCACTGTGTCAGTCCGATGGTGTATTATGCCAGACAACGACTAGATTTTTCTGGACTTCCCTCAACTGACCAATTGAAGGCGGACTGCCCCTAGCTCTTGGCATCCAATCAGGTCGAGTCGGCCCACGACACTTTATCCCCTCGGCTCATCATGTCCAGGGAGACTGCGAGTCTGTAACTGTCATGCTTTCCTCACCAGTATTGATTTTGGTGTATCTTACAAGTCGCCTTGAATATATGGCGCACATTTTTTAGGTGATCTAGCGGCGAGAACGACGCAGGAGGAGTCATGAATGTCAGGTAGGGAACTGTTGCTTGCTAGAGCGTGCCGGCGTCGAGCAGCGCGTGCGGATGCGATAGGCGCAGGAACACGTCCGCGTCAGAGTCCTCATGAATTTGCCTGAGCACTCGAGTAGCATGACAGAACATAAAAGGGGTTTAGCAGTTACTGCTTCAGTTCACACATTGTAGCCGACGAGCCTCTCGTTTTGCATACACCAGTCTACTGGATTCCGAATCGCCAAGCGTCCATTTAGACAGTAAATATCTTCAGGTCTTCTGGTGAAGTGAGTAGGTTTGTCAACGTACGTTGTGCTCCTTTGTCCCTCAATGCTTCGCACTGACCCCTAATCAGACTTCAAAACAGCCCATGCTTCACAGTTCAGAAACAAGCACTGCATCCGTGTCTCCTTCAGAGAACGCCTCTTCTGAACTTGTTGCAGACATCTCAACCATGACGCTTGCCAACTCGTCCGCTTTGATCAAGCCAGACGTGCTTGTGACCTTGCACAGATATCCACGAAACATTAACCCAACATCAAGTTCAGAAACGACTTGCTTCCCTGTCCGATGGGAACTATAATGGCGCTTCCGACTCCCAGGAGGTCATATACACTTGGTTAGATGGGGAGCGTGAGAAGGAGCTCCGGAGAATGGAGTGTTCAACGAGGAAAGAGGCTGCCACAAAGCTTGACGAGAAGATAAGGGTTGCGCTCGCGAAGCGCATAAAGCCCATCGGTATATGTAGTTCTGCCTCTGTGGCCTCTCGCCGATGAACTGACAGTCTTCACTAGCAAAAACCACACCACGGAGACCCGCACATCCATATTCGCCTCATTCCCGACAGCGATTATTCAATCCGACTGTGTCCTGGTGCCTCATCCAACTATCAGTATTGTCTCGATTTTGTGCACACCGGAACAGGCCAGCCCACAAACTCGCCATTCGAATACCAGCTATGGACGGTACCTGATCAGCTCACAGTCCATGAGCCAGTGCAACTCCAATCAGTGGAAAATGGCTTTGGCATTCCAGTTGAGAAGATACGGCCTGGAGAGGAGAAGTTTGTTGTAAAGGAGGGTTTGACCTGCTTGTTGATGCGTCCAGGCAAGTGAAATATGCGCTTCACTGTTCCGGTCCGTCACTGTGTCTTGTTGGACAACACCGGTGATCACGTCCTTGAGTTTCCTCCACTGGCTGATTGAAGGTAAATGGTCCACCAATGTGGGGGTGGTGTCACTGTCAACTTACAATACTTCATCCCACGGCGCTTTTGTAGAGCATGGGCATCTTTAGGCAGACCTGATTTCAATGGATTTTTGATTTTAGTGTATTTTATACAGTCTGTTGTTCACAGCAGTTTATATGATGCTCATTTCCCAAGTGATCTGCGCAAATATCAGGGTCATGGTCGCTTGTTGTTCTTCTCAGATACGATGGCGGCGGCGGCTCGAGCTGAGATTAGATCTGGGAGCATCCATTTCAACCTCCGCACCTTGATCCCCTACCGTCATAACATAGCCGTTCGCGCCTCTCGTCGCCGATTTCGAGATAAATTTCGACGCGAAAATGGAGGAGGCTGCCGCTTTGGCCGCTGAGTACATCGCCAGTGAGCTCCTGCCGAAGAGATCCTCTACTTTATGCTCCAGAGTCGAGCGAACGACTATGCTGACTCATCGTGCGCCTATGTCATTGCAGGCCTCGATAACCTTCCGACCGAAATACAATTCTTGCTTGCTGAGATCAAGCATAAAGAGACGAGGTCACAGGGTAAGTACCGCGTGCCTGTCCGGTTTTCCCTGACATCACATACTCACGCGCCCTTTTGGTTCCACGACGACAGAACTGCAGCAGGACATCCAGCGAGAGACGGCCAAATACATCCGGCACTCCCTGCGCAGTGGCGCCGCGCCCGGGAGCTCGAAGGACGGGCAGATGCCGCAGAAGATCGAGGAGGACTACGAGGAGGTCGACCGGCTCGCAGATGAGAAGCTGCGGCTCGCGCAGCGCATGGTCGCGCTCATCGCGCGGGCGCGGGCGCGCCTCGACCATGACCTGAGCAAAGTGCTCATCTTGCAGGGCGACCTCGACCCGAGCCAGCAGAACACGTTCGTCATGACGGGGCGCAACCCCGTGCAGCAGATCAACGAGAGCCTCCGCCACGCGCTGACGCTCGCGGACGTGCCGCCCGTGGCCCCGGTCGCGCCGACGCCTGCACCACCTATGAAGCGTGCGTTCTGCTTTTGCTCTGCGGTTTCTCTCCCCCGGCGCGTCGTCGTGCTCTGCGTGGGCGGGCGGGTGCTCACACTGTTGCTCGGCAATAGGGAAACGTGCGGCGGCGGCGGTGGCCCAGGCGGCGTCGATCAAGCTCCCGAGCCCCGCGCCCGTCAGCCTCCAGCTCCCCGTCCAGCGGTCTCGGACCTCGTCGCACCGACCCTCGCCCGCGCGGGGCCGCCGAGCCGTGTCTTCTGTCGGGCCCGACGAGGACGCGGAGGGGGAGGACGACGTGGAGGACGCCGGCGACGACGGCGAGGACAACGAGGACAAGTCGCTGTACTGTTTCTGTCAGAAGATGTCTTATGGCGAGGTGCGGTGTCCATGCCACCCCCGTTCGTTGATGGATCGAACGGCGTCTGATTATCGTCCTGCTCGCTCCTTTTTATTAGATGGTCGCATGCGACAACTCGAAATGTCCATTCTCGTGGGTGAGTAGAATCACTGCAGCGTCGCGAAGACGGACACTTAATTTTAACTCTTTCCGTTCGTCCATCGTTGTGCTCGTCGCATGTTCTATTCCCAGTTCCACCTTCCATGCGTCAATCTCAAGCCGCCTCTTCCGGACGTGTGGTACTGCTCGCATTGCACCGCGAACGGGCACGCGGGGAATTATGGCATCGGCGGGACGGAGCGCTCACGGAAGAGGAAGCGGTAGCAGTAGGTGGACACGAGGCCTCTTCTCTGTGCTGACCTTTTGCCGTTTCGTCGTGCACCACACGATCTATGTAGTTTAGAGAACGTGCACGGCTTAGTGTATATTAGATGTGGAGTAGTGTCAAGAAGAGCTCGGGGGTAGCAGCACATGCATGGGCTGCAGGCAAGGCTATCTGTGAAGTGGAATCTGGTGCTTGACCCCCGCCAGAGCGCTCCCGCGGTTGGTCGCGTTTTAACTGCGAGCGCACACGCGCAAGCACCCAGCGACTCGGGGAGCGGGATATTGTGGGACGCGGGCACCGTCCGTAGACCGCCCCGACGCCGCCGCGCCTCTAAAGCTCCTAGACGGACGGCGCGGAGAGGCGCATGCAGTATCGGGAGTCGGTCGACGCGCTGACACGCGTTACCGGCGCGTCCGCCTGGGCTGCTAGGATGCGCGTGTGCGGGACGGAAGGTGGTGCGTGCGCGTGTTCGTGTTCGTGCTCGTGCTAGTGAGCGTGCGCAGGGTTCAGCGAATGACCCGGCGCGCGGGTGGTACAGCATCCGCGCGCTCCGTGAGGAAGCGATCACCGCGCCTACCCTATCGGCGAGCACGAAACATGACCGGGTGACGTCCGCAAAGGGGTGGCTGATATTCCGAGCGCCTCCCTGCCGGCGTCGGACACAAGAGAGGCGCCTTGAGTTCGCCTGCGAGTGCGCGGGCGAGGGGTTTGTCGTCGGAGACCGTTTCGCAGAGGCTGTGGTCTGGTGATGGGCAGATAGGCGGTGATGTATGAGCGGCGGGACACGGTCGTGGGTGTGTACCAGGGACGTCGGGCCGCAGTTGATGCAGCGGGAATGGTGGGGACAGCGGTGGCCGCTCGTGGGTCATCTGGAGGGCCCAGCTTACGTTTGCCTGCTCACGGACAGCGCGCGGTGACGGGGAGTCGAGAGAACGTCGTGAGCGGGAGGCGGTTCACAGTCCTTCGCAAGGTCACATGGACGCTGGTCGAACCGGTCAGCGTCAGAAGCGAACCAGGAGCGAACCGGTCGAAGGACTAGGACGGCTGACGACACTGCGGCGCTGTCTCTCAACTGCACGCTCCTCCCTCCTCCTCCTCCTCCACGGACCACCGGGCACGATGTCGTCCACCCACCCACCCCGCCCGCCCCTCGCCCTCCTCCTCCTCTCCACGCTCCTCACGCTCCTCCTCCTCGCCCCCCAAACCCACGCCATCAAGTTCGCCCTCCAGGCGTACCGCTACCCGCCCGCCAAGTGCATCTGGAACTCCGCGCACCCCAACGCGCTCGTCATCGTCACCGCGAACGTCGGCCCCGGCCCCGGCCAGCGCGTCGACGTCGAGATCATCGACTCGAGCCCGCAGAAGAACGTTTATCTGCATAAGAAGGGGATCAACGGCGAGACGCGCCTCGCCGTCACCGCGCACGCGGAGGGCGAGGTCGGCGTGTGCTTCAGGAATTATCTCGACCACGGTGCGTGTGCCGTTTTTTTGGATTGGGGCGCGGGCGTGGGGACGAAGCCGCGTGGGCCCGCACGTCGCTCATCGTGCGCGCACAGATGTGCCGTCCGAGCAGGCAAAGACAAAATCGCGCATCGTCGATCTCGACGTGGACATCGGCGCCGACGCCGTCGACTACAAGTACGTCTGCGCGCGCCGCCCGTGCCCGCGCCGCTGCGAGCCTGACGCATCCCCTCTAGCGCCATCGCGAACCAGGAGTCGCTCTCGGGCCTCGAGACGGAGATGCGCAAGCTCGAGGGCCTCGTGAAGGAGATCGTCGACGAGCTCGGGTACCTCAAGAAGCGCGAGGAGCGCTTCCAGAACACCAACAGTGCGTGTCTCATATCCCGTCACCGCTCCTCTCCTTTTCCCGCTCGCGCGCGTTTCTCACCGCCCGCCCGCCCGCGCGCACGCTCGCTCGCTCGCAGTGTCGACCAACGCGCGCGTCCAGAACTTCGCGTGGTTCTCGCTCTTTGCGCTCCTCGGCCTCGGCGCGTGGCAGATCGTGCACCTGCGCTCGTTCTTCAAGCGGAAGTACCTCATCGACTGATCGATCGGGGCGTGGGTTCGCGGGCGCACGGGGAGGGGGTTACTGTTACACGGCTGGCCGCCGCGGTCGCTGCGTACTACTACTACTACTACTACTACTACTACATGTAGAATGCAAGACTCTCGGTTATTGTCGGCGTGTGTTCGAGTCTGTGAGCTATGCACTCGTACGGCACAAGGTCATCGGAGGTATCCCCCCCCGCGCTCCGAGTCTATGTCCTCGCCGCCCTCATCCGCGTCCTCGTAGTCGTCGTCAGGCGCCGCGTCCCCGCGCCAGCGCCGCACGCGGCCGCGCAGGAGGCGCTCGATGTCCCCGAGGGACGCGCACCGGCCAAGCGCGGCGCGGAACTGCGCGAACCACGGGCGGCGCTCGCTGTGTGTGCGCGCGCGCGCACACACAACAGCGTCGAATGAGCGAGAACGGAAGGAAGGGCGGGCGGGCGGACGGGCAGGCGGGCGACTCACCAGGCGGGGGCGAGGAAGTGGCGGACGTGCGCGCGGACGGCGGGGAGCGGCGCGGTGGCGGGGTGCGCGGCGCACAGGGCGAGGTAGTCGAGCGAGATGCGGACCGGGTCTGGGGTGCGGTTCGCGAAGAGGCTGTTCGGCCGCGTGCGTGCGTGCGTGCGTGCGTGCGAGGTCGGGTGGTGCTTACCATGGGTTCGCGAGGAGCGCCTCGCCGACCATGATCCCGTCTGCGCCTGTTTGTGCCTTGTTGGCGACGACGTCCGCCCAGGTGCGCACGTTGCCGTTGCTCACGACGGGGATGCGCACGCCGCCGCCGCCGCCGTCGCCGGCGCCGGCGCGCTCGGGCCCGAACTTGAGCGCGCGGACCTGATCGAGGTCGGCGGCGGCGTGGCGGCGGCGGCGGGCGGAGGGGTAGCGCGCGTGGAGGGTGAGCCAGGCTGCGCCGGCTGCCTCGAGGCGGTGGGCGAGGGCGAGGGTGTGCGGGGCGGGGTGGCAGAGGCGGAGCTTGGTGGAGACGGGGACGGGGAGGGCGTGCGCGAGGGCGGAGACTGCGGGGCGGGGCGGGGCAGAGGTCGGGAAGGGTGGACGGGGAGCGAGGAGCGAGGGGCGAGGGGCGCACCGATGTTTTGTGCGAGGGGCCAGTCGTGTTGGGGGAGGAGGTAGGCGCCGTAGTGCCCCTCGCGTGCGGCGTCTTGTGGGCAGCCGAGATTGAGATCTGCAGGGTCGGCGGCGGGACAGGCACGGGCGGTGCACGGGGGCGGTGAGCGCTGAGTGGGCAGTCCACGGGTTGCGAGGCGACTCGCTCACCGACGGCGTCGCAGTAGCCGAGGAGGGTGCGGGCGGCGCGGACGAGGGTGTCGGGGTCGTTGCCGGCGAGCTGGACGACGACGGGGCGGTCGTGGGGTGCGCCGAGGCCGCGCTGGTGGGACTCGCGGTAGGGCTGGTCTGCGAGGAGGCGGTCGGGGAGGAGCATCTGGGTGTAGGCGAGGGTGGCGCCGTGTGCGCGGGTGAGGATGCGGAAGGGGAGGTCGCTCTGGTTCACCATCGGGGCTGCGATCAGCGACAGGTCCGGGAGCCGGCTGCCCATCGCGGACGAGGAGGAGTGCGGTAGCGGAGATAGGAGGTCGAGGGAGGTGCGGAGGAGTGTTGCAGGCACAGGCGCGCGCAGGTCGAGGGCGCGCGCTGAGTCACGGTGCGGGGCCGCGTCTGGGGTGACCGCGTGGACGCTCTCTGCGATACGAGTCAACGCGCCGTCTATATATACTGTATAGCGCCGTCCACCACCACAGCACCCCGCCATGCCTCGCTTCCAGCTGCCCGTCGCGGTCGCTCTCGCCGCCAGCGCACTCGCCAGCGCCGCCCTCTTTGCCCTCGCAGCACCGAAAGAGGGACAAATACAGCTGCCGCTCCACGCAGACCGCGAGCGCGAGCACGAGCGCGACCCCTTCGACGTCACCGTCCCCGACGACGTCGTCGATGGCGACCCAATAGACGAGCCCGCCTTCTGGGCCCGCGTACGTCCATCCACTCCACACACCCGCTCCACGCTCACCCCGCCGCCCGCAGACCCGTCTCAGAAAGGCCCTGCTCGCCCTCTTCTTCGTCGCCGCCCTCGCCATCCAGGCCGCCCTCCTCGGCTGGTCCCTCTCCCTCGACGACCGCAAGAACGCCCTCGTGTTCGCCCTCCACGCCCTCTTCGCCGCCTACCTCCTCCTCCGCGCCGTCTCCGCCCTCGCCCAGGACACCACCGGCCCGCACACCGAGTCCATCGTCCACCTCTCCGCGCTCTCGACCCTCGCCCTCGCTCTGCTCGGCATCACCGCCCTCCTCCCGACCGAGCACGCCTTTGAATATTCCCACGTCGCCGCCCTCTGGCACACCGTTCTCGCCCTCTACGCCGCCGCCGCCATCGTCGCCGTCACCACCCCGACCGGCCCCCCGCTGCACTTCCCAGAGTCGCAGATATACTCCGAAAAAACAGTCGCGGCCATCACCAACAAGACCCACGACAACGTCTGCGGCATCACCGGTACGTCCGCCCCGCCCTCCCGCCGTTCTATTAAAAAAAATCGCTCACGCACGCGCGTGTACAGGCGCCTCCGTCTGGGACACGCTCCTGTTCTCGTACACGACCAAGGTCGTCATGCTCGGCAACACCGCCGAGAGCCTCGACATCGGCGACCTCCCCATCGTGCCGGGCGACATGCGCGCCACCGCGCTCTTTGCCGCGATGCGCACGACGCTCCGCACCGTGCGCCTGCGCGTCGGCACCTGGCGCCCGCAGCCGGGCGCGGGCTGGGAGCTCATCTACCGCCTGCTGCGCCTCAACGCGCGCGCGTTCGCGCTGCAGATGGCGCTCGCGGGCTCGGGCGCGCTGGTCTACTACGCCCCGCCGTTCTTCCTGCGGGAGCTCGTGGCGTACCTCGAGAGCGACCCCGAGCGCAGGCGCCGCGCGTGGGGGTGGTTCTATGCGATTTGTTTGTTCGCGTCGACTGCGGGCGTGCATCTGCGTGAGTCCCCGTCGCTCCTGCGTGTCGGCGTGTGTGTTGCGGTGCTGATCGGAGGGTTGGCGGATGGGCAGTGACGGGCCAGCTGTGGTCGATCTCGACGACGACGATCCAGGTGCGGCTTAAAGTCCAGCTCAACTCGATCCTCTTCGCCAAGACGCTCGTGCGCAAGGACGTCGCGTCGTCCGCCGCTTCCACCGCCGAGGACGCGTCCAAGAAGGACGCCGCAAACACCGCCGTGGGTGGGGAGGGCACGGGCGGGGAGAAGAAGGAGGACGAGGACGAGGGCGATTTTTCGAGCAAGGCGCAGATTATGACGCTCATGACTACGGATGTGGATCGCGTGAGCGAGTTCGCGTGGCATTTGTTCACGCTCGTCGGTGCGTGTTCTGCGGCCTTGTCTCCCGCCTGACCCGTGCGCCGCTCACGTTCTTCCGTTCTTCCGTTCGTTCGTTCGTTCGTTCGTTCGTTCTCTCGCTCGCCCGCGCGCGCAGACTCGCCGATCGAGATCGTGATCGGGACCGTGTTTTTGTACAAGCTGCTCGGCGCGTCGTCCTTCTTCGGGCTCGCGGCGACGTGCGTGTTCCTGCCGCTGAACCACTTCGCGGGCAAGGTCGTCGTCGGCGCGCAGGACAGCCTGATGAAGGCGCGCGACGAGCGCGTGAGCCTCATGAACGAGGTGCGTCTCCTCGATGATGATGGTGATGATGATGCCGGACGTGCTGATTGGAGCTGATTTTTTTTTTTGGGGGGGGGGATTTTGTAGATCCTCGGGGCGATTAGGATGCTCAAGGTGCGTCGTGTGTTTTTTTTGGCCGGCGGTGCGCTGCGGTGTGGTACGGTGCGGAGCTGATGCTGACGCGCCACGGTCGACAGTTCATGGCGTGGGAGCGCAGCTTCGAGGCGCGTGTCCTCAAGATCCGCGAGAAGGAGCTCAAGTACCAGAAGCTCAACTACACCATCGAGGTACGTGCGCGCCCCCACCCCCCTCTCGCCCTCGCCCTCGCCCGCCGCGCTGACACTGACGCGCCCCGCGTCCGCACCCGAAGACGCTCTGGAACGCGATTTGGTGGGTCGTGTTTTTGTTTTGGTGAGCAGATGGGCATGGGGCTGATTTTTGGTCGTGGGTCGGGGGGACAGGAACGCGTCGCCCATCGTGGTCACGCTCGTCGCGTTCTACCACTTCGCGGTCGTGCGCCAGCAGGTGCTGACCCCCTCCACCGCGTTCACATCGGTGCGTGTGTCCGCGCCTCGCCCACGCTCGAGACTCAGTCATTCATTTCATTGTTCATCTTTGTTTCTTTTCCAGATTGCAGGTAAGTCGTGGACGACTTCGCGACGGGTTCTGTTTCTGCTTGGGCGGTGCTGACTGCGCGATTTGAAGTGTTCTCTGAGATGAAGTTCGCGCTCAATGCGCTCCCGGAGACGCTCATCAACATGCTCCAGGTACGGTCCTCCCATCCCAACCCCATCCCAACCCCAATCCTGATTTTGTCACACAGAGCCTCGTCTCGCTGCGGCGCATCGAAAAGTACCTGCACGGTGCCGAGGTGGCGCCCGTTCCGCCGCTCGGCGGCGCGCCCGTGCCCGTCGCGTTCCAGGGTGCGACGGTGACGTGGCCGCAGGACCGCGCGCGCGGGGCGAGCACGAGCGCGGCGCCCTCCGCGGCGCCGACGCCGCGGAACAAGTTCGTGCTCGTCGATCTGAACCTCGCGTTCCCGCGCGACCGGCTGTCGCTCGTGTGCGGGAAGCTGGGGAGCGGGAAGACGCTGCTGCTGCTTGGTGAGTGCGCTCGTCGCGTGTGTGCCGGAGCGCGTGTTGATCGGTGGTGGATTGGGGGTTGATGCGTGTGTGCGTGTGTAGCGCTGTTGGGCGAGGCGGATATGTTGACGGGGCAGGTGTCGTGCCCGCGGACGCCGCCGGACGCGATCGCCGCGTTTGCGAAGGAGTCTCCGTCGGACGAGGAATGGGTCGTCGAGGGCGTGTGCGCGTATGTCCCGCAGGTGCGTGTGCGCGCGAACGCGGCGTCCGACGCTGGCTTACCTTTGTTTCGATGCGGCGGAAGACGGCTTGGCTCCGGAACGCGTCTATCAAAGGTGAGCAGGGGCAGCGATTCTTGTGATGCTTCGCACGGTGTTGATTTATCGTGACGAATGCGCGGGACGGAACGACAGACAACATCCTGTTCAATTTGCCGCTGGATGAGCGGCGGTATCAAAAGACACTTGAGGTGAGCGGGCGGCTCTGGCGGTCTGATATGTCGGAATGCGCGGTGTTATTGCGATGCTCAACCGCGGTGCTTGGTAGGTGTGCGCGCTGCTGAATGATCTGAATATATTGGAGGACGGAGACGAGTCGGAGATCGGGGAGCGCGGGGTACGTGCACGGCTTTGATCCCCGAGGCGGCGGCCGGTTTGTTTGATACGGTTTTCCGGTCTGTAGGTGAACCTGTCTGGAGGACAGAAGGCGCGAGGTGCGCTCGTTTCGCGTCGGGCGGGTGCTGACCCGCGCTAACTAACGGTTTACAGTGTCGCTCGCGCGGGCGGTGTACTCCCGCGCGTCCATCTTGCTTCTGGACGACGTCCTTTCCGCCGGTGAGCGCCCCCACGGCTCCTATTTTCTCCATATCGCATCAGATGCTGAGCGCACGCGCAGTCGACGCGCACACGGCGCACCATCTTTATTACGAGTGCCTCAAGGGCGACCTGATGCGCGGGCGGACCGTCGTGCTCGTGTCGCACCACGTGCAGCTATGCGCGCCCGGCGCGGACTACGTCGTCGCGCTCGACAACGGGCGCGTGCTCTTCCAGGGCGCGCGCGAGGCGTTCCAGGCGTCGGACGTCCTGTCGGGGCTCGTGCAGTCCGGCGCCGCCGACGCCGACGCCGACGTGGAGCACGATGCGGAGCCGGAGACGATCGAGGCGGATTTGAAGGTCCTCGACGAGGAGGCGCGCGCGCACGCGCACGCGGCGGACGCCTCGGGCGGCGAGCCGGCGTCGGAGACGAGCTCGACGGCGGTCACGTCTGTGAGCGCGGAGGCCAAGGCGGACCGGAAGGCGCCGCGGAAGCTCGTCGAGGAGGAGAAGCGCGCGGTGGGCCGGATCGAGCGGAGCGTGTGGGACCTGTACATCCGGGCGTCGGGCGGCGCGGTGTACTGGGTCGTGTTCGCGCTCGTGCTCCTGTTGGCTGCGGCGGGGCCGGTCGCGGAGAACGGGTGGCTGTCGGTTTGGTCTGGGGCGTCTGGGGCGTCTGGGCGCGAGCCGAGGACGCCGATGTTTTACATCGTCGTGTATGCTTCGGTGGGTGCTTGGTCTTGTCGTGTTATGTTTGGTGTATTGTGATGCTGATTTGTTTGTGAAGATTACCGCCGCTGGTGAGCTCGTCGGAACTCTGTGTTGCTGCTGTGCTTCGCGAATACTCACCGCGTCACTCCAGGCCTTGTCATCACCACCCTTCGTTGGTTCATCCTTTGTGAGCGACCGTTCCGAGCCCTCGTCGCTTCTCCATACTGATCGAACGGCCAGATCGCGGATCGATCCATGCTTCGACCGTGCTGTACAAAAGTATTTATGGTTTGTCTCATGATGTGTCGCTGCTCCGCTGACGGCATGCGCGACAGGGCTTTTGGAGACCGTGCTGTTCGCGAACATCCGTTTCCACGACACCGTCTCGCGCGGGCGTCTGTTGAACAGGTTCGGAAAGGACTTTGAAGGTGCGGCGGAATGGAGGCGTGTGGTCGCGCGTGTCCGCGCGTTTTGCTGAGTCGTGTGGGGGTTTTTTTCTGCGGCAGGTATCGACAGCAGCCTGTCGGACAACTTTGGTCGTAGTATTATGTTTGGGCTGTCGGCGTTCACGACGCTCGTGACTATCAGCATCGTCGGCGGCCTGCCGTTCTTCATTTCCGCGGTGCTGCTCGGGTCGCTGTATTACAGAGGTGCGTCCCCTCGATGTACACGTCTCGCGTTTTTCGACGACCGTGCTCATCGACGGCTTGGACTCAGCTGCAAAGGTAGGCTCGTTGACGCCGATGGACGGACGACGGGCGCTGATTGCGTTTTTGTGCGACGGAACAGGTGTATGGACAGACTTCGCGGGACATGCGCAGATTGGGTGCGTCGGCTTGTTCAAGACGCGCCGCGCTGGGTTTGTGTTTGGTGGCTGACCGAAGGACTGACGACAGACTCGGTCACGAGGTCGCCTCTGTATTCCATCTACGGGGAGACCATCGCGGGCGTCACGATCCTTCGCGCGTTCGGCGCGTCGTCCAAGTTCCTCCGCGACATGCTCCGATGCGTGGACACGGTACGCCGGCTGATGCGTTGACGGCTCTCGGTTTGCACAGAAGCTGATTTTTCCTTTCTCTTTTGGGAAGAACACTAATCCGTATTATTGGATGTGGGGAGGTGAGTTACATTCACTTATTTTTGGTTGGAGCATTTCTGATTATGCTTTTTGTAGTCAACCGCTGGCTCTCTGTCCGGTTCAATCTCCTGTCGAGTGCCATCGTCGGCGTGACCGCCGTGGTCGCCATCCTTACGCCGAGCATAGACGCGGCTCTGGCTGGCTTCATCCTGGCGTTCGCTTCTACCATCACAAACGATGTACGTGTTGCATCACTGCAGGTCGAGTTACCGAGACTGATTGAAGCTCTTGCAGATTCTCTTTTTGGTCCGACGGTTCGTCAGTTTGGAGCAGTCGATGGTGAGCTCGTCCAGCCGACGGCGCAGTGTTGGCCACTGACCATCGCCGCTTGGCCTCAGGTGGCGCTCGAACGAGTGAAGGAGTATTCCGAGTTGAAGCGCGAGCCACCCGAGTTCATCGAGCCCCGCCCGCCCGCTTCGTGGCCTTCCAAGGGAGAAATCGACTGCGAAGGGCTCGTCATCAGATACGCGGTGAGCGTCGTCATCACCGGCCAGCGGCGGCTCGCGCGACTCACTCTGCACACAGCCCGACCTGCCGAACGTGCTGCACAACCTCAACTTTTCTATCCGCCCTGGCGAGAAGGTAGGCGTGGTCGTTTTTTTGAGCGCGAATGATGTTTTCTCAGGCGGCGTTTGCCAGGTCGGTATTCTCGGCCGGACGGGGTCTGGGAAGAGCACGCTTGCGCTGTCGTTCTTCCGCTTTGTGGAGGCTACCGAGGGGTGCATCCGCGTCGACGGGCTCGATATTTCGCAGATCGGCCTCACCGACCTCAGGAGCAAACTGACCATCATCCCTCGTGAGTGCTCGGCTCTACTTGACTTGCTACGGCTGTTCATCAACCGCGCACGCCGACAGAGGACCCCACCATCTTGAGCGGGACCGTTCGGTCTACGCTCGACGTGTTCAATGAGTATCAAGACGCTGAGATCGTGAGCCATTCGCTTTGCTCTCCCGATGAAGTGCTCGCTCACGGAACTCTCAGTACGAAGCTCTTCGTCGTGTTCATCTGATCCCTTCGGAGGAGCACTCTGACGATCCCCAAGACCCCGTCAATGCTAATGTTTTCCGCAGCCTGGATTCGCCTGTATCGGAAGGAGGGGACAATTTCTCCACTGGGTACATTCCAACTAACCGACGATTCCTGCGCTGGACGATTAACTGATTGAATCCCCATAGAGAAAAGCAGTTGCTGTGCATGGCGCGGGCCATTTTAAAACGTTCAAGAGTGTTAGTTATGGATGAGGTGAGATCCATCACGCGTCAGCATATTGGTGGCTGAAATATAATGATCTTGTAGGCGACGGCGAGGTGAGTCTGAACGCACGTTTTGCTTGGCACGCATCTGATTTGGTGATCAGCGTCGACTACGCAACGGACGAGCTCATCAGCAAGACCATACGACAGTGAGTCCCCCAAACGTCACGTCAGAACCACGAATTGACATGGCCTTGCAGTGAATTCGCAGAAAGCACTATCCTGACCATCGCTCATCGCCTGCGCACGGTCATCGACTACAACCGAGTCAGTCAATCACACGAGCCGTCTCGATCTTGCGCTGACAGCGGCGTTTTGCAGGTGATGCTCTTGGAGGACGGTCGCATCGTGGAGTTCGATAGCCCAGGCACCCTGCTCTCGGACCCTTCGTCCAAGTTCCACTCGCTTTGCAAGGCCACGGGCAAGAACGAGTTCGCGGTGCTGAAGAAAATGGCGGGCGCCAAATAGATCAAGCGATGCTTGGGGTGGCCACTCCCACCGCTACATATAGAAACTCGAAATGACTGTTTTCCACATGACCGTGTGCCGCGAGGGCGCGATTGAAGACGGAAGCGGAAGCGTGAAGGGTATGTAAGCCGTGATCCGCGTCAAGCAGTGCTGGCTCTTTCAAGATTGTGCTGTCTCTTTCAAGATCTACTCGCTGGCCTCTTCTGAGGCTCGTAGGAGAGGTTGGCCCGCGAAGCACATCAGGCCTTCTGAGCTTTGTGAATCGTTCTATCGTAAGCATCCCATTGAAACTCGCTGCGCCCATTTTTGGATGCCAGTAGCAGGCAACCAATGTAGTCACACCGTCAACTGACCCCGTGTGGTTTCGGCTGAATATCTCTTGCGTCGGCTTTCCCAACTACTTCGACTTGGGACAGTCGGCCGCGATTGCAATCCCGGCGGCAAAGGCTGTGAGCGGGTGCCTGCGGATATATGGGTCCTTCCGAAGACACATCAGACCGACTCTGGATTTATCTTCAGAGCTTGGGGTCAGCTCTCATACGAAGACCAGGTTTGCACCAGTGCTTTATATCTTGAGTATGAGCGAGATTTTTCCTGAAAGGATCCGTCGACCGTATTGGCTCTTCTTTTCCAGGCACTCTGGGAACGGTCCCGTAGTGTGGTCCCAATATGGAGGACGCGTTGTCAAGCCGTGCTCGCTGCTACTGTCTTCCATCCAGGCTTGTCGAGCGACCGACAGATATCCTCATTGAAATCAGACGACTACATCACCGATGCAGCTGGTTTGGAATATCAGCCATCAAGTCATCAGAGCACAGGAATTGTTGCGGCCACGCTCGGTGACCTGCCCATCATCCGTCTGTCCGCTTGACTCTGACGAATATCTGATCGTCTCCACCGCGCTCGCCGAGACTGGAATGAACAAGGCTGAGAAGTGTTTCGTGTGAATAGTTGGCCCTAAGCATGTTCTTCAGATTCGTCACCCGCATTCTTCAGGCTCCGATGTTAGGTGACGGTGGATGGGAATCAAGGCGGGCTGGTTGCTGATATATAACACTCACGTTACTTGCTCCCCGCTTCCTGCGCTCGACGCGGTTGCAAGTGCTTCCGACATTCTCGCTGCTCTCGCTCTCGACGTGAGTGCTTGATGGTCTCGTTGGATCTATCACTCATGAGTCACTCCAGGTAGAACGTCGGAGCCGCTGATATCCCCAAACTTGCAAAGGATGCAGCTCGAAGATCTAAGTAGTGGGGTCCCAGGAGGTGATCACAGCGGCTCTGTACTTGACGCTGCTAACCCTACATGAACCAGGCACCCGTACTCGTCACCGTCGACGCCGTTCACCACTGGTTGGTGCTGGACTGGCGCTGGGTCAGCCTAATGTCCGAGGCCGTGATGAGCCGTCGAGCTCGAAGTCGAGCCCCAAGCAAGGCTCCAACGCAGATTCTAAACCAAGCTCAAATCCAAACAATAAACAGGCCTCCAGTTCCGACCCGAATCCTCCACAGGCTTCGTGTGTTGAACTTCAAAGCACGTGCCCACACTGTGCCCACGTCCCCAATACGGATCCTGGAATCATGTACTCCTCAGGGTGGGCTGCGAACACCACTGGTAATGGGGTGTTTCATACTACGTTCTTGCCTGAAACGTCTGTAATATATATGTTCAGAGGTAAGATGCTTCAACTTTTCCTTTTGTAGTGAGATGTCGACGAGCACGAACCGCAGGCACCGGCATCAGCGTTTTTGGACGGGTGCTCCCAAACGACCCAGCTACCGGCATATTCCCTCCAGCAGCGAACTACACCATCGACGGTATGCAATATCCGAGTGCGAATCTTTCCAGCTCCCAGCAACCTATTTGCCAAACCATGTTTACCACGCCGACCCCTTTGTCCGATGCTGAACACCTTCTGATCATTACGGTAACGAACGCGACGATCCTCAGTCCGTTCTCTCTCTCGCTTTTCGCAATCAATGCTACAACAGAGGACAACTCGAATTTGACATCATTTCCCTCTTCATCGAACCACAGCATGCCGTACCAGTCGTCGGGAAAGCATCCCAAGAATACGGGAGATAGTGATAAAATCGTGATCATCGTCGTAGCAGTCCTCGGTTCAATCGTCGTTCTTCTGATCACCGCGATGCTGCTGTTCTTCTACTTTCGCCAGCGCCGAACAAAAAAGACGCACACGTTCAGCGACAAGCTTAGGGATCGATGGATTGCAGATAGCCCAACGTTTGATACGAGAGGAGGTGGGTCCTCTGTCCATTGAAGATCGGACGAATCGCTCAACGTCTAACAGCGCCGACGCTGACCAGGACAGACTCGATCATGCACAATAATCCGAGCCACTTCAGTTTTCCCTTGCCGTATAATCCGAGTTCGGAAACCGCGCACTCTCCTGCGCTGTCTCCCGTTGAGCTCAAGACGCCAATCAAGAGCGATGTTTGAAGAGCCCTTGTCTCTGTGGGGTATGGGGTCCAGTCATCGCATGTGGGGTGATGCATCCCCTTGTTATAGTCGTGCGTTCCGCAGAGTATGGATGATTTCAACCCTGGACTAGCCTTGACCTTCCTTGTTATTTCCATTTGCCGGGGTCTGGCGAACCTGTTCTGTTTTGGCATCCTTCTCGCAGGGGTCGGGCGATCTTTCCTTTGCATCTGTCAGCGTTTCCGACCCCTGCCCCTTGCATGTATATGTATACGTCTGGACGGACATGTTGTTCTGGGTCGTACCACTCCCTGTGTAATTACAAAGGCATGCTACATATTTATGCACCGTTTTGACGTTTGGGCCTACCCCGCCTCAGCTGACGAGGCAGATGGAGGACGGGGCTAGCAATCGAAGATATCTGGCCGAGGTCTGGTCCGAGCTGGTCGAGCTATATTTGTAGTGCTCACGCGGATGCGGAACAATTCACGGGATGCGATTGGTTACGGCCGGGCACGGAAGGGCTGGTCGTGAAGCGAGAATGTGATAGATCATGATGAGAGGCGCGGCTGGTCGGGGAGGAGACGAGAAAGGGTCCTTGATCAGGCGGCGCTCACGTCCAAAAGTCGCTCATGCCTGCGCAGCCTCATGGGATTTGCCAGCGGCCCTCAGGCTTTTTGGTCTCGTCCCTTGCAATGTTACAGCCCCTCCGCGTTCCGGATTACGCGCGCGCTCGAATCATTCGCATAAAAAGCGGATGACCATGCCATCCTCCCTTCCGCTCCGTTTTTCTCATCACTCCTCGCTTCCAGACCGTTCCTCTCCAGTGCGGTTGGCAACAGATCACAATCCTGGGAACATTCGCGCCAGCAACCATAAGTTTTCTCTCTCGTACCCTCCTCCGCTCCAAGCCCCCCTCCTTCGTACTATCCAGAACCGCCTCTACCATGACTCGCGTCCTCACCCCTTACTGGTCGAATGGCGTGCAGAAACTAAGGCTTGAGCCTCAACGTCCGTACCATCCTTCTCGTACCGGTGAACACAATTTTGACTCTGTCTTCGCAGCCCCTCCGCCGCCACCGCGAGGTACCCTGCCTCCCGCTCAAAACACTGCCGTCCATGCCATTCGCTGCATGGCTCAGCTTCGTTCGAAGGACAAGGATATCGAGAAATATATATACCTGTCCCAACTGAAGCATGCGGACGAGAACATGTTTTACAGGCTTTGCATGGCGAACCTGTCTGTACGTTCCTTCGACAGCGATCGCCCTTGACACAAGTGCAAATCTTGGAATAGGAATTCACTCCCCTCATCTACACCCCAACCGTCGGCGACGCTTGCTTGCAACATTCTCACATCTTCCGTAGGCCAGAGGGACTGGTGCGGATCTTCCTTTTCTCTCTGTCCTCTGTCGTGTGCTGAGAATCCCGCTACAGTACATCTCCATAAAGGATAAGGGCAAGATCGGGCAGTTGCTTCGGAACTGGCCCCGCATCGACGACGCGCGCATCTCGGTCGTGACTGATGGTAAGTCATTGGCTTACTGCCTTACCGAACATTACGCCAATCAATTTATGGCGTTTTCGCAGGGTCTCGCATTCTTGGATTGGGGGACCTTGGCGTCAATGGAATGCCTATCTCCATTGGCAAGCTCTCGTTATATGTCGCGGGCGCTGGGTCAGCTTTCGATCATTGAGTCAATATCGCTCGTTCGCTGATCCCCCATTTAGCATCCGTCCAGCTTCAACCGTCCCGATCTGTCTTGACCTTGGTACTAATAATCAGAAGTTCCTAGATGATCCTCTCTATTTGGGTCTCCGTCACAAGCGCGTGGCGGACGATCTGATGACCGAGTTCATGGAGGAGTTCATGCACGAGATGTCGGCCGTGTTTCCCAAGCTGCTGGTGCAATTTGAGGTCGGCTTCGTGTTTTCGTGCTTCGCCTCACCTTTTTGATATCTCATCCATATAGGACTTCTCCACTGAGCACGCGTTCCAATATCTCGACGCTTTCCGCCACCGTTATCCGGTGTTCAATGACGATATTCAAGGCACCGGGGCCGTCGTCCTCTCTGGCTTCTTCAACGCCGCCAAATTGTCTTCAGCAGCGTCGGGGCGGCCCTTGAGCGATCATCGCATTCTTTTCTTGGGCGCTGGCTCGGCAGGTGTCGGCGTTGCTATGCAGCTGATGAGCTTCTTCAAGCTGCAGGGCTTGACCGAGGCGGAGGCGAGGAATCGCATCTACCTCGTCGATTCGCAGGGTTTGATTTTCGATGCTCGTGGTCCTATGGCAGAGCACAAGAAATGTGAGTGCTTCCTGGGGGCTGCTTGGCTTTTGCGCTTGGCACTCACAAGTAGATCGTCGATCCAGATTTCTCCAGGGCTGACTACAGTGGTCCCCCTATGACGAACTTGACCGACATCATCGACCATGTCAGGCCGACAGCCTTGGTTGGTCTTTCCACCATCAAGGTCAGTTCCGTTGTCTTTACTTCTTCCGTGCCCCACTGACAGGTTTGTTTGCATGTTCGCAGGGAGCCTTCACCCAAGAGGCTGTTGAGATGATGGCCACTCTGAACGAACGCCCCATCATTTTCCCCCTCTCCAACCCCGTGCGTCTGTCCGAGTGCGAGTTCCAAGACGCTGTCGAGTGGTCGCGGGGTCGCGTCCTGTTCGCTTCGGGCTCTCCTTTCCCTGAGATCGAGTACGACGGACGCATGCTTTACCCCGGGCAGGGAAATAACATGTACATCTTCCCCGGTAAGCCTCGCTCCCTACTCGCTTCGTGCGGTCTTGTTGGTGCTGACTTTTTCTCGCGACAGGTCTCGGTTTGGGCTCGATCCTGTGCAACACGTCTGCCGTTACGGATAGCATGGTAGAGGCCTCTTCGCTAGGCCTTGCGGACTCACTCACGGAGGAGGAGAGAGAATCCGATCTCCTGTACCCCCGTCTGGAGCGAATCCGGGAAATCAGCGCTTTCATCGCTACGCGCGTCATTCGCAAGGCGCAAGCCGAGGTACACAGCGTTCAAACCCCATCTCGCATCTGACCGTGTACTGATTTATTGCTTCCAGGGTGTCGACCGACAGACCGACCTGCGCAAGCTCAGTGACGACGATCTATTGCGCCATGTCGTCAGCAAGATGTGGAATCCTTGAAGGGCATCCCACATTGCCGTCTTTTCTGCGTGCTCCCTACCCCATAGCCCTCATCATAGATTTATCAGTGCTCGTTCGATCCACCGCTAATGCTCTAATGCTTTCGCTTTCGCTTGTGTCCGGTCGTGTATTCGTTTTCCGCGGTTGTTCGTAGACGCTATCAGACTTGTTGGGGTTTCCGTGTTCGTAGATATTGACGCAGAGCTCTGCGTCTCCACTGCTTTTAATAGAGGGCCTTCCTTTGATTCAATATGACCGTGTCCTGGTAGCAAGTGTCTGAAATAATCACTGGGAAGGTACGGTCGCAGTTTTGGTCCCAGAGTGTGATCCTTCCCAATAGATGAGTCATTTGTGCTGTGTAACTGTCTCGGAACTTGCCGAATCGCGTTTCCTCAACATCAGTGAGAGCCAGGAGATCGCACAACGGATTCCTTTTCCAAGGTAATGCACCTTATCGGACATTCGTGCGCAGGCCTCAATGATGAGTTTTATGCAGATCTATTGATATGTTCGGCGTGCACCAGACACGTCACTTATTGCGATCCATATCCACACAGTCCTCGAAGGGCCACCTTCGCGTCGTCAGAGCTTGGAATGTCGACAACGCGTGTCGGTTTCATAGCAGCAGTGTAAGAAACGCTCCGGAGCCCTTTGAGATTCTATTCTTGGGCCGCGATGAGTTCTCCTGCATAGTGTTAGAACAGCTGTACGGGGCAAGAGGTATGTACCACCTTCACTATTCTTGTCTTCCATGGCTCTCGCCCATCTCGGCGTTGTTCAACGCTCCATCACCTTATCGCACAATCATTATGCTGCTACACGTGAAGGACCTCAGCGACATGCATCGAAAGCTCAACAATACAGCCGAGCTCTAGGCCCTCTGCGTGATTTCGACACGATTTTCTCTGTATTTTGCTGGGCAAACAGCATTCAATTTCGTAGCGAAGAGACGCTGACAAAAAAAGAAAGACGTTTGGCAACAGATCTCCATCGCGACACATCCAGACGCAAAGGCCGTACGCCGAGCGACGCTGCACACTGTCTGTGAGTGGCCAACGCATGTCAGCTGTTGTTCTCATAGCAGTCCTTAATCTCTGTATAGCTCCACTGAAGCTACTCGGTCAGGAATTGGGCCTGTCTGTAAATCATATTCCAGAGGACAAGGCCGACTTCAAGCAGTGGCAGGTACATCCATCTCTCCTGGGGCTTGCCTGCGAATTCTCATGAAGCCATTGGTGCCTGTCCGTGAATGAAGCCTCCAGTGCCGTTCAATCGTCCCCCCGCCGGCCCTTCCAATCACCTGCTCGTTACGGCTTCCTTTGGCCGCATTCTTCCCGATCCGCTTCTGAATCTCTTCGCGCCTTCCCGTCGTTTGAATGTTCACCCCTCCCTCCTCCCTGCATACCGCGGAGCAGCGCCTATTCAGCACGTAATCATAAATGGAGAGAAAGAGACCGGTGTGTGTGTCCTCGGGATGGTGGAATTGAGCAAAGGCCTCGACTCGGGCGATATTTGGGGGAAGGAGACGGTGGTAAGTCATACTTTACTCGACTGTTTCGTCGATGGACGATCGTACTAACATGGATTTTGTGTGCAGCCGATCCCAGAGGGCTCGTCGTACGGTTCTCTGCGCGATACGCTCGCACGTGAAGGTGGTTCTCTATTAGTTTCCGTCCTCCGCGACATGCTCGCCAATAAGGTGAGGGCGAGCCAGGGATATATATCCAGATTCGTGTATGATTTCCCTCATCCTCACAGGCCTCTTCCACTCCACAAGCAGTCGATCCCACTCGGCCTCGCGCTAGCATGATCACAAACGATACCGCGCACGTCGATTTTACCACGCAGACGGCAGACGTCATCGCACGCATCGACCGCGCCATTTCCCACCAGCGCGAGCTCAAAGCCTACATCCCGCGCAATGAACGATCGATCAAGCTCCAAGACTGCAGCGTCTTTGAGCCGTCCGCGCTCCGGCAAGGATTTGTGCTGCCTGAGACGCCTGGGGCGGCACGGTTTGATTCTACGACAAAGACGATGCTCGTGCGGTGTGCGGGCGGGACAGTGTTGAGCGTGTCGAAGTTGAAGATGCAGAGCCGTCCGTTGTTGCTCGCGAAGGACTGGTGGAACGGGACGAAAGAGTGGAGAGAAGAGGATGGTAGCATTCTGCTTACACACCTTGAGCTTTGAGCTTCAATCATTCACTTACTCTGTAGTCCACTCACCCTGACTCCGTTCCGGCGAGAGAGAATCTTTTAGATAAACTCGATGCTCCTCACCACTCCCGTACAACAGAGCTTGACGGAGTCTTCTCTATATCGCTCTGGCGTGACCGTGGATGTAAATGAGCTGTCCATGTTCCAAATGACACTGCACTCGTACGGTACATACGGGGTCTATGATAAGTAGCGCACACCTAGATCTCGATACACAACCTCCTACATGCTCCTCCATGCCCGACTGGCGCCTAGGACGTCCAAACTCCATCAGCGTCGGCAAGTCTCTGCTTACCCTCTCGGAACACCCTCTCCAGCAACTCGTTGAAACGATCAACCCATTGTAGATGTAGTGCATGGCCTGTGTCTTCCCATACCACTAGCTCTGCCTCGGGCATATCTTGTTTCAAGTATCGCGAGTTCATTGGCTTGACAAGATGGTCTTTATCGCCCGTCACGATGAGGACCTTGGGGATGGACGAGGAGATCTTTCGAAGGCGGGAACCATCCACGTGGTGCAACAAGCCGGCATACATCTGAGAAAGTCCTCCAAGGGGATGCTGTGGGCGTGTCATCAAGAGGCGGTGACGGTATAGCTGTACACGAGAAACGAAGGTCAATCATAGAAGTGCCAAGTCATGATCGAAAGCTTGCTGTTCGCTTCTTTTGAAAATACTTACGCCTGTCTGAATCTCACGATTGGTTCGACCTTCGGGGTCGTCTTCGGCTTTTTGAGCCAGCCATTCTTGAGGGAACACCATATCAAGGAGAATAGGCAGTTTATTCTCCGCATCCGCGATCAGAAACAGTCTAAAGGGAGGAGCAATGAGATGTCATTATTCGCTCCCTTCATTGTTGGAAAATGTGGACGCACCTACCCAAGGAGGCGACACCTTTCCACTAGTGAAATGGAATAAGATGTCAGCTCTCAAAGCCAGATCGAGATTTAGCATGCCTGCTTACTGGAGGGAAATTGTACCATGGTAGTCCGCCAGGCGTCGTAACGGCAAGTGTAAGTGAGATAATGCGTTCGGGGATGCGAGTGGATAGCTCTGAATATTTGGCTCTGAGTTAGTGGGAGGGTGATGTTTAAATACAGTGAACCAGGACACGACCTTGAGCAATCATCCCTCCCAACGAAATCCCTACAACATGTAAGTCGCGTGTCTCGGTCCAGCCGACATAGTCAAGCAATACAATAACATCCTCTGCCATGCCGCTCGTGCTGTTTGATAGATGGGATGCGCAGTGATATCATGCTTCGTAGTATGTTGTGCATGGGAAGGACATACGAGTATGGCCCTCGAGGTCGTCCACTGTTCCCGACACCTCTGTTGTCGAAGACTAGAATTGTGTGGTTCGGTGAGCGCCCAAAATGGTTCACTTGCATGGCCCACGAGAAGGACGTGCTGTTCAATCTGTTCCATGTCAATCAACTAGTCTGTATCTACATCTTGTTCGTGCATATTGATAAAACGCACCCCATGATGAACACTACTTTCTCTGGGCCGGAGCCATGCTGCTCAAAGTAGAGTGAATGGCTCTCAAGAGGTTCCTGCTGGCGTCTGATCTTCGTAACAGGGCAAAGACCCTTCCGAGTGCATGTCGCGGGGTCAAATATCGTGCGCAGACCCTCCAAGACCTCCTTTTTCACGTCTGGAGTCGTTGATCCTGTTGTAGACGTTCTCTGGCGCAGTTCAGAGTCTGTCATGGTGGTAGTTTGGGGTGGAGCTGGTAGTAATCAGATGCTATGTCGGGATGTCCTTCCACGGCCTCGTCTCGGTCCGTTGCTCATCCACCTGATGGCCTCTCCTGACGCACATTCGCATCCTCAACAAACATAAAAGAGCTCGCTTAGAATGTAGATTGGCCAGTGTTCTTCTGCAACCCGAGACTCACGATGTCGTTGAAAACCAAGCAAGCGAGTTATATATCCAAGGTTGAGGTGAGTAGTGTACGTGAGGGGAAGCTTCCGACCGGTTACCAACAATGCGCTTCTTTCTCCCGATCACCAGCTCTTTCGTCTGCCCCCACGCTGGCTCTTCGTCCGTATTGAAACCACCGATGGGCATGTGGGGTGGGGAGAAGCGACTCTTGAAGGGCACACGGAAGCGGTAGAAGGTGCTCTTAATGATCTCCAAGAGCGATTTATGGGCTGGGACGCAGATGGAATCGAGGACATCTGGCAGCACGCATATCGGGCTCGATTCTATCGCGGTGGCCCTGTTCTCATGGTGCGCTTCATTTCCCTGCACGGTCTCTCATTCGGTCTAATCTATCTACGATAGTCCGCGCTGTCCGGTCTGGATATTGCATTGTGGGACATCAAAGGCAAGAAGCTCGGCGTGCCTATCTGGCAGTTACTCGGTGGCAAAGTGCGCGATCGTGTCAAAGTCTATGGGTGGATCGGCGGGGATAAGCCGAGCGATGTGTATGAGGGAGCGAAGGCTCGCAGAGAGCAGGGCTTCACTGCTGTAAAGATGAATGGGACAGGTGCTGATCCTCCTTTCCCGCCGATTCTTGCATGAAAGTGAAACTGATTGCTGTGATTGTGCAGAGTCCATCGCATGGATTGATTCTCCCACTATACTTACAGATACGGTCGAGCGCGTTAAGAGCGTGCGCAGCCTGGGCATGGACGTGGGTGTGGACTTCCATGGTCGCCTGCACAAGGGAATGGCCAGGCAACTCGCGAAATTACTAGAACCGTACCAGCCGATGTTCATAGAAGGTGAGATCCGGTTGACGCCCAAGCATTTCCATTTCGTCTGTCTGCGGTCTCATGCCGAAACACCCCCTGTATGTTTCCAGAGCCGCTCCTTCCAACCCAGCCAGAGGAAATTGCAGATCTTGCACAGCAAATCTCAACGCCCATTGCCCTTGGTGAACGACTTTACACTCGCATGGACTTTCGTCCCTATCTGGAGCGCCGTGCTATCGACATCGCACAACCCGATGTCAGTTTTTTCTTGCTTCGCTGCGCCACAAACACCGATTTTCATTCCCCGCACAGGTTTCACACTGTGGAGGCATCAGCGAGTTAAGGCGTATCGCGTCGCTGACGGAAGCATACGACGTTGCACTGGCTCCACACTGTCCTATAGGGCCTATTGCATTAGCCGCCTGCATTCAGGTCGCTCTTCACGCGCCCAACTGTGAGTTTCCTGAATCTACGCATACTTCTAGGTCACATGGAGTTGATGCTGATCCGCCACAGTCATTATTCAGGAGATGAGCTGGCAGGTTTGTGACCGGTGCTCTCGTTCTTCGCATCAGCTTATGCAGGCTCCGGAACCAGATACACTACAATCAAGGCGCAGACCTCTTCACTTATCTATCTGACTCGTCTGTGTTCGCCGTTAAAGACGGACATGTTGAGGCCTTGCAGGGTCAGTCCGCATCTATCGTGACCGTTTGGAGTTCGCTCTCGATAACTATCTTTCCAGGCCCCGGATTAGGAATTGAAATTAACGAGGTTCTTGTGCGAGAGACATCGGAAAAATGCAAGAATGAGAAGGCTTGGAGGAATCAAGTCTGGAGGGGCCCAGATGGAACCCAACGGGAGTGGTAGAGTGCGACTCCATGTCGAAACGACCTTTGATATTGTACCTAAAATACTTTTGTTGTGAATTCATCTCCATAGGCATAATCGTTCTATGGCATGGTTCTTCCTCCATCGTCAAAGCGTATCAGATATTCGCAAGAAGATGCCAAGGGTCAATGAAACGGCTCGCAGACAGCCGCCAATGTCTTGAAAGATACAGTGCGGGGAAATGCCCATACACCATACCTCGGTATGCATGTTTTGGTCTGGTCCTTGACAGATTTGGGGTCGTACACATGTTCGGTAAGTAAGTGTCCTGCTTACCTATATCACAAAGAAGACAGCTAATGGCCTCGTTGATTGTCATGTGTCCAATTATATACGTATCGGCCACCTCAGGCCTGCAAGTTCGCGAAAGATCGATCGTTTTGTTTCCGTATCTCCGATCTGGCCTCGCCAGAGGTGAAAAATATATATGGATGAAGATGGACGACCCAATGCTCTCGGGGTTTGAGAACATTTGTCTTTCGGCAAGCGCAAATATTTGCAATATTATTCCACTGCGACCTGCTTCCTATCAGCGATGCTTATGAAGGTCTCTTAACTTTCTGACTCATACACTATCAAGTAGCTACAAGGCCACATGCTTGAGCTAGCGTGTGGGAGCCGCGAAGGTTGGTATCGCGGAGCATCAAGGCTGGAAATGAAGGTGGGAGGATCGTTTGACTGCGGTTATTGACACGAAAACCTCTCATTAGTAGCGGATCTTCCAGAACCAATCCAGACGAATGGCTGTCGATTGAAGCTTGCAGCTGGTTGCAGCCTCACTGAAGCTGTTGGCTAGTCAAATACAGGCTTGTTAGGGCGTTAATCCATCTAGGGCCTTCCTTTATCTGATTCTTGAGCAGGAATATCCATAAGCTTTCCTCGGACACCACAGCTGGAAGGTGTGTGCTGATGTGTACCCCTGGTTTCGAGTCCGCGGTGTTCATGTGCCTCGTGCCCCTACAAAGTCTCTAGATGGTATCGCATCTTCGGTTTTTGCCTCAACATGCGGAATCGACGCATATGAACGGGTTTCTAGCACTTGCAACAGCTCGAACTCACCCACGCGACGGGATTCTTACTATCCAGCGGCGCCATTTTTGACAGCCGTCTAATGTCTTACCATGGCCAAAAGGCGACTTACTTCCCTCTCTCTATCCGCCAATGATATCCTTCTCACGAGCGCTGCGAAGTCTGATCTGTTTCCGCCTTACGTTCTCTTCCCCGTATACTTAGTTTCTACACGCAGCTTGCCAGGAGTCTCGTATCCGACTAGCTGGCAATCCTTAATCAACGTGGCCAGAGAAACTTTTGACGCTAGGATCTCCAGGCGCATGACCACATTTGGTGTGAAATGGGGTAACAAAGTATAGTGCGGCGTGCATAGTACATCTACTCACGAGCACATGTGACTTTGGGATCTATCTACAGGCCCTCAACATAGTCTGCTTCACAAACATGCTCTTGAGCTTCGTTCAGGCAAGCTGGGAACTTCCCGGTACACGAGAGTCAGGGTGGAAGCCCCGAGCGGCATGGACTGTTGGCGATGAACTTCACGCCTTTGAAGCTCTGTATCCGTGGCGTGCTTCTCAATTCATTATGAAGGACCGCGATCTTCTCCCTTCTCCCTCTTCTCCCACTCTCCCCCGTGCCCCCACGCTCGTCCACACCCATCTTCTTTGCACCTGATGGTCCCCTTCCGGGATGTCCACGTGCAACCATACATTTTTGGTTCCTCCAATTGCCTTCATCGCTCTCTCGCCAAATTCCCGAGCTAATTGGGTCTTTCCAGTGGAAGTCCGCGCGCAGGCGTCGAGTCTGTCACCGGACGCGCACTTATCTGCCCGCTCTTTGACTGGCATGTGAATGAAGTGCACGGACTCGCCGGTCGAGCCGACTGTCTTCCGTACTGCGGCGTCGAGGGTGTGCATACAATTTATCTAATTATTTCACACTCAAAGATCACCTTTTATTTTGGGGTAGTGTTGCATTGATATCCCGGGCCGGTCCAGGGGTCAACTCTCGGCGAAATGCAACGCGATCAACCTCAAGATATATTCTGACAATACGAGCCTGCAATCTCCTGCAATGAAGGCCTGTGTCTCGTCCTAGACGGACGCACCCGTTCATTGCCTAAACCGTCCAATGACGACAGCCTCTCTTCGACTCGTTCCGGCGGACATGCACATTGAGACGAGAAACCAAGGACAGGGGCTTCAGCTTCGATGGAACGGCCCTGCAGCTCCGGATTATATCGATCGCTTCCAACATGCCAACAGCACAGGTTTAATTGATGGGCTCGCATCTACCAGGCGATCATTCGGTGGGACCTGCGGGGAGGGTCGAGCTGTGGGACCGGAACTCGTTGCGGGCATGTGCATCGAAGGCATGGAGCCTGTTCCATGCTGTCCCTTTGCGCCATGCTTCGGATTCTGATCCTCAATTGAGAGGCTCACAAGGCCTCCCAATGTTACTCCTTCAGACGGAGCTCCATCTCCAACATTTACTTTGCACCAGCACCAACGGCCGTAGTTGCTCTTCATTTCTTCTGCTCGTCAGCGATGATCGTATCGTCTGGGATTATGGGATGCCTCTGGTCGGCTGGATCACACTCGATAATGGTGCACATCCTCGGGATTGCCTGTCCCCTTTGCAATTCGGCAGGCGCTCCGCCTCAGGCTCTTCAAACGACCCGGACAAACTTTACGAACATAAGTGGGTCCCAAGACGAAAAGCGGTCGACCAGAACAGTGCGCGGCCTCCATCCGATGGCCACTCCTGACCCGCGAAATCGTAATTTGGGCACTTCTTCAGAGTGTAGGGATCGTGGTGTCCTGTCACACGCCTCGCCTTGCGCCTCGCCTTGCTGGATGTTCTCCGTTCGCACGCGCGCGGTGACCTGACCCATGTCGGGCCTAGACTCTCCCGGCCCGCCTGTGCAAACACAGCGCAGTGTGAATCCCGCGCTGTGAAATATGTTTTCCTCTCTCCCGGAAGCTGGTCGCGCTGCCCTGATGTGCGTAGGGTTACGGCGATCGGACCGAACCTGAGATTGGGGTCAGGGTCTGGCCTCTCCCGCTCCTCGTCTAGAGCGTGCAGAACGTTGCTTCGCCCACGATGACGATGAGGGCCAGCGCGATCGCAGAGACTGGGGCAGAAGACCGACTATTTTCTTCCTCGTCGAACCCGCTGACCCCTGCGGCTGTCGATCCAGGATAGGTGGCGCACCGCAACTTCACTCATACCGCCTGCCGAGACTAGCACACTTCCTGAAGGTTCATAAGTCTCGGCAGGCCCCGCGACAGCCACCGTCTATCCTCGAGAACATGTCGGGGATGGCCCCGAGTCGCCGACGCGGCCTGGCTGAACACGTCGCAATAGTGTGCGCGCTATCCGATCGTGATCAGCCGAACAGGGCTTCCGCTTCATGCCCAACCGTCGCACTTCTCATCCATCTCGCACCCTCGGCCCGGTTCACCTACTACAAGCTTATGCAACGGGCTGCTGATTTACGTGGAGGGAGAGGAACCGTCGACGTCACAGTCGGCCTGATTTGTCTCGGTGAGTAAACGCAGGGCGCACAAGCTTGCCGTTCGATTTTCGGCACCTTGGCTCGCGTAGTATTTTTTTTGATTCGTTACTTCTGGCAGAGAAGAGAGGCTCTCCAATAGAGAGGTCTTGGGGGCGGGTAATAAAAGTACAGTAAATTGAGCTTCCCACATCCGTGCACGCGCCTACCGGCCCATCCAACCCTGTAAGGACACATAAGCGGCGAATATCGATTAGACGAAGAGAACAGCGCGCGACTTACGCCATCAACGACGAGCAGCTCACCGCAGACGTATTGACTCGCGCTGCTCGCCAAAAACACGACCGGGCCTGCAAAGTCATTTGGCTGTCCCCATCGCCCCGCGGGAATGCGCTCTGATATCTGACGCAGACGGACCGGGTCTGCGAGCAGCTTCTCGTTCCTGTGTGTTCAAAATCATCCCCGTCAGTGCGCGCTCCCTCACAAGGCGGGGTCATCTGAATCCATCGTGAATGTGCAAAAGCGAATTTGCGCGTCGCGAGAATGGAGAGATAAGATGCGGACGGAACGGCCCGAGGGACTCGCGGAGTTGTAAACACATGGAACGATTGAGAGTGTGTTGGGTCCACGACGGCGGGATGGGATGGCTCAAAAAGGGGGGACAGGGTGAAATTTTTAGATAAGTTAGGAGTAGACATACATGTCTGTGGCGATATATCCAGGGCAGATGCCGTTAACCTGCACGTTGTGTTGACTCCATTCGTTGCTGAGCGCCTTGGTAAGTTGTCCGACGGCGCCTTTGGCGGCCGCGTACGCAGGGACGGTCAGCCCACCTTGGAAGGTAAGAAGCGAGGCGAAGTTGATGATTTTCCCGCGCCGAAGGGGGACCATGTGCCGGCCGGCTGCTTGCGAGAGCAGCCATACCGATTTTAGGTTCACGTCCAAGACCTGTTGGTTCACAGACGCGCAAATAAGTGAGCAACGAGCGGTTGAACGGTCAAAGAAGGAGAGAAAAAACCGCGCCTGCGAGCGGCCGCACGAGACCGGTAGGCATCCCGGGCCAGGAGACCAAGATGGAAGGTCGCGTGTCAAAGGGACCATGGGAGTGCGGACATGGGGATGGATTTGGAGATGAATGTGGATAGAACAATGTACATACATCGTCCCAGTCCCTTTCCGAGAAATCAACGCTCGGTGATCTCCGTTGTATACCGGCGCAGTTGACCAGAACGTGGATTTGGCCCCCCATGGCGTCCAAGGCTTTCTGAAAGAGGCCCTTTACGGCATTCAGATCGCTCAGGTCGCAGTAAACGTATTCGGCTCGGACACCCATGGCCCGAATGGCGCCGACGGTGTCGAGGTTAGGTTGAGCGCCTTCTGCTGGAGCACGGAGTACAAGACAGACGGAGGCGCCTGCCTCGGCCAGGGCCTTGGCACAAGCGGCCCCGATGCCTCGAGTCGCGGGCAGCCGAGTAGGAAGAACACGGCATGAGGAGATATAGATTGACACAGAGGGTGTAACCCACAGTCGGATAACCGGTAAGGATAATTAAACAGATAGTAAATGAGCGCTGGGACGTGGACGTGATAGGTAAAAGACATACCTCTCGAAGCCCCGGTGATAAGAACGTTCTGGCCAGTGAGATTGAACAGTTGTGGAGCAGAGATGGAAGGAGTAGAATCCATTGCGTACGCAGTCGGGCAGAGTCGAGGAGAACGATGTCAATTAACGGGGGAGAGGGCGGGAGGCTTTTATGGAACACGCCAGAAACCCGTAATTTCCCCGGATCGGATGTGCGGGCCGAACCAAGTCAAAAGAGCAGAACGCGATGGGTTGCAACGGGCGGCGATGGAGCAGGCAAGGCGCAAAAGAGGGGAACGGAGGAGCTGGGAGAGATCAGAAGGAAGGGAAGAGGAGGACGGAGAGTGTGAGGAGATCTCGATCTGGGGACGGAGATTCGGACCGAAGGGAAGGCTCTTTGGACTGCAGCACCAACTCACGAGACCGTCCGCTGCCTCTTTAAAAAGCCCTCCTCGCCATCTCTCCTCCTCACTGCCCCAACCATGTCCCCCGTCGCACTCAACATCCAGCACGCTGCTGTCCTCCACGGCCCCAAAGACCTCCGTTACGAGGAGCGCACTCTCTGGCCTCCACAGCACGGTCAGGCCCAGGTCGCCGTCATGTCTACCGGCCTCTGTGGAAGTGACCGTGCGTGTCCCCCTCTCTCTTCCATATCTCGTCCATGGCCCGCTCACCCTCGCACCCCTAGTCCACTACTATCTCCACGGCAGAAACGGTGACTTCGCCGTACAAGCACCCCTCGTCCTCGGCCACGAAGCCGCCGGTATCGTCACCGCCGTCGGCCCAGGCGTGAAGAACCTCGTCCCCGGTCAACGTGTCGCCATTGAGGCTGGCGTCATGTGCAACAACTGCGACTACTGCACGCAAGGCAGATACAACCTCTGCAAGGGCATGCGCTTCGCCAGTAGCGCGAAGACCTTCCCCCACCTCGACGGCACTCTCCAGGAGCGCATGAACCACCCCGCCCACGTCCTCCATCCGTACGTGCGATTCTTCCAGGCGCAGACGGAGAAGCTCAGCGCACCTTACCCCTCTCCGCTTATAGCCTTCCAGACAACGTAACCTTTGAACACGCGGCACTCGCCGAGCCGCTCTCCGTCCTCCTCCACGCTTCGCGACGCGCTGGCCTCGCGGCAGGCCAGACCGTGCTCGTTTACGGCGCCGGCGCGATCGGTCTCCTGGCATGCGCGCTCTCAAAATCGTATGGTGCATCGCGAGTGGTCGCCGTCGACATCAACCAGGCGCGACTGTCCTTCGCGAAGGCGCAGGGTTTCGCCCAAGACGTGTTCTGCCTCCCCGCCGGTGCACGGCCCAAGTCTCCCGAGGAGGCGCTGAAGCGAGCCAAGGAGAGTGCAGACCTCGTTCTCGACAAGTTCGGCGAGGAGGACGGGTTCGATGTCATTTTTGAGTGCACCGGTGCCGAGCCGTGCATCCAGATGGCCATCCATGTCAGTTCCCATTCGTCCTACTCCCCCTACCTTGCTGTGTGCTCATACCTCCCATTTAGACCGCAATCACAGGCGGGAAGGTGATGCTCGTCGGGATGGGCACGCGCAACACCACATTGCCGCTCTCAGCCGCGGCGCTTCGCGAGGTCGACATCCAGGGCTCGTTCCGTTACGCCAACACGTACCCTGCGGCGCTCGCGCTGCTTGGGTCGGGCAAGATGCCCAACATCGGCGCGCTCGTCACGCACCGCCTCCGCCTCTCCGACACCGCTCGTGCGTTCGAGCTCCTCGCGCGCGGCGCAGATGAGCGCGGACACATGGTGCTCAAGGTTATGCTCGGCCCCACGAGCCCACCTCACATCCCGCACGCTCCCCACCACCAGCCCCAACACTCGCACTCGCGCTCACATCCGAAGTAAGCCTGCGTAGAGGGATTCGAGTTGTGAGGTTAGTGTCCTCGACGGATGGGACGACGCGTCATGACGGGATTGGCACGACCTTGACGACGACGACGACAACGAATGGGACTTGCATCTGTTTTTACGAGCTCGGTTTTTCTTTTTTCTGCTGTTCTTTGATGGCGACGTGGTACGACGCGAACGCGTGTGTGGGGCTGTTTGCAATTGTTTATTGGTTTCCTTTCCGCTTCTCCTCGCGCTTTCTCAGCTTCGGCTCTTACCTCTGGCTGCCCTTCCTCTCGCCCTCGCACCCGTGCACGCTGTATATCTGTCGAGCCTCTTCCATACGGACTCCTTTCTTCATATCGACGAGGTGTATATTTGCAAGCAAAGGAGCGACGCGTGAGCGTGTTCTTGCGCTACATATCTCCTTCCATACTCTGCCCTACCTCGCGTCACATTTACTAGTCGGAGCACGCGATCGCGCACGCTGTATCATACCACACATCTCTATCTCCTCATGATCTCTACAAGCACCGCACGACGTCCTCATCACCCCACTTCTTCGTATGCACTAGTCCGAGTCCCTACAGTGTGTCTGGTCTGGGCCCTACACTTGTTTCAATAGCCATGCAATGCAATTGAATCTCATGCACTTTCACATCCTCACGTCTTCCTTTTGAGCTGGGTCTCCGCTGCACAACGCACGATCTAGGTCAGTCCTTTGGAATGGCTGAATTTTTTGATAGGTTGGATGCGCGTGTTTAGTCGCGCGCGCGCGCGGGGTACCGTCTGACCCGTAGGCACTGTCGTTGTCGCGGAAGGTCGCGGTCCGGGAAATGGACGCGAGGAGATCGAGCAGGGACGCTGCCAGGGACGTCGACGTCATCAACGCGCTGCCTTGCAGATCTGGGTAGCATCGCGGTTTCGAGCCGGACAGAGGCCCTCTATCTAAGGACTTTACCCGGTCTCTCCCGCACCATCTTTCTACGTTCGAATTCCATCTTCCACGGTGCGCGCTGCAACGGTCGATCGCGAGAGCACCCGTGGCAAGTGGGAGGCCTAGAGTCTCGGATGCTTTCGTCGAAGAGGCCATGTATCGTTAGTACCTCGCGACGAGCTGGGAGATGATGGTATGGCTTATTCTTGGAGCTTGTTGTGGGACCCACAGGTTTTGCCGCTGGAATCGAGCATGTGAGCGGCGGGTGCCCTTCGACGCCGATTCGACGCGCAGAGGCAGAAGGCTATGATGCAATGCCGGCGCGCCTTCGAATTCTCGCACCCGCACAAACACCAATATCTACAGGTACATTCCTGCTCGAAATGTCCCAACGCAGACTCCTTTCCCTAACCGAGGGCCAGGATGCCAGATGCGTGCGTGCGTACCATATGTACTCGTACTTTACCTGGCACCTATTTCGACACGCTTTTGCTGGATGTGTTGACAGTACTCGTGCCTGCCACGCGTAACTACCGAGGGGTCCGAGTGGGCGCACGCATCGTCCCACGTCGCGAGGCATATTCACCGATTCTAGTAATACCTGTCGACGCGTCAGCATGTATGGGATATCAGATCGTGATAGAACAACGAACGATGAGCAAGTTACGCTCACACGTATGAATGCCACATATGAATACACGTACTCAAGCACTTCTGTCTTAGGATTGGCAGAAGAACGTGCGTCCTTTCGATCGAATGTCATCATGGCCGCTCTTCGGTCCCGCCAGGCGAGGAGGTACATGCCATGCCAAATGTCGAATACTGACACGACGCAGACGGCCCAGCGCTGTGTCACCCAACGACAGCGCCTTCGTGAAGTGTCGGTCCATGTGGACACCGTATTTGACACCATCGACACGCCCCCACGTTGCGGGGATCTGTCAGATGATGCAAAAGCGTGGAGGGATCGTCCGCAACGTCCCGAACTCGTACGTGCGTCTAGCGTGTGGAATCAGGCTATCCAGGTTCAGCGTCCACGAGGGACCGGTCGCGATTGATCTGGCCCCCTCGCGAATCGACAGTTTGACGGTTGTACGCGTCCACCCCCAGGCCTCCCCAGACTGCATCGCGGGTTCAGATACGCGGGAGCGAGATTAATTGCAATATCGTCGAGCTTCATTCGTCGAATCGGCGTTAATGGCACTTTGGCTTCAGGGATACCGGCCCTTCAGCCCCCTGCAGGCATCGTAAGCATCAAGGCGTTTACAAGGCGTTACGTAGCCAAACGAACGTTCGTCCGCGCGTGTCGATGCTCTCGACATCAAGGCCATAGCCAACATCATTCGAGCTCCATGGTTGCAGAACCTGAACCTTAAGAACCCGAGAACTGCAGAAGAACCCAAGAGAACAAGGCAAGACGTAGAACCCACGCTGCCCGATCCGTCCCAACCCTGGCAGCGCTTCATCACGATAAGCGAAAGTGTGTCCACGCACCTTTCTTGGTTGGGCTGGAAGATGAACTGAAAAGAGCGAAGGCGAATAAGAATGTGTCAGCTAGGGACGTGTGCGTCTGTATGAGCGAATGTGAAGCAAAATGAACAGGGAATTCGAACCGAGACTCGCTAATAGAATTGTAGAGTTACTGACGATTCGCCAGGAAGGGAAGGTATGACGCTATCCTCATCGCGGTTTCGGTAGATACGCGACCAGACAGTCCGGCCTCGCGTTACCCCGCGTCCATTGCAGGACCGTTTGGCCGAACATTATACTAGCATTCCCGTATTTCACCTCTCCCGCACGCATGACAAGGGCTACGCTGTGCCTGCCAGATCAGCTGAGTGATCGCGAGCGTCCGTATCCGAAGAAACGGCCCCGGTACAACACACTATACGGCTTTCGGAGCTGTGCGCCACCAAACGCTATTAGACCGAGGCAGTACGCGTCTTGTGGGTGTGTAGAGACGAAGGGGTGATGTCATGCGTACACATTTACGAGAGGCGGCACACCGACGGGGCTATCCAGTTGAACCATCGCGAATCGAGCTGTATTTATCGCATAGCCATGCCGAACGACAAAAACAAGCTCCCGAGGCAGCAAGCACGCTCAGAAAATGATAGATACACAAACCACGTAAACTCTAACCCAGAGAGCCCAAATTCATGCGAATGCGCGCTCATAAGAACACGGCCTTGGCCACCGCCTGCCAAATGGCATTTGGATTATTGACACTAAAGAAAGATAGGGGTCAGTAATCGGTGGCGAACGACTAGTCACCGGCGAAACCGTAATGTCTCAGACGCCCGGGGCGGATTCTGCCGTTACGTAGATAAGTGTGTGCAGCTCTGGATGAGCCAAACACGTATGGGGATGCTGAGGCAACCGAAATTCCGGCGAAGAGACAGGGGCCAAGGGCAGAGGGCAGATGAGGACGGAGAGTGATGGGCAAGGACTGTGGGAGAGTAATTTTAAAAAAAACATTACGACACTCACATGTCCGCGGTCAGTGGAAAGTTCACATCTGCGGGGTGGTCTTGCCATTCTGGAGGACGGTCAAAGCGGTCGGGTTAGCGCACGAGATAACACCCCAGCGCGAGAATCGCGACAGGAAGAAGCCCCTGGCGAGATATCGTGAGTACGGACCTTCGGGCTCTTCCGTGTTGTCGATACCGAAGCCAAGCCGCCAGGTGATGCCTTGAACACTATTGGTGACGCTGGACATAATGAAAACAAAACAAGGTTCAGCGATCGCTGTTCTATACGCCGGTATCGACGTCATAGTAGATATAGCAGAGGAATAGAGGTCTAGGCTCGTCGCGTCTCGCTCCGGTCCGGGAACATAGGCAAGAGAAGAGCGAGAGAGATGCAAAGCACAAGAAAGGCAGTAGGCGACGTACAAATCGGGCGGGGCGAAGGTGCTATTTTTCAGCTTCATGCTCTATTGTTGAACGATGACGCATTGATGAGAGCTCGAAGCCAAGAACAAGGGTATAAACGCACCTTGATATCGTTATCCATCGTCGAGTAATCACTCGACTGACCACCGACGGTGCCGCAGTATTGTTGCTGCACGCTCTTCTGCCCACCGACGACCACGGTCTTCGAGCCTTCCTGTTTGGACATCGTGACCTGAAAGCGATTCGTTAATTTGACTTTCTCATGACGCCACTGATCCAGATGCAGAACTCCACCACCACCACCCTGCAGAACGGAAGCACGAGCGGGAGAACTCACACTAAATAGCGAACACGAGCTCGCGCATCTACATCACCCGAGCAAACCCATCAGCCGACTTGTCCAAATGAAGCCCTAAGGCGGAAAAACTTCAAGGGAGCATGCACCTTCCGTTTGAGACGATCACTACATTTTTCGGATCGAACAGCGCTTCCGTGGGTGGATCTATGTCGAAGGGCTGGCATTCCTGACCCAGCCTGCGAACAAGGGGAAAGTGATGTCAGAGATCCAGAACAAGAACACATAGAACCCCAAAAACAGAACTCTATCGACATCCCCACACGCTATGACGTAGGTCTGCATTGCGGAAGGCGAGGAAACGCCCCTCGCTGCATCGCGCTCCCTACCCATCTCGAGCAAAGCGCCATGATAATACTCACCTCTGGCTGAAGGCGTCTTGATGGCCATTGATAACAGTCGTCACTGGGGGCTGAAGCCAGTCGTAATCTTCGGGGAAGTCCGTCCCATTGGCGAAGCGCCAGTTGACCGAGTTGTACAGCGTCACCTCGTCCGGGTCATTGCCGTCGGCGATGGCCTTGACGATCAACTGCGCAAGAGGCCCCGCCCGCGCTTTGGTGTCGAGGCCGGCTTGTGGGACGGATGTCGACTTAGGGCCAACAATCTGATAGGTTGTAAGTTGGTGGTGATAGTCAGGATAGCAAACGGAAGTGAAAACGTACTATACGGTGCAACCACTGGGAATTCACGTTTGAGTCTCGTCAGATGAAGTCATAATGGGCGAGACTCACATGGGCAGCGCAGATAAAGCCTAAAAAAGATTTATTAAGCAGACGCCGGATAACGAAATGTGTCGATGTTCTCACCTCCTCCATTATTGGTCTATCAAAGATACGTAAGAATTTCAGAAGCCAGCATAAGCAACATATATGCATACCACATCGACAATCAGTTGAGTCGCACCCGAGCTCTTCAAGTTCTGCAACCCTGTCAGCATATTTCGCAAGAACGTATCGAAACTGGCATCGGAAAAGCTCCCCAAGGCCAGCACGCCCGTCGTATTTCCTGGAAGAATATAGAACTGCGCAACGCTGCTGCTGCCAGGAAGCGGGGTGCCCGACGGGATAAGCGCCGGGGGAAGCGCAACGTCAGCAGGCTGGGTAACGTCGAGGAGAACATTGATGGGATTCTTGCGAGCAACTTGGGCTATAACTTTGACAGGCTGTTGTTGGAACTTTGCGAGTGGTCGGTCAGGACTGAAGGAGTCATCTGCAGCAGTCTGAGGCGCTGCGTTTGCGTACAGGTCGACTCCGTTTGTGCCGGCAACAGCAACACAATTCTTGGCGCGGAAGGAGGCGCTGTCTGTGAAGTTCTTGCTAGCAGTTCCGAATTGAGAACGATATGGGATCTATAGGTGGGATTTGCTCTTTTTCTTTTCTTCTCTTTGTTGAGCACACTCACGGTAACTGTGTCGATCGTCGTGCTATTGACTCGTTGGATGGTCAGAATCACCTGGTCGATCAATGGCAGCGACTGCTGCGCAAAGTTGCCGAACACATAGTTCCATCCCGAGGACGCGCGCTGATAGCTAGAGAAAAATCTGCAGCCGCACGGAATGGGCGATTCCGCCTCGTCAGATTCCAATTTACATAAAACTGACAATTGCGACAGGCCTCGGAGCAGAATTCACTCACGCGTTTTGTCGTGTTCCGAAGCCCTGGAAACTGCCTGTGATCGCGGCGTTAGCATTCACGGCAACGAAGGGATCTTGGCCGTTGATCTTCAGGACTTTCGCACCCGAGAGCTAGAGAAGAAGTCTCAGCCTCAGCCTAGACGCAAGTCAAAAGAATCAATTTCCAAACTAACCGATTTCAAGTTGCCTTTCAGTGCGCCCGGTAACGCATCCTGCCAGAATGAGATTTCAGATCCAAACGCGGCGGTCGCGACGTCGAAAGCCTCTGGCGCAATGTGAACAGCCTGTTGTCCGTTTGAATCCGTCAACAGCACGAGAGGAGTCGGAAGGAACGTCAAGAAGAGAGCTGGATGCGCACGCGTAAGACAAGAAGGAGAGCACACGGGAGTGAGCATGCGTACAGTCGTAGCAGCTGTTGATGTACACGCAGTGGCCGTCGTTGAGCCTCTTCAAAGTCCTGGAAAGGTCGATGTGGAGGTCGAGATCGTTGAAGTAGGGTTGCTGGCTGATCCGCGCCAGATCGACCAGGAGGTCTTCATGCACGTACTGGGTGAATGGCTCGGGCGCCCTGATCTGGTAATTGACTGAGGTATGGAGCGCTAACGTCTTGTTGACTACTTCGATGATCTTCGCGCCATTGAACATCAGAGGATCCCCGCGCGTTACTATCCATACAAGGCCGATGACGACGAGGAAAGGACGTACGTTAGACTTGACCGCCGGGTCTACCTTGAACGAAGTAAAGCACGCTCTCACGTCCGACGGTGCAACCCACTTTTGTCCACCAATAACTGCGCACGGATCCGCCTTCGCCGCAGCTACAACGAGCCAACACGCTAGAGCGACAGCTTTGACGGATATCATCGCGTGCGGAGTGTGTTCAACAAACACGGAGCAGGAAGAGAACCTGGTCCTGTGAGCGCAGAAATATGCATTCTAGGGGGCGAGAAGCTGCTTTATATGCGGGCTCTTGCCCTCCGGACGCGTTCCTGACGGCATCGGGGGCTAAGGACGATACTGATGGAATGGCATGTGGTCGCAAGGGTGAGAGAGAAGCAGGCAGCCAAGAACTATATCAAATGTCCGTGATGCCCGTCCTCGAACGGCTCGGTGGAGGCTCTTGATCCTCATATGCCATCTCAATCAGTGAAAGGGTAAATACGGGTGCAGTGCCTCTCTCTGACCGTCTCTGCCTGCTCTGTGAGAACCCAGAAATTCTAAGCTAAGCAGCTGTGTCGACGGCCTACATAAGTCGTCAAATCCAATCCAACTATCCATTTCCGATGGACCAGCCGCTAAAAGGCCATTCAAATGTCCATTTTATATATTGATAGCACCGTCAAACACGGCCGGGATGTTGTCCAAGACTACGCAGCATCTTGGAGTCTGGTGAAGCAAAAGAAAACATGAGATGCATGTGCCACGCGCGCGACCCGCACTTGTCGTGCCTTTGTGAACACTCAAATCATACAGATCTTCGGAGTCGGAGACGAGGAACTCGCTGGGACTCGACGGCAGCTCACATGGAGGCCCCAGGAGTGCCCCAGGGCCAGGTCGCTAGGTCATCCGTTTATCTCCGTCTATTTTAAAGTGCGTCTCCCGGAAGTATTGGCATTTTGATAGTTTCATTTCATTACCACCATACTAGATCCAATTGAGGCGATGTCCAGCAAGACCAAAGTCGTCCTTGTCACAGGCTGCTCGGAAGGCGGCATTGGCTTCTCCCTGTGAGTCCTTCTCTGGTGCTTGACCATTTGATGGGTAGGGAGGCACTTGAACGGGCGCGCGTACGTGTACAGGTGCGAGCAATTCGCGGAGCAAGGATGCAAGGTGTACGCAACAGCGCGAAACATCGAGAAGATGCAAGGGTTCACACATGCTGGGATCGAGAAATTGACATTGGATGTGAAGAATGATGAAGATGTGAAGCGTGTGGTGGAGGATGTCATCGACAGGGAGGGCAGCATCGACATTCTCGTAAACAATGCGGGGGTAGGATGTTTTGGTGCGTCAAGTCATCTTTATCGAATTGAATCCCCAAGGACGACATGCGAGGACATTCAATACAGGCCCCGTCCTCGAAATCCCACTCGATCAAATCAGAGACGTCTTCGAAGCGAACACGTTCTCTATCTTGCGTGTCTCCCGCGTCGTCGTTCCTCACATGGCTGCCCGCAAGCAGGGACTTATCGTGAACATAGGATCCGTTGTTGGAGAGATGTATGTCCCTCCCTCTATCAATTCGAACTCATCTATGACCTTGACACCATCCACTTAGCCCGACACCCTGGGCGGGCATCTATGCGTCGTCAAAGGCAGCCACGCACGCCATTACACAGGTCCTTGCGATGGAATGTGCCCCTCTCGGCGTGGACGTCACACTTGTGGCTCCAGGCGGCGTACGGTCTAACATCTCGAGCAGTGCCTCCCCGACTTTCACCCTCCCTCCTGACACGCTCTATGCCAAATTTCTCGACAACATCATCGCGCGCATGTGGGCGAGCCAGAGCCCTCAATCCATGCCCACTCCGGTATTCGCGAGGGAGGTCGTTGCAAAGGTCCTACAATCGAAACCGCCTTTCTACGTAACGTTGGGACACAACTCGACAATCTTCAAGGTATTCAAGTGGTTGCCGAGGACTTGGGTCATGGGGTACTTGTGGAAGCTGTTCAGTTCTCCGAAGGCTGGCGCAAAGTAAGTGCTACGGTGACATTTATGTGAATCTGATTGTTGTTTGTAACTCGTACGTATGTGTCCTTTCGCCATTGCTTTTGCTCAGGCTCACTAGGTTGCTAGTTTTGTTCGAGGCAGTACTAACCTCCATGAAACACGCCTTTCAATCATATTGCCTGCTCACGGCATTGAGACAAGAATTACTCCATCCTTTGTAATAAACCTTGGAAAGAGAGATCCGATGTTCGTATGACAAGCCTCCAAACTCCAAGTATGGCCCATTCCTCCTTGAGACTCTTTAGTTCACGCGAAGCATTCGCCTGACCGTCGCAGTCATGGGGATCGTCGGCGTGCGAGAACCATTAAACTTCGGTCTACGCTGCGTGCATAGCGCGGGCCCTTTGCAATCCATATATCAAGCTTGTAAACTCTACACCGTGATGTTGGTAGCGTTTGGCCGTGAATATTGTAGCTCTATCGTGTAGCCAGGTTCGGAAGGGTTCGGAGCGCTAGCGGAGATTCGATCAGCCTCGTCGATCTGGTCATGATTTCAATCTTGAGATACGTAACTAACAGGGCTTTCTACGGAGCCACCCCAGGCCACTCTGATACCTGAAGATCCTGGGCTCTTCCACGTTGCAATCCATGGCTTGACTAGGGCTACTTTCACGATTCATAGTATCAACACAGTATCATAACCGACATACAGATAGCCTAATCAACAGGCCCCTATGCATCGATTCTCCGCTCGCTCATGTGTGGACTTCCAAAGTAGCAAGCTCTGTGGGATTACAGGTATGGGACCTCCTTTGACGTGGTAGCAGCGTTGACCGCGAGTCATCAGGCGCTCAGAAGATTATCGATACCATCAACAGTCGCACCTTTGTATCTAGGCTTGTGCTTGGGTATAATCTCTTGCAAGATGACGGATGCGAAGCGCTCTTTGATTTCCTCTGCACGGAAGAAGGTCAAAGACATGGCATAGTTGAGATCAGTTTGAATGGAAATGGGATTGGCCCTAGAGGTCTTCTGGCAATCTGCAGATATCTGAACGGGAACACTGTTCTTCAAGAGCTATTTCTACAAAATGTGTGTAAACTCGCCGCTATCGCATTTAGCTCAATAGCTTATTGGGAATATGGTTCTCAGAATTGCCTGGCGCTCGACCAGACAACTGTTTCCACATTTGCCGAGGCTCTCAATAATTCTCTTCTATCCAAACTTGCCCTCTCCACTAATACTCAACTCGCCGACGCGTTCCTATCTCTATTTTTGTCATCCTTAGACACACCTCATCTTCAAGTTCTTCATCTCTCTGCGATTGGCCTCACACCTCTTTCCACACCTGTCATCATCGAATACCTCTCTTGCCGTCGATCACGCTATCTGAACCATCTCAATCTCAATGGAAATTATCTGGGATTTTCCTCAGTTCTAGCAATCATCGAAGCTGTAGAGAAGCATAATCATAGCCTTGCATTCCTCGAGATGTTCGCCAACTGTTTCATCGACGGAGAACTCGGTATCATTCTCGGGCAACATCAGGACACCGAACCAGCTACACAAGGCGCGACGGGCGATGAGCGGACAAGCATCGCAGACTGGCAGCAAAGTCATCGGCAATTGAACAATATTTTGACGCGTAATAAAATGTCCGCGACGGACACTATGCGCGAAGCGGTCGCGTTGTTGAAACCAGCACGCAGCCTCTTGCTCCAGTCCGGGAGCCGAGGTGACGTCCATGGATTCGCGCAGGCTCTCTCTCCCTATCTTCCTATCGAATTGCAACTTTATGTCCTTTCGTTCCTTGCTCCTCGACTTTCAGACGCGCAACGTCTCCGTATCTATCAATACGCGTCAGACCCGGGTACCCTTCCTCCAGATCCACGTCAGCTTCCCAGACTTTCGCGCAATACTCCCTCCAAGAGCAAATCGAGTTCTCTACTTCTGCCCAACTTGAACAACACGAGCGAAATTGGTTCAAAGAGTAAAGCTGAGGAGAGGTGGAGGTATCTGCGCATCGTGGATTGTGTATCTAAAGATCCCTCGTGATCTGCAGTTTGGGCGTGATCGCATGAAGAATTTGTTTATATGATCGTACGTTTATACTTTCAGTTTCGGGCTGCGCAAGACACGACTGTCTGCCACCTGCCGGCACGCTCGACACTAGACATCGCCCTAGATCTGTGTACAATCGAGCCATGCCGACACGATTTTCGGTTTTTATTCCGGCCCTTGCTGTCCTCGCTTATAGGTTGATGATCTGAATGGCGCGCTCACGAGGTCTGCCGATAGGAAAGCCGAATCTGCTTCTCCCTGCTGATGCTCCCATGCCCGGCTCTTCGACAACCATTATAAGCCGTCGACCATATGGCCTATTCTCACACGCACATCGTATCGCCTCACACCCGTGAGTTTAGTTATGCCAGAGTTCACTCCCTCCAAACCAGCACGCGTACCATACGTATTTCCACCTCCTGGGACCAACCAGGTAGCTACTGACACTCTTAACCTCCAATTTCCATGGAATGGCTGATGGTTCATTGTTTGTCCTTGAAGGTGGCAGACAAGATCCGTGAACGCAGACGCAACGGGGAGCTCATCGACCTGGATGCCGTTCTGTTCGCATCCTGTTCATGTGGTTTTCCCTCGGCTATCCTGATAGCTGACTGAGCTTACAGGTTGAACAGTGAGCCTGTAGCATCAGGCTGGAATGGCTTGGGGGAAGCCCTCAGGCTGAACACTACTTTGGCACCCCAGCTCGTGGAACTCCTGGTCAGTTCCCCGTCCGATCGATTTGACCAATGGAAGTCACTCATTTGCTTCTGTAGATCCTTCGTGTATCAGCACTCAACGGTTCAGCGTATGTCTGGTGCGTATAAAAATCGAAAAATGGATCAGTATGAGCAGCTCCTGAAAAGCCTGGCACAGGCGACAGCATGAAGACATTGGGCGCAAGGTCGGCCTACCTGCGAGCACCATCCGTGTTGTTCGCACGGAAGACGCATTTGCCTTTGCCTCTACGGGCTCTGTTGGGATAACTATTCCTCCAGTTTACGCCGCTGCCCTTGACTACGCGGACCATATGACCCGCTCGATCCTGGTTCCACAGCCTGTTTTCGCGCGCTTCCGCGGCCTTCTGGAGAACGACAGACAGATCGTCGAAGCTACGACTGTCGTTGGAGGGTACAATCTTACTACCAGAGTGATGAGGGCGCTGGATGTCGCAGGGATGGCGGAAGAAGAGGTACCGATACCTACTGCTGAAGATTGAGGAGAAGCAAAGTCATATAGACTTAAGGCTCGCATGCGGAGTGTATATGATCAGCCACAATCATTGCCGCAAATCGTGTAATATTACAAGTTCTCTTACTGCCTGTCTCACAAACCTCGCATGTCAGATTTCCTGAATGGCATTTTCAATAAGACGATGGATGTTTAAGTAGAGTCTGCAGAACGAGTTCAGTGTCAATGATATGGGAAGGTGATAATTAGAAGACTTACCCCTCCGTCAATCAACACAGTTTCCCCTGAGCACCCACTTGTGAGACAATTTTATTAGCAACATTCGAAGATGCGGCTGACCATTGATAAACCAGTTTGCGATAAGCATCAATGCCAAAGAACCCATGTCTCTCCTTGTACCATTTGGTAGAGTGGGAGTCTCAAACGACGGTGGGTAATTTTCACCGTGCGATTCACCGATAGCGTCGATTGTGCCGGGGGCTGACATCTTATAGAAGATCCTCGCGCTAAAGTTCAAAGATTAAGAAGAATATTTTCCGAACTTACCTCAGTGATGAAGAAACCTAGAAGATAAATGAAAATTTTGTGACCTCATCTAGCGGTATAAAGACTTTACTTACCAGGCGCTATGCCATTCACACGGATGCCGAGAGGAAGTAGCTCGTGGGCAAGCGTTGATGTAGCATGTCCGATAGCAGACTTAGACAATAGATAAGGAAAGGAAAATCCACTGGTAGCAGGATCCTGTGGAAGATTGAATTGATTGAGTGTTCCGAATGTAAAAGTACGACGATACCTTCGTCCACCCATTCATGCTGCTTGTCATGATAATTTGAGGCACGAACTTTTTAGCAAGCTCGCCGTTATTTTTCCACTTTTCGAGCAGCGGAAGGAACGCAAATGTGAGCCAATACGGCCCAACGGCATTTGTGTTGAGTGTAACATCAAAGTCCTCTTGTTTTATGGGATCGAAGTAGGATTTCACAAACGCTTCTGCGGTAGCGGCTTGAGGTCTAGTGAATTTTCCTCCATTGATGCCGGCATTGTTGAAAAATACGGTGATGCCCTGCTGTTCGCGCTTGCCTATTTCCTCTGCGAGGCGTGTTGCCTCTGACTATGAAAATGAATGAGTAAATTTTGACCTCTACATGTATCATCGAGCCCCACCTTGAATCGAACGTCACCCTCAATACTATGGATTTTGCCTCGTCCGGGAAGCTTTGCTGCAGCGTCGTTGTATACCTTTGCAACTCTAACGTGAATAACGTCAGAAACTTGCTTTCTGACGCATGTTTTCGATGTTACTTTTCGAGATCCTCCTGCTTTGGTCCTATGATGTACACTGTAGCGCCATTCGCGATCAAAGTCGAAGTTATCATCAAACCGATACCCTGTAATTCATTTCAATAGAGCATGCACAGCGAAAATCAGCATGATTCATTGCTTTGTAGCTCGTATTGAACTCGGCGCACCGTTCCCCCTCCAGTGACGACGGCCACAACACCACGTAAATCGAAGAGGCTGCTTGCAGAGAGGCTTTGAAGAACAGCATCGGCCATGGCGTCGAACTCGAGAGTGAGATGATCTGCATGGACGTTGGCACTATATATCGCACTGTGCTGATGACGTCGTGCGAATCCTCCTTCTCACGCATCCACCTGGGCCCGATTCCTGTCAAGCTCTTCGGGTTCTTGGCCGCTTCTGGGGCTTACCAGAACGTCCCGAACATAGCCTGCCAGTACCCCAAGGCAGACGTAAGTACTAGCAACTGACCTCTCAGACGGAGACGGGTGGGTTCCAGTCTCGCTTCTCAACGTCGATGTATCAGTTCAATATCGACATGAGCGCCAAGCATCCAAAGTTTCCTCCTTGAGCACAGTCGAGGCATCAAAAGATGCTTCCAAACTGCACTGAGCTAGCCAAGGGCAGCCATCCCTAGATCCGCTGTCTTAAGGATAAGCTACGCATCCAGGGCTATACCGTTCACATTGATTCGAAGTGTGTGTTTCATGGCATGCTAGACCATTGAGGCGCTTATGCATATTGGGGACTCTCATGAAGATCGTGATTCAGACTCACCTTGTCGGTATAGGCGACCCCATAGACGTTGTACGTTTGATACGAAACAGCTATTTGCGCCGCATAGATTCAAAGTGCTCTTGCCTTAGAAGAGTTCTCCACTAGCGACGTTCTCGACATCCTGCCCGGCGATGATGCCTGGCAACTTCGACCAGACTGCTCGCCGTGTTGAAAGGCTGGGTCATCTTTACCAATGAGATCATGTTATTCGCCTGTGGATGCGAAGCATGGATTGTTCAGCGCCGAACTGCGAGGCAACAAAGAGAGAAACGTACAGAGGTTACTGTTGGGTGATATTGCGTTGCACAGCGTAATTGCTTAATGACGCGATCGACGATCACGCACCAAGAGTTGCAAAAGCATATGTGACAATGATAATTAAAGCTTTCGTCACTTCTTCTCGATACTTCCCTTCGAGTACCGGGTAGTGATACAGTATTTGTCTTCTGCAGTCTACTTGACGCATTTATACTCTACTTGCAGTCCGGGAAACCGAGGCTACCCCAGCCGGTCCAGTTGGGGTGGCAAACGCGGAAGTGGTGCGATTTATCAATCGCTTTGAGTTCCTCGATCTCGTTGTCAGTGAGGTCGATGATCGTCTTGTTAGCTACATGAAGAGTCAGAGAAATACACCGATTCACAACATGCGCATCTACATACCGATGATGCGCGCGGGTGTAACAGATTTGGCAAGGACTGTGGGGAAGGAATATAACTTAATTTCGAAATATAAATTACGCGTCATGGAAGGGCGTACCGTTGACATTGGGGGTGTTGGCCTGGAAGGAAACGAGGACATTCGCTGACGATACACCATGCTTTTCGGCAATCCTCGTGACGACCTCGTTGGCCAGAAGGGGAGAATTGTCTGAGCCAAGAGGAGAGTAGGCCGTGATCACTATGCCTTTTGCAGCACAGGCTTCGAGGACATCCTCCTGAAGACACGAACTGTGTAAAAAAAACAGTGAGTGTTTTTTTTTTACTTCGCAAAAACGACTACTCACGGGTGACGCTCGATCTGGTTCACGGCAGGGACGACCGTGGCCTCTTTAAGAAGCGCATCAAGGAACTCGACGGAGACGTTCGAGACACCTATTGAGGAAGGATTTAACAAGATTGGAAGCCAGAAAAAAAGCCCTGTACATGCCAATGGCCCTCAGTTTTTCAGGGTGCGCCTTGTACAGCTTCTCCATCTCCTTCCAGGTGTTGAGCCAGTTGATGGACTTCTCGGGTTTGCCCTCAACGGTCATTGGCGCCGGCCAATGCATGAGCCCTGCGTTGCGTGGGGAAATAAATCGCTGTTCAAAATGAAAGAACCAAGTAACGCACAAAGGTCCAAGTAATCCGTGCCGAGCTTCTTCAGCGACACATCGAGTGCTTCAGCGGCGCGGAGGTGGTCGGGATTATCGAGCTTTGTGGTGAGGAAGAAGCTGGAGCGAGGCACACCCGAAGCCTTGATCCCTTGGCCGACTTCGGCCTCATTGCCTGCGTCGGTGTCAGTCAGTGCGTCGAACTAGAGTCAAGTCCACCTACCGTAGGCGGCGGCAGTGTCGATATGCGTATAGCCGTTCTTCAACGCGTGCTCGACGGCAACCTCGACAGCTCCCGGCTGGGACTTCCAAGTTCCTGCCAATGATTGTACCGTCAGCACTGCATCTCGCAGCAATATACATGTAATGTACTAACCAAGACCGAGAGTGGGCATCTCGGCTCCGGTGTTCAGTTTGGTTACTTTGGATGCAGGCATGGCTTGATGTCGAGTTGGAGAGATAAGGCGCGAGGTACTTTAGAAATAGTGGGCCGACAGGCTACGAACGAGTGGCTTATATACCCAGCGGACCGCTCCAAGGAATCTGTTCATGTGCGGCATCGATGCTCGCGATAATAATATCCGGATTCCGTAGATCCCACCTCTGTTCGGGAGTCGGCATCTGGGTTTACAGGCAATATTGGCTCCAAAAAGGAAGAATTTGTTCACATTTTGGGGACGCGATAGCAGAATTTGGGTAGATTACTGTGTCGTGGCGGGGAGAGCATGAAAAACATGGAAACTTCCAAGGAGAACGCGGTCCGTGAGGGTCCGTGGTCATGTCGGGATCATCCACTTCGATGCTTATCCGGAGAATTCCGGAACTCCCACGGCCGTCACTGAACTCGTCGCCGACTTTCAACGTTTTCTACTGAAATCCAACGTTCGGCGACAATACGAGGCATACAACATGCTGTATTCACAACAGCCTCATACTTACTCCTATCCTGTGTCAAAGGTCACTAGAATGGATATTATAGTGCATGTTCAGGAATCCGCCCGTCCTGAACCTTCCGTCCCCAGCCCGGTGTTCTATACATCCACACGCTCACACTGCTCGCCACCAAAATCAACAAAACGAAGATCACCTGCATTTCTTTTGCCCACATTGCAACCATCGCCTGGATCCCGCCCATCTTGTAGTCTGCTCTTCGCCCTCTAGCCAACCTTCTCATCATCACAACATACCAAGCCATCCCTAGTCCCGCGCCAATCAATTTTGGAAGCGGGAAGATTCCAAGAGAGGTAAAGATGCGGCTCAGCGCATGGACGATAGGCGTATTAGGATAAGATAGGTCGGGCAGCGATGGGACGATACTCTCATAGAGTTGATGGGAAACCGGGCCGCCAGCGCCACTTGGCTGATCAAGGTAGGAGGACAGAACGCGAGGTAAGTCAGGGCGAAGAACGCTTCCCCTTCCAATACCCAGTATGTCTGCATGCCCTTGGAGCAAGACTTCGTTCATGATCTCAGGAGATCGAAGTCCACCTGTGAGTAAGATGAGGGGAAGCGTGGATGCGGAGGGGCCGAGGTTTTGGACAGCAGTGCGCGCCCGACGAGCAAACCGGGAAAAGAGTGCTTGACCAGACGTGGCCATAAATTCTGTTAGACACCGAGTTGATGTTGGGCGTCGCTTGCCGAGATCGTGGAATGCGTACCTGGGTTCTCATAATCACCACCGCTGATCTCAATGAAGTCCACCATTCCCCAACTGGCGATTTCTGCGACGTGACCCACAGCACGCCCTTCGGTCCCCAGGCCAACCTGTCCGTTCGCTGATGATGAGCCTGCATCGATGTAATCGGCAGAGTTGATCTTGACACCAAGGACAAAGTGTGACGGGACAACGGCTCGAATAGCAGCTGTGATGCGGTGAAGCAGGTGAAGTGGATTTGTTTCCGCTGAATATTCGTCCCTGCGAATGTTGCTCTGCATCGGCAAGTCAACGAATGTACTTGCTAAAAACAACGTTGTGCATACCTTAAACGAGATGAACTGTGCGATCAAATCTATATCCTTGAATTACGATCAACCCTCTGCAAAGGATACGCACAAGACGAACTCACACCCATGTGATGCATGCAGTTCTATACCGTTGAAACCACTTTCTAGCGCGACCCTGGCGCCTCTAACAAAGCCGTCTATGACCTCTTCGATATCGCTCGCCGTCATCGCTTGAGGGGTTTGGAAAGCGGCACGCAGAATGAGCCGAGAAAACCATCCATATTTCGCATTTACGTGTGATGACGATCGGCTCGGTTGGCCGAGAGCGAGCGGACTCGGTGCAAGTGCTGGTACGAATGGTGGGCGACCCCCAAGTATGGTAGGAGATTGACGGCCTGCATGCGAGAGCTGCATGATAGCCAGCGGACCTCCGAGGTCATCTGAAGATTTCGCCTGAGCGTCACCACGTATCGACGCGGCCAATTGTTGAAACGGTCGCAAACTATCCGCTGAGAGCGTGCGCGGGATGACCATATCGCGACCCAGCGTCAAATGTTGCCCAGAAACCTGCACGTTCCCCGAAATAACCATCCCCCACCCACCCTTCGCCCACGTCGAGTACAAAGCGCAATGCAACGCATTAGGAGGGCCACCGAAGATGGCCGCGAGGTGCTCGTACATGGCAACCTTTACCAAACGGTTCTTCAGCGTAGCGCCAGACGGTAAAGTGACAGGCGTGAAAATCTGCGAGCGGCCATGGCCTGAGATTGATGGAGAATCATTGTTGTATTGGACTGGCCGGCGTGTAAGTCCATACATCATCGGAGAAGTAGAGACGACATACGCTGGCTATCGGCCATACCGCTTTTGTCAACAGGAGAGCTGAGCACTGACCTACTTAGTCTTCGTCGTGTGGATTGTGTGAATGATACATCAGCGCTTCAGCCGTATGTATATTTGGCACCCTTCCCGAGCGGGTCGGGGCAGGTGCGAATAAGTGTGAATCGGTGCAGAATTGCGAATTGATCAAAGTCCCAGAAAGGAAGTTGGCTGTCCTACAGCTGTCCTACGTGCCGACCAACAAGGACGAGCGCTCAAGCGCTCAAGCGCTCCTGTGTCTGCTATCGTGCACCATAGTGTGCACTCCGAGGTAGTCTATCGACCAACGATAAGTGCACAGAGTTTCCTTCACCGCTAACTCAACCGCCCAAACGTCAAATGCATCAGTTACGCCGATCCTTATCATCAGCAGATATTCGAATCGAGAGGTTCCTCGCTTGAACCTCGCCGAGTCGCTCTAGCTCCATCACTTCGTACAGTGTTGACGAGGTTTTCTCAGAGCATCTTCTTTCTGCTACAGCACACAGTGCTATTTTTAAAAACAGTCGAAATGAGGCACCGCCTTTGATTATGATAACTACTAATTAGAAACCTCGGCAGTGCAAAATGTCATCAATTTACACTGCGTGCGTCTGTTTACCTCAATTTTCGTCTTTGCAGGGCGTCTTGCTTTCTGTAACCAGATGAAACACAGGATTGCGCAGTTGCAAAGAACGTATCGAACCCATCGACCCATCTACCGCCCCTATGGGCCCGGTATGTTGGCGGGCTCATACGCTCACCACGTTAAAAGGGTGCGACCTCACTCATTCCTTAATTCAACTTTCACGACAATCTTCTCGCATAATCACGACCTCTACCAGACATGTCTAATATCACGAGTAGCATCGGTTCGCTGACTGGAGGTTTGCCAACAGTCTCGCAAGACATGGCGCCAACAATAATCTTCCTCGTTCTCTACATCCTCACCACCGCCCTCTGTTTCTATCGCCTGACCACACAATACAGGAGGCCCACGCGACTCTTCTTCACCTTCGTCCGCTTCCCCCTCTTCGAGCTGGCTCGGATCGCGACTTTCATCATGCGCGCTCTACTTGCCGAGAACTTCACCAAGGTGCTGAAAGGGCAGGCATCGATCAACAAGAACTTGATCATCGGAGAGCAGATCCTCCTTGGAATTGGTTTCCTCATCCCAGCCTCCGTCTTGGTGAGGTTGGCGGGATTTCATGGTAGTCGATTCGAGGGAGGAGATATACTGGGCGGTCGAAGGCGAGCAACCTGGTTTTTGGAGATCATGCTCATTGTTGCGATGTACGTTCTGTCTCATCTCGGCTAATGTACGAAGAGGCTCATGCCTTGCTTCTCATCCTGCAGCGCTTTCGGTATCATCGCTGGCACGAACTTCTCTGGTGCCCTCACCGACCCATCAAAAGCGAAAGACGTCAAACACGATAGGTAAAGTTCTGCAGTCTGCGCTCAGCCGAGTTGATTCTTACAGTTACCTGCTATAGGGTTATATCATCCGCCATCACACTGGCAGTCCTTGTGATACTTGTGTTCTATTGCATCTCCCTTGCCAGCCGCCCAAATTTCCCCCGCGCCACATCACTTTGGCTTGGTCTAACATCGGCACTACTGGTGAGTAACGTCCTGCGTTTGCGTCGAGATATAGACATCAGTGACTGATCCACGACGACAGATTATCGTACCCGCATATCGCATTCATAATACCCTCAACCCGCCCGCATCAGCGGACTCGGCAGCAAGCAAAGCCGAGTTCTACATTCTTCAGATTACAGTTGAATGGCTTGTGGGAGCGTCGATTCTGGCCGTGAATGTTAAAGAGTGGTGTGGTATTCAGGACACTTCCTATCTCGATCCTGCAGACGTCCAGACCCAAAAAGTGTATTTGATGCAGCCCGTATGATACCCCAGTCCTTAGCACTTTGCATGTCTCAGATGATACCTTTCTCTGTCTTTCCTGTATCATTTTCTCGTGCTTAGCCACCACCACGCATTATAACTTATCCGGCTTTCGTCCGTAATGTAGCAGTGACTATGTCCACGTCAGATATAAAATCAAATTGACTGTATAGGCCAAACAATCATGTTAACTCCTTCGAAGTGTGAAGAAAAAACATCGACGCTTTTGATACAGCTGAGGGCAACCAGAAAGCCCCTCAACATAGCTTCAGGCAATATATATACCCAGACCTTTCGTGCCTAGAAGCCGAGGAGTCTCTAAAAACGTTCGTTGACGCTAAAGTTATGGTAAGATTTGAATAGATGGGTCGTAATTTGGAACTCGGACCTACTTTCGTCTCATATATATCAAAGTGCAGAAGGACTGCCTCAGACGCTCCACTGCGTGAACTTGTTCGAGTGTTTTCCGTCAACCGGCTGTTCGCTTGACCGTGTTGGAGCAGCGCTGATGGTCCAGCTTCTCTTTATAGCGGCCTGGGCATATGAAGGCCAGAAAATGGTAAAGGAATGCCAATTAGAAAAAGGAAGAACAAACCGCTAGTAGTCATCAGGTCAACTTGATATCCACAAATGACGTGTCCTAATACCAAAGGTTCCTGGTTCCTCAGGTCAGATACTCAGCCTTCCAGAGCCTTCCCCACAATCCCACAGGCGTGGGCATTGACATTACTTCTTCAGTGTGAACCTCATCGAGCCCTACGCGTTGGACCAATACTATCCTGTCGACGCGAATCCCATGCATGTCTCTCAGGTCGGCCGCGAGAGGCCAAGAGCTAGCATGTTTGATGCGCTGGCTTCGCCCCCGGTAGTTTTCGACTTTGCCCTGCGCCTCATCCCAGCTTCCTCAAACCGTTCTTCTTGGGTCGAAAAGAGTCCATCACAGATAGCTTCATCCCGTCATCACCCCACCAAAGTGCATCCAGGTGAAGTGATCCTCACGTGATACTTCGGCATAGCGCCGCACTTTAAATGCTGCCTTTATATTGTTGCCGCTGTCTCTTGCCATCTGGATAGCGGTGAGTGTTGCTCTTTCCCGGCACCGTTCTTCAAGCTGAGCAACTACCGTCGATGTTTGGCAGATTCTGTTGCTACTACTGTATTGGATGATCTGGAGGTCGTGTCGAGCCGCCAATCGTAGATTACTTATGGTGTTCTGCGGTACGTTTTGACTTTAGATATTGTCATACCCTATGTCTGCCTTTAGAAGGCTCTACGTTATAACTCACCAATTGATAGTTGTCCATTGTCTTTAACCCCGCTCTCAACAAGGCCGAAGCTTACCCTTTGTATCGTGTGGTTTCTTCTCACCAACCCTGGCTCTCCATCCGACCGACATCACCACCTCCCCATAATGTCCACTCTCCCGCGTGCGAAGTCACCCTTGACCCCTCCCGGATTATCGAGCTTGTTTTTCTCATTTACACGTTCAAAAGCAGAACCACAGCCTCGTGTCAAGTCCTCGATTGAGATATCTCCCCCCGTGGATTTTGATGCGGGCATCAACACATCTGCTGCGTGGACGGAACACCTCGATTCTGATCAGCCGTCGCATTCACTCTCAGACGATGAGCCCGACGATATCGTTGGAGATGATATCGACGGTCGCGCAGCGAGGGTCTTATACAAGTTCGAAGGCAAACCAGAATTCAGGGAGCTCTCGGTGGAGGGTGGGGATCAGATTGAAATTCTCAGGGAACACGTGGGCGATGGTTGGAGTTTGGTCAAGAATGAGCATGATGAGATGGGGTTGCTGCCGCAGACGTATTATACCGTAAAATGTTCTCTTAATATTTCCCATTTACCATATCTCACCCTTCCATCAGTTCACGATCGACTTCATCTCTGCCCCAGAAGCGAGCATCAATTCACACACGAGTCGGCGAGACCCTTCTACCACCTCGTTGACACCACGCGCCTCTCCTAACCGGACACCTATACCCCTCCCCCAACCTGGACCCATTGTTGTGCAAACTACTGGCGAACGTATGATGGCTGCTTTTCCCAGCTTCCGACAAAGTCTTCTTGGCGGCAAGAATCTGAATAGATTCTCGAATTTTGTTACCAGCGGCGCTGAAGCATATGTACTGAAAGGCGATGGAGCACTGGCCGCGATAGACACAACTATTCCTCCGCCTTCGCATCTACAAGAGTCTAGTGATGATGAGGGTGAGGAGGGCGGGACGGACGCGATCTCGATGGGTAAAGCTAGGCTTGGCGAGACAGATCGACACTTCATTGATGCAGGTCCCTCTTGGAAAACCAAAGTGCCGCCATTTCGCGTGCTCGTACACTCTCCATCGAAGCGCGCCTCTACGCTTTCGGGCTCTTACATCATCTACAGTGTCACTTCGCTCTTTCATCTTCCATCATCCGACCTGGATCCTGACCTACCTCCATCGTCACCTACGCGTATCACCGTCCATAGACGATTCTCCCATTTTGTTGTACTCCACACTTCCCTTACGCGTCGGCTTCCTGGCATTGCACTTCCACCTCTTCCAGAGAAACAGTATTCTGGCCGTTTCAACGACGACTTTGTCGAGGCCCGACGAGGCGATCTAGAAAGGTACCTTGGCAAGATCGTCAGACATCCCGTTGCGAGATATGCAGAAATCCTCACGTTCTTCCTGGGCTGTGAGAGCGACATAGTGAGTCGCGCGGCTCCAGTTGTCAACAGAAGCTGATTGCATCTTCGTTCGACCTCCCCAGGAATGGAAAAGACAGCTTCCTCGACATCTCGCTCTTCCACCTGCTGGACCATCCTTCTTTGCCAACGTCTTTCACCCAGCATTCAACTTTGATGCCGATGAAGCTGCCGAAACAATTGACAAGTTCGATGCCCATACGAAGGTGGTAGGCACGAGCGTCCAGAGCTTACGAAACATCTTCGGCCAAGCTCGACAAGCGCGAATAGGTGTGTCTTGATTCGATGAATTCTACATACGCGATGTGACGTATATATCCAACTAGAGATGTCTAAGGCCGAACGCCTGCTTTCTTATTCGCTGCTTTCCCTGATCACTTCAAAGCCCTTGGCATCCCCATCCAATCCAGAGTATGATGACGCCCCATACTTCTATGAGTCGGAAAGCGACTCGGAGTGCGAGCGGAAAGGAAGTGATAGCAAACGCAGAGGTCTGCTCAACGAAGAAGGGGCATGGTGTTGGAAAGAGAATTGTGAAGGTACCTCTCATCAATAACCATATCATGAAGACTGGTCAATTCATCGCATTATAGATTGTCTCAAGCTTACGAAGGCTTTGCAGAAGACGAGCGAGACATTACAGAACGTTGCAGATCTCTATGATGACCATGTGACTAGCCTTTCGAAGAATATTCCAAGCGTCATCAGACTGAATTTTGCTTCAGGCTCGGAGAACACAGCTAGTCACACATGAGGCCTTCAAGGGCGTTGCTCATCCGTCACAGCTATACTCGGTGGGTGCTTTCACCTGTGATCGTAATCAGTGTTCTAAATTTTGCGATAGCCAGTTGTCGATACTCATCGCAATACTCTCTCACGCTACAAAGAAGCTATGCAGCATGATGGGGTTTGTCGCCTCTTTGTCTTTTCTTTTCACGACGACCGACCGCATCCCCCCTTTCCTTGACAGCCCGAGAACGAGGAAGTCGCTGCTCGATGTGAGACCGTACTGAACACGACAATGGCCGAACTAGAGACATACCACACCCAGAAGGTCGAAGACTTTAGTAGCATCGCCAAGGAACACCTTGACAGTGAAATTGAGTTCTATGAGCAGGTACATGAATGGCCTACCATGCCTACTTAGATGATGGAATGTGGCTCTGACCATTATGATATACAGGTCCTTAATCGCCTGCGTACAGCACGCCGTACGTTCGAACCACCAATTTATGACCGGCTATGCGCCTCTCCGCGGCAGCCTTCAATGTACGAGCGTGAGCTATCCAGCCCACGCCAAGTCCCAGAGGCACTTCCTCAGCCGTGCCCTCATGTCTTCGATTCTGCGCCAATGCGTCCAGTTAGCCAAGCATTGCAAGATGGTGTCGGACTACTGATCGGCGGTGCCGCTGCGCATGCTAGCATCCTTGGTCGATTTTGGTAGATATCCCGTTTCTCGGTTTCGCGGTCTGGATGCACTGGACATGTACTAAGTATGGACAGATCTCAATATTGCTGTCCCGTAGTCGTTTCATAGTATTGACTCAGGCTTATCATCAGATATGCTTTGTACTTGCACTCAACGAAATGACAGAATGGTCAGGACACGAATTAAGCTCAGAACCGGAAATCATGTGCATGATCGTATTAAATCGTCACATTGCAATGGAAACCAAACTTCCGTTGCAACAAAAGATGTACAGGGATCAAGCACATCTCGTTTGATTCCATCACCCCAGTGTAACACTAGCAAAGGGATTGATGAAGGAATGAGATGATACTATACCACTGAAGAAAAGCCACCAGTCGTACAGGTGAGCTACAGGAAACATACTTGCAGAGGCCACCAGGTGAACAATATAAGATAGGATACTGCAATAGACCGTCATTGATGTCGGATTCATCGAGCAAGTGACTCACTTACCTTTGGCGAGTGCAAAAAGAGAAAAAATGCAACCCTGGCAAGAACATAGGATATTAGGTGCCCCTAATACAGAAAAATGTGAATGGACTCCCAGATGGTAGCTGTAGCCCAATGGTATGATAGACATTGTGTTCCGGAACGTCCCATCTACCGAACATATAATTTGTGATATTGATGATAAAATACATACCTCAATCTTGCACTGGAATTCTCTAGCTGCTGTCGTCGTCATCGTCATCGCCTTCGGAGTCGCTGATAACCAAAATGTAGGTTTCATGCGTCGTTTCCGGCCAACGATACTTTTGTTGACTTCCACTTTGTGGATATATCAGTTTGGCTGCATGGTTTGGGGGTGGGTGCTCGCCGGGAGTGGTCGATCTTGATTTGGTCTCCTCTATCAAGCTAGGGAATCCAGCACATCCTCAACCCTCTCCACTCCAACACCCTGAACATGAAAGCAAAGGACAAACGCACCGGTTTCGCTCCCTCAACGATGTCAGTATGACATCTTTCTCTTGCCTGGTCTTCGCCGTTTGCAACCGAGCCATCAACTTCTTCGTCTCCTCGATGTGAATTTCGAGCTCCCTCTGACGAGCAGCCAGGTCGGACTTCTCGGGCATCTTTTTGAAACGTTTTGGAGGAGGCGGTCGAATGCTATGTATGGCGTCGTTGATGAAGGAGTCGGCGAGGTCCCGTAGAGCAGCAGGGGTGGCGGCAGCGGTGAGATTTACGACTGTGCTGAAGTTTGTAGATGTGGCTATCGCTGACGATGGCCCAAAGTTTCCTTGTGTTACAGGCTCTAGGAGAGCATTGGGATCAGATACCACATCCGGCTGAAGCTCAGGTCGCCTTTTCCTCTTGCTAAGTAGCACCATGCGACGCAAAGACGCTTCTTTCCCGAGTTCCAGAGAGCTTTCAGATGCTGTGGTTGCGCTAGGTTTCGGCAATGGGGATACGGAGCTAATTCTCGCCTTTGAATTATATATTTCCGCTTTCGCACTGGCGATGCTTTCCTCCGATTCTTTTTGTCGCGCGAGCAGCTGATCCTTAGCAACAGATGTGGCTGGTTCAACAATGGACCCCGTGATATCAGAGGATGAAGGCGTGGGCGACGAAGAGGTTGGGCGAGATGATATCACAGGGATTGAAGGTGTAAGAATTTGATTGACCAGTTTGGGTGGAGTCGGAGGTGCTGATGTGGTGATCGACTCCTTATACTGACAAGGAACATCATGAGTGACATGATCTAAAATGGTATCCGGAGGCGCCGCAGCAGGCGGTGATGCGATTAGATCTGGAAGTGTATTGCGAAGGAGTTTGATAGGAGAAGGACGTTGGGAAGCTGGTGGGCTTGACTCTATGTCCATGTCCTCGTCAGAATCATAAACCGCGCGACGTTGTATGGGAAGAATACTCGGAGGCAGAGGTGGGGGCTCGATCATAGGAGGTACAGTAATGGCAACATCGGAAGAGACCCCCCGAGACACAGCACACGAGTCGACAGCCATGGGCGGACCAAAGCGAGATGTATACAGCGGCGGTGGTGGCGGCAGTGGGAGTAGCGGTGGCACAAAGGTATTAAGCGGCGCAACCAAGGGTATATGATTCTTGCTTGTAGACGGATTGAATCGTTCCGGTGGCACTTCTGGGGACGTCCTAGTGGCTTCTGAAACCAAGACTGGGAGTGGAACAACGGCAGCGGCGGGTGGCCCCTTTACTTTCTTCTTCTTTGATTTCTTTGAACCCTGCGTGACATCTGAGGTTTCCACCACTTCACCCGGTTCCAATTCCTTTGTTGGGGGACGATAAAACCAAACACGAACACCTCCCAGTCCCTCAAGTCCAGCCATGCGACGGCTCTCAAACGCACGATGTGCAGCCTCCTGAGTCTTGAACTCGATCAGCGCCTTCGTATGCGCGAGTTCGATACGGCGTGTAGGAGGGCTGTCTAATGACGCCAACCATTCGCGAATGAACTCGACAGAACGGAATTTGCGTGGTACAGTCTCCATAACAAGTGTACGATCAAGTTCTGGCAACGGGGAAAGATCCTCTGTGGGAAAAGTTCCCCTGGGACACGGAAGTTTATGATCAGGAGGCATGCCAAGGATGCGGTGGTCGAGCGGCGCGTAAGGGATGCGAAAAGGGAGCTTGACTTCAACAAGCGACGTAGTAGGGGGATTCCCCTTAGTGTTGGAAGCTTTTTCGGCCTTGGAATTTGCGCTGGAGATAGAGAGCTGAGGAGAGAATGAAGGCTTCGATGGAAGAGGAAATGGCTTCCTGACAATAGGCTCTTCCTTGGCGGGCTCCGAAAGTGCTTGTTGGGGATTAAGAGATGATGGTACGGGGAATGGCGCAAGCGCGTGAGGGGTGACCACACCAGGACTTATGCTTGCCATAGTAGAGGTGTCTGGCGAATGGTGCGGAAACTGCGATGAGAACAAAGCGCCCCCCATGCTAGGCCAGTCGAGGTTCCCAAAAGCGGTGCTATGAGGCTGGAAAGAAGAAAGTTGGGTTTGGGAAAGCTGGTGAAGCGATTGGTAGTTGGAGCTGAGGGGGGCTGCAACAGTGCCTGAAGGGAAACCGCGAGATCTTGGGGATTGATGAGCACGCTCAGAAAGGGGAGAAAGCTGTCGCTTAGTTCGTGGCTTGTATTCTTGAATCGCGAGCCTTAACGGAGTGGCTTGCGTTTCCCTGTGTGGAGGAGCCTCTAGAATTTGGACCTTTGGATTCTGTTGCATTTCTGCGAGAACAGGCCTTTCATTTCGGGTCTCCTGCCTCGGGTCGGTCTCAGTATTCGCCAGAACCGCGGACGACCTCGTCACCGTTCTTGCCTTCGGTGGTTCGACCGTGCCTAAACCCGCCTGATACCACTTACGCTTCAAGGAAGTTGTGATAGGACGAGTCAATCCTAGCACCGTCAGAATTAGGACATGTCAAAGATACTTGGTTATGCACAAGAGAAGGACTAGAGGATACGTACCCTCTAAGTGAGGTCCCAATCCTTGACCTGGGAGAATAGTCCATGATGAGCGCCTAGAGGATAGAAAAAGACACTGACCAGGCCGGTATCCCATTCGAAGCAAAATATTGTACCCCTTGCCTTCTCTGATCGTTTCGGACAGCTCTTCTGGGGAGTCATCGCTGACGATGATATGCTCATCATCGTTCGTTTCAGAGCTTGGAACCTCGACCATGCGGGCAGAGCCCGGAGGTGAGGGCGATGTTGCCGTGCTCGTCGGCTGAAGCTGCTGGGCAACGAGCCGAGCATCCGCCGATTCGTCATCCGAGTCGTCAATGATAATAGGCGACGTGGACGATCCTAAGCCATATGTGACCATGATAGTATGCGCGAAGGAAGAAAGAATGAGATGCCGGGGCGAAGAGTTTGAGTTTGTGGTATACTGAGGGACCTGGCGGTGACGCTCAACTTTGTCGCCAAAGTGCTTGGTTGTTTGTGATGATTTATACATATTTTAGCTTTGCCGCATGAGCTCGGTTGTGGATAATGCGTTTTCAATGTGTCCTCGCATCCTGAATGCACAATCTACATAGAATCATGGCTTGGTTCGATAGACGTCCCTAAGACAGGAAGAAAAGAGGCATGCGGTGCGAGAATCAGTATGTAACGCATAGTCATGTCAAAAGCTATGCTACACGGGAGATCGCCGTCCGAGAAGGGTGCACAAAAGATAAATTAACGCCATATAAATGCAGGGGAGGTGGGTCGCTCGCAGCCATCGCTCCTGCTAGCAATAAGAACGCTATATTAGATCGTGCTTGCGCTGTAACAGTGAGCAAAGGGCACAGACGCCAAGCTAGACGTCAACACATAATGTGCATTATATGACACTCACTTAGCAGTAACCTACCATGCGGACATAAGCATGAAGCTTCCATGGACAACCGACGATGGACATGGGAAGGGAAAGAGCAAAAGGTGATTGCTCACGAAGCGCCTACACGCAGCCACAGTGCTACTTCGCTTCTGCTGAGTCGCCCTTTCCCCGTTCTATGAGTCCGACACCAACGATGACACCGTCCGCCAGCACGTCCGCAACTTTCCGGCCCTCCTTCGCGTGGTGCTCAGCCCTCTTGATGAACTCGCCTTTGACCACTTTCGCGCGGGCAATCTTGGAGCGAGAAGAGGTCGGTTATGTGTGGAAGTTCACAACGAGCATGGAGCACGTACCTCTTTCGTGTGATGCAAACACTCTAGGTAATCATCTGCTTGTAGTCGGCATTGGCTGGGGCTATCCGTCTGTGCGTAGCACTGGCTCAAGGGTTCATGATCAGCCCAATGTAACCATCGAATTCTGTATAGGTCTCCCCGCACCTTAGAGAACTCCTGCCAGTAAGCGAAACATCGCGAGCGACCTGTGTGGATAGACACGGGCTAGAACACGCGATTCGAAAGCACAGCTGGGCACTGCTAGTACGCACCCCCATGGAAACCAAAGCCTGACTATAACACAGTATATAATGATCAAAACATACCGAAACTGAAAGATTCAGCGAGTCAGCTTACCGCCATCGTGCTTGAGAATGAATGAGTGAGCGTATGTTGGAGCGTGACTACTCGGCGGGCGGTGTCACAGCATGTGACGACCGGTAATGTCGATAGAGAAATTACGTCACGCGCCTCCCTCCTGCCATAATAGCACAGCTGCACAGCGTCCCGAATACTTTCTGATCAGACTTACAGGCCCGCAGCGCGCAAGACAACAAAAAACACGCATGGCAGATCAGGCAGAGCTCGCATTTGTAAAGAACTTTATCAATACACTCGCTTCACAGCCCATTGTGTTCAACGATGATTTCCAACAACCGCCAGAGAACACGCTGAAGAGGGTCCCGGTGCTGCAGGTCTGTACAGCATGTCTGCGGCAGATAGAGCACAGAAGAGGCTGACACGAGGATACGATCAGGTCGAGGTGCCTTCGCCGCCAGAACGGAAGGTTGACTTGGCGGAGTCCGTCGGTAAGCGCCTTCTAGGCCTGATTGCGTACCATATAAGAAGGGTCCTATCGTCTCCACAGGAATCCTCCAAGTGACCTTTAAATCCCTCAAGCCCCCTTTCTCCATCTCCGTCTCTGTATCGCCCGCAGACCCGATCTCCTCTATCAAGACACAGATCGCTGCAGAACCTCGTGCTCCCCCAGCCGACGCCCAACGTCTGCTATTCAAAGGCAAGGCCCTCGCGGACGCCAAATTGCTGAAGGAATATACTATTAAGGACGGAGACATTGTGAACCTAATGGTTAAACCAGGGTTCGAATGGGACCCTTCGAAGGAGTCGCTGAAGGAACCAGCCTCCGAAGGCACGAGCGATGCGCGCCTGAGTCCTAACCCGTCAGGGAAGAAGCGTGGCCACGGACGTATACCCTCTGTTGTCCTCTCTCCAACCCCGTCCTCGCCATCCGACAAGCCTCAAGATATCCCTCTCGTCCTCGACACGGGTATCACGTTGTCCGCTGACATGCCATCCGAAAGCTCGCCGCTTCCCCAGTCGACATATCGCTCCATTATATCTAAGCCAGAGTTCTGGGAGAAGCTCCATTTCTTTCTCAGGTAAGCTTGTATAACCTCCTTCCCATATTGTGAAATTTAGCCTCACTCATTCAATCATTTTTCAATAGCGGGGAATTCCATACTCGCAGCGACGCGTCCACCGCGTTCGAAGACTTCCTAAATGCAAGCAAGGGCGTCCTCACCGTCAGCGAGATTGCCAAAATTCGAGACCATGTCGGCGTTGTGGGCATGGCGGGTACGTGATCGAGCCGCTGGTATAGAGAAGGCGTCGAAGGAAACTGCTTGGGCATGATAGTTGGGACTCGGGGCACCAGGAAGCTTCATTTGTATTGTATATGGGATCGAATCTCGCAATTCAACGTGCTATCACATTTACCTAGTTCGCCCATGTATATTGTTCCGCAGATGCTCAGTGACAGTCCAAAGAATTTGGCACTTATCTTGTATTTTCCTCAGAACGAGCTGTTCTGGGCATTGTGGCAACAACAAAATAATTTAAATATATTAACTATGTCAACATCCAACGTCCAACGTAATACATGATCGCACAAACAATCGTCCCGACCTCACCCTCCCACCTCGACAACTGTACGGTGAGGCTCGCTCAAGAGGCACGCGCTTGATACACGTCGAAGTAGGCAGTGTACTCCTCCGGTGTCATCAACTCCTGGTGCTCCTCTGTCACATGTGAGAATGCTATAGGCTCGCCATTGACTGCCGAACGCAGTCAAATCTACCATCAGTTCACACAAAATAGAAGGGGACAAAGACACCCACCTAGCATGATTGGATCGTCTTCTATGGCTTCTTCGTCGCCTATCCTGCTCACACCCTCGGGCTCCATCGCTGATCCGTTGACGCCGCTGTGACCATTCACACCATTCACAACACCGTTTACACCGTTCGCCGTCTTTGCGATCTTCCTCTCCGCATCACCCTCATCTTCGCGTGATCTGGACCGCTTTCTATATTCGTTCAGCGAGTCAAGATAATCAACATCGGGCTTTCGATCTTCGTCAAAATCATCCGTAGTGAAAGCGAAATCTGCAGACGGCGTGTTCTGTGCGGAGGGCGCTGCAGAATTGGCCAGTGAGGCGTAGTAGTGGTCGTAGTCTGTCCACATGCAGAACCTGTCAGGATTATTCGACAAGACAGATGATGGGAACTCACAGTCCACTTCATGGATCTGCTTCACGTCAGGCTTCACATCTTCGACAGCCATATCCACACTTGGTTGAATGGCACTCAAATTCAGTGAGCCCCCAACTCTTCCGAGCCCCTTCAGACTCTCGTCGAACCCATTCGCTTCATGCCCATTTACCAAGGCCCCATTGACGGCAGACCCTACCTGCAGCGCATTCTCTTTGACTCCCAACGCTGTCAGATCTCCCGTAATGGTACTCTTCAAATGCCACGACGGCATTGCATTCTGTTGTCTCTTCGCAGCTGCCTCGGCATCGCGTTCTCTTCGCACTGTCTCTTCGTCTTTGTCTGTCGAGATGACGATGCCAACCCCTTCGTCCTTTCTCTTCTCTCCGTATGAGCCAGCGACTTTGAGGCCTCGACCTGGCTCGCCGGATCCTTTTTGTGATGCCGCGTCAGAAGCGAGGTTCTTCGAGATGAACTGTACTACATCAAATCTATGGATCAAACAAGTAGTCAGTATCACTCCCAGCAGCATTTTGCTGAAGGATAGAGGGCGATAATTGTACATACGCAGGCAGCACCATTTCCTCGCTCTTCCTCAAACCTTCCCTGATAAACCGCATCTGATAATTAAATCGTTGCATCCTGTCCTGACTCCCACGAACACTCTCAGCATCGTCATTGTCGATAAGTTCAGCGTGGCAAACGTCGCAGATGAAGGCGCCACGCTCAAAGTCCATTAATTTGTCGACCTCTAGTGGCGCAAAGGATTTATGACATCGCGGACAAATATAGCCTTTGTTGTCCAGTTCCTACACAACCCAGGTTGTTTGGTCGGGTCAATACTTAATGAAAGGGTAGGGAAGAGTTCTACATTTCGCAAGCCAGTATCAATACGCCGGCGCATTTCGGAGACACGCCACTTGACAACGTTACAGAAACGCTGAAAGTCAACATAGAAGTATTGTCTGCCGACAGACCGCTGAGCGCCTTCCTTGAGTTCGTTCTGCCGATGACTAGAAAGGGTCGTGGGTGGCATGAAGTATTCCGTTGGGTAATGTCAGTTATTTTTCAAGGTAGGATGGGCGATGCTGACGCACACTTGGACCAATCGGTCGCCCTCTAGTACAGCCATGAGCTTGTTTAGCTCCTTCAACTGCAGCCCCATTCTCCCCGCAAGATCATCGTCCTTGAGCCTGTATGTCACAGCGTAAAGTTCTGCGAAAAGTGAAGGGGCACAGAAAAACGCAGTCGAGCCAGCACGTAAAGCTTCACTCCAATCCTCCAGGAATTGGCATGTCGGAGCGCAGAGAAGAAAACTTACACTTCGTGGCGCGCCAACTGGTCCATAACGACGATGAACTTGGGCTCGTAGAACGCTCTTGATACATATTGGACGAGCAAGCGGAGGGCAGCCTTGTCCTCGTCGGTGATCATTAGGTCAAGTCGGGCAGAAACTGCAGCCGAGGACGAGGACAAGGGATGAAATACAATCGGCGCCGTCATGGCTTGTTTGGCTCATGTTTGGCCGATGCGCCACCCCCGCGCCAACACCGCCCGTTCTTCAAAAAGTCTATCGGTTCCAGGTCTCTTCCCTCTCACATATCCTCCAACACACAATGGACGTCGACGAACTCGATCCCTCTTCTCCCGAGGTCATGTTGGCCTTCTACCGACGCCTATATCCCTTCAAGTCGATTTTCAAATGGCTTAACCACGAACACTCCCCAACGCGTCTCTTTACGAACCGCGAGATCGCGTACACACTCCAATCCGACGTGTATTTGCGCTACAACTCGTTCACCACCGTCGAGGAATTCAAGAAACAGACATGCTCGCTGAATCCGACGCGTTTTGAGATCGGACCCGTGTATACCGCTCGAGTGCGTACGGCCGCTCGAGTCGACTGGATCTCATGTTCTGATCTGTGCGCCCCGAACATCCATCTCAGCCCCGAGATAAGAAGACCATACGACCGAGCGCGTTTCTTCCGCTCCAACGCGAGCTTGTGTTTGATATTGACATGACGGACTACGACTCTATTCGTACATGCTGCTCCGGCGCAGGCATCTGCAAACGCTGCTGGGGTTTTATCGGCGCGGCCGTCCGTGTACTTGACCATGCCATCCGTGACGAATTTGGATACCAGCATTTACTATGGGTGTATTCCGGTCGTCGTGGTATACATTTGTGGGTGTCGGACCGAGAAGCAATGGAATTGACAGACGAGCAGCGGAGAGCTATCGTGGGCCATTTGACGGTAATACAGGGTGGACAAGATATGCATAAGAAGGTGAATGTGAGGGGTAAGAAGGGTGGAGAAAACATCTTGCCGCCCTCTGTGAAGTGAGTTGCCGTTATACTCATTCAATGTGAACTCGGCATTTGACTATGTTCGAAGAGCGGCGCTAGAAACGTTGGTCGACGTATTTGGCGACCTAATACTCGCAGACCAGGACTGCTTCAAAAAGGATGAGGCTTGGGAAGAGCTCCTGGAGCTCATCCCAGACAAGACAGTGGTTGCTGAATTGCGGAGGAAGTGGGATCGAGACGAAAATCGGTCTTCGGAGGACAAGTGGGCCGATCTCAAAGCGAAGGTCTCAGGCTACGACAGGAAAAGTCCAGAGCGGGTATGATCCTTGTACTTTCACTGCCACTTGTTGTACTCAGGAGATATTGTGCATAGGCTGTCATGAAAGCTGCGATGGAAGACATTGTCTTGCAGTACACATATCCACGCCTCGATGCTGAGGTCTCCAAACATCGGAATCACTTGCTCAAAGCGCCGTTCTGCGTCCACCCAAAAACAGGTCGCATATGCGTACCAGTTGATCCCGAACGCATCGACGATTTTGACCCTGGGCGCGTGCCCACCGTCGGGCAACTGTTGCGAGAGCTCGATGCAACCTCAACAGAGTCGAACGGCGAAGAACATTCCGGTATAATGCATTCTTCCTTAGTCAGCGTTGGCATTGACGCAAGGCTGTTTTATTTGTTCTTTAGATTGGGAGAAGACATCTCTGAAGCCTTATGTTGATATGTTCGAAAAACACATTATCGGATTAATGGAGGAAGTGCGAAGAGATAAACGGGAAACTGGTAAGCCCCGTTTGTTCCTTTGCTTGCTCATTGTTGTGTTCTCAAGCGCAGTTCAGACACCTCATGGTAGCTGTCATCTTGATCATCATTAGCCCTCCTAGGACGTCCCGCTGTTGAACCTGTATCACCTACTTGTGCATTTACTAACATTCTCCGTGTCTGGCTGGAATCTTAGCCGCTGTATCTGTGGCTATTGCACCCATGTATCCATTCGTTGACCATCTTTTTCCTCTAATCAGCATGAGACAGGTGATGGTAAAGTTTTTTGATTCTTCTGGTTTGCCCGAAAGGGCGTGCACTTATTCGGCGAGGAGAAATCTGGTCTCTATAGCCTTTTCCTCTCGAAAAACGGGGACATCTCCCCGTGCATGAGCGCTTGAGCGATATTTGCCTCTAAAAACGGTTATTGTAACACTGTTGTAACGCGATTTGAAGTCGACAAGATGGGGCTATATTTAGTTAGATCTTACGCAGCAATCCCTACGTCACCATGTGTCGAGGGGAAGCCTCCTAAAGACTGCCAACCGCGACCATTGGATCATTGGCAGCCTTAGCTTGGTGTAGTCTGTGTCACGAACGGCAGTAGCCTATCCAACATCATCTTTCTGGCCCATAAATCTTGACGCAGTCCTTCCCGGCGTCGATTCTGTCCCCAACAACGAACACTATGTCCTCCACGACGTCATTCCCCACTCCGAGCGGCTCGTTCGCCTCTCTGCCGACGGGAACTTTTAGCGGGCCAGATACCGGCTCACGTAGCACGACCGCCGCGATGCTCTTCGCGTTTCTGATCGTGTTCATAGTGTTGTTGGGGCTGTTCATTGCGGCGGGGGTATTATGGCATCATATTGCGATACGAAGGCGGTCGCGGCAGGCGTGGGTGAGCTATGGGGACGAATCCAAACCAGGGGGCATAAAGAAACCGGAGATCTGGGAGGTATGGGCAGATTACGAGACAGGTGGCGGAATAAGGAACTTAGAGACGCTGCGGGTATGTTTTCGACCACTTCATGATTCATCAAGTTACCCCTTCATATACACAACCGAATCTACTTCACACAGCCACTAGCCGTCGAGGTCGAACGCTCGTATTCATCAAAATTGTCTCCACCGTCCCATCCTGTGCCGAACACGACTCCTTCCTCGGAGTCACCACAGACTCGCAGCTGGTTTCCCACCTCGATGCGCTCGATACCTCCAGCGAAGGACCTCACACCCCCGCCGAGTCCAGTACAAAAGGCCCAAGTATCTTTTCTCATAGCCATGCCGTCACAAACGCGAAGTCAGGGCAAAGCTGCACGCTGGTCGATGACGTCCGATGCGTCCCATTTGGATGATTGGTCGCTCTCTGGAGAATACGCGATCGGCACACATTACACACCGTTTCGCGGCGGGAACGAGGTCTGATCGTGTTCTACATTATTCTTTATCTTACTTTCTCGTCCCGAGCAGTGGAGATTACGACAGCGACGACCATAATGATGGCGATGAGTTGTGTACGAGATTGGTGTTGCATTTTCCTTTTTGTGATGCTTTTGTAAACTTACCTTACACTTGCCCTGCATATTACTGACTACTTATCCCAGTCGAGGCTACGTGCTTGCCTTGATAACATCTGTGTACGATGACCTTGCAGTACTGGCCCGGAGCTTCCCCGCACTTTCAGATGCTTCCCCGCAGTGTCGATTACATCTTGATCACTTACGTGTATTGTCACGTGTACTTGACTTGCCTTACACGTGGGCGGTCACGTCGCGTCCTCGACCGCGCCTGCAAGCCTCATCTTGAAGTAGATTATCTTCACCGCTCGGCAACATTAACAAAAGAACAGGTTTGTTTTTATTGTCATGAAGGAAGGCATGGTTCCGTAGCGCCCAACGTGAAGGATAGAACATCACGTCAAGAAAGTAATCGGATATCAAATACAAAGCCCATTAGAGCAAGTTACAAGATAATACAGGCAAACACAATCCTATTCCATGCCACTTCATATATACTGTTCAAGTCACTCAAGAAGTGCAAGGACCTTGGAAATAACGGTGGTGTCTTTGGCACCTCTGTCATAATCTTCTCTTCCTTCCAACGTCAACTTCAACAGCGCATGCAGATCCTGCAGTCGAGACACGCTCATGATTCAATTGCATTCAGATAATACTGTTCACTCACTTCAGGTAACTCAGCTATATCGCCAACAGGTGTCGACAAAGCCGTCGTGCCATCAACGTAACCGTGCACGCCTACTGGATACAAAGGGCCTGTCGCGTCTTTTGCTAGCCAGAATTGGTCGATTGGAAGGTCGCTGCGTCGCTGTTGAATCCTGAAAGATGACCTTATCAGCGGTGCTCTTTCAATCCCCTCACGTACGCACCTCCACCGGTTTCTGTATGAGCCAGTCGTGGGCACCCGCTCTGGGTCCCTCGCTTTCACAGCCAAGGCTTCCAACGCGCTCCAATCCTCGCTCGAGAGCCGCAGGACCCTCCCATTCGAATCGATAGCAACGTCGGGAGAGAAGAGAGAGAGCGTGAAGCCCTCCGGCTCGACCTTGGTCAGACGCTGGAGGATGAGTATGAGGTTGGAGCGGGACGGTTCATATCCAGATCCAGAAGGGTGGACGTTAGCACGGACATGCCAGCCTTGAGCAGGAGATGTCATAGATGTTGAGCAGGACCGCAAGGTTGGTATGTAAGCTGTCAGATCTGTTGAGAAAGAAAGAATAGATACGGCGGTCGCGAGCGCGAGCAGAAGATAGCCGACGACCTTCAAGGGCGTGAAGGAGGATGTCTTTGGGTATCTGTCGTTGTCTGGGACAGCGAAGTACGTGGCTTTGCTGAAAGAGGTGTCCATGCTTGTCAAGGGGAATCAAAGGGCGATTGCTTGCTTGCTATTACTGCGCCCGAAAAGGATGACTCCACGTCTATCGGGTGCTACCAGTGTGCTAATACCAGGTGCCACCCTGCACTAGCCAAGTAGTCATGCGAATCCCCTGATAGAAGCCTGCACGGCCGTATGTTCTGAACAGGCACGACATGCCCTGTGGATACGTGCTGGCTTGGCAGATGGCATGATCAGGCGTTCACGATGCTGCAACGTTCGATACCAGCGCAGACGATTGCTTTCTCTCGTATCGTTGCTGGGATTGTCCGCAGTCTGCCGCCCACGTGCTTTCGGCGTAACATCCCATATGATTCTCCTCTCCCTTTTCTTGGCAACATTTGACTAGGACAGCCAGACAGTGACCTCTTTTGATATTGTATCGTCTCTACGGCCAAACAGACCGTCTCTTCTGCCCGCTTTGGAGGCCGTGAGGCGCTGCGATGCCGTGATGACTCCACAATGCTGAGGATCGCCACGCTGTACGAACGTTGTTGAAACATATGGCCCTCCATCTTCTCCATCGTATGTCCAGGGTGGTTACAAGTCAGATTGTCACGGCTGAACGCTAGTGCCTCCTTATCAACGATTGCCTGCTACTCCTGCTGGCCTCTGTTTCCATATGATCTATCCGGGCACCTCATGGCAGCTCATGGCGTCCTCTCTTCGCGCCAGGATCCTTGCGCTATAAAACCTTTGCCACGAGATGGTCAGCGCCAGGCTCACTGCTCTCTTTACCTTGGCAATTTCCCCTCCTCTCCCGGTCTCGAAGCTTCAATATGCGTGCTGCCATCGCTTCCCTCGTCCTCGCTGCTCTCAGCGCGTCTGCTGCCCCCAGCCTGACCCTGTCTGTCTCCTCCCCCGATGATGTTGTTGACGTCGACAACCTCAAGGTCAAGACCATCCTGAAGAACACTGGTGACGAGTCCGTCAAGGTTCGCATTGAAATAGTCCTATTCTTCACGAAGAACACGTCTGACCTTCAATTTACAGCTCCTCAAGACTCCCGAGTCTGTTATCTCGACGTACCAGACCAACAGCTTCGCGATTGCCTCTGAGTCCGGTTCCGTCCCTTCCTTCACCGGCGTGAAGGTCAAGTACGCTGCGTCCAAAGTTCTCACGGAGAACAAGGAAGAGTCGTTCGTCGTTCTCGCCCCCGGTCAGACCTTCGAGGTCGAGCATGACCTTGCTGGTGTCTACAACTTCACCAAGGGCGGTGAGGGCAAGTACAGCGTTAGTGCCTCTTTCTTCATCTTCGTCATTCATCGCAACGTAACATACCCTCGAAACATGTAGTTCGATGCCAACAACCGCTTCTTCTACGTCGATGCCGAGAACAAGCTGAAGGTGGTCGAGGCTGAAGCTGCTACCACCGCGAGCATGGTCTCCGGCAAGCTTGCCGTCGTTGGCTCTAAGCCACAGCGCCGCAGCCTCCAAAAGCGCACCGTCACCTTCAATGGGTGCACTTCCTCCCGCCAAACCTCCATCACGACAGCCGCGGGCCACGCCGTGACGTACGCCAGCGATGCCGCTTCCTACCTTGCTGGCATCTCCGCTGCGACCACCCGCTACACCACTTGGTTCGGTGCATACACCGCCACCCGCAAGAACACGGTGCACTCCCACTACGTGAACATCGGCACCGACCCCACCAGCTCCGAATACGACTGCAGCACTTGCACTGATAGCAACGTCTACGCCTACGTGTATCCCGATACCCCTGGTGAGTCTTTTGTTGGTCTTTTCCATCTATATCCGTTTGACATGGACTTGGAATAGCCTATGTCTACCTTTGCGGCGCTTTCTGGGATGCCCCCGCGACCGGCACTGACTCCAAGGCTGGCACCATCGTCCACGAGCAGTCTGTGAGTCACTCTTTCCATCGCCCGTACATCACACTCTCTAAATGATATTCGCAATCTGTAGCACTTCACTGTTAACGCTGGCACTGAGGACTACGAGTACGGTCAAACCGCTTGCAAGAGCCTTGCGACCTCTGACCCCGCTAAGGCCATCGAAAACGCCGAGTACGTCTCCTGCTGCTTATTGTCCCGTGTCCATCACTCACGATTATCTTCAGCACCCACGAGTATTTCGCTGAGAACAACCCCTCGCTCTCATAAGTTATTGGTTCTGGTTCCCTGGGATTGCACACCCTACGGGATATCTATTTATGCACATTTGTTGTCTCTGGATGGATGGATGAAAATTTGGAATAATTTTCTTGGATTTTTATGTCTTGGTTGGACTGTGAAGTTCGCAGAAGACGCATCGTGGCCTCACTGAGTAGTCCACGAAGGTTTGAATGCGTTGAAGGTTGTACTGGGTCCTGCTGGGTCCTTTGGCGAATCTATCCCTGTGAAGATGCCTTGTGAGCACCAATGCCAGATGTCACTGAAGCGAAATAGTTAACAGTACACAAGAGTAGAGGGATCACTTATGACTAGTTTACTAGTACTACGTCCGCTAATGGACGCTTCCCTCCCCACATCGCCACTCGACCATGGCACGTTCACCAACCCGATTGCATACTCCAGCGTACGCTCAAACTCGTGAGGGTCGTCATCGGAACGCCGAACGTGAAGGGCATCTCGTGGTCCAGCCTTCATGTGGAGAGGGGAAGGCATAGCGAGTACGACAGCGACCTGTAAGTGTCTTCGAGGGCTCTGCAGAGCTTGTATTTCAGCACTTTTCTCAACATACTCCGCGTGTTTCTTCGGCCATATGAATTTAGATGCCTGAGCATCCTCTGCTACCATTGAGCGTTCAATCATGACACTGGTGGAAACTGGCTACCAACATCATGTTGCAGTCAATCTAGCACTCTCTTCCTTTATTGCGACTACTTGCTCACTCACCATGATTTGCTCCCAGGCTACATCCGCACTGACAAAAGCCTGCGACCAAATCTCAAACAGCCTCGGCTTCTCCCCAAAGCTAGCCTTCTCCCCGCTTTCATAGCGATCGCGAGTCACAGCCAGAGGTACGAGATTCCTTCCCGTAACCCTTCTCCACGCGCACAGCGCGACGATCCCCACTGCAAAAGTCCCGATCGCGATGAAGCCAATGATTATAGGGGGAGACGTGCCCGAGGCGAAGAAATCCGGGGCACCGTCCGGAGTGTTGGCACTTGGCCTACCCGTAGCAGTGGGCACTGAGCCGCTCGAGCTAGTGCTGCCTAGTGCCATTGAGCTTGGGTGTGCTCAGAGATGATGGGCATCGTTCGCACGAAGACCTGACCTGCGGGACCTGCCTGCGACAGTGGTCTGGTGATCAGGCTGTCTCTCGTGGTATTGCCAGGGCTAAGGTCTCACACTCGTGGGTTCCGGACTACAGGTTTGTCAAACGCGTGCGAAGAACTTTGCCGAGTCGAGGCATCACAAGAACTGGACTGCTGCGGTAATCGAAGTCACTGATCGAGATAGATCGACTGTCCATTCGTAGACATAGAAGTTACACAGATTGAGGCTGATGCACAAAAACAGACCGCTGATGAAATGACATTACAAATCCCTTCTCTTGATGCCCACTTTGCAGTCCAATGGCTTGCGCAAGAAGCCTTCACTAGTCGCGAACTAGGCAAGGAAGATACACTTCTGTGAGAAATCCTGCAAGAGTGGGAAGATAAAAGCCAACACGTACTGGCTTCTCAGGCTCCTCAAGGACAAAGCTGTAGTGACGGAGAATCGACGAGATGATGATGAGAAGTTCCATGCTCGCGAGGTTGCGGCCGACACATGCCCTGCACCATAGATTAGAAAACGTCTCTCTTCGCAAGCAAGGAACGTAACATACCGAGGGCCAAAAGAGAACGGATTGAAAGTCTTTTGGATTGCGTCATTATCCTGCTCAAACCATCGCTCGGGTCTGAAGGCATCGGGGTCGTCTCCCCAGACGGCCGTGTCCCGATGAATTGTGTAGCTGGGTACACTCAAAACCGTACCCTCTGGGAAAGTTTTGCCGAGTATTTCGAGACCACCTTGAGGTGCTACACGAGGCAGGCCGATGCCCGATGTCGAATGCAGGCGGATAGATTCATTTATGACGGCTTCAAGGTATGTCAGGCGTTTGGTGGATTCAAAGGTGGACGCTACGTCATCCTCGTTCCCCAGCGCGGAATCAAGCTCGAGTTGCAACTTCTCTTGACAGCGCGGATTAGCAGCAAGATAATATGTAATCGCGCAAGAGGTGCTGTGAAATAAGGGGATAAGAAGAGGAGAAATCATGATTCAAAGAGAATTCTACTTCGACGTGGTGTCACTGCCGGCGATCAACTGAGTGAGTGCCTCAGCTGTCAGTTCTTCCCTCCCCATTGGTCGACCCTCATCATCCTTGCCTTCCTGCAGCTTGCTCAATAGATCCACCCGATAATTAGGTGTAGCCAAACGCTTTGAGACTGCGGCGACAGCGATTCCGGCTAGGTTCTTCACAGCCCTATCGCCTTTGCTGTACCACGGGATGTATCGCTTGACGACCGGCCGCCACGCAGGAGGCAGAACGCCCATGGCTGCCGAGAACTCGCCACGATCGTTAAGGATTTGGACGGCAGGGATGCTTACCACCTCTGGGGCAACGCCTTCCTCGCCGTATGATGCGATGGCCTTCTCGTACGACGTCGCCACAGGAGCTGAGTCTTTTGCGGCCAAAAGCATGCCGAAAGGGCTTCCGAAAGCCAGGTCACCTGAACATCGTAAGCGCAATGACGCCGATGTCAAACCCGGACATGGTGATCATCCTACCAATTATATCAAATGCAAGATAGTTGTACCCTGTCAGCCAATCGTGTATGAGTTATTGATGACCACGTCGAGATTAGCAGAGGGAGTGACCCACAAGGCAGGCAGTCCAACCAAAGTCTTCCATTCCTACCCTTCCAACCGCCTTCACCTTCGGGGCCGTCCATGCCTTTGATAGCGAGATCATACAGCCTGTCCCATTGTTGTATGAGCGTCTTCACATACTCTCTCACATACGGCTCGAACTCGAGCACGCTTTTCTGGGAGAATATGTGTGAGACGATCTTACGCTTACGGGCATGGGCCGAGCGGTCGCGTGTGTTGAAAAGACCACGCTGGATAGAAACAAATGCGTCGTAAAAATTGGACTTCAAGGAGCCATTGCCATGCGCGTAGACAAGGTGAAGGGCAGCGGGATCGGAAATGGATACGTGGTTCGGGGCAATGCGAACGATAGGACCTGTGAGGGTTGGGGTCAAGCCGGAAAAGAACAGAACTTAGGTATCATCGAAGAAAAAGAGGGCCATTCATGCGGGGGAATCGTCGCAGATTGTATACACACCGTATTTCTTGTGCAATTCGTGAACGATCTCGGATCGATGTCCGTGTGCGGCCACCCAGCCTAGCCAAGCATCTGAGAACTTGGCCAACCAGGGGCCTGGATAGGAGCGGAGGCCGTGAACGTCGACAAGCCACGGGATGACATGAGCAAGGACGAAGATCACGGGAACCAAAGTGACGAAAGAGAGAGGATTGAGATCGCCGATAGCGTTCACAACGGCCCCGACGACAGTCATCGTTGAGACACGAGGGGTTGCGAGGAGTTATGCAAGAGGCACCCAGCCTTTATATACTGCAACTAGCGGACCTTGATCGATATTTTCCAGGATCCGACCCAGAAGGAATTCTTGCGTAAAGGGGCTGGAGAACGCAGCGCGCGTGACTGCTAATCACTCGAACGGGGCGTCAGTGATGTCAACCAAGTATTCAAGCGCTCCCCCGATGTCCAGATCAGATTCTAAGTTTGTTTTCTTCACGATGGAACTATCCGGATGGCTGCTTGCTGAGTTCGTGCATTGAGCAGCGACTAGCTAGTCGAGGAAAGGGAGCAAGACGCAGATTACGTAATGGGATGCGTGCTTTCCTTTTTCAACGCAACTCCTGTGTTGTCGGCACCAAATCACTCGCCAAATCCTCCTGGAGATAAACATGCACCCATCGGCGCCCCTGGCAGTATCCTTGAAGCGTTCCAATCAAGCTCTGAACTGAGAAAGCCGAATGCTCATCTATTGACTATCCTTGACGAAATCGTCGCTTCAGCAATGAAGCACCCTCACTGCTCATTCGTTGGACGACTTGTGATCAGCAATCGAAGCGAACGCCTCATCTTTGGCCCTCTGTCTTTTCCTGATATGCATCGTACACTCGCGCACGAAGGAACGGCTGACTTCTCTCGAAATTAGCGCAGGAGCGTTCTTATGCTTCTTGCCCGTCCAAGCTCGGAAATTGCGCTTCCGCACGGCATTCTACGGCATTGCGTCAGTCTCAAAAAACACGTTTTGCTTTTACACTTACATGACTATAAGATGACTTCTTCACTCTTGAATCAGGCAATCCAGGATTGCGTACAAATGATCTGCACGTGTATGCTGTGCAGACGAGCAGCGACGAGTCCTTCCTTGCTTCAGGACCGTTGCCTTGAAACAGAAGCTTGAGCAGTGGATTATCAGACTCGTGGGCGAGAGAAGGTATGTCGCCCCAATGCCCCATTGTATTCAAGGTGCTCTCGTTCCCTAAAGATCGAAGGCAGCCAGAGCATCAACAATGGTACATTCTGGAAAGTCAGCAGTCAGCTCGGCACTCATATGTGCACACCTTGACCGGACTGTACGTGTGATGCTCTAGGCCTGTTCTATGCATCGACAGCACGTTTGGGAGTGAAGCACCATAGTACGTTCCACTGTGAGCATTGATTCTGACGGTGTCTTTGTGTCGATGAAGATGCAGGTGTAGCCATTTGAATCGTCGAATTTTGGTTTGCACAGCAGACAACTGTCTTGTATGCTCTGCGCATGCTATCGCTTCAATACCGACTCAGCAAAAGGATGTACAATGATCCTCCTTTCAAGCGATCTCTAGGCCAGTCCTGTTGTCAGGCTGCAGGCGAATCTGGATTATGGGATAGAGCTGCCTTCAGAGCGAGCCTTCTCAGCAAGTGAGTTCCTTCCAAATTAATACCACAGCTCGAGCGCAGACTTCTCCCTAGGCTTTAGGCTTCAAGCTTCAAGAGCCACTCAAATGGGCCCCTTGAAGTTCACTATATATCACTAGGAAGTTCATCATACACAACTCAGCGCTTGAATAACACGGTTCCGCCGCCCATCTTCGACACGTCTTTGAAGCGCCGCGCCGAGTGCCTATTTGACGGCGAGTGGCATCTGTTGTTGTAATTTCCATCAAACGTGTTGCATCATGAGCATGCTGGGATAGGTCGGCAATGATGCATGGTGGATGAAATAGTATGACTAGTCTCCATGTCAAAGATGTAGATACAGTACTGATACAGGAGATAAGAGCAGACATATATGTCTATTCTACGTGCCCTTGAGGAATTTCCGCTCTACCGCAAGAAATTGTAGCTCCGCCACGACAGGACCGCCGCTCGAGAACACCTGTCATGTCACTCAGTTATGTAGGTGCCTGTTCATGTTTCTCTTTCAGAACTGCTTCAGGGCGCTCCTTCACCTTCCTTCACGTAGGACCTTTATCTTCATCAAAAGCCGCCCAGGCATATTCCTTGCACGGCAGCATGACTCGTGACCATGGCAGACCCCGGCTCTAGGGGCTAGAATAGGCTCAAATGCTATACTTATCTTTCTGGTAAGTTTTTTCGTGGGCGTGTTCTTGAATATTACAGCAGTCATACGGATCTAATTCGCCGCCCTTTACGAGGCTTTTAGTCCGATCAACATGTTATTGAACGCTCACACGGCTTTATAAGTGCGGCCCTCAGACGACCCACGCTCTGTGCCCTTTGTCTCCTCCCGCTCCCCACAAAGATGTTCACCAGTCCTATTCTACTCGCTCTCTGGCTGTTTGGAATTGGCGCTCAGGCACAGACTTATTCTGCGACATATCTGCCTTCAAATGCCCCCAATCAGACCGAGCAGGGACAGAGTGGGACAAACCAGTGCGGGAATGGCACGAGTCAGACTTCCGAATGCCAAAACGCCTACTGTGAGTTGGATCTATTGGAAGGTCGAGCGCAGTTGTGCTCGGCAGCCGTGAACTGAATGGCGTGTTCTTTCTCGATCATACAGTGAATTCAGTAGACGATTTCTGTGTGTTTGCACCTCCGGATCCGGGTCCAGGTTCGGTTATTGGGAACACTGAGGTGTGTCTCTTAGACCAGTGTATCATTGGAGTCATCTGAAAATATGTGCAGCGCATTGAAGTTGCGTGGTGCATCAAAGTGATTATTTTTAGGTATCATGGCCTGCGTGTTGAACGTGCTAACCAGCGATAATCCTCCGTCCTATTACAGAGCGGTTACGGAACACGAGTCATTCCTGACGGCACCATCTCAGGAGCTCACTTTGTACAGACCCCGGACTATGTCCAAATCACTGGTGTGTTGACTTGCCGTCGACGACTGAACGGTAGCACTCATTGCACTTCCTGAATGCATAGGTGTCGGGGACTTGACCAAAATCAACATCCCTGCAGGTGATGAGGGCGGTGAGCTTGATCCCCATGGCGCAGATGGCAATGGTTGGTTCCAAGAATAGACATCAGACGATCGATGTTGAAAATTTGTCACAGGCAACCCGATCGGAGGCCTCGTTTTTTCTTCGGCGTTCGGGCAACTCCAGCAACTCCACGAGTGGACTGTGCGTTGTTCTATCTTGATGCATTCCTTACCATCACGCAACCTCGTCATATCTAATGTATAATGTCTTCTAGAATTTTGTCTCGGCCACGGAATTCTGCTTCCGTGGTTGCAAGGACGGCCCCAACGCACCCGCGCTCTGCGAGCATATATACGATGTTATGGGTTGCAGTTGGAACATGCCAGGCGACTACTCGAACGGCACGTTTGATCGGTGCGCAGGCGACTCTGGCGAGGTCCGTACTTCTTCATGTGACAGAGAACCTTGGCTGATTGTGCGGTCATAGCCAATGGGCGTATACGGAACTTCCACCTTCCATCAAGGCGATCCTGTCACCCCCTCCGCGCACCCTGCGCCTGCCAGCTCTTCTTGTACCCCTCTGACAAGCATAGGAAATGGACTGGCTGTTTCGGGAGCGCCGATTTCGACGACTTCAGCTGTGGGTACTCCAATCCCTCCGATCACGTTATCACCCCTTCCCTCCTCTTCCCCATCTCTGTCTCCTTCCGTCTCGTCGTCTGTGTTGTTGGTCACCGTCACGCCTCTCACCACATCCATCGTGACTGTCAACGCGTCGAGCTCATTGGCCTCGCTTTCTTCGCAGGCGTCCTCGACCATCACGGGGAGCTCTAGTAGTAGAACTGTCGCCAGTCAGACAAGCTCTTCTGCCAGCCCGTCAAACACCGCCGGAGCCGCAATTATCGGCGCTCGTGTGCCAGCCGTTGGTGCACTGATTGGTGTGGTCGTAGTCGGGTTGGCCGGCGTTATGGGCGTCTGAGTGATCGTGTGATGACATTTGATTTCTTTCAGCGACCCTTCTTTAACGGTCCTTGCTTCAACGACTCTCGATGCCCTACTCTTTTCTTTCTATCTTACTGCTCGCTGGTCTTTTGGGGTATTGGGTACCATTTTCGTGGACTATTTGAACAGTCATATCTATTAGTAATGCGGAGGAGATCTATTCACGTTTGGACACGATTCGCACTTTGCTATCTACAAGCTCTATCTCATGATTTATCTTTCGGACAATTTTTTCATGTCTCACGATACGTAGTTCTTAACTGCTCCGTATCGAAATATACCTCTCCCTTTCTCATGACCGGATAAAATTTATTCAAATTCTCGTTTCTGACGGTAATATCGCCCCTTTTCAAGTAAACCATAGCCACCTTGGACAGAAGCTGGCTAGCATCGGCATTTCTCATCATGTATCCTATGGATGCCGTGTTTGATCTGTTAGATCAGAGATCGTTCAAAATTGCTGGCGATTGTTAACAGGATATTCTCGACGATTGCTGTCAGAATTGCCAGCAGCAATTTCGAGCCCAGTCCAATTATGGGTGATTTTTGCCCTAAAGGTGGCACCGGCACGTGCGTTGTGTGCCACCATCCCTTCACTCGAACCTCTCAAGGCTCCCAAGTCTCTGCATTGGACCACACGTACATAGAACGCTGGTCCACGTGTATTCTTAATCTTGGTGAGCTGGGGACTCCTTTTGATACTTTCTGCTTCGAGCCGTGGCACTATGTTCTATTCAGCTGACACAAAACCTCGGCTAACAGGCGATACATACCACCCTCGTACCCACCATCAACCATGGCTCGGTTCACTGCCCTAGCAAGCGACACCAGTGACGACGAAACCTACCAACAGCCGGCCAGGCCCGTGCCAAACTCCACCCCCATACCCAGAGCCAATGATGCACCCTATCAAGACGAGGATGCAGATATATCAGACTCGGACTCATCGCGTATGGACGAGGATGAGCTGACATCAAAGCCTCTTCCACATCCCCAGCGGAAACGGCGAGACAAGAACGCGTTGGTGGAGGGCGAGGACGGCGAGTTTTATCACGCTCATGAGTTGGACGAGGATGAGGGAGAGAATGACGCTTCCTCAAGTTCGTCATCTGAGTCTTCCCCTCGTCACACGAGAAGGCCTGGACCAACATCTGTTCCATGGGCGCAGCAGGTTGGAGTCGACCCAAATAGAATGCATGTGATGCAGGCTTCGCTCTTCAGGGTACCAGAGGAAGAACAAGCATTAAAGCATGCATTACCAGAAAAACATGGGCAGCTTCATCTTATGATGTCGAATACGCTCAACCGTAAGCATAGCAGAGATTCAGAAGGGGATGGTCTTCGGGTCGTGGCACAAGAGGTACGGATTTGTAGCATATATTTTGATAAAGTCTTATATTTGATCACCACTAGCGTGCCTCGTTTGCCTATGATATCGAAACAGTACCGTATAGACCATCCCGAAAATATGCGCGTGTAGAGAGCTCAGCCTCTGTTGTAAGTGGAAATGACAGCTCTATGGTTGATGCGGGACTTGCCTTCGGGAGGTCATTCCGGGTGGGCTGGGGCCCAGGTGCAACGCTAGTGTACTCGGGGCAACTGTGTGCTCCGTCGAGTACTTCGTAAGCTATACATCATCTGTCCATGTTTATGATCGTTCATCATGCGTAGTACAGCGACGGCCAACTCTTCCATGCTCACAAAAGCCCGTGCGCAATTCTCGACCTATGAAAACGACTCGTCTAGCATGTATTCGAAGCTTCTCTCGCATCATCTCACCAACACTCTCATCACCCCCGACGCAGATGGCGTGCCATTTGCCAACCCTGCCTCCGATCTCAACTTTGCTTCGTTCACATCGTTGTTCTCATCGACAGATCGCTCTTTCGAAGCACTGCTCTTCCGTCTAGGCCATACACTTTTCGACGACATCGACTTACATCTACGAGATAATGTCACAGTTGACATCAGGGAGTATACTCACGCCATTCGCCGCAAATCTGCCCTTTCATCATGGCTCGAAGAAGCAGTCGCTTCATCTGTCGACCAGGAATTAAAGAACAACTCATCAGACACTCCAGTCGGGGCTGCATTTAGTTTACTCACAGGACATCAAGTGGAGAAAGCTTGCGAGGCTGCCATGGGTAGCAGCAATCTCAAGCTAGCGACTCTCATCTCGCAGGCCGGAGGTGACGCGGAATTTCAAGAGGATTTGCGTGCGCAGCTGCAAATTTGGCGCGAAGAGCGGATAGACGTCCATATTGACGACAGCGTGCGTAAAGTATACGCCTTGCTTGCAGGCATCGTAGATGTGCTTGAGGGTTCCAACGGCGCTGGAATTGAGCATTGTTCCGATCTGTCTCTCACAGAGGGATTGGACTGGAAGCGCGTGTTTGGCCTTCATTTATGGTATGCGCAGCCCATGCATGTACCCATTGCAGAAGTGTTTCGCTCCTACGAACAGCATTGGAGACATACGCCAGATCGGGTCGCCCCCCCTAAACCATGGTACGCCGAGAACCCCTCGCAAGGCGACACACTCTGGCAACTACCAGAAGATGCGAATCCCCCCGACGCGCTTTACTCCCTCCTTCGGCTATATGCCGATCCCGCATGCTCCCTGTCAAAGATTTGCTCTCCCTTTTCTTTTGGGCCCTCGCCTGTTGATTATTCCCTCCCATGGCATCTCTACATTCTCTTCTCACGATGCATGCGGATACGTGACTTTGCCGATCGGGACGACCCAGGTTTCCGTCGAGATGAAACTGAAGAAAGCCAGAATGAGGACGAGAGAGTAGAAGGACACAGCCCAAGCGCGGATCTACTAGCCAGTAGTTATGCTCTACAGTTGGAACAAGCGGGTTTGATCCAAGAAGCTGTATTCGTCCTGCTACACATCGAAGGGTCTGCCGGGTAGGTCCCTTGCCTTCCCCGCTCGATGTTGTCTTTTTATAGATCACTCATACCAAGCATAGGAGAGAAAAGGCCATCAAAGATCTACTCGGGCGGTCTGCACCCAATCTGGATGATTGGATGACTCGGGGCATTGTTGGTAGCCTGAAAATCCCATTGTCGTGGGTCAACGAAGCCAAGGTATTCATGATCATGACGTTCGAAACTCCCCTCAGTCAACTGATTTTTTTCGTTCCTGACAGGCCATGCATGCTCTTGACAACGGAGAAGTTTACGACGCATACCGGCTTTATCTTCAGGCAGGGCTGTATGATACTGCACACGAGCTTGCAGTTCTCGAGTTGGCGCCCGAAGCCGTCATACGAGATGATTTGACTCTGCTGAAAACATTGTTTGAGAGAATTGTGGGTCATGCCGTCGACAGCTGGCATGTACGGGGACAGGTATCTATCCATCATGCCGTGGTTCCGTCTTCCAATCATCTGACAATCCACCTAGGCTTTCCTCGACTATGTTGACGTCAGGACACGCGTGCCGATCCTGCAGGCTGAAATCTCTGACCCCGAGTTGGCTCCTGACGCTTCGCAAGTAGCCGAACTGGATGAACTGACCAGGAAGATACCGAAACTCATCAACATCCTATCTGACGCATTCCACGATCGATCCAATCCGCAACATAATGTCGCGCTGTCAGTGATGATCAAAGGTCTTATGCACGAGCTTGATAGTGTGCAGCCCCTCGCCATTGTACGTTCCATTCCTTCTCGAACAGCGGCCCACTGCGACAAGCTCTGACTAACATTGCAATGTTAGTCCCAGGTCCGGTCAATGCCAGTCAACGAGGCGACCAAACTGCACCACATACACTCCGCGGCATATGCTGGATTTTTGAAGACGATCCAAGTGGCTTAAAGGCCGACACATCAGCCTGTGTAATACAAAAATATACGGTCACATCTACTTGTAAAGTACAGGATCATCGGGAATCGTGACTCGGTATATACAGGATCCCTTCCTAAGGAGAGCGAACGAGATCCCCGAGGATAAGCTAAGCTAAGAAGAATGTCTCTAGGCAATATGTGAAATTTCATCCAGTCCGTTAAGAACGTCCATAAACACCTCTAAGCAAATCAAAGAAAGATGTAATGCAGTCAACGTCGAAGAATTGATCTAATTAAAGAAACCAAAGATAAATATCAATGTAGAGTGACTCGCTTCGACCGAGTCTTTTAGTCGATGCTTTGACCCGATAGAAATACAGATGCGCTGAGGATGCACACTTCAAGAAGCCCGTATTGTATAGCTTGCTGGGTCAGTTCTATGCTGATGCTCGTGCTCAGTGCGCTGACCCGAGCAAGAATATGCGACATTCCGCTCTGGGTATAATAGAGCTGCCAAAAAAAACGAATCGACGTCGATGCCTTGTAGGTTGCCACAACCGAGTCCGAATTGCGCACTCACGCAGATGTATTGGTCAACAGGAGCCCATATGTATTGGACCCCGCGCACGTTCATGTACCTCGAACTGTGCCATCAAGACGAGCAAGTGAGTGAGAACCCGACAGCTGGATATGAGTAGAAGACGCTTACGAGCGATCTGAAGAAAGCCTGAGCCAGTTGCGCAGAGGTTGCCGAGGGAAGAGCCCGGGCATCTCTACGATTGCGTGGCCTTCCCAGTCGGCAATCGCGACGGTGCGACGGTGCGAGTCCCGCCAAATAGTGCGCATGGGTTGCGCAGGGTCTGTTATGATTCGAAAGGCGGTATGTGAATGTGGGCTTGGTCCGACGACGGAAGCGTTGAGGACATTGGGATTGAGTCCGACGATATGGTAGGCCACAAATTCCGAAGGGCGTGTAGGGAGAAAATTGGCGTGGACTGGTAGAGCGCCGAAGATGGAAGGGGCGGGGGTACCGCTGTAGCCCCAGGAATTTGATTGCCCATTCCCAGCGCGAGACCAGGGCTGAACGTAGGGATTAAAGCTCGTCGACATTGGAAGCTAAGGAAGATGTCAGTCGAATTGTCTCTATGAGCTGGGTGATTTGTCTTCTGATTCAACCCTAGAGAAAGCATGATTTCGGCACTCGCTTTTATACTTGAGAAGGAGGGGGCTTGTTGATAAATCCGACAGCAGTTGAGGAGATTGAGTCGTGCTCATTCCTATGGGTGATCTCGGTGATGGCCCATCGACTGAGAATCTTATAATCGCATAGCCAGCTCTCTTACAATAGGAACACGCCGTCGATGACTGACGCACAAAGTGTGCATTCCTGCATTAGCGGCGGCCTCCTCGGTTGCGTCGGCGAGTTGAATAGCCTTCATCAACTTGAGCATCTAATGGTGGTATGCGATTGACACAGCTGCTTGAAGGCTAGAACGAGAGCGCGGGTACCAGGCGTGGAGAACAGTCATAATGCGGTGAGCTCCTAGACCTCAAAGATGGGATTACATAGCCTCTGTGGCAAGTATAGAGCTAGGTCACTACTATGTCATGTCAGAATTCTCATGACGGCAAGGTGGTGATAAATACCTGATGCTCTATGCGCTCAGATTGACCAGCCTATCGCCTACTCGTCACCGGACATATGAGTATAAATGGTACTAGTCGACTCTGAAAAGACACTTTTCCCAGGCTGGATGCAGATATGCTGTGGAGGAGATGCGAGCAGACAGCAGTGCATGTGAAAAGCGTGGCACTGCCCTCTCTTGCCCTCCATTGTCACTAGCGGCAAGTGCCCTATTTAGGAAATCATGCGTATGAGGTCTTAGTGTGATTGATCTGATCCTTCTATGGCCCTGATGTTCTCAAGAGGTAAACAAAATGTTGAATATTACCAGCTGAATGACAGGTGGAAGCGGAGGACATGCCAGGGGCCAAATCATTCCCATACGGCAATGGATAGTTCAATATCGGCAGCGCACGATGATCTTACTCGACTCCTACCATATCCTGGCATGTTCTGGCATGTTCCTTGCAAGTCACTGGTCTATCCAGACCATGAGCTATTCGTGCACAAACACAGCAATTTATCCGATGGTCCAAAAAAGTGAAAGTAATTGCTTTTTTACCTGAGAACCTTCTCCAGATTTATACTCTCGTGTTTTCTCTCAGACTGAACACTTGCCAGTCTGGTCAATGGGTAGGGCACGGAAGTGCGGGGCGCTTCGTCTTGGAAGAGATATTGCCTTGAATGACACAGACCATTGATTGTCACAGAGGGATGGATGTAAGAGCCGTACTAGAACATGACAAGAAACATGATATGGCAGAAAAACACTAATACACCGTATGTCGAAATGGGAACACGCCCAAGGTCCATTGACCGGCGCACTACATAGCATACCTTTGAAAAAAAACATAATCAATCAACGAAAAAGATGACAGCACAAACATGGCTCACTTCCTTGTCCACTCCCTGGCAGTTGCTTCGTAACGAGCCCGATCAGTCTTGTACAGATGGGCGATATCAGGAACCAAGGGATCATCAGGATTGGGGTCCGTGAGCATTGAGCAAATGGAAAGCAAAACTAGAGCAGAATAAGATCAGAGATATAATGAGAAACAACCCGTTTGATGGCGCGATGCCACAGTCACGTGTTCCATACCTTTCGAGATAGTCAATGCTGGTGACCACTGATCTCTCAGGATATCGAGGCAGATCGACCCATTCGCGTTGATGTTTGGGTGGTAAATCTTCGTCGTAAAGCTGACCTTGGGAGGCTTGAAAGGATAGTCGGTAGGGAAGGTGATGGAAAGGAAAAAGACGCCTCCTGCGTAAGGGGAGTCACCCTGGATATCGAGATAAGAGTGGGACCTTGAACAATAGAGATTTGGTGACGCACCGGGCCCATGATCGTCGCCTGCCATTGGAACATGTTGTCGCCCGTAGGACCCGCGCTGCAAGACGAGGGTGGGTCACGTCCGAGGTCAATCAATTCCTGTACATCAAGTTCAGAACAGCGTGAGTGAAGAGAGAAGAGAGGCAACAGGTTGAACGGATGGAGCCATGACCAAGCGCGAAAATGGCATCTCAGCGCCACCTCAACGCCGCAATATCGTACTGAAATTATTGCCTTACCTTGTTGATGCGTTTGAGAGCCATTGATGAGAAAAAGTCGTCACTGAAAGTCGTTCAAGACTATCGATGTGCGCAGAAGATGCAAAGATCGCACAAATCGGTGCAGATCGGGGGCAGCACAACAAGAACCAAGAGTACGCCAGCACGATAACAAAAGCAGCTAGTCAGAACGATGAATCGAACGAATGCGAAAAAGAAACGCACGATCTACGAGACAGGCGATGTAGGGCAGAGAGGTGGTGATGGTATGGAGACAAGCGGGCGACAAGACGATTGCCGCTTATTTGCGCCTTTTGTCAGCTATTTGGTCACTCCTCCGGACATAGCCACATCGGAGCTAACAATTGTGAGCGCTGAGAGCCTCGGCAGAATGCACCAACCAGACCTCGCCCAACAAGGCCCCAACAGGCGTGGTCGGACAACTCAGGCTGACGCTGGTACGACGGGAAGATGGCTTCCAGATATATTGCAGGCATGTCCGTCAGCGAATCGTGAGCCAGCTAACCGTTTGTTTCGCAATTTATTCTAACAAACACTTATTTTGGCAGGACATCTGTGATTTTTGAACCCTCTGCCCATTTACGTAGATGAGCTCGGCAAATTTTTTGTTTTATGACAGTCACGGACTGTGAGGATGTGTGGGTTTCGGTGGCAAAGGTACGAGACATCAAGAAAGACAGAGGCGAAGTTTCGTCTCAATTTGTCTGTCAATGCTAGTTCAAGACAAATGCAGATCCAAGCGTTGCAGTCGCGTACGATCGGAGGACGAATCTTGAGGAAATCAACTGAGATCTGCTCCAAATCTGCTGCAGTTTTTAGCGTTGCGCGCGACTTTTCGTCACCCCCCTTGCCTCCGTCTTCGATCGCCGCTCGGTCTTATCCGTGCACCTGCTAACGCCTGCAACTGAGATAGCGCTGTCGAAAGCGGTTGAAAACATCTCTAACATCCTAACATCCTACTGGTCAGCGTTGACCGGGACCATATCTTCTGAGCGGTTGTTCACGCATCTTATTTTCAAGAGGAAATTACAGAGTTACACTATGACTGTGAAACCTCTGCCGCTTTACCCATCATCGCGAGTGCAGTCATCCCTCTCCCCCTCCCAACTGGCTTCCTTGAATCAGAAGATCTCACTCGCTCTTCAAGAAACTCTCTCTCTAACGCCTTCAAGACGCGACACACCGGAAACCGTTGCATTCGTCTCTTCATATGCGCGCGATGCTGCCCAAAATATCCTGCATTCCATCATCTGGGCAGCAGGGACTTCCTCGTCCACAAAACAATCGAAGTCTCGTGACATGAAGGCCATCCACTCACGCGTCCTCCTGCTCGTCGAACGAGTCGATTCTGGCCTTCTTGATATGCAGACCATCTTTGATCTTACCATTGCGTACTCTGCGCATCCCGCTCGCCTTCGTGCTATTATCGCCAAAGCATTCGATTCATCTGCTACGCTTCTTCAGATATTGACTGCATCTGTTCTACCTGCCCTGACAGCAATGTTTCAGCCTGCATCTTCGTCTGGGCTTTATGGATTGCGGAAAACCTCCCACAGCCTTCTATGCTTTTTCCGTGTTTCACCACCACCTGTCCTCCTCGCTTTCGCACGACATAAACCATTCCTTCTTGCTTTGGCCAATGCATATGATGCAGGCCTTGGATCTCTCGCACAATCATATGGAGGGTTTAGACTGGACTCCGCCAGTTCAGCTGCGCCATCGCGTGAATTAGATGACTGGGAACGTATACTTCTCGAGACAAAAGTGGCCTTGATAGATGCATTTCATATCCTCTTCAAATGTATCCTCGAGGATCTATCTCGGTCCCAGGGACCAGCGCTTGCATCTGCCTCTGAACAAACATTCGACATCTTCTTCGCATTGCTCGAAATCCCCACTCCACTCAGGAACACGAACGTTCCCTCGACCCCTTTTTACAATCGCCCTCTACTAGTAGATTATCAAAACGCTTATGATCTCTCTCACCTGCTACAGAAGACGCTCGGCAACGCTGCAATTGACGATGCACGCGTAGAATTCATCACGACTTCCTTGCGCTCTCTTGATGCATCTTCCTCAAACGATTCGAACCGAGACCCTGGAGTATTAAAATTGCTACTAGGTTCCGGTGCACCTCCAGGGATCGATGTGCGCGGCAAGGGCACCAGTCGCAAGATCCGTAATTCTGCCATTGAATCGACGCCCGTCGCAGCTCCCCCGTCTTCCGTTAATCAAGATGATGTAGAACAACACGTGTCAGAAGTGCTGTCTATCCTGCCAGACCACCCGCGAGCCTACATACGCGGACTGCTATTTCTACCGGAATTCGACACCGTGGAGCGCGTTATACAAGCACTGCTCGAAGGCACTGCTCCACCTCAAGAGCAAGTTGAGCGCTCTGCCGTGCTGAGGGGACCACCCTTAGGGCCTCCCGGCGAGATTGAATTTACGAAAGAGCGACTGAACGTGTTCGATGATGAGGTGATGGATCTGTCCAGCGTACGGATTGGGAAAAAGAAGTGCGTTTTCTCGTCGATCCTTACGGATCTGCTTTGTTCGTTTATCAATAATCCAAAGAGAAAATACCGCTGCAGTCCTCCGCGATCGTACGTTCATCGAGCAGATGAAGGCCGATATCTTGCGACGCGCCGAGGAAGTGAGCGACTCCGAGGAGGAAACTGTCGTGGACATCCTCCATGCTGGAGATAAAGGCAAGGGAAAGAGCCAGGGCAAGGGCAAGGGTGTAGATATCGCATTCGACGAAGCATTGGAGATAGACACGGTCAGAGTCGGTGGAGATGGCGAGGAAAGCGACGAAGACGAAGCCGATAATGAGAGCGAGGAAGCGCGCGCAGCGCAGATAGAGACGATCCTCGAGTTGGCGTACATCTCTAACCCTGCAGTTTTCGACAGAGACATGATGACGAGGAGAAGTCAGGGAAGGCGTACGTTGCAGGCTCAGACCGGTTCGTGTTCACCCAGAAACAACAACTGTGGATCACTCATCATAATCATATCAGGTTGGGCCGACGAGCAAATCGAAGGATGGAAAATCATGCTAGAGAGAAACGTATGATTCTCTTTCCGTTTTTTTTTTGAATTCTAATTGTGCTGACTCACATTTGTAGCCCAAGCAAAAAGAAAAGATGCTTCAAAAGCACGAATTTTCTGGGAATAAGCCACTCTCTGCACCTCCATCGACGGGGCCAAGCCGCACTCAAACACCCGACAACGGGCAGCCCTCACAAGGACGCAATGAACGAGGACGCGGTGGTGGCCGAGGGAGGGGCGGCCGAGGTGGCGGAGGCCGGGGTGGAGGTGGAGGTGGCCAAGGTAGCGAACAAAGAGATCGAGCGTGGAAGGACAAGAACAAGGCGAGTCGGGCAAATCATGACCGTAAACGGGGACATGATCGGAAGATGGCTAGAGGCGGAGGGCCACCCAGTTGATATTGTCTCAACAGATGGGACGAGTGCTGTCAAGTCAAAGGTGGTAGTATATCGTATGTAACGCCGTTACATGGCAGCAGTGAGACTATAAATGCTACATCAGAGAAGAGATGATGGGGAAGGTTGAGGCGACGGCGCCGAATCATATTTTCAAAACATCCTCCCAGCAAACTTTGGGTCGTGCGTTAGGTCAACTACATCCTTGACAAGCTTGGTGTCTGCATGCGAGGGTCCATTAGCATGACATGGCCCTCAAGGCGCCAAGAAAAGAGAGAACATACCCAACGATGAACCCATATTAGTACAGGCTAACATTTTCACCGTCGAGGCATCCACAACCGAGCCAACGACCTCTACGAAGGTATCCGTCAAATTACTCCCAGTCTACGCGGCACCGCGTTCAGAGACAAATCAATCTGCCACAAAAACACACGCAAAAAACTCTGGAAACATACAGGAGGCAGGCGGATCTCAATTTGAAGGTCATCGCATGCTTGCATGATAGCAACGTCATCCTGGAACTTGAAAGGCAGAATCGCGTCGCGTCGCGTCAACAATTCGAGGAAATTGGTCGCCACCGTGAGACATCCAAACCTTGAGAATTTTTCCCACTATGAGGACACGGCGTCCGATGAAGTTTGGAAGATGATGAGCATTGACACGCGTAGTGGTATGTTCGGCCATCTAGGTTATGAATACTGGAAAGCTCAGAGCGTGGCGGCGGACTTCGAAGAGACGCGTTCAACACAGAACGCCTGCGTGTTAGTCAGCAGCAGAGTGAAGCCACAATCGTGCACGCTGCCTTCGATCTTTGATAAATCCTCAAGTTTCTGCACGGATGGGCAATAGATAAACGATGGAAATGAAAGCATCCATACTGCTACAGATTAAAGAATACAGTTGCCTGTCATCGTGCCTGTGATTCATTACATCCTTACAGTGCATTTATCTGGCAATTCTCAAAACAGCCAGCACCATTCTTCGGACTGCAGTGATGCCTGACCCCCTTTCCCCAGTGTGATTAACTGCTGCTTGTAAGAATTACGTCCTGCCCTAAACACAACGTGGGCGGACCAATAGTGTTCAGTAGACATGCTCAAGTATTCCTTGAGCGTTTTTAATCCTCGAGGAAGAAGTAGTTGCCCGAGGCTACAAGCGAGAGATTAGAGCATGATACAAAGGAACAGGTCGAAACTTACCCTTCTGTTCCCTGTCTTTGACACTGTGCCGCTTGTTCACGCGAGGACGGTAGTTCGTAGGGTCGCGGCGGAAGGTAATCTCAAGGGACGCAAGGAATTTGTTCATGCCAGTCACCAACGATTGTGGTCTGCCCCACCCCAGTCAGTATACTTGCAGCTAGTCAAGTGTCAAAAGAACGTACGGCGTTGCGGTTGCAGAAATGGAGGGCTGACCCTCAAACACGATGACACGGTCAGCAAGATAAGTTGCCATGATGAAATCGTGCTCAATGACGAAAGCGGTCTTCTTAGCGTGGAGAATGAACCGCTTGATGACTTTGGATGCAATGATACGCTGCTCAGAGTCCAAGAACCTTTCACACAACAGAGGGTCAATTGAGTCGATATAGCGATTTTCGCTGAAGACTTACGAGCTGGGCTCATCAAGAAGATAAACCGACACGTTTGTCATGCCAAGGGCGAGCACAATGGCTACACGCTGCAGCTCTCCTCCAGAAAGAGTTTTGACATCCTGGTCCATGATTGCCTCCAACTTCATCGGCTTGATGACGTCCGTCTGGAACTGTGCGTGCATGAACGACTGCTTGATCCGCTTGAGTAGTAGCATTCGCACGCTGCCGGGGAACTTTGGAGAGATCGTCTGCGGTTTCAGTGACACCGATAGATTCTGCTTGTCCGTCTCCACATCGGGCGTGTCGCCAGCGAGCAGACGCACAAACGTCGTCTTGCCTGTCCCGTTCTCACCTAACATGACGATGATCTCCGAGTCCGTAAACGAGCCTTCTTGGACGGTCAGCTTAAAGTCGCCGAGCGTCTTCGTCATACTCGGGTACGAATAGTGCCGAGTCTTGTCGATCAAGACTTCCTCTGCAGTCTCCACCATTTTAAATGACAGAGATTCCTCCCGGAACCGCAAGTTCTCCGTTGGAATGAAACCATCCAAGAAAATATTGATGCCTAGCAGTGGGACGATGTGAGCAGAGAAACCAGAGCAGTGATGCCGAGCAAACCTTCTCGGACAGAGTAGGGCATCGTTACGACACCGTACATAGACGGCTTGCCGTACAAGCAGCAGATGAAATCAGACAAGTAATCAAGAACGGACAAATCGTGCTCGACGGCTACGACGTAGTTGTCCGGCTTCAACAGCTTTCGGATGACTTCAGCAGCCACCAACCGCTGTTTGACATCCAAGTAACTGGAGGGCTCATCAAACATGTATCTGGAATACCTCTTAGTTCATGCCCACGGAAAGTGGCGGGAGGACACTCACACATCGGCCCGCTGAATACACGACATCGCAATTGCAAACCTCTGAAGCTCTCCACCGGAAAGATGGGACACCTCGCGTGTCAGGACGTTGTTCAGCTCTAGATCATCACACAACTGCTGCTTGTTATCTAATTCGGCCTTCGAATCAAGCATTTGTGAGACCGTCATGGTTCCCTTGATAGCGCGAGGAATGTGATCGACATATTGGGGTTTGATGAGCGCTTTCAAATTATCTTCGAGCACTTTTGTGAAGTAGTTTTGGAGTTCAGAGCCGCGGAAGTACTTCAAAATTTCTTGCCAATCAGGCGGATCCTGATCATCGCGAAATCGATCGAATTGTCGGCCAAATGTCAATGAAGCAAGAATGTAATGCACGCACATCGTAACGGCCAAGATTTGGCTTCAGCTTCCCCGCCAAAATCTTCAGCGCCGTACTCTTTCCAATACCGTTTGTTCCCACCAATCCAAGGACCTGGCCCGGTCGTGGTGTGGGAAGCCGATGAAGCTTGAAAGAGTTTGCAGTATACCGATGGGTTACTTCTGCAGCAAGATTTGTTGGGAGATTGATGATTGCGATCGCCTCGAACGGACATCTGCGTATATTTTCTCGGTCAAGCAGGCCAGACAAAGCGATGGTGAGCGCACTTCTTTACACAAATACCACATCCGATACAGAGGAACTCGGAGATGAAGGCGATCTTGTCTGAGGGCTTGACCTCGATACAAAGTTTGCCTGCAGCAGATACCAGTTCACAAGATTAAATTTTGAAAATCAAACAGAGACGCACCCATTTTTACTACAGGACATGACTACACACTGAATGAGTTCTGCGACATGTGCTCCGCATCTATGGACGCACCTTTTTACATTCCTGAGCACAACGCTTTGGTTTACATTTGTTCGAGTCAACAATGGCGATACGAGTTATTTTGTCAGCCATGACTGCAACGATGGCAGTGACGAGGGTTACAAGCACAACAGGGTAGAGAGATAGAGGCCAACTAGTAGATGCAAGAGTAAAAGGTCTGAATTTTCCTGACACATCAAATCGGGCATTGGCCACGTGCAATTCCTCTCGCCTGATTGGACCATCTCTTCAGCTTGACTGCCATCTACGAGCCATCTACGATGGCCAAGAAATCGTCAGGGTCTGCTTCGACTGAGAAGAAACCAACCAGCAAGAAGGGAGGCGATAAGAAGACATCGAAGGGTGCCGACGCCGATGGCGACAAGGCAGGGGACTTTACGCGTCATTCTATGCGTACCCATTTGTGACGCCTTCGTGTAGGGCAAGGGTGCGTTAAAGGCAGCAAATGCCATTAATGTCCGCCACATCCTCTGCGAAAAATATTCTCGAGCGTTGGAAGCGCTACAGAAGATTCAGGTATGTTTAAAGTCCTCTTGTGTGACGCTTGTGGGGTGGGTTTGCCATCCCTGATGCGTTTGCCTTGCAACCAGGAGGGCGAACGTTTCGATAAGGTCGCACAGGAGTACTCGGAGGACAAGGCGAAAGGTATCTGGACTCCTTGTGCCCTTGTCATTTTTGATCATCTTAGGATTCTAGCCGGAGGTAGCTTGGGCTGGATGAACAGAGGTTCAATGGTGGTGCGTCTCGGTTTTGGAAACATGTCATCGCTGTTCACGCTTATTTTGGTATAATCCACTCAGGGCCCATTCCAGGACGCTGCATTTGCCCTGCAGCCATCTACCGTTGACAAACCAAACCTCTCTTCCCTCGTGAAAACAAACTTTGGATACCACATAATTATGGTAGAAGGCCGACGTTGAAATTATGTGGATGCACTTGGTCGATTGATCTTTCGACTCCCTGGTGGATCTTTGTGAAATTTCGAGAGTGAGTTCCATTGTTCTGACTTACATATTTCGTTGCGCCATATAGATTACACTGAGCAATGGTTAAACATGGCCGCCTGGCGAAATGGCATCGCGTCTGACTACGATCTTACGTAATCATCAGGAGATTGCAGGTTCGACCCCTGCGGTGGTCATCTATACTTTTGAGCTTTGGATTAGTTTTGACTTTCAATTCGATGCAAGTAACGTGTCCGTAGTTTTTGGTCCACAACGGAATGTCACTCAAGCTAACATCTTGGCCGATGGATGGTCTAACATTATTAGAGTGCATCCCCATACAATAGGAGATAATAAAGCCAAAATACTACAAGGTCCCCTTCATTAGGCGACATGAAAACATGAAGTGAGAAACGTCTAGCTGGGTGATTATAATGTCTTTCCCGGCGTTGTAATTGAGTCTGACCTAGTGTCACGTCGTCCCAGGTAGGCGGTCAGATCCTCAGCACTACGCAAGTTCAAGCCCTGCGCCAATCGGGGTGTAGACGTTGCTGAGGTGGCGGAAGATGAGATATCCGGAGACGGAATCGCGGATGAAAATGAGGGAATGTCGGGAGGGGGTGCTTGGGAATAATCATATGGGAATGGGCCCTGAGGCCAGACATAAGGCGTCGCCGTCATGGTCGTTAGCGAGAACGCATCGGAGCCTGCTTGTCCTTGCCTCAACGCCGCCTGCGGTCGCGGAAGGATCTGGGTGTACCCATCTACTGGCGCAGCGAAAACGCCTGAGACAGGCATATGCTTGCGTGCCTGTGTGTCTTGACCAGATGAGCTGTCGTTGACTGTCGAAGCTTGTATGCTTGTAACAGCTTCTGCAGGGGCGGTCACGTTTGCATTGGGAGACATGACGCCGGTGCCAGGGAGGTCAGGGATATTCGTCCACCCATCATTATTCTCAGGTGTAGGGGAGCGCTTAGGTGCACCGGCTGCTACTCGCTCAAGGTCCATATCCTTGAGATTCGTCTTGAAGAAGGCATTGACCTGAATCGTTGTCTGTCCAGTACATATGATGTATTAGTCTAGAGCCATATCGGTAGAGGAGGCGATTGAGAATGACCTTGTTGGGCATGGATGCTGCGATGCGCTTGAAGTCATCGCCATGTTGCGCAAGGAGTTGCAGAAACAAAGCTGAGAACAAACCCATGTGAGCGTTTGAGAACAACCACGTAGCTTATAAAACATACATTTGTCCTCGTCGGACCAGTAGACGTTGATGCTGGTGGATTTTCGGCGAGCAGAAGACTCATTGTGATCAATAAATTTCATCTCAGACAACGAGCTCTCTGGGGGAGTTGATGCAGCGATGGCTGGTGTCTTGGGTTTTCGACCTCGCCTTCGTTTTGCAGGTCTCGGTTCAACATCCTGGACATACAAACATGTTTCTTAGCATCCACACGCAAGCATGGCGAAGGAAACCCACTGTAGCATCAGCATCAGCATCCTCTTGTTCTACAGCCAGAGAAGTAGGGACAGTTCTCTGCGCAGCTGTTCTTCGCCGTTTCGGGCGAGCATCCATTTCCGGGTCTGGTGTTGGAGTCGACACGGGAGTGGGTTCAACTTGTGTCGTCTGCGCAGTGCTCTTTCTTGGGGCTCTCCTTGTCTCCGCTCCCCTACGCCTTCGTCCGCCTCTTCCAGAGAACGTGTCTTTCGACACCTCCGCATCATGCTGTCGGATATCGGCCAAAAGAGCGTTACCCTTCTTTTTCCCGGTGCCCTTGCCTCCGCGCTTCTTCTTTCCGGGAGCATATCGCAAGATGACCTCGCGGAAGTCGATCAATCGCTTTTTGTGCATGTAATAAAACTGCACACATTGAGCTTGTGACTTGTGGGGTAAACTCTTGGCGATGATTCCAAACTGCTTCGGATGCGCAGCAAATTTCTCGAAGAATTCTTGTTGCTCTTCGTCTGTCCATGCCGCAACACTGGGACTAGGATCATAGAACGCGGCAGGGTTTTCCACGAGATTATTTGTATCATCAAACAGTGCGTCGACCCTTCCATGCGTGACCGAGATCATGTCGGGAATGACAGCGATGTTACGAAGAGCTAGATGAGCCGGGTCTGTCAAGTCCTCGTTGCCCAAGCTTGCGATGATCTGCTCCATCTCTAAGTCTGAGCGGACAGCATCTCCGAGCACAGCAGCTGATCGACGAGTCGTCCGCCCAGAAACAGTCGCCATTTCGTCCCCTGGGTTTGTCTGACCCTGACTATCAAGCAGAGCGCAATGCGCAACCCACGAATCGTGAAGCTCGGTGTATTCCTTCCGAAGCCGCTTCGTCTTCTCTTCTACTGTTTCCTGGCGTTCAGCTATGCGCTGGACCAGGGTGGGGCGAAGTTCATGAAATCTCCGGAGCCTAACAGCACCACGTTCGCCTGTCATCATCGCCTGAATCAAAGTTTCTGGGGATGTAGAGGAAGCTGGAGGCTGCTCGGCGATGGCCTTGTTCGATAAAAGTACAGGGTCAACACGCTCCTCGCGAGATTGGTGGTCAAATTGTTGTCGCGCTGCTACAACTACTCGGAGAGCCTCCTGCAATGATCTTGCTTCCCCGACGAAAGGGACAAAGTTTGAGGGAACTACAGGCATTGGAAGCTGCTGTAAAAGCTGATCTGGAGGCTGGTTGACAATAAGGTCTACAGGTTTCAAAGAGGTCTCCACAACCGTATCTCCTATCAAAGCTTCTTGCAGTTCTTCTTGCATTTCATTTGCCAGAGGAATGACAATGACGTCTGGTGGTACACGCGGAGGGGAAGGGGTTCTCAAGTTGGAAAAATGATCGCCGGAAGATAAGGGGGAGGAACCGTGCTGTTGATCGTTGGACTCGCCAGTTCGCTCGACATGAACAAGAGGATCCTCTGATATTGCTATCGTGGGAAGGTCTGCGAGAACAACGAGGGGAGATGGTGGGACTGTGCTTGCTACAGAGTCCCCTCGGATCGGTGTCTCATCGCATCTTGTTTCTGCAGTTCGTGACTGGGCGCTTCGATCTATTATTTCGTCAACCTGTTCGGCTGGGTCAGATGCCTTCTCCGCAGAGGGCTCTTGAGGCAATGAATTCACAGCAAATGATGGAGAGCGGAGAAGGGATTGAGTTGTACCGTCTTGGTGTTCTTCCTCAGGGGACATATTATCACGAGGTGGAGGTTCGATGGGTATATCGTCGCCTGCAGAAGGTTGGAGATGGTGGAAGTTCAAAATGGGTTAGGGAAGCCTACCTTGCATCACTGTTACCTCACTTGAACTGTTTTGCTTATCTACTGGGGGAGGCTCACGGATGTCGCGGATGCTCCTTGCTGTAGTCGGAGTGATGTGTGCTGGAGACGCAGGGCGGGGCGGTAAGGAAGGGTGAGATGGAAGCTGGAGTGAAGGTCGAGGTCGTCTTCGAGACTTTCTGGCTTTATTCGGTTCACCCGATCGAATGGCGGATGTGGCAGAAAGGCCGGTCGATGAGTGTCTTAGACCTTCGTTTGAGACCCTCAGCCCTACCTTTTTCCTTCGAGAACCCTCAGGCTTGTTCCGAGAATCTACGTTTCGAGAGAACCCACTATATGAAGCGGATTGGAGATGAGAGGTTGTTGGGAGCATCGACAATTCACGAGCGCCACTTCGAGAGTCGGTGGAAGAACACGAAGAAGAGCGACTCCGAGGTGGTCTACGTGATGAGAGTCTTGGTTCGACAGAAGAAGGGGGTGAAGGCGACCGCGTGTAGTACTCTCTAGACGTGGAGCGATCTCGATATCTGGGTTCCCAGTGAGAGCCACCAGGATGAGGCCCAACGGGAGATGGTGACCGGACGGAAGGAGGTGAGCTGCTAAGAGACCTATCACGGCTGAGATATCGTGAGTCAAGATGATCCGAGTGCCCGTGGGATGGATGTGTAGCAAAGGTAGGAGAACGTATCTCTCGTCTGTGAATACCTACTGGGGGCTCCGGGGTGTAGGAAGGGCGCCACGGATGGGAATTAGCATACTGAGGTCTGTAGGTATCAGATTGGCGCGGATAGCGGAAGTCGGTACGTTGATGGGTGAGTGAGGGAGACGAGGGTCGATAAAAGTCACCCGAGGGATGATAAGAGGAATGATCCTCGCGGGACGGTCGTTCGGGAGACAGTGGCCTTAAACGATTGTCTACATGACGATTAGATGGCATAACGTGTTCTGTTCCTGGGCTGCAAAGGCGGCGATATTAGGCGCAAACAAGGATAAGGGTGTGAAGCTGACGCCAGCCACAACTTACACGTGTGTTTGTTTCCAGGCGTCGGATGGCTCAAACATTCGCTCTGCCATTGTGTCACGACGTCCTCTATTTCGTGCGACTGGTGAGGGCGGATTCCGCCTTTCAGGCCACGAAGACCCATGAGACGATGGCCAAGGATTTGTACGAGCCCGACCGCCTGCGTGTCGTGATGGCTCATAGTGATCTGGCGAAGGCGTTCGAGGGCGGTAAGAACGGTCGTTACGCCACGAATCAGGCCGATAGACATTTGGATAGTCGGATGTTGCCTGAGCAGGCACATAACGGTCATAGCCTGGACGGAAACGGGAGGGGCCAGGCGATGGAGATCTACGACTGTCGAGAAGATGAGGGGGACGCTATGATATACGCCATTCGTTAGTATGAGATAAGGCAAGTTGACAGCGCAGAATCTGACATCGTAGTCCGCTCGCGGGAGTCCACTCATGCGAGTATCGTTCTTTGCAGACTGAGGGCTGTAAGAGGACTTCTCAAAATTTCCCAAAGACATAATGAGAGAGACACAAATGTGCGGTTGGCACGTCGGGAAGCAAAAATCGCCAAGATGGAGAGTAAGCCCAGGTCTAAGACAGTTAGTAAACGAGACCTATAGTGAGACCAGAGTAATTATGAGACACAAACAGAGGTACATGCGCGAAGTCAGAGCGAGGAGAACATGACGATGGTTTGAACTCGAGCAGTTGGTGCCACACGTTCAGACGGCGCTTCAACGCAGCCACCTGCGCCACTTCTTCTGCGCCTTGTATTTTCTGACTTGTATTTTCTGAAATCACTACATAACGGTAACTTACCCTGAATTTGCATCTCATCATCTATGGACCATGCAGCACCTCCATCTCAGAAATCAGAAAAGTTGCCTTTCGAACAGACCAAAGTTCGAAGAACTATCCTCATATCTTACTGGATTGTCGTTCTGCTCGCGGTCCCATTGTGGTGGTATACAACTAGTATCGAAAGACTCTCACTTCCTGTATCTCGCATCAACTCTCAGCGGGGAAAAGAGGTTGTGCATCTTGCTATATCATACCTCGTTCGACTTCCTGATGACGCTTTAGCTCAAGTTTCCGCTTCATGTAAAGCTCGACACCTCAGCTGCTGGGTTGGACGCAGAAGCACTTTCCAGGGATGTGCAAGCAGCGTTTGATGTTGCAGCCAGTAGCTTTAGGCATCTAGACATCCAAGTCAGTGCGCTGCATGGTCAGTCACGCAGTGTCTTGGTCAAAACGATTTGGAGTTGACAGTGACTGAAGGCGCCCTCAGCTCAAATGTGTATGGCATCTCGGTAGTTCCAGTGCTTGAGGAACCTGTCGCCGAAGGCAGGCGGCTTTCAATACCTTCCCTGCAAGGTTGGTGCTGAAAGTGTACTCGTTATCACCCTCACTTCATACCTGATATGCATCTCAGTATCCCATATTCCTCAACTACTCACCTCTCTCTTCGCTCCATCTTCTTCACCTTCCGGCTCGGGGAGTGCTAGTCACCTCGTTGCCAAATACGCTCCGCATTACCGACTTGCTTTTACAGTCCTCAACGAGGATGCCGCGGATGGGACAGCAGTAATCGGTTGGGATATCCGCAATTCTATTTCACGTCAGTCCTCATGTCTGCGCCTTCCGTCCAGCAGAACTACTGCCATTCATCTTCTTGCTATCAGGACATCTCTCTTCTCTTCTCCACCGCATCTCGGCCCTACACAACTTCACTATCGAGAGCCAAGTCCGGTATCATGCGCCCTTAGCGTTTGAACCTCATCATGTCGGTCTTGATAATGAAGGCATCTATGGGCTGACGCAGGACGATCTCAAAGTTTTTGTTAATTCCGCGGAATGGACGCTGTGTCAGTGGTTTCCGTGTTTCATCCTCGATTTGGGTTTCATCTTATCATGTTTAGCGTCAAGCGCGTCCAACGATCCTGTACTCCATTTCATCTTGTTTATCCCTTCCGCCTCCCATACCCCGCTGAGGATACTCGATGCAAAAAGTGAGCTACATCAAATTCAGATTGAGCTAAACTCATATCACTGTCATCGAGACAACCCGACTTCCTCAAACGCTTTTCTCCTTCCACAATGGGGTGGCGTTGTCCTCTTCAACCTCCAGTCGGATCTCGCTCCTCAGACATTCCTGACCACATCCGATCTGGACCAGGTTTTCTCGATTTTCCGCTTGCAACTGCTCAGTCTACTCGGCGTGCCACGCCTCCCGCCAAACATTGTACCCGCCAATCCCAGCGACCCTCTAACAGACTGGCAACTTGACTCTCTATACCGACAACGGGCAATCGAAAACGCCTTCAGCAGTAAGGAGACGCTGGAAAGCATCGCAAAACTTGTCAATGAGATCCCCAACATGCCCCTGGGACAGGACGTAAGGGGTGATGTTCAAGATGCTTTGACGGCGCTGGAAAAGGTTTCTAAATCATCGACCATCTGTAATTATCACTGACTGTATCTTTCGAACCAGGTTTATCCAGCAGCTACAAATTCACCCATACTTGCGCTACAGTATTCCAGCCGAGCGCTCACGCTTGCATCTCGCGCCTTCTTCAACCCTGGTATGCTCGCGCTTCTATACTTCCCCGCTGAGCACAAGTACGCTGTCTACACTCCCCTTTTCGCCCCTGTGGCCGTACCATTGCTGGCCACTGCCCTCAGAGAATGGAAAAAGGCGCGCGCACGGAAAGATACAGACAAACAAGCAGAAGAAAAAGATGCTCCTCTCCGGGAACGGGAACATTAGACACAATTCGTCTGGATTGTATCAAAACTTTGGACTTCGATCTTGAGACTGATCGGTAGATTCCGATTCCCTCTGGAAATGGGTTTACACATGAAAAACATTCCTAAATATGACGTATGTGGTAACAGTGTGAGGCTGACAAGTGAGAGAGATGATAGAAACTAGAGACACATCGGACAACATGACGAGTGACGCGAAACGAGCAGAAAGATCAGGCGAGGGGGGAAACGTATGATGTATCAGCAACAGTACCGAAGCAAAGCTACAACTCAGTCCATCAGCGACATCCTCTACCCATCGTATGTGTTTTCCAAGCGCTCATGCCAATGCGCTATCTCTTCTGACCATACTCTCCGACTTTGTCGTGGGTTTTAGTTGAGTTCCTCGAGAGTGTTGCTCTCTTTCGCAGCCTCCTCCACATCGAAGTTCTCGACGAGATCAGGAACGTCGTCGTCATCGTCATCCGCGCCTGCATTGGCTTGCCTCTGTTGGCCTTGCTGGATGGCCTGGTACGATTCGGCGAGCTTGCGAAGCGATGCGAGGGAGTCGGGGCCGAGCTGGTTGAGAATGCCAGGGACGAGCTCAGTGAGCTCCTTAACCTGACCGGCACCGTAGATCGCGAACGTGTTGGCAGAGACAGCAGCGTGCACTACACAGAATCGATGAGCGACCGAAGACACATAGGCGCGAGGTACAGAGACCACATCAACAGACTCTCCGGGATTAGAAGCGATGTGCATCCTTTCTCACTCCTCGGACCTGCAAAAATATTCGTGCTCACCTTTTGGCGCGTTGAAGTGCAGGACATTCCCATCCTCCCTGAACATGTTCACCTCCTCAACACCCTGGATCGGCTGCACGTTCAATTTTTTGAGCGCGCCCTGAAGCTTTTTGTCGTCCTGAGCATTGGACGGCTTGGTTTTCCGCACTACCTTGCGGCGCATCGTCCCCTTCCCACCTGCGTGCGGTGAGTATCGGATATGCCCATCAGGCACGAGTCTCGCGATTTTTTGGAGGTGAAAACACACCGATCCTGTTTGCCGCAGCCTGAGCCTGCAGCTTCGCCAATTTTGCAGTGTCCATGATTTTGTTTACGGGACGAGGATCGAGGAGACCGTGCGGCGCTTGGGCTGACGAGAGTCCGTCGTGAAAAGATCAAGGTTTGTGTGCAAATACGCGCAAATACCATCTCTTTCCTACTTTCCGCTCTTGGACGCCCTCCGCCTTCGAGTCACAACGGTCTCAAGGTGCGTTGAACCCTCTCGCAAAACTCGGGCAGGGTATCCTGGCTGATTCTGACGGCCTTTTCAGTGTATATACCAGCAAGATGTCGGGCGCCGATTTTTTCATCCGCCCCACCACTGAGGATGACATCGTGAGCGCTTCCTTATTAAACATATATCGTATGTAATCTAATCTGATTCTTTGGCAATAAGCCTACAATCCTCTCTCTAATCTACGACCTTGTAAGCCGTTGAGAATTCATTACCAAGTTAGGTCTCAGAAAAGATTTTGTCTAGGCGACCTACGAAAAGGCGGCCCACCTCGCTCAAGCTACGCCCGAGCTGGTGGGCTTCTTGCTCTAATCCATCGGGGACACTTGACTAACGAGTCTGACGTCGTGATGCTTCAAATCCCTAGCTGAAGAGAAATTTGTTCGAGCTGCATCACGCTCACGCCCTTCTAGCATTTGCAGGGACCTCCGCGGAACCAGGCGAAGCGCTCGGCCTTGCACTTTACTATTTCAATTTCTCTACTTGGACAGGAAAGCCAGGCCTTTATGTACGTATCGAGCGTGTTGACTCTTTCCTCGCTGTGTCAAGACTGAGTATCCGATCATCACTGATGGGTCCGTCAAGCTTGAGGACTTGTTCGTTAAGCCCGAGGCAAGAAGCACAGGCATCGGGAAGGCATTTTTTGCCGAGCTCGGTGCTATAGCACAAGAGAAGGTACGAACATTGATACAGGCTCATGGTGATCAGAATCCTCAAATAGCACCTTTAAAGGACTGTGCTCGGATGGAATGGGTTGTCCTTAAGGTATGATCGTCTCGCTTCTTGCCGTCTTCGGCCTCGCTCCTGACCGATAGCGCGTAGTGGAACCAGCCCTCTATAGACTTCTATGAGAAGAAGCTCAAAGCCAAAGCCATGACAGAATGGATGGGCATGCGCTTGGAGGAGAGCCAGATTGATAATCTCAAGAAGCTCTCTGTTAAGCCAAACTAATATGTACGGATGAGTAGTCGCACAGAACATGGAACATCCATATGTGCCTTTCTCTCACCGCGTTGCGAGCGTGCTTATGAAAACCTCACTAAGATACCGAGGACAAGATACTTTCACATTTGGATATAGCAGAGTTGATATGCGAATTACAAGAATGATAGGCAGCTAAAAGCCCAAGAGGAATCCTAGGTCGGGTATCGCAACATGCATCAAACACCATCGTAGCTGGCACCTCCGGCCTGTTTCAGGTAGTGTCACAGCGAAATTCGTCAACAAAATATCCATAACAGCAACAATATCGGTAATTTCTGACCTTGCGCAAGCGGACCACAATAGGCTCTTCGTTGAGGTCATCCTTCTCCCTAGCGGCAACTTCAATAGAATATACGCGTAGGACTGTCTTGACGTCTGCCGCGTGCACAGAGATCTGCGAAGCGTATCGTTAATACACTAGAATGACACCGTTCATTAAATACGGGGCGTTGCGTCCTTCAAGTACCTCTGCTAATGAGGTACGTGAAACACGCGGGAGGCCGAGAGAATATGAACGAAAGCGCACTTACCTTAGCCTTCCTCATGACCTTGCAACCCGGACCGATCCATACTATAAAGATGAATTTCTCCCGCTGTGACTCCTTATCATTGGAGTAGGTGACACGTGCGTAAGCGTAGGACGCATTGTTTGTATCAAGAGCCTCGCGCAACTCCTCGAGACCACCGGAGCCTGATTTTGTGACGACTAACTTATCGGAGCGGTCGGACTAGAGGACGGACAAGCATCGGCGTCATTATGAGAAACTATGGGTCTGAAAGGGGTAATACATTCGCACCTCGTAGTCAATAAGCACCCAGTTCGTATCCGATTTGTTGGAGCGAACATCTTCATAAGCTGTATGTCTAGTCAGGATCATGGGGTGCGTGTTTTAAGATCGTGAACAGTGAAAGGACCTTCGTTAATCTTCGGATCGGTCACGTCGGCCATGGCAAAGGCGGTTGATGGGAGTGTGGAGACAGAAGGAAAAGACGAGACGTGCACAAAAGAGACAGTGAGTAGGGATGGAGAAGCAACGCAGCGGCTTGTATCCGTTGCTGTAGTACGAGCTGTCCATCAGGACCCCGGACTGCGCTTAGCGAAATGAGCTGCAGTCTTTCGCATGTTCTGGTTTACTTTGTCACATGAATAGAACACGCGGCAACACACATCCGTATGGCCTGCGTACTCCAATTATTTTTGATGTGCCTGCAAACGCAAATCCTCCGCCAACAGGAACATTTATTGGTCTGGAGGCTCTGGGGTCCTGGAGTTGCTATATTGAGCCGTTTCATCCTCGAGTACAAGTCTCTTCACCGGACGTATATGTCTTCCACTCTCCAAACCATCGTACGCTCTTTGCACCCGAGCAATCTCACCGCCACATCCTCCAGAATTTCAATATGTCAACCACTTCACCATTACTCGACGGCAGCAGAGAAGCTGCAACCTCGAGACTGGAAGACAGCTGGCTACGCTGCTCCGCGTTCGCTCTCCCAGAAGGAGCCCAAGAGCATGCTCGAGGAGCTCAAGGAGCCTGACGAACAAGCGTCAAACCTCCCACACTCAAGCAACTTTGCACCCCTCAAACCGCCCACTCCTGACGAGTGGAAATCCCACCGTGGGACGATGCGCTCCCAATTCCCTCAAGGATGGGCGCCTCCACGCAGGCTTTCGCGCGATGCGATGGAGGGCCTGCGATCGCTACATGCGTACGATCCCGCCACTTTCTCGACCCCAATCCTCGCACAAAAGTTCCACGTCAGCCCCGAGGCAGTGCGTCGGATATTGCGAAGTAAATGGCAGCCCACAAAGGATGAGCGTGCGCGCATGGTTCAGCGGGAACAAAAAACCAGACAGGAGTGGATCAAGCAGCGCAGGGTGGAAGAACGGATGAGGGACATTGCGGCCCAGCTTGAGGGGGATCAGAGAGGAGAATTCAAGACAGTAGGGGCTGCCGACCAACGTGATGGGAGCCGAAGAGACTGGGATAGGAAGAGGTCGGGGAAGGTCACAGGGATCAATCGCTATGACAAGCTTTCCCTGCAGTAGCACGACCTTCAAAGTTTTGGAGATCTGCTCTGCGGGACCGTCCAGCAGAAGCTCGGAGTTAGCGTAACAGGCGACTGTGCGAGAATGCTTTCGTAATGCATCTTTCCGGCTGCATTCGACGCTCCCGCATAACCTATCTGTACTGCTCATCGCATGTTTTGCCGTATCGGCTTTGTCTCCTCGCCGCTCTCCGACCGCACCTACTGTATCGCGCCGCATCAAGGGGCTTTTCACTTCGAAGGGCGCCCTTGCATGCGCGGATGCCTGCGTCGACCCGGTTGTATGACACTTGTGCATGACGTTCCATCGCAGTGTTCTGATTGACCGCACCCCTTCTTCAAGACCGCTTCCCTTGTGCATACTACAGACCCGATGACCTTCTCTGAGTAATCATAGGTATACAGAAATTTCCACGTTCCCCATGTTCCCCCCGCTGCAACCATGGGTACCTGCTTGACCGGTCTCATGTTCGCGAGAGAACGGTATCTCAGACCCAGTGAAGCGTTCCCTGGTCCATGCGAATGCACGAGGAGCGCATGCCTAGTCTGGTTAACAACTCAGTTGCGGTTGACCTGGAGGCACACATGGGTTCAGAGCTTCAACGCTTCAGCATTTGAATCAAGAGAAGTCTCAGTGTGAGAGAGGGTTCCCATTAGAAAATGCTATTGGTAACTTATCAGAGACAAGAATAACAAATATGATGGTCTCATAATATATGCCCAATAAAAAATAGTCCAGGAATACATATGGTCTAGCTCTATGTAGTATGACAGATTGACAGACACCATGACGAACCGAGGACAAAGGATGGAACAGGATGCCCAAAATACTCACAATTTAAAATACAATGTCGTCAGAGAGCACGGGAAGCAAGATGTTCATACTTTAGGAAGTAGGAGCCGTTGGAGGGCCGACATGAAAGAGTGTCGTTCCAGTTGGGGCGAGGATGTGGGTCCGCAATCCGTCCACCAGCGTCAACGGTGTTGAAGTCAAATTCCAGTAGGAGCATTGCAGTGATCAGTTTCATCTCGACCTTGGCCAGACGAGTTCCGAGACAGTTGACTCGCCCTTGACACAAACAGATTAGTCTCGAATGCAAGCAAGTTTGGCTTTTCGTGACGCACCTCCGCCCCATCCGATGTATCCAAAGTCCCCCTTGCCCTCTGCGCGCGCAGGGTCAAACTTCCAGGGGTCAGGGTAAATATCAGGGTTGAGGTGGACGTCGCTGAAGGGATAAATCGCGAATGCACCGGATGGCACAGACTTTCCGCCTATGTACATGTCCGGCCCCACATTACGACGCATAGCGACGTGCGGTTGTGCCATGCGGAGCGTCTCGCGGATGAGGGAATCGAGCACTGGCATCTCGGATTCCCAAACAGTAAGGGGAATGGTGGAAAGGAGCGTGGCTTGTGTAGTTGGTGTGGAGTTCAGTGGGTCGTTGTTTATCGAGTGAGTTGAGAGAAGGGCCTGCACTTCAAGAAGAGCCTTGTGTCGCCATTCTGGGTGACACCCGAGGAGCGTGATCATCCAAGACGCTTCCGGAAGCAAAGGGACACATCAGTATGCGTGTTTTCGGGACAGAGTGACAGGGAGGAACAATACCGATTGTGCCAGTCGAGCGCGCTCCAGCGATGAGAAGCCCCATTATGAACTAAGGGATAAAATGTTATCACAACTCGAGGGGCAACAAGGCTACGAGAGAAGAATACGCACGCCAACAATCATAGAAGGCTCGTCGCCGGAATCCAGGAGCATCTGAAGGCTATCATTACGTGACACACCGCTCTCTTTCCTGACCTTGATTGTCGCGACAACGATGTCGTATATTTCCTTAGTAGCACGGAACTTCATGATCATGGCTGGGCTGGGAAACCAAGGGAAAAGGACCGTTGCAGGCGTGGTGCCGCGATCGACCCTGTCGTATAGCTCCTTGAGGCGGGCGACGACCACAGGGTCGTTAGCAATTTCCGCGCAAGTCAGGCAACGCACAGTCGTCTGGAACACAAGCTAACATGATGAAGAGCAGGTCAGGACCGTGATGAGAACAGTGACATGGTCAGAAATGAACTCACTTCGTAAATTCTGTCGAATGGATCAAAGGTCCCGCTTTTCCCCCAGGACCCCATGATTCGCCGAGAATCCTCCAAGATTTCAGGTATGACTTCATCAGAAATAGAGTGTTAGTGCCCTCGACCAATCACACATGCGTGATTAGCACACTCACGCTCTGTCAAACGATCGTTCCTCTGAACAGTTGCTAAGCGTTTGTAGATCTGCGCTATTCTGCGTTGCCGCAGATCTGAGGTCACACCTTGGACGAAGGGGAGCTGGAGGGCGAAGGAGACAAGATTGTCAGAAATCGACGAGTGGAGCCATGACAGGACGTGAGACCCACTGCGCCCGACAACACTCTGAACCCTTCTTGGAGGTCCAAACCCTTTGCGTTGAAAAAGTCTTTCCTGCCCCGTTCGCCGGAGACTACAACGACAGGATTCTATTTCAACGAGATTAACCCGAGACGTTCGTTCGGTCAAATTGATCGGGATTCAATCAAAAGAAAGGAAATGCTCACCCGTAAGAGGCTGAATTGAAAAATAGGCTCCTCAGTGAAGCGGAAGCCCCAGTTGAGAAAGTCATAACGCTGGCGAAAGAACGGGATGATGCTAGACAGTCTATATCCTGGCAGGCTGACCGGTGCGTCCTCCTGCGCTCGTTCGTGAGCGGAGACATACAACCACCCAGCCAAGACACCGGCAAGACATATCACAGGCCAAGATGTGAGATTGCTTGAGATAAGCTCGAGGGAAGGTTGTAGGCCAACAGAATACATCGTCCAGAGACCGCTTGGCAAGGATATTTGATTGTGGAAAACAAGAGGCTGCCCACGGGTATATATACGCTGGTGCGGTCCACAAGCAGGGTATATCAACCGTCATGAAACGCCGAAAGAGCCAGGGGTACAGGTCGAAATGAAGAAGCCACCGTCGGAAAGCATGTAGTGACGGAGCCGGGCGATGAGCTGGAATCAGATCTTTTTTACTCGCCCTCAGGTTGCCTGAGAGAACCATTGGGTAAGTCCGAGCGTTTGTCACCTTATCCCAACCTTCTTTACCAGCCTCTGCCGCCCAGGACTTACTATGACAGCGGATTCTGACGCCATGTCTTGACAAGGCCACCTTAGTGGTCTTAATCCATCCGTCAGCGTCCGAGTTGAGCCAACTTCCCGCAGAGAAAGCACTAAAGATATCCGGTTGGATCAACCCGTGCGGTTCCGTATTCTTGGGCTTCCAACACACGTGGCTGCAAACGGTCATCCGAGATGACATATTCGGAGGGATTTGTCCGTCGAGTGCGCTGAGGCGAAAGAAATAGGTTGTTGGGGAGCGGATATGTTCAGCGGCGGAAACCTAGGACATGAAAGCGCTGTGGAATGCGGTGATCGTTACAAAAGCAGCCAGCAGGGTCGATCGACTTGCTGCTTTGGGACAGGCCGAGCCGCTCGCAACTCTCACAGCAGCCGCTGTGGCAGGCTGTGGCGCGACACAAGCCATCGTACCTCGCCGAGTGATCCCTGCCACTGTTGTTCTTGCCACCATGCACCATCATCACGTCGAACACCACCATGTGAAATGTCAGTCAGCCTAGGAACCGTCGGTAGACGCAGCGGGTCCGGCCGCTCTGATACTGGACCACCCATTTCCATACGTGGGCCAGATCGGACCACACGCGCGCATGGAAATGGAAACTTATAGAAACTTATGTCCCCTTGCGAGCATTGCGCTTGCATTTTCTCAGGAATTGCATCTTGTATATCCGCTTCTGATCCAAGTAGGTATTGAAAATCTTATCGGAAACCAGCCGAACTACGCCTTCAGGATCGGCAACCTAACGTGCCTTGGGAAAAGGTGCTCTTTCCCACTTCTTTCCCACAAGGCCACAAGGACATCACGGAGCATCACGACGGTTTATAGCAAAAACACACAGGCCTCGACTTTTGACAACACGTACCACGCCATGCGGACTTCAAGCTTCGAAGATCATCGGAGCGCTAACTATGACACAACCGACACTGGGACATGTCAACGCAACAGCAAGAGTCAGAGACAGACCCCAACACGGCTGTGCCAATGTTCGAACGCCGTAAGTACGCAGGCATAATGAGCAAGTGCCGCTAGCACCACACAAAAATGGAAAATTTGGTGCGACGCAAAGAAATAGTCAAACTTGCCGGGTGCAAGCCTTTCAGGAATTCTATTTGCGCTGTGGTGCGGTTTCAGAAGAATTGACGACAGTGCGGAGACGATGGGATGTACTCACTAAAGAAGAGCTCCGCCTATGTACAATGCGCCTGAGGCCAGAAGCCAGCGAAAGCCCATCTCCCGGCACAAGGGATCAAATCCGTGTGAATTGAAGGCATGAGTAACCGGCAGAATGCTGCACAACCCTAAGGCGATGAAGACTTTAGTGCGGGCTCCTCGGTGCGTGGGTTTGGCGTATTCAGGATTGAGGACAATATAAGCTGCTCCTATTGCACAGGTGGGCATCACGGAAGAGGTTTTTTTTGGAGAGAGTGGTGGGGACTGACCCAGACCAGCCAGGGTTATTAAGGTGAGGTATGTCGCTTGGAAATGTACTTCACAGTAAAATCCATAGTAAATGCAAGGATAGAAGGACCCCACGGTGAGGACTAGTTTCGATGGCATTCGGTTAGACTGGAAAAAAGGGGGACGCGTCTCCAGAGATGGTACCAATAATTCCAGAATAATCGAAGGCATGACATCGAGCGGAGACCTGCAGCACGCGCGATCAGAATCGAGCCACATAAGCGAAGGATCAGTCTCACCTCTTCCGAATGAGCCGTTGACATATGGAATAACGCACTACCGAACAGACAAAAAACCGCCGACGACAGGAAAATGACGAAGACAGCGTAATCGGCCCACGAGACACTTTGATAGGTCGAAAGATGGGCCGAGTCGAAGGTGCAGAGGAACCAGATGAAGACAAGTGCGGCTTCGAGATGGCTATGAATGTTCACTGGACATAACTCGGTCAGAATGTCAGCATCGGAGTCCGCTTTGAATGAGGGTCACCTGTTTCATTGTGCAAATCTATCAGCAAAGTTTCGTTAGTCGAGATGGCAGACTGAGAGAGCACTAGTCTATTCCGCGAGACAAGACTTACAGCCAAATACAGAGACGGCGCAAGCTCGCCAGCTTCTAAGTTCGCTGGAATATCACATATATTGCGTGAGCAAAGGCCTCACCGCGATCGCATGTCGTAGTCGGAGAGAACTTTGAAGACCGAGGAAAGACAGAACAAGAAAGGCGAGGAACACTAACCGTCTATAACCTCTTAAAATGTATTCATTGTCCTTCATCCATCCTGGAAGGTCGGACCAAGTGATAGTCAATGCTTCCGCGTTCTTTCCATTCCCGGCTTTTACACTGGTTTCCGACTCAACCACGATCGGCGGGCCGAACGTATGTCGTAGGCGGGGTGGGGGTGACATTTGTATTTTGTACGGCGGCGACACAATGCGAGAGTGTGCCAGTGACTTGTGAGGCGAGTTGGACGTGAAGCATCAGAGGTGTGGGGCGAATCCTAGGCGTCAGAAGTGACACCTTGTTGGGGGCCTGCGGTGAAATTTCACGTGCCCGTAGATGCCGCGGCCGGCCTGTGCGGAGGTCAGATCGAGATCCTGGAGGGGTCTTTTGAAGTACACTTGTCCCCGTCGTTGAGTGTTTGTTCTCCACTGCATTGCTACCACAAGGTGCCCCGATACAGGACTTTAATGGAAGAACTCGTGGAGCAGGTTGTCTCGAATGACTCAACGAACGTCGAACAAGCGCAGAATGTCACGCGCCACTTGAGCATAGATGGTTCTGTTTTCTGTTTTCTGTGGACTCCACTGTGACATCCCACTACCCTCAAATTACGCCTCGGATCAGCGAGGGCTACGGAAAGTCGTCGTCGACAACGGCACTGTCGCCCTTGTGCAAGAAGTTCATACAATTCCCTGTTCATCGGTCCTACAAAGTCCTACCAGCAAGGTAGTAAAAATACCCGATTGCAATCCCAAGATGACACGCATTCGACTCTCTATAATTCGCTCTTGATGATGATACTATAACAGCTCTCGCAAAATGCCTTGCTATCGCGCAAGAAAAACGCCGGATCGTCGAAAGGCTTGTCGCATCCCTGCGCGCAAACACGTCAAACTTAAACCATCCACAAACACGACCTTGGCTGCCACTCACCGTGCATGTGAAGCACTCCCAGCACCATTTCCCCCCGAGTGCCTCCACTGCCTGCGCCCCTGCCCGAATGGGCTTCGTGCACTTTTTGCACTTCGGCGACCGCAAGCGTACATGGCACGACTCGCAGTACGGGTACCCATTGTGCACCGTGAACCCAACGCCGAAGTCCGCAAAGTCGCCGTCGCCAGTGAAGGTCAACTCGCCGGCGCCCCTCTCGATCGTCGGCGTCAAAAACGGGTCCCCACACTCGGAGCAAAAAAAGTGTGGCTCGTGATACGTTCGCGTGCCCAGCTCCGCGTCGTCGAGCGTGATGAACCGCTCGTCGACGATCGCCGTTTTGCAGTGGTAGCACCGCGGCGCGAAATTCTGAAACACATAGATATCAGAGACCATGCAGCGCGGTCAGAGCGGGCGACGCATGCGACGCACCTCATGATAGTCGAAATGACAATACGGCCTGCCTGCGTGCTCGTACGAGCTGACATACTCCAGTAGCTCGTTGCAAACGCAGCATCGAAAACAACCTGGATGCCATCGCGTGCCCATAGCGCTCACGATTCTCCCGACGATGGGACCCTGGCATCCGCCACACGCGAGCCCTGCGCCCCGCTTGCCCGACGCAGCTGGCAGATGCGAATATCCGTCCGCCCCCACCGCGCTTGGTGGAGGCGGAGCCGCAACCGATATTGAGGGCACGTCGGATGATCCCGAGATGCTGATCTGCGGGACTTCTGGTACAGACACGTTGATCTGCGGCCCACCCCACCCGCCATCGCTGTCCGACGAGTCGCTGTCCGAGTCTCCAGGATAGGCGATCTTCGGGACACTTGGCGCGGGCTTCACAAACCGTGCCTTCCGCTCCGGAGTTGCGCGCTGCCGATGCTCGGAGAAGCGGGAGCTTGACGGGATGTTCGCAACTTCGTGAAGCGGAACCGAAGCCGGCGCGGGAAGCGGATTCGTGGATTTGTCGGGAGAGGGCGGATTGGACACGGGCCTGGATCGGGGAGGTAGGATAGGTGGAGTCTGGACTTTCTTAGTGGAATTTGTATCCGCGGATATACGGAACGCAGGAAGCGGGGGTAAGGGCACTACGGATCGAGAAGGCGACGAAGGCGAGGGCGAACGCCGCAGCGAAGGAGGGGGTGCATCGTCGAGGTCCACATACTCACGCTTGGAAGGAGGGTGACCGCCGATGTACTGTTTCGTGAAGCCGGAGCCGGGTGCGCGAGGCAGGGGCGGTAGGCCACTAGGCCAGCCTGATGGCGATGTGGGCGCGGAGGGGCCAAGAGAACGTGGGGTAGACGATTGGGCGGGTGTGAGGGTAGGGTCCGAGCGCAGTGTGACAGACTGCGCTGGGCGGTGTTGAGGCTGAAATGCAGAGTGTGGAGTGGGAGGCTGTGGAAGAGTCGATGAACGCGCCGGACGAGGGCGCGTAACCCTCACTTCGCCCTCGTGCCGAGCTTCGTCATGATCAATGAGACCCGAACGGTTTGGGAGGTCCCGGATGCCGTACTGCGGACTCGGAGTCCGAGGTTTTGTTGCGTCCTTGTCAGCATGAAAACTCAAGGGCTTGTCTGATTTTGTGGGAGACGGTGCGCGGGCGAAGGCGGACTTTGTCGGCGAGGCCGATCCATGTGAGCTCGATTGCGGCGTAGGGAGGCTCCTTACGGGTGAGGCCGCGCCACTAGCCGCTGACGATGCGTTGGCTGGAGAGCGTTGATGAGCATTGCCGCTACTGGGAGGTGAGCCGGGAGAAGGTAGGGCTCTCGGACGTTGGGAAGTCCCTTTCGCCGCAAACGTGGCGCTGATTGGCGAGCCTAAATTAAGAGTTGCTATGTTCGGAGGTTGTGCGGGAGAAAGAGGAAGGGGCCTTCCAGTATTGACGCTGCGGCTGCGATCTCGCGCTGGTCCTGATGAAAACTGCGAGTTGTTTGTTCCTGTGGAGCTATGGCTAGGATTCCACGAGAACCCATGATGAGCCTGGGGAGTCTCATTCGGGGCCGCGGGATTACGCTTCCAATATGGTACAAAGCTCGTCGGTCCAGGAGACGCACCTCCTTGAGTTGAAGAGAGGACCTCCTGCTGTGGAGCAAAAGCCGCGATGGTAGCTTTCACGGGACTTGGACTGCGGACACTAGTCCCCAAAGAAAAGCTTCCGCTAGGTAATCGGACATTGGGATGAGGGAGAGGCCTGCGGGAACTGGTAAGCGGGGAGATAGGAGAGGAGGCTGAAATGGGGGCTTGCGCCTGGGGAAGAGTACTGATAGGCACTGGGACTGGAGGTGGCTTGGATCTAGAAGAGGAAGTACTAGGACCAGGAGTTGGGACGGGAGTGGGGAGTGGGGACCGGCCTATGAAGGACGAAGTAGGTGGTGCAGAAACACCGGGAGTGGGTAGCGGTCGACGGAAAGCACTAACCACGGTCGGGCTTGTGGGATTCGCTTGAGAGGTATTAGTTTTATGAGCCAGCACTGACTGGGAAGGGTATTGTAAAGGATATTGAGGGCTTGGGGCAGAGATGGGCTGCCAGGGAAGAGGCTGCACTCGGTTCGGAAGCTGAACAGATTGCGGTGGTAGAGCTTGGGGGTAAGGGTAAGAGGTGGCTCGGAGGGGCCTCTGTGAGTAGTCGTGCTCGTGCAATGGCTGCTGCTGATGGGTTTGGTATCTTGGATCTTGAGGATATGCTTGAGACGGGTATTGTTGAGAAGCCTGCGCTTGATATTCCGGTTGCTGAGGCTGAGGGCTAGGTTGGCCGTGTATCTGAGCCATCTAATCGAGCTAAGTGGGAGAGATGTGTTCAAGATGGTGGAATGAAAGGAGAATCCACTGGCCAAGTGGGATGTCTTGTCGTGCTTACTGCGGTCGACGGCGACGTCGAGCATTACTATGACGCAACGCTCGGGGGCTCGGGACCCAGGGAACCCCTACGGCCGCCGCGTGCATTATCGTAGACCCAATGTATCCCGCCTCTTGCACCGTTACACCCCGCCCCATGAGCAATAGCAAGCTGAACACGGAGGGAGTCCTCCTCTTCGAGCAACCTTTTGCCAAAGTAGTGCTTCCTGGTGTTCTTCGTGTGTTGCCTCATTGACTCTCCCCTTAGGTTCCGTATGAGAACTACCGCAAGGTGTTTCGCACTGCACAGAAGAATATTGAGCGTGAACTTGGCGCCGTCAGGAGCATAGCAAAGGATGTGCCAAACGCTTCACATCCTCAGGAGGCGATAAATCTAGTAGACATAATGATCGGGAGAGTCGAGAACCTCAAGCGCAAGGTGTGCGCTCGCGTCCGCTCGTGTGGTGCGCTCTGACCACAGCTCCATCGTCCCTCAGCTGTCAGATCTTCACGAGGGTCCTGGATCGTCGGCTCAGGCGATAATGCGCGAACGAGTCAACCATCTCAGCTGTCTTGACACCGTGCAGAGTGCCAACGACCCAGAATACACGCGGTGGGCAGACGCACGACTGGATCGGTGGTTGGTAGACTGGGCGCTCCGGCATGGGAACGAGAAAACTGCACGGAAGATAGCGCAAGAGAGGGAAATTGAGGTATCAAATGACTGGAATTTTCCGTTCGCTGCTCACTCTGCTCACTTCGATGATTTATCTGGCAGACTCTGGTCGATATCGATCTCTTCATGGATATTCGGCGAATAGAAGACGCGCTGAAAAGGCACAGTTGCCTCGAGGCGCTCGCGTGGTGCAGCGAGAACAAGACTGCGTTGCGGAAACTGAAGGTAAGTGCACCGACAAATTCTCTTGTCTTCTTTCAGGAACTTCGAATAATCTGGGTCTCTCGATCGCTCAGAGCACCTTAGAATTTGATCTGCGACTGCAAGAATACATTGAACTGGCCCGAGCACGCAGGACGCAAGAGGCTATCGCTTACTCGAAGAAACATCTCGCGTCATGGCAAGAAACTCACATCGCTCAGATCCAACAAGCCTCCGCTCTTCTAGCATTCCCGCCCACAACAAATTGTGGACCATATAAGGTACCCAAATCCTGATAGTATATATATGTAACAGCATCATGATATTCCTATAGCGTCTATATGACCGCGGCCGCTGGAACAACCTCATCCTCGCTTTCCGCCTCGCGATCTTCAATCTGAACTCTCTCCCGTCCGAGCCTTTACTCCACCTTGCGCTCTACGGCGGCCTCGCCTCGCTCAAGCTCTCTGCATGCTATGACCCAGGCACCCAGAACCGCGACTGCCCCGTGTGCGATGCCTCGTTCAGGGAACTTGCGAAGGAGGTGCCGTTCAGCCACCACGTCAACTCGACGATCGTGTGCCGGCTGAGCGGGAGGATCATGGACGAGAACAACCCCCCGATGGCTTTCCCGAACGGCTACGTGTACTCGAGAGAGGTAGGTCCCGCACCCACATGCTTACTGCAATCCTTCTTTGCTTGATTCGTCGACCGCATCGCTTTGAGCCCATTTATTGACGTCGCTGAACTAGGCGCTGGAAGAAATGGCGATCAAGAACGAGGGGATAGTCACTTGTCCACGGTCAGGCGAGCAGTGTGAGTATTCGAAGCTCAAGAAGGTATTCGTTTCCTAGTTTTTTTCTGTTCGTTTCGGTGTTGTACAATTTGTATTATACATTACTTGTATGTATATCAGATGTCGGTGGAATGGAGTCCCAACGTCGAAACTAATCATAATGCTTCAAGGTTTTTATACTGGGTCGCACATTGTTCTACTCAATTGATCGGGTTTTTAAGTTTTGCATCGTCATTTATATCTAAGTCACTCCTACATGTTATGCAGCGGCTGGATTATCGAAGAAGTAATTGCCTTCGAGAGCGGCCGAAGAATCCCAATCATCGCTCGCCATGAACCGACTAAGCTGGTATCTTCGTAGGACGTCACAGACTTCTTTGTCGTTATATTCGCCCGGCTGGAGGAGCTCAGGTGATGGCAGAGGCGGTAACGTCTCGAACACACTGCGCGCGAGGCGCACCTGTTTGAGGTACAGCTCGGGCGGCTGCCGCGGAGAGTATTGGGTTTCGTGCTCCAGGATGTGCTCGATGGACCCGTGCTCGCGAATAAACTTGAGGGCACGCTGGGGGCCCACGTTTTTGATACGCTGCGAGAAGTCTGTGCCGAGCAGAAGGACAAAGTCGACGTAGCTCGCTCGATCAAGGTTGAGCGACGTGCGCACGTCCGTACCAGAGACGAGTATGAGTGGTTCTGAACGACTTGTGATGTTGCGAATTAAGGCCGCTTCATATACGAGAACGTCCTAGAAAACACACTTTGAGAGCCAGTTGACGGACGAAGAGGGGGTGGCCTTACCGTGTCTTCGCTAGCAACATAATCAGCCAGGCCATGTAGGACGAGCGATGATGCTAATGCCTCCGCTTCAAAGGGGCCAGTGGACTCTATGCATGGCACGCCCATGGCATGGAGGATGGCTTTACTTTCCTGGTAGGTTTCAGACGATGGTGGATTCCGCCTACGGAGGTATGATTCCGCGATCACACTGCTCTTATTAGCGATGGTCGAAAGGCGCGATTCCAGTGCATCATCGCCTTCTGCCGGCAGGCCTGATTTAACAAGACCTTCCCAGAACTGGCCCTCAGCGAGGGTGAGCTGATGCTGTGATTTCGACATGGCGATCTCGGCGCGGGCATCGCTCGAGTCGTCCGTCTGCACGCTTTTGCGGATGGCAGAAAACGTAGGCGCCGATAGTCCGTCTAGTCGGGCTGTGCTCCGGCGATAGCTGAGATAGAGAGCCTCAAGGGAAGACGATATGTCTTCCTGGACAGTGTCGGTGGTTGGTACCCCTAGCATCTCTAGATCTTTTTTCTCCAGAGAGGGTGCTTCGAGTTCAACCTGATAGTTTTGGTCGTACGAAGAAAAGGAAGTGTCTTCTGGGTCCCGTTGGGAGATATGACTCGGGTTTCGTGTCTGAAAGGGCTCGACATCCCACGCAGGTTGACCCTGCAGAGATGATGGCACATCCATGTCCTCCAACAGGATTTGTTTGATTTCGGATTCGTCGAACAGTCCCAGCCAGTCATCGTCGGCAGACTGTTGTACATCCCTGCCACCGGTTGACAAGACAATCGACTCCAGCTCAGCTGCAAGAGACGCGTCCAAGTCTTGAGGCTTTGATAGGATGGTCTTCAGAGTCTCGAAAGCGTGCTGTCGCTTACTTGGGTTTAGACAGCGATAGTTTTCGAGAACCTTGGTGAGATTTTGGAGCCTTTGCAGCCGTTCTGACTCAATCAGACTACGGGCATAGTCCACTCTTCGCACTTGTCTTCTCCGCTCGATCTTGAATGTGTCAACACATAGACGCCACAACTAGGAGGGCTCGACACACCTCATCACTTTTGGCCAAGCTGCGTTCTTTACCATCAAATACACATATGGCGTTAACACCGTTGTCCTTTAGTTCTTTAAGTAGACGATACCAGCCGAGGACGTGCCTGTATGGGTGGGGCATAGGCGCGAAGTGAAAGCGTTGAGTTATGAGGGTCCCATCTCTGAGTCATGGGGTCAGTTGGTGCAGAAGGAGCAAGTGTGGTCTAATCTCACATGACTACAGTCTTACCGCTCAGACCTTGGAGACGGTTCGTGAGTTTCTGAATGACTTGAGGGCTGTGACAGTTAGAACAGCGTCTCTGGGAGAAAGGAATAATGGCTCACCAGGTTTTCTGGAGGAAAGGTGTCAGTCCCGACACTCCCATAGTCGAAGGGGATGGCTAATGTCCTGGCAATATACGCGGGGCAATGAGCTATCATAAACTATGGAGAGGGGAAACGTGAGTGAGTGGACGCGTCTGGAGAGATTGCCTCGAGTGTCCTGGCGCGTTCATCTGCCACTTCACGGATCGGGCGCGTTTTGGAAGTCCGCTACGACCACGCTACTACTACTGTCCACGTCGTCGACAACGGTGCCCAGTCCTCTGTTCTAATTCCTCGTTCGTACTCGGGACTCGCCCGTTTCCTCATATCTCTTGTCGGAATATCGCACACGGCTATCGCACCATCTCAACCTGTTCGGCGGTATTGGCACCATAATCCATCATGTCTGTTATGCTCACGAAGTTCGAGTCCAAGAGCAACCGCGTCAAGGGTATGTAGTGTATCGGGCGGGAAAATTGTCGAATTGAACATCATCTCGACCTCAGGGCTTGCTTTCCATCCGACCCAACCTCTACTCGCTGCCTCTCTACACAACGGTAGTGTGCAGTTATGGAACTATCGCATGGGGGTCTTAGTGGATAGATTCGAGGAGCATGAAGGTATGTCACGTAGACAATTGGCGTTCACGAAGGTGTCATTTATCACTCATTATATTGAGGCCCCGTCCGCGGCGTCGCAATTCATCCGAGCCGACCACTCTTGGCGACCGGAGGCGACGACTACAAAATCAAAGTCTGGGGTGCGTGTCCTTGACTATCCAGGTAATATGTGTACAAACGCGTCGTAGATCTCAAACCGCAGAGCAGAAGATGTCTTTTCACTCTGCATGGCCATCTTGACTATATCCGCACAGTCCAGTTCCATCACGAAATGCCATGGATCGTAAGTTGAGTTTGATGTTTTCGAGTGCGAGCACGGTCGTCACGCGTCCTACTCATCGCAGATATCCTCGTCCGACGACCAAACAATCCGTATATGGAACAGCACTTCTCGCAACTGCATCGCCATCCTGACCGGGCACTCGCATTATGTGATGTCCGCCCTTTTTCACCCGAAAGAAGACCTTGTCGTATCTGCGTCGATGGATCAGACTGTACGTGTCTGGGATATATCTGGCTTGCGCAAGAGCACCCCGAACACGGCGCCCGGTACTTTCGACACTTTCGACACTTTCTCGACTGTGAAGTATGTTCTTGAGGGTCATGACCGCGGAGTCAACTATGCCATGTTCCACCCCACTCTCCCCTTGATCATATCCGCCGCGGATGATAGGCAGATCAAGCTCTGGAGAATGAGCGAGACGAAAGCCTGGGAAGTTGACGCGTGCCGGGGTCATTTCAACAATGTTTCCAACGCAGTTTTCCATCCGAAGCATGAGCTCATTGTTTCTTGTGGAGAGGACAAGACTGTCAGGGTCTGGGATCTGGCTAAGAGGTCGGCGGTACAAACCTTCCGCAGGGAACATGACCGCTTCTGGGTGCTGGCCGCCCATCCAGAGCTCAATCTCTTCGCTGCTGGTGCGTGTCCATCTTTCTCTTTGTCAGAAAAACAATCTCACCAGGTACTAGGACACGATAATGGTCTCATCGTCTTCAAATTGGAGCGCGAACGCCCCGCATTCTCACTCCACGGCGACATGGTATACTACGTCCGAGATAAATACGTCCGCTCGTATGATATCAACACCGGTGCAGACATTGGTCTGCTCAGCGTGCGGAAATTTGGCAGCCCATACGTGCCTCCCCGCACTCTAAGCTTCAATCCTGCCGAGCGCTCCGTCATCCTTACTATCTCATCCGACAACGGTATCTTTGAGCTCGCGGGATTGCCGAAGGACGCCGTCGGTGAGGTTAAGGATTCGTCAGTGGACGGGAAGAGAGGCACAGGACAAAGCGCCATTTTCGTTGCTAGGAATAGGTTCGCCATATTAAACAAGACGACTCAGGTGAGCTCAATAAGTATGGGGCGCATTTACCATGCTCATGTCGTATATAGCTCATTGAAGTCCGCGATCTTTCGAATTCCATTGTCAAAAGCATCAAACCGCCTGTTCAGACGAATGAAATCTTTTATGGAGGAACTGCCAGCCTAATTCTCAGCTCTACCAGCTCGGTGGTTCTCTATGATATCCAGCAGCAAAGGACGATTGCGGAAATCAACAGCCCTCCCGTGAAATACGTTGTTTGGAGTGCTGATGGCGCACAAGTCGCCTTGTTAAGCAAGCACAGTGCGTTTTAATAGGGCGCTATTTTATAGCGTCGGTTGTTATACTAACAATCCTGTGCGCGCAGCGATCACTATTGCAAGCAAGAACTTCGCTGCGAACACACTGATCCATGAGACTATCCGCATTAAGTCCGGCGCTTGGGACGATGCCGGCGTTTTCGTCTACTCGACGCTGAATCACGTCAAATACTGTCTGCCGCAAGGGTGAGTGTTATATGTTGCTTGTAATCATCATAACCTTTGTAAGCCTTTGACTCCAATCGTTGGTCTGTAGTGACCATGGCGTTATCTGCACGCTTGATAATCCCGTCTACCTGACTCGCGTCAAGGGGAAGACAGTACATTGCTTGGACCGTTCAGCACGACCTCGCACGATCACCATCGACCCAACGGAATACCGATTCAAACTTGCGTTGATTCGCAATAACTACGATGAAGTGCTGCACCTTATCCGAACATCAAACTTACTGGGCCAAAGTATAATAGCTTATCTCCAGCAGAAGGGCTTCCCAGAGGTAGATTTTTCTGACTGACATTCTCTGTACAACGTTAAACACACATTATGTAGATCGCTCTTCACTTCGTTGAAGACAAAAATACCCGGTTTGACCTTGCTATCGAATGTGGCAACCTGGACGTCGCGCTTGAAACCGCTAAAGCTATAGACCGCCCCGAGTGCTGGAACCGCTTAGCACAGCAAGCTCTCAAACAGGGCAATCACCAGGCAAGCCCTGTAAGCTCTTCTTTTTCTGACATACTCGACTGATACGCGTCATAGATTGTGGAGAAAGCATACCAACAGACCAAAAACTTTGACCGTCTGTCGTTCTTGTACCTCGCAACCGGCAGCACGGACAAGCTGTCCAAAATGCAAAAGATTGCAGATGCTCGGGGGGACCCCATGTCCAGGTTCCACAACGCGTTGTATGCAGGTGACGTTCCAGGGCGCATTGCCATCCTTCGTGAAGTCGGCATGTGTGAGTAGTTTGTATATGCGCTTCCACTAAAGGCTTTTCATACTTGAGCGTTCTTCTTAGATCCCCTTGCTTATCTTACCGCGAAGACCAACGGGCTCGAAGAGATCGCAGTGGAGATTCTTGAGGACGCTGGTCTCACAGAGGCAGATGTGGATGACGTACCCAACTTCGGCCGGTCTACCTTGAAGCTTCCTCAAGTCGTAACGCACACTACGAAGCTCAATTGGCCGTCAGTACCAGGTGGTGCCAGCTTCTTCGATCGTGCACTAGCCAACGGCAATCTCGAAGCGGGGACAGCGCCGTACACCAACGGTGTCGATAATGTGGCTGGCGCTTCTTCGGCTCTGGATGACTGGGCGAAGGATGAAGAGGATGTGGATGTCGTCGCGGATGAGGATGGGTGGGACCTTGATGCTGGCGCAGATGCCCATGCAGAAGAGGTAGAGAAGGAGGAACTTCTTGAAGAAGAGGAGTTGGGCGCGGGCGCGACGCCTGGCGTGAGTGAGACGGAAATCTGGACGCGCAATTCACCATTTGCGGCAGACCATGTCGCAGCTGGATCTTTTGAGTCCGCGATGCAGGTCAGTCCTTCTCAATTTTTTATGTTGCCCTTTCCAACGCTCTTCTGGCTGGCCAGTTACTTAACCGCCAACTCGGAGTCGTCAATTTCGAGTTGCTTAAGCCATTATTCCTCTCTGTTTACCGCTCGTCGCACACATACATTTCGCCATTTGCGTCGCTTCCTCCGCTCCATATACACCTGCGCCGCAACCCTGCAGAATCATCCATGACACGCGTCCTGCCTGTCGCTGTCCTGACGCTGCGTCAGATTCGCTCAGAGCTTTCGGAAGGTTTCCGTGCCGTCCTCGGTAACAAGCTTTCCGACGCCCAACAGACGTTCCGCTCCGTCCTACAATCCTTGCTGTTTGTCGTCGTTTCGTCACATGATGAGGCTAAAGAGGTTCGCACCAATCAACTACTCAATGGACCTTGCTCGAGCTGACTGATATACCATCAGTGGCGAGATACTGTTACGATCGCACGGGAGTACCTGCTTGGTGTATCTCTCGAACTCGAGCGTCGTCGCATTGCCCAAGAGGAACCGGACAATGTTCGCCGGAGCCTGGAACTGGCCGCGTACTTCGCGCACTGCAATCTGCAGCCACCACACATGCAGATCGCGCTCCGGAGCGCGATTCAAGTGTTCACGCGCGCAAACAACACCGCCACCGCAGCCAAGTTCGCGCGACGACTCTTGGACCTCAATCCCGACCCCAAAATTGTCGCCCAGGTACGTCGGTGACTGCGGATCACGAGGTCGGAGCTATGTTGTAGACTGATATCGCGCTACTCGACAGGCCCGACAGCGCATCGCGGCGGGCGAACGGAACCCGCGTGACGCTGTGGAGATCACGTATGACGAGTTCACGGAGTTCGAGGTGTGCGGTGCGAGCTACACTCCGATCTACAAGGGTTCATCGTCCGTGCGCTGCCCATACACGCACGCGGCGTTCTTGCCCGAATTTAAGGGCACGCTCGATCCCCTCACGAGGCTAACGGAGATCGGCGCGGCTGCGTCGGGGCTGCCTGCACCACGGTAAATTAAGCTAGCACACGGCGCGACTGACAGACGCGGATGTGGATTCTGTAGCATGGTGTGTTTGAAGGACGTTTAAAGTGCAACGATTATTCTTTTCTTTTTCTTCTCAAACAGCTACGAGAGACCAATTTGCGTCCCAAAACGTGAGGCACATGATGCTGTGACAGGATCATGTGATGCTCTTATAAGTGTGCGCGGCGTTTTCACGTCGACGCGTTCGATCGCTGTTAATACACGGCCGATACGTCCTTGTCAACGTCCCAAAGCAAAATCACAAAACTTGATCCATGAAATCGCTCAGAGACCAGTCCTCTTCGCCTCTGCGCTCCTCTTCGCCTCAACCTGAACATATTGTTACTCAGTCGCAGCATGCAGGAACATCCAGTTTTCAAAACAATGCACGGCGAAGCCAAGGCGTGATGGAGATTATCAAAGAGTCACCTCCTGTGCTCGACTACAACGCGACCGTCGTCCAGGCGTTCAATGACGAAGTTGTGCGCGACGACCGTCACCGCGAGCGTAAGTCCATGCGCATATAGTCGTCGGATGACAGCTGCGAACGGCGCAAATGTATGTATGTGCTCGATATACTGAGGACCGCTTTGACAGAATTCAACAAAATGTTCATCGAGTTTTTCATATCGTTCCACACGTGGGCAATGGCGCGCCCGGCGTTTGAGAACGAGCAGGCGAGCGATTCGTTCGAGGCACAAATCAGTGTCTTGGTCGCAAAGGAGCGAGAACAAGGCAGGTCCCCGTCATCGTCCCCGCCCGTACTTGTTGCGCGCCCGTCTCTACTCGGTACGCTGCTGCTACCTCTCGAGGACCTTGCTTCAGTACTTCTGCGTCTGCCGACCTCCCTTCACTCTTTTGGATTTTGTTTATCTATTGCCGACTGACGATCGCGGTCTCTCGCTTTAAGAACAGGCACGACGTCGGCTTGCGCGCTTTTTGGAAGTGATACAGAAGGCTGTCTTAGAACTGACGGGCAGCATGACTGGCTTGTAGACCGATTGGTGGCGTCGGCGATTTTTTTTCCCCTCCTAACTTTTTCTTCCATCGAATTACCGCGAGGCGATTCTAAGATTCTGGCTATTTTTAATATTACTGTGCCCGACGGCTGCAAAAATGAGAAATGAATAGTTTCCATAAGCGGCAGGATGAGTTACCAAGTCTGGCTGCTTTCCGAAGAACCGACTCGGCAGAATCTCAGCCTTCGCCATCCTCCGTGGCCCATCCCATCCCTCCACCGTCATCGTCGCCTTCGTCCCCCACCGTTCTTGCTCAAAATTTCGCGTTTCCTCACCCGAATAGACGGGCTTCATCATGAGCAGTAGCCCTCAGCATTGTTCCTTCGTCCTGCTCGCCGAATTTGATATCGACAGAGGAGCTCAACTCACATATCAGTTTCCCCAACCATTGGGCTCCGATGAGGGGTGCGTCTCTAGTCGCCCGTGGACCACCATCCCAGTGTTCTGACGGTCACTGCTTGCCACCGTCCGAACAGTCTTCTGGCCAACCTGATGCTGCCCGACGGTGCGGAAAAGCAGCTGGAAGATTGGACCATATTCTTCCTCAACCAGACCCCGTTCAACACTATCGCACCGGTACTTGCGTTGGAGAAACCTACGGCCAATGGTCATAAGCAGGAGGGCGACGAAGAACGTGACGCAGACCAGCCGGAGTTGCTGTATGTGCTGAACCTGGTGCGGACGAAGCATGACAAAAATGTCAGAAGGTATGTCTCCTTCCCCAAGCTCAAGCTACTGTATATGCTGGTGTTACGGGTGGGATTAACGCCATTTTGATATGTAGAGGTGCCGTCGTGAAAGCCATGGCAATATGTACACGCTATCCTTTCATTCAGGTCTTCAAGGTGAGCTTCTGAATCGCCGTCTCTCACAGGGATATTCACACGGGCGACAGCCTGTCCTTCTGTTAGCGCTCGATGACTACTTCTCAGCCCCTTCACAAGACTGTTTAGCCCGTCTCTTCGATGCCATCAATTCTATGGAGTTGGCCGCTGCACCCACACTCACTCGAGCGGAGAAATTAATCATGAGGACTTCGGAACGTAAGGATGTGTTTGCAGAGAAGTTCATGCAGGCGCGACCGCCGACTGAAAACCTGAACGCCGGAGGACCGTCAAACGCAGCTCGCGGCTCGCACCGAACGACGCCATCCGAGAGTTCACACTCGAGTTTCGAGGATGGAATTTTGTTGCGGACGAAGGACGGCACGGAGGTTGCTCGGGAGCGTCCCAGTACGGACGGGAACACGACAGCGAGGCCTCTGGGGCAGTACTCGCCATCAGAGAATTCGTTCTCCCTGGGCGGAAGCGCGGTGTGGGTGGGCGATGAGAGTGGCCTGCTGGAGCAGACTTCGCTCGCGAGTGGCAGTAACGGTAGCAGTTCTGCAACCACTCGGGGACGTCGGTCGACCGACGCGTCTTCAACTTCATCACACGGCCAGCACGCTCACGGCTATGGAAGTGCGCTGCCGATGCATTCTGGGGGATCCGACCCCCATTTGCGACCCTCCTTCACCAAAGACACTCATTTTTATTCCACGATCATCGACTATGGCGGTCACCAGCTTCCAATAAAGATGCCTCTGTCTACATTTCCGGAAGAAGTTGGCGATGTGAGTTGAATTCATCTGATTTTTTTGACCGTGTTTACTAGTAGATACTAAGAGATGTTACACTATTCACGCGGCATATGCTGACATATTCAACAGTACTCCCTCATCCAACTCATACAGACATTCTCGAACCCGATTGCTACGACCGCTGGGCCACTCCACCCTCACCTGCATACTAACGGCAGCCTTACACATCCCATCATCATCTTGTTCAACGCCCTTGTCACCGGTAAACGAATAATCTTCTTGGGGCACAATCGGCCTGCCGGTCAGGTCTCGAGCTACGTGCTGTCCGCGTGCGCCCTTGGGTCTGGATGTGGCACCATCCTCCGCGGTTTTATTGAGCGTGCTTTCCCGTATGCGAACTTGACGAACAGGGAGGAATGGGAGTCGATGTAAGTCTAATTTTTGCAGCCGGGGCAGTTGGCTTTTACTCTTTGGCCGTCTATCATCTGACTTTGCCTGCACTGACAGTCCCGCATATATCGCCGGCGTGACGAACCCCATTTTCGAATCGTCGGGTTCTTGGGACCTCTTGTGTGATGTGGGCACAGGCCGCATGATCGTGTCAAAAGATATCCATGTGTCACATCCTCCGCTGGTAATCCCGACGGGGGCACCGCCCTTCATTGTGCGGACAGGGACACTCAAAGCGGAGAGCTCCATTGGCAGTGAGGACGATGTCGGTCGAGTGCCTGGCCGAGAAAAGGAGGCGCAGAAGAACGACTACACCGCCAAAGCAGACAGCGCGGATAACGTCTTCATCGAAGATGTGAGTGCCATCATCTGCGTTTTTCCCAGACCTGAAGACCGGGGCTGAATGTCGCCTGTACTGTGTCGGCATCGAAATTGTCAGATCATCACTGCGATCAACTATCACTTCGGCGAGGGCCTCGTCCGAGCGCGCTTCACGGAGTACGTGCACCGGTTTATACGTCTCGCGTCCCGTTTCGAGGAAGACGTTACGGGGACGACCACGATTGGGTTCCCGAGTGCCACGTTCAGCGAGGGTCCAGGAGAATCATCGCAGCTCGGGAGCGGGATTGTTTTTCTCGACGAGGCTGCTGGCGCGCGTGAACTTGCCATGAATGCAAGCCGAATCGAGGGCTGGCGACGGACAATGACATATCAGTACTTCCAAGAGGTGCGTGGCATGGTGTTCTTCCCCCCTCCCACCCTGCGAAATAACTCAGGGTGGGCTGGTCCGTTGTGGGATCCTCCTGATCCGGTGTGATCGCAGGACTTTAAGCGGATGCTGGCTACCAGTGCCATCCAGGGCTTCGATGTTTCGCATCAGCTGTGGCGTCTGCGGCATGTGAAGCAGATGCAAGATGTTGAGGTAGAGCTGATCATGCGTGCGATGGCGGAAAGCGTGCAAACTTATGATCAGGTCGTGGAGGTGCGTGATCGATCCCGTCGTGCTTTGGCTGATCGTTTATTCATCATCTGCCTCGCGATCTGTGCTCGCATTAGCTTCTGGCTCTCTTGCCTCCCCATGCAGGCGGACTGTTGCCTATCAGCTTTGGGCTGTTGCATCAGCAGGAGGCCGTCCGCGAGCTGACGGTTGATCTGTTCTCTCAGCTGCGCCAATTTCCGGTCAGTCATAATCATGTATCTCCTCACGGTCTCACTTTGCCCACGAATTTGACTGATGGTGGTGCGCCTCGCCTGTGTAGATTGGAGTGCAGTTCCTCCAAGCGCTGAACCATTTCCAGCGGTACGCGTATGTGCGCCAAGCGCATGCGCGGGAGAACCGGCTGATGAAGGAGAATCACTTGCAACTCCCTCCGCCTCCTAGCATTTTTTCACGGACACCGTCAAATCGCAGCGAATCTAGCCTAGGAGCAGGTTAATGACGGACGCATCGGCGAGGCCTTTTGGCAGCTGTATATACAGTATACCCTGTCTTGCGGATTTACTATCTTATAGGGAACTCTTCGTATATTCATTGGAAGACTACGCATCCGTCGCTGTTTTTTTTTGCTGTATGCTTTCTATTATTGAGACAATCTTTTGGGCTGACGAAACATTGCATGTTGAAATCAAATTTAGTGTCACAGGTGTCTGCAAGAAAGGACCGGGATGAAACTGGAACGTTTGTGGGCAGCGTCGATCGCAAACACGCCTGTTTGGTTGTCTTGCGACGGTGCTTCAAACTTCACTTTTACAATGGGGTTGCAGCGTGCGCCTCCACCTCTGCTTCAGACAGCAGGACAAAGTCATACTGGGCTAACTTGAACGGCGCGCTGTTTGGGATGCCTCGTTTGGCCGCCTCTTCGGGATCTTGGACGTCTTTCAAAGTCTATTTCAGGTGGCCGTCAGCGAAGGGCATGCTGGGTGAATGCACTTGGGAGAGCGACGCACGATCACGAGTGACTTCTTGGGCCCAAAGACGACGTCGGTATTGGCCCATTTGTCGCCCGCCGGGTACAGCTGCGTAGTCAAGGTGCGGAAGCCAGCAGCTTTGATGATAAGGTGGACGTGGGCTGCCCGCATGTTGTGCCGGTTCCATACCCTGAGGAGCTTTCCCACCGGGCCCTATGAGGTAAAGGTCAGTTTACCACGCACAGGTCACACAGTGGGATACAGGGCGGATGAATGAAGCTGCGCACATCATCTGGCATAGGATAAGCAAGAGGCACGACGCCGCGGAACGCAAATTTCCCTTCAGAATTGGTGCGCAGTCGGCCCCTTCCATTCGGCTTGTCGCGAACATTGTATTGCACATCGTACAGCCCTGGCGGATTAGGTGTTAATCCAGATATGCAAGGCGTCCGCGTCATCGCATTGTGTTTTTGGATGAACGTACCATTCTCGTCGGTTTCCCAAGTTTCCACGACAGCGCCATCGATGGGCTTCCCGTCTGTGGTGAGCACGCGGCCCTCAAGAAACAGATATTCCGCATTTCCGATGCCGTGCTCGCCGTCGATGATGGCACCTCCATAGTTGACTGTGTCCGCCATGAATGTGAAATCTGACAGGGCTATATATAAGAAGACCGTACTACACTCACCCTCTGGAGCGTCATCCGTAAATGCAGGGCCAAGAAGACAACTCTCCGTAGCGTTCTTCAATGGCGGGTTATTCATTGTATCCACTAGGGCAGACACACCGAGAACATCAGACAGCATGATGTATTCCTGGCGCAAAGGAGTGCACAACTCCCCCACTTCCGTCAGGAATTCCATGCCCTTCGTCCATTCCTCAGTCGACAATCTAGGACGCATATATCCACATTGTTGATCGGGACGATCAATAGAAACTGCACTTACTTTGTTTCTTGGACGAACTGGTGTAGATGGGTGACCAGGGCGGTAAGGACCTCTTTCGTGCGTCTCATGAAACCGTCAATGTCACAACGAGACATGCCAACATTACAGACCTACTGGTCTGGAACTAGCTCAGTCAACTTTAGGATGTTGGCTGTGACAATCTCCGGCCTGTCTGGGTACTACATAGAACATCAATGGCCAAGCATCAAAAAAATCCACCTAGCCCCAGTAATAGTCCGGAGCGATGGCTGAATCGCGCACCGGTAGCTCTAGCTTTGGCGGCGGAATGCCATTAGACTGAGGCTGTGATGCTGTGGAGTTGGCCGACATCGTTGGAGCGTTGACTTATCGAGTGCAGTCTAAGGAGACAGCTTGGAGGAACACTGGAGGAACTTGCTCCTACGGGTCGTGATCAGATCCACGCTCATCGATTCATCATTGGCCCCATATGCCTCATTCCTTCACATCGCTCACCTGATATACATGCATTCTCACATAGCCTGTGAAGTCCAAACAGCTATAGCTTCTTTGGGTCAACATAGAGCTCTATTTATGGATTCCACGGTAATGCTCGCTCATCGTCTGCTTCGGAAACATAGTTGCAAACGCTTACGTCTAATTGAGGCATAGTAAGTGCATTGGTAAGTCATTTTGCGCACAGGTACTTATCGGACGCTTAGATGTTATCTGCCGCTCTGCCGTTACGCCCAGACCTCAGCTACCGAACTCGGTGAAATAGCATCGACAAATGCAGTTCGCTTCGGACCATACACATCACTTTTACCCGCTCATGCTCCATGAAACATCTGCTTGTCCCGTTTGAAATGTGCACAGCTTGTGGACGCTGTTACACCACAGCGCCTCTCGCAATGCGTTGCGGGACGCAAAAAATGACGTACCTATGCCCTAGGCTCTAGCAGAGAAGAATGTTACCACGTTAAGGACGTCCTGCGCCGCGGGAAAGGACCTATAGCGTATTTTGATAATGATTCAACAAATAAGCTATGATATACTACATGATTTTTCTCTACTCTTTGGCTACATAACATGCATGCGTGGGTATCGTGTTTGAAGTAATCGAGAAGCCAAAATATGTCATACAGTAGCATACACCTGTTCTAAAACCCTGAACTGTTCTAAATGAGTGAATCAAGACAAAGAGTAAAAGGGCCAAACGTGTATCTACTTATACTTCGCTATTCTCAGGTAGGGAAGGACCCCGGCTGCGAACCCCGAACGAAGGCCAGCTGAAACTGCTCCGAAAGGATCCAGGCAAAAGCGTACTCCAGACCGCAAGCACGAAGACACCGATGAAAGCCAAAGAGACGACTGCGACTGGGAATCCTGCATAACGCGAGAGCATGTAGAGTCCTTGGGCAAAAAAGGCGATTAATGACCAGATAAAAAGACCCTTCGGGAGAGCGTAAACGGTCGCGATCGGCTGGTACCCGTAAGACGACTTGTGTTCGTTGAGGTAAACAGCCTGCGATGAAATTGATGAGCTCAAATATATGTGTAAGACTAAGCAAAAGACTTACTGCTTCACCTGTGTCCCATTTGGCGAGTCCCTGTTGGTGCTGGGACATAATAACGGTCATGACAACACTCGCTGTGGAGAGCACCACAGAGGACACAGTCGCAGCCGGCAAAGCTGCCGAGGGTAACACCAGCAAGTTAGATCTGATGGAAACAGTCAGGATACGGTATGTCAGAACATGAAAGGAAAATCGTACATCAGGAGACCAAAAGCCCATTGCATAAGTGTCTTCCACTCGTCAGAAGTTTCGTTGACAAAGCTCCTCCATACACTCAGATAAGCCAAATCGTCAACAAATAAATCTTGGAAACGTTTGCGGTATCCTTCAGGTATATTGAAGAGCATAAGTGAGAGCGCGGACAGAATGAGGCTGCGTTTGGCCTCCGGTGCCACAAGGATGGCTTGGTCTCTAGAAAGCCGACAGTGCTCCTCGCCGTAATGTGTCTGGTGCCTGTAGGTGGACAAGAAAACCCAAAGACGAGCAACAAAACACGTAACGCGTCCGTCGGCAATTCGGTCTGACACGGTATAGAATTAATACAAGGCCACGGGAAGTATCAATGCCACGCACCACGGCTATCGCGGAGGATGTTGTTGAAAGTGGCACATTCCTCAGCTGAGTACGGAAATGTACTGACGCCTGAGGTCAATTGATCTGAACGTGTGATCTAAGTATGGAAGTCGGTGGCATGAGAAGGAAGCGTTGACAAACCTGCTTGACCGTGTAAGAAGGTGTTGAACAGCTCATCGAAGGCTTCTTTGGTGACGCCACCAAAATGCATGGGAAACTGCTCAACGAATTGCCAGTATTCTGCCTCCAAAGCATGCTCTGAATGATGGTTAGGACGCGATGATGATAAGGAGGCACAATTCGACTGACTGATATGATTAGCCGAGTGGGACTCGGGAAGGCCAAGTTCGGAAGAAGTTTGTGCATTCAACCAGAAAACCGTGCGGTTCGAGTGGTCGACGAAGAAGTAGCGGCACTTCTCAGGCTCGAGTTCGAGCCACAGCTCATCGCAGTCATGCATGACCAAGCCTAGCTCAGAAGCCCAGGCTTCTATGACCGCAACCCAAAGCCCTACAACAACCTTGACTTCGGGCCGGGAAACAGCTGCCTCTGTGACCACGTGGAACTTGTTCAACTTGAGAACCGAATAGGGCTTTCCTTCAGGATGAGTGAAGGTCTGCCAATCTTCTGAAGAATACGGAGGGCTGTGAACAAGGCGTGCATTAGATATCATGCCACTGACAAGTGGAAGCGGAATTCCATACACGCTTGCTTCCACGGAACCGCGCACTGCTGGAACGAGCACAGGCGAGACTTCGACCCTGCACAGCCAACCGATATCGATGTGAGAAATGATGGGATTAAAGATAGACAGTTTTGGAGTAGTACCTCGTTGTCTGCTCGTACCTCGAGTTAGAGGAGGGAAGGGAAGGGACCAATCCCGCGCGGTCGAAGTTCAGAGCGGAGGCTATCTTCAGAGGGGAGCTCATGTTGTAGAGTCTGCGAGGGCGCTAATTGTGGGCGAGGAGTACGATGATGAACTTCCGACCGCTGAGAGTCTTTATATCCCGCGCTGCTGTGAAGGTGGTCATCCGTCACGCACCACAGCCACAGCCACGCAGTGCAATGCTGTAAATATCTATTATTTATCAGTAATCAATAATAATTATGTGCATCGCTATTGCCTAATCTTGAGGCGCTTTGGTCGCAACAGCACCGGTTTCAAAACATGTGTCAGCTTCTCCCGCGCCGTTCGAGTCCACCATCATGTCTGCAGCTGAAGAAACCCCCCCAAAGGTTGCCGATGAGCGTGATGAGCTCCATGGCGGGTGCGTTGCGGAAGCAAAATGCTGCAAGGCAAGCTGGACTAACTAAATCGATCCGGATTAGGATAGATCCCGCCCAAGACCAGCCGGCGCACACAGCCTCAACGGCTTCTGACGGAGAGCCCGCAAACCTCCCAAAGTTTGTCGCCACCGCTTATTGTCGTTCGAACATTCCTTTAACAGCCTCTTATTATTATTCGCACAGGCCTCCAGTCACGGACGGGTATGTGCACCGTCGTCAAGCTGTTCGTCTCATTTTCACCGATGACCAAACAGGTATGTGCCCTTCAAACCGAGAGGAAAGCCGAAGCAACCCATCAAGGCCATCCCACCGCCCAAACCTCGCTAGTCAGCAATGTAGCTGGGATGTGGATATGATACCGAATTTTCTGTCTTGTAACTTCTGGAGGTAAGTAATCCTATTTAATCTTAGACAATGCCTGATTCCTTGCTACAGAAGTCTGACAGCTCCTGTAACAATTACATGCTTCTTGAGTACCCGATTGATGAATGGAATATATGTACGAATATCATCGCATCGCGCCCAACAAAGCCCTGTGACCCGCCATGAGCCAGCGTTTTCGCGGGCTGTACATCAGGCGGAAAGTCTGTGACGATGTGATCCATCCTGGGAAGAGATTTTCAATGATTATTTGAGTATAGGTTCTCGGTTAAATGTGTGAGTCGCTGCAACAGTGCGTTAATAAGGGTCAGGCAGACATACAGGGACATCGGTGAAGTGATATCCGCCTCTTTCTGAGTCATTCTCGCTAGTATAGATGCCAAATACACTCAAATTTGTCGATCACTCGTACACTAGGGCCGGCGCTGTTTTTGTATTTTGGGAAGAACGTACAACATCGCCAGCTGTAGCTGTCAGTCCTCGTACAGCGCCGCCTCACAATCTTCCGTTATGTCGGATAGCTGAGTTTTGTTATTGCTGTGCTTTCAAGGCTCGCAAAAGAAAATCTGTCTGGGTCTCTCATCGTTCTATCTCATCATAGGCGCTCAAAAATGATACTTCGCATCGTATTCAGATTCCTGATAAACCACTGAGGCAAGTACCGCTCTATATCTACCTAACTCCCACTCGCAGCACTACGTCCAGAGAAAATGATCAACAAGCAGGAGGATCTATCTTTGATTTCATTGTCATTCTCCAAAACCACTGGGCTCAGCTGAGGTGTCGACCGGTCCGGGATTTGGAGGCAATACAACCGACGAGCGCGATCCGTCCAGGGCTGCATGCAAATACGACGTGATTTAGAGTAGACGCCCTCGTCTGGGTTTTGAGCGGTTTGAGAATTCGGTCATTCTTGGAAGTCATGGCTTTCTCACGGCTATCTATCTAGGCGCAATGGTGTTCTCTTCGTCCATCCACCCCATATGCGAGGATCACACAGGTAAATGTTCAACAGACCTGCATATGTTGTCCTCTGACTGTGCTGTAGTTGTGGCGGTCCAGAGACCGATGCATCTTGGATCCATACGAAACATTGAAACTTCTCAGGCAGACCGGTGTTATGGGCGCCATGTTCGGATTGAGGGCCTGTGTAATAGACCGGCTTTGCGTCCACTACTGAAGCTTATACACGGGCGCTGGTGGTTTCGGCGCCGCTGGCTGACAATAACAATATATGTGGGGGCTAAAGCGCTGACACTAACGGCGCCGTCTATCATTTTTTTTCGACAAGCGTTATCATTTAAGTAGCAACTGACAACAGGTTCAACCTTATTTAAATACCCTATCATAGCGGGGTGCCTTTCAGGGTGGAGGTCTCGGTTGGTGTCGTCTATCATACTTCATGGATACCTGAGAGTTGAACGCAACAGCCGCAACCTCAACCATCTTGATACGGTTTTGATCAATATCTTGTTGTCACAGGGATCTGGATTGAGTTGGCAGGAACATCGCAATATCCCAAAACGTCTCTTCCTGGAGTACATCTTCGTGGGGTCTGCGTTTATTGAGAGGTGCCACGCGGGGATCGGTCAGTCCTTGAATTGCATGGGTTTCTCTTCGCAGGTCCAAGAATGGCATGAAATCCTGATCTTTTCGTTCATATACACTGATATTACGGGATTCATCCATCGACATCTCCATGGAATTCTGGAAGACGCTCCATCGAATCGAAGGTCGGTATCGCGTCGACACATTCTGTGCTGACAAAATGTACCAGGTCATGCATTACCAGTGTCTGTCCCAGCCCTAGTGGATCGACATAGTCGAACGATCAAATCTCTCATCCACACCCCACCACCTTTAATAGTGTCTAACCACCTGTTGACTCGCTCCTGAGTTTCCCATGCAGAGGATATGAAAGCGATAACCCCAAAGTTGTGATCGCCAATGAGGCCAACCCGACTGGGATGCGGGTCCAGAGTTCGGTTGCTCTAAAACAGAGGATCAGGAGCGCAGTGAGGAAAGTCACCATCCTGCAAGCGGCGAAGTCAAGTAAGTGGATGCTCGCCCATGTGATCAATGCGAAGTATGACTCACGCCCACATTAGAAGAGCATAAGGAATGCTGTAGATTATCACAAGTGGCTCCAAGCCGAGCTTAGGGTGGTCTCTGTTTTGCAGGAAGATGGTCTATAAAGAGCAATGACCCGATAAGCACTACCTTGAATCCAAGAAATGAGGTGCGTACAGCTTCAAATGGATCATCTGGTCGATTTCTGGTACGGTGTTGCCGGACCAACAGAAGGCCCAGAATGATGCTCCCGATTCCCATGGTTGTTGATACATAGCTGACAGTCGCGGCCAGTGTCTGCAAAGTCGAAGAATTGGAATCTGACTGATTGATAACACCCGGTATCGCAAGAAACGCAACATTGGCATTGAGCAATATCGTTGCCTGGCCAAAAACGATTCGATGCTGAGATCGAATGAGGGACTGCGATGAAAAGATCCGTACGAAAACAATGAATTCTTGCCACTCTGATTGCAGTTTGTCGATGAAACGCTTCCAAGAAACCTGATAGACGATTTCATCTACCCATAACTTGTCCAGCTCTGAAAGACGTATTTCAGGTGCCCAAAAGAAAATTGGTGAAAGGATGGTTATGAGCCATGACCTTGGGCGCGGCGTTGAACAGTGAACACTACGACCACTGTCCATCCGCGCGGGATTCTGACCGTGAAAATGAAGGAACCTCCAATGTGCTGAACAATTCATTCGTGGGCTGACCCATCGAGCAGACAATCCTAACCCAGCGTACTATAGAACGACATGATACGGGCTGCGACCTATGTCACGGCACATCACACATTTTGAATAGAAACGGCGTACAGATACAACATTTCATGTACATGTTAGGCTCCGCAACTTCTGACCCTCTGCTTCAATTGCACGTTGCGTCGGATATATATTAGGTGCTGGCTCACCCGAGGCTTCTTTTACAAGGCTGATCATTGTCTGCAGGGTCTCCTTGCTGTAGGGTGCGGTAGATACCGACGACGTCATGGAATCTAAAAGATGAAAGTGAAACAATACATCAAATTCACAAGTTTCAGATGCCATGCTTTACCTAAGCAAGAATGTACCGAAATCCCCAATAGCTCGTCGCAAGCACCGCTCGGAAATTGACGATCGCGAGGTCCTTTTGGGAACAACGCCTAGTGAGTCCTGGATTACAGTATTACGTTAAATCAGTAGTGTGAGTTGTATATGGATTCATATACCAGAAGTTATATTCAATCATGAGTTCTTTATGACCTGAGTCAGTTCCCAAAGCCACGTAGGGAATGATTCAACACGTACTCAGATGAGCGAATGATTTGGAACCTGTTACTTCATCAACCAGATGGTCAGCAACATATGGCTCTGGCCAGAATATGCTGCGAGACGCATGATCCACACAATAATAGAACCAATAGATGGTCTCATGATCCACTGGTCTAAGGTCCAAAACGATCTCGTAGTCAACGGACGGCAATGACGTTCGCGATGATTGCAGGACGGTATTAATGTAATCAGCAAACAGCTCGATTTCCTGACGCGTTTCGTTGTGATATAAATATGCATCGGTATATATTTGCTAATAGTAAGGAGTTGAGTACGATGAGAATCTATGAATTGATCATGAATGCCTCACTTTCTGCCGATGGTACAAATAGAGTGAGCCCTCTGGATGTGTCACTGGCTCCCATTCCTGTGTCACAGCGTGGTCACCATCTTCCAAACTGTGTCAGAGGTAGTCATCAGAACACCTAACTGGTAAAACTTTGTAGTGAACGATAGGATCTCGTAACGTGCTGGTTCTGAATCTCTAAAAGAAGTTCAATGCGGCCGCTTCGTCGGCAATCAATCAAATTTGCACAAACAGAACAACTTCACGTTGATATCGAGTATTCTCAATAGCACTGATGGGGCATAGAAGGCGACCTTTAGGCAGATTCGGGAACGATGCCGGATTGCTGTCTAAGGTTGACGATTTCGTAGAAGGCGATATGGTTTCCAAACCCGGTGAACGTACCGATCATGATGAAGAGACCTTATTAGAAACCCCCTGTTGTGGAGTCGCATCCGATACAAAGGACGAATTGTTTGATCTAGAATATGTACCTTGGAGGCTCGGCGTGCACGAGATAGATGTCAACCTAGATGGAATTCTCTGTAACGCGCGGATTTGTGGGGCCCGTAAGGACAGACGTGAAGGATCGCATGGAGAATGTGTGAGGCGTTCCTCGAAGGCAAAGATGGCAGCTAGGCGAAAATCAGGGCCATTTTCTCTGCCTAAGGAATGAATGTCTCGGTACGACTGTGATATATGGATTGGTGATGGATGAAGTATCTGCTCGGGAAGGACTCCGGACAGCATGAACGGCGATGGCTGTGGTGTAGAGGATGTCAATGACGACGAGTGGATGTCTGGTTGACTAGCAGATCGAGGAGCAGCGCTTGAGTAGACTATGATAGCATCCTTGTCCTCGCTATCGGATAAGAACGACAAAGCAGATTCTGGATGTACCTCGTTTCCCTTGCCCTTCTGTGTCTGTGGTTCCGATGACGGCGAGGACAAATCTCGCTTTGGAAGGGCTGCCTAGAACCTGACCTATCCTCTGTAAGTGCTGCGCAGGATACGGTCCCTAAGGTGCTTGAGAATCAACAGTAGGAGCCGGAAGATCGAATGCATACTGTGGTGTTGGTAGAGGCGAAGATTCAGTCGAGGGCGCAAAAAGAACTCACAGCATGTGCTCCTCGCGCTTAACACTGCAAGGGCTTGATTGGCGCTTGTTTTTTTTTCCAAAAAAGAAGCGCGGTGTAGGAATATATGCCCCATCGATAACGTACTTGATAGTGGAGATACCTTACACTACCGGAAACAGAAGTTGTTATGCTCACAATCGTATATTCAAACATACAAGAGCAAAGAGTGCAGCGAAGTGGAACCCAAAAGAGTTCGTGGTGCTGCAGAGACCGGCATTACTTTTCCCATTCATCGAGCACCTTCGCGGTGTTATCGTAGTCAGTCATTTCAAGATTGAAATCTGCCGAGATTTTGACCAGAGTTGCAAAAAAGAAAGGGAAAAAACGTTTCAGGACACACCATCGTTTATAGCGGTGATATTGTCTCGCTTCAGCTGAAGAAGTTGTTTGCTATCAAGCGTGTACTGCGGCCAAACAGCTAGAGACCAACTTTAGAACGGACTGGCAGACGCAAATCCGGAAGGTTTCAGCGTACCGCCAGGATCCAAATCGTTTATAAAATTGATATAGAGATCGAGCCAGGTGTTGCCGAAATCGGTTTCATTGGCGGCCGGCGAGACAGTACCAAACAAGAGAGGGAGCTCCGAAGCATGAGCAACTGCAACAAATAAGTCATGATCAGCACGCATAACAGACTACCTAGAGAAAGACGTTGACCTCCAAATGCCGGATTATTTCCTGCGATGAACTCTCTGAAATGATATGCATAGATGGGTTGCAAAGGTGCTGCCTGCTGAAAAAATCGTCTTCTTGAGGCCAAGAACATGAAGTCCCCATACCAAGCAGCCGCTCTGTCGAACAGAGAATCCCCTGTGTTGAACGGAGCACCCAGACTCGAGTCATTTGCAGGATATAGCGACCTGAATTCGGCCAGCACGTCGGCAGTGATTTTTGTTTGATCAATCACTGAGGCTTCCACAAACTGGTCTAATGCTGCGTCTTCCGCACTGGAAGTCACGTTCAAACCTAAGAGCGTGCTGCTGAACGACGCCCCTTCATTGAGCTGGATAATCGATTAGATTTTGGGAGATAAAAGACGAGTGCGAGTAGCGCTAACATTGGTTCCTGCAATTAAAGGTATATGGAGGAAATCTCCTGCCGCGATTGCGGTGGACGCTCGGACAGGAGCAAAGCTTCCGGGAGCAATCGTGGGTTCCCAGAATTGGTTGTTCAACGTCGCACGTATTCTTGAATTACTGAAATTGACCAAAGGCTGAAGAAGTTTCAGACCAAAACCTCCTCTATGAGTCAGATAGCGCACCTCAAAAGGAGCCTGCTGTAAACACTTAAATGCTGCAGGACCAGCAACGCACCCGGTAGCGTTCAAAATGAGGTCAAAAGGCTTCCCAGGCAAATCAAACGTGCTAGGAGGAGGCGAGTTTTTGCTTCGCAAAAGGAGGGTCAGACCGTACAGGGCAGAAGAAAGCAAAGCCGACCTACAAAGGACCAACAGCGGAATCCATTATTGCGGCACGGAACAAAGAACGCGAAGAGTGAAAGATAACCTGGGCTTCTACGCTACCAGCACCTGCGGACTGTAGACCGTCATGTGGCAACGTGCGTTCAACCGACTGCGTAGCGTACCTGCCCCCATATTGTGACCTAGTATATATGCCACTATGGTATGAGTCCTTCAATCCTGAAGATTCGCGGATAAAACTGGCCTTTGATGGATCACCCCCGAACTGAGCAATGTTGTCCTGCACGAACGTGAAAGCTGCTCGCTGATCTTGAAGGCCGTTGTTAAGGTCAGCCGCCGGAACGTGGACACTTGCGAGCTTCAGAAAGTCGCAGTCGAAGATAAGTTGAATGTCAATCATGGAAGACTCACGAAACCGAAAGTATTGAGGCGATAGTTTCTAAAAGACTAGTATTAACCGCCGAGGAAATCCACATGGAAGAATAACTAGTTACATGGAAACGAAGATGATTGGCTTGCCGGCCAATACACTGCGATTCACGATATCTAGAGTTCAATCAGTATGTTGACAACGTGGGACACAAACGTTCTCACGATTTCCATCAAAGGAAGGGTCTGATGCCGAACTATGTCGACCATTGTTTACTATAGAGAACAAGGAGAAGAGCACTGTATGTACCCAGTATTATAAACCCCTCCCTGATGCACTGTCAGATAAAGACAAAACGAAAGGCAACCAAAGAAAGACTGACATGTATCCAGATCAGCACAGGTAATTGTGCATCGGAAGGAGTATTCTGAGGCCTCCATACCTATATGTGACCGAGAGTATCGAGCCAGGAATGATAAGTATTAGCATTGAAAGAAACCTACGTTCAAAAAGAGACAATCCTCCGCAATGGCAGCGCCCAGACTCGCTGTGATAGGCTGAGGGCAAGCATTTCCAAACGCTAGGGCATCTTGTACAGCGTGGAACGGTTGTTTGATCGCAATCGGAGCCTTGAAACGAAGGTCGCCAACAGGAGGTTGAGCGTATGGGATCCCAAGCCATCGATCCGTTCCATTCCCGGTTGCAAGTCCACGGAATGTCCCAATGGTTAAATGGACCTCAGGATTGGCCACAGCGTCACAAGCAAAAAGTACTGTACATGAGGAAGCCAGTATCAGGATCACGAATTTCGAAAGGTACATGCTGCCAGAAGGGACCCAGGTGCAGATTTGAACGTGCTGGAGCTGTTGTTATAGAAATCCGAACGGAGGAGTTTACGGCGGCAGATAGTCAGGCGGTCTGACTCGTGAGTTTGGTGTGTACATTTTTTTAGGAGACAGTGTCACGGGGCATCTTCGAGACGAAATATATACCGAAGACATTTAGAGACCCTTCTATGGAAGCAGCGTGCCTGCGTCTTGATATAATTGGTTAGACATACTATCGTTGCACCGGAGTTGCAAATGGTATGAGAGGTTCAAAATCGAGCTCCTCGTAGCAACTTTTGACGGCACCTCTTGAGAAAATTCATAGTTGTTCATTTAAGCACTCTTCAAGTATCAGAGTTTTTGTGAGAACAAAAATCGGGTGCAGCAGTGAGGAGGCAATGAATAATGGTTTTTAGGGCAGAGATCTCTCCGATCCTAGAGCTCATTTACAGAAATAAGATAAAAAATAGAATATGAAGAGGTATCACTGAAGGCATAGAGGTCATTCGGTTTGGCTTTGAGGGCTCTACTGCTCTTCACCAACCTGATCGTCGGCAAGATTTGCAACTCCCAAGCTTTGCTCGTTTTTGGACACCCCTTCTCAATCACATCACAATAATTATTTGAGTTTGCTCAAAAATATGAAAAAATAACAGGACACATTTCAAGAAGCTTCCGCAGGTCCTGTAAAAATTTGGAGCAAGATAGAGCCCAATTTAAGATGCTACAAAGGATTTTTTTTTGCAACTCCGGTGCAACGATAGTACGAAGAGTGGTCTTACACACACCTCGTTTCACTTCAGAAAACGCCAGAATACATGATAGCTTCCAAGGATTCGTGTAGAGTGACTTGACACTGCCCAACTTGGTCCGACGATTTTCTCCAGAAGCCAGCCCAGAAGAGCACGTTGAGCAGGTCCCGGTTAGGTTCAAACCACGTTCTTTAAATGTGCATTCATATGTGCCGCCGAGAGTGAGCACGTCGACATGAGAGTCAACGTGGAACAGCGTAGAACCACTGGCAGTCCGGGACTGCCAGTGGTTCGGTCAACTGCGGACTCCAAGTGGACTCCGGGTAGCTCCGGGCCCACATCTTCGTCAGACAGACCCTGGCCGTACACTGCTCATGCACAGTGACTAGCTCAAAGGTTCGATGTGAAGCGCGTGTAAGTGAAATCTTTATATGCTCGAATACATAGTAGCAATGGAATAAATACACGAATAGATCATACATTGGTATCCGAAGCATCCACGGGTAGTACAACACTATGTCTAAATTTTGCAGGAGAGACGTCTTTCAGCTTTTCTTTCGTCCGCTCAGTCCAAGCATGTAAATTTTTCCGGATATTGGTCTCCCAGGAGTCAGCAGTATCCCACCCATAGACAACGCACCAGAGGATCGACGCAGCGATCACTACAGAAGCAACACCTACGAGGAGCCGAGTAACCAGACGTGTCATATCAAAACACAGGGCCAGAAGTGCGACGAGGAAAGTTCCCATCCTGAGCAAATAACGTTGAGTTGCTAATCTCATCGAACAAAAGACTTTAGGACTTACGCCCACATAAGCAGCGCATACGGCAAACTATAAATGACTGCTAGTAACTCCAGACGGTATGTGGGAGAGGATTTTCGATGTAAAAATGCAGCCTATATCCAGGTCAGTCGTCAGTAATTACGATAGTACGAGGAATCGCTCACAGCCTCTCCAGGATCATCTCGATTTCTTGAGCGGTTCTGTCGAACTAACAATAGGCCCACAACAATACTTCCTACACTCGCAATGATGGATATATAGCTGGCTATTTGAGCTGGCGATTGCGATGGAAATAGATTGCCATTGTCACCGGCGGAAACACCGGGAATGGTGAGAAACGCGACATTTGCGTTGAGCAAGACTGTCGACTTGAGACGAAACGTGCGAGATGGCTTGATTTAGTTCGAAGATCGTTGCAAGAAAATCGGACAAGCACGCACGAATAGCGTGAATTCTTGCCAATCATTGAGCAACTTGCTTATGAAGACTTTCCAAACACTTTCTACGATGATCCCATCTACGCATAATTTTTCCAGCTCTCGGAGGTGGATTTCAGGTGCAAAGAAGAGGACAAGTGAAAGAAGAGTGATCAGCCACGTCTTGCGCTTAGCGGGGTCGGAATAGACAGTCTGATCTCGGTCTAGTCGAGCGCCATGCTGCCCGTGGAAGTGGACAAATCTCCAGTGGCCTAAAGAGATCCGTCAGATTGTAGATACCGTCTTATTGTGACACTTACAAAAGTTTGACATTATCCTACCTATGTAAGATCGCAAATATTAGACTGACTTCATGTTCACGTTTCAGAGACATTTAACATACAGAATGCACATATCATGTACTTGTTCATTCTTTCGCCCGCTATGGAAAGTTGTCATACGTCAGAAATATACAGACACATTGCGCACATACCTTGGACTTTCTTGATCAGAGTTAACATGGAACCCAATTCAGTCAAGGAGTGGGGCATCGTGGAGGTCATGGAGTTCATGGTATCTGCAAAGCTCTCACCATCATCATTTGTGAATGTGAAGCAATACAACTTACCAACGATACCGTGGAGTATGATCCCTGATAATTCTTCATGAAGTGTATCGTCGAGATGTTGACGCCCATGAGTTTCAGGGAAATATGACCAGTGCATCCTAGGTCAAGGCCAAGCTTAACATGCTGGATGAGACGAAAAGATAGCTAATTGAATTCACCAATATTGAGTTTCAATCTCGTGTTCTAGAATATAGTCAATGTATGCACCTCCTTTTGACTTTCACAGGAAAAAGAACGCACTTATGTGTGCTGGTGATGTGACACCACGCACTTCTGCAAGGAGGTAGTCCGTGTTGAAAGGCGTCAGCCAAAACAGTGTACGAGACCTATGATCCACATAATAGTAGCACCAGGCCGTGCCCTCTCCGTCTTCAGCAGGCACAATCTCCAAAACTAAGTCACATTCATCCGAAGGCAAAGACAGCTCAGCTGCCTGCAGGTAGTCGTCAAGGTATTTCGCAAAGAGCTCAATCTCTTGTCTAGTAACATAGTCGTACATGTATGCGTCAGTGAATATTCGCTGAACATGAGTCATCTTGCATCAGTATTCGATAATGAGGTAGAATTTTGGGCGGTAGCATACTTTTTGTTCATGATAAAAATATAAAGCGCCTTCCGGATGTGTAGTGGGAGTCCAGTCGCCAGGATCTGCGTAGGTTGCTGAACTAACGATGTATATATAAGCCTGGCCAGTGCTGCAAATTATTTGTCGCGTACTGGGGAAAATGTGTAGTCAATGGTGCAATGTCATGATGAACGTAGGAGTCGTCACTGGAAGATGACTCTTCAGCTTCAGTGCGCGGGTCCACGCTTCCGATCGAGCTCACTGACATAACACGCTTCGCTTCGTATCTGCCAAGGTTTGCTGTAGTATACAACTCGATCTTCCGTCCTGCCGGTAGTTCTGGTGTTTCTCGCACATTGGGTAGGTTATCCAAAGTAGATGAAGTCGGGGGTGTAGGGCTAATTACATCGAAGGAGACGGAGGATCCTCTAGAGTGTATAGATGCCTCTCGCGATGTGACAATAGATATGCCAGCCATGTGAGCAGAACGAACGCCATCTGCAAGTCGGGGAACCGGAGGGGTAGGCAATTCTGAGCGTGAAGGTGAATTCGAGTTATCCAAGCTCGGATCTCGAGTAAAGTGACGATGTGGTGCTCTGGAAGACCTTCGCGAGGAGGGCACCGACCGAGATGACGGGCGACCAGAACGAGGAGTTGATGGCTCATGGACGGACAGATGATAGCTAGAAACACTCCAGTTATCTTGATGTCTGTTCGCAATCGTTCTGATGTCTCCGTGTGAGCGCGAGGCCTGAGGCGTGCCAGCATAATGCGGCTGAAAATTTCTGGATGCTGGGAGTGCGATAGATGCAGGACGGGTGGCTATTGAAGGACCCGTGATAGTGAGTGAGCTTGTGGGTGGTGTTGAAGGACCGATGGGAGTGGATCGACCCGACTGGGAGGTTACGGGGTTCATGGGGATAGACGAAGGTGCGAGACTTGGACACACGATACCCTCGTTCGTATTACTTCTCAACGTGAAAGAGGCGTTTGCATCTCTTGGTAGTACGAACTGACCAACCGAAGGTTTGTCGAACATGGTATTGCACATGAGATGGTCGACCTATTAGAAGACACTGTGAGACGCACCATATCATCTCTGCTCATGCTCGGGATAAAGGGTGGCAAATAATCGGATGGTGGTTGACATTTCTGCCGCGCTGCTCGTGTTAGAAGTGAGAGACGCACATGACGCCGAATGAACGCCCAAAGCACGAGCCAGCCTCTAGCGGAACGCGAGAAGTGACCGCGTAAATTCTTGAAAAGAGCCAAGATCCAGCGGAAGACCGGATACATACGCACAAGAAAGAACAGGACGAGGAGGGAGTGAACAAATCTTCATCATGGGACGCATTGTGTATCGTTTGCGGAAGGAAGCTGCCTCGTGTTCGGCGTCGAGCGCTCGAGCGCTCATCGATCGCCAAACTTCAGCATGCCTTACACGCGGCCATCAGAATTCAAAAATATACAGATCGACAACATGAGGAATAATAAGGTGTATTCCGACATTAGCTACATGAGGAACTCGATGTCTACAGATGCGGTCTGAACCATTAGAGAGTCATCGTCAGTAGTCATCCACGCTTGCGCACGGCTTGCGGAGTCCACGCTTCGGGCTGCCAGTCTGCATCCTGGGTCGGCCTCGACAGTTCCGATCTCTTCAAAGCAGGGCGACCAAGAATTTTTGAGGATTCGCTTGCTTGCGTCTCCTTGTGGGTGACTGAAGCATCGTGGGCCTGCTCTGACTCTAGCGGAGGTTTCGAAGCAGGGGACGAATCGACTATCGGAGCAGAAGTCACGGGGACGAAGGATGGTCCGGCAGCAATCAGTGCCTGTTCTTCTCGGTCGCAAACTTCGATCAGAGCTGCTTTCATGAGAATACGCCGCTGCCGCTCTAGATCAGCTTGAAGCTCCTGTGTCCCAGTTTAGTCAGGAATAAACCAAGCACTGGAGCTATGCGTACGTCCAGGGTGGGAGGAATCCGACGAGTATGCGATAGCCAGGACGTCCATTGCACTGCCATATCATCTATCAGGTTGGATGAATCAATTATTTCGATCGAAACGCACCCGGTAGCCGCCTAGCATTGCCAACGTACGACCACATATCTCCTACATTGTATTCGACTCTACGCCTCGTCCTCCTCGGGTCTGGGACGATGGTTTGGTTCACACAATGGCGGGATGATAGATGCGCGCACCATCGGTCGTACTGGGAGCCTCGTAGTAGCGGTTTCCTATGGACAATTCAGGTTATTGGTTGAGGGGCAGGGAGATCGCTCAAGTACCTTCGAGATCTTTTCCTACGAGATACGACTGAAATCGAGTATTTTCAGGTCACTGGGGATGAGCGACAGAACAAGGAACTCACAGGTTGTTTCAATGTCTGCCAGAATCGCCGTAAGATAGACATTCGTAGTTCAAGTACTATGTAAGGCGACGTGAGCCAATGTCTGCCAACGTGTGCTGTAAATTTCGGAGTCGTGGTTAGCTGGTAGGAAGCAGTGTCTAACAGCAATGTCAGATGCAATATTTACTTACGAGACAATGAGTTTGCTATATGTTGTTGTTAATTGAGTCTTCTATGTAGACTCCGTAGCTCAGTGGTTAGAGCATGCGATTGCAGCTACCACTTAGTATCGCAGGGTCACGTGTTCGACTCACGTCGGGGTCTGCTTTTTTGCAGATACCCCTTGCAGTTTTTTTGTGTACTGAAAGGCCACCCTATGTATGCGGACTGTCAGCATTGTTTCCCGACATCTGACAGCACAATTTTTTGTTGAACAATGACAACAATGCTCGTCGTGTGACCACGTGACTAACAAACTACGTGTAAGTCATTAGCAGGGCGTTGTTCGGCTACCACGTCTTTGGTCAACTATAACGTCTATGGGTCCAATCACTCTCTTGCTACTGCCTTTCTTGTCGTCATTAGCCGTCAATGCTGCCCAATTGACTCTACAGTCTCCAAGATTCAATGTCGTTGCATCCGATGGCTCACAGCTTCGTTCTGAGCCGTATGTGCCACGTCTGCCGTGCGACGCGCTCAGTTGATCTCAAAATCTCTTTTAGAATTTCTCTCGCGCCAAAATCTGAAGTCTCAATTGTGCTGAATGCGAGCGACACGTTGAAACTGACATTCCAAGTCGTGGAAAAGGACGAAGGCAAGGGTGTGCAGCCTCACCAGACCTTCCTCCGATTCTTCGACGAGGACTCCGGCGAGGAAGGCATCCAACCAGTAAAAACGACCTCTGCAGGAAAAGCTAAATTCGAACTTGTGCGTTGTAACTGTCATCTATCTCACATGCACGGTTCCAAAGTCTATGCGCGTTTCGCTCGTACAGAACATGGCTCGTCCGCCTTCTTCCCTCCCACCCAGCGGTAGCGCACCGCTCAAAGTTTCCCTCATAATCGGCTCTTTCTCCCACTCCCCTGCCAAGTTCGACCTCTTCGACCTCTCCGTACCCGCGTCCCTGCCCCCTCCGCAGCACCCCGACGAACCGACGTTCCACCCTCTCCCCGCGATCCAGCACACTTTCAATCCCGAACCGACGATGCCCCCGCGCTTCATCTCGGCCGTATTCACAGCTCTCGTGCTGTCTCCTTGGGTCGTTCTCGTCGGTCTCGTATGTCCTCCGTTGCCCTGCTGCGCGCACATCACTAAACTGTGTTCTATTTATAACTTGAAGTGGTCGGCCGTCCGCCCGCGCGTCCCGCATCTCTTCTCTGCCAGCGTTCTTCCTTTCACCGCCTCCCTTGGGGCGTTTGAGGGCCTGCTCTTCTGGTACTGGCTTGAGCTGCGTCTCGGTCAAATCCTCCTGTACGGCACGTTCGCGGCCGTCTTCACCGCACTCACAGGCAAGCGTGCTCTCGCGAAGATCGGCGAGCGCAGGTTGGCCCGCAAGTAAATTTATTGTTCTTGAGCATCGCATACCACATTTGCCGTATTTATATGTTTTGAGTGCTGCGAGTCGCGAATTGCTCATGTATCTTTTCGATACTGGGGTGAATAATGCCGGTATGGGAGGGATGAAGACGAGAGAAAAATTTGGATAATATTATACTGCCTGAACATCGACACACGAGTTCATGTAGAGAACGATCGCTGGCTACAAGCCGAGGAGACTCTTCAAGGGTATGGGCAAGTGCGCGTCTGGGCTTATGGCCGGTAGGTCTCCTGAGAGCACGGCGAACGGCTTCAAGGAAACTGTGGCGTCGATTCCAGTGCCGTACGTCGATTTAGCGGGTGGTGCGATGAAAGGATGAGCCTCCGTATTGAAGACGTCTAGTAGCGCTCATCAGCACAGAACGTAAAAATCGTAAGACAATGAAACGACTGACAGTCATCGAGGCTGATATGGTTCGGATCATCGAATGTCAAGTACCTGTACCGATGGAAAGAACTCGTCAGAGTTGGAAATGAAGTATTACCACGATCCGTCTCACAGATATTTCAGCACCTCTGCAAACCAGAAACTTTCTGTGTCATCAATTTTGGTTGTGTTGATGTTGTTGATGTCGTTGATTCCAGCATACCCTGTGGGGGTCTTCAGGAATCTCTCGAAACTGGTAATCGCGCTGGCAGCACGGTCGAGATACTTGGTATCTCCAGTCACACGCCATGCGTAGAAGTTGCTCTCGAGCACCTCGGGGCGCTGAATATAGTCTGACCCAGTGATGTAGTATCCGTGCTGATTGTAGAATGCTTGCTGAGATGCACTCGGGGATCCGCTGCCAGTGAAATTTCCATCAGAGGACTCGAAGGCGAACGTCTCAGGGCCAATACCCGTCCTACACAGGACAACATGAAGTGTGAGAATCACTTGCGTTCGAGGTTGGATGATACGTACGCATCGCCAGCGTATGTGTTCCAGCAGGCATCGTTCAACTGCAATGCGATGTTCACGATAGTATCATTGTTAGTCAACTTGCCACCCATGAGCCAATTTCCAGCGTAGAAACAAGCCAAGTGCGATCCCACATGGCGAATCATTCCGCTATCGTCGAAGTCAGCGAGATACAGATGGTCGCCCACAGTAGAGGTCTGTGAAAAAGTCGTTCGTATTCCGCCCTTCACTTGAAGAAGGAATCATAGCACACACCTTGATCAACGTCTTGATAGATGAGTCGACAGCGGTGCGCCATGTATTGGCGAATGTGTCGTCATCAGTATTGCTGAGCCGTGCATATTTGATCAAGTATTCGAAGTAGCTGTCTGATCCTCCACCCCAGGTCTACAATAGATCGCTGAGGATTGTAAAGCTCCATGGGAGCACATTACGCACCACATATGCACCAACTGGATCTCCGGATGAAGGATCAATACCTTGCCCAGGAAGCCCAGGAAGAGGAGCAGCCTGTCCAAAGATTTGAATCAGAGTCGCAGATAATATAATATCAATGCTAAACAAACATTGCCCGCAATACGCTTGACGGAGTTCTCTGTCAGCTGCCGGTACGTGTCATTTCCTGTATACAAGCTAGTGGATTTCAGTTGGGACTGACGAAACATGGAAGAACACGATGCACACCTGAGACGAGACCATTCTAGTGTCAACTAATTTGTAAAATTGAATTGGATCAATCATAATCATATCAGCTAGAATGACTTAGATGCTTACCGTGCCCGCCTCAGCGATGTTCGACTACAATCAAAGCGTACTGGTAAAGGTCACGGTGATACGTAGTAAGGCAGTCAACTTACAGTGTCAATAGTTGGCAAACTGCTTGAGAAGTCGATGAATCCGAACGGGATCACATTTCCCTTCGAGGCCGGCTCAATGGTTGATCACGATATTGCGCAAAAAAAATCTGCTTACTTGTGACCAAGCTAAGGAGAGCCTGTTCGCCAATTCCTTAGCCTTTTCTACCATGAATGCATGCTTTTTTCCACTGAGCTCGTAAGCGCTCAAGAGGCCTCCAACATAGCGAATGGAACTCTCAAAAACGCTGCATAGCCACCTCTTGAGTTTGAGCCCGGATGCAGGCCAGAAATGCATACCTGACAGTATCTGCCGTGTTCGACCTGTTGAAATTGATGTTCTGCGTGAAATTGATCGCCTCGTTGAAGAAGTCCTGAAGAGCCTGTCGTCTCTATAATTCCGGAAGAAAAATCGAACAGGCTCACATCGAGGCCCATAATTATCTTGAGTGATACAGAAGCTTGAGACAGGACTAAATAGTCACATATTCAAAAGCATACCATGGTACTCATTCCATCGACGATACTGGCACCCCAGCCATTCCGACCATCCGAGAAGCTCTGGCTCAGCGGCGACAAGTCGTCATGCCCAAATGCAAATTCCCTAGCGTGGGAGCATTCAGTTGAAACAACCTCAAAGACGTTCGGCCATCGCGGCTCACCTGTAAGCTTGATAACTGTCTGTGAAGATTGTCTTCGCTGCATCGCGGTTCGCAGCAGCACTAGAAGGCAGAGTCAGCCCAGGTTTCTGAATAGACGCGCCAAACGCGTTGGAGGCGCAAAGCAAAGCGAGTGAGACTGCTTGTGCGCATTGGTGCTTCATTAGCACTGCCGATGCGATCACCTAGAAATTCAGAGGAGGGGAGGGAAAGAACTCAAGGTGCTCGGGAGTGTATCCCGGCTATATATATATAGGAACGTAAACACCGCTGTCAACCAATGTTGTCCATACCCGTACCCTGATGGACGGAGAACACTCCAAAAGAACTAAGTAGAGGCGTTCTTCTGGTTCTTTTGTGTCATGCTAGCAACTAAGATCGAGACAAGGCGAAGCCAAAAGGACCTAAAATTCCTGAAACGTGGCCAAGAGTATAGATCCTCCATGATGTATTACGCCCGCACATCACCGCACTTACTGTATGAAATGCATTGGGGTTTGCACTCGCGATCCAGATATTGAAAAGGTCGCGCTCGAGTTGCGAAGCACGCGTCGCGTTCTGCGACCCGTGATGGCATACATACTTACGGAGCACAGTGACAATGTGACTCTGATTTCTGATAGCCCTGGAAGACGTCCAATGGGAAGATACAACTACAAATCATGCCACGGTATTGTTCACGCAGATATTGATCAATCTTCGGTAGCACATGGACTGTGGACCAAAATGGGAACACCATCGCCAGCTAGACCGGGGAAATTGGTGATGGTGCCAGACTGCTACGTCGACAGCAGCATCGCTATCGGCACCTGAGCGTCAAAATGTGTGCCGCTTTATGACCTTCCCTATGTGAGGCTGCAGAGGGTTAGAGGAGTGCATGAGTAGATGATGTATAATAATAGGACAAGGTCCTAAACTCATCAACCATAGAACTCACGCGCAGAGACAATCATGGACTCAATCGATCGGTAGCACTCGGTAGAAGTCCTCATCTCCCATTCGCTCAATCTTGTGTCTGCGAGGTACGTTAGCGGACCGAAAGGCGCTCGAGTTATAAACAGGAATTTTCACGTACTTAGCTTTCATATGAGAGATGAGACCGTCAAAGGTATAGAGGCTCGCTGTTCTATGGGACCTGCGGCCGAGTGCATGGCTAGGCGCAGCCTCGGCCAAGGCCCCCTTCTGGGGACAATGTCGACAACCAAACGTCTTGGTTGGGCGTGCCTCTTTCGCCGCTGGACTGAACCCGAACATTTTCACGTACAAACTGGGCACATATGGGTGCATCAAGATAGCGCCCGCTTCTGCTTGGGACAGTATACCAACTTGCATCATCTCGTGCCGTTTGCTGTGGCCAACCTGAGCCACTCTCCAATGAGCGCCTCACACACATGAACACAGGATGAGAAGCGCACCAGTCTTTCGAAGCTCATCACGATGGGCGCGTCGCATGACCTACACTGAAAACAGGGACCCATCGCGATAAGACTGTCATGCGTTTTCGACTGCTCATCGTTGAGCCCCGTCATCGCAAGAACCTGGACTATAGAATTTATGGCCTGAGGAGATACCCCGACACCAAAATAAGCACGCATAGAAAGGGCCAGCCAGTCAAACGCCACGGACCTTCTGATCTGGAACAAAATGTGCGGCGCTCCACGTCCGCCGGTTCTTCTCTGCCCTCGACATATTCGTACACTCGTGTGTGCACGCGCTCTTGAAATCCAGAGATCCCTCAGCAAGGCGAGTTCGTGGCAGTCCCCCGCAACGTGTACATATGAACTGCGCAGTCACTCTGTCAACCGGATGAAGCACCGTTTTCGACGGGTTCTTCCACTGCGGGAATCCGAGCACGGTGCCAAGTGCGTCCTTCGCCGCCTCGACCCACTTTTTCAAATCGTCACGGAGGAGATCTGCAATCACCTTCTCTTTGAGTTCCGTCTCAAGTGTTTCCGTGTTTTTCGCTTGGAGGAGCTTCATGACAGGAAGCTTGCGGAAGTCAAAAAGCGAGGGGAAAATAGCATAAGTCCCAGACAACTTGACACGTCGGTGATGTTGGTTAATGTCATCCCGACGCTTTCGAGCACCACGCTCTGCTTGTTGGCGTTTCTGTTTCTCCATGATTTTGAGCATTTCTTGCGAGATGCGGAGGCGAGACAGGTCAAATTCTAAAAGACAATTTGTATGGCTTGACAAACGTATAAGATGGTATGGTAACGAACCGATATCGGTTACTGGCTCGAGGCAGTTGTTTCTGGAGCTATGAAGCAACCCATAAGTCGCCGTCTCGAGAAGGATCGACTCTTCCCATCCTTCTTTTTCTGCAATTTTTTTTGCCCTGTGTTTAAATTGTTCAAAACGAAGATGTCAGCTGGGGTACAAACGAGCGCACATGTTGACGTTGCCCCGCCTATTGGCGACATATGCTTTCTCCCATTTCTCCCGTAATTCATATAGAGCTGCATGGTGCTGATGAGGAGTGTCAAGGCTGTCAAGGCTGTAGAGAACAAGATGAAGCGTCTCACATTAATCTTACGAAGAAGAAGTTTGGCTTCTTTATCATGAAGCTGTTGGAATATGAGCAGTCCATACTTTCAGATTCGATACTAGACATACCGAATCATATTCTTCTAAAGATCCTCCCATCCTGATATGTTTATTATACTCGTCTACAGCAGCTTCCCATTCATCTTTCCGGCCTTTATCATTCAAACATCAGTTGTCAGAAGCTTGTATTTTCCAGGCCGCGAAGGTCATACGCACATATAGCACCATGAACATTGTGATCTGAGCGACCATGAACATTGTGATCTGAGCGAGGAGAAAGATAGACGGGTCAGCTTCTTTGATCCTCCTTTAGCAATAGATGCGCACCAAACCAGCTGTGAACTTCCGAGCGCGGAATCCATCGTAGGATGTGGCTTTTGTCAGAGTTTGGTGTGTCGATACGAATCACGCTTCTATAACGCGCATCAGGGACAGCAAACGTGGGGCACACAGATGGATGAACTGACCTCATCGCAATGTTACGGCACGCAGGCTAACAGCTCCCATTGTGAGCTGATCCCACGCGCATGAAACACAGAAAAACACACTCACGTTATTGCAGAATCTCAACTTCAAGGCAAACGACGTATAAAGCCTCTTCGTGTTATTTTGGCATGCCTGAATTGGAACATTCGCCCATCGCACGTCGGCTGACCTGGCTTGCGACAGCAGTTACGATACTCACCTCACAAGGGCCCTCATCAAAAATGAACGATGCATATGCAGCCTCGCTCCACCCGGGCGGTGGGTGCGGGATGGGACCCACCAGACATTGCTCTCTCGCGATCCTCCATATGAATTGATTCGAGCCATTCAGCAACGTCGCGCACAGGTGTTTGCTGCAGCGCGCAACGGCGAGAACATCCTTCGGCGACGGAACTCCACTGAGAATTGCTGACAAGACTTCAAGAGGTATGATAATCAGATAGGATGGTTTCTGCGCAGATGACACTGGAGAGCCTTGTGGTTCGAAGTTTGACGTGGTGACAGGGGCCCTCCCAGCAGCCGGAGTGAGTTCAGCATGAGCTCTCTTCAGAGAAGGACGAGGAGATGCATGCACTGTTTCGACAAGCGATTGAGGAGACATGTTTCGTTGAAACTTGATCAGTGATCTAGCTCATCCGCTCCCAATTAAGCTTGAGGATGTTCTCATCTCCGAATCCAGATCGATGTCACACGAAAGGAGTCATACCTCGGCGAGGCTACTATGCTAAGTAGACAGAATATAAACTAGACGTTCATCCAACACCCATGCTCATAGCTCGTCGTGCGGTAAATCGGGCGTCGGACTAGATACGGTAACCGCAGTTGGTTCTGTGCTCATGACCATATCTTCCCAAGTCGGAGACACCGTCACTGAAGGTCTGTCTGTGGAGAGCAGATCTAGTGACACTGAGGGCTCGCTATCATCACCTGCCTGGCTTTCAGAAGCAAGCACAGATGGCAGAGCAGTGGTCACGCTTGAAGTGGCCATGGCCAGAGTTGTGCTCACCACGCCCTCCACTGTCGCGGCTACCACCGACGACACCGACGATACCACGCCTGCGCTCCCCTTCTCGGCCATATCCGCAATCCCAAACCCACTCGCTGCCCTGCTGCCTCCACCCCCGCCCCCGCTTGGCAGAAACCGCGTCCACCAAAACGCCACGCGCAGCCCACGGTCCAGAATCCGTTGCTTGAGGATGAACAGGACGACGAGCACAAAGAACGCGAGCGCGGCGGCGATGAGCAGCCGGTCGAGCCAGTCTGACTTCTCGAGCGCCGTGATGAGCTGCTTTGAAGTGCCCATGAGCATGCTCAGCACATCGTGCATACTCGAGGCGGATTTGAGCGTGGCAGTCGACGATTCTGCGCGTGGTCGATGTTACGCGACTGGTAAGTGGAAGATCGCGAGGTGCGCATGGAACATGACAGACCGAGCATTTGCACGGACAGGACAGAGCGTTCGAGTTCATTCTGCATGAGCCCCACCGTTCGTCTCAAGGCATCTGTGACGTCGTGATTGGCTTTCATAAGGGCATCCTCACTGTGTGTCAACACCCCCAGTCTTGGGTGAGCGTCCTGCTGAAATGAACGCAACATATCGTATACGCACGTCGTCTTCTCTCCTGAGGTAGGGCCTTGCTTCTCCCTCGCAGCCAACGAGCGCAGGAGTTCCTCCCGCTGTGACACGCTCTGCGCATCTATCGCGCGCTTGGACGTCAGCAGGGCCGTACGCATATCCTTCCTTAGCCTGTATTGCGTTCACCATGCCCACAATTAGTGAAAGACGAAGGATGGCTTAGCTTTCGATACTAATCAATGAGTTGGGAATGAAAGACTGCGCACGCACCGTGACACGTTCTCTCGAAAGCTCTCTACGACTGCCCTCAATTCACGCCGCGTCCGCTCGCCCCTCTGGTCCTCAACAGCCTCGTCCAATGCCTACTAGCAGCCTGCATCAACGTACGACTCTTGTGCAGTGACCAGACAAGCGAGGTGGCGGCGACTCAGGCACTCACCTCGACCAGCTGAGTGAGCGTGTCAAGGTCCTCTCGTAGCTCTGCTGCATACTGCTGCTGCACAGACAGCGATCCCCTGTAATCACGGAGACGTGGTATCTGGAAGTCTTTGAGATCGGTTTCGCGTCTCTGAATGCCAGCGATGGAGGCCAAAGTGCTCTCGTCGAATTGTGGAGGCAGAGGGGGCATGACGGTCGTGTACAAACAAAGCCTTTGCGGAGATTCTGCCGGCTTGTTCCCGAACCTCCACCACGTTTCCATGTCGTTTCCCTCATGTCTTGCAAGACGATCGTATTAAGAAAAGACATATCAGGATATTCGCATCCTGTAGAGATCCTTGGCAAGATGATCTGGAAATATGGTGCGTAGTACGTGGCATAAATTGTCCAAAAAATCAAAGTAAACTAATCGCGACTGCATATCATACATCGTCCTCATTGCAACTCTTGCACTACACGATAACACATCTCCTGATTAGGTTCATGAACGTATGAAACCGGACTCAACGGCGTGGCACATTCGGCTGCTCGTTTCGACGAGGAAGCGGAGGAGCATCCCCAGCAGACTGGTCGCCCTGTTGAAGAACTCCGGGAACTCCTGCAAATTCACTCTGGCCTCGCGCTGGAGCACGATCTGTGAATCACATCAATGATGGATCACCGCGGTATACAAACGGGAAAGTACCGCTCGGAATTTCACTTTGACGAGAGTCATATTGCTTGTCGCTTTGGAAGACGCCGGGAACTCCAGCGAAACTGGACCCGTCTTGACCTGCACCGCTTTGGCCAAACCCTCCTACGGACGCACCGCTCTGAGACGGATGACCTTGGCCGCTATATGCGCCACTTTCAGCCTCCGATGCAGTGTGCTGAGTCCTGTCTCCCATGGTATGACCCTGTCCATACTCAGCGGCCTTTAAATCTCCTTGACCATGCCTCGAGATCCCCGGAATGCTTCCCTGGCCAAACTCATCGTGAGCGGAATCTTGGCCTGCGTGCGCATAAACTCCAGAACCATTGCCATCACCTCTTGAGCGCAGGCCATTGCCAACTGAAGAGTGATCGTTGTTTTGACCATATTGATCGTTCCGAGCCGCGCCTTGTCCACCTCTCGGCACGCCTGGAACTTCAGATCCGCCAAATCCCTCAGCTGTGCGACCTTGCTGGCCCGCGCCGGCGGCACGCGAATCGCTCCCAACCTGACGATCACCCAACCCCGAATAGTCCTTGTTTGGCACGCTTGGAACGCCTGTGAAGTTAGCGTAGCTGCCGTTGCCTGTATGCTCCGCTCCACCAACATCGTTACCGCCAAATCTGTGGGATGAGTTGTGGGGCTCGTTGTGAGTTCTATCCTCGTCGTGGCGATGCCTTCCTTCGACAGCAGCAGCAACTGCACCAGCACCGAATCCTGTTGTAGCCCCACGACCAAGACCACCTATTGAGTGTCCCCGTTCACCGACGGAATGATCGCCTGGAGTTCTGCCACCCTCATGCCAACTAGATCCCGCATAACCACCTGTCTGTCCTGCAGGTGTACTCGTGCCGTACTGTTCTTCTTGCCCCGGAACTGCGCGCGCGCCGTAAGGAGCAGCGTTCGTTCCAGTTCTGGTGCCAATGCCAGACCCAAGCCCAGAATCCGCTCCAGTTCTACCGGATTCATCTTGATTCTGGCCCGCACCGTTATGGTGATGATAGTGGCGATGGCTTCCTTCGAGATCAGCAGCCGCGGCACCGACACCGGCTCCCGTTGCGAGCTCACGACCACGACCGCTTGATGAATGCTTCTCTCCCGCGGCTGAATCTCCTGAAGCATGATCGCCTTCGTAATGACCAGTGGCCATGTGTCCTGCGAGTTGCCTTGCAGGCGCACCCGTGCCAGGTGGTTCTTGTTGACCGAGACCTGTGCCTAAATATGCTGTTCAGCGCTCATTTCAGATATTAACCCAACGACTACCTCACCTGACGAGCCAGTATATGCGTGTGGTTCGTTGTCCTCGTTTTCGCCGAATTGATTTTGATGCATGTTCGTATCGTCATATTGGTGAGGATGGTGGTGGTTTCCTTCGAGTCCAGCAGCGGTCGCACCGACACCGGCCCCTGTCCCAAGCCCGCGACCAAGGCCGCCTGAAGAATGCGTCTCTCCTTGGACGAGGTTACCCGTAGCCCTGTCATCTCCAGACCGACCTAATCCTGCGTGGCCTCCGTGCTGACCTCCTTGAGCACCTGAATTATATTGTTCCTCGCGCCCCGGAGCTGCGCCCGTACCGGGGTACCGCGTTCCATCGCCCCGCACAGCGTCTGCGGGCGGGTTTGCGGCACTGCCCGTTGTGGTACCGCTCTGCCCCTTCATCCGTGCGATCCCCATCTCTGCCTCTTCGCGACCCTTGGTTGCGATCGACGCATGCTGCTGACCGTCATGGCCAATGGCCGTGTCGACGGCACCCATGGCCCTTCCGCGTAGAGATTCGCCTATTCCTGTAGGCGATATTCACGTCAGTGCAAATTTGAGAATCTCCGTACACAAGTGCGTACCATGAATAACATCGACCGTTCCCCTGGGAGCAATCGTAGCGTAAATTTCAATCATTTTGGACGAGCTCCTTGACACGTACTTGATTTTAGCTCCAATACCGGTGCCTGTGCTTCCCGTCCCAGCAGCACCAGTGTTCGCACTCGACATATCGTGTAAATGTGCAGAAATTTGCAGAAATTTGCAGAAAGCTCAAGAGGTTGAGAAAGCGTATTCAAAGTGAATTGAACATTGGAAGACTTTGAGGCGGGGTGTTATATAGGGGCAGCTGGAGGAGGAGGGGCCAGCTACTGAGCATGACGGCGCGGATGCGCTCATGCCATTTGACGTCTTGGCCCAAGTGCGTCATCGGTGGCGGGTTTCTGAGCGCTCACGAAACGTATATGGGATCCTGCATTCGGTACCGACTCCAACATTTGTGCAGATATGGAGCTATGGGGCGAAACTTTGGGCGGAAACATTTCTTATGATTATTGTGATGAATGCATGATGTAGGACGTTCATATAGTAGAACTACCCAGCGCCCTTGATGATGGCTGCCGCACGCTCAGCGATAGCATACACCGAAGCCTGCGTGTTCGCTGACGGCACGAACGGCTGCGCATACACAATTCTTTTAGCATTTATTGCTCTGACCGGACCAGACAAACAGCTTACCAGTACACTAGCATCTACAATTCGCAATCCCTTGGCCTTCTTGAGAGTAAGATCTGGATTCACGACCCCATCCGTCGCGTTCCACGCAGACATTCTTGCTGTACTCGTGGGATGATATGCTGTCCCAACATTTGCGCGTGCATACGCGTCGAGTTCTTCATCCGTACGTGCCTGACCGAGTGCACCGTCTGGTTCCAATAGGAAACTGTCGAATGCAGCAGCAGAGGCAAAACGCTGGCTCCTCTTGAGCTCATCGCTGAGAGATATCGTAGGTACCAGCGCACCCTTCCCACTCGGACCGCCTCACGAATTACGAAAATGTCGAACTCCGATGTCAGAAAGCCAGGGTTGATCAATGGGTGTGCGAAGGGATCGGATGATGTTAAGGTCACAGTTCCACCTGCGATGTGATGTGTGCAGCCGAGTTCCAGATCTCACGAATATCAAGAAAATGAACCCACGAGATGCAGGTGTAACGAGGGCCATAGCCATCGTCAGGAAGCGCCCCTCTGGGTAAGGGTCACCGGCAGCTAGGTTGGAGTCCTTGGACACCTTAGACATTGTCAAGATAGAACTGAACGTTGAACACTTACATATATTTGAAGCTGGATATGAGGTGTATTGGGACCCGCGGACGGATCCTCCTGTGTTCGAAAAATCGTCGAATTATCAGGCAAACGGTACCACCCAATTTGGCTGTAAAACCCATCAGTATATGGACCTTTGCGGAAGTCTCTCCATTCTGTCAACGTCTGGGCCGCTAGTGTGGCGTTACGACGTATATCATCCCATGAAAACGAAGCACTGGTGACCCAAACATCTGAGAGCTCGGCAGCATGGTCTTGAAGATTTTTCCCTACATCAGACAGGTCGACTTTTGTATCGATGCCCAACGAAGACAGATGGACCGATGGGCCAATACCGGACAGCATCAAAATCTGTGGGGTTCCAATGCTACCAGCAGAGAGAATCACTTCCTTCCTAGCGATCACAGAACGAAGAGCACCTTGTGTCAAGCGACATAAATATGTGCTCTCAACAGTGATGATGAAGAAGGGAATCGCACGCACTCGTGGCATTCTGGGCAAACTGGACGCCGCGAAACACTGGCACACCGCCGGAAACCCCAGTCCGGAGTACCTGGGTGACATGAGTGTTGATCAAAACATCGAGATTATCATATTTCGCAAGAGAAGGATGGATGTAGGCAGTTGCCGAGCTATCCCGGGTGCCATTACTGATGGTCGATTGTGACCAACCTAGATTTACCTCGATGTCAGACAGGAATCCTCAGAGACGGTTGTCGACGACTCACCAAGCCCAAGTGGTTTTCCAGCATTGAAATCCACGACATACGGGAATTCTGGCGATTCTTTCGAGGCACGAATCACCCGCTGATCACTGGGTACGGGCCAGTTCTGAACACTGACACCCAAGGGGCCTGATGTGCCATGCATCGATGGCTCGATCTGTCCTGAGGTGTCATGACCATCGGCCGAGGGAACTAATCTCTCTGCCTGCGGGAAAATCGGGCAAACCAACATCGTAAAAGCGTATATTACACTCACCTTCCTGATGAATGGAAGAAGAGCTTCCCAAGACCACCCGGAATCTCCAGAAACTGCTGCGATCCTATTGTAGTCATCGACTGAGCCTCGCGTGTATATCATACCATCTACGTCAGCTAAGTAAGGCAATGATCATGCTGCTGAATGAACATCGTAACTTACTGACAGATGACGACCCTCCCAGAACACGTCCTCGGGGGTATGAAAATGTCCTATTTCCTAATCCAGCCTGAGGAGTGGTTGTAAAGTTCCAATCGACGATTGTGTTCGGTGTGAGTGTTTCTGCTAACCAAGGGACCTTGATTGCCTCGATACCTTGATCGCTGGCGAAAAAAATCAGTACATCCCAAGCAATTTTCGAAAGATACTGGAGATATTAACCTGTTTCCTGCCTCGATGAGTAACACATTGGTATCATGGTTTTCGGACAATCGACTGGCAACCACGCCTCCTCCAATTCCAGCTGGCAGTGCCCTTCAATTCAGCATCCGAAGAAGAATATCGGCAGAAAGTTGGTATACCTCCAACGATAATATAGTCGTATTGCTTCTGAGGAAGGGCCGAGGAGTCTGCATAAAGGGCGCATTTCACTCCAATTGGCTTGAGGATTGACAAAGCCAGAAGTGATATTGTCAAGAGCATCGTTCTTGAGGACACGGACACCAAGGACGAAGCGATAGGGCATTTCAAACTTCTCAAGCAGGCTAGCCCTTTTCTACACAAAAACTATAATGAAAAGTCAGTCTATGAGAGCACCCACGGGACAGTTGACGTGGGAGATTCATATGATCAATCAATTCATGGAGTGATCTATCTGTGCTGCGAAGAGTCTTGCCGTGAAGCGAATAACTGGGTCTGGAATATAATTTCGAGGTTTGAGAGTGGATGTGCGTCTCCTGACCATGGGCTGTTGGATCCGCAGAATCTTCGGACGAGGCACGTGGGTAGCGGGGCGAGCAAGCTTGACTGTGAAGGTGGGTCAAATATATGACGAAGCGCAGCTGTTCGTGGAAAGGCACAGACCTTCACGAGATTGTACGGAATGTCTGAGAGAAAGGTACGTCTAGCAACAAGTACTGAGCTGATTATAGGAACGTACAAACCCGAAATAGGGACGAGTCTAGTGATGTCTTATACAGCAGAGTTCCAAGGCGCATATTGATGCCCAAGCATTTCGGGCGACGACGAAACTAGTCCACCAAATTCAGTGGTTGACTGTGTTCAAGGTGTGGAACTTGAATCGTGACGTCTTCATTCGATATCTTAAGAGGTTTTTACAGGTCAGATACACTACCATATGAGGTGTCTACGCCGTTCCCCTGATGATAGCCGCCGCACGCTCAGCAATGGCATACACCGAAGCCTGCGTGTTGGCTGACGGGACAAACGGCTGAACATTTACATCATGTTTAGTACCCCCCGATCTGACATGGGCCACCAATGAACAGCTTACCAGCACACTAGCATCGACAATGCGCAAGCCTCTAGCCTTTTTAAGCGTGAGATCAGGATTCACGACTCCGTTCGTCGCGTTCCATGCAGACATCCTGGCAGTGCTCGTCGGATGGTATGCAGTCCCAGCAGTTGCACGGGCATACGCATTGAGTTCTTCATCTGTTTGAGCCTGGCCAAACGGCCCGTACGGTTCCAACAAAAGTCCACTGAACGAAGCAGCCGAGGCAAAACGCTGGCGAGAATGGTTAGCCGCGCTTATAACACGATGCATCATGACGCACTCGTCCTGCTCGGGCTGCTTCACGGATCACAAAAAGGTCGAATTCGGAAGTGAGGAAGGCTGGGTCGATCAGTGGGTCCTCGAAAGGGTCTGAAGATGCTAAGGTAACTGTGCCGCCTAGAGCGCGCCAGAGGTATGTCAAAATGGGTCGAATCTCTGGAGACACAGAAGACATACGACCGGCAGGCGTTACGAGAGCGGTAGCAATTGTGAGGAAGCGACCTTCAGAAGGATATGCACTGGTGGCAGAAAAAGTATCCTTCAGACAACGACAAGATGATTGACTCAAACGATAACAGCACACAAGGTTAAGACACTTACGTAGATTTCTAGCTGAAAATGAGGGGTGTTGGAGCCCGCAGATGGATCGCTATGTGTTTGAAAAATGGTGGCATTGTCAGGCAACCGCGACCATCCAATCTGGCTGTAGAAACCGTCAGTATATGGGCCTGTGCGATTGTTCCTCCATTCTGCTAATTCCTGCGCTGCCAGTGTAGCGTTTCTTCGTATATCGTCCCAAGAGAAGGAAGCATTTGTCAGCCATATATCTGAGAGGTGGGTGTGGTCCTGAAGGTGCTGTCCCACATCCGGCAATTCGACCTTCGGATCAATGCCAAGGGACGACAACTTAGTCGAGTTGCCGATCCCAGATAGCATTAAGATCTGAGGCGTTCCGATGCTCCCAGCCGAAAGGATGACTTCCTTTGCTGCCGTAACAGCGTAAAGTCTGCCTAGTTTGATTGAGAGGTAAGGGTATTACTTGATATGTATCTCAATCAAAATATACACACTCGACGCATTGCGAGCTATCTGTACCCCCTGGAAGACCGGAATACAGTCGGCGATGCCAGTTTGGAGAACCTTGGTTACATGAGAGTTGATCAAAACGTCGAGATTGCTGTACTTCGAGAGAGAGGGGTGTATGTATGCCGTCGCTGCGCTGTCGCGCGTGCCATTGCTAATAGTCGACTGGGAATATCCTTGAAACCTCATCTGTGAAACATTGCCAGCCTAGATCGAAGCAAACTTACCGAATCCAAGCGGCTTTCCAGCGTTAAAATCGATGACAAACGGAAATTCAGGCAGTTCTTTCGTAGCCTGAATCACCATACTGTCAGTTGGTGCGGGCCAATTGAGGACACTAACTCCCAAAGGTCCAGAATGTCCATGCGCTGATGGATCTACCTGACCAGATGTATTATGACCATCCGCTGAGGGGACTAATTTTTCGGCCTGCGCAAAACCAAAAATAAATAAATATGTGACATTATTTAATAACCATGTGCACCTTCTTGATAAACGGGAGGAGAGCGTCCCAGGACCATCCAGAATCCCCTGATACTTCTGCGATCCGGTTATAATCATCAGCCGAACCGCGAGTGTATATAAGACCATCTAAGAGATATAATGAGGCTGATGAGTTCCCCCAAATCATTACCACTTACTGACGGAGGAAGATCCGCCCAGGACACGGCCTCGTGGGTAAGAAATAGATCTATTCCCTAGACCAATCTGCGGAGTCGTCGTAAAGTTCCAATCGACGATCGTGTTAGGTGTTAGCACCTGAGCAAGCCAAGGAACTTGGATCGCTTCGATGCCTTCATCGCTGTCCAAAGATCGTTTCTTTAGATCAAGATTGATTCCAAAATTATTACACGAACCTGATCCCTGCTTCAATAAGAAGGATCTTGGTCGTATGGTCTTCAGATAAGCGACTAGCAACCACCCCTCCGCCGACGCCCGCTATGACAGAAGGTCAGTGTTCGCTGAGAACAAGCCTTCACTACGCATACCACCAACGATCACGTAGTCATAATTCTTCCGAGGTAGGGCTGAAGGGTCAGTGTAGAGCCTGCCTATGACCCTATGCGGCTCAAGGATCAATAGCACGAACAGGAGAAGCGAAAAAACTGCTGGGAATGCCATAAGTGAGGAGCACTGTGATGATTGTCATCTGGCAATCAATCCTTTTTATCCGGCGAAGAGCCAAAGACGAGTCTTGATGACATTCTAGGGACAGCTGATCTTTACGAGAATAGAAGGCCACCTGCATCCCGCTTCATCTGACAGGGAGGTGTAGCGCAAATAGCGCAAAGTGAAGCCGCGATATGGAAACTTACGGCTTTTGCTTGAATATAAGCACCTTCTGACCATTGGGACGCTGAGATCTTTCGCTATTGAAACCCGTGAAGCGGAACTCTCGGACATCGCGTATGGAGAGTGGGAATGCGAACCTATTATTGTATTAGTTACTTCACGGTTATGACATGCTGCTAATTTGAAGATACGGACCGTTATGAAACAGAAGAGGCTTGAAGGCTATGGACTGTCCAGTTACGCCTTGAGGATCTCCTATGATTTGTAGACCTTGACAGTCTGCCCCTGTCCCCGTGGTACATCAGACGACGAACCCATCCTAGCGCATCAAGGCATTATACGATAGCGAACAACGTTATTGTCCACCTGACATGAAGCTATAGTAGCTAGATAACGCAGACAAGAAAGCAAATGATAGCAGGACAACATAAAGACCACAGAAAAATCACCCCGCTCATACCTCAAGGCAGCGACAAGGTAGATGAGAAAAAATTACCAGCCCGCATCCCTCGCCTCCTTCAACAAGACAGTTGTGTTATTCTCCAACGACTGGTTTTCGCTTTGCGCAGCATTCTCGAACTCCTGGACAAGCAGTGCATTGTCTCCCATGTTTTCGTCGGGTGTCCAGCCTGCTTCCGTGACGTCGTACCTATCAGATTATCAGCACCCCAGGACGTGCGCGCCCAAGTATAGCTCGAAGACGGGATCGCAAAGAGCAAGTAGACTTACCCGGTCCACTTCACCAGCCACAAAAAGCCGTCATGTTTGTCCTGTCTAGGCCTTCTCCCGATAATGCGCTCGACAAAAAACTCGTCTTCTCCTGGTTCAGAACAGTCTGGGCGTAAACATTTGCCGCCCCCCTCAAGCTTTTTTCGACGAGGGACTGCAAATTTGGAGTGTTCAGTAATCGCTTCTCTTGTACTCAGCCTATAATCTTGAAAATACACTCACTCTCGGCCCTGGATTTCCGCGGCACGCGTTTCAGTACGACGAGAGAACAATAAATCAGAAGACGCACGGATGAGCCACACAGGGTGGACACACAAAATCACACTCCTCTCCCCCACTTTGTCGACCGTCATTGTCAAGGCCTGCACAGCTCCAATGATACCACAGATAGCATCTAGATGGTTGCATCGACAGAAAAGGCTCAAACATGACGACATCATCAATTCAAGTGGCGCCACGTACTGATCGCACTGTATGAACTTAAGCAAGGTTCACCGTCAGCACGCAAGGCAGATAACAAGATGGCTAGCCGTCTTACTGCTCTATGAAACGCGTCATCCCCTTGTGTACGTTCGGGCCAAGCACCCTGAAGGAGAGAGTCTCTCGCCATTCTCCTGTTTTTCGAGCGACCTTTGGAGATGTCCTTCTGTGAAGCAATCGCCTCTGATTTTCGCCTTCTCTTTGCTGGCCTAGACGCGGCTGTTCGTGGTTTCGGTGGTGGTCTCGACTTTCTTCTCTTCCTATTTGACGCAAAAGTTGTGTCGCCGCCTCCAGCCGTCGACCGTGCACGTTTGCTACTCGTGTTGACAAGTTTGTTGGTATGCTCATGCGCAGCTGAATCAGGCTTGATCCTGAGCCTAAGCTTGAGTGCAGGTGTCAAGGAGCGGGGGTGTTGCTTTTCGTCCTCCGACTCAAGAGAGGAGCGATCGCTCGAGTCTGTCAGCGACGACAAGTCCGACTCGGACCGGCGCGGAGAAGTGCATATGCCTGGATAAGGTTGTGGGAGAAGTGGGCTGATACTGAACGGGAGAGAAGAAAGCTCGTCTGCCTTCACCTGGTTCGGGTGCGACGGGTTTACGAGTTGCGTGTCTAAGGACACAGAGGGCGGCTGAGTGTCGACTGTGATCGTGTCAGGGTCGGAAGAGAGGAGCTGTCGTATGACAGATGAGTCCCGAGAGGACGAAGTAGAAGGTACTAAATTTTTGATGGCAGGCTCAGGAGGCGTTAACGATGAGCCCAATGGTAGTGGTGGCTGCAATGGTGAGTGAAAGACAGATGGGTTCACAGTTTCATAAAGAACATCGTCCTTCGGATGAGCACTATGTTCTATACGGACAAGAAGCCATTAGGGATACTTTTGTGTAATCGACTAGTAACGCTCACGTTTTTCGGAATTGATATCGCGGCGCAGGTCTGGCACTGTAGGTGGATCTCATGATTTATAGCCAGTATAGCGAAACAAAACTCACGATTCGCTTCTGCCGTCCAGTCTGCAGGGGCTAGGGGTTCTAAGGAAAAGCGCCCATCGGAAAATGGAGAGGAAGCGTGGAAAATCTGATTTGGGCGAGAATTGAAGACACGGTCTGCAGGCAATTGTTTAACCAGTTCGCGTTGATATGTGTTTGGGGATCGAGCGACGCACCTAAGACATTGACAGAGGCAAATAGGTCGGGCCTATTTTCTGTAAGGAGGTCGTGTTGCTCTTAAAGTTGGATGACAATGAAGTTATTAGAACTAAACATACCAGAAAGTCCCCTCGATGACACGGGTGAGGCCTCTGTTCCTCGATACATATTGTCATATCGGTTAGGCCGACTCGGCCCTGCTTGAGCATTGCTCACTAAGACAGAGGTTCAGAAAATGAGCTAACGATAGATAAAATAGGTAAATCTTCTACCGATTGGCGTAGATTGAACCGCTGGCCAAGGATCGGTCGCAGCGTCAGCATATACTGATGGTAGTTGATGAGTTTTTCGATGTTTCGATGATTGAGGATAAGACGGTGACAGTCTGTTTCGATTGCCTTTGTTCTGGACAGCATTCGTTTCTGATATGGGGTCAATCCCAACTTCAGGCTGTACAACGGATTCTCGCTTGAATTCTAGGTTGCAAAGGTCAGCAAGAATCAATGGACAATGCGCATACGTGCGCATATAGACACACACCAGGTGCATGCAATATCTCAGTCTTCTCTAGGATCTCGGAGACTTCAAAATCGATTGCATCCAGTCTCTCCCAAACGGAAGAGTACTGCTCTTCTCCTGTTGCCGGTACTCCTAGCATTTCCTCCAAACGTTGTAGGCGACCTACCACCACATCCGTTGTCCGTAACTGCGCATGATGCGCTTGCTCAATCATTTTGGCCAATCGGTTGACCTGTCCCGAAATACGTGCTTCCATCTCTCCAACTCGCACGAACGTCGCGTTGTTTTGTGTCTCGAACATTGGATGGAGAGCGATTTCTACCGCACGTATAAAGGGCTCATAAGTCACCATTGTCGGCGATACGCCTGGTGAGCGTGTGTCTGAGCGATGAATATGATGGTAGTGAGGCTGCGAGGGCACGGGGGTGGGATAAGAAGTTATTGGCACCGGTGGGGCATAGTGCCCATGATGAGCGGCCGCAAATCGCGCGGGACTCGAAGTGGGCTGCTGTGTCAGATGTGTAGAACCGTATGCATGAGAAATAGGAGCAGACCATGCCAGTTGTGGCTTCTGGTGCGATGGGCTACCGGGCATAGTCGCAAATGAAGATGAAATAGGAAGCTTATGCGCTGCTTGGACGAGAAGAACGCTCCGTTGGTAGCCTATGCGTGGAAAGGGATGCTCGTGTCGCGCTGGTCACAGCACCGTCTTGTGCTGCATCAATTTCAGTCCTTGAAGGGTACAGTTCACGCCGTAGGTGTTGCCAGTAGCGAGGACGAAAGCTGTAACACAACGCGACTCCGACTACGAGCTCGAGTCAGACGCGTAAATTATAGTATCACGTGCGCACTTCCTCTTTCATCCAGGATCAAAGCCTACAAGCCCAGTCATCAAAACACAGAAGAACATATCCATCAGCCTATGAATGGCTTCTCCTCCGTAGCCGCACTGGCACGGGAGATACGCCCAGTGTCAACATCATCGCAGCTGGCATAACCCTCTCCCTCCATTGCTCCCCCGTCTCCCCTTCCTTCATGATGGGCTCGACGTGCCAGTCTTTGATTAGCAAAGTGAGGAAGCACACCGCCTCCATAGCCGCAAAGTGACGTCCAATGCAAGTCCGAGGGCCTGGGTGTATTGGCATGAGAAACCAGAAGATCAAGCAGTGCTTCAAAGAGACGTACCAAAGCTGAATGCAGAAGCAGCCTCAGAGTCGTTCATGGTTCCATACCACCTCGAAGGGTCGTACTTATAAGGGTCGGTGAAATATCTAGGGTTATATTCTGTCATGGATGCGTTAGTGATATGATATTTGCAAGGGGAAGGAGACACTTGCGAACGCCGACCATATCCACGACCACCTGTGCACCCTTCTGAATCGCGATGCTCCGGTTTCCAGGTTTGCCAAGCTCAGAAGGGATGGTAAGCACAGTATCCTCAATCGCTTCGCGGATCATCACGTATCCTGCGGCTATAGCCAGACATTGACGATGAGTAAACCAAGGCACATCAAGTCCACGGCAACGCTTGACACTCACGATATAGCCGTAATGACTCGTAAAAGACGCTGAGGACTTTCTCCAATTTGTTGAAATCTTCATACGTCTGGTCAGACGGCGATGTGAGTTGACAGCACTACGTGCACAAATTGTTGATAACTCACCGGGTCGCGGTCATGTCCGATAACTTGAATTATTTCTTCGTAGACCTCCTTCTGAATTTGGGGATGGATCCCGAGGAATCCAAGGGTAGCCGCGAGTGTGTGAGCAGTAGTCTCTGAAACATTGTAGTTAGATGAATACGCTAGTATCAGACCCCTATGCGGCTCTCCAATCACATACCGTGTCCAGCAAAGAGCAGACCAAACACATTTCCGATCTGCACGCCCATAAATTACTAGCATCCTTCACAATGATTTTGGGAAAGCAGACTCACCACTTCGCTGTCATCTAACTGTAGCTTCTCGTCTTCGTTGTTCGCGCGAACAAGCAAGCTGAAAACATCGCTCCTCTGACTCTCTGTGCCACTTGAGTCGCTCGCCAGCGCCACCTTGCGCTCATTGATTTGTATCGTCATATAGTTCTGTAATACGCTGTGCGCAGCAGGCAGGTCGGGAATCCTTGATGATATGATCGTAAGCGATGTGAAAGAAACAGTCAAGGGAGATCTGGCAGCACCATTTGAAAGGCAGTTTATACAACCACTTCGGCGCAGCAAGCCATAGCGTCGGATGGTCTGTAAACGTCTTGAAAGCTTCCTGAAGAGGCATGCTCCCGTCTTCATTCGTAGGAGGGGCATCCCATATGAAGGGCAAACCGAATCCAACAGACGAGATAACGTATAGGGCCAGTTTGAACGTGTATTCCTGTATCACGGCAATTTCCACAGAATCCTTGGTGTCCCACCCCTCAGAGGAAACCATGTCCTTGAATATACGCAGGGTCTCAGACCATACCAAACTGTACGTCTTTGGATTGAATGCAGGGCCCATGATGCGCCTATGTCTTCGCCACGTCTCCTTCTCAGACGCAATGAGGTTCATGCCCCAGATCCTACCATAGGACGAGAATAGGAAGACGGAATGAATATGTATTCGTTCGAAATAAGGAATTACGGACTGACATCATGGCCTGGCTAGCAGACTCTGGCTTGATCCAGGGAGACTTGATACCGCCCGCAACGACCTGGCGTGCGACATCGATGTTGGACGTGTACAAAGTTGGCCTACCCGAAAGGAATGGAACAATTGACACAACCTCAGAGCCCCACTTACGATAGACTGCTCATACATCACAGTGTATAAGGAGAGATATTGGTTAGATTCTAGTACAAACAGAATTAGGTGCAATGTGCCTACAGGTCAATCGTTCACTCCAGGTGAAGTAAACCCCCGGGTTCCACCAGGACGACGGAAATATGACGGCTGGCATAGCCAGTGGTTGGAAAGGGACACGAAGCCCTCTGACTCCATTAACGGCCTACAGATAGAATACAACACATCGTTGAGCACAACTCGGCGTGCTAAGAAGCATATGAAGCGGCAAGGCGGCGATCGCTATCGCTGTCGGCTCCGATAGAGGGTTAACTAAGACTTACCTTTATTCCGTTCAACAATTTGAAGACTTTCGACAGGATGAAGATAGCAGACGCTGCTCCCAACGCGAGGCGCCAGCTCACCACACCGTTCAAGGAGGACATGAATATAAGCAATTTGGCTTCGAGTACGTCGAGGTGGTTGTGCTGTCAGATGTGCTCCGAGCTCCCCGAGCATACAGCAAATATTTATCAGGGTTTAATTATCGCTGAGACAAGTAGTGCTTGGGTTATACAACGCTTTTATTCTGTAAGAACTGCGGTTTATCTTATCTCAACGGCGTTCGCTAAATCGAGCGGCCAGACGCTACCTAGACTTTATGCTCGCAGTGACTCGTCTGCAGTCTGGATGCAGCACATAGAATCTCCCATTGCGCAAGAGCACACAATTTCTCGGTGTTTTTCAGCTTGTCAGGCAGTCTGAATACCTTCAAAAGCCGTCGATGAGATAGTATGCCTCGTGGAACTCTTCTTTCTGATCGCTGTCATTTGAGGGTGCCATAGCTGAAGCCGGTGCTCGACGGCTGACAATCTTATATTTTTGTATTATCCATGGCAGAGCATCCACCTAGTGAGTTCAAATTTATCTCCCGTGATGTAAGAAAGGCGACTCAGTAGGACAGACCCTCTCGTCGGCCCGCATGCCGAGACGCCAACAGCTGAAAAGCGTATCTGCATCATTGGTGCTGGGGCAGGCGGTCTCGCGACGTTGAAGGTCCTTAAAGAGACCGAGCAAGCGCAGTCAGGATTGTGGAAGCTCACTGCATTCGAAGAGAGGCAAGCTATTGGTGGAGTGTGGTATGCAATCTTTCGCTTTATGATATTCTTCTCAATAACAATTTCATCGTTCACATAGGTTGCCTGCACCTCCAGAGCAAAACCCGCCGCTGACGCCCTTATACGATGTCCTGACAACGAATTTACCCCACCTAATCATGGGATACCCAAGCTTCCCGTTCCCGCCCAGCACTCCCCTCTTCCCCTCTGCGGCAATAGTGCTGAAATACCTACAAGATTACGCCGCCCATTTCGACCTCCTCCGCCATGTCCGACCGAACACTCGGGTAGAGGAAGCGCGATGGAATGCTTCAGAGCAAGTGTGGAAGGTCACGCTTTCTACTGGAGAGCTCTCGGACTTCGATTTCATTGTTGTCGCCAACGGCCATTATAGGAAGCCTCGATACCCCAACACTCAAGGACTGCAGAAATGGATCGCCTCTGGACGCGCTATACACTCAGCATGGTTCAGACGCGCGAGTGATCATGCACAGTACAAGAAAGTTCTGGTGGCCGGCGGTGGTCCCAGCGGACTAGACATCAGCACAGAAATGCGCACGGTCTCTCAGCTTGTCCTGCACTCTGTTCCCAGTGACGCGTTTCCCAGTGATTTCGCACCTCCGCCAAATACAGACAGTTACAGGAAGGTGCCGAAGGTTAAGGAGTACAAAGACAATGGCGACGTTGTTTTTGCAGACGGCACGATCGAGTCGAATGTTGAATTTGCCATCCTCGGGACGGGCTATGAAGTATCCTTCCCATTCCTCCCGCAATCAACGCTCGGAGTGCCAAACTTTCCGCCGCCGCTTCCTTCGCATCTGTACAACTCAACTTATCACATCTTCCCCCTCGCGAAACACCTGTTCCCGCTGCAATCTGACTTTCCTGCGCATACCATCGCATTCCCCGCGCTCCCCCAGCGTGTCGCGCCCTTCCCGATCTCCGAGGACCAGGCGCGTGCGATCGCCCGCGTGCTCACAGAGCCAAGTGCCTTGGACGTTGCCGCGGAGGCTGTGGCCATCGTTGAGCGCGCACGCGCGCTGGCGAAGGAAGAAGGCACCGACGACCCGCTCCAACTAGCGAAGGCATGGTCTCGGTTCGGACCGCGCGAGCCATTCGAGTACCGTGCGGAGCTGCACGCGTTCGCGAAGCCCGGGACAGAATGGCGTGCACCTGACTGGGAGGTTGAGTTTTGGGACCGCAAGGACGCGTTACGGGCGGAATGGAAAGAAGTTGTGAAGAGCGGACAAGCGGGTGAGTGGGTGAAGGGCGTCGGGGAACGCGGCGTGCAGGAGTGGGTGGACCTGTGCCGGAGGCTTTTGAAGAGGCGCGATGATAGAGAGAAGCAGCAGGCAAAGCTGTGATGCCGACTAGATAAGCCTAGCCATAATGTTTTAACTTCACAAGTGCATAGAGAGAGACGGAATATGTTGCATCTAAAATCCGAACATACTGTTCAACTTAACTTCCACCAATCGTCGACAAGGTCTCCTCTGCATTGGGCGGAACTGACGACATGGTCTCCTAACGGAAAGTCACAGCTATTCATAAAAATACCCATGTAGTCCCCAAAAGCCTGAAATTTAAGAGTCCGTCTGGTATTATAGCACACGCATTCATGAGCTGAAACAGTAGGGTAGTAATAGCCAGCGCACAACCATCTAAATCATACTAGAATCACCGCCATAAGCAAAGCCAGCAATATAACAATTAGAATCACGATACACCAGCCCGACTTCGTTTCTGGACAAAGAGATCAGTTCAAGCACATTCAAGTTCGGCAAACGTCAGACCAACCTTCTGTATCGCGCATAAACTTCTTCATTTTTTTCATGGCGTCGGCGAGCTTGGACTCAGAGCGGTCCACGCCACGGCCCAAGTCATCCAGCATCCTGGCACTTTGTTAGCATGTGCATGAAGAGTTTCCAAACAATGATGCGCACTCATTGTGTTCCCCAATTTCCTGCCCCATAAGCCCTGCCTGCTGCGCAAGCGTGCTGAGCGTTCCTGCTATCGAGCTAATTGTCTGATCTTGCTCGCGGATTATCATCTATGGGTTAGATATTACTCGTGAGTCTTGACAGGGCTCGAGAATGCGACATAAATGGATACAAAAAATGTACCTGTTGCTCTTCACGCGCCCATTGTGCCTGTGGGTCTCCATCCGGAGGAGCTGGCGATGGAATTGGAATGGGCAACCGAGGTGCCGGTGGTGGTGACAAGGGATTTGTAAGGGTCTGTGACGACTCTGAGAATGAAAATGTACACAAGATGTCTCAGCACTCACCGCCTCTCTCCCGCCGTCAACTTCTGCTCGCATGTTCTGTACATTGGCAGATTAGGTGGGCATGATTGACAATGGGCACGGTACGTACCACGCACCTCGATCTCATTCCGCACACGCCCAACATAACGACGTCTCTCCATCACCTCTGCGGCATCAAGACCGAACATACGTGCGCCGGTTGTTTCAACTATCCTGAGAGCAATATTCCAAATAAACGAAGGTGAGATTGAGACCCGCAAAGGGATGCCAATTGTGTAAGGAACATAAGAACGCGTACTTCACACTCTCTTCTAGATCCTCCAAGTCTGCCTCCAATGCGGCAAGTGTTGCTTTCAGCTACATGACATTTTTTATTAGTGCTCGGTCCCTGCCCAGCTTGTTGCTCCAATGAGACACATCAATAAGGAAGCCGCACCTCGTTTCTCGCCCATTCTAGCTCTTCGCTACCCTCACGCGCCGTGCTGTGTATGCGTACGAAGGATGCACGCAGCTGTTCTGCCGTTTGCAGCGAGCTCTGAATCTCGGACTGAACAGCATGATATGGGTCGGTCGACATTGCTGTCGTCGGCCAGACTGTGCTCGAATTCCGCTGTGATTCGCTATGAGTGGAAGCGAGGCATAACTGAGATGACTACAACGGATTTGTAACCAGCATAAGTAAATCAACAACAACAAACGTTCGGCTTGTTCGGCTCACTTAGTGTGACCACCGTGGTCCCTTGTAGCTATGTTTTAAACGTGCCACAGAGTGCCAGTTCTACGAGTCTCTAACTTACCCGTGTCTAGAATCGTATCTTTTGAGGACCTTTCTGCACAGGTCCACCCACTCGTCTAATCCGCCGACCCCAACCCCTTTCAACCACTTCTCTGACTCTCCATCATCCACTATCGCTTTCCATTCAGTGCGCAACTCGTGCTTTCGATCCCAGCACTCAAATTCTCCGTCCATCGGCTGCCATTCGATGCCTGCGAACGCGTTCAATTCCGCGCGATATTCGAATGGCTCGTGAGGTTTGAAAAACACCCACGCCTTCGCGACGTCGAGCGGGTTGGACCCAACCTCTTGCACCAGGCTTTGCGCGCGCTTTATGATAGCTGCCGACTCTGCTGCGATGTCCAGCGCGCCTGGATTCGCAAACGCATGCGCGATAGCGCGTGCTTGGTCTTCGAAAATTGGCAATGGCGCGATGCGATTCATGAGCCCTGTGAAGGCGATGGAGTGGGCTGGGAAGTCTTTCTGCAAAGGAAACAGGAATTTCGCCAGAGGAAACGGGGCGTAGCTCGAAATTTGCAGGTGGTCAGGTAACGGCGTTGAAGGCGTCCACACGTCGTTGGTCAGGTGAGCAAAGAATGGGAACGAGTGTTCGAACCCAGTTGCAAAGATGACGAAGTCGACGTCCGACTCCGTCGTGCCATCCTCGAACACCAGAATGCCGCTGTCCTTGTACTCTGAAATCTTTGGTTTAGTCCTATAGCCGTCATCGTCCGGGGGCAGTGCTTGACCTATCCAATAGCTTCCGCCAGAGACTGACTGCAAAAGAAGCTTCGAGACGTTGCGCATCTCTGCCACGATATCAAGTGCACTAAGCCCGGCACCAACCACGACCACCTTCTTGTGGTGCGCTAGCTCACTCGGACGCCTGTACCACGAAGAATGAAACGCCCTTCCCTCGTCGACCCATTTCTTCACGCCAGGGACATCCGGGTACCGGGGTTTTCTGTGATGTCCCGAGGCCACGACGACGAACTCGAACTCATGCCATTCTCCCGCCGGCAACCTGATTTTCCAGACTTGGCCTTCGGCATCCCAGCGAGTCTCTTCGACCCGAGTCTTGAAGCGGATATAGCGCGTGATATCGAAGTATGCAGCGTATTCTTCGAGATATTGACGCACCCTGGCAGCCGTAGGGTATAGAGGTGTTTCTGGTGGGAACGGGAAACTCGGGAAACCAAGGAACGGAACGGCTACATTCGTATAAAGCGAATCGTAGAGCGGTGTATAGGGAGGATCATCCACAGCAGGTGCCGGCAACCTAGAGCATGGGTTATGAACTTATATACTTGATCTCTCCCCGTCGATCAGCGCACCATATTCCTCCGACGTTTTCTCTCTCCTCGAACGCAGCCAATTTCCACAAACCTGACTGCACCTGAGGAGTGTCTGCCAGAATCTTCAGCGTCGCAAGGCCATTTGCGCCTGCACCAATGACGCAAATTCTCTTTATGGAGCTCATCCTACAGCGATGGGGATGGTGCGATTGAAAAGAAGTCTAGCTGCGTTGCCTATTGTCTTTATGGACCTCTAGGCGATGGCGCAACAATAATTCACTGGCATGAGGTCACTCGGCCATCGGCGACGCCACTGGCAGGATTCACGTACAGATGCGTAAGGTGCGATTGAGTCGTGCAGTCCAACCTTAGTCTCCCACAGTCATTGCCTAAAATCAAGGCGTTCACTTTATCGAGAATCCACTTGGCATCGAATCCGCCTGGCTTCGATCTTCCATAGGACCAGTCATCTCACGGGGTCAAAACCGTCGGACCTGCGCACCGTATCAGATAACGGGGTGTAAATGTTGCACGCTGCGCTCTACTGGGGGCACGCAAGCGCGTAGATGGCGAACATAACATGGTCCTTGCGCCTATCTGGTAAGGCGTCGAAAAATCTCAGAATAAGTCTGCACGTGACCGTACCTTTTGCTCGGGATCGAGTGCTGAGTTCTAGTACTTATTTCTACTGCCAGGGATCAAACGAGTCAACGAATGTCCATATCCAAAAGTGTTGTATGTTTGGAGATAGCGTGACGATACATGACCTTACATTGGATAACTAAAGATACATGAATCTCACGATTCTGTGAATAAGCAGATGCTGCGTATCTACATCGTGGTATACCAACATCTGAAACAAAGATGGAAGGGTAGAAATGGAAGGGTATGCAATAGTCAAGATAAATATAGACGGGTGGACTACGGCAGTCCAAGGGTCGATCGTGCACCCTCCTAAGCGTTCTTGCGGGACCAACCACGTTCCTCTGACGCCCGTATCTCCAAATCAATCATGGCCTCCTCAGGCGGCGCACTAGTGATATTCACCTTGCCCTTTTCGTTCATGATCGCACCCTCGGTCGAAACATCGATGCCCTCCGCCTTGCACGCGCGCTCTGCCTCCTCCACGAGACCTAGCGGATCGCGCGGCAGCCAAATAACGCGCTGTGATTCCACACTCGCGGGATGGCTGAAGTCCGTAGGGCCCTGCTCCTCCGTCCGCTCCACAGACGGCAAGTGTGCACTTGAGTCGGCGTGGGACAGTTCTGAGAATGAGCCAGAAGCCTTGTGCGCGGGTTTCTCGTTCGTGGTAGAGTCAACAGCGTTTGCGGATGGTTCAGAAGCCTGGCCGTTAGCATCGAAGTGCTGAGCATGGACGTTGTCTTCCTGCATGGGAGCGGACTCCACTGTGCTATCGCGGCCCTTTTTCTCAGTTTCTTCCACAGGGAGAGCCATGGCAGACGCATTCCCGGGGACGACATCGTCGGTCAATTCGAATGACTTGTCAGCTAAGGTAAGGGGAAGATATTGGATCAAGGGGCCGTATGAGTTGTTGATGATGTTATGGAAGAACGCCTGCAGGAAGAGAATATAAAATCAGAACGAATATGCCGACTGTGCCTATTTGATGGAACCCCACCGTAAACACGAGCAAGACAACCATCAACGCCCCTTCCGCAATTGCTGCTGGTTTGCCCTTCTCATTTTGTGAAAGGAAAAACAGCGCACAAAGGCAGATCTGCTGAATGTACAAACCCACGAAGATATGCTGAATCGCCTTGGGGAAGAAGAGCCCACCGGTATCGCCTGAGGCAGGCATGTCCTGGACCCAGAGGAACAGGTACTTGTACATGATATAGAACAGGAAGAACGTGGCGCAGGCTAGACCGTTTATGATGGGTGAAATGATGGAGTACCCAAGCGTGATGACGACGAGTAGGGTAGTCTGCGGGAAAAGTGTTCCCCAGTTAACAGAGCGAGCGCCGTACTTGAGGTTGTACACCGATCGAGGGGTGCTACCAAGCAGGATCAACTTGACGTAGTACAAGATAAGAGTGACTGCTTGCAGGAAACCACCGGCGGTTCCGGAGAGACCTTGCAGCATAATGTATCTATGGAAGCATGAGATATGTGTTCTGATTTATGATAAGAAGATGAGCATACGTCAGGAAAAAAGTCGAAGCCTTGGGTAGATTCTGAGCGAGAAGAGTCGGTGCAGATGATATGTTATCCGCAAGCTGAGGGAGGGCTGCAATGATACCGGATGAGAGCGTCACTATCAAGAACCCGTTCTACGACATCGAAAAATGAGTATAAGAGTACCAGGTACGAGCCATGGGAAGGTGGCGCTTACAATGACTTCAAAGATGAAGAATCGGTCCATCAAGCTGAGCTCGAGGCCAGTACGTTTCGGGATACCCTCGAGGCGTGCCAATAGTCTCAATACAATCGGCAGAAGCATGAACAAAATAGCGAGCAACACGGGAGGGAGGATACCAGAGATGATACCGACAACCACGTCCGGAAGGTCACAGACCCAAGCGAGCCAGTGGTACTTGATGCAAAGGGAATGGATGTTCGACACGGCGCCGACAAAGGCCACTGTTATACGATATCAGCTCATGAACGCTTGTCCTAATGAAGAAACCGATTGAATATGCGTACCAGGGAAAGCCCAAAGGATGATTAATCCTAGCGTGATGGCCCAGCCAATAGCCATCCGTATACGGCGCTCATACGGGTTCATGCCTAGATTCTCCCATATAACGTCCTCAGGTCCAACTTCCACATACTTCCCAGCGCTGGCCATACGGTACGGGCCGTGATGCGTGAGTCCAGCAGCCGCGAGGTGCGCCGCGATCTGCCGGTTGAACAGAATGAATGCGCCATTCACGGGAGGGTACGTCTGGTCCTTGAAGTCGACCGCGGGCTTTGCGCCAGGGATCGGTAGCGAAACAGGGGGTACGGACACGTTGAACCTACCCGCACGGATCTTGTGGCGGCGATCGATTGCCTCTGCCTCCTGTGCAGTCATGCGAGCGATGTCGTCGTTCAGTACCCGCCGACGTTCCGCGAGCGCCTCACTCGTGGTCTTGATTTCCTCGCGTGCCCACTCGATCGAGTCCACCTTCTTGCCGATCAGCGGAAGGGAGAATGGGAGCCACGAGAAGGGAGGCAGACGGTGGGTCGGGCGTTCATTTGCTGGGACAAGCTCCTCGGCCAGGCTTTTCACGGCCTCCGGATCGCTCGTAGGCTGTGTGAGACCGGTGGATGAGTTGCTATCTCCACCCTTCTTCGCTGCCGCTTCTTTGTTCTTCTTGTATTGCTTCATAGCTGTGCCAAGAAGGGATGTTTCGGCAGCCTCCAACTTGTCGCAGGCCGCAAGGCGACGTGTATGCAGGTCGGGCATATCTTTGAGATCACGATTGAGCCAGACTTTGCGCACGCCACCCGGAAGACAGGAGAAGAGACGTGTGAGAGCAAGTTCCGACAAGTACTTTGTCGGGATCCCAGTAACGAGGATAGTGTTCGCTTGCGGAGATGAGGAATGGCTGGCACTGATCAAGAAGCGTTGACGGTCCTTGACATAGTGCTGCATTTCATGCTTGATGTTCCACCAGATCCAGACTAGGATAAGACGACGTCAGATGAATAATTGTTCAAACGATTAGCTTAAACCAAGTCAAAAGAAGACGATCATATGACCCAAACGACAAGATGTCAAGCATGTCCACCCAGACACAGATGGTGCAGAGGCGCACGAGACGATTGAACGGGGACTCACAAGTGAAAACCCAGGCGAGGATCAAGTGCGCAGCGTAACGTGTCGTCTTGTCTGGCGCGACGTTGCCGTAAGTGTACTTATCGAGACCGGAATGGCTTTCGACTTCTGTTTTGATCGCGGTAATGGGAAGGAGTATCACCCACGAAATGAGCCATATCGGGAGCAGTACACGGACCATCATGCGGAGGAAGCGGACGAAAAAGTACGAGTCCATGCCGTTGACCTGCTTGATGTCACGATAATCGGCCCGCCATATTGCTAAGGGCCACGCAAGTAAGGAAGGGGACAGTGGCTTCTGGCGTTTACTGAAAGTTGAGCGTCAGCAAGTGAAAGACGGCAGAGATGATTGCGAAAGTTGATAGAAACAAGATATCCTAAAGAAAGCCACGAATGCACGAAGCTGGTTGACGGTTGCAATGGGTTTGAACATTGCATATATGTCAAGGTATCAAAAGAAAATCAAGTGAAGAAGAGTAGATGTTTCTATCATTGACGATAACAGAACGTGCGAAGGTGCGTTCCTAGTGGAGCTGACGACAATCACAAGATCAAGCGGGTCTAGAAAAAGATGGCAAACCCACGCTCGTGGAGTGGGAGGAAACGTGATATGCGCTGATGCGCTGTGACAACCAAACGATGTGCAGGAGTAGAGGGAAATACTCACCTCTCAAGTACCGAAAGACTGCGTGGTTCATAGATAGATCTGAACTGTCGCCGCAGGATGGTGAACGCGACTATCTCTGCTCCAAACACGGCGGAATTGAAGACGAGAGACGTGAGGAACGTGCTCGTCGACGTGCTCTGCGCTTGAGAAGCACTGAGATTGGACCTGCACCGTGCCAACTCTGGTGAGCCCCGCCACGATCGGCGTGCAAGCGAAGCGAAGACGCGACAGCTCACATGATTACAAAACGAGATCAGGAATGGTTGTGTTGTTCGTTAAAAGGATAGAAGAAAGTAGTTGGTGTAGGCTGTTGGGAACAACGAGCGGACGTGAGCACAGCCCAACGAGGCAAGATAAAAGGCGCAAGGAAAAATGGAGCGTTATTATCCAACAGCATAGCGCTTGCCTTTTTGGGATTTTCCGCTGCTCAAAGATCCACTCCGATCGCCTGACGTCAGTACCAAGCCTCGAGCGGGTCTTCACGCCGCGCGCTGCGATTGCGTTGAGTAGAGAAAAGATTTAGAGGATGCCTGAGGTGAGAGAACGATGTGAAGTGGTCACAGTAGGCAACCGCGTCGGAGCAGGTTGGGGCATGAACATGCTTCTTAAGTACAGCCAGCACGGGTCCGCTCAGGAACGTGGACGTCATTATTTTACTCCAGAAACATGCACCCGATTGACGTGCGGAAACCGGGCATCGCACTTTGCGCATCAGATACGCTGAAACGGAATGCACCTGGTCATTCCGTGTTCTAGTAGTACCACAACCTAGAGTGTGACATGCTCGATGAGCAGAGCACGGAGAAAGATCCTCGACATACAGAGCTGAGCAGTAGAGCGAGCAGCAGGCAGAGGCGGGCCACGTGCAATCAGGGAGACCGATTACATTTTTGGCGCAGCACAGGCTTCCGGGGAAAGACGTTTGCGATGGGAGCGAGCAAAATACTGACAGCGGAAGAGAATCAGCTAGACCTTCAGACAGACGTCGACTAGAAGCCTCCAGCATTATCAGTCTCCCACTGTGTGTTCCGCCGCCAAGCTAAGACATGCTGAAAATTTCTCCAAAAATACGAGTGCGAGAAATAGAAAAGAAGTTGATTTGGAATGAACGAAGAGCGCTCAGCAGCAATGTTCGGAGCCTAGATGCATGATGCAAGGAAACGTGGGCGGAAAGTCTATTCTGGAATAACGCATTGCTGTATTATTCCCAGCCATCTCAAGAACAAAAGATGGTGGCACTTGGACCCTGCATGAGCGCCGAGCGGATTTGGGTTCATGCCAGCAGAGTCCAACGATAGTGAGCAAGAGTAGGACTTGACCCGCCTTCGATAATAAAGAGCGCCGCTGATACTAGAGAACCGCTGTAAGTGCGATTCAGGGTCCTTAAAATTATGACCTGAGCTTCAGCGTCATTTCCGCTGGCTTTTTGACGATTTTAAGCAAGGGTAATGACTCATAGGGTCACCGAATAAGCTTCAAGAAGCTGTAAGCGCACACTGCAGGAGGTATGGCTTGTCAACACAGTAAGTACTTACCATGTATAAACCGCTATCCTCGCAGGTTGATCAGGCACATCGAAGAATAGGTTGAATAGAGATATGAGCCGGCTGTGGAGTGTAGATAGCTGTGGATAGCTGTGGATGCGGTCATATGGACATGCGCTCGGGTCCTGGGGCACTCGGTATTCGGTTTGAAAAGGGAATCATGGAGCCTAACGTCGTTACTCTGTTCGAGTGTAGCAATCAGTGCTTCTTACTACATTCGCTCGCCATCATCTTCAACGGTAGAGAAAATGGGAACTTGGAATGGGAGCAGGGAACATAGGCGAACCGAGGCGAACGCGTAAATCCGATGATGCAAGCGCACGTGAGCGGGTACCGTTCTAGTAGCTTCTGTGGCTGACGAAGACTGAGTGCATCCCGGCTGTTAGCTGAGCACATACCTGTCTCCCACCACCATCTACAGTCTCACCGGTCACCTAGAACCCAAGCTCTTACAATGCCAGAGCTATTTGGTATGCCATTGCTGAGCGGTCCCCCACCGCCTTCTACTAGCTCCAGGGCGGACATCTGCTGCAGGAAATGTAACAAAGAGTTCAATATCCTATTTACGCGCGCACGACGGTGCAACCATTGCGGTGGGTGTCTACGACATAATGGGAATCCCAGGAGGATGGGGTGTCAGAAGGGCAGTATCTGACATGAGAGACATCGCAGGTTACTCGTATTGCTCATCGTGCTCAGATTATCAGGCTCTCATGCCGCGATCAGGCTCAGAATCAGGCTATCAGCCCATGCCTGTGTGCTCATTCTGCATCGAGAATCTGAATAGTGCGTTTCTGCGTCGTGTTACCGCTGTCGTGTTGACCTTGACCAGCCAAAGCGCGCAGTTACGGCTGGCGGTAAATCGTACCTCAAGGGCCTGTCTCTCGCTCGGCTCAAGAAATACGTGGATGCGTATAACATCAAGGTCGAGGGAATCTTAGAGAAGGACGAACTGATATCCAGGATCATAGCGTCCAGAGTGAGTTGGGCGTGTGGTTTGGGCTCGCCACTCGGACTGATGTGGTTCGCACCATAGAGAGATAATGGGTGCTTACCGCCCGCTAACGAGGTACGATACTCTCACTGACGGTGAGAAAGTACTGCCTTTTACCCGTATCGCCCCAGGACTTTTACAGGAAGTATTCGGTCCCTGTCAGGCAGGGAAGCCGTTCACGGGGATTGTTCAGCCGAACACTGGGCCAAGACCGGCCGTTCGAAGCGACGCCTCCATCTCGTCCTCCACCGCAGAATCCTTCCTCGACATTCGCGCGACCCGATCTCGACCCGTCGCAGAGACATAACGTGCCACCGCCACCGCCGAGACCGACAGCCCGAGCGCAAGCGCAACAAGCTTACAATCAGCCACGCACGGCTCCGTATTCAACGCGACAGCCTCCCCCGCCTCATTCTCCGAGACCACAGTACCCCCAACACAATAGCGCGACGCCACCACACTACCGCCCGAATACGGCGCATCCCGGTGCACAATCGGCAAGCAATATGCCGGGCCGCTGGGGTACCCCGCCCTCACGCCCGGCGTCCGCAGCACCCGCTGTGCCGCCTCAGCCCCGCGCACCAGTCCCCACACTCGAGCAATTGATGAACATGACTGAGGACGCGATCGCGCAGATGTCGATCGGGACGCTGAAGAGCGTACTGTTCCAAAACCATGTCAACGCCCGCCTGTTGCTCGAGAAGAGCGATCTAGTCGCAAAGGTGCGTGCGCTTGTGACGGACGAGCGACGTGAACGCGAGCGCGAGGCTGCATTGAGGGCAAGAGAGGAGCAGGAAATCATCGAGAGGCAGCATGCGATGATGGAGGAGCATCGAATGCGGGAGGAACAGCTGCGATTGGAAAGAGAGGCGAGGGAACGAGAGGAATCGGAGAGGGCAAGGGCTGGTGATTCTGGTGCGGAAGAGCGCGATATACCTGTTCAAGATGATGGGGAAGCCGGTGTTCCACTGGAGAAGCCAGGTGACTCCCCGCGCGGTGGGGATGCGAAGACGTCCAGTCCAGTCGGACCCTCCATAAGCTCTAGTTTAGAACGGAGCGGGCTTTGTATTATCTGTCAGGACGAGGAGGCGAACATCGCGATCGTAGACTGCGGGTGCGTCCCTGTTTCCATTCTCAGTCTCTCCGTGCGAGCGATGCTCATTTCACGTCAGACACCTTGCGATGTGTCGTGGCTGTTCGGAACTCGTGATGTCGTCCTCGCGCGAGTGCCCCTTGTGCAGGACGCGAATCGTGACGGAGGGGCGGTTGCTGCGGATATTCAAGACGTGACGCGCTGGGTGCTTATTAGACTTAATTTGTTTGTCTCCGAGTTCCGCACCGTTGCCCGTGCATTCTCTGTCATTTATGTTGACGTTGGGCCTGGCGGCTGCAGGTGATTATGTGCGGGGTCGAAGGAGTTCTTGTGCGATGATTGGCCGTGTACGAGTCGATAGCAACGAATGTGTCATGGCGGGGCTGACCCCACATCTTCGATCGGTGTTCGACGAGATGAACGTGCGGGGCCCCGCAATCCGAAGGCGTTGGCATCGGTGGGTATTTGATAAAGAGCCGTGTTCTCCCGACGAAGCGCTTCAACTGTAAGGCGTCGGCAGTTCTGGGCCAGCGATGAGACGAGAGCTGGCGTCGAGCGAGCCGGGCGAGGCCGAGCTCGGCGGGGACGGCAGATGACGCGCATGGGCTGGACCACGCCGCGCCGCGCTGGGTCGGGTCATGTGCCAGGCGCGTCGAGGAACAGGGCGCGTCTCGGGGTCTACTCCAGGCGGAAGGGCCGCGTTCGAGATCGGCTCCCGCTGCCCAAAATGATACTTATCGCGCCGAATCACCCCAATCCAGCGCCGTCCCCTTTCGCTATAAATGTCCGCGCTTCTCCTTCCTCGACGCTTCCTCATCCAGACCTCTCGTCTACCCACCGCAACACACATCACCTCTTCCGCTTCTTTGTCGCTACCCCGCATTCGAAGAATGTCCAACATCCCGAAGACACAGAAGGCCGCCGTCGTCGTCTCCGCCGATGAGCCCATCCACATTCGCGACAACCACCCTGTCAGGCAGCCGGAGGATCTCGCGCCCGGCGAGTGTCTCGTCAAGATGCACTGCACGGGCGTCTGCCACACCGACCTCCACGCACGCAAGGGCGACTGGCCCCTTCCCCCGAACAGGCCCCTGATCGGCGGCCATGAGGGTGTCGGTGAGATCGTCGCCATCGGCGCACACACAGCGCGCTCCCCTGTCAAAGTCGGCGATCGCGTCGGAATCAAATGGCTCGCTGACTCGTGCTTGGAGTGCGAGCTGTGCCGCAAGGGTCTCGAGCAGAGTACGCACCCCCTCGTCCGCTTTCGCTGCCATCGCAGCAACTGACTAGGGTCGACACAGGCTGTCAGCAAGGCAAACTTAGCGGGTACACTGTCGATGGCACCTTCTCGCAATATGTCGTACGTACTCCTTTCGATCATATCCGATCGCGAAAGCCTCATCGCTCACCCATCCTGTCCGATAGGTTTCATACGTCTCGCACGTCACTCCTATCCCGGAAGGTCTCGACAGCAACGAAGCCGCTTCCATTCTCTGCGCCGTATGTTTCTATCCCTCCCCTGTCGCCTACCTTGATTAACAAGGATCTCATATCCTATTAGGGCGTCACCACTTACCGTGCCCTTAAGTACAGCCAGACACACATCGGGGACTGGGTTGTCATCCCCGGTGCTGGTGGAGGACTTGGCCATCTTGGTATGCAGAAATGCCCCTTGCTTCCGTCACCATATGCTGATTTGATTTGCCATCTACAGCCGTCCAATATGCCGCAGCAATGGGCCTCCGAGTCGTCGCCATCGGTTCGTGTGTTTTGCACGATATGGGGCACCTCGTCTGATGATTTTCTTTGATAGATACTGGAAAGGAAAAGAAGGAGCTGTGCTTGAAGCTCGGAGCTGAGAAGTGGATCGACTTCAGGGAAACCAAGGACCTTGTCAAAGACATCAAAGAGGCCACAGATGGTCTTGGACCCCACGCCGCGATCGTAACTGCTGCAAACGTCAGTGACATTTCATATCACCAACCAGCACCGTGGCTGACAGAACCGGTTGCAGAGCTCCGCATATGAGCAGGCCGTTGACTATCTCCGCGAAGGCGGCACGCTCATGGCTGTTGGCCTCCCAGGGACAGCCAAGCTCAACGCGTCGATTTTCTTCACTGTTGTCAAAAGCATCAGCATCCTCGGGTCCTACGTTGGGTAAGTGTCTCTTTTTTACCTACAGAAAATGAAAAGCGTGCTAACGCTTCCTCCGCGTCCTACAACCAGAAACCGTCAAGACGCCCGCGAGGCCATCGCCATCGCCGCCTCAGGCAAAGTCAAGTGCCACTACGTGCTCAAGCCTCTGGACGCGCTGAAAGAGTCCGTATCGCCCTCTCTATATCTCCCAGTTGAGTTTCTGACATGTCCTTGCTTTTAGTGTCTACGAGGGTATGGAAGCTGGCACCGTCGTTGGTCGCGTCGTGCTCAGCATGAACTGAACCATCCCTCCCCCCTTTCCTTCTCTACTTCACCCCGACTGTTTCATTGATTTGTCGTTTACTTTGTTTTGGAGCAAAAATTGTATGATGGGCATGAGCACGCATATACTTACCTTTCATCAGTAAGATGTACTAGTCGTTTGTTGTAGCTGGTTATCTGCCTGGCCAATGGATTAGATTACGCAAGTGTAACACCCTTGGGCTGTCCGATACGTTTTGATCCCAGTCTTGGGACCACATGGCGTTGATTGGTAGCAATTTGTGAGGGGTCTTGAGTAAAACAAACGGAAGTTTATGTTTAAGTAATCAAAAAGGGCAACAGTTATGAGCTGCCAAAATCGGACGCAACGTTCGCACGAATTTCTCCCCAATTTTGCGCCATTTTATGGACAGATACATTACAAAATTTCTGTTTTCGACGTGTACATGCGAATCCTGCTTGACTGAGAATTGTCCATCCCAACTCATTCTTCTCGATCGACGAAACGCCTAGCTTTCCGATGCGCTCAGACCGTCGCCGCAGTTCTTGACGAAGTTCAACCTATCTTGATTTGTTCGTGAGTGACTAACCATACAGGGGATCCTGAAACCTATTGCATTGATTTTATAGAAGCTGACTGAAGTGATCAATAGCATATAGTCAAGACTCACATACAACGGGACACAATTTGGTCCTGGGCTTGCACCCATCCATCATTGGCGCATACATACGCAATATGCAGCATTAAGAAGCCCCGCAAGACGCAATCTGTTCGAGTAATCATGTCATGCCCGAGGCATGCCCGAGACGCTGTTGCGATTCACTTTAGGCCCCTTTAACCGTCCACCTCGACGTGTTGATCGTGCTTTGCTTGCATCTCTCAGCTCTTACATCTCTATATCTACCTTCCATCATCATCACCGCGCACCGCACTCAATCATGTCCACAACTGCAGTGTCTCAGGCTAATCCTGCCGAGAAGAAAGGCGAACCAGACGGTAGTTTCAAACGACCAGCGTCGTCCTTCAGAAGTTTCGTAGAGAAAGGCGGGCAGTTCCCTCCCGAAAACAGTGAGCTGCCTGTTTCGCAATTCTTCGATCGCGATGGCTCACTTGGCTGTTAATTTAGATCGTTATCATCTTTACGTTGCCTATGGCTGTCGTGAGCATTAATGATGCTAGATATTTGTTGGTTTCCCATTGTTTTCTTTTAGCCTTCGCCTCACGCACGCTGATCGTGCGTAAATTGAAGGGTCTTGAGGACATCATCTGTGAGTCCGTTGTACTCCGTGTTCTGGCATCCCTATGACGCAAGGTGCTTTGTATCAGCTGTTACCGTCTGCTCTCCACGTTTTGGTCCCAATGGTTGGCCATTTGCGTCGGTGGAGCCTTTCCCAGGAGCAGAAGTCGATCCGCTTTACGATTCGAAGTATGTCAGAGATCTGTATCTAAGGGCGGATCCAAACTATGCAGGAAAGTGAGTAAAACTTTACCTCTGTATATTCTCTCTGGTCTCTTACCGCGAACTCTAGATTTACAGTTCCTCTCTTATGGGACAAGAAAGAGCACACTATTGTGAACAACGAGTCGTCGGAGATAATCCGCATTTTGAACACAGCGTTCAACGCTTTCCTTCCGGAAGAGAAGGCTGCTCTCGACTATTATCCTCCAGAGTTGAGAGCAGAGATTGATACCGTGAATGAATTTATATACGATGGCATTAATGGTGCGTGGACACCTCGTCTTGCTTCATGGTCGAATGGCACGGTGATCGGCTTTGAAACACAGATGGCGTATACAAGGCGGGTTTTGCAAAGACGTCCGAAGCGTTCAATCCTGCTGTCATCCACCTTTTCGAGACCCTTGATCGGGTAGAGGCTCTACTGGCGGGAAAGACATACCTTGTCGGCGAGCGTCTCACCGAAGCAGACGTCAGGCTATTTGTGACGATAGTAAATCGTTCGCTTTAAAGAACAGGACGGGATCTGACGGATTGGCCACTAGATTCGATTCGATACAGCGTATGTGGGGCATTTCAAGTGCAACTTGCGCACCATTCGTGGTGGATATCCCAACATACACTTGTAAGTGTCGCCCATTGCAGTTCACTTCGGTTTGTCCAATATATATTGGATATGTTAGATGGCTACGTCGCCTATACTGGAGGAATGATGCCTTCCAGTCGACGACTGATTTCGATCACATCAAAACCTTCTATTTTTGGGGCCAGCCAGCGGTACGTCCTCAGAAGCACATCCAAATTTCGATTGACGCTGACATTCGCTCGCGCCTAGATCAATCCGACTCGCATTGTTCCCATCGGTCCTGTTCCACACATTGAAGCCTTATGATCGACAAATTCAGGGTTTTTGGCTCTTCTCTGAAACTGTTGTATTCTTGGTACGGCATCGTGTACTTTTGCTGAAGTAGGCGATTGATCTGGACGCTGCTTCCTTCAGTGCGTGGATCTGTATATGTAGCTCTTGGTCAGTCTCCGTGAAGTGATATATAAGTCAGTTGTATCAACAGTACTGCCCTACACTGAACAAAGTAGTCCCACGCGACAGCGGCAGAATGGGTTTGACAGAAGCAGAATACGGTCTTCTATTGGCCGATAGTAAGATAAATCGACGCAAACAGAATCACCTACAATCTTTCCTTTGATTGGGAGCATCGCTCTTCTTACCGCAAGAAGGTATCCATGCATACTTGTAAGATTATTCTTCTGTCAGTTTACGCCGTGCCGCGCTGACTTGTTTTCGTCAGGCTACCCCCATTTGAGTGTGTTGTAGACATGAGCAGACCGCAAAATATTGGTTTCTTGCATGCACAGGTCAGAACAGCAAAACTCCTCTCCCCATAGCCTAGCGCGGCCAAAAGAAGGCACCCCCAAGTGCTCACCAGTTTCAAAAATGTCGACTTCGAGGGAACCGGAACGATTGTGCAGCTGATCATCACCGCCCCGCACCTTCGGCACCTTCTAGCTCTATGTACACGCCAGTTCAAGAAATGTCTGTTCCACCGTCGTCTAGGAGGCGGGTGCATGGCTTTTGGGAAATTTGTGCGTATCTCTTCCTGACATTGCGTCTGGCATGCTGCTGATATCCAGTGGAAGCATTTCTTCTTGAGTTTATTTGCAGGAACCACGGAGCGTGGCCCGAATTCAAGGATGAGAAAACCAGATCAGGCAGCTCAATGAGCCAATCAGCCTCGCGCAAACCTTAGGCGTACCATTGTTGGCCTGTGTATCCACCACAGGACGCCTCGCCTTTAAGCACGCACGACGCTGCTCGTCTCTGTCGGCTGAGGAAGTGTCTGGCGGTGATGAATTCTGTCTGAATGGAGCTACAAATTGACCAAAGACAGGCGCTATCGCTCACAAGGGCTCCTTGATTCTTACTCATCTTGCTCATGAGGCTTTACGGTCACAATGTGGCGCTGGAGCGTTACAGGCGCCAATTAGATTGCAAAGCCGCAAAAGTAAGTCCGAGGCCTCTTCGATCATTTGTAAACTAATAGTGTTTGTTCCTGGTCGGACGTGAGTTAATAACCGACAATGCCTATACAGCTATTGTCGTACTCGAGGAGGCGCTATAAGGATGGCGATGACTGAACACTGACGACTGCATCTCCCCCAACCAACCTTTCTGATCTTTCGACCAGTGTTCTGGGTCTATAATACCGTGCATGTCAACTAACCGCGGAATGCTCCCGCATCCGTCCGCTTGCATGTCTGAGCAGGGCTTCAAAAAAGAACCTCGATTTGATAGGTCGTCCTTCAGGAACACTATCGAAGTGGGCGGCTGGTTTCCTCCGGAACCTCGTGAGCCTTGAATCCATCTCCTTTGGTTCTCGGACATTGAACTTCACCAAGACAGATACCATTTATATGTCTCTCTAGCATGTCGTCAGTCGGTCCACATTCTGTGAAACCAGTTCTCACCTTTTTTGATCGCATAGCCATATCGACACGCACTTTGGCAATGAGAAAACTGAAAAGCTTGGAGAGTATCATCTGTGAGCCTGTCCCGCCGATATTTCTCTAATCACTGACTGACTTATCTTTCACATCCAGCTGTAACCATTGCATCCCCTCACCAGTATGAAAAAGGATATGCATTTGCTTCGGTAGACGACTTTCCAGGATCAGAAGTTGATCCCCTCTATGATTCGTCTTACATCGAAGATCTATATCTACGGGCAGACCCTGATTATACCGGGAAGTGGGTGTTCTCACTCCTGGAACGAAGACATCTTTTTTCAGTCATATTTTTTGTTAGGTGCACTGTTCCTGTACTGTGGGACAAGATTTTACACACCATAGTCAACAACGATGCATCGGATATCATGCGAATTTTTAATTTCGCATTCAATGGACTGCTCCCTGAAAATAAAGCCGCTCTGGACTTTTACCCTGCCCACATCAGCCCAGAAATCGACGACTTCAGTGAGTGGGCGGACGGTGTAATGATTGGTGAGGAGGATGCCACCGCGCATATGGGTACACTTGATGCTGACACTCAAATTTCAACTGATAGAAGGTGCTCACAAGACCGGATTAGCGACGACGTTCGAGAAATACCGCTGCGTTGTTGTTCCCCTCTTCGAAGCCTTGGACCGAGTGGAGCGCATGCTCAAGGATAAGACATATTTGATTGGTGATCGTCTGACTGCCGCCGATATCAGCCTTTATACCACACTTGTATGTTTTTCATGTATGTCCGTTCCTTCGCTAAGCACTGGGTCGTCAGATACGGTTTGACCCAGTATATGTGGACCTATTCAAGTGCAATCTCAAAACGATCCGTCACGGATACCCGAATATCCACTTGTGAGTGTCCAATACATATGTCTCGTATGTAGAGACTTATCTTGGCAAAATATGCAGATGGCTCCGTCGGCTCTACTGGTGCAACGACGCTTTCCAATCAACAACAGACTTCAATCATATAAAGATCGGTTATTATTCATCTTGGATGGAGGTGCGCCTTGATAATGTAGTGGTCTATTCTCAACACGCTAACCAGGACTTCATTCGCTTGCTTTGGTGGATAGATAAATCCTCACTGTATCGTGCCCATCGGTCCTGTCCCGCACATCGAACCACTGCGTTAATCAGCGCCTCAGAGAGAGACATGCAGAGCCATCGGACTTATGATATGTTATAGTACAAGCAGGCTTTACAGATGCTTCCAAGAAATGTCCTAAGATCAAGAAAAGATAAAACAAACCCCATCTTCAGTCTCTCTTTGTAAACACTAGCGGCACACGGATTGGGCTGTGTAGACCACCAGAATCAGTATGATTGATATGAAGAGGTAGAAGAGTATCCACGAACGTCAACGTCAAACCTGGCTTTGCATTAAGAATCCTCGCCTTGCGCTCTTCAAAGGTCTCATGAGCATATTCAGGTTCCTCTTTGATGGTAACTTTGTAGCGAGACATGAGCATAGTGAGGATCGCTATGCCCTCCGTTTCAAAGAATCTGCAAAGAGATATCCGGCTCACAATCGCCCATCGAGGGATCCGAGAGATCATACACTACTCACCGGCGTCCAAGACAAGCGCGCGCGCCTATTGCCACGTTCCATAAGACGTGCTTCCGAAGATCAGTGTAGACACGTTACATACCTTGGCTGAAAGGCAAAAAGGCATCTCGTGGCCAATCGCCGAGGAAGCGCTCTGGTTTGAAAGTGTGAGGATCGTCCCAGTACCGAGCTATCTCAGTTATGCACAGTAAGTATCCATTTAATCCATATAGGTTATCGAGAGTGACATACGGTTGTAATGTAGTCCAGGCGTATGGATGACGATATTGGTGTTTTGCGGCACAGGGATAGTGGTCCTGTCCCCATTCGCATTTCCCACGACCAGCGATGTATCTTCAGCACTGTATTTCGGGATGCCATTGACCTGGGATGAAATATCTTCTCCATCAGATCGTGATGCGAAACAACGAAAAATCAAAACGCACGGGAGGAAACATCCTCAACGTCTCATAGAATACACTACAGAGAAGTCATTAAGAATGCAATTCAACAGAGAGATAAAGAGCCTACGCCATAGAGTAAGTAAGGAGAGGCATCTCCTCATAGGACTGATAATTCTTAAGTGTTCAACAAGGAAAATCAAACATTCCATTTGACAGATGAGACGTACCGGAAGTCTATCCAAGTCGCTCATCACGCTCTTGATTGACTTGTACAGCCGATCCTGCTCGTCGGGATATAGAGCAAGAAGTGCAAATGTAAAGCAAAGAGTATGGGCCGTTGTCTACAAAGAGTCTCAGTGGTTGATTTCAAACGAACCATCTTCGATTCTTCGTTATTGCGTACCTCGTGTCCAGCAACGAGAAAAATGAAAATATTGCCTAATATCATGCGAAACCTAGTGAGTGCCGTTCTTCAACTGTTGGAGATTATTTGACGAACCGACAAGCTCAGAATCAGCCAACGCCACCTCCCCATCTGAGGTATCATCGCTCGCATCCAAGAGACTGCTGAACAAATCGTATCTTTCTTCTTTTTTTTCCGAGTTCCTACGCTCGCGTATCATCTCCATCATGTATTGCTTATGATGGTTGTAAGGAATCAGCTTTTCAGTATACAGATTGTATAACTCACGTCCATCTCTTTGAAAGCCTGACGGACATGCCGGAGGTGTTTGGTGAGCCCCATCGCCCAACCAGGAACGATCAATTTGAGGAAAATATCTGTAGACATGGTATGCAAAGCGTCTTTGAACGTCAATTGATGGCCTGGTGGGAGTTTCATGTCGTCTGTCCACGAGATTCTGCGACCAAAGCCTAGCACGGATTCAATCTCATGTAGACTTCGTGTGTCAGAGGTTGCAAAGACTCACCTGCGACACCGATGACGAAGAGAGCGATCTAGAGCAAGATATCAGTAGCGTGTTCCACTTTGGCAAGGGAAACGAGAGCAGACAGGAACGGTTAACTCTATACAATGGTCTGTTGAGATTTCAGGAGCGTTGTGCCACACGTTGTCAAACATGTCTATCATGATTCGAATCGTCTCATCCCATACCAATTTATTGTTCCTCTATTCGAGAAGATGATGACCCTCAGTGTCACGAACATTCTCCAGCACTAAGCGGCATACCTCAGAGAACGCAGGCGCGACGATCTTCCTGTATCGTTTCCATTCCTCCCCTTCGGATGCGACGATATTTCTCCCGAAGAACTGTAAGACCTTGTATTGTTCAACAGGCTTCGGGAAGCGAGCCCTGTATGTCGTTACTTCCTGTGAGGTATCGCCTTTGTCGACGCTGATAGAAACTCCAAAATATCGTAAGGCTTACCTTGATGGCCGCAGCGTCGGCAAGAAAAAGGTGTGAAGAGGGACGCGGCCAGACGCTGATCTGTGCATCAATCGATAAGGTGCTGATGATCTGATAGAGATTCGTTGGACTCACTTGTGTGAATGCATCCCAGCCAGCCTCTTGGAAATCTACAGTAGTTGGACATGTGCATAAGGTCCTGCGTTAGTTAGGCAGACACCAGCGAACGATACCTTGAAATTTGGACTTCCATGATCTACTTCGGCCGACGCTCAGGCCACGAATCCGGGGAAGGATCTGTCCGAAGACGCTGGCAGGGCTGACGAGAGTATGAACACCGGGATGGCCTCTACGTCGTCAGTCAATAAGTGAAACGATTTCGGTGCGGCTCTCACTATAGGCCCTACCCGAGATTTCGGACTGCTTTACGATACTCAAACAGGGCCTGGAGGGCGTAGAGCAACGCAATGCATAGTCCAAAAAATATGAGTGTTCCCATGAAGTCTTTTTCACTGCCAGAATCAATAGAGGGACGAATCTACAAGTCGTCTTGTGGCGACAAAAGGCAGCGTATTGGTCTAATGGTCGCAAAGGAAAGACAGGTGGTGGCACGACTGGCCATATGTAATTGACAACGCACTTTATGGAATCATCGTTCTCATGGTTCCTCGTGCGATGCCCGAAGCGTCCGACCGCCGCTTCCTCGCGGCTGTCATGTGCATTACAGATCTTTCAGTTCCGAGGAGCGCCTCGGAGTGTTTGGGAAAAGCACGACATAGCGGCGCTTGGAATGTTTTCGTGTTTCATGCTCCGCGAGAGAATGACTAAATTACGTTAGCAGTGGCATTGGAGGGTCGTCCCACAATGTCCAACACGACTGGCTTGCGCGGGACACCCCCGAAAGCTACGGTGGGAGAAAGTAGCTATCTTTCTGATCAATCACCAGGTATGGAGCCTTCAGTCTCTCGAAGACGTCGACGTCGTGATGTGGTCCTGGCGTATGAAGTCGGATCCTCATTTGTCGGCTTCATTATCGGCACTGATAGACCGCGTTGCATTGCGCAGCACCCGTGTACGGTCTGACAGCAAAGCCTTCGGACGTGCATTCTCATCAGATGACGCCTCGTGAGAGAGCTCCTGAAGTAAATCAGGTCAGCAACTAACAGGGCACGCGAAGTGATAGCAGCAGTTACCTATTGAGGCTCGCCAGCGGTCTGCTCTTCATCAGTGATCTCAGCCTCAGCGGAGAAACCCTCTGCCTCAAGCCTTTCCCTCTCTAATCCTTCTATCCGCCTCAACCAATTTATAGCCTCCTCCGTCTGCGGTTCTGACCCCGACACATATCCCAAATGCTCGCCTAATGCTACCTCGATCGCCCTTGCATGATCGAGCAGCCTTCGGTCTACGAACCCCCTCAAGACGCTGGTGTACGCAGCCAACAAGGGTCCACTCCTTCTTCTCTTCCTAAGTGCTTCGATAAACTGTTGCCTGGACATAGGCTTTCTGCTCTCCTCGACACTCTCCCCCTCCTGTACGGCCACCCCTTCAACTTTCTCCGACTCATTGACAGCGCCTTCTTGCTGCTCAGTCACAGAACGCTGGCGGATTTGATCAAGCATGTTCAGAGCTTCATCGGTATCTCCTAGTTTGGCAAGTCGTCCCGCCAGCATGCACATGGTGTGAAAGTCCGGCTGGATACCGAATGAGCGCATGTCCTCGATGACTCGATAAGCGCGGTCGAAGCGTTGGAATCGACAGAATCCGTCGACAAAGGCGTTGAAGTGGGCTGCGTCGAAAGCCTCAACGGGTGCGATGTCAGGGCTCGTTGTTTCAGACCAGTGCCCCTCGGTTGCTGCGGATGACTGTGGCGCAGCAGAGGTTGAGGCGGAGGGGGGGCTTGAGGCAGAACTGATTGGCTTATAGGATCGACGCGACGCGAAGTCGATCAGCTTTTCGTAGAGCTGCTCTAGCTGTACCCTCTTGCTACAGTGATGAACGAGTGCGGTCCATACTAGAGAGGTATGATAACCAGAGGGCCAGATCTTGTCTGAAGTATTGAAAGTCGTAAATTTGAACATCGAGAGCAGTGGTCGACGTGGAGTGGGTCTCCTCAGGCGCCGACGAGGGGGATGGTCGGATACTGTAGGCAAGAGATGCAGGACGTCTTCTCTTGGTACACCCACCATATGGAAGTAGTTGGTGAACACATAGAGAACATGGTTGTATTCCTTTTTATGGTGGTGATGAAGCAATTCGGCGTGTTTGACAACAGCGAAAGCGGTTCGGGAGAGCCGAAAAGCGCGTGTCTGGAGAAGATTGATAGCCCGTCCACCGCGACGATGGGTCTTATATATGTCGAAGAAGGCTGCCAGTTCACGAGCAGAAGGCGGATAATCAGAAAGGAGTGAGCGCTTCAGCATTCGGAGAGATATCGCTAGGTTATTTTCTAGTGTCCGACTGGCATCAATCGTTGGCAATGCTTCGGGGCTGGTGGCAGGAGGACCTTGCGTCATCAAATCTTTGGCGGGTACAAGAATTTGCTTCTTGAACATGGCTTTCAAAGCGGTGGCGGCATCGGTGCACTTTTTGGCTTCTAGCTCGCCTAGGACATAAGAATAAGTATAACGAGTCAGTCGCACACCGTGTTCGCGGGCTGCCTCCAGTAGTTCAAACGCTGCTAGGGGTCGCTTCGCGTTACAATGAGTCCGGATCGCTAAACTCCACCACCGCTTCCTGCTGTCCTTGTTGCGCACCACGGAAGGGGTGTACACGCCAGAGATTTCCCGAGTTTTTTCGTAAAATTCTCGATCCGCTCTATCGAACTCGTCGATGAATCTAGCTGTGAACGCCGGATCTGCAAAGCGAGTGATATGTCCGATCGCCAGAGGCCCGATTTTTCGAGCGTACCCTTTTTCTGCACTGATTATAGCATATCGGATGGCTGTAGGGAGGTCGACACGATTGCTGGAGAATATCAGGCGCGTGACGTTTCGGAACGATCCCTGACGGACGGAAGATGCGTAAGGTATGAGCGACCACCAGTTGGAGAACGCCTGGGACCGGTTTGGCAGATCCTCATGCTCGAGAACATGCTGAGCAGCACGGAAGTAGACGGGGCTGTGACGGATGAATGTACCCGATTGGACCAACTCGGCACGCACCACTTCCGCATCTTCGTATTTCCCCGCTACCACAAGACGCGCGAGAGGAGCAGAATGATCATAGAGGGGAACGTATCTGGGCTGTTGCCGGACGCCTGAGACGTCGATGGACTGATACTCCTGGGAGAATGATTCGAAGATGGCGGGGTCCGGCAGTGTACGAGGGTATGGAATAGAGCGAAGAGCTATCACGGCTGGTGTCTCCTCCTTGCGCTGCACTGTGGACGTGCTGAGGCTCCTCGGAAAGGCCGTGAGCCAGGGTAACGTCGGCCATATAAAAGAATGCAGTCCATGAGGGATACGAGTTAATGCATGCGGCACAAAGGCCGTCATGAAAGATTCAACGACAGCAGGTTATAACGCGGTATACAACCCTGCCAATAACAAAATCAGTGCATCAAGCAGTGAGAATTGGACACCCAACGCACTGAGCAGCAGCGGGCAAAGCAAACAGGTGTGTGACAGCATCGCACGGCGTGTCACGTTTGTAGTCACGCTTTGTCAGTGTCGCGTATCCTCTTGTTGACGGCGAAGCAAGTGACTGCTCTACATCGTCCTCGCTACTCTTCTTGACTGCCTTTGCACCCTCTCTCGGGCTTTTATTCAAAGGAGCAGAATATCAACGATGATGGACTCTCCAAAGCGCTCCGCTTCGCCATCTTCATCCTCAGATCCGAAGCGTATCAAGCTAACCGTCCAGCCACAAAACCAAGGCGTTTCATCCGTAGATCCCGAAAATGCTCCCGGAAAACGTAGTGAGCTCGAACCCATCCAAAGCGGAGAGCTTGGGAACCTCCCCAACTATCCTGAATCGAAGCCTGGCCTCGAAAACGGTGGCAAAACGAAGGTCCAGGGAGAAGGGGAAGAGGACCCTCCCGACGTAGAAATGGGTGACGGGAACGAAGAGGAGGGGGAGTCGGGTGAAGAAAACGACGACGAGGATCCGGCGCAGCTTGAAGCTAATAGGCAAAGACTCGAAGAACAGGCGCGCAAATATCTCGCGGCTCAGACTCACGAGGTTATCATCCCCTCGTATTCTGCTTGGTTTGACATGTCCAAGATACATCCTGTCGAGCGACGTGCTCTTCCTGAGTTCTTCAACTCTCGTAACAGATCAAAAACGCCGGCGATCTACAAGGACTATCGCGACTTTATGATCAACACCTACCGCCTCAGACCAACCGAATATCTCACTGTCACCGCGTGCCGTCGGAACTTGGCAGGAGATGTGTGCGCCATCATGCGTGTTCACGCTTTTCTTGAACAGTGGGGTTTGATCAACTACCAGGTAAGTCAACTAGGATGGCTTATGGGCGATGCTGACCTAAAAAATACTCGCTCAGATCGACCCCGAAGCGCGGCCAGCCACGCTGGCTCCTCCATTTACAGGACACTTCCGCGTTATCCTTGATACCCCTCGTGGACTACAGTCACTGCATCCGGGAACGCGTCCTTCCCAACACCCGTCCGTCAATGGTGTTTCAAAACCTCTCTCAGCAGCTCCCGCCTCCCTCGAGCTGCGTTCTAACATCTACCAGACTTCTTCAAAATCGTCACGGCCTATTGGCGAAGCCGAAGCTAACACCCTTGCCAACGGAGCCTCCGCCCCAAATGGCATCTCTGGCCGAAGCGTTGCAACGGTGACCTACAAGTGCGACACCTGCGGCGTCGATTGCACAGCAGTTCGGTATCACTCGCTCAAGGTCAAGGACTTCGAGCTGTGCCAGCCATGCTACCTCGACGGACGGTTCCCCTCGACGATGTTCAGCGGAGACTTCGTCAAGCTGACCAGCGGGGTGGGTGCGGGTGGGAACGCGCACGGCGCCGGGAGTGGGGACGCGTGGACAGATCAGGAGCTTCTGCTGCTGCTGGAGGGCGTGGAAATGTACGACGACGACTGGTCCGCGATCGAGGAGCACGTCGGCTCGCGCTCTGCCCAGCAATGTATCCGCAAGTTCTTGGAGCTTCCGATCGAAGACCCGTATCTGTCGAGCGAGGGCGAGATGGGCGCGCTCCGCTACGCACGGGTACCCTTCGAGCAAGCGGACAACCCGGTGATGAGCGTCGTGGCATTTTTGGCAGGGGTCGTCGGGCCCGGCGTCGCCGCGGAGGCCGCCAAGACAGCGCTTCACGAGCTGACGAACAAGGACGAGGACGAGAAGCCCGTGGTAGAGCAGGAGAAAGACGGTAAGAAAGACCAGGAGGCCGATGACAAGATGGACGAGGACGCGCCAGCCGAAGTACCGGCCCACGCAGCCTCCTCGAGCAACGCAGGTTCACCCGCCCCATCCGCAAAGCCGCCGTCCGAATCCGCCGTCTCCGGCATCCCGCACTCCAAAGTCGTCCGCGCGGCGAACCTCGCGCTCAAGTCGTCCGCCAAAGCCGCCGCCGCGCTCGCCGACGCCGAGGAGACGCAGGTCCGCTCAGCGCTCGCGGCGGTGATCAAGCTCACGCTAACGAAGCTCGAGCTGAAGATGGCGCAGTTCGAGGAGCTCGAGGACCTGCTCGAGGAAGAGCGCCGGTCGCTCGAGATCACGCGCGTCGCGCTCGTCACCGAGCGCCTTGGGCTGCAGCGCACCCTGGAATCTGTGAATGTCGAGCTGGGCAAGCACGCCACCGCCATCGCCGCTGGAAACATGAACGGAAACACCGCTGGCATGGCCGCCGCAGTTTCACAAGCAAGCCTCGGCACGACAGGGCAAGGGACGCGAGCGAGCGAAGTGCAGGGGGGCGCGCCGACAGAGGGCGACATGGGTCCACTCAGCGGTGGCAACGTTGCGGCACTGTCCTGATTATTGTGGTTTTGTCTTCCTTTTGTCAGTTGGACGTTTTGATCGCTGCCGCTGTGTTCCTACTGTTTTTGTTTTTGTTTTGCCTCGTATTATACATTATATCTCTAGCTGTAAGACTTGCCCAACGTCCTATCTATGCGCGATTGCAAAATCTGGAGTTGTACGTTGTGCGAAAAAAAAATACTGTGATCGCAGAATCAGAAACACCGTCTACGAGGTTGCTGTGGTAGTGAAAGAGATACGCTAAGGTTACAGTACGATGACGCTGGTACAGATGTGAGGTGGTGTGGGGTATAGAGTTGTGAGCCTGAAAAAGTAGGGTATACGGCTGTGTAGTAGTAGTGTGTGATGCAGTTACGAGCGAGTCCCCAACTGTCCATAGGAAATATAGATAAACATGGTCCTGCCCGGAAGAAACAACCGAGCGTCCCTCCAACGTCCCGAGTCAACGAGTTCAAACTATGTACCCCCGCCCTACATCGTGCATGTGCATAACGGAGCCGGACCCGTGGCCATGCTCCAACGCAGGCGAATGCAACTCGTCCAGCCTCCAGCCGTCCCTCAGCCTCTGATACACGGACCGGAACGTCGACACCGCGCCCTTCTCCTGGACCATCAGCATCGTGCACCCGTACGAGCTCGAGCCCACGCCCGCGCCGTAGGGGCCTCGCTTCGGGGGTGACAGCAGCCCGTGCACGGCGCCCAAATGGGACGGTCCAGACGGGGGCACGAACTCGATCCGGAAGCGGGCGTGCTTCTGCACGAGCGTCCCGGTGACGTGATCGTACGCGTCCTCGACCCTGCACCGCAGCATGCCGTCGTCCACGCTCACGGAGACCCCGATAGTGGCGAGCAGGCGCTTGGCTTCGGCCCGCGCCGCGGCGGGCTCATCGAGAGAGTGCAGTGCGAAAGTCTGGGCCTTCCAGTTGAAGAGGTTGGAGAACCAGCCTTTGAATTCGCCGACGCCGACGGAGGGGGTAGTAAGGCGGGCCGACGTTGAATTCGACGAGAGCGTGGGGACGCCGGCGGAAGACTTTCTCATGGTCGTGGATATCGTAGAGAGGTCTATAGTAGCTGCTAGGCGAGAAAAAGGGCAATCACCGGCAATCAGTAACTGCCTCTTTCACGGTGAAGAGAACAAAACGGCACGTACGTCTGCTTTTTCTGTCCTTCGCCGTTCGCGCACGATGCAGCTGGCCAGCACCTCCTGATACATTCCCCATGTCTTTACCCAAGCCCTCGCCGTATGCGCCCCTCACAATCATGGGGAAATCGTCCGTACGCGACGTCTTCTTGCTCGGCAACATCGGAGCGGGAGCATGGTCCGTGTTTTCCTTGTCGCTGCTCCAGCCTGAGACCTCGTTCATTCCTTCGAGCGAGTATGGACCCGACGGCGTCACGTCCATGGCTGTGGATTCGTAACCTTGATGAGAGCGATGGGAGCGCTGCGCAGGCTGATGATGTTGATATTGCTCCTGCATAGACTCGGAGCGAGCCTGAAGCTGAGCGCGAGAGTATGCAGCGTTGAGAACATTCATCCGGCCCGCAATATCGTCTATCGTTCGCTGAAGGGTAGTATCAGAGATACGCGGGGCGCTGATAGGCGGGAGCGTCGGCGCGGGTATCGGCGTAAGCATGCCCATGAAGTCAGGGGCAGGCGACGACGAGGTGGGAGAAGGGGAACCGGGCGTAGACATGCGCAAAAACGAGCGCGGGCCCGGGGGAGTGATGGGGGACGGATGGGCCAAGACCGCAGGGGGGGATTGTGGCGCAGGGATGGGAAGATAGTCGGGTAGGGAGCGCTGGTACTGCGGGTTGGCACCGGCACCGAAGCCACGATCGGGGAGGTGGGTGTAGCGGGCGTTGGTTATTTCGGAGTGCAAGTGTCTGTCATAGTATGTCGACCTTCCAGAATCGTGCATGGACTGAGATAGCTTCTCCGGTTGGTTGCGCGGACGGAGGAAATCCGCCGAGGGTGTGGAGATTGGGCGCGGGCGGTGTCCGCGAGGGCCGGCGGGAGACGTCGGGCGCGAGCGACGAGTCGGTGACGCGTTTCCAACGTACTCTGCGCGTGCGGTGCCAGGTCCCGTGTCCCCGCGCATCATCCGCGAGGATGCGAGACTGATCGAATTCGTGTCAACGCTGAGCGAGCGCGGCTTCTTCGAGAGCGGTGAGACGTATAGCCTAGTGATTGCCTTTTCACCCAGGGTGCTCATGTGCTCGTCTACGTCCATGAAGATGCCGTCTTCCTCAAACGTCTTCTCGCGGTGCTTCTGGAGGAGGAAGTAGAACGCCTTGGCGAGCGTGCCCTGGCCCGCGGGGCTGAGCAGGTCGGACTTGACCTGTTCCGCCTCTGCGAGACGGCCCCATACGACGCAAAGGTACTCGAGTACGTCTTTATCTATGTGTTCAGGGGACCGCAGCGGGCGCGCAAGCTCCGCCACAGAGGGGGCGGGGACGTAGACGACACCCGGCGTGGGGTTCGCCAGCCAAGGGTGGGCAAGGATCTCAGGCATCTAGGTCACCGTTGAGCGGTTCGCATTCGCAGCAAAACACAGGTGTAGAGCTCACGGTGATTCTCCTGGAAACGTCCACGACGAGCATTCGGGACACGAGGTCCTTAGCCTGGGGGTCAACCCACGCCGGCATCTCGTACTTACCCGTCTTGACCTTGCTGAGCAAGCTGCGCACGTTCTTGTCATCAAACGGCAGCCGCCCTGTGAGGAGCGCGAAGAGGATGACGCCACAGCTCCATATGTCCGTCGCAGTGCCCTCGTACTTAAGCCCGTGCACGATCTCGGGGCTCGCGTAGTGCGGGCTCCCGCAGCTCGTCTCGAGCTCCGAGTGCGGCGGCGCGAACGCGGCCATGCCCCAGTCCGCGATCTTGATGAGCGGCGGGTCGAGCGAATGAATGAGGATGTTCTCCGGCTTGAGGTCGCGGTGGATGATCGAGAACGCGTGCGCGTAGTTGAGGCCGTACACGATCTGCTTGAAGTACGCGAGCGCCTCGAGCGGGGCGAGCTTCCCGCGGTTGACGAGGAAGTCGAAGAGCTCGCCGCCCTCGACGTACTCGAGGATGAGATACAGCTCGCGCTCGCCCTCATACACGTCGTATATGCGCATGATGTTCGGGTGGTTCATGAGCTTCATCATCACGATCTCGCGGTCGATCCCGAGGCGCTGCTTGTCGGACTTGGCCTGGCGGGTGCGCAGCGACGTGTGCGAGTTGAACGCGAACTCGAGCGGGAGCACCTTCACGGCCGCGAGCTGGCCCGTGCGGCGGTGTTTGGCGATTTTGACGTGCCCGCTCGCGCCCTTGCCGACGCACTCGCCGATAATCCACGGCCCGACGTACTTCGCGTCCTCGGGGTACTCGAAAGCGCCGTGGCCTGCGGCGGCCTTCTCCTTTTGCCAGCGGGTGCCGTGGCGGGCGGCGTAGAGCACTGGAGGGGCGCGGGGAGGGCTGGGGGGCATTATGTTCGTGATGTGGGTAGAAATAGAAAGATATAGAGTAAGATAAATGTGCCCGGAGATACAATATGTGGGCGGGAAGAGGAGACGAGCGGGCGTGAACGGTTCGTGGAGAAGGTCGAGGTGAAGAACAAGAACCCGTCCCCGGTCCAAACGGTGGGGACCCCGCTGACGTAATGTGTAAGAACGCTTGTGGCCGTGCGAAAAACGTCGCCCTTTCATCGCAGCGCAGCTTTCACGGATTCTACGCGGGCCACGAGCACGAAACGTCGTAATCAGAATATATTCCATCGATAGTCACAGCGAGAACAAAGGTCGACTCTGACCGTGATCTTCGCACCGTAGATTATTACCCCAGCCTCAGAAGGATCGTACGACCCATGGCCTGATACCTGAAACACACGTCGTGGTCCGCAACAGTGCCTGGTGGCAATGAAAGAACAACAAGCCCAAAGGCAGTAGTAATACAAGGGCATGTGCCAAGGTGAGCGTGGCGGCCACCGGTGATTCTGGGGTCAATGAGCGTCTGGGGGAAGAGTGCGTGCGGGCGTCAAACATGCATTCGCACCAGAACGGGTGTATCAGACATCGCCTGAGCAGCGTCTCACCTGTTAAGTCATAAGGCTTGCCCCCTCGCATCGTGCATCAAGACCTAAGGGTGATTTCCGAGGTGTTGTACGAGTGCCGGTCCGATGGCTGACATTCGAAGGCTCGTTGCATGTGCACCTGAGCTGATGTTTTGCAAGAAGCGATCAGCACAGGTCGCCCAACATCGCGACAGTCATATCCGCGGCCAGACTGGCGCTGATGGGCAGCTGTTCATAGCAATCATGTCCTGTGGTCAACTGCAGACCGCTTTCACGGGCAGACCTGGAGATCCAAACACAACATCATGCATCAGTGTTGGAAAGGCTCATGTCAGGCAAGAAAAAAAAAAGAGAACGCACTGATTTTTTTTGTTGCAGTACCACGAGAGCAGCCGAGTGATGGTTGCATCGTCGGACATAGAACGCGCCTCTAGAGCCTAGCCAAGAGCGACGCAGCGTATCTAGGAGGGAGAGAGAAATGAGCAGAATATAATCCGTGTCGCTGTGGACACGTGACCGCGTCGGGAATTTACGTTTCGCGCTCGTCGATGACGACAAGTACTGTTAAGGGATGATATCGAACATGCAGGGCGACGAGGAGAGTGTGAGCAGATGCAATACTAGCAGGGAGCAGAAGGACGGGGGGATGGAGCGGGAGGCGGTGCTGGAGGAGTGTGGGAGCGAAGACGGGAAGCGGAGGCCGAGATAGCGTGGAAAGAGGAGCATCATCTCCGTCACTCTCGCAGCCCCTTCCCCGTCCTCCACCAGCAGGCTAGCCATCATCAACGCTCGTCGCCGTCGCCGTCGCTCTCGTCGTCGTCGCCGTCGTTGCCAACAATGCTCTCCAAAGCCTTGCTTCCCGCCCTCCTCTCCCTCTCCCTCCACCCCGCCTTCGCCCGTGCCTACTCGTGGGCTTTCGACAACTCTCCGACCCAGTGCGAAGACCTCTCGCTCTCCATCTCCGGCTCCGGTGGACAGGCCCCATACACCCTCCTCATCGTCCCCACCGGCCCCAGCCCCCTCGCCAACAACATCGAGGCCCGCACGATCCAGTCCATCCCCTTCAACTCCTCCACCTCCCTCAAATTCAAACTCGCCTATCCCGCAAACTCCTCTTTCGTCGCAGTCGTGAGTACCCTCACTCGTTCGCTCGCTCCACGCCCCCGCGTAGCCCATGCACTACACCCGCACCCCGTTATTCGCGTCGTTAACCTCCGTCGTCCGTCGCGCAGGTCAGTGATGCGAGTGGCTTCGGCACCGGCGGAACGAGTATCGCTGCGACCGTCCAAAATTCCGCAGACACCTCCTGCTACGACTCCACCAAAGACGTCGCCGGGCCCTGGGTCTTCAGTACCGACCCCACCGGCGGCCTCACCCAGTGCGAGTCCGTCCGCCTCTACTGGAACTCGGCCCTCACAAACGGGTAGCTATCCCCGCCTCCGCCTTCTTCTTCCGCACCCGCTGAACCCGTCACTTTTTTTTGCACTTGTGTCCCGCGCTTAATTACAAACGACTCTAGAACCGTGAGCTTCGTCGGCGTCATCCCCGGAGGACAATCTTTCAGCATCCCTAATTCGACCCTTTCCACCAACTCGCTCACTGGCACTGGCTTCAACTGGACGGTCGATGTCCGCGCCAGCACAACCATGCTCGTCGTCGCGGGAGACGACAGAGGCATCGGCGTCGGCGGCAGCGCCCAGTATACGATCGGGTACGCGACGAGCAGCGCGAGTAACTGTCTGACGGATAACTCGCCGTCGTCTACGGCCGGCGACCCTGCGGGTGGGAGCTACCCCACGAGCACGAACGGCTCTGGTACGGGCGGGAGCAGCAGTAGTAGTGGGTGCGCCCCTTCTTTTACTCTTTCTCCTTACCCCAGTCACGAACGATGCCGTGATCTTTATTTTCACCAGCGGCAGCCACACAGGTGCCATCGTCGGTAAGCTTTTATATCTAAACTAACAACCCTGCACTCCTTACCCGCTGCCCTACTAGGCGGCGTCGTCGGCGGCATCGCGGCCCTTATCGTCGGCATCCTCCTCGGCCTCTTCTGCCTCAAACGCCGCCGCTCCGAGATCCACACGAAAGAGCGCCCCGTCGACCTCCTGCAAGACCACGACGACACCCCGCCGCACCCCGCCGCCGAGCTCCCGCAGTACTACGCCCCGGACCCATTTCTCGTCCCGGACCCCACCATCGCCGCGACCTCCGACGCCGGCTCGACGCACCCCGACGAGGGCCTCGGCGCGAGCGGCTCGCAGCGCCCGACGTCGTACACCGAGTCGGACATCCTAATGCGGCCCGGCACGCCCGGCCACCGCTCGATGGCGAGCATGTCGACGAACACGCGCAAGGGCGGGCTGCCGCCACCGCAGATGCGGCCGGTGAACTTCATCCAGCACGACGACGCGGGCCCGTCGGCGCCGCCTGCGCACGAGGGAGAGGAGGAGCCGGAGACGATCGAGCTGCCGCCCGCGTATACGAATTTGCGGACGTAGGTGGGTGGGGTCAGGTGGGGTCGGAGACGACGGGGACGATGGGATGCGCTGGGTGGACGGCGTGGCAAGGGCAGGTGTGCTGGAGGCAGTGAACTGCGGAGCTGCGCGGTGCGGTGCGATTGTGCACCTCTATAGCGCGATGGACTTTCGATAATGTTCGAGCGGTGCGGTGCGGTGGGACGCGATAGGGCGCGGTGGCGCGCGAGGACGCGCAGTGCGAAAAACGGACGATGCGCACTCGCGCAGCGGCGTGTACAAAGCGACGCGCACGGCCGGTCGACTCCAATGTGCAATATTCGATGACGAAGAGGGCGGGGCCGGAACGACGGAAAATCCTAATCGCGGGCAGCGGCAGCCTGGCTCCACATCTTACTTACTACCCACCCGAGCCATCTTTGGCTTTCTTACCTTCTTTTCTGTCGCGTGCTGTTGCTCTGTTCTGTTCTGCTCCTATCCTATTCGTGTTCGCGTCGTTCCAAGCAAGTCCTCTCATTCGCTGCGCTTATTCTTTTTTTCTTTTATTTTTGACCGATTATTCTACGCATCGCATTTACCGCTAGGATCTGGGTCCCTCATTCCCCTCCCCCTTTCATCCGAAGCCGCGGACATCGTACCGCGTTCGCCGACACCGTCATCTGGCATCTGTACGATATATACTATACCACCACTCGAGACACGCTCTTCTTATAGCCGTTGACTCTGACTTTTTCTTATCTCCACATTCACCGTAGCCGGCCGCCCGACCCTCGACATTTGCTTTGCTTTTCTCGGTTTCGACGCCGACTCGCGGAGTAACATCATACTTGTACATACGTGCAACTGTTTATTTATCCGACATTTCCATATCCTCCGACCGTTTGTGGAATCGTGTCTTCGTTTCGTTCCGATTGATTCATTTTCGTTATTTTATTATTTCGGCTTCGGACGCTCCATTCGCGCTTTCTCTTGTCTGTTTTTACCGTTCATTCACCATTAACTTGTCAGCTGCCCATCACCCGCTCGCCCGCCATGTCATCCGTCTCTTCGTTAATTCACTTCCATTTCATTCCCCTTTGAGTTCCTTCCCCGTGTGTTTCGCACTGCTCATCACGCCGTACGCGTTCGCACCCCCGTATAGTGCTTGTCCCGATGCCAAACTCCATGTCATGCATTCTTCGCTTTCCCGCTCGCAAGTTCACGAAAAAGATGATGACGATGACGATGATGACGATGGAGACGACGACAGCTGTGGGGTACCTCGCCACTGACGCTCATGCGGGCCCGCGGGGCAGTCATCGTGCCACCTATCATACTGACTTGTTCATCAGCCCGTCATCGGGTCCGTGCCCGTGGCCCCAGCACCGTGTCTCTCGACTGTCGAGGGAACGCAAAATCCAAACCGGTGCGATGCACGGCCCAGCGCCACATGCTCGCTCGCTGCGAAAGGCGATGCTGCTGCGGCGATGGCGAGGGACCCGCGCCCCCGTTTCGGGGACCGCTCGGACGGGTAAAAGCCTGGCAGCTCGAGCTCAAGGCGCATGATGCACGATGCCCTGCTGATCAGCGGTCCGAGCAAGCTCCGACGCGCGCGAGCGGCGGCTCCAAGTCCAGTGTGTTCTCTCATGGCCCCTTGTCTTACGTCTTGTGCGCCGCCTTGATCCTCCGCGACGAGGCAGCGCAATGGCATCGATATGCAAGTACGTATTATATCGGCAACGCAAGGCGAGGAAAGCTCCGCAGGCGGAAGCCCTTCGACGCAAGGGGGAGGGGGGCCTTGTATCAGCTAGTGGCCTTGCTATTGCTGCTTCGGGGTCAGGACGTGCGAAGGCCGCCTGCTTTACTTGGGTTGATCAGATACCCAAGCACAGAAGAACGCCTAAGAGAACCGTCGTTGTAGATATCGAAGTAGCCCCTTCGAGAGACTTCTCCTGGGTTCTCTGGCGCGCATACGGTGGAGCATGTGTGGGAAGAGCCAGGAGTCCCCTGGGAGCCTCCCCCAGGAATCGCAGATTCCCACGGCGCCCACCGGTGAACAAAATATCGGAGAAACTGACCGAAGAACACCGTTTTAGCTGCCGCGCGCAGTGAACGTGTCCACATACTTATACATGTGTGCGAACTTCCTGCTATCGCCGAAGAAACGAAGATCTCAGGGTTGCTACGCGTACTAGCTGAGACTCGGGAGATAAACGAGACAAAACAAACGGTCAACAATAGACTTACAGCGGACAAATCGAGCAGTTCGTGAAGGAAAGGGGTCGTGACAAGAGCGAGCATCAGCTGTGGCAAGAGAGAACGGGCGGATCGATCGATCACAATTATGTGGACACAGAGATGAGGTAGCACAGAGGAACGGGAGATCAAGAACTCGATGGAAGCGGAACAATACAGGGTCACACAGTAAAACAACAAGATATACACACAATATTGAACACGTGAAACTAACCGTTCGACGGCCTGAATGATCGATGGTTCAGCACTCGCTCGCTACCTTGTGGGGAGAACACTTACACCAGTCCATATTAATCATACACATACCAGCTCCCTAGCAGAGGTTTAGACGGGCGAGGCCTCGGCTCTCGCGGACGCATTACGGGACAATCCCCTCAAGAACGAAGGCCGAGGGAACCCTCTCGATGATGGACTCTCCACGATCGCGGCGGGCGGGGAAGCGGGAGCAGGTGCGGAGGAGCCAAATTCCAGAGGGTGTCCGCCGTCAGTGGAAGTGGATGCTCGCTTTCCATACTTATCGGACGAAGCAGGCGGCGTGGTGGTGATGCGAAGAAGAGACGTGTATGCTGTCATTAAAAGCGCAACGTCGGGGTCAGTCCGACGGCAGATGAATGAAAGAACGAGGGTGGGCTGGTACTCACGCTGGCGACATACAGGACAGAACCATCCTTTGGCGCGACGCTTCCTGCGCGGATTCTGCGGGACAGGGGCAATAGGCTGGACAGCAATAGGGACAGGCGCTGGCGCCGCACCCTCCACTGGTTCACCGTTCGCAGCCCCTTCACTACCGGTGACAGTGACGTTGGCATCCGTGCCATCAGCTGCGCCCTCAGCAGCCGCATTAGCCTCCCCACCAGCTGGTGCAGACTCTGAAGCCGGGTCGGATTCGGAATGCGTGATGGTTCCTCCAGCGCCAAACTCAATCATGTTCACGGCACATTCCTTGCACGCGACCAGATGTCTGCACGGCAACAGGACGACTTCCCGAGGCGAGCTCAGACATAACAGACACTCCGATGAAGGCTCATCTTCGTGCGTGGGTACGGGAGGGGCAATCGGCGGATAAGTATGGGTCTGCGTCAAGGTCGGGGACGGTAGTGCGGGTACTGGAGGCGTGGTGTTGTGAGAAGACGAGGAAGAGAGGCCGTAGATCTCTTGCAGGTGGAATGTATGCGGCCCGATAGTAGCTTCCCGTTTGACTACCTTCACAACCCAAGGCCTGGTATCGTCCTGGTCACTCGGTGTTGCTGCCCCCAGTCGCACTACGTGCAGGTATGTGCTCTGCTCGTTTGCCGAGCTGAGTTCGATACCTTGCTCATCAAGAGCGACCAACCTGATGAGCACCCTCACCCCTTCCTCGCTCTCCTTGGATTCTGACACCGCTTTCTCCGTCGTCTCACTAGCCGGAGAGTTCGCCTCGACGTCCATTACTGTCAGCGCAGGCCCGGAAACCGAGCCCCCGTGTGTGCGTTTCCGGAAATGAATTCCCGTAAAACGCCGTTTGCGTTCATGTCGGGCGTCCGGAGCAGGCTCCGATGTCGTTGTCGAATTGGTAGGCTGTTGTTCAGGAATAGTGGGTGGGATTGTTGGCTTGGCGACGTCCTGCGACGGCTCTGACATCTCCGATGCACCGGTGCGATGCTCGAACCGTCCGAGCTCGAGCGTTGCTCCGTCCTCTAGCTTCAGAAGCCTGCCGAATCCCCCCTCGAAAGTAGAATCGAAGACCGTCAGACGGGAAGTAGCATCGTCGGGTTTCTGCTCAGGGGATAAGATGACATCAACGTAAATACCGCATTTGGGCGCATCGCAGTCGTACTCGAACTCAAGGGCATGGTGGTGGTGGGAATCCGGGTGGGAAGGGTCGTCGGATGGATTCAGCTCCAATGGCGAGAGCTTTAAAGTGGGGCGTTTGAGATTAACCAAGGCTTGAAGTGTCGTCGTCGGTTGGATCGCCTACCACAACAAGATATACTTATGTAGCCAACAGAAGAGTAAATCGAAAGCGCACCTCCTTGCTTTTCTCAATCCAGTTCTTTACTATCTCTGGCGTGAGCTCATCCGTCTTCGCTTTCTCAGCGACTTTAGAAGCCCAGTCAGGGCCGGGACTGACGATCCCGATGTTGGGCCCGAACAGTGTGTCCTGCTTCTTGTCCTTGGCCAACTCGTTCACATTGTTCATATTGATGACGATGGTGCCGCCAGTGCCAGCCTCGGTGGAGGCCATATTCGTTGCTTGGCGAGAAGTGTTAGTGTCAGGTGTTGCTACAAACGGAGCGACACGGAGTCGGCGAGTCCTGTTCCAAGTTGAGAATTGACTCGAGTCTGAGCACGACGTGGACGATGTCAAGAGCGGTGTGAGTGGATAACGAGGGGGCTGCTACTTACACCAAGTGGCGATCGTGGACATGGTGGGGAAAGGGGTACGACGATGGCTGCGGACTCATACTGATTTTATAAGCAGTTCTCACATCCCGACAGCGATTGTTCATGTGAAACACAACACGCATTGCTTCCGTTCCCGCACCGGTCTGATCATCTTTCGCACAGCTCTCGCTCAAAATATCTGCGTGGAAACCGCAGAAAATGTCTGCATGAATGCATAAGGGTTGCGGGAGCCGTGTCATAACATGCATGTGGGTGCTAGGTGCAAGGAGAATGCGAGGATAATAGAACAAAAGACAGAGTAGTAAGCTTAAGCGATCAACTTCACGACACCCCCCGCTGCCTTGATTTTCGCCCTGCGAAACGTCAGTATATTGACACAACAATAGAAAAAAACAATTAGATGTACGCACTCTGCTCTTGACGAGACGAATCTTGCTTTTACAATGATAGGAAGATTCGGCAGCCTGTCACCATCGTAAGTTAACGCCGTCCAATTATGGGACATTCACAAGGGTGAGGCTCACAAGCCATTGCCCAAAACCTTCGTGTACCCATGACGGGTGATATCGACAACGGGAACCACTTCCGAGTCCGCCGTCAGCCCCTCCTTGTGCTCTTTGGGTACAAGCGTCCAGAGCTTGTCCACATTGATGATGGACGTGAAGTCCTTGTTGGCGGTGTAGTGGTAGTACCGCATACCAACCTTACCGAAGTAACCAGGATGATACTTATCGAAGTTGGTACTATATTTTACGACCAAAAACAAGGGGAGATGCGTTGATGAGCAGAGAGGAAGATCAAAGTAGGCTGCAGACGCACCGGTGATGGTGCTGACCACCAGCGAGACCACGACCTCCAGGATGCTTGCGGTGCTTTCCAACACGTCCGTGACCGGCCGAGACGTGGCCGCGGTGCTTGCGAGTCTTCGACAAATGGGTCGGCATTTTCTGTAGTTCCAACGCGCAATCAGCACTAATCCTGCACCAGCATGACCGCATCCGCCCGTCGCGTCGCGCATCCACCACTCATATCAGCCCATTTTTTCCGGAGAAAACCAGTTCCCCGTGGAATGCGACATGGTGAATCGAACGAACAGAGTTTCTGGACTGGAGAACGACAGGACGTGTACTGACCTTGAGGAGAGTTGGCGATTATCGGGGCCGCCACTTGTTTTGCTTTCAGATGGGGAGGCAGATTTCAAGCGGAGATTCAAATTGACTCGAACTTCTCGCCACCTTGTGCAAACTTCGTCGCTGTCGTTTCCTCGTCTCCAACCCAGCTCTAGGTCAGTGTCCCTATTCTGCGTCTTCCTTTCGAGTTGGTCGGCGATGATGTGGCATCGAATGCCTTTATTTATTGTCAATGACTCCCTATGATCTCACAATGTGTCCTGAGCTTCCCAACTCCCACTCGCAACGCGTCTTTTGAGCAACGCTGACAACCATATTTTCACAGTGCTAGTCACAATCTTACCTTGGTTGAGGTGTGTCTCCTTCTTTACATGCTTAGACCTTCTACCAAATCTGTCAATCCGCCGAATGCTCTGCATAATGGCGACAACATATTCAGTTCTGCTTATGATACATCGTCCCCGTCTTCCCTGCATCGGTATCCATACTCATCAGTCATTTCAACCAATTCTGGTGCAGACCTGTGGCTTTGATTTGAAAATATGAACGCCCCGAGCAGATATGAACTCTTCGTGCTGGAAGAAGGCGAAAAGCCGTGCGTGATCTAGCACTAACGCGTGCTCAACGCGTCACCTTACGGTGCGTCCTCTGTTGTGGCTTTAGTGTTGAGATCGTCGAGGACACGAAAATCCCAAATGCTGCGACCATCAAGATCGTCAAGCAGGACCATACTCTAGCCAACTTGATCCGCGCGTATGTCATCTTCTGTTACGAGCAACTGCCCGCTCTCTCGCCGTTGCACGACACTAAGTATTGACGTCAATATTCCTGCTCCTCATAGTCAGCTGCTCGCCACCCCTGAGGTCCTCTTCGCAGGATACAAAGTTCCTCATCCTTTGCACCCATACTTCATCTTGAAGATCCAAACCGACGGCACCATCACCCCCACCGCAGTCCTTGAAAAAGCCTGCACGAAGCTCATAGGCACTCTCGCATCCCTAGAGACACAGTTCAAACGAGAATTCAGCTATAAAGAGGTTGAAGGTGCGGTTCCAGAGGATGTATATGGTGCCCCGACGGCTACTTGGGCCGGAGCCAGAGATTACATGGATTTATAGATGTTGTCGCTTTATGCTACCACACCGGACAGTTGTCGTTTTTGGTTTCGTCCCCGCGTATGTTTACGGGCGACAATTAATTATTCATGTATTCTAGATATTTTCTCATCCGTATCTCGATATTTTCCAAGATGCGTCGGCGTGGAGCTAGATAAAAAGCCAACCTTGCTTCCAGCTTGGGAACCACTTGTATATTGGCACAGTTGGGCGGTTGTAATTAATTGCCTCCCCTCTTGAACGCCAACCTAGCTTTAGACCTTGCTGCCCTTTTTACTAACTGTGCCTCCCTGATCCGCTTCTTTTCCTGAGTCGAGCTGATCGCACCACCCTCCTCTTCTTCCCGCTCACTTTCCCTCATATACGCGTCGATGCAATCTTCCATCCTGGCCTGCACTTCGTCCTCGGACCTCGCACTATCAACTTGCCATTCGAGATCGAAGCTCCATCCGGCACGGTGGGGCGAAGAAGGGGAGTCGATAGACAACGGCACGGGCGCGGATGCATAAGCAAGAGCGCCCTCTTCGCGCCACCACCTGACAAACCATCCTGCAGCGCGCTGGACGTCCGACATTCCCCCCTTTTTGAGCATCCCCAATCTCTGGGCCAGAAGTTCCAGAAATGCGTCGATGTCCACCGTCGGCGGAGTAGCGGGTGGTAGGAGGGGGAGGTATGCCGGGGCTATTTATCAAACCATCAATCAGCCTTCTCCTTCGGGCAGAACCGAGACCGCAGAAGACGAAGAATGGTCGCACCTTCCGAGTTCAGCATGTTGAGCCGGTAGAGCAAGTACGTTGCCAGCGCCTCGATATCGTACAGCCCTTCCTTGATACCCGCTGTTCCAAATAGCCATCAGCTCACTAACTTGGTCGCGCCTCGCGGGTAAATGCCTACCGATCAATGCCAACTTGACGCCCCTTTCAGCGCCTTTCTCGCCACGGCCGAAGAACGGTAACATCACGCCAGGGGTATCAAAGGCATAGACTAGCGGGTCACTGGATAACTTCAAACGGGTAGACAATGCCCTCGTAAGGCCAGGATGTGCCGAGGTACGAAGAGCCTTCGGTGTTGCTGCAGATATAAAACGTTGTCAGAGTATGAGGCAAGAGGCGAGAGGCAGCTCACGTCCTGGTATCCCGACATTCCTCAAGGCATTGAGCAGAGTTGATTTGCCGACGTTAGGCATGCCTACGACCAAGATGTTCAGCTCGGGAACGTGGGAGTGATTCTGTGCTATATCTGTACAATATCAAGATGAACTCAGCCGCTAGTGCCCTAGTAACGAAGATGAGTTGATGGGCGGATGACATACTTACGAGCAAATTGCTCAGAGACTTGATGTCCCGTGCGTTATTCCAAGACGCAAAGAGAGTATGTTGATCTGGAAACTTAGAAGACATGGCTTTTCGAAACGGCTGTAAGTATCAGGCATCAGAACTTGTCAGTCATAGCTTTCCTCAGATAGAAAGGGGTCCGGACTTCAATGCCCCATTCTGGCACAAGGTCGCGCTTGCTGAAGACGACAACACGCTCACAGACCTGGCTTGCGGCCTGCTGTGGAGAAGGCGCGACACGCACGCGCTCGGCACGCCATCTTTGTAATGCACCTATCAAAAGATGAGCGGTCAGTATGGGCAATTGATAACATTCCGAGGGGACAGAAGATCTAGACAGTGTCGTAGGGTGTAGAGCCTCTTCTCGGGAAGCAGTTGAAGGACCGGACAATGGGGATGAAGTCAAAATGGAAACCGACCACGTTCCCAGCAGATATACGGCATGATGATCTATTATGGAGTCGCCCCGGGTCCCATGCACGCAACGTGTATTAACGGAGATGAAAATCAAGTAAGAGGTCTATCGACTTTGGGGGACTTCTACCTCCCCCTTCCCAGCCCCAAAGTGCGCGCATGAAACGTGTGCGAGGCATCGAGAAAGCACAAAGAATAGCCAGCGCGACAAATAAAAGAAACAAAGCAGTCTAACGAAGTGGTACTAACGCACCTTCAAATTTTCGATTGATGCTTGTGAGAGGTAGCCGGGCATCCCGAAGCTCAAGCACGACATCCGTGCGCATCAACAACGCGGGCAGCATGCGAGCAAATTGAGTCATATGCCCCGGGTACCATGATTGCGGTGCCGGCAGGGCTGGAAAAGGGATGTGCGACAAGACCATGATTGTCCAGACACGCTTTGACGATCGCGAGTCGTGTTTCAAAAGGAACCTGGATCAAGGTGCTGCAGCGATCCGCTGTCAAGCCACTCGGTCGGAGTTCTGTGAGGTAAACAAAAGAGCCGACGTACGTCTTTCAGGATTCGCGAAGGCACGCCACTCCAATAAGCGCCGAACGTTATAGAACCCTCGGTCGAAGGCTTCGCGACTCGTGGCGCAGTAGCCCTGCAAAAGATCGATTGAGCTGCAAGCGAGAATACCTAGCATCAGAAGCAAGGCTAATTAGCGATGTAAATACCTTGTGGACGGGAGATCTATTCAGGATATGCGATGGTGCAAAGGGCGCTTGTTCGAAATGATTTCGTCCAGCTATAACGACGCCGACGTATGGAATGGAAAGGTCGAAGAAGGCTCTCGAATGGCAAACGCGCTGAGATCGCGGAGCTTACACGCCATAGGCGATGACGGGCACATATGCTGCACCGTGTGAAACGTTAGCGAGCATCATGCGCCGTCGGGCGGCGCTGTTATCATCCAAACGTCCGCATTCACAGCAACTTTAAAGACAGAATGTCGATCATGACGCCCATTTATTCCTCCATACATGAATCAAAGATGTAATATTCTACTTTCAGACCGCCACAGCACCATAGCCAGTAAAGACGCAAACGAGAGGAACAGCGACATCAACAAATCGAGGAAAATATGCAAAGGAATATACGGATGCATGGGAGTGAATGGAATACAAGGTATGATGTTCGAAACTAGAAGACAGAGGTAAAGAAGAGCTGTTGGATGAAACTAAACGATATAGAGAGACAAAATAAAGACATATATCAGCGATACCGGATATGAGCGAGGAGGAACGCATAGGATGAAACCACGGCAGAACGGACACATGCCAAAGAGATGATAGGCCGGGGAACCCCACGCGGAGGGATTCGCGCGGTCTACAAAGGCTTTGTGGCCTTGGAGATCCTCTCTATAAAAGAAATGAGAACCCAGCCGTCAGATCGTTGTAAACGCGACGCACAAATTTAGACCCAACCGTCCTGCCCAAGCCCAATAGCGTCAAAATTCTTTCCACTCCGGGTCCTGCGCTCGTGCAGTACCGTCACCGCATCCAGGTTGATCAACTTCTCCGACGGTGGCGGAGAACCCTCAACCCAGCCCTTCCAGCCCTTGCGCGCTGCGGCACGCTTCTTCCGCGGGCGCGGCTCCGGCGGCGGTGTCGTGAAGGACATGTCTCTTGAGTGGTCCATGTCTTCGTCTTCGTATGGTGTGTGTGGCCGTTTGGACGACGTGCGCGACGTGCTGGAAGAGATAGATGGGCCCGGTGTTGTGGGCGGCGACGATGGCATTGGTGGTGGGGTGACGGATACAGAACGCTGCATGCTGGCAATGTGGAGAACGGGCCGTGCACCCCACGAGGTCGACGGCTCAGGCAGCGGGAGGATGGGATGCACGTTGACGTGCATGGGCGTTGGTGTCGCGACCGACTCGACGACGGGGAGCACAGGACTCTCTCGCGGCTTAAGCAAAGCCTTGGCCCTTTTCTTTTCCTTATCGCGTTCCTTCTTCTCCCTCCTCTTCTCCCGCTTCGCCTCGTCGGTCTCCTCTAGCTCCTTATTTATCGGCACGCCGTTCAAGAGGCTAGTCAATACATCGCGCGGAGGACGCGGGTCGAATTGGCCGGCAAGGACAGACGTAGCGGTGCGACGCTGACGTTTGTAGGGTGGAAGGTTTGATGAGAGCTGCGCGAACATAACGGCCATGGAGATGGAGAATGGCAGGGGGAGGGGAGGGGTAGGGAGGGGATAGATGGTGGAGCGTGGAGGGTTGAAGCCGAGCTGTTGTACTTTTACGGTATCTCGACACCTGCCACAAGTAAATAATAAACAAAGCACACGTGCCTCGCTTCTTCACCCCAACCACCACGCGAATATCAGAACACAGTCCGCCTGTCTTCCGCGCCCTTTCCTTTCTTTGTCTGACTTTTGTTCCTGGCCGCTAGCAGCAACGATCTCGTAACAATCAACCTAATCTGTGGCCCCATCCACCCTCGTTCCATATCAAACATGCCTAGCTCTCCACTTTTCTTACGTGCCCCCTCGTGTCCCCCATGCGAGTCCTGGCCTCCCCTTTTCCGGGAAACCGCTTCTCGATAGAGCCCGTCTCGCTATTTCTGTCACCGCTGATTGGGGATACGGGCCAGGCCTAGCCTTCTTGGGGTCCCGCGCATCGACGCTTCTGCGCAGACAGAGCGGAGCTCACTCGGGCCTTCCACACGCTCTGCTGGCTTGCGGCCCCCTCGCACTCCGCGTCACCGCAAGTCCTTTTCTACTTTTGTTTCCCCCGCAAGGCCAGGGCTGGACAACAATCATCTTTCAGCCGCTTTTGTTGCCACAAGCTTCGGCAGTCTCCACTAAGTGATGGGCGCTCGGCGCCCCCAGGCGGAACAGAACGTTCCGTGGGACCTTCTTTTCGACTCCTGTTGGGTTACTCTCTGCGGTATCCATATTTCCCACACAGCTGTCGCCATCGGCGCACCCCGCACAACAGTCCTTTATTGAAACGCTCCCTGCATTCCTATCAAAATCCCAGGCCCATCTCTTGTCCGCTGATGAGGAAGCTTTTATCGGATTGCACGCGCCATCTACGCAGGACCTGTGTCCCTAGCCTGTTGGATCGATGAAGTGTCGACATTCCTGGATCCGTGCTAGTTGTGAGTCAGCATCACATCTAAACTTTCGTATCATTCATCCTGGCAGGCTTCTTCTGCTAGAATTCCTCACGGGAATCCCCCTCCAGCACCGCCCCGTTTCGCCGGACTCGTGGGCGATGTTCGATGATCATTGTCGGACCCCGGCGACCCTGGCTGGGCATGCCGTTGCGCCGTTGAGCTAGGCCATCGTGTGGACACCTGTATTGTTCGCCGTGGCACGCCGCGTCGTGGCATAATATAGTCCGCCGAAGAACGTACCTGTCATTCGTCCGTCAATAAAGTCCCCCCGACATTGCCTGCATTCTCAACGGTAGAAAATGTCGCTAGCACACGGCGCAATAGCCTGCCCTTTCTGAAGAGACACCATTCATGGCACATCAACGACCTGTGTGATCGTGACCCACAGCCCGTGCCGTGGTGAGCGAGTCCCCGTTGTGACTCGCTGACTTGCATTAAGCGCCCATTCGACGCGCTTCCATTGCACTCTTGCCCCATGCGTGAGCTTTGCCGCTTATGAATTTCCAGTGAATCGGACAAGACGTTCCCATGCGCACGATGAGTCGCAGCTCCAATGGCGTGGCTGCATGCGGCCAGACGCAGAGTCACGTGATGAGCGGCTTCGCGGCAGAGATGTAAGCTGTAGACACGCATAAGTCCACGATTACGAGCCCCCACGCTAAGAAGAGAATAGCTCTATCACCAGAGGGACCTTACAGACCGCGTGAGCTCGACAAAAAAATAATGAGATCGCCAAAAATTTCCCGCTAGCTGATTTGAACAACTGACCTCGTCATCCCAGGAAGAGCGTTGGAATCGCTCGCAGGGTACTAGTGACGCGCTCTACCAACTGAGCTAAGAGGGATACATTGAGTCCAGCTGCTAACTGTATATATAAGCGTTCTTGTAGGCCATTGTAACCTGACAATCTTCCCTGCGATCAACTGTGATCTGTATCACTTCCGAGCCGCGCTATTAGCCAGGGAGCGCAACTCGACAGCTCCCCACAGGATAGCCTCTCGGGATCAATCCTTATAATGAAGATGAAGATAGTTGTGCACTCGACAGTACTACACAGCAAACGCCAAAGACCAGGCGCAGGAGCTCGAGTGTCGTCTGGCAGATACTAACCTCATCCTTCGAGCTTCCAAAAGTGACAGAGCTGCGTGCGTCGAGTGAGATGATAAATATACAAGACCGTCATCTCAACCTGCGGGCGTCCATCTCCCTCAATTCTCGACGATGACCCTGACAGCAAGCACACTATTTCCTTGCTTCTGCCTGAGACTTTCGGCAGCACGTTCTGTGCGCGTCATCGCAGGTCGTCGCGCCAATCGATCTAAATTCTGTGATCGCGGCCACAAAGCTCATATCTGACGCAGGACGTCCTCCCGCAAACTTCAGACCGCACGGCAATGGCACGTGCTGCCGGTTGAGCTCAGTAGGTATCGACATTGACCATAGACGCTTTCAGAAAAGTCGTCGCAATCAACGAATGAAAATTGGTACACCACTATTGCATCTTTCTCGCCATTGCGGCATATGCGACAGTACCCTGCCACCATGCCACCATGCCCAAACTCAACACCCCGTGTAACCCGCCCCACAAGATCTCTGGCGTGAATTTGTACCTAATAAACAGTCAGCGCTTCTCCTCATGCAAGGCAAGTGGGATGAACCGACCCCTCCGCGAGCTGTCCAAAGGAGTGTGGGATGAAGCGAGGCGCTTGGAAGAGGACCGTGGACACGATGCTGTGATGGACACAGAGTGCGATCGCGAGCGCACGTTTCCCGGGCAGGAACTCTGGACAAAATGTAAGGTCCCACACACGAGCTGGAAAGGCGTTCGACTTGCCAGGAAGGGAGTGCACCAAAAGGCAAGCGATGCATGTTGCCAAACTTAGAGCGGCGTAAAGCTTGATGTCAGTGAAGAAATGATGAATCAATTCACCCGACAGGCCGGCAATGTGGGCCAGTACGCACCTTGACAAACACCAAAGTGGTGTTGTTGAGCTCGAGGAAGGGCAAACCCTGAGGTGCCCATAGGCCCTGAATGGCTAATGGGATCTCCAGCGCAATGTGCAAAAGGAAAACGGCCGACCTATCCGGCGATCAAGTTAACACGAGTTGGGATACCAATTAATGTGCACATTACAAAGGGCTTTGGGCTGTTAGTTGCTGCGACATGGGTTTGGTAGGGAATGGAGGATCGTGAGACTTGTAGTTGACGGTGACCACTGTCAACGCGTGGGATCAAGAAGACAAGGCAGTGGGTACATACTAGGTACCAGGGCCGTCCATCATGATCTTATCTCTTGAGCTCAGTTCGATCAGGGCCGCAAGCGCTTGTACACTCATAGGCATAACAAACACAAGCGGACCAGAATAAAAGCTTGAATTCAATGAACTATTGAACTCGCACAGATAGCCATTTTTACTTTCATTTGCGTCTGAGAAATTTTGGTGACCATAGTGCCATCAAGTACAAATAGGAAGAAGGTTATCGGGGCCCTGGCGAGCGTCGTGGCCTCTCATACTGCTCTCTAAAAACTCACTACGGAAGCCAAGCTGGCCACCGGAATAGGATCAATCGTCGTCCCCCTCATCCCCGTCATACGCGCTGCCACTTCCCTTCCACGGACCTACCTCGCCCGCATCAAGATCTCGGTTCAGGTCAATCTCAGCCCCACCCTTCCACACGTCCTCAGATACCAGTCCACGCAAACGTTCCACTTCTCGTCTCAGAGAAGCTAACTCTACATCACGCCGCTCAATCTTGCCGTTGAGTAGGCGGATGTAATCGTTGCCGCATCGCAACAACTGCAGCTTGCTAATGCTCCTGTTCGGACCGTCCACATTGCCTCGGGGTGGGCCACGAGGCGGCATCGCCCCGGGTAGAATCGGTTCGTCCGGAAAGCCTTCCTCTGATGGCAGAGGGATCGGCGGAAGAAGCGTACGAAGGTCGTCAAACGTGGTCTTGAGCGAGTCACGTCGTTTTTGCTCTGCGGCCTTGTGGGATGTTTTGCGAAGCACGGGCACGGTCGGCGATGGCATGACATTGAAGCCGACGTTTCCAGCTGCAGCCAGATCGAGATGAGCGCCCAGAGACAACGAATGGAGAACGACGTTACCTGGCAAGATGGGCTTGAGGCTCGGGCTGACAAGCGGTGTTCCAGCTGACGGTTTCTTTATCGCCTGTGAGCTCGACGAAGGCTCCCGCGAGCGGCGGGAGGGAGCTTTGGCCTTTCCACTGGCCTTCGACATTGATGAATTTTGCGGAGGCGCCAGGCTGCTGCTGGTCCCAAGCTGTCCGAGATTCATGATACTGGCAGGAGTGACCGGCGTAAAATTTGGCGTAGGAGTTGAAGACATAGACGACGACATCTCGATGTTTGTTGTAGATAAACTACTGGAATTTGACGGCACTGGAGGCGCAGGAGGCGGCATGGATAAATCGACGGGGGAAGGAGTGTCTTCAGGTATATCAGGGTACATGCTATTCTTGCGACCATCGGTTCGGGTAGAGCGTATCAAGGGCGTCGAGCAAGCAGATTTTGAGCCCCTTGACTGCCGTCTGGGCTGAGAGGCATTGACGGCAGGGGACTGGCGTTGACGGGACAGTCGATCGTGCCCTTCTTCGGGGGGTGATGCCGTTCGCTTGTTATTCGAGTTAATTCGTAATGAGCCTTGTTTATATGCCTCTAGCCATGGGCTCGTCAATGGTGACAGATCAAAGTCCATGTCTCCAGGCGACGGGAGTGGCACTGGTGGATTCGTGTTAAAAACTAGGTTCGCCGGAGCGGAGTGTACGCCGTGTGCATTGTGAGACATCTGCGCCGCAAGAGCCATGTCGGGAAGGGGAAGGTGGGGGTGGTTATCAGGTCTGTACTGAGAGGAATCCGTATAGCTGAGAGTCATTGGAGATACGTAATCGACAGTAGGGCTAGGTTGCGCATGAAGTTCCGTCGACGACGCTGGGGAATTGGTACATTTCGCCCTGGTGAGCGACAAAAGCTAAGAAATCAGTAACTTACTTGGAGTCGGAAGTCCCATGAAATGTGTGTTACTTTTCTGCCTGTCGGAAGGCACATCTGCGATCGTCCCTCCATGGCCACTCATAAGTTCGAGCTTAAAGAAAAAGCGAAAAGAAAGGATGGTTAGCATAGATGTTATAACTGAGTGGAGCCGAGACCACTTCAAGGGAACGTCATAGACAGAAGAAGAGCAGCGGGATACACAGAAGTGATCGATCGCTTTGTGCACACTGCTGACGTCGACAGCTTCAGTTCTCGCTGCCGCTGCAACGCCGGACCTATCAACAACCATCATCCGCCGATGGCGAAGAGAGTTCCATCAGAACTGTAAGGCCCACGAGGCATTATACCGTCACCACTCCCGAGGTAGGCAAGTCTTCTACTCTACGGAGATGCGTAGCGCCACGGGGGTTCGTGGGATTGGAAGACGTTCTCGAGCAGGTGAAACATTGTCGTAACGAAACTCCAAAGGAGCGGAGCGGAAACCACAATAGCCTGACCGCACATCCAAGCAAAAAAGGCACTAACTGGGGTAGCCTCACAGGACTACACCCGGCGGACCTCGCGAATCCCTGAAAAGTCGAAATTGGTATGAGCTCACCTGTTGTTGGATGATTTGGTTCTGCAACTGCAACTGCTGGAGCTGATTGAGCTGTAGACGTTGCTTCAGCAACTGTTCAGGATTGAACTGCGTCTGCAAAGGGGCTGTGGATTGTCCCCCGCCCTGTATGCCCATCAGGCCTCCTAGGAAATCGAAGTTGAGGGGTATATTCGCGATTCCTTGATTGGAGCCGGCCATAGACGGCTGGGAGGGCGTGGGCATGGCGCTAGGATACATGGCTTGTTGGTAATTCTCGCGTTGCAGATTCTCATCGGGTGTGAAAAGTGAAGCAAAGAAGTCCTTCTGCTGCTGGGCCTGCTCTGAGGAACGCTGTTGGGAGTCCATGGGGGAGAAGCGAAAGTACAACGAACAGACAAAGGTCGCCCAAGGAGGCGAGGAGGGACGTGAAGGAGAGCAAGCGCCGCAATTGATTGTCTTTCGGCTTTTCGGCGCGGTCCAATAAATTTGCGTGCGGAAACCGGCGAAACCCGATAAGATAACTCTGAATCTCATCTTATCTATCAAGCAGATCTCAACCAAGTGCGTACCAGCGCTTCCTGAATTTCGACGCTCTAATGTGCAACATAATGAAATACAACACAAAACCAGCTCCCGCCCCAAATGTAATCAAAAAGAGCTCGAAAAATGAAACCTAATCGACACGACGTTGGGTTTTAGGTATGAGCACCCATATGACAGTCATAGTGCTCATCATAGCAACGACTCTAAAATTTCTATAAGCAAAGAAGCCACACTAAGAAGAAGCAAACTTACAGGGGCTGTAGTGAACCGATTCCGAATTTGGATGCTAGGACACCAGTAATCAAAGGAAGGATGGCAGAGCCGGCTTGCCCAATGCCCGCGATCCATCCAATGGAGCCAGTAAGAAGCCAGCGTGGAAGGACATTCTGAGCATGATTCACGAGAATCGGATACATTGGCCCCATCAGAAGACCGATGAAGGACACGGCAACAGCATTTTCGATCAAAGAAGGAACAGCCCAGACTGTGACTTCCAACCTATCAACCGGCAAATCATGAGACCCTGAGCTAAAGGGGCAGAAATGACAGCGTACCCAATGCAGATTAAGGAGTACACAAATAGGGCGCGCTGTTCTCCGATCTGCGTAGATGGTTAGGGAATGTGGAGATGTGACTGCCAATTGACGCGACTAACCTTTCTGTTCAACCAGATCAGGGCGATACGGCCAAGCGTCAAACCTGTCTACCATTAATTTTTCGGTTAATTTGTCAATGCGAGACGCTTACCACCAAAGAACCCAGATGAGATGTAACCTGCACTAGGTCCACCCTGGCGTTCTCGAATAATGAATGTCACGATCCAACCTTTGTATATCGTCGTTAACATTTAGATAACTGAACGCAAATCAAAAGACCTACCTCCAAGGGTTACTTCTACGCCCACATAAATCAGAGACCACAAGGCCAGGAAATGCACGACCTTGAGGCCCAAAATCTGACGATACTTGCTGGCCTGCTCGGTTCCAACCTCGCCCGCCGCTTCGCCCGCCTCGGCCATGGCCTCTGTGGAACGTTAGCGGATCGGTGTATGAGAGTGGCATATGACCTATACCATCTTGAGTCCTAAGCCGAAATACGGCAGCGAGGACAGCAGCATTCGACACAGCAATCCCGAGAGAAATGAAATAATGATAGGACCAGTGGGACATTTCTGCAAATTGCGTGGCAGCTAGAGGGGCGGCGAAAGCTCCAAATCCTGAATAAATTCAGCCCGGAGCATAAGCAAGAAGTACCAGAGATGCATACCGTACGATCCATGCAGAAAACAGAGTTTAGTGCCCGTGTTTTTTTTCAAACTTCCAACGAATCCATTGGCCCCAGCGTTCTGATGGAGAGTCAGCACAATGGGGTCTAGGGTACGGAAAGAGTCGATTACCTGCAAAGCTATGCCAAAGCCTGCAATGCCGTATGAGATAACCATGACGGGAAAAGGTGGCGCGGGTGCTTGCATGGCGTAAGTTACAATCTGGCAAAGGGACCCTGTTTTCCTTCGTCAGCTTGGAAGGAGTGCTGTGTAGCTCAATAAATAACCTAAAACCATGACCTTCTCACGTGTTACCCGCTGATTGAGAATATGATTGTCGACTAACACACCTTTCCAAATCCAAACTTATCGCTGAGATGTACGTTGGCAGTCGCCCCAGTAACGAAGCCCTGACCGATTTCGTTGAGCACCGACAAAAACATACATTTGTAATCCTTCGCCTCACGACACAGTTTAGAACAAAGATCATTGACACTACAGCGAAGCCCACCTGCAGACAAGTTAGCACCGCTTGGTCAGAGACCTTCAAAAAACTCACGTTATAATGTTTTTGAATGGCTGGAAGAAGGGGTCCGGTACTGCCATCGTTCCAACCTTCCAAGAAAAAGCACCAGCAACATGCGAAGAAGTGAAGGCGCCCAAAGTGTCGGTATCTAGCTCTCTGGGCTGCAGAGGTTTGGTTGAGATTGTCGTCGTCTGCATAATGCAACGATGGGGCAGGAGTCGTGCCAGAGCTCGCGGCCAGTTCCGAGTCGACCTTATCGAGCTCAGGCTCCTCAGGCACATTGTCTGGTATGGTTCTCGAGCGTTCAAGTACATGGGACGCTAGAGCGGGGAGCTCGAATGTATCTGCCCGGTCTTCGAACAACGGCTTCGAAGGACGAGTGAACGCGAGCTCGGATCGACGACGGACACGGGTACTAGGGGCGGTGAGGAAAGATGGAAGATGATACGCGCTAGTGTCCACAGCCGACTCGTCCCCAAGCTCCGAAGTTGAGAGTTTGCTACCCATTGGCGTGCCCGGCCTCATATTCATGACCTCATCGATGTCGGCTTTTTGAGATTCCCCAACATCTTGTTCGAGAGATACACGAAGAGCCTCTCTTGGGGGAGACATGTTGACTGTCAGCGAGGAGTGGGAGGGAGCAGAAGGCGATCTGACTCATTGGCAGCTTTTTATACAGTGGTGAAGCTGCTGATAGTTGTTTTACCTAAGTATGCTGAACGCCTTTAGTAACAAGGGTTGGCGATAATCATGGCCAGGTGCTGGAGAAGTCTCACAGAAAAAAGTCGGCGTTTTGTTCCGGTGAGAGCCAAATTTTCTTCGGTCCGAATGACGGTCCGGTTGGTTTCAGTTTGGGATCTTATAGGATGTTGCACTATCATTCATGCAGATTTTGCCGCCATTGTGGCAGATCCATTGTGTCCGTGTAGAGAAAGATGCTGGGAAAATGTGTAGCTCAAAAATGCCGAAATGCAGGACAGTCAAGTGGCTGAAGTTGGAATGACCTTTGACCCTAGGGTAGGGCTTGATATTTCAGTCAAGCGGCGACATCCTCCAGCTTCAGGTCGACAACTGTCAAGCCTAGAGCCTATAAGCTCCGTATCCAAGTGCACCACACTAAATACTTGAATGAACGTACATCCTCGAGGCGGGCCCGCAAGGTTCAGCTCCTACTATGGACCTAAGCGTCAACTCCTCAGGACCCAACCAGGTCAGGCACCCCCTGCATGGCGTCCCACAAACGTAGCTGCACCTAATGGTAATGTCGCATCCACATCACGGACATATACGGGTCTCGGAAGTAAGATTCTTTTGAGTAACTTACCGATGGACGTGGGAGAGGCGGAGATAGAGGTGAGTAGCAGCTGAATGTGAATATGCACGACGCGGAGGACTGATGATCCATAGGATCTGTTCAAACGAACAGTAGGGCCAATGAAAGACTTGTTCATCGTCTACAACAGTCAGGCAAAGTCAAAGGGGATGTCAATCGTTACTTTTTCACGTCCAGGGGACGCGTCTGTTGCGCGAGCGAAATTCAACAATAAAGTCATCGACGGAAGTGAGCATTGTTTCGTACTTCTTGTATATACCTCCTGCTGATTGAACGAAGGACATCGAATAAAAATTGAGATCATCGCAGACGTTGATGAAATACCATCGGCCCAACCATCATCAACTCCGCCGGCCCCACCAGCCCCGCCATCCCTTTTGACCCGACTTAATTTCAATGTCACCCCCATTCCTACTGGTCCTGCCGCTAGTAAACCAGTAGCTGTCGCTCAACAAAGTCGCAAGATTGCACCGCCTACGTAAGTATGAATAGTGATACTTTTGATTGCATTTGTCTCGTCCTTCAGTCACATCTGATGACTGCTAGCCAACCTAGGGCCCTCCAACCCAAACAGGAACCACTCACAGATTTTCCAACGGGCCCTCGGCGTCGACGTCAAAAGAAAGGCCCAAAACGCGTCAAGAAATCTATCGCGCAGCTGGATCAGGAAATGGAGGACTATCGGGCTGGCGTACTATGACACGCTCGCGTCCGATGCATGACTTTTTCTTTGGCTAGAATAGTAACACATCTAGGGGCATTCTGTGCTGGGCACGTATGGTATATACCATAATTTGAGTCTATTCGCATTGAAAACGATCTTGGCACTGTTGTTGTTAAATATGTGGCACCGGTAAATGAAAAAGATACATAAGCCAAGCCTTAGCGGTATTGATGAGTAACCGATAAATTCTGACATACAGCATTGTGAGCCGTGGCTTCCTTCATCAGTCGAACAAAACCTCACTGCGAAGTGCGGGGACAGCGAGGGACAGCTTAACCCAGTAGTATTCGCGGAGTTTCAATTAAGAGCTTCGTACGTAACACTCCTGACTCACTGTAAGTTAACTCAGGCCATCTTTCCTGGATCCTGAGGCTACCTTCCGAAGCCTCTCATCATGGTCCCTCCACTCTATACCACAGCATCTGGCCTCTTATTCCATGCTGGAAAAATTCTTGTCATCACGGTGGGGTTGCCTGCTCGGGGAAAGACTCACATCTCGAGAGCCTTGGAACGCTATCTTCGCTGGGCTGGAGTCAAGACGCAAGTTATATCTCTAGGGGATTACCGCAGGAAGACCATCGGAGGCGCACAGAAGCTACCGCCTGACTACTTCACTCTTGGTTCGTATTCTGATCGATGGGATAATGCGTTATCAGTCTCAGTTTGTTGTCACGCCGTCAGGAGAGAAGAGCCCGGAGACGGTAGCGCTGAGGGAGCGGGTGCAGGCGGGTTGCGAGCAGATGATCTGGGAGTTCTTCAATGGCGGAGGCCAGGTGGTAATATACGACGCCAATAACGGGACGCAGGCACAACGACAACGACTAGCGGAGAAGTTCAATAAGGATGAAATACATGTTGTCATGTTAGGTAGCATCGCTATTCATTCTGTTGGTATGCCAAAATCTGACACATCCCACGTGCAGAGTCCATGTGTGACGATAATACGATCATCGAGCGTAACATCCGAAGCGTCAAGATCTCCTCTCCAGATGTGTGTACACAGCTCCCATAAATCAATACATTGGCTTAGATCTTCTCCAGTACAAAGGTTGGGATCCAGACAAGGCGGTCAAAGACTATTATGGACGCATCAGGGATCACGAAAAACATTATGAGACAGTCGAAGAACTCACATGGCCTTTCATCCGGATCATCAATGTAAGTACTCTACAAGGACCGGCTAGTGGTGCGGAGGGGGGCCGACGTCTTATGTTGTTCGTAGGTTGGAGAAAAGATAATGGTTAATGTAAGTGTTTAGTAGCTGGAATACCTTTCATTATCGGCTGATCTAATTCCATTCTTAGAACATTCGAGGGTACCTCCAAGTTCGTCCATCGCCTGATCATTATGGCATTCCTCTCATGGGAAGATTTCTTCAGTCCAGAATAGTATTCTTCCTGATGAACATTCATAACAAATACCGAACCATCTACTTCGCACGAGTGAGTTCCGACTCAGTATTTGTCACGATAGCACTGAACCATCCGTTCAGTCGGGCCATTCCCTCATCGAGCATTCCTACAAGGCGGATGCAGATCTGTCACCAGCTGGATGGGAATACGCGGAACGTTTGAAGGATTTTGTTCTCGACCGTCGCGCAAAGTCGCTGGAGCAGAGAGGTATTCATCCGAAGGATAGCCGTCTTGTAGTATGTCCCGTGGTTTCATATTCCCGAATTTGGTTCTCGAATACCGCCCATTGTAGATCTGGACCTCCGCTCGACGCCGCGCGCATCACACCGCGTGGCCTTTCCTTGCCGCTGCGGAACGCAAAGGGCCCGGCGGCGCCCAGCTCAATGTCAAAGTGATTGAAAAACCGCAGATGTCTGAAATCAATCCCGGCGTCTGGGATGGGCTGACACCCGATCAGGCGCGGAAATATTATCCCGAGGAGTGGGAGCGCTTTTCCAAGGACCCATATGCGTTTAGAGCACCGCGTGCTGAGAGCTACCATGATCTCAGTGGTCAGTTGACCTTCATATAGCCTCATCTGTTGCAAGCGCACTGATAGATGGTACTCCCAGTTCGACTGGAACCAACACTCATCGAACTCGAGCGTGAGCAGGAAGATCTCCTGATTATTGGACACGCATCGGTCATCCGCTGTCTCCTCGCCTATCTCATTGGCCTGCCGGCTTCAGAGATACCTGCCATAGAGATTGCTCGCGGCGACCTTCTGGAGGTCGTACCGGCCTCGTACGGCGTGCATAGCCAAGCATATCATTTCTGGGATGGTCATGGAAGGAAGCACGGGAACGAGAATGTGGCATCGACGAGCGGCAGCGAGAACAACTTCTACGAAAACTACGCCGAAGATACGCAAGGCAAGCGAAGAGTTGGGTACGAAGAGCAGAAGTGAAGGCCTCGAGTTCAAGGAAATATGTTACGACATCGACGCTGTTGTATTCTATGTTTGTTGTAGACATGTGTAACGTTAACATCGCAACTCAAACTCTCAGAGCTCATTTGTACTGGCTAGTCGTACAGCCATATCGTCTCGCGCGCGATGCAATGGCTTATAGTATACAGGGGAACCTAATTTCTGTCGTCAGGGCAAGTACACCGCTGTCGGCGGCACAAGGCTATTTCGACTAAGAGTACATTATTACACGTGATTGTGCACGGACTTGAACTTTGTCGCTTCCCTTTCGAAGTGAGTCGTCGTCTTTAGAATCGTCGTCCTTTCCCAAGTCATGTGCGTTGTTCGGTGGCACCAACTCGAACTCGGACTCATCAACCTCTTCAAACACCTTCGAGCTTCCTACGGAGGGGATCAGGAAGTTCAGAGAAAAATATACAAATGCAGAGACGCCAAAGCCAGTGAAAAAAGACATCTGGTAAATGCGAGTCGCGGCGAGAGGAACGTTTCGACCAGCTGTAAATTTCAATTGTTATTAAGTGGAAAACACCACGAATGCCGTTCAGCATCTTACTGGCTCCAGAAAATCCGACCACGTTGATTAATATACCCGCAATATATGCGACGTAGGCACTGTCCAGCAAAGGTCACTATAAGCTGATTGGTGCAATGCGCACTGTTCACTTACCGGAAGTTGACACCAGCAGTATACCAGTACCAACCGTCTTTGCGACTGCTGTAAAGGTCAGATACACGGTAGTGTCCACGTCGAATGAGATAGTATTCCGTTATCTAGAAATGAATACCGGATCAGCCGTGCTGTCAAGCATAGGGGCGGAGAACGTACCATGACCCCTGCAATAGAGCTGAGGAACACAGAGTAGGCGGAAAGATACGAAGTGAAGTTGTTGCTGCTTTTGAGCAAATTCCATGGCAGCATACATAGGCCAACAATTGCAGCAATGTATCCGCCACGACGGATGTTCTAATAAGAGATGATGAGTTGAAGCGTGGCGGCTGATACGTGAACAAGAACCCATACGATGAAGCGAGGAAATAAGGCAGTGAGATCACACCCAGCAGATATAGAATTGGCTGAGATATTTGTCCTGGCCGCTGTATCAGCACCGTGCACCCAAGGTTTGGCGATAGACTGTTTCATTTACCCTAGCTGAGCGATGATAAAGGCCGCAGCGATGAACCAAACCTATTACATGGATCAAAGTTGAGTTTGATAGCGTATATATATTAAACAGTGCCTTACACCAAATCGAGTCGCGTGTGATGGGCTGCCATCCAAGAATCTATCGAGCAAGTCGATCGGAGACCAGATGGTTTCTCCGTAAATGACCTGAGAAGAGGAGCTGACGATGATCCCTATGAAGCTGACGAGCGAGAACGTCAAGGGGATCGAGATAAATTGAGGGAGGCCAGCGGCGGACGGGTATTTGGCACGCGAGGCAAAGTCAGGTGCATTCCTATGATGCCGCTGAATCAAAATTCAGCGAGAACAGAGAGCTTAAACGTTACAGACGTGACCAGAGTTGCCATATTGCTGATGCAAGACATAAGGCTGCTGACCATAGCCCATCCAAGATCACTACCGTGAATAGTCGAGGGCTGGTGGATGATGGGCCCTACTCCTTTAGCTCGAATGATGCACCAAATGAAGAAGGTGATTCCGGCAGTGGGCGCTACGATTGCCTTGACTGTGAACAAATGACGGCTAGTCCGAGGATCACAGCAGGAATGTTAGTGGCGAGCTTAAATCGATTCGTAAGATGATCACATTTTATCAAGGGGGAACCAGATGGCAGGCAGCGAGACGAGCCAGAAAAGGAAAAAGCACGTAAAATCCCGGGTGTTCGTGCCGGAGGACGCAGGCATCGAATTGTCTGCATGAAGTCAGCGTGCAGTGCTTCTTGGATAGAGTCAACGCACGTACGGATATTCTGGACACTAGGCCAGATCGCGCGCAGCATCACTTTCATGCAAGTACCACCGATGCTGGCCTGAACACCATACCAGATGCTACCAAAAGATTGGCGACTTGAACGGTAGCAGATACACGCTGCAACTCACCAGGCCATGACTGCTCGATTGAAAACACACCACATACTGCCCCAGATTCCGAAGCTCGTCCTAGCAACCACGGGAAAAGTGACGTGAAAAATAGCGCCCGGCCGTGCGTTTGCCACAAGGAAAGGAGCTACAAAGCCGTATCCAATCCAAACACAGATCCATGCTTGCCACCAGGAAAGGCCGAGTTCGATCATCGAAGAGACAATCATCCATCTATGGAAACCGAATATGTCAGATGATAAATCGACAAGAGCATTAATGGCCGCAGACGTGTTAACATTGAAGCTGTCCGCAATCCAGCTAGTTAAGACGACATTAAAATATGTATCGTGCGGGTACGAGTTTGAAGGGAGACAAACAACGCAATGAAATTCGATGTTCTCCAAGTTTGCTTTTCTGGTTGTACCGGAAGCAGATCCTCGCTCTATGAATGCATTGAACTATCGTCCTCCTTGACTGATGTCACAGGAACTCTCACCGTTAGAAATGACTGAGACCACGAGGACTGGTCGCCCTCGTGAGGCACCTCAACTTGCTTGACGAGCTTTTTCACGAACGCCCTGGACATGGCGGTAAGCAAGCAAAGAAGAAAGACGCTCGTGGTGTCAACACTGGAGGCTCCATGATAAATAGTACGGCAGTCACAACAGGTCGATAGGCTGGCGGACCGCTCGACATCAGCGATAAGATAGCTAAAATATGCTTACGCAACCGCCTATCTTTGCAATGGAAGCCGTTGAATGATTGGTAGATCGGAAAGCATGACGAGAAGCGGAAGAACGACTAAGTGTCACATTCGGTGTGGATGCAGGTGCTAGCGAGATACACATGCGGTGGAGTACTAGTCCAATGACAAGCCTATGTGGATTGTGACATGTGAGGACATAGCACGAGGAAACAGGTGGGAGCAATGCAGCGGTAAGAGGGGGAGATTCGGGGAGGAAGACAGACAAGGTTAGATACAATTATAAACAGTGAATGGTATGCAGAGATGCAGACGATGATGAAGGTGGTGTGCGGCGTGGTTCCGTTGATCAGGGAAGCGCGTGGTGAACAGTAGATGGGGTAACGTGCAGAGGCCTTCTGGGCATGGCGAGATGGAATTGGCAAGGGTTAGGAAAAGAGACGAGAAATAAAAGTGTGGCACGTAAGATGTCTTGGTATCATCGAATTAGTCTTGTAGTGTGTGAAAAATCATATCATTATGTCGGCTTGAATTCGATGTCGCCAAACATGTCGACGCTACCAGCGCGAGACCTGGCAAAGCGTTTTGAAGAGGGAGAGGGAGAACTAAAAGTGAAATTGGCATAGATGCTTCTCCGTTCTGGAGTTGTCATGACCTGATGAGCTTTGGACGAAGACTTTTTAGGCGAGATGGTAGCGGCGCAAGGTTTTGTGCGCAACGACGTCGCCTCAACAATCTTGTCGTCAGACTGAAGGAAAACAATCAGACATGGTGGCGACGACGAGCAACGTCACTTACCTTGATGGCCGACACTCCCGATGCACCAGACAGAGCCACTTCGTCGTAAGCTTTCGATACATCCGCCAAGGGCGAAACGGTAAGGTCGTAACATTTTGCGTCTATACTCGCCTGATTAACCGTCTCTCCTTCTACATCAGCCTTCTGTTCTTCGACAGCCTCGACCTCCTCCTCTTCGTCGACCTTGGGCATCTCTGCCACTCTACGCTTTGAGCTGGTCGCTGATGCATTCTTCCTGGAGGAGACCTTGCCATCCTTCCTGCTCGAAGCCGACTTGGTCTTGGCGGTTGCGGACGAGACCTTGCGCTTCTTCGCCTCCGGTTTGGATTCTGGGTCTCTGAACTCCTTCTGTTTTTTTGAAGTCGGGGGCACAAAAAGCTTAGTGGCGAGGACGCTGTTCTTGCGCTTTTTTGTCTGCGCGTCCGATGCATAAGTAGTGCGAAGGCCAGTCACAGGATGCAAGTTCTCCTTCTCGGAAGTGGTGAGAGATGTGGGAACGACATTGGTGGATGGAGTGTCGGCGGGAGAAAGAACGTCTACGGATGCTTTCTTAGGCTTCGTAGAAGACTCTGAGGGCTCGTCTCTAAAAACGGTGAAACTGCGAGTGACAGCCATGGCGGTGTTCGGGGTAGTTCGTGAAAAGAAGTAGAGGAAGAATGCTTGTAGAAGAGTAAGGTGAAGATAGATGGACTGAAACAGATGGATGATGTGTGAGGACCCGACGATGCGACCGTCAAGGACGTATCTCGAGATGGGGATGGCTGTGGGACACGACAAGGACGCGAGGTCTTCAAGTAAGTTACTTAAACCAACTCGTGGCCTTTGGAACTCCGCACGCCCTGGTCGTTATGTCAGCGCCCACGGAGACGCAACGCGACGCGAATGGCGCGTCGGCATCACGTGGATAGATGAGTCGTGTCCAGTGCCACCACTCGTGGGAACTTCAAGGAGCGACATTTCTCCAACCTGCCTCTGAAATTCTGATTTACGCCATAGGGTAGCCAAGCGATCCGTGAGCTAGTTCTCGTCCTCTCCAAGTTTGTCAGTGACTCCCTGTCGTTGACCCTAATGTATGAAGTCGTAATCTCTCCCAACATGTGGGTTCAAGAACAACATGGCTTCCTATGTAACTTATGATGTGCAGGCGTTGTCACACAAACGTACACTTTTGATGTCTCATATGAAGGCTTCGATTGGTCTTGACACCGTCCTCTTCTGAATGCGCGAGTATGACATGTCGAGACGTGATTTGTGAGCAACCTTCCTCCTTTAGCATATCGGGGGCATCTGACTGTCAGCCTTTTTCAGCGATGTGCTACTCTGCCGGAGTGCCGCTTGGTGCCGCCTGCTACCGCAGGTGGCCAGGATTTCCCGACCGCGGTCGCAACGGTCTAGAGCGAGTTATAACACGATCTGGGATCTTATCCTGGCATTGCGAGCTCCGTTGACAGTACATATCCGCAGTGCTCTACCCCCTATTGATTTTTTAACTCAGATTTGTGATCAGATTTGCTGAGCCATCGACAGGACACAATCTAGAGGCATGGAACATCTTTGCGCAGAATCTTATTCGAAGAATTGTGCTCAACATGCTGAGCGCCTCAAGCGGCTGGCAAGTGACCCCCAAGCGTTAAGCTTCGACTTCGGCGCCGCCGGTTCTCGATTCCTTCCCAGTATGGCAAGTGATCTCCATGTTCCGACAACTCAGTGCCTGCGACTTAATAAACTTGGAACACCCGCGTCGGATGCAACCATCCTCTGGGTTCATGCTGCGATCTCAGGATCCCACCCGAACGCAATAACACCAAATTCTATGCACAGTTATTGCTTATTACCAACCCATCCATTCTCGGCATCGAAAATCGCGAAGCCGAGCACCTCCTAGTGAATCAGAGCGGGTGCGGATGCGGAAGCCTGACAAGTCAATTCAATGGGTCTACAGGCGCCAACACTGCGTTCGATCGGGCTCGCAGGATAGTGGGCGACATATCACTTTTGGTATCTCAAAACGTGTTGGACTCATGTTATACACGCCGTAACGGACCCATCATCACGTTCATTCGACGTAAAAGTCGCTGCCTCCTTTCTGTTTTTCCTTCGCCCTCTCGACCCCTTGGGATCCTCCGCCACCTCCCTCCACGTCAACCACTTCCCCTATGGCGACGAACACACCACCCCGTCCCCCCGCCCTTGGGTCCTTCATCGATAACGGCTCTCTCGAGCTCATCTCTGTTCTTGGCTACGGTGGCTACGGAATCGTCTACCGTGCACTAGACACGACTTCCGGCGCTGGACAACGTACCTACGCTGTCAAATGCCTCTTCCACTCACAGTCCCGCTCCCACCGACAAAGGCGCCTTCAGATGCAGGAGATCGCTCTTCACCAACTTGCCTCTCTCCATCCTCACGTCGTCAGCCTCCATCGAGTGATTGAGGAGGATGGATGTACCTTCATCGTGATGGACTACTGCCCTGATGGTGACCTGTTTGCCCAGATCCTGCATAAGCGTCGATACCTTGGTCACGATGGCCTTATCAAGCACGTCTTTCTGCAGATTCTGGATGCCGTTGAATATTGTCACTCGCTTGGCATTTACCATCGCGATTTGAAGCCAGAGAATGTCCTCTGCTTCAACGGTGGTTTACGCCTGGCTATCACTGACTTTGGTCTGGCCACGACAGAGAAAATCAGCGAGGAGTTCCGCACTGGCAGCGTGTATCACATGAGTCCCGGTACGTCATGGACTTCTCTACCCTCCGTTATGACACTTATCTCGTTCTTAGAATGTCAGGGCGGTATATTCGCACCGTCTGGGACGTACTCACCACCCTTCAATGACGTCTGGTCGCTCGGTATCATTCTTCTCAATCTCATTACCGGCAGAAACCCATGGAAATCAGCCTCCCCGTCTGATCCAACCTTCCACGCTTACCTCCAGGAGCCAGCGAACTTCCTTCCAAGTGTACTCCCCATCTCCGCCGAAGTGAATGAAATCCTGCTTCGCACCCTTGACGTAGACTGGCGGACTCGAATTACGATCGCTGAGTTGCGATTTGCTATCAAGGGCGTCAACAGCTTCTACGCAGAAGACGCTGTGTTCGAGGGGAGCATGGCTCGGTGCTCTTGGGAAGTTGGCATCGATATCACGGGCAGCTCGACTCCTGAAGACGAGCCTGCCGAACTACCGAAGAAAGAGCTCAAGTCGGTGTGGAGTCAGGAGTCTGGATCGCAGATGGTCTTTGCTGCCCATTCGGAGACCGATAAGTCGTGGACGGAGGAACCTTCGTCGGCTACCTGGGGTGCAGATTCTGCTCTACGTTCGCGTTCTCCATCCCCCTCCCCTCCCGAGCTCTCGACGAGCTACGAACTTTACGACGACAGGCGGACCCCCTCATCGTCCTCCTCCATGTACTCACCAGCGCTCTCAGAGCCGTCGCTTTCTAATCGCTACGACGACAGCGTCAATTATAACGACCCCTCTGGCGCCTTTCAATCGCGCGTCGTCGCCGTTGACTCGTCGACTCAAGCGTACGAGCGAAGCGTCTTCATGCGCTCTGCCGATTCATCGGCTATGCATACCGCACTCGAAAGCCTCGGACCCGGCTCATCCCCTATATTTGTTTCCATGTCGAAACCGTCTTATACCGACACCTGCCCTTCAGCCATTGACGTTGGGATGAGCTCTATGGGTGACTACGAGCAGGTGCACGACTCGATGAGCTGGACACAGGCTTCGTACGAGGTCCCTCCCCGATCCGATGCTCTCGAGCTTGACGCCCCGACTCAGCAAGCGACGGAAAACCATGCGCAGACAGAGGAGACAGGCTGGCGAGATTTCTGCTCGTCACCGGTGCTTCCCTCGCAGCCGCAGGGCCCTCTCGCTGCCTCATATCCCATGGTTTCCTTGGTGTCCAGTCCGGCGACGACGGCGTCACACTTTACGCCTACGCAAGTTTCGACTCTGCGCGAGCGATCGAAGCCTCGTTCCTCCAGCTTCTTCAATCCCATCAAACTCGCATTCCCTCGCCCGGACCCTTCACCCCTTCGATCCGCACAGAAATCTACCACAAGCTTACCCCAGCGGAACCCTTCACCGCTACCTCGACCTCGACATGATCACGAAGAAGGGACAGACAAGGAAGACGGAACAGTTGTGGACCACACTCGGAGGCGCCGACGACGACCGCTGCGGACCGCTCGAGACTGGCTATTCTCGGGTCGCTTCTTCGCGGTTGCCGGGACGGCGTAGGAGACTGGATCTCATCTTCTAGCATTTTGAAGCTATTTATCCTCTTCAGTTTTTTTTCGCTGGTTCTCACTGCTGTATCATCAAACTTCATCGTCATCTCCACATTTTCTTCTGACAAGGACAATCCCCCACCCCTGCACATCATTTGTTTAGCATTGACTACATTGACTATATTCATATTGCTATGCAACCAACAGGGCATCTCTAGAGTTTCCCGTATGTTATCGTGCTCGGTGTACATGTACTCTATGTAACAGGTCTAAAAATTGGCATGTATTCACACTGCACATTCACCGCATCTCATGTCTCTTTTCCTTCGTGGGTATGCAATTGTTAAGGATGAGACCGGCAGCTCATCATCACACTTTGAACGTGAACGGCAAACTGCCAAGTGCTGAGCAGAGGAAATAAAGTAATTTACGATATCACCACGTTCGAAGGCTGACCAGTTTCCTCCCTCGTTCCCGCTCGATCTCTTGCTTTCCCCTCACGCCTGAACCCTTGTCCAACTTGCGGCCCCTGCCTCCAATCCCGTTTCCCATTGATAATGGCGCATTCCCGGGATGCAGCATTCTGAACAGCAGCTTGATGACATTCAGCGGATTGCGGCTCCCCCACACCTTCGCGCTGATATCCTTGATGCCTGCGGCCTTGAGGACCTGGTGAATGTTGGGATTGCAGTGCAGGCCGAAACCGACGGGACGCGGCCGCAGGATGACGCGCGTCGCGCCCAGCTTGCTTTCCATGTCCGTCCAGATCGTGCGGTCTTCATAGCGGTCGACGTAGTCCATGGTGCGGACCGCCTGCAGGAACGCCTTGTCTATCGCGCGCGCGACCTCGTCGTCCTTGCCCTCCCCATATCCGACGAGTCCGTTCCCGTTTCCGACAACAACGAGGGAGTACATCCTGTGGATTTTGCCCTTACCCGTCTGCTGTGTGATGCGCCGCGTGAAGAGCGGGAATGTGTGCAGGGCGGAGAGCTCTTTTGGGGTGAGCGGCAGGTGGGCGTATGGCGAGTACTCGTCGTCCTCCTTGGCCGAGAACTCTGACTCTTCGCCCTCCTCCTTCGTGACGTCCTCTATCGGTTCCTCGTAGTTCTCCGGGAACATTTCTCGGTCGGCGAGGAACATGGACGGGTCGTTCCGGACGACGACTTTTGAGCGGTGCTTGAACCGCTTAGTCCGGGGAAACTCTTGCGTATGCTTCAGGTCAAGAAGAGGTTCTGGCCGCATTAAATCGGGGAATGGTGATTCGGAAGGGAACCTTCCTGACGGGGAGGTGAGAGCATCGGCGGCGTGTTCTTCGTCGGGCGGGGGCTGCTGCGTTTTCACGTCGGAAGAATTAAAGCGCTTTGACAGAACGAGCTGCGCCGTCGAGGGCTCTGTAAACTGGGCGCGCGGACGATGGGCATGGCGCGAGGAGGAGGCGACGAGGCGTGCCAGCCTGTTCATGGTTGAGTGCAGCCGTGTCAAGATTTACTTTGAATTATCCGAAATTGGAACCCTATTTGTCCGTGTTTGGATCCGTCGGCTGACCGAACCTGGCCGACGACTCGTCCTCGTCTCTTCGTATTCGCCTCTTCATGTCGGATCATGCTAACGATGGAATTCCAGACTTCCTGTCGACATCGGGGGACATGACAGCGAACCTCTTCGGGGTCATCGACAGAGACAAGTGAGCTTGCGATCTAACTACATTGTCCTTGGCGGACTGACCGTATCTGTGAGGAAGTGTTCACGGGCTGAATCTCACAGTTCCAGAGGCCGCGAAAGACCTCATTAAACCTTGGAGTGAACGCGAAAGCACTGAGACATTCGCAGACTCGAATGTGGACGACCAGGTCAGAGATACCTGCGCGTTGTGAGCCTGTTTACAAACAGGCGGCCGTGCTCATAGATGATCGTGCATATACCCTTCTCTGAGAATGTTCGGGTGCGATCGTTATTCCTGAAGCTAGGTATGCAGCACTCTGCGATGACCTTAAATTCACCGTGCAATAACACGATTTCTCAAGGGAGAGGCGAAGTCGCTCCTCGTCAACTTCGCATATATGCGAACCACCCCAATATCATAGATTTCTCCGAGGCTGAAGAGAACAAACCGTTATTGAATATCAGCCTGCTAGAGGGAGAGACTACCGTCATCGAGTATCCGCTGCGTGTTGCGGCATTCTCAAGCATCAATTCGCTTTCTCTCTTCTTTGTAAGTGACGCACTCTCTATGATGTTCGACATCGTTGATGTGCGCCTTTTACAACTTTCAGGGCGATTCGGTGGGAGGAAACGCCTCCAGGATATATTACATTGGATTCAAGGGGGAACTCCGAACCTCACGAAGGTCGGGGACGAGCAAGCTTGTGATACCAGCTGCAACCGGGGCTGACGCGTCGTTGACCGATCGCGTATCGGAGAGAGCCGCACAACCGCAACCTACCGCAAAGTAGGACAGTGCTACACTACGTCGAACACACCAGGTAGAAGACCTGCATACCCCTGTATCGATCCTATTGTATTCTGTCATTCATCTCAATAGATTCTTGGTGAGTCTTGGCTCCAAGCTCTCGCTGGCCTCAGCTGGCCCGAGGCTCGGTAATCGAGTCGAGAAAATATTGTTGCGCCTCCGTATATCATGACCGTGCACCATGATCGATTGACAACTCTGTCGGATGTATTCTTGATCCTTTCTTCACTCGAAGCTTGAGATCGAGCCGTAGAAGTGAATGCCCGACTCCTAACCCTAGATACGGGGTTTGCAGTGAACTTTTACATAATGCATAGTTAGAAGCGTGGGAAGACGACGTGTCGCATCATCGGGACTTGGACTCGAGCTGGGAACGCGAAACAACTCAGTCACCCTCCTTGTCCTCGTACTTTTCATGGCCGACCCTTCGCAGCAACTACCCCCTGGATGGGCCGCAGAATGGTTGGTTCTCCGTTTGTCGAAACTCTGTTGAAATTCACACTCTTTCTGCAGGGACGCCAATAACCAGAGATATGTGTTCATTGGTACGGACTAGACTTGCCCCACTCTTTGCATGTGAAGCCGAAATAGAATCCTCTCTCAGAAACCGCCACCGGGCGCGCCCAGTGGGAACCTCCATCTGCTGGATCACCCACCGTTTCTCCTCCGCCCTCCAAGTCCCCTCCACTGGCGCAACATCATGCCAAACGTCGCCAGTATGCAGCGGGTCAAACTCAAGTATACTATGGCGCCGGCGATACCCTTGCTCCCACTCAGTACGGAGCTGGAGTCGGAGGACAGCAGCCCATGGGCGGGCAACTCTTTACTCCGGGGCTCGCCGCGGAACAGCAGTTCGCGACCCAGCAGCAGCAACAGCAGCAGCAAGCTCCCGCTGGAGGATACTACGGCCAGGCGGCTGAACCAGAGTACATCAATGCTCCGGGATATGGTCAGCAGCCTGCGGTAGGGTATGGTCAACCTGGTGCACCCGTTCAACCCCCCGTTGGTGTGTTAGCGGACCAGTTCGGGCAGATGGGCATTGGCGGACAGAAGCCTTTCCAGATCTACACCGCGAACCTGCTGACGTCCCCTCCCGATCCTCGTGAACTCAGCCGTCCGCCGCCAGAAATCCGACTCCCTCCTGGCGCCTCTCTATCGCCCTCTCCGACTGCGAATGCGCCATACCAGTATCAGCGTAGCACGCTCAATGCGATTCCTAACTCGGCATCCTTACTTGGAAAGAGCAAAATTCCTCTGGGGCTAGTGATCACGCCGTATAGGTCGCTAAAGGAGGGGGAAGAGCCTGTGCCGGTCGTAACAGACACTGTCATCGCACGGTGCAGACGGTGCAGAACATACATCAATCCTTATGTTCAGTTCATTGATGGTGGCAATCGGTGAGTGCAGCAGGGTTTCGAGTGCCTCCGTACATTGAAAATGCGCCGCTGGCAGCTGGCGATGCTGCATGTGTTCGATGTCCAATGAAGTTCCTCAACTGTTTGATTGGGACCAGGCACGGAATCAGCCTGGGGACCGTTGGGCTCGCGCGGAGCTCAACCACTCTGTAGTCGAGTTCGTCGCGCCAACCGAATACATGGTCCGCCCACCGCAGCCCGCGGTCTACGTGTTCTTGATCGACGTCAGTCATACTGCCGTGCAAACCGGTATGGTCGCTACTGCCACCAGGACAATCCTCGAGAACTTGGATCGCTTGCCGAACGAGGACTCGCGTACAAAGGTCGCCATTATCGCCTTCGACACCTCCTTGTATTTCTTCTCGATGCCCGTGCGTGTACTTGTGATCGAACCCGCCGTCATACATCCTGACAGATGGCATATAGGCCGGAACGACAGACTCCAACATGCTCGTCGTTTCTGACATTGATGATGTATTCTTGCCGAAGCCCACTGACATCCTCGTGAACCTCTCCGAGGCTAGGGCTTCGCTAGATGCGCTCCTTGGCAGGCTCAACGACATGTTCCAGGATAACCATGTCATTGGTAGCGCTTTAGGCCCAGCCTTGCAGGCTGGGTTCAAGCTGATGGTGCGTTGCGACTAGGCTTATGGTCTACTAGGATTCCAAACATAATTTCATACCAGAACCCTATCGGTGGCAAAATCGTTGTCCTGTCTTCCAGTTTACCGAGCTTGGGAGCTGGTGCGCTGAAAAATAGAGAAGACCCCAAAATCCTGGGCACTTCGAAGGTCCGTATTTTCGTTTGAATCGAAGTACTGAATTGTATTCAATGGCCATGCAGGAGTCGGGTCTCTTACAAGCCGCGTCTCCCTTCTACAAGACCTTCGCCATCGAGTGTTCTCGGGCGCAAGTCTCGGTTGATATGTTCCTGTTCAGCTCTGCGTACCAGGACGTGGCGACATTGGGTACGACACTCACACTTCTGGCTTGCTCCCTGCTCCCACTCACAGCATTTATCAGCCTGTCTCCCCCACTACACTTCTGGCCAGACATACTTTTACCCAGCTTTCAACGCCGCACGCTCAGAGGACGCCGTGAAGTTCGCACACGAGTTCGGTGAGGTGATCGCGATGCCCATTATGCTGGAAGCTGTCATGCGTGTCCGCGCATCCCGCGGTCTCCGCATGGCATCTTTCCACGGAAACTTCTTCGTGCGCTCGACCGACTTGCTCGCGATGCCCGCTGTACCCCAAGACCAGTCGTACGCCATCGAAGTCCAGCTGGAAGAGACGCTCACCGCTCCTTTCGTGGTCTTCCAGACAGCTGTCTTGCACACCACTTGCTATGGTATGGTTACAATGATAGATTATTTTCTATACTTGTCATTGACATGTCCTCTTCTATAGGCGAACGTCGTATCCGCGTCCTCACGCTCGCTCTGCCGACGTCTTCGAATCTGTCGGAAATTTACGCATCTGCAGATCAAGTGGCCATTGCCACGCTGCTTGCGAACAAGGCGGTCGAGCGGTCGATTACGCACAAGCTCGAAGACGCCAGGGATGCCGTGTTTGCCAAGCTGGTTGAGATCCTGCAGTCGTATAAGACGAGCATGACGTCAGCCGGTTCAGGTGCGAGCGCACAGTTGGCCATCAGTGAAAACATGAAGATGTTGCCGGTGCTCGTGCTCGGGTTGTTGAAGAACGTGAGCCTTCATTGACTGTCTGCGCAGCTCTAGCAGAACTCATTCTTAAATAATAACGTATAGGTGGGCGTACGGCAAAGCGCTCAGATCCCTCCAGACTTGAGGGCTTACTCCCAGGCGCTACTGACGTCGTTACCTTCCGAACTGTTGATCCCCTACATTCACCCCATGTTCTACTCCTTGCACAACATGCCTCCGGAGGTGAGCGAATTGTTAATGATTCTGGTTTGAGCGCTCACATTCACCCCCCAAAACAAGGCTGGAACAGTGGGTGAAAATGGCGTGATTCTACCACCGCCACTCCCTCTTACCTCCGAGAGGCTGGAGAGACACGGATTATTCCTGATCGAAGATGGACAAACCATCTTCCTCTGGGTGGGACGTGATGCTGTGCCACAGCTCATCGCCGACGTCTTCAATCTACCAAGCTATGAAGTGCTGCGTGGCGGCAAGGTAAAACCCTATGATTCACTACGGTCGATGGAGTATGTCTGACGCTTGCCAATTCACAGATAACCCTTCCACTGCTAGATAATCCCTTCTCGCAGCGCGTGAATGCAGTGATCCAAAAGACGCGCGAGATGCGCCGGGGTGTTTATCATCCCCATCTGTATGTTGTCAAGGAGGATGGCGAGCCTCCGCTCCGTCTCTGGGCGCTTAGTGCGCTCATCCAAGACCGGGCAGACGTGTTGCCTAGCTATCAGCAGTTTATCGGCCAACTGAAAGACAAGGTAAGCGCGTGTCCTTCTGTTTCGCTTTGTGAACGGGTATCTGATTTGGGCATGTGCTGTCCAGGTCAACGGCTCAGGGAGCTATTAATTCGAACGATGTGGACTAAAGGATTGGCTGTATATGTTTCGTTTTTGTTTCCTTGTTGTTCGTTTGTGTTCTTTTGTGCGTTCGGAAACGATACATATACGTTTACTATCCTTCTAGATGATGAAACAAATTTTCTCTTGGTGGGTCTACACGTAGAGAGCCAAATGCGAGAGCTTCCATCAAGGTGACTACACAGTTGGCGGGGGTGAAAAAAGCGGCTCCAAATAGGGTCTGCGTGTATGAAAACTAGCAGCAGATCGCGAAGGAAACTGGACAACATACATACAAGCTAGGGCTAGTTTGCATCAATACGTAGGTATAATCCAAGAATCTGAGCATACATAGTCAGTCAACGCCGCCTCGAACTTCTCGTCTTGCCCGGCGTCGCCGTAGTCGAAGCCGCCTTCCTTGTCCTGCCGCCCGTCCCGGTACTTAGTTTCTGCGGCGACATGGGCTCGGGCGAGCTGGATGCAACACTCAGCCGTGAGCTTCGCCGGACGGGCCGGACCTCCGCGTCGTCCTCTCCGTCTACCGAGCTCGTGCTCGGACGCGTCGCGCGGCTGCGGCGCAGGGGTCGCTTGGGCAGCGGGGCGATCTCGTCGTCCTCGCCATCATTGTCGTTGTCGTTGTCGTGCCCGTGTCGCTGACCGAGGCGATCGTCCTCGTCATCCCCCATAGCCGTGAATGCGCCGGGCAGGCTGCGCTTCAGCGTGGGATCGCGAGTGGTGCGTTTGCCTGGCGTCTTGCGCACGCGCACTGGTATCCGCGTTTTCGCAGGCGGCGGTGGCGACGGAGTCCTGACCCGAGTCTGACGCACGGACACGGGTTCGTTGTCGGCGTAGTCATCGTGGTCGCTGTCGTGGAATGCGCCGGGTGGGAGGCGCTCGAAAGACGGTTGTTGGTTCCTGCTGTGTTGAGCGCTGGGACCCGCGGCGAAGACCGACTGCGAGAACTCGCCGCGCACGGCGGAGGGCTCAGCGTCGGTGTCGTCCGCGTCGGGCCCGGTGCCGGTGCCGGTGATGTCGAGCGCGAGGTCGACGTCGCCAGTGTCGTCGGTGTTCATGCTCGCGTCATCGTGTGAGTTGTATGCTGTGGGAGTGGGCGCGTCCACGCGCATCGCGTCGTCCTCTTCGGTGGCAAACTGGAACGTCGGATGAGTGGGTTTGGGTTTGGGCGGCAAGGGTGGGTTGTAAAACGCGTTAGGCGCCTGGTTCGCAGGAAGCTTGGAGCGGAATAAGGGGGGCACGGCCACACCGTTAGAGGGGGCAGAGCCATTCGACGTGAACCGAACTCCGGCATTCGGTTGGGGTTTGCTAGATACGGGAAGTATGGGGAGTTGGATATGACTGCTCGACGGGGCAGAAGTGTTGCCGGGAGAGGGTGGAGCGAATAGATTGCGGCCCGAAACGGCAAAACGGTCGGGTGATGCACCGTTGAGGCTCCTGCGTGGCCCGTTCGGAGCATGGAATCGTGGGGCGCCAGCCGCTGGCCGACCAAGCGTGAATGGCTTCGAGCCAGACGCGGCAGAAGCGGGTTGCGCATTCGGTGTGGAAACTTCCTCCCAGGACATGCTAAGATTCACGCCTACTCCGTTCATTTTGGACTTTTCTGGAGCGATGGTAGCATGTGTGAGCCTAGTGATTTTAGCCTTGTTGTGCCCCTGCGCAGCCAGCTCCTCCTCGATTTGCTGGCGCTCGACGGAAGGCATCACTGCCAAGAGTTCATCCATGATCTTTCTGCGCTCTGCTGCAGCTTTGGCAGACGCGCGCGTCCCGCTGCCAAATTCGCGGTCAAGTTTGATAGCTTTGGCGTAGTGGCCGGAGTGGATGAGGCGCACGCATGCGAGCTGTTGAAGAGCAGGGATGGAGGCTGAGGGGACTTCAGAAGGGGGATCGAGAGCGTAAGCGTGTAAGAGGGACTGCTCGAAGAGGGAGAAGGGGAACGCCAGGAGGTGAACGAGAGGTTCCTCTTTGGGTGTTGCTAGAAGTGGTAGTGGGAGTGAGGCAGATAGAAACAATTGAAGATTCAAAAGACATACGAGAGAGCGCCCAACTCAGGATCTTGCGGATCAAACGTGTCCGCGTCCCGTTGCTCTCGGGGAATGTCCGCTGAAAGTGCCACGCCTCCATGATACTATTTTGCGCCAGTGCCACAACATATATGTCGAGGTCGTCTGGCTCAGTGAGGAGAGGCTTCACGGTTCGTATATATTTTACTATAAGACGCGCAGAGTCTTCGTCGAAAGAGATGGCTTTGAGAATTTTGGAGGTGTAGTCGCGATTGAGACGGACATCAGCAAGTAGTGAGATCGCATACTATAGTGCACAGGGTCCGAAAACGCATGAGAGAGCATGTGAGGAGCATGAAGGGGAAGTCGGACGCACCTCAACATTGATGCCTGTGTCCAGATGCCAAAACGCGTCCGAGAGCGCGGAAAACTGCGGCGGTATGCATCGCGTCTCTTTGAACGACGCCGCCCTATCGTCCTGATGCCACTTGAGCAAGAAGTATATCAAACAGTCCTTCTTCAGTCCGTCATACTTCGATTGCTCGATGGCGGCCAAGAGACGCTGTAGGGATGCAACGTCCGTGGGTGGCCAGAGCGCGCTTGGCTGGCGCATCTCTCCCGATAACAGAAGGATGTCAAAGATGAGAAGATCTGACATATCTGCTCTTCGGTTTTTGATGTCCTCAACGCGACGGTCATTCCATGGAAATCCCTCTGGCGAAAGGTCAAAGAGCTGTGTAAGGTCCTCGGATTCTGGTATGGGGGTCTGAAAGTATATTGAGAGTTGTTAGATAAAATAGCTGATTGAACGAAGAAATGCGTACGCACAACGTCCATGACGGGGAATGGAAGAAAGCTGGAGGCTTTTGTTCGAGCAGAACGCGACCAACAACGCGGACAGGAGAAACAGCTCACGTGCCACACTCGCTTGCCTTCCTTTCCCAGCCGCGGCAAGATCATCCGCACTTCACACATCGACTTTAAAAGAGCGCTATGTTATAGGTTTTGCTTTTCGTACTTGGCTTTCCACCATGAGCAAGGACGGCGACTCTGTCGCTCCTTTATCTTCCAAACGCTCTCTTGGAACTGTCAACGGCAAAAATATCGATGATATCGACCTTTCTGAGAAGGCCTTGAACCCAGTCTCCTCAATGACATTGACTGCTAACATCCCTGCCATTGATGCCTCTGATGTAGAGGACAAAAGCGTATCTTTGCCTGCCTCGAAGGGCGTCAGGCTCAGAGCCAACATACAGTTAGTGGCCCTCTGCTTTTCGGTGTTTCTCCTAGGGTGGAATGACGGCCCGACGGGGCCGCTGCTACCAAGGTTCCAGTCCTTTTACCACGTACGCATGTGCTGAACACACTATAGTTCCATCCCTGACGGCGCTCTCGACATAGGTCAACTATACGGTCGTCTCCCTTATCTTCATATCGAACTGTATCGTGTGTGATTTCATCGTTTCGGTGACCATCGATCATAGCCTCATCCTTGCGCCCCTGCATAGGGCTTCATCATCGGGTCTGTCTCAAATATATTTCTAACGGAAAGGCTTGGTTTTGGTAAAGTACGGACCTCGCCAACATCATTACATTGAAGAATTCACTGCCCGATGTTGCGCACTAGGTCATCGTGCTGGGATCTGTAGCTCAACTCGTCGGATACTGTATCCAAGCTCCGGCACCTCCTTTCCCAGGTTTCGTCATTGCCTACACCATCAACGGGTTCGGACTCTCACTGCAGGTGATTTTCTTTCCGACCGTTGAATGCAACTCAGTGTCTCAATTCATTTTTTCTCCCACTCACGCCGACAGGATGCGCAAGCTAACGGCTTCGTCGTGAGCTACAAAGACAACGCTGAGGTCAAAATGGGCATCCTGCAGGCAACTTATGGTGATTATATGGCTCGAGGATCATTCCTTGCCGTAGAGAATTTCTGCGAGAATGCTGAAACAACATGTGGTATCTGCTCGCGTTAGGGTTTGGGGCTCTGGTGTCTCCGTTTGTAGCAAACCATTTCGCACACGTGGAACACTGGTCGTACATGTACCTGACCTCTATCGGCGTCGCCTTCCTCAATACGATTCTTCTCGTCAGCGTATTTCGGTTCAAAACACAGGACGGTGAGCCGTGACTTCTTCTCGCATTATTGGCCGCTCGCCTCGAACCGCACGCATCGTCAATAACTCCCGTCGGTGCATGTAGAATGCCTGGCTCAAGTTGGACAGGCCACGGGCGAAACCGGGACTAGTGAGGACAGCGCGTATAGCCAGATTTTCAAGCTCAAAGCTGTGCATCTGCTTGCATTTTTCATCCTCGTGTATGTCGGCGTGGAGGTCACCATCGGAGGTGCGTAGTCCGTTCAGTACTTAGATCATATTCAAGCTCATATGGCACCGGTATGGCAGGATGGATCGTCACTTTCATCATCAAAGCTCGAGAGGGGGGAACGTCGTCCGGTTATATCTCGTCTGGCTTTTTTGGCGGTATGGCTTGCAAACAAGGCGTCTCATCGGCAACGACGCTCATTGTGATCAATCAACAGGACTGATGTTTGGACGCGTCGCTCTTATTTGGGTGAACAAGAAAGTACTGAATCACGACCCATTCACAACAATATCTTGATTCAGCCGTTTTCCAGGTTGGCGAACGGCGCATCATATTTATCTACATCTTGCTCTCGATCGCGTGTGTCTCCCTTTTATTTCTTTGATCAATCCCATGAGCACGCTCACACTTCTATGTCTTCTCTACAGCCTCGAGCTAGTCATCTGGCTCATACCCTCCCTTGTCGGCGACGCCGTCGCAATCTCGCTCATCGGTGTCCTCTTGGGGCCAATCTATCCCATCGTGATGAACGAATCCGGGCGCATGCTCCCTCCCTGGCTCTTAACAGGCTCGATCGGGTGGATTGCGGGTTTCGGACAGGCCGGCTCTGCGATCTTGCCGTTCATGACAGGCGCGATCGCGAACAAGGCTGGGATCCAGAGTTTACAGCCGCTGTGAGTGCTCGAGTGGCTGGCTGCACATACTCTCATATCCAAAGATTCTATTTCTCATATCCAAAGATTCTATTGTTCCGTACTGATTTTTTCTACGACGGGGCAGGTTGGTGTCGATGATGGGTCTGCTATTTGTCTTGTGGGCGCTAGTTCCGAGAAGACACCTACGAACAGAATGACTTGATGGGAATATTCGAATGACTCGGGTAATTCATGATTTACCCATGACCATCTAATATGCGTGAGTTGCTCGGTGAATCTCCACTCTGCTGCCATCACCGGAGACCCGATAGTCTTAGGTTTCATCATTGGCAGTATGCTTGGCCCGGAGACCAAGGCTCGAATGTGCCATCCATGAGTCGTTATGATTGTCCGATCTACAAGCTGCTTTACGGCACAAATCCTCGTGACAAACGCGTGTGCTCGAGCGCGGCAATGGCTTGAACATTGTGTAGAGTCGTGTGCACCCTCCCCCCATCTGATTGTGTCCTTTTCCGGGTTTTACTTAAGACATTGTGAAGTGGATGGGGCGACCTCACGAGCGTGACCTGGATTATTTGAAATTCATCGTTATCCACGGCAAGTGCGCATATACGGCATACCAAGCTCTCGGACGTGTTCATACGTGTTCACCAAACCGTCGAGTCAGCTTAAAAAGTTATGATATATTCTGATTTCCTTCTTGCCCCTCGTCTTTCATCATGAGCAGCGCCGTAAAACCCACCGCACCCGCGAGACTTTCTGTGGAAGTCAAGGGGGCAAATCCCAGCAACGTTACGGAGTCTGCACTCTCCACCCTGCATCTGTATCACCCTTCCTCCTCGAAGATATCGCTTCACAGCGTCCGTGGAAAGGATGAGGACATCGAGCTGTCTAATCGGGCCGCGAACCCACCGTCGGGTTCTGCAGATGTCCGGGTCGTAGAGGGACCTGCGTCGGAGGACCAGGGCTCGGGGTTACCTTCGCCTAACGCGAAGGGCGTGCGGACGATAGCGTATGTCCAGTTTGCGGCGCTTTGTTGGACGCTGTTCCTTGCAGGGTGGAACGACGGATCAACTGGGCCGCTGCTGCCCAGATTTCGTTCGGTTTACAATGTACGCAACGTTTGCTTTCCTCTCTTCCCAATGATGTACAGGGCTAAGTCGCGATAACGACAACAGGTCAACTATACGATCGTCTCTCTTATCTTTGTCGCGAACTGCATCGTGCGTGCCCCCCCCCCCCCCCCCCCCCCTCTTGTTGGTGTCCTTAACAAACGCACCCTCCATAGGGCTTCGTTATCGGATCCGTCTCGAACATCCTCCTCACCGATAAAGTCGGCTTTGGCAAAGTACGTTCTTCCTCAACGCCGTGCACTCCGTCGTAACACGACATGATTCGATTACATTCTCACTAGGTCATCGTGCTTGGATCCATAGCCCAAACCATCGCGTACTGCATTCAAGCCCCAGGCCCGCCTTTCCCCGTGTTCGCTATCACGTATGCCATCAACGGGTTTGGGCTTGCGCTGCAGGATGCACAGGCCAACGGCTTCGTCGCGAGCTACAAGGAGAACGCCGCGGCCAAGATGGGCATCCTGCACGCAGTATACGGTAAATACACGCGGTTCCGGCGGGAACATCTGCTTCCGAAGTTTCTCCGAGAGCGCTCATGTCGTCATTTTGCCTGTGACATGCGCTTGCAGGTGCGGGAGCCTTGGCGTCCCCACTCGTCGCGACGCAGTTTGCGCAGTTGCGGCACTGGTCGTTCCACTACTTGGTCTCCCTCGGCATCGCCCTATCGAACACGGCCATCCTCGCGACCGTGTTCAGGTTTAAAACCCAAGATGGTAAGCAGTGCCATTTGCCTTGGCGCGCTGTGGCACTCGACCGTCTCACGTGAAATTGAAAATCACGGGATGTGCGTAGAATGTCTAGCGCAGATTGGCCAAGCTGCCGGTGAAACGGGGGCGAGCGAGGACAGCAAGTACAGGCAGATCTTTGGGTTGAAAGCGGTGCACCTGCTCGCATTTTTCATCCTTGTGTATGTCGGCGTGGAGGTCACCATTGGAGGTGCGTCGCGCACCCATCACTGACCCGCCGACCACTTCATGCTGATCTGATGTGAACGTTGAACGGCGGCGCGTGGCATGGTACAGGGTGGATCGTCACTTTTATCATGCAAGTGCGCCAGGGCGGTGCCTCGTCCGGATACATCTCAGCTGGCTTTTTTGGCGGTAAGGATTCACTCGTGAGAGTGCTGCGTTTTTGAAGCGCTGACTTGGGACGCGGCATCGCCGCACAGGACTCACGCTCGGGCGCGTGGCACTTCTCTGGGTGAACGAGAAGGTCGGCGAGCGGCGCGTGATCTTCATCTACGTCCTCCTTGCCATCGCGTTCGTATCCGCATTTTCACCCGTGCAAGCACGCACGCTCACGCGTTCATTTTCATTCATCTTGTAACATCGGCGGTCTCGCGTCCCGAACAGCCTTGAGCTCGTCGTCTGGTTCGTGCCGTCCCTCATCGGGGGCGCTGTCGCTGTCTCGCTCGTCGGCGTCCTCCTGGGCCCGATCTACCCCATCGTGATGAACGAGGCGGGGCGCATCCTCCCGCGATGGCTTCTGACCGGCTCGATCGGGTGGATCGCGGGCTTTGGCCAGACGGGCTCTGCGATCCTGCCATTCATGACCGGCGCGATCGCGAACAAGGCTGGGATACAGAGTTTGCAGCCGCTGTGAGTGGTCCCCCCTCCCGCCTCTCCTCCTTTCTGGCCGCACGGCTGCTGCTGCTGCTGCTGCTTTGACGCTGCGCGGCCATTGGTTCTGTGCTGATGTCTCTCTATCTATTTGTTTGTTACGGATAGGTTGGTGTCGATGATGGCACTGCTGTTCGTGTTGTGGGCGCTAGTGCCAAAAGGCCACCAGCGTGCGGACTGACTGATCTTGTGCTGGTACCACGTCTCGCTATGCACCAAGTAATATAGGACTTATTCACGAGCTGCAACAACGTCCAAGGCTACCGACAGCGGTACATGCTGACCTGACCTGGCCAGAAGCTGATAGCCGGGCTAAATTTCTTGGAGCTCCGCATCGATGTTATAAGGTAATGAGTATGTTCAGCTGCGCCATCATATTTCGAAACGAAGGGCCTCGGTGAGACATCGATCAACAAATTAGAGGTCTGCATATTTGTCCGGAGAAGCGTCAATGTTGCGACCCAGCATCTCAGCCTTTAGCGCTAGCTTGTTGATGTTTTCACCCCTCTCAGCTGCCGCTCAAAGCCTTGAACAGCCATCGCAGCTTCACGATGGCGTGGGCACCGGCTCTGGTCATCGTTAATCGAGCGCGAGGAGAGGACGATCTCGGACGTCGTCCCACGTAGCCAGCCTGTAGTTGGTAGTTTGAAGACGGATGCGAATACAAGTGATAGAAAGCTTCAATGTGAAATCTCGAAGACAAGATCCAGCAGTATGGTTCTACGAGTGTAATCACGCAGACTGACTGATAGAGCTAACGATCTCCCGTATGGGGTTGATATTGCCTCCGAAAGTGAAAGTTCGAGGTGAGTCGACTTCATTTACACCTGCTGTCCTTCCTCACTACGTCACATAGCCGGACCTGTACCATAGGCTCGCATATCGTTTCCTTCGCGATCCTCTACCCGCACACCGGGGAGCATCTCCAGCCCGCGCGCCAATGCCCGCGTAAATCGCCCGCGCAAGTCCTCTACCACCTTCCGACTTAGGAATCGCACGACCTGCAAAGAAGGGGGCCTATGCGCCGCCAACCAGACGAACATGGCGGAAGCGGAATGGGGGTCGCCCAGATGCGTGATGAGAGGAAAATATCCGTTTCTGTACTTTGGGACGATGGCAGGCGTGTCTAGGTCGCCTTCGATCTCTCAATTTTCACCAGGATCGTTATGCTCATGCTCGTGTATGTGCACATGCCCGTGCATATGCCCATGCCTATGCCCATTCCCATGGTCATCATCGTGGTCCTCCTGGTCCCCTCCTCGTATTCCTCCTCGTCATCGTCAACCCCATTCGAATAGTATACCAATTCGTTACCATCAGCAATAGATAAACCTTCGTCTTCGAGATATACGGTACGTCTCTCGGACCAAGTCTCGTGCGGAAGATAGTAAAAGACGATGTGCGCAAGGCGCGGACATTTCTCCGCAAGCGCCCGGAACACCGGCTCAGAGACGTCGACCAGCGTCTCCAGATGCACGGTCGTGAGTGCCAGGCGCGCGCTTGGACAGGAACCCCGAGATGCACGCGCGGCGCTGCGGCGAGTCCTCGTGCCACCGGAGGAGAACGTGCTCGAGATCCGGAAGCGGGATCGCCGCGTTTCTGTCGCAGTCGGGGGAGCACTCGGCGTGCCAGCTGTCCAGAGCCGTAAAACGCAGGTCCGGGAGAAGCGGCAGGTCGTGCGGGCAGAACCCCCGCTGCACGCGCAGCAGGGTGCGCAGGTTCGGCAGCCGTCCGAGGAAGGCCCTCCACGACGGATGCTTCACGTCCGCGATCAGCTTTTGCAGCGTCAGACTGCAGTTTGGACCGATGCTCTCGAAGATGCTCTCGGGCATCGTGGCACGGCGTATCCGCGAGGTGGCAATGATGATGCGGATATGCGAGAGATAGCCAAATACCTCGCCGAGCATGGGCATCCTGTGCTCATCGGCGGAGACTATGTCCACGCGGCGCACCAGGGAGCCCAGCAAGAAATCGCCCGCACCTTGCGCCGCGTGCTTCAAAGCACGCTGCAGGGCGCCCATGTTCCCATTCGAGACCACGACGGCTCGGTGCAGGAGCGGCGCGGCGAGAGCGCGCCATCGTCCGCACACACGGACGAGGCTCACTTTCGTGACCAGAGACCGGCGGATCCCACGCCTTGCTCGTCTGCGAAAGAGCCACAGAGCTGATACACGGGCAATCCTGTCTCGAACGGGTCGTGGAAATCTGGGTCCAGGATGCCTGGGACGGACGGCGCCCACCCGAAGATCTGCGGCCGCATCTCGTTGGGGAGGTCGGGCAGCCGGGGGTCGGTCTCTTTACGGACGCGTGGAAAATGCACACGAGGCGCTGTGCGATCGAGTCGTTCTCGTCAATTGATCCATGCAGGAAGAGAGACCACACACCTGCCAGTCTTTTGATAGGGACGTGGTAATCCACCAATTCTTGACGCGGGCTTAGTTCTACAGTTTGTTTCACTTCACTAAGTCCCGCGAGAGCATAGTCAGCTCTGGGGGCGCCATACAAGTCGGAGACAAAAACCGTACGGTGACTCGGTGAGATCTCTGGTCAATATGAATGAGTGACGACGCGGCGTTAGTATTTCACAGATCAATGGCGACTGGGCGAGACGACCATCGCTGGCTTGCCAAATGCAAGCTCCAGCGTCTCTGTGATCGACCAAGGTTCGCTAAGCGGCAGTGGCAGTAAGTAAGTTCGGGATCGATCGATCGATCTTCTACTTAGATCTTCGGAGAATTCCGTGACATTCTACAAGCCGCACAGGATCCCCCGGCGCTCACGGAGACTGAGTCCTGCTGCGAAGTGCCCAGCACGGTCTTGTTGACACCAACAAGTTAAATATCGCATGAATGCATGCAGCAGCATAAGCAGCTCCGCCGAACCGCAGCCACTAAACAATAGCAATGTGTAAGCTTGGCAGTAGAACGAGCATTGCAAAGTAGGAAAGAAAGGAAACAAAATCAAACAAAAAAGAAAGCGATACACGCGCCGTTTGACAACGGCAGTAGTCAGTCCATGCAGAATACTAGTAGAATCGTAGAGACGAAGGTCCTTCTTGTCGCCCAGCGGGGCGGACGTGGGAATGGTGGCAGTGGAACAGGGTGGCATGGGTGCATAGGTGCGAGCGAGCGTCTGTGGGGTTGGGGTCGATGATTGGACGGACGGATGGATTCTATGGATGGATGAATGGAGCAGATGAGGATGCGGGATGCGGGATGCAGAAAAGAAAAGAATGGAGTGGAGAGGAACGAGCGGGCGGTCAGTGAGCGATGATCGGTCAGCGGCGCATAGAAACACACACGAAATAAAAAAAACGCCGGGGACGGTCCCTCATAAGAAAGAAAAGAAAAGAAAAGAAAAACAACGTCCCAGACGCGAAGCGAGCGGGGCAACCCCTCACCGCCCCGCGCTCTTCCAGAACTTCCACCCCCTCCTCCGCTTTGCCTCCCCTCCGCCTCCGCCGTGGGCCTGCACGACCCCTACAGACGTCCCCTGCGCAAGCGCATACCCACCCTCATCCGGGCTCGGACTCGGACTCGGGTACACGCCCGCGCCCGCGCCCGCGCCCATACCGATAGGCCTCAAACTCGCGCCGACGCTCGACTCGTCCGACTCGGGCGGCGTCGGGAGCTGCTTCGCGTGCGCGAGGTGCGCCGCGTGCTGCTGCTGCTGCTGCTGGTGCTGGTGCTGGTGCTGGTGCTGGTGCTGGTGCGACGCATGCCGCGGCCGCTGCGGCGAATACGAAGCGGACGGCACAGACGGCGCAGAGAGCGAGCTCGCGCGCTCGCCGTGGCTGCGCGTGCGCTCTCTAGCGGTAACGGAGGCGGCGGCGGCGGCAGCGGCGGCGGCGGCGGTGGCGGTGGTGCTGCCGATGCTGATACTGCGCTCGCGCGGTGTTGTACGGCGGGTCTCCCCGGCTCGAGGGCGCCGTCGTTCCTCCTCTTCGCGCTGCTGCTGGTACGCGCGCGCATACGCCGACGCAGCCGACACCGTCCTGTGCACCCCCGGACCCACACCCACACCCACACTCGCACCCGCACCCGCGCCCTCACCCTCGCCCGCACCCGCACCCGCACCCGCACTCGGCTCCTGCGCCTGCACGGCGGCCGCGCGCGCGGCCCTGTCCTTCGCCCTGCGCGCCCTGTGCGCCTTGAGCGCGTGATGCGGCTTCTGCTGGAACGCCGACGGCGGGGGCTGTTTTTTCTGCTGCTGCTGCTGAGCCTCCTCTAGACCAAGCCGAGCCAGAGCCAGAGCCGGAGCCGGAGCCAGAGAGGGCGCAGGCACAGGCTCCCGTCCGCGCGAGTACGAAGCCTCGGGCGCACCCGACCGCGACCGCGACGCATCCGGCGGCGCGGGCACGACGACGTCCGCGGCGCTCGCGACGTACGCGCGCGGCACACGGTCGCTCGCGGGGTCGTTCGCGCGGTCGAGGCACCCGGCGAGCACCGCGTCCGCGAGCGTCCACTGCCGCGGCGGCGCGGCGGCGGCATCGTCGTCGGCGGCATTGGTAGCGGCATTGGCTGCGGCACGTGCGCGCACGTGCTCGGCGAGGGCGCGCGCGGGGAGGAGGAACGCGCTCGGCTGCTCGCGCGGGTCCACCTGCGCGTTCTGCGGGGCGAGGCTCGCGCGGGAGCCTGAGCCTGGGCCTGCGCCCGCGCTTGTGAGCGCCAGGGACACGTTCATGTTCGTGGACGTGGGCAGGGGCAGGGGCATGGGAAAGGCAAAGGCGAGCAGGAAGGACTCGAGCGTCTGGACGAGCTTCGGCGGGGGGCCGAGGGCGCTGGCGTATGCGGCCGAGGCGCGCGGGAGGACGTGTAGGACGTGGGGTTTGGGCGTGGGGGGCGAGGAGGCGGAGGCGTCCGGGCTGGGGCTGGGGCTGGGGCTGGGGCTGGGGCTAGTGCTGGGGCTGGGGCTGAGGAGGGAGAGCGCGGAGCCGAGGGAGGTGCTCGGGAGCGTGTCGTGGCTCGCGGACGCAGGCACGGGCGCGGAGGCGGAGAAGCGGGAGGCGAGCGCGCGCGAGGAGAGGCGCGCGAGGAGGGACTTGGGGCGGGGCTGCTGCTGCTGCGAGCGCGGGGCGCGGGGGCGTGCGCGTGCGCGTGTGCGGGCGAGGGCGGCGGGGATGGCGGGGACGAGGAAGGCGCGGGCGAGGGTGGTGACGAGGACGGTGTGCTTGAGGAGGGAGGTGTCGGGTGCGTCGGGCGGGAGGAAGTGGACGAGGGCGTCGAACGCGCGCTGGGTGGGGTCCGGGGGCGGGAGCGGGGGCGTGCGTGTGGGGGAGGAGGCGGCGGTGCGGGCGCGGTGGCGGCGGAAGGAGGTGAAGGAGGAGGCGGAGGAGGAGGGGAGCGGGGTGGGCGTGTGCGAGTGCGAGAGGGAGAGGTCGAGGCGGAGGGTGGAGGGCGCGGGGGAGGGCGGGGTGCTCTGGGCGTTGCGGGGCGGGTAGAGGGAGGGGACGAGGAGGGCGGCGGAGAGGGACGCGGCGTCGGCGGGGGCGGCGTCGTCGGTGTGGTCGAGCTCGCGGACGCCGGAGCCGCCGAAGGCGCGCCACGCGCGGGCGATGCGCTCTGCGGATTCGAGGACGCGGACGAGGCGGAGGGCGTTGCCCTGGTCGAGGGCGAGGGCGGTGGGGAGGCGGAGGATGCGGATGGCGGGGTGCGGGGGGTCGAGGAGGGAGAGCGCGGCGGCGAGGGGGGACGGATCGGGGGTGGCGAGGACGAGGAGGGATTCGGAGAGCTGGGGGGAGTGGAGGAGCGGGTGGAGGTCTTGTGCGGTGGGCGCTGTGGCCGAGGAACGTCAGTGAAGGCGGGGAGGGAGTGGGGGAATGTGAGACAGACCTCCGAGGACGAGGACGACGTCGCGTCGTGGAGGGCACGCGGCGGCGGCGAGGAAGGTGTCGCGGGGGACGAGGAGGGGCGGGCGGTGTCTGTAGTCGAGGCCGGCGAAGGGGTCGAGCGGGAGGTTGGGCTTGAAGACGTCGCTGGGCGGGGCGCGTCGGGTGGCAGCCGCGGGGCTGGATGAGGCCGGGACGCGTCGGGACGAGGAGGCCATCGTCTGGAGGAGGCAGGGGAGAGGGAAAGGGAAAGGGACGGGTGGCAGGCGGGGAGTGTGTTTTAGGGGAGGAGGGATGGCAGGAGGCTAAAGTAGACCGGCCATTAGAGCTGCGGAGATCTGACAGGCTGGGACCGCCATGCCGCAAGACGTGGTCATCGCCCCGTCATCCACCGCACACTCCCTCCGCCCCTCGCCCGTCCTCGTGGTCCTCACTTCCTGCGGGCCGTTTACTGCATCCATGCTTGACACCTCGATGCTTGCCATCCAGGCTTGACACCTCGATGCTTGCTGATCCTGCCTGCCTGCCTGTCAGTTTTTTTTGTCTCGGAAGAACGAACATCAACGAGGAGCCGGCGCCCGCTGATGCCCCAGCCCAAAAGCATGACTAATCCCAGCCTATCCCCTTCCACCTCCCGTGAACACTTCCAGGGCCCGCCTCCGTCCTCGGGGCCGCAGTTACAGTTGGTGCCTCTCATCGGGATCCCCCGCCGTCGCTCTCGCACCTCTTCCAACTGGCACCGACATCGATGCACCGATGCTCTGTGCACCCGGCACCCTCCCGCCCGGCAACGCACACCCCGCAATCTGACACCCCAGCCGAGTCGATCCAGAAGACGCGCCGACGAGCGTGTCACCGGTCTGACGCGCGCCAAGCCCGGGCCCGCCCAGCGAGGCAGAGCGATGTCCCGCTGCGACCGCTCCCAGCCGCTCCCTCCCCCCCTCTCCCTCTTCGACGACGTCAGCGCCCCGATTCCCGCCAGGCGCGCGCCAAGCCTGCTTCCACAGCCCACGTCGCTCCAAAACCCCAGACAGGCGGCAGTCGCCATCCGCCGAAATCCGCCAGATTGGGCGCAAGAGACACTGCTCCAGTGTCTGCGACTTTAGCGATATCTCTCCATGGCGCTATCGCTCGCTCCAGCCAGTTCATCGATTGCCATCCCGATGCGTGCGGTGAGCGCAGCTGGCGCCAATGTCCAAGCGCGTCGCACAAGCACTCGTCACCCCCGTCGCAAGTGGCGACATGTCCGAGCCGTGCCGCCTCCCACGTCCCACGTCCCATGCACGCTCTTCTGCCGCCCTACGTACACGGCGCTCCCCAACCCACACCTCGACCGGGCTTCCATACAGGAAGCCCTCTTCCTCCTGAGACCGCCCACCCACCCCCGGGCCCTCTCGGCATGCGTTAAATCCCGTTTATTCTCCGATAAAGGTAACAGAGCCCTATGTTGGACATTACATGGACCAAGGACTCGTCCCCGTCTCCCTACGTATCCGACTCCGCCCCCGAACCTGCTTCGGTCGGTGAAGGATTCAGCGCTCGAGGCATACTCGTACAGCACTCACCACGCCCAGTCCCAGAGCCCGCTGCGTTTGCCCGTGCACCCCGGCCCGCCTCCCGCGACGGCGCGCATTGTTTGTGCGCGATCCCTCGCTTCCTGTGTCGATCTTGAGCGGCTCGATTGCCTGATTCGAGACGTGTCGCGTCGTGTCGAGACGCGTCGTGCCGTGCCGTGTCGTGTCGTGTCGTGTCGAGTCTGACGGTTTCTGGTCCCGCTCCCGCTCCCGCTCCTGCCCCCGCTGGGCACACGTCCGGAACCTGAACCGCGACGCCTTCCAGCGCCCTCCCCGCGTGCGGACACGCGCGCGCGACGCCAAGGCTCGAGGTGCTCGTGCTCGCTACCGCAGACGCTCGGGCCCGACGCGCCGATCCCCCGCTCGAGGGCCGCGCGACGCCGCGATCGCACCTGCGGACCTGCCGACAAACGTAGTCCGTGTGCGCTCCGAGCCGTCGTCGACGTCGACGCCGATACCGACGCTGGGGATGCAAATTGACGCTGCGGGGCCGCGACGCACGCACGCGCGCACGCACGCACGCACGCACGTACAGGGCTCCGTATGGCCACAGCGCGAACGCTGTGCAGTATCCCGACGTGCGTACATATATGCATATGTGACGTGCGACGCGCAGGCTTTCGTGCGCTGAAATAAGCAAAAACATCTCTTTTCATCTCCTCTTCTCTTCTCTTCTCTCCTCTTCTCTCTCCTCTCCTCTCCTCTCTCCTCTCTCCTCTCCCCCGCATCGCACCGAGCCGAGCCGAGCCGAGCCAAACTACCGCCGAGCGCGCTCTGCGCCTGCCGCGCCGTGTCGTGTGCCTTGTGGCTGACCTGTACAGTATAGTAAGTATCCGAGCGTGCGATGTTATGTTATGTTATGTTATGTTATGTTTTGATCATCCGCTGTGGGCGCGCATGGGCGCGTAACTTATCTGTTCGCGTGTCAGGCTTTTTATATACCGTCGCGCTCATATACACAGACTATGTTTAGGTCAGGTTCGGCGAGGCCAGAGTCGGAGCCAGAGCTAGAGCCAGAGCCAGAGCCAGAGCCAGAGCCAGAGCGCCCGATGAAACGCCGGTGAGTGATGGAGGACCCTGCGCGAGGGAGCCGACGTGCCTTGTATTCATTCGCTCGCTCGCTCATTCACTTGACTTAACTCACTCACAGTGCCTTGCATAAAAAACCGGAATCGCGCGACGCGCAAGTTAGAGCACAGGATGACCAAGTTACCACATATAGCAATTCAACCCGAAAGCATTTTGTCGCAGTGTGACAGTAATCACTATACATGGTAACTTTATCATCTCGCTCTGGGACTTCGCGCGTCGCGCGATTCCGGTTTTTTATGCAAGGCACTGTATATTACTTCGCATCCGTTCATTCGTTTCGCTCTGGGTGGGAGAGCGCTGGGGGGCGTCGCTGCCGTCGCGTTTCGGTGTGTATATGGTGGAAGAAGCCCCGTCTCTGCCGGTTGTTGCCTGGAGTGGCACAGTGGTGGCACCCCCCGGCCCACGGTGGCCACGCGCACGCTGGCGTTCGCGCGGGCGGGTAGCCTCATGCGCGGCGCGCGCGCGTCAGTTACGGTAAAGGGCGTGTGTCCGCGCGTGCCGTGTCCAGAGTTCCCCGCCCCCGCCGCGTCTGGAATCGTGAAGCGGGCGCGGTGGCCCGCCTAGTTAATCTATATAGTCGTCGGCAGCCCCGGAGTGGGAATAGAGGCCACCAGTGGGCCACCAGTGGGCCACCCGACTGCTCAGCGCTGCAGCGCTCGACAGTCCGGCGGCCTGGTGTGCACAGTAGGCTCGAGAAATGGGCTCTCGGGACTCTGTCGCTGAGCGCATGCATGTTGGGTGGCGGACGACGGCCTCGCGGTGCCCGAGTGACCTAGTCTCGTTCTCGGGGGCTGTCAGTGCCGATTACGGCCCGCGGGATGGCGAGAAACGGCAAGTGGCGGCAGGCGCGAGCGTGGGTGGCACGGAGGGCTTCTCGGACATCCTGGGAACGGGTCTACTTCACCGTCGTCCCCATCGCGTCCCAGAGAACAAAAGGACGCGATCGCGCGAGTTTAACGGTCGACAAAGACGGTCTATAATTCCATAACAAATACTACGGCTTGACAAGAGAGCGAGCGTCGGCTCTACACATCCGTGCAGGTATGTAGAGGAAACGCTCGTCCGAGTCGCGCGGATCGAGAGCGAGGCGGAACGGGAAGGAGAGCAACTGTACAGAGCAAAGCGTATGGTAAAGCACGATGCAGGGCGGACGAGGGAGTTGGGTGTATTATGGGGCGATGAATAAAATGGGTAGGGTAGGGAAGGGACGGGACGAGATACGATAGCAGACCGGGACCGGGGCCAAGAAGATACAAGAACCAAGAGTGAATGACGGGAGGAAACGCGCAACGCGCGAGCGAGCGCTCGAGCGCGACGTTCGAATACTTACTTTTCTTTTTGAGGCTACGAGAATCACTTATGTAGGCTGACTTTTGGGAGAGGAAATCGATGGGCGGGAGTGCCGCGCGAGCGAGCGCAGAGCGGCAGGGGCCGCGCTCAGTGCTGGTTCGAGCGCGCGTGCGAGCTGGTGTGACTGCTGTGCCCGTGCCCATCGCGGTGCGAGTGGCTTTGAGTGGGATGACGGCTGTGGTGGCCGTCGGCGGGATAGGGTTGGCCGCTGGCGCCGGGGTAGCCTTCCTGGGGTTGACCGTGGCTCGGGTAGCCTGGTTGACCATGACCGGGATAATTCGCGGGCAGCGGCTGACCAGGGTAGCCTGACTGAGGTTGACCGGGGTAGACTGCGGCCTGTGCGGGATTTTGGACGTGGCTGTTTTGAGGCTGGCCGGGATTTTGACTCTGACCGTGACCGTGCTGAGAAGGACGACCTTGTCCGGATGGGGAAGGATACCCTTGGCCGGTCTGAGAGGGGTGAGCATGACCGGGCTGAGAGGATTGACCGTGGCCGCCGTGCGGAGGATGGCCGTGTTGTGGCTGCTGAGAAGGATAACCATGCTGAGAGGAATGACCGTGTTGAGAGGGGTATCCAGAGCCTTGACCGTTTTGACCGTGACTGTCCTGCGGACGGCCAGGATGTCCCGAATGCCTATCTTGCATCTGCTGGCCTGCATGGTGCTGAGGTGTCGCAGGGTGACCGGGCTGACTGCCATACCCATGCCCATGTCCGGAGGGCGTCTGGGGCTGCGCGGGAATCGGGACCGCCCCCGAGCGCGAGAGCGTCGGAGACTGCTGTTGGTAGGATCCGTGGCGGTCTTGGGACAACTGCTGCGACCGCCCGTCCATGTACTGCGCCTGTTGCTGCGCGTGTTCCATGCGTCGGATCTCCTCTGGTCCCGGGATGCCTCTGCCACGCGTCTGAACGTGAAACCAGTGGCTTGAAACTTGGCCAGGCTGAGAGAGAAACAAAGATGGATGTGAGTTCAAGGAATGCGGTGGAAGACGGATGAAGACTTGCGCGGAGCGATTCGTCTGAAACGTCTAGCAACGGGAAGGCGACGTCAGCATCGAGCAGAGAAAGGGAGGATGGTGAAAACGTTGAGTGGCAAAGAGCGGTAAGAGCACGTGGGGAAAGCAAAGAAAGCAAAACGAAGGAGCAAACGACGACGAAGTACTCACGAGTCACCAAGGACTTGAACAACTCAATGTGCCCCCCGATGGGGTACGAGCAATGCGATCCCTTGTGGAATCGGATGCCAGTGGCCCATGCGTATGCAGTGGTGGGCGTGGGGTGATCTGGGCGAACCTCGGCTGGAGGGCCGCGGATGTTCGAGGTATCGATGAGCCGCGGCACGAAGCCTGCCGGGAGATCCTGGTAGGTTTCGTTTTGGTAGTTCCTAGACATTGTGGCTTTTGTTCGTCGCGTTTACGGTGATTTGGTTGTTGGATGGCGTCAACGGATAGAACAAAGAAAACGGAAAACAGCAACAAGAAAGGATGAGCAACGGAGGGGAAGTATAGTTGGAAGAGATGGAAATAGAGAAGTATGAAAGGACAGATAGAAGAGGGGCGAGTGGATGTATCGTGGTGGTTGCTTGAAAATAGAAAATCAATTAGCTGGCGAATGGATAATCGTGGTGATAAGAGAGTTGTAGACCGATGAAGAACAGCACGAACCGAGGGTTTATATCGAATTTTGGAATTGATACCGTGGACATGAGCTCGCGTGCGCGAGGCCTGAGTATTGTTCTCGCAAGGACACGCCGATGCCGCAAGGCGTTAATTGAACGTTAATTACGAGGAAGCGAGGCGAGTGGCTGACGCGTCGAGGGTCCCGAAATCGTTCTCGCGCTTGTGGCACTGTCAAGCGAAAAGCCACCACGCATGCTGGTCAAATTGCCACATTTCAGAAGGTCGCCTGAAACAGAAGTTTTATCCTTGAGTGAAATAGAGGCAGAGGACGTAATAAGCAAATAAAAAGGCATTGGAGAACTCTTCAGTCGGAGGCGGTGTTGATGGTCGAGGGAGAGTTGTTTCAGTAAAAGGCTGGGGTGGAATGTGAACGCTGACTCACCTATTGTTGAGGACATGAGCCGATCTAGGCCCAAGAAGTTGTTCATCGCTTGTAGAGAGCCTCATGAGCTGTATCGCAAACAATGATGACGAATGTCAACAAACGAAGCTTGAAGTTAATAATGCTCTTCTGAATTGAATATACCTTTGAAGGCAACTCTGTTGTACAAGGCTTGACAGTATCCATGCGTCGAATATGTCGCGAGGAGATGATGTCGTGAGGGTGCAACATTCAGCTCGTCTTTCCGAAGAATATGCGCTAGTGGCGTCAAAGTATCCAGGAGCCTGCCCAGCCGTTAACACATCTGATTTCGATCGCAGCCATGAGCCGATAAATCAGTACCAGAGATGTCCGCTGGAGCTCGCATCCGTTGTCAGGTGAGCCGATCATAGATATAACAGACGCATACAGGAGCAACCTAGGGCACGCTAGGTATCGTTTTAGACCTTGGGTGGCGCAGAGGAGAGATCCGGAGTTCCAAATCATGAGGTGAGAAACATACGCAAAGCAAGCACCACGTACGTAGATATGTGGTGCATGCGAGGGTGAAGATATCACTACGAGGATCAAGAGTTAGCATGCAACTGGCCAGAGCCCTTGGGTCTTTCATCGATTGACTGGGTCGAATCCACTCTCTACACATGCCGAAACTTTCATTGCTCGGAAGCAGATGTCGCCATAGTCCCATCAAGATGCCGAACGGCGACAAAGAGAATCGAGAGGAGCCAAATAGTCTAAAAATGGCGACGAACGTCACGAAAGCAAGTAGCCATCGATACTTAGTGTTGGTTCTCCATACAGTTTGGATACACGCCTGCCTTGAGCGAACCCACCGAGTCCGCGCCGATCAACAAGTGGACCAACATTCCCAGCCCATGTGATCGTTGAAGCAGAGCCTAATGGATGATTCGAAGAAGGATTCCAGTTCTGTAGCCGCCAGACTGTGATGGATAGTATTTGAGGAGTAGCTGAGGCCGTAGAATGGTTGAGGGCATTCGTCGAGAAGATGGGCGACAGGGTAGGAGCGGATAGGAGCGGGGGAGGAGTGTTGGAGGAGACCGGACACGATGCTGACGGTGCCGGCCTGTGCCGGCCTAACCGGGTCGGTCGTCGTCGGTGATGCCAGATGATGCCGTCATGGCAGACGGACTAGAACACACACTAAAACCAACACACCCCTCTCCTCTGCGCTTTATCTGTATCACCCCACCCCCTCTCTCGACGCTCAACGACATTGACGACACGGCGACGACACTCTCAACGACCAGCAACGAATTAGTCCCCAGGTCTCAGACCTTAGTGTGATCGACAAGGAGCTTGTCTCACTCGTGATTTCCTACGCCCCGATCTGACCAGTCACTTCCATACGCACACGAGTTGTCAGATATCGCCAATCATGCAGGATACAAGGTCGCATCCCCCCGTAGAGACGCGCCAGTCGGCATTCTCTGTGCGTAGCGAATGTCGTAGACGTGCGGGCGGTTTGATTCATTGAACATCACATATCTAGACAAAAACAAAGGCCGGCCAGTTCTTCGCAAAAAGACTAGCCACCGTTCGTGATCGGTTCACGTCCAGCAGAGCAAAAGACAGGCCAGTGGGACCCTATCTCACGACGTCTATGATGGGCGCTAGCCCCAAACCCTTCATGTCACAGCCTATGCTCTCTCTCTACCCACGCCCCTCTGTAGATAATGACGGCTCTTCAAGTTCTCAAGCGACCAGAGGAAGCATGGACACGAACCCTTCTCGGTTTACCAATCACAACCCGCAGAAGCTCAGACCAGATGCTTCTGCTCCCCACCTGCCCAAACACAGGAAATCCCCATCTGCCCCTCTACAGTCTACACCCATGTTCCACACATCCCGCCCGCCAGCCCCTCAGATCATCGTCTCGGAAGTTGACGTTTCTGCGGGGGGGTCCAAGATTCAATACGTTAACGAAGGGCGTAAGTCTCGTGAACACTGAATCATATCGTGTATTGTGCTCATTTCATATGTTTGTCTACGCAGAATTGGATTATGAAGGGCTTCCGCACGTCCTGACGCCAGGATGGGCCCCGTCATTTGCCCTGCCGACTCCACAGCAAAACCCTCCGAGCGGTAATTTTCCACCCACCACGACCTCTTCTGCTTATAGACCCATTGCCTCCGACACTCCCCGAGTTCTGACACCCGGATGGGCACCATCTTTTTCCCAACCGACTACAGATCAGCGCCTCTTCCCTAGTCAGTTCTCGTCCACCACGACTATACAGAGATATTCCCCACTGGATACTCCACGCGCACAGCCATCGCCTCACAGTCTGATTTCGGAGATTGACGAGGATTCGGATAGTGTTCAGCGGGCTCACACGCAAGACGGCGGTACGCACGGTACGTGCAGAACTCACATTTGGCTTACTATGTATGCTCGCGTTCTGATCATTGCTTGACGTATTGCTGGGTATTTTCAGACGGAACGACCGATAGTCACGGGCTCACAGACTCTGGCTTCAGAACAGCCGACCCGTTCGGTACGTTTCGAACTTCGCGCGTTGATTGTGCGCCATTGACGCGCCCGTATCTGTTTTCACGGCTGCCCACGGTCTTCACGCGCTTTAGTGGCAGGCGCCCGGGAGAAGAAAACTGATCGCTCTTCCTCCCGGCAACTTGTGGAGTCACGTGGGTCCCATATAACTTCTTCTTCTTGAGCATCCGTCATAGCTCAATGGGACGCTCCGGAACTAGCGCATCGAATCTCTGCACCTGTGGTGGAGTTTACGCCGGAAACGCTGACTCCACAAGTGCCTCATGCCTTGCCACATGAGGCCATCTCAACAGGCTCGAGTGTTAAAAGTCGTGACAGAGGACCACCGACTGATGCGCTTGACAGTAATGCAGACACTGCGAGTTCTCTACGATCTTCGCTCCCTGAATTGGCGAAGAAGTCGGATGAGCGTAAGCTATCATGTCGTGGATTCTTAACTTCCAACACATTGACGTTTGCTCATGTAGAGGCTCCTGGCGATTCCTCCAGTCCCCGCGTGTCGGCTGAGGACTCGAGTCTTTCCCCAAAGTCCGACTCACTGACGGAGGAACCTGAAGAGTATGGCTCGTCCCAAACATCAGCCTTCCGCCCTCCCTCGCCCTTGGACTTCTCTGTTCTCACGCGATCTTCCACCACACCTGCATCTCCGGCCTCCCCTCCCTCTGGTGCTCCGCAGCCGTCGGAGCTGTCGACCATTTCGCTTCCCTCATCAACAATAAGACACAGATCCTCGACGGTATCGTCTCGCACAGATGTTCCCCATCTCGGCTCACTCCCTCGCTTCCAGATTCCAGGCGCACCGGCACGTTTCTCTCCAGCGATCATTACCCGTCAACCGCCACACCCAATCTTTACGCTGCCTCCCATTTCACCTTCATCATCAAACGCACCACAGCTCCCGCGTCCTCGACCGCAGTCGCTCCGGAGTATGCCATCATTGCTGATGGAAGGAGCGGACAAGCAGGAGGCGGACCACGAGAGTTTGGATGATCTGGATGAGGAAGATGAGGACGGGACAGAAGAAGGTGGAGAGGATAGGGAAGATGGAAACAGCGATGACGAGGCAGAGGACGGTATGGATAGCACAAGGCCCTCGGTGTCATCGTCAGCGCCACAGACTGGTCTTACGCTCCCGGACATCCAGACTTCGCGACTTGACGCGTCTTTCCTCGACACCTACCTTCGCGGCCAAGGTTCAGGTTCTTCAGGAACATCGGGTTCGGATGCGTCTCAGAACCAGTACCATACTGCTGACGACCGGACGCCCTCCACGTTTCGCCCCGCCGACTATTTCTCATCGAAGGCTCCTGAGCGCAGTCCCATCCAGACTCCACGGGCAAACGAGCTCGGATTACTGCCTATATCGGGGCTTCCCCAACCCAGGATTGTGCCGATGCCGATGCCTAATAGCCCAACCACGCGTCCGCCCCTGTACCACCATGCTTCGAAGAGCATGGTTGATATGACGCTCACAGCGAAAGAACGCTCGCCCGAGCTCAAGAAGCGCGAGTCCCGATCGATCGCCGCGGGCTTGGGCGTCGAATCGCCATCATCGAAGCAGGCCTCGGGCCCGTCCCCTTCAACGATGCTTCCGCCCCAGGACAACCTGTTAGGGGCATCCCTGCGGCGCCAGCGGTCCATGCCCACCTTCACGCCCAGTTCCTCTCCACCACCATACCCCGACTTTCCCCCACCGCGTCCGGACGCCCCGCCCATTATGCCACGAGACGAAGAGGGCCGCGAGCGGCTGCCGGCGTACTCGAACGATATTTATCTGCGCGCGATACTACCACGCAAGATGGAGTTTTCGGCACCGGGAGTGCAGGCGCGCGATAGGAAGTGGCGGCGCACGCTGTGCGTGCTTGAGGGGACAGCGTTCCGCGTGTACAGGTGTCCGCCGGCGGCCGTGGGCGTGGGCGTCATCGGCGAATGGTGGGAGAAGACGGTGGGCGTGGGGGACATCGCGGAAGCACCAGCGACAGCGAGCGTGGCCAACGCGCAGAAAGCGCGGGAGAGAGAACAGGTGGCGCAGAGCCTGGCGAAGGCCGACACTCCCAATGCAGCCTCGATAACCACGACAGCGGCCCCTGAGGAGCCTCCACCGCCTGCAGAAGCAGCCCCTCCTCCTGTGCAGCAACATCCCCATGCCGGTCGTTCTCGTTTGAACCTTCTGAGGCCTGGTGGTTCGAGCTCACCGACAAGGTCGAGGTTCTCGAGTGACACCTCTCGAGACAGCTCGAGCTCGAGGCGGCCGCTATCAAACTCCAGATCCGGCTCGCATGGCGCGACGCAGTCTCTTGGAGCTATCTCCTCTGGCGCCTCGTCGTCTGCCGTGACCCTTGAGTCCACTTCTGCATCAACGTCGCAGTCCCGCTCGCGCTCACGCGCACCTCGAGGTGCGCGCTCAGACTCTGGAGAGGTGCGCGGGCTCTGGCGTGAGGACCCGGGCGCGCCTCTGCCGTCTCCCAAAGATTTGATCAAGGAGTATCGATTGTCAAATGCGGAGAGCGGGTTGGGGACGGACTACACCAAACGAAGGAACGTCATTCGAATACGGATGGAGGGGGAGCAATTTTTGTTGCAGGCGGCCGATGTGGCCGGGGTCGTGGACTGGATCGAGGTGCGTTCTGGTCGGTTTCGATTTTTTCAAGTACCTTTGGTTGACGAATTGTGCGGACATTGCAATGCTCAGGGGTTCCAGGCTGCTGCAAATATTGCGCTAGATCTAGATGAGAGACCAATGCCAAAGGGCCCAATGTTTCCGAGGTGCGTAATCTGTTCGTGAAATGTGGATCTTAGTAGGGACTCAAATATTGGGACATCCGCAGGCGGCGAAGACGACGCGCACGGCGTGCTGAATCCTCTCAGCCCGAGACATCATAGCATGGGTATGGTCGGTCTATCTTCACGCACAGATTCCATTTTACGATACGATCTGGACTCTCCATTATCTTCTTATTCCATCTACACACGGGCCATTCTCATTACATTTCCAGTAAGGTGCTTTATATCTACCTTCCGTCTTCCTGCTTCTGAATTGATACAAATTTGAGGTAATTGACACTAAGTCTTCACCGCTGCGGCCTTTCCACGACTGTTGACTATTACTACTGTTCTAAATTCTTGTAACCTGTTGTGATCATCGATCATCATCACGGAGGTTGTACGATGGGGAAACATGTTGTATTAAATCCAGCATCTTGTAGTCTAGTACTTAGCTGTTAGCATGATAATATAGTTTCACTCCTCTGGGAACTCTACCTTCCTCTACTTGTTTGTGGACGGCATAGTGTGGTGGATACGATTCGGTCCACCGGTCCGCTCTGTCCGACTCTTCTGTTGTGCTCTTTTCTCAACTTTGGAATTTCCATGTTTGATCCCTGTATTTGCTTTTCCATCTATTCGAGCTATCTGAAAACGAGGCAAATATATTTCTCACCAAGTCTGTGACATTGTTCTCTTATTTCGAACAATTGCTTTCTTCCTTTCGCCAGCAATAGCAATTGATCTGCTAGTATATCCACGAAGGCCACCGCTCCGATATATCCTCATTCTTGCTTCCTGAGCTGTCCCGCTCGCATGATGATGCTTCGGTAGCCGGAATCAGTTCTCATGTCCTCTGTATCGTCTTCTTACCCGTGGCAAACCCTGGCACGACATCGTCATAGAGCTTCTCTCGCTCGAGGGCGGGCCTATTTCCGAAAAGCCCGACAAGTCTATATTCGCGTATACAGGTTGTTGGCTTTCGCTCAAGGGATGAGGGGGATCAGGAATTTTGCTGTATGGAGGAGGGTCGGCAGCACGGTTCGTGACAATTTTTAATCTCCTAAGCTAGACTTTGTAGACGAGTACTAACACCACCACGATGCACACTCCCCGCCACAATTATTACTAGCTACATACTAGGACGAATCACTTGGGTGAGTTCCATATACTGTCATTCCGTACATTGGTGGTTCACGAAATACAATGTGCAGATGAAGCATACCCTCGTGTGGTACGTAAATGCTTGCCAATACGAATCTAACCCTCCTCTGGGATAGAGACCATCCAAAGAGGTCACATAAAACAATTGGAGGCAATCCCAACGCAGCAGCAGCTCCACAACCCGAACTCATAAACTTTGCTCATTGTGAAGAAAACCTGCGTGCACAGCGCCATCAAAGGTCTCAGGCGCTCCAGACTGGTGAACCGCTTGTGTGGTAGTTCCATACTTCTGTCAAGCGACTTCAAACTACTAGGACAGCACCTCTCTAGGGCGGCAAGATATAGTGAGTGAAGAGTGAGGTTGCGCAATAGTCAGTCGATCGTGAATTGTCCTATGGGAGATTCTGGTCCTTGACTACCTCTCATCCTAAATCCCATTTCTGGTATACGATCACCGCCACCGTGACGAGTCAGCGAGCTGAGCATCCGGAAGGCGAATCCGGCGAACGTGCGTTTTCCTCGCTCGATCTTTTGAACTTGATGACCGTGTTATACAGCGGATGGCTTTTGCGTGTGCATCAGTCACATCAGGTCTTGCATGACACTAAACATCCACCCTATGTACATGGCGTCGCTAATTGCTCTTCCGGATCTTTGATGGCGTTCGATTCTGTCACCAGAGCCCAGAGTTGCCATCCTCCCTCTTTTCCCTATTATCGCGCGTCAAGGATGACCTTGCTGGAAGCCTTGTACAAGAGACGCAGCATTGTATTCGAGACTCGTTAACCAATCTTATTGTCTGCGCGGGGATGTCGGTGGCGATCGACGGACTGGGTTCCCTCGCGGCTACTGCATGCACAGACGACTATGCTCATGCACTCTACACTATTGATTGTCACAAGACGACTGTTTACTCTGTCAACATCGCCGCCGGGTTGCTGTAAATGGCCGTGCCCACCAACGCTCCTTTGCATGAGCTCAATCTGTCCGGATCCTCCTCCATACACGCGGCGCGTGCTCGCCCGTATGTATGTGGAAACGTCCTTATGCTTATGCCCTTTCGTCTAACATCTTGTTTCAGATCAGCATGCCGTTTCTCAGGAACTCTGTGACTGCCCGTCCATGTCCATGTCAACCTTGCGTCTTTATTTTATCCTCGAAATCCACGACCCTTGATGACCGTGTCGCTCGGCGTACAGTGACCGATTCCAGGTCTGTAACCAGCCGTGGAAGTTCTTTCTCAGGTTTTACTAGTTATTTGCTGTGCCTGCGATAGTTTCACGATTATGAAACAGAGATGGCATAACTCAAGCTTCAACTGCGCAAATTTATGCCCACGTACATATGAGACGGATCACTTCTTGCAACCCTCGACATCTGGACCAGCGGCCTTCTTACGCCAACGATATAAGACGCCACAGGTTTCTAAAGCCACTGATATTGTGTACGTGAATTCATGCCGGAAGGATCTCGTCCATCTTCGGTGCCTGACCATCATGTGGGAAACCCTTCGTATGCGGCTCGAGCGCGCGCTGCTTCGAGTGTTTTTTGGGGGGAAAGACTGCATATGTACCTGTTTCCAAACTTAGGAACAGTCACCACAAGTAGCCAAAGGTTTACCTTTCCTTCTTCGCTTCTTCCTTGCGCTCCAGAAGCGGTGGTGCATGTCCTACTCATGGTCATGAGCGTGGGTCGTGTCCCTCACCTCCCCTGGCGTCATGCATCAGCTCCGTATGTCTTGTCTCACCTGGTGTGATCATTTACTGAACGCTCATATAGGAACCCTGGGCCTTCAAACACGCCGTGTCCTCTGGCGTATTACTCCATTCCGATGGCACCAAAGCACATGCTACTCCGTGCAGTCCAAGTTGTTGTGTTGCACGCCTATGTATAAAAGACCTACGTCCACGCCAGCTATGCCTTACTGATCTTCCCCTTCGTCTACACATATAATTCTTCCATGGCTGCGATACCTGCTATCGAGATTGTGAACTGGGTGGCCTCTACGGCATACCTCAACGATCCCAGCGTTATCGACGAGGGTATCAAGTTCGTCTTGAATGTCACGGGAGTTCTTGAGTGAGCATATCATTCTCGCAATAACCGCACCAGATTTCTTACAATGTCTTCACTCAGCGTGTGGAACGGTCTGCAGACAGAAAGGCCCAACACCTATTTGGCCACAGGTCTGTTTAATTGATGCTTCAAGGAACGGTCACGAACTTATCACGTTAGTTTTAAGCTTGGACATCCATCGAGGCGCACGAGGCTCTCGAAGCCGACAAGGCGAGATACGCCCAGTCCCTCGCCTTACTTGCTCCTGCCATGGCGGCGGACCCGGAAGCCGTACTCTTTCATGCCGACCTCGATCCAGACTACCCACTAGTGTTCAATTCCCCTGCGACGGAATTTGTGCAGGTCTTGCCAAATGATGGCGTCACTGCCAACACAACCAGCTCTCTGTTGGCGCAGCTGAAGGAAGATGCCGTGAAAACATGTGGTGCATTAGCGGCCAGCTGGGGTCCGATAGTAGAGCAGGCGCAGACGCTTATGGCGGTAGTTGGGTGGAAGAGTGTCAGCGTGCGTCTTGTTCCTAACATCTGCGTGAAGGAGCTTTCAGTTGACGGTTCGTCGCATTTTAGGAGGCCAATGATGCTTGCTTTGCGGATATTACAAAAGATCTGCAAGCTAGCGCTACCCTCACTCTGTCTCATGCGCATATGAGAGAAGGGGCATAGCGGGGAGGTACCAGGAGGCACCGGTGTGCAATCACCGTTATACCGTCAGTTAGATGTAGCATCACGGTCTTTGGGACGGACCTTTCGACTGATATATTTATTCATATCATACTCATGCCAAATGTTCGCATGGGGTTGAGAAGACTTGGACCTCCTGTAGCTCAGCTTCTATCTCGCATCAGACTCGACTTATATGATAACTCACGAGATGCCCTCCGCGTCACACGTGCTCGATATCACCGACAAAGTATATCATTTTTCAATGCTGGAAGGACTTCCGCGCGAAGCGTGCGCTGTGCATAGGCTTTCAGTCGCATCCCATGCCAGCGAGACCAAAAAAGGCAATTTCGGATTTCTGCAGCCTGGTCACAGTGTTCATCGCGAGCCTCCATCTGCCTCTTATGCAGCGCACCGATCCAAGGGTCTTTCCGTGCGCTTCAATGACGCATTACTAAGGATGTCATGGGTTGTTGATTGTTCGCGCTTCGGTGGATCAGTCATGCTACAGGCTGAGGACCGGTGTTTGATGGTACGTGCCAGATAATTGCCAGATATAAACACTTTGATGCAGAGTACATCAATCCTCTCTTGATCTTTCCCAGCACCCCCTTCGACCCATCCACAATCCATCGCTCAAGAAATATGGCACCCGCCATCGAAATCGTTAGCTGGGTTGCATCAGACGCATACCTCCAAGACAAGAGTATCGTAGAGGGCGGTGTCAAGTTCGTCTTGGGCGTCAAGGGCGTCCTTCAGTGGGTATCGCATAGTCGTTTGTGGGCACGCAACGGCGACGAGAAAGCTGATAGCGTATGCTTCCCCTAGGGTATGGAGCGGCTTACAGATCGAAAAGTCTCGTCTCTTCATGGTCACCGGTACGTCGGTGCTATCAGCCAAAACAAAAGCAGGACGTCCTGATGCACTGAACCAGTCTGGGACTCCATCGAGTCGCACAAAGCCCTCGAAGCCGACAAAGAACAGTACGGGAAATCGTTAGGCCTGCTCGGTCCTACCATGGCCGCGAACCCAGAAGTCGAGCTGTACCATGCTGAGCTGGACGAGGACTACCCAGCGGCGTTCAACTCCCCCACGGTGGAGTTTGCGCTGATCACGCCCACGGAAGAGGGCGCCACTGTGGAGACGTTCAAGACCCTCCTCGCGAAGCTGAAGGTCGAGGCGTATAAAGACACGTGCACAGTATTGGCTCTCAGCTGGGGCACCATTGTCGAAAAGCCGCAGACATTGTTGGGTGTGGTCGGTTGGAAATCTATAGAGGTGGGCCTCCAGCCGGTTCTCTCGTTTCGCTCGAATTCATTGGTTGATGGTTTCGCACAGGCGCATCATGAGGAGGTGAAGTCGGGGGGCTTCGCGGATGTCGGCAAGCAATTTGGTGCTAAAGGCAAGATCGAGTTTGCACATGTACACCTGGCCCCTGGGTCGAAGTGAAGAGGGAGTGCAAACACTTTTTGTAAAGGCAGTGTGTACGAGTGTCGTAACTTTGCGGCAATACAATGTTTTTTATGAATTGTTGTCGTGATGTCTGCTGAGATACAGAATCAACAGTCAGAGGATGTGTCGGTTATCGTCATGTTCATTCTACCTCACTCATCTCACAACGTGATGCTCAGCCATTGAAGATCATGGCGACAAACTTCATACACTTGATTGTTACACGGCGATAATGCTAGCTAACTCGAATACAAATACACCCACAGCTCAATACAGCGTTGAAGAAGCCCTTCTTGCTCAAACATTATCGTACAACAACACCTCGCCTAATAATTGCTGGTCAACGGGATGTGAGGTCAGATTCTCTTTTCCATCTCTTTCCTCTTCACTATGCAAGAGCATGAGATGATATTGAGCATTTGCAGAACTCCTAGACTGGCGACTCACGGTGTTTTTCTGGAGACATCTCAGGGTGCCTCTTATCGACGTCCCTGTAGCCCCAATAGTACGCCGCGGCGGTCAAGGCGACTAAACCTATGGTCCCAAGAACCTGCCAACGCGAGAAATCGGAAATTCGATGAGTGGGTTAAGTGCACGTCGGGAAGAAGTTGTAAACGACACGAACCATTCTGTTCTTGGGCGGCTGGCCTTGGCCCATGAAATTGCGGCTCAGATTCGCAGCATCCATGATGTCAGTGTTACGATATGTGTGAAAACTTTAGTGGTTGGATGTGAGCGTTCTTCTCAAGAGGACTTTGACATGTATCGACGCGATACTGGGTCATATATAGGAATAGGGGTGGGGAAAATATAAGCAAGCTTGTGGGTGCGATTGGCCTAGGCGATGATGTCAAGCAGGCCCACTGACTTATCGAGAAACTTCGCGAACCGCCGCAGAACACAACGACATATGATTGTGGGCCAGGATAGACCTCGGGATAAGGAGATATGACGCTAATTTAACAATCTCATCGTGAACTAAACCTTGAATGTCGAAAAAGAATCCACTAGCTCGAGTAGTGCAGAATGAGAAGTAAATCCCGCAAAATTCACATCGACGAACCCCTGCTCTTTTTGTCAGGCATAGGACCAAACACAGCATCCTTGAGACTCGGGTCAGTTTTCGCCACAACGTTTCAGCCATCGGGGGTACCCACACGTTTCGTATACGCGAGCCCATCGCCCCTATCTCTCTGTGGGGTGGGATGTAAGAAGCCACCGTGATCGTCCCTCAGAGGATGAGCGCCTTCTCCATCCCGTCTAACCGTCGCAATCGTACGATGCTGCTCGCGGTTTGGTTCTTTCGGAGGTGGGAGGGGTAAAAAGAGGCGTTGGGAACGGGTAGCAGCAGTAGAAGTTGATACTTCGGAATCGGGATATGCTGCGTCATGAAGACGATGCTCCCCTGCCATGATCCATAATGTTTAAAAGCTTGATGCGAAAAGAGAATTCGTAAACATACATCCCGACACAGAACCCGGGGCGTTCGGATCGGCTCTGCGGGCTTGGTTGCGTTGCAAATACATCCAAAAGAGCCCGAACGTCGATGCAACAATGGCAGCGCCCCCTAATACAACCTAGCAACAATAGATTCAATGTTGACCATGATATCATGCGAGATGATACGTACTCTGCCTGGGCGAGAAGGAAGGCTAGTGCCTGATGGAATAGGTGGTCTATTCTGAGGTGCGTGGTGCCCAACAGACCCAGTACCAGACATTGCGCAGAAGAACGTGAGGCGGTCAAAGTGTTGTGGTGTTTGAAAATATTTGATAGTTCAGTGGAAGGGTCGTACGAAATGCTGAGCTCGAACGCGGCCATCTTTAAGGGCGCATCTAAGAGATGGGCGGGCGCAGCGATCGAGTGACGCAACTCGGCGGAGGACAACCGCGCTGGTGACGTAGGCTACCAGTGATTCAAAGTCCTCCGAGGTGTTGAATTCTGAGACGTCGATTTGCTCAGGAGAATAGGGGCAACAGAATTGTGTCAATATCAATGCAATTCAGGAAGAAAGCGTCAAAGCGAGAGCAAATGGTAGAATCGAAAGGGCAGAAAAGTGCGCGTGTCATGAATGATCATCTTTCGCCTCTTTCGCCGACGTCGAAGACGAGGATGCCGCGTCTTGAGTGCTGATCTTCGCAGCCTTCTCGCTGTTTCCGGCGATGACACCTGTACTTTGCTCTTCCAGGGCAACACGTTCTTTCCCTATATGTCAACACCAATATCAGAATCGTCCGACAAATGACGGCGATATTGAACGTTCGCTTTGAAGCCAAAAATGGGGACAGACTTACAGCTGAGCTTCGCGGTGGGTCGCGAACCGTCGACGTCTTGCTGTCTCCGCCTTTCATTGATGCTCTTTTTGGCGTAGTAGAAACTAACTCCGGCGCCGACAACAAGACTTCCCCAGCCGAGAACCTAGGGGTGACGATGACTGAGACGATTCTGCACAACTAGAGCTTAGGCGCTGGAGGCGTACCATAGTCTTTGGATTGTTCATCGTCTGTGCCCGTCTCTTTGTTTTAGAAAGAACTCAGAATCAACGTTGTTCAACAGTGGTCTCGCAATGTTTTGCACACACCTCAATCAATGGGAGCAAAATATGCGGGGCGGTTGATAGCGCGCTGGCAAAGTGAAGACTTTCTCATCACGGTCACATGACTCCGTCCCTCACTGTTCGACGGAGAGGATCTGTCACCAGATCCCTTCTCTTCGCTCCACCAAGCTTCCAGTCGTCAAGTGAACAACCACATTTGCGTCGCAAGAACTCATAGGTTGAGACTCAAACCATAATGGGCTGATATGTAATTCTCTGGATACGGTTAGATCCACCCTGGGATAGCAGATCACAATGCCTTTGTTGGCTGTTCCAATTCGAACCAAGTTCAAACCATCTGGGACTCCTAGCCACTGATATAGCGTAGTTTTACCGAAGGCGCTACCCGGGTCTCGTATTGCCTGTCGTGCCTCGACCTCGCCTGGCCCGAGATATACACACTCAAACTCTCTGTGCGAAGGTCCCACAACCAAACCTCACAGCCCTGGAACGACAAACAGTCTGACATAGAGTCGTAAATTGTAAGGTTTGGTTCAGAAGCAGCTGAACCTCGAGTCAGATGTACCGACGATCAGCTGACGGCAGAGGGTCTCAGACTGGAGTCTGGTGCGTTCCAACCAATATCAGGCAACTCTCGCTTGCTTCTAATTTGCATAAAAACCTGCCCAGTCTTGAACACATCCGACGAGTGCAGAGCGCGGGATCGACATATCGCATGTTTGTGAATAGCCAAGCCGCCCTTGATTCGTTTGCATCAATGAAAGTACGTCTTCAGCCAGGAGGTGCATCGAGACGCTCATAGCCATTCATCGCACATAGACCGCGTATCTCCATTTTGCCTTAGTACTCGGTGGTCCCAATTGCACGATTGTACGTGTACAGCGGACGAATGACAGCTCAGCCTCGATCCGAAGCTTCTCGTCGTGCCTATTGCATTGGATGGATATATCCAGCCTCGTCTGTGCTAACCGCTCTTTCACGAGTGTGCTTGGTGATTTAGCTCAGGCGTCCTGCTCAGCTGTTCACAATGTGCGAATGTGCGTTTCCTATCTCGATTGACACGCATGTTACGTTTGTGGGGGCTTTAGGCCAAGCTATCTCCGTCCGGGATTGATAGGTGGCGCTCCCCTCGCCTGACCTTGCTTCGCAAGTCCAAACTCTGTTCGACAGCAGCGTTTGGCGCCCTGCACACGCGACCTTGTCGCCACTAATTCTGTGTGCCAATGCGGCCATTCTTAATTCTGGAGCCGATTCTACCTACCACAGACACCACGTACCGTGACTTTTGAACATGGTGGCTCAATGGGAGCCTTCCAGATTTTTGCGCCCGGCTGGCCGACCTCCCTCTTGCGCGCTGCCATACCGTTTGACCGACTATCATTGGGTAGCGTGAAAAGCCTTCTGACGCTGAAGACAGCCGCTTCCAGCTTCATCGCCCAAGTTTGACCAAAGCCGCCTATCCTATCAGCTTCCCTGATTCCCTGAGTCCTGCGCCCGCTTGTTCTTGCTTGCGCCAGCGCTTGTGCTTGGCCGCGATGGGCCGCCGCGCGACGAAAGCGCGCTGCGCTCGCCTATCGTGGAAGCTGGCAGTGAGGGCGCCCCTCGTTTGCGGACCGGAGGTGCATATACTGCGCCCGCCAGTAGGCGGGGCGGCTCTAGCTTGTCGTGCTGTGTACCACAGATCTATCACCGCGTTGCATCCCGAGTCAATAGGCAGTCCACATGGTATGAATTGCTTGGAGAACCAGGCCGCGGCGCAGTTCGCTCGTTTGTCAAACATGTGTATGTATGTATGATGTACAGACCGAGGCGTCGCGTCGCAGGGTCCAATCTAGGCCCTCCTTCGCCTTCTGTCCTGTTCTGATCTAGTTCTAGACCTCGACACTAGCCGGTGTTCTGCTGCGCCTTGGGCCAGCTTGGGCCCCATCATATGCTTTCGATGACCGCGCACCAATCGCGAAAATGAGCGTTGCGAAGACCTGGGCCTGTGGCACTCTACCCCAATTGAACCACTGCCTCGCACAGCTGCTGCCTGCCTATTCTGAGTCAGCTTGCGCTGCGTCGCGCCTTACTCTTCATCTCGCTTTGTTACCTTCTGTCCGACTGTTGTCGCAACTTCGGTGACAGCATTGCATTCATTTTCGGATATGTCGGGATCGCCTACGGTGATGCATCTGCATACGTTGCGGTGGCGGCTTTAATGTCAGTTATATGAAAGCATGATGACGAGTGCACGGGTGGTAAGGCACTCCGAACGGTCGCGCCGCCCACAGCACCACTGCACTCGCATGTGGTTCTCGATTAGGAGTGACATGGCAGATGGAAAGTAGGTATGAGCTACAGTAGGCTCCTTGTCCGTTCGACGAACCCTACCTACTTGACTTTCGTCTCGATACTTCGAAACATGTAGCTCGGGCCTTAGATGAGCCGCCCACAAGCGCCTTATGACAGACTACACCTCACAATACTTAGCTGCCACTGACCTTGGGCCTTAGGCTGTGCGGGGTATAGATATCCGTTTTGGTTTTTCAAAAGGAAAAACAGGAACCACTTCAAGTGCATGGATCATTTTGCGGCGTATCTGGGCGGGGTCTATTGAGCGGACCTTTCTGCCACCGAAACTCTCTCTTCTAATTTTGACCACATTATATGCGCTCTGGATTCGCACTGGTGTTGCTGGCTCGGAATTCGAGTCATCACCGTCGAAAATCAGCTCCGCCGATATGACACAGAGACTCAAGAAGGATACATTAGGTACATTGGTCAGGTTATAGCCAGTGAACATACTGACCCTTTTTCTATGGAATGAGGAACATATCTTGTCGTACGCTTGGCTACAGACGTCCTCGGTCATAGCAGAGCAGATGGCGAGAAAACAGTCCAACCATACAGCAGATTTGAATATATGTGTCATTTTCTGCCTTCGAAGACAGTTAGGCGGGCTCGTCGGTCGCGCACCTCTGTTACCATGCTCGTCCAATCCAGACCTCCGCCGATCCTTCCCCTTCCGTCATTGGGCAATCCTCCTTCCTCTTCTCGACGTCCTCCCCGGCTCCGGTCGGTTCTTCAATCCACCTACTGCTTCGTTCATTTTACGCTGCACAGCGATTGGGCCCTCGGCGGCGGTTCAGTGCTAGCTGTGTTCCGCGTGAACTTGCTGTCAATGTCTTCATTTTGCCCGCTGCATCGGAGCACGCGGGGCCTGCGCTTTGCGGCCCACGCTTGTCGTGAACTTGCCAATGCATCGCGGGACTAAATATCGCACGAATGTCATATCTCCGCCCGGGTCGTGTTGCGCCTTGGCTGCGGAATCGACGAAGTCAGGCTGTGAATCGCGACGACCAATCTCCTTGCGGCGCAAGACGAGGCACAACGTCGGGCAGATAGGCGGGCGGGCATGAACCGTCTGAGAATTTTTGTTTCACGTGTTTCTGTGTCCTAGGTTCGAGAACGATGCTTGGTTCCTCTTGCCTTCGCCTGCAGGCGGACAGGCTTTCGAGTCCATGAACGCCCGTCAAGGTCTCCGTGACGTACGACAATTCTCTAAGTCTAGTCTTGGCACTGATTCATTCTCATCACCAGATGCTTCGGATCCACATATGCTACTATTTGCACCATGCCCTGGAATAGCTGACCCCGATGCAATTGATGGTTCGAATGAAATCATATGGACACATATCAACCCTGGCAGTTTACGGAAGCCACAGGGCAAGGCGCAGCAGTAGCGCACGACTTGTCTCTCATCCTCCGATTTGTCGATCAAATACCCATCACCTTGTATTCGAAGGCCAGCAGATCCGCGCTTGTCTATGAAGCTAATTACTCGTCTCAAACGAGCCAGAATCAAGTTATAGCTAGAGCCGCTGCGGGCCTGGACGCGGGTGGGGCTGCCCTGCATCCGCGATGTTGGGATCAGAACCTATGTATTATGCTGCACCCGCCAATTCTTTCGTCGATGACTGCGCGGCTGACACGGACGCCTATCTCTCGTCCGGGCTAGCTCGAGCAATTCCAAAAACGACCACAGCATGTTCTGCATTATGAATACGTCAGTCGAGCAAGATTTGTTCCCGCCTATTCGGATCACGATGGGCGGATAGGGGGGAAGGGGGACCAATCGCCCAATCACCTGGATACTTAGGAGGGAGAACCTGGGCCTTCGAGCGGAAAGTGAAATCATTGATACTGAAAGTCGGGAGCCGAACAAGGAGGCGTTATGAACGCGCTTTTAATAACCACGTTCGGCCATATGGAGCTGGCATGCGTTCGGAGGGCAAATCTGAGCGGTTCGGTTGCGTTATGCTGAATCGGTGGTCTGGTTCGTGCGTCTGCGACTATGGTTCGTGGTTCAAGATGGGGTTCGCGAGACTGGCGACCTGGGCCAGAAGGGTACGTCTTCTGAGTGCAAAGATTCAAGGGTTCTCGGTTCTGGACCACCCCGCCCCACAGCATCGCGCAGCGCAGAGCGCGTTCAAAGCAGCTGCGATGCGATGCGGTGCGGAATGGGGGTAGGTCATTTGACTGATCGGTCATGCAAGGATCCACAACTCCATGGGGTTGGATGGTCGGTCGGTCGGCAATAGGAGTGGGATTACCGCTTCCGAAGTACCGAACTCGATCGGGTCTGGACGCGGGGTGGGCGAAGATGATGTACATAGGGTAAGTCTGGCCAAGTCTGGTATCAGGAGGATGGGATCTAGAGATATGTGGAGTGGCGATTTGACTGGAGAGTGCCATGCGACGAGCGAGCATGTAACTTGTCACTTGTGTCTGCAGGGACCGAACATCTCGTATCGTAGCGCTGTGGAGTTGGCCTCGTTGTGATGCTCATATGTGAGAGGGGCACGTTTGACATTGGCATGGCATGGCACGGCAAGGGTCAGCCTTGTGGGTCCCCACTACTGTACTACGCGCTGGCGTGTGACTGTATAGCGCTGAGCTCCTGACACCATCGTTCGCGATATGATCGATCACGGTGCCCCATGGGCATGGCACGCATATCGACAGGAAGATGTCGAAGAACATGATCTGTGGCTTTTTGCAACGGACGAATCGAGCAGCCTACCAATACCCTGGGCCTGACAGGAGGTGTTGCTCGTTGCCGCGATCATGATCGCCGTAGGCCAGAGGTTTTTGGGGTTCCTGCTCGCGGATGGGTGCGGCCTTTCTTCAACAGAAGTGAGGCCCTAAGTTGACGATGACACACGGGCTATGCGTGGCTCGCGGTGCTTCCTAAAAGCAAGGGCGATGCTGTAAGGCCATAGTTTTGTGAATCGTAGGCCCATTCTAGTCAGAGAAGACGTCGAAGCCGCAGAATGCGACGCTGCGTGCAACTCTGGACAGCCAAGAATGATTGCGCCGGGGGACGAACGCATGAGAAACAGTTGATTAGGTCGAGACGGTGAGCTGTGATAGGCTGTGTGCGTGCACACGATGCTCCATGATGAGGGAGGAGAACCGTCAGCGATGACGTGGGCAGTGCCGCAAACCCTGCTCATTCTGGCCACATCTTCTCTTCTCCGCGACTTTTTGCCCGCCAGGTGCTATTCTCACCTCTCCGTGGATGTCCGGCTCAGAGTCTCGCGATTTCGATGCCCATGTCGGGAGATCTTATCGCTGCTTTTCTTGACATATCCATCTTCGTCCGTGTGCAGGGATTTTCCGGGTTCAGAATTCGGAGTAGTGTGGATTCAGAACAGACCGACTCTGATACCGATGTTCGAGTGGGCAATCGTGCGTCTGGAATTACGTTCTTACAACATTATTGCAGTACCGCCTTCTCTTCCTGGCAGAACATGTCCAGTTCGAGGCACGCTTAGTACATGTTGTAGCCCAGCGCGGACCACGCAGGCCCGAAACGTTCCCTCTCCGGTCCCTTTGGCTGACCCACTTCCCGCGGCACGCAGGCCTCATCAAAGCGTTGGAGTCATCAGCCGGCATGTGCATCTCGTGAACCTCGAGTCTTCTCTCCCTGGCGCCTGTCAGCAGAGCCCTCGAACGCGCCTCTCACCTTGGGCGCACCACACCTCGATTCTTCGAACACTTCCTCCTCATCTCGAGTCAGCGGATGACAGAGGGATGTCGGAAGGTAATGCGCGCGTTCGTAATCTGACTTCTTCATCCATCTCGCTCCGCCCGAGCTCCCGAACGATTCAATGTTGTGGCACTTCGACATCCGGCCCATCTATATCCCGCTCATTAAAACCGTTTGTGCCGCATATGATCTGAACTAGCCTGAACTAGCTCGGGCGCATAGAGTCGGTCTCAAGGTGATGCCAGTTATCACGCACAGGTGGACTTTCACTTTCCGGACGCTCGCAAGTTCTGTAATCTCCGAAACACTTCACGTCAATCTCAGTAACTCATTATCCCGCAGTATTCCTGACACAGTAAGCACAGATATCCATGGATTCATGGTCATTCATGATCATCTCAGGACAGCCGGCCCTTGCTGCGCGTGGTCTGAGTCAACGTGATCACGTCTGTCGTGGTGTCCAGGGTACTTGATAGTCAGGTGAGTGTATCGGCCACTGTCAGACATATCCCTTTGTATTCAGTTGAGTCAAACAGTATACTCGAGCCTTCGGATTCTTACTGAGCACCATGAGCAGACTTGACTAACGTCGACCGCGCGCTGCGCGGTTTGATCCTGTTCATTTCAGCTATTATGGAATATTTCAGGCTACGAGGTCAAGCGACGATATTTTTGAACAGTAGGACGCAATCCTCCCGGAATGACACTGGCATGGCCTCATCCGATGTTTACCTATGCCTCAATTGTGCAAGCGCCCGTATCTCCCTCGAAATCTCCTGGCCGAGCGCTGATCCCGAACCCTTTCGAAAAAAACGAGAAGAACATCTTCGATGTCGAGTAAACTCGCGCATGTACATTCCCCGGATCGGCGGCCCCGACTCGAGCTCTAGGTCCACCCTTTGCGGGAGTCTGGATTTGCTCACTTTCCGATGCCTCTCTTGCGCTCGTGGCCATTGGCCGGAGATTGCAAGAGTCTCCGAGATCGAGGAGGGTCGAGACTGCGAGATTGAGACGCTTCGCGATGCCAAGCCTGCGATCCTGTGCTCGCCTGTTTGCTCAGCGGCCTGTCGCAGTCTGTGCTCTAGCGTGGTGTCCTTGTGCAATGCCAGTGCCGTCAAAGGGAGCATTCAAATGTCTTAGGAAGCTGTCGACCACACTAGTAACCCGTCCCGTCTGCAGCCGTCCCGAACAATCTAGACGCACTTCACTTGACTAGGGCAAACGTTCTAATCTCGTCTCTCTCCTCACTATGACATCCCATTGCAGGCAGATCTCTTACCACGGCAAGCATGTGGGCCGGCATGTTAATTTTCTTGTAGCACAACGATGACAGGCAGATATCAATATCAGCGCGTTTTGGGACGACAGCGGCTTCTTGGCTGCCATTGAGGCTTTGATCATATACATCTTACGCCTTCCTCGGCTCCAACTCTGGGTGACGTTGAGCGAGCTTGTGCCAATATTGCATGCCAAACTGGGAATGGTAGTTGGGATGACATTATGTACGGATCCTCACATTGGCTGCCAGAAATATCCATCCAACAATTTTAGATCTCCAGGCGTGTCTATGCAGTTTCCGGGATACCTTGAAGGGTGTTCACGAAACACAGGGGAGATGACGCTTGGCGACTGTATAAGCATCATTACAAGTAGTCAAACAGTCGATTCAGTGCCAGGTTCGAGGCTCTGTTCCACTTGCCTTTCTCATTCCTCGACGTTGCTCGAGAAGTCCATCGGCACACGCATCTGGTAACCCCCGATCCTCGTCGGCGCACCCTCAAACACACACACATCAAGTTGTCTTACACGTACTCGTGAGTACCTCGTACGCTGTGAAGTCACGACCACTTCGGAGTCCTGACATGGCAGCGGTCGCAGTTGGGCCTGAGACTGATGGACCATCACCTTGCACGGCTTCCAGATACGCCACTCACGTACAAATGTATACATGTTCACAGCCTGTCCGGACCCCTTGAAAATTTCGAATTCAATGGAGGATTTTTCCCAGGTTCATCATGGTTCATCAGTGGCTCATTTTCTTTCATTTTGCCCCGAGTCAATGTTCGATCCCGAAAAAAGAACACTAAGGAAGAGCACCACCTGTGTCGCCGGCGGCAAGTACGTACGTACGTACGCCGCAGCGTGCCTACTGCTGCCCACTGTCGGGTCTCATGCCCATGTTTCTCGCACACCAGCGATGTGGATCGCATGCCGTACTGCGCATGCCTCGAGGAAGACAAGCCACTGACAAGCCCCGTTTCACGCTCCGGGCTGTGAGCGTGACGACGGCTTCACGACCTGCCCTGCGCCATTTTGTATTTTTCGTCGTACGATCGAACAAATCTCGTTTCGTCGGAGGTTCTCGCCCATCAGACAAGCTCGAACAGCTTCGCACGCGCGCTCCGAAGAGGGTGGGTTTCGAGGACACGACATGACATGGCGCGCTGCGATTCGCGTAGGGGCTGTCGACGCCCGCCGGCGATGGCGGGGACACTTGTAGCTGGCCAAGAAAATGGCGGTAGGCCCTAGTCTACATCCAAATCAACCCCCCTATATACACAGAACGACTGTCTTTTGTGATTGGGTCGGCAACGGAGACTAGGTAGGCCCAGTCCCGCGGGGTCTATGGACACCGATGCGCAGACCGACGTGCGAGGCGATGTAGTGGCGATGTGTGCACGCGACCTCTCGATCGTAGACTTGCAAGAAGCCCTTCCGCATGAACCCGCACGCCCGCGCGAGACGCCGAGCCGCGCCTAGCGAGTATCAGTCTGTGTGCGCGCACCCGCAGAACGGCAGACGCAAATCGCGGTCGCATGTCTTGTCCCCGTGCCGCGCGCACCCCCGAAGCCGCAAGCGCGCGTCGAGCTCCAAGCGCAAGCGGACGCACACCTGCATCTCGATTCTCGAACCCTTCCTTCCTCGAGCGAGCGAGAGGGCTCTCCCGACGCACGCGCGCTTCCCAGCTTCTGCTTCTGCTTCGGAGCTTCACGCAAGCCTGGGGCTTCGCCTTCCGAGACGCGCCACCGATCTCGCCCCTGCCTGCCATATATGTAACTCATTCGTGTTCTGCAGCAGGATCACTGGATCAGGTGCGCGCCGACCCAGGCGAAGACGGACGGCGCAGTGAGGCGGACTCGGACGCCACTGGCATCATCGACCGGCTATGGCCGCGCACCGCCTATTTGCACCCCGTCCGCCGACGAACGCGAAGGGCGTCACTGCGATGGGGAACCTGATCTTGAACTCAGATGTGGAGTGCTTTCTTACGGCTGTATGCCATATGCCATGGCCACGGGGGTGCGAAGGAGCGCCGCGAAGACACCCCGCTTCTCTCTCGAAGCCGTCGACTACCTGTTATCGTCAATGAGAACTACCGCCGACCGCATTGGCTTGACGTGATCGAGGATCTGTCCGTATTTCACCAATCCAAGCAATAAGCCCCGGAGCGGCGTACGTGGAACACTCGAGAACTCACGAACGTACAACGGCCCTCCTCGTAAGATATATATATATGCATATCCGAGGTCCTGCGCGTAATGCGATGCATAACAGAACGCTTTAGAGCGAAGGGTGCCAGAAATAGTCAGGTCTATTGATACGAGTTCGCTACGGTACGGATAGAGTTACGATGCGTGAATGGACTAATACGTGTAGGGGATAGGTAGGTAGGTAGGTGGAGACGCGGGCAGGTTCAGGGTCATGCGTTTATGATGTGTGAGCACGTGCGTAGGGAAATAACAGTTTACTAGTCGGGCGATGTAGCGTATATGCGTGCCGGACAGGCGGGCGAGAAAGGAAGGAGAAGAAGTAGAAGGCCGAACTATGATGTGATGCGGGTGGAGTGGGAGTGGGAGCGGGACAACTGGACGGACGGACACACTAGGTGGAGTGGGTGAGCGTGGGAAGAATGCATGTTGGGAGGATCGAAAGATCGATGGCTAGGAGGGAAGGGGGGAGCGAGGAAGAGAGAGCGAGACATGCGAGCTGGAAAAGGCTAGGGGCGAGAGAAGAGAAGCGTGTCGCGTCCAGCGGCGGATGATTTGAGAGGGTGCGATGGCAGCGGCGGTGGGGACGATAGCATGATTGAGAACAGGGATAGGCGGACCATAGCACAGCAGACCAGATAGATAAATAAGATGAACCGACGAAACACGACACAGACACAGACCAGGAGAGTGCATGGACAGAAGCGAAGAGAAAAATAGAATAGCGCAGATGGAGGAAGGCAAAGGAGAGCCAGAAGGAAACGAAGACACCAAAAGAGAGCAGGGACGAACGCGGACAACCCCAAACCTAACCCCAACCCAACCCCCGTCCCCTCCATGCCTCAAACCCTCCTCCGAGGCCTCCCGTCGCAGCAACTCAGAATAAATAAGATAACGGATGCCATCGTGCGACGCGGCGTGCTGTTGGGCGTACTCGTCCGGGAGCCAGATTTCGGACTCGACGACCTATGTCACGCGCCACAGAATGCCGCAGAGGAATGTGCGGGGAGGTGAGGGCGAAGGCGTCTGTGACGAGAGGGGGCGAATGGCGCGTGATGTGGTGCGGAGGCGGGTTCTTGAGACCTGCAGTCACGATGGTGCGCAGCAGTCGACGAGGAGGGACGGGGATATACGGGAGTGAGGGGTAGGGTGAGGATGAGGGCGGAAGGGAGAAGGATGATAGCCGCGCACGGCGCAGGGTCATCGACGGGCGACATAGCGCCAGTAGAGAGTGTTTGGGGGCTATGATAAATGATATAAGTATCGCGGGCGAGGGAGACAGACAAGCGAGACATACCTGGGTGCCAGGCGTCGAATTATCTGGGATGGAGCGAAGAGGCATAAGACCAGGGAAGGGGGAAAAGATGATGAGGGGGACTCACGAGCACGGATGCATTCCCAGATGTCGACGCCACGACCTTTGGGGTCCCATACTCCACACTGAGAGAAGAGGGCCCAGTGTATGTTGAGCTCCCATATACGGGTCGCGTTCGAGACTACGGCAGGCATTGAGGAGGATATGGTGGCTATTGTGAATGGGTGGGAGGGGGAAAGTGTTTGTGCGGAGGAAGACGGGAAAGCGATTGGAGTGGGCAGACAAGGGAGAGGAAGGACGGGAGGGGGAGGGGGATTTATATACACATTCGGGGATGCGGAATGGTGCGCCGGAAGGTGGGCTTGAAAGCGCTGGTACATCTTGAATCGCCTTTCTTGTCCGATGACATATTTGCTCAGCGTCCTCCTCTCCCTTTGGCTGCCCCAGTCCCTCCACCGCATCGTCCCTTGCGATCCGCTCACCGACATGCGCCCAGCGGATGCGTATCGCCCCACCCAGCGCTGGGACGCAGACATGGCCATCCTCGCGCGCGGACGCCTCCGACAGTGAACGCGATGGATCAGACAGAGATAATCTGAGCTGAGCCCCGATTCGCCCGCCAGTGGGCGCCCCTAGTGCAACGCAACGGCAACAGCAACGGCATTGGCAACCGATCTCTTGGATTCGATCTTCCGCCAAGGTCTGCAGCACCGACCGTTCATCTTCGAGGCTCGGTTCGCTCGCCCTACAGCTTCCGGTCCAGTCGATCCGTGATGTCACCCGGACGTTTGGTTCGCCATCGGTGCGCTCTCTTCCACGTCATCAACGCGTTCTCCTCCTCGCGTTGGTTGCCTCGAGGCATCCCCCTTCCTTTCAACTGCCACCTGGGTCCACCCGCACGCGCGAATCGCGATGCCCGATTCGCCGTCTTCTACCCCCTCCTCTCGCTGTCCCCTTCGAAACGTCTCTCGTTCGGGGGCTGGCTTCCCACGTACCACGCTGACCCATGCATCACCCGCCATCTATATAGCATCATCGACACATCCTTGTCCACGGCCGCTCCCGCCCACCACACCCGCTGCTGCTCACTGCACACAGTCCTCGCCTGGTCCCGGCCGGGCTCAGCATAATACGACGCACCTCATGCTCTCGCTTTCCTCCCCGCTCGGCTTCTCCTTCGCATACTCTCCCGTAACCCTCTGGCTCCCACGGCGCGCGGCCGGCCTCTCTTTGTTCTTCCATTCCTCAAGCTTCAGCCCATGCCCTTTGCCCCCGCGCGTCCCGGCTCACCTGTGATAAAACCAAAACTCAGATACCCCCCTGTCCTCCCGAGTTCGGCCGATCCCAGCAGCTCGCGACGGCTTCCAGCCGCTCCCATCAGCTTTGCGGCGCCGGCGCTCTTCAGCTGATCCTCCTCCGGTCCGGACCCGCGATGCTCCCCTCCGCCGCGCAAGTGCACCGTCATGGGCTATCCAATAAACTCGGCTCGACCCTGCTCGAGCGTGTTATTTTTGGCAAGGCTGGCTGCTAGGCATATGTGGATAGTTGTTTCGATTGCTCTCATCGCGCTCGCGCGCTCGTTTCATCGCCATGCCCCCTTGTTAACTTGATGGGTTTCTGACTCGGTTCGCCCGTCGCATCGCTTGGCCGCCGGCATACGGCATCGACCCGTCTGATCCACGGACGAACGTGAACAAGCGACACTGCTGAGACGGGAAGTTTGGATCAGGTACGTTGATTGTCCCGGGTCGCGATCGCGTCCGCATGGACGCTTTGCACACAGCCTCCCTGGGACCGAAATCGTCGCTTGCTCGTCTGCGCGTCTCGAACTCGTCGATTTTGTCGCGCCGATGTACCTCCTGACCGCTGTACGCTCGTGGGTCTCTTGCAGCAATCGCGGGTGCAGCATCGACCATCATCAGCGGCCATCTTGCCCCGAAGTGCGCTTGTATATATCCTTATATATCGCATGCTCGTCTCTAAGCCATCGCGCCGCGCGCGGCCAGTCATAGTCCACTTTCTCGTTCATGGCCCTGCGCTATTTTGCCTTTTCGATTTACAGTTTTTCTACTCTCCGTGTCCGCGTCCGCTTCTCGCCTCCGTGATATATCAAATACGAATCCTCGGTCTCTTTCTGTCTCTTTGTGGTTCTGAGTCCTTTATCTGATTGCTTCGGTGTGCGCGCGCGACATCCATCCCGCGTGTGCATCTTCAAGTACCTATCCAGGTGCGGCGATCACTGCTTATTGTGTGTCTGTGTGCAGATTTAGAGACCGTCTGCTCTGTGCTGCTGTACATATCGATGCCTGTAGCACACACAAGCAGCTCTTCAGTACGTTATGGGTGTTACACACGCAGGAGTGAAGATCCGCCCGGACTCGCCGTCTATCGCACCCGCGATACATGCGGACGCAGACGAGCCCTGCCGCCCACGTCCACCATCGATAGCCCTGTCCCGGTACTCGCACACGTCGATGGGTCCGCACAGGCGGAGTGCGCACGATTTGTCCAGCGAAAAAAAAACACTTGCTTCTGTGGAAATCACGCGCTGAATGTGGCCATTGCTATATACCTAGCCCGTCTCGACGAAAAAGTTCATAAAGACATAGTTCACGATTCGGTACAGTGTCGAGCAGGCGCCTTCCGGATGAGCAATATGAAACCGACGGCAACTGCGAGTTGAATTGAATCAGACTGTTCGTGCCCCTACAGACACGTACACTCAATTTATCTATTAAAAATGGAAATATCGGAGTCGGGGGAGCGCCTGTGGGCCTAGATCTAGTCGTGGCCCAACGGAACAAGGTCCCGGCATGGACGTCCAATCGCATGGTCCGCACCTGCCGGATATGGTAGTCCCGCTGCGCCCCGATGCCGGCGCGCCGGTTCGCTCTTTTCACCTCTCCTCTTCGAGCCACAAATTGCCCCGAGGCGACCTCCTGCGGGCGGATCGCCGAACGGCACGCTGTCTTCTAGACTCGCAGCGAGCGGGGCAGGGGGCGGATGCAACGAGGCGGGCCCCAGACTGCCCCACCCCAGGTCTAGCTCGTTCGAGTCTGACGTCCGTCGCTTTCGCGGATTCGGATGCGCTTGCGCTTGCGAGCGGCGGGCGGGTCCAGGCAGGCATGGAACGGGAATGGGGCCGATGGCGGGCGCTTGGGGGCTCAGGATCGCGCGGCATTGGCGAAGCCGAGGTCGTGCCGTGGGGGCTCTCAGCTGCTGGCGTCGTGGATGAGCGTGTCGCTTGCATGTGGGTGCCGCGTCTGTGGCATTGAGCGCCCGGCGCGATCACCGGTGTCGGGGATTGGATGCATATAGGGGATGGGCGGGTGGATGGACGTCCGCGGCGTTCCAGGCCCTGCACTTGGGGACGGGTCTGCGTTTATCTTTTGAGAGGAGCTGTGTGTCCGGGTGCGGGTTCTGGCGCTCTGGCGCTGTTGTTGGCGCTGTTGGTGAGTGATGCATGATGGATTATTTGATGGGCGCGATGCATTCAAGAGGTCAGTACGGGTGGGATTCGGTCAAATCGTCTCGGGTTCGGTATCTGCTGTTGTTTTCCTTGGCCAGCGTGCGTGCGGGCATGGCTGTCATCCTTGTCTTGACATTGCAATTTCTTGATCTGTCTTTTCCGCATCGTATCTGATCCGCTGTGGACGACTGTTTTTTTCTCTTCATTCCAATCGGCGACCGTAGCCAGGGCGCGATCCCATCGTGCTCTGACATATCATCATACACTCATCCTCAAGCTTCAGGCTTTTTGACTCGACAGGTTGGTGGAGGGGCTAGACCACGGCTGCCCCGACACTGGGCTGGCACAGCCGAGCTGCTATCGGGCTTGGTATCCTCGCGTGCCAGCGCGTGTCCCGTGAAATCAGACTCAGAACCAAGGCGACATCTGGCGGTCCGTCAATTGTTCGTCGGCCAGTCGAATTGTCTCTGCTGTTGCTGCCAGCCTTGTCGGCCCACGCGGGCCTATCTGATCTGTCCATCCCACCTATCCATCAACATCGTCAGGGGTGGCGGCGACGCCGGCCCCGACATATACAAATATTGCCACTTGCAAGGCGATGCTTGGCAATACTTACCTGCGACTGTAGATTGTTCGCCGTCCATGCAAAGTGCTGCCGTGCGAGGCGACGATACCGACGGTCGCTCTGCGCGGGCCTGCGCTGCGAGTTCATACCACGACTGGTCCCTGGAAAACATCAAATATGTCAAATCCGAAGAGATCAGGTCAGGAGAGAAAAGTCGAGCATGAAAGACGGACGACCTGGATGCGCGGCTGCTTATGCGTGCTATCATAGGGCCTGTGCATAGTGTCGAGAGGGCATGCATACTGCAACAGGTACGTGGATCCCGCCAAGTATCCGCCATCGCAGGGATTTCTTTTCATGCCTGCATCCTCGATTCGACTCCCAGGCGGGTGTTCAGTTTCGATCTCGCCGGGGCTCTTTATTAGATACGAGGCTATGGATATTGGCTGATTCGTACAGGGCTGCTAGAGGCGCACACATCGCTACGGTCCTACTACAAGCATCGACGTATATATTCACCATATGCACGCATATATGCTGTGAGCCTTCCATGTCCGTCACTTACGGACTCCCGGTGAGCGCATATACCCTGCGTCCTCGACCTTACTACATTGATCATCTCTAAATATGACCATTTTTGCGGTCCTCTTGCGATCATGACCATGATTCAGTGCTCTCTGTGAAAGCCGTCTATCGCCGATCGACACGTCGCCTTGCAGTCGATGGGCCAATCCCCTGTGTTGGTCAATGAAGTTCACGTGTACCCACCTCGATCGGCATGTCTCGGATGGTGGGGGGACGCTCAAGTTGGAGAATGAGGGCACAACGTAGGGATCGGGAAGTAGGTTCATACGGCGCCAATGCCAGTTCAATTAAAGGTCGGCCTTCAAAACTAAACGCGCGCATTATCACTTGTCAGCTTCTCATCAGCACCCGTTCAGTTCTTTGCTGTCTATCAAACGATGCAAGCATCACAGTAGCATTACCTGCATTCGCCTTCGGTCCTTCCGGCGGTTCATTTGATCGACTCGTTATTAAGAACGCCGAACGACGACAGTGAAAGGACAGCGGGGCGCCACGATGCCCGCCCTCACCCCCCATGCATTGTTTCGGACCATAGTGCTTCAGCAATTTGGTAACAGATCCGACACAGCGTAAAATGAGTTTCTGAGGGTGTACTTCCCGAGTCATTTGTGTACTTGACAGGTCAGCGCGGCACCCCTGAAGGTCGTCTCAGCGACATGTGCATCTCGGGACGACATGTCTCAAGCACATGTGTCTCTATATGCGTCTCTATGCTTGCCGACGTCGGGAATGAATCTGCTCGCCTCTTCGTCGACTCGGTCACCAGCGCGGTCTAGTCCATTGGTCGATCTATTCAAAGTGCACTCGCCTAAGACTTACCCCCCGAGGATCTCGGTCTCAATTGTATTTGTGCTGATCAGCTGCAATGCACTTTACCCTTGGTGACAGGAGGCCTCGGCTTGCATGTGGCACGGGTTGGTACCTCCTCAACTTTGTGTTATCAAAGCTGCATTTAATCCTGACTGACATGTTCCGCGTGGCTGCTCAAGTCGGAGTCTGAGTCCGAGACAATGGAGTCTCGGAACCTCAACGAGGTACACATACACGATACATTCTCGACCAGCTCATTCAGAACGAGTCGGTCTGTTGATGTCTGCTCCCGAACCTCCGCAAGTTTCGGCGAGAGGCAAGCAGTCCGAGCGCGAGTGTACCATTTCTTGAGGATCGAACCCGCAGATCAGTCGAGCTCAACGAACCCGCAGATCAGTCGAGCTCAACGAACCCGCAGATCAGTCGAGCTCAACTAACCGCCCACGCAGGACTCAAGCACGTCTCCACTGCGCGTTGTGCGCCTGGCTTGAAAGGACGAACAATGCAAAACCAATGCCACAAGCACCGGAGTGCACAGCATTCCCGTATGTTACTTGTCTTCTCTGAACAATGAAAGCCGGCAGTGACAGGGCCTGACAGGACACGTCGCGTTTTGCTTTGTGTCTCCCGCCAAATCGTCACAGCTTGGCGCCGCGTACGTTTGCGAGCGCACGTCGAAGGCCTTGTACACGTATACAAACACGCCCCCGCACAGCCGCCAAACGCCCAGGGCTCGCGCTCGACCTGTGCGTCTCTTTGTGGCATCCCGATCGCGTGTCGAAATCGCCGTGCTGATCAAGCTGTACATGCATGCCGCACGCCGGCTTCAGAGAGATCGATTGGGGTGGTCGAGATAACTTGTGATCTGCTGACTCGGTTTGGCATGGAAGAGGCGGACAAAGGCGCCTTGGACGTTCATTTACCTAAGTACTTGAGAGCGCCCACAAGGGTCGGCAGAAGCTAGGCATAGCTATAAATGGCACCTGCCTTAGTGAATTATGCGCAAGGCACGGGAAAAGAAGTGCCTCAACAAGGAGACAATGCAAAATTTAAGAGATGAAGCAACACATGACCAGCCGCTATGTTTTGAAGATGCGCGTGAGGAGGTCTCAGTCGAGTGTCTGAATAGCCTCTAATGGATATCATTGGTTGCACGACTAGTGGGACCATGTTTTGACCCCATTCTGACACTCTGATCTCTTGCAAGTGAGGAGGGATCATATGGACAATTGTTTACCCTGCTTAGAACTCCAAGATGGTTTCCGAGAAGTCTTCAAAAATCCACGCCCACGGCATGTATATAACAATCATTAGAAGGTAAGGCTAACATTTGGACTCGTTCGGGAGCCTGCTGAGTTACCAGTTTCTGCTTCGGTCAAAAACAATAAATTGTCGTGAACACTGCACATACGGCGTCTTCGTCGCATCCCAACCTATGACGTCGACGAGCAAAAGATTAGCCAAAGTTGCGGCATACATTGCTTCCTCTGTCAGGACGGAATGTGATGGATGGATGAGCGCAACGATACGTTAGCTGCGAAATCGAAGCAGGCACGCGCGATGTACAAAAGACCGGTCCAAGTTGCGGCATCTACTACTTCCTCTGTCAAGACGGGACGTAATTTCTAGATTGGCGCTTCGTCATTTGCAGAATCGAAGCAGGCAGGCACAACGAACATGAGTGTATCGGACAGCGGAACATGACCCTGTCCAGTGAGTAGACTTACTCGAGAACATGCTGGCATGCCGCATGGACCAGGAAAATTGGTAGGTGTCCGGCTCAATGATGTTCGGGATTGTGGTTCAATACCTAATACCGACATATGTTAGGATCATGTACCGGCGTGTTGGCTTGTTGGCGAACTCGTCAAAAGCACGCCATGCAACCCATCGAACTTTCTGTGAACCCGCCGAATACGAAGGCCCGAGGCTGAAAACCCATGACGGGAGGTATTTTGGATGCCTATGAACTTAGGCTGTAAACGAAGGACATCAGACGTGACTTTACGGCTGGAAGTAGCCTAGTAGGAAAGTGAGTCACAGATGGTTGATTCGAGGCAGAGCTGACATCGTATAGAGTCTGGACATACATGTCGCTGGCCTCTTTGAGCAAAACACACGATCAAACTCCATCAGTGCTCTTTACCCTTCCTTACCCCATGCACAACCATGCGCAGACAGCGGAGATTAGCTGTAGATATAGATTCAGCACAAAATCGCAGACAGTTAAACTTTAAACGTCGACCTGCTATAGGAAAGGCTCACAATATGGACGAAGGATCCTCACTGGGTCTCTCGATCTGCTGGGAAATTTCAAATCATCGCAATCTTGAGCGAACCGATGCACGGTCGAGGGGACGCGTCAAAAAGTTGAAAGTAACCACCGCATCGCGGACGACACAAATTTCGGCTCGATGATACCCGTGCAACGGCTCCTCGTATTTTGAGTTGCTGACAACGTGCGTGTTAGGTTCCAATTGGTGGGCGACGACCCATCGATAAGCCACCACAATCCCCAGCACTATCGATAGGCACACACAGAAGTATATTGACCGCAAGGCTGGCGACAATTGGCGGTTTGAAGTTAGCGCATTTAAGCTTGCGCACAACGAGCTCGCGACGTCGCCAATTGTCTGCCGCGGGAGTAGAAACGAGGTTTTCGCGCAATTTTTGTCATAGATCTATCGTCGGTTTCGTGGTTGAGGACGGGCAGGAGAGCGCGGGACGGCTTCGTTGAGGCGTGAATGAGGCGAACTGCATAGCTACGAGCAGATTTTTGACAGGACGCTACATAGGAACCGGACATGGTAAGCCCGTATCACAGGGCACAAGGTAGTCGTGAATGGTACATACTCGCCGTCCAAAATCAAAAATCTCGGAGTTTTCAGCCCGCTCTTGGTCCCGTACAGTTGCTCTCCCGAGGCTCCGGGTGCTATGCAATAGGTATCAAGAGCGGCATGCGTTCTGCGATAGATCACGCAAGCGATCGGTTCGTAGGATAGTTTGAAGAGAGGAAGAGTCAATCTCGAAAGACTCGGTTTCGGGAGATTCGTTCCGATTTGGGACTGAAAGTGACGAGAAGGCGGACGCATGGGGACGACATGTGGGTGACTGGGATGCCATTTTTTTTGGTTCGTCCGCCATCCAAAGTGTCCACGATGCACATGAACTGACAAAAAGTACGAGAAGATTGGACTTACCAAGAAAACATCATGTTCTGTGTCGGGGAGAGCGATCAATGAGCTAGAATCGGTATCTTGTACGAAATCCGAATACCCTTTCCAACAGGGTATGATCTGAAACAAACACGATTGCCGATTGTTAGCATTCTTAACAGTTCTAATCCGCTTTCCGAGGACGCAATGATGGAGGGAGGCCCACAGGGGCTTTTCCAAACTTGATAAGAGCGAAAACAAAGTGCTTGCATTGGCGACAGAGGGGATAATAAATTAAGACCAAGAACCATTGCAGCGGTCCCGTCCACAACTATGATTGAAGTTCTGGAATAGCTCTCAAATTTCAAAGCGGACTTTGCTGTCACCTTGGAAGCGAAGCGGCGTCTTAATTGAACTCAGAAGTATGGTTCTACGAATGAAGATGGAATAGGAAGTAGACGAACCAAAGAACGCAACTTTTGACGCCGCGATTGCAAGCAAACGAAGTTGCTTGCTCATGTGCCATCCTGTTGTGATTACGTCTTCAATATGTGAGTGCTTGTGCTTCGAAGTTTTGTAGTTTCGGAGGAAACATTGTGGGTCTCTCAAAGACATCTGGAGGATCGCGAATGTTAGGAGAGGGCTCTCTCTTGGTGTATGACTAGTATATATGTGCACAAGCACATTGTGAAAAGTGAATTTTGATGGGACTAAGAATCTCGCTCAACGACGGATGCTTATGCCACCTCGAAGAAAAAACAGACGTTAATTCTGCATTGCCTGGCATAGAGAAGGCTAAACACACCCACTTTGTGAAGTGATAGAACTGTGATTATTAGTCGCTTCAGAAATGTACGGTAAGGACGAACGGTACGAGGGCGGAACGTGCAAACTATCAGAAACATAGGATTCCCATTCGTGATAATTTGCGGTGTTCCACAAAGACCCAGTTGCAGAGACTTCGCTGTCAGAAGAAACGGCCTCAGCATGCCACGGCCCCGAAAGTGACAGTGAAGCGAAGAGTTGCCGGGGGAGGCTATTTGGGGTAACAGTTGACTTCTCAGGCGATTTTGGCCAAAAAGCGGTCTTGTGGTACCAAGTTGAACGTGAATGAATCACGAGCGCACATCGAGACCGGCACTTATTCGGATCAATCAAGTACGAACGAGGCGACGATGGTCCACGGAGGCTCTAGAACACAGGATTAGAAGCAATGTAACGCTGAGCGGCGAAGGTGGGCTTAGCTGGCATCAGGAGACAGGCGGGTACGGTCATTCATTCCGAGAACGCAGGGGACATGTCAAATCGAGCAATTAACGGTGGAAACCGAGGGGGATTGACAGAAGGAGGAAGCCTGAGGAGAGACCAGCTGCTCGATATGGGTCATGATTCCTGGCTGACTAGTAAGTTTGTCGATGTCCATACGAAGGATAGACTTGGTGTACCAGATATGTCGAGCGCATCCAACGACAGAGAAGCCCATTCTAGAACATCGCACATGCCAATCAGATAACACTGAAACGATGTATAGCCCCACGCACTCGTTCTGAACGAGTGAAGGCACATGCCAAGTTATGTCAGACCAATCAGGATATATTTCAAGCACATCGCAAAATAGCGTCGTCAGATGCGGTCGGCCTCGTTGGTCGAGCGCACAGCACGGGTCATCGGTATTTAAGAGGCTGAGATCAAGACTCAGCTCATGCTGGTTAAAAAATACACCCGGAAGGAAGAGGAGATCGCGAGGGCGCGAGGGAAACATGCTCGACCGAAAAACCCGGTGGGCTATCTGTAGAGGCCCGTCAGGTTGGTGAGCCTATCAGATGCAACAGTCCTCATGGGCTCAGGATTACAGCGATGCCACAGAGTGTCATCGAGCGGGAAGTGAAGTCTCTTTTGCGGCTAAGGGCTGCGGGGCAAAGAACGAGGACTGTCGCGTCCATTCAGCTGACTCGCTTGGAAGACATAGGAAGATACCGCAAAATTGCCATGGCCAGAACGCGACTGGTTGATCGGTGATTAGAAGGATAGATAAGCGAGAGTTTGCAGAGGCCCGTGAAGATCGTCACTGGTGGAAAGTGCCCCAACTCTGGCAGTCACCTTTTTGGCAGTTGGACTGCCTCTACAAATACAGCCGGTCATGTTATCTCAGTGGTAGGGCCATTGTGAGCTTGATTGAGCCGCTTCTAGTCTGAAAAGTGTTAGAAATCGGATAAGGAGCCTGGCGTTGCGTGGCCCGCGGGTTGCCCATGCTTAAAGACATCGGGTCCAAGAAGTAGACGGATGGCATGAGGAGTATAGAGGGGTATGGGGTATTCCTAAGCACCTAGATGGTCATTTACTGCGTCGTTGACCCGTTCTATTCACACGACTGTAAGGAACTAGCCAGGTTGGACTTGACAAAACAGTGTCGGAACATCACGTGAAAACGCCAATTCCGCAGGAAAATCGGGATTTCACGCTCTACTGTTTCGGCATCCTTTCTCTGTCATGCAGCCATCGCTCTTCGCTCGCAGCGTCCGCAACACCTTTCTCAAACGTAGGCCTGTCCTTCGCAGCGTGTCTACGACCTCCCGCCTTTCAAAGGATCCATGGCCGCTACCGCACACACCCGAGCACCTGGCATCGACAGTCACACCTACAGACCTACCACCGCCTGAGCCCCTGTCGCGCTCCAACGAAAGTATCGAGACGACGCGCGCGCGGCTGATCTATCAGAGCCGGAAACGCGGCACATTGGAGAGCGACCTGTTGCTGAGCACGTTTGCGCAAGAGAAGCTTTCTGCGATGGGTGCTTCCGAGCTGCACGAGTATGACAAGGTGCGAGTCTGCGTGTTTTGCCTTCTTTGCAGTCCGATCTACCTTATTCGCTTTCACGGTCTCTTCTGTCCACCGCTCTTTTGCCAGTTGCTTACTAAGGCCTCAAATCCCTAGCTTCTCGACGAGCCGGACTGGGACATCTATTACTGGGCAACTGGCAAACGTACTCCACCCGAGCGTTGGGCGTCCTCGTCTGTTCTCGAAAACCTCAAAGTACATGCTCGAAACGAAGGCAAAGCCGTCAGACGTATGCCGGACTTGCATTGATTGGATGTAATCTTGTTCACAACTCACTTTACCCTGATCGACGTCCACAATATACGTGTACCGGAGGTTGGTGACAACGTCGAGGGCTTGAAGGATTCGCTCATGTAACGATCCTTATTTGTAGTCTCTCACGAGCAGTCTGCACCTCACCGAACGTCAACGTGGCAAACCACAGAAGCACATACAACGTAGTTCCATTCGCACATAATCGATATAGGAATGTTTTTTATGTCTCGTGCTCTCAATCTTCCTACCTTTTCGTCGGCTGTGAATTTATTCTAAGTCTCTCTTCGTACCTCTTTAGCAGCAGCCTGCGAACCCACCCGTCCTTCGGATATTCTTTCTCCCATTGATTATGCAGATGGACTGCAAACACATTCTTTAGTTTTTGGTCTAGTCCCCCGCCCACGTCTCGCGTCAGACCTCCCGTCCACCGTCCATCAGTTGGATCTGGGGCGAAAGGATCTGGTAGACGGTTATCGAGACGGCAGGAGCGTCCGTCGGAGAAGCAGAATGGCAGGATTTTAAATGGTGGGATCCCGCCGGCCACTAGTCGACGCCAGAGTTTCAGGTAGAGGAGTGCTCCCCAGTCGGTGGATGAGGCGCGCGGAGCGGGTGAGGTTGCAATGATATGGAAGGCTTCGCAAAGGTAGGGCGAATGTTGGTGAAAGTGCATTAGTGCGCCGTTGAACGGCTGGTATATTTTGTCTGAAAGCCAGCAAACGAGGTCAGTCGAAGGGATCGTTAGGAACATAACGACAAGAAGTAAAACGAGACACGTACCGTAACAATCCCATTGCGTCACAAATTCATGCTCCAACAGTGGGCTTAGATCTCTCGTCAACAGACTGTCCATGTCTACCCACACACCGCCCTCCCTCCATACAACTAATAGCCTGATTAAATCACCGTCCACCCATGCTTTCTTGTCTGTGCTCCGCAGTAGCGCGCTCCCCTCCAACTCTGTCCCCTTCGCCAAATCCGCAACGTCCGCAACCCGCAACTCAAACGCGCCAGGATACCGCGAAACATAACCGTGCAGCATTTCGTTCCCCGAGAGGTCCCCGTTTGACCAGAGGATGAACTTCGAATGCCCAGCAGGCTGCGTCGCAAAGAACGACTTAAGCATCCACTCCTGGCGCTCCCCGAACGGCGCGAGGTCGGTGCGCCAATATGAGTGAAAGTTCGTCACGCCCTCCAGCTCGTGGTCTGGCGGCGCACGCAATGTACCCGCGAAATCATAACAGTCGAGCCCGAGGCGTAGTGAGACCCCCGCCTGCACCTCGTTCCGCCGTGGCCCGTACACGCGCTCCGAGACGTTATACATCGCGCTCACGCGTTCGTTATTGAAACAACCAGCCAGAGGTTCTATAGGCACAATCTCCCGCTGAACCCAAGCCCGCTCGTAAAATGCGAGCTCGATATGCGGCTCCCACAGGAAAAAGCCTCCGAATACGAGGAGAAAGAGTGCGGGGGCGATGATTTTCAGGAGCAGAAGGACCGTACGTCGGCGAAGGAAGAATGAATGTCCGGCTGAGGAACGAATAGACCAACTTCGACGGCGAGGAGGCTCATCATCGTATGGAAGGGAGAGTGGGAGGGTCGGAGAAGTAGGCGATGAGCGGAGACGCGGGCTCGTGGACCCAGACCTGAGTGGATGCAGTGGTAGACGCGAATACTCGCTTTGCGCCATCTTCAAGCTTGATGTTGCTAGGGGTATCGATTGGTGGTGCTGCCTATGCTTTGGATCGTTGAAGAGAAGAGGCGTATGAGTGATGGCTGTAATATATAAGTCTAGTAAGCAGAGGTGCTAATATACTCCACGCAGCCCTCAATTAATCATGAAGTAACTCCGGAGATTGTTGTGCGAGAAAATGGTTGAAAATTTGCGATTCAGGAGATGATGAATGACGAATAGGTGGTTGTGAGCGCTGTCGTTCTCTGTCGCACTTGTATGCAACAAAGTGAAGAAACGTTCTTGGTGATATTTCAGTGCATGCACTCGTGACGTAATTCATCTTATCTTGCCGTGGCATATTGTCGGTCCATTTGCAAGAGGGTCGAGATACTTCAAACCAAGGAAATATGACTGAAAACATCAACCGGGATTGCATTTACCATGCAGAACGCGGGGGACGGCAATGCTAACAGCTACAACGTGCTCGTAAGACCGACGAGCAAACAACGCTACCCTCACCACTACCACCATCCGCCAACCGCCAACCACCAACCACCAACCACCAACCGCCAACCGCCAACCACCCACCAACCGCCAACCGCTACCAAGACCCCATTCCGCTCATCACCACCATGAGCACTACATACCATCACAACGAACGAAGAGCACGAACAAAGGTAAGGTGTCGATCAACCGATAAGACAAAAACCGATCACGCTAAGGGGACAAAGGGCGACGTGACTGAGCAGGATTGGAGAGGAGGATGAGGCAGACGAGGCAGATAAAACGGATCGTGATGTCGCCAGAGCAACCAGAGAAGAGAGAAGGAACGGCGAAGAATATGCGCGAGTAGAAAGTATCGAGGAGGGAGCAAGATCAGCTCTCTCTCTCGTGAATGTAGAAAGGTGCAGAATAAGGGAGAGGGCCGAGGAATGCGCGTGGGTGGAAAGGAGGAATATATATATAACACAAAAGTACCCCTTGTTCGCAGTGACGGTATCGAGTGGCCAGATGGCGATAGGCGGGGTGAAGCTTGCGTTCGCCCCTGCGCCCAACCCCTGCTTCATATTGCCCCTCATCTCTGGGCAACGGGAACTTGCCCACGATATGCTCCAGCGGGAGCGCCAGTCGGATACGGCCTCGCACCTCCCGCCGGCTGTGCGGTTCCATTCGTCCTCCCCTGTTGCTGCTGCTGCAATGCCGCTGCATGGCGTGCCTGTGCCTGCACTGAGGTGGACGCCTGCGACCTTGGGGGCTGTAATTGCGACTGTGGTTGCTGTAATTGCGACTGCGACTGCTGCTCCGACTGGGTCGACCTCGATGGCTTTTGCCCAGTAGGCTCCTCAACTGCGCTGGGTGCGACATAGAGTCCCTTGTCGATCTGGTGCGGGATGGGCTGGATCTCTGTACCGAGCTCCTGCTCGATCTTGTACAAGTTGAATCGATCTTCGTACGTGACGAGGTTGATGGCCAGACCTAAGTGGCCGAACCGCCCGGACCGACCAATACGGTGGAGGTATGTCTCAGAGTTCTTGGGGAAATCAAAGTTTATGACGACGTTCACAGCTTGGATATCGATACCACGCGTGAGCAAGTCTGAGCAGACGAGGTTGCGGCATACGCCATTGCGGAAATCGTGGAAGACGCGGTTACGGTGGGATTGAAGCATCTTCGCATGCGAATAGAAACATGAGTAGCCGAGCTCTGTCACCTTTTTGGCGAGGAGCTCGACGCGGTTTGTAGAGTTGCAGAAAATTATGGACTGGTTAATTTGCAGCTATAATGGTTGTTGGTTTCATGGGCGATTACATGGTAGACATAGAAGAGACAAACCTTAGAGAAAAGGGTGTTGAGACAGTGCACTTTTTGTCGCTCTTCGACAAAAGCGTAATATTGAGTGACACCACGTAGTGTCAGTTCGTCCATGAGGTTGATCTCGTGCGGAGAGTTCATATGTTTGTCCTAAACAACAAATGAGCGTGGCCGCCCAGAGGGTGGATTTACCGAAAGTAGACAAACCTTGAAGTCTTTGACGATCAGGGGGAATGTTGCGGAGAAGAGCATGACCTGGCGGTCTTTGGGGAGGTAAGCGAGTAGCTGCTCCATCACAGGGGAGAACTCGGGGGACAACAGCTTGTCCGCTTCGTCCATGACGAACACCGGACATTCACTCAAGTCCGCGACGTTCTTCCCAGTTAAATCGAGGATACGGCCAGGTGTGCCAACTAGAACATGCACCGTCTCCGACAACCGCAAGATATCGTCTTTCAATGTTGTTCCACCGGTGGTTACCATGACCTGGATGCCCATATGCTTTCCAAGGATCTTGCATACCTGACTGGTTTGGAGCGCGAGCTCCCGAGTAGGGACTAGGAGAAGGGCTTGGATCTTATTCTTGTTGATGTCGATCTGTTGGAGGGAAGGGATGACGAACGCGGCGGTCTTGCCAGTCCCGTTCTTCGCACGCGCAAGGATATCGCGTTTGGTGAGTGCCATGGGTATCGCTTCTTCTTGGATGGGTGAGGGCTTTTCGAATCCGGCTTCGAAGATGCCCATCAGGAGTTCGCGTCGGAGGAACATGTCCTCAAATTCGAGGCCCTTCGTCGCCATGACATCTTCAGTCTGTGGGCGATCGTCGCGTGGTGGTGGGCGCAGGCCAGCACGCCAGTTGTCATTGGGACTAAGGATGAGAGAAGGGGTTCAGTGGTGCACAGCGACGCGCATTACGACACTAAGAAAAATGCGGCCGAGATCATAGCCCCCGGCGCAGAAGTGGGTGCCAGGTGGGTGCCCAATAATAGTACGTTATCGACACGGCCCAAACGGCATCAACAACAACTAAAATAAGTCCCTTGCTAGGGCGACTCTCCACAAGTTTTTTGAATCTTAGCATCATATGAACATCCATTGCACGCTCCCAAACAGCATGCACGGCGGTCAATGCGAGAATGATTTATGTGATGGCAGTGGTAGATTTGCCTGAAAAATAGCCAAAGGAAGTCGGGCTTACGATGAAGATGAGGAGGGGCGTGCTTGTTGAGACATTTGCTAGAATATATGAATGCTTTGGGAGGCAATATTCGATGCGAGAGTTATGTCGATGAGTGGGATGGGGGCGAGAGGATAAGCGCGATGTGGGAGGGGATATGCGTGTGGTTTGCGTGACGCAGACACGAGGATGTCAGAAGCGATCACGGATAGACGAAGCGGTTGTCAAAGCGGCTTGCAGGCGAAGAGTGTCGAGCTGGCGATAGCTATGGGTTTGGCAGCGTGCAAAGGAGGTGTTTGTGGTGTTGGGCAAGAGGGGGGACGATGTGGACGAGTGGGATGCGAAGTGCAGACGACAACGACGACAGTCGCTAAATTCAAAGTTCGGGGGCCACCGCCCTCACGCTCCGCTTCAATCCCGGCCCACCCCTTCCAGACCTCTCCCCTTTGGCCTCGTTGGAAAAGTTGGGTGGTTCGTGGAGATTGCATCATAACATTGCTTGCGTTTGCGTTGGCACAGCGGGACCCAGCAGAGGTGAGGATCGTGTTATTGTCTGAGTCTTCATCACACATCACATCGTCAACTTCCAATTGCTGCCTCAAGTTGCCCACACATTATCGCAGGCTCGTTCATGATCCATTGCAAAGACCGCACATCTTCCTTTTACCCATCACATGCGTGATCATTGAGAGCGTGTGTACGGATGACAGTATGTATCAGTTTCATCGAACGAAAGCTATCTTATGTTCTCACCGTCTTCAAGTCATCGAACATATGCTCTAATCAAATCCTATCGAACCTGGGCCTGAGCGCCCCTCTTCACAGGCGACCCGTATCACCAATTTACTCTAGAAGGACCCACCGTGACCTGCGAGTGAAACCCTTTCCGACCATGATCGACGTATTTCGCGATCCCATGATCTACTTATATCCCCAAAACAGCCATTTTACCCTCAACAGCCATTTCTTTGGACAAACATTCATAGACCGAAGCCAGGAGTTTTCGTCGATGTAAGTCGCTCGACATCTTACTGGATGCGAGACGAACAGCACTAACAAGCACCCATGTTATTTTTCCACTGGTAATTTGGACTGGTCAGGATTCCCGGCTACGCCCTTCCATTTTTAATACGACGGTTGACTAGTCAAACGAGGCAGCTGACACTGGTTCTGGCGCTTGTCATAGGATCCCTACCTGACAAAATACCGCTTCTTGGCACGGACCATGCGATCGAGCTTGTCGCATAAAAGGATAGTATTAAATGCTCCTTGCGCGACATCTCCTTCCCCCAATTCCGCCATGATCACTCTACCTGAAGGATTGACACTGCCCACGCTCGACAGACTGAAGGCAACAGTTCCTGACGAGCTCGATTCACTCAAGGTCGCACGAGACTGGTTTTCAGCATTCGCGACTTATGTCGTAGAGGCAGACGTTCAAGGAATCGTTGGGTTGCTCGTCGAGGACGCCTTCTGGCGCGACATGCTCTCTATGACTTGGGAATTCCGCACATTTCAAGGATCAAAGAAGATCCAAATCTTCTTGGGCGACCGGCTCGGCGAGCTGAAGTTCTCGAATCTTGTGTTAGATGACCGTTGGGTAGAGTTGCAGCGCCCGTACCCTGACATCGCGTGGATTCAGGGTCTGTTCAAGTTCGACACGTCTGTGGGGACGTGCTCTGGCGTCTTCCGCCTCGTTCCCACGTCGTCTGGAGATTGGAAGGCACACACCATCTTCACGAACCTCGAGGGTCTGCGGAACTTCCCAGAGAAATCAGGCCATCTGCGAAACCCCCTTCCTAACCACGGATTGTGGCCCGAGCAGCGACGTAGAGAAATAGAGTGCGAGGACGAAGATCCCAAGGTCATCGTCATCGGTGCAGGCCAAAGTGGCTTAGAAGTCGGTGCTCGGCTGAAATATCTTGGCGTCAAGTCGCTCTTGATAGAGAGGCAGAAGAGAGTAGGAGATCAGTGGAGACTTCGGTATGAGGCACTATGCCTTCACGATCCGGTTTGTGCGTTTACACACTACGACCTCGAATGGGCTACGAAGGCTGATCTGTGATTTTTTTTCCTCTTTGCTTTAGGGTATGATCATATGCCGTATATTCCGTCAGTATTCGCAGTCTGCAGGAGACATAGTTCTATGCTAAAACCGTGGACGGATAGGTTCCCATCGACATGGCCTACCTTCACTCCTGCACCAAAGGTATGACAAGACGTGGTTCGAAGCTTCGATATCACTAAAACAGAGGATCAGCTCGCGGACTGGCTCGAGAATTATGCGCATGCTCTGGAGTTAAACGTTTGGACCTCTTCAACCGTCACGCGCGTCGAACAGGACCCGCAGACTCACATATGGACCGTGAACATACGTCGAGAAACCGGGACCATCAGAACATTCCGCGTAAAACATGTCATTTTCGCTGTAGGATGGAGCGGTGGGGCGCCGCACATGCCAATCTATCCGGGAATGGTCAGCCCATGAAATGAATTCATGCACAAAGCGAACTGATGCCGAACTTACTCATAGGACGATTTCAAGGGTCAGATTTTGCATTCATCTCAGCACAAGAGCGCAAGAGACCATATCGGAAAGAAAGTCGTCGTAGTTGGGGCTTGCACATCTGGTAAGCGATATAGTACCACTCTCTTCTGTGGACAATCACCAAGCCCTCCGTCAATCAGGACACGATCTCAGCGCAGACTATTATAATCACGGTGTTGGTGAGTATACATCTTCATCACGTCCTGTTGTAGATTACAAATTCGCGTTCAGATATCACTCTGTACCAGAGAAGTGAGACCTATATTATGTCTACGAAGAATGGCTTGCCACTCTTACTTGGAGGTAACATTCTACTTTGATGATGTTGCACATCTTGCACGCTTATCAGTAATCCGGGCAAGACCACTACTCCGAAAGTGCGCCGCCCACCGATATCGCAGACCTTTTCAATGCGTCATACCCGAACCATCTCATGTACCTCATACATCAACGCAAGACCAAGGAAATCGCCGAGGCAGACAAGTATGTTTTTTCTGTTGAACCGAGAAATGCTTTTGACACAGCTGCTACTTACGATCAAGGGAAATCCTTGACGGGCTCAAGAAGCGCGGATTCCGGCTCGGATGGGGCCACGGTGGCTCGGGATTCCTCACGCTTGCGTTGACTCGCAGTGGCGGGTACTATCTAGGTGAAGCTCTCGCGTTAAGCGAGTCGCGCTGATCCTGATCATTACTCTGACTGAAACGCTAGACGTTGGCACGAGCAAGCTCATCGCGGATGGCAATATCAAGTTGAAGAATGACAGCCCGATCGAGGGCTTCAGCGAGAGCGGGCTGAAATTCAAAGATGGATCGATGCTCCCTGCGGACGTGGTCGTTTTCGCGACGGGGTGAGTGTCCCCATTTGAATTTCCAAGAGATCACAGGACCCATGTGTGTCATGTCCCTGCGCGCAGATTTTCTAATGTCCGCGAGCCCATCTACAATCTGTGCGGAGAGGATGTTGTGAATCGCCTTAGGCAAGTCTGGGGACTAAACGACGAGGGTGAGATAAACAGTGCGTGGCGGGACACCGGCATTCCCGGTCTCTACGTGATGATGGGTGAGTGATTGCAATACTACCACCTCATGGTACGTGATATTTATGGCTTCCTCGCAGGGAACCTGGCAATGTGCCGGTTCCATTCGAAACATTTGGCACTTCGTGAGTGGAATACTTCATGATCGAAAGTCAACAGTTGACATAGCACTCCGTACCGACCAGAGATCAAAGCGATGGAGGAAGGCATATTCGGAGAGCGATATGTATTGAGAGATGATGCATGATGTTGCCTGGGCTAGGAGTATGCGCATGGGTTGCTATTTTATATAGCTCCTGATACGTCTTGAGGCTTGAAGATTTCGTCGAGGATCATCATAGGAAAGAAGGATGGACTCTGTATTGATAGACAAGCAAACATCGAGTACGGGTCCAAGTTGTCCTGAATACGACAGACAGGTTATGATAGCATGCTGATACAGTACAGACTATAGTACACAAGGAACAAAATGAGACTCAACTTCGCCACTGAACCCTAAAAAAACATTCTGAAACTACTCAAACTTCTTGACTCGCCCCTTCCTTCTTGCCCGTCCTGAAGGAGAAGTCAGTAGTGGTCATTGATTGGATAGAGGGAAACGCACTTCGAGCGTGTGGGAAGGAGTTCAGGGTTGATGAAGGGCACAACACCGCCCTGGCTGATGACAACATCACCAAGTAGTTTGTTCAACCTAGGAGGATGAGACGCATGAGTCGATGCCACACATGTCATGTAAGCTCAACTTACTCTTCATCATTACGAATAGCAAGTTGCAAATGCCTGGGGACAATACGCTGTTTCTTGTTATCACGAGCGGCATTTCCAGCCAACTCCAAGATCTCGGCGGCCAAGTATTCAAGGACAGCAGCCAAATACACTGAACCCTCGATAAGTCTCATGTATCTGACGCTAATAAACTTCAACGCACCCGGAGCGCCAGCACCCACACGTTGTGCGTAGTTGCCCTTCTTCAGAAGGCGGTGCACACGACCGACAGGGAACTGGAGGCCAGCTTTTGCAGATCGCGACTGTGACTTGCCCTCGCCACCAGTCTTGCCACCAGATGAGGATTTTCCAGCTTTTCCTGCACGACCCAAGCATCATCAATGAGAGGCTCCCTGTGGCACAGCAAAAATACACTGACCTTTTCCGCTCTGAGGTAGATAGACATTGGAGAGATGAGTGCCGCCACTGTATTTCGATTGCAAATAAAGCATACCATTTTGTTTCTACGTTTGATAGACTAGTCGAAGGTATACAGGTGGACGAGTGGTGATGGAGGTTTGAGAACAAGAGAGGTAGATCAACGAACGAGCGAGCGAAGCGCGACTATATAAGTGGATGTCACGTGATGTGTGCTTTGGACGTCGCGTCGTTTGGGTTTATTTGGCAGGCGATACGGCCAAATGCTTGCTAGTACTCTCCGACGTACGCAGCATACGCCCACTCGCGCGTTCATTCGACATGCTGCCAACAATGCTGGTCATAAAACCTCAAAGAAACCTCCAGCAAAACCTCCAGCAAAACCCCTGGCAGATGATTCGTCCACAAAGCCCTTTCAGGCTCCTTCAAGCCCACCAATGTTTCACCTAATCCCGCCTCTGCAGAGGCCCCTGGGCGTCCCAGATGTCCCTACCACAGCCGTCAAGACCTGGTCGGAGATGAGTGCTGATATGCTTAACCAAGAGAAGCAACTGGCGAAGAGACGGCATCTGTGAGTCCCGTCGTGAGTCTCGTGAGTCTCTTCTCTGAAATGCCACCTCGAAGAGTCAAGCAGGCATCCACCGGATATTTCTATGACCTTCATATGACAAGGGTGCATGGAGGGAAGACATGGATGGCACCGGGTGTGTTGATCAGACAGGATGTGCGTGCTCTTATGGCATCACTTATACATTCCTCTCGTCCTGAGATGGCCTCAGAAAGCTTTGTACTTCCCAGACATTGTAGGGACGAAGTTGGATGATGGCGTCCAGACACACACTACTAACATTTGCTCTGGTCGTATATCTGTGATCGCGATGCTCTCAACAAAAATCTCTGAGGTCGGAGACCCTGTTTCTCTTCTTCTTCGAAGCCTGAACGCCCTTCTGCCTCCACAGCAACACGCCGCTTCGTACACAACTCGCGTCAATGAGATGTATCGCAATCATCCATCTTACCAGTACATCCAAATTAATCTTCAAGAAAACTTTCTGAAGTCATTGCTGGTCAACATGTTCCTCTCGTCACTGCGTGGCCAGGTCCCGCCTCACCTCCAAACAACATACCTCATCTCGCGACAAAACATGGTAATTTTTACAGTCTCATGGCACCTGTTTTTTTATCTCGACTCATTTTCTGTTTACCTTTTATTTAGGAATACGTACGCGAACAGCTAGGAATGGTAAACTCACGCATTGGATACGTGTACCTGGTGGACGAGCAGTTGAAGGTGCGGTGGGCTGCCTCCGCAGATGCGAAGACGGAAGAGGAGGAAGCTTTGATTCGGGGCGTCGGCGTGCTGCTTAACAGAAGAAAGCACCCCAAGAAGGCCCCGGTCGATGATCACTGATATTGTCTTGTATCTCAGTGAGTTCTGCCTTCATGTGGTGTGCGTGTACTCACGTGTGCACAGCTTAGACTGCTTTTCTATTTTAGATGCTTTACTTCATGCTTTGTTTCGACATTTTGAGCTGCTACGACAATCTTTCTCGAGCTCACTACCTCCAGTGTTTTAAGTTAAATAATGGGAGTAAGTGCTAAGGTCCATTTTCTTTTACAGATCACGTCAATCAGAATGTCGAAACATGAGTTATCTTGGCTCATCTGACACAGATATTCCATCGGCTAGGGTTTGTTCCTACCACCCTTCAAATTCAGGTGAGGCAGATATATGCGCTCTAGATACGTGTCGGAATTTCATTCTTCCCTTGCAACCTCTGCGACCCACTGCCCAATTGCCTGCCATACATCCTCTCGAACCCGTTCGTCCCAACTCTTTAGCATTAAGATATCATGCACGCCATCTGGCGCCCAAACCATCTGCACACGGACCCCGTCGTGCTCCATACCCTTCGCTAGTGCTACGACTTCGCGCTCGAGCCGCTCCGCATCGCCGGCGACCACGAGGGCGCGGGGGAAGGATGTAAAGAGTCCTTGCCCATTCGGCGCGTAAATGTACGGATTTGCGTAGTCTGCAGGCATGCCAGATTCCGCATCCGTGCCAGTGTTCTCACGATAGTCACGAGTGCCGTCTTCTCCGTGCTGTGCGCGCGCAGGTTCGAGCTCTTCCATGCCTACGCGCCCATGGAACGCGGCCAAGACGCACTCGGATGCAGGCGAGACGTATGGGGAGTAGACCATTGCGACAGGGTGGTGCCCTAGGAATGCGCGCTGAAGCACCGCGCGGGGCTCAGGCGTATCGAGAAGATAGTCTGTAGATGCATGTGGACGTGGGCGCCGGGAGGCAGGCACTTGAGGAAGTGTATGAGCTGCGAGCCGATGTGCATTTCAGCGTACGAGTATAGAGAGGGTCAAGTGGCGCGCACATGGGTCACAGGAAGGCTGGGAGATGGTGCAATCGGCACGCAGTCTAGCTTCATCAAAGTGTTGGGCGAGACTTACGGATAGTAGAAGCATCCCATCCGGCGAGGGAAGCACACCTTCGTCGCGAATCCAACGTGCGAGGGCGAGCACCAGATTCCCACCCGCGCTGTCGCCTATCAGGACCACCTTGGGCCGGCGGATCGCAAGGTGCATCATGCCCGCTTCATCGTGTGTGAGTCTCGATGAGTCACTGCCTTTAGGTGGCGAAGGCATGGGCACTGCGTCATCGCGAACGAGCCGAACCTTGTTTGAACGGTGTGTCGTGTCACCATTGCAGTTTCCAATCTTCTCCTCTGAACTGATCATTCCAGAGCACGAGGCAGACAGGGAAGGCTGGGATAGGCCCCCCTGGATGCCGATCGAATCAATGCCATCGAGTGTTGGAGATGAAGCCGTGCGGGTATGGTAAGGCACGGCGGTGTTAGGGTAGCGGTACACGCCATCCACGCCACGCTGAGCGCCCAAGTGGTGTGTGACAAGATATGCGTAGACGGCAGCTGCATCCTGGATAGCGCCTGGAATGGGAGCGTGCTGAAGAAGGCGGTATTCAACGGCTGAATGAAGGTGTGATTAGCAGGAGACGGGAAGAACCAGACGCGACTGACCGTGAATTTCTTCGAAGAGTTTGTCCTGGGCATGGGGGTGGTGAGCAGTTCCGCAGCTGCATTATTCACGAGCTTACCTTCATCAAGCGTCGCGGTATCCTCGACGTCCCAGATTTTTCGTGAGCGGACATGTGGCAGTACCCTCCACCGTGCAGGAAGACGCCGATGACCCGTGAATTTGAACTCTCGGCCTCGACTTCCGTACCACTTGGATGCGAGAGTTTCGCATGCTTGACATTTTGCAGAGATGGTGCTGTATCTATGAATTTTCCTCGCTCGGCGCACCGCATATACATTCTGGGTGGGATTTCCTTTGGCCAGATATACGTCCCGACCTGTTGGCAACTGACTTCCTCGTCATCGACAATTCCAGTACGCAGTTGTTCAGGCAACGGGGGCACCCAGGCGAACCGCGTTTCTCTCAAGGTCGAGCCGTTGGGTTCTGCCTTCGGATCGCGTGTGTTCCAAGTGACACCGGCGACTTCCGTGACGCGGTAGATGCGCTTCATAAATTTGACGAGGACGATCTGGGTGAGTGACCAGGAAGGTCGGGGACGGTACGAGCGGGGTAGGGAAGTATAGTAGACAATCCAACATGGGACGAGGATGAGAGTCGAGAGAATCCGTTGGAGGACGTAGAGGGTTTTCCAGGGCTCATGAGCCCATGGGAGATGCTGTTGGTGAGGGTAGACTGGGTGTCGATCATACATCATGGTGGAACGGTGAGTGGACGCGCTCGATATAAACAGAGTAGGAACAGTGGTGTGAGGTGACGTCGGCATGGTCCGTTTCCCGACTTGGGCGGCCCTAACCTCACCACAGGGTTCCTCTATTGTGACCCCAGCCCCGCCCATCCGTCACCGACGTCATCCGTGGCCATCACGGCTCCTCGTCATTTCCAGCGGTCTCATATATAGATGTTAGAAATGCCGCGTCAGTTCCCATTATCCCATGTCTCTCCACTCCAAAATATCATCCAAGTTTCATCGTGCTAAAGACGCTCTCGCTCAGCCGCTCGCAGGACAGCCAGACACGAAGTCTGCCAGTAACACGAATTCAGACGACAGCGTCTCAAAATCCGTTGCTCCGGATGAAGTGGCGAGTCCGCCAGAGCCAACACAGCAGGCTTCGCGAACAAACAGCGCTCCCAGAGGATCCATGAACCCTGATGAAGTTCCATCGCTTTCGCACATGGATCACGAACCGGATTTCGTTGCACCTTCGCCTATGACCTCTGCGATTCAAGAGAACGAGACTGACCCCTCTGCTGACAAGGCAGATATTGCCGCGCTCCTTCCCGCTTACGGCTCCTCCTCTGCAACGGCATGGCTTGAACGTGATCGTTACCGCGTCTGGCGGCCGCCTGTGTCGGCCCCCGTGCGCGAATCTACCTTCACACCCGCTCAGGGCTATTTTCGAGCAGATCCGTATATCTTCGCATGGGGCAACCCGTTGGTGTCTTCCCCCGCCGCGCTGGTACCCACCGTGGCAGCGTTTTGGACGTGGTGCAAGCAGCGAAATCTTCGTCTCGTATGGTGCTGCGTTGACGGCCACATAGAGCGTGTTCTTGGTGCGTCCGGGAGCGAGTTTGGGTGGAGCACTGTCAGCTGCATCTCAGAAGACATCGTCGACCCGAAGGAGGTCGTCCACATTGTCGATGATCCTGGAGGCGGTTCGACGGTGAAAGATTTGAAGAAGAATCTTAGAAGGTCAGAGAGGGAGAACGTCGTCGTGCGTGAGGTCAAGCATGAAGAGTGGACCGAAGAACAGAAGCGAACCGTAGAAGAAGGGATACAGGCTTGGAAAAAGTCACGTACGGGGATACAAATCGCCGCTGTGAATATTATCCATCACTCTCACAACTCTGTTTTCTGCTTGACAGAAATGCTCTTGTAGACGTCATTTCAACCGTGGATCGACTTTGAACACCGCCGCTTCTGGGTCGCCGAGAAAGATTCCGTGGTAGGACGAATCCTGACACATCTTCCTTTCGCTCACGTTCTCGTGGCCTCTTTCTTCAGATCGTCGGCATTCTCATCCTCTCTCCCGTTCGCCCCGCCTCATATCAGATCAAGAACGCGGCTGGCTTCCCCAACGCGCCGCGCGGCACTGCAGAGCGGCTCATTTACAGTGCCATGCGCGACCTCCAAGATGCGACGCACCTTGACCCTCGCGCACCTGAAATCCAGGACCAGCAATCGCCGGTAGATAAAGACGCCGAGTCTTCAACACCGCTCTTCTTTGAGAAATATGAGCGCCTGCCCCCCGAATCGTTGGCAACTCCAACATCCGACTCGCACGTATCAATCGCGTCCGCTTCAGAATCTGCATCGTCCGTCGGGGCAACGATTGGGCGATCGTCTCGTACGTCCAGTACAGCGTCCACACCAGACCGGCATTCGCGCTCGGTTTCGCCGTCACCTGAGAGCGAAGACGATCGCGCACGTATAACGGTTACGTTTGGTATCTCCGCCGCGGACAAATTGACGCCTGTGGGCAATCTCTCCGGGTGGAAGGTCTCGTGGCTCGGCAAGGCCTATGGCAAGGTCGTCGGCGCGACCGGGCTCGTGCGCCGAGGGAATTTTAGAGTCAGACTTCCTGCCTTGTCGATATAGCGTCGCCGTTGATCATGTTTGCTTTTTGTGGACAGGATAAATTTCACGCGGAACATATGCCGATGTATGTGTGTTATCCGACAGAGGACGGCTTCGGCCTTGACGGTATCAACGCGCTCATCAAGTGCCTGCGGCAGTAGGATATCTACGGTGTTCTATATTTCCTTCTATGTTATTCGTGTCTTATCAATGATCTGCATACGCTGTGGAGAACTGGCTGTATAAATGTAATTGGGTCCCTTACGGATAAAGTTTCAGGTAGGATACTGCACGCATGACATAGAAAATTCTTCAGCAAGAAATAGATATGACAGACAGCACCACGCAGAGAACAAACAGCTATTTATGCTGTACATGCTTCAAGAAATCGATCGTATATCAATCACTTCGCTCCGGCACTAGGAGGAGCCCTCCTCAAGCTCTATCGTCACGCACCAAAACACTTTGCCCCACGGGTCACCCTCGCCCTCAATAGGATCCCCGTTTTGCGTCTTTGCACGCTCACAGCACACAAAGCGCACGGGCTGGCCATCCCAATAGTGCATCAGATCGAATGAAACACCGCCTGGGAGACGTAGGGCGAGTGAAGGCGAGAACTCGAGGAAACCGTAGCAGAAGTCGGTTGTGAGAAGGTCCTAGGGGTGCGCAAGCCGTAACGATAAGCTGTAGACGAAAGAAGGGGTGGGGGTGGCACTTACATGAGGCCCGAAGACGATGGCTTGTCGATGGGCGGAGGACGCGAAGTGCTTGCGACGTTTGTCGGCAGTCGAGAGCGCGCTTAATATGCGTTCGAGGCTCTTACTCTGCTTTCCGCGTTTCTTTCTGTGCTCTTCCGTGTTCTTGTTCTTATCGCTCTGCATGTGCGCGTGCGAGGAGAGAGGAGATGACTTTCCCGCCTCGAGCTGCACAAAGTTAGGCGATGAAGACGTGGATGAGGGAGACAAGGAGCTCGAAGACGTGAGCAAAGAGGAGGAAGACGAGGACGACGAAGATGACGATGAAGTAGTCAAGGCTGGACGGCTGTTCACGGCGAGATAGAGCTGAGATATGTCGTCCACGAGCGAGCTCGCAGAAGCGAGATCAGGCCACTCGCTGTCGCCTTTTAGGCGCGCGTGTGCAAAGTGCGGCATCGTCGCAATGAGCGGGGAGAGCGCCCAGGGCTTCGTAGGAGACGCGAGGTCGTGCTCCAACGTCGGATCCACAATACTATGTGCACCAATAAGTTGAAAAGATTCATATATCAAAGTCAGGCACACACCTCATGAACTTCAGCGCGACGGAAGACCCCCAGGGCAGCTTGAGCGGGCGGTCGAACGTGTTCCCGAAGAGCACATCATCCGCAGACCGCGGCTGCAGGAATCGACCTGCATTGGTATGTACCCGCCGGGCATACCAGAGATCATGTCAGCCACCAAATGATATTAATAGCACGGGAGGCTCGCGCGATCACTACGCAAATGGGACCATCGTTCAATCCTGTTCGAGTCATTAACGCACCCTGCACCTGAATGCTCCACGTAATGCCTTTGCGGTCGTCCCTGCTGAAGTACTCGTTCTCTGGCACGGTGCTATTGGAATCGTTGAGACCTTTTATATACACGAGCACGCGTCCCTCAAAGTCAGGAGTCGAGATGATGTGCGGCGTGGAGCAGTTGGCTGAGATCGGTGTGAGCGTGGTCGGCGTCGGACCTGCGAGCACACGTAGACGGGGCATGGAACTGGGAGGCAAGCCACTCTCCAATCGTTATATGGTGGCCGTGTAAGGTCTGTGAGTATATGTCTCTGACCAAGAGTGGAAACGGTCGTGTCCTCGTCAGATGGCCGTCGCAAAGTGGGCCGTTCGCTTAGACTGAGATGCACAAAGCCGGTGTCGCAGAACTGTCCACTGTCCAAGCAATATGTTTGAGGACGATAAAGTGTCTACGGACACGCGAGAGAGAAAAAGTAGACCAGCTACTGGTGAGAGAGGATAACCTTTATATCGACACTGCCATGCAGCCAGGCGGCTTGATGTAGCGGTACGAATTAAACAGTAACCGTGGGAGTCTCGCGCACCCGTTCTTTTCTCAGCCGTCCGTCAGGTCGAACAATGCAAATTCAACGACTACACTAGTAGCCAGAATGGGCATCAAGAACAAGAACAGCACAACAAGCTATTCGCACACAACTGGGGAGAATATAGTAGATGTAATATTTGAAGCGTTGGCAAGTGAGTGACATGTCGAATGGGGAGATACGTTATCTCGCCGGCCTTGTTAGCTAGTGCATAAATGGTGTCTCGAGTGTGATGTTCAATGAAGCAGCACAGCTTGAGGAGCTTCGGGCATCCAAAAATGTCCCTCGACTGCGCATCCATGGCATCCCCACCACGGGCGTCGCACCAGCATTAACCCGATGGCACCATTCAGCGTGGGTTTTTGTCTCACGAGACCTGTGCACGCGTACTAGCCTGGCGTAAGTGAGTTCCGTCGACTTTCGAGAAGAATAGACGGGACTCATACCTGGCAGATAGCCCACACGATCACATACCAGGTACATCAGGAGGCGATTCAAAAAAATTTTATTGACATAGTTGATAGCCTTCGTCGGGTCGATGGGCGTATGGATCAATGATACCAAAGGCTTTGTCTACAAGATCTTGCAACTTCGAGCCTTTGGCGAGAATATCCAGATCATCCCACGGGCCAGAAACTTACAAACTACTAATCTGCGACAGCGAGATACTAGATCATGTCATCCTGGCGTTGCGGTCTTATTTCTCCAAAAGGCTCTTGTACTCTGAAATGTGTGAGATTGGAAGCAAGTACAATATGCTCACCAACGGCGTCCTTTCCGGGCTCAAAATCGTGAAAGGGGCTGTTTGTTGACAATGGCCTACGCGGAATGCAATCAAACTATACCTAGACGTACCAACCGACCAGGAGCTTCCCATCCTTGCGGCCTGGTCAAGAGGCCAGTGGAAACTATGGGGCCGTCGCGCGTAGGACAGAACGGGAGCGCACAACGTCTCCCGCCGGTTTCAAAAGGCTGATACTGCAAAGTCGCAAGATGAATAGGACTCTGTCAGATATATGCGCTGGAATGCTGATGCGGCCGAGGCCCGAGGGCAAAGCAAAATGGTGAATTTTTCTCCTTGGGTGAAGATCCTGCGGAAAGTCCCCAGGAATTGCCTTAACATGTCACGCTTTCTATCACGAAAATTTGTGAACACGAAACATTGAAAGCAGACCAATTCAGCCTCATCCATAGTGACCGGGTAGGTCGCCATACAGTTTGTTTTCTGCGCGCTAAAAGTACCTTTCGGTAATCTCATTCGTTTTCCGGAGCGAAACGAACGGAGGAAGTGAGTCCCGCAGGTTCCTTGTTGGAAATCGATGGATCACCATATTATCACTCGCTCAGGCTCGTCAACAGGTTCGTAACTCGGTTTCTAAAATCTCACATCTCCCATAGATCGATTGCTGAGAACAACTCGACGACACAGCGCCTCGGGTACTGCCCTCTTCACGGGTCTGCGAGGACATCAATTCCCGGCTCCCCAGCCTCCCAAACGAACTGTGGTTGCAAAGTTTTGAGTGGGCGACGTTTGTACTAGACATCTTAGACCTGGACGTCCCTAATTCGTTCAGAACAGTATTCCTTGAGCTCGATTCATATTTGAGCTATCAATGGCTGTGTATCCGCCTATCTCTCGCCATCAAACTCAGCCTCGTTCGTGTCTGCGGACGTTGGCACGCTCTCGCCACACCGCTCCTATATCAAGTAGCCACTGTCTCAGATCGGAACCTGTGCACCCTACATCGTGCTTTGAAGCAAGCGACAGAAAGTTCGAATGGTGTTTTGTTAGGCTCTCTGGTGCGCTGTCTAGACGGTCGTCCCGTGTAAGACAACGGACTGCCCATGCTTGGCGAGGTTTTTGGATATCGCTTGCACATTCGCATACTCACTGCCGTGTCGATATACAACGACACGCAGCCCAGGGCGTCTTCGAAGTGATGGCTTCAAAATGCAGTCCGAAGTTGCAAAGGCTGGTTTCTGATGTGGAGAGTCCATTATTGGGCGACTTTCTTGAACGGCTGCCAAACCTGCGTACCTTGTGCCACCCGTATTTTTTCTCGCACGACCTACCGCCTCTCTCGAACCTGAGCTTCACGTCTTTGGACAACTGCCATGAGGTTTGCTCATCCATCTCCGGCAAAAATGCCACAACGTCGTACCCCGATCTCAGGCTTCTTCTTCTCCAGTGGGATGGGGACTCGTCGCTAGTACAGAGAGAGCATATGGCGTGCGCCTTGACGGCCGTGCATCTGGAAACAATGATCAACATCTCTGAACCAGTTTTCAAGGCCCTGGCGGAAGACTGTCCTCACCTCACTCACCTCATCTTTTACTATCATCCGAATGAGAAATGGATCGAAGGAGCTATCAATCCTGACGAAGATATCCAGGATGAAGTCCAGGAATCTGAGGACACTTCTGATGATAGCGACGATGATGAGCCTGGGGTCATTATAGATTTGCCTCGTCCCGCAGTCCCAAAGTACAGAGCCGGAGAGTTTCCTCTCATCACGCATCTGGCACTTTCCCCCCGATATGGCCAAACCCTCGGCCGCTATGCCGCATACGCCTTTTTCGCCTGGCTGGCTGCGCAAATGCCCCCCTCACCGCGGGTTATGCGATTTGTCGATTGTAACATGGTGGACAGATTCTGCAAGCGATACCCGCGGGACCTGGCGCGCGGGCTGGAGAAGCTCCCCGGTGTGCGGGTGGAGGATCACGAAGGGAACGACATCTGCTGCCTCTCCTCGCCACGTCACGTCGCCAGTTCTCTCGGTACACAAGCTTCTGAGTCAATATTTTCCGACGAGGCTCTCTTCGACTTCTGAACCTCAAATAAGAGGTGCAGACGCCAACGTACACAGAAGAAGTGGTCGATACTGCATCGAGCAATGTCGATATCATTCAAACCCATATGACCTTCTTTCATAAACAGCTTGAGGATGCCTACCATTGAATAAAAGCACGATGTCTACACTTGCAAGTGATCTCGGCCCGTCGACGCAGCAGTCACAACAAAACAAAAAAGAGCTGCCAGGAGCTGCCTTGCAACGACGACGGGCACAAGAAGGCAGGCACCGCGCAGCGTCCGAGACGGGACCACGCTCCACAGCGAGATCGCGAACGCCTAGGACAAATCCGCCCGCTGCCCAAGAGGTATCTTCCGGGCCTAACACCTACCCCCGGTATTTCGGAGGCACTTTGCTCTCCCGATTTTGGGAAGATGCCTCTTCCTAAGTTGGCCCAACCCCCGTCCGCAGAACACATCCCTAAGGGCAATCTAAGCCCATATTGGTAAATGTTAGGTACACTATACAAAATCAAATTTCGAGCAAAACAATTCTGCAGGTGACCCTAAACCCCCGCCACTGAGCACATACCCTAGCTCCGAGCGTCCAAAAGCCCCGCCAAAAAGTCGTACTTTGGGCCAGAATCTGCCGCTCAAACCTCCCAAATTAGAGAATAGGTGCACGATCCAGCTTACGGGCTTACAACGCTCATGAGGCCTGAGTGTCCAGTGGTCTCATTTCGGATGCTCCATTGAAGATGTACGCGTGGCCATGGCGCTGCGGAGACCTGGAAGGGTGTTAAGTTGTGAAGGCACTTACACACAACTGGCCGACACGTCCTCGTTTGTTGTATGCTTTACCGGCGCCCCCCTTATGATACTTATCCGACACTGGCCTTCGGCTGTGGGGGATACAAATACGTTGATATCCGTTATATATAAAAAGCCTTTATTGGAAATCATCGACTCGGCAGTTACATCGCCGCGAGGCGGGGCAGTAGGTGTCTCAAGTCGATCCCCTCGTGATCCTCTACCCGCACACCGGGGAGCGTCTCCAGCGCACGCGCCAAGTCCCGCGAATATTTCCTGCGCACGCCGTACACCATGTCCCGATCTAGGAGTTGCACGACCTGCAGCGAGGGGGCATTTGCGCCGCTAACCAAGCGAAAATTTCGGATGTGGAATGAAGGGCAAGTGTTTCGCCATATGGTGGGACAAGCGCTAGATGCGTGATGAGAGGAAACTCTCCAGCCTTGTACTTTGGAACAGCGGGAGGAGGCGAGTCTATGGGAGGAGGCGAGTCTGTAGCGATCCCGGGCTGGCCATCATCAGATGCATCGGAGGTGTCCTCGTGATAGCCAAATTCCTGGACTTCATTCTGAATGGGTTCGTCAGGTTCGTCAGGTTCGTCGTTCCATTTCTCAGTCGGGGGGAAATGAAACCCAAGGTGAGTGAGGTGAGGACAATTCTCTGCCAGGGCTTTGAACACTGGCTTGGAGATGTTGGTCGTGGCCTCCAGCTCGCTTTGACAGGAGTTCCAAGGCGCACGTCCGCATGCCATCGAAGAAATACATGCATGAGATTGGGATACGGCATTGTCGCATCTTCGCTAAAGTGGGCGGAGCAAACACTATGGCAGTTATCCGAAGCCATGGAGCGCAAGTTCGGGAGAGGCGGTAGGACGTACGGGCAAAAATCCGAGTGGTGCAGGGTACGCAGGTTTGGCAGCCGTTCGAGAAAGCCGCTGAATAAAGGACTGGACACATCGGCGACTAGCTCCTGCAACGTCGGACTGCATCTCGAAGCTGCGATTTCAAAGGCACCCTTGGCGTCGTTCTCGTATATCGACGCGGAAATGAGGATGCGAAGGTGCGAGATGTATCCGAAAATCTCGCCAAGCTCTGGCAGGTCAAATTCTCGCTCGAGACAAACGTCTAGACGGCGCACCAAAGAGCCTAGCATGATACCATTTGGGATTTCTGTCGCCTGCTTCAAAGTACGAAATAGGGAGTGCACGTTCTCATTCATGACAACGACTGCTTGGTACAGGAGCGGTGTAGCGAGAGCGTACCACCGCCTGCAGACGCAAACAAGGCTGGATTTGGTCTCGAGCGACATGTCGATATGATGCCATTCAAGGTTCAGATGATAATGGAGATCAGAGAATGCTGTTTCGAGCGAATTGGGGAAGCCCGGGTCGAACGTCGCCCACTCGAAAATTTGCAACCACAGCTCGTTTGGGAGGTCGTGGAGCCGGGAGCTACCTTCTTCACGGACTCGCGGAAAATGCACCGAGGGCGCTGCATGGACAAGTCGTTAACGTCAATGGATCTGTACAATATAAGAGCACCTGGGCCACACACCTGTCGACAGCAGCGAGTCCGAGCGAGTGATAATAGGGTGATTCATCGATGTATTGAAAGAGGCCTGCGGGGCCTGGTTGTTTGATTTGATTCTCTCTGAAAACTGTGAGCGAAAGCAGGCGCGATCGAATGGCAAGATCACTGAGAGCGTGCGTTCGCCGTTCAGCACGCAGAAAACACCGCCGTACGGCAATCTACCTAGACGACGTGGTCCTGATTTCAAGGTCCCGGTTGTGCGACACCTCTAGTAGTCGCTCTGAGGCGTGTAGCGGCCTGCCTGTGGGGGATATACAGAATATCGTATGTTGTGCTAGTCAAGTTGAATCGGATCGATCTGCTGCTATCAAGTTACTCGCAACTTTCCGGGAGATTTCGAAGTTCTCCGCACGAAAGCGTGAGGAATTGTTTACGGGCGTTTTGCTGACGTTTTGCTTCGCCCTATCAGAGTTTAGACGACATCAGCATCCCATGTAGAGTGATGCGCATTGCACATATCATGTTTCTTCGCACCAGTCCAAGGCGGTTGGTCGAAAAGCTGAAGGAAAACGGGGAGTGACACTCTCCCAGTGGGTCCGATAAACCTCTCCAGAGGTGCGGGTTGAGCGGATGCCACGTTGCCAACGGACCCAACACACTCCCAGCACCCAAAACTAAAACAAAAGCAAAAGAAGAAGAAGAAAAGAGCGGAACAGTCCAGGGGCTGCCCCGCAACCGCGACGGCGAATCGCCGAATACGCGCACGAGCAGGCAGGCTGCAGGCACCGCGCAGCGTCCGAGACGGGATCCACGCTCCACAACGCGATCGCGATCGCCCAGCCAAGGCAGGCCACACGCTGCCGCTATGGGGAGAGAGCCAGCTAGTAGGGCGCCTCCCGTCCCGAAAAAACAACAGAACAGGATAAATACCGCCGCGGCGTGCTGTACTCTAATACGGTAACAAATAACACAGTATCCAGCCCAAAAGGCAAGGCAAGGCAAGGGCAGGGTAACAAAAATACGCAAGGCAGGCCCCGAGGCCCCGGGGGCGGCGAGCACGAGCACGCGGAAGGTATAAGCATATAAGTAAGTAATGGGAGGGCGTGTTCGTGCAGTCAAGCGACGGGTGCGTGTGGGAGACGAGCGTACAGGGTTCTACGAATTGAAGCAGAGCCGCGGGGGCGCGAGGCGTGCATGTCCGGGGGGCGTTCGCACAGACAAAGAGACGAGGCGGGCGAGTAGGTAATAAGGAGACATAATCTGATCACAGAGCCCAATAGGTTACCGTACGGGTGGGTAACGAGGAATAGCAAAGACAGAGACAGAGACAGAGACAGAGACAGAGAGCGAACCGAGGAACCCAACACGAGGACGAAGGCGAAGACGCGGAGCCGCCAAGCGCACGAAACGAAGTGAGGAAGAAGAAGAGGAAAAGGAAAGGACCAGACATGAAAGAACGGGGGTGCGATGACGGCTCGCGGTCGTAAAGACAGAATGATCTGTAGGCGTGCAAATACATAGATAAGAGAAAACGACGGCCCCAAAAGATCCGCGGACAGAAGGAGAGCGCGGAATGGAAGGCGTCCGGGCGGTCAGCGCGTCCAGACAACATGTCGACGTCGAGAACCACACGCGGGGCGCCCGCCCAAAGCCCGCCGAAGCACGACGCACGACGCGATCCTCACCAGCCCCCAACCCCAGCCCCAAGCCCCAGCCCGAGCCCGATCGCCACGACCGCCCCAGCCCCAACCCCAACCCCAGCCGTCCCCGCACGCGTCCGCGGGCCCGCGCCCGACACGCCCGACGCGAGCTGCACGTACCCCGCCCCGCACGCCTGCGCCGCCACCTCCGCCGCGGCGTCGTACGTCGCCTGCAAGCCGGTCACGCCCCCGCGCCCCTCCGCGAACAGCGCCATCACCCGCTTCGTGCACACCGAGCACGACGGCGTCGTCCCCGCGGGCAGCGCCGAGCCCCACGCCAGCCCGTAGAAGTACAGGTCCGCAGGGCTCGCGGCCGCGGCGGCCTCGACGTAGCAGTACGCTCCCGTGCTGTTGTTCGCGAGGCACCCGACGTCGCGGTACAGCGCGTACGTCTGCAGGCCTGGGGAGTTCCGTCGGCGGCGTCGGTTTTGAGGGGTCGTGGCGGTGTCGCCGGATTCCCGTTGGGAAGGGTATTTTGGGAGCGACGGGGTGGGGCGGGGTTCGATCGACGATGGTTGATTTGTAGATGTGTTTCGGGGGTGGGGTGTTGTGATGGCGCGACGTGGGACGAACAGGTGGTTAGTCACGTACGAAGCGGCGGACACGATGTAAAACAGTGACAGGAAGAGAACTATGGACGCACCGGTCAAGGCCTGCAGCACCACTGTCTTCTTGTTGTCGATTTCGGCCTGACACTGATTCGGGAGCTCCGACGCGTACATGGCCATGGTGGCCGCGCACTGGTCCGCATCGACGGGCGTGTTGCACGTCCCCCAGACGTCGATGTTCAGAGCCGTGATGTTATTCTGGGCCTGCTTCAGGAACAGATCGATGAGCAGTTCTTCGTCATGGTCGTCGCATCGCCAGAAAGCTTTGCCGCGCGGCACGCCGGGTGGAGAACAAGGAACATGTCTTGAATACACACCTTGATAAACGCGCTCGAGGTCTCCATCAGCAGCGAGAACGGGCGGCACGGCCGGAACTGCGGGTCGAGGGTCATGTTGACGACGAACTGCATGCACCCGACGGTCAAAAAGCCTTCGGTGCTCATCGAATCGAACGGCTGAGGAAACGGCGTCGGGAGCACCGGGGCCGTCGATGGGATCGTCGGGATCCCGGAAGCTGCGACAGGCGTTCCCGAAGACGACGATGAGGCCGCCACAGAAGAGGCGGTCCCGGACGCGGACGTGGAAGAGGCCGAGATGGATAGGCTGGACGGGAACGAGATGGTGCCGGCGGCGGTCGAGACGACCTCGGAGGCGGCTGCGTCCTGCCGGCGAACGTGGGCGGGGTGGGTCCCCCAGCCTGCGAGGTCGGACCACGCGAGGTGCGGGTCTGGGGAGGCGGAGGAGAGCAGGTCGAGCACGCGCGGGTGGGCGGTGTAGTGTGTCGTGATCGTGATGAGGATGAGGACGAGGGGCACGAGGAGCATGGAGAGGCGCGTGCGCCGCGCGATGCGCTGCTTGCGCTCGTGCGCGGTGGGGGCGTCCGTGCTGTGTGTGTGCGTCACGTGCGGGCGTAGCTTTGACGGGGAGGGCGAGGGCGAGCGGGACGGGGATGGAGACGAAGATGTGGAGGAGGGCGCTGCGAGTCTTGATGGTGGGGTGGGTGTCGTTGCTCGAGACGAGGGCGTGGGCGAGGGCGTGGGCGAAGGCGTGTCTCGAGATCTTTTGGGTGGCGCAAGGGGAGAGTCCGGTGGGGTGAACATAGCGGTCTCTAGATGTGCAGCCTCTTTCCTACTCGAGAGGGGCTTGTTTTGATGGCAGATGGACAGTGCGGCGGATGATTGCACAGGCCTGATGCAAAAAGAGCGTGAGGGAACAAACGAATGTCAGATCGAACGGAAATATTGCCGCTCGTGATGATGGGGCGGACGCTGGCAGTCTGTCTGCGGAGGCCACGATGGCGACGAGGGTGGGAAGCGCTGAGCGACTGCGATTTGGCGGTGAAATTCGCGGGAGGAACGCACCTGGAGGAGGACAGGACGAGACCTGGTGGGAAGAGGAGGGGGAGGGGGCGGGGATATTTCTGGAGGGTCTGGGGCCAGAGAAGAGGCGCACCGGACGCAAAGGGACACCACGACTTTCGAGTCGGGAGGGTCTGGACTCGGCAGCCCTGGCTGCAAGAATCAGCGAATCAGCAGTAGTCAGGTTCCGTTCCGTAACAGCGTCCCGTCCAATCGGCAGCCCCTCGAACGGCGCCCAACGACGACCCGAGTGCTGTGCTCGCCGCGCGAGGGCGCTCGTGTGCCCCTGCGCGCTGCGTCGAGCCTGCACGCCAGGAGAGACGAGCAGCGAGCTCGATCGTAGTCGTTGGGGGCGCTGGCTGGCAGTTGGCTGGCGTGTTCCCAGTGCCTGGACAGGAACGTCGCGAAGCTATATTGGGATAGTCCGCATCCGGCCCTGTCCGTTCCCAGAACTCCGTGTCGTTCCCAGCGCTCAGCGGCTCATCCCTGCCGAGTCACCCGCGCGCTCTCTCGCGCTCTCTCCTCCTGCACCCTCCCGCAGCCTCTCGTGCCCTCTTGCTGTGATCAATGCTCACAGCACAACATCTCCATCTCCGAAACATCTGATGACTGGGTGTGCCTAGGTGCTGCGAAACAACCCGATCGCGCATGCTGTACACGCCTCAGACTGATCCCCAGCCCAATGACGTCGACGCGACAGTCCTCGCATCAACATTGCAACATTGCACTCCGGCACGGGCTGGCAGCTGGCACGCTGGCGCTGCTTCGGTGGATCGTCAATTTGCAAAGCGTTGCCCAGAGCAGAAGAGAGTAGACCGCAAGCCGTCGCACTGCCGTGGCTGGCCACCATACACGGGAGATCACAGTCGCTCTGTGCATCTGCAGACCACCGCCAGGCAGACAGCCGTCCCATCTGAACATCGTGACGGTGTTCTCACCTGATCCCATCCCAAACATTTGATTGATCGACCGTACATGGCCTCGCATCTATCAAAACTTCTCTGCGCCTTTCTTACCAGAGCGAATGTCCCATCAACGAGCATGCGTGAATGCTTTGCGGAACAGCTCCAGCGCGTTGATCGGCCAGCGAGGGCCATCGCGGTGCGTCGCGCGAGCAAGAGGAGCATACCATCGAAGAGTAACAGAGAGAGAGTTGGCAAGAAACTGCGCAGAGCGCATACAACACCCTACTATCGACCCCACACTGGCCACGTGTGATGACGTCCGAGATCGTACTCTCCTCGATGACGAAAGCTACATGATATGGCCACGCCCAGCCATGCCCTCGTGAACCTGCGATGCATCACACCAGAGACATCAGGCATTCTCAGTCACGCTGGCATCTGCCTGATCGATTACTATGTTCGGGGCTTTGGGCAGCAATTCAGCAGTACTTCAGCTCGCTTCGACAGGTGAAAGCATCTATTAAGTTACTAGCGCGCAGTGAAGCTGAAACGCTCATGGCTGAGCTTTCGGGTCGCAGCCTTTACTCTTCCCCGAACATACATGGACGCAACGCCATTGGGTTGAACGATCTCTCAGCAGTCTCAACAAGGTCCCCCGCTTCAGACGTGTGTGTGAGGCTGGCTCACCATAAGGGTTTCTCGAGTTTCTCTCTAGCCGCCTCGATGTGCCTCCCGAAATATGATGGCGCACCCGAGCGCACTTATTGCCTTGCGTGTCACCTGCTACGCGAAGTTGCAAGAACCTCAGCCCCGGCTATCAGCTTCTGGCCAGGTCAGGCCAGCGTGTATGGCAGGCTATCGGCAGCCCTGGGCGTCGATGCAGCTCGTGAATCAGTCCTATATTACTCGACTCAAGGCATCGCGAGACGAGGTACAAGCACGGGATTGGTCAGTCCGCACGCCGGTGGGCCTTGGGCATTGAGCCCCGGCGCCCTCGACATAAGCAGCAGCACTATCATGGACACCAACCTATTATCCGCACACACAAAAAAATAGACATTAGCACAGAGTCGACCATCTCGCAGCGTTGGAGCCGCCGGCGTGCGGACAGAAACGCGGGTGGAGGGAGAGGGAGAGGAGACCATTCACAGCGCCTGCAAGACCTTTATCCTGACCTTGCTCGCAGTCGCGCCCGTCGTGGACACTAGGATCTCACAGAGTCGTCTGAAGGCTGCCTCCTACCACGAATATTGAAGAAACTGTGAGTATGCATGCTTGCGCGATTGAGGACGCGAAAACGAACGGCGGTCACGGATTTCTCCGAAGATCGAAGCTGACTGACGTATACGTAGTTCTCTGATCGATTGATCGATTCCAAACTTACTCGTGTCTACAACCTCTTGCCACTGCCGTTTGGTCAACATTGACATTGGTCGTTCACGGAGACTTCCAAGTTAAAGAGTGGAACTAGCTATTAAATTGAGACTTAAACTGACACCGCATCGTCCCTCATCCATATTGACCATAAAGATCACCGTGCGTTTTTTGGCCGCGACTTATTGGTGTGGCGCTTTCAGAGCTGACTTTGCTCTCGCGGGACTTAGTGAAGTGAAACAAACTGTAGTACTGATCCCGCGTCAAGAATTGATGGATCGCCACGTCCCTCTCAGGGGACTAGCAGGTGTGTGGTCTCTCTTCCTGCATGGATCAATTGACGAGAACGACTCGATCGCACAGCGCCTTGGGTGCATTTTCCACGCGTCCGCGAAGAGACCGACCCCCGGCTGCCCGACCTCCCCAACGAGATGTGGTTGCAGATCTTCGGGTGGGCGACGTCCGTCCCAGGTATCCTGGACCCAGATTTCCACGACTCATTCGAGACAGGATTGCCCGTGTACCAGCTCTATGGCTCTTTCTCAGACGAGCAGCGTGAGATTCGCCGATCTCTAGTCACGAAATTGAGCCTCGTCCGTGTGTGCAGACGATGGCGCGCTCTCGCCACGCCGCTCCTGTACCAAGCCATCTTGGTCTCGAATGGGAACATGGGCGCCCTGCACCGTGCTTTGAAGCACGCGGCACAAGGTGCGGGCGATTTCTCGCTGGGCTCCCTGGTGCGCCGCGTGGACATAGTCTCTGCCGATGAGCACAGGATGCCCATGCTCGGCGAGGTATTTGGTTATCTCTCGCAGATCCGTATCATCATTGCCACCTCGCGGATACGCCGTGCCACGATGCCCGAGAGCATCTTCGAGAGCATCGGTCCGAGCTGCAGTCCGACGCTGCAAAAGCTGATCGCGGACGTGAAGCACCCGTCGTGGAGGGCCTTCCTCGGACGGCTGCCGAACCTGCGCACCCTGTTGCGCGTGCAGCGGGGGTTCTGCCCGCACGACCTGCCGCTTCTCCCGGACCTGCGCTTCACGGCCCTGGACAGCTGGCACGCCGAGTGCTCCCCCGACTGCGGCAAAAATGCAGCGATCCCGTTCCCGAATCTCGAGCACGTTCTCCTTCGGTGGTACGAGGAATCGCTACAGCGCCGGGAAGAGCGCCGCGCGTGCATCTCGGGGTTCCTGTCCAAGCGGGCCCTGGCACTCACGACCGTGCATCTGGAGACGCTGGTCAACGTCTCTGAGCCGATGTTCAAGGTGCTCGCGGAAAACTGTCCCCGCCTTACTCATATCGTCTTTTACTATCTTCCGCATGAGACCTGGTCCGAGAGAAGTGCCCCGTATCCCGAAGAGGAAGGCGATGAATCCGTTACCGATGATGGCGAATCTGACTACCCTTCAGATGGGGTTGACGACGAGGACGACGAGGACGACAATGAAGTCAACGAAGACGACGGCGACGACGACAACGACAACGACAGCGACGGCGACGACAACGACGACAACGACGACGACAACGAAAACAACGACGACGACGACGACGACGACAACGACGACAACGACGACAACGACGACAACGACGACAGTGACAATGACGACGGGATTGTGTATCAAGAGCATGCGCATGTGCATATGCATGTACATGAGCACGAGCATGCGCATGTGCATATGCACATGCATGAGCATGATAATCCTGGTGACGATGGGGAGGTTGAATATGACCCAGACACTCCCCCCATTGTCCCAAAGTACAGAAACGGATATTTTCCTCTCATCACGCATCTGGCGCTTTTCCCTCGAGACGGGCAGGCAATCGATCCCCATTCCGCTTCTGCCATGTTCGTCTGGTTGGCGGCGCAGATGCCCCCTTCTCTGCAGGTCGTGCGATTCCTGAGTCGGAGGGTGGTGAGGGATTTTCGCTGGCGGTTTCCGCAGGCACTGGCACTCGGGCTGGAGATGCTCCCCGGTGTGCGAGTGGAGGATCACGAGGGAAATGATATGCGGGCCTATACAGAGCCGGCAATATAACCAGGGACAGCAGGTGTACATGTCACTTGAGGTCGACTCACGCAGGATTCACGGAGGTAATATCAAACTATTGCAATCTTTACCGGTCAGCCCGCATCGTATCAGCAGAACTACATTGCCTATAGCTGCCTTGTCTTTGAGATTTCACTTGGAACTCTTTATTACCTATAATCAAATCTGTCTTGTCATAGATAGAAGTTGAGTCATAGAATACCTATATACTGATGGTGCGCCCTACCTCGTCCACCAGAGGATCCATTGACAAGTCGACCGAGCCTGAACGAGCCCGGAGAGCTCCAACGAATCGGAACCGGGCATTGTGCCACGTGCTCGGACGGCTTGCGTTCTTCGCTGTGAGAGCCTCTCGGTCCCACACTCGGCAGTCATCGACGATGGCCATGCAGGCCATAAAACGCTTTCGTATGCGCGAAATCGCAGCTCTCCCCAGACTTGGCCCACAAATTGCTGCAGCATCCGCAGCAGTAGCAGCCGCCGCCGCTCGCCCCACCACTAGCACCAGCGCCAACGCACAATCGTCCCCTCCGACTCCCTCTGCGCTCTCCACACCGCTACCACGCCCCACCGCCCCGAAAACGCCTCACGCAGCGCCCAAATCCGTGCCATCGTCATCGACCAAGCCCGCATCGAAGCAAGACGCGAGCGCGAGGCTGCAGCTCCTGAACCCCTTCGTCCCGCACAAGAACCCCGAGACGGGCCGCTGGGCGCCGCCAAAGTACTCGCTGCGCCGCCAGGCGGACCTCGTCAAGGCCGCGCGCAAGGCGGGCATCGAAGGGCTCCTCCCGCCCGGGCCCAAGACGCGCTTGGGCGAGCCCGCGCCCGCGGTCGTTTCAGATGTGCAGGCCAAGGCGCAGGAGGCGGTTGCGGAGGAGGCGCCGTGGACGCGCCCCGTGCACTGGGTGGGCGTCGTGCGCGAGAAGAAGGACGTCGGCTGGAAAGTGCGCATGTACGCGGGCAGGAAGCGCATGTTCAAGGGCCACAAGTGGGAGCGCGTGCGCCAGGACAGGCGGCGCAAGATGCGGACGCTCATGCGCGATATGGGCGCGCGCGTCAAGCGGTACAAGTCGGTGCGTGCGCTCTCGCTGTTTTTCTCCTCCGCCCTTTTTTGCTGTCTTCGTAAGGGCCGCCACGGTTTTCGTCGCCGTTTTGTGTATCTTTTGTCCTTTTTGTCCTTCCTTTGCTTTGCGGCTCAGATGCTCACGCGGTCCCTCTCTCCCTGCGCTTCAGTACCGCGCCGTCAGGAGCCCGAAGCCGCTCTGGTACCTCTCGGGCACGCGCTCCAAGCGCGCCCAACGCCTACCATTCTGATCGCGCTCCCAACCCTTTCGTCGTCTGTGCCCTCGTCGCACCCGCGTGCCGCAGTAGCAGTAGACAAGCCAATCGCGTCACGGATATCATATTTGTTCTCTGTCGCCCCAGGTAAATCTCAGTGCTGTTTTTCCGGGGGGATGTCCAGGCGTCCTCGTTCCCTCTTTCCATTTTTGGCTCGCGAGCTTGGCGTGGATGAAAGTGCGAGCGTGATGCGCTCGCTTGCCTTCAAAGCGTGCCTGTGGGGGGCTCAAGCGTGTCAGTGTATGCTAAACTGCATCTTGCTTGCCGTTGTGTGAAGACTCTGGGCCGCCTTGGTCATTCTATACACGCTGTGTCCCACACTGAGTCTCGCAGATTTTTTTTTACCGGTAATATCCCTTCTTTCAGACTTGGCTGTCTGATAAGCCGACAAGGAGTATCCCGAAGTCTGCCAGAAGACGTTCTCGTAAGGAATAAATACTCTGACATCCAGTTTGCAAGCCAGAATGCATATGTGCTCCAAAGACCAAATGAATATATGTATGATGGTTCTAGCGATGTGTGCGTGTAGCGAGCACGACAGTCCGTAAACAAAGCTTATAGGACCGCCGGCGGGCGCAGGTCAAAAAAGATAATTATATATATACTCGTAGCTCCGCAGGGCGACGCCGCGAGAGGTACTGGTGTAATGTAACCGTCGCACCGGCGCCAGCGCATCTAGTAGTCGTAAGGTCAGAGTAGGTGGGGTGCGCCAGTCGGGTCGAACGCGGGGGTTGTGAGGCGGTCGAAGCGCGCGCCGGGATGCTCTGGGCAGGGCGTTCCCCCCTCGCGCTGCTGGCGGGAGGAAGATCGCGTTCATGCTCTTCGCGAGAGCTCTTCTTTGACGGCGCGCACGACCGCCGCGGCATCTATGTGCACCTCCTGTGGACCTGAGGGCCGCGATACCAACGGGAGGGACTCGCCGGTGTATTTTCTACATCGAAAAAAAGCACGTAAGGTCATGGATGGGAGGCGAGGCGGGGTGAATGAACACGTACTGCTCGCCTTGCCACGCGATGTACCGGATGCCCATGGAGCGTATGACGAGTTCCCAGTCGCGCGTGAACACGCCCGAGGGGAAAAATTCCATGAGGGTCGTCTGCGGCTGGCGCTTCATGAAGACGCTGTCCGAGAGGTGCTCTCCAAACGCGCCGATGACGATCTGCACCGGGACGAAGGGAGGACGCTGAGTTTCAGAGCTAGCAGGGTGTATGCGGAACGACAACAACAACGCACCGTAGACCGCACGACCGCCTTCATTCTCTGCGCCCACGTCGACGACTCGTCGATCACGTTGACTTTGTAACCGCTCTTCTGCAAGTTCTTCAGCTGCTCCAACAAGGCCTTGTGGTCCTCCGCCCTCAACCGCGCGCCGGAGCCCGCGTATCCCTGCCTGACCAGATACGTCACCTCTTTCTTCCCATCGCCCTTTCCCTCTCCCTCACCGAAGTACCTCGCTAGATTGCGCTGTATGCCGTCGAACCAGTCCCGAGGCGCGTTCAACGTGAAGGGGCCCGACCACAAGTCTGCGGTGCTTCCGTACCTCGCTGCGGCGGCCCGGTCGGCGATGACGACGCGGTCCAGGAGCATAGGAATGTCGAGACCACTAAAGTCTGCAAAATCCTCGGAGAAGAGCGCGCCGGACAGGGTCGGGTAGGCTGCTTTGAGTGTATAGGGGTGGATGCCTGTGTTGGAGCGTTTGCGAATCACAGCGTCGTCATCGGGGTCCGGAGCTGGATCGGAGAAGGTGGAGATTGTGGGGAAAAAGAGGCGATGAGGCGGCGTTGAGTTGTGCGAGGGGACGGTGCTGTAGAGTCGGTGCAACGAAAGGAGTGTGTATGCATCGCTCGCTGAAGAGGCGTCGTATGACATGTATGTCACTCCATGAATTCTGCAGACGCGTGAGCTCGAGAGTCATTCAATGTCCGGAGAGAACGCATACCTTCCGCCGTAAGGCCCTAATCTCGAAGCCGCGTCTCTGTGCGATAAGACCTGCCAGTCGACTTCTTGTGGCGGTTGGTTCCGATCAGTCGAAGATGAGCCAATGGCGTCGGTGTCAGGCATCGACGAAGGGTCGTCCGTCACGATAATCATCGTCCCGTTGAACATGAAGACGTGATCCAGCACCGTGAAGCCTGCAGGAAATTGTTGGTCGCGCCGGATAAACAGTACTTACGACCTGGACTGACCTGGCACATGCGATACCAAAGATGATTTCGGCGTGTCCTCCCCCCATCTCACAAACCCATCGTTCACGTTGATCGTCCCGAGCCCCTCTGCCTGGCTGTACACGCCCTCGCGAACGCCCTGCAACCACATTGCATTCTTACCTGGCACGCCCTCCCCCCGCACATACGCGTCCTCGTCTTTCCCCTTCGCGCTCCCACTCGATGCGATAATCCGACTTTCTTCCGAGGCCTTCACGCCTGCGACCTTCCCCTCCTCCCAATCCCACTCGCCGAAAATCTCGTTCTCCAGCGCATCTCTGTACCCTTCCGGTCGCCTTCCGTCCGGGCCGATGGACGGTACCTCGGAGCCGCCGATGTGGAACCCGAATAGCGAAGCTGGAGAGGCTGAAGAGCGGGAGCGAGAAGAGAGGAGGTGGAGCGAGGCGTCAAAGTTATACGCGAGGACGAAGACGCAGAGGCAGAAGAGGAGCAGGGTGAGCTCGCGGCGCGTCGGTGGGGACGTCCAGTGTGTCCCGCTCATGACAGCGAGGTGTCCGCGGGCGAGAGGCTGCTGCGCTGTTGCGGGTTGAGGAAAACGGATTGCCTCCCAACGTGATCAGACGGTTGCGCCGCTCGTACAGCAGACGGTCGTTAGATGAGGTAAGAAGACGAGGGTCCGGAAGGCTATTTGGTCGCGAGGACTACAGAACGTCACGTTCTAACGACGAAAGGCTGAGCACTGGAGTGTAGGATGTGCTGGACGAGGGAGAGGATAGTTTATCTGTGAGAGGTGCGGAGGATGGGAGGTGTTCGCGACGTTCGTGTCGGATATCGGAGTCGGTCCCCCTTTTGACCTTGTCAAGGACAGCCTGCAAGTACAACCTGCTGCTGACATAATGGAGAAAATGCAACTTTTGATTCTACGTCATCGTATCCCCACGCTCGGGTGAAAAAACAATAATATACATTTGGTGCAACGCTATTCAAACGCTGGTCGTACAAGTTACACTTAGGGTTATCTTAGGTGCGCATGATCGAGTCCATATCATCTTTGCTCATATCCTTCATCGCGGGAGACGTAGTGGGGGCATTCTGCAGTTGGCAAACATGTCAAATTCAAGCAGTGCATGGAATGGACGAGCACACTTCGAAGGGGTTGCCGGCCTTCTGTTTGGACGAACGCTGAGCCGATTTGACGGCTTCAGGGTCTATGTTGCGGACGGCATCGGAGGAGGTTGGGGCTGTCTGTATAGAAGAATTTGATATGAAGATAACTAGAGGTCTATGGAAGGCTGCGTACCTCCATGAGGGCTGTTGGCCGCGACTGGGCGGGCAACACATCTCGAGGCAAATTGCGTACAGCAGCAGATGCCGTTGGCGCAGCCTGTAAGAACAAAGAATGAGCGAATGGACTACCCGGTAGAATGTGGATGGAACGGCTACCATTGTTGGATGGGGGGCAGCTTCGGTGTCCTCAAAATATTCTGATCATCGTAAAGAATCAGATCACGTAGCGCACTGCATGCAGCAAGCTAGCAAGAAAAAATTGATACGAACGTGCGCGTTGTTGGCTGTCTGGTACTCCTCCCGCATTGCCGCCTCGGATAGAGGATGCGCCCATGGGCTCGCAGTCCTGCATAGCGGGTGACTGTGTGCCAGAAATTCCGGTTGGGGACATCTTGAAGTTTAAGAATATGCGAAGATTGGTGTCGTGGAGATTATGGTGCGGGAATAGGGGCTCTGGGAGTCGTCTTTAAATCGCAAGGTGCTGTGGGGCATATCCTCAGTGTCGACGTCATGGCCTGTCATGACCCCTGCTCAGTGGGCGCGAGTAGGCGCGAGTGTGGATAGGGGATATTTCACCGCACATTGCCCCCAAATATCCCCAGGGGATATTCGGGGTATATTAGCAATATACCTGGAATATACCTGGAATATACTCGTCAGGGAATATCCCTCAAATATCCCCCAGTCAATCCCAACTGGGAGATGACTCATCCATTTCGACGGTCACCTGATGAGTGCGCGTCGTCGGACAGCGTCGAGATTTCTCTTAAGTGCTCCCTTCGTCTTACTCTCTAGGAGCCTCCAGTGTGCACATATTTTGGTGAGTCTTTCTCCCACTGAAACATGTTTCCATATGCTCTATAGTTCCGGTTTTCTCATATAATCAGATCTAATGCCTGAAAATGCGGGATCAGAGCGCATATATGCGTCCATTCAGGGCGGGCCGGGGTGGGACTGAAGGAGATTGCAAGCACAGCCTACGACGTGTGTGCGGCAAGAATTGTCAGAACGGTGGGTATTGCGGGTGTGAGCGTGAACGTTGGATGGATGAGATCAAGGGTAAGCACAGGCTGAGCTTGGTGGCGTTGGCGTGGGTGCTAGCATCTGTGTTTCTCATGCGCATGGTGGCTCGGATTAGCCTCAGAGTCTGCGGTGCGTGCGCAAGTGCCAATGTCGTCGGGGCAGCAGCAGCAGCAGCAACATCAGTGAGGCCAGTGTTCATCTGGGCTCTCCGTGTCACAGTGCTAACCCCCCGCACGGCAGTACTGACCCCAGCACTACACCGCATTCTTTCCATTCCCCTCGCTCCCTGCACTCGCCAACCTTATCAAGCTGCAACCCTTCCTGGTGACCTTGTCTCTTCCCGCACTGATCTTCTCAGCCTTGACACGCATGCTCACCCCGCTTGTCCGCAGGATGCGCCTCTACGTTGCCGGCACCGATGCACTCGCCAGCGGCTGCGTTTGTGCGCGTGGCGTGCTACCAGATGTGCTCGTGTTCGACAGCGCGGTGCCGCAGCCCGATGCACCCCCCAAAATGTACTCCTCGAATTCGAGGCCACGCGCGGACGCACCGCTCCCGCCACCGCAATAGATTCTTGCGTCAAGGTGCTGGTCGTCCCATCCCTGATGCGCGCCGTGGCTGCTTGCGTATGCGGGGGAACATCTAGCCGGGATTCGCACCTCTCGCCTCTTCAAGTATATTTTGTAGATCTTTCAAGCCTTAGAATTGTCGTGTAGCCTTCAATAGCATGTATTAGTTTTATGATTTGTTAATATATTTATTTCTCTATCTATGGAGCGCATATAAAGTGATTGGAATGATATCGAGCTCGAATAAACCCACAATATACTGTGAGTATACTCAGTACCCAGGTATATTCACGGTATATTCAAGACATTACCTTGAATCGACCGTGAATATCCCCGGAGGGGAGGTGGGTATATTCGCGGTTGATTCCGGGTATATTGCTAATATACCACAGATATCCCCTGGGGATTATTAGGGACGATGTGCGGTGTTTGTGCGTTGTTTACGTCGTGTATTGGCAGGCGCAACCAATGACTGCACTTACAGAGGTTCAACGTTCAACTTGTCCAACGCAGCAGACATTGACTGCTCGCTCTTGTTCTTTTTATTGTCGTCCGCGTCAATGGTTATACGCTAACGCTCTGGTATGCGCGGTCATTGCACTTGGTAAGCACACTGTGCTTGATAATAGCAGTAATCGTCGACCGTCCATGTCACGCCCGCCTGTCATTGCAGATCAGAACAAGTTTTTCTGCAGGTTTACAAATTCACAATCATGATACAAACGCAGAGGAAAAAGAAGGAGAAAAAAGAGAGAATAGAAAAAGAAGAACACGACGCAAGCCAAATGTCTGTCCGCATCCAGAGTCCGTGCGCACATCCTCATCCGACTGCCATCGTTTCCGGACCTATCACCGGCACCCATCGCAGCCTCTCCCCGACACGACGTCGAGCCCCGGCATATTCGAAAGAAAGAACACAGACTCGATGCTCGCGAAACACCTAGCCCGGCCCTCCCCTCCTACCATGCAGAACTCGCGGCAGCGTCCACTCTATCTACGCGCGGGTCACGGTCAGCTCTCTGGTTTTGGTGACAAGGAAGATGCGACTGACCAATGTTTGAATACGATCCGCCTTCGGGCGAGCACTCCACCGTTGCCTGTGGATTCGCGTGCTCGCCCGCGCGCAGCCAACTGCCTACGCCCATCCCCACACCGCTAAAAGCATCCAGTCCAAGGAAACCAGCGTCCACCACGACGCGCAACTCCACACTCTACTCCACCATACTCTACTCCACCACGCTCGACTCCACCACGCTCGACTCCACCACGCTCGACTCCACCACGCTCGACTCTATCCAGCCCCAGAAACATGCGACCAGCGCACATCCAACACGCCACCTCGAACCATGCCGCAGAAGAGAATAAACCGATACCTGAATCTGAGGAAAGAACCGCGCAGTGTTTGCGCGCACGACAGAGAGAAAGTTTACTTAGCTTGTTTGCGATTCTTGCTTTGCTCCGCCCACGGGCCCCGTCCGGCGCAGGGAACGACATGCGGTGCGGGCCAGACACAGCACAGCGTTCCTGAGTCGGGAGAGAGGTCCGTTCGTCTTCCACCGTGAGGTCGTCGTGCGTGCGTGCGGATCGTCGTCGTCGTCGTCGTGCGTATGGGTTGTCGTCGTGCGTGCGTGCGTGATCGTCGTCGTTATATGCGTGCGGTTCGTCGTGCGTGCGTGCGTGCGTGCGGTTTGTTGTCGTTGTCGTCGCGATACTAACAGAGAAACAAAAACGTCTGTGAAGAAGAGCACTCACCGAGACACGCCGAAGCCGTGTCTCTCGCCACCCCATCTCCCAACAACAGGTCCCTCCCGGCCGAAGGTACTGTCACCAAAAGATGCGATTTTGAAGAGACTTGGCTTCGCCTTGATACCGAACTGAATCTAGATCTGAAAAAAAAGAGTTAACACCTCCAATCGCCATCCACAGCACCTCCTCCCCTCGACCACCGCCTCCTCCGACACGGCCCTCACAATCTCCTGAGCCTCTTCACCAGACGCGCTCCAATGGACGAGTCCTCTTCTTCATCGGCATCTCTACGCCTCTTTGCGGAGACACGAGGGCTTGAGATAGCTTCCTGGGACGCGGGTAACGTGGGACCTTGTGGAACCGCAACAGGGGCTTCCGACGTTGACGATAGCTTGGCTTTCTTCGCTGGCGGCGCTTGCCCTGACAGCTTGCGCTTCGTCGAGGAGGCTTCTTGGACATCGTCGTCCATCCAACGCCTCTTTAGTTGGTTGCGCTCTGGGCGCGAGGTAGTAGGTTCAGAGTCTGCGATAGAAGTCGGCTTTGGGATGGTCAGCGCAAGCTCGACGTTGTTGACGGCAATTGTGCGTACCTTTGGAATCGTGGGCGGTGTGGTCTGCGCCCTCGACTCGGCAGCGGAGATGGTCCTGGTTTGAGTCCTGGCTAATCCCGCCGGTTTCGCCCTACTGAAAATCTGTCTCGCCTTTGCTCCTCTAGACGCTGTGCTTGTCTTAGACCCAGTCGCCGTGGGCTTGTTCTTGGAGCCAGAGATGACGCGCAGCTTCGTCTGGATCTTCTTAGCCATTGACCTCGTCACCCGCTGCATGATTTGTGGAATAATGGGCGACCTGCGCGCCTGGGTCGAGGGCTCGGGTGACGGAAGCTGGGGCTCGGGAGTGTCCACAATGACCCAATCCTCTTCGTTTTCGATGGCTATGGAACCTTCCACAGTGTCCTTTGCTGCGTCCACCTTAGTGATGTCGTCAAGGGCCTGTTTGAAGTTGCGAACGGGGAAGAGCTGACTCTCGGGCACCGCGCTCACGGGCTGGTGAGACTGAGGAGGGGGTGGGGGCGGAGGGGAGGGGCACAGGGAGAGAGGCGCCGCTGGTTCCGGTTCCTGAATGTCGTCAGCTTGTTTGCTGGTGGACTGCTGAGGGTCCCGTTGAGGTGCTTCAGTGGGTGCCTCATTGAGGGCATCTTGAGGCGCGTCGGTGGGTGCCTCGGGAAGTTCCTCGGATGACTGCGTGGGCGAAGATTCGAGCATCTGCACCACGGCGGCTTCCTCCTCGGCGTCTCTCTTGGCATTCTCGTCTTGCGTTTTCTGCTTTGCCTCTTTCCTAGCATCCTCTTCCCTGAGAGCCTTCTCTTCAGCCTTCTTCGCTCTCTCGGCAGCCATCGCAGCCTTGTACGAACCGACTGGCCATGCTTGGACCTGGGACGGGGCCTGAATGGGCGGGAAGATGTTGCCATTTCTTGCGAAGATATTACCGCTGGAATGTTCTGCAGGCGGGGCCGAGACTTTGGCCGGCTTCATTCTGGTGGGCCGGCGGGACATAAAGTTGATTGTGTCCTCCTCCTCGTCGGAGTCGGAGTCGTAATCGGGGGCCCCGAACTTAGGAGGGCTGGGCATAGTCATGATGCGTGCGGCCCTGAGCGCGCCGATCTCGAGCTCTGACAGCCCGGGGTGGTCCTCGAAGCGGATGAGGCGCTTCTTGCTACGGGCCTTGGGGGTGCGCGGGGGCTGCATGCGTGGTTGATCGAGCGCGAAGCGCACAGACTTGGTGCGTTTCTTGGTTTTGGGGACGGACTGGTCCAAGGCCTCGATGCCGAGCATGCTTTGCTCGAGGTTGGGGTGGGAGGGGGTGATGGAGCTGCGGGCATCGAGTGTTCGGACTGTGGAGAGTGGTCAGCGTGGGGAACGAGCGAGGACGTGGGGGCGGGAGACTCACGCGTCAGGACGTCGACGATGGGCGGGAGTCTGGTGGTGCCATTGTCGATGCCCTTGGCTTTGGGTTCGTCGTTCTCGTTGTTGACCTTGGATTTGTTTCCTGGCGCGGGGCCAGCCACGCCAGATTTGGATCCAGAGCGTTTCATCGGGGAGGTCATGATGGTAGAGGATTGGGTGATGGGGGTGATGGGGGTGGTAGTGGAAGGTGGTACACGACGATGGAAGAAGAGGGTGGCGGAAGATAGTAGACGGTGATAGAAGATGATAACAGACAGTGATAGAAAGGTTTAGGTGGGGGATGGATGGTAAAGCGGTAAGAAAGTCAAGGGATGGAAGTGGTCGAAAGGAACGTTCACTTGGAGAGAGAGAGCGGATGGGGGTAGGACCTTAGGTGCGTATATCAATTACACCTAGCTTATGCCATCCTGGTCGCTTTAGGATGGTCGAAAGTCAAAGGTCGTCTGAACTTAGGGAATGTCTTTGAGGCTGCATGAGGTCATAATTGTCCCGGCAAGGTTTTGTTTCTTTTCGTTTCTTTTCGACTGTCCGCCTGATCTCAGATCTTCTCGCCGCAGGTACGACTTACCGCATGTCATGAGCGCCTTTCATTGTTCTGCGGTTCCCTCTTGGTGATTCACATGGGGAGGTCTGCGCGCACGGTCCATGATGACATGTGCGGTAGCCTCGCTTCCGTAGCAGGTGGGCGCCTTTATGACTCGACTCCTCGTCCTTCCAACCCGACTCATTACCTTTAGAATTGCACCAGTCGTCTCTCCAACCCGACCACTCTTATTCCCAACCCGACCACTCATCTTTTCAACCCGACTACCCGTCTTTCCAACTTGACTATCCGTCTTTCCAACTTGACTATCCGTCTTTCCAACTCGACTACTCGGCTTTCCAACTTGACTACTCGACTTTCCAACTCGACTACCCGTCTTTCCAACTCGACTACTCGTCTTCTCAACCTGATCTGGTGCGCCTGCGGCTTTCCTAATAATTACAGAGAGAAATTGATACTACTCACCATCCTGGCCCAAATTGGTACAGAGACCTTCATGCGGACACCACGACACCGTTCAAGCCTGATACGTGGATTCGGCCCCTTGCGAAATGGTCTTAAATGGGAGACAGGACGCCTACGGAGATCCAGAGGATGGGTCGGATTGTGACTCTGAAACACTGGACAGTCGTATGACTTGAGGTAAATTTGTAGTCTCCGTTTCTGACCTTCCGCAGAAGATAGTCGTTCCGCATGTAAGATCGTGCAGACGGTACGCATGGACTTTGAAAATGCGCCACACAATTCGGACTTGGATTTGCTTGATTGTGGCTCGTATATCTCCCCGCCACATTCCCCGTATGGTTCTACTTCCCTGTGCTATGTATTGGTTGTGTTATGTAATGTATTTTCAACTTCACAAGCACGGCTGCTGCAGGAAAAGGTCGGTTTGTAGTACGGCGAGCAGCACTCAGAAGTAAGCTCGAGCCGCTATGACGAACGGCTGGTACCGATGGCTAGGCGCAATGATCACGTGAGACAAGACTTCGAGGCCGTCAGCGACAGCGGCAAGCACTCCTGCGGCGCCTTGAACCATCAAGCTCCACCGAGCTCTCTGAAGACAACACGGTGAGCATTCTGGCGTCTCTCGACTTTATGAACATCGACTAAAGGTGACAATCTACTCGAAACCCCTTTATTCATCTGAGGCCAGAGGAACTTCGAAGGATTGCTACTCACCTGTAGCCTCACAACTCATTTATATTCATCCCACGCTCATCACAGAGAAAAAAAATCCTCACGGTCTCGATTCATAGACCTGCTCACTATGTCACGAACTCGTCCTCCCCGACCATCGCGTATCCCTTCAGACCGACCGGTGCTCATCCCTCGTCGGCCTTCTCTCTCTCTACCCCCAATCGCCGGCTCGTCCTCTGGCAAATCACCCGCCAACGCGAACCCGCATCGTGCGTCCAAACTGACGCAGAAGCTTGTGTTTCTCCCGTCCGACCCGCAGACGAAGCCGCTCCTCTCCGAGATCGACGAGGATGCGCACGGGTACGAGACCGACGCGGGTGTGCGCATGCGCGAGCACAAGTCGGAGGGCGAGCGGATGACCAAGGCAGAGCGGCGCCGTGCGAGGTACAGGCGGATCACTGCGTATTGTGTCGCGGAGGGCCTGAAGATGAAGTTTTTGGCGAGCTTTTTGAAGCGGGAGCACAACGTCATGCCGAGGGTGTTCGATGAGGCTCTCTATGTCGTACGTCCGACGTGCCTTCTCTGCCGCAAGACGGCGGTGTACTAATTGCCGTTTGCCGTTTGCCGTTTTGTGGAGTTTGTAGATGTATCATCTCCCACTTCTCCCTGGCTATGGTCCGACAGTCAATATCCGTTCCTCCGTACCTGCGCAAGACCGTCATCTTTCCCGCATGTCTGAAGCCGAGGAGAATGGCTACCAGGGGACCTACTTCGGCACCTCGGCCTCTGAAACACCCTTTTCCCTCCACGACGGGTACATTCCCTCATCATCACCCCTCGAAAACCTCAACACCTCCCGTTCTCATCCGGAGACCGAGACCGAAGCTGAGACAACAGAGATAGATGAGCCTTCTATCGACGAAGCCCCTGCGAGAGAGGGGAGGGCAGACAAAGCGCGCGCGTTGGAGCGGGAGCGTGTGGATAGCGAGAACGTGGCGGAAGTGGTGTTCTTTGCATATGGCGTGATTGTGTTCTTTGGGCTCGATGAGGAGCAGGAGCGCAGTATTTTGGAAGACGTCGAGGGGGCGGGGGCAATACGGCGGAAGCTCCCTGAGGCGGATTGGGAGGTTGAGGAATGTCATTATGCTGTGCGTTCAACGCATTTCTCTCCCCTGAAACGCTGCTGCATGGCTGACTGAGACTCCCGCAGTATGACCCTACGATCGCGTACCCACGAATTTATAACGACTTTTTCAGTGCGTACAAACTAATTTCCTCGTGCGTGCCCACTAAACTGAATCACCACTATATGCTTTCGGCGCATTTCCAGCATTTAAATCGCCCTCGCACCTCCTCACGCTCTCCATATCACACGCGCTCGCCCAATCGACGCTCCTCGCGCACTACGAGTCCCTCGCGCATGCGATCTTCGCCGACCCACGCACGACCTCGATCCCGCGCCAGCTCGCGTCGACGGGTGCGCTGAACCTCTCCCGCACCCAGGCGATGCGGCTCACGGGGCGCCTCTTCCGGCTCCGCCGCGACGTCGTGCTCGGCGGGAACGTGCTCGACGTGCCTGAGCTGTTTTGGAGCGAGGCGAGCATGCGCGGGCTGTACGACGCCGTGCGGAGCTATCTTGAGATCGGGGAGAGAGTCGGGAGCTTGAACGATAGGCTGGTGGGGGCGAACGATCTGGTAGGTTTTGAGCCGTCTTCGTCTTGTAAGGTTTGTTGGTGCTGAAGCGCCCTGGCTACGAAGCTCGACGCGATACACGACCATTTGAACAATAATGCCATGGAGCGAATAACGTGGATCATCATTTGGTATTCCTTTCATTTCACATCATCAAGCTTGCTCGTACTAAATCCGTGCTCAAGGCTCATTGTCGTCGCGATCATGGTCGAGCTTGGTGAAGTTATCGCTCGCCTCATTGTGCATGCGACAACGGCGGGCTCTTCGTCGTTGGCGTCGGCATTGCCGTCGCCCTCAATTGGCATGCTCTCGATTTCACCCGAAGAGGCGCTTCGGAGTGTCGAAAGCATGATTGGGGATTTGTAGGTCAGACCGCGCGTACATGTACTATAAATTTCCTGGAGTTGTCGCATACCCTGTGGACAGTTCGAACATATGCTCTATTGTATGGTACATTTAATAATTTCAATCAATAGCATCTTTCGAGTATCTGCTTGGCGGCGGTGAAGAGGAAACACGAAAATGGTCGCAGCTCCTCGTGTATATGGTAGCCCGAATTCAAGAATCAATAGCAATTGACGGACACGGCCCTGAAGCCCCGTATATATACGGTTTGATTTGTTTCATCCAATGTAACTCTGCTCTACGCTGATAGTTTCTCATTTAACCCTCCCGTCCCTCACAGCCCAAGCTATCCGTTCCCGTCAACATGGCAACAGATTGCCTACAAGCTCGGGGATCAGACGCGCCGCGCGCCGCCGCAGCACAGCGCCGAAGATCCAGACAGATGGAGGAAGGGAGGCTGCAACTTGTAGTAGCACGGACAATGGGGACATGAACACGGCACGGCACGGCACGGCCCACTACTGCGCAACACCGCCCTCCGCTCCGATCGATGTGTTCTTGCTGCGTGGGACGCAGGTCTAGTAGTGAATGGGGGGTATCGGGTCGGCGCGGATGGTCGAGAGGTCGGTGGATCGGTCTTTTTCTTCGTCGATTTCGCCGATCAGGATGCTGCGGCGCCGGGGCGAAATAGTGAGTAGATTGGTTCGGATGGACATTCTGGCGTCCCGCGCGCGACGACGGGTGCGCAAGGGAAAACAAAGTGGTGGGGCGGAGAAATGGGACGCACATCATGTCTCCTTTGACGAGGTAGAGACCGAGAGGAATCTCTTCGACGCCTTCCTCGAGGCTGTACACGCGCTCCTTGGATTCAGAAAGGACGACATTAGACTTTTGGTCGTAGCCCGCCATAATCCCCTAATAGCACGACAGTCAAGGTTTCAGCGTGACACAGGATACACAGGGGAAAGCGATCGTACGACTATAGCGCGTCCATCTTGTAGGATGAGAAGTACGCGGCCTGCACGTCAAATGAAAATATTGCTTGAGTGGGGATCGGCGGTGAGGAATGCGAGGAGAAACGTACGCTCGACGTAGCCTTGGAGGCTAGACATCGTGGGGCGTCCTACCTTGCGTGATGGAAGCGAACGAGGGAGGCGAGGCGGCCGTGGACGCTGTCGCGGACGTCAGGGAGGAGGGTACCACAGACGGCAGGCGGCGAACGCGAGCCACGGCGGCCCCGGCCCCGGCCCCGGCTCCGGCCGGTGAGAGGAATGTACGCCGATCAGCTCAGACGCCTTCAGACACGCACTTGAAGTACCCTCGTCTTCCATGCAAGAGCTTGAGTGGCCAATCATGAGCTCGCAAAATGTTGCCGCTAGAAGACTGATATGGTATGTTTTACGAGACTATCGGTGTGCTTTACGAGACTTCAAGAGGGGTCCAAGGAGAGTGACGAAACGATGTGGGCGGGGTTCGGCGATAAAAGGCCGGCAGAATAATAAAATTGGAGAGAGGCCAGGGGCGGGAGGCCAGTTTGTTTGCAGTCAACGTTCTTGTTCGACCCCGTTCTCGTTCAGCTTGTCAGCTCTTTGTTCCCGACCCTAGTCACTCGCTCCATTCTATCTCATCCTCTTCTCCTTCTTAGCACCACCATGTCCGCCTCCCCTGAGAAACCCCTCGACTCCCGCGACAACGCGCAGTATCTTGAGGTCGCTTCAAAGCAGGACTCTGGTGACGGCCAGACGAGCCCTCTCCCCTCTCCGGTCTCCACACCTGCGCCCAAGCCCAAGCCAAAGTTTCAGTCGACAACCATCATCATCCCTATATGGATTTGTCTCAGCTCCGCCGTTATCATCTACAACAACTATCTGTATAACACCTTAAACTTCAAGTACCCCGTCTTCCTTGTAACATGGCATCTATCGTTCGCCGTGAGTCTCCTTTTCGACATCATCATTTGGGTCGTGAGGTGGCCATCAGTATACTGACCCGCTCGTGGTGCGCGTTCGTGTCGCGATAGACTATTGGCACACGTGTGCTGCAGCGCACAACGCATCTTCTAGACGGTGCAAAAGATGTTCATATGACGAAAGACATGTTCACGCGCTCCATTCTTCCCATCGGCCTCCTCTTCAGCGCCAGCCTAATTCTTAGCAACACCGCGTATCTCTACCTCAGCGTGGCCTACATTCAGATGCTCAAGGTGCGTCAAATTTCGTTTGTCATGTCTTGCTACGGTCTTCGGTCCACGGTCTGCAATGGGCATCGCCGTGTCAGAGCTTCCTTCGGGTGTATTAAAATGTCTCTCTGGTATCACTTGTCTCGTGTCTGACGAAGTGCAGAGGTGCGTCCGAGGTTGCCGCATCTAGTTGTATCAAGCATTGATAGCATATTCCCAGATACGCCTTACACCCGACCGTGTTCTTTTCATGTTTAGCGCGTCGCAAATCGCATTTCTTTTTTTCGGAGAACAATCCCATCTCCGGACATCACAATCAGAAATCTGTGTCGCTCCTGAACATTACATCTCCATCGTCTTGTCGTGAGATTGTTTTTGGACGGGAAACGCTGACCGCCGTGTGTTAGGCCTTCGTGCCTGTAGCTATCCTCCTGATTTTATGGACGTTCCGCATCCAAGAGCCTAACCGCAAACTCGCGGTCATCGTATTCATGATCTCGTCCGGAGTCGCCCTTGCCTCACATGGCGAGTTACGTTTCAACCTCGTCGGCTTCCTCACACAGGCCGCTGCCGTTGCCGTATGTACCCCTCCCGCTTTTAATTCTGTATCGTTGGCTTATCCCTTCTATCTCGTGCCATAATTAGTTCGAAGCTTCTCGGCTCGTGATGATCCAGATCCTCCTGCACGGCCTCAAGATGGACCCGCTCGTCTCACTGCACTACTACGCGCCTGTCTGCGCGCTGATCAACATGCTCATCCTGCCGTTCACCGAAGGCCTTGCGCCATTCTACGAGGTTCTGCGCATCGGCCCACTCGTACTGATTACCAACGCATTCATTGCGTTTCTTCTCAACATCGCGGCGGTGTTCCTTGTCGGTGCTGGCTCGGGTCTTGTCTTGACGCTCGCGGGCGTGTTCAAGGTATGTTTTCAAAACTTGGGATGAGTTGTGGGCAGAGGTTAATGGCTTTCTTCTCCCATAGGATATTTTGCTCATCACGGGTTCGGTGCTGATCTTCGGGTCGACCATCACGCCTCTGCAAGTCCTCGGTACGTTTCTCCTCCTCAGCCAGCCGCTTACCTGTTTCCAGTCAACCCATCATCTGACGTACTATGATAGGCTACTCCATCGCCCTCGGCGGCCTTGTCCTCTACAAGACCACTGGCAACAAATAGACTTTTTCCTTGCTCTGACACGTACCGCGCAGCCAACTTTATCGACGACAGACCGACGCGTCGCAACACCCTACGACTCCTCTTCCCCCGCACGCTTTAGCTATCGCTATTTATCATACATATATACATAGAAGGGATTTCGCATCTTGGTCTATGACGGCCCTCTTGGTTTCACCGACGTGCTCCTGCGTTCCTGATTCCCATTTTTTTCTCTTCGTGCGATTTGGATGGATGGACGGCAGTTCGTAGTCTGTTTCTGATTTGTGCACGGATCGCGTTTTCCAGGTTTGTGGACAGGGACGACGGTGTCATTTACATACGGATATAGCATTTGCTGCTCATTTTTCCAGTATGTTTGACGGGTCGGGATTTGGCTGCGGCACGTTATAATGATTTTGACCATTGATTGGTTTTTTTCCGTTTTTTTTCTGTTCGACGCTCACTCACATCTGGAGCTATTTTGAGCATCAAATACTCAAGGGTTTCTGGGGTCTTTGAGCTCATTCTTCCGGGGTCGTCCAGGAAGAGACCCATTCAATATTCAGATAGATTTAGACTCCAAGGTTTCTTGAAGACTATATCTGCCTCTTCAGACGCAAAGAATGCCCGCACACACGAAACCCACGAAGAAGAGGTCTGCACCCTCGCAGGCAGGCCCTGCGTCCAAAAAATTGCACCTCGAGAAACCGGGAAAGGCCTCGTCGGTCCCAGCGCAGAAAAAACGAGCACGGCCTGTGGTGTCGGTGCGCGAGCCTCAGACGGACGACTCGGATGCCGAGGAGGAGAAGTTGATGGAGGAGGAGGAGGAACTGGACGGCCATGATCATGACCTGGAAGGTGACAGTCTGGACGGGGACGGAGAAGGGCAAGGCAAAGGCGAAGGGGACGGGGATGTGGACATGGAGTCTACTCAAAAACCAAAAGATCCCAATGGTGCGTGCCCATGTTTTTTCTTATTTGAAAGGCCATCATAGTCTTTAAGAACCGGTCTCTCATCCTCGCTCCGTCGTCTTCAGCTGCGCGTGAGTCCCACAAAATCCAAAAGGCCCTCCAGGCAGAGCGCCGCGCCGCGAAACCGCACTCTGACCTCCTCACCGAGGCGAAGCGCGCTTGGTCGCTCGCGCGGCAGCAAAATATTGCCAAGAGCGAGCGTAAGAAGCACATCGCAGCCCTCGAGGCTGTCGTCAAAGGCAAGTACCAGGAGATCGTGTTCAAGCACGATGCGAGCCGTATCGTGCAGACGGTGATCAAGTACGGAGACCAGAAGCAGCGGGACGCGGTTGCTGTCGAGCTGAAGGGGCGGTATAAGGAGCTGGCGCAAAATAAGTACTCAAAGGTGCGTGCGTGTGCCTTGTGCGAATGTGCGCGAAGGGCTGACATGAATGCTGTACGCAGTTTTTGGTGACGAAAATCATCCGCCTGTGCCCCGCCCACCGCCTGTCCATCCTTCTCGAGTTCCAATCCCACGTCATCCGCCTCCTCTTGAACCGCGAAGCGTCTCACGCCATCGCAGACACTTTTGAGCTCTACGCCAACGCATACGAGCGCGCGGTCCTGTTGCGCGATTTCTACGGCAAGGAGACGACGCTGTTCTCGAAAAGCACCGGGAATGAGAGCGTGGAGGAGAAGGATGAGTTCAAGAAAGGGTTGAGAGGAGTGTTGGAGGGCGTGGACTCTGACAGGCGGAAGAGGGTGCTGAGTTCATTGAAGGACAACTTGCTCAATATGTGCGTCTCATCTTGCCCTTAGCGTTTTCAGGGCATCGTTTATCTTATGTCGGTCGAGGATAGCTTCAATAACTCGGAGAAGGGATCCGTTCGGCATGCTATCGTGCATAGGGCGCTGTGGGAATATATGATAGAAGTCGAAGAATCACCGGAGGAAGAGGAGCGGGAGAAGCTTCGGAGAGAGATGTTTGAGAAGTAGGTTCTTAATTCATCGCGCCCAAGTCCAACGCACCGATCATATATTCCTCCGTATTAGCTGTCAGGATATCTTAGCGGAGATGGTGCACACAAAGGACGGCAGCCGTGTTGTCCGCGAATTCCTTGCTCGAGGAACGGCCAAGGTATGCGGCATCTATCTACTCTAGATGTGAATTTAACGGCCTCTTTGGAATATGATCTATGGACAGGACAGGAAAATTATAATCAAAACTATCAAGCCATACATCGAGACAATGGCTAACGACGACGAGGCTCAACTAGTACTCTTTACTGCCCTGGACGTTGTCGAGTGAGCCCCTCCCTTTCCGGAACTCCATGTCATCGTTCGACTCACGGCTTTGATGATCAGCGACACGAAGATGCTCGCTAAATCTCTCATCCCTTCTTTGACCGCTCACGCTTCCACGCTCCACAAGACCTCTCAGGGTCGACGTACCCTCTTGTACCCGCTTGTTCCCCGCTCACGTAGACATTTTACGCCCGCCATGATCGTCTCTCTTGAGGAGACCGACGCCCTGCGCGAAAAGACAAGTAAAAAAGACGTGGACGTGCGTGTGGCCGAGGTCAGGTCTGCGGCGAGTCAAGAACTCCTGGATTGGGTGACAAAGGACGGGGCTGCGGTGTGTAGAGAGACAGGCGGAAGCTTGATCGTGCTGGAGATCCTGCTCGAGGCTGAGGGCGGTGAGCATACCCAAAATAAAAAGCCTGCGAGAAGGTACTGATGCTTTTTTTGTTGTCGAGACAGATAAAACATTAGCGATGGAAACCCTCCTCCGTCCTCTCGCGTCCCCGTATCCCTCCGAAGACCCATCAACCCCTCATCCAATCGACCTCCCACACACCTCTCGTCTCATCAAAAACCTTCTCCAAGGCGGGCACTTCTCGCACTCCACACGGACCGTCGAGAAGTCCTCCCGGTTCTCTGCAAAGGAGTTTGCGGAGATGTTCGTGCGGCTTGTGGGGAAGGAGACAACTGTTGCGATGGCCAAGGGGTCAGGCGCGTTCGTGGTTGCAGAGTTGGTCGAGAGGGTGTCGGCGGAGGGAAGCGATGAGACGAAGGGGGAGCTCAAGGAGTGGATGAAGCGCATAGGGAGTGCTGGAGATGAGGTCAAGGGGTGGGGTGTGCTCATGGAGAAGGTGGAAGCATTAAAAGTATGATGAGGTCCCACGAGATGCTTTCGATTTCACAGAGAAACCCAGTTTCTCACAAAAGCTCATCTCTGAACGGCTTGGCCATCATATAGCCTAGCTAACAAGGCCTGCGTATATCCGATCTTCATTCGGAAGAGCAAGATAAACCATTGACTGAAAGTACGAAGGAGACCAGTTCCCTCTAACTCGTGGGTTCGAGTCTCTCTCGAAGATGAGATGCGTGACAAACAATATTGAAGAATACTGTTTCCGTCACGAACGCGTAACGTGCGCGGCACAGGCCGATATATACCTCGACAAGCTGAGATCTACGGCATCGAGCAGTAACAACGCTAGTAGCATAACCCCTCAGTTGAGGAGGCCGTTCACCTGCTATTCAGAGCATTGATATCATCAGAAACTACCAGCGCGACGCTCCTTGAATGGCTGACCATCCAACTATCTCTTGGCAGGCCATGCAAGATGGCAACATCTTCTACAAACGGCAGCAGGTCTATTCAATAAACGGCAAGCTTCCCAATCTCGGGGATTTCTTCATCGCTGGATGTCGTTATGGAGGTCCTCTAGGTACGTCAGTGCCTGAATGCCTATACACGATGCTGGGATAAACATGAACCGCAGCGCTCATGAGGGATAACACCAAAATGGTCGCGCTGGGACGCGGTGCTCCAGCGTTCTCCAAGTCTCAGATCCAGGTGTTCTCACCCGCGGGAGATGGGTTGCTGTTGTTCAGTGTGGATATAATGTCTTTGTTTCGTGAGCTCCTCCAACTAATTGTGTGTTCGCATATAGTGGGATCAGAGCAAGATTGTCAAGTTTGGCTGGACAGCAGATGAGCGACTTGCTGTGCTTAATGAGGAGGGAACGTATCGGTTATACGACTTGCAGGGTGACTATGAGCAGTACTCCTTGGGAAGCGACGCGGCGGAAGTGGGCATCATCGACGCGAAGATTCATGAGAGCGGAATGGTGGCGATGACGGGTTCATTGCAGTTGCTCGAGGTGAAGGGATGGGAAGGCGTAAAGCCATTGACACTGAATAATCCAGGTGAGCTTCTCTCTCGTGTATTGTGCCATGGCTTATTGACCAAGGCAGGGTTATCGCAGCCACCGTTTTCATGGACGGTGATCCCACCAGACTTTACAATATCCCGGCACGTTGAAGTGCTGCTTTCCGTAGACTCTACCATCCTTACCGTTGACAACCTCGACTCTGTCGATCAACGCCTGTCTCGTGGACCTTTCTCCCACATGTCTCCTTCGCCCAACGGCAAATCCCTCGCACTACTCACCCTCGAGGGGATGCTTTGGGTCGTCTCGACCGACTTCCAGAGAAATCTCACCGAGTTTGATACGAAGGACGTGGTGGGAGCTGAAGGCGACGTGCGGCAAGTTGAATGGTGCGGTAACGATGCGATCTTGGTCACATGGGACACGCTCGTCCTACTGGTGGGGCCCTTTGGCGAGACTCTACAGTGAGGCTATAACACACACAGTGCTGGCGACTGACCTAACCGCATCCAATAATAAGGTTCTTGTACTTTGGATCCACATTTGCCATAACCGAGATCGACGGTGTCCGTATCATCGGGCCCGACGTCTGCGATCTCGTACAGAAAGTACCAGGTACGAGAAAATCAGATGCTGATGATGTCTCTTCACCTCCTTGACCTGCGTCATAGCATCTTCGGTGTCAGTGTTCCGTCCCGGCTCGACGTCTCCATCCGCTATACTATATGATGCTTGGGAGAACTTTTGTCGTCGATCTCCGAAGGCGGACGAGAACATACGGAGCATTCGCCCGGAATTGGCTGCTGCAGTCGACGAGGTCATCGATGCGGCAGGCCAGGAGTGGGAGCCTACATGGCAGCGTAAGCTATTAAACGTACGTCTGTATCGCGCGAGAGCCTGTGGTTACTGAATCGGATTTGAGTAGGCAGCCAAGTTTGGGAAAGCATTTCTAGATCTGCATAACCCTACGGACTTCATCCACATGGGACAAACACTGAAGGTCCTCAACGCAGTGCGCTTCTATGAGGTTGGCATCCCCATCACCTATTCCCAGTATGTGGACACCTTTCTATAGCACATTCACATATTGAAATATCTCAGATACAATTACCTCTCGCCCACCCACCTCATCTCACGTCTGACATCTCGCAACCTCCATCTGTTCGCCCTTCGTGTTTCCTCCTTTCTCTCCCTTCCTCCAGACAACGTCTTGAAGCATTGGGCATCTGCTAAGATCATGAAGTCGAAACCGACGACGACGGGGTCTGGTAAGGATGCGGAACTTTCCGCCGACGAGGATGTATGCAATAGTATCGTCGAAAAGTTCCGGACGCTGGGAGGTGCCAGTGTCAACTACGCAGAGATCGCAAAGCGCGCATGGGAAGTCGGACGAACCGGATTGGCGACAATGGTATATGCGTGTCCAGAATATTGGTCCTCGAACGTCTTTTTGAATCATGTGGCAATTCACAGCTTTTAGACCACGAGCCCAGAGCGTCGGATCAAGTCCCCCTACTCCTTGCTATGAAGGAGGATCGCCTAGCATTGCAGAAAGCAGTAGACAGTGGGGACACGGACCTAGGTATCTCTTTCACTTTTTGGTCGTACGGGCTCGACTCAATTCTGACCATGTGCTAGTTTACCACGTACTTCTCCACCTATACAATCGTCTCCCTCTGGGCAACTTCTTCCGCCTCATCGAGGACGGGGGATCAAGGCTTGCTTCCGCGAGCAAGTTGCTCCAGGTATATGCGCGGGAGCAAAACCGGGAAATGCTCCGCGATTTCTATTTCTCGGATGATCGACGGGTCGAAAGCGCTGTCCTATTGTTAGAAGAGGCAGCGCGGATGCAGGTACCCATCATGTTGCATTCAAGCAATCTTCAAACATTGATTCATGTCACGCAGGATCCTAGCGCCAAGGTCACTGCAGTCAAGGCTGCTCACAAGTTCTTCTCAGAAGACAAGGAACGCGCGTTTGAGGCTAAGGTATTGCAGTCCAACTCATGTCATCTTCTTGACTCACGTCCATCTCCATAGTCAATGGATGAATATAGCCGCCTGCTCACGGTTCAACAGCAGCTAGAAAAGGAGACTGATGACAAGATTCCATTCTTCGGGCTGAGTGTCAACGAAACCCTGCGAACCTGTCTTGTCAATGGTATGTCGAAGCGCGCGGACAAGATCAGGTCCGACTTCAAAGTCCCCGATAAGAGGTACGCGTGTTCACACTTTCCTTTTCTATCCCGCAAAACTTCAGGCGTCTCACAAGCCATCCGGTGTTTCGCAGGTTTTGGCATCTCAAGCTACATGCACTTGTTTCAACGAGAGACTTTGAGGGCCTCGAAGCTTTCGCACGGTCAAGGCGTAGTCCGATTGGATATGAGGCGTTCGTACGCCATCTTGTCGAGAAAGGCCACGCGAAAGAGGCCGCCAGCTACGTTACACGGTGTGACGCGCCCAAGAGAGTCGATTTGTATGTCGAATGTGGTGAATGGCGAATGGCAGGGAAAGAGTGCAAGGAGCGGGGAGATAAGGTCAGGCTGGAGTAAGTGGCCAAAGCCGTACCTTCTATGCGCACCCTATGAGCATAAGCTGACTGACAGCCTGTTTTCCGCTCTAGACAGTTACGAAGTGCATGTCCAAACTCCATGATCGCAAGAGAGCTCGAAGCAATAGCTACGTCGATGAAGTGATTGTGCTGACAGCTTTGAGAGATACCCTCTATTATAACCAGTGCCGTCTATTTGAAATTTTTAGTAGAACGAGTCATCGAGAACACCGTCAACTGCGGGAACTAGCCATTTGCTTCGTGGCGTCGAAAATGTTGTAATCACCGTATGTGTTCGAATTGTGTGTCCTCAGAGCCTAAGGGTGACTGCGCTGTCACGATGATCTGGTGAGTTTTGCTTTGTAGAACGCAATCGATTCTCGAGAAGCTGCAGAGAGTGGCCTCTGCGGTCAATTCGGAGATAACCTGCAACCTATTTCCTTTGCTACCAGTTGGTTCCCACAGGTTCCCACCGGCAACTTATTTGATGAGTAAAGGTCAATTAGCTGTGGACAGGAGTGATAGCGTCTTTGCCGATGACATTTGATCAGCTTGGATGTAATTATTTGACAGCGTTGTGTCCTAAGCAGGATGCCGTTTGGGACACACAGGTCAGATATAAAGAGTTCGACGCATCCTCACCCCATCTGGAAACATTGCAGCGATAGTCGTCCAACGTCATGGCTAAGGTCGGGTATGACGAAGACTTCTCTAACCTGACCCGCCATCACAAGTACGTCTCCCTGATTGTCACTGCTGAAGTTAACTTACGTGGCGACCTCAGTGTTTATCCCGCGATTAACCCCAAAATCCACTACGAAGTCCAGACATCATACACAAGACAGGGTAGTCTTCATTACGGGTGCTTCTCGTGGTATCGGGGAGGAGATAGCGGTGCGGTATGCTCGGGCTGGCGCATCGCTCGCTTTCGTCGGGCGCAAGCAAGCGGCTTTAAATCTCATGAAGATCACCATCCTCAGGGAAGTCCCGCAAGCAAAGGTACTCACGTTTCCCATGGATGTTACCAATACGCAGGCGATTGCTCAGGTGGTCGAACTCACCACTCGAGCGACTTGATATCCTTGTCGCGAATGCCGGCCAAGTGAGAACGGTGGTGAAGCGTGAGTCTGCATCCTTATCAACAGTGATGCAAGATTACACAGTCTCATATCCTCGTGTTAGCTTTCGCCCAACAGGGCATTGATAGTTGGCGGAACGTCGTAGAAGTCAATATCCGCGGAGTCTATAATGCCGCCCAGTGAGCATCATCCATTCTATGACCATACGAAGCCTCCTTGATATGCCTGCTAGTTTTGCGATTTATCACTAACAGAAGACCAATGCTTATTCTGTGATTGTTACATCGCTCGGTGCAAACCTCCGTATCCCGTTTGCCAGCGACTACTGTGTTTCCAAACACGCCTTGACACGATTTGTCGAGTTCATCGTCTTTGGTATGTCGGATAGTATATTTTGCACACATCATACTTGATGTCCTCGTCACTTCGTCTCTTTGAAGAATCTTAACCTCAAGGCTTTCGCGCTCCATCCTTGCGCTATCCTGACGCAGATGACGCATGAACCGCCATCGAAGTTTTCCATGACTGATACTTTGGCCCTTCCTGCGACAGCTGACTGGCTGAGTGGGAGGTTAGTGATAGTGCTTTCAACGGACAAGATGCTGATGCTGATCGTCAATGTCGAAGGTATGTCTCGTATATTTGAGACTTAAGCGAGGTAGAGAGAGATTGGAAGACTAAAATTGAACAACGGAACGGGCTCGTAAGGAAGCTGTATATTCTACAGTAGTCAACTTAGCGAGACCAGTGGATGACTCTTTGGCACGGCTGGCGGAGTGTATATGTATTTTCCACCTAGATTGAGAGCTCAGTCATCATCAGCCCAGAGGCAAGGCAGAGCAGGGTATGTAGTCTATCTTTGCTTCCGCTTTGGCGTCTATTTTCGTGCTGTCTGAATTGTGCCTTTTTCAATGGGTAGTGTTGCCGTTAGATCGTCCACCTAGACGGAGCCCTCACTAGTCTTCTTTCAATGCGGCTTGAATAGGATGCCCATTCAATTCTCCTAGACTGTTGGTTTTGCATCTGCTGTTCCGCTGTCATGATCACTCTATCACATGTATCGTCGGTCCATCTTGTCCTTGAGCTTGAGCGCTTGAGCACCATAACAACGAAAGATTCCGCAAATACTCCCAGGATATTTAGTTGATTTGAGCCCCGACGTCTGCTTCACATCTCCGAGGACAGGTGGTCGATTCAGGCGCTCGAAAGATGCCTTGAACTGTCTGGGCTCTATTGTCCAGTTTCGTGTGCAAGGCTGCACTGTCTGGGCTCTTTCGTCCGGTTTCATGTGAAAGACTGCACACATGTATGCTTAGCCTTGCAAGCTTCTGAGCTTTGTCCAACAAATCCTCCCAGATACTGATGCGCCATTTCCAAGGTCCAGGATCGAGTCCGAGGCCAGATCAAAGCCCACACTCATGCAATATCGACTAATTACCGTCATTCCACCGTCGATCCCCGCTAGGCAAGTGATTGGCGCGCAGGGACAATCACGCTCGTAGTTGGAGGCGGGTGATGACAAATGAAAGCGTTCCCATCCACTTTCAATCCCCAGAAGAGGTTCAATCCGGTACGTACCTGTGATGCTTACGAACTCACAAAGGCAAATTATATCGAAATTAACCCAGAAATGTTCCGCATCTTGTCAGGATTCCTGAATGCAAAGAAGCGCACCTCGGCCTCGGCGCTTCTACTTCGACCTTAGAAAGATAGCTCGATTATCGGAGCCCTCGCATAATAGCAAGAACAAGTAATGAAAAGTTCCGTAAATTCATTATCGTGATCATACAGGAGCCATTGGAGACACAGAAGGGACGGTGCTGACGTTACTGACACATAATACAAGTCGTTGTCCATCCCAGGGTGCGAAAACACAAGAAACCAAGAAATCCCGATGCTGTAAATCAGCCGAAGTACTACAACGTCCGACCGCTAGGACGACCGTCAATTCAAGTCAGGTGTCCGCCTCCTCACTTGCTGCTTGTGAACCTAGATATACAGAAACTGAAGGCGCCGAGGGAGACAGAGGTTATGCTGATGACTTCTCGTGGAACTCGTGCGCGGACAGTTTTTCATCGACGGAGGGAGTTTCTGGCGCGACAGCGGCTTGTCCAGTCGCGTGAGCGTGAATTTGCTCAGCTGCTTCGTCGCCGTCGAACAATACAGCAGTCTCCTCCAATGAAAGGCCCTTCGTTTCCTTTACGAAGAACCACAGGTAAACTCCTTCGAAGGCAAGCCAGCAAATGTACACGATCTACAGGTTGATAGTATGCTCAGCAGAGACATAGAAATATTCAGAGGGTGCGACGTACGTAGTACTTCCAGCCCAGGTGCTGAAGGGCGATCGGGTTGACATATTGGTTGAAGATGAGCGCGAGAGAAATCGTGAAGTTGAAAATGTTGAAGCCTTTTGCACGGATATGATATGGTAAAATCTCAACAGTGTATGAGACGATCAGAGGCGTGAACGCCAAGCTAAACATTCCAAATAATGTTATCCCGTGGGGGACAGGGAGTGATTGGGGTCACTCACTCGTATGCCGCATAGAATAAGAATATGAATGCGATCACAGCATGCGCAGCACCTTCGCTGCCCTTCTGGGCAAACAAGGCAGAGCAGATGGTCTGAAGTGTAAAGAAGAGGATCATCCCACAGACAGATGTCAAGAAGAGCACACGACGGCCTATACGGTCAACCATGAACGCAGCGCTACAGGCCCAGAACAGATTCCAAATTTGCAGGATACCGTTGATGAGGAGCTAGTGTGAATGATGAATCAGTGTATGCGTATTGGTATATAAGGCGCGCGCGCACTTGAATGGTTGGATCGGTGATGCCAATAGTGTCGAAGACCTTGTTCAAGTAGTACGACACGAGGCCATTGCCGGACCATTGAGAAAAGAATGCGATGGCAATGATGATCCGCATACGCCTCCTGTTTCCGGGAGTCGTGAAAAGGGACTTATATCCGACATTTGCAGATACTAAATCAGACCAATGTGTCAGTATGCAGATCAGCACGCATGATCTATGGGCCCACCGATCCGATCGAACTCAATGGCAGCCTTGATCTCTTCATACTCGTAAACAATGAGAGGATCCCGGCTGATAATCACCCGCAAGGTTCAGTAAATAAGTTTACAACGAGTGAGGCGAAAAACTTACTCGTTGCCGTCTGCATGGTAGTAGGCAAGCGTCTTGATGGCCTGTGCGTCACGACCTTTGCTGACCAGCCAACGCGGGGACTCGGGTAACATGACAACAAAGAGGACCTGCAGAACTGAAGGAAGCCCCTGCAATAGGGAAGGAACACGCCAAGCCCAATTTGACTGGATGTGTTGCGTGCCGAAAGTCGTCCATGCAGCACTGAGGTGACGTCAGGCATGACGATATCAAGGACAGGAAAGGCTGAAACATACATGATTGCACCAGAGTACCAAAGAGAATTGTACAAGGACGTCAGAGGAGCACGGTATAATGGATACGAGATCTCCGTAACAAGCATAGGTGCCGCATTTGCTACATCCGGGCCGAGATGCTAATGAGTATCCTGGTACCGAACTCAGAAGAGTTCTAAACATACCAGCGAAGGTGAGACCGAATCCGATGAGGAAGCTGTTTTCCAGGATCAGCTTGCGTTCACCAAGAATACACGAATGCAGATGCTGACCGAGCACCAAGGAACATGCCAACAGAATGCGCCGCTGTTTGTACGGCCGTAGCTGCACACATGATGATAGCACCAAAGAGTACGCTGCCACGGCGTCCAATACCATCAGACATGTAGGGGGCGAATGGGTAGCCAGCAAGAGAACCGATGTTCTATATAATATTGAGCACCTAGAGGAGTAGACGCAAAATACAAGACACTGACTTGTATCGCATTCAGAAGACCAAGTTTTCCACCTTGAGGGTTGTTGAAGTACCCCTTCCACTGGGGCTCTGATTGAAGAGCATTCATCATACTTCCATCGTATCCGTTCGTCGAAGACGTGATGAGGCTTGGAGAAGATATAGCTGAGTGCAAGGTAGGCCAGGTAAAGCAGCAACGACTTACAGCAATACAATCCAGCCATTGAGTGCAATTATGCTGATAGAATTCAAATTTTAAAAAATCAATGATCGGCTGCTCACGATTGTTTAGAGCATACTCACCGCCTGTTGTTGTACCACTTCCTCTTCGGGTCAAGGAGGTGAAGGTACCCCGCTTTCTTATCAACAACGGCCGCGCCTGCACCCATAGTGACTTTGAAGGCTGGTTAAAACAGAAAGCGAGCTAGAGAAGTGGAGGCGGGTGCTAAGAAGAATCGACATGAGGAGGTTTATATGTTGTCGGTATGGTTGCCCGTAATGACGGCTCAGGTGACTTGGCTGTGGGTTTTGACGAAGATTCTCCTTCCGAGCAGGTTACCCCGCACGCCTGATTATTTAACATTGTCTCCCATGGTGTGTGCCCTGAACCGGTATTTCGGTCCTCTGGGGCCCCAGGTCATGAGAGGCCATAGCGCGTCAATTTCAATGTCCATGGATGAGCGGGGTAGAGTTGCTCAGCATTCTTTGGTCGCATCTGCGAGTGGAAGTTATTTTACCGTTCTATTATGTGGATGCAAGACAAAAGAGAGCGCAGGAACATGTTGGAAGGGAAGGACGATGCCACACAGGCCAAGGCGCCGCGCCGCCTGGCCTCCGTCGATTGTCACATGATGGGGTTCTCAAACGACCCAATTTAGACTCCGCGACTCTAGCCTGACGAACTCAGACCTTCTCCCACGTCAATATAAGCAACCCGGACGCACCGAGGTGGAACACTAGAAGAGGTGTTAGAATTATATAGAACATGTTTAGAGGCTAACATGATACATAGTCCAAACAACGTATCTTCCAACTCCAGATTCTCCGACAGGTTGGTCTGTGTCTGTTTTTTAAACACCTTCCTCGTCGGTCGGGACGGACGCCCGCTCCCAAACGGCCCGCTCAACAGTGATCTCAGCGCGCCGAGCCCATCTTCTGGAGTTGGAGTCTCGCTCTCTCATGTCCTTGGATCCTGTGTACTCAAGCCCTTCCTTTCCATCTTCGCATCCCAGGTACGAGTCAAAGGAACCCCATCTTGCAGTGTTCTTCATCTCGTTTTGATGCACGCAGGCTCCGTCAAGGCGCTTCAGCGAGATATAAATTATGCCAGCATTTCCCCAGGTACACCGCGCCACAAACATCATGCCTTGATCCTCCGCTATGAACTTTGCAGCTCGGCCTAGCATCAGGTACGGTGTCATCTCTGCCATAATCCTCGACACCCGAGGATTCGCCGCGCATACACTTGTGTAAAGTGCTACCTGCGCATCGTCTTCTGCGTGGGTTCCGCTTCGGGATACTGGGCGCGTCAAAACTATCCCAAGCACTAATGTTTGACATTCTCTCGATGCGAAATACGACAGACTCTTAGCTTGTCGAGGAATTACACGAGGGGAGTCTTAACATGCCCACGATTCCAGATGCTCAGTCATGTCTTCATGGACTCCCCCACTGCTCTCTTCCAGTCACGTTCTGGTCCATCATATGGTAAATTTATGCCGCACAATCTCGTCATGCGTCATTGCATCACTCCGCATGCTTCCGCATGGTGCTTTTGGCTCTCTGCCGTGTACCGCATCTCAGGGCGAGTATGTACGTGATTTAAAAATACAAAACACGTGTGATGTGTTGATGCCTCTGCGCGGGTGCTATCAAACTCGAGGTCTATCTGAAACTCGGACACAATCGGAAATCCTGGTATGGGGAGCGCTCGAGCTCTCCCCCCACGCCTATACTTGCTCGAGAACTCACACATGTCGTCGACGGTGACATCATTCAACAGCAAAAATAACATCTTCACCCATAGCCATGGGAGAGGAGAGCCGTAGCACGAATTCTTGACCGCTGCACAACATCAGATGATATCTACCTTCACACGAAGAGGGAAAGCAACGAAAGCAAGCGAATATATCGATGAACAAATTATATATGAACAATGGTCTTGGAAATCACCGCATATCTGTAGACAGTCCCCGCCCATCTTTGCCGATTAACCGCCGCATGCCCAACGGCCACCCCATGCAACACACAAGACCCATCCGAGAAACCCGACTCCGATGATGATCAATCCCGGCCTGAACAAAAAAATAGCGTATGCGTAGGCATAGGCGTAGAAGTATAGTGATAGCGTCGCAGCGCTAAAATCTCTGCAGCAGGTCCCTCGCCGACGTCTGCTCTCTAATCACTGTGCTAGCATCGCCCGCAGACTCATCGATGCTCATATTTGTTCTTCTCCTCCGGCCAACCCAGCTGGCAATGCTGGCAAGGGGGCCACTGCCCGGTGCCCCAAACTCTAAAGCGCTGGAGCTGAGAGGCGATCGCGTCGTAGGCTGTATATGATACGATGTTGTGCGTCGACGAGCGAGAAACATGTTCGACATGCCTTCTCCAGAAGATTCAGCTGGCGAGGGAGTGCTCGGTTCCTCTTCACCTTCAATAGTACCAGGGGACGCAGAGAGAGCAGTGGTAGGCGCGGCCTTGACTAAACCGACAGTCGCACCAGATGATGCGCTGCCAAAAGGTGGCATGCGGCCGGATGAGAACCGTGATGATGTCGAAAGTCTGGATGCACGCGAGCCAGGGCGTAAAGGGGAAGGTGCGCCAGCAATATGCCCCCGAAGTTGTTGGGCAGGAGGTGAATGAGCAGGTGGTGACGTGGTGGCCGGCGCGATAGGGGACGGTGTCCGCGTTCGTTCCGCAGGCGATGGTGGGATAGGTTCCAGAGGTGGAAGCTCAGATCCTGCTTGGGCGAGTAGTCGAGAGAGCGATGATGGTCCTGCTGTCGGAATTGAATTTGCGCGCGCACGTACGACGGGAAACAATTGAGAGTTTGGTGCGCGTGTCGCCTGGAAGGCTTCTTCCACTTCATTTTGCGGTGGGCTAGGCGAGAATGTTGGAGGGGCCGAAAGCGGTGTTGGAGTGCTCTCTTTTGTTTCACTGGATGCCCTACGTGAGCCAACTCTCCGCTTCGACGAACTGGACTGAGTCCAGTCTTCAACTTCAAGCATGTAATACTTGACACCATCGCCAAGGCCATAGGGATTAGTGCTAGGATCCTGTATGACCATGACAAAACAAGATAAGACACATCAATTGTGGAGATGTAGCAAATTCTTGCAAACGCTCTCACCTTTTGGTCAACAACACGTTCGGTGATTGAAGTGATTCGGGCTACGATCCATTCTCTCGTCTTGAGTTGCTCGGCTAGGTATCCATTTGCCTGTAAGAAATAATGTGGGAAGGAAACTGAGATAGGAGACAAGTCGGGTGTTAGTACGGCATGATCACACAACGAGGCAAGACCAAGCCCGCCTCTTGATAGCGCAAGGGAACAAAGTGACACACCATTGAATGCAGCCCATGGCTTCGACACCGAATTGCGCGTGGGCAAAAACAGCGCTAAATCGCCTTTGGCGAAGTTTCTGAAGGAGATCTTGCCCTTCGCACGCTCTCGGTATTCCTTGCATTGCTTCTGCCACTTACGGATGGTCGACCCTGTTTTGGAGATAGCCTCCAGGAACTGGTCATGATCGAACGATCGAAGCGCTTCAATCGCCACCGCGGGGTCAGAGGGGTCGATGGGCGATGGCTCCTCAAGAGGACCTAAGGGAGCAAGACGAGATAGGGACGAGAACGCCTGAGAGTCGCCTAGATGCGCACCGGATTTGGACGCCGAGGGGTGAGAGATCGCAGCCTGAGCGAGCGTTAGCGCCTTGAAGTGTGCTGTACGATAAGCAATGGCAACATCTAGCAACTGTGCGACCAGTCGACTGCCCTCCTCAACCTTTTGTTCAAAGCCTGACTGTGACACCTGTCCGACTCTAAGATCCTCCCGCAGAGCAGACTCGATGTGTTGGGCATCTCTAAGATCGCACTCGACCCTCTGGAGCTCCTCACGAAGGCCGACGTTGTCGGCTTCCCTCAACTCTATCTGGGTCGCCGCCTCCTTCAACTGTCGCTCCGTATCCTCAAGCTCCGCACGGAGCTCTAAGAATTGGTGTTCCAACACGGCTCGGTCCCCATCGGCCTCCGCAACATAGTCCCGCATTTGTCGATCGTGCTCACTTGCTTGTTGGCGAAGCAGTCTGTCCTTTTCCCTCCTAGCATCTTCCAACGCACGCTGAACTTCCTCAGCCTCCTTCCGTGCTGCCCCAATCTGTGCTTCTAAATCTTCACCTCTTGACCGAGCATTCTCAAGGTTGCGCAGAGTCTCCTCTTGATCCTCTAATAGCTTGGTCATATTTTCCACGTTTCGTGCCTCGAGCGTCTTGACATCCTCGAATTCAGACCGAGCCTGGGCAAGCTGCTGCCGCAAGATCTCGGCTGTTCTCGTCTGGCATGTAGCTTCTGCTAGAGCCTGTGTTAGTTCTTTCCGCTGATTATCAATATCGGCAAGGAGCTCTCGATGTCGTTCTTCCATGATCCGACGCGCGGTGGTTTCGCTCTCGATCTGCGCACGAGCCTGGTGCAGTTCCCGCTCCAGATGATCCGCTCGTTCACGTTCGCCTGAAGAATTGCCATCGAGTTCTTCGAGCTCGGACTTGAGATGCGAGATTTCAGACTGAAGTTTGTTCCGCTCCTCAGTGAACAATATCTCTTGATCGGCTTTGGACCTTTCGGATACACGCAATTGATCAACGAGTTCTTGATATGCGTGTTCGTCAATTTCTGATGCTGGATTGCGAGCACGCAAAGAAGACCAACATGGTCATCAGCAAAACCGCAAGCTAAGGAGAACTATCCTACCCACAGCGACGTCTTGATAAAGCTAATCGTGATGATGACAGCACTGTTCATGGGCAGCCAGTCAAGAATTTGACCATAATACGCGTGATGATTTTGACGTACACGATCGTTCTGCGATGCGGTCAAACCCAGACTCCAACCCGTCCATCTTAGCTATCAACTTGTGTAGACTAGTTCTTGTCTCGAGAATGAAATTGAGGGCGATGGCTCCGTCTGTCCGTGTATGCGCATATGTTTCTAGTTCGTCCAAGATACGCAAGAAATCTAAACGCCGATGATGAGAAAATATCAAATCAGTTTCAAAACAGATATACTACCTTCAACATCTGATCGCTCAAGGGAATATGGACTTTCCAGATCGCTCCCTCCGGTAGGTGAGAAGTCTATTGCGGGTACAGGATCGTCTATGCCCTTTGTGTCGAAAGGTAGTTGGCCGTGAATCTCTCCGCGATAAACTTGCCGGCGTTTCCGTTCGGATGCACTGTCATGATAAACACGGACTGAGAAAACCTTCTAAAGCAGAGGTGTAGACGCAAACGTACGAAAGCTTAGCCATAACTTCCAGGATGACTTGCGCCCTTTGGTAGAAAAATCGTGCTAGGAAAGCCTTTCAATTAGCTTCTCGTGAATGTTATCCCTTCTCCTTACCAAACTCTTTCCGCCGGACAATCTCGATAACAGTCGCACCGTATGCGTACAACATGTTGTGTAGCCGTTGAATATGGGAGAAACTGTTTTTTGCACGAAAGCTAGCTTGGAGAGCAGTCATCATCGGCGGTAGCTGGACAACATCCTTGTTGAGCAAGCTGATTTGACGAAGTGCAAGCATGCATTGTTCCGTGAACGCGTTCTATATCGGACTCAAATGAACATGGTGGACAGAAAGAGAAATACTTGGTAGGCACCTTCACGTCTGATATAGACTCAACCGCGCTGCGCATAGCGGCGTCTAATTGTCGAAGCTCTACAGGAACCACAAATGAATCAAACGATCGGAGGTCAAGCTGAAGGTCTTCACCTTGTAGGATTCGGTCCGGATCAGTGGCGGGTCCTATCATAAAAACAGTTCATTCAGAACATGTATTGCAGATCCGAAGGATAAGATCCGAACTTTCTAAGATGGCTGCTGCATCTGAAATTCTCTCATAATTCTCAGAACTCTGTTGAGAAATGGCCTCTCCCTCTTTCAAAAGGCTGTGAGGGCAGTTATATGCACTGCCATATACCTGTGATACTGAATGCAATACTCACTGGATGTCTGATAGGATGGATCGAACCTCGGCGGTGCCATCTAAGAGACGCGACATAGTTTCCTGAGCTTTTCTGAATCGCTCCTTTAAGTCCTCTTTCCAAAGTCATTCTCGCTGGTCTTCAGCATGAGGCAGATATGGTTTCCACTTACCATGCGTGTTCTCACAAGTACCTGCCACCTGACGCATCTTCATGCTCGACACATAGTCCCCCAGAGTCCGCCCACGCTCACCAGCGTCCATCGCCCTCCGCACAGCAGAAGACACAAAGTCGCGGTGAATATTTACGCGGGTGACCATCTCGAGATCGACGCTAATACCAGCAAGAAGAGCCGCGTGCTTGTCGAGTTCTCGCTGAGCGTTCGCGGATATGCCATCGAAGGCGTCAGAGATTGCGAGGACGTTGAGATCGAGACTACTCGAGGCTATTCGAAGGGCGGAATGTTGATATTGTAAGGTCACAAAGATATGTGCGATCGCCTGATGGTGCGTGTGTGCCGCGCGCAGATAGGAAGCGCCCAACTGTGAAGGGCGAAAGGGAGGCGTGGCTGTGATTGTATCTGTACGTGGATCAGGTTGAGAGGTCGCATTCGAGCGTTTGTTTTGCTTACCTTCTATTGGAGGCTGTAGGGGAGGCTTGACATGAAGGTCTCGGAGGACTTCTTTCAAGTCTTCGTCGAGATAATACTTGTTGAACACGAATATCGACTGCATCGAGATGAGAAATGTTTATGAGCTATAAGATGACAGCGATGTACCTGATCATGGGCGCCCGCGAGCTCTCTGACATTGTCGTTTCTCAACCTGCGCCCATCGGAGAGGTAGGCAAGGACGGCATCTTGCTCTACCCCTGTCTCTTGCTGCAAGAAGAGTTCAAGACTTCCAAGCCTGCACCAATTATAATTGAGTGTATTCGCATGACATTTTTAAGACGGATCTCACTTCTCAATATCCCATAGAGTGGCATTGACCTATCCATAGTGCTTATGGTCAACGATGACAAAAGAAACGTGGGGTAGCAATACGGACTTGGAAAACCTCCCCGTCTTCTGCACGACATAGCTGCATCATCTTGTAACGTCTATTGCGCTACTCGATGCGATGGAAAGAGTTGTTAGGGTAGCCACTTTTGCGAAGCTGCACACCGCCGAACAACTCGCCTCGCAGCACCGACAACGCGAAACAGGCGAGTGACGTACACTTGTCCAAAAAAGGAAATACAGCCATGACTTCCTCCTCCTGCCCCCTTCAGTCCCCTTTCAGTCCCCTTTCGTGCCTCACTGACACACTCATAACATGCAGCCACTCAGCCAACAAAATTATCGCTCTCGGACAACACCATCGCCATTGATTCAGAGCTAGTATATAGCGGCTGCTTTTCTAATCGTCTTCGATCTCACGATCTCACTCTAGCTCGGGATCGATGAGCTGTGAGGTTCGGATTTTCACTCCTCAGTCAATCCTGGTACGATGCTATTCATATATCAGGAACTCTTTTGTTAGTGGCTCCTCGACAACGACTTGATCCCCCATCCTGCTCAACCTTAGAACAAGACTTTGACATCAATATTTCAACAGTACGCAGGACTTCCCAGTACTTCCCATAGTTTCTCGGACATCTCACTCATGACATCCCGTCTCAAAATTTTAAACTCCAGTATGAATTCAATGCAGGGGTATCAAAGATGTATCTAGGTATCGAGGGTGGCAGAGGTACGAGGAACAAAGCAGGTGAGTCTTTGTTCTCGGTATAATTTAAGAGTCCGTAGGTTCCTTTGACGGTCTCAGCCTGTGGACGCGACCTCCAGATTTGTGAAGTTCTCGCAGAGCCAGAACGAGAGCAGAGGGCGGGGCCGGTTCTGGCTGTTCCTCTGAGTAGCAAAACACGGGCTCGCAGACCCGCTCATTCGACAACTCCTTTCTGATTTCCTCTCTACCTGTCGGATCATCCGCCATTTTCCACATCTTACACAGCTCTTCTTCCCTAGCGTCGACAAGAATCTTGTGTCTGTCACCCTTGACGTGCCTCCTTATTGCGTCGTCTCGAAAGACTCTGCCCCCCGTGGGGTGACAAATTTTACACGTCCATATACGAAACATGTGCTTGAGAGTTCGGCGGATGGCTAGCCATTCCTTCGTTTCTCGGAATTGCTGGTGGCACTTGACGGTGCAGGCATGTCGACACATCTCTAGTTCGTTTCGCAAAAATGTGTTGCATCCAGGTATGGGGCATTCAACCGCCGTCGGGCTTGTACTCGGTGTTGGTGCCTTCATCTGCTTCAAAACCGTCCTTGTGACTTGTTGTTTGGCGTATATCCGTTCCAATCTCTGCGATGAAATCTTTCGGTTCTTTTCCGTGGACGTGGTTGTCGTTGCGTGATGTTCTGTGTCTAGGCCGGGCTGACCCAGAGCACTCTCCTTCCATGTCAGTTCCATCTCGCCATTCGAAGTGCACCGGTATTGAAACGCGACTGCGGGTTCTCCCAGCTCAGACCCGCAGGTCAAAGTTGATGAGTTCCCCTGAAACTGAGGCATCGATGGCGAAGACATATACTCATATGGTTGGAATGCAGTCGGCGGGATTGGCGGGGGGTGATGCAGTGAAGAATCGGAAAGGATGTGCGGAGAGGGAAGGAGGAAGGTCGGCATCGGGAACGGGTATTCTGAGAAGCTTTGCAAGCCCTGTTCTGGTACGTGACTTGGTATGGCGACTTTTCCAAAGTCATACGTATAGTTTGACAGGCCTGCAGACTCCACAGCTCCCTCAAACCGCATGAGTTTCTCACTGGGGAACTCGTGGAGATCTATATCGTTCGCGCTTTCAAGACTGAAGACGTCGTTCGAAAACAGATTGCCAGCGGTCGCTTCTTGTGGTATGCCAAACATGTTATTGTACCACCCGTGGAGATCTATATCGTTTGTGCTAACAAGAGTGGAGACGTCGTTCGAGAACAGATTGCCAACGGTCGCTTCTTGTGGCAAGCCAAACATGTTATAGTACCACCCATTCTTGATGGAACATGAACGGTGAGCCAGTTGACAATGTGCTTATGGTAACGTACTGCTTCATATGAACCGTCATTGCGAGCGTAGATCGTTTGCTCGCCCTCGAGGAGAGACGCGCTGGGTGCCATGAAGCCGAAGTCTGCCACGCCAGGAAACGTAAGAACGACATCGCAGAGACCAAATATGAAACAATGGTATCAGCCCTTACTTGTGTAGTTAGACATCTGATGTTCTGTTTGAGTCGATAGCAGGTAGTAGCTGTTGTGGATTCTTGTAACGCGACGCGTCTGAATGCCACAGCGATCTGCTTTAAAGGTCACATGCGCACCTTCAATCGGCGCTTCTGAGTTGCCCTCCAGCACGCGCAGATAACTGAATCGAATATTCAATGCCTCATGGCGCCGTGGTAAGTTAATGACAGAACGTTATTTGTCTCGTTAGAAACGGTTAACTCGTATTTTACGAGTTTTCTATACATCCCGACGTCATGCACGGCTCGGGCTGCCCTCGACGCCGAGCGAATCCGTAGCGATGAACCCGGGTGAGAGCAAAAACTCGTTGACCCGTTTGAGCGTTGCTCGTGATGGGTTGGCCTGTGGTCGGGCCGATATAATCCATTGAAGTCTCGTCCGTATAGACTGTTTCGTCACTTGTTATGGACGTGAACACCCAAAAAGTCGGATACGGCGATCAACAAGCGACTCACCGACAGCTTCGCGCGAGATACCGGGGCCATCTTTGTATTTTCCTTCGTCGTCGAAAAAGCGCTGAAGCATCGCGAGGGCCACACCGATACTGGCATCCTTGCCCGACTCGCATGCAATACAGACGTCGCTGCCGCGCTTGAGATGGAACCCGACAAATGACTCTGCTTGCGGAAGGACAGTCTTCAGAAGCTGGTGCTGGCCTTTTTTACCCGGTGTCAACCCGATTTTCAGCACCGGCGGGAATGCAGCAGATGGCAGATCATGCGACAACTGAGTGGGCGGACTATCAGGAGTGTTATGGTCCTCTAAAGGTGTTATAAGGAGGAAGGCTGGTGGCCTCGGAGTATCGTCTCGTATTGTCGGGGAGGGCGGAGTTGTTGGTAGGTCAGACAGAGATGTCAATAGGAGGCGGCTGGAGGCCTTTACAATCGGCGTTGGAGGATTCGCTCCTAGTGCATTCCTCATCGAAGCCGATGATCCAGATACCATATTGTTCACAAACGTCTCTAGCGATTCTCTACTTTGGCTCAGAATTTTTTCCCTGTTCTGCCAGAACAACTCTGGTGTCAGGCCCTGTGAAGAGAAATACGGTCAGCACGAGAGGGGACGCAAGCATGAAAACAGAGTACCATTCCCCATAGCTCGTGGTCATCCCCAGATCCTTGGATGTAAGCAAAGCCAAGGGACCGTCTTTCAATCCCCTCATGAACTTGCTTCGAAGCGGAGACGCAGATAATCGGGATGAAGGAAGAATCGGAAAGCGGACGATCTGATGGCGGGAGGAATGGAAACGTCGAAGTAGCCGGAGAAATCCAGAGAGGCCTCAGAGGCGCGGGAAGGTCGGGGAGGTCATATGACGACGACTATGATCAAGATGAAACCGAGAATCAACTGGTTTTAGGTTATGCTCACTGAGAGATTCTCAGCCCACTCGTCTAATCGACTCTCGATTTGTTTGTGTTCCTGGGCACTCACCACCGCCGGAGGCGTGTACAAAGCCGTGTTCCAAAAAGGGCCTCGCGTGCAGGCGTGGGCTTGATGTCGGAGGAGTACTGCGCGATTGATCACAGAGCACCAGATGGGCAACGTCTTGGAAAGTGCGTCCGGTATTCGTTTCCCAGCACGAGTCGAATCTACAAGGATGAGCCTAGGAAAATATATTTGACTCAAGAGCAGACTTCTGTACGTATACGAGATTCACTGACCCCCGATGTTCGATTGCCACGTTTATCAGATGTAAGTTTGGGCGTCTCAGGTTGAAGCTCCAGTTGCCGTAATGCCCGTCGGTAGACTTGAAATACGCGGGTGTGTTCCTTGACTGTGCCCAAGGTCACCGCTGATTAGATGAGGGTTCCAGGAGCGTCGTACATATGTTGGATCAGTGTACCAGGCACCACATCGCAAATTGGCTGGAAAAAAAAAGGAGGCCGTCAGCGTACAGTAATCTGTGATGAAAAGTTGAATCTCACGCAGAAAAGCTTGGGAAGGATATGCTCGGCGGACGCTGTCGACAAAAGATATATCTTCCTCGATAGAATGTAACCTATTATACAGGTCGAGAGACTCCTTGCGGATGTGCGCCAGGGCCTCTGCCGAAATATTGGGCGTCATGTTTTCAGGCAGCAAGTGGCCTGGAAAAGTGCTGGAAAGCGGCATTCATCGAGAGATGCCATGATTAGTCATCCCAGGACCATGCTTTGCACTGAGATTCCGCCAGCTCACACTCCGTCTTGCGTTCATCCACCACGCCCATCCCGGCACACACCTTCCTTGCTGCACAAGACACCCGCGTACGCCCCCCCACCGTCCGCATTGTGTAGATACTGACGCACGACGGGCACATGCTTCAGATCCGTTGACGGACCGCCATGTCTACCTTGGAACAGCAGGCCAAGGCCCCGCCAGATCTCCGCAATGTCGTGTCCTTCCTGAGAAGCAGCAAAGCAGGGCTCAAAAACAGGGTGGGTGTGCTTAACGGAAAGCGTATCGATTACTTCAAAGGTGCGCTTCATCCGTCTCGTCATTTCCCCGTGCCCGTGTGCAGCCACATCTCTACCTACACAACTCGTGCTAATGTGTGTCACGCAGGCAAATCCGCCGTGAAAGCCCTCCTCTCGCCCGCATACGCCAAGCTCAAAAACGTCCCAAAAGTCACGTCCGAGACCGAAGCTTCCGCGCTGCTGCACTCTATCATCCCCTACGCCTTCTTCCTCCGTGTCGAGCGCGGGCAGCCCGTCGGTTCTGCCTCCTCCCCCAAACATGTCCAAATCAACCAGATGCAGATGTTCAAGCCTGAGGAGTACTACGCGTGGTTCTATGAGGGCTCGCAGTGGACGACGTACGTCGGCGGTGTCGCCATGGTCGCCGTCATCCTCGCTGGCGTCATGTTCCCTCTCTGGCCACCCATGCTTAGGCTCGGAGTGTGGTATATCAGTATCGCGGTGCTTGGTCTCATCGGGTTGCTGTTCGCGATCGCGATCGTGAGGTTGATATTCTATATCATCACGGTACTCGTTGCGAGTCCCGGCATATGGATATTTCCAAGATTGTTTGCAGATGTCGGATTCGTGAGTGCCCCTCCAAGTTCTGATGTCTGTGGTGATTTACATCCGCTGCTTGTGTAGGTCGACTCATTCATCCCGCTCTGGGAATGGGATCTCCCCAAGAAGAAGTCGAAGAAGAAGAAATCCGGCAAGTCTGAGAAGAAGGGCGCTGAGGGCGAGCAGGAGGCACCGCAAGGTGCCTTCATCGAAGAAGTAGACTCGGGCTCCTCACGTGCGGAAAGCATGCAGGCAACGGTAGAGGAGGTGCCAGAAGACGAGTCATGACGCGGGCGCGCATACACACCACTACCGTCACCGCCATCTAGACTCGGTACTGTACAGATTCGTCCTCTTGTATCCTTGCCACCCTACCCCATATATTCTCCGCGATGACTATATATTTCTTTCATTTGGGGCGTTTGTCGCTATCGCTTGCCGAGGGTGATGGGGACTGGGAGATGACAAGAGAATGCTCCTGTGTCCGCTCTAAACGATGAAGGGCAAGTCGTGCTTGAGACACGCCCTCGCGGAGGCCGATACGCTTCGACTGGTCAAGACTGCGTTGGAACAGCTCACGCGCAGCTGGCAAATCTTCTCGTGTCTTTGCGCGATTGCACAATTCAAGTTTAGCGAGTGTGATTAAGAAACAGGACACGACTTACCTCGCGAATGGAGGCCAGGTTGAATAGTGTGACCGCCAGCACCTCCTCGCAGATCTGCAAGCCCTCAGATTCAGAGCGGCTGCCGCGCGCGTTCTTCTGCGTCTTCTCGATGACCGAAAGTCCTTGCTTCGCCCAGAGCTCAGCCTGGTGCACCTTTTGGGGCGAGGGCGACCCGCGCATGAGGAGTTCGGAAAGGTTGCTCATGAGTTGCGCGCCTGCGCAATGGGGGTTATCACAGGACGTGACCAATACAATGAGGGGGGGAAGGTGCGCACCTCGACAGATCTCGGCGGCTGAGACGTGTTTTCCAGAATTGGGGGGTGGGACGAGGAGGGAGATGGCTTGCAGGTAGAGTGGGACGGCATACCTGTGTACCAAAGACTAGTCAGGTTAAGCTGGTCTCGCAGTGTCGGCTGCCATCAGTGAGATGTCCTCACTCGATGTTACCCATCCGCGCATAGAACGCGCCGAGAGCCTCAACGGGTGCACCCACGTCCGCGACGCTCATCCATCTCGGCAGCTCGAGCTCGGCCAAAATCACCTTAGGCTCTTCGCCATCCAGACCTACACTCCCTGCTCCCGCGGCCTCGCCGAGGTTCTTGGTGACTCGCACCATCTCCTCCACTGCCCACGATAGCCACCGCTCCTCCTCTTCCTCGCCCACCTGGTACGTGTACGCCATCTCCCCGAGCTTGTGCGCGAGCGCGACGCCGCGCAGCCGCTCCTCGCCCGAGAGCTCCGCGCTATGGGCCTGCAGATGCGCGAGCGCAGCAACGTAGACGTCGTATGCGGCCTTGGGGCGGTTGTTCGACTCGAGGACGTCGCCGAGCGTCGCGGCTATGCCGGAGATCTTGAGGTACGGCGCTGGCGAGAGGCTTTCGAGAGGGAGCGCGAGCGCGGTATCATATGCCCTAAGTGCGCCGTCGGCGTGTGAGCGTGAGCGGGGCGGAACGAAAGGGCCAGTATGCGCGCACCGTTGGAGGAACCGTTCGCTCAGGTCGAGGTCGCCCTGGTGCTTCGCCTTGACGCCCGCTCTGAGGTCCGCGCGGACCTCTGGCGGCCATATCGCGAACGATTTGTAGAAGTCGTATCTGGGGCGCAAAATCCATCAGGGAGGTCGAGCACGGTCATGGCCTCCGTTCACGCGAGGCCTATGAAATGGGATGGTGGAACTGACGTACAGGCCGTACGCGGTCGAGCCCACGCCGATGGCGATGAGCGCGTAGAAGACGGTGGATATGCGGACGCTCGAGCCCTGTAGCAAAGGAGCTGTAGAGTACAGTCTCGACGGGCGAATGCGAGGGGGTGGCGAGGTCCTGAGAGATTGGCGGCGACAAGTGAGGTGTGCAGATGCGACGAGAGGAGCCTGCCCGCGTAATGCCGCCGTCAGTGTAGCTCTTGTTGATGAGGATGCCGCAAGCATTGAGGAGAGGAGAGGCTGTGTCTTTTGAAATGAGAGCGGGTGTCAAGACGCGTTACTTACCGACGCGATCTCCGAGACTCCAGATCTCGGAATCAGACGCGACGCGAACGCGTGCTCGGCTCAAACACGAACGACTGCATGAATGAAACAAAACCCCTGCACAGTGTTAACGCAACGACGCCAGGTCAGACTAGATCGTGAATATAAACAGAGGCAACTATGTACTCTATCGCAAAATGAGAACAACACTGAGTACTGAGTAGCAGGAAACAGAAAATATAAAATAAGGAGGACGTCACACAACACATCGAGCCAGCAGACGGATGGCTTCGCAGCACACATGGCACAGCAGACCATCGAACAATGCACCTACAACTTCTCACAACGCTTTTGCCCCGGCGCTGTCCGACTCGGACTCGAACCCGCTCTGCCGCCCCCGCTCCGGATCGTACGCCATGTGGTCCACGCCCTTGACGTCCCCTCCGCCCTGCGGCTTATGGTTCTCCGTCAGCTGCGTGATGTGCACCTCCAGCGGCCGCAGCGGGAAACCCGTGCGCTCGATAGAGCCGACGGGCCCGCTGTGACCGCCCACGACACCCATGTCGCCGCCCAACGTGGCCTTGGCGAATGCGGAGGAGCTCTTGGCCATGCCGATGCGGACGATGACCATGTAGAACGAGATGCAGATGATGGGCATCGCCTGACATTCGAGCGTCGTCGTGTCAGCCAGTTTTCCGAAAAGATCACACCATCCATCTCTGAGTGATGGACGGACGCACCAGGTCGACAAAGATGTAGCTCATGCTGTTCTGGAGGACCCAGCAGACGAGGGTGATGAGGTGCACGGCGGCGTACATCAGCCCCGAGTCGATGACGATCATCAGCACCGGGACGCCGCCCCGCACCGCGGGGGCTGCATTATATTTTTTGACGTTGCTGCTGATCGACCAGATGCGGTACGCCAGCAGGCCTGCGCGATGCAGCGACAGTCAAGACGAGGACTGCGGTTCAGAGCAGCGGCGCGCTTACATGTGCAGAAGAAGTTTGTGCTGAGCGTCGTGGCGTAGAACGCCGTGATCCACGTCTGGACGGAGTCGTAGGAGGACGGGTCTTGCGGGCTCGATTCGATGATGCGGTACAATCCGCCGATGCCCGTGGCTTCAGTACACAGCGTCAAAAATCAGCTCCGTCAGCCCCCAAAAATCGAGGCATGCTCACCAGCGACACCCGTGATCATCAAACCGGGGAACAGCGCGAACCACCACGACTGCCACACCATATAGCACCGATAGATCTGCAACGGCAGCCGTCAGCACGAGCAGCCGTCGAATCGGACGGCGCGGAGCAGGTAGTTACGACGATGGCGTCCCCAAGGACCGCAGTGACGAGGTATATCAGGATCTTGAACACGAACGTGAAGTGGCTGATGTCGGCGAACCACGCGTCGGGGCCGCCCGGCGTGTCGCGGTGCTCGATCAGCCCCTGTTCGAGGCGGACGACGTCGGCGATCATGTGCTGCGCGCCCGTCGGGGTGCCATTGTCGTGTGCGTGAGCGCGTTCCTGACGGGCGGGCAGCGAGCCGGAGGCGCAGGGGGACTCACCATGGTGCTCAGGACCGCGAAGATGACGGAGGCGACGACCATCGTCCAGTTCACGTTGGGCGTCGAGCGGCGGCTCCAGAGTATCCACATGGTCATGCCGAACATGAAGATCGAGAAGCCTGCCTCCCCAGCCCGCCAGCACAAAGCTCGCGTATCAGCACCGGACTGCACATCGGGGTCCGAGCCTGGACGGTCGCGTGTGCGGGGGTGGAGTCAAAAGAACACGCACCGTACAGCATCCCTTCGACGGTCGTAGAGATGACCCCCGCTTTCGAGATCGACGGGCCCCCTCCCATCGTGCCTATTTCCAAGCTGCAGCAAATTAAAACGGCACCTTTCTCCTCTTGCCTTTGAGCACCTGCGCGACGAAAAGGATCGTGGAATACGACAGACGGCGGGTTCAAAAAGTTAGGGCTCTCGCCCACGACGCCCCGCTCGCATACTGGTACTTATATATTAAACATGCAAGCCCCCCACCTTAAAACTTGATCCGAATCGCCTCCTGGATCTTCTTCCGTGGCGTATTGCCTATAGAGCAGCCACACGAAGATCACTCACCATATCAAACTGGCCGTACTAGAGCTTAGACCCAATAGGTGAATGGAGATAAATGAGGGTAAATGCTGGTAAATGGATCCGGGAACCCTGAAGATATTGGATTTGATTTGATTTGAGCGTCGATGGGGCGCGCACGGCTGGGCATGGACAGCCATCAGCAACGTAAATGCACATCAGGCTCTCTGCTGCCTCGAGCCGGTTGCCAGACCGCAGAGAATAGTGGAAACGATATCTGTGTGTGGATTAGTGTCCGGAGGTGTTAGGTTTACACGGGGACTGATTGAGGGGGCGCGGATGCATTAAGCGGCCCACGCCTGCCTGCCCCGCCCGGAAAGGACTCCGCCTGCCAATCGCATACCTCACATCGAGGCTCGCGCAAAGGGCGTTGACATGCAGCGAGCACGCACGCGCTGTCATAGGAATAAATGCCGCGCGCGGGTGCTCGAGCGAGCGTCTGCGACCGTACTATGCAGGACTGTGGAGAGCGCACTAGAACGCTGCTAGCAACGTTCCATAGCGGCGCCGATCCCGATCTCGTCGCGAGGCCCAACCACTGCCCTCCACTGCCCAACCCCGCGCGCCCCGCCCCAGCAGCCCGTCCTAGCAGGTTCTAGCCCGTCCTCGTATACACAGAACGACTTTCTTCTGTGTAAGGACAGTCACAGAGACTAAGCCTGTCCCCTGCGGGCTCTGCGAGTGCTCTGCGTGCCGTAACAAGAAGACCCTCAATTTACCTCGACAATAAATATGCACGATCAACGCCGCTTCTCCGAGACCCGAGCTCAGCGCCAGTGCTGTTGCTTGCACGACTCTATGAGCACAAGCCGCGTGCGGCGCGAACAGTCTCCGTGGCCGACACCGTGTCTTACACAGAGGACGGTCATCCCAGCAGGCTATGCCGCAGCCACAATAGGTTCGAATCGCGGGGAGAGATCTGCAGTGGTGGTGGGGAATGGTACTGGAATGGTGGGGCGGATCGGCGGATCAGCGTGGTGACGACCGACAGGCTTGAAGTGAGTAACGAAACTGTAACGAAGCACGGACAGCGACAGCCGGATAAGTAGCTGAACTCCGGGCCCGTTCGGGGACACGCAGCCTCGGGCCCTTGCAGCAGCGCTTGCAGCAGCAGGCAGCGCGTTCCAAGAGCTGATTAGTTCCAACAGACGGACTCTCGAAAGAACAGGTGCCCCTGAAAATAGCCTGAGAGACCCTGAGAGCACCGCTCGTCAACGCCGGAACGTATGTCCACCAATTGTCTTCAACTGGTATGTAGAAAGGACTCGAAAAGCAGCGAACCCAAGTCGAACCCCTTTTTCATTTACGCGGCACCGTGATCAATCAACCCGGCCCGGCCTCAGTGCTCCTCAGCACTTCCTCAACACTTCCTCAATGCTCCTCGAGCCCGAGTCTCACTGCCTCTCCGGCGCGCGTGAACCAGCATCCCCGGCGCTACCTCGCGCCCGTCCGCAGGCCTGAGCCAAGTGCTTCCACAACGGCGGCGCTCGCTCGCGCGCGCGCAGGAGGGACTAGGAAGCGTAGGAGAGCTAGGCGACGTGAAGCGATGATTATTACGATTAGCGGCGACGTAAAATGGATCAAGCAACGCGTCCGCTTCCCCACATCCACCCATCCACCCGGTCCGTTCCCCATCCCCCACACTCCATCCCACCCCAGCTCATCCCATCCGATCCCCAGCTGTACCGCAGCCGCCGCCGTCGCCGCCTCACGCGTCCGCGAATAGCCGGTCCTTCGCGACCCACGGCAGGTCGTACCACAGCCGGCGCTCAAACACGATATGCTCGACGACGCGCTTCGGGGCGGGCGTCTGGCCGGGCAGGAGCGCGCCCGTGCGCGCGTCGTACGCGAGGAGCGTCTGCGGGACGACACCGACGGACACCAACGGACACCGAGACAAGGACGAAGAAAAAAAAAAAGGCGCAGAGACGCGCGTAAAATTAAAATTAAAAAACAATCAGCAGAGCCCCGACAAAACAGAAAGAAAAACAGAAAGAAGAGGGCAAGAATAAAAGAACGAAGAATAGCGCACCTGCATCGAGTCGAAGCGCACGAGCGCGTGCACGATGAGGCGCGAGCCCGTGCGCGGCTCCGCGCGGCCCCAGTGCGCCTGCGTCGCGCGGAGGCTGACGACCTCCGCGGGCGCGTTGAGCGCGTGCAGCCGCCACTTGTACGTCCGCGTCGCGGCGGAGACGGCGCGCGCGGGGGAGGTGGGGGACGCGGCGTGGTGCGCGCGCGCGAGGGCGAGGGCGGAGTCGGTGAGCGGGTTCGTGGTGAGCTGCTTGAGCGCCTTGAGGTCGTTCCTGCGGGCGCAGGCGCGCGCGAAGCGTTGTTTTGTTAGTATGTAAGGCGAAAGCGGGACGACATCGGTGAATTGAGCAGAGGGAAAAAGATGGCGAAGGGGGGAGAGGGAAGAGGGAAGGCGGGAGCGGGACGCACTGCGCGATGGAGGCGTTGAGCTTCTTGTATGTGTCGAGGAAGTCGGCGCGCCAGGGGGCGACCCAGGCGTCGTCCTTTGTGGAGCGGAGGCCGAAGATGCGCCAGGTGCGGGGGGAGGGGATGTGTGCGCGGGGGAAGGCCACGTGCGGGGTCTTTGCGAGCTGGTACATGCTGCGGGGCATCGCATCGCGTGAGGCGAGCGGACGAGAGCGGAGGGGGGGAGGACGGACCTGTAGGCGTTTTTGAAGGAGTTGAGGAGGTTTGCGTAGAGGAGGGCGAGGTTGTCTTTTATGGATGCGTGGGGGCGGCGCGAGGGGAACATGGGGATGTGGACGTCTTTTCTTGAGGAACGGCGCGTCGGCGGACGTGTCAGCAACAGACATAAGAAATACAGCCGTGATGCGCAAAGAGCTCGTATGACGCGATGTCAAGCGCGGGGAGGTGGAGGGGAGGGGAAGAGGGAGGAATGAGAGCAGGGCGCACCGAGGGTGTCCATGGGGAAGGCCCACATGTCGCCTGCGTACATGCCTTCGGAGGCGACCATCCGCGCGAGCCCCGAGATGGCCTCCTCGTCAGAGACGGTTTTGGAGGCGCCCTTGTCGGCGGCGGTGTCCTTGCGCTTGCGCACGGCGGTGGCCATCGTGCGTGCGCCCCGCGGGGCTAAGGGCGCACGGAGGGCAGACGCAAGAGGGGAGGATTGGGAGAGGAGGAGAGAGGGGCTAGAGGAGGAGGAGGAGGAGGAAGATGAGGGGGAGAGGGACCAGAGGAGGGAGAGGGTTGTGCGCTGTGCGTGGGTGCGTGCATGGGCGCGGGGTGCTGCGCGGGCGGAGAGGGCGGGGAAGGGCAGCAGGAGGCTGCGGGCGTTCATCGTGCACCAGCGACAGCTCTTTCTTTCAAGTCGGACAAAGTCGACGCCGCACCCTACCACCGCCCAGTCACGTGTGTCCACACCACGTGCGTCTCTCCCGGAAGGCTACGCAGGCGTCCCGATTGGCCGGGGCGGGGCGGTATAAAGAGCAGATCGCGGGAGAGCCCGAGCCCGCCGTTCGCGTTTTCACCTTCGTCACTGACCTCGCTCGCTCACCATGGCCGTGCGTCCCCTCCCCACCGCTCTCCCCACTGACCCACTAACCCACTGACCCCCCGCCCGTGCGACACAGCGCTCCTCCCGCTCCTCCCGCCCTAGCACCTCGCGCCCTGCGCCCTCCCCCGCAGCCGCACCCTCCCGCGGCGCATCCACCGCAGCCTACCCCTCCCACGCACAGCCCCACGCACCCGCCGCCCCCGCGCCCCCCGCGCACACCTCTGCCCCCGCTGCCCCTGCCCCCGCAGCCTCCGCCTCTGCAGGGCCCGGCATGCTCGCCCAGATGGCCGCCACCGCCGGCTCCGTCGCCGTCGGCTCCACGATCGGCCACGGCCTCTCGTCCATGCTCTTCGGCGGCAGCAGCAGCGCACCCGCTCCTGCCGCGGAGGCGCCCGCCGCGCAGCCCGTGAACAGCCAGAGCGCGTTCCAGGGCGCGAGCTGCGAGGTGCAGGCGAAGGAGTTTACGAAGTGCTTGGACAAGGCGGATCTGAACAGCTGTTCGTGGTATTTGGACCAGCTGAAGGCCGTCAGTCGCTCTCTCTTTTGTTTTTTTTTACTAGTTCGGCTTGGTGTGGAGGCTCTTTTTTGCACGGATGCTGATGCATGCTTTTTTTTCTGGATGCAGTGCCAGGCTGCCGCTGCGCCGTACTAAACACGCGCACCGCGTCGATCTTACTTGTGGGCGGAAGGGTGTGGACGTACGTGGGTGGGGGACGTGTGAAGTGCTGGTATCTAGAAGTGAAGGATGGATGTACTCGTACACGACGCCCGTCGGCCAGTCGTTCGTTCATGTCTGCGTTCGATACGATAATACGGAGATGCACTTTCCCCGCTCGCGATGCCCTGTTGGGACTGCTGTCCTGTCCGCCGTTCCAGAACGTTCTCGCATCACGCTGCCGTCAGCGCCCGTTTGACAGATCACGAGCCCTACGTCGCTGCCGCCGTCTGCGCCTCCTCAACCTCCCGCCTCACAGCCTCCGCCAGCGCCCCCAAGCTCTCAAACCGCCACCCACACAGCCCCTGCCCCTCCTCCTCCTCGTCGGCCCTGCGCCCCTCCCTCCCCCCGAACCCCTCCCGCTCGCCCGCCCCCCCGTCCGCCCCAAGCCCCATAACCGCGCCGCGCCGATCGATCCACACCCCGCGCGCGAGCCCCGCCGCGCGGGCGGGCGCGTGGTCGTGGAAGAGCGACTGCGCGACGGCGAGGACGCGCGCGGGCGGGGCGTTGTGCGCGTGCTGCAGGTGCGCGAGCGCGCGGGAGAAGGTGGTGGGGGAGGGCTTGTAGGCGCCCAGGTCTTGGGCGGTGAGGAGGGATGTGAAGGGCGTTGGGGGGTCGGGGATCGATGGGGCTGGGAATGATGCCTGTGCTGGGGCAGAGGCGGACGTGGAGGCGGACGCAGAAGTGGATGCGGATAAGGATAAGGATGCGCTGGGAGTGGTGGGGGCGGGGGCGGGGGCGGGGTCGCCGCGGAGGGCGGGCAGCGTGTGCGCGAAGGAGGCGCGGTCGACGTTGGACAGCGCGAGGAGCGTGAAGTGCTCCGCGAGGGTGCGCAGCGCGCGCGGGGTGTCGGGGAACACGGGCCAGGTAGCGATGCTCGCCGCGAAGCGCGCGGCCGCGGCCTGCTCCGCCGCGGCGCGGTCGCGGTCGCTGTTGCCTGCGCCCGCGTCTGCATCTGCATCTGGGTCTGGGTCTGGGTCCAAGAGCGCCTCGAGGCGGCGGCGGAGCGCGAGGTGCGCGGCGGCGAGGAGGGCGCTGTACGGCATCGCGGGGTGCTGCGCCTGGAGGTCGGCCTCGACGGCGCCGAAGGCGCGGAGGACGTCCGCGCGGGTCCAGGTCGCGGGGAGGGGGAGCGAGGGCGTCGAGGCGGCGAGGGCGGTGTGGATGCCGGATTCCCAGTCGATCAGGGTGCCGTAGACGTCGAAGATGAGGGCGGTGTGGTGTGTGAGTTTGGGGGCGGGCATGGTGGCGGGCGTTGTGGGGTGGATCTGTGTGGATGTGGCGGGCTGGTGATGGGATGTTGTGTTGTGGGGATGGTGAGGGGGGAGGCGTGGACGTGACGTCATCTGACTGGGCGGGTCGCACGTGCGCGCTTCCCGTAGCGTCTCTTCCGTCCCCCCTCCTTTGCCCCTCAGTGGCCGTGTACATTCACCTCTCGCTCGTTCCCGGCGACACCAAAATAAAAAAAACTCACGACGCGCCTCACGAACGCTTTTTCACGAACGACGCACGACAAACGACGCACAACGCACGACGCACGACGACGAACGACACGGGCACAACCCACCCAGACCACAGGATCGCTGGCTCGTGAGCTCGGCCACGGACAGGCATGAAGTTTGCACGGTGCGTCGCGCTGGCCGGTTCTCGTCCTCCGCTCGACGCTAACCCAGACTCGAAATACCTCAATCGAATTCACGGCTGGCTCCTCGAACTGTCGCACGGCGCGTGGCATGGGCATGTGTGTATGCCTCGTGGGCGTGTATGTGTGAAGGTATTTGGACGACGCGCAGGTGCGTGAGGTCTTTTCGTTTTTTTTTGCACTGTGGTTGGCGAGCGCGCGGGGGCCCCTGTTTTTGGACGGTCCTGCTGCTCGGCGGCGCGCGTTCTTCTCCACCAATCTCCCCCGCGTCCAATCTCTCCAACAGTCGCCGACCAAAACCACCCACAAAACGAAACGCTGATCCCTTTCTTTCCCTCCCCTTTCTTCGGTGCTCCAGACCCCAGAATGGAAAAAAGCATACATGTGACGCGCTCTTCTCCCCTAACCCGCACTCCGTCCCTCGTCTCACCTCGCATTGCGCGCTGTTCTTCCCTCACCCCGTCTGCAGTGACTACCGCGGCCTCAAAAAACGCATCACCGCCGTCCGCCGCGCGCAGGAGGGCCAGCTCGCGCTCGAGGCAGCCACCGCCGTCCAGGTGCCGGCACGCGCGCGCACTGCACCTGCCGCGGCGGGCGACAACAAGACGAACATAAATGCTAGCGCGTCGGATGTAGAAGCGACGGACGCGGGCTCGCTCATGTCCGCGGCCTCTGAACGGCCGTCGCCCGTGCAGGGAGAGGGCGCGGGGCGGTTTCGCGACGCACGGACGCCGTCGCCGCCTCTTGGGCTGTATGGGTTTGAGGAGGGCGAGGGCGACCGCGATCCGAGTCCGCTGCGCTCGTCGGCGGTGGCGAGCTCGGGGAGCGCGGATGGGAGGCCTGCGTTGTTGGGCGGCGGGAGGAGGCGGGGCGGGAGTGTGCGTTTTCTCTTCTTTCTTCTCGGGTTTCCTCCCGCGTGTCTCAGTTTCCAATTTACAATGTGTGCTGACTGCGTATGCACCCCGACCTGCAGGTGACCTTTCCCGCCTCGCCCGTCCTCCACGCCGTCCCCTCGCCCGCGTCGTCCCCGACCCCCGGCCCCGTCTCGCCGAAGTCTCCCCCCTCGCCAACATTTACTGAGGCACCGACGAGCGGGACCGCGGGCGCGAATGCAACATCGGCAGCCCCGACAGGGCTCTTTGCGCACATGCGCCGGCGCTCGTCCACGATACGGAGTAAGCGCCCCTCCTCTCCCCAATCCCGTCCTTCTTCCTAACGCGCACCCTCCCCTTCGTTCAGCACGCACCGCATCTCTGCACACCACCTTCACCGCGCCCGGCACGCTGCCGCCGCCGTCCCTGTCGGCGCTCCTCGCGCCGATGCCGCCCGTGCAGCGCGCGTTCTTCGACGCGCTCGACCGCGAGCTCGAGAAGATCGAGGGCTTCTACCTCGCGCGCGAGGCGGAGGCGCGCGAGCGGTGCGCCGCGCTGCGCGGGCAGCTGGGCGAGCTGCAGGACCACCGGCGGGTGTTTCACGTGCGTGCGAGGGCCCCTCTGTTCTCTTCCTCTGCCCCTTCCTCTTTTTCCCTCGGCGCTGTGCACGGCCCGCTGATATCCCTTTCTCACGCTTGTTTCTTTCGCTGCAGGAGGCGCACCCCGCCGACCAGCGCCCGTGGTCGATCGCCGCGCTCGCCGCGCACGCGGGCCGCCCGCACTCGCAGGCGCGGTGGCGCGCGTCGCGCAAGAACACGCCGGTGCAGTCGCGCGCGCAGTCCCGCTCACGCACGGGCGACGCTGGGGGCGACTCGGGCGAAGGCGCGGGCGAGGGCGCGGGCGCGGGGACGTCGTCGTCGCGCGAGAAGACGCCCGAGCGCGAGGGGGACGCGGAGAAGGTGAGCGAGTTTTTGGGCGGGTTTGGGCTGTTTGGGGCGGGTGGGCTCGGGCTTGGGCACGCGAACGCACACGCACACGCGAACGGGAACGGGAACGGGGCAGCGAGGGGGAAGGAGACGCGGTTGAATCCCGAGGATTACACGCACGCGAAGAAGCGCCTGAAGAAGGCCGTGTTGGAGTATTATCGTGGGCTGGAGGTGCTGAACAACTACAGGGTGCGTGCGGCGGTCGTTTTATTGCCGGTTGTGGTCGTGGAAGCAGACCGACTTCGTGTGTAGATCCTCAACTTGACGGGGTTCCGCAAGGCGTTGAAGAAGTTTGAAAAGACGACCAAGGTGGGTGTTTGGTGCTCCTTGTCGGCGCGCCTGACGAATGCGTCTGCGTGTCTGTAGATTCCCGTTCAACAAGCGTATATGAAGGAAAAGGTGCGCGCGCGCGGTGCTTTTTTGGTTGTGGACAGACGAACAGCAACGCTTATATGGGAGCGTGGAATCGCGCAGGTCGACCATAGCGCGTTCGCGTCGGGCGAGATCGTGCAAGGTCTCGTGCGGGAGATGGAAGACCAGTTCGCGGCGCGGTTCAGTGCGTGGCTTTCACCCTTTTTTTTCTCGTTCGCCGTTGGTTAATTATCTACGGCTCCTCGTGCGACGTGCCGCTCGACAGCTCGGGGCGATAAGAAGAAGGCGCTCATCCGGCTCCGTGCGGCGTCGCAGCACAAGACGCACCATTTCAGCACGTTCAGGACAGGGATTGCCCTCGGGTTGGCCGTGCCCGCGCTGGTGGACGGGATATACCGCAGTGCGTGGACATTCGATGACTGCTCTTGTTTTTTTTTGGCTGCGTCGGAGCTCAAGAGAGGCTCCGTTGTCGGCATTTGTTATCCTCCAGGTTTTCAGCCTGAGACGCGCGCGGCGATCCCGTGGCAGACGATGCTGTTCAACTACGCCGTGCTCTGCGTCCCCGCCTTCTTTTCGTTTCTCGTCGGGCTCAATGTGCTTGTGTGGAGCCGGTCGCGGATCAACTATGTGTTTATATTCGGTGAGAGAGTGCGCTGTTGGGTGTGTCGTGTGGGTTTCTGAGGCGTGCACTGGTGGCTAGAGTTTGATATTCGGACGCGCTTGGACCATCGCGAGTATTTCGAGGTGAGGTGTATCGTGTCTGCGCGCATGGCTCTCGCAACACTCGCTCACTGAGTCTGCCTTTACTTTGAACGCGATGCAGATCCCGGCGATCGCGATCGCGACACTGTGCTACGCGTTCTGGCTGACGTTCGCGCGCGTCGGCGCAGAGTCGATCGCGCCCACGACGTGGCCGCTCGTGTGGCTCCTGTTCATGGTGGGCTTGCTGATCAACCCGCTCCCGATGATGTTCCGCGAGAGCAGGTGGTGGCTGCTTCGCAACTTCGCGAGGCTGCTCACCAGCGGCGTGCATCGCGTCGAGGTGAGCGCCATGCGGGTCCTGGCTTGTGCGTGTCGCTCTCGGCTGACCAGCGCCGTGTTGTTTTTCACCGTACGCTACGCTAGTTTGCGGATTTCTGGATGGGGTGCGCAGCGCGGTGTATATGCGTGTGTGCGGCGGCGCGTTGACGGCTGATTTTTTGCCCCGCAGAGACCAGTTTTGCTCGCTCGTGTTCACGCTCAGCAACTTGTACTTTTTCAGCTGCTCGTATATCGTTGGATTCGACCGCGATCCGTGGCGGCGGTGCGCGATCCCGCACGGCTGGGGCATCCAGTTCGCTCTGGCGTCGCTCCCGCTCCTCGCGCGGTTGGTGCAGAGCGTGCGGCGGTGGGTCGATTCGAGGCTGGTCACGCACTTGATCAACGTGCGTCCTCCTCCTGGCGTGGTCTGTGTCCGCCGACTTACTGCTGCTTGGGTTTGTCGCGGCCATTGCAGGGAGGCAAATACGGCGCGGGGATCGTCTACTACCTCGTTTACTTCATCTGGCGGGAAAACGGTGATGTTCATCTATGTCGTCACGGGTAGCAAGTTCTGATCTGCGCATCGCTCCTTTGTTTCTCGCGCCTAGGTGCCGGAAGGGGTCCCAGCTTCGCATTGTTCTGTTTGTTCGGCACGATTTATTCCACGTATGCTTCATCATGGGTGAGCGCTCGACGGTTTTTGACACGCTGAGTGGGAAGAATGGGCTCGCTGATCGCGCGCCACGACGGTGGGCAGGATTTCTTGATGGATTGGTCCGTGCTCAGGCCGCACGCGCGATACCCCCTGCTCCGCTCGGAGCTTGTCTATTCTAGCTATACACCCGTGAGCGGTCCTGCGTGCTGTTGCTGGCGGATAGAGCGTTGCTCATCCTCTTTATGTCCTCTCGTCGACAGCTGTATTACTTTGCGATCGTGAGTGCGTGCGCTGTGTTCACTCGGGCGGGTGCTGAGGGATGAGCCCCGCGTCGCCGGTTCGATAGGTGTCCAATGTCCTCGTCCGGTTTGTTTGGGTGATATATATCCCCTCGCATGGGAGGAACTTTAGCGTCCGCACGTTCGTCGCCGCGCTGCTCGAGGTGCTCCGCCGATGGCAGTGGAATTTCTGTGAGCGCCCTCCTTCTCCCACCCACCCATTGCCCCCACCCACCCATTGCCCCCACCCACCCATTACCCCCACCCACCCATCGCCCCCACCCACCCATCGCCCCCACCCACCCATCGCCCCTACCCTCCTCCCCATCGGCCGCATCCTTCCTTCCCTTACGCATCTGATTCTGACTCTGACTCTGATTCTGGTTCTGATTCGCTCCGTTTTGTTCCGCGCGCAGATCGGTTGGAGAACGAGCACCTCGGGAACATGGATCAGTATCGCGTCACGCGCGAGGTGCCGCTGCCATACTCGTTCGATGATGTCGGACACGAGTCGGACGGCGGGGATGAGGACGGCGACGTCAACGCGAAGCGGTCGAGGAAGTAGGCGGGGCGAGGGCGAGGGCGAGGGCGAGGGCGAGGGCGGAGGCGAGGGCGGGTCCTCGCACGGCTCGGATGGCTGGTCACGCTCCTTTTAGACTCGGGGGAGTTTTGGCGTTCGTAGGTGCTGCGATTTTGGTTTTGGTTTTTTTGCTTTGCATCGCGTTGCTGTGATCTAGACTAGGCTGTTCTTTTTTTTTGCTTTTTTGACATATAGACTAACCGTGTTTGTTATTTTTACGGCGCTTTTATTGAATTTTCATTTCAGGATTGCTTTCCGTAAGAGCACACCGTCTGCTGTAAATCCAGAGGAAAGGTGAAGTACGGGTCGTAATGGACAAGCGTGCCACTTCGACAAATTGTCAAAATACAAGGAGGAACACTTCGTGTTTGCGGGTGCACTCTGCCTACTGCGGAAGAGACAGCTTGCTCACAAGGATGTTCTGCTCTACTATCTGCTCTACTATCTTCGTCTTCCATTTTCTCTCTAGTTCGTCAAGTCCCAGTTGGCGGAGACGAACCTATTACAGCTGTCAGTACCGACTTGTCGACATCGCTCAGAGCTTATGTGTTACCTCCCAGTCAGCCAATCGGTCTTCCCGGTCGTGAAGTGCAGCGTGCTTGCCGCGGCAAGGGCAACGGTATCGACAAGGGGAAGTGGCACCAAGGACTCTATGCCTATCCGCGTCGGAATGACGCCAGGATGGAACATAAAAGCCTTGACACTAGGATGCTCTGCCATTATACAGTACAGACAAGGCAAGTGACAGTCAGCCTTATGTGGTCGAGCTATGCGTAGAAGTTTGGTAAGAGCTGACGGACCAAGAACGATGTATTCCACTAGTCGTACTAGCGCATGCTTGGAGATGCAATAATCGCTGGCAAAGGGGATTCGAACGTTGGCAGCACATAAAGTCACGATTACAGAACGTCCGTGGGTTTTCTGCGGGTGAGGGATAGCAAAACCGGCAACGACACCATCAGATGGTGAACTTGTACATAGAGTCGTGCTTACTGGACAGCATTGTAAACTCCGCGGAGGTTGATCTCAACGACATTCCACCAGCCATCAGGATCTCGTTGTGCGAAAGCTATAGGCGGACGTGAACGGGTGCCCTCACATTGTAAACTTGGGAGAACTCACGCTCGTCCATGGGTCTTGCTTGCGCGGCATTCGCAACGAGAATATCAAGTCGCCCGAATCGGTCGACAGTGGCCTAGACGGCCTGTGCCATGTCCTGCGTACGGACGACATCGACGGGGAATGTCAACACCTGCGCTTTCGGCACTTCCTCCTGAATAGAGGCTTTCACTAGATCCAGAGTCCTCTGTTCGCACGAGAAGTGCATCAGCACGAGCATACTGCAATGCCGTCTCTTCTCCAATGCCACGAGAGGCACCGGTGATGAAGACCACCATGCCCACGAATGTCTGCGCCTCGTAGTGGACCTTAGGGTCGATAGTAGGATAAATACTGAGGCCATCACGTTAGCGACATATTCTTGTGAAGGAATAGACACCTACTCATGGTGGACCTCGATGTCAAAGATGTCCTCGTCGGATCCATAAAATGTTATTGAGTCGAATTGGATATGTGGGGTGCTTTGAGGGTAGGGGGGGAGGAGGAAGCCGTGGTTTGAGAAGATGCTTATCGGAGCTCTTTATAGTACCTGGCACGCTCCTGCTACGAGATGTAAAGCTGAAGCAGAGGGCAGCTAGTAACGACACTCTCGTTCGACAGACAGTGAAGTTTTACCGACGCAGCCGGCGAAAGGTCGCAAACATACCCCATTCACCACCCAGAGACGCACATAGACCTAACAGCGGTGGCTGATTCCTCGAAACCGACACGGGTGCGAATCTGAGTCCAAAGTTTGTGGGCCACAGTATGGTCAGGAAGCTAGGGCGCTAGATTCTGCTGATTAGGTCAAACCATCGACATAAAAGTAGCTAGTACGTGACGAGAACGAGCAGATTGCCCTTCCATGAGTCAGTGACTGCGGACTTATGATGAAAGACGCCGCACCTATTTCTATCTCTGGTCTGTCCGCATACAGGGAACAATGTGCATGCTATCAGATACTACATCCAATTCTTCAATAGAATTTACATTTGTCAAATAGATGCCACACCCTTCCCAAAAACTTCAACCAGATGCCGCCCGCCAAAAGTCACGAGAGTGTATGGGCCAACAATAATTTTCTTGTTTCCTTCTATGACATGATTAATGCATGCGCTAACTTGCTGGTGGTCTATACTCATATTCTGCTGAGCATATATATTACCATTCATGTAGGCGCCGAATTTTAGCAGCGGTGATAGATTGGGGATTAACTAAACGTGAGCACTCGTAAACGATGGGAGGCATCTAGTTTACGAACATGCCTCATGGATAGTCATCATTCTTATAATTCGTTGTTCAGATACATAGGTCGATTTGCTTGAAACCCCGGATAGATATGACATATCCAGCAGAGCTTGGGTTGATAGAAGTTATCCTGAATGTGAGAAAGGAGGGAAGACGATGAACGAGATGTAGTGGATCGGTAAATTTGGGGCTGAAAAACAACCTGGTTTGAGCAGGAACACGCACATAGATGGCTAATGTGGAATTCACAACTTACGAGCCCGATTTGCTCTTCAATTTCGTCTTCCTGTCCCTCTCTACCTCGCTCAAGGCCCGAGTAGACGTATTCAGCGTAAGTATCCTGCCCGTTGAAATCGTCGACGCTCACCTTCTACTTAGCAAGCCAGCCCTGCCCCTATGATTACCACTGGAAAGACCATGATCAGAGCCACATAAAATCGCGATCGAGCTGCCGGGATGGAGACCGAAATCCTTGACGTTGATATCCTCAAAAGAAGATATAGATGTAAGCATCCAGTGAGAATGCATGATCCACCCCGCAGTCTCATTGTGCGGTCAAGATGTTGCCATGACCGCTCATATGAGGCTGACAAGCTCTGACAAGCAGTCTCGGCCGAGCAAATAGATCCACATAAGTTGCGAATCAAGATCAAAGCAATCGTTAAGCAGAGTCTACGAGACGCCTCCAGTCTTCAGTGAACCCGTCGCTTACCATGGTCTAAATAATGACGCACCAGAGAATATGGATCTGAACTGTGCAGCTGATTAGTCGCTATCCCTTCATGGATAGCCCTCGCACTGATTGGCACACCCACATGGCGCACGCCACGAAGCAAGGAAGCCGTAGCTCGGGAATATGTATAAACGAGAAGATGTGATGATACAAGATGAGAATACAACAGCGAAGACCGATGACAGAATCTAAACCTCTTGAGACTCCTTCTTGCCCTTTTGTGTTTTGCTAGGAAGAAGCTAGAGACAAACAAGTTAGAAGAGAGGTGGTTTTGCGCCATGAAGCAGCAACTCACCTCAGGGTTGATGAATGGTACAACACCACCCTGTGAGATCACGACATCGCCCAGAAGCTTGTTAAGCCTGCGCAATAGAAATGATCAGCCCCACAGCATCAACTTAAGTCAATATCAACTTACTCCTCGTCATTCCGAATAGCGAGTTGGAGATGACGTGGGACGATACGTTGTTTCTTGTTGTCGCGAGCGGCATTGCCAGCAAGCTCAAGGATCTCAGCGGCAAGATATTCGAGAACAGCAGCCAGGTAGACTGCAATCCATGTTAGTGACAGGGCACGAACCCGATCAATAGGGACGTACCTGGTGCACCAGCACCAACACGCTGCGCGTAGTTCCCTCGCTTCAACAGACGGTGGACACGACCGACAGGGAACTGGAGGCCAGCCTTCGCAGAGCGAGACTGAGACTTGCTGGAGCCCTCAGCACCAGACGCCTTGCCAGACTTGGATTTGCCGCCAACTTTGCCAGACATTGTGATTGAAGAGAGGATGAAGGTAAGGAAAAGGTGTTGGATATGAGTGCGAGCAGCAAGAAGTGCGAGGAGGGAGAGTTGAGCGTCGAGGAGCCGAGGAGACTGTTTATATACCGGACGAGCCACGAGAATAAGGTTCAACAATCAACAATGACGCGTCAATCTCGTGTGTCACGCGCCCTTGTTGATATTGCCAAACACCCACAAAGTCACGTGTGTCTATATATATAGGAGCGTACTGCTGCCGCCCGAGCTCTAGCTATCTCTCTATCCTCGACCATCACCCTCTACCTCCCCAAGCTCTCATACCCATCCATATCATCCTAAATGGCACCCAAACCCGCTTCTACTGCCGGCAAGGCGCCCGCTTCATCCGCTACTGCATCGAAGGCTCCAGCCAAGACTACTGAAGGATCCAAAGCTGCGAAGAAGACCTCTAAGACTGCCGCAGCTCCTGGGGAGGAGGGCAAGAAGAAGAGACGTAAGGTCCGCAAGGAGACATACTCATCCTATATCTACAAAGGTACGTGATGTCTTCAGCTCGGATCTTTTGATGCTAATATGTCTCGCCTGAAGTGTTGAAGCAGGTTCACCCTGATACTGGTATCTCCAACAAGGCGATGGCTATCCTTAACTCGTGTGTTCATCTCGTGATATTTTATTTATTCGTGTTGCTGAATAAGGACTCTAGATTCGTGAACGACATCTTTGAGCGTATCGCCACTGAGGCATCCAGTACGTCTTCTTCATTCCTCATACAGTTTTACATCAGATCTAATCGCAATTTATTTCAGAACTCGCTGCATACTCCAAGAAGTCTACCATCTCGTCACGCGAAATCCAAACTGCTGTACGGCTCATTCTCCCAGGAGAGCTGTCAAAGCATGCCATCTCTGAGGGTACAAAGTCCGTGACGAAGGTGTGTTCAACACGGATTTATATCGTCGATATTCGTACTGAGCGTGTTTTTTTATGTCAGTTTTCAAGTGCAGGCGCCAAGTAGATGCGCGCTTTTGTGTTTCTATCTCGTTCGTCTCTGTATTCTCTCGTGTATTGTATGGTGTGATTCCCCTTTGGGATGTACGGGCTGTTCTCTTTGGCATTCCAATCCCTTATTTTTTTGCTTTCATCAAGAATTGATGACATCTCCAATAATATCTCAGTGTGGACTCGGATCCCCTCGGCGTCGTTGAACTGGACCATGCGTCTTCCTCTAAAAATCCATGTCATGATGGGTTAAAAGTTCATAGAGTTGGGGAGTCTGTCAGATTTTCACATTGCAAATCTTGGAAGACTTTCAATCTCAAGAATATGGAAATTAGCAGTAGACATGACCTGAAATGTCTGTTCTCTGAAGTGTAGAATACACAAACAGAAGGGAGCAATGAGCTTCCACCGACTGCGAAGGATGTGATATCATAACACCAATCATCAAAGCAGTCGACTGTGGACGAATATATCGACGAGATCGAGTGGAAGGTTCATGACCCTGACAATCCCATTTATGCAAAGCATCTTTAAAAGAGCAAGAAGTAGAAACAGCGTCCAGAACGTCTGAGATTTTCAGGTTGATTGTATCATACAGGTATCTAAGGTTGGGCGACAAGTCTCGAAGCACTTACCGTCATTGACAACAAATGATACAAGTCACGGACACAGGCTTTTGACCCTCATTCAAGGTGTCGATCTGAGTGATGTCTGACGTTTCGTTGACAGCGGAGTAGTATCTGGAAGTTGCGGTATGCTCAGCAGGACAGATATGTATCCGCGACTATCGAGGCGCAAGTGCAGGGGCAGTAGGCTTCGCCAAAATCATCGGAGTGGGCAGACGGATTGGAAGCCGTTACGATGCGAAGGGGATGGGAGCTAGAGACGTCGCCGTGGCTCGGTAGGATATATCCATATATGTACATTCGTTGTAATGGAAAGATGGTCGGTGAATCGACGGCCATTGACCCGGAATGATGAACCCGCATTCGTATGGATGGGAAAATGGAGTCAACAAGTGTTAAGAAGCATCGTGAGACACAGACTAAGAGGAGGAATAGTTGATGCTGTCCGTCAGGTGGAAAGTCTGTATAAAATCAGTTAGTGCCACACACTGACAAGGCTACAAGACTTGTCAGCGACGAGCATTAGTGAGAAGCGGTGTCCCAGATGTCGAGTTAGCCAGCAAAGAAATTCTGCCTGAATGCCTGAAAGAAGCGAAGCGGAAGGGTATAGAAGACCTCAAAGGTGGACAGCCTGTAGGGAGCTCGTCGTTAATTTGAAGAGTGCCCTATATGCTACCAAGATGTGAGATGAGGCAAGAGGGGTATGGATTATCAAAAAGGCGCAGGATGTTCTTGCTCCTTGCTTGCCTACATACTTTCAGTGACGGTCATCGAATGGTTTCCTCCACCTGTCTTTCCAATAGCTTTCTTCTCACAGTATCCTGACCACTGTGAAGATGGAGCCTAAGGACCGCATGTAAAGGCATGGACCTGTGGTCGAAAGTTCGATAGATATGGGATTGAGTGAGAGGCCGGAAGCAGTGATGCCATAGTCCCTCGGACAGCGATGAACCCAGAGCTATTGGCAACCGATGACCGGTGATAACTGGAGCAAAGTCTTGGGATCCAAGGAGGGAGCGGGCATTGAGCATCAAAGTTGAGAAAAAATGAGAGGGAAGATGACTGAGGCAGGCGGGGAGACCAGGCGAGGAGGTCGATGGTTGGTGAAGCGTGTCTCTGACGCTGTTAACATTGAAATGCTCTAGGGGACTGGGCCGTTGTTCGAGGGGTGGCAAGTAGGGTATGCATGAGGAGCAATATTTTCAGAAAACGAGATAGGAGAGGCGGGACGGGGGAGACGGGAGGGGACGAGGGGGGGAAAGGAGGCGTGCGGAGCCCAAAAAGCAATTCGGGGGACGGTGGCACGGAGACCTGTTCTGTTTGGAGCGTGACAAGAACGCCGCTCGCCTCTGCAGCGTTTCCACATCCACCGTCCACAGACTGCACCTCTCGACGAACTGTTCGCAAGCTCATTGCCTACGACGCTCGTCGACAGGGCTACAGTTGATGCGAACGCACTGGACGTGCATCGGCTACGTTACGTCGATGTGCATCAGACAAGCATAGGCCGCGTTCAAAATCTAGCCGCTAAATTGGGCTGATTCTCTGTTTTGTGGTTTTGTGTCTTCAGTACAATTCTTTGCACCACTCACTCTTTATTTGTTCAGCGGGGGACTTGATGAGGAGCGCACACGTTACGGATACCTTGTCAGCAATATGGAGCACTCGTCCCTCGTTCAGGCAGAGCATTGCACCCCTCCATTTCTTGAAGGGTCTTGTAGTCTTCTGCTTGCTTGTTGGCAGCGATACACGACTCTTGTCACTCACTTGGTCCAACGATTTTTCGACGGGATCAACGACAAACGTGCTTGAGAAAGAGGCTTAAAAATAGGACGATAGTCTCTTGAGGATGTCTTGTATCTAACATGGCTTTCATGGTGCGTTTTTCTCTCCAAATTCTGTGGATTGGAGTTATGCTTGAGGCCAGTGGATCGGGCGATTTGCTCTGTTCGTCGTCGTTCACATTAGATTGAGTGCATGTCACGGTGTCACACACGAAGTGTGACAACCATGACAAGCACGCGGTCCTGCCCGGGTCGTTCCTCGACGCGTTGTCGGAAATAGCGGAGGTAGATTGTGAATGCTCACAGAGCGAGGACCACACCGTAAGCTGGATGATCCGGCGAAACAGTTGGTGGATGGGGATTGGGGATGGTCTGAGGTGCGGTAACGGAAGGCTGGGATCAGCATGAGCATCCCTCCGAATCAGAATGCTACCCTCTCGCACTGGCTTGACAAAGTCTGCTTGACAGGCAGCTGTTTGGTCAGTGCGAAGGAGAAGTAGTCTTAAACGTGGGGGCTAGGCTCTTTCGATCGGACAGAGCATGCTCGGAATCGAGGCTCGACCACAGCTTGTGGGCGATAACTACTCGAGAGGACTCAGCACGCTAACAGAAGTATTCTGGATACATGCTGATGCAGGTCGACCGTATACGAGCTTGTCCTGTCTCTTTAGAGAGATTTGCGAGCTCGCTTGTCGGGAGTCAGGTTGCCAGCTGTTGCTAGAATGCACAGGTAAGAAAGCATGTTGATGAGGAGTGCGCGAGCGGGCGTTGTGGTCTTATAGACGCCTGGGTGCCATCTGGGTGGATTCAGTGGCATTGTTTACGGCTTCTTCATTCCCAATTACGAGTTCACCGTTCCTCTAATAAATAGAGTCCTCCTTTGCCGAGATGCTCCCCCTTAACCCTCCCATCACCACCTCCTCAAATCCATAAGGATAACTATGCATGAGAATCCGTCGAATGTGTGGTATCTTGAAAAAGACGAGGAATATGATGTTTATCTCTTCTGGCCGTCACGCCGACGTCAAGAGTCCGCCTTCGCGACAAACGAGAACAGTATTTATGGAGTGCGACTAGACATTGTGTCTTCCTCAGCGGAGCGTACTCATACCTGCGATATTCTCCAGCCCGTGGCGCCGTCCTTTGGCTATGATGACTATTTTGATGGATTGTCTTCCCTTCCTTCGGTGCGTCGAACATCCACCTCGGACCAACATCACATTTGACGGAAAACCTTAGTCACCACTCTCGTTCAACGAACCGTCCGACTTCCGTTTCCCCAACGTCGCAGACAGCAGCCAGCCCGAGACCCAGCCCGAGACCCAGCCCGAGACCCAGCCAACGCCGCTGCCCACGACCAGGTATAGCAAGCTCGTCACAATGGGTCTGTTTTCTGTGAGTCTCCATTTCTGCGCCGCCGCCTCCCCTTGCCCCTGCCCCTCACGCCGCGTGCATGTTGCGTCGATCGGGTAGCACTTAATACTGACGCGGGAATTTTTGATCGGGGCTGCGACAGCAGGTCAGCCATCGCGTCGATCGCGCCTGGGATAGGGTCCGCGTAATCTTCAAGAAGGCCAGACTGTAAGGCCGCATTCGAGGTCGATTTGACGTGTCGCGAGCATTTGCATACCATCTATTACGGAGTTCCCTCGCCGACTTTTCGTGTTTGTTTTTGATTTTTGAGGGTTGGTATAACTTTTGGTCGTACTATACATATATCCATGGCATACCACATTTTGGGATACGGAAAACTAAAACTACGCAGATGTACAAAGTCTCTGATTGAGCTACGTTCAGGACATATTGGCCGCCTCTTCCGAAGACGCGAATCGGGTACTTGATGTCCAAAATTGACCTTCGTCGATACATCAGATTTGCAAAGGGTCCAGATATATCCGAATTTGACAGAACGATAGTATTACAAGATTAAATTCCGAGGTGAGATAATAAGCGACTGTGTGACGGTGGATCCTTCCAACCAACAGATGACAACGACAGCGTGGGGTGCTGTACCTAGAGCGCAAGGTAACCCATGGGTGTCGAGCAGCAAAGGTCCGTTACCGACATCCTGTGCACCCTCCTGCGCACGAGGTGATGGAGAAATGATGCAAGATGCTGGCGCTCACGCATCCAAAGCGCGTTCCTTGCCCTTGCGTGACGGCGACGAGAGGAAGTTGAGTGTGAGGTTCGGTGAGCTGGCCATCGCTGTTGAAGAGAGCAATGGCGCGCGGAGGGGATGTATCGGTACAGTTGGGGTACCTGGAAGAGATGTGTCGCGGCGCGGAGGTGTAGCCCCAGTTTGGGAGTGGGGGGAGGCGGGGTCACCAGAGGCAGCCTCGGTGAGTAGAAACTCGACCCAGAGCCTCGAGAACGACTATGCGAGACACGCCCGCATCTATCAGTTCGGCGCATGCATATGGTGTAGAAGATCCAACACGCACTTCTGTCTCGTCCGTCTTCTCAAGCTCCGGCGGGCGACTCTTTTGAGGAGATCCACGAGAGAATAGAGCGCTGCCTGCCGATGGCAGTCCGGCGCCTCTTTGGAGACCCGCTCGCTGGCGTTCAGCATCTGTCCAAGAGAGTATAGAGGCGAGGAGGCCGAGCATCTCGAAGCGCTTCGCGTCTTCGCGGGGTGTCGCAAGAAATTGAAGAAGAACATTTGTGACGAGACGTCGATCCACGTTCGTATCACTCGAGTTACGTCGTAGCCGACGCAGCGCTTCAATTAGGTGTTCGTTGAGAATGACCCCTGCACAGACAGCACATTTTAACGGGATAATGAGACGAAGATGCGGAAATAGAGAGACCTTCGTGGCGTAGTTTGCCGATAAGGAGGTTTTTCTCTTTGATTTCCTTTTCAAGCTGCAATGTTCGCGAGCTATTCACAGTCGATTCCTCCAGCTGAAGCTGAGGAGCATTATTTGTGGATAGAGTGAACAGGAGCCAGAATGTCATTTACCTCCGCTTGCAGAGCTCTGTGTTTAAACTCGGCCAGGGATTGAGTGACCTCAATCAGCCTGGCCTCGTAATCCTTGACTGCCTGTTGTAATTCGTGGTCTTTCGCTGATGATACGAGTGTCAGTCAATGATCCCGCATTCAACGGTCAAACCCGTGCCCATCCGATTGCTCTCACCTGCCTGGAAGTCCTCCAGCACAGACTGCAAATTTACAGCCTTCTGTCTCTCGGATTCTAGATCATCAGCCTCTCTTTCTCTGGCCTCTCTCTCGAGCTCCAAATCTCGCCGGAGCACATCCGCAGCAGCCCTAGCCTCGTCCAACAACACGCGTTCTTGCAACGTCTCCCGCTCCCATTCATCGCGCTCTATTCGACAGCGCTCGAGTGCACTCTGCGCTTCGCGAAGTTCGCGCTCCCGTGTAAGAGATTCTTGCGTATTCTCGTGCAGCGCGCGAGTTCTCAAGGCCTCTAGATCTCGTGAAGCGCGTTCCGCTTCCTCGTTAGACGAGGTGAGTTCAATCTTGAGGGTTTCGACTGTTGCTTCGAGGTCCTCGTTCTGAACAGTGAGTTGCTGAACGAGTTGTTCTCGCCGGTCCAACTCTTCCTACAGCACAATTCAAGAAGGACTAAATTAAGCAGAGGAAGCTTGAATAGACGTACTGCATCTTGCTTCAATTTATTCCCGAGCGTTGTCCGCATCGCCGTGAGTTTAGCTAGCAGATTGCGATATTGAGTGGCGAGGTTTTCCTTCTCCTGCCTCGTGCGCTCGAGCTCTTGCTGCAACCTCTCCACAGGGTCCAGCTTTTCATCCTCTGAGTGACTCGCGCTGTCATGGGCTCCGTTGACGCCATTCGTCGGAGGGGGCGAGGATGGGTTGCTCCCCGGGCGTTCACTGTCATTTGATGAACGCACACCAGCTAAGGACTGACCTGGACTGACCACGCGTTCTGGAGAAGCGACACCATCAAGCGAGGCACGTTGGCTGCCAGTCCCCATGATCAAGCTCGTGCTCGTACTTGAGGCGAACGACACAAAGGTATTGAGAGATTGAGGGTGTGAGTGCCAGCAACTACGACTTGGTTAACACTCTCTGAGGGGCTATTATTACGTAACCTAATCTAATCTCTCGAGCAGAGTCGGCATACAGTACTGTAGTAGTTCTGTCCTCTGTTTCTTCAGACAGACACACTTTGCGTCTGAATGATTTGACGAACGAGAGAAGACAATGGTGGCCACGATCGGCTTTGAATAATGGCCACCTGAAGGACTACTGTAGATGCCACGTGGTTAGCTGAACGATTGCCAATTATCTTGCATGCTCTTTGCTCTCATGGTTGTATCTGGGCGTAAACTCGCCCGGTCTTAATCCTCATCTATTGTCTCCCATCTTTGCATCCATCCACGTCCCACTGACAACCAGGACAGCGATCAACCAAGCGCAGCGCAGCGCATCATGCCCTCTTCTCGATCCATACCGTTGATCACCACTCACATGTACGAGTCCTCTGCCAGTACACCTCCCTATTATTTTTTCCAGCTGTTGCAACTGCCGACGGAACTTGTATGTCATACCCTATCGTTCCTCAACATGTATGATTTGATAGCGTGCAAAATGGTGATTATCTCTCGACCATCGTCATGGGCATGCTTTAAACATCTATAGGCATGTAAATCTCTTCATCAACTCGTCTCCAGCTCTCCTCGCTTGCAATATACGATCGATCTCGCAGAGCACCAGATGGTGCCAGCTCTCTCCCCGTCATCTATGTATATCGCTGCCCAGCGTCGCATGCTTAACAACCGTCAAGAGCGCTGGAAAACCCTAAGATGGAAGGGAAGACACAACATACCCATCTCCGTCGCTGGGCCGATATACGAGCTAGTTGATGGGATTTACGCCAGCGGCCATGGACGGGTCGATGATCGTCGCGTGGCTGGCTCAATAACCTTTCACAGGCTCCCGACCGTGAATGGTGACAATGGCGACGAGACTAAGGTCAGCTCGTGGACGTTGTCCGGATTCGACATGGATATCATCGATTTCAGTATGGATCCTGCTCAGGATCTACTTGTTTTCATCGCCCCTGCTCCTAATGGGTACGTCTCGCCGCTTTTCATCCTGACATATGGACTTCGAAGAGATGCGCTGCTCGCATGATATGTACTGCGACTTTGCTGCGACTTTGCTGGGACTTTGCTGCGCCCATATGACTGCTCAACACGACATGACGTTTATTTTCCACCTTTTTGGTACTTGTCTGCAGAAGACGAATCGATACTGTTCGACTGATTACATCCGAGTGATTGTCATGTGCTCCCACCACTTTGCTGACTTGTGCCCACAAGGTCGAAGTATACGTATCAGGTTTACCTCCGTACTCTATCTACCAATGAACCTCACCCAAAGGCTGGGTCCCCAGTCCTCGATTGTCGACGCGCCAGCGGATCTCAACCGGGAGACATGTGGTGCTCCTTCCGGATCCTCATCCTCGACAACCTTCTTGCGGTCCTCATCAAAGATGTGTTCCATACTTCGGCAGCGTTCGTTGCAATTTGGAACTGGCAGGCTAGATCGAAAGCCAAGGTACGTTTCCAGAGCCCTCTAGCCCTTGATATACGCAGAAATTGACTGAACATGTCACCGTAGTGCCAGATGGCCCTGACGATGGGCGTGGACGACTTCTGTTTCCTGTCCCGCACGGAGTTCATGGTCGTCATACCGAGGGGCTTCTTCGATGTCTACACATTCACAGATCCGGCCGTTAAGAAGGGCTTTCCTACCTTTTTACGTCGGTTCGGACTGCCACTATTGAAAGAGGGGTTCCATTACTGGTATATCTCTGCCACAGCGAACCCAACGCCTGGCACACACTTCGGCAAAGCGTCGTCATCTCCCTCCGCATCGACCCCACTGCCGTTCTATCCACGCCCAGACGACGGCCTCATCGCATGCTCGCTCGGGACCTTGAACCCGTCCGCCCACGGCGCGGTCGGCTGCTTCGTGTTCTTCATGCGCATCCGCACCCTGCTCGACTCCGCGCTCGTCTCGCGCGTGACGGCGCTCGTGCCCTGGGAGAGCTGGGGCCCGCCGGCGACGCGCTGGTTTGGAGACATGCTCAGCAGCGACTGGCAGCACGCGGTGCACGGATTCCGAACGGTTGAGCGTGTGCTCGACGATAGGGTCGTAAGCCATGGCTTTTTGGACCTTGAGCCGGCTGCGACGACCGAGATCGTGGAAGTCAGCGCAGAGGAGGAGGTCGAGGAGCTTCAGGACGAGGGGTGGATGGGAGGGAATCGGTCGGAAATGAGGAAGATCAAGGTGAAGGACTTCAATCCGTATGCCATCGCGAGGGAGGCGACGTGTCGCGTAGATCAGGATGCGGAAGGGGGGGATACTACCAAGGCGGAGGACGGAAAGAGTCAGCCTAGGATAAGGCTCGTGACGGGCCCGGCGATCGTTAGGGCGGGCGTGACGTTCCAGCAGGACGTAGTGTCCCGTCTCCCATACCGTGAAATCGTGACAGAGGAAACAATGGAGGTATCTGATGTTATGTTAGATGACAACAGAATCTTGTGTTTGAAGGTGAGCTCGCACAAATTTCATCTTGTACCAAAATGCCACTGACACTCTTGTCCATGCTTTCCAGAGGAATCCCAATGGGCAGCTGCATTCCTTGGACGTTCTCACATTTTGAGGTTCGTTCTGGCTGAGCGTATCACTTATTGCTATATACATATGTTGTGTGTGCGAACTCTTCCCTCAACACAGTCGATGTATCTTTTGCTCACACAAGGAATCACAGTATGACTACAGGACAGGGTCAGGGCCATTGTCTGCCATAGAGCTAGGTTGGAATGTCTCAAATGTTATAAACGTTGTACGTGGTGCTGCCCTGTGGGAGCATCTTACTTCTGTTTACCTTTCCATTGTCGCCGCTGTCATCGACTATACCCGTGTTGTAAACCTGCATGCCATCGAAGCTAACCAACTTGTACCTAGTAGACGTCTCACGGCGGATTCGCTCCAACTGTCTCAATGATGGATGAACAGAACACCTGTGACTGATCTGCAATGGTAGGCTACGGTGGTCAAAACAGAAGTACAAGGCCATTAGATATCGGCATCGATGTAAGACACATTGCGGAGGGGAGTGACAGCACAGCGGGGCTGTGTGAAGAACAAAATGAAGAACCGAGGGAGGTGGGAGGTGAGGTGGATGGATTAATATATGCGAATGAAGATGCTGAGATGCTATAAGACACCGTAGTCCGTGATGCAGATGAGAGATCTAGGAATGGAAGAAAAAGAACATTCGACAGGTGGGTTGTAACCATAGATAGTCAAGAAAAGCATAGATGTAGGCCAAAATGATAATGGACGATCCAAACCTGCAGCGACGCCCGGCCACTGAGGGCATAAGACTATTGATGGATGCGCATACATACGATGGAACAAGAAGAAAAAAACTTGATCGAAAATTTCCAGGAACGTAGACGAAATCCTAGGTATACATGGACCTACGCACGGAGGAGCCAGCCGACATTGAGACCGGTCATCGTACGCATGCTCTCGGGGTAGCACTTGTTGCTTTCCGTGAGGATCACAGCGATTCGTTGACATACTTCCATAGGGTATGTGAGCTGCTCTGCTTGAGGGAACCCAGGGTACTGATTCAGCAGACTGCGACAAAAGCATTAAGATCTACATGCAGAGGGATGGATAGCAACGTACGTGGGCAGATCGGTGCGCGGTGTGGATGGGCCGAGGATCTTGAATAGCACCTTGGCTGCCTGGATGACGCCCTGTTTAGGTATCGAGTACGCTGTCGGGGCGTTGTACGACAGACGCATAGATGGTTTAAATAACCAGATCTTCGTTGAAAGACGAGATTAGCAAAGGTGATTTGTACTGCCAACAACAAGGGGGTACATACCAGCAATCGCGGTCGCTCTTCCTCTTCGTCAAGGATAAAGAATCGATAGGTGGCATGCGCTTGCGCGAGCTCGTTCATATCCTCAACAATGAATGCCGAGAGCGGTATGCGTGACGGCCTGAGACCGTGATCGTCAGTATAAGTATCTTCAACGCGATGGAAATGCAGAAGACTCACTCAGCCGAGGGACTGACGGGCCGGATGGCGTATTTGAAGAGTCTATAGACCGTATTCCGCGTACCGTCATCGCCCAGATACTCTTGACTACGCCCACTGAACGAGCCGCATATACACCTGACTGTGGTCCACTCGTTGCCACGCTTCAGATGATTGACAGATCAGCGACGGCCGGATATCGAGTAAAAGTGATGGGAAGAAAGTATGGTAGAAAGATGAATGAAAGAGAAAGATGAGAGAAGATGTCTCCTTGCGCGTAGCTCCCGCAGACCTGAACCTCAGCAACACGAGAGTTGTTAGACAAGCAACCATGCAAAAAGCAGTTTCTCTAGGACCGTGTGTATCAGTCGGAAGCATTGCTTGCCCACGCCCACAACAGTCAACCGCATCACTCAGAGCAACACCTAAAACCATCGAGGGCTTCGAGTGAACCCCAAGCGCGAGTTAACTGTGCAGACGAGAGGCCGTCGGTAGGAAGCCGGCGCCGGCCTTCTTTTTGTCCAGCACGATCATAATGATGATGCGTGAAGTGAAGCAAACAGAAGAAAAAAAAACGAAAATCGCAAATGAGTACGCACTGTTGATTTACTGGCCTTCCACAGATTATTTTTCATGATTGCGCTCTCCTCAAACAAGATGTAGCTGCCACCCACGAGGGCCTGACCCATCTGAGGCCAAAAGCCCCTTGCGTGTCTCGAAACCTGAGCAGACAGTTTCTGGTCCGAATGGCACATCCACGACTCCACGAGCTCACCCCAGTGCTCTGATGGTAGATCGTCGTACTTATTGATGCGCGTGGCCTGTACGAGCGGTAGAGAACACGAGGCGCAGATAAATGTCGTGGGTGACGCCGAGAGGAGCTGGGTCGCGTCCATGAGGGGGAGAGGATCGGAGGCGGGCAGCGGGGAGACATTAGGAAGCTTAATCTCATAGTGGAGAGTCTGGACCTTGACAGCCTGAGGCCCGGGAGACGGGAATGCGGGGAGTAAGAGAGGAGAGGAGAGGATAGAACCGCTGCGCAAGATCAGACGGGGCTCAGAAGAGTCTGTGACCTCTGCTTCGAGGTTCGCTCCGGCAGTCGTGCCGGAGACTGTCAGGAAAGCAAGGACATGCCGAAGGCTTTCGTGGTGCTCGGCCACATAGTGTACGTCGAGATCTGTGCACAAGCGTCAGCGGGAACAATGATCTCCGCAAAAAATTTTGATTATACCGTGTGTGATCGATTTCCGGCCACTCGACGAGTCAGGTCTGCTCGACCTCGTCGACCTAATCGCCTTTGTTTCAGATCCGGCCCGAGAGCTCGACGGCAACAACCAATTTAAGGCAGGTGCAGACATGCTCCTGCTTCGGAGGCCCTTCTTTGGCGACCTACGCCTCATTGGTGAGGGAGGTGGCGATGCCGTCTCCGGCAATGCCTCGCGCACAAACTCGGGAAGAGAGAGTAGCGCGTTGGGATCTGCAGGTCGCTGAAGCGTCGGGGGCATCGACTCGCGAATAAACTCGGGGAGCGTGAGCAGCGCCTCGGGGTCCTTGTGCTTCTGAGGCTGGAAGGTCGCGTCCTGGGAATGTAGACGCCGGACATCGGAGTGTTCGGCCAGTTTTTCGACGAATTCCTGGCGCTGATACAGATGTCAGAAGTGAATTTGAGAGAGGAAAGCGGTGTGCGCAGCATTCATACCTTTAGCAAGTTTCGCTGGCGCGTTTTTTCAAGCTGTGCCTGCATACCGCCCGCTAGGACGACCGTCTGGTCTGCAAGCTTCCGATCCGACGCCTTACCGAGCATCTCTACAAGTCTCTCTAGTTCCTTGACGTTCCGCTCCTCGCTCTTCTCCGAAGATGGTCCTGCGAGCCTCGCCCTCTCCAACTCCTCCAGCTTTGAGGTTTTGAGCTCGACTCGTTGATCATGAAGCTGAGGAGCAACCATATACAGACGATCAATAGCCATTGTGACAGCATCAAGATCGAGGCGCATCTTTTCGCTAAGACCACTGGTGCTGATCGAGGTGGAGGCGGTACTTTTCCCTGCTTTGGCATCTGACAAGTCTGGCGCTGATTCGAAATCGTATCCCGGGGGCCCATCAAACTCGTAGTCAGCGCGATCGTACTCGGGAAGTAGATGGTCGTCGGGCATAGATCGAGCTGGCCGTTCGTTTCGTTGCCGGCATAGTCGGAGGACGGTCTCAAGGTTCTCGTCAACGCGCATCCAGAGCAGCGACTTTTCTACCGCCAACACAGGCGGGGTGTCTTCTGCCTCGGAGTCGGTTGAGGAGAGCCGCTGGAGCTGGAAGTCGCTTAGCTGTCGCGTGAGCATGCCGAAGGTATCGCCTGGTGGGTGGGTATCTATTTGGAGGTATGATTCGACATGCGTCGGGGTGGAGGAGGGAGAAATCCCGATAACGGATAACCGCTTTAGATGAGAAAGCAGTGATACGAGAGTCAGGGCAAGTGATGCGTCCCCGACATTTAGACAGGGTGCGAGCGCTTCCACGCGCATCCGCAGTTCATGGAGTAACTCGGTCTCATCATCTGAGAGTCGCGCTTCGACCATTTGACCACCACTCACACGAGTCCGCAGGTTCGACAGCAAGGTGTCCAGCGCAGCTTTGGACTGGATGCTGTCGAGCGAGACCGGTTGTGACGAGTCGAGATGTGCGGGTACGGAATGGCGCCGATCGGGGACGATGCAGCGCCATTGATTTGGGGTGGAGAGAAGGTCGTTCAAAGTCATAAGACACGATTTTTGCACATATGCTATGGATGGCATAACGTCCTGAATGATCCAATAGTCAGTTATCGAACCACAGGCTTTGAAAAAGCAAAACCGACATGGCTAGTACCGGCACCGACTGCCTGAGAGCGTGACGATTCCCCAGCAGGGTAGACATCGTCACCGAAAGGGTTAGTCTCCTGGGAGACATATGTCTCGGGAGTAGGCTTGTGTACCTGATCTTGCGCGAATAGTCGTGCCCGTTCCTCTGCAGAGGGAAATGGCGAGGGAACCGCAGACGCAAGGAGCGCTGTCTGTTGGTCGTATGAGGTCCTTTTCGCTCTTGTGAGGGTGGCCATAGAGGAGAGCGGATGTGCGACGGGCAGAACGTCGATGGAGGGGCACCGAGCCTTATAAGCGTCGCCTTGAAACGAGAGGACTGGTCGCACACGTCCGGACTCGGACACCGCCACCCCCCACGTGGCCTGTCTGTGTAAGCTGTCCTCTGCCTCAGTTCTCCTCCCAGCTCTGCTGCTCTAGCTCTACTACTACTCCTGGTCTCTGTGCCTTATGTGACTCCGACACCAAGCCTGCCGTCTCAGCACGGGAGGTGAGTACATTGTCGTCCTTGATTGGAATTTTGTTCGTTTGAGAGCCGCTGACGCCGATATGCTCTAGGTTGATGGAATACAGGCTGTTGTATTGCACCGATGTCTCTTTTAAAGTGCTTCTATCTGCTTGAAGAATCAAGACGGTGCTAATACAGCATATGCCTTTGGAAGTTGATCTATGCGCGGCGCATCTAAGTTCACTCCGTCGCAAAAGCGACGTCGGGGCCGCGATTGTGCGCGCTGGTGCGGGCGTTTCAAGTTTGTAGAGTCCAGTTCCGCAGCTTCCAGGATTTATCGTTCGAGTAGTCAGAACAGGCAGAGGAAAGGTCTCGATGTTCAATATCTTTGTCTGAATCCGACAAGCTGCTCCGCGCCCTGTCACCCATCCGCGGATTTTTGATAATCATCTTTTTCGGCGTCTTGCTCATCATCGCCGATGCTGCCAATGCTTTTGTCTATAGTATGTGTCGCACGCCTCTTCGCGGAGTTATTTCCGGCTCCCGCCTTTTCATACGAGTACGTCGGGCATGCCTCGGCTTACCCGCGTCCACAGCTATTCAATGTATTCAAGCAACGCATGCGGCTCGGGCTGGTGTATCATCCTCTCTGCTTTCCAAGCTGCCTCAAAAAGAAGCTCTAGGATCCAATGCAGCAGCCTTGGCTGCCCGATATTCTTGGTCAGTAACGATGTCATGGTGGAGGAGGGGGGTTAAAAAGGCTTTGATGAGACGGGTAGTCGATATCTTTCCTCATTTCCCCTCAATCATCAACAGCGATTTTTCTGCATAACATGTCCCAGAAGCTTATCCTCGTCATAGGCGCCACCGGTGCTCAAGGCCTAGCTGTCATAGACAGTCTCCTCGCTCAGTCTGCGGACGGCGCGCCTTCTCCCTACGCTGTCAGAGCGCTTTCGCGCGACACTGATAGCAAGCGTGCAAATGAGCTGCGCGCTAGGGGCGTAGAGGTCGTCAAAGGTATTATTCTAATCCATCGCTCTCGTTCATTTCTTGATCTCAAGATTCCTCTCTCTCATAGGAAACACAAGTGACCTGTCGTCAGTCGCCGCGGCTCTTGATGGCGTGTATGGCGTGTACGTGAACACGGACAGCCAGAGCCTCGGAGAGCAGCTGGAAACGTACACCGGTATAAGGATATTCGAACTCGCCAAGACCGTGAAGACGATCAGGCAATTCGTTTATAGTTCCTTGGATTATATCTGGAGAGTACGTGCTATTCGGCCCTTTCGACGAGGCCAAATTCTCACCAGGCTCCTTATAGGACACGGGCTACAACCCGCTCTATCAGGTGTCTCATTTCAATGGGAAGGCACGGGTCGTCGAGTTCATGAAGGCTCAGCCCTCGGTTGTCAGCAACACAGAGCTATCTTGGACCGCGATCCTGACTGGTCCTTACATGGAAATGTTGCAAATGGTACGATCCTGCCTCGTCATACTCGATGACATCCAGTGTCTCAATATTTGCGCACAGTATATGTTTGGCCCCGTCAAGCGCTCAGATGGGACCTTCGTCTTTGCAGCTCCTATAGGGGATGGACATATGCCCATGATCGCGCTCGCTGACATCGGCTTCTTCGCGCGCTACGCCTTCGACAACCGCGGACTGACTTCCGGCCAGGAGCTCAAGGTCGCCAGCGAGATGGTCGGGTGGGAACACGTCGTTTCCACCTTCACGAAGGTCACCGGCCAAAAGGCGGTATTCAAACGCCTGTCAATCGAGGAATGGGCCGAGACTTTCGACGAGGCTACTCTGCGAGAGCCCTTCGGAGGCGGTCCTCTGACGTTCAGAGAGAACTTCTCTTCGTGGTGGCGTTTGTACAGAGACGACGTGATCAAGAAGGATATGCAGTGGATTCGGGAGAGGAACCCGAACGGATACACGTTGGAGAAGTGGATGAGAGAGACTCGGTATGACGGTAGCTGGAGTGAGGAGGGGGTGCTGAAAAGGGATGTGGATAAGAAAGGCGGGGTCCTCAACGCGAAGAAGGTCGCTTCTGCGTAGATCACTACTAAGTGTTACAACATATTCTATGCACGAGCCACCTGTTTTCTGTGAAGAGTTTGTTGCGTTTTTGACCCATACGGGTGCATCCGGAATCTTGGACTCCTTTCGGGGTCCCCTTTCATTGAATTGCCTCGAGCCGGAAGCAAACTCCCTTTGGGTGTATGCAAGTCTATCTCTCTCCACGCAGCTCAATCAAGCGTCCGCATCCTTCAAAGCCCCAAGTCCTTTATCGATGCACGAGTTTGCAGAATGAGGTCCCTTTTCTCCTCCAGCTATCGCGTGTCCGTTGATGCTTTTCACACGACGCACGAGATCGGCCATGCGACCCGCCGCGCAGCCGGCTCTTGAGTAATTAGCAGACCCGCACCGAGCCCTGCTCCGAGCTAAGTACGACGACCAAGTCGACACGCTTTCCCCCCTTCTTCATCTGCATATATTCTCCCCCTGGTTTATGCGCCATATCACGGTTCACAACGATCCAACTTGTACGCGTCGTCCTCTTCCGCACCAGGGGGTAGATCTGATATTTCATGACAGGCATAACGGTATTCATTGAACGAACGAACGAACTAACGAGCGATCGTCACGGACTGAGCGATTCGTGTTATGGTTCGCGGTGAGTCCCATACCACATCTTGATCGATGCAGGTGTTGATCAACGGTTTCAAAGGCCCGATCTCAGTAACACCTACATATCCCAATGATTTGACATCTTCCCTGCCGCTCGAGCCGACCACACCAGCTCGCATGGAGTCCCCTGCGGTCGCGGCGATGGGGAACACGAAGAGAAGACAGACGCTCATGACATTGCTCGATGCTTTGAACGAGCTGAGTAAAGATGACGCGCTCACAGAGCATGGTGAGTAAGAAACACTCGGCAATGGACAGCTCGAAAAAATTCTCATATTGCATTTCATAGACATGGATCAGCAACCCAGCTTCGAGGATGACCGCGACGTTCGTGAGTCTTCATATTAGCTGCTCTCGTAAGTAGCTGCTCACACGATCATGATCATGCCACAGCGACCGTTGACGAACATAACCAAAAAGTCGGGGCAGACTCGTTCAATAGATTTCAAAGGTACAGCGCAACATGTATCTCGGTCGTCCGTTTCATATAACCTCATACTTTACCCCACCTTGCAGACGTATGGACAGTCTGGATAAAGAGGTGAGTTACGTCAGTCATATTCAAGCGCTTCTGACGGTCACCGCGATCAGCTGCGGAATTTCTCCAACGCGGCGCGCCAGCTGGGCAGCTCTGTTGGCATCCTGTCATCCGCTTACGGCCTCCGGTACCGGTTGACCCAAATCTCTTATCTATTCCGCGAGAATGCGGCCGACCTCTTTCCTCGCAAGGTCTCGCGGCAGAAAGACACCGTCGTCAGTAACCAGACGATATCGCTGAGGAAGCGGACCAGAAAGTCAAAGCCTCCGCCGCACGTCCGCAGGCCGATGATCTTTGGCGAACTCGATCCAGAGGATTTCCCAAAACAGATTGGGGACCTCGCTCACGATGTGGTGACTTTCCTGCACTGCTTGAACGAATTCCCTGAGTTTACAGACGAAGCTGTGAACGCCTCGATCATCTCGTTTGAGGGTGACCTCAAGGTATTTCTTATATCGGTCCACCTCTGAATTGGTGCTGAGACATCACTCACAGTACTGGGCATCTTGCCTGAAAGCATATGAAGGTCGAGCAACAATTACACATGAACGTATGTTTTGCTAATTAAAATTCGACTCAAGGCCAGTTTCGCTATCCTGCCGTCCAACGATATCTGCATGACCTATCCGTAGAAATGGGAGACCATCTAGATTCTATTACGACATCTTTATCGATGTTCATCGAAATCGGTCAGAGGCACTTGCTTTTCCACATTCGCTTCCCTAGCTTCGATTGCCTAACCAGATACTCATAGGTGTCCCCACAATTCGCTTCGCACAAAAGCACGGAGCTAGTAATCTCCTTAATCTATCTACAGTAGCTACATTCTTCTCAGCTGTCACTGCAACAACCTTGCAGTTTTCCTATGCTACGGTCGGTAATGTCTTGGCCGACAGCGTCAATGCGTTCTGGTTCACTTCCATGGTATTCAGCATTGCTGCAGCAGTCAACAGCTTGCTCGGACTGACATGGAAACAAGCGATGTAGTGAGTGGATCAATGATGATGACATTCCAATGAATCGCTGAACTTCGCTGTCTGCTTCGTAGCCGCTCCCCTGGCCATCGCGTCCCCTGGTGGGTATTAATCTGGATCAAGCGTTCCCCATTGGTCTTCCTTGTTCTCTCAGTCGCCTGCTTCTCTGTCGGGCTCGTGCTTTTCGCGTACTCGTCAAGCCAGGCACGTGTCTGCTCGTCTCTCATAGGTTCTCGATCTCATCGCGATTCAGGCTCCTTGGGTTTGTACAATCACCACGGTCTTCACTGCTTTCAGTAGCTTTGGTCTGGCAGCAGTGTCGGCATGGTTCGCGTCCGAACGGTGGATCTTCAGCCGCCACAAGGGCACAAAATGGCTACAAGACTCTCTCGATGATGTATGGGACGCCATGACATCCATCCCTCCCATCCCTTGGCTCTCAGAGATCGTGCCCGCTTTCTTCCACTTGATTTTGTCCGCTCTCAGCATCGTTCTCTCCCGCACGCGCAAAGCTGCGCTCGGGGCGAGCTCGACGCTCACGAACCTTTTCACCGGTCCCTCTGAGGCATCGGACACGCTAGAGGAGGACGAAAATTCGCTTCCAAGCGGCAGCTTGGCCAGCCCCGAGCCGCTCTTCACCGCCTTTCGAAATCGGCGCGGGTCAGAAGGCACGCAGGTCACTTCCGCAGGCCACGGCGAATCCAAATCGCCCGCGAGCCCAAGCACGATAGACTTCTCGATACCGGAGAAAGGAGGCCCGGTCAGCGCGCCGGCGTCGCCGGGGCGAGGGCGGTTCGCCAATGCCGTGCGCTCGGTGATGATGATGCGCGCGGCGTCTGGCGGGCTCGCGTCTCCCCATCGGAAGCGCACGATGTCGTCGTCGATGATATTGCCGGACAGGAGGAAGGAGACAATGCATGCGCCGCTCAAGAGGTCGCGCGTAGCGGCATTGGTCCCGCAGCTGCAGAAGTTGGCGACGACGCAGGATTTGCCGGCGCATCAGGCGCTTGTGCGACACCTGCAGTTCTCGCCTGATGGGAAATTCTTGGCCACTTCGAGGTGGGTGCGCTGATACTCATAGCTACAGAGGATATCGTTTTCTGATGACGAACAGCTGGGACAGGACTTCGGTCATATTCCACGTCGGGGTAAATGACACGTAAGAATATACCTTGGACTTTGTAGCTGACCTCGCCCACGAAGGACCCATTTACAGCCCATCGAACTCTCGCCCACCCATCTGGCTTTGTGGGACAGGTTGCATGGTCCGTGACTATTCTGTTCATACCTGGTCTAGACGGTGGACTGACGATGCTCAGGTCACCGAGTGGAAACATTCTCTTGACCAAGTTGAACCGGGCCATCAAAGTATGGACAGCGGTGGGTCGATATGATTGTCTATCTTCACCCTTCACCTTATGGTTTGACCGTCTCCGTTTCCTCTTCTAGGCCGGTGTGTGCACCAAAACCATCGATCGACATCGTGTAGTTCAGTCTGTTTGCTGGCTCCCCGGTGGAGAAGGTGATACGATCTCCCCTGTCATGCCTTTGAAAGTTCTCACGCGTATGCTGATAGCTTTCATGTCTGTTGAGGGCGGCGATGTCACAAAACTAGTGAGCATTTGATTCTAGATTTCTTCCATCTCGTCTCAAAAAGCAACGGCCATCAGGATCTTACAGGAAAGGTAAGCTATGGTAAAAAGACATGTAGCTTAGATGTTGAATCGGTCTTGACAGGTTTTAGACACGTATCATTTTGAGCGCTTGGCTATTCATGATGTGTCAGTAACTCCCGACGCTCAGCGGTTGCTTGGTGTTGGTACTTTACAGTCGTCTGGTGACGGCTTGCAACCCAGCAAATGCAGAGCGGAAAAACAGATCATCGGTGCGTGTGTTCTGGTAATCATCGACGGACTGGATGGCATGATTGCTTTGATCTCACTACAGCTTACAACCTGGACAAGAAAGAGATCGAAAAGTGCGTCTGTTCCAATACTCATTTCTCCCTTAGTCTTGACGTGACCACACTAGCCAAGTCCCTGTTCTCCATGAGATCCGGGACATCACGTTGGCACGAAACGGTCAGGTTGCGCTGGTCAGCTACGAGAACAAGGTGCGCCTTCGAGGCAGCGTTGAGTATGTGAAGTTTGGATTTGACGGCTATCTTAGGCTCCTCCTCAGCTGTGGAAACTGGAAATGGTCAAGGATAGGAATAAAAATGATGCAACGACGACACGACTTTCTTTACGACATACTTACATGCCAAAGTTCCCAGTAGACTTTGCTGGACCAAGTTACTTTGGTGGGAAAGACGACCAACTAGTGCTATGTGCCGGCAAAGGTGCGTTGATACCATTTCTTTGCACCAGGATATCTTTATTGATTATGCGCAGCGGGGGACATTCATATATGGGACCGCGAGTCTGGCGCATTACTGCATCACGTTCGTGCACAAGCACTGGGAGGCGATTTGACATGCATAGCGTGGAATCCTGCCTCTGATCCTTTCATGTTTGCAACCGGTAGCCACGACGGTGGTGTGAGGATCTGGACATCGCCGCCAAGCTTTGCCAATGATATGCTGATTGCACCCCCAAGTTCACGGGGCACTCCTGGGACAACGACACCCCGTACGGATATTTCGCTGCCAACCTTCCAACTGGATGTAGATTATAGGACGGATAGCCCGACTACCCAAAAGGAAGGATTTGACCTGCCGGAAGGAGGTAGGCATAGCGAGTCGGCGCAGGACTCGGCGTCGTCTTCAAGGAGAACGATTGCATTCACAGCTCCCCAAGCTTTGGGTAATATGTATCCTTCATGATCCTTATACTATTTTTTACGCGTAGAATTATGTGACATCTAGATGTACCACATTTTATGACATCCTCTGCGAGGATACAATCCTATCAGCAATCATGTTGCAGATCTTTGACTTGGCTCTGGGTTTCTCGCCCAAGAATTGTGGTAGAATAGGGTAGAACACTGGTAGAATGAGATCAACGACTTTGCAGAGCTGCGGCACCTGGCTAAATTTTGACTCAACCGATCGCCATCCGATTTACACTGCCATTGAAGCCGACATAGGCCGACGTACAGTCTGTCTAGGTTGTGGACAACTTAACTTCGTGCCTACCTAAACAACTATTTTGTCCCGCCGCGACCTGCTAACATGTCTTCCTCTTCTGCCCTAAAGTCTGTGTATGTTGCCGTTGTCGGCGTCGGCCTCGTCGGTGGTGAATTCATCCAGCAACTCCTTTCCTTCCCATCGCCAAACCATTTCCGCATCGTCTCGCTTTCGTCATCCAAAACCTCCATCTTTCATCATGAAGGTCTCGAATTCCCGAATGCAGACTGGAAGACGCAGCTGCAGACGTCGAGCACCGACCCGAGCTTGCCCAAGCTGCTGCAGGACCTCGCACGTCTCGTCAGACCGGGGGCGGACGTAGTGCTGGTGGATAACACATCCTCTGACGACATCGCCGTGTTTTACCCGGAAGTCTTGAAGGCTGGGATCAATATCATCACCCCGAACAAGAAGGCGTATTCTGCCGGGTTGACGTTGTACGAGAAAATTCTGGCGGCAAGCTTGGACAGCGGGGCACGATTCTTGAACGAGGCGACTGTTGGTGCTGGGCTGCCCATCATCTCGACTTTGAAAGACCTGGTTGCTACCGGAGACAAGGTGTGTGTGATCATCGGCATCTTTGTCCGCAAGTGCTAATTCCGAGCAAGGTTACAAAAATTGAAGGTGTCTTTTCGGGAACGATGAGCTACATCTTCAATGAATTTTCCACTGGAAAAGCAGGAGGCCCTAGCTTTTCGTCCGTTGTCAGCGTTGCCCGCGAGAAGGGTTATACGGTATTATTCTTCCTCGTGAATGCCTTCCGCCTCATTCACTCACAACGTCTACAGGAACCGCACCCCGCAGATGATTTGAACGGCGCGGATGTGGCGCGGAAGCTCACCATCTTGTCCCGTATCATCCCTTCTCTGCGGTCTGCTCTCCCAGAAGGATATCAATCCGTCAAAACTACTTCACTCGTTCCCACTGAGCTAGAGGGTGTCAAGACCGGTGATGAGTTCGTCTCCAAGCTTCCGGCGTTCGATGATCACTATGACCAGATGCGCACGGAGGCCACACGGGAGAACAAAGTGCTTCGCTTCGTCGGCGTCATCGACGTCGAATCCGGTCTTATCAAAGCAGACTTGGAAAAGTATGTGAATATCTGACATTCTTGCCACGAGTGACCTGACTTTTTACAGATATCCTGATACCCACCCATTCGCCACCTCGCTAGGAGGTTCCGACAACATCGTCATGTTCCACACCGAACGCTATGGTGCCAGACCGTTGATTGTTCAGGGCGCGGGCGCGGGCGCAGCCGTTACAGCGATGGGGGTTATGAGCGATTTGTTGAAACTCGTGTAATTGATATCGAGAACAGCTGTAGCCTTAGTTCTGGAGAAGTAGTAAACAATGGAGTGCGTTAAATCATTGCCTCTTGTCCGCATTCAATGACGGACTGCGTTTCTGTATGCAGATCCTGTACTTTGCACCTCCTACCTTCATCATGCCGGCGTCCCTGCCTGTAATGATGATGAAATGGTCCACCACGATATCAGAGCAATTCTACTCCAAAGATTTGAAGCACAAAACGTGGGCAAGGTGGTCCCCCACAGGAACATTTTATCTCTGTCGGTCTTCCCCCGGTCATGTAAATGTCGTCGCCGCTGTCGGACCCGCCGCTATCGGGTCATGATTTGACTACCCAGCATTGTCCTGTCATTTTCTATACCTGTATTTCGATCTGATATGCCTAATGTCGCATCATAGCTCTCCGGCACCAGGATAGGAGAGCGCGATCGAATATCTCATTGTCATGTTCTGCAGGTGAGCCAAGCTTTCTGACAAGCATAGCACGGTTGAGTGGTGATATTGTATATCATATATGACTTCCGATCAGTTCACTGATGCCGCTGATGAACACTGCACAGCTGACAGTGACATCATTGACACGCAAGCTAGCAATGGCAACAGAAGAGACTATTTGATCAATATCACAGCCTGCTGGGGACCTCATCGCTCGCTCGCAAGTGCTGCGGTATTAATGTGGCACGCTTCGAAGAGCACAGGTTATTACGGCGCTCGATCATAAACGTGCTCGCCCCCGTCACGCATGTCGTGATCCCAGGGCATCCTATGTTCCTTGCGCCATGTTTCGGATGGTCTGATGGACTCGAGTCATCCTATAACAGGAGCTGCGAGGGATATTGACTGCTGATCTGTCCCTCTCTTCCTTTCCCATGCAACTCACACTCACTCGAGAATCGCCCACGAATAGTGTCTACCGGGACCAAGATGGGAGGCCCATCTATCGGGTGGAAACACCGCCCAAATCGGTGGGCATGACCAGCACGATCACGCGCTTTGTGTCCAACTCCAGTAGTTCGCACGATGAATCCATGACCCCCGCTCGCAGTGACACCGAATCAGAAACGGACATTCATCTTATGCGATTGGAGGAGGAGGGAGTTGCGCAGATTCTCTGGCGTACGTTCTCGGGGACCTCGTTCAAATTTGGCGAACGCACCGTCTTGGCGGGGACATACCTCCCCCGAATGGGTTCTCTTGGATGGTAACGACGTTATCATCTGAACAATGAGTTCCATCTCAACTCAGCTTTGACTTTTGGATTACACAGGAAACGCAGGCATAGAACCTTCACTGCCTCGGACGGCCGTTCATATAAGTGGAGGTTGGGAAATAATACCTCTTCCGTGAGCCATGACTTCACCCGACGACGAATCCTGGGAGCTGAGCGAACTTGGCAGTTGACGCTCAATGATGAAAGGAAGATTGCAGTTGCCCGTTTCCATCAACGCTCATATGGCGTCGTTGGGAAGAGCCACAAGGCATCTCTCGAGATCTATCCGCAAGGCGAAGCTATCGTCGATGAGATTCTCACCACATTCGTATACGTCGAGACGCGGAGAAAGCAGGAAAACGGGGAGGCGATGGTGATATGACCAGTCAGAGTTGACAAGGAGCTGTATTATTGGTATCTGCCGTTTAAGAATATGCTCAGTCTGTAAATTACCACTCAGTGCGTCTCTTTCCCCGTCTTGCTCTTCGTTATCCTTGAACGCGTTCTCAGCCATCTGCAAGTCACGCAGAAGAACACGAGGCTCGCATGTGCGTGTGTTTCTTTTCTCCCTCGGTGTCGTGCTGATCTTATTCATGGGCCTCGTGTGCACATCCTGTAGTTTGTATAGTGTATCTGAAAGGCCAAGAAAGTGAGTAGTCGACAGACGGACGATTCTAACTATGGCTCGGCTCGGCTCGGTCCATGGGAATATAATACGTATCAGGATATGGGTGTTTGAGTCCGTGGATAGTAAATACAGTGAACGCAAGTGCTGTAGTGAACAAGATCCTGTGTAGGTTGATTTCTGATCACGGTTAACATTCATCTAGAATGAAATAATGAGGCGATGTCTAGATCGTATGCCTTGCCCACGGCTCGGTGTTCAGTGTGTAAACAATTGGCACAGACGGAAGTCATTGTCGTGCAGAACTCGGGTACGCATACGATTATCACACGACAATCCGCGTAGAACGATGAGCAGACTATGCTGCGCTCAAGCCTTTGCCTGGTATATATCTACGCTCTTGACCTCCCAATCTACATAGGCAATGCACTCAGTGCCACGCAACAGGCCATACACACGTCAACGAACTCACAGGCTTGCTCCAATGCCGCCCCGTTGGCCCTTACGAAGTCCTCACACGTAGACACGCCAGTGCGTTGCGCGCAACTTTGCGCCTGCCCCGGGGAACCCGCCGTAGCCCACACAGCATTGCCCAAATCACCGCTGAAAAGAGTTATGAAGTCAAACCCCTGCATTTGGCCAAAGGGATAAAAAAAGAATACCAGAGCGTGGTGTCGAACACGACAGCTTGGTCTTGGAAGAACTGTGATGGATTGCACGTACTTGCGGGCCATTTGGCCATCGGCAATCCCCAATTCTCTGGCACGGGATTTCCGCCTGAGATATCTGACGGTATTGCATTCCTCGGGAAGAAGTATACGGAGATGCCGTCGTCATCCCACTGCACTGCACGACCATCAGGAATGTGTGGCTACGTTGGGAGTTTGTAGACTACCCACTAGCATGAACTCCACCCCCGTTGGAGTTGAAGGCAGCGCCGAACGAGTTACTCTGCGAGGCAAGAAACCCGCAGCCCTCGTTGTTCGTCTCCAACGCGGCGCAATTGGTCCCGCCAACTATACTGCCTGTGATGCCGAGGGCGCTGCTGTTTGACGTCGGAAGGGTACAGCCATTATCAGTGTGGATCGTCGCTTGATTGTTCGTGTAATCGTTCACGCCTTCCACGATGTCGATTTCGCCGGTGACGGGCCACGTAGGTCCTGGGCGAAGTAACATCTGGATTTCTTTAACAAAGCAGAGATCATCTGGTGAGCTTACCATTTGTCCAAAATGCTCTATGCACAAGCAATGGTGAAGTCTTGGTGAGGCAGGGAACCTACGATTTGAACAGAGAGACAACAGACACTCACGGCCAAGTACCACATCCAGTGGGCATATGGACGGAGTCCAATATAACCAGTCCACTATTGAAAGAGAATTGTGATTGTATGCGTATAGACATGCGGTTTCCTGTCACTTGTGGAGTCGTTTCTACTCGCATGATAGCGTTTCCAGCGCTATTGATTGACGAAAGGTTGTTCGATAACTAGAGGAAATAGATAACAGTTCAGCATCCGCATGTATTCCTCGAGCCTTGAGGCCAATGAGACGACAAGCTTCAAGCTTCTGGAAATACTTACTGCAGCTGCTTCAGTAACATATTGAACGATGCCGTGCGTGGATCCAGAGTCATCGCCTGAGAAGAAACCCCACCCATCGAAAAAGCTACTGCCCGACTGAACAAAACTGAAATCAGAGCGGACTCAACACGTGCGCACTCGCACGCGATGCAATTTGCTTCTGGGTCCTCGTTACACTCACATAAGACTGAGCCAGAGACCACCTCGAAGACGATGAGGGCAAAGCAGCCGAAGCAGTCGCACTGGCGGTAGAGGTGCCGCTGCCACCAGCGGGGGTCGTCGCCGTCCCGTTGCCTCCAGTTGCAAGCCCAGGGCTCCTAAGCTCGCAGATCGCCTGTCCCAAAGCACCGCCGGCGCGAGGACGGAGGCTAACTAGCCGGATAGGACTGGGATTAGGCTTGGACGACACGGACGCCACCCTACCCAGCTCCGAGAGCACGATGCGGAAGTCGCGTGCGAATGAGCTCGCGCGGCGCACAGCGGCGACGTCATGCAGGTGGCCCGCCGCGCGTCTGAGGATTCCGCCGTGGCCCGACCGCTGTCTCGCATCGACAGACAAAATGAGAACTTGACAGAAAGCGAGAAGCGGCAGAATGTGGATAGGGATGCGCATGATGCAGTGAGTCCTGGCGAGTCGTGTTGGTCATAAATTGGGAGCGAAAAAGTCGTGGTCAAGTCGTGAGGAGGTAGATCGAGAGAGGCTCCAGGCGCAGTCAGTAACGACGTCAATGCAGCTAGCTCGTCGTCGTCGAAAGCATGCAAAGCTCGGGGCCACCGTTAGGGCTAGATAACGAAACTGTCTTCAACGGAACCATGACAAAGGCGCTGCAGCGTGAGATACGAGCGAGGAAATTCGCGGTTCAGAGGCTTCTCCCGCTCCATCAGTGCATCAGTAGCTCATTGAACTTCAAGCGCTCGCAGGCGCTTGCCCGCAATTCCACATACAGCTGTACGTAGGTGATCATAGGCCTGCATTTACGACTGCTGGGTTCTTCTGTAGATCAGCCCCAAGCCCCATTAATAGCACACCTCCACAGATACTCGAATGAATCTCTGTAGATCTCTGTGCATCTCCGCAATCAGTGGTCCAGCGGTCAACAGTCGGTCAACGGTGAATGAATGATCTAGACCACTTCACCTGCAATCCTTGGGTGAACGTAGGGCCGCCGTGCAAAGGATGGTGATGCCGCCCTGGATCCTCCTGGATTGATAGCGATAGATCCGATGATCGACCAGGGCCAAATAAGTGCAACTGCCACCTTGCAACATCATCTTCTCGCTTATGCTAATCCAACAAGTGTGAACTCGGACAGAGATGTGGTTAACAAGACAGACAGAAACTCGGAAAAACATACATCAAAATTTAATTGTTCCACGCCTAACACATGTATGTATATACGTATCATGCCAACCTTTTCGAAAGCCCCAAACAATTCGAACACGAAATCAACACGGTCAGATGCGAATCGAAATACACGGGAATTGAACGTCTTCTGAACTCTCTCAACTGTAACCGCAACGTTCAAGCTCCCCCCCTCCTACAGAACAGACGTCATCGACAACACATACTCCCCCTCCCAGCGTCCCCTCACCGCTCCGAACTCTACCTCTCACTCAGCAAGAAGCAAAAAGTATAGGATCGATAGGATAGGATCAGGCGGGCTGTGGCCGGAATAGAGGATTACCGTAGAGATGAACAAGATGGGATAGGATTAAGGCCGCGATGTCGTCCCAATGGAGGAGTCGCGCGCAACGCATTTTTGGGTGGATGCAGAGATTGCAGAATTGAGGGAAGGCGATCGAGGAGGAGTAAGGGTTTGAACCATTGCGAGGCCGAACGAGCTTCTAAAACACTTGGATGGAAACAAAAAGTGAGGGACCGAGAAACCGGAGCGGAAAAAAAGAGCGTTTGTGCACTGTGCGCGATCGAGCGGTGCAGGCGTGGAGTTGTCGAAATGTGTACAAAAAGAACTAGAAGATATGGTGGATAAGGGAGCAACGCCGGCGGTATGCATGTATGTACAGTGCGCGACGTGCCCTCCAGGGGACAATGGCAGATGTTGGAAAAGATTTCGGAGCACTCGTGCTAGACTAGGGGAGTTGTGCTGTTTATATGTCGGGGCTGGGATGAGGTGTGGGGTATGCGTGTGCGCGATAGGATAAACACAATTGAACACTGTCAGTTCAAGGCGCCATTCGGCGTTAGCGATCAAGATCAGTTTTGTTGAGCGACAAAGAGAATACTCACAGCACCACCACAGACTTACACCCTGCCAAAAAGAAAGGAACACTGAAGAGAAAATATCGCCAAAAAGATGGCGCGCCTAGAACAAGAAAATATAATATACGAGAGCGCGACATGAGACGGATGGGGAAAAAATGGCGTCCGGCTCTCATCGCTCGTAAGAAAAGTAACGAGAACGCTAATACACACGTGAATAAGAGTCAAATAGCTTGCCAACAAACTGAATACCCGAGGTAAAGCCAGAAGAAGGAAGAAAAACACAGAAGTAGGAGGCGATGACGTGAGGCGTGCGTATGCAAATGCAATACGTGTGGATGTGTGCGACATTGCGACCAGCTATGAAGGGTGGAAAGGGAAAAATAAAACGGAGAAGTGGAATGGATATCTTAGCGATACTTGATACACTGGGAACATCCATAACAGGACGTTAAAAATGATAGAAGAAGTAGAAAATAAGTAATCTCGACACGCCTGAGAAGACGAATAGGATAGCGCGCGAGACGAGGAATAGATTACTGGAGTGGGAGAGTTCGTTGAGGCAAGGGAGTTGAGCGTGATACTAGTTCCAAAAGATCCAAGAACACAGGGCGAGGCCAGGCCAAACGATGTGCAATACGAGATAGTCGCGCTGGACAGGTGGGACGGGGTACACACTAGCCTCTGCGCAGGGCAACGAAGGCAGTAATGCCATCCCCGATAGATGTATAAATAAGCAGTTGAGGGGGAAGAGGTGGACAACCGGACGGAGATGGAGGCGAGGTAATATATATCGATGCGACAGCGACGAGACCACATTGAAGATTCAATGATTTCTGCGTTGTGATAGCTAGTCGTTGCGTCCGGTGCCGCTCTTTTGTTACAATCCTCGCGGGCGCCGGTCTAGATAGTCATGTGATGGCGCCCGGGGGCAAGTGATGCGAGAGCATGCGAGTGTGTCGATATAATGAAACAGTGGGAGGCGAAAGAGAGAGATAGAGAAAAGGGTCGAGAGAGACGACCAGAGACAAAAACATGGGGGGAAGTCGCAACCTTGAAGATGGTGGGGAAAGCGTAGTGAAGGGTAGAGGGTAATGCGAGATGGATGCGAGTGTTCCAATCGACGACCGTGGTATGAATATCGGTGCCGACCCCAATGAGGGCGAGGGTGTCCTGAGCGTGAACCATGACGGGGGTATGACCAGAGGAAGGTGAAGAGAAGTCGAAGGGGCCCAGATGAACCACGAGGAGAGTTGTAGACTGCGGGAATGAGGCAGCGACGACGATGGCCAAAATCGACGAAATAATGATATCGAAAAACGTCCAAAGCCACGGCGCAGTTGCGCCCAGGCCGATATGTACTATGAAAAGGCATTAATCGTCGAGGCCACAGGCAGTCATTTTGCGAAAATCATCTAAAAGCAGTTCATGGGACCCAAATGAGATCTGCGGGCGCAGGTCAATACTTTGAATGCGTGTGATATATCGGAAACTCACCTCTGCACATAAACGAGGCAATAAGTTTAGAACTTCAGACCAAACGCAGGGGGAGGTAAATCGTCAGGGCTCGGGGAGTTCTGGAAGTTCGAGCTCGCAAAGAAACCATGGCGTTCGTCCTTCTTTGTCGACTTGCCCGAGCCATTGGGAGTCGAGCTCGCAGAGGAGATGCGCTTGTTCGGCAATAATCCGACCAACGCCTTGAGCTCTTCCGCCGCGTCCGAAGAGCTGTCATCGTCCATGGACATGTTGAAAACGCCTTCGCTAGGAGAGCGTTGGTGCAGTCTCTTGCGATCGGGCGTAGGCGTCGAGGGGCTTCGCTGAGAGAAGGGGTAACCCGCAAGAGTTGATGTCAAGGGGGCCGTGCGGGGAGCGTCGTCGAAGACAAGGCTCTGCTGCCATGTAGTGGCCATGTGGCCCTTCTCGCGGACAGGTGTAGAAGGTGCATCATCCTCTGCATCTGTAAGGTCATCACAGACCGGGAAAGCATCCCATGCCACGTTGGAAGCAGCACTCCGTTTGAGGATAGGGCGGGCGGGCATCGACGACAGGACGGGATCCGAACGAGACAAATTCATGGCGCCGGTGGTGTGGGTGCGTGATTGATTCTTGCCACGCGGAACCGGCAGGGCTCTGGACGAGGGCGGAGTCGGGGTTCCGGGAACTTCCGAATGCGGCAGACGGCGGCGAGCGAGTTTACCCGAAGGCCTGGGGGTCAACTTCGGCGCTCGGACCAGCTGGGGTTTCGGCGCCGAGTCCGAGCCTGCGGTACGAGACGCTTCGGAGTCGCTATCTGAGCTGACAACGAAGGGGTCGAAGGAGTTGATGTTGGGGTTGCGAGAGCGGGAAAGAGCCGACGACGAGCGGGTGTTAGCATTGGACTTGGAAGAGAGTACCTCGGACTGCGGGTGCATTTGAGAGGGGAGGGGAGGAGACCCTTGATGGTGGGGATGCCGGCGCACATGTGTGCGAATAGAAGAGTGAGAAGCGCTCCTAAGAAGCGTAAAAACGCATACAAAGTCGCTAAGTTAGACAATGCCCGCTAGTGCGTCAATAGACAGCCAAAAAAAATGTTGCTGCACCTCTGAGATGTCTTCTCTTTCACAGGTTTGATGTTCTGGCGGCCGCGGCGTTCAGCTGCGGAGGGGGAAAGGTGAGAGCCGTCCGCTTTGAACGTAGTACTCTCCTTTCGGGGGAGAGCCTTCTTGGGGCCCTCGATGGGCTGCGTCTGGGCATGGATGGGCGCGGGGGAACGGGTGGTCGAGTTGGCAAGCTCGACCTTTGGTGCAGGGCGCTGGATGCGCTGTTGCTGCTGTCGATGATGGGGGCGTGGGAGGACGGGCTGCGGGGGCTTGGAAAGGGAGAGAAGGCCGGGTGTGCGGGTCGACTGAACAACGACGGCAGGGGGGGCGGACGGGTGTCTGCGGTGGGATGTTGGAGACGAGAGGAGGTGTATGGGTTTCTGCACCATGATCATGGCGAATTAGGAGGGAGACAGTGGGAGGGCGGGGGAGCAAAAATTATGGTTGTTGAGGGGGCGACACGATGGCAAGCGACGAGCGGGAGGGGGGCGAAGGAGTAGCAGCAGGGGAGCGACTTGGACAGTAAAATGGATGAGGGGGAAACGGGCAACGTGGGGCGACTGATTTTGTATGACCGGGCGGCAGTGCTCGGTGGCTGACGTTGGAACTCCGCCTCGCAGCCTGGTACTCCGCCTAAACAGGAAAGATCGCGATTGCGCCCTACCGCTTGGGGAGACCGTCGCTGGGAAGCCGGACCAAATGACCTTACACGAGGCCTCGAAGATACGATCCGCCCAAAACTCAATCCAAAGCGCCCCAGCCAGCACCCAGCCTTGACGTGCCCGTCTCCACACTCGTACAAACCGCCCCTTATCTGCGGCTTCCCGGTTCGAAGTGACGAGAACACTCCCACACAACACTATGACAATGCCGACGTACTCCGCGCCGACCTTTGAGACAATGCGCACACCTGTCGTCCGCGACGTCGTGCGCAGACCAACGGTCTGAGCACATCAATACCCTCATTCTAGGATAATAGTGCACGCTGCTAGCGCTCGGCTACGTTCACTGTATTGTTCTTGTGAAGTGGTCTGTGCGTCCTTCACATGCGATGCATGCCTGGGCCTGGTTCTTCCGAAAAGAAGCGCCAGCGACTACTTGCAGCAGACTACACCAGCAGCATGAATCAGACTTCTGAGGGGAATTCCGCTTCCGCTCTTGTCCAGATACACCCAGAACTCACAGCTTCCGGGCGCAAACCAGCAGGAATAGATGTGTTATGACGCACATGCTAATATCATGCACAGGGGCACAACCAGGCTCCCCTAGACCCCTAGTTGGTCCGAGGCCAAATTTCCCCACTGCCTCTATCAAACTTCCGATCTCCTCATGGCTTACCACAAGGACCAAGTGCACTGGCACATGCCCATTTTACAGCTCAGCGCCGTTCGACGTGAAATATGGAGAAACGTAGCATGTTGTTCACGAAGGCCTTGTACTGTAAACGATGAGAAGCAGAAGCATACGAGCACGTCAAGCACAATGGCAAAGTCCCATTCTCCGTCGGCTCTAGGCTCACGCGAGGAGCATCTTGCGCGGATCCTCGATGTACTCCTTCACTTTCACTGCGCACGTCAAACGCCAATCATGCCCAAGCCGCAAATCACAATTCGGCCAAGAGTACGTGGCCAAGGAATGCGGGGAAAGGGGGCGTTGCGGGCAGGACGATAAGCCCGATCAATATTGGCCTAGGAACGAACAATAAACCAAACACGTACCGAGGAAAGTGACAGCTTCTCGACCATCCAACAGCCGATGATCATACGTAAGCGCGACAACCATGATGGGCCGCACGACGATCTGGCCGTTCACCACGACGGGACGCTCCTTGATCGCGTGCATGCCTATGGGGACGAGGAACCGCAACGATTACCGTAAGCGGGTGCGCGGGAGACGGCAGTTGTGCACAGGTGGAAGAAAATAGGGGGTTCGCATTGTTGACAGAATCAAACGACCAGGGGTGTTGTACGTACCGAGGACAGCAGCTTGCGGCAAGTTGATGATGGGAGTCCCGTATAGAGACCCGAATACACCGCCATTGGAACTGAGAGTCGGTCCCAGGTGAGTATCCTACAGATCAATGCACAGGAAACAGATACGCACATGGTGAATGACCCTCCAGCCATATCCTCTAGCGTGAGCTTGCCATCCCTCGCCTATTCGCATCACATTCACGATTTCACGAAAAATGCGCAGCGTACATCACAGTCAATCAGCCGATCGCTTGATCGCACACACACAAAACGTCTGGAAGACATACCTTCTTGCCTAGGGAAGCGATCTCCCGCTCAATGTCGACGAACGACATCCCCTCCGCATTCCTCAGGACAGGGGTGACCAGGCCCTTCGGTGTAGCGACGGCAACACTTAGGTCAACATAGTCACGATACACGATCTCATCTCCCTGCAGCCGCGCCGATCACACACAAAGTCGATAGCCGAACAATTCGCGATTAACACGACAAAACCATCAGGAGACCACGCCTAGACAAGGCGATAAGCACACGCACCTCGATCGACGCGTTCGCGGCAGGAATTTCCTTGAGTGCAAGACACGATGCATGCGCAAATGCACTCATGAATCCTAGCTTGACGCCGTGTGCGTCGAGGACTTCGTCTTTGTACTTCTTCCGCATCTCCATCAGCGATGACATGTCGATCTCGTTAAACGTTGTGAGCGACGCGGCGGCGTTCTGCGACTCTTTCAGGCGCTCCGCGATGCGCAGCCGCATGCGGCTCATCTTGACCTGGTATGGCGCAAAGACTCCAGATTAACAAAGGCAGAGCCAAAGGCACACAAGACGTACTCGGGTCTCATTGCGGCTGCCTGCAACTTGCGGAGGGGAAGCTTTCTGCTCTTTCGAAGGTTTTGAGGTCTCCTTCAGCTCCTTCTTGCTATCCTTCTTCTGTCCCTCTGTCGGCACACCGCCTTGCACGCCACCGGACGGGGGCGGGGGAGGTGGCGTCTGCTTGTTCAGTTGCTGGTCAGCAGGCTCTGCGGCGTCTTTCGTCTCCTTTGGGAGGTCTTTGGGGGACTCGGACGATGAAGGAGAGGGTGTGGGGTCTATCGGCGCTGGCAAAGGTAAAAAAACATCATTGACAGATGAAAGAAAGGCCAAGATTAGAGAGCACGAACGTACCATCGCCAGCGGCGCCAGGCTCAAAACGGAAGAGATCCTGACCGACGCTAACCGTGTCCTCTTCGTTCGCGAGAAACTCCGTGATCTTGCCGGCCGCGGGAGCGTTCACGGAGACGTCGATCTAGCGTACCGGGGAGAAACGGGTTCTGTTGGTTCACACAGACTCAGAATTTCGAGCAAACTCGGTCTGCACACCTTGTCTGTCTCAATGGTTGCAACCTCCTCATCCGCCTCAACGGATTCGCCAACTTTCTTTAGCCACGACTTGAGCGTGCCCTCTGAGATGGACTCGGCCATCTGGGGCACTTTCACAGTCTCGGCTAGAGACAGTCGGTAAATTCATTCAAGCGCGCGGTGCGGGCAAGGCGTGGGTGTGCATCGTTGGTTGCGAGCAGACAGGAATAGGCGAGAGAAGAAAGCATCAACCACGCCGTGGATAATTTCATTGCACTGAGTGACGTACCCTGCAAAAGATTCGTGGTGTGGAATTTTGAGCGTCTCGTGTGTGGAGCAGCGATATCCCTGCGTAAAAATAAAATTGCAGCACGAGCATTGTGGACGAGCACGCAGTCAGTGCATCGTGATGATGCGAGCACGCTGGCAGGACGCACCAGCCTCGCGACAGCGCGATAGGGCTCACGGTTGCACTCCTCGAGAGCACAGCACGCCCCCGGGCGAGTGCGATTACGCGTTTTGACAGCATTGCAGCCAAAGGCGATGGAGGATAAAGAGAGGGAGTGGAGTGGAGAAGGTCGGAGGAGAGTGTTTGATGACGATGTCTGTTGCAGACTGTCTTCGGGTGGGCTCCGGCCCTTCTGTTTGTCGCGATTTGGACACGACGGGGGCAGTGACGGCGCACACTCGGACAGCGGCCTTTCTTTCCTCCAATCTCTGCTTGCCCCGGCTTCTCTTTCTCTCTCGCTTTGCCGCATGCTTCGCACGAAGGCCGTCCAGGTTTCAGAGTCTCTGTTCATTTTCGGGCGACGAGGTCGACGAGGGTCGACTCGAACCAATCATAGCCTGGCACTTTGGCATGTGCTCCTCGTATCACGTGTGAAAAGCACGATCGCGTCGGGGGCGTGTCGGACATCGACGACGGCGCGAATTCTCGTCAGCAAAGCCGTTCCCGTCACCAGATTGAAATGGATACAGTACTTGGAGTAATCCTATTGACGCGCGACGACGAAGGTAGGCAGATAAACGATAGGGCTACAAATGTCCAATGTACAGCGAATAATGGTTAGTGTGTACAGTATACCGATTCAATCGTTGGGGATGGTTTGAGACACCTCCATCGTCACGGAAAGGTCAAGATGAACTCCTTCATTGCCGCCTCCCAGCTACACTGTGACAGCGCCCCCTCGTCGTCCGTCGCCCGCCCACCGCAGGACTTCTCTAACAGCAGAGCCACCTGGGCCATGATATTCTTGAACCCCTCTTTCACGTTCTCCTCCCGCTTTCGCACATATGGCAAGTTCCTCAGCATGATCTCCGCATCCTCCCCTGCCTCCGCATCGACGCCCTTCTCAGCGCTAGCCTTCGTCTGTGTGTCTACCCTCGCGCCCGCCGTCCACGGCGCAACAGGATGCCCGAATCGATACCACCGTACCATCCGGCGCATCGTCGCCGCCTTCATCACCGCGCTTTCGACCTTTTCGTAGCTCTGGGATCCGGGCGCCGCCAGGTCCGCCAAAAGCGCGCGCGTCTGGTTGTATGCGATGTACCGCAGCTTCGGATAGAAGTGCACGAGCGAGCCGGGCGTGCCGCAGACGACGGGGCAGTCGGGGTTCGGGCATCCAGGCGGGTCGACGCCGTTGCGCTGACACTTGCCATGGAAGTACGAAGGGAATATGGCGGTCTCCATGGCTGTGTACGACCTGCTCTTGTAGGTGTCGAGAATGGGTCTGAGGTAAGACAGGGTCTGGGCGGTGCTTGGATGCTGTGGGAGTAGCTTCTGTGATATTTGTTGCGACTGAAGAGGGGGAGGAAGGGATCAGCAGTTGTGGGTGATACAGAAGCGTAGTATGTTCACAATGCTCTCAAAGACGGTCTGGATGTGCTCGGTATAGTTACCGAGGAACGCATTCGTGATCTGGACGATGCATTCGCCTTCACATGCGCTGACGGCGACCGGCGCTGCAAAGAGAAGGAGAGAGACGAAAGACGTATGCATCAAGATCTCTATAAACCAGATAGAGTAAAATGCACAGCGGCGGGAAAGGTTTCACAGGATGGGAGATGGAGAACAATGTCAGTCGTGTGCGATACGCGGGTACGCGTCTCAGTTGCCAAACAAACAACACCAGACGCTCCAGCGGCACGTGAGTCCCAAAGTTCCAGGTTGACAAGTGTAGATGTTGCCAGAGGGCAAAGACATAAGTATCATGATCGTACCCGGTGAAATCGGAAATAAGTCTTATCGAGAGGACCTGGAGCGTTTTCATAGAGAACTCTGCCGCCAAACACTTATGACGCTGAAGCATTGCGTGAAGCTAATTTGAGGGTCGTAACAACCAGATGCGTGGAGCGCAGGTGACAGTGTTCGTCTTGGGGGCACTGAGAAATAGTGAAGTACCATGCCAGCTTGTTCATTTGCTTTGACAGCACAATACACAGAAAGCGATCTGGAAACACCGTGTTCAGAACATTAAAGATTAATTACAAACTTCGAATTCTGCAATGAATAATTGTCGAGCATCGCAGTGACGAAGATTACGACTACGTACCGGAACATTGTTAGAACTTGAAGCCGCCAGCCAGACCCATGACGTTATTAGGGTCATACCTCTGCTTGATAGCATGTAGCCTCTCGATGTGGGAGCCGTACATGGCCTGGAGCGGCGTGTCTGCTGGTACGATGTTCGGATACAATGATGCCCCCGTGAGATTCTGCCCCTCCGCAATGGCAACTCTAGCCAGGCGGTCACCGCCAGCCTGCAAGCCAGCCAAGATGCTCTTGTCGGCACCAGCATCGTCCCACAAAGCCCAGCTGTTGATCGGTGCATGGAATGAAGAGCGGTCCGCAGGCCAAGCGGACTCTAGACCGTGTGATAGGTAGTCAGGAAGGTTTTGCCAGATCATGAACATGACCAGAGTTGCGGAGAGGGGTTCCAGAGCCTGCCCTACAAACTAGCAATGAGCGACGAAGTAAGCGTCGCGCTACAAGATTAAATTAGACCGGTCTGTACATACCGCAGTCTCGTTTGCGATGGAATCCAAAAATGACTTCGAGAAGCTTTGAACTTCGGTATCGTCAAAGGCAAAGCTGCAGACGAATAAGGATCATCAACGGAACACGCAAAAGAAACGGACAAGCTTACCGAGTACCCGATGCGGTAGGACTTCCAAAGTTTAGCATCTGTATAAAGTCGAGTGTGGCAGGAGTGCCGTGCAGCTTCGGAATAGCCAAAATTTCGTCGAAGATGCCAGCTGGTGGACTCGGACCATCGTAGAAGACAGTAATCTCGAAGCTCAACTGATGTAGATCGGTACAAGGCCCCGATGCACAATATCGAGACAGCCACTCACGGTAGAGTTCAGATACCTATATTGTGTGACAATGGTAGCCTTCGGGTCGGTTGTTTTTGAGAAAAAATTCGCGACGGCAGTATTGAGAGCGTTCTGCGACTCTCCCGGAATGAGTAGCTCCCCGGCCTGGAGGAAGACGAGTAAGAAGTGAATTGGATCAAAAAGGGAGAAATTCTGACGCGTCCTCACCCATATTTTACCAAGTTCGTACGTTCGGAACGAGAACTTGGTCACGATTCCCTGTCAAAGAACAAAATACTCCATTGGTCAGATTCATTGAGTCTGTGCGACACTCACAAAGTTATTATAGCCACCCTTCATAGGTTGTCAGCAAGTAGGTTTGATGGGCAGGCAAAAACTCACCTTTAGGGCAAAGAAAAGATCTTCGTTTGCCTCCGTCACTGTCGTGACAGTTCCGTTCGGCAACACGAGTTCATATGCGACCACACTATCAATAGTCTCCCCGTACTGATTTGACCACCAATTCACTCCTGTAATATGAGGATAACAAATTAGAGGTAATGGACAGTCATGCGAGTATCGTACCGCCTCCTAAAGTTTGACCTGCAACGCCAACGCCGGCCGCTCTGGCTCCGCACACGGTACGATTGATTGCATTCAAGGTTGTGTAGACAGTTTCCCAACGGACCCCCGCGCCAATGTCGACTGCCAAGGTCTCTTCACTATACAAGATTTCGGAGAATCTCGTCATAGCGATTTGGACGCCAGTTGTTGAAGAGAAGCCAAGGTTCGAGGAATGACCGCCACCTTTCACCTGGGGGCATCATTATGCTAATGCCTGACCCTCTATTCACCATTCCGATGTACTCACTGCAAAGGGTATCCGATTTTGCCCCAACAATCGCAACTAAATTCCACGAGATGGTCACGACGACCAAGTTGTAAAGAAGAAGAAAAACTCACAATGACTGCGACATCGGAAACACTGCCAGGCTCAACGGAACATGTTGCGTTCTGGCTACTCGACACCATAAAATGCTCTACATCATTAGTATAATTGGTCGACCCTGGAGTCAATGGCATCAGCAGGCTGCGCGATACGTTCTCGTCTCAGTCTTACCAGGATAATATACGCTCGATTCGGGGGAAATAGCATCGGCGATGGCATGGCAAGTGCCTACAATTGAAGGCGGATTCGAGTCAGCTTTAACGAAGCTATTTAAAACGACGACGATCAGCCAAGACGAGCAGAGGATGTTCCCAGGCGACATAGTATTTTAGAAACTTCACCTTGATCTCTCCGCTTTTAAGGTACTCCGTCAGAATGCAGACGCCGACCAGCATCATCAAGCTAGTCACGACCAATGCCTCGCACATCACAATGCCCCATTTAGCGCAGTGCTTACTATCGTACCGTCTCCAAGTCGACTGTACCCTGGGACTATCAAAAGGCGGATTTAGACGGCATATCAGCGCTGACTGAGGCGTTATAATGTGCGGGCTCGAGTTGTGTACCTTGGAACTGACAAACTGGTCAATGTCGAGGCACTGATGATATGAAGGAATGATTTGGCTTACCGCGTCGCAAGTGCCACACATATGAAGCTGCATTCGTCAACTCTCCCATGAACATATTTCATGAACGTCATGCTTACCTCGTCAGCTGCCACTATTTAGCATCTGTGATAGAAATAGAGTAGCATGATGGTTCACTGGTGTTCCAGACCTTTTCGACCACATAGCGCACGCCTTCGCAGGAGAAGAGAGCAGCCAACACAATGGTACAGCAGAGACTGGCAATCAGGGCATCGGCTGGTAGGTATAATCCCAGCCATAGAGCCCATGAAACAGGGACATGCATTGATACGTCATGTTGCGCGAAAGGTAGACATGTGCTATTATAAGACCAGTCAGTGACAGCGGTATCAACGCAATGTCAGCACTATGAATACATAAACGCTGCTCCGATGACGAAGTTCACACTTACACGAGATTCAGGCAAGCCTTGTGCTTGAGAGCTTGAGATTGGACGGATGCTTTTCAAGGACAGGTGGAACGAACATAACTTATATCACTCTTTTGGGCGCTCCATGATTTCGTAGGCACTGGGGCGCGCGTTGGGTGTCTGTATGCGGGTCCAATGAGTGCGATATTGTCCAACAGCCATGACTGAACCGAGATGTTCAAGTCCAGAGGTCTGCAGTGACAGATATTCGGAGATTACATTGGAGGTTGAAGGAGAATCGCTTACGTTGCTGGCTTTGGGAAACTACTAATACGACAGTGCCTGCATGAGTTTACAGGAGTCACGCCGCTGCTCGTCATCTCACGCCCGCACTTGGCCGAGGAATTTCACCCTGGAAATTTGGAGCTTTGCTTCAGTGTTTCTGACCGCACACGCTGTGTATCTTCTAAATGATTGCTTGTTGCACATACCAAAATCTCAGTGTATGTAATAAATAGAAACCTGGTATTTTGGCAAAGATTTTGGCAAATGACCACACCAGCCTCGAGCGCAGTATATGATTGATCATGAGGAGAGTACCAACATAGGAAAACTGTATCGACGAGCAGTAGCAGAAACGAGGCAAGGAAGAATGGTGTGCAAGACTAGAATAATACAAATTTACATAACCCGAAATAGCAGAGTCCGCAGAGAAACACTTCAAGCCGCTGTCACAGCGGGGGCCGTAGTGCCATTGCTGGCGGTGTAGTCCTATGCCTCCATGAGTATGCTGGAATAAGAGAGCTACGGTCCACAAACCTCCATCTCAGCATCGAGATCAGCAACGCTTTTCGGAGGTCGTTCGTTCCTACGACCTCCACGACGAGCTCCGCCTCGTGCGCCACCCCTACCAACGACACCGCGCCTACAAGGAGGAATATAAGCCATCGAATTGCGACCACATAGCGGCCACCGACACGGACCTAGCGGGGGCAGAGGCAGCGACAGGCGCAGCCGCAGCCGCAGGTGGTGGGGCCACACGGGATGCGAGAGACGGAGCAGGAGGAAGTTTGGATGGGTCGACGACGACCTCGATCTTCATCGGGCGTTCTAGCGGAAGAGGCGGAGGGCGGAGACGACAAAGCGGTGATGGGAGAAAGCAGAGAGCATTGGTCAGTCGGGCGTTCAGAGTATGGGCGAGGCAAGAGCAGAAAAGACGACGAAATGAGAACGAGCCAATCTGTCGAAGAACAGGTCCAGCGTTGCTTCCAAACCAAAGCCGCGATCGTGCGGACAACCTTGTTGAAGCCCCTTTTCTCGAGATCGGTGATGCCAATGCGTCGCCGTCCACGGTCGGCCCATAGCGAACGTGGCATCGCAGAAGTCGTCACTCCGGACGTCCCAAACGTAACCTCCTCCAGAACCCTCCCTTCGCTACCACTACATCCCCCACTTCAAAACCATGCTCGGCTCAACCGGCCTACTGGCAGGGAGCCCCTGCAAGGTTTCGCCTCTGTCTCTTCAGCAGACCTCAACAGCTCACGAGGGTGATCAGACCTGTGAGGCTGTGTGTCGTGTACGAAGGTGCGACGACAGGATATCCATTTGACTTCGCGGCGGAACAGCACGCGAAATGGATAGGGGTGGAACGCAATGGAAATGTCGCACATGCTCCAACGGTATCAGGATTGGGGGAGTACGAAGGGAGTCGAGCCCATTGACGAACGATGAACGACCGGCACGGTAGGAAGCAACGAGCCGTCAGGGACTGCACATCGAAGAGGAAAAGGTGTGCGCGTCCGGTTGACGGATAGGCTATAAGGAGGAAGATTGAAAGTGAATGTAGCCGATACTAACTTCCATCGATGAGGCGATTGTTGTATTGCTGGTATGCCTTGCTGCCGTCTCCCTTTCTCGAGAAATGTACGGAGGCAACGCCTTTGGAACGGCCGGCGCTGTCATAGTGAAGAGTGACCTCGCGCAGGGGGCCGACGGTAGTCTGGAAGAGTTCCTACAACGTGGTAAAACTGTGTGAGCGAAAAACTAACACAGAATGATCGTTGAAACTGACCTTAATTTGAACCTCGTTCACGTCTTGTGGAAGGTTGGAGACGATAATTTTGTCCGCAGGCTGGGTGGCGATGCTAACAGGCTTCGTGCCGTTGGCAGCGGCTGCGTGAGGGACAATGCGGGCGCGAGCGGCAGGGGGTGTGCCAGCGGAACCGAGCAGCTGTTGACGTGCAGTTTTGCGGACAGCGGTGCGACGGATGGCCTTGGGGCGGGTGGAGATGATCTACGCGTTGGTGGTAAATAATGATGATATTACTTAAGGACATGGCAGATAGCGACAGAAAGAGACACAGACCTCGTCGAGGGACTTGTCCATTGCGGCTGAAGTCGAAGAGTATGCGCTGAGAGAGTGGGGACGAAGGTGGGTTGATGAGGAGGGAACCAAGGAGGGGGTGGAAAACAAGCATCGCTCGCGTCGTGTTCTTTTATTTGGTCTCGTCGGAGTTGGAAGTTGCCGTCAACCTTGTACACAGGACACCGTTTCCGCTCCTCTCGTTGCTTTTTCTCCCTCTTGCATCAACTAGTCCATTATTATGTCGAGGGGCGGTCGCGGTGGCCGCGGTGGAGGTCGTGGTGGATTTGGAGGGGGTGGCAGGGGAGGATTTGGCGCTGGCAACCTCCCACCGATGGGGTTAACCTTTGCAGATATTCAATCCATGTCTCGAGAGCAGAGTGCATTGTACCCTGTACGTGTATCGTGTCTCCAAAGATAAGAAAATACATGCTCAAACGCACTGCACGACTCTGTAGGCTGTGGAAGTGCTCCCCGTGCTCACCGAATACTCGGACGCGGAAAAAGCCATATGTGAGCGGCAAATTGGGTTTGCGATCCGCCTTAAAACGTCTCGGTACTATATTACTGAACATACAAAATCAACAGGTGAATAAACCTCTTCGTTCTCGCGCGCTGCCCAGCGCTGATGAATGTTCGCAGAACTGGAACGATATTCCGATAAATATCGTCCATCCACTGGTACGAGACCCACGCTGAAGCGTAAAGAGCTCCACCAGCCTTTCTTTCCCCAAGACGTGTTCGAGGGATACTTCAATCCAAAGAAGAGACGAAAAGGTAACACTTTATCTTTTCGATGTTATCAGCTCAGATCGTGATGAGTTTCATTTTAGGCATTGAGAAGAAGTCTTCTTCGAAACGCGTCAACCTCGACGATCTCGGAGATGACCTCGACGACCCGGATAAGTCTGATGCGGACCGTTCAGACGTCGGCTCGCAAGCAGCCGAAGAAGATTATGATGTTGACGAGGAGTATGACAACGACTATGCAGAGAACTACTTCGACAATGGGGAGGGAGATGATATGGATGATCTCGGGGGTGGAGGTGGAGGCGATGAAGGTGGAGGTACGTCTTTCTCGTGCTGAAAACGTCTAGGTCTAGACTCTCTAACTGTCCTTATTTAGGGTTGGACTATGATTGAAGTGTATGTGCAGATATGTGCAGATTATCCTCGTGATCTTTGCCTTGTTTTTATTCATTTATTCAGAGAGTTCATCGAACGCAGTTGTTTTTCCAAGATCAACATAACTTAGGCATTTGAAGCAATACTGTACTATGATATTGGTCTAAATCATATCCGTGATCCGGAATACCTCCAGGTTTCCAGTCAGCGTCTACATGCGCTCCCTCCACACAGAATTGCTAATCATGAGGACACGCATGAATGAACAATTCGCATTCATACACACACAAACCCAAGAAATCAAGCATATTGTACAATCGTGTAGCTCGTAGGATTCGTAGCACAGGCACTCTAAGTACTCCAACATAACACGCTGAATGGATCTTACAGTCAACACATGCAAATATTTTTCACGCCCTGTGTTGGTAAACAGTCGTTTCAACCTTGATACCACTAGCTTCGCTGTCTGGATCCTATTTAAGTCAGCGTCACACGATGGTAAAAAATAATGAAGGTTCGAGCAACGCACTGCCGGCTGCATGTCTTGCGTATTGTAGCTTGTAAACTGGTGATCGTCTCTCGAGAGCACGACATGCATCAGGTCAGGCTGGCGACCAGATGAGTGTCAGTACGAATTGGTGCATTACAGCATAGTACGAAGCAGGCAGTGACCTTTCTGAAGCCAAAGCCCGACCGTAGGGCAAAAGCCGGGCTCAGTGCGATGCTGTTGCTTCCCGAGTAATTTGACGAATCATCCCCACGCATGAAATCACGGATATTGAGCCTGCGGTGCAGGGCTCCGGTCAGTCATTCCATCGATCACGATGAGAAGGCGACACACGTACGAGGCGAGGACTGAGTTGGAGCATACTGCGCGTTAGGATATGAGGGGAGTGAGCGGATAGTGGACGGGGAAGCTCGACGACTCGACGCACGTTTTCCGAGCATAAAGTGAAACACGGCCCAGTAGAGCTTGTCATTATATACAAAAAACTGTCGAATGTCTCCCGTCAAGACTACACGGATGCAACTATGCAGGAAATCGCGATAGACAGCTCACCACAATCGTATACAAAATCTGGACAATGCTGTCGACCCATCAGTCGAAAAAATATCTGTTGATTGGTAGGTAGGTAAAGTGCTTGGCGTACCTCATGATAAGCCCGCGCGACGCAGCGAATACAATCAACCTGTAAAGCATGCTGTCTGTCCTGTCGTCCAACATGTCGGCATTTGAGTCATATGACGCGCGCCCATGGACGCACCTGTCCATGCCTGTCTGGCGTGTCTTGAACATGTAGCACATGATGCCTGCGATCACGACCTCGACCAGCGTCGAGAGTGCCTTTTGAGCAATATTTACGTGCTTATGAAACAGATGAGCATATAGCTTACACCAATGCAAGAATCTGAAAGCACTCACGTTGATGGTAATGGAGGTGATAGTATTGATTTTGAACCTAAAAAAGGCATCCGAAAGAAAGTCGCATAGTGGATCAATTCTTCCTATTTTTTGGAGTGCGCGACGTGAGCGAGCGAATGTACACTATACCGGTCATCGCTGCATCGAGGCGTGTGCAACGATCAGAAATACTGACATAAATGAGCTATACAGTACAAAACGCTCACTCAATCCCAGTGCTACCGCCGTTCATGCCAGCACGCGAAGGGCGATCCATCAGTTCATGGCCATAGCGAGCAGACGAAGGAAGCTGGAGCACTTCTTACTTACCCCATGCAGTCAACGCCAGGACAACCTATACGTCAAGAATGATGCCGCGTTGGTAAAGTGCAGGTCATGAAGAATAGCCAGACTGACCATAGTAATACCAACTATTATACTGCGATTTGTCACTGCATAGCAAAAATCAGTTAATTGCAGAATCTTGGAATGTAAGAAACTACAGAGGTAGATTTTCTCGATAAAAAACCTTGTTGACACTGTCTCTGTAAGCGAAATCATGGATAGGAAATGACTGTGAACTTACAGCTGTGCGATAAATGCGACAGTATACTGCGCCCAGCACAAATATATGTGAAGGACACCATATGAAAACAAGGTGGGGCGAGAGAGAGGAGGGAAGGCGCACTGTGAAGCCAGGTTCGAGCTGCAAGGGACGAAACGATTGAATATCAATTTGTGGGAAGACAGTTGGTGGTTTCTCGAAACAGACGCGCCTTCAATGCCCTGTAGTCGAGATCAAATTTCTCAAGTCAAAGGCAATCGAAGCGCGATACAACGAGAAGACGCACCAAGATAGCTCCGCGAACGCAGCAGGGTTGTCATAGTTGACGACGAAGTAAAACCAGGTGGTGTACATCTCAAGGAGCCAAGTCATAGTGTCCATGATACTGGAGTCCTAGCATGAGCTGGTATATATAGTAGTCGAAGTATCGGTACTCACCACAAGACAATAACCTAGTTAAAACTCGATACGTCAGTCAAAGAGATCTTGGTCCTGCGTCCATTGATGAAGCTAATTCTCTCAAAAGCACTTCCCAGATATTTTGAAATGATTGGGAACGGCATCGGCGTATCCGACAGAGCGAGTAATTAAGCGATTAATGACGTACTAAGACTGAGGTACGGAAGCGCTCCTGGCTGCGTTTTCCTAAAAAGATACCTACATAGCAGCCTGAGATGAGACCACTAATCGTATACCGAGGCTATAAGTATCATGTTGGACAGACCAGTTTGAAGCAACGTGATCCCATAAAATCTTGGACAAGTAAACCCCATATAGAGGGATTTTTAATTCAGTTCTATCGTTCTCACCCACGTGAAATATACGACGCACATGCTCCCCAGAATCGTGCCAATCACTAGCATGCCAAACGTGTCACGGACGTCGATCGCTGCGTCTGACTCTGCCATGAGTCCTGCACGAGGTGCGGGAACGAATTCAAGAGCTGAGGAAGGGACGGAAGTATATACAAATACGATGTATGGTGAAGGGAAGGGAGGAGTGATGAAGGTAAGGGAGGGGTGATGAAGGCAAGGGAGGGGTGATGAAGGCAAGGGAGGTAAACGGCGTGCGTATATGTACCGCGGACATTCCGGGGCGCTCGTTGCGACGGTTGGAGGTCTGCTGTATACAGATGAAGGATGATCCTCCACTTGACGCCGCGCTGTCCACTCACATAAGGTTAAATGTAGTCAATAGATAGCCAGTCAATGCAGCACCAAAAATCTGAACTCTGTGCCAGTCCGTCTAGGATCTGTGACCAAATACACCATCACTCCCTATATATATATATCGATGAATTCATGGATGCGTTGAGATTCAAGAATGGACGAGATTAACTCACAATGGCATGGGTCCGCATCTCAATGGAGATCAGTGGAGCTCAATGGCGCTCATATGGTCCATGATTTTTGCACACATAGGGCGCAACTTGCTACAAGCGTGGTCGCGAATGGAAAGGAATATTTACTCCAAGACACCGCGAAAGTTCAAACTCCATGATGATCAACCCGCCGTACATAGATTGACCAAAAAAAACGGCGCGCGTGGATTAGCGCTTGTTGCCTGTCTTCCATCTGAGTAGATTGATCTACCTTGTGGTCACCAGAAATCAAGCAGTGATGGAGACAGTGATGGTTGTGACGCGAGCACTAGGCATTTACAGGTTGCGCATGTACGATTCTTTCAGGGCTCGTCGGACTCGTGTATTCACTGCCAGCCAGATTTGATCAGGGCTATGGGTCCAAACTCATATACTTGTACATACCTGGACACTATCCTACAACAAACGAAGGCAGTGGAATCATTCAATCACTACGAAATAAATGATGGATGTGCATGGGAATGTATTCTTGACACAGATTCCAAAAGAAAGCCAGACACTCACATCGAAACACCTTCAGACATGATCAGAGAGAAGAAACGATGCACTTGCGCCACGCTCGTCGCATACGCCCCAATCATTCCATCCGGCCTAATCACCACATACGTGGTCTGGTCCTCACTCACCTCATATCCCGCGTACGCAACCCCTCCAACGTCTACATAGCGACCTACGTCCTGAATGTCTTGAGGTGTCGAAGCGGACGGGGCGAGCAGGTTGATCGAGGCGACGCCAGCCTGACGATACCTGATCATATCCTGGACTTCAGCACCCAGATCTCTCGGCTGGCGCCCAGCGAAGACGAGGATGGTGTGCAAATTGCCACCCCCGATGACCTTGAACAACCTCGTTTGTTCCTCTACCGGCTTCAACTTCAATATCGTCGCGTCCGGCGCACGGTCGCCAGCTCGAATCATATCTCCCGCAACCCCATATGGGCTCTTCTCTACCAGGGTCTCTTCTCCCTCGAACTCTCTTCCTTCCAATACAATTGGGCTCCATCGATAATTGACTCCGAGCAGTAGACCCTGCTTGGGCCTCCACATCGGATCGCCTGGTCTGCCCTCGCTCCTACCCGCCTCAAGCGTCGAGGGGGGCATGCGGCTGAATGCCAAGTGATGCAGCTCATTCGTCAGATGGAGCATCTCAGCTACGACTGGCATCCGCTCGGCTTCGTATGTATCGAGAAGGCTTGGGGATGCGAGGTGTTTCTGGACGAGGGCTAATTTCCACGACACGTTCAACTGGGTGTACGAGGTAAAATGAGAATGGGAACAATTTTATGCCCCGTGATAGTAGGAGAGGGTGCTTTACCGCATCCATGACACCTGTGTTGGTACCTTGGCCGCCTGCTGGAGAATGACAGTGTGCGCTATCTGTTGAAGTCGTGAGTACAATTTCAATAGAACGTGAGGACAGTACACCATACCACCAACCAAGAACACACGCCCTACGCTGAACTTATTGGCCATCCGAATATTAGCTCTGTCACGGCGCGCAAGTGATTAATTCAGGTCAAATAGATGCGTGAACAGGCAAAATTCTTACCCCCATTCTGATACCCATGACGTGTTCCGAAGCTGTATATCAGTCGACTTGCTGATGTCGTTGAACATCGCTTGGATGCCTTCATCGTCCTGAGGAGCGGGGATAGGAAGCTCGACACCCATAGCTTGGATATGGAATGTAGGTGCGGGCGGCACCGGCTTCATGAAGAAACTACAATCCGCTCTGTCATTCGCACTATGTGACCACGAAGCAAATAACATACGCACATCTTCACACCAAACTCGCCCCATCGATGCCAATGCTACGAAGAAAAATGAGATACTGTCGATGCCTCCGATCAAAGTATTTACCGTGCGGTCAATATCTGTGCACTCGACGTTAGCGACAAACATCTTGTCGCTCTCCTTGGTCTCCCCTAAGAACGAAAGGCCTAGCAATCTACGCATTGATCCTGATTCGGAGTCTAATGTTAAGTTTCGATGGGGGCATCTGTCATCTGAAACCATACCTCTGGCGCCGTCGGCGCCGATAATATATTGGAATGCCTGCGCAGTATCTCCCTCTTCGCTCTTGATATGCGCAATGACCTTGTCTTTGCTTTGCTCGAGCCCGACCAGTTCCACACCCAACTCAACCTTAGTGCCCAATTTTTCGAGATTCTTTCGCAAAACATTCTCGAACATAGATTGGTGTAAGTTGATTGGACCCACCTTGTTGCATCGACGTATCAAGCACTGCCAGGTAAAATAGAGAAGATCACTCACGTATGGTATCCCGGGACTCTCATCCACCTCGTCAGCCCACTTGATCTCCTGTAAGATCTCCTTTCCGACGCCATGCACAGCCATCATGTAGGGCGGCGTCGAAATGGACATGACATCATCTAATACCCCAAGCGACTCTAGTATCTCCAGCGTTCGAGGCTGAAAATTTCGCAGTGTCAGCACTATATATGACCAGTTTCTGCTCGTGCTGTACGCACCTGGATGGATGTCCCCCGGATCGCTTCGGGAAACGCATCTCTGCGGTCGATTATACGGATTGGTATGTCGTTCCTTCGTAGCGTTAGAGCTGCTATGAGACCTGCCGGTCCTCCGCCGACCTAGAATTCCAAACGAGAATTAGCTTGAGAAATGTTAAAGAGAGAGCTGGGCGGACAATCAAGATGGCTGGCGGTGTCATCCTAGTCGTGGTGGCTCTACAGAACACCGAGCGCTGTTTGGGGATAGAAGGCCCACCACATCAGGCCTGCTCGACTCACATGGCGATCTGCCAAAGCTAAAATTGACGAGGCGCCGCATTGAACAAGTCGAGGAGCGTGAATTGACTGAGAGTCGTCATCCAAATAATCGGTCTCAGATTATTCCATATTTGTCGATTTCTGGGGGAATCCATATCCAAATTTCCTGCGTACTGTGACCGCGTCCGGAAGTTCCCCGGGAACTACACTGACCCTGCTCCACGCTGGCGCTGCACAGGCAAGCGCACAGTGCTTCCCTAACTGCTGTCCTCAGTGATGCGCGTCTAGAACGGCAAACCGTCCTCATTCCTGCTCATTCCCTCCACCCTTCCCTCCCAAGTTGCTTCCTTTTGATTCTTGACGTTCTCGATCTTGACCTCGACCGTGTTGCGGCGCCCCAGAAACACAAGAAGGCGGGGGAGCTGGTGTCGGAGCAAGTATGGGTGCAGGGCGGGTGTTGGTGTGCTTGTGGCGGAATGCTGGAGGTGATGAGTGTGTGGTATTGGGTGTAGGCACGTACTTATGATAATGAGCTTTCGCATGGACCCAAAGGACCACCGCTAGGCGACGAATGAGCGCTGCAGAGCCAGAATGCCTGCTTGTGCACGCCGCAGACGCACCCATTACGCGAGACATAAACCACGCCCTCCACCCAGTAGTACACAGTCGCCCTTGCCCACAGCAAGTCATGACGTCCCACACATAGCATCGCTGCTGCTCGGCTCCGTCGCCGTCGTCACCAATCTTACGCGGTCGGCCAATGTCTCCTCTTACCCAGGTGAGCATTCTTGGACACACCCAAGCTCGTGCTCACACCCCGTGCCCAGAGTACGAACTCCAGACATTACAGGACACATCGTATAGCCTCACCGCCTCCTTCGCCCTCGCTAATCTCTGCTTGCAACGACTTCAGTGACAGCTTTCCCTGCTCACCCTTCAAGTCTCCTACGAAGCGCAGTCCAAGTCCGTCCCGCTCTTCTTTTTATTCTCCTGTTCTCTCCTTCGTCGTATATTCACGCCTGTTGCCCCCCGAGAACAGGCTCTGCGTCCACAGAACAGCTGTCTTCTGTATAGGTTCAGCTACGGAGACGAATATACGTCTGCGGGCCGAAATCACGAAGGTCGATGTTAAGCAGTTTCCCGTCAAATTTGAAAGCGAGAGTATAGGAGCGTGTGCTGCGCCTCCCTGCAGCTCCCTGCACAGGTATGTGACTCATCACTGCTTGAGCAACATCTTCTGTGCTCCGAATCAACGAATTCCTCTAGAAAGCGTGAGACCGCTCGCAGTAAACGAAGAAACTGACAGCATCGACAAACACAGACAAGGTTATCCTCGATGAAATTATATTCGTTTTCGACAGTTTTTGGCCATCAAAATACACGTCATCGATTGACATTTCCCATTTTAGAGCACACATCTTGTGGGAACGTATTAGCAGAGGATCTCAGAAAACCCCCATCGCAGTGATCACTAACCTCGTTAGGCGATTCAACAGGAGTAGGCAAACCTCCCTGAGCTGTGCACGATGTACCCGCGCAAGGACACTCCCTGTCAGGCTGTCCGCTTTCATGCCTCGCGGAAGCTCTCCAATAGACAGAATGCTCAATTACCCTCCAACGTGGACTGTGTCCGGCGGTAAGGTGATTGTCACGAAGGATGCCGCGAGCTTCCCTTGTGTAGCGAGCTGAGAGACAAGTGGGCCGCTGGATTCGAACGTAGTATATATGGATCTGAAGAGTCAGTATCCTAGACGCCGACCCTCAGAAAGTCGAATACAAAAGATGAAAAGCACGCACCGAGAACGAGCGGTGTTCCAAGTTAGCCCAATTTAATTCTGTGCATGTCGATGAGATTTCGAGATGCTGGTCTGATGTACGGGGTGCGGGGTGGCTGGCAACTCGGAGTCGCGATCAACGTTCAACGTTCAACGTGCAACGCCGCTCTCTAGCTTGTACCATATCTTCCTTCTCACCCTCAACTATCACTTTGGGCTCTCCATGGTTGATGTCACCACTGAGCAACCATTGCTTTTTTCAGAACGACCAGAGTGGTCGGATGTGGTACCTATAGAACAATACGACGGTGTTTCGCCTTTAGCCCCGATTTTCTATAGCGAGGAATGTAAGTCGTGCCCAAAATACGTTTGATCGCAACGTGTCTGCGTGTGTATTGATCTATACAACAACATCTTGGGCTGGGTAGACAAAGACGCGGCGAACTATTTCCGGGGGATTGTCAAGACCGGGGAGATGAGTCCTCGCGTTCTCGATCTGACGGAGAGGATTATCAGGCTTAACCCCGCACATTATTCTGCATGGTAGATTCACTCGTATATCACTGGCGGGATGCCCTCGATGACTGATCTCTGCATGTGCACATCTATTCCACATCATAGGCAATACCGCTACCAGACCCTCCTTGCCACATCCTCCTCCCTCGCCGCCGAGCTCGCGCTCACCAACGCGCTCACCAAGTCCTTCCTGAAGACATACCAAGTATGGCACCACCGCCGGCTGCTCGTCACACTGCTCAACGAGCCCGCGCCCGAGCTGCCGTTCGTCGAGAACGCGCTCACCGTCGATGCGAAGAACTACCACACGTGGAGCTACCGGCAGTGGGTCCTCGCGCACTTCGATCGCGCAGAGATGTGGGAGGGTGAGATCGCGTTCGTGGAGCGCATGCTGGACAAGGATGTGCGGAATAACTCGGCGTGGCACCATCGGTTCTTCGTCCTGTTCGAGAGGGGCGGAGCGAAGACGGAAGAGGCTGTCAGGCGGGAGTTGGTGTGGGTGCCCGGCGGCTCTTTTGCACTTCTCCGCTGATGCTCTCTCCGTCGCCTGTTGACTGCTCCGGCGATCTAGGTTCGCGAAGGAAAAAATAGCCTTAGCGCCGAATAACGCGTCTGCGTGGAACTACCTCCGAGGCGTGCTCGACCATACCCACACTCCATATGCGACACAGTCTTCCTTCGCCAAGCTTTACACCGTGTCTCCGGAGGAGGAAGATGACGACGACGAAGACGAGCGTGAATCCGAGGAAAAAGGTAGCGAGCACGACGTGCTCGACCTAGAAAACCCGGCGCCATCGAAAGGTGCAAAGCTGCCGTGTGTGGCGGCTCTCGAGTTCATGGCGGATGTGTACGAGGCCGAGGGCAAAGATGGGCTCAGCAGGGCCGTTGAGGTGAGCTTGACAATCGAGTATTGATTGCCAGATGTTCAGTCGGCCTTTCGGCTTCGTGACAGCTTTGGACCTCCCTCGCAAGCGAGCACGACACGATCCGGAAAAAGTTCGTGCATATATTTTCTTCTACTGGCTTCACAGTGATGCTCAATTTTTTTGCGCTCATTAGATACTGGGAGTACCGTATCAAAGAGGCAACCACAAATGTCCAACAAAGTTGAAGATACCCTGTTTGGGGCACTGTTGAACAAGGGCGCGTGTAGGATGTACTGAAGTTGAGTTTGGAAGTCGCCAAGCATCGGATTTGTTCTTCTTGACGAAGTAGAATTGATATGTAAAGTAGTCTGATCTCTTCATTGCTTATATGATATCTTGTCGATGCTCGGAATCGAAACCGAGATCAATTGAATGTAGTTTCGGCATCCCTCGGACACGGTTTGAACATTGTGCACTGAAGTTTGGAAAAGTAACACTATTGAATTAGCACTATGAGACGAGAATACGTGGTATAAAACGGTATCAGCCGAAGCATCAATCAAAAGCTCCATCAACCAACGAGCGAGAGATGATGACGTGGATTATCGCCGGGTATAATGCTCCCCTACCGCCTCCCTTGCGCGGCGCGCGGAACAGGCGGCACGTCAGTTGAAGACCTTCGATATTCTCTTGAACTTCTTCGAGATGCTCTTCTTCCACGACGAGCCACTGGGCGACGCGGATGAGGCGACGACGACGGGTTCGACTTTCTCGCCCTCAGCGAGCGCTGGTGTGTCGATGAAGGACAGGTCGTTGAACTCGCCGGGATACCGCTCTCCAGGGGCCGTCTTGTGGATTTCTTCGGCAAGAGTGCGGAGCTGCTTGACCTCGTCTTTTGTGAGAGTAACCTTCGCGGCGCCCAAGTTGTCTTCAAGGTACTGAGGGAAAAAATATAATCAATACAAGAGAATGACGTCATCAATGGGCTGAGGGTGTGTACCTTGACCTTCTTGGTACCAGGAATGACAAAGACGTTGTCGCCCTGAGCAAGCAGCCATGCGAGCACGACCTGACCAGACGAGGCTTTGTGCTTCTTGCCAATCTCTGCAAACTCATCGGCCAACTTGACGATTTTTGGGAAGTTGTCCGCATTGAAACGGGGAATGTACTTGGCGTAATGACCTTCTGGCACGTCTTCCGCTTTGCGCTGTACACAAACAAAGAGTGACTGAGCACCGCGACAAGCCTACAACATGCGACGGAGACATACGAAAGACCCCGTGAGGAGGCCGCGACCGAGTGGGGAGTAGGCGACGATAGCAATGCCAAGCTCCTTTGCGGTGGCGAAAAGGTTCAACTTCTCGAACTCAACGTCAAGACAGAGAGGTGAGTATTCCACTTGAAGCGCGGCAATAGGGTGGATGGCATGCGCGCGACGGAGAGCGGAAGCAGAGATTTCAGAGACACCGATAGCCTTGACTTTGCCCTCCCTTTGATAGCAATAAAAATGCGTAAGTGTCCCAGCGACGAAGGGAATAGTCAACTTACTTCACGAGCTCGGCCATGGCAGCAATTGTCTTCTCAATCGGGACCTTCGGGTCACCGCTGTCCACAATCTCATCAGTACTTCGATCAAGTGAAATTTTGACAAATAAAGACGAACCGATGAAGGTAGTACAAGTCAACGTAATCGGTCTGCAGCTTCTTGAGGGAATCTTCGAAAGCGACCTTCACGTAGTCAGGGTCGCCGTTGGGGAAGCGGGTCTTGTCCGCGAGACCAAATTTAGTGGCGAGGAAGATTTCCTTGCGCTTGCCCGTCTTCGCAAACCACTTCCCAATCAGCTCTTCATTATCTTCGTAAGCATCAGACGTATCCCAGAACTTGCAACCACGCGCGTATACGGCGTCAAGGAGCTTGAATTCTTTAAGCCTAAGATGAAAGAACAAGGGGATTGAATTGACGGACCTCCAAACGATCTTCGATAGAGCCCGTCTCTCCGTAGCCAACAGAAAGACCCATGGCACCGAAGCCAATGGAGTTGACCTGCTTACCGCCGAGCTTGCGAGTAGGGAGAGACATTTCGATGTTGGTGCGGGTGAATGGATCGAGGGAAGACTGGACACACAACATTCGTGCTGCAGCCTTATATATGACCTGGACCAGACTAATTTGTCATCCACGGCCATCCTCCGGATACGGGCCAGACGTTGGGAGGCTGGATGTACAACATGTTCCGATCACAAGGAGGAGTCGAGGCGGAAGCGCTGAGGCGCTGACGAAGACTCGACTGAGCCTCACCAGTCGGAGCGCGTTTTTCTGATCTGAACGACGGCTGTCGAATGATGCGTCATGTTTCAGAACAGCGTTCAGACAAACGAAAGAGACAAGCACGAAAGATAGGATGGGGAGAGGGTAATCGCACGGAGGGAAGCCATAGCAAAGGCGCAGGAGTATGTAAGCATCCGCCGCACGAGGAAGGTCTGTCGAGCGTGATGGCACCCACGATCCACGGATATGTTGGCGCCTTCTCATTTACCTCACGGATACCCATCATGTTGTAACCAAACTTTGTTTGCTATGCTGTTCTAAGACGTGGTTGCAACGAGGCGTCGTTCAATGCGACGCAGGATATGAATTGAACAGGTGGATACAACGAGATTGCCATCAGTCGAGATAGTGAAGATGCAAGCAAGCTCGCATTCAGATCAATCCGGGAAATAGCCATTGCTAATTCTTGCAGTCCCGAAGAAAGGTAAAGAACAACTTTAACATGTAGCTCATGATGGCACCCTGTACAACTGCATCGATGCGTCGGATCAAGCACGGATCAAGTGAGTTCTATATGATTAAGAATAAGGCTCGAATCTATCAGCCATACATGATCGGTTTCACCTATATATATCCACATTCAGCAAGCGCCATGAAGACAACAACTTCTGCAACTCGTCTCGAAATGTAGGATTGAACCAGCCGAATCATTTCATAGTCTTGAGCGCTTGAACAGGGCGGGTGAGAGCTTTCTGGTACCTATAATTATCTGACCATCTTTCGGGAGTCAAGCAGTTCAAATTGAGCGTGTATAGCAGCTGTCCTTCAACAGCCCAGGCTGATAGACATGTCACGCTGGCAGTTGTCATCGAGTAGTAGACAACCTATTGTGCATCACTGCTACTACCATATCATGTCGACCATTTTCTCGTTCGAAAGGTTACTTAAGTTCGTCAGCAATACTGATAGGATCATGCTTTTGAAGCTCACCTATGACGCCGACGGCGGTGCAGAACCTATGGCCCAGTGGTCAAGCCTAGCCTATTCCATCCCGGTGAACTCTGTACAAAGATCGACAATGATGCTGCGGAACGCCTCTTGATGAATGTTGACGAAGAAGCGGACTACCGATACGAGGGTAGAGAGAACACAGGAGATACTTTCGTGTTCAAGCAATGACGCCGTATAAGTGAAATATCGAGAGACCACGTCAGGGGTTGATGGAGAATCGCCAACGCTACTGCCTTTGGGAGACTAGCATGATCTCGTTTGATTCGATCCATTGCCAGCATTCCATCAGACAGGCTGTCCTTATATCAGGCTTCGCTCGAATAATGCGTTGGTGGGTCAGGATAGGTCAGGAGATGGGTTCCGTGCTCGCCTTCAACCTGATGTAGCTTCACCGTATGAGGCCAAGGTGGTCTGATACGAGCAGTAGCCAGAGCGTGCAATAACTTGAAGACGCAGCCAAAACTGATCCTGTATCGTCGAGAAATCGTTAGGCAATGTTGTATTTACCGGGGACAATCAACAGGGTAGTCCAGCACCTTCAAACGGGTCATCAATTTCGACATCGAGAGCCAGAGGTGAACACGTCGCCAGGTGAGGAAGCCGCGGAGATATTACAGTATTAAAAACACTGCGAATTTTGCGCACGATGGAGATGCTCAATTGTTTTTGGGTGATAGAATGAGGATTGAGAATGCATCAAAACTCACTAGTATAAGTCGGCTGATGCGCTTGGTGCGTTTCAGCGAGCCTGCGTGAGTTAGTTTGTTAAAGACAGCGAATATCAACAAACGGTCAGACACGCTGATAACCAAATGGTTCTAGGGTAGGTTGCGAACAGTGGGTTAGTAGCCTTGTGCTTACCACTGCAGGCGGAACGAGCTGTCGATCGGACTCTAAATGAGCACGGCTCATTTTTGTCGGAGCATAGCAGTGAGAGCAGCGGAAGTTGAAATGCCGGCTGCGTCCGAGCCCAATGAATATGGCGCTTTGCTCTCTTCCCCCTCGTGAAGGTATCCTACAGCATCTTTATAAGTATTCGTACTTACCTTTGTATTCTTCTTCTCACTCAGCCAGCTACTCGTTCACTAGTCAGCCCATTAGCTGTTTTTTATGTCCTCGTAATCACTTCTTATTTTGCTCTCTCATTCCAGTGAATTTCCAAGACAAACGAGTTCATCAACAAATGCATTATCATCGCTGAGCGAAACGCTGGATCTCTCCCTCCCTCCACCCCCGTGGTTGCAGATATTGATCTCACAAAGGATGTTGCAAATCCTCTTCACCCGCCCACAGGCTCTAACTTGTATCATGCAACCCACTCGGACTACTATGGTTTGCCCTCCAACCCCATCTCCATCTATCACATAAGGGACCCTTGGCCAAGACCTACTGGCCCCGAGGCTCAGCGCGTGCCGAGGGAGGCTAGACCCATCTGCAACCACCCGATCGCTCGCATGTGGCGTGAGCTAGGTAAACAGGTCTACGAGTACTTCGATTCTGTTGGCCTCAGGTGGACAAGCATTGACCCTGTCCGCTTCGCTGAGGTCGGAAAGGGAGCCGGTCCCCTTTTCCTTTGGGTGGGTGTGATGCCTGTGACTCTCTCCTGCAAGGACGCCGAACACGCGGCCGTGCACTGCCAGCAGATTCTCGCAGAGTCTGAGATCACTGGCGTTGAGATCGCGTTCCGCGAATCGGTTTTCACCCGGTCCGCCGGTCCGCAACTAAGAAGATCTGCGTCTGATTCGTCTCAGAAGCATTGAGAACGAAGGGAGCTCCAGCTGCAGATGCATCTGGCGTGCCAGCTCCTCAAATACGTCCCCTCCGTTGACCCAACCGCCGATGTTCGCAGCCCATTCACTCCCACACTCGGTCTCCAAATCGCTCCCAAATCCTACCCTCACTTCGAAGGCACTGGTGGTCTCTACCTCCGCGAAGGCTGCGGACGCAATCGGGTCCTCCTCACGGCCCGCCATGTTGTTCTCCCGCCGAGCGAATATCGTAACGAGCTCTACGCCTGCAAGACTAACAGCTCGCCTTGTCGCGATGACACCCTCCTCGGCAACAAGGCCTACCACAGCGCGCTTGAGTCCATCATGGTCCAGATTGAGTGCATGGCTCTCGTGGTTGACTATTACAAAGACGAGCTTGAGGGTTTGGGGGAGGCCGTTGGCGGCGAGGACGCTACGGTAACCGATGGGCGGGACATTCATACAAACGATTTGGCGAAAGCAGAGAAGTCGATAGAGGCACTGAGCGATTTCCACGGCAAGATCACAAGGTTCTGGAGCATAGAGAACCAACGCACACTGGGGCATGTCCTCCATGCCCCTCCGATTTCCGTCGGTGTTGGTGATAAATGCTTCACAGAGGACTAGGCTCTTGTTAAGCTACACCACGAGAAGATCGACTGGACTGAGTTCAAGGGCAACGTTATTTATCTCGGTACATTTCGATCTATCTCACCAAGGTTGTCTAGTCTGACTATCATGTCCAGGAATCAGAATGATGCCCGCCGATTTCGTCATGAAGATGCGTCCTCACGTCAAGACCCGCACCTCCTTCAAATATCCGCGTGGCGGCCTCCTGCAACTTCGAGGTGTTGTCAAAGAAGACGAGCTACGTCACCCAACTATGCTCGACGCGAACGGCGAAGAGTGTCTCATCGTTGTCAAGAACGGCAACACCACCGGCGTAACCATCGGTCGCGTTTCCAGTATCGAATCCTTCGTTCGGGAATACGACGACTACAATATCCACTCTACGTCCATGGAGGTAGCCATCTACTCGTACAGCCATGATGACGGTGCTTTCTCCGCCCCCGGGGATTCTGGGTCTATCATCGCTGATGCCAATAGTCGCATCCTTGGCATCCTCACGGGTGGCACTGGCCAGACAGACTCTACCGATGTTACCTATGCGTCGCCATACTACTGGGTTGAGGAACGTATTCAGAAGGCTTTCCCCGACTCTTACCTTTACCCGACCACGGCCTAGGTTCGACATCGATACACGACGACATCGGGGACGCTGGCGAGGCGATCCCGTTCCTTTTCTTCTTGCTTCTGCCTATGCGACTTCTTCTCCTTTTGTCATGGTAATCTCTTTCCATCACGCTCCTTTATCTGGGGCTGACCGCCGAGGAGGTAGTGCCAGACTTTGAAACAATGGACTTTGAGACTTGTAGCCTGTAGACTTGTGAACTTGTAGTCGTTACAAATTGTAGACTTTGGGATTACATTGCAAGGTTTTCCATACCAGAATGGCTGACCGGTGAGATATCAATGTCCGCAGGACGAGAACACCCTGGAACACCCCGTTTTTCGCGCCTCTTCTTTCACATCTGAGCTGGTGATATGTCTAACTAACCCGTATTCAGGATCTATCTGAAGGACCTGAAAGTTTCACTGAATTCAGTGACTTCGAAGACGGCGAGGCTCAGCTGTCTTTCGAAATGTAACTCAATATTTCAAAGGCTTATTCTTTATGACGCGACGAATACCATATTACAATAAAATCTACGATATACAATTTACACAGCCGCACAGCGACGGTAAGGGAGCAACAGCAGCAGGCCTCGCTTTGCCGCCGTCAAAGCCTCGCAGGACACATGTAGCACTAACGACGACCTTGGTTCGGAGAAGAGGAGGATTCTCAGTGGTGAGGCGCCAGCGACAGCTTGAGGGGAAGGACGCCACCCTGGCCATCCACGACAGGCTGCAGGGTCGGCGAAATCCTCTGCTCGATCCGCGCGCCCGTCTCTCTGAATTCTATCGAGCGGACAAGGGTCGCGAGCATCACTTTGAGCTCGAGGACCGCTACACAGATGAGGAGCGTCGTCAGTGTGGACAGATCGGATAGGATCAGGGCGAAGGGAGCGCACCGAGTCTGTAGCCGATGCACATCCGCGGGCCATCGCAGAATGCGACGAGTCCGCTCCAGCCGTGGGGGAGGTCCTTGGGCGCGGGCACACCGCCGGGCGTGATCCATCTCTCCGGACGGAACTCATGCGCATCCGCGCCCCAGACAGCCGGGTTCGTCTGCATGGCCGTGAATGGGATGTGGAAGATCTGCCCGGCCTTGACTCGCAGAGAGGTGAGCGTCCGGCCGTCCGCAGTGCGGATCGGAGTGCTTAGGGGAATGACGTCGTCTTCTAGTACGACGCGTTCGGTGTGTGGGGAAGCGGGATGCAGACGGAGTCTGACGAGGTTCGTCAGCGCTCATTGATTGATGCTGGAAGACAGCGCGGCACGACGTACCCTTCCTTTACTACGGCGTCCAGATATTCCAATTTCTGGATGTTGTCGTAGTTGAGGTCGTATTGCAGAGCTTGGACTTCCTCACGGAGTCTATTCTGCATTTCAGAGTTCCGTGCGAGCTGGAGCAAGGTGAAGTTGGTCGTGCCGGCGGTTGTCTCGTGACCGACCATACTGTCCGCAAGGGTGAACCAATACTGGAAGAAACCAAGTCGTTCCTCGACTTACATGAAAGTGTTAACCTGGTATACCAGAAGTCTGCGTCAGCATGGCTTATTAAATTCCAAGATGGCGAGCGAAATACGAACATTGTCCACAATCTGACCCGGGGTCAAGCCATCCTCGACTTTCTTCTCCTGCTTCTGGGCATTGAGCAACAGGCTGAGGATGTCCCTCCCGTATGTTCCATCCCGAGTGGCGCGGCCCAAAATACGGTTCGCGAGCTTGGTCACAATCATCTTGGTCGTTCCCTGGGCCTGCAGTGTCGAGATCGGCAGCTTGACGATCCACGGGAAGGTGCGGACGAGGAGGGGTGCGACGAAGCCGCCGAATGTGAGGCCCATGTTGACGTGGTGGTGCCAGGACGCGGCGATCTCGAGCGACTCGGCGCTGTGTCCTGCGTTGAAATCGTGACCAAAAGCGACGCGGCCGATGATATCCAGTCTACCAGCGTATATCGGGTCAGAATACAACGTATGCGAGAGGTATTCATGGATACTCACGTGCATGCCGAGGTCTTTTCAACCATGTTGACCGTCATATTGCCATTGTTCGAAAGAAGCTGGTTGGTGAGCGTGTTTTCCATCTATATTTTCTCGATCAATCAATCAACCGACTCGGGAAATGAGCGGTATCTCTGACCTTTTCCGCACACTCCCAGACATCATCTGCCATGCCCTTGATGTTCTCCTGCCTATTGCCACACGGTCGTGATCAGCAAGGGCCATCACCGTCTAGAAACGATCGAGATAACTCACGAAAACGCGGGAGCAATTATACGGCGCTGTTTTTTGTGATCATCGCCCTCGGCCCAGACAAGACCCTTGCCTAGAAGGTTGGCAACCGGAGGTCTGAACACCGGTGATTTCACTGCAACAAACAGGACGTAAACGGAGACGTTAGCAACATCGTGCGGCCAGCTTCAGCAAAAGTTCCAGAACGCCGTTCATTGTCTCTATTCGTGAGGCATCGCTGCTATAGAAGAGACCGCATTTGGTTGTATCGCCACCTCATTCGACCGAGAGAACCAAAAGGGATCGGGGCGGATCGGAGATGGTGTGACAGATCGGAAGGGTCGTTCGTTAGACAGAGCCTCTTCGACAGCTTTCGACACGGCGACGCTCGGCGACGCTGCTCATCGAATGTTCGATGCACACAAAATGCCATCCGGAAAGAACAGGGTCCAGGCACTGCAGCAGAGCACTCACCATATTTGTCTGAATACTGGAATATATGCTGGACTGCAGCATGGTCTGCGGCGACGATCTGCGATGCGTGACACAAGTGATCAAACGTCAGTGACAATTTCATATCTATCCCGACCTGCAGATCCAAGGCACCCCCATCGAGAGGGCGGGAACCCGCAGTCTGGTGTCCGGGGGTGGGCGCCTAAGTGCAAGCGACTTACCACGTCGTCGTGGAACAGAGCAGCCTTGATCTTGTAGAGCGGACCGAGCACGACCATCCACTTGGAGTACATCTCGTTCGACTCGTAGTCAAAGACGCGCTTTTCGTGGCCCCATAACCACGTTGCTTCCCCTGTGGGCTGTAGTGCAGGGTTGTATGGAAATTCCGGGTAAGTATCTACTCGCTTCCGGTGCATACAAACAGGGTCAGGAGACATTGTGATACTGACTGGGCAGGGAAGGACATAGACGTCCTGTTTGACTCGTTGGATGTATCGAGTCAGTGCATAGAGCAGAACGACGCTTGCTGGTAAAAGGAGTGTGGAGGACATGCCGATGATGTCTGGACGGGGATAGATGGTATGAACAGTGATAATGATGGGAGCGACTCAGAGTCGGAGGGCGAATTGATCAGTAGAGGCAGCTCAGAGTCCCGAGCCTTTGTACTTGCGAGGAATGCCTCACGCCAGGAAGACCTCTAATCAGAAGTCTCTTTCGAGCACGACAACGTCTAAGCCGGTTCGGCCCAGATTTCGCATAGTTAGCTTGGTTCGTCATCTTCCGCAAAAATCATATGCCCTGAAGCGATGGCAAAAGCGATGACGAAAAATTGAGTGCCCCATGGCACGATCGGACAGTCGGACCCCATAGAGCAAAATTGTCCGCGTCAGGGGTGAGATATCGAAGACCTCGATGAAAATCGGGTCCCAGTCGGGTTCAACATTCGTCCATGCGCTAGCAAGGCAAGTCTCAGGACCGGTCTTCAAGCTTCGTTTGGTTCGGTCGGGGAATTATCCCCTAGCCATCGCTGTGAGTTGGCAAAGCTTAGCGGTCCATTTACGAGATCATCATCTGGCCTCCAAAAGATTTCGGGTTGCACTTCTTGAAAATTGGCGCGCTTGAGGCCGCTGCTTCGCGCGTTCTTTCCCGCATCTGATTACGATACCATCTCGTACTTGGTCCCTTTCTGCCGTATTTGTCAAAAAATTGAAGCCAACTGACAGCGCCGCGCGCGGTGCAGGGTGGACGTTGAGCTTCCTGAAATGGAGTAAATGGCATTTTGAGGGACCGTGGTTGCTAGGTACGGGCAGCAGTAAGAGTGAATGGGAGATATTGGTCGAACGTCTGCTGCGCCAATTGCCACGATGGCCGTTCAAGCACCCCGGCGCTTTCGGACTATGCTTGCATTGCATTTAGACTTTCTTCGAGTCTGATGCGAAAAGAACACGAACATGTGGCCGTTTACGACCGGCTGAGGGTCTAGCGTAGCCATCGCTGGTTGGTTAAGTCCGGCGCCAAGGCATTTTATGACTTAGAGGCCACTGCGGATAAAGATACGCGATTATGCAGCCGGAGGACGATAAGTCACCTGAAGATGCAGCGGTTGTCGAAGGATGCAAGCTCAGAGGTGGAGCGGAAGAAACGAACCAGTGGGAGAGTTAGGACGGAAGCAGAAATAAAAGTGGCAAGAAGGGCGCTGCCGAATCGAGAAGCTCTGGAGCTGCCCTTATAATTTTTGAAAGTCCGCGAGCAGATTCCACATCGGGGCAGATTGGAGGCTTACTTGTCGATGACATACACAGACGCTGGACAGGTTCTGCAGCAGAGAAGTTCGTGACCATGTATCCGAGTTTATCTCACATGGACTCCGCCCTTCGATGCTCCTTCCCAGACTCGCCCCTTCTTATAATTCGTGTCCTTGGCCTGAGTCGGTCACCCGGTCCCCCTCCCCCTCCTCCTCCCTCCTCCCGAGCCCTGCCGCGGTCCCTCCTCGCCTTTTGTATACCCTCATACCCCCTCTTGTTCACCTATCACCATGGTTGACTGGCAATCAAATGCTGAGATTCTGCACGACGGCGGTATGTTTCTGCCCTCGATATGTCTAATTATCGCTCACCGTCGAGAACTTGACAGATGCTTTCTCGAAGTTCATGCACTGCCTTCTAGGGCTCTATATGCACGTTCACTTTACGCATAGAGCGTCCCATGATCCTTATCACTCATGCGCGCATATAGCTGGGAGTTTTGCACGTCGCTCGACTTCGACATCATGTTCATCTCGGGAAAGAAAAAGTTCAGATGGCCATTGGTCGGTCTCTTTGTTTGTTCTTTCTTGCAAAACTTCTCACGTGGCCCTCGTAGTTCTTCTACTTTGCGGGTCGATACAGTCTGTTAGCAGCGCTCATAGGAATGTACGTCCGGCGTGACTATATGCGCGCTCACCATTCTTCTTCGCGCTGTTTTTGTTGACATGAATCATTGACAGTGCTGTCGCATTGAACGTTACATCGTGAGTTAATGCACGTTGAATGAAATATGCAGTTCTAACGGCTGACCTTTATCCCTCATAGGCCTGTTAACTGTCAGGGGCTCTATACATTCAATCAAGTCAGTACAGTTCTTTTATGTTGCTTCCAACATGCTCACCAAACGCTCTAGCTGTTGGGTAACATGGCCATCGGGCTCGCCAGTATCAATCTTTCCCTCCGCACGTAGGTTCTCTTCAACACCCATTTTCTCCATGCCGTCTGATGGCAAAACCATCGCTGCAGTATGGCAATCTGGCAACAACGGTGGTTTATTGTCCTTCCCCTGGTGGCCATCATCATGGGTCATTGGTCTCTCTTGCTTCACGGAGTCCTGTTGAAAGCCTCTTGGGTTGATGGTCAAGGCTGCGTCATTACATCGACCAACAGCAAGATCCTCGAGGCGTCTTTCATTTATGGAATGGTCCTTGATCTTATTGTTATGTCACTGTCTGCTTGGAAGCTCGCGTTTCCCAAAGGTGGTCGTAGCAAGCTTGTGCAGTTGATCTTCGGTGATGGCTTGGTTTATTTCCTGATCGCGTGAGTGATACACATGCACATATGCACTGTTAGAGCGGACTGCTGACTTGGACTTATCCCAAGTGTCCTAGCCAACATGACTGCGACTGTAAGCAGATGCACTCAATTATGCCGTAGGTCTCGAGCTAATACTTATAGACTAGATTTTCATGGCGTTGAACCTGAACCCCATCATGTCGATCATTGCAAATGTCCCTGCAGCCGTGGCCTCCACGGTACGTGCTTGACATCGTTGTCTCCGGGTCTACGCTGATTTTTCCCTTCATTGGTAGATTGTTGCCTGCCGTGTCGTTCGACGTCTGACTAACTTCACGAGCCAAGGCCCAGAGATGTTTACGTACGTTCTCTCATTGCTGTTCGCATCACGGTGAACTTATATTTTGACATGCCATTCTAGATCATCAACGGTTCAAGCGTCGACTCTTGGCTTCCGCACTGCACGTTCGGTCCCACCTCATGTGTCTGTTACGAAGCAACATAACGAGGGCGTGCATGTACAGGTGCGTTTGTTGTCTTCGAAGATCTTGTTTCGCTACTGATATACCAATCGCTCTACGTCATGTACGACACAGATGGACACGTTTTCCATAGCAGATAATTTGGACTACGACGCCACAGGGCGCGTAAAGAATTCGAGCGATGGATTCGACCCGGAGGCGCAAGTCATCAGCGACGAGTTTAAGCGGCCATCATACTAGACTGCTCGAGTCATTCTCGTCCCATGTCACCGGTAGGGTGCATGTCACATGAACGTCATGTCGTGCTAGTCGTCGAAGGTCGTCCATCGCCCGCATTCTCTCCGCCTGCTCTTCGCCGCTGCTGTCATGTCGTGTATCCCCCCGATCTGTGTTCGCTCTGTCCTGGCGCTGCCTACCCTGCTTTCAACTGCATCTTGTCCCTTTCTCGCCTTATAATTGTACCCCTTGTCGCATTCTTTCACCTGTCCATTATCCCTCCCTCAATACCCCCCTCCTTTATCCACTCCCCAGTCTGACTTCGGCATTGCTTTTCATTGTGCAACCACCATACGAAACACTCAAAACATATGCGCATCCTCGTACGTACCAAAATTCACAGCGAACGATCTAGAACCGTTCAGCTGTTTGTATTTTATTGATATCGGAGGTTTTTTGGGTGGCTATACGTTTGCGCTTGTTCCCTCGTCAAATTCACAGTAGGAATGGTCACTGGTGATTGCTTGAATCATTCTCGCTCGTCAGACATTTGATAATTTGCTCGGATACTGAAGGTGAACCTACTTGTCTATGACTTCTACCATGGCCGGGGATCGAAGGAGTAACGGGTAAGACGAGATTTCGAGAAGACTTGTGCGCAGGCAAAAATTCCTCGTTTGCTTCGACGAATGCAGTTGGGCGAGCAAGCGCCCTGACTTCTGGTCAGTCTAGATATGAATTGATAGCGAGCCACGAGGCTTCATTTCACTCTATCGCTCGTTCTTGTGTTCTGCGCATATATACATCTAATACAGTGCATGGTCGTGCACACCGTGCGCACGCGGATCCTTGAAAGAAGGTGGGTCCCTTTCTTGGACCTTACGATCGGTGCCCGAGGATGTTTGGAACCAGAGCAGGGGGAGTATATATCAACCAGGTTTGTGACGGGACTTCCGAACCTAATTGTGCTATCGGCGAGTCCGAGGGGATTCGTCCAAAAAAGAAACTGTGCTGTAAATAGACACGTGGTCGTTGCGATCAATTCAATTCTGCTATTCTGTTCTGCTATGTTCTGCTCTGTTCGCGTCGAGGCGTGTCGAGCCCGGGTTGCGTGTACCTGAACCGGGCGGCACATGGCATGCAGTCAGACGAGCTTAATCATGCATGATACGCTGCGGTTGGAGGGGTGCTGCGAGCGCGGGGCTATTTCGAGGGTGCGGGTGCAGAGAAACAGGTAAGCGATGCCGATGATGCATGTTGTGTGGCCCTCCAAGCCCCTTGCAAGATGCACGTGGCTCTGACCCACAAGCTCTCACCAACGAGAGATCTGTGATTTCCATGGTAGCGTGACTTGCGAAGGCGGGCGAAGGCTTACGCAGGATTATTAGGCTCGCGCATGTGCGAGGTACAGCACGGCATCACCCGAGCGTCGAGGATGGCAATCGGGCTGGGCGGGCATGACTGATCGCTGTCCATCACTGGTTCGCATATCCTCGGACGTACAGTATGTACAAGATGAGTTTCTTCAGGGGAGCAGATTAATTCATCTTGTCCATTGAGGCTGCGGCTAGTCGAATTCGCGTCCGCAAGCATCGGAGCGCTACTTGCGTATGCGATGGACGTATAGTGCGGGCGATGACATCAAGGTTGGGTAACAATTTGTATCTGGGGGCCGCAAGACGATTATTGGCGAGGTTGCTGAGTGGATGCCAAGGTACGTCAGGGTGTGTAAGCTACAGTGCTCGGAGTATGATGCTGAATATAGAACAGGGGGGTAGGGGGGGCGTCGAAGCCCTCCTATGTTGGTGCCGGCGGCGCTCGAGTCTAGAAATGTGTTCGCGTTTTCCGAGCGGGTGTTGCACGGGTGCGGGCGTGAGAGCACTGCAAGTGTACAGGCGGTTTGCGCGGCCGCGCTAGAATCACCGTGTCACAACCGCGATGAGGAACACGAGGAACACTAGGAAGACGCTGATAGCGGCAGCGCGTGTGAGTACTGTAGGTTTACGACTTCACGGATGGTCGCCAGTAGTAACCTTCTATGGGCGTGCAACTCGATTGTTTGCTGGATAGGGGAAAATTTGGGCACACCCAGCGCTGATTGTCTCCGGGCTTGAAGGCCGCAAATCTACAAGATGTAGGCGCACGGAGTGTGTGCTAATGCGCACGCTTCGGTTGTTCGTACGTTGATCTCGCTTCTTGGAAAGTCAGTTCCATTGTGTTCATCAATACAAAGAGGAATGGCAGGACGAGAACCTTCGTGCGGGACGGTAGTGGCATGCGATGAAATGTTCAGAGACACGCACCAGAATGGCGTGATTTCCAGAACCCACGGTGGTCAGGAGCGGAAAGGGGAAGATGACGTTTGGAAGGATATACTTAGTGAGGATTCATGACAGTGCATGAGAAGGCGTGACAATGCATTGCGAAGGTGGTTTGTTATTTTTTGCTAGCGCCTTGCACACTTCTTGATAGGTTACTTGGTGGGGCGAAGTCGCCCCTGGCCGTCTTCATGGGTTTTGGAAGTGGGAGCTTGAGATCACGCAGAAAACGAATCTCTAAATCGGACAGTGAGCGGAACATCAGCTTATATCGACTGATAAGCTCTGATGGAGCACCGGAAGGAGATGGTAAGTAAAGCATTTGGATGCGTACCGTTCGTGTTCCGGGTGGGTAAGCGAGCGCTAATGATGAAGATGTTGGATAGTTTTTTGAATCGGCGACGGCGCAGCTCCATCTGATCATGTTGCGTAGTGCGCACAAAATGCGAAAGTAGCGTAAGCGACTGTGCATCGTTCAAAGTCCTGATATCGCCGGATGCATCTTCCTCGACATCGATCAGTCTAGCCGGGAAGATGCAGACTGCAAACGGTCAGCGATGTCAGGCAAACCTTATGACCGATACCTGACGGCAGCAGTGGCTGAAAGTGAGTTTGCGGTCGGTGTTGTATTACACATGGTAGTCATGTCCTGCTATGAGACGAGGGTGAGAAGTGTGAACATTGGAGTGTAACAGCTGAGTGCATTCCTCGTTAGAGACCGCAGTGGGATCGTGAGCGGTTGCAAAGTATTCAGAACGATGAGCAACACGCTACACAGAGAGGAGCCGCGTTCATTTTTCATTTGGGGTGAGCTCAGCCGGAAAAGCGAGTGACAATTGTTGTAGCAGAATCTCACCAACGGTTCTTCGAGGTGGTAAGGCCATGAGTCAGAGAACCGTTCGAAGACAGAGAGACGCCAATGCCCGCTATTTACGTAATTGCCTTTTGCCACCTTCACACCACCAGCATCCACTAGTAACAGTCTGGCAGGGACTTGCTTTACCACGCGTCCTCATCGACGATGGATGTATGTGCATCAACTATTCGAACAAGGCCATGTAAAGAACTGGGGTATGCCCCGAGAACATCCGAGCGCGGTCACTATATACGGCGCAGCTGACCTGTGATCGCAGTACAGTGCCGTGCGAATGGATATAACCGACTCACCTAACTAGACCTAACTCCGTTTCGCGGGATGGCCTGACAAGAAACGGCTTCTTTGAACACGAGTCATCCTTGACCTTCTAGGGCTATCTGATCCGGGCAGACTCCTATCATTGTCTTGAGTGCGTGGCCCTACTGGATTCGAGAGATTAGCAGAAGGTGTTTACATCTTCACAGAATCAATCTGATCATGTCCTATGAATGGATTCTTCCTGAAGGGATCCGCTCCAATACATTGCGAGTCAACGACCTCACCGTGCACCTACTCGAGGCAGGCGATCCGCAGAACCCACTTCTTGTCCTCCTTCACGGCTTCCCAGAGCTCTCCTATTCATGGCGCAAAATCATACTCCCTCTCGCAATAGCAGGTTATCATGTAATCGCTCCAGATCGGCGAGGTTTTGGGCGTACTATCATGCTCGATCGTCTTGACCCCTCGACGTCAATCGAGTACGACGAGGACATCCAGCCATTCCGATCATTCAATCTAGCCACCGATATCGTCGCCCTCGTATTTGCATTGGGATTCACCAAGGTACATGCTGTTATAGGGCACGATTCCGGGTCTCCCGTCGCGGCGTATTGCGCATTGATCCGTCCCGACATGTTCCAGCGTGTCGTTATGATGAGCTCTCCCTTCGCTGGACCTCCGTCCTTCCCGATTGGCGGTAGCACATCCGCGAACCCTAGCATTGCATCGCTATTCGCTCATATGGTTGAAGCCCTGGCACAGTTGGATCCCCCTAGAAAACACTACGTCGCATATTACTCTTCCCCAGATGCCAATCGCGACATGACCTCGAGTGATCTCAAACACTTCTTCCGAGCATATTATCATATGAAGAGCGCAGACTGGGTGCCGAACGACCCCCATCCACTTCCAGCACTGTCGGCAGCATCCTTTGCGCTTTTGCCAGAATATTATGTCATGCGTCTGGAGTGCACGATGCCAGAATCTGTTCTTCCCACCTCCCCGTCGCCTGACGAGATCCAGTCTAACCGATGGCTGTCAGACTCTGAGATCGATGTCTATGTCGCTGAGTATGGGCGAACAGGGTTTCAAGGCGGGCTGAATTCATATCGGTGTGGGCTCGATGTGAGCGGACGGTCGACAAGCGATCTGCTGATCCTCTCGGGAAAGAAGGTGGATGTTCCCGCCATGTACATCGCGGGGAAGAAGGATTGGGGCACATATCAATTTCCGGGCGCGGTGGAACAGATGAAGAATGTCTGTGTGAGGATGGGGGACAGAGTAAGATTAGTTGATGGCGCGGGACATTGGGTCCAGCAAGAGAAACCAGACGACGTTGTTAAGCTTCTCCTCGATTTCTTTGAAGAGACGAAGTAGGTAAGTGATCTTCGTAGGTTCACCGCTTACCTCCGTTTCTTCCAACTCATTATTCAAGCTGCTCGCTACTTATAGTTTTGTGTGATCCTTGTGTAACTCCTACTGGTTGTTCAAAGAAATCGATCCGAGTGTTTTTCCGACGTTCCGTATTCGTTCTATCTCGCGATGAGGGTTGCCTCTAGTTTTCAGGGGCTTTTATGTCACAAATTTGCCATGTCATGCTCGTCCCGGGTCTCTTGGCTTCTCTCGCTTTCATGAATTCAGTCATTCCGAACAGTACTAAAGTGAAAGAGGGCGGTTAAAGGGTGTGCCACATGTCGGTCACGTTTGTACGCGTCGGTCACATGAAGCTTTGACTTGGCTAAAGACCATCATGAGCAGGGTCGCGTTCTAATTGACGAACACTCTTTCTACGGCTTTTCTTAATCAACCTCGGATCTAGGAACGGGTAGATTTGCCTCAAGAGCCTTCTATAATTCTTTTAGAGCTTGAACTGTGGGCTGCGCGCGCACAGCTCGTGACCTGGCCTCGCTTCCAGTCGCCCCTCTGCCCCGCTATTTCGAGACCTCTGCGCAATGAGCTTCACGTCTACGGAAACAACGCCACGCCGTCCCAAAACCATCATGCTATCACCGTCCAAGAGGCACGGCGCGGCGCCCCATCCAAGCGTGCCCTCCCGCCTGCCGAGAAAGGGGTCGATATTGAGCTCCAAAGGCAAGCCAGCGACGCCCGCGGAGATCTGGAAATGGTGCTTGACGCCGGCCGCAGTGGCACGCTGCTTCGTCAGGGACGCGTGCGCGATGGGCGAGCACGCCGGCGAAGGTATGTCCCCGCTCGTTTGTCCCCCCCCTCCGCGCGCGCGCGAGCGGTCTCACTCAGCGGCTTGCGGTTGATGTCGTAGGCTTTGAGTATTACCTGCTCGGCCGCGTCCCGTGTCGCACCCTGCTTCTCGTCGGTGTCGTGGTGGGCTTGTCGGAGTATGAATCACGGGCGATTTATCAAGGTGCGTGCGGCCGGAAGAGTCGCCATGCGTTACGCACGGCGCGGATGCTAAACATACAGTGCGATGACAGTCGATGATGGGACCGGCGTCATTAATTGTGTGGTCCGCTATCCTGCCCTAGCGGGCAAGGCCGTCCGGTCCGAGGAGCGTCCGCCGCCCAAACCCGTGGCGGAGGTAGGTCAGCTCGTCCGACTCGCCGGTCGGATCCGCGTCAAGGGGCAGCGGAGAGAGGTCCTCGTTGACCAGATATGTGAGTGGATGGCCGCATGATCTGTTTTCTCGGGACGGCGAGTGATGTCGTCCGATGCGCAGCGGTTTGCAAGTCTATGGACGAGGAGCTGGATCACTGGCGAACGGTGATCGCCTTGCACAAAGAATCGTACTCGTCGACAGAACCATTCGTGATTACGTCGTCGCTCGCTCCACCTGCTCAAGCGGTCAAAGACGCCGCAAAGCCACCAGCTGGTCGTGCGTGGCATAAAGCCGCTCCGGGTGATCGAGACGCGACAAAACGCCAGGACAACGTTGAACACCGGATTATCGCTCTACCGAAAGATACGGCCGAGAAGGACGCCCTCAATGCGCAAACATCTAGACCAGCCTATGTACCTACATCGCCGTCGACCTCTGCCGCATCTAGTCCCACCAAATCTATTCACGATCCTTCCGTACGCAGCACGACGATCAAGCCCGGCTTTTTGAACTGACCTTCGATTCCTAGTCCCCGCCCCGCTTGCGCCACCCCTCCCGCCTCCACTCACGCGACCTCACAGCGAACACCTTCCGCATCTACCTCAAGCACTACATGGACAACGCGCCTCCGCACGACGAGCCGCGCGGCGCCGACTTGTCTTCAGAATCGGACTCCGACGCGTTCGCGCCCACGACGCCGACGAAGCGCGGGAGGGGCACGGGGGCGCGCCCGCGGTTCATGGACGAGTGCACGCCCCGCGCGCGCAAGGTCGCGCGCGGCGACCCTGCGCCCACCTCTCCGGGGGGCCCGTCGCGCACCCCGCGCGCGGGGCGCCTTGCCGCCCGCGAGGACGCGGCCGCGGCGGGCGGTTCGCCGCTGCTGCTGGGGTTCACGCTCTCCTACCTCCGCCGCGTGCCCGAGCTCGCGGTGCTTGCGCAGCGCGTGGTCAGAGCCGAGGCGCGGCGGCGCGAGAAGGCTGCGCGCGGTGCGTCCGCCTCGAGCGGGGCCGGGAAGGACGCGGGCATGGGCACGGGCATGGATAAGGGCAAGGGCAAGGCGGTGGAGGCGAGCAAGGAGGGCGTGCGGCCGAAGATGAAGCGGCTGTTTATTTGGGCGATCCTGGGGCTCTACGAGGAGGGGAGCATCGTCCTCTGGGACGAGGGCGCGCGGCCGATCCCGCGCGCTCGTGCGACTGCGCGTCGTAGCTGCGGGAACGAGGGTGGGGAGGCGGCGGCGGCGGCGGAGGTGTCGCGGCTGTGGAAGATGTCGGTGGGCACCGGTGGCGATGCGAGCGCGGACGGCGCGTCTTCGGTTTTTGGTGGTGGTGGTGGCGGGCGGGAGGACGACGCGGGGGAGCTGACGGATCCGTGGGAGGGGGAGGAGGCGTACGTGCCGCTGACGGCTGCGTACCTCGCGGCGCAGGTCGAGGGCGTGATCCGCGCGGCGATGTTTGGGCCGGAGGCCGCGGCTGCTACGTCTGCGGGCGGGAGTGCGAGCGCGAGCGCGCGGGTCGGGCGGAGGGAGGTGCGCGGGTCGGGGTTGACGGTGGAGGGGATCGCGCGGTCGCTGCGGGCGTCGGACGGGCGGTGGGAGCGCGTCGGGGCGTGGGCGGTGCAGGAGGCGGTGGGGCTTTTGAAGGCGGAGGGGAAGGTGTGGTGCGTCGGGGGGGAGGGAGGGGGCCGCTGGGAGCTGTGTTTGTGATTGCGGGTCAGCGGGTTAGCGGGGAGGGGAGGGGGCCGGCGGGATGGATGGAGATGTGGGTGTTTGTAGTGGTGCTTTAAATTTTGGGTGGGTGTACGAGCACGATTTCGTGAGGCCGTCGTTCGAGTTCGAGGGGACATGACATCTTTACAGTAGCCTCCTGTTCTTTTAGCGTACCGTAGTCACGAATGGCCATGTTATTTATTTCCATGCACGCCTCCGCCCCCGCCTCCGCGTCCGCCTCTGCACTGGCAGAACGGACCCGCGTCGTGTCACCTGACCCCGGTACAGATTGCAGCTCCGCCCAAATATGACACCCCTGCGGCCCCTCGTCGTCCGCCCGTTTGCCACCCCACCGCGACGCACAGCGCCGACGCACGCAACGCACCACCGCCCCCGCTTCGCACCTCGCGCCTCCCACCTCGCACCTTGCACCTGCACGCCTGCTCAGACAGCTCGGCCCTTAGCTTTTTCTCTCCTTCCGACTCTAACATACATCGAATTTGATTGATTCGGCGACGATATATAAACATAAAGATTTATGGCCCCTTTCAAGACTCGCAAGCCGTTCGCCGTGAGCACTACTTCTTGCTCGCCGGTACGCCGCGACGATGGGCTACTGACTCTGCGTTTCCTTTCTCTTGGTGTGTGATGTCGTGTCGTGTCGTGTCGTGTCGTGTCGTGTGGTGCGTGTGTGCAGCCACGCGCGCCCGAGGGTGCTTGGGTGCACGACAGGGCGCCGGCGGGCGGCGTCGCGCGCGTGTCGTCGGGCGTAGCTACGACCGTGGCGGGCGCGGGCGCGGGCGCGCCGGCGCCGGCTGCGAACACGCGGTTGGTGGTGTCGAACCTGCACTACGAGATCACGGCGAAGGATCTGATGGTGCGTGCGCGCGCTTCCTCTCGCCCGCTCGCTCGTTCCACGGCGCGCGACGCGCGACTGACCGCGCGCGCTGTCGCCGCAGGCTATCTTCGGCCAAGTGGGCACGCTCACCCGCGAGCCAATGATCAGGGTACGAGCCTAACACTCACCACCCTCCCCTCCGACCGCTCTCGCGACGAAACGCAGCCGGAATGAGGTCGCCGCCGACTGCAGACTGCACACCGCGCCGCACCGCCTCCACGTGCGGGCGTCCGGACGTTGCGTTTCTCGCGGCGACGTCGCCGCGTTGGCGTTTTTGCGTTTGTTGAGGCGGCCCCGATGTTGACGCGTTTTTGCTCCTCCTTCCCCCCTTCGCTTGGTTCCTCGCGGGCACGAAAACAAGTACGACCGCAGCGGCCGCTCGTCGGGCGCGGGGGTCGTCACGTTCGAGACGGCGAGCGAGGCGGCGCGCGCGAAGGACCGCTACCAGGGCGCGCTGGCAAAAGGTGCGTTTGCGTTCATGCGTTCCCAGGCGGGCACTTCTGGGATCGTCTTCCAAGCCGGGGATTACGACAGGACGCGTCGTGGGAGTGAATTTGAAATTGGGGACGGGTGGAGGTTCGCGCGGGTCGAGCGGTCGGCGTGGATTCCGCATGTGCGTTGTCACGGGCGGGCGGGCGGCCGGGATCGTTCTGACGGGCGGTTCTTGTTCTGATCGGAAATGAAAAGGGTGCGGGGGGACGGGAACGCTGACGTTGATTGTTTTTGTTTGCGTTGCGTTGCGCGGGGGGTGGTAGGTCAGCCGATGGAGATCGAGTACGAGGTGACGCAGAGGCGTCATGTGCGGTCCGCGAGCGCTCCGTCGACGCTGATGCAGCGGATGCAAAAAGCGCCGCTCATCGAGCGCCTCGGGCGGGCGGAGACGCAGGCGAAGCAGTCGTTCACGTGCGTGGCTTTCTTCGAGTATGTGCGCGGCGGCGGGTGCCTTTGATCGACGCGTGCGACGCGGAGGTTCCGGGGCTCGCCCGCTCGCCCGCGCGCGCGAGATCGGGCGATGGTGCTGACGACTGCGTGGTGCGATGGGGGCGGACAGGAAGAGCAGCCGCGGCGGGGGAGGGATCGCGCGGGGACGCGGACGGGGGCGTGGGAGCGTCGCGACGGGGGCACCGCGCCAGAAGGCGGGGGAGAAGAGCGCGAGGGAGCTGGACAGGGAGCTGGACGCGTTCATGGGGGACGGGGGGGTCGCGAATTCGAAGGGCGCGGCGGCGGATCAGGACGTGGAGATGGCGTGAGGCTGCGTGTGGCGCGTGTGTCACGTGTTCAAGTTGCTGCTGTGTGTATTTATGTAGTCGCTGGTGGAATTGCACGGACGGGCTGTCTCGCATCGCGGAGTGCGAAAGGGGCGAGCTAAGGCGGAGAAGGGTCGCCGAGGACATCGTTCGCAGGGGGGTGGGGCGTGCCTCGCGATGGGGCCCAGACGGGAGGGGGGCGACGAGCGAGGGAGTATGTAATGGGTTCCCGAAACGGCAGTGTTCTTGGAGGGATCCGCACTGCTTGTTTGGACGTGTTTTACGGGAGCGGAGGGGAGGGCTGAGCGGGGCTGGCGACTGGCTGGCGACTGGCTGGCGACTGGCTGGCGAGGGGCTGGCTGGCGACTGCTGGTCGCGATCGCCCTGGCATGCGCGGCGCGACTGGCCCGAGCAGGCCACCGACGGTCCTGCTATTAATCCCCCGTTCGAGCACGCTCGCTCTGCCGCATCCCCTGCCCCTCCCCCGCTGGCCCTCTCTCCCATGTTCCCCCGCGCCACACAGCACCCCCAGACCCAGACCCAGCCCCAGCCCCAGCCCCAGCCCCAGTACATCCACGCCCCCGCCGTCTATCCCTGGCCGACGTCCCAGCCCCAGCCCGCCCACCACTACCCCGTCCCCGCCCACCACCACCAGTCCCGCGCACAGTGGACCCAGGTCCAGGACTGGTCCGGCCCCGTGTACGCCGGCCCCGCCTCCTACACCCCCGCGTACCCCACCGCAGCCACCGACGCCCAGCAGCACCCCGCGCCCGCGCCCTCGTCCATCGCCGTCGCCGCACCCGCACCCGCACCCGCACCCGCACAGGGCAGCGCGCCCCCCGCCGCCCCGCTCGCGCAGCACCACCCCGCCTACCCCGAGTCCTCGCAGCGCACCGTCCTCCACGACTACGCGCTGCGCACAGACCAGCCGCACCCGTTCCTCGACCGCGAACAGGCGCACGGGCACGACCGCGATCGCACGCCGCAGAGCTCCCCGAGCTCGTACGGCCTCCAGACCCCCCCGCAGGACGCGTACTACGCCCTCCCCGGCACTGCCCCCGCACTCGCACCCGCGTCGGTGTCCGCGCCTGCGCCCGCGCTCGTCTGGCCCGCGTACGCGCAGCACCTCGAGCCGCCCCCGCACAAGGCCCCCTGCGGGTCCGGCGCCGCACACGACCTCGACCAGGGCATCGCCGTCGCGCTCCACCTCCCCGCGCACGGACACACGAACACGAACACGCTGAGCCACGCCCTGCGCGCCCCCGCTCCCGCCCCCGCGCCCCCGCACGCGTACGCGTACCCGCTCGCGGACGTGCGCACCGCCCAACCCCCCGCGCGCCCTAAAACCCAAACCCAAAACCGCGACGTCCAAAACCGCGATGTCCAACCCCACCGCCCCGCCTCGCCGCAACCGCTCTCCCCCGCCGCAGCCGCGCGCCAAAACCAGTCCGTCTTCCCCATCAACCCTTTCCCCGCCCCCTCCTCCTCCTCCTCCGCCGCCGCCGCCGCGCACGCTACTTCCTCCGCGAGAGCTTCCACGGCGGTGCTCCCTCCCGCGCGCGCACTCGCGCTCGCGCCGGCGGTGCACACGTTTAGGCTGGCGGACGCGTCGCTGGAGCCGCTCGTGGACGCGGAGATGGACCCGTTCCCGCTGTCGATGGACGACCTGCGCCGCGCGGGCGGGGAGCCGTCGTATGCGGGGCACAGCCACCAGTTCTTCGCGTTCGGGGAGCGCTCGCCGTACGTGCCGTCCTCTGCGCGCACATGGTTTTTTTTTTACGGGTTCACGAGTTGATGGTTGATGGTTTTTTTTGGGTAGGACACAGCGCGCGCTCGAGCGCTATGCGTCCCCGGCGCCTTCGTCCCCGTCGTCCGCCTCGTCCGCGTCCGCGTCGGCATCGGCGTCGGGCTCGGGCTCGCGCCGCCCCGCGTCCGGCGCGCGCTCGGGCACGAGCTCGCCGCTCACGATGGTGCCGATCGCGCCGCGGGTGCGCGCGGGCGGTGGCCACGGCTATGGCGACGGCGACGGCTACAGCTATGGCGACGGGGGCAACGGGGGCGACGGGGGCAACGGGGGGTATCAGGGCGTGGGCGGGCAGGCGAAGAAGGCCAAGGCGAAGATGCACCGGTGTGCGGTGTGCGAGAAGGTGTTTCCGCGGCCGAGTGGGCTTGCGACGCATATGAATTCGCATTCGGGGGCGAAGCGTGAGTTGTTTGGTTTTTTGGGGGCGTCGGAGGTTTTTTGTTTGCTTGGATTTGGCTGGTTGAGATCGTCTCGCTGACCGCCCCCCCCTCCTTTTTCTTTGATTCTTGTGGGCCCTCGCCGCAGCGTACAAGTGCCCGGTCGAGGGGTGCGCCAAGTCGTTCACGGTGCGGTCCAACGCGAAGCGGCACCTGCGGACGCACGGGATCGACCCGCCGCCGGCGCGCCGCGCGCGGCGGGACGGGGACGATATCGGGTTCGAGGAGCCGGTGGTGTCGGATGTGCGGTGGCCGTGGCCTGGGGGGTTTCGTGGGGTCAGCTTGCGATGGGTGGGGCAGGACGGGGTCGAGGAGGCGGAGGAGGCGGGCGCGGGGATGGGGAAGGGGAAGGGGGAGAGGGAGAGGCGGAGGAGCGGGGTGGAGGAGGAGGGGACGGAGGAAGAGGCGGATGCGGATGTGGAGGTCGAGGTGGATGTGGAGATGGATCAGTGGGACGAGGGAGACGCGGGGCGGCGGGTGGGTGGGGGTGCTCAGGTGCGTTCGATTTTTTATTTATTTACGTTTTCACGCCTTGCATGTCGGTGCAGTGGCCGATGCCACTCGTTTTGATTTTGATTTTGATTTTGACTTTGATTTTGATTTCGATTTGCGTAGTGGGTTGCGGGGCGCCACGCCGCGTCGCGGTCGAGCGGGGTGCTCGCGCGCTGAGCGGCCCTGCCTACCTACCTACCTGCCTGCCTGCCTGCCTGCCCGCCCGCCTGCCTGCCGGCCTCCGCGTCGCCGTATCGGGCGGCTCGATGCGATGGGGCCGGAGTAGGGGTGGAAGTGAGGTTGGGGGTACGAAAACGGGAGAGGCGGCCGAGCGGCCGAGCGGACTCCCGACCGACGCGCGTTGGGCGCGGATGGTGATGCTTGATTTTTTCATACTTCGTCTGTGTTTTTGGGTTGTACGCGTGTTTTGTTTGTGGTTTGGGTTCGGGGTTTGTTTCGAGACCTGTAGGCGGTAGAACGGGGTGTATGGGTGTACTGTACTCGCTGTACCCGCTGTACTGTGCGCGATACAATGTACGAGGATGGTGGTCTCGGACTCTCGGCGAGCGCACGTCGCTGCGTTCGAGGACGCCGTCAGTGGGTACTGTGGCGCAGACGACGTTTGCTAAGTACGTATATATGTACGCGGGCGGTATTTCAACGGCGAGCCCGCGGTGCGTCATGCGTCAAATACGTGCGGGGCCACGATCGCCCTCGAGGGATCATCTGGGATCGTTTGGGAGGATCGGGCAGGATCGGGCGGGATCGGGCGTGGTTTCCAATTGTAGTAATTTACTCGTATTTGATGGTCCCGTTGTATCTTATCTGATTGGGGCGATTTGGTGCCTATCTAATCAGATCATCGTCCCTCGACGACAGCCGGTTGTTCTCACAGTCGTACGCACCCACTGTGCGCGAGTATTCCGGTATGTGGTAAACGCTGCTCCACGGCGACCGACCAATAACGGCGTGCCAGGACTGGCGACGTGTCTTTGCCCTCACACTCCCACTCCCACATCCCACCGCCCTCGCTGCCGCTGTTTTTTTTTTTTGTTTTTTTTTTTGGTTCGAAGATTTCGAAGAGTTTGGCTCGCGAACATGGCGTCGTCCGATGCGCGCGTTTGGGAGACGACGGTGGTGCCGGCGCACGCGCCCGCGCTGATCGCGGCGACGGAGAAGGTGCGCGCGCCGTGCGTTAGTCCTGACGGGTCGCGCGTCGTGTACGAGGTCCAGCCGTTCTACCGCGCGGCGCGCACCACGTGTGCGCTGTGGCTCGCGGAGGTCTCGGCGTCGGCGTTGGCGGCGGGGGCGAGCGTGCCGCTGACGGCGGGGGAGTGGAACGATCGCGGCGCGGCGTGGCTCCCCGACGGGCGGCGGGTGCTGTTCGTGTCGGATCGTGCTGGCGGGGCGCCGGCGCTGTTCGCGATGGACGTCGATAGCGGGGAGATTAGGGCCGTTTTCGAGGAGGGCGCGGACGTCGGGGCGGGCGTGCGCGCGTTCGCGGTCTCGCCGGACGGGCGGCGGGTTGCGTTCGCGAGCGCCGATGCGCCTGGGGCGGAGGACGTGCGGAGGGGGAAAGAGCGGGACGACGCGCGGGTGTGGGGCGGGGAGGGGGAGGGGGAGGGGGGGCGGCGGGCGCGCGTGCGGGTTGGGGAGGTGGAGGGTGGGACGGTGCGCGTGCTGGATGTTGGGCGGGGGAGGCACGTCGAGAGCGTCGCGTGGAGCCAGGACGGGGCGGCGCTCGTGTACAGGCTGCGGGCGGGCGGCGGTGCGGAGCACGCGGCGTTCGAGGTCGCGCTGGAGATGGTCGCGCTGGACGCGCCGGCGCGCGCGGCGAGGCCTGTCGGGCTGGGGTCGTATGTGCGCTCGCCGGCGGGGGCGACGCTGCTCGCGGCGACGGGGCACGTTCTCGAGCTGCAGAGCTACGAGCCCGAGCGGCTGCTCGACGCGCGGACGCTGTTCGTCCATGCCCCTGCCGGCGGCGCGCGCGTGGGGTCGGTGTCTCCCGGCGACGACGTGGGCGCGGGCGCGCGCGCGGTGCAGAGGCTGTATGGCGTCGCGGAGGACGCGGTGCGGCTCGTGGACCTCGGCGGGGACGCGGAGGCGGGGTGCGGGTACGTCGCGGTGGAGGTCTCCGCCGGGCTCGAGACGCGCATCGACGTCGTGCGCGCGTCGTCGTCGGGCGCGGCGCGCACGGTGCAGACGGTCTTTCGGACGCGCGAGGACGCGGTGTGGTTCGGCGCGTGGGACGCGCGGCGCGTCGCCGGCGCGGACGGGCGCCCCGCCGAGTTCGTGTGCGCGGTCGTGCGGAGTTCGGGGCCGCGCCACGAGCCGCCGAATCTGTACGTCTGTCGCGCGCGGGAGGGGGGCGGTGGGGAGGGCGGTGGTGTTGCGGTGAAGCTGTCGTCGCACCTGCGGTGGCTCGCGGATGCGCCGTTGATCCGCACTGAGGTGTGTGAGTGGACGGCGAGGGACGGCACGCGGCTGGATGGGATGGTGCGGTTTCCGCCTGGGTATGTCGATGGGCAGGGGACGCTGCTGCCGACCGTGCTGTTCATCCACGGCGGGCCCTATCGGTTTGTGGTTAACTGCTGTTGCGTGGAGGATGTCGAGGCTGACGCAGCGCGGGGTCGCAGACGGGATATCCCCGATTACATGCCCTATTTCTGTAATTGGCGCGAGATGCTAGCGTCGGCGGGGTACCTCGTCGTGTCTCCCAATTACCGCGGCAGTGCGTCGGTCCCACTGTCTTTTTCGTTTCCCGGGGGGGCTGATCGGGGGGCTTCTTGTTTATTACAGGTCAAGGGAGGGGTCACGCGTTTGCGGCCGCGGCCAACGGGGGGATCGGCGCGTTGGATTGGGGGGACTGCGAGGGCATGCTGGACGAGGTCGTCAAGCGGGGGTGGGCAGACCCGGATCGACTCGGCGTGGCGGGATGGAGTCACGGTGAGTCGGGGAGCGACCGCTGTGTTGTGGAAGGTGCTTATTTCTCCTTATCCTTGCGGGGATAAGGTGGCTCTTTGGCCGCGTGGGGGGTCTCCAAGACGAAGAATCGGTTCAAGGCGGCGGTGGTCGGGGCCGGAGTGTCCAATTGGGAGGGAATGGTCATGGAGTCTGCTTCGCCCGAACTCGAGGTGAGGGCGCGCGCGCTCCTTGTCCCTTCATCTGCACGCCCTGATAGTTCATTGTGCGCCAGATCGCGATCGGCCAGAGCGATCCTTGGACCACAGGAGGTTCCGGTGCCGTCGATGGCGGCACCGGGCACGGGTTTCGCAAGGCCAGCCCGGTGCATGATCTGCACGGCGTGACGACCGCGACGTTGATCCTCCACGGCGAGCGGGACGAGCGGGTGCCTGTCGGGCAGGCCATCGGCTTGTACAGAGGGCTGAAGAGGGTCGCCGCGCCGGAGGGCAGGGAGCGCGCGCAGCTGGTCTTGTACCCGCGGGAGCCGCACGGGTACGTTGGCGTTGGCCCCATGCTCACTGATATCTGAGAGCTCACATTCGATGCGTGTAGGTTCGTGGAGCGGAAGCATGCGGAAGACGTGATGCACAGGGTGCTCAAGCACTTTCATACCTATATGTAAGACATGTGCGTGATCAACGAACGGAATAGCCTCAGCTATGTGGAGCACTTCATCCTGTTTGCAAGGCAGGCAGTCAGCATGCGCACCCAATGCAGCTAGTGTAAATCACTGCTCGCTCGACAAACCGCCGGTACGAAACTGAACGTCAGGATATATTAGGTTCGCGGATACAATCTGCTTCCGAGGTAATGCAGGAACTGAAAGGGTTCAATTGAACACTAAAGTGATATCCCTGCCTCGCCGTGTGCATGCCCAATCTCTTAAAATACAACGCCTCTCCACTTCCGAGGCATCGAAGGAAGTCGGCCTGGCGGGGAATAATCGATTACCTAAGCATGTATTCGGCACGATATGATCTTTTTTTCGCTTTGTGCTCGTTTTGAACGTCGACGTCGTCCCCAACGTCTTCCACGACCTTCCGGCGACTCTATTCTCCTTCTATCTACCTACTTCTTGCTTAATATACTTCACGAAGAAATGGCTGACTACACCCCACCGCCAGAATCGCCATCAGGGCCACAGCCCCACCCATACTTGCACGAGCCTCTGCTCTACGTTTCCGGTCTCCCACCATACGTGACGGATGAGAATCTAGCAGCCACTTTGGGCGCATGTGCCCCCTTCAGACCTCGCATACCTCGCGACGATCCCAGCAGACCGCTCTCGGGGACCATTGAGTTCAAATACCTAGAGAAAGGTATGTGCTGGGTCTCTCGTCCCCGAGCTCGGGGCACATTCGTTCGAATGATGTCGTTCTAACGTCTGCACTCATCGGGGACGCAGCGGAGATGGCGCTCGCGACTCTGCAAAATCGTCCCATCGCAGGAGTGACGCCACATGCGCTCCTCGTACTCTCGCCGTACCCGCCCACCACCCCACCCACGGCTCTCCCTCCCCCGAGCGCGTCTCCCAGGCTTGTTAAGCACCTCCCTCCGGACTACACCGATACCCAATTGTTCAACCTCTTTCGGCCCTACGGCGCCCTCGCCTCTGTGCGCACGCAGGCCCAATTTGGCAAAGACACCGGCGTTGTCGAATTTTGGAGGGAAGAGGATGCCCGACGCGCCGAAGAAGCACTGCAGTACGCGGACGTAGAGGGGCAAAGCATCGCCGTGCAAATATTCCAGCAACGTCGCACGAGTGGGAATGTCTCTGAATTTAACGTGACGGCCCCGGCGTTCGTGCCCTCTGGTTCAGGTTATCCCGGTCCATACCCTCCCCAGGTCAGTCAGACTGTCAAAATTCTGCCTTCGTGCATCCCGCGAGCTCACGACACAACCGTGACCACCACCATGTCTTCAGTACTCTCCTTCGCGGGCGAATCCTTATCAGATGAGAGCACCTGTGCCGTTTATTCATGGGCCTGGCCAGCAAGTGCAGCTTGCTCCTATGCATGGACCTGGCTCAACTAGTCACAGCGGTCTCATTGACCCTTGCAACCTCTTCTGCAAAGTAAATAAAAATAAATACATATTTTCCGCCGCCCTCTTACACGGTCTCCCGCAGAACTTGGATCCTTCGATCGATTCGAACGGCCTGTTCACACATTTCCGCCAGGTGAGCCAGAATATCACTCGCGACGGATTGACGCTCATCAAAGTCTAGTACGGCCAAATCGTGAGGTACGTGTGTCGAGCAGGCGTTTCCTGATGAATTACTCAAGTCTCGCAGCGCCCGTGTTATGCGCAATGAGAACGGAGAGAGTCGTGGGTTTGGCTTTGTCTCTTACCAGACACCAGATCAAGGTATATATTTGACTCTCATGATAGACGTTGGACTCATCGCAGACTATAGCTACTGCCGCGATGCACGCGATGAATGGCGCTGTGCTCGGCACGAAGCAGCTTGTCGTCCGTTTGCATGAGCCGAAGCAACTCCGTCAAGAAAAGCTCGCCGCACGATTCTCTGGACATAATGGTCACCCACGAAACGCTAGCGGTGCGACAAGCCCAACAGCAAGCGAAGGTGGTGAGAGCTATGCTGGTTGGCCTAGTCCTGGTGGTAGATCTGCTATCCTTGGTTCTCCGGCAGCCCATCACGAGAGGTTGGAAAGACCACGCAGGGGATCTGGCAGCTATTATAACGTGAGTTTGCATGATCTTGCACGATCTGTGATCTGATTGTTGTTTCCCAGGCCGCACTCGCTGGTACCCTTAATGTGCCTATGCGCTATGATGACCTTTCGGCGCTGTCGCCTGTCGTCCGTAAAGAGGTGTTGTCAGGGGAGTTGAGCAGACGGCTAAAGGCCACGGACAGCGTCGATGCCAACGAGGTTGACGTGATCGTGAACCATTTCGTCGGTCTATCTCTCAGCGAAGTGGTTTCGTCTATCCAAGATCCCACAAAGTTCAATGACCAGATCCAGAATGCGCGCTTGAAAATGAAACCCAAGACGTCGGTCACGCCGCCTGAGAAATCACCGTCGCCAGCCGCTTCGCAAGACTCGCGGTTGTTGGATCCAAACGCGTTGAATGCGACTGCGTCAGCCCCGGAACATCCATCTACTCCGATCTCCGTCTCTGCTTCGCTCTCGACACCTCCTCGGACTTCGTCGCCATCGGGGTCTGTTGCCACCCCGGCTTCTGAGCGCGAGCGCATCGCCGCGGCTGTCGCACGCCTCGAACCTACTCGCGCTGCGGAGGTTACTGAGCTTCTTATGAGCTTGCCCAAACGTGAGCGCGCGATGTGTTTGTTCAACGTGGAGGTGTTGCGGTCGAAGATCGCGGACGCGAAGTTGGTGTTGGACAGTTCGGACGGCGAAGAAGAGTCCGCACCCACGCCTGCCGTACTCACCAAGAATATCCCGGACGTCCCCGTCACGCCTCAGAACAAGAGGACCGCCGTGCTGCAGGAAAGCCCTCGGACCCCTGACCTGTCGTCTCGCGGTCCATCTGCGGCTGCGTCCCCATCGCCAGCAACGCCGAGCTCTACATACACAGTCGCATCGCTCGCACGCCTCCCCGCAGCTGAAATAATTCGGCTGGCGAACTCACCGTCGACCACGGGGGTACCTGTACCCAAGGCGGACCCCCTCGTCGTAAAGGCGACCGACGAGTTCATCGATGGACTATTAGATCGCCCGATCCAGATGCAGAAGCAGCAACTGGGTGACAAGCTGTGGGTTCTTTCTATTCTCCAGTTCTCTCTCATGAAAACAGTCGCTGACTTGGTCGTTCATACTTTCAGGTTCCGTGTGATCAAGGCGTTTGGCCTTAAGCAGGCTCCTAAACTTACGATCGCACTCCTCGACCAAGACGAACTTCGGCCGTTGGCGCACCTCATGAACAGCTATCCCGCTATCCTGAAGGAGAAGGCTATCATTGTCCAGGCAGCCCTTGCCAAGTGATGAAGCCGTCTCCAACAATTCCCCATATCCCCTCCCTCGATCTTGTCCAAAGTCCATCGTCGTTGTCTCGCATCGCCTCATCGTTTTTCTCTTGTCTATCTCCAACGTTGCTTCCAGTATCACACCTCAAACACCTACCCTCATTCACCATTTTATTCACATTCCTGTTGCCCACTTCTAAAATGCTGCTTTTGCCCGTCGCACCGCTATATCCCCGAATGCCCTCCCATTTCACAACGCGATTAATACCTTTCCTATACCACGCAGTGCTCAGGCGCTATCATTCATCTGGGTATATGGCTACGGCTGACTATTCCCTGTCTTTCATCACTCCTTGAGAAAGACTTCTTCTTTGGAATCTATCCTTGTGCATACGTAGTCTTGCTTCCTTTCTTTGCCTCTTTTACGACCTTTCATGACACTGCGTTTGCTCGATTCTGATTGATGATTTCTAACGGGCTCAGGAGGATCGCCTGTTTTTTTTCTCTGTTCTGTGTTTTGTCTGCCTTGTCTCAGTTTACTTGTGCAATTCATTCGAGCTTGAATGTTAATGCAATGTGCATCTATCGACATATGCTGTTTTTCTGGTGTTTTTGATCAGCACGACGCGGTCATGCGTTTCTCATGTGATGTTTTCTTTCGATCACCTTTGAGCACTCCGTGTGGTGGCGCGACGCCTCTTGCCATTGACAACTTCCACAAACAACTTGCTAAATTCACCTTGACCATGTCTACGTCCCCCGAAAACGATGCTGACGACCTCTTTCAGCAAGATGGACCCGTGATCGTCGACGGCGATCTTCTCGAAGCCAAGAAAGAGAATATACAGCCCCTCGCCTCAGGCCGTCGAGCGACCTCCCTTCAAGCAGCTCTCTCCACTCCGCACGCACTTCGAGAGTCCAAGCTTGCAGCGACGCGTAACCGGCTTCGTATCAACGTCGAAGTTGCCTTGGAAGACGAGGACGACGACCCTCTTGAGGCGTACTGCCGACTCGTGTACTGGACTGTGGAGAATTACCCGGAGGGTCACAGCGCGGAGTCCGGCCTACTCGAGTTGCTGGAAGAGGCGACCCGCGTCTTGAAGGATGATAGACGTGGGACGTGGAGGAGTGATCTGCGATACCTGAAGCTGTGGGTGTTGTATGCCACTTACGTGGAGAAACCTGCCACTATCTTCAAATATCTGATGGCGAATGACATCGGGTCTTCGTTCTCTCTTTTTTACGAAGAATTTGCTGCCGTGTTGGAAAGGAATGGGAGGTAAGTTAGTGAGCCCGTATCTTGACGTCCCGTATCAATCTTCTTTGTATCACAGGCGAACTGAAGCGGACGAGGTCTATCTTCTGGGGATCCACAGACAGGCATCCCCAATCGAACGCCTGCAATCCAAACATCGCGAATTCCAGAAGCGAATGATGTCTGCTGCTCCTGCGCCCGAAAGTCCTCCGTCGCCCCAGCGACCCACCTCTACATCTCAGCGCAAAGTCCTAGGTGATGCTACTACTACCAAAACATCCGCTCGATCCTCTCGCACAGGCTCCACGGCAGGCGCTTCTCCTGCGCTGCCTCGAGAAGACACCTTTGGATCAAGTATTCCTACGCGACCCCGCCCGAACGCTCGCATGCAGATATTCGTCGATCCAACAGGTTCGGAGGCTCAAGCGGCTGCTGACTCGTCTGTTACGCCATGGGATGACCTCGGCACCCGTAAGGCTCGAGTCAAAGAAAACATCCCAGAGATTAGCAAAGCCGCAGGCACTACCTTGAGGCAGCCTGGACGCCACCAACGCCTTGCGTCTGCGTCAAGTGGATCCCGAATTCCGGTATTCCGGGATCCTCCGGCCGTCGTGGAGGCAGAAGAAATACCGCCTCCATCTGCCCCTACGACAAAGAATAGCAAAGCGCCTTCGCAGACTTTGGCCAAAGCCTCGTTTGTGCCATTCAGAGACGACGCGGCAGAATCCCGTCCATCCACCCCACGTTTTACACCGTTCAGAGATGAGGTGCGCGAGGTTCTGTTCGAAGGTCTCGTCCATGCGACTGATTGATCGCTGTCTAGCCCGTTTCTCCCTCGGGCTCTTCAAAGGATGGTACCGCTTTAGGGAGCGTCATGAAGACGAAGAAGGTCGGAGGAAAGGGGCAGGCGATGAGTTCCGAAGGTGAAGCATTGAGAAAGGACCCTTTCAAAAATTATCCTGCCCCGCCTGTTGATGATGATTGACCACGCCTCGTAATACCCAGACCCACTCGTTTCTCGACCCCGTCTGCTTGCTATGAGTACGTTTCTGAGCTACTTGGTGTACATTAGTGCGATAATGCAAGGGCAAATCTTATCTTATCTGCTGCCATTCGATCTCAATATAGATGTCATACCTTCCATATCCGGCGTTGCTGCGATCATGGTATCGAGTTCATCGCCTCTCCGGTCTCAACAACACTCTCCTGCGTTTCTTGGATAGCCCACGGCTGCAATCTGTCACTTACTCTGTTGAAAGACTTGACTGCAGCTAATCATGTCTTTTACAAGATCGGCTCTCTATACAGCTAATCCGACTACCTCCCGTGGTGTATCCACGAAGCTGAGCGCGAACAAGGAGAAGATCGTATACACAAATGGCAAGACTGTCTTCGTACGTAGTGTGAAACATTGCGTATAATCTTGTCTCACACTGTGCCGCGCAGATCCGGGACATCCAAGTAAGCCGTTTGCATTTGATTGGACGGAGACGCAGAGGTGATGGCTCAGCTCTGTGCAGAATCCCGGGCTCGGCGTCGCGTACACGGGACACGTGCATAACGCGACGGTAGCGCGTATATCACCGACTGGATACTACTGTGCATCTGGAGATATTGCAGGCAATGGTGCGTCTTGATTCTGTGAACTCGAGGTATGATTGCTATAGCCTAAACAGTGCGCATATGGGACACGGTGGGGGAGGACCAGACGTTGAAAGGGGAGTACAAAGTTATCTCCGGAAGAGTGTATGCACTCGCCTATCTTGGTTCTGAGGATATCCTGACTCACGCCTCTACAGAAATGATCTCGAATGGGATGGAGAAAGTAAACGCATCATCGCGGTTGGAGACGGGAGAGACAAGTATGCTGACGATCAACAATCTGGACAGCAAGGATCTAACCTCACCTGTGCCCCAGGTTCGGGCATGCTTTCATGTTTGATACTGGTACTTCAACGGGGGAGATCATCGGGCATTCCAAGGTTCGTCAAAGTTTACTCGTCTGCTCGTACAAGGCATCAATAGTAGGGGTGTAGATCATTAATGCTGTCGCCATTCGCCATCAAAGGCCCTTTCGTGCCGCAACTGCAGCAGATGACAACTTGATCGTGTTTCACCAAGGTCCGTCGATCGTGTCATCTTTGTCACTGGCGTGGTCTTCATGTTCACCTTAGGCGCACCCTACAAATATGACAAGGTGAACTACAGCGGATTCCTGAGTCTGAATGATCTAGACAACGAAACTTGCGTATCAGACCATCAAGTCTCATACAAAATATGTTCAAGATGTACGGTATGCGTTATCAGGCGACCACTTCGCTAGTGTGGGATCAGACGGCAAGGCGTTCCTATATGATGGGAAAACTGGAGACATCCTTGGAGAGTTCGAGGAGGCGCACAAGGGTACTGCTGTAAGTTTTCAAAAAGACGAGTCGTGTCTATTGAGACTGACCACGCAAATCAGTATGCTGTAGGTTGGAGTCCAGACAGCAAGTCAGTTGTGACGTCGTCCGCGGATACCACGGTAAAGATCTGTACGACTGTGCCCCTCGCATCATCAACTTGTATTGATTCTCAACTTTAGGGGATGTTGAGACGCGCAAGTCAACCGCGACATACGTGCTTGGAACTGGAATCGACCACCAGCAAGTCGGAAATGTTTGGAGCGCTCCAGACACCATAATCTCACTGTCCGGGTCGGGCGACTTGAACGTGTTCGATAGGAGAAGTGGAGGCAGTCCGGTTAAGATCCTTCGCGTAAGTATATCATACTTACGCAGATACTACTTGTAATTGACTCCCGTTTCTTCTTTAGGGCCCACAAAAAGCTGTTACCGCTTCGGTGCCTTCGTCTTCTGACACGTTTTTGGTTGGCACTGCAGATGGACGTATTCTGTCGTACGACGCACAGGGCGAGGCTTCTTACGTTCAAGGGCAGGGACACACCAATCTCGTCTCCAGCCTGACTTCTGGAGCCGACGGCAAGATATATACTGCGGGCTTTGACGATCGGGTCCGCGAGGTCGAAGGACAGGGCTTTGTGTGCGTTCAAACCTCCCTTATTCTTGAGCCTAGTTAGCTGATTAGCTAGTTTTGTCACAGACCGGCGTCCTTTTCTACCGGGACCCAGCCTAAAGATTTAGCTGTTGCTAGCGACGGTACTGTATTTATTGCTGAGAGCGGCGGGGTCGAAGCCGTCAGGTCGAATCAGAAAGTTGCTGACCTCAAGATGAAATCAAACCCCACCGCTGTCGCTGCGAGCGGGCACAATGTTGTTGTTGGAACAGAGGTACGTGCTATTCGCTGAAACAAACGACGTCCGCATTCTTGAACCTTCTACTATCTAGGACCAGAAGGTCCGATTGTATGATTGGGATGGAAAGACCTTCACAGAAGTGGCCACGCTTGAAGGAAACAAGGGCGTTATCAGTGCCTTGTCATTTTCCCCTGATGGCACGAAATTAGTCTCGGGAGATGTGAGTTGTCGTTCGGACTAATCATGGACAATGCCCTCACTCTGTTCCGTCAGTCGAGCGGGAAGATCGTTTTGTTTGACGTTCAAGAGCGGAAGGTAGATCGCCTACTCAGCGAGGATTAATGGAAACACTCATAGCAATTCCTGCGTTGACAGATGATCACAGGGCGGTGGTCTTTCCACACCGCACGCATTCACTCCCTGTCATGGACTGCGGACTCACAGCATTGCGCGTCTGGCTCCCTCGATACCCATGTTTATATATGGAGCGTGCCGAAGCCGATGAAGAATATAGCGATTAAGAATGCAGTGCCTGGAGGTGTAAACACTGTGTTTTGGCTGGATGGCGATGGTAAGAGGGGCAAGTTGGTTTGTGCTGGTGCCGATGCTTGCGTCCGGGTGTTGGAAGTCTCTTTCCATGTGTAATTCGGTGACTATGACTCGTCTTTGTGAAAAACTTCGAGTTCATGAGCAGTTCCAGTAGAACATGTGTACGAATCTATAACAGAAAGTTGTCGAGAAATCTTGACTGTCACAATTGGGTTATCGGGGTTTTGAAACGCGCTTGTGGCAGAGCGTGAGAAGTTATTTCCATTTATAATATATACCGTGGATGGGCTGATTTCTAGAAGTGTGCCGTATATAACTGCCAACCACCTCGCTCCACTTGTTCGCCTTTCTCCCACTCTCGTCCACCGTCTCTCCTTTACATCACATCCATGTGAGTGTCACTGTGGTATTTTTTAAATTTCATGGCGGCTTGGCCAGCATCTACTTTGCTGGATCGCTTTGGGAATGGATTATGTACTGACATTGACTACGTGTCTAGAAAAATGTCGTCTCCTGCTCCCCTCGAGGATGGACGTGTCGGCTCGCGCATCGAGAACTATACCGGCTTCTGGCAGAAGGATATGGACAAAGAAGCTAAGGTTGATACCGAGAACCGTGTCGATAACTACACCGACGTTATTAACGGTATATAGGTTTCTAAAAGTAGATGTTTTCTTTGTCTGATTGTTCTCACAGGTTACTACGATGGAGCAACCGAACTCTACGAGTACGGTTGGGCACAATCCTTCCACTTCTCGCGGTTCTACAAGGGCGAGGCCTTCGCTGCGTCTCTTGCCCGTCACGAACACTATCTCGCCTCTCAGATGGTCCTGAAACCTGGCATGCGTGTCCTCGACGTCGGCTGCGGTGTCGGTGGACCTGCACGGGAGATTGCACGCTTTGCAGACGTCAACATCGTCGGGGTGAACAACAATGACTTCCAGATCGGCCGTGCACGGAAGTACACGAAGAACGCCGGCCTTGAGGGACAAGTCACATTCGCTAAGGGCGACTTCATGAAATTATCCGAGCAGTTCGGCGAAAATTCCTTCGATGCGGGTGCGTGGTTATTGACACATCAACTATTTTCAATATTTATATAATATATGTGTAGTATATGCTATCGAGGCTACCGTGCACGCCCCGACATGGGAGGGTGTCTATGGCGAGATTCTCAAGGTTCTCAAGCCTGGAGGAGTAGTGAGTCTGATTGTCTTACATCTCATTCTTCGTTTTCTGATGTAGTGCAGTTCGGTGTATACGAATGGGCGATGACCGACCGTTGGGATCCATCTATCCCTGAACATAAAGCTCTCGCACATGAGATCGAGTTCGGTAACGGTATCCCGGAGATGCGCCCGCTGTCCAAGGCGCGCGAGGCGCTGAAGACGGTCGGATTTGAGATCGAGCACGAGGAAGATCTTGCAGAGCGTGATGATCCTGTACCATGGTACTATCCTCTCGAGGGCGATATCTCAAAAGCACAGACGGCATGGGACTACATCACGGTTTGGCGGATGAGTTGGAGCGGCAAGTTGGTCAGTCATACGGCCATGCGTGTCATGGAGTGGTTCGGCCTGCTACCCAAGGGCACATATGATGTCGGCGAGGCTTTGAAGGTTGCGGGCGACTCCCTTGTCAGGGGTGGTCAGACGAAGGTCAGTATTTTGTTGATCAGTCTATTGACCTCCAGCCCTGACAGTTGGCTTTTCTCTAGCTATTTACGCCCATGTATCTTGTCATCAGTCGCAAGCCACGTCAAGACTGAATATAGCCCTTCGTTACCTCTGTCGCTTCCTGGATCTTGGTCATTTTGACAGGTACATTAATTCATTTAATCTAGACATTCTTGGATGTGATACCCCATGCTCGGCAACGCTGCATAATTGCTTGTTGCACCGTATTTCTCAGCGCCCATTTTGAGCTCAAGATGAATCGTCAAATTCTACGGCTGATAGTAAGGTCCCCAAGTGGTCCCCAGTGGTCTCCGTCTGTCAACATATCGTGCTCTGAGAGTATCTATCAGGCAAATACCTGGATATGTTCATAATTGACATCGAGAGCCTGGATGTAACTTTTTGGAATTGTCAAGGCAAGCCACAGAACGACTGTAATCTTCTGTGTTGGTCGGCCACGGAGACTACTGTCAGACTGTGATTTCCCACGCCAAGTCATTCTGCAACTGCGCGCATCGACTCAGGCCTAGGTTCAAATTTTAAACGTTGAACCAAACGTTGACTGCATTGTTCAAGCCTCAACGTCCTCAACACCTCGGCGCTTACTCGCCATATCCTGCGAATTGATGTATGTCCGTTACATATAACCTGGGGCCCACTCAACATAATGCGTATATTGTCATCACTCATAGCGTCGTCGGACAATGCTATCCGAGTCCGCTAATGAAGGAATTCCTATCTGCTTGCCTGCTCTTCCGAATGAACTGTGGCTACGGATCTTCGAGCTAGCAACTGAGATCTTTGGGATCCTAGACCCAGGCGTACACGATCCTTTCGAAGCATCGACTCCTTTGTTCGAAATCAACTACGACGGTGATGATCCTGAAGTTCGTCATTCTCTCGACATGAAAAGCCGCCTCGTCCGTGTCTGCAGACGATGGCGCATGCTAGCCACGCCGTTATTATACCAGGTCATCATCATCCGTCATTTTCGACATATCAACACACTCCGACTCATCGATACCATCAAGCGGGCGGGAAGCAATGCTGCTTTTGGTGCTTTACCGGGCCGTGTGGTGCATCGGCTAGACATAGCGATCAGGGAGCCCATTACCACTTATATGGCACTGAATGTGCGACGTGTCCTTTCGAAAATTGTCAAAGCACTCCCTTCGCTGCGCATACTTGTTGTAATCCAACGAGAGCTCCGGGACCAAAACGGCTCCTCAGGCGACCTTCTACCACCATCACTTGACTTTGCTCAGGCTATTGACACGCTCGGCAGCTTGACGGTGCAAAAGCTGCGCTGGGATACCGATCCGCCCCTTGGAACCAAGACTTGTCGATCTCTGCTTACACGCTTACCGAGCCTGCGCACCCTCATGGTGGGCGAACCAGGATTTTGTCCTTTCGATCTACCATCTCTTCCCGATTTGCACTTTGCTACATTGTTGCACGACTCTAGCACGGACAGCTCCGGAACCGCGGCCTCGTTTCCAAACCTAAGACAAGCCCTCTTCCGGCCGTCTGTGCGATATGACATAGGGTGCATAACAGAGTTTTTAGCCTCGAAAGCTCCTGAACTTACAACCGTGTATCTGGAGATGAACTCGTCATGGACTAGAGAGCTGTGCCGCGCTTTAGCACGTCACTGCCCTCATGTTGCACATATTATTCTCTTCACGGGATATTCGCAATGGTCTACATGGAACAGCGGCTTCATGGATACGTCTGGCCTATATTTTCAATCTAGCCCATATTTCCCCTCCATCACGCATCTGGGTCTTTTCGGTCCTCCGTTCAATGATGATAGTCATTGTTTACGCATTTTCCGTTGGTTGAGATCCGTTCTTATACCGTCGTCTCTCAAGGTCGTGCGATTTCTGAACCCACAATGCGTAATGGATATGCTATATCGACGTTCGGCGGCCGTAGCAGAGGGACTCATAGCCCTCCCTGATTTGCGAGTGGAAGACCACGAAGGAAGTGATTTGAGAGTCCGAATCATTGTCAGGGTCCAATAGGAACAGGAGTGCGTAATAGACCTGTTGCTTTCTTACTGTTCTCAACGTTGCTTACCCCAAGCACTGATGAGAATGTCCTACAGGTTTATGTTCGCAATCTCGTGATTGGATATCAACTGGTATCCCCTCTCTATGTTGCTGACAGTTCAATCACTTGTGCCATGTTCCACCGACCTCTTCCCCTCAACTTTGCCCGAACACGACGTCTGCTCTCCAGAATTCGACTGCGAAGGGGAGACTTGATATGAAGCCCCCCATACAGGTGCCCAACACCGCTTGTACATATATTGATTGTCTCATGGTCGTCGCGCTCTGTCTTCTTCCTTCCTATGACGGCCAAGAGCCTTGGATCGTACAGTGCGTTGTGCGCAAGCATGATATGGACCTGGAAGGCTGTTTGGCATTCTCAGAGTCTCACACGTACGCTTCACTATGCATCAACATTGACAAGGTTGGAATTAGATACTCTCCGGTCGTTACGGTCCAGCTGGAATTGCGTCTTTGTTGTTTCGCACGTAACAAGGTCATCTTTATCGGTTCGTCAGACTTATGACGAGCAAGCTCGACTGAACATAGATTAATGTCCACTCGTAGATTCCTTGTAGGTTCAAAGTTCCCACAAGGAGGATCTTGTTGGCTTGGCAGGGATGCTCACCGCTGTAGGGTTTTCGACCGAAATGCGAGGAAGCCTTTCTTTGCCTCCTGACTTCATCTACTCGCATCGTACATCAGTTGTGGATACCGTGCCTAGAACTCCATATGGCTCTGGATTCCCTGCCCAATGGTGTCGCTCCGTACAGTCAGGATTTGACCTCAATTTCTCACCGGGGCTTTTTCTGAGAGCTCAGTCTAGGTGCAGTCTACTGCAGACATCAATAGGTCGTAGTGTAGATTGATATTGGGCTCAATATTGTACAGCAGAATCATGATGAGGGGTTTGAGAACGTACTTATAGTTCACAGGCGAAGAAGCGCGGGCCCTCCTCTTCGCTATATTGCTCTGCTTTGCACCTCGCGGTTGTCTCATAGCTGTTGCTCTCTTCTAGTGTTTTCAAACGGGTTCCTCTGCCTCGGATCGTCGATATATATAGATCCTTGGTTTCATGGTGTCCTTCGAGCATGTCCTGTGGCAATGCCATAATCTCCGTCGAGAGAACTATATGGATAGGTGCGCACTCGACGATTGATAGGAGACTCTGACTGACCCTTGACGCCTGCTGTAAAGGATTCATTTTGCTTACAACAACACCAAATGCGTTCGCTTGTTGAAGATCGCATGACCATGGCGGATGGTGCGAACGGCGTCCCGAATCCATGGGCTTATGGAGGTTTACGGTGCTCGCTGTACCCCGCTGGATCTATTTGCAGTTGGCCAATACAGAATGATGTGCCTGAGCGTGGAGCCCCGCACTGGCATGGGCGCGTGACACAGCCCCAGGTTTCGGAACGTCGTACTTAGCGCGCGCCGTAACGCGCAGAGGTAGTATCGTTATTTCCTTCTTATAGGCTGCCAGCCAGATTATGGTTTCTTTGCGGCTTACTTCTTGACAGCCACCGTCTCCCCCATCACCCTGAGGCCGTCCTGCTATTTTCTTCTGCGATGTCTTTTGAAGAAAAGCAAGTTCGTGAGACTGCTGTACCTCTGGGCGAGAAAGTGGGTGGGGATACCAAGTTACAGTATCTGGAGGCCGCTGCAGACGACGATAACAAGTCGATCGTCATCATCTCGCTTCAGGAGAAACGTCTCGTGCGACGGCTGGATAGGCGAATCCTCCCTATCGCCTGCCTCATGTATCTATTCGCATGTGCGCATCTGCTATTCAATCGAATTGGTCTGTAACATATTGACACGTCGCTATAGATCTCGACCGAAGTAACTTGGGGAACGCGCGTCTGCAGGGTCTTCCGCATGATGCACTTCACGGGGACCCAACGGGGAAAACTTTTGATTGGGTGAACTCGGCTTTTTTCTTTTCTTATGTGAGTAGTAACAGACTCTGCCATGTTGTCGAAACTTTCAATCGATTTTGTCACTTCATTGAGCGGAATCATAGATTCTTTGCCAGGTTCCTGCGACCATCCTCTCCAAACTCTATCCACCCCGCCTTTGGCTGGGATGTGCTGCCCTAGGTTGGGGCCTCTGCTCTACTCTCATGGTATTCATTCATACACCTATTAATATGCATACACTGAAATTATGGGTCGCATCGGCAGTCCACGGGGTTCAACGAGACAGGTCTTATTGTCGCTCGCGTCGGCCTCGGTGTTTTCGAAGCTGGATTCGGTCCTGCCATCCCGCTCTATTTCTGTACGTTACTTCCCTTTACTACGACCTTTCCTAAATTCGTCGCATGCACCTGATATCATCAAATAGCTCTTTTCTATACGAAGTCAGAAATTGGGCTGCGTCTCGCCTATTGGTTTGGATTCGCCGCAGTTGCAGGTGCATTTGGCGGGCTCATTGCCTTCGGTGTTCAGCATGCACATACGAGCGTTGAAAATTGGCGTCTTCTATTCATTATAGAAGTGAGAAGATTATGCTTCCGTACTATACTTCCGTGCCGTCTTCGTGAAGCTAAAGTTTTGACGCATTATTTAGGGCATCCCTGCCATTGCTCTCGGGCTCATAGCGATCACACTCCTGCCAAATAGACCGGAGATGACCAACTTCTTCAACGAAGAAGAGCGTGCTATCGCCCTCGAACGCGCCAACCGGGATGCTACTCGAGATGTCGGGTTTATTGTGAATAAGACGCATATCGTGTCTGCTTTCAAAGACTGGCGCGTGAGTACCAGCACTCATCTCCTTCTCTTTGTTACTGAAGGTACCTTGGTGTTCAGATTTATCTCGGCGGGGTCATATACTTCGGCGCTAACTGTGCACTTGCCTCTATCTCCGCGTTCTTGCCTACAATAATACAGACATTCGGATACAGTGCGTCGGGTTGACAAGCCTCTCTGATAAAATACTCACATTGGCTATCTTCTGTATCTGTAGCGAATGCCCGTGCACAGTTACTCACAGTTCCCCCATACGCTGTCTGTGCCGTTGTAATCACGTTAGCCTCGTGGTGCTCTGACCGCCTGCAGAATCGTGGAATATTTATTGCCGTGGCAAGTACTGTGGGAGGAATTGGATATCTGTATGTCTCCTTTTATTCTTCAATCGTGGATAATCTGGATGTATATTCATGAGAATAATCAAGGTTGCTACTCACAGTGCCTGGTAACATCCATGTGCGCTATTTCTCCACCTTTTGCATCACGACTGGGACATATACAACAATCGGTATCGCTATTGCCTGGTGTGGGTATCATTTTGTTGGCCGTTTTTCAAGGTTTATTGAATATGATCTTTTTTCGTCTAGTCGCCCATAACCTGGCGTCGGAGACAAAACGAGCGACAGGTACTCCAATGTACATGGCTATAGGCCAGTGCGGTAGTGTGCTTGGATCGCATCTATTTCCAAGCATAGAAGGGCCAAGATATATGTACGATGTTTCGTTACTTGTATACAGTGCATTTTGCTAATCATAATTTGTTTTAATGTATAGCAAGGGATTTGCAGGTGCAGAAACACTTACCAGATCTGCGATAGCTTATTAAACGGTGACTACTTCTATAGTATCCTGCGCTCTGGAGTTCCTTGCAGCCCTTTGTGCCATCATACTTAGTGTTCGTCTGATTTCTTTGTTCTAGCGGCATGGCAAAGATTCTAACTCGATCGCAGGTGCATTACCACTACGACAATTCACGAAAAGATCGGAAATACGGGAAGACTACTGCTGAGACGATTGTTGATACGACCGAACTAGCGGACAGGGTCTGTTCTCTCCCTCGTTGACTCATTTATCGCATAAGCTCATGAGCATCTGTTCAGGCACCTGGATTCCGTTATGTCCCTTGAAGAAATGCATCCTTGACTGTGGGTTCGGCCCTGCCATCTCTGCTCGGTGATTGTGAGGCCTGAGGTCTCGGAACGAGCGAATATACGAGCAGTCGGTGCACAGAGTGCAAGATATGTGTATTTATCATGTGAAGTATTCCGTGCTGTATGTTATGGTAGCGAGACATCTCGGTTGCCTATTCTGAGTACTCTGTTCCCTCGCGACTGCGATGTTTTTGAACACCTCAATCATTTAAGGGTCTTATTGTGACATTGTACGGGATTGTGGCGCTCATGACTGGCTGAGTATGAGGTGGAAGGCGGAAGGTGGAAGGCGGAGGCTTTCGCCAGAATGTTCCAGAACAAAGATCTACAAGCCTGATGTTGCATCTAGTATTTCAGTAGTAGAACGTCAGATCCGCAAGGCGCCTGGACGAGCGAGGAGTTGCTCAGTGTTGAGGCCTGAGGCCTAGTAGACTTCCAAGAATCTGGATTTATGAGGTCAATGGGCGCGTCTGCGAGACAAGGTTCCAATGTCTATGCCTTCCAACTGATGGATAGCCGCCTTTCCAGAATGCTTCGAACGAGATCAAGGAAGCTAGGCAAAAGGGGAAATATGAGCCCAAAAATAACCGATCGGGACTGACCAAGTATTATGTATCTCTGTCCATGGAATCTCTAGCTGGAGTAGTGGGGAAGAATAAGTGCGGCTTCGTGAACCCGTTTCGTGAAATGGATTACTCACATCGCGACGCAGCGTATAGAGCTAGAAGGCTACAAAATAGAACCCTACCAGGTAGAAATCTCACGGTACTGGCTGGCACGGGCAGGTATGAGAGACGCAACCTGAGATGAGCCGAAAGGGTCTACCAGGAGGAGAGTGTAGTGTACTCACCACGATAAAAGGTTCGAGGGTGGTCATCAGCTCGTGAACGATTATGTCAACAAAATGGATTTCCAACCTTCGCCATCTACAAACGCGAGGTATGACACTAAAATTACATTCCTTCTTTCTCCATTGGATCAACCGCTGGAAGGAAGACACAGAGAGAGGTCTCAAACAAATATATAACATCGAGAAGATGGATAGCGACAACGACGAGAAGGTCAAATGCAGACAGACGAGAGAGCAGCTGGGATCCCCAAGACATCCAGACGGAAAGGCGTTAGAACGGCACAGAAAATAAAGATGAGAAGGGGCGAAAAGATTGATCTTTGATATTTTACCGTACATGTGTATGTATGAACAGAATGAAATGTGATTGTTTGGTCCGAGGGAGGGTCGTAACGAGAGAAAGAAAACAAGTTGAAGTGCGGCCAGAGGCTCAGATCCTGGTAGCATCGCAATCTTGTATTGACGAACCGCGGGGAGCGAGAAAGTTATGTCATGTTTACAGGGTTGAAGCTCATGATCTCTTCATAAAGAAGCTCCTTCAACTGTTCGCGACTGATGTCGTCCTTGTGGACTGTGAAAGAGCATGAGAGATCAAAAAGAAAATACAGTCTGGAGAGATGAGGTGACGCACGATCGAACTCGAAGAATTCTGGATCGAGAGGTGGGGCAACGGGCTCGTCGTCAGGATCATGCTGCACGACACATTACTTAGTATCAGTAAGCATAGACTGCGCATTCACGCACGTATGCCTCGAGGTAGGGATGTGCAAGCGCCTGTTCTACTGTGATCCGCTTCTTTGGATCGAATGTCTGCAAAAGGGGAAAAAGTTCAGCGTCTCGGCACGTGCCGGCGAAGTCGCGCCACGAAGTTACGCACCAGGGTCTTAGTGAGGAAATCGATCGCGTTCGGATTCGCGTTGGGGAAGAGCTGTGTAAAGGGCTTCTTCTTCCGGAACGGCAGGGCACGGATATAGTCCCGCGAGCGGCGCGTCGTGATCGCGTAGAACTCGTCAAGGGTAGGCGTGCCGAGTACGTCGAGGATGAGGGTGAGCTGGTGATGATAGTCTCGTCCGGGGAAGAGCGGTTTGCCTGATAGCATTTCTGCGAGGATGCAGCCTACAGACCAAACATCGATGGCCTTGACATAATATTTGCAAAGTAAGCAAAGGGTGAGACATTTCTGAGGAAGCATACCTCACCTTGGTGTATTGTTTGAAGGTAAGCATGATTTCTGGCGCACGGTACCACCGTGTGGCTACATACTCAGTCATGAATCCCGTCTCGGTGCCCGATGGCTCTGCAGTCTTGACCGAGCGGGCTAAACCAAAGTCACAGACCTTGAGATCGCAGTTGGCGTTCAAGAGCAAGTTGGATGGCTTGAGATCACGATGGATGACATCCGCGGAATGTAATGCTTTCAAGGCACGAAGAGTTTGATACACAAAGTATTGTGCATGGTCATCGGATAGATCCTGCGTTCGTATGACACGATGCATGTCCGTTTCCATCAGTTCTTGGATCACTGTGACATCCCACATGTGTTACAGTGAGATCCACGCGATAGACGATATGGAGATGGTCGAGACGTACGATAAACTTCTTTGAATGCGTCTATAGAGGGAGGCTTAATGATATCCAAGATAGAAATAATCTGAGACAACAGTCAGCGTCTTGCCATGCCAAACCTCCTAATCAGCTGAAACCACCCATCTGGTGTCATGGTATCGAGCACCATCTGTTACTGGCCACCGAAAAGGAGAGAATGAGACGCACATTTTCGCTGACACCAGCCTCACTGAGGAATTTCAGCAGCTTGAGCTCACGGAGCGTCCGAAGGCAGAACATGGAGTGGTCGAAAGGCATGATCTTCTTGATAGCGACTTTGCGACCACTTGGTCGATGCACAGCTGAACACACGATACCATAGGCGCCCTCTCCAACGACGTCCAGAACCTGATATTGTGTGCCTTCGGGTGGGAGCGCAGAGTTGTGAGAACTGGGGGTCCTGACATACACCATGCATCCGTGTACTCACCTACGTTGAACCGAACCTTTCGTGGTGCAGGCTGAGCCTGAGAGGCAGCGTGACCATGTTTTGACTTTTTCGCAGCGTCAGCCATGATGGTGTATGGGGAGCGAGGGATGTGGTGGGAGGAAGGAAGGGAGGAACAAGGGCGACTCGGAGAACCCGCTGGAATGAACAACAAAAGGAGCTGTTATAGAAGTCACCGCATTTCCTGTTTCGGGACGATTCCAAAGGAAATTAGGATTGTGCCGCTTATGAAATGCAGGTCGTCCTCGCCATGACAATGTCTGACAATCCTCTCGTCGTCAAGCCTCTCCATCGCCCAGATCACTTCGTCGCGAACAGTCGTTCTCTGCGCCTTCAGCTTGTCTATCTGCTTCTTGATCCCAGAGCCTCTCTAGCTGTCAGATTCCCCTTCATACCTGTCTCAAGTCAATCGGCATGATGCAGGCGTGTGCCCCTTAAATCAGTCTCCGCAAAATTTGATAGGAACCCTCTCGAGTTTCAAACTGTAGGAGCGTGGGCTGAGAAGATTGTTGTAGTATCGTTGGACCTATAATATTTTGCCTCCTCCGATTAGATATTGTCTGGCCGAGAGACTACGTGAATATTCTGGCAATTCTAACACGTCGCTCAGGAGGTTCGGATCAAGCTCCGTTCACCATTTGATGAAATGCGGCTCCCAGGTTTGGGGACGAAGATCAAGAGCATCACAATCTACCTAAGCGATTTGACCAAAAAATACCTAGTTTCGTACAGCTTTTGTACGAAACATGATGAAATGGATCACGTGACTGAAGCGTGTCTTTTATGTTTGTGTTTGGTGACTGTTGATGCGCGCTGGATCGATCGCTGCGGTCCCGACGCCGTGTGGCGCGTCGTGGTCTTAAACCCCCACCATCGCCTTTGTTCTTCTTGTTCTCTTTCTTGATCTCGTTGCATCTCTTTCTCATACAACTCACACTTATCCTTCTCCAACTCAGTCTGAGCCACACCACCTCAACAGAATCACATCGTAGTATCCAGCCCAAACATGTTTTCGGTACCACAGACACCGCAGCCCCCATCCTCGTTGAATGAAACAAAGCCAGATATTTCAGAGCTGGACGCTTCTCGAGTGTCGCAGACTGCAGTCATTCAAGCAAAGCTGAATCGGCGGTTGGGCCCAGAATACGTCTCACAACGTCCTGCGCCAGGCGGAGGACCTAAACTCACGTATGTCGAAGGTTGGAAAATCATAGGGCTAGCAAACGAAGTTTTTGGGTATAATGGATGGAGCTCATCTATTGTAAACGTGACTATGGACTTTTGTGATATATGCGAAGAAACAAAAAGGTACAGTGTCGGAGTCACAGCGATGATCAAAGTTACGTTGCGGGATGGGACGTCCCATGAGGATGTGGGGTATGGAACTGCTGATAATCTGAAGAGCAAAGGCGCGGCCTTGGACAAGGTGAGTCCTGGATGGTTTCATTTTCTGATCCTGTGATGCAAGCGTTCATTGTATACGTTCAGGCCAAGAAAGAGGCTGTTACCGACGGAATGAAACGCGCTTTGAGAAATTTTGGCAATCTTCTTGGTCTATGTCTATATGAAAAATCTTTCGCACAGGAAGTCGTGAAGATAAAGGCTCCACCGCCAGTGAGTACTGTTGTGCCACTCCACCCAAAAAGCTAACGGGATCGACTCAACTCGCGCATCTAGCCGAAGATTGACAAAACAGATCTTCACCGACGCCCAGAATACGAGACTAATGTCTCGACATCGAATGATACCCAAAGTGCTGCGCCGCCAGCAGATTACCCCAATCCACAATCAAAGCCGCATGCGCAGGAAGATATCAAACCCATTCCCCCACAAGGGATGAACGCAGCGGTACATTCAACAAATGAGAGAGGCAGGGTGCCGCAGGCTCCCATGAACGGTTCAGGAGTAAATTACGGTGTTCGTAATCTGGGATTAAACACCCCAAACGAGACTCCGGCAGCGAACAAGTATCCCATTCGCTCTGTCCAACCTCAGCCTCAAGTACAACGTCCAGGCCAGGCAATGCCCCCTCAACCTTATCCACCTCCTCGGCAGCTGCATTCAGTTTCAAATGCACCACCGCCGCCCCGTACCGAGCGCACCGTCACGTTCGCCGCTCCTGCACGACCACCTGCTGTCGTCGGCTCACCTCAACCTCAAGATATAGAAGAAACAATTGACAATGCCGACGACTTCTTCACGTCAGAAGATGATGCGCTGTTCGCCGCGCTTGACTTCGCCGCCGTTGATGGCCTCTCGGAATTGAACACGACTAGTGACAGTGACAATGCGCATGCTAGTAACAACAACAGTTCCAAAGGGAACGATTCAACGAAGACATTGGGGGGTAACACATCGAATAAGGCCGCTGATGGAGGTGTTGGCGTAACCTCCTCGAACAGGAACTCCGATTCGAATGGTGCGGCTTTTCGTGCGCCGAATGCGTCTGCATCCATGGGAGAATTCAGATTCCCGCCCGGCATGGTATGATCTGCCATTTCACGCATATATAATTATATGCGCGTTGTCTGACTTGATCTGGTGCTATAGACCCCGGTTGGCAACGGCATCCGTCCGTTTGTTCCCCCCGCGGCTCAGCGGGGCCCTCCGGGCGCAACTTCATCGTCAACCATCGGTGTGAAGCGACCCGCGGAAGCTATGCTGTAAGTCATCTCGGTACGTATACTCTGGCATAATTGATTGATTCGGCCGCAGGCCGTCTAGGCGCCCGGGGCAAGGGATGGGTCTCGCGCAACAGCAAACGGGGGGGAATCGGCATAGACCGCCGTTGTCGAATCTGGAGGTTGGATCAAGCGGGGATGTGAAACGGCTGAGGCGATAGAGACGAGCGTCGAGGTTCGCCGGATGTACGATGGAGTACGCACGGACGTGATTGGCCATGTGTATCAATGAGCAGGGTCCGAACGAGACAGACCTTTGTGTATTTCTAATTCGCACCATGTATACGTCACTTGTGTCCGTATTCTCTTGATACTTCTCGTTACTGAATAGCGTAATGACGATAGGACCCATAGCGCACTATACGCAGTTTATTTTTTTCTAGTGGGGCGCGCTGGCCTTTTTTGAGGTATTATTCAAGTTATCATGGCAATATCCAGGTCAAGGCAAGAGCAGCAGGACACAATCGAGTACACTAGTACAACAGAGCAAATAGGATGCTGAAAGACGAATGGACGTAGCTACGTCCGCATGTAAATAGCCGATTGCTCGACGAGACGACGCGCGCCGCTGCGCTGTCCGATCCATCAGAGCTCGAACTTCTCGAGCACCTCGACGACCTTGTCGTGGCGGGGCGCGATCCTGATCCTAAAAGGCACCGGCGAGCGACCCGACTGGCCGTCGTACTCCCTGAGGTCGATCGGCTCGCCAGGGATCTCGCGCATGTCGAACGCCCAGAGCATGCGCGAGATGGCGAGCCAGATCTCGCGCTCGGCGACGATCTTCCCGGCGCAGATGCGGCGGCTGCGAACGGGGCGGTTTCTGAGCTTCTGCGGGCCTGGCAGCGGGGGGGAGGGGCGAGGAAGGAGAGGCTGGAGAGACTTACCCGACTCCGAACATCCAGTGGTCCCGCTGGTACGGGTCTGGAAGGTTGGCGCTCTCCGCTGACGTGAGAGTATCTCCGACATAGCGGTCCGGCTTAAAGGGCACTGTCAGCGTGCATAATCGACCGTGGAGGTACGAGATACGCTACGTTGAAAGTGAACGGCTCTGGATGGCGTTGCTCGTTGAAGTGCATCGTATAAGTATTGCAGATCACGACCGTGTCCTTGGGGATGAACTGCCCCTTGTATGTAAAGTCCTCCGACACAGCATGAGGCGTCCCGAGCCAGAACGGATTGTGGACGCGTTCGACCTTCGTTTCTGTTTCAGCGCGAATGGCCGCAGGGAGTGGGGGCACACGACGGACCTCTTTGATGATGGCGCGGCAGTAAGGCAGGTTGGGCTCGTCCTCGACGGCGGGGAGGCGATCGCGCCCCACCACGCGGTCGAGCTCTTCTTGGGCCTTCTTCTGGACGGCGGGATAGGCGGGTATGAGGGCAGAGAACCATTGCATGATGCCCGCGGTCTGCGATCAAGGCACCCTGTCAGCTCAGACTAAGGATGGGAATATGCCTGAGGGGAAGGGGCGTACGGTCTCTACTCCGCCGATCATGAATGCAGACGCCAGAATGGCCATGTCAAGGTCGTCCAAGCCCTCTTTTTCGCGTGACTCGACCATGGTCTTCGCTGCGCAGTCCGGGACGGGCGTGCCCTCCTTCAGCTGCGCCTCGATGTCCTTGACCATGCCTCCGTAGGTCTCGATGAGCTCCTCGTGGAGTTTGACACCCCGGGAGCGCATGGACGTCGGTAGGTGCTGGAGGAGAGGAACGAAGTCGACGAGGTTCGACACGGGCCCTGTGCAATTCCTAATACGCAACATCGATCTGAGCACACCGCGCGCCAGGACTCACTCGAGTAATAAAATAAAAAAAAGGGGGGGGGGGGGGGGAATCGTAATCGTACATGAATTCACGGCTCAGTCTGAGAGCCAAGCCGACGAGCGGATGGTCCAGGCTGTCCGTCCGCATCCCAAACACGATGGTGAGCATATTATTGAGGGAGCACCGCCCGGCGTGCGGCTACATTTCCCGGAGATCAGAGACGTCACGCGTGGGCGCCCGTGGGAGGATGCGTACCTGTGGGTTGATGGGGACGGCGCCCGCCTGACTGGCAATATACAAGTTCTTGATCATGGCGGTGGCCTCCCTGTCGAGAACAGGGGTGTAGCCGTCCACGGCGCGCTGATGAAGCCAGGACCAAGCGATGCGGCGGTGCTTCCGCCTAAAAAACCAAACAAAAAACCATGAACGTCACGAGACCTGGCGATTTTGTGCGCAGGACGTAGGCTGACCATCGCTCGTTGTACGGCGTCGCGGTGATCCCGCGCCCTTTGAAGATGGTCTGGCTCTTGACGAACATCTCTTTCCGCGAGGAAAAGACCGCGCCGTTCGTGACCATGAGGTCCTTGATGATCTTCGGATCCGACACGACCACGAAGAGCTGGTTGCCGAGCCAGATGGAGTACATGTCGCCGAACTTCTTCGCCCAGTAGTCCAGCGTGAGCTCGGGGTAACGCGTGAGGAAGGGAAACGAGCCTGGGCACAAATTAAATTCATCCAAAGCATCGAATAAATAAACATTGAGCGCGCACCGACGATGGGCATGCCCCATGGCCCATTAGGGATGGTATTCCCCTGTTTATCGACTAACCGGCGGCGAGGGACGATCTCAGACAGGAGGTATAGTACTGCAGCCGCGAGAGTTGCGAGCGCAATAATGGACTGCGAATCAAGATATGTCTCTAAAATAGTGCTCCGAGGGAAATAGGCGACAGAATAATCCGATCGAACGGACATCGTGAAGAAGAAAGAGGACGGTGTAGGGCGACAGTAGCTTTGACTTGAGGAGATCCACCTGGCGGCCATCTCGTCTATATACCCCACAAACCTATGCGGCGCTCAAAGGAAACAACCATACCCTCACCCACGATCCGAAATGCGGAGGACGATTCTAGGTCGGCGTCGCCGGCACCTCGGTGTCTGACCTCCTCAAAAAGTGAGCATCCAGGGCGCCGCCGCAAGGCCCGCCAATGCCCTCACGGCGCCTGGGCCGTACGTGGTTTCGAACGACCACGTACGGTCTCGTTCCGTTTCGGAATGATATAGGGGGGCAGGAGAGTGGGAAACGGAGACGGGTGCAGGGTGTCGGGATGCGGATGTGGGTGTCGCGGGACGGAACAGGGCGGTCTCTGGGTCCGGTATGAATCGAAACGTATGTTCCAGTTGTTGGTCCGCGCTGTGAAACGGATGGCGAGTTGGATATCGAGCAACCGTGCGGCTTGCAGAGAGGAACTGCTCACGCCTGGCTCGCGCTCTCCAAAACATCACGAGCGAATGTTCGACGCCGCCAAAACGGCGTCGTCGTATACGAGCACCTCCATCGCGAGTTTTCTAAGACGACGATTGGACTCCTTCGCTCCGACTCGGATCCCCAGCGATGTCAGATCCTTAGCGAGGCGAGCGGCAAAGCACGTCGGGGACACATGACCACGCCTCACAGGGAAGGAAGGGGGTGGGGTGGGGTGGAGGAGGTCCGGCGACAAGCCCAAGCCCGAGCCAAGAGCGCGCCGATCCTGCATGCCCGTCGCAGCTGCCGAGTTTCGAGCGCGCGCGCGGTGGCGGCGGGAGAGCCTGTGTGGCGCGAGATCAGATCCTTTCGGGCGCCTGGGACGGCCTGTTGCGATCGGGATCGTGCGCCGCGACCCGACTCGCGACGGCGCTGCGAGCACGGATTCACACCAGTGTCGGGTCGGGTTTCGCTCGAACCCGCCAAAGCATAGAGACAAGGAGAGTACAGTATGAGTGCGCGATGGAGGGCTGCGGCTGCCTTTTCCGGAGACCGACCATGACATGTGCTTCGTGAGTCTGATTGATGCCTATGGAGAGCCGAGGTCGTACCTCGAAGGCTGCAGTTTCGGTCCAGGGCAACGACGACCTTAATGAAGCCCGTCTGCCTGAGGCCGCCACGAACCTTAAAACGCGTCCATAGCAGTGCAGCGGTGCAGCGGTGCGTCCCTCGCCGCGGAGTTAGGAACTGGCGCACTTTACCAGTACTTTACTACTAGTACGGCCAGCCTCAGCCTCAGCCTCAGCCTCTAGGTCTGTGCCTGGGGCTCCGAGACACACATCATGCTGTATAATACGGAGTGTGTGTTGGGCGGGGGCGACGAGGGCGGGCCGGGACAAGCAAGCAAACAGAAGACAGGATCGCGAGTCTATCGGACAGCCGCCACGGGCGCAGTGGTTCCCGGGTGCTGTGCTGTACGTACGAGTACGAGTACGCAGATGGACGGGGGGCGGGACGGACACGTGGGCATGGCCCGCCTGCCCGCCTGCGCGCTCGAACGCGCTGCCTGCTTGACTTTGTACTTTGATGGCGTCCGCCTCAAGGGCGGGACCGCGCATCCGAGAGCCTAGACAACGCGGAGAGGGGCAGACTACATGCCGAACCGAGCAGCTGCCTTCGATCCTCGACGCCTCGTCCGCCTCCTCGAAGCGGCATCGCGGATCCGCGACCGCGCGACGCTTCGACGCTTCGTGCGGCTGCGCGCGTTATCGGGCTCGCGCGGTCCACTCATCGTCGTCCGGCGAGAAGGGAGCAAGGGAGCGGGGGACCCGTCGAAGAGCCCTCGTCCGATCCTGGAAGGAAGCCGCGAAGCAGGCAGCGCGTGCGGGCCTGGACCGAGCCGCAGAAGTACAGCGAGTAAGTTGAGTTACGTGCGTGCGTGCGTGCGTGCGGCACAGCGGGCACGCGCAGCACGGGCCCGAACTTGTGGGTCCGCACACGCGCAGCGTCCATATTTGCGCGCGTGGGTCCCCGCGCGAGATATCGCACAGAGGACCGCGCGCGCGTGAGAGATCTCGGCGGGTTGGGCATCTGTAGTGCGAAATGAACATTGGCGAGGGAGCTGGGGCGGGAGGCGGCGACGCGGCGACGGGGGTGGGACTCGAGGGCGGGTGGGCGGTGGGCGTTGTGCGAGTGAGGACCGGTCGCTGCGCGAGTGAGGACCGGTCGCTGCGCGCAGACAGAAGGAGGGGGTGTTGGATGCAAGCAGGCGGCGGAGATAGCCGGAGGTGTGGCGGGGAGTCCGGGCGGGAAAGTTTTGTTGTTGTGAGGTGTCGCGGACGGTGCCAGCCGACTCTCTCTCTCTCTCGTCGTCCTCCTCCTCGTCCCCCTCGCACTCGCTCCACCCTCAACCACTCTCTGTATTCTCACACAGCCCCTCCTCGCCCTTAGACATTCTCTCCTCTTCTTCCCAGTGCCCGTCCTTGTCTTTCGCATTCGCATATTCACAGTCAGCCCCTGCTCTCGCACTTCTCGCCCACGCCCACACCCACGCTCACCCACACACGCAGTCCCACCCGCTCCACCATCATGACCAAGTCTCCCGCCCCGCCTGCCCCCGTCTCCTCCGCCTCCGCCAGCTCCTCCCCCACGGACGACGTTGCGCGCAATAACGTCATCCCCTCCGAGGTCGGCTGGCAGTTCGTCCCCCAGTACTACACCTTCGTCAACAAGCACCCCCACCGCCTCCACTGCTTCTACACAAAGTCCTCCACCTTCATACACGGCACCGAGGGCGAGGACGGCAAGCCCTGTTTCGGCCAGCTGGTCAGTCCCGCTCGTCCTCCTTTTTTTTTCTGCGCCGTTTGTTGCGGCAGTGCGTTGCCCGTTTGGGAGCGCAGCGCGCGTCTCGTGGCGATGGCGACGCACATCATGCGCAACCTTATTCATCGACAGCTGTCGCCGGCGTGGGCGTCAGACGTCCTCGGACTCGCGTGCCACCCGCTTAGCACTGTGTAACGCACGTTTCTCATGTTCCGCCTCTCCCCCCCAGGAAATACACAACAAGATCACCTCCATCGGCTTCGAAGACTGCAAGGTCTTCATCCACTCCGTCGACGCCCAGTCCTCCGCCAACGGCGGCATCATCATCCAGGTCATCGGCGAGATGTCCAACCGCGGCGAGCCCTGGCGCAAGTTCGTGCAGACCTTCTTCCTCGCCGAGCAGCCCAACGGCTACTACGTCCTCAACGACATCTTCCGCTTCCTCAAGGAGGAGACCGTCGAGGGCGACAGCGAGGACGAGGACACCGTCGGCAACGCGTGGGCGCACGCTCCACAGGCCGCCGCCGCGGCGCCCGAGCCTGCGCCCGTCGCCGCCGCCGTCGAGCCCGCGCCCGAGGCTCCAGCGGCGAGCCCCGAATCCGCCCCCGCCTCCCCCGCGCCCCAACAAAACGGACACGCCGCGCCCACGCCCGCCGCGGCCCCCGCCCCGATCGAAAAAACGCCCACCCCTGCTCCCGTGGCGGCTCCTGAACCCGTTGTCGTTGTCGCTGCCGCCGTTCCCGAGCCGACACCGTCGCCGGCGCCTGTCCCCGCAGTCGCCGCTGCTGCCGCGCCAGCCCCGGCCCCGGCCGCCGCTGCCCCACCACAGCCCCAGCCCGCCGCCGCCGCACCTTCTCCCTCCCCTGCTCCGGCCGCCGCTCTTCCTCAGCCCGCCGCCGCAGCTGCGCCCGCGCCCGCGCCCACATCCCTGCCGATACCGACACCCGCGGCACCCGCAGCACCTGCGCCTGCGCCCGCTCCTGTCCCCGCGGCGCCCCCCGCGCCCAAGACGTGGGCGCACCTCGCGGCGGCCAACTCGAAAAAATGGGGCTCGGCGGTCGCGCAGGAGTCGCGCGGCACGTCCGAGGTGCCCGCGACGCCGACGACGCCCGCGTCCGCGCACCCGCACCCGCACCCGCACTCGCATGCCCACGCGCATGCGCATGCGCCGGCGTCCGCGTCTGGGTCTGGGTCTGGGTCGGGCGCGGGCGCGGGCGCGGCGGGTGGGCCGTCTGTGGCGTCGTCGAGTGGCGCGCAGACGCCCGGTGGGCCGGGTGCGGCTGGTGCTAGTGCGAGTGCGGGTGCGGGTGCGGGTGCTGGCGCTGGTGGTGGGTACCATGGGCCTGGGGGACGTGGTGGGCACCATGGGCCGCAGGGCCAGCGGGAGCCGCATCCGGCGTACGTGGCGGCGCAGAACGTGGCGACCGCGCAGTGTTTCGTCAAGGTGCGTGGCTCGGTCCACATTCGTGCAACGGGACGGTGACGGTCATGCTGACGCGCCCGCGTCTGCAGAGCGTGCAGGAGAACATCTCGGACGCGGCTTTGCGGAACACGCTGACGGCGCGGTTCGGCGCGATCAAGGAGCTGGAGATCGTGCGGAGCAAGGCGTGCGCGTTCCTCGAGTTTGGGACCGTGGAGGCTGCGCGGCGGGCGATCGCCGCGTCGCTGCCGCAGGCGCAGGGCGGGGAGGGCGGGGTGCGGATCGACGTCGGGGAGGGGATGCAGATGCGGGTGTTGGTGGAGACGCGGAAGGAGCGCGGGGAGCGGCCGGTTAGTGGGCGCGGGAGGGGCGCGATGGGTGGTGTTGGGGGCGGGGGCGGGGGGTTGAACGGGGGGGAGAGGGAGCGGGGGGAGCAGCAGAGGGAGCAGCAGCAGAGGGGAGGGTATGGGCGTGGGGGGGCGGGTGTTGGGGGGCGTGGGATGGGGAGGGGGCGCGGGAGCGGGGGCGCGAAGTAGGCTTGTGTGCGCGCGTGCTGTGTGTGTTTGAGTGAGTGAGTCGTAGGGTGATATGCGGGCGTGTTTGTGTGTTGTGTGTTGTGTGCGTTGTGTGCGTTGCGTCGTGTTGTGTTTTTCTTTTTTCGTATGTCGGGAAGATGATATGAAGGTTTTTTGTCTATGACTCTCGTGTTTCGTTTCGCGCGCGCTTGACGGTCGTGGTTTGACGTGTTTGTGAGACTCCATCCAGCCAGCCAGCCAGCCAGCCAGCCAGCCCGCATACTGTACCGTAGGCATGTGCGCGGCGCGGATCCGCTCGACTCGGTCCGTATGATGGTGCACGACGTGCCACCCGTCCCCATCTGCCGCGGACGGCGCTCGTTTCCGCGGCGCGGTGGGTGGGTGGCGCCTGGTGAGGTGCGGGCTGGATATATGGACGCGGAAGGTGGGCTGCTGCACACAGGGACACAGATGCATGTGTGCTGCGACCGGACGCCGCGGATCGCGGATCACACGGGGTGGGTGCATGGGCGGTGGGCGGTGGGTGGATATCTGGGCGCGTGAGGGAGCGAGGAGGAACGATGATGCCGTCATCGCAGCACCCGCTGCGGCTGCCTGCTCGCTCGCTCGCTCTTCGCTCGTATATGTACCGCTCCACACTTTGGGAGCTTGAAGCGTACCTACTTGCCTACCTACGCCGACCATGTCCGCCCACCCACCCGCGTCCCCCACGATGCAGATGCACTACCCCCCGCCCGTCCCCGCGTCCCCCTCGTCCCCCACCTCGCCCACCTCGCCCGCTGGGCCGCGCACAGCGACGCCGCTGCCGCCGCCGACGACGACGACGACGCCACCCCGCCGCCTCTCGCTGTCCCTCCCGCTGCCGCTCCAATTCCAACTCCCAGACCTCGCCCACGTCCTGCTCAAGCTCCGTCCCCTCACACACCCTCTTCCCTCCACCACCACCACCACCCTCCCCCGCTCGCACTCACTCTCCTCCAACCTCAACCCCGCCAGCCCCGCCAACGCCAGCGCTGGAGCCGCCGCGGCGTCCTCCGGCCCGACGCCCCTCACCCACCGCGCGCTCCTCGCCCCAGGCGCCGTCGCCGCGCGCGCCCCCGCGGCCCTCGTGCGCGCAGACACGTTCGTCGTGCACGGCGCCGTCGACGTGCGCACGCTCTTGCGCGCCGCGCGCGCGGCGCTCCTCGAGCGGGCGGCGCGCGCGGGGGCAGATGTGTTGGTCGAGGAGAGGTGAGTCGTGTGCGTGTGCGTGTGCGTGCGTGAGTGGGACTGATTGTTGGGTTGGTTGGTGGGCGGTGGTTGGATGATGTGGACGGCGGCGGTAGTTGGACGTGTGCTGTTCGTGGGCCGTCGAGGGGCGGCGTCTATCGCGTCCAGGTGCGTGTGTGTGTGTCTCTCGCTCGCTCGTTCGCCTCGTTGTCCGCCTCCACCCACCATCCGCCTTGCCTTGCCTTGCCTTTGCCTGCCCCCGATCACGCACACGCACTCACCGAGCCCCTGTCCGTCCCCGCACCACATATGCCCTCTCCCTCCCCCCCTCTCCACCTCGCTCCACCTCGCTCCACCTCGCACACTCTGCATGCATACCCGCGTGTCCGCGCTCACCGCGATCGCGTCTCCCCACGCGCACGACGCCCCTCCCCTCAACTCGCACTAACTCCGCCCATCACGCACGCCCCCAATCACGCCCAACCGCACCCGACCCAAAGATCGAATACAAAGCCACCCCCGCCCGCGCCGCCCATCCCACCACCACCGCCGCCGCGGCTGTGCCCGAATCCCCCACGAGCCCGCGCCCCGCGTCGCCCGACTCGCCCACCACGCCCGCTGCTACTGCAACGCCTCCCGCCCCCGCGCGCGACCCCGGCCGCCCCGTCGCGCTCGATAGGGCGCGCGCGCTCAGCGTCCCGGGGCTCATGACCATCGCCGAGCGGCTGTAAGCTGTAGGCCATCCGCCGCGCCGCGTCGCGTCGTGCGTCTTTCTCTCTCTCTCTCTCTCTCTTTCGATTTTTTGCCTCCCCGTCCGCCAGTTCGTCCGCCCGTCCGCGCGCCCGGGCTCATCCGCGCCGTAGAATGTACTCTCGCGCACGATCCGCCGCGGCGGCGCATCCACACGACCGCGCGGCCTCGTCTTTCTCCCTCCGTCTCCGTCGCACGTTTCCCTCTCTCTCACACACGGCCTGTATCCGTGCCTCTCTTTCTTGTGCTCCCGCCTGTACTTCGTATCTGCCCCCCCCTCCCCACGGCGCACGGCGCCCCAGCCGACCGTCCGCCGTCCGCCGCACCTGCCTGCGTTGTACCTTGTAATTGTACCCATACGATACGCTCCACACTCCGTACCATACCGCACCTCACCGTCCTGTACCTTACTACCATATACCATACCGCACTGCACCTGCACCCGCACCTGCACCCGCACCTGCACCTGCACCTGCACCTGCACCTGCACCTGCACCTGCACCTGCACCTGCACCTGTACACTACACCGAGCGCCCCGGCCCGCTTCTCTCGAACCCGCGACCGCGACCCACAATAGTACGCGCACTCGTGCGCACCCGTAATACGCGCGCGCGCGCGCGATCGTACGAGCACACGTTTATCTAACTTGGCGCCGTCCCGTCCCTTTTTGGGGAGGTCGCAGCTCTCCCGCGCGGGGCGCGAGCGCTGATCACCGTGAACCGAGTCGAGTCGAGGCGAAGACAACATACCAACGCCAGCCACGTCTCTTCTCGAAGAAAATACGATACGATACGATACGATACGATACGATACGATACGATACGACACGACACGACACGACACGCTACAAAACCATCACGCACAAAAAAAACATACTTCTACGCACCACACACCACGAACCTCTCCTCGAGCGGCCTCCAGCGCGCGCGACACGGCAAAAAAATAGGGGGGAAAAAATACACGTCCTCCGGTCGTTCATTCCAAGCGCCTGCCTTGACCCGCTCAATCTCTTCGGCTCACGACCGCGCATCACCTCCAACGCCCTCAATACCGATACCCGCCGCCGCCGCCGCCACCAACACCGTACCCTCCAGATCCCGGCTCCGGGAACCCTCCCGCCCCAGGCATCCCCGGCCCTCCAGGTCCTCCAGGCATCCCAGGTCCTCCAGGCATCCCCGGTCCCCCAGGCCCTCCCCCGTACGGCGCTCCGCCCCCAAAAGGCGGCGGCTGCCCATACCCGCCCGGCGGTCCATACGACGGACCATACCCCGGCATCGCAGGCGGCATCCCTGGCATACTGGGCCCGCCGCCGCCGCCACCGGGCATACCGCCCCCAGGAGGACCCGGGGGTGCTCCATAGCCGCCGCTGCCGCCGCCGCCGCCTGGGTAGTCGTACGCGCCCGGTGCAGCCGCGCCAGGGAACGATGGCCCGCCGCCGGCACCGCCGAAACCCGCCCCAAACCCTCCAGGCGGCCCCGCGTTCATTCCTCCAGACGGCCCACCGGGGTACGACGACTGCGACCCGCCGTTGGCGGTAAAGTCGGCGCCGGGGAACGCGGGGCCGCCGCCGGGGAACGACGGTGCGCCGCCGCCTCCGCCTCCGCCGTGGTGGCGCTGCTGCTCGTGGTGTCCGTGCCCGTGCCCATGTGCGTGTGCGTGCGCCGGCGCCGGCGAATGCCCGCGCGGTGGCGAGTGCGAATGGTGCGAGTGTCCGTGGCTGTGGCCGTGTTCATGCGGCCTCGACCCAATCGGCGCCGGAGACGACGGCGGACGCGCACCCATCGGCGGCGGCGGCGGCGGCGCACCTACGCCGCCTCCACCACCGCCACCGCCTCCGCCTCCGCCTCCGTACTCGTACCCTCCAGGGCCCGACGGGCCCGACGGCGGCGGCGGATAATACTCGCGCCGCCCAAAGTTGCCCTGCCCCGCGCCCGCACCCGATCCCGAGAACGAGCCGATCAGCCCCTGCGCCTGGTGCACCCCCGGGATCTGCCCGATATATCCCTGCAGGCTGCCCTGCACCTGGTGCGCCGCGCCGACAGCGATCCCGCCGCCCGCGGACGTCGCAGCGGCCGACGAGGCGGGACCCCCGCCGACGAGGCGCGTGTTCTCGTGGTTGCGCACGGCGGCTTTGGAGAGCCGCCGGAGGACGTCGGTTTGCCGGCCGCCGAGGGACTGCAGCCAGGACTGCATGTACGCGAGCATGGTGCGCTGCACTTCGGACTGCGAGTTGTGGAAGTCGGGGTGGAAGCTAAGGTGGGGCGGGGGCGGTGAGCGGAAGGAGTGACGAGACGGGAGACGAGCGCTTACAGGCACTGGAGTATGTCCTCGGTGATGTTACGCACGTTCATCGAAGTGTCGTCCCACGCCTTGGTGACGAGCGTCACCGTGTGTTTCTGCACGCGAAGCCATCAGCACCGCCCGCCCGCGCACAAAACAAGCCACGCACGACGATGATTTTCGCGAGGTTTCCTGCGGGCTCGTTGAGGATCAGGTTCTGCAAGCGGCACGGCACATGGGCGCGGTCTCGAAGGAAACAATCGTCGTCGAACACTCACAAAGTGGTCCTTGCTCAGGAACGAGTGCGTCGGGTCCGACTGAAAAGACCCTCTCGCATCAGATACCGAAACAAATCCTTTCGAGAGGTGCACACTCACCGCTCTCGGGTCATTGAAGACCTTGCGCACAGAGAAACGTCAACCTCATATCATGTGAGAGTGAGACAGGATCCGCACCTCGTACTGATCGTGCGTGTTGATGACCTCTCCGGACGCCGTCATCAGCTGGCTGCTCGCAGTCTGCAGCAACGGCTTGAGGAACGGCTGTTCGTCGTCGTAGAGAATCCTCTCATCAGCATCCATCAGAGCAAATGAGAACGACCGAGGGTCAGTACCTCGAGAGTCGTGAACACAAAGACTGCACGCGCGCTCAGCCGGTCAGATGCAGAGCAACGGGCGGAAGAGAAAGGACAACCGCCTACCAGAAATAGAGTCCATGAGCTTCTCGATGAGAGGTCCGAGCCCGGGGATTTTTTCTGCGCACAGAAAAGAAAAACGCTCAGTACGCAAGCCTCTCCGCGAAATGCCAAACGCTCTCCTCACCGATCGTCTTCTCGATCTTCTTCACAACTGACCCACCATCCCCGCACCAAAAAAAAAGTCAGCTAAACCAAACCCACCAACGCCCGCAAAGGAGAAGCGCACCCGAGTCCCTGAAGCTGAGCACCTGCCACAGCACCGAGTGCAGCTCCTGCGGGCTCAGCTGGTCCGGGGGCTTCCCGCCGTACGCGGGCGCGTCGCGCAGGCGCTCGATGCCCTCCATGTCGCGCGACATCTCGCCGCCCGACCCGCCCGGGAGCTTAAACAGCAGGTCGCGCAGCGTGTCCGCGGGCGAGGACCCGCCCGAGACGGAGCACGAGCGCGCGCTCGACATGGCGCGGTTGAGGTCCGTGACAGAGGCCTGTTGCGGGGACGGGTGAGGCGCTGCATATGGAGAGGAGGAATCGGGAGGAAGGATAACTCACTTCGCTCTAGAATACGATGGTCGTATGAATGAACGTCAAGGAACGGGTCAAAGTCTGCGAGTATCAAGGACGCACGATATGATCCGTCGCCTCTGCACGCGTTCGTCCCCAGAAATAAGACAAAAAATCAGCCAGCTATTCTCGACAAGACAGAGACGGACGGCCACAAGAAGACCCACCTCCGAGCAAACTGTGGATGAAATCGCTCGACCCAAACGTGCCGGTTACGAGCGGCGCGACCCACTTCCCATTCGGCGCCTGCACGCGCGCATTGTCGCCGACGTGCACGAACACGTCCGTGTGCCCCTGCGCGACGAGCGCGAGCTCGCAGAAGTTCGAGTGCGCGGAGAAGTCCTCGAGCGTGTGCAGCTGTTGGCCGTCAGCGCGTCAGTTCATCGGTGGATCGTGATCGGCGGACAGCGGGTGGATGTTGAAGAAGGGAGGGCGGGAGAGCGGGAGAGAGACGCACGGCTTGGCCGAGGAGGCGGTAGGCCTCGTATTCGTCTTGCTTGCGTCCCTGCGCGCGGTGCTGCCGGCCCATATTGATACACTGCTCGAGCGTGCGGCGCACGAGCGCCTTGGACGTGTCCCACGAGCCGCTCTCTACGATCGTCACAGAGGACGTGCGCGCATGCAGTCATGTGTGACGGAAGGAGCGGAAGTGGAGAGTGTGCGATTCGTTTATGGATATGCCGTTGGATGGCATGTCATGCCATGAGCGAGGGAGAGAGCAGATCCAGAAACGCGCGCGCACGTACCGTTCGCAATATAGTTCTTCATCCCCGAGCGTGGGTCGATCTCCAATTCTCTCGGCTGTCATGACCAAACGCAAGAGCAACAATAACGCGGACAGGGGACCCGATGTCAGTAAAGTACCAGCATACCCCCCTCGTTGCACGCCCATTGCCCGATGCAAGAACAAGTGGAAGAGAGGTGCAGAGGAGGCAAATCCGAAGAAACACGCACGTCAACAGGGCCCCTCAGCTTCGGGTTATACTTCCGCGCATCCTCACCGTCGCCGTACCCCTTCGGGTTGTCAATATGTTCCGTCTGAGCTCCCATAGAGAGCAAGTCAGCGACGGCAATGCACCCGAGGCCAGACAGACGGGCGAGTCGAAACTAGAACTGCGGAGAAAAGGGCGAGGACTGACCGGGAGGTAGACCCCGAGGCGCTCTTCGGTGACCTCGAACTCGTTCGTCGCGTATCCGTGAGCCTGGCATCGCCGAAAGGAGATCGGCACATCAAGCGGGCGGCAGGACGTCAGCGTTGCATTCACGGTCGCGCGGGGTCATCGCACGCGTATGTGCGCGTGCTACGTACCAGGAAGCCTAGAGCCATGCACAGGTTGATGATAGTCTGCGAAGTCCCGTTATTTGGAGATCAGGACGTCGGAGATGCGATCGCGATCGTGTGAGAAGGGACAGAGGGGTGATGGGTGAGCGGGTGCGCGCGTACCTGGAGCTGCAGTTTCTTCAATCCGGCGATATCGACGGCCTAACGGGGAAGCGGTAAGTCGCCTGTCCGCATACAATCGAGGTGGGATTGGACGAACACACCTGGCTATAATCTCTCAACCAGTTCCTGCGCGCGATCGCCGCATCAGCATCTCGTCGTTCGCGCGCCGAGCGAGGGCACATGTGGGAAATGAAGGAAGGATGGACGATCGGGAGACGCACCCGAAATACACGCGCTTGACGTCGAGCCCGCCGAATTTGGAGCCGCCTTTTCCGATGAGGGCGCCGAGCGCGAACCCGCCGCTTTTCTTCGCGATCTCTGCGAGGGTGTCCTCCTACATGTGCATACACGATGCGCACAGCAAAACAACGGAGAATGAGGGGCCTCGATCTCGTGGCATCGCGATACGTGAAGGAGAAGAAGGAGAGGGCAGACGCACGATGTCGCCGTGGCGGAAGGCGCGGCCCTCCATGTACGCGAACCTACCGAGGGAAGGAGGTCGATCAGCATGCTTGTGACAGACACGGCGCATTTTGCGTGTCCTATCCTGTCGCTATCTCGAGGGAGGGAAGGCGAACGCACGAGGGGATGTTGCCTGCGCCGAATGCGAGGACGCCATTGCCGGGGAGACAGACGACCAGGACGACGAGGAGGATGAGGAGGATTGTCAGGTGTGTTGTCATTGTGTTCTGTGTGTGCGATGGAGGACGGGTGAGTGTGGTATTTACAGGGCGGGGACGGCGCTGTCCTGGCACAAGAAGTGACTCCAAGAAACAGACGCTCAAAGGCGGTGGTCCCTGACGTCATCCACCTCTCTTTGTCTTGGCAGCCTCGACGCTCCTCCGTCCGTCGCCAGCTGTCGCCCTCCAGAGCACCTTCAACTCCCTTCAACTCTGCAGGGCCCATCATGATGCGGCACGAGCGAAGGAACACCAGTCCTTGTCGTCAGTGCTGATACTTTGGTCATCATGATCAGGGCCCAGAAAATATCATAGACGCCTATCAGGGATGCACTGCCCAGGGTCAGGCGACAGCATAGCCCTGTGCTGAGTCGGCGAGATGTCGTTAAGCCACTCACAGGTGAGTCCAGACAACAACATCCCTCGTCAATGTCGTCTCAACTTTCTTCTCGAGATGAGATCCTTGCCAGGTAGACCTCATCTTCCCCCTGATCGTCAAGACTTTCTCTACGACTGCTTCAAACTAGACATTTGAGAGTTGCTGCATCATATCTGAGAACTAACGGTGCATCTCCAACGAAGCGGTCGAATCTCTCGGATAAAATACTTGGCTACGACCATCAACAACGGCTCACTGCACGCGATGCACAAGCCCATGCTCGCTTCGGTATGTCACGAAATCGATGTTCTGAAAATTTCACAGTTCGATATCTCACTCTCAGAGTCGATTAGAAACGTTGAAATCTCTATTGCAGAAAGTGAGATCACTCTGGCTTGATGCACTTCGAGCTACATGGTTTTTTTTGCTTCATAATCTGAGCGTAAATAAGCATTGCCCTCTGTTTTGATTTCCCGTTGGCACGATATACTCGCTTCTCGATGTACTTGAGTGCCTACGCGTCAAGTGCAAATTGTGTTCGAGCATCGACGCCCGAGAGAAGTCATAAACGGTATGGTGTCTCAATATTTGGTCATCGAGACATTGCTAATTACCCCGAGAAGTTAGGTAGGTATCGATGGGCGGCAGTTCGAACGGTGGAGAGATATTACTGTCATGATCAGAGACTGTAAGAGCTCTCACGTCATATCTCACCAGCCCGAGTTTTCTTGGGGACTGCCGAATCGAACTCACAACCGATCCTTCGAGATGGACTGCAGGTGATCATGGCATGAGACTTGAGACAACATGAGGGTGTCCTTCCTTACATCAATCATCCAAATCTGCTACATCACATTCGACCAAGAACAATGCTCAGGGTGCTAGCGCTTGAAACTTGGTGTGCACATTCCGTATCGACTCAATCGCTGTCGGGCGTTTGTCGGCTGCTCGTCAGTCGGGGAGCTTTTACTGACCTATACATACCCATAGCGCCCAAGCAGGAGCGGCGGCGGCGGCACCTGTCTTTGCCTGGTAGTCCGCTTGAGCTTCGTAGACGCATGGTGAGTACGATAGAGCGTCAACGATAGGGTGCCGTCTGATCCTATTGCATTCATTTCTCATCTTCATTCCCTCTCGTAGACGAGAATAGGATCTCGGGAACGTCAAGGTTTGTGCTGGCGCTCATGCACAGCTTTCCAACAGTATATCTACACGATGTACGCGTCTTTTGAAAGTTGTCAGGCCCTCTCTCCTGCAACGAGACACTATGGGACCCTACGATCTGCTTATTTCGGAAGCTTTGCTGTTGTCAGCTCACGCACAGAGCGTCTTTGCCTATGACAATTCACGTTACGATAACGTGGGTCTTTTTTGTTCTTAAAACTACGCCTTTTAGCAGGTTGCTCATATCTCTGAGCTCCTAGGTTGCAGTGTGAGTTGATGAAAGCGAGGTTTCTCCACAATGCCTTACCAAATGAGTATCGATATACTTACTGGGGCCAGAACTCGTACGATGCTACCCACTCTGGTACGGCTAATGGTCAGAAGACCCTTGCATACTATTGTCAAATCAGTACTCATTCCACGGATATGTGTTACTCCCCAAATGCAATTTTCGACTAGGATGATGCTATTGATGTCATTCCGGTGGCCTTTGTCAATACGTCTTTCGGACCTGGGGGCCTTCCATCTATGAATCTGGCCAATGTAATGTCGTGATCAATTTCTGTTCCAACACGTCGGCGCTGATCCGGATTTACTTCTAGACGTGCAATCCTACCCAGAATACTACTTTCTCTGGCTCCTCTCGGCCTGACTGCTCCGCGTTGGCGTCCGACATTGAATATTGCCAGTCAAAGGGGAAGATCGTGACTCTGAGTTTGGGAGGTCCCGATGAGTTGGGTTCACAGATGACAGTCAAGCTGTGAGCTTCGCAGACACTATATTTAATTTTTTCCTCGGTGGCAGTAGCTTTACCCGACCCTTTGGTAGTGCTGTGCTTGGCGGGTAAGGCCCACGTTTCGCGAGTTCATAACGCATACTATTTGCTGATAGTCTCCTTCAGGGTCGAATTATACATCGAGGGCACGAGCTCTTCGGGTTATGCAGCGTTCGTAAACGAAATAGGCTCACATGCTGTCGGCGCCAGTAAACAGTAGGTTTGACAATGATGCCCTCGAATTTACCCTCCTCACTTTCTCACTTTTTGTGTAGATACTATATCTCGGCATCCCCAGGATGCGAGTATCCTGACGCATCATTGGGTGCGATTCTGAACGCTGCTAGCTTTGATGCTGTCTATGTGCAATTTTATATGTTTTGTCACACTTTAACAGCTTCATAGATCATTGATATAACTGATGCCACCTCGAAGACAACAGTCCGTGTGGTCTTCAGAATTTCGATACTACCTCAGTAAGGATCTCTTTCTTTATGATCATTTTACTTGACTGATGAATCTTAGGACTGGGATTTTGGACTCTGGTATGATGGCTGTACTGGGGCATCTATCGACGTGATCAGCTGATGAAAATGCACTAGGGACTACTGGGCAAGGAACGTCAGTCCCAATCCAGATGTCAAGATTTACATCGGTGCTCCAGCATCGAGCACAGCGGTAGGAGGAGGAGGATACCAGAATCTCAACACCCTCAGCAACTATTCAACTCAGATGCGCAAGGCTTTCCCGTCTTTTGGCGGAGTGGCGCTTTGGGACGCGTCACAAGCATACGGTGGGTCGGAATCACATTGTTTATCTTTGATGGAAAGATTTAGCGAACTTCAGTCAACGATCGATATGATCTCGCGATCAAAAATTCGTTGACTGCCGCTGGCGGAACTGGATTCTCGCTCCTTACTTGTTTTGCGCCTGCGTAGACTTTTGGAACTGCATATAATGCAGGTTCTCAGATATCCTACAACAGGTGAGTAGGCGGTTTGTCTTATCGAGTAGATGCGTTGTACTTAAATTGAGAATACCATAATCACACAGCTATATATGGGAGGTAGGCCATCCTGTCTGCCTATCACATAATGTCTCTTTAAAGCATCGTGTCCATTTCATTAGGCGAAATGGTGGTTTGACTCTCAGCCCTCTAGCAGCACGAACAGCGACTGGAGCGCAAGTATGTGCTTTCTTTCGATGTTCTCTGATCTCGAGAACGAATGCCATACCCCAATTTTAGGGTTAGTGCCTGCTCGCAAGGGAACTCTGGTGGTAACTGTGCCGGAACTCCTGTTTGGATGAGCTCTGTTGCGTACACTGGCGGGCAGCAGGTATCTTACAGGTATAGCGATAACAATACCAGCATGATCAGGCGTGCTCATGGCAAAAATTAGCGGCCATCTGTAGACAGTCAAGTGGTGGACAGAAGGCGACACGCCCGGTGATAAATTTTCGGTCATGTCCCGCCTGCGGTCGCTTACAGCCAAAGTTGGGCACTGCAGGTGTTTGGACCGATGATGGCGAGTGTCCCATCTCTACGGTTGCAACTATCGCCTCGAAATCAATCTCGAAAGCTGGAAATACTACGCGGATGGAGACCACAGATTCCACCTCGCGCAACCAAACCCGACTCCGAGCAAGATATCCACGTCTAAACTTGTCTCATTTGCATATATTTGGTTGCCTGTCCGAGTTATAGTCTATGATCTCGGTTTGTCCTACTAGCCCTGTTCCTATGCATGCGAGCGTGCCGCGCTCATGTCCGTGTCGAACCACACCTCCACCACCCGACATAGGCAGGAAAGCATCCTCGAGGCTCTCGCCTCAGGTGCCTGGCAGAAAGGCACAGGCGCGCCCATTGTCGAGGCTGAATATCAAGCGTGCGCCCCGTTTTGTGGCGCATGTCAACATCCTTCCGAGATGATCCTAACATACTCCTGTTCAAGGCGACAGAATCCGAGCTGATGCCTTGTACCAAAGTTTCCTAGAAGTTCGCCTAGTTGATTTTTTCTCTCAGATTCAACGGCGTGTCACAGCGTGCATCTCCAGGACTCGTGCGCGATTCATATGTTCCATAGAGACGACTTGCTCGCTGGCCCACATCGCTTGAAAGTTGACCGCGTTGACTCCCGGGTCCCTGTGCACAAACTGAACCTGTGTCTGACACTTCTCGTGTTCCGCAGAATAGGCAGAGGAAAGCGCCTTGTTGTTCACTGACCGCACCCTGACACCCATCCTCGTCCATCGATTCAAGGCCCGCGGATTTCTGGCTCCTCGGGCCTGTTTTTGGCGTATTTATCATCACCGATACTGCTAACACCGTGCGGCGTCATTGTCAGCTACTTTCCAGGCATGACTCGCCGTAGCCGATTCCATCATCCAATGAGGACACACATCGTGTGCGAATCTACCCGACACGTTTGTCATATGTGCAGCTCGGGCTGGTATGTCGTTTTCTATGCTCTCCAAGCCGCCTAGAGTAGAAGCTTCGGGGCACCAGAAGGCAGCCTCGACCGCCGGGTGTTCTTGGTCAGTTATGAATCTGATGAATGGTTCAAAAGAGCTTTGACCAGACGATCGTCTATATCGTCCTCCGTTTCTTTTCCAGTCGTCAAGCGTAACCTCTTTATCATGTCCAAGAAATTCATTCTTGTCATAGGCGCCACCGGTGCGCAGGGCCTAGCTGTCATAGACGGCCTGCTTGCACAGTCCGCGGACGGCACGCCTTCTCCTTACGCTATCAGAGCACTGTCGCGCAATCCTGACAGTGCACGCGCCAACGGGCTACGCAGCAAGGGCGTACAAGTTGTTAAAGGTATCACTTTGGTCTTTACGCCCCTCCGCTCCCCGATCTCAGAGAGCGTCCGGACGCTCTTTCACAGGGAACACGACGGACTTATCGTCGGTCGCTGCGGCGCTCGATGGCGTGTATGGCGTGTTCGTGAACACGGACAGCGAGACCATGGGAGAGCAACTGGAAACCTACATCGGTATCAGGATATTCGAGCTGGCTACCACCATAAAAAGTATTCGGCATTATGTCTGGAGTGGTTTGGATTATGCGTGGAGGGTGCGTGTCGTCTGCCTGTCTGAGTCTGCGATGCTCGGATCTCAATCTTCGTCGCAGGACACGGGCTACAACCCGCTCTACCAGGCGTCTCAGTACACCGGCAAGGCGCGGGTCACCGAGTTCATGAAGGCGCAACCCTCGGTCGTCAGTGAGACCGAGCTGTCTTGGACCGCGATCACGACAGGCCCGTACATGGAAATGCTGAAAATGGTACGTCACGCTGACCAACGAACGTATCGGCATCTCATTTTGTGTTTTCGTTCTTATGTAGTTTATGTTTGGCCCCGTCAAGCGCCCAGACGGGACCTTCGTCTTCGCGGCTCCCATGGGCGACGGACACGTGCCCATGATCGCGCTCGCCGACATCGGCTTCTTCGCGCGCTACGCCTTCGACCATCGCGCGCTCACGTCCGGCCAGGAGCTGAAGGTCGCGAGCGAGGTTGTCGGGTGGGAGGACGTCGTCTCCACCTTTACGAGGGTCACCGGCCACCCGGCGGTGTTCAAACGCTTGTCGATCGAGGGCTGGATGGACCTCTTCGACGAGGCGACGCTGCGGACGCCGTTCGGCGGCGGCCCGCTGACGTTCGAGGAGAACTTCTCTGGGTGGTGGCGTCTGTACAGGGACGACGTGATCCAGCGGGACATGGCGTGGATCCGGGAGATCAATCCGGATGGGTATACGCTGGAGAGGTGGATGAGGGAGAATCGGTATGATGGGAGCTGGAGTGATGAGGGTGTGTTGAAGAGGGACGAGGACGCGAAGGGCGCTGTGATCGACAAGGAGAAGATCGCTGCGGCGTAGACTGCCACTGCATCACGCGCCTTGTCCGACTCGATATGTCCTTGCTCGCTCTCACCGTCCATGATGGGATGCGACTTACAATAGCACGCGGCAGATGCTCTCTGATGTGACATACTGTATGACTATGACTCGTAGCTCTTGAAGACGGTGTATAAATGTGCTCTGAATTGATGTAATTACAGACTCGAGTACTCAAGCCAAAAGGGCGTCTATCGCTCACGAAGGCCAGCGTCCTTTGTTCCATACCTGCCTTGTTCTGTAAGAGTCGCAATCGCAGTAACAACGCCTACTGCACTACGACATCGCTCGTGATCCGTATACCCAATGCGTTTCCTTCGTGATCTTCTACCCGCAAACCTTTTGGGAGCACAGAGAGCGCTGCCATCAGCGTCCCAAAATGCCCTCGGCGCAAGGCAGCCACCCCGTCCGGGTTCAAGAATCGCACCACCTTCACAGACGAGGGAAGGCGGAACCTCAACCAGCCGAAGACTTGCTGATACATCTTTCTGCTAGCGTTCACCTGGGACGAGTAGAGGCCCAGGTGCGTGATAGAGGAGAAGTATGGACCTTCCGCCTCGTCGCCTTGGAATAGCCACCCCCAATCGGCCATGGCGAGGACCACGTGGCGCAGTCGAGGACAGAACCGCGTCAGGTGCTCGCATTGCGCAGAGGCCAGGGACGCGTACACCAGAAAATACGCGGTGGTGAGCGGCGAACCGGCCGCGGTCAGGAAGCCCTCGACACAGTGCTCGGAGACGTCGCGTATCTCGTGAAACAAGGCTTGCGTGAGATGCGGCGGCGCGATCGCGTGCCGTGAGACGGCACAGCTATCGGGCAGCACGCTGTGCACCAGCGTGGAGAAGCGCAGCTCCGGGAGGGCCGGGAAGTCGAGGAGACAGAGGTCGTCGGCCAAGTCATCGTGGAAGCCTACCACGCAGGTGCGCAAATTCTGGAAGCGCGCGAGGAGAGCCCCGAAGGCAGCGCTGGCCGGCGGCGGGTCGACGTCCCAGATGAGTTTCTGCAACGTCGAGCTGCAGTTTGCCCCGAGCGTCTCCGACAGGCGAGTAGCCACATCCCTGTTGTCAGCATGCAGCTCTCCTTGGAGGTTCAGTACGCGGAGCCTCGAGAGACACCCGACAAGCGGCGCGAGCGTTGTTAGCACCTCCGGTTCCATGACGAAGTCGATATCCACTACGTCGAGGCGACGGACGAAAGAGCCGAGCGTAGTTCCGTGTGATCCCGTTGAGCATAACACGCCGTGCAGAGCTTCCAATTGGCGAACGTTACGGATGACGACCGCTTGATATAGAAGCGGAGAGACGAGCGCGCGCCAGAGTTTGCAGACACCGACCAGGGCACGCCTTGTAGCAAGGGACTGGCTAATCTCGAGAGCATCCTTGCGGTATGGTAACAAGGCTTCATCCAAGGGAGATGCCGACTCAAATGGATCATGGATATCCGGATCGAGGATCCCAGGAACGAATGTTGCCAGCTCAAAGATGTGCAGCCAGACTTCATGCGGGATGAGCGGCGAGGACTTCGTTCGGCCGTTGGTCCAACCTAGCGACATTGTAGATGATCTCTATCCAGTCATAAATGTGAGCCTGCCTGCATGAAAGAGAAAGGTCAAGCCGACATACGATGCGTGAGCTCGCCATTTCTGTTCGTGTTGGACAGTGACGCTGAGCGTTTCTTTCAGCTGCTCGAGGCTGGAATCAGTACTAGGAATAGTCTGGTAGATTGACCGAGGACGTACTGGGTAGTTGAAAAGGTCGCTGCACCTACGCAGACGATACATCTAGGAGCCTTAAATATTAGGTGACGGTGGTGGCAGATGCAAAAGCCACCATAGCGGCGCGATTGGAAATTGGACAGAATTGCCAATGTCTTCGTGGGAATCTCAGGCATCGTTGTCCCAAGAGCTGCACCGACAATGCAATCACAACCTTTAAATAGTGATATTTCACCCAGCACAAACCATCCCTAGTAAATAAGACCATATCCCAGCAGGCCATCTTTCCTCTGCATACAAATCGTGCCCCGGATAAACGGCAAGTCTACTCGAAGGCCTACATACGACTGGTCTCCCACCTTCCTTTTTCCTTTCTTCCCTTTAACGACATCTCTAGCTGCCGCTCCAAAACAATACCGCCGAGCCTTTTTTGTTTTTTTTACAAAAAGCGAGCCTCCAGCGGTCCGTCCACACCGAGTCAACGGTTACGCGACGCGAGCTGCCGTCCTGCGCCTACTGAGCTTGCATGCGAGCCTTGTGGCTCACAAATGTACTCACGAGACCGCGGGTAAGCGCAGGTTGTCCCTAACCTTCTTCCCAAACTACGCCAAGACCCGACTATCAATCCTGATCCTCTTTCGCGAAGTGACGGACGCGAGCGGTCGGTCACTCGTCGCAGAGCTGTGATGCTACAATGGAGGCTGGGTAATTACAAGACATTAAGACATCAAGAAGCAGAAAATAAAACAGAATACGGAGCAGCGTGCGCGACAGTACTACTACCAGCCAGTAAGTAATATGTAGTATGTATGCGATAAAAATCATCGAGGGCCATCCAAGAAAACATGATTATACATCATAGATCGTCTCGCTCGCGTCCAACACCCAACGTAAAGCCTCGTAGCTCGCCGTCACACACCGCCACCCGCCCCGCCCCGCCCCATCCCGGGCGCGCTCACGCCTTCTCCACCTCGTCGATTTCCTCCTTCTCCCCCTTCTCCGCGTACTCCCGCTCGCCCTCGACGGCCCTGCGCTCGCCGTGCTGCGCCGGCTCGGGGCCGAAATGGTACAGCGGCTCGAGCGTCGCGCGCTTGTCGCACAGGACCCACCGCCGCACGAAGTACGGCAGCGCCTTGGTCACCTGGTAGCGCATGTGCGTGCGCGTTGGCACCGCGAAGACGTAGTCGAGCTCCTCGAGCGTGCGCTGCTTCGTCTCGGGCACGAAAAGGAAGATCATCACGAGCGCGACGATGTTCAGCCCGCTGCGCGCGGCATCGGCGTGAGCGAGAGAAGGGTAGGTCAGGATGAGGTAAGGGAAAGGGGAGCGGAGTGGACGCACGCGTAGAAGCAGAACGCGCCGATCGGGTGGAGCGCGTCGAGCATCGCGGGGAACGTGATCGACAGCACGGCGGCCCAGCCAAGACATGTCGCGACCGCCCAGCTCATCCCCACCTCTATCGAGCGCGGTGCGCAAGAAACGTTCAATCAGCGCTGTCCATCGAAACGGATACACGTCACTCACCGCGATGCGACAGCGGGAACACCTCCGCACTGTACGCAAACGGCACCGGGCCCTCCCCGGGGCTATAGAATGCGGCGAACAAGAACACGAAGAAGGCGATCATGCCGAGGTGCGCGTTGCTCTCGCGCGGGATGAGGTTGCACAGCCCCGCGGCGATGAGCGTCCACGCCATCTGCGGGAACGTGAACAGGAGCAGCGCGCGCCGCCCGTAGGTGTCGATCGTGCGCACCGCGGGCCACGCGAACACGAAGTTGACGAGCCCGAAGCCGAACGAGGAGAGCAGCGCGCGCTTGGGCGACGCGCCGGCCTCGGTGAAGATCGTCGAGGAGTAAAAGGCGATGATATTGACTATCGTGTGTGTGCACCCGACAGGAAAGCGAAAAGGGGGTCAGTGTGGACGTACGAGAGGGATAAAGACGAAGCGATGACGCACTGCCACACATCTGCTGCGCGATCATGACCGTGAAGCTCGCAAGCGTCGCACGCCTTACTCTCGGGATGGTGAACAGCTCGACAAACCTGCCCAGGTAATTGCTCCGCTTGCCCACGATGGCATCCTCCTCGCGGAGCTGCGCATCGATCGCGTAGAGGTCGCGCGCGGCCTGGAGCGGGTGGTTACGGAGGCGGCAGAGGGACTTGTACGCCTCGGCGTAGCGACCCTTTTTGATGTACCAGCGCGGGGATTCGGGGCAGAAGAAGATCCCAATCAGCAATGGCACGGCGGGGATGAACGCGGATCCGAGCTGCAAGCGCCATGCGATCCGTCCCACGTCTTCGACAATCAAATTCGCCGTGAAGCCGCTGCGGGGAATTGTATCAGCGACTCTCAAAGGTGAGAAATGGAGGAGACACAAACAGGAATATTCCAAATGCCGTCCAAAGTTGCCAACTCATGACCAGTCCGCCGCGTATAAGCGCGGGCGTATTTTCTGCCGCATAAATGGGTACCGTGCTTCCTTTACAGCCCATCCCGATACCGAGCAGCAGCCGACAGACGAAGAGCTGTTCCCATGTCTGTGTGCACGCGGAACCGATGACAGGGAAGAAGCAGAAGATGCCGGAGAGGAAGATGGTCCCGCGTCGGCCGAACCAGTTGTTGAGCGGATCTGAAAGCCAGCAGCCACTGTGCGGAAATGAATATCGATCGACAGCGGGAAAGCGTAGAGACTTGCATGAATGCGGAAGCGAGATAGGGGGCGGCGTTGACGATGCCGACGATCCATGGGTCTTTCCCTGTTTTGCCCCCGATTCCAAATTCATCAGGGAAGGACAGGTTAGCGCCGTTGGAGCCCGTCTGATCCCATCCTCTGTTCATTTCCCTTTAGCTTCCTTCATTCCACCGCAACGTGAAGCACTCACTGCACAGCAGCTCCAATGGAACACGTCGCGATCGTCAGAAAGAGGGCGCGCGGCTGACGCCACCGATGATGGATCTCGTCGTGCAGCGCCGCGCGCTCGTCCTCCTCGAGGTCGGGGAGGGTCTCGTACGATGATGGGTCCTGGGCGACGAGCGCGCCCTTGCGGAGGAGCGGGAGGATGTCGTTCATGTCGTTCTCCTCAGCGAACGCGTCGACGTTGGCGAGGAGGGTGGCGCGCGGAATGCCCGAGAGCGGGTTCTGGATCCTGTCCACCGGAGATGCGTCGGGGATCCGCGCGTCAGCGAGGCCGGCAGAAACGCGGAGAATGGAAGGGACTCGCCTGGCGCTGACGTTGCTATTCAGGTTCACATGCTCAACCTGTCCGATCTCACTGTCCGTCGATCTGCGCGTACAAGCACCCATCGTCAGCTCTCCTCCGGCTTTGCACCCACGCGTCCGATGCGACGGACAGGGAGAACCGAACGAGCCTGTTTTACTTACTTTGAGTCCTTCGAGTCGGCCATCGTTGCAGGCAGCGTCGAAGGAGGCAGGACAGGAAGCGGTGCGAAGCGAGGTGGGGGAAACCAACAGCTCCACCCACGCCGCGCCCCGGCGGCTTATATGCGCGGACGAGGGCGCGACAGACGCTCGTCGGACCAAACTGCCGGTAATCGCTCTCTCCGCTAGCTCTGCCTGCGAATCCTCCTCGACGCTTCTCTTCATGATGCGTCTTGACGGTGCATGGTGATCGTTCCTGACGCTGTGGACCACAGCGTCGCAGCACGATCTCCAGATATGGCAACGGCGCTCCGATGAAAGTCGCAAAAGAAAAGGGAGCGGCGAAGGGAGAGTGAGATGGATACCCCACCGCAAAACATAATTAGCGGGGTGCGGGATGCGGGGCACTTGCGGGGCACGCGGGGTCGCGTTTGATCTCGCGTCGCGTCGCGCGCCGGGCCTGCGTTTCCGGGGCCAAAGGCACGATCATGGGTCGCTCCACAGCAAGGGAGCTTCCTTTCTCCTTCGCGCCTTGGCGGGCCACTGGGCGGAACCCCTGCGTCGGGCACCTCGCAAAGCAGGATCACACACGCAAGCGCGAAGCAAGAGCCGCCCGACCTTGTTCTCTTTCCAGCGCGAGTGGAGGCATGGGCGGCGCGATCGCGGACGGATCAGGGAGAGGCGGCGCTGGGCACGGATCCTGTGGCTGCGGTCTCGGATGGGCGTTGGGGTGCGCTTCTTTTCCTGATGTCTCTGAGGATATCCCTCTGCGATGCGGGAGCGCTCGCCAGTCCTTTACGCGGATTTCTAGAAACCAAACGGAGAAGATATTATGTCGTGATGCGTGGGGGTGGAGCTTCCTCCGATCGCAGAGATGTTGTGCGTGGGATTGGTGAACGCTACTGAACCCGTCGGGTTCGTCACAATTGGGCTCGTATAGGCTCGCATCCATCGTGGATCGAGAGTGGACCGAGGCGGCGTCGTCCGTCATGAGCCGTTGACGTTCATTTCGAGCTGGATCATATCTGGACGATACGTGTGATAAGATGATCGGTCGAAGGGTGCGGGCATCATTCTGATCAACAGGCCACTTTCCCTGCTCCACTGCGCGCATATAACGTACTGGACGTACGTGAGCGTACGAGAACATCAATATCAGTGAATGCAGCCCATCACAATGCTCCACCCTGGCGTCTCTCGCGTCGCAAGCTTACCATAGCAGTTCAGTGTTATGTCGCTCGGTTTCCTGCCGCTCGCTCAAGTAGGTAATGGAATGCTACCAGCTGCATCGAGGTCATGGCATTACACCCGTTTGTAAGAGATGTAAGCAAGTATGTAGGCCACGCGGTGAGAAATGGCGAGAAATGCACCTCAATCCTAGCGCACCGGCAACGGTCCCCGCCTCCTCCGTTCCGAGCCTATCGGACCAATACGGTACAATCAACGGACACCCGTCTGTGCCCGTTCTCTCCCATTCTCTCAAGTGAAACACGCTCAGCGAAAGAAAAAGCATTCGAGGTGCAGGCAGGTGCAGGGAGTTCAAGGGAGTTCAGCATCGGACGTCGGTCCGATATCCCCGCCGTTCATTGCAATTTGTATCGCCAGTTCGAGATCCCCGCACCCTCCCGCACCCCATACTTACCCCGCAGCTCGTAAATGGTTCAGGATCGGGCATTGCGGGGAAATTTGGTAATGTTTTGTGTCTTTGTCTATGCCAGTCTATGCCAGTCTATGCCAGTCTATGCCTTTGTCTTTGTCTTTGTCTTTGTCTTTGTCTATGTCTATGTCTATGTCTATGTCTATGTCTATGTCTAGCATGTCTAGTATGTCCATGTCTTTGTTTCATCTCATCTGTCTCTGTCTCTGGTTCCTCCGCATGCGAGACTTCGGAGATCGGCAGAGGTCGGCCAGGACATGCATGTGATAAGTCTGTGCATTATGCGGAAACGATCAGACCTGATCAGACCCGTAGAGATCGTCTCCCGATGGACGTCTTCAATTTTATTTTTGGTGTGATGGCTCTACGGGATGCGGGAGTCGGACCGTCGTTGCCGAAGTGCTCGTGCTCGGGGCGTCGAGTGTCGAAGTTGAAGAGTATAGGTTACGTTTCGAGAGCTCGTCGCCGTATCGATATTGAAGGGGTGAGGAAGGGCAGTGCCTGCACGTGGTAACGATGTCAACGCAAGCAACGAGACGAGCATGTCGCCTGTGTGTGACTCGGTAATGGAAGTAGTAAATTGAAGGGTTGGCAGAGGAGAGGCATACGGAAGAGAATCCACATCCATGTCTGGTTTGTGCTGGTTTACGCGAGTTGCGGAGCATCTAAGGGGTATGGATCATGTATGGGTTCTTGTTCCATTCTCGTCTGGGCAGTTCGTTCTAGTTTGTTCTCGAGTTCTGGCCACGGATCTTCGTAACTAGTCGAGGTGGGTCCAGACGGCGCAGATGTATGTGCTATACACTCCCGCAGTAAACGCGAAGGAGAACGACATCGTGTGTGCTGAAATGACGTTGAAGGCCCGGACGAAACAAGAAAAGCGAACGACAGGGAACGACGCGCCGAGGCGCTTTTACGCCCGCCATCTCGAGTGTCTTCGACCGCGCGTAGCTTACAGCAGCTGCCGCTCGGAGATAAAGGAGCCACCACAGCTTCTCAGAAGAGTCCAGACGTACCTTTCCGGGGGAAGCGCCGTTTCCACCTCTCCCTAGGCGGGGCGCGGAATATCTCCATCGTGTAGGGTCGAAACTGTCATTGCGTCACAGGGGAAGAAAGGGCCGGTGGACGTCAGGGCGCTGGCGAGGGGATCTGGGAGGACTGAGATCAAGTGCGATCGCGCGCGAGCTCTCAGCTGTCAGCAAACCTTGCGGCTTCTTTTCATTTGCATTGGATTAGATGAGCTTGGGGGCGTCAACGCACGGCCGTACTATATCTGCTAGCACTGAGGCAAGTAATCTCGCTGGTCTTGCAAAGTAGGCTTGACACTCGGTCAATCGTCGTCATTCTGGGCATTCGATTACTGCGACTATATATCGAGCCGGCGGTTTGTTTGAGAGGCCTCAAGACTGCCTCGAGCCCGGCGGCATCGAGAGGCATCGGCGCTCGTCAGCTCTCTGCAGTGATTGAGATCAGCGACGCGCGATGCAAGACTTGTTCTGCGCGTGGATCAGCGAGGACTCGTACAGAGTGGCATGACAAGCCGAAATCTTCTCCAAAAACAAGCAAGCCGTAGCCGGAACCGCAGATACTGATGGACAGCAAAAAGCGAGCGTGCTCGGTCTGACTATTGCTCTGACATTGTTAGGCCTGCTGTGTCCCATCTTTGGGTGTGCAGACACCAGAGGGTGATAGGGAAGCAAGGTGCAAGCGCAAATGTAGGAGAGGCTGAGAAAAGACTGGATGGAGGATGACTCGATGACTCACGAAAAAATCTGATCCTCTAGCTACCCGCGAGCTTCAACCAGCCTCGGCGACGACGGTGAGATGCCCTGTACCGTACGGAAAGCTTGAAAATTGTATGAGCGTGTGCCAACTCCAAGGTACCGCAGCCTCCGTGGCTAGCTACTATACATGGAAGATAGTATTCACACAGATTCACACGCTCCTTTGCAGCGCTTCCAGTCGAACATCGATCCTCCTCGAATACGTTTGTGATACGTCTCTCAAACTCATCCATGTATCACGGTCCAGAAGCTCATTGTGCGACTTCACGAAGCCAGACAACAACTTCTTGTCCTCGCTAGACTTGCTTGGAGCTGGCGTACTCGTACACTCATTTCCGTTCTCCGCTAGACTCAGACAGGCATCCGAAGCAGTGATATGTGGACCCAATGCACTTGTCTCGCTGCGGTCTTGTACGTCGTATTCTTGAATGGATAGATCCGCTTTCATGACTTGGCTGAAACTCCTCATGAAATCTACGCTATCATCATCAATAAATACTACCTGCCTGACGTGTGTCCTCCTCCCAACAAGATTCGGTCTATCGTCTGAGCTGACGACGTTGTTACCTCAAAGTTCAGACCCAGATGTCCGTGGCCCTTCTTAATTTGAACACCAAAATCTTCTTGATGAATTCAATATCCACGGGTGCTATGCAGAATGAGTCTGGTCCAATGTCCATGTCTGCAGACGATGGTATGCTCCCACTGAGTCTAAGGCCGCATGAAAGCGTGGGCCTTGAGGTCATCCGTGCAACACTATATGTTAGCGAGTCTACACACCCTCTTCTGATTTGCTGCACTGAACTATGGGAAGACGTTGCTCTCACCTCTCACCTTTAGTGCTTTTCTCATTGCGATAAATAACACGGAAAACCCCCTCTATTAGAAGCCTTCATCAATGTGCCATAAATGCTTCGTACGGCTGAGCGGTTTCTGGAATACAGTAGGGATGGCGGACACTTAGCAAAGATAATGTGACCTATCTATATCCACCATGTTGCAATCGGTGCGTGTCGCACACTCGACTGGCAGGATTGTCGTCAGAAGCTGACTGCTGCGCAGTCTCATCCACCAATATGAACCTACACCATACCGGATACGAGCACTTTCACAACACGAAATCTCCTCGATGCAGATGCCCGCAGTTTTTGAACCTTAACGTAGTCGAACAGATTGCCTCGTGGTTGTCATATTTGGTCCGTCGTATTCCTATAACCAGGACATGGTATACAATATAAAGTGCCGACATGGACCTGTATCCCCCTCGTCGCTTCAGCATCATCAGCTCTTCATAGATGTTTTCTTCAATTATCTCACGTCCATACTTTCCGCGTACAAAAGTCACGCAATTCCGTCCTGCGGACCTCCGCAACACAATCACTTTTCCACCGTTTAAGGACCTCCCCAATGAGGATGACATTGACGATGAATACTATTCCTTGGACCCATATACTAGCATCTATAGGCCAAAACGACACTGGTGTTTCCTTGGGGAGATCGTCGATGAGATGTTTTTTGTGCGCTTACGACTGGACTTGCGCGACGCCGCCGGGGCACGCGTTCCCGCGCATTTCCACACGGACGACTACGGGAGCAACTTTGCTTTGCGCTGTCGCAAGGGCAAGACGCTCGCGTTGCTGTATGCGAACCGACATAACTTCATGGATATGTCTGTCGGACTGCGCATCGAGGACGCCGAGAGCGCGAGCGTCCTTCCTTTCTCGATGAAAGAGCTCTCGGAGGCGAACGCGCTCATGTGGGATAGTGTGAGCGGTTCAGAGCAGAAGGTGGAGGGCAAGCTGTGCAGCGGATGCGGGAAGGGCGGCAATCTCAGGGCATGTAGCCAGTGCAAGTTGGTGTTTTATTGCGGCACAGTAAGTATCTCGTCTTGATCTTTGCTGCACCTCGCAGCGTGTGAGTCGACAGGCGGCGGCTGACTAGATTGTCTCAGGAATGTCAGACCAAAGCGTGGAAGGATGGACACAAGCGGATATGCAAGGCCGCCCGAGCATTGGAGTGGTTCAGATCTAAGAAGTGGGAAACATATGAGGGCAACTATTTCTCGTGGTAAAGTCTGGAGCGGTCGAGGTTACTGATGGTCTTGGTGACGGTAGTTCGATAGACGTTCACATTGAATTTGTTCGAATTCTGTTTGATCCTGTTTCTTGGCTTGGTGTCTTGTGACTACTCGATTCCCCTTGTAGCAGATTGCAGTCATGCATGAGCGCTGCAGCGGTTGACGCCCGAGAGTCCCACGCTATTCATGGCATCCACATCTTCTTACCACCATCTCGTATTGTCGATTCGGCATCGGTTCAGTAGGCTGCAGCAATATTTTCAACAACACAAAAGTTTGTCACGCTTGAACGCTTGAACACCGCCTTTCGGCTGGAAACCGTCGTGAAGGTGGACATGTTCCCCCACCGTCTCGCTTGCGACCTTGGGCTCTTGGCCGCGTAATCGAGCAATTGTCGAAGACGTAACGTAGCACGCGAAGGGGCCGATGTCAGTGAGCAAGATCGTGGCCATATGTACTAGTTGTCGCCTATGGGGGGGCGCAACTGGCGAATCACACGGTCCTTCACTTCGACTCAGACAACCTCCTCGTATACGTCTCTCGACCTCAGGTCCTCAGGCACAGCCAAGTAACATGATCTAGAAGTTCGTTACTTCGTTGTGCACCTTCGCGCAGCCAGACAGCAAGGTTTTTCTTGTCCTCGCTGGAGCTGGCATATAGTCATTTCCGTCGTCCGCTAGACTCAAACAAGCATCCGAGGCAGTGACTTGCGGACTCAATGCATTTATCTTGCTGGTCCTGTACGCTCCTGTACGCCGTATCCTTGTCGTGGATGGATCTACTTATCTTCATGACTTGGCTAAATTGTTTATGGAATTTACATGAAAGGACTACCTGTCCGACGTCTCTCCACCTTTACCCAACAAAATATGGTCTAATCTTTGAGCTGACGATGTTGTTACCTAGAATTTAAGACCCAGATGTCCACGATCTGTTTCAACCAGGAGTCTCTGTCATAATGCTTATTTTTGCATACTCTCAGTGGACAATGAGTGATTCATGTGTGTGCCATGAACGGTTTCGCTGATCTTTTTCCAGGTTGTGCCCATGATAATGTCTTGCGCGATTGTGCGGTTTTTGGAATAAAGGAGGGATGGTGGACATGCTTATCAAAATCAATGTGACCTGTTTATCTTCCTCATGCTGCAATTGATACGTGTCGTACACTTGACTAACCGAATTATCTCTAGAAGTTGATGCGCAGACATCCTCCAATCTCAACTTACATTAAACTGGATACGAGTATTTTTACACCATGCGACCTCCTCGATGTAGATGCGCGCGGTGATTAGATAGAATGCCTCGTGGTTGTGATGTCACTCTGACAAGGGTTTGAATATAAAGTGCTAACATGAATCTGCATCTCCCTCCTCACTTCATCATCAGCACCGCTTGACAAATTATCTCTCCAAGTACATTCTCTCCACCTACGTTCAGAAATCATGCATAATCCTGCGGACCTTCGCAACACACTCACTTTTCCGCCATTCGAGGAGCTGCACGATGAGAATGCCGTCGACGATCGATACTACTCCTTGAAGCCATTCACGAGCATCTATGAGCTACACCGACACTGGTGCTTCCTCGGGGAGATTGTCGATGTGATTCCATTCTTGCGCTTGGGGCTGAGAGTGCGCGACGCCGCCGGAGCAGAAATTCATGTGCAGTTTTATACTGACGACCGCGGGGAGAGCTTTGCTTTGCGCTGTCGCAAGGGCGCAACGATCGCGGTACTTTACGCGACCCAACATGGCTTCCTCGACATGAATGTCGGATTGCGCATCGAGGATGCCGAGAGCGTGAGCGTGCTTCCCTTCTCGATGGAGGAGCTCTCGAAGGCGAATGCGCTCATTTGGGATGGTGTGAGCGACTCAGACCAAGAAGTGGAGGGCAGGCTGTGCGGCGGATGCGGGAAGGGTGGCAATCTTAAGGCATGTAGCCAGTGCAAGTTAGTGTCTTATTGCGGCACAGTAAGTTTTCCGTCTCGAACTTTGCTGCACTTGCGTGTGAGTTAAGAGTCGGCGGCTGACCGTATCTCAGGCATGTCAGATCAAAGCGTGGAAGGATGGACACAAGCGGATATGCAAGGCTGTTCAAGCGTTGGAGTGGTTCAGATCCAAGAAGTGGGACACATTTGAGGGCAACTATTTCTCGTGGTAAAGCCTGGAGCGTTTGAAACTGCTGATGAGCGCGGTGGTTGTGTTGAGTAGTTTGATGAATGTCCCATTGTATTTTGTTGTATTCTGTTGGCTTGGTGTCTTGTGACTACTCAACCCCTTGTAGCATCATAGATCAATCTATCGACTCGAGAATGAATGTCACAATTGATCCTCAGGTCTGGCGAAATCTACGAAGATCTCTGAGGGTAAACGTGTTTCTTTTATTTGGGAAGAGACGGAGTAGCTCGAGAGAATGTGGACGTGGATCGATTTCGATGGGACATACTTGTGCGCAACAAATTCTGGCCTTGCTTATTCACATACGACTGGTGAATCGCATTGAGTACGGCGTAGACTACTCGTATGACTCGGTGCGGACAGTCGTCTCGCCTCATGCAAGGTACCACCTGCTCAGTTGTTGAAGGGATAGAGACGCTAGGGTGCAGAGGGACAAGGGAAATGAGGGCGGGTCATTTGCTATATGAGTATGGGCGTAATTCTCATAGAGGTGAGAACGCACCTGATGGAGAGCGGCACTTAGTCGAGGTGCAGTTTAGATGTTTGTGCACAGACGGAGCGCATTGGACTCAATATCCAAAATTCAATGTAGATTGCAGCCATGAGCGCTGCAGCGACTGACGCCCGAGAGTATCACGCTATTCATAGCATCCACATCGTCCTACCACCATCTCGTGTTGTCGATTCGCGTCGGTTCAGCAGGCTGCAGAAACACATTTTCAACAACACAAAAGTACGTTCACGCTTGACCGCTTGAACACCGCCTTTCGGCTGGAGACCTTCGTTAAGGTGGACATGTTCCCCCACCGTCTCGCCTGTGACCTTGAGCTCCTGGCCGTGTAATCATGCGGTTGTCTAAGACGTAACGTAGCGCGCGAAGAGGCCGATGTCGGTGAGCAAGATCACGGCCATGTAGTTGCCGCCTATGGGGGCCACGATGACGACGGATCTCGTAGAAAGAGACACTGATACAAAAAATTACCGACACTAGATCATACCGTTTTCCACATTTCCATGCATTCGCAGTGAGAATCACGGTCCAAGAGAGCTCTAGCTCATCAACTATCTGTCATATCAAGTTAGCGTTGGAGTAGTAAAAAATCCATACCAAGGAGAGAGAGTGCGCGCGCAGGAGGATACAAGAGAGCGCAGAAGGGAAAGTAGGCAGAGGAGGAAGGCAAGGCCACGGGACGAAGGGATCCGAGATGAAGGGAGCTTAAGGTTAGGGGTAGCACGCACCAGACTGTAGCGCCAGCGCGCCAGACGACACCACCACCATCATTGACCATCACATTTCGTTACTGGTCCAGCGTGCGAGACCCGCGACAGAGCCCAACGGGCGAAAATTATCTTGCTAACTTGCTTGCTTCTTGACCAACACGGAGACTAGAAAAGAGAGCGTTAGGACAAAAAAGATATCGCGAGACAATCGGGAGTACAGGCAACTCCTGGCCAAGCTGACTGTATCCCACGAATAGTCGCAGCAGGATGGTGCTCACCGCCGCGGCCCGATTACTACTATTTGCGATCTTATCGACTCTTGAGATAACTTGACGTTAAGAAATTAGCTCAAAGAGAGTATAGCACTTTCCGGACAAAAAAGGCGGAGGGCTTGTAGGACTTCGCAGAACCGTGGTGACTGAATCAGTCTATACAGAGCATCAAGATAGTCGGATGTTATGTGATTGTACCCACCTGCATACACAGCCCTGTCAGTGAACTAGAATCAGCACGAGTAAGTTAAAAATCAACGGACAGAATCACTTATCTTTGTTCGCCAAGCGCCACGAAGAAACCTAGGACAAATGAGCGTCAGAACATTGGCTACTCAGAGAAAGTGGCCAAAAATACAGACAACCCCCGGCCGAGTTGCCTGTATCATTCGACTTGTTAAGTGTCGTACTCACCACCTTACACATTCTCATAGTAGCGTGGGACTTGAGGATCTTGCGAAAATACGAAGTTGCTGACTTGGTATCTAGAGAGAAAGTCAGCGGAAGCAAGTAATGAGACAATGCACCTACCTTCATACATACCTGCCGCGACAAAATACAGTCAGTTTACCGTTCTCACAACGAATATAACGGTACTTATCTTCTTCACACACCAGGCGCCAGAAGGACCTAGGACACATAACTATCAGCATTCTACCAACGCACAGAAAGCGATGAAAAGCACAGACAGCCCGGCCGGAAGTTGCCTGTGCTTACAAGAGTAATAAAGTGACTGATGTACTCACCGTCATACTGCTTCTTGTGATGATCTTGCGAAGTGGAGTCTAGAGAGGATTAGTTAACTCAGATAACTGATAAATTCACTTACCTTCATGCACTTATCTGCCACAGTGAAATACTATCAGCATATCATTTACAGAAAAGAACATGAGAAAGTACTTATCTTCTTCACCAACCAGGCGGCAGGACGACCTAGGACAAATTTATATGAGCAAATAATCTAAGCAGATAAATCGATTGAAAGCACAGACAACCCGGCCGAAAGTTGTCTGTGTTATAAGAGCGATAAAGTAACTAATTTACTTACCGTCATACTCCTTCTCGTGACGATCTTGCGAAGTAGAGTCTAAAACAGGTTAGTCAAAGCAAACAACAGACAAATTCACCTACCTTCATGCACTTATCTGTCAGTGAAATACTATCAGCATGTCAATCACAAGAATGAACACAAAAACTAACTTCTTCACCGCCATACTTCCCATGACGATCTCGCGAAGTGAATCTAGAGAAGGTTAGTGGAAGCAAAGAACAGATGAATTCACCTACCTTCATGCACACACCTGTCACAGTGGAAGACTATCAGCACACCAATCACGGAAACGAACACAAGACATTACTTATCTTCTTCACCTGGAAGGGGCCGGGACAGTCTAGGACAAATATACATTAGCGAGGAGTTTTAGTTGAAGGGATCAAATGAAAGCACAGACAACCCGGCCGGAAGTTGTCTGGGCTATGAGAGGTATATGATAGATAGTGCACTCACCGTCATGACCCTTCTCGTGACAACCTTGAGAGGTGAATCCTAAAAAGGTGAGCAGACGTAAACAACTGATAAATTCACCCACCTTCGTGCACACATCTGTAACAGTAAAATATCTTCAGCATATCAATCACAGAAATAAACCATAAACAGGACTTATCTTCTTCGCCATACTCCTCCCTACAACGATCTTGCGAAGTAGAGTCTAGAGAAGGTTAGTAAACGCGAACAACTGATACTGATAAATTCACCTACCTTCATGCACACACCTATCACAGGCGCATACTATCAGCATATCAATCACAAAAAAGAACATAAGAAAGTACTCATCTTCTTCGCGGACCAGGCGGTAGGACAATCTAGGACAAATATACATCAGCAAAGATCTTAAGCAGACAAATCGATTAAAAGCACAGACAACTTGGCCGGAAGTTGCTTGTGCTATGAAAGGTATATGATTGATAGTGCACTCACCGCCATGATCCTTCTCGTGACGATCTTGCTAAGTGGAGTCTAGAGAAGGTTAGTAAACGCGAACAACTGGTAAATTCACCCACCTTCATGCACACACCTGTCACAGCGAAATACCGTCAGCATATCAATCACAGAAACGAACATAAGAAATTACTTATCTTCTTCACCGACCAGGTGCCAGGACGACCTAGGACAATGCACGTCAGAAAAGAATTTATGCAGAGAGTCGCGGGAAAGCACAGATGGCCCGGCCGGGAGTCATCTGTGCTAAGAGAGATATAAATGGAACACCACACTCACCGTCATACTTCTCGTGATTGAGGCGGGACTTGATGATCTTGCAGAGTGTGTTCACCTGTTCTCTCAAGGAAAAGTAAGCAGAAGCGAACAAAAGCTAAATACACCTACCTTCACGCACATTCCTGTCACAGTGTATTATAGTCAGTCTATAGATTACAAATACGAACGAACGATGACACTTATCTTATTCAGCAAAAACGCCTTACAACAGACCTAAGACGGTGCATATCAGCTTATGAACTATGTCGGCAGAACAATCGGAAACACAGACAGCTCCCGGCCGAACTGTCTGTGGGATATGGATGAATGAAGGGTCGACACGTACCGCTTTACTCTCTAGTCGGCAAGCCTGTAAATCTTGCTGTGTATTCTGAAGGACGAGAAAAAACAATGGACCTACTTTCATGTCGAACATCAACACCTGTCTAATTGTCAGGATACGGCGAATGTGATAGATATAAAACACTCACTTCTAAACTTCTCAACCCTTCGACTTGCAGCAGCTAGAACAATATACATTAGTACGGCAGGATATGGAGTGGGAGAACGAAACAGAACTTATACTTTTCGTGTACAGGATGCGATGGTCATCTGTCAAATATGATAATAACATACAACAGACGTTGTAGAAATGGTACTCACCTTTATCCATCATCGGAGACTGAGCAATCACAGACCGAGTCTTTGTGGATGAACATTGATGTCAATCGCATGTATAGCATGGACTAAGAAGAGCCTCGTACCGTGAACGCTTGATGTTGCGTTTCATGACATGCTGTTCCTGAAAAATATAAAAGAAAATGACCACTCCGCACCGACCGGGACCACTCCGAGGAGTGACGACGACAGGGCTTCACCGTGGATATACTTACCAGCGGGGACCTGTAAGGAAGACTCAAGTAGATCAGCAGTACGTGTTCTATATGCTGGAATAAAGAAAGGAAAAAAAGCCCGCCCCCATGCCAACCACTCCTGCCTCTACCATCCGCAACATCCCCTGGCCAGGAGGACACTGCATCAAGCATCGACAATCGTGGCCCTCCGCTCATAGATAACAGATAGAAAAAGACGATCAAGAAATGGAACCTCAAACCTTTTGTGTCGTTCCGAAACAGAAGAATCGCCGCAGTCCAGCGAGCAAAACCCGGTCGCGAATCGGGTTCCGCCTGCCAGACCACATTGAAACCGCTGTCTGAGACACCTCTGCCAGACCTCCGGACTACGACTGCAACTCCGCAACCACACGCAGCCGCCGAACTCTCTCCACCGCTCAGCAGGCAAATTCCTTCGCCTTGATAAAAATCTCATCCCACAGCCCCATTGCCTCAACCTCTGCGATCGCCAGGTCCATATCGATCCAGAAGTCCGCCAGATTGACCTCCTCTGCCTTCTGAGCGTTTGGAGACGGGCATGGGGACCACACCGATATAGGTGCTATCTCGACCAGCTCGATATCTGGGGCAACTTCCGGAGTTGGGTCCAGGGATACGTCGACCATGTCGACCTCCTTCATGTCATCCTCTATCCACATGCTGACCGCCTCCTCCTGCGAGCAAGCCTTGCTCGAATCCTCCACCGTGGCCTCTGCCTCTTCTTCTAACTCCTTGAATGCTGCGGCCATGACTATGTCGATCATGCCGTCATCTGCGTAGATTGATTCGTCCGGCAGAGATGGGGATGACAACCGCTCGCTTCCGATGAAGTTGCTTTCACAATCGCTCTCGTATGCGGCGAGGGGAGTCAAGACAGCTGCACAGGCGTTGTCCTCGAGGTGGAGCGTCTCCTCGGCGGTGGAGATGAGAGCGTTGACATGCTGCATCTCTTCGTCGAAGCGTTGCAAGAGGGGAACGAAGTCGTCGAAAGTGATAGTCGTGTTCTTGGCATCGTCCGGCCCCGTCTCCTGCACTATGGAATAGACGTTGGTGGGGTGGGTGTTGACCTCGGGGACGCTGACGTCTATGACTCTTGGCACGATCTCTTGAATGGAGCTGATGTGCGTGCGGATCCTGGCGGGACTGGAGGAAATGGGGTCCTCGTTGGCGACGAACGCTACCATCAACATTCCGGAAACGTTGAGCGATGCAGGCTGGAGGGATCTAGGAGCGTCAGCTTGTCTCAACGTCTTCTTGGAAGGACGAAGTTTCGCTATATCACACTCATATGAGTTTCAAGATCAACGTGATGAGAACATCTGCGTTGCGTACCGAGACAGCGGCTGCTCATGGACTTGACGCGATCCTTCATGGCCGCGAAAGGGCTACGAAGAGGGATCGGAGACGTGGAAGGCTGTCTGGAACTCGCGGAAGGACCACGGTTGGAGAGGCGAAGCATACGGAGCATGGAAGAGACGCGGGGCGCAGCGGGGGATGTAGTAGAAGGCATTGTGGATGAGATGAATGGTGATTGGAACTGATGATAGATGAAAGCGCTGATATAGTATGAGAATGGTGAAGCGGTAAAGCTCAAGTATCTCGCAGGTACCCAGTGGATAAGAGCAAGATGGAGAAACTGCGCTATCGGAAACCGACGATGCTTTATCTTCACGATACAAATCTTGACCTAGCTTATGGAATGGATGACGAGTTACAGGCCATACCGGAATAGCTTCGAATTTGGGTAAGCTTGTCGAAAACCAGTCCATGACGATGTGGGCGGACAGTCCTACAAAAGATGGACGGGCACGATCATAACCAGATAGGAAGCGAACATCGAATTGAAAGTTATCATTCGATCTTGATCGGTCAGAACCATCACGGTCTGTTGGTTCAGAGGGAAGCTCACCAGGTCAGAGTTTCGCAGGCCGACTGGGGATTGTCAGTCTGGACTGGAAGGTTTTCCTATGTGTCAACACGAATCTCGAGGATGTGATCATCGTTTTCTATAGATAGTCAAGACAAGCATAGAAAGGTATACACTTGGTTGCGATTGCATCGCACGAACCGGAGGCATAAACCTTTATCTGTGTCACCTTCGTATCCGGTGCAGCGAAAAAGACAGTCCTTACCGAGCATTCACTGACGAGTCTCAGCTTGCATATGCGAAGCAATAAGACAGTTGGGTCTATTTTGATGTCGGAGTCTGATACAAAATCATGAATGAATCGTACCAAAGATTCGATTGAGCTGTTATGATGAGAACGAGGTTCCATAATTTTCGAAAATCGGCGGAAGGGCAAGATGCATTCGATGTGCATTGATTTCAAATCTCATCGTATGATTAGACACTCAAATTCAAGCATAAAACATCACAATTCCAAACGGTATGATTGAGACCTAGGAGATAGAGAATTCTGTAGGGAGAGTGATTCATACCGGCAAGAGTCTGAGGCTCAAAGTCTGACGCACCTCATATCTCGCCATCTGTATAGATGTCCTGGTGAGCTGCTGTGAATATACTTTGCCTTCTAGCATCTGAGTGGACTAGATGAGACTTATCAAGTTTTACGATCAGTGCGTGACTTTCCTCGACCTCTCTCGTCGTCAATATCATCTCAGAGTTCTTCATTGAGCCTACAACGCTCATCGAAAGCCTGCTCATTTCATTGTATGAGCGCAAGAAGTGGACTGAGATTCGGGGTAAGCCGCCTTCCTGTACCGAGAAAAGATATGCTCACCTCCAAAGGTGGATCAACATCCACAACATCAAATTGCTTTACAGAGGAAACATGAGTCCTTTCACTGCGGGCGCGTCGCGCGACATATATGGCTCTTTGGCGAGAGCAGGGGTAGGAATTACAATCGAGCAAGTCACGGTGATAGGCGATCTTTGTTATACGTTGATGAGCTGGTTTCAGAAGATGTCAGAGGGTGGGAGCCATCAGAGCGTTTGATCTCTGTAGCGACAAAGCTCTCGGACTGCATGGTGGGGTAACTCAAAATCGAGGGTTCCCGATTTGGCTGTATTGGTCTCCATGTGTGATCATAGCTCCCAAATAGAGCCAAAGATCGACCAGAAGAGTAGGTTTTGGCAAAGAATTGCTACAGATTGGGCGTCGGGGACTCAATTATATTCTCCGCAAGGCGCAACGCGGGACTTTTCTGGCACTCACATATTCACGTCGGTCATTGAAGGGGCAGAGCGTTGCTACTATCCAAGCCACCTCTTGCGAATATTGCCTCGAAACAACGTCTCCAACATCTCCAGAGATATAATCAAACATGGAAGAGAATCCGGCGCGGGCATCTAAAATGCTACCAAGAGACAAGGGTCCAAGGAACGGCTCATTAGCTTCCGAGCCAAAAATGAGGCATCGTGTTCAATGTATTTTTTCTCCACGATGAACGAGGCATTGCTTTCATCATCTATATCTACGCCGACACAGGCGAGCGTATTTGTGATCACAGCGAAATTCTCCCAATTCAAACTTCAGGATGTCGTCACTTCGCCAGTGTGTCGCTGAGCAGAGATGTGACTTAACATGTCTATCTCAAATATGGCCGAATCAGCGCCGTAAACAGGCGCATGTTGAGATTGGGAAGAGTGTCGCTGCCAGACCCCATGTACAAAGTTCGCTATCTTCATCGAGTGAGTTTTCGGTCCACCGATTCTGCTTTTCCTAATGCGTCATCAACTTTCCAGATCTTTCATTTGTTGAGCTTCAGAGTCATCATAATTGCTCTTCATGTCACCGAATTCACAGCCACGCAGTTGACAGCCGCTCCATTATTAACTAACGAAGATACTCATTTACGAATGATCACCCAGCTCTACAATCACGCGTCTCGTAAGTCAATAGTAATGACCTACTCCACAGCTTTTCTAATCCATCCCAGCTCAGCGTTCGACTGTTTGTTGCCGAGGATGCTACCCTGACGAACCAATGCAAACGATTCGACCGATATAACAAGTGTCATCTCTCGTTGATCAGGGTTCAACGCCCATCAGCACCCAGTTCAATTTCGGAATTGTGGACTGGCGCTACAAGAAAGCATCGCATTTGCGTCCGTCTCCGGAGCATGTCTATTGATTGTTTAGTATTGCACCGGCTCAATTGGAGCTGATGAACCGTTCAACTAAGGTGCCATCAGAGATAAGTAACTCGACCTGTGCGAACAGACAATGAGCGCTGATGTCTTCCTCGCACAGCTCGTCGCCGAAAGTAACTATGAGCAGAAGGGGCGCTCCGTTGCGACACGCTGACTGTAGACTCTATGCAGGCTCATGCTCGCTGATGCGCTCACCAGCATCCGGTTTCTCAGACGCCTTGCGACTCCTCACAGCCACACGTGGAGCACTCCCTCCTTTCCTGACAAGTTGCGCTCGTCATGCTCCTGCCAGCGCGGAATACTGCCAGAGCTCCGTCAGCAGCACACCTTGCACGACGCGTCGTACTACAGAACCTTCCTCGTCCCGAGTGAGCGGCTATATCAGGCGCCACAGCTCGCGCCCGACCTCGTATGTCACCTCTACCGGTCGGGTCGCTCTCTCGAAGAAGACGAGACCTTGGCGGCGCACTTGCCCCCATCGAGGTGTGTCTCCTGACGTTCTGCGGGGCGAATCTGTGTCCCGCTCGAAGCGCTGTAACCCGACGCCCCCGAGGGTCACTAAACCTTCGTCCTATTCCTCCTCCCAAATGTCGTGTTGTTCATTCATCCAGTCCATCACATTACCTCGATGGCGCTAACCTTGCTACACATCCGCGTCTTCCATGCATCTGCCTGTCACCCCCAATTTTCAGCGAGTCATATCCATCTTACCCACCCACCCCATTCAACGCCGTACGCAGCACGTACCCGTACCTGACACTCTCGCCGCAGCACGCCATTACAAACAGACAAATCGAAAACCTCTAACAAACCTCGCATTAACGGAGACGGGGCCCCAAGGCCTCATCTGTGCTGTGTCATGTCTGGCGGTACGGGCTTTCCACCTCGGCAACATCTTAACACAGGCAAATGCTCATCTGGCGGAGCTAAAGGAGCAATCAATTCGGCAGTCACTATGCTGAACGCCCCGATTTCTGTTCCCAGCCGGGGGATAACGCGGGCGATGGATATCTCCGTGCGCCTTGACTACTAGCAGTATGCTGAGCCTATCTGCAGACAGTGATGCGAAATCGGGATCTGCAAGCTACCTGTCTTGGACCGAATTAAAGGGGCACGATCTTCCCGCGGCTTGTGTCCATCTCAACGATAAACACGACGCACGCGGTCTTCTCAGCCCTCCCCTGTCCCTCAAATTTAACTTTGGCTATACCTACCTTTGTCTGTCGCTGTGCAACCGATCTTCTCGGTGCATGGACTCAATCGGCACTTAATACTGCAACGAGCCTCCAGTGTTTGATGAATGGGCTACGGCATCTCTCTGCCCTTCCCCTTTCCAGTACCCGCGACCGGCAAGGCTGCAACGCCGGATGACTTGTCCATTTTTCTTGCTGACGACCTTTGCCTTGCTGACGAACAAGATGAACGCGTGTACTTCAATAGACCCATACATTCACGCAGGCCTCGACAACACGACCTCACATCGGAAAGAGACGCCAGAGGCGGAGGGACACCGAGAAATCACAATGTGCGCTCTTACGATGCCGCCTACGAGCACGCATGCAGTGAGCGCTGCGCAATCGAACTTGCAGCATATAGGAAACGAGGTCGTGTACGACAGACACACAGAGACAGACGCACAGACGCAGATGCACAGACACACAAACACAGATAGATAGGTAGGTAGGTGGGCGGTCGTACAGTCGTCGCCATGTATGTATATGAAACAGACAGTTAAAAAAAAAACAGAAAAAAAGAAAAAAGAAGCCCCTTCCCCCCCGCTGAGCGGAGTGATACGCAGACACGCGGATCGACAGACAGAAACGCGAAAAAAAAGACACGGGGCCGGCAAGTAAAACAACACGCCACGAGAGGGCTCGATGGCACAAGAATGGCAAGAGAAGACGAAGGCGAGATGCGGTGGTATGGAGACATGGAGATGGGAGAATAGGATGAGGGGAGAGGGGACGAGGATATATATATATACCATGACATGAATAGGAGGTGAAAACGTGCAGTCGTCGTCGTTGTCGACACGATGATGTTCCGTGAAGACGTGCGAGGCCCAAAGCCCAACCAGATAAGGGAAAAAACCGAAAAAAAGCCCAAAGTCCCACCACACCATACTATAACGCACACACACAACACAAGCCCTACGACCTCGCCTCCGCCTCCGCCCTGCTCCCCGACCCCGCCCCGACCGCTATCGCGACCGGCAACGGCGGCGGGAACAACGCGGCCGCGCTAGGCACTGGGTTCCACGAGTTCCGATGGAAGCTCGTCTTTTTACGCACGCTCGCCTTGTACGCTGCGCGGATCGCCGCCGTACCTGCGCCGCCAGATCCCAACGCCGTTGCCGACGCGGACGCGGACCCAAAGGCCGAGAGGGTGACGGCACTGGGGCTAGGGCTCGAGCCCGAGCTCAGGCTCCGCGGGGGAAGGATGACGCTGGTGCCACTGCCGCCGCCGAGCGCGCGCGGCGGGATATCGGAGATCTCAGAGCGGGCATCGCTGGGCGAGGTCGGCGGACTCGCCGTCGCAGAGAGCGGCTTGAACAAGGCCGAGGTAGATAGGGATGCAGATGCGTAGTGGTCGTGTTCGTGGTCGTGTTCGTGGTCCTGATGCGGATGGAGGGGAGATTGCGGATGCGAGTGCAGGTGCGCGGGTGCAGAAAAGGAGGATGTAAACGACAGCGGGAGCGCGGACGTGGAGGTCGCCGACGGCGCGGGCGACGGCGCGCGGGACGAGGTAGACACATCGGACGACGCGCGCGTTGAGGGCGCAGGCCAGTCGAGCGGCGCGTGCTCGTGCTCGTCCTGCTCCGCGCGGAGCAGTGACGCTGGGAGCGTCATGGGGAATGCGTCGAGGAAGTCCTCAGGAAGCTGCGTAGGCTCGGGCGCCCGCTCGTACGGCTTGTCGTCGTCGCCATCGAGCGTGCGGCAGCGATGTTTCCAAAGCTTGAGGTTGCTCTCGCACTGGACCGCGTATTTGCGCGATTCTGGAGACAGATTTTCAAGATGAGACGGGGAGATTTGCGTGATTAGTTTGAAATTCAAAAAAAGATAAAAATTCCTTGATTTCTGTCTTAACGGAAAAGACAGGAAGTAGACATACCAGGAATTCCAGAAGACGTCAGGAGAAACAGCGGCTTTGCAAAGGTCTCGATGAAGAACACCTGCGACTTGGCCTCTGCGAGTGGGTTGTCGGACGCGCTGACAGACGGTGGAAGCTGGAGGTGTTGCTCCAGCACCGCCTGGCATGACCACTCTTCCATGAGCGCGGACGCCCAGTGCTGCGAGACGCGGAGCGGACGACACTAAATCCATCGCGTCGCGCCAAACCAACGCCAAAGTCAAATCCAAAAGAAAAAGAATCACATGAGAAAGCGCTTAAGAAGACAGGGAACGATAGGAACCGCGACGCAGCGACGCGCGCGCGTAGGCAAGCAAGCCTGCACGCGGGCGAGGGAGCGAGGGCGATCAGGGGAACGCTCACAGGGTTGCTGATGTCGGCGCACTTGATCAGCGCTTGGCACACGAGGAGCTTCTTCTTCCACTCGTCGACGACCTCGCCGTCCACGAGGCGCTTAAACCGGATCATGAACTCGAGGTGCACACGCATGTCCGTCGCGAGCACGATTTCGAGCAACAGCTTGCGGAACTGGGCGCCTGAACGCGGGTTGTCGAGAAGCGCGTCAAGGCCCTGGTGACGCATGAGGTGGAGAAGGAGCGTGAAGTGCATTTGCTCGAGGGGCGACTTGTCATCATAGAGCGAAGAGAGCGGGGCCTTGGCATTTTTCTGTAGGACAGGAAAAGAGTAAGAGGGCGCTAGAAGGATAGAGGACAAGTGATTGGTCACCATGAAGCCGTTCGTAAATCCTGGATGGCCTACGTCGTGGCCGATAGATGCTATGTACAGACACAGAAGGTCTTGGTTCCTGAGACACGAGACCAAAGATTTTTCTAAGCGACCCCTGTCTGGCTTCCATGTCCGACGATTTCTTCTAAGCAGTATCGATACGGGCGGGACACGCCCCGCGGAGTGCAGGAAGGAGTGGGTCGCCTGGAGAACGTCGAGGGCATGTGCGAAATTGTGATATGAGTTTTGTTGGCGGTAGACTTTGCGGAGGTTGCTGAGGAGGGCGGATATCTGGTCTTGAGGACGAATGGGGATCAGGCCGGAGATAGAGGACAAAAGCCAAGATGGATAAGCTCACCGATAGACACGCCGACATCCTGCTGCATGCCTTCGAGTCGAAATAGGGTTTGGAAGAGGATGACGGAGCAGAAGAGGACCTCCTCGTCTGGAAGCTTGTGGGGCTCGAAATTCCAAGTATCGAGAGACTTGATCAGACGCTTGCGAGTTTTTGGAGGGATGTCGAGCGGGGAGCTGGGCGGGGGTCAGATAGAATGAGCAGACGAGAGAGGAGAGCGTGCTGACGGTTGATCGTGATTTGTGACGGCGATGTGTGTGTGGGTGTACATGTCGCTGAGAAGCTCGGCGTAGCTGGGTCGCGGGTGAGATAGATGTCGATAATTGGGAGCTGGGGGGCGGCAGGGGCAGTGTGCACGCACCATGTGAGGTCTCTATCTCTTTCGCTTTCGTCCCAGCCGCCCCAGCCCTGACCTGAACCAAGGTTGTCTCCGAGCGCGAGGGCGAGCCCACCGACATCGACGCTGCGCCTGCGTGCCGCGGCGCCGGTGCCCGCGGTTGATTCGTCTGCGACGCTGGGCATTGGGAGAGGGAAATAAAGAGAAATAGAGCGGAAACGGAGGGAGGGGAAGAGGAGGGGAGGAGGAGGAGGGAGGGGCTGAGGAGTGGGAGCGACGGAGGGAGCTTGAGAAGGCTGGGAGTTGGCGTGGCTGGATCGGTCGCTCCGTCCGTCTCGTGGCCGCCACATGCTCCGATCCGGCCTGTGCCTTCCCCGGCCGCCGGTCCGCACCTGCTCGCTCTTGTTCCTCCGTTGGCACTCGCCTTCATCCCTCTCCCCAGCCCGTCCGTGCACCGACAAACTCAACCGTGTCGCAGCATTCACAGCGCGACCATCTCGGCACACTCACCGGTGCACAACTCTTCCTGCCACCCTCGCAGCCCTGCTTCCGCGCGCTTTCCGGCCGTTCCATTCGAGCCATGTTCCAACGACGTCCTTCTGGGCGCCCTAGAAGCCTATCCTTATTCAATCCATCCCTGCCCAACCGTCTCCCCCGCGCTCCTAGCTCGGATATCAGACTATGACCACAGCTTGGAATGCCGAGGGCCAGAGGGGAAGCAGAAGAACAGAAGCCCGCACGATGTCGAGGAGTCTGTCGTCATCCTCGTCCAAAGAACGGCAGCACAGGCCCTGTGGCCTTGTGTGCATGGCCTTGAAGTACTTATCCCCCGCTCTCACAAGGGCAAGACCGACCAGTCTCAGTCCCACCTTCATATCCGCCACGTATATACAATCCCTCTCCCAGCGTCTGCCTCTTCGACGCCGATATGACCTTGGTGATCATGAATTGCAATAGCCCGGGCTCTTCTGGCTCGGCGCTTTTCACCTCAATGGCTATGTCACATTTCATCTCAAAGACACGCCGCTTCAGGGTCCTCTGCGCCGCCTTGTGGTCGTCCATCGCTCCCGCTGACTGACCAAAGACCAATCCTACAAATAGCTCTCCGCGGACTCAACTCATGACACACACAATGCTTGGTGAACCTATTCTTGAGTAACCGAACGCTCAATGGAGAATGCTAAGAGCCTATGACTCCAGCATACAATTTGTCCTACGCTTGAGGCCTCCGCACTGAATCAAATACCATTTCACCACCAATGAAGCACGTTGTACTAACCCTGATATACTTCCAGCACCCACAAGGCCACTTCCATTCGTACAAGCTCGACTGACGCGTCGCGCTAACCCGCCACGTGATCAGCTGTTCCCATCACATCGTTCCCTGTTCGGTCCCGCGCTCGGGGGGCTGCCGTTACGAGGATCGATTAGATTGCGATCAATCCTTATCCCCAGTGCTCACCCGAAACAAAACATATCCAATGGACCCGACATCCGTCGAAGACATCCTCAACGACGCGCTCGCCTTCCTCGGCGAAGCCCTCTCTCCGCCCGCCGCCGACGAGCTCTCGTACGGCCCGCTCACGCTGACCGTCGCGCCCAAGGTAACGTGCCCTTTCGCTGTACCGTATACGCAAACATCCCGCCCAGCTGAGATCGTGTCGCTTGTCTATCTTGATCCGATATAAACCGATGCCCGCGCCGCGCGAAGGAGGGAAAGGTACGTGCTGTGCTGTCGCTGCCGTGGTTCGCTCCGCATGTCTCGCACGAATCCAGGCGAACACGCTCCTCGCAGACCACATCTTCTCGCCCGCGCTCTTGCTCGCGGAGCGCATCGAGCGCGGCCTCATCCCTCTTTCTGGACGAACTAGTACGTCTCTAGCGCCTCTCCCCCTCTCCCGCCCGCGCCCTTCGTTCGCCCATCCGCCGCCCCATCACATCTCTTACCCAATAACCATCCACGATGCCCGTCGGTCTGTCCATCTGACACACGAAAGCGATCGAGCTCGGCGCGGGAACAGCCCTACCCTCGCTCCTTGCCTCCGTCCTCCCGCACCCGCCCGCGCTCGTCGTCGTCACAGACTACCCTGACCCCGTCATCCTGGGGAACCTCCAACGCAACGTTGCGCGCAACGCACACGTCGCCGCGCCCGGCTGCACCGTCCTCTGTCGGGGGCACGACTGGGGGCAGGACGTCAGCGAACTGTTGTGAGCATTCCATCTTCCTCCTCTCCAATCGTGATCCTTGCCATCGGTCTGTCCTATCTGCCCCGAGAGGGATGCGTGCATGAAAAATCAAGACAAATGTCATCAAGTAAACGTTTACCGCTGACTTGCCGACGCACCTCACTCCCAGAGCCCTTCTCCCCGCCGCGTCCGCAAAGCATCCGGCATCCCTCCCTACCGACAAAGAATTGAGCGCAGATAGCGGCTTCGACGTCGTCATCCTCTCCGACCTGCTCCACTTCGACCGCTCACACCCCGCCCTCCTCGCCTCCCTGACCGCACTGCTCGCGCGCGCGGCCTCCGCGCGCGTCTACGTCGCTGCCGGGTCATACACCCGCCCCGCAGTGTGTGATGCATTTCTGCGCCTCGCGGAGGAGGCTGGGATCATGTGGGAGCAGAGCGGCGGCGGCGGCGGCGGCGGCGCCGAGGGAGGCGCCGAGGCGTGGATGGGGACGATGCGCGTGACGGGGCTGCAGCTGGACCAGCTCGCGGCGCGGAAGGCGATGTGTCGGTGGTGGGTCGGGCGGTGGAGCGAGGCCGCGCTGCTGCGTCCTGAGACCGATCTCGCTTCGTGACTTACCTCTGGCGCATCTTTACCTCCCTCTTTGTTTCTCGGTGCTCGTGTTCACGAAAATAACGATGCTTGTGGGGGGCGCTTCGTAGGGCAGCATGCGGGTCGAATTGTTTATAGCCTCTATCGTCACACCGGACTTGGTTTGCGCGCCGGGACTCGTGTGGGCAGCGCAACACTGCATCGCGCGAGACCATGCGGGCGAGCGGCTTCGGGCGAACCATTACGTCCCGAGATGAACACATATGAAGCGCTAGGGCCGAACAGTGGTGACGGCATTGTCACGAACTGCCAATGACCGTCTGGGCGCCAGCATATCTGTACCACGTACGAGATGCACGGCGCGGCACCGCGCCTCTGATTTTCACCTGGCTCAATTGATTCATTCCATGTGCACTTGGCGACGACGACGACGACGACGACGACGGCTAATCTCGAGCATCCGAGCGTCTATGGCCACACTACGCCCGATGTCCACTCGCACACAAGCCAATAATAGAATTTGGGACCTACAAGGACCCCTAAAATCGCCGATGCCCATATACATGCCAACATGTGACGGGGGACTCTATAGTACGGGGCAGCCCTAACTGCGTGCATACGTATCTCGCGCGGCGTCGAGCACCAAACCGCGGCTCGCTCAGCGCTCAGCGCGCCGCGCTTGATGCACGGTCGACCGACTGTGGCCAGCTCCTACATAGCTGCCTGCGGCGCTTTGGACGGGGCCCACGCGGGGCGAGGTCACCTGCTCGCGTATAGGCGCGCGATCTCCCGCCGCGCAATGCGCGCGCGCTTCTTCATTCCTCGTCTCGACCTTCTTCGAAGCCCTCGCAGAAACAACAACAACAACAACAACAATAACAGCGATACATGTGCAGAAGCGGGCGCCAAATCGCGGAGACGTAACAGCGGGGACGAGGCTACGACCACGACCACGATGCACACGCCGTTGTGTAACCTGCGTTTTTCGGGGGTCTCGGCGGGCCGCAGGTTTGCGGCTTGGGCGGCGCGACCGGATTACGATCCCGGCGCCGTCCGGTGGGCTTGAGCTTATTCGATGGGGACGGGCAGCAGCCTGGCTCGCCGTGTCTAGAATTGATATCCGTGGAGTGAAAAATGGAGCGACGGTGATGTTGTGGGGCCATGCATAGCAATAGAGAGACAAGTGTGTTCAGCGCCCACTTTCTGTAAAATGCTGTTTTTTGTCCCTTTTCTTCTTTTCTTTCGAGAGAAGTCTTGTAGTAATTCAGACTCCGTTATGGAACATGGGTGGGAGGCTTGCCTGTGCTTGCACAACACCGTCTGCCCCCTCGTTTTGCACGAGGTGAGCGTGATGCATCGGTCGGAGTCAGTCATATATCTTGCTGAAGGTGGAGAAACGTAACCACGCGCCCGATGAACGACAAGGATCGTCCCCAAGTGTTCGCACTCGCTCCGCTACAATGTGCAGGCGCCTCATACCCGCATGTTGCATTCGTCGCTCTGGAGACCTTCCCAACATGAAGTATGAGGTGCATTTTATCTTGGGGTGTTCTAGCCCCCTTTGCAATGTATCGCCGTCCTCGCTGCATTCGCGGGCCCTTGATCTGATGCGGGTGGCCGTCATCGCCCCTTACACGCATGCCTCGTCTCACTTGCGCGCCCTAAACCGAACCAGCACCCGGCCTACCCGCGCGCTCGTCCACCGTGCCTTGCCATTGAGGCCTCCACTCCCCACGCCGCCTGACACAACGCGCCAGTCCCAGGAGCAACAGTGAAGCGCGAACCCGCTCGACCTTGCCCACTTGGGAAGCAGGCTCTATTTCCGGAGCGCGTCTACAGGATCGTCGTGCACCCTCGCGGACGTCAAGCCACGAGAAGGCGGCGTGAATACGTGTATGCATCTTAGGGCCACCGTCGCGGCGGTAGCGAGTCCGGCCGCATTGCGGTCAGAGTTACGGGACGACGCAGACGGAGGCGGGGCGAGGGAGATCGATGTGCAGCCGTGGCTGTCAGCATCTGTCCGATCGCAGTCACCTGCGAGGGGGCGTGTCCCATCCGGCAGGAGGGACCCCCGGCGGGCAGATGGCTTCTCGACGCGTCTGCTCGCTCGCTCGACCCACAAGCCTCGGACGGCTCGACGGCGCGGAACTGTTCGGATGCTTCCCTGGCGTTCCGCCGCGCGGTGGGCAACGCTGCGCGATAAGGGGCATGCAGGATGCGCCGCTACGATGCAGGCCAAGGACGCACAGCAGGGATGCGTCTTCTGAGTCACCCTCTGACGTGATCGGGATGCTGCCGCGGGACGCTGTCAATCGCGCGAAGGGCGTCCAAGGGAGAGAGGACGTGGAGGTTTGTGCGCGCACGTTGGATCATTGAAATCAGGGGGTGGTGGGTGGGCAGTTAGGGGCGGTTCCATGCAGAGATGTGACGCCGTCGGATGGAGTTTGAGGTCTGATTTCTGATGGCCCCAATCCAGAGGAAGCGAGTCGTGCGCCCGGAGGCGCCTGTTGCTCCAACGTGGTCGACAGGATGTGACCGAGCGGACGTAGTCCGTAGACAACGAGCCATCAGAGTCCCCGACTCATGCCAGAGACGCCATACGCAGGTCATCATTCTCGATGGCAAACAAAGTTCCCGCACTGTGCGCTGGCTCACACATGCTACGAGTTGGACAGATACGCATCGCGGTCGGGCCCTAGCTGAGACCCGAGGCGCCCTCCTCCATCTGAGATCACGTAAATATCAAAGTCGAGCGGTTGCGCCGTCCCCTGCGCGCCGAGGCTATGTGAGCAACAGTGGATGGGTTGGCGTTGCGGGTGGATCGGATCTGCAGACAGTGAAAAGAAGCAAAGGGAGCAGGATGTGATCCTGGGCCTCTCGGCCTCGCGGCGGTGCTATCATACGTCCGCCTGACCCTCTCTCGTGCTGCATCTGACACTGACGGGGTCCCTTTGCAGCGGCAGCGTGGCGATGCTCGCCAGCTGGCCATGGGAGCTTGCATCCAATCATCGTCTAGTGGGCCCTTGGGAAGGACGGTGCTGTGGGAAGCATCACCCGGTGTGGCCTGCGAAGCGACGCACCCTAGATGAACTTTCTCTGCGGGCGGAACAGAGTCCCGCTCCGTGAGAGACGAGGTGGATTGGGAGGGAGTTAGCCGCAACCTTGTTCTGACCTGGCCCCCCTTGGCCATGCTGATACCATAGTTTGACATGCCGCAGCTCTGAAGTTCCCTGTTCACGTCTATGGCTCGTTCATGCGACCTGCCACGGATGATCAGCAGGCAAGAGGTCGATCTATGAAAAATCACAGAACGACGCGACGTCCAATGTCGATCTCGCTGCGATCGTTCAGCCTATCAATCCCAGTACACACCCACACGCTGTCCTATATCACCCTGTCCTCCTAGCCGTCGAGCAGTCAATCCAGGTTGAATTGACGTTGTGACAGAAAGCGTTGTGGTTCCCTGCTGCCTGAACGCACCGACCCGTCTGCCGGCCACCGTGGCGGGGTTTTGACCTCCGTCCCGAGGTTATTCTTCCACCGGTGCCCATGCGGAGCGCAGAGTACGAAATGTGACAGGGAGGATGTCGAAAGTTCACCGAGAAACGTCATCACAACGTCGCAAGGGTCCAAAACACCGCCGGCTTCCGCTCGCCCGAACGCGAGGCGGCGACGAGCCCGAGTGCACAATTTTTTCTTCTTCTGAACGACCCCATAAAACAAGCGCGTGTGAGCTTCCACGCGCGGCGGATCTTGGCGACCGCACCGACCTTGTGTCGCCGACGAATGATCTCATCAATGTCGCCATCATCATCAGCGTCATCACCTCCACCGTCCGCAAACTCTACTCACTCACCGCACGATTGACGACGAACAGACGAAGTGATCATCGCTAGTCCAGCGCTGGAATCCCGCCGCATCTGCCAATTCCGTGGGATTCTGAGACCGACACACCGTCGACATCAGCATCTCTATCTGATATCTGATATCTGCGTCTGCATCTGCATCTGCGTCTATCTGTCCAGTATTTAACAAGCGACGACCATCGCCAATCAACGCAGCAGCGCTAGGCTGAAAATGGAACGTAGAACGGAAGAATGGACCCGGAAGAGAGAACCGACGGCAGATCGCTGCAGGCCGTCGCGGCCATGCGCAAGCCGGCGGCGTGTGTTTCAATGATGCCGCATACACACATGTGCACGCTGCACTCGGTAAGTGCATTTGCGCAGGAATGGACGGACTTGATCGAAACCGATCTGATGCTGGCTGGGCCCCTAGAGGACGTCACTGCGTGATCACGTCAATGTATCTGATTCCAGCAGCCAGCCAGCCCGTGTTTCGCCGACCCACCGTATTGCCAGCAGCACACAACCTGCGTCCTACATCCTACGGACCATCCTACGGTCTACCACGCTCACAACGCGTATGATACCGCGCCGAGGACAGCCCAAACCATGCCGTACCATGCACAACGTCGCACCGTGTTCACCGCGTCCGCATCGCACGGCAGCGCAGGATCCGGAGAGTTCGACTTCGTTCCAAACGTGAAATTCTGCAAAGGTTACAGGGGCAGGTATGATCGTCGTCGCCCATATTCCGAATAAGCGCCGCGGCAGCCTTACGATGATGACGCTGATGACGATGGCGATATGATACGGTATTATATTAAGGACTCAGTTCGCTTCGCTCCGCGTGTCGTTTCGCTTGCATCGAGCACGCCGCGGCCGGCTGGGCGTGGCCATGCTCGCGGTGCGTTGCGTCGTGGTGTGCGCGAATCAGCATGCTCTGCCTAGATCGAAGGCGGGTGGGTGGTGCGCAGGGGGCTTCCATGGATCGATGAACGAATGCACCGAGCCGACGGGTGGAGTGGAGGGTGGGAAACCGTGTGAGGTGGTTCGAGGTTTCATGGGCGAATGGACGCGATCGAATGAAGGAGGGGAGGGGGGCGAGGAATGAGAAAGGCTGCCAGGGGGCCAGGCTCAATAACGCCGGCTTTCTAGAGTGACGGGTCCTTAACCGGACAGAAGACCGAGAACGCGAAGGGAGGGTTAATGAGAAGAACGTATGTAGAACGTGAGCTGGGGGAATGAATCGATAGGGACGTCAGTGCGAGTCATAGATGTAGCAGTGCGCAGCAGGGGGCCGCGCGAATACGGGCATCCTTTCTTGAAACTCTGTGACCGCGCCGGGGAAAACTTCAACAAAGAGGAACGTAGCGTTCTTTGAAGATACGAAAGAAAAAGAAAAAGGGGGCGGAAGGTACCGCGAAGGAAGGCTCGAGGAAGGCGTTCTCTCGCACCGTACCAACCGCACGCGGCGACGAGAGAGGCTCGATACACAGATACAGACACGTCCCTGCTCGAGACAGAAAAGAACGCGGAATTTGCAAAACGGGGACTCACCGGCACGAAGGTAACTTGCACGTAAAGCCGCCATTCTGACCTGGCGAAGGCCCGAAGACCACGTTCGAATGCATTCAGTGAATTCGTCGTCGCGCACACGACTGAATGAGCGCGGCGATCAGGGACCGACGGAAGCCGCTTTACATACACGAAGCGTGCCTTCGATATTGCACAGTTTCCTGGCGTGAGGAGACTACTCGGATGGAACCTGATAGAACCCCCACCGCGTGCGAGCCAGCTGGGAATTGGCAAAGTTACCATTGGGCGAGGATAAGTCACCGGTGCTGATGACGCGCGCGACGCCGGTCGCAGAGGCAGAGGGCCCCTAATAGAATCGAGCAGAAGCGGGTGCGTCTGTGTGTCACGCCAGGGCGAGGCCCATTCGCCGCCGACGCGGCGTGGGAAAGTCTGGGAACCGCTGGGCCCCCCCTCCATACGCCCGCACCGCACCGCACCGCACCGCATCGCATCGTTTGACTGTGTTGAGCACCACTGCGAGAAGCCACGAACACTGCAGCCGGACGGGCGGGACGCAGGCCGAGGTGGGTCCGGCAGTCACGGTACTGCATGCGCGGGTTCTGATTCGAGCTTCGTCAAAAGCTTTTTCTTTTCTTTCGAACCCAGACGAGGTGCTCGCTGGTTCGGCGATCAACTCGGATCCAAGGCGGACGAAGGAAGCGGAGATGCATGCGGGCAGATGAACGTGGGCGCTGGGAGTGAGGGTGGAGGGGCGGGGGATCGGATGGATCATGGACGGACTGCGGGCGGGTTCCAATCACCCTTGGATCGAGATGCGCCGGTCGTGGCTCGTGCGACCGACCGACGTCTTCGAGGGCTTACTGTACTTGGTCGCGAGATGCGTCGCGCGGTGGAGGCCTGCGGAGGGTCGACGGGCGGAGTGGCGCCCGGTGCGGACGTGGCGGCGGGGGAACCAGCTGGTTGCGGTGGCGGCGGACAACACGGTGCGTGTTGTGAGCCCCTCGGTTAGCTCCGCTCCGGCTAGTTCGACTTTTCTTCTTCTCAAACTTGGTGGCTGTGGCCGGCACCGGCTCTGGCGACGCCGCGGAGTGTTAACCGGTCGAGCACTGAACGCGGCAGTGGAAGCGAGAGATTGAGATACGCGGTCGTTCGTGAAGGGAAATCGGGAAGACGAATGCGGAGGGGCGGAGGAAGGCGGAGGAAGGCGCGGGCGCGGGCGGGGAGCATAGGCGCTGGCCGTGCGAGGGAATTGCACGATGTGCATTCCGTACGCGGACGGGGGAAGGGTTGATGGCGGTCTGGTGACTTTGGAGGGCTCTGCGTTTGTGACCGGCGTGGACGCTGAGAACGCACGCGTGCCCGAAACGAGCAGGGAGGGAGGGGGGGACTCCGGGGGACTACTGGGAGACTACTGGGGGCCACAGGAGGCGGTTCCCAGGCCATGGCCCCGTTCCAGCTCGCCAGCAGGAGAACCGGTTCAGCGTTTGGCGCGTGGCGACGGCGCGTACGTACAGGGTGTATCAGATTTGTTGCGGAGGGTCGAGCGGTCTGGGCTGCGGGGACTGATTGAGCGAGAGGTGTCAGACCGTGTCATTGCGCTGTGGCGACGCGCTTGGTGGATCGGATGGAGAAGGGAATCATAAGCTGGTGGGTGTCAGCCCATCAAACGAGGTCGAACGCCCTCGCAATGCGATCGCCTGGAAGTATGTAAGGGAGGGATCTGGGCTGGACATCATCATGCGCGCGCAGATGCGACGGGGGGTCTAAAATTGCGGTGAGGGTGGGTGCCTCACGTTCATCTTGGGGCGCAGGGCCGGTCGGGAGGACGTATACATAAGTAATGGAAATGGACGCGGGTGCATGTGTGATATAGATCTCTGCCGCTCGTTCGTTCGTGCACACCCCCTGGGCCTCACTCACGTATCCCGGTGTGCTTCTGTCCTCTTCTCGAGATCGCATTCGATCCCTGCTCGCCGCCTAGATCTTGCCAACAGCCAACATTCGAGTATATAACCCCAGAGGACCGAAAGTGGCCCCGTATCAAACCTTGTTTCCTGCTTCCGGACAGGTATCCCCCGTATATCATATCCTCCTCCTCCGTGACGCCATGGCCGTCGCTCCTCCCATGTTCACCGACCGTCGTCTGCCCTTGACACGAAATATATACTACCACGGCGTCGACACCAGACAGTCCCCGTCCATGGTCCTCCCAGACCCCGCCTGGCCGTCCACCCATTCCAATCCCAGACCGTCCTCGGCATACCCCGACGACGTCCCCACCCAGCTCTCCTCCTGGATCCTCTCCCCGCCCCCGCCCTCTACCTCCTCGTCCTGGTCAACCGACAGCGCCTTTCCATCCTCGCTCTACTCCCAGTCGAGTAAAAACACGGACCACTACCAGCCAGGATACGCAGGCTCTGACTCGGCATCCTCCTACGCCTCTGAATACCCCGAATCGTCCCAGCGCACAGACCTCGCGCACGCAATCTCGCCCCCGTCCCTCTGTGCATCCCCCTACACCTCCCCGTACTCTTCCAGCCACGCAACAATCCACCGCACCTCTTCTAAATATTCCCTCAGCAATGCCATCTACACCCTCGATCAAGACATCCACACGTCGTCGTCGTCGCCCCCGCCGCCTCCGCCTGCGCGCTCAGCGCCCCGCCCACACCGCCCCGCACGGCGCTCGCCCGCCGTCAAAATAGAACAAGAAGACCCCCCGCACGACCCGTTCGTGCACGAGACCGCCCCCGCGCAGTCCTCCGCGCCCCCGCACGCGCAGACCGAGAGCCAGGTGCCGCTCCGCGCGACGCAGGCGTCCACCGAGATGCGCCAGATGATGGGCGTCTTCCGCCTGAACCCCTTCGCGACGCAGGGCGCGTTCGGCGGGCCCGCCGCGCGCGCGTCCTCCGCCGAGGAGGCGACCGCGCTCGAGGAGGAGGGCAGCGTGATCGAGTTCCAGCTCGAGCTCGACGGCGCGTGCGCCCCGCGCACGCCGTCCCCGCCGCCGAATGGCCTCCTCCTGCGCAAGCTCTCCCCGGGGGTGTCGCCCGGCGCGAGCTGCTACGGCGGCCACGGCGGCGGCGGGGTTGATCGCAGGGGATCGCCCGTGGGGCTGCAGGCGCAGGCGCAGGGCGGCGGGGGCGGGATGCAGGGCGGCGGGTGGAGCTACGAGCTTCCGAGCGAGATAGCGGCGTACCCGCTCCTGACGGCGTCCCAGTCACAGGCGCAGGCCCACTCGCCGCTATCCATGGCACATGTGGCGTTCGGACACGCGCTGGTGGAGGGCGGCGGCAGCACAGGCCCATCAGGCGAACCTGTAGGTAAGTGCTCGGACGCGGTTTCGCTTCGAGGGCGCGGGCGCGAGCGATTTCGGGAGGTGCAAAGCAGCGTGCTGACATGATGGTTTTTTCTTGTGGTGTGTCTGCTTGCGGACCGATCGGTGCGGCGCGACAGGGGCATACCAGCGATACGGACATGGCCACGGGCACAATCACGGCCACGGCCACGGCCACAGAACCTTCGATGCGGGGTACGTCGATGACGAGCGGAGCCATATCAATAGCACGAGCCACGCGCGCGCACGGCCCGCACCGCCCACGTACGTAGATGGCCACCGGAGGTACGGGGCCAGCCCAATGACTGTGCCGTCTCGGACGACGACGGGCGCCACGGCCGCGAGCGCGGAATATTCAGAGCCGTATGAGGTTAGTGGTGTTCGCTTTCGCTTCGCCCGTGCTGGGAGCGCGGCCAAGGTGGGGATACACGCTGATTACTGGTCTGTGCCAAATTCCTAATCGGGCAGTACCACGACCGGTATGTCTCGTCCGCGACGATCCCCGGCAGCGCGCTGGCCGGAATGCCTTCCTATTCGTCGTCCCTGTCTCGGCGGTCGATAGACCACAATACGTTCTACCCCTGATCACCATCCCGCACTTACTGACTCGCTGACGCTCTCGCTTACATCGCCGCAGTGCTTTCTTTCTTTCTTTCTTTCTTTCTTTCTTTCCTTTTTCCTTTTCTCGCCTTCTTCACCGTGTATATATATGCGTCTTTTCTTGGCGGCGACATGCCCTGGACTCCTTATATACCACGGCTCGCCTATCTAGTGTACCGGTAGAATAGAATCAGGGGAGGCTATGATGTACGAAGAGGCGACGTTATGTAGCTTACGAACACTCATGTCGAGAAGCGTCCGGCAACTTAAAACTTATTCGAGTTCGATTGGAATTGGTATCGGTATCGGCATCGGCATCGGGGTTGGCCCTGGATCCGGCAAGAGCAGAGCAGATCCGAGCGAGGTGGCTTTTTGGTTTGGATGGGATGAATAAGTGGAGCCGCGCGAGGACGACATGGACATCGGAGCATTACGCGCGCGCATACACTCGCTGCGCAGGTGGCCCGATTTGTGCGAGCGTAGGCGTGTGGATGTGGATACGGCGGCGGGCAGAGGATGATAAAGACGAGGCGCGGCCGAAGGGGCGGGTCCTCGGGGTTGATGGCTTGTGGCGTCGGGCGGGCGCCTGGGGGCTCGTTCAGGAGCTGTGCGGTCATGGTTGGGGGTGCAGCTCGGAGGCGGAGGTGGGTGCTATCTGCACGGTAGCAACCAGGCGGTCGTTACGGCACGGACGGAGACGGACGAATGGACGGATGGAGTCGCGTCAACGGTGCGGCAGACGCCCAATACAACCATGTATGCACGGTGCACCGAGGCAGGGTGCGTGGGCTATCCAGGGTGTGGAGGCCGTTTGGGGCGCGCGCGCCATTCGGGGCAGGGGAGGCCCGGCGGAGTAAAGCGGACGAGGGCATCGCGGGCAGCGGGTGCGTCTGTGGGAGCGGAAAGCCCAAGATGCGATGACGCGAGGCGCAAGCTGGAGGGGACGAAAGAGGGCACGGCAGGGGCCCAGCGAGACGGTATGGCGTCCGTGCGGAGGGGGGCCAGGACCGCTTTGATAGGGATTAGCAGCCGAGGAGCTGCGCGAGGCGACTGATATATGATATGTACTTATGGGCTGATGGGCGACGGGATAGCATGGTCGCCGGCGAGGAGGTGCTGGCGGAGCCTGCCTGTGTGAAGGCGCATAGAGTCGGCTGCGGCGTCGACACGCGATCGGCAACAGAGAGCTATCAATGAAGAATAATGAAGAGGGCGGGTCCCTGGATGGCGTGAAACGGGGGCGCCGAGGGAACGTGTGGACGGGGATAGAGGATTAAATCATGTCGCGCGCGCGATTTCGATGGGTGCTGACGGACTGGGGTCGACCGGTGCTGTGTGGATGCACGGGCGGGCACGTAACGGGGCATATTGCGGTTCGGCGAGGAGAGCTGCAGCGGAGGGCGGGCCGTGGCGGGGCGCGGGGCGCAGGCGACGGGTCCGCAGAGGGCGTGGATGACGGAGGATCACGGCGCACGCGCGGGTCTGTCGCAGCACGCGCGTCGACCGCTGCTGCAGGTGGCGGCGGTGGCGCGCGCAGGAGGCGTGGGAAAGGGCCCGGGCCAGAGCGCGTGTGCCCGGCACGTTCAACTTGTCTGTCGTCGACGGCCACGGCCTCTCCACCGCCTCCACCATCCCTCCCTCCTCCTCCCCTTCGCCTCGTGGCGACGGCATGGCCACCTTCTCAGACGGCGGCCTGTCCACACACACACACCACTCAAAGATGTCAGACTTTCTTTCCCATTCTTCTAATACCGGCGACATGCGCCATTACCTTCAGACCCTGCTCGATACAAAGGAGAAGCAGCTGCAGCAGGCCGGCGCGCTCGGGCAGCGTGTCCTGGCCCAGCAGGTCGAGCTCGAGGAGCGCGTAAGGCAGCTCCAGGAGATCGATGCCGACAAGGGCGAGGACGTCGAGATCGATGCAGACATGCGCGAGCGTTATCGCCAGCTCGCTGAATCGGTCTCCACGTGGGAGGCGGAGAACGTGCAGCTCTCCAGTGCGTTTGGCTCAAAGGTCTGTCCATCCCTCCCTTCTCTTTCTCTTTCTTTCGTTCTCTCTCTCTCTTTGCATCGCGCCTTGCTTCGCTCTATCCTGGCACACGATCTTCTTTCGGTCCCTTTTGGCCTTGCTGTGCAGGCCCCGCAGTACCTGCGGGCCTCTCCGCAAAAAACAAACCGCGAGGAGTTTCCTCTTCGCTTCCGCTCGTTTGTCCCCTCGTCGACCCTTTCGGTCTCATCGCGACCGGCATGGCCCGTTCTCCATGGGGTCCGTCGGCAGGTGGCACACGACCCCGCAATCGCATCTACACTGCACGGCGATGCGGTGCGATGCGATGATGACGACTATCACACCACCAACGTGTTCTCGGCAAGCGCCGACAAGCAGTGAGGATAAATGAGCGCACGCTCGCATCGGGGCGAGGTGCAAGCTGGTATGCGTGGCAATCGTCTCGTTTCCCGCTTGATGCAGACGGCACTGCCTCGAACAAGTGCAGCCAGGAAATGCTTTGCTGCGGATGCGCGATCGTTGCGTCTCACGCGAACACCTTCTGCGTCGTAATGGTTTCATGTACTTTGCCACCTGAGAAACAGGCACGGGAGAATCTCTCTCTCCGTGACTCATTCTTCTCATGCGACGACATTGCATCCCGACTTCTCACCACGCGTACTTTTGTGCCTGTCTTTTTCTGAGCGGGGTTGCGCGTGCTTTTCCAGAATTTTACTGACATTGTTTCCTCAGCGACTGGCTAATGGCGGCCCACCGTCGCCCCAGTTTGAGAACTTGGAGATGTCTCGCGAGGAACCGGAGCGTCCCAAGCCCACCGCTGGAACTTCGGCAGCTCAGTCGTCGAGACGAGCCAAGAACGCCGCCCACCGTGCCGATGACGTCGGTTAGTCTTACGTCTTATTGTTTTCTTTGGCGCCGCTCAGTGACGACGACCGACGCCCAGAATTTGCCTTCGAAATCGGGAGTGGTCTGTTGACCGAGGTCAGACGTCTGCAGAGCTTGCTCGGGGAGCGCGACAAGGCGATTCAGGACATGAAAGAGGAGAAAGATGACCTCGAAAGGTCCGTCGAAACCCTTCGCAACGCGCTCAAGACCCAAGAGCAAAACACCGGTGAGCTTCCCTGCCTAGATCGCGTTCTAGATTCTCGCTAAGGTCGGCGCAGACAAGTTCAAGGAGGAGAACTGGAATCTCGAAGTGACCCTTCAGGAACTGCGCGCACATCTGGGCGAGTCTCAAGCTTCGGTCCAGCGGCTCGAGGGCGAACACAAGCGCCTTACGAAGCTGTTGAATCAGTCCCGTGAGGCGACGGATCAACACAAGACCGAGGCCGAGCGCGTCAAGATCGCGTTCGACGAGCTCAAGGCAAAGCACGAGACTGATGTTGCCCAAGCCCGGAGGCAGGTCGCGAGTCTTCAGCGCGACAAGTCGGACCTCCAGCAGAACGTCGATAACCTCAAGACGGAGATGGCGCGGCAGGGCCGGCGGCTCCCGCGGTTCGGATCGCCGCTGACGCCCGACGGGCGGGAGCGGTCCGACTTGCTCACACCGCAAGATGCGCAGGACGACGACGTGTTCAGCGCGGCGTCGACGAACCGCAAGCGGCAGGACACGTCCACGATGTTCTCGATGGACGGCGAGTATGACTCGTCGCCGGAGCCGTCGCCCTCGAAGCCCTTCCTCGCGCCAAACCACCCGAGCAACGAGATGGAGGCGCTCCAGCAGCGCCTCGCGCACGCGCAGCGGCAAATCAACACGCTGAAGGGCACGCTGCAGCGCGAGAAGGAGCTCAAGATTGAGTACCGCCGGCGGCTGGACCAGTCGCCCGCGGTCGGTGGCGGGCTCGGCGCGGAGGAGGACGTCAGCGACGGCGAGCAGGACGCGCAGATTCAGATCTCGACGCCGGTCACGGGGCAGAAGAAGCGCAAGACGACGCCGTTCCGCGTCGGCAGAGGGCGCGGCTCCGTGCGGGGCAGGGGCCGCGGGGGCCTCACGCTGCAGCAGAGGTTGGAGAAGGCCGCGCGCAGCGCTGCGTCCGAGTACGACGAGGATCTGGACGAGGACTTTGGCGCCGCCATCACGAGCACGCCGCCTCCGCCGGTCCCGCCGGTCCCCCTGAGATTCACGAACGGCGATGCCGAGGCAGACGAGGAGCCGGAACCGGGTCAAGATCGGGATCGGGAGCTGCAGATGATGATGGAGTACGAGGACGAGCGGTGGAAGCGCGACTCGCTCGCGTCGAACCGCATGAGCAATACGAGCATCGACGGGATGGACCCCGCGTTCGCGAACATCCTCCGGCGCTCGTCGTCGTCCGGCTCGATCCCGTACAACCGCAGCCCGCTACGCCAGGCGGTCGCGCGCGCGATCCCGCGGCGGAGGGGCGGCGCGGCGTACCAGGAGGCGCGCCCGCCGTCGCTCGTGGGGCAGCCCGAGGCGCTCGCTGCGGAGCTCGGGCTCGGTATGGGCATGGGCATAGGCATGGGCGCGAGCACGAGCATGACGACCGTCACCGAACACGCTCCCGAGCTCGATCCCGAGGCCGAGCCCGAGACCGTCGTCGAGACTGCCGAATTTGGATGCCAGACGGAGCCAGAGGTCTCGGTGCTGCCGCCACCGCCGCCGCCACCGCCCCCGATCGAGATCACGCCTCCGTCGCCTGAAACGTCTGAGATGGGCATTCAAGTCGACACGCCGGAGCCCGAGCCTGTGCTCGAACCGACCGTTGTTCCCGCGCCCGCGCCCGAGCCCGAGCTCGAGCCCGAAATCGAAGTCGTTCCAGAGCCTGTGTTGCCGAAGGTTGAGATGTGCGAGACGTCGATGCAGACGGATCCTGAGCCCGAGCCTGAGCCCGAGCCCGTTCCAGCGCCGGAGCCGGAGCCTGTGGTCGTGGTCGTGGAGCGATCCGAGATGGGCGTCCAGCATGAGCCCGTCGAAGCACCGGTCGTTCATGCTGATATGGGCATCGCGACGGATCCGGAGCCCGTGCCCATCGTGATCCCGAGACCGGTGATGGTGCAAGCTGAGGTGCAGACGTTCCCGGCGCAAACACTAGATGCCGACACGCAGACGCCGCCTCCCCCCGTCGCACCCGAGGTGATCAAGGCCGACGCGGACATCCAGACGGTCCCTGAATTCGTGCCAATTAAGATCGACACGGACGTGCAGACCACCGAGTCGCCGCCCACGCTCATCCTTTCCCCCATCCCAGGCCGCCGCGACACGATCACGCAGGCGGACTGGTCACGTGACCATCCCGGCGATAACACTCTGCGTGGGCGTCCTGTGATGCTCGTCGACGAGGAAGATGGCGAGGACGATGCGGCGACCGAGACGGGGGCGGATACGGACACGGACGCGGAATTCTACGACGCGCGTCAGAGCGTTGCGTTGACGACCCCGACGTATTCCATGGACGAGTACCATTCGATCCAGACCCTGACGGACAACGACATGTCAGGGGACGAGGACGAGGATGACGGCGAGAGCATCAAGGCGTCGCGGATGTCCAGTCCCCAGGGTGTCGACAGCCGCGCGTCCTCGGCATTTGGACGGCCGGAATCGGTCTTCGTCCCTCTTCCCGTTGTCACCTACGATTCCAAGTCCGTCGACGCGGTGCTTGTGGAAGAGCCGGTGCCAGAGCCGCCGAAGCCGGAGCTGAAAGAGATGTCGATTCAGACGGATGCTTGGAGCCCCACGCCGCCGCCGCCGCCGCCGCCTCAACCTCAACCTCAACCTCAGCCCCAGCCTCAGCCTCAGCCTGCGTACGGAGCTTTCAAAGTCGGTTCGCAGTCTCAGCAGTTCCAGTATGTCGGGTCGACGTCCTCGACGCCATCGTCGCCGTTGCCTGTGCTCTCCGTTCCATCTTCCCCGGCTATGGCCACTCAAATTATCCCTCGTCCTCGCACGTCGCAATCAGACAGTCGAAAATCCATCGAGTCGACACTGTCGGGCGCATTGGACGATCATATCCCTCGCTCCCGCCTTTCGTCGTCAGTCAACGGACCCGTCGACAAGACGCGCCCTCCGATGATGATGCTTCCGCCTCCGCCGCGTCTCCCGCCTCCGCCGAGCACCATGCCCCCGCCTCAGTTCATACCCGAGAGGAGAGTGCCTACGTCTTCCACCTCCTCATACGATATCCCACCCGGGCGGCCATCGTCGCCGCCGCCGCCTGAGCTCATCCAGCGCGCGACGACGCCGACCTTTGGCCTCTCCCTTCGGCCACCGTTCTCGCCTCGCCAGCACGGCTCAAGCATGCCTCCCACACAGCAGGGCCTGCGCCAGCCTCCGTCGACCAACAGCTTCAGATCGGCGGCGGCCAACGCGGCGTCGTATGCTCAGACCATCCCTCAGAGCATGATGTCTTTCGCTGGTCGCGACAAGGCGAGAGAGCTCTCGAGCACCTCGTTGCAGTCCGACCACAGCCTCGGGTCCGGCCGCTCGTCCATGTCATCCGACCGACACTTCCTCAACAGGTCGCAGGGCCCGTCGAATGCGCACACTACGACGCCTGGGCGCGTGGCGGATGCGTCCGCCCGCAGCACGGGATCGACCGATCCGACCGTGATCCACGCTATCACGCAGACGATGATCGGCGAGTTCTTGTACAAGTACACTCGGCGCGCGATTGGCAAGGGGTACGGCGAGAAGAGACACAAACGGTTCTTCTGGGTGCATCCGTACACCAAGACGCTTTATTGGAGCTCTGCGGACCCGGGCTCGTCCAATGTCATCGAGTCGAGCGCGAAGAGTGGTAAGCGCTTGCGTGCTCCCTTAGCGCGAGTATCGGGGTATAGCTGATGCCTCTCGCTTTGCAGCCTACATCGAGTCCGTCCGATCCGTTCTCGACCCCAACCCGATGCCTCCCGGCCTCTACCAATACAGCGTGGTGGTCTCCACGCCGCAGAGGGAGATGAAGATCACCGCCCCGACGAAGGAGAGACACGACATCTGGCTAAATGTAGGGCCGTCACCATTCGGAGTCGCCATTGCGTATTCTGACCGTTTACTTCTCAGGCTCTGAAGTACCTTCTCACAAGACCGAACGGCATGACCATCTCGTCGCCCGCGAACATGGCCAACAGGACCGCGATGCCTGCAGCACCGTTGAGCCCGCTATCTGTCCACTCGGATCTGCCGGACGATGATAACCAGCCTGCTCCGGGTGGCCTCCTCTCGAGCCCCCAAAGCTTCCGGAGCGGCCACAGCGGCCAGACAAGCGGGGAATCATTCAACGTGACGCCTCGTGGGCAGCGAAGCCAGTCGCAACTGTCCGTCGGCGGTTCCATTGGAAAGCGCTCTGGCACCCCGGCGGCGGAGTACCTCCGTTGGGGCGCGGATGGACCCTACAGCCCCACGAATCCTTTTGAGCACGTCCCTGGCGGGCAAGAAGAGGAAGACCTCGACTTCGAGCTCCATGAGGACTCCATGTCAGATGAGGGCTTCCAGGGGCTCGAGAACGTGCGGGCGTGCTGCGACGGGAAACACACGGTCGGCGGGCATGACCACCACCACCACCATCACCACCATCACCAACACAATCACAGCATTCCCCCCAATGCGCATCCCCCACGAGAGCTCTCCCGCACCCGCGATCAGACCCTCCTGGATGCCCCTCTCGTAGACCCTCCACGTCCTGCTTCTCCCGCATGGTCCTTCCGGTCGCGTGCGGGGAGCGCGACGTCACACGATGGCGGGCTATTTTCAGGAAGGTTGCGGTTCGGTACGCGCCGGTCAACGAAAACGGTGCAGCCAGTGGGATCGCACGATTCGTGAGTAGTCGAGTCAGCGGGTCGGTCGGTAGAGCGGATTGTGGTTTTCTTTTCCAGTATGCTTGGTATTTTTCTATTATCTTGATTTGATCCATTCTTAGGACTCTCTCCTTTGTCATGGCGCCGCACATGTTTGGCTATACACACTCCTTAATCGCTTGTTGTTTATTTACTCTTTTTTTCTTCTCCTTCTATCCATCTCCTCTCATGTATTCAGCTTCCCTTCTGTGCGAGTATTACGCCGAAGATAGTCGTTCCTTTCTATGCAAATATACCTTCCATACATTGATAGCCTGGTTACGAGAAATAGACACAGAAGGAGATTCAATATGCAATGGCCAAGGCACTCAAGTATGCGAGTTCCCCGCTGTGTTACCAGATTGCTTTCACACTCGCAGAAGAGGACAAGGAGATGCCGTTCTGCATCTAAGTAGACAATGGAAACAGGAGCGTCAGACACTTTTGACCCAACATGGATAGACAAAGAAGCCACTCACCGCCGCGGCAATTTGCTTGTGGACCAGAGACAGATCTGCGAGGTTACGTGCTTGAGCGTACAATCGACGCGGGGCGGGCAGGAAGGATGCGCTCACAGTCAATGTAGGACAGCGAGGCGTTGTTCTGGTCTTCCACGAGCAAGTCACTGAACTCAATTTCGGACGCGTCGACGTTCTGTCGTGCGACGAGCATCTTTGTGGCGCGTCCGCCACGTTCCGTCCGTCGTTGGGCTACGATGTTCCGAATCTGCGCCGACAAGCGCGTATGGAGAACTGGGAGCTCGGACTGGACGCGGGACGTAAGTGCGCGGCAAGCAGCGAGAGAATCACGGCGAATGGAAGCATGCCGCCGGGTGATTCAGGGTCCCAAAGCGAACACGGTGTTTCAGGATCAGAACAGACATGGGCTCACCAGATGCGGGTCTAGGTTCGCGAAATCATCGACACCAAACATGTCGAGAAGCAGCTGCGGTGAGGCACCTGCCCCTATCCACAATATCATCATGTCCTCATTATCTGTTTCGTGTCAGTAAGAACCCTGCATGCCAGCAGCCGGGAGACTGGGAGACGGAGCGGGACGGAACTCACCAACGAGATATATCCCGTGAGCGACCATGAATAGGTGGCTGGCCCGCATGAGCGACGGCATGTCGACCCACCCTTCAGCGTTCGGAAGAGCGATCTGGTCGTCGAGATCGTGGATCGCGAGCAGACGCGGATATAGATGAAACATCGTGCTGCGCACGCTGAGAGCAGATAGCCGGTGAGCGTGGAAGTTGCGCACGTCAGAAGAGACATTGCGGGCTGATGAGGAACAAACATCAGCCGATAGGATCACATCGGTGGGGCCATATGTACCTTTCAATGGTTTGCTCTTGTGGATCGCGAGAGAATACATCGGCAAGGCACGGAACGCTTCGGGGATGATGAGCTATAGTCGAAATCAAATTCAGAGCTCAACTTCTGGTGGGAGGTTATGTTCAGCGTGTACCTGACTAGCGGAAGTCGACGCTGCACAATTTCTCCGGTACGAATACAGGATGGCTGAACACATCTCGGTGAGGTCGTCTCGAATCATGGACATTTTTTTCGTAGCTAACTCTGATATCGCTAGAGACGATGTCTGGTCATCGATACCGATTGGGAAATTTTGACAGGACTTACAATGCCGTAGCATATGCACGACGAGAGCGTCCATGTCTGCGAAACGGAAGACAGAACCGGCCAGGGCTGCGACTTGGAGCGCCAGGTTACAAACCCGCACCCTCCGATGGCCTCCCACCGTCGTATATAGCACCGCACATTGCAAGAATGCGTACTGTCGCTCATCGAGTGACCGGGTATGCTCGATGAGCACAGAAACGGCCTTGTCCGCGTCCAATGTGCCGAATTCCAGGTCCGTCGCTGTACGCTGGTTGAAATTTCCATAATGCTTTTCTATTCGCAAGCCTGTGGGAGTCGGAAAGGAATCAGGGTCGACATGGAGGGAAAGGGAGAGGAATATCTAGACCGTCGGAGCAGCGTACCCGCAACGCACAACTATATCCCGTAGTGCGAGATACCAGGCGTCGAATTTGCGAATCAAAGGTCGGGCCGTCGCGCCTTATGTCGAACCGAGGATGAAAGAAAAGTTCTCCGCCGGTGATGGAGGCGACGACACCTACAGATTGTGTCAATACAAAATCAAAAAGATGAGAATGAGCTACTGCACCTATCGAGCCCACATCGATAAATTCTCTCATCCCAAGGAACATACTCACACCTACACCCTCCTCGGCGAGGTATTCGGCGATATTTTGCCAGGAAGTGTTTTGGGGCCTATACAGGGATCGCTCCTTATCAGTGTCATATAGCTTGCCCTCGTCAGACCGTGGCTCAAGCGCGCCAGCACCAATAGTTGGAAGACAGCTCTGGAAGACGACCACTTGGCCGCCTCGGCCGGCCTTCCTTGACGTGAGCTCAATATTTTGACAGTTGGGAAATTCGAACGAGAGCTTACCAGTGAGGCGAGAGCTGCACAGAGAGCGGAACCTAGACAAGATCTTGCAATCAAAGTGCTTTCATGGCGATCTGGAAGCTGAGCCAGTAGGCTTTCGATCACTGTTCTGAGAGTTGAGACTGAATAAACGCTATACGAGAACGGAGTATGGGTAGTACCGAGAGCCTTGAGGGTGTGCTAGCAGCCCATCTCGTAGTGGCACAAAGACTTCATCGATGTCTGAGACGACCAGCAACCGCGCTTGATCAGAGTCAGACTGGAAGGCGTTCAGTCCGTGTCGACTGCTACAAGCTACCCCCACGTACCGATAAATCATAAAAATGCAATGTTTCGTCGTAGGTGATGATCCCCAACACTGATTCTGTAGGGAAGCATGGTTGGATCTCGCTCCCGTCCGCGCCAATCCCACCATACAAGATCGATCGTAGTGATGCACATGCTGCTCTTAGAAACCCTGACTGAACAGCCTCTTGCGAGACGTCCAAAGCGAACAAATAGGCCATGGGCTGAGGTTTCCGATTTGGAGTGGTCGGCGGGGGTTCTACGGTATAGTACGACGGAGATAACCTAGGCGGTGGATGAGGCGCCCAGTAGTTTTCACCAACGGCAAAGTCGACTGTACCCTTGTTCAACTCTGGCCGCTGTTCATGGTCGAGTCGTCGAAGGTTCGCGTCGAGGTTGCAGAAGTAGTCTGGGGTGACTACAGGTACAACATGTTAGAAAACTCGTAACAGAACGAGCTGGAAGAAATCGAAAAAAAAACTGCGGCCGTCGATTATGAGCTGCATGCGTGATTGCGAAAAACCTGAAGAAGGGAGGTCACTCTAGCGCAAGATGACGGATTCAGATTCCATGCGAAACATCAGACGAGTCGTCGCCCTCTACCCGAACCATCCCGTACGAGCAAGCTTGGTGTTTTCGTACCTCAAAAAACTCACCTTCTGTCTCATGTCCGCATAGATTACACTTCCAACGACCCCCTCCAGCCGTGAAAGTACACCATGCATTGATGTATCCTCGGCAGAGCGCGCATCGTACAGGTCCAGCAGGTCCAGATTCAACTATGGGAACTTCTTCTTCTCTCGGGTCGGTGTCAGCGAAAGGTTGTATGACGGCGACAATGGGTATGTCAAGTTCTCTAGCTAGCCGGGACGTGCTGGGAATATTCCAGGTCGACATACGAATGAATCTTGAAGAAGAATTGCCTAGGCGTCCCCCTGAGTATTCTTTCCTGATAAGAGGAGATTGATGTGAACAGCTCACCTTGATCAATAGCCACACAATTCGTCGTGGAAAGAGGGACGTGACTTCCGGGTAAAGTCATGTATACCTCTTTCTCCCATTTGTCACGGTCTGCTTCAATTCCGTCGACTGGAGAAGGTACTTGGCTTGGATCAATGTGCGTTCGAAGTCCTGCAGATTGATCGCCGTCATACTGTGGTGTACAGTTGCGAAACCAAAAGAACAAGTTGGCTCACTTACCTTGGAGGGTCATTCCAGCGCTATGAGGTGGCTGCGGTATGCGAGCACCGTGTGCGTACATTGTGACCAATATACAGCGTAAGGCTTGTGCGTTGTTACAGGTGGATGGTGAAGATACAGAAGTATTCAAGGTGTCCAAGGCCCACCCGCGCTCAAGCAGGCTCGGCCTTGAAGTCACTAATCACACTCCGTGTGACCTAGTATGACCGTGCCGCGTCGGCTAGCGCTCCCTCCGCGTCTGCGGTCTCTTTCTCTGTCAGTTTTTACGATCTGCATTCTCTGGGTTACGATGATTAGGAGTGGAGGGGCGAGTTAATTAAGCCTCTCTTTACCCAGAGGCACAGACACTTCGGCCAGGAGATGGCTGATGTTGTCCAGGGAAAACAGACGAGTGTTCAGCACTTCACATTGTACATTTTGACGCCGATACGTAAGACAAGATCATCGACGAATGAGACGAAAATCAAACACTAACACTGTCTAACTAGCATCGTGCATACTGCAGAAAGTTCATATGGGCGCTTAAATCGTCTTCATCGTGCTCCTCCAATCCTCCACCCACACACCCTCCAGGGTCGAAAGACCTTGTACTAATACCATCAAAATGTCGATCCTGCAAGGCACTGCTGTGTTGAGGAACTGCGAGACGAAATATTTATGAGCTGCAAATCCATCCATCACGAGTTTAAATCTTCGAGTATAACATGTCAGTCTCTCGAGAAACCTTGTGTGAGATCGCGCTCCCCACCTGTTGCGTCTGAGGGACAACAGCAGCTTCAAGTCTCAGATCAATCCCTTGGTGATCCTCCACCCGTAGTATTGGTAAACTAGCAAGGCCCTCTGTGAACACCTTTGAATGCCGATCATGCAAGTCCTTCAACCCCTTTGGGTTCATAAACCGTACGACCTTCAGTGAAGACGGAATATGCTCTGTTAACCATACGAAGACACGCCGGTACGTCACATTGGAGGCCTGGTTCTGTGTGCATGCAAGACCCAAGTGGGTGACGGGTGGGAGAAATGGCACAGAATTGAGATCGCCAGCACCACCACCGTTAGAAAAGAAGTAGCCGTCGTAATTCTCCGTGATGGACGACCACCGATCTGCAATAAGGACGATCCGAGTGAGCCGAGGACAATTCTCTGCCAGAGTAAAGCATATCATAGCTGCGGGTCCCAGATCCATTGACAAGTATGCAGTGGTGATGTCAGGGGCTCTGAACCGTAGGAAATCCGACAGGCAGGCCAAGGTGCTGTCAGCAACCCATCTCAAAAGGATCTGTTGGAGGTTAGGAAAGGGGTCCAGTATCATGGTATCGGCCTCCTCCACCATGTGAGCTACAGTGACAAAGCGTAGATCTGGAAGCGGAGGAAGGGCGAGGGGGCAAAAGTCTGCTTGAGGATCTTCTGGACCCACCACCAGAGTGCGCAGTCGTGGCATCCTTTTTAAAAGAACCGAGAAAGCGGAATCGGATGGATGTATATCGAATGCCCAGATTAATTTCAATAGTTGTGGGCTACAACTTGCACCCACCGCGACACAAAGGAGATCAGCCATGGTATCTCCGCTCGGATGGGCGAACAACTGTGAAGCGACGGCAAGTACGCGAAGATTCGGAAAACATCTAATGATTTCTGCGAGCACAGACAAATCCTCTGCGTTTCCATCACCCTTGTCCTGGTCGAAACGCAGGTTCACATCTGCACGATGCACCCAAAAGCCGAGCGGAACTTCAGCTCGCGCACATTGTTGCATTAGTGTGGAATGCAGCGAGTGTACACAATGCATGTGGCGGAGGATGACTGCTTGGTAGAGGAGAGGCGTAGCAAGGGCACACCATAGTTTGCAGACCCGTACTATGCGACGTTTAGTGAGCAGGGATTTTCGGATATGACTCTGCTCAAAGCGCAGGTCGAGTAGACGCGAATTTGCATCTATAGGGATGTCGAAGGGGTCGCGCACGTCTGGATCAAAAATTCCCGGCACACAAGTGGCCAACTCGAAGATAAGCAACCATATTTCGTTTGGAATGAAGGGATAGATGCCCCGTTTCTTGTTCCACGATGCAGACATTATCAGAATGCGTCCTCGGAAACCAAAGGTCGAGGATGATGTGAAAAAAGATGCGAGGAAATATGAAACTAGTTCGAGCGCGCAGTGCCAGACAGTGGAATGAGTGGCGGAGTAGCCCACCGTTGGCGTAGGATCGGACGCAAGGTCAATCTGAGCTCCGCCGCTCCGCCATACGAGGGTTCAACGGCGGCTTGTCCGGCTGTAGGGACTCCGACGAAAACGCGCCGCCGTTACTCAAAGTCTGAACGGCTCGTGCCGCCTGGTCAGCAGGCTGTAAATCACTTTGTGCCACTGGTGGGAACCTCAACAACGTCTGGAGTTTTGTGTTCAACTGGCAAATACTTCGACACCTGTCCTTCCAGAAAGATAGTTTGCATGCAAGGACGTGGTCGATGATGTGGCTCCTTGCAGTTTTACGATGGAAACATTGTCCATGATGATAGGATCAGTCTCCGATTCAGACACCTCGATACAGGTGCCCATTCGCAGATTATCCACTACTCCATCAAGAAACGGTCCGAGCTTGCGCGCTCCATCAAGTTGACGCTGATTTTGCGGGCAATTGGTAATGCATCAGGAAAGTCCTATATAAACTGATGCCACGCATGATGGCCTGCTCATAGACCCAGGACCAAGCAAGAGCATCTTGCCGGTACCCCAGTAGCAATGGCCCCACCTGTTGAAGACTTGCCAGTGGCCGTTAGACACGAGTACGCATTCTGTTCGCACCGAAATCGATGACGTCTTCTGAGGCTTGCACGGCTCTGCAGCGTTTACCCTTTTATTGACCCCAAGGAAGACTACACACGCCAGACATACAAGGGCAAGGTCGTCTTCGTCACTGGCGCTTCCCGCGGCATTGGTGAGGAGATCGCGGTCACGTATGCGCGCGCAGGCGCATTGGTCGTGCTTGCGGCACGGAAACAGCAAACCCTTGACGACGTTACGGCTACAATCAGGCGTCATGCTGCGGACGCGCAGGTTCTGACAGTGCCCACGGATGTGACGCAGCCAAAGCAGGTACAAGCTGCTGTAAAGGCGGCGATCGATGCGTTCGGGAGGCTAGACGTGTGTATTGCCAACGCAGGGACGGCAAGCCATTGGGATCGACGTCAGTGTTTAGCGATTGGCTTGCTTGCATTGAACTGACGTGGCGGGGATTTTGTAGCGTTCGCAGAACGCGACGCCGAGGAGTGGTGGAATGTCATGGAGGTCAACTTCCGTGGAGTGTATAACGTCGCACAGTGAGTTAGTAGTCTGTTCAGTTTTACAGCTTATGCTCACAAAGGCTTGTCATTGATCGCTTAAAGTTTTGCCACGCCTTACCTTGCTAAAACAAAGGGCTACATGGTAGCCGTCTCATCGACTGCAGCTCAATCCCGAATCATCTACTCGAGTTCATACAGCGTTTCGAAGCATGCTACTGGTCGCTTCTTAGAGTTTGTTCAGCTCGGTGAGCTCAACTGTCACATCAATCTGCTCATAAATTCAGTGATCGTAATATGACGCTAGAATATCCAGACGTGAAAGTCTTCTCTGTGCATCCTGGAACCATCAAGACTGAGATGGTCATGGAACATAATCCCGAGTGGGAAGAGTATCTCGTTGACACTACGCAGCTACCGGCATGCACGATTCTCTACTTGACTTCAGGCAAAGTTGACTGGTTGTCGGGAAAGTGAGTCGGTACCCTACATCTTCCGAAGCTCAAAGAAGTCTAAGAAAACACTCTTCTACAAAGATTTGTCTCTGCAAACTGGGATTTGCAAGAAGTCATAGACAAATACAAGGGCAGCATCATTGAGAGTGGGGCGCTCGTCAACAGATTTCACCTCCCTAAATTGTAGGCAAAAGCTCTCTCCAGATTATCGCTCCCCCTGTCGACTCGTATATATGCATTCTTGTTGTGCTTATGTTTACGTCGGTGATTGATTGTATATTTTTCACTCGATTTGAGCCGATCGAACTGCTGCCAGAATGAGCTGATTTCTGAAGCGTGTGTTAAGAATGCCATGATATTGTCCCATAGGAAGAATATGTGATACTTGAAAATTCTGATCTCTTCAACATTGTCCTGTGAGGACTATCCTTATTGAACATAGAAAAGTAGGTGCCCTCAATTTCCACGCTGGAGTGGTAGTTGAACGCTTGTCATCGGGTGTCTATGGAGTCAAGTATGGGACGAACTCACGAAACTGAACACATACTTTATTTGATACCGAAGCGGACTAGGTGCGAATACAACGAAATTCTAGAAATATATGGATGATGCCACGACGTGAATCATAGTTTTGAACTGAGCACAACACTGGTACGAAAACAAGCGATACAATGGATAGATCTTTCAGCAAAGTCACAGGATGAAGCTGTTCGTGAATGTCAGCCCGAAGGAATAGAGTAGATTTCTTGACAACTTGACAGAAAATTGACGTGTGTTGAAGACAGCTTTGTTAGGATCAAACGATTTCATCGACCTTTGAGCGATGAATACAGAATCCCTGAAAGAAGGATCAGCAGATGGTCTAAGCGCAAAGTATATCAGTATATGAAGTACCGGCACGACCCATTCCTTGCATCCACAGCATACACCAGCCCAATCATAATTCCCTATCTTGGCGGCACACTTCTTGTTCGGACATATGATTTTTCCACCCAATTCTCCGTTCTCCAAAAAGAAATCCATCCACTTCATCTGCAGTTCAAATAAGGCGGACAAAATCATCAGTGGATGCGCGCGACAAGTAAATAGGACGCGAACTGACAGGTTCAACAAAATAGCCAGAACATTTGGGGTTCATGAGGATCGGCGGGCTGATGCTAGTCTTATCTCTCGCGGGAGGTTGCATTGGCGTCATGCCGAGAGGTGGCGAGCGCAGCGCAGCGAGTTTTGGATTGGCATACAGCTGAGCTGCGAGATCTGACGGGTGCTGCAATGGGCTTGGCACAGGTTTGCCTTCGGGTATTCGTTCATAGTGGTTCGACAGAGACGGAGAGAGCGGTGCGAGCGAGGGTGGGTGCGCACGCGAGTGAAATGGGGGCGCGAGAACCTCATCGTCATCTTCATCGTCCTCCGTTGATAATGCAGACATGGATAGCGCTGCTGCAAACCCGCCAAGCATGCCTGCACTCTCTGACATCGAAGGTCTCCGCGGATGAGTGCCATTTGTCGAATTCCCCCTTGAGCGAGGCGGCGGCGTCTTGCTTGACGGAGGCATATCGATATCCTTGTCCTTCCCTTTCTCTTTGCCCTTATCCTCCTCCTCATCCGGGCTGTCTTCCGTTTCAAGTGCTGACATTGAAAACGAGGCAGAGAGGCCGCTGAGCGCGCCGTCTCCAAAGCCGCGAAAAGATGGACGGCGGGGGCGATTGTCAGAGTTGAGACGCGGACGGACGCCTGTGCCCGAGCCTGAGGATGGGCGACGAGAAATAGTGGCCGAAGGGCGACGGGAGGCAGCGGGGGATAAGGCGAACGCGGGTGTAGGGGGACCAAGTTGCCCGTGATCGAGCATGTGGTCGCGCGTAGCAAGTTCCGTGCTGTGAGTTTGAAGGTTAGTAGTGCGCACAACTAGGACACCTGGGACAAACGGCGGGCTGCTCGAGATAAGCTCACGAAAATATTGCAACGCGCCTCATCCTATCGAGTTCTCACGGTATCAGAGAGTGGGACGTACCGGCACATTTTGCAACGGATGCGTCGTCTGGGTCCGCCTGGCGTGGCGGGTGCAGAGTCGGTTGGCGTTCGAGGAAAGCGCGCGAACATGTCTGTTTCAGGAGCGGAGCCGTCTCCATCTACAAGATCAAGATCGACGCCGATGAGCTGATTCTGATCATCGCGCCTCAATGTTCAAAGGAACCTCACTAAGGATATCCTCAACTGCACGCTCTAGATAGAACATTCTCGTAGCTTTGTCCCGTCGCGACACCTTGAACGAAGCCTTATGGAAGATCTCCAGTTGCATGAGAAAGCCATTGTTGGGTCTGAGAGAATCATTAGCGCCAGGATACAGCTATAAGTGCGAGATATAACGTACTGGATGGTCGGTCGGGCTTTTTTAATCAGCTCTAGGGCTGCAGATACGTCGATATTCTGGGAATACATGAGATATGCAGCCACGATGGTTGCGCTTCGACCTGCAGATAAAGGATTTTCATCAGAAGCTGTGGGTAGATCGAAGTAGATGCATAGACGCCGTTGGAGATTGTAGTCAATGATCTGAGCAATGCGATTGTGCAGATGCTTCCCTGACAGAGCATTGAATGTATGAAGATTGAAGTGGAGGACGTACTCATTCCGGCTTGACAATGGACCAATACTCCTCTGCCCTTCTCAAGCTCAGCCTGGATGAAGGTAATTGAAGATATTAGATGTTGCAGTATATCTGCCTCCTCCGTATCGTCTATTAGGACCTGGTGCCTCGTGAGAGTCTGAAATATATCAATCTAAGCACACTCATTTGATGTTTCTTAAACAAGTCACACACCTCATGAATGGTAAGTCGGCCTCGCATTGCACTCAGAACGCTGAAGATGCCGTTCGCCTTCAATGTTTCAACGTCCTTGGCGCTGTGGAGGTCGCCAACCCAGAGGTTCAGTACAACTTGATCCATATGGCTGAAATGTGCCATGATCAATGGGGATTTACGCCGAGTTGAATGATAAGTGTGTGGAAGTTCAGGAAAAGAAGTGCCAAAGCAGTCTCGTAGTAGCTCAGCTTCTGGCTATTAAGGATACCTTATAAAATATGTTAGAAGAAATCAAATATGGGCATGTGGTGTAGTTGGAGCGTGGGATAATAACGTACAGAAAAGGCAACCGCCGACTGAGTCGCCGTGTCCCAGAAAAGAAATAGCCATGGGAGTGGTTTCAACAGACTCCGGTTCAATTCCGGACATGTCCATTATAGTGCATTGAATGCTGTTTTGTTTTGATGTCCAGACACTGAAACCAGAATGTTCTCCATTTCCTTTTCTCTGACCACTATCTGCCCCTGTCTTAGCAGCCAAGAGCAGGTTTATCAACTTTGAAACCCAGTGAGAATCCCCCCATAGCTGAGAAGATGAGATAGAACAAGATTGGAGCATCATATGTCATCCTATCTTATCCTCTAGCATCATCAAATTTAGACTTATGCCATTAATTTATCTGAGAGTATATTATAACATTTGAAATTTTAGATGCTTTTATATCCTTTGGTTGGACTTAGTGAGAGCTTTGGATATCTTAGCATTTTAATGGAATCAGAAAAAAAAATTAATTTCAAAACATATGAAATAAAACTAGCCCAAGGTGAGGCTTTTATATGCAATAAGTATGACAAGCAAACATAACTATAATAAAAAACTACCACTGCTTAGTGTACTTATGATTTCTCTGTCATACTTTGGGAGAATGACAACAAGTGTATCCTATTTGTGCTATTGCCTGAGCTTTGAAACTTTTAAGCTATTGAGCTACAAATCCAAAGATTAGACTGTGTTAGCTATATGAAAAAGCCTATATAGCACTAGTCTATTTCATAATCTTATCCATAGCTAACCAGATCTTTATAAATTTTATAGGGGTTGTTAGCCTGTGATTTTCCACGTGCTTCCTATTAAAGAGCAAGCTGTGGAAATTATTAGCACTAGCTATAGATAAGTAAGAATTACACACTAATTGTTCTGTAGCTCTGCTAATAAAGTGAACATTATCTTTTGCTTAGCATACTTTTTTAAATGCCCAGGCTTGGATTGTTTGGCAGCATCTATACATGTTTTTAAGTTCATCAACTAGATTGGCAATACACCCTAGGCTGAGGTTAATAGAGAGCTTTTTCTGGGAAAGAAGAGGATTAAAAAAGATGGAATTGCTTATATGTAAATCCTCTTTGTTATTCTGATCCTCTTATTGAGTTGGCAGTTAGGATTGTTTCAGCACAAGCATTGGTACACAAGAGTGCCAGTCAGAGGATCTAGAGTATAGAGTGAGTAAGGTGCATATATGCACACAAATTGCTTACCTCAAGGCTTGGAAGCCCACCTCTAGTTAGAGGCAATTTACCTTGAGTTGTTTATGGTATTAAATCAGATGTTTTATAGTCAAAGTGTTAAACCAAAGAAGAGAATTTCTTAGTGAGGAAATGGTGGAGGAGGTTGAAAAAACATTATTATTATTATTATTATTATTATTATTATTATTATTATTATTATTATTATTATTATTATTATTATTATTATTATTATTATTATTATTATTATTATTATTATTATTATTATTATTATTATTATTATTATTATTATTATTATTATTATTATTATTATTATTATTATTATTATTATTATTATTATTATTATTATTATTATTATTATTATTATTATTATTATTATTATTATTATTATTATTATTATTATTATTATTATTATTATTATTATTATTATTATTATTATTATTATTATTATTATTATTCAATTGCTTTATGTTTAGTTATAGCATGCTATATGTCTAGATGAATAATTATACTATATTTACTTGTGACCTGGAATAAAATATAGTAGTTTGTGGCTATGTTCTGCAATGACCCTCTAAGAGTATGTGTTAACCTTAGGAAGGTTGGGTCACAGTGCAAGAATTAGGGTAAGTATAATAAAGTAAAGTACAGTGTACTGTGTCTGTCAGGTGTGGTGCATTATGTTGTGGTTAGCTATCTTCTCAGTATATTGGCCATTTATGCCTTATTGGCCTGCTGTTGTCTAGTGTGCCTTATTTGTCTGTTTGCTGCTCATGTAGGTTAGATATTAGTAGCTCTTTATCATGCTTGCCCTATATTCCAGTTTCCTAGGTTATCTAGCCCTATTCTGCTCTTCTTTGGTAGTTCTAGGTCTTTGAAGGTTTTCTGGAAGTGCTATGTTGTATTGATGTATATGAATAGGTATTTGAAATTTTTGGATTAGATAGGAGAGTTGGAAGATCTCTGCTTGCTTCACCAGCCACTTGCTCAAGGTGGTGTTGAATGTCTGCATAGCTTCAGCATTGCAAAAGAAAATGGGCAATCATGCATCTGGAAAACCACCCCTTTGTATTAAGTTCTAATTAGTTCTATTTATGCATAATTAAGAACAATTAGGATTAGACATTTTTAGCTTACCCCCCTCTAAACCTGTTCTAATTAGACATAATTTTCTAAATTAGGACTTATTAGGATTGATTATAACTTGAAATTTTGGAAAAATCATAATAAATCAAGCATCATAGTTCTCATAGCCTTCTTATGGAGTCATGTCTATTAGAGCATTAGTTCAATACCTAAACACAGAATATACCTTATAACAAACTTGCCTTCTGCCAGAGTTAAACCAACAACCTCATGTATGCAAGCACCCGGAACAGATGCTCTAAGCCACTAAGCTACAAGGCCCAAGATATGAACTTGGTAATCTAAATAAGTAGACATAATATAGGCAACCTCAACATCTCTGATTTTATTTCACATTTATCTTTCCTCTATCTTATAAATAAATAGGTCAATAAATACCTAAAAAATCAGGTCTTTCAGGATTTAGTTTAAACACCAGCTAAGAAGATAATAAACCAATGGAAAATAAATAATACACTTTATATAGGATAAAAATAAATTATGGCACTCATACAATTTGGACTGAGAATGTGTAAAACTATGATTGAGTGTAATATTCAATGGGACTCTACTAGTATAGACAATGCTACCTGAATTTGCAAATTTGATCAAAAACATGATTATGAATAATCAAGATCCAATAAAAGAGAGGGGTTTTCCAAATAGCCACTAGTGAGGTAGAGGGTAGGGACAAGGGTATATGTATGGCATGCCTATATATAAATAAGCACAAGATTGTTGAAGGTGATCTTAATATGCTTAATGCATATATTTCCTATATGGCAGGCAAATATATTATTCTGGCACCACATACCAATATGACTGTCTTTTCCGCAGCCTAATAGCTAGAGGAAAACACCAAGTTTGAGCATCTTCTGTATAACAAGATAATAAACAATATAAATAGTGCTAAAAATTGTAATATCAATAGTAATGATGATTGTGTACTGCACAAGACAGTATTAGCCACTATACTAATAAATAAGGTCTACAAGGCTGCATATAGCATATCCCTAAGTCCAACCCACATGTTGTGTCCTATAATGACCAATAGCAGGCATTGGCTAACAATGACAACTTTAATGATCTTGTGTACAAGGACAAGGTACCTAGGTCTTCATAGCCTCTTGTGGCAGCTGCCAAGCTGCCAACAAAGTGGCTGGGGGCATCAATGCACATTTCTCTCTTTCTATGTCCCTTGTAAAGGCAGCTGGAAAGTCAGCAAAAGAGCTACAAGATAATGGTATAGGCATATATGAAAGAGAGTAATATGCTAAAATAGTATAGAATGTGCCTCGTCTTTACCTTCTCACTGATAGAGCAGTAGTACTTACTATTTCCTACTGCTAATTAAAGACTTTTTAGTATAGAATTAGTGCTAATATCATGAAATTAGAAACCAATCCAATGCTCACAATGTGTTGCTCCCAATTAGGAAATTAGATACTTTTAGATGCTATTAACACTTTTAGATACTTTTAGACACTATTAGATATAATCCAGAGCTAATACAAGGGGGTGGTTTTCCAGATGCTAAGGAACCCCTTTTAATACTTAAAGCGTGTGATAAGCCTATTGGCTTAACATTACCTTAAGGCATATACCTTAGTTGTCCCCTTGTTTGTATTGTTGCATTTGACTACAGCCTTCCATCAGAGCCCTCATTGTCTTGCTCTCTTCCTCTTATCTAGTTTGTCATCCTCTGCCAGTGTTTAGTGTGGCCTTGTACCCATTCCCTTTTCTTTGCATCCCAATCAAATCTTAATCAAACACCAACCAACTGACTGACCAACTAACTGACCAACCAAATATTTTGATTTTGGAGTTATTTGTTTGTAGGGGTGTTTTTTTGGGTATGTTTCATGCTCAGAGGCATTGCTAGCATATTAGCAGATATCATCATTACTAGTCAAGCATCAAGAGATATATTCCAAGAAAAGAACTCAAGGCAGGTCTAATTACTATTTTACAAGGGAACCTATTCTGTTAAAACTCCTATATCAAAAAAAGATAATTGAGAAATTATAAGAGTAGGTGCTAAAAAAGAACAGTGGCCATTGGAGAATTCCTAGAGAAAAGCATTGGAATTCTCATGACTTCTCACAGTAGTATATAAGGCCCACAGAATAGGCTGAGAATCTTCAGTCTATTCTCTTTGTTCACTGCAGTCTTCAAACTGTAGTACTTCATTAGATACTGTCTTCCAATAGTGTCCCTCCTATACCTTTGTGAATAGTATCTTCTCCTATACACTCATATAGTTAAAATTATTGTTCTACCCCTCCTTATTATGCAACTTAGGGAAGAACCTCCTACTCTTGGAGTTATCAAATGAGCAGTTCTTAACAATATGGGTTTTAGGTGTTAATTGGTGTTTAATTATATGATGAGTCGGAGTCTAAGTAAAAAGTGACTTCTTCTTGCTCTAAGTTGTCAGGGATTAATGGTGCAGAATCTTTATATTGAGGTAATGTGTTCCAATAGTTCTCTGTTTTTTTTTAAAGGAACTCTTTTTTTGTTCTATTGTCAAAGGTTAAATATTAATACCTGTTCTTGTATGAGCAGTTGCCATAATTTGGTAGGGCATTCAAATTGGTATTAGCATAGAACCAAAGAGTGCCTTCTTGTCATATAGGATAGTTGTTATAATAGAACTATCTATTGATTTGTCTAGTGCTAAGAGGGTAGCTTTAGCCTAGGTCTTGCTTTATGGTGTAAAAAGGTAATGCTTGCTTAATAGGGGTCTATAATCCCTGCTAAGGAAAGTTATGAGAAAGAGTGTAGCAGCAAGCTAGAGTTTGTGCAAGGTAAGGGCAAGAAAAGTCTATTCTAGTATTATAAACTGCTTGTTTGATAACCCCAAGAGTAGTGGGTTCTTTCCTAGGTTATATAATAAGGATGAGGAGGGTAATAGTCTCAGTTGTATAAGAGTGCAAGAGTAGATAATATTAGAAAGGAGTATAGCAGAGAGACTGTACTGAATAAAAGGGTCTATATTATGAAAACTATAGTAAATAAAAAAGAATAGACTAAAAATCCTTAGCATATTATATATGTTTTTATACTACTTTGGAAAGATGTAAGAATGCCATATTACCCTATGGGATTCTCTAAGTCACTGCTTTTTCTTAGCCAGTACTCTTACACTTTTTTACTCATTTCTTTTCAACCAGAAGTACAATGGCTTGTGTTTCCCTATGAGTATATGGTTGTAAGCCCTCTATTAGTCATCTGTATTATCTTCTAGAATACTTGACTAGTGATAATGATATCCACTAGGTGTTAATGACCAAGGATATACCCTATACCATAATATATGCTCTAGGATTAAAGCCACCTAGTTTTTGTGATAATCATGATCAGAATAGACTAGCCAAAGAGGCCCTAATAGATCAGACCATAATAATTACCTTCCATATACAACTATCCCCTTGCCCATAACCCCTTTATCTTACCTCTACCCTTTCCTTTGGCATGTGGGTATTATTTTCCAAGTTTATGTAGCCTATAATCACACCCCACTCTATCTCATACCTACCTACTACTAAGATGGCTGCTTTGTCACACTCTACCTTGACCTCCTCTATATTCTCCATATTATTGTAGATGCCCCAGAACCCACAGATAGGCAATTTTATCAAGGACCTCTCAGGTTCTGTGTCATCAACAAACATAGACCACATATACAACACAATCATTACATATCCTTCTACTATACACTCAATCTAGCTCCCTTCCACTAGCAAGCCATCCTCAAAGCTGCCCTCAAAGCTGTCTTCTCTAGAATTAGTATGTTCAATTTATATCTCTTCTATATCATCAACTTATCATCCAAAATTGAAAGCTGGCCATAACATGTTTATGTATGGACCATTTGGTAGTTAAAAACATCTCACACTTTTTTGTGTCTTATCTCTTTCTTTTGCTTGTATATATACCTATAGTAGTCTTCTCCTACCCACTAACAACTGCATATCTAGTAAGAATACAATAGTTCTAGGTACTTATATTCAGAACACCTGTGAGTGCAAGTTGCACCAAATCATACCAAAGCAGTCACATGATAAGAAGTAAAAAGTTTGCAATAGGACATAAATAAAAGCACAAAAGAAGCACAATGGAAATACAGAAAGTTGAACTAGAAGATTCTCTTTAGTTTCTTAGATTTTTGAGAAGTTTTTGACAGCTCTGTATCTTTTTTCCTACCTGCTCACGCCTAGTCTTATCCTTGTGGGAAATTTCTGACCTTGTCCTCTCAGCCATGGGGGGATTCTCATTGGGTTTGAAACCCAGTCATCTTGTGAGCAATGTTGAATAATGATAAAAAGAAGACATGTTAGAATTCCTGAATACAATATTCCCTGGTCAGAAAGTTTCATTCAAGGGGATCCACATAAAGAATGCATTCATCATGCTTGATTATATATGAATTCCCTTAGAGATTCAAGGCCCACAAAACCCAAGGAAATTATAACTTACAACAATATCTTACATCCCTGCGACTGGGCTATATACTTTACAAAATTGTCGACAAGATCTCGCAGGTCTTATCAGGCTGATCCCAATGGAACTGGTTGGACGATCAGCCAATACCATTATTAGTCGACCACTGTCGTGTTGGAACTTGACTCACAAAATGATTTGCCCCCGGCATCCTGATCGACTCCAATGCCCTCCCAATGTCACCCGAAGCCTTCATACTCTCATACAACCTCTCAATTTCCCACGCGCCAGAGGCCATCTCCCAAAGGCTCATATCTCCCCATAGCATCTTCACTTTACACCTCGGCCACAGGTCTGCGGAACGCTTGTCTATCGTCTTATGGAGCAGCGCTTGGTAAATTTCAGGTGGTGTGCTGAGGACGAGGGCTTCAACGGCCATAGCACCTGCATAGCTTACGCTGGCTTGCTCTTCAGACGTCATGCTGTCCATGGTCGAAGCAAAATCAGGTGATGTTTGTTGAGTAAGCCCTTTGATGTCGCGCGACGGGATATCAGGGTGGGCGTAGTACCCTGATACCCACGTCTGGAACCTCGCAAGGCGCTCCTCAGGGCTCAAGGATGCATCACGCATGGGATGGTAGAACCCGGGAGGGTCCGAGAAGCCAAATGCCCATCGTGGGGTATCTGTGCCATATCATGTGAGTATGATCGTTTTGAGCATCGGAGCATCAATAAGGTCGTATTACCAAAAATACACAATGAGCGGAAGTAAGGCTCCAGAGCTGCCTGGATCCCTGCTGGCACCTTGTCTTGAAGCGCCAGAAGACCGATAGTCGACGTAGTCCCGGACGACCATCCCAACAAGACGATCCCACCTTCCGGCTTATTATCTTGGGAGATGGTATACGTCGGGATCTTTTCCTTCTGAACAAACCAAGCCATGAATTTGCCGAGTTCCAAGGCTCTCTGCTCGAAGTAACCTGCACGCGTCGTGCTATCAGAGCTGGCTATAGCGTCGAGGTCAGACTCAGAAAGAGGGGTCGTTCCAGGATACCCCCTGCGATTGACGAGGACAAGGCGAAGTCTGTGAGCTGCTGCGAAAGGCAGCATGCGGCGAAATATACCTGGTCAACCCAAATGACGAGTTAAATGAATGTCAGGAACTACTAATCTTGAGAGAAACCAAGATACATACCACCAGGCATGCTAGTGCCGTGAACTAAGACGACAGTCAGGTAGATGCCTTCCAATTCACCCGTGTCGACATAATAAAACTGGATCCCTTGCTTATCGATGATCGGAGAGACAGGCATGGTGGGACGAGGAATCTTACATACAAAGCCTGTTTTATACGCAAATCTAGTCCAGTCACATGGTCAGCCCTCAGTGTGAACATATAGCCGTCTGGAATCAGAGGCAGTGACCTCTAGCGTTTCTTTCATTACTGACTCCCGACCCAAGCTGAAAAGCATACTGCAGGAATTCAAGACAAATAGGCATTTTATCTGATACTAATGCCTATACAATCGTTGCCAAAAGACGTGTCAACCGTTCCGGTTCATCCCACTGAGCCTGGGGTGAAAAACGCTTAGCTACCATTCGATTGTTGATTAAACAACGTACGCAGTGATTAGCCTCCGTCATCATGTGGAATTCCATAGCCCTACCGGAAGAACCATTGGCGCGGTTCTCATCGTACAGAGCTTCCAGTTCCCACAATACATGCAGCGTTTCCCACAAGCTTTCGCTGCACTGAAGCAACTTGACCTGCGTTCCCGGCCATACCCTGGCCATTTCCTTGTCGAACAGTGCCTTCCGCATGTGTGCTCCGAACACGTCTGGATCGATCGTGCGTACGAGAGGTTCTGAATGAAACAATGCCGTCCGGGACGTCACTGCGTCGATCTCTTCAGGCGTCATGCGGCTGAATGTGGCTACCTTCTCCTTCACAAGCGCTTTATCAGTAAGGCCCGCAAGCGAACGGGCCTCTATATTTGGATGCTGGTAGTAGGCAGATATCCAGCTCTTGAAAACCTCAAACCGCTCGTGTTCGGTCGTGACGGTATAAAAAGGTCGAGAAAACCCCTCAATGTGGGGATAGCCTATGGCCCAACGTGGGCCGTCTAGAGCATCCGGATGAATGAATCCAAACACAAAACATTGTGTATGAGACAGCGCACCATAAAATACATAAGTCCTAAAATAAGACTCGAGCAAATCCCTGTTTTCAGACGATACCTGATCGAGGTGAGAGAATAGGGCTAGGAATGTTGCGTTCGCCGAAGACCACGCCACGACGGCCAGGCCCCCTTCCATTTTCCCATCTCCATGAGAGATCGGCGGGATGTCCTGCGATTTGACAAACCAGGCCAGAAATTCTACGATCTCGAGGCCTCGAGAAGTCATAAATGCGGACTGCGCCTCAGGTGTGGAGCCTTTGCCGATCGTGGCCAGTTCCTCGTCGGAGATAGGTGTCGAACCAGGATAGTCTCTTCTGTTCACCAAAACAACTCGCAGATTGTTCTGCGCTGCGAAAGAAAGCATGGGACGAAAGAAAGCTTGTGCATATTATAATTAGTTCTATTTGGGTTCATGATGTAGAGGCACGACGTACCACCGTGTATGCCAGTGCCATGCACTATGATGAGGGTCGTATACGAGACACCCTCCACCGCACCTGTATCTTCATAGTAGAGCTGGGTGCCTTTATTATCCACAGGTGCAAGGGGCATGATGGATAATTCGATAGCCTGCGCTTACGCCGAGTCGCCCTTATATACTAGACCGCAACCGTGGAGGACGATCTTCTGATGAGTTATTTGGCAAAGTTTTCTCATGCACGCTGAGCCAGGTGATCCAGATTCGAGTCCAGTTCCTTGAAGAAAAGTCCGCTGTCAACAATGGATTAACCGGCACATGTAAGAGTACGAACGACTGTTGTCTCGAAACCGAGAAACTTCCAAGCATCTACGCCCGAATATTTTTAAAACTCGGATGAAGCGACACAGGGAGCTTACACACGGAGGCCATCCTCCACTTGCAGTCTTATTCCAAAACTGACACGAAACAGACGAAACAGGTCACGATAAGCGTTCAATTGAGTAAAGGTCATAGTCGTCCTGTCGACCGGCCGGCGAATGTTGGAAGAGTTCTGGTGCATGCAGGAAGTAGATATATGGGAGTTCTCATTGAGCAACTAGATGATTGACTTGATGATGAAGTTCGGACCTCCAGTGGACCAGCGGGTGCTCCAGCTGGTGCTGTGCAGTGTGGATGCAGGATCGAGGAAAGTCACGGCAGCTCACGGCCGCCGCATCCGGCCCGGTCTTCCGGGAGGACAACTCAATCAGTCGCCTTTCCGACTCACGTTCATGCACCCTTCCTACTCCAAAAATATGGCTCGTGCTTTGTGTCTCAAAGGAACATCATCAGGTTGCATTGAATCAGCACGAACCACAAGTCTCTAAGATTGTTAGAGGAGGTCTCCCGATCTTTGGAAAAAACCCGGGTCAGAGGCTAGAGCAACACAATGCGTATCTCTATATTCATATGGCATGCTATTTATCGGCTCGTTCTTGTTCCAGATAATCACCCGCCGGTGTCACTCTTACATCTCGGATATCTAAGATAGCACTCACAATTCAGGTAGACCCTCTCGCGGTTGATATATGTAGGGGACGTTTCCCTTTGGACATGTTGCTTCTCTTGCAGAGCGAGACGCCTAAAAGTTCAATGCTTGATCTAAGCCATTGATCCTTGGCGGCGAGGGCGACTCAACCCCTCCTCACTCGAACTCTGACGTGAGCCGAGATGTTTTCTCATCCTGGTGTAGACTGTCTTCTTTCGTTCTTTAAATCGCTGTCAGGCTATCGCAAGCAACAGGTCCAATCTTGTTCTTATGGCTTGCGGCGAATAAGCGAGTGGGCGAACTGCTCACCAGTCCTGGACTTAATTATGGAAGGCTTTGTCAAGGTGGCATACATCAGAAGAAGTCAATTGCGTCTGATATAGTACTTGCCTCCTTTCAGCTTACCGGCCATCGATTTGCATTTGCGAAACATCTCGTATCTCGCTGACACATTAATTCAGTCCCTAGAGCATGTAGGACAAGACTACCACTCATCATTCGGTTCTTCAGCTGCGCTCGAGGACATAGGCCGATTTTATGGTCTCGTGCAATCAGCGTGGTTCTACTCATCATCTCCGACTCGGGGGCGTATGAGTGTGCACAGGTCGTCTTTTACCCGCCGTAAAGCATCAAGTAGTAATTGGAGGCAGCGAAGCTTGACTTTCAAATCGTTGGCATCAGCAAGCCAAGCTTCTAGCTTCCGAAAATTCCGTGTCCGACTTGCAGTCAGCTGATTCATCCCCGAGGGCACCCATAAAGATCTCACAATGCAGCTGATTTGTAGCTGCCTTGGATTCGTAGGTAGATCACCGGTATATCTCATATGCTGTACTATGTGTATAGAATGCTGCCTCGATTCATCGAGGAAAACAGATGGCCCGTTGGCACGATCTGTTCGTGTGCTGGATCAGCCCTTATTGTGCCATAATATCAGGTAAGGTTCGGGATCCTCGTTCACATTGCGGTTGACAGGATTTGCTGGTGCCTTGCGACCGCTTGGGAAGCGCCTTTGGATCGACCTTTTTAATATGAGGCGCTCAATGCGCATCGCTCAGAGACCACTTCATCACTTCCCAGATTTCATCATGCCATACGGACCCGTCGACGAGAAGGGCACGCAGCTCTACTATGAAGAGTCGGGTTCCCTCGAAGGAGGCTACCTGACAGTCGTTCTTGTCCATGGCACGAGCTTCCACTGAGGTACGGATCTCATTTACAATCTTGAATGTGGACGAGCTTAGCATTTCATCAGCTATCTTTCACCGCATGTTCCCATTCGCAGCTGCACACCGCTTGCGCCTCGTAGCTGTTAACCAACGCGACTACCGCAATTCGACTCCACTCTCTGAAGAGGACCTCGCACTGCTCCGCAGTGAGGACGATGATCGACGCACGGAGTACTTTCGCCGGTGAGGCTTCGAGCTTGGTCACTTTATTGCCAAGTTTGCGAAAAAGGAGGACATGCCACCCCTCAGCATCTCTGAGGATGGTAAGGAGGAAGGCGAGATCGTACTCGTCGGGTGGCCGTCTGGAAACACCGTCGTACGCCCATTGTTCGCGTATGCATACGAAGCTCCAGAAGATTTGAAGGACGCACTGGAACCGTACATGCGCGCGTATGGTCTATACGGTGAGGCTTGGAAGATTCTTTTGGTATACCCAGATTGATACTGAACTGGATATATGTAGATGTCCCTCGCCGCCTGTGTGGCTTTCCGGATATCGCTGGCTTTTTCCGCCCTTTCCCCGACAATTCCGAGTTGCCTCCAGCACAACAACTCGCCAGTTTCGAGACATGGATGTCAGGCTACTACAGCCACCCCTATGTCATGTCTCGCGACCTTAAATGCTTAATGCAACAGCTCCAGATGAATGTCGCGCTTGGAAAGCCACCCACGTTGTGCACGATGACGCCGGAAGACAAGATGGCCGTCATGGACCCTGCGGCAGTCCAGGACCACGAGATGTTCATCAACTCGATGCCACACGATGTCTATTTGCGCGGCGTAACTAGGATGTTCGAGAAGCATGCGGGCAGTGTCTGGCCACGGGGAGGTGAAGATGATCTGGTGCGAGCAGATTTTGGGTAAATGCGTGACGGGCGCTTGGGATCTCGCCGACTCGTATGATGAGAAGGCGAAGGGAGAGGTCACCCGCGCCATGATCACCACATCGTCTAGGGCAAATCATTTCGTAAGTTTCTATTCTGTAAACTATGCAGAAGTTGTTTATTCTGGTGATGTTAGTGTAGATTCACTGGGACGAGCCAGAGAAAGTCGCGTCAGTTTTCGCCAACTTTTTATGAAGATGCCCGTTCGATGTGCCGACAACTTATGTCTATATATCGGTTTGAGAATGTATGAAATATGATATATTGAGCAAAATCCGTCCAGTAATGACCGTCCTGCAGTCAACTCTATAAGTAATCTGATCCATGATTCTTCACATCGTCTAAATAAGACACGGCTTGACATGGACAACATCAGCGGCCTTCGTTGGCTTCCAGCACACTGGGCACGCCATATGTTTGTTCAGGTGCTTCCGAATACACCTACAGAGAAATCGAAGTTTAAGGTTAGTGTTACCGAGTAAGAAATCTGAAACCCAACACTTACCTGGTGCAGAGGAGGTGCCCGCAACCCAATGTGGCGGTAGAGGTTGGGTATTTAAGACACACTGGACAGGTGACATGGACACCGGTGGCAATATGTTTCTGATGTTCAGAAAGCTTTGGGTAGGAGTCCATATCCTGGTCATGGACAACATCGACAAGCATGCAGGCCCTCATTTCGGCATTCTGGAATTGTGGAGTGATTCATCAGTCATGGAGAACATGGAGAGGAGCTCTAGATGAACGTACGAGCTGAGACTCGTCGTTGGCTAGCGAAGCAGCTTTGTCTTCGTCAGTAGGTTCCCCTGACTTCTCCCCATCGTTCAAATATTCGTCGAAGGGTGATTTAGTCGCATCGCCATATAATATTTTGTGACGTTCGTTCTCCTGAGGGAAAACCAGGCGGCCGTATTCGTCCTCCCAGCCTTCAGGCAGATCTTCGCAGTCATCAAAATCGTCTTCGTCGTCTTCGTCATCGCTGTCATCGCGATGCACTGCGGCGACTTCAATGTGCTGAGATGCCATGCACATATCAGTCGAGCTCGATAGGGGTCTGAGAAAATAGGGGCTCACCACTTTGAACCCGGCCGCAGTCTCGAAGAACTTCTCGCACACACTGCAGTAGTGATGCTTGTTCGACGTCACGTAATGCTGTGATAGAGGTGAGCATCTTGACCTGGAAAGATGATGATGCGACTCACAGTGCGTAGCGCGTTCATGTGAGCGAAGCGCTTTTGACAAGGCTCGCACTGAGGGTGGTTTGTCGACTTTTGGACGTGCTCTTCGCGAGCACGCTTCGAAACAAAGTACTTGTCGCAGACAGTACAGTAGAAAACATTGAGGTTCATTGCGCCGATCATGTTGAGTTAAGTGTTAGATGTGATGAGAATTGGTAGTGGTGGTATGAGTTGGTAGTGGTGGTATGAGTCCAAGTTGCGATGTGCCTAAATAAGCAGTTGGTGGGTCTTATATACTTGTGAATGCGGCTGTGCCATATGTGCGTCATATTGAAGTTATGGAGAAGGCGGTGAAGCCCAATAGCCTAGATTCCCAGCGGAGGTTTCACTCGGAAGTGGTGAGACATGAGAATGTCGGATGAGGGCTAAAATTAGTGTGTCGCCAGCTGTCTCCCGCTGAGAGACTGTATTCGGATGTGATTTATGATCTATCAGGATCATATTACTGTGCTCTCGGAGAGTTCAGGGGAGAACACCCCTCTGCTAGTGGCGAAAGCCTACAATGCGCGTTCGAAGGGTCAACAAAATCATCATCACGTGCGCGAGAGGGCAAATCACGTGATACATTACACAGTACTTATTATGATACATTTTAATGATCGACACGGCTCGAGTCTGCAAAACAAAACAATGAGAAAGTGACGTGAACGTTGAATGTTAAACGTTGGAGGGAAGGAGTTAATGCGACGAACGATACAAAAGGGCCCACACATAGGGTAACAAACTCTTCACGAGCGCTCAGCTCTGCTCGATAAATTTCTCATAGTGATCCTGCTCAAGACTGGCTCTGTATGCGTCTTCTATGCTTTCGTATAGGGTATCGAGGTCATCAAGAGCAGTTTGAAGGGCGGTTAATGATGACAGATTGTCTGCGCGAAGAAAACAATGTATTTGAGGACGATGGCAAAATACCGAGTGACAAGAACAAAAAGTGCCTTGGTGGAACACGTACCATACATCTGTATGCGCAATTGAATGAGATTTTCCGAGGGGTGCGGGACGCTGAGAGGAGGTCAGGAGAACGAAACCAAGTAGTAGGTTCACAAATGAAAGAGCCCACCTGTACCCACAAAACTCCACTTTCGGACTTGACTTTTGTCAGAGATACACAACTACACAACGACACTATCAACGCACTTTTTCATGATCATCCACCTCAATGCATTGCCAAGTGTGTGGCTCTCGTCAAAGATCTGATATGTCGCAGCAGAAAGGTCTTGCTCGGCGCCTTGCATCTATTGAGGAGACAAAAACAAGACATGGATTTGTCAGTCTACGCTTTTCAATCGTGAGGGGCCACGAGAAGAACTCACGATACGGATTTTAGGTTGGGTTTCCGCCATTATTGTCCAGCTATTCCGGGTGGAAGTCAGAGAAGAGATCTCGACGGAGGGGTGCAAACAAGAGTAAACAATTGGTGCGCGCCATTTCTGGCTCCCGAGGCCTACCTACCCCAGTTGACGAACGACACCTCTCTGCAGGTATGCTCGAATCGTTGCTCTGATCAAACAAAACGATGTTCGTTGACCCCCGTATGTTGGGCAGTGGTGCTGCCTTGCCTGCAGATCCACCGGTCAAAATGAAAGCCCGCCCGGGCACTGCCGGGAAGCGTCGAACAATACTGAGTGTCCCTTTTGTGGCTACGACACACAACAATGGCAGGCGCTGCCATCAAACAAAGACGGCTTCGGCTCGACAGGATCTCAACAACCCCTTCCCAAGCGCCAGTGGCCCTTCTCAACTCTCTTTTCCAAGGTACGTCCGCATGATTCGGTGAGTATAAAGGCTGTCCGCCTTTCCCCGCTGGTTCCTCCCTACCCGGATCTTTCTCTCGGTACCCTTCCATCCACTCCCAATTTGTATCCCTCTCGCATACAGGCAGGCCCTCACTACCCCAGGCGGACATCATTTTCACGCTCACATCTGTATCAATCTATCCCCGCACGTACACGCCTGTTTTTTTTGTTCTTGCCCCCGATCATATATCATTTATAACCTCCCATCACTTGATCCCCCGGCCTATATTTGTATCGATGGCTCCATCTCTGTCTGCTTTCATTTCTACCTCTGAACGCCCTACCCTCCCTCCGCTGCACTCTCTCGATCTCCCCATGCCTGACGTCAGCAAGAAGATGTTGCAGCCTCCCATTCACGAACTGAACAACCCCCATGAATATTATGTATGTCCCGCATACTTTCACCGCTGTGCATCTACAGTTGTTGACTTCTTTATTATCAGAATACTCTGCGGCTCGCCGCCCCCCAACCATCGCGCGCTCGGCGACCCTCTATTTCGTCCAGCGTATCTTCTCGCATGTCTTCTACCTCCCCCGCACCATCCGACTCAACCGCACCCACATCTCCATCTCCATCTCCCCCACCCCCTTCATTCCCCAAAGTCCGCCTCGTTCTCACCGACTCATGGGAACACGCTGACGCTGCGCTCCTGTTCCCTCCTCCCGATGCCCCCTATGTTCCGACACTGCAGGCCATCACGTCTGGCGTGCACACACCAAATCGCACAAACGGACCCCTGCTCCTCGTCGGGCGCGCGTTAGACTATGTACGCGGCCCGCAGCGATGCCTTGCGAAGGGTGCGCGCGCGCACCCCTATCGGCTTGTGCGATCCGACTCGCCCTCACGCCGACCGTCGACTTTTTCGCGAACATCCTCATTATCATCATGATTCACTTTTGCCGCGCTGAATTTTTCGACGACGAGCTTCGACGCCGGGACCGGATATCGCACCTGATAGGTCGAGACAGACGAATGACATTTTGGACTCATACAAAAAAGATACCAGGATCATTTGACACTGTATTTTTGGCAACTCCGTCTTTCACCTGATGAGCCGTGTATTACTATAGACTTTCCGTTCGTGCTTAATTGATGTATTGCTTTTTCTCTGTACGCCTTCTTGATTTCGTCAAGCGGCATGACGTCTAAGTGCAGACTTTCTACAAAACAAAAACAATAAGGTTCGTATTCTGACCAGTCTCTTGTAGATGTTCGGTTCAGAACCACCTTGAGAACCTCGTGTGTCTCATCTCAAGGCGAAGGGAAGCAATGATGCTTCCGTTGGAACATTGTGTTCCTATTCAAACAACCTTCAAAGGCGGAACTTGTGCATACAGGCTGCGCGTTTCCCTGCCCTCGTGTACGTAATTGTCGGTCCAGCATCAAATGTATGCAGGCGAAGCGATCTCCCAACTGGCTCGTACTTATCGCGCAGGACGCGCCATAACAGCAGCAGCAGCAGCAGCATTTCCTGCACTGCGCTGTCCGTCATAGCTTCACCCCTGTTCTATTAGTGGTCCCACTTGGACTGCGTAAAGTTACTTTTGCACTCCATGCACTCGGTCTAGAGAATCTCGGATTCGCCAACAACCTCAGCCTATCTGTTTTTAAACCACAAAGGTGGCAGTAGAGATCGGAGAAGCCTGGCTCTGCGACATTACAGAAGGTCAGCTTCTGCACCCCTTGGACTGCGCGAATCCGGAGTGAGAACGTATAGTTGAAGCTAAGCGTCTGCGATTTAAGCTGAGTGCGACATACATGATCAACCAAAGGATATAGCCGCGGCCCGGTTCTACGCAGTTACAATGAAGTCTGCGATTAACCAGGATGCCTTGGATTTGTGGTCGACGCCTTGGAGATAAAAAATCATTAATGATGCACTCACCTCGTAACGAAGGATACGCTCTTGGTGAGAAAAAAAGTCCTAACGTGACATAGTAATGATACAACAAATAGCCAATCTTGACAAGCGCACGTCAGTCGTTCAACTCCTGCTCCCGGATCTCTTGCTCTAGCCGCTCGCGCTCGGCCTGCCGGAGACGCATGAGAGTGAGGGATTGGTAGTCTAATCCGAGGTTTGTGGGCTTTGGTGGCTGGGTCTGTCCTGGTTGCGGAGGGGTATCGAAGAACTCGGGCTACCAAGACGGAATTCGGTGAGGGAGATTCAGAGAGCAGGATAGGAGACGAGACGACGCACAAATGATGAGTACGCCCCTGTGGATTTTGATTCTGAATGTTGTGGAAGTGATCCTCGTGACGCATCTCGAGCTCCATTTGTGGTCCTGTCCGCGTCGCTCCTCCGATCGACTGGAGGGGCGTCCGCATCCTTTCGCTCCACTTTTCCAGTCCCTGTTCCCAATTTCCCTTTCTTCCTCAGCCAGCCCAACACAGGCGGCTCCTCAGTCCCCGCCCACCCTAGGTCGACAGCTTCCATCCCATTCTCCCTCTTCCCGCTCGCACAAACCGCCGCATATGCGTCACCAATGCGAAAGAAAGGGACTAGTGCGGTTGCACGCTTGGGAGGTTTTTCCGGGGCATTCTTAGGCGGCTTCATGCTGAGAATGATTGAGGACTTGTCAACATCACCAAACGGTGAGAGGAAGGCAGCGAGGGCATCAGGCGTCGTAAGAGTTGGATGTGTAGCAAGAGGGTATTTGAGGCGAACGGTAGTATCAAGATCACCTATCAATAGCTTGTGTGTGAGATTTTGATCTTCGGGTGGCTCGCAAGATATAAGTGGGACGTACCTAACGATGGCGGCTCCAGTTCTTCGCGCGTTTTCTCTGCCGCCCTCTCAGACTCCTCTTCCATCCTCTTCAGCGCCTTCTCTCGCTCTTCGCGCAATTTCCTACCCTCATCCTTGATTCGCTCTGTTTCTTGCGCTTGCGCACGATCTGCCGCGGCACGCTCGACTTTCGCCTTCTTGAACGCGCGCTCACGCTCCTCCAACTCGTCGACCATTGTGCGCCGCTTCGTATCATAGTTGGCGAAACGTGTCTTACGCGCCTCTTTCAGCCGCAGCTTCGCATCGAGCACAAGCCGTCGAAGGGGGTCAAGCAAGAGTTCGTACGCTTGATTGAGTACATGGAATTGGCGTGCTGCAGGTGGGAGAACATTCAGTTGTTGAATTTTATGAGAAGCAAGTAATTGTGAGTACCAGCGTCGGGGTTTCCACGATTCTGCGAATGGAGGGAATGTTGAGGACGAGGTCACTCGCAGTGATACTTGGTGCTTACTCTGTCAGGATGAACTTTGAGCGACCGTTGACGATAGGCTGTCTTTATCTCACCATCCGTTGCTGAGACCTCTATTCCAAGCAGATCATAAGGATTCTCTTCGTCAGGACTGGACATAGCGAACGTTCGACGTGGTGGAGGGGAGTAAGGGAGTGTAGTGATTACATAATAGTACTTCAATCGCCTAGACCTGTTCGCCAACAGTCGCCAACGTTGTTCGTACACACCCACTCCTCATATACTACATACTTCGCCATGTCCTCGTTGAAGGCATATTTGGCCGAAAAATACATGTCCGGCCCCAAGGCCGAAGCCATTCTCGCACGTACAGCTCCCAAGAAGAAAAAGAAGCGCAAGGCAGAGGCTGGTCCATCGACATCTGGTAGCGGCGCGATGATTAAAGACGACGACGCAGGTTGGGGTGAATCCATGGCGAAGGAGGACGACGACGATGCAGCAGACGCGCTGATAGCTGCGGACCGCGGGTTCAAGAAGAGACGCGTAGCAGCGGCCGAGGAGTCTAATTGGACAACAATACGAGAGCCAACCCCACCACCTCCTGAGGATGAGCAGCCCATGGTGATGGATGCACAGGGCGCAGCACAAGTGCCATTTACAGGTGGCTTGTTGACAGCGAAGCAACTTAGGGAACAGATGCCGTCGGACAAGACTACTCACATGGACGAGAAGCATTTACGAGAGGCAAGGGAACAAGCTCAGGAGACCGTGTATCGCGATGCGTCAGGACGGAAGATAGATACCAAGGCAGAGAAGGCAGAGGCTGCGCGAAAGAAGAGAGAGAAAGAGGAGCGCGACGCGAAAAAGATGGAATGGGGCAAGGGGCTGGTACAACGGCAGGAAGAGGAAGAGCGGAAGAAAGAGCTAGAAAGACAGAGAACGAAAGACGTGGCGAGGTATGCCGATGACGAGGATTTGAACAAGGATTTGAAGGCCCAGGAACGATGGAATGATCCTGCTGCTGCCTTTTTGACGGTTCGCGCATCTCCCCCTCGTGTGCGAGTATAGGTTGCTGCTGACAATCATCCATACACTCTCAGAAAAAGAGAACGAAGGGTCCACGAAAACCTGAATATACAGGCCCACCGCCACCGCCGAATCGATTCGGAATTAAACCTGGGTATAGATGGGATGGGGTCGGTACGCAATTGATAACCAATAAATTCATCCACACTCCGACGTCCCTCTCTCTCCCTGCAGATCGTGGCAATGGCTTTGAGAAGAAGCTCTTTCAACACCAGAATGACCGAAAGCGCCGCGGTCAAGAGAGTTACCAGTGGAGCGTGGATGACATGTAGCAAGGCGAGACTCTTTTACTACTCGGCAGGGCTTGTATACTATCGCTTTTTGGAAAATAATCGTCTCGGCCGCCAGTCATGCGGTACGTCCCACACAGGGCCTCGTGTGTCATATAAGCTTACCCTTCACTCGCTCGAAGAACAGCTACTCAGTGCTGAACTCCTGGGCTCCACTGCTTCAGGGTCCAGTCATCATTTATCTAGCGTCCTGCGGCATCTGATCTGAATCCTGCTCACTTACTGCACCTATCCTCTTCAGTGAACGAGTAGATTGCACCACCAGATGATTTCGCGCACGTTTGCCATTCCCGAGCATATCACCGAAGGCTCCGGTCACTGACATTGAGCTCAATCCTTCCGAACCATAGGTATGTATGGCCAACTCATTCATGACTGTATACTTAATGCAGCCTCGATGAACGCCGTGAAGCATCCAGCTATATCACTTGGCTCGTGCCCTTTCCCATATATATCGTCTGCTGCGCATAATGTATGGAGATAGCCCCTTGAAGATCACATAAGGAACAGTGCCGGTACCTATGGACAAACACCATTGACCCCTTTATGCCGCCATGGACGAGGGGAAGTTATCCTATGAATCATCACTTGTGCTGTGTACTAAGGCGGCGGACAATTGTAAACTCAGCGCGCTCTACGAGGTTGGCGAAGAATATCGCATCTAGCATCGTGATTGTTCGGATTACTGACATCACAATTCAAACATTACGGCTATTGCACGCGCCAGGATCGATCCTTTGAACGCTCAAAGATTCAGCTTCATCTAGAAACTAGATGATAGCCGCATCGACGCAAACATACTCGCGGTCGGACTCCGCCATGATAACATAAACCTGACACAGAAAACTATCATGGACGCCATGCAACGTGGTCTGCCTGCCGATCAATTTATTGGGGTAGGCCTCCTTTTGTGGTGTGAATGCGGCGCTCTGCTCCATTATCCTCGTACCTGGCAGTCAGACGGGCGCCGCAGTTACCGTATATCCATTCCAGGACATTTCCGCACTCTCGTACGTGGACCCAAGTCGGCCATAGTGATATTCTACTCCATAGTGACTCCCGGCCAGGGATGCACTGGCTCCCATTTCCCAAATTGGTGCAAATGAGCAATGTGTTGATGGCGACAGCCCAATACAAGGTCGGATCTAGCTTTGTGAGTTTTGATGCTTCCCGTTGTTCTGTGCTTTGCGGGTGCGTTTCTTTATCATGATTGGATTTGCCATCTTCCTGGCCCAGGGGAAATCGGATCCGAAAACCAGCCGCGTGTCTCCTGTTTATGGAGACCCATTCGCCACCGAGACGTGCTTACAGTTCGGTAAAAAAACTCAGATGTAGCGCTCATCCCACTGGCACTTATAAAGGGCTACAACGAAAGCCCGAATGCATCCTCGACAACGTATTTGTCACTTTCCGCCTACAAAGCTTCATCGTCCCACCCACTGCTATATCTGGGTAATACGTTCGCTCTATTACACCGCCTTTGCTGAACCCGTGCCCCATCACACAGTTAAATCGGTCTCCATGAACTCTGTGCCTCACCTTAAAGTCGGTATTGCCGTATACCGCAACCAAGATGAACAAGTGTCGGTATGGTTATTAGTGACCAGCCCCAGCAACTACCGCGCCTCCGACGTCAGCATCCACCTTCCCCTGACCATGCGTCCAGATGGAGCCTGGACAGTGCTGGCACGCAGCGCCCAACCCCTCGAGGCTGCCTTGAGCCAGGCTTTCCTCCCAAGCTTCAAGTGCGTCTCTGTCATAGACTTGTGCGCCGTCAGAGGAACCGCAGGTGTTTTCGAGAATGTCCAAGACCTCCTTTACCACTGCGCGCGAGGATATGCTGGTAGAAGGCACGGCATGCCCTTAGCTCGGGGCGAGGTCGGTTTCATCCACGAGGCTATTTCGGCTCTATGCAAAGAGGGATATACTACACTCTCATATCCTATTGACATGATCAATACTGTTGTCGGAAATGCGACCAGTCGTTTGGAGATGGAAGACCGCTCTAGGACATCGTTTCCTGTGATTCCGGTCAGGGATGCAATGGTCTGCATTCATCGCTGAATGGACTTGTCTTCGATCATCATTTCCCCTCTTTCACCCATCAAAGCCTCATATTTCTTTCATTGTATCCCCACTGTAAAGGCGTAGCGAACTAGCGTCTCTTTTCGCTTCGGCATTAACTACCACGTACGTCGGTTTGAATGTGATTGTCCGGAGTATGTGATCATGCGTTCTGGAATGTGATGGCCTGACAGTGGACACGAGAGGATTGGATGAATAGAGCCCAGACTAGTCTAAATGTATTAAAATGGGTTACTTCGACAATCGACAAGTCATTCTCATATTATCGACTTGGCTAGACAAAATTTGTCTATCCCTTTGTTCGCCGGCTTCGTGACACACGTTAGGCTTATTCGGAGCAGAAACTGAATATGCTCGAAATTGTTAGAGAAGCCAGAGGTGTCAATGCCTCGTGGAAAGGAGCTGTAGATGCTCCTCTCTTCAGTAATCTGGTCGCGGCGAACATGCAAGACCAGAGTCGCAACCGACTGACCAACGAGGGAGCTACTGTCTGATATTTTTGTACAACTCACTCGTCTTGATACTCTCCCGCGATGTTTCGACATGACTGACGTAGGCCCCCATACTTGCCGGTCGTGATGAGAATACGGGAACACAACCTCATGAGTGCTAGTCTCTCATAAGTGCTAACCTTTCAATGACCTCCGAAAACACCGTCAGTGTTGCTATCGTTGTGTTAGCGCTATACCCCGACGTCAAACACGTTTACGAGTGAGTACTGAGCATTTGGCCCGGCCACACATCCGTTTCCGAACTCAATTCAGTTTGCACCATTGTTATTATCCTATGGCTTGACAAACCTGATTCGGCCATCCGAGACGTTCATGGAGAAGAACTCACCAAGGGTTGGTGTGTGCTTTGCTGCTCGCCTGATGTGTTCGGTTAGGAACATATACTCACTGGATTCACGAGACCCTACGCGCCTGACCCACTGGGCCACTTGCCGAGATCGTTCATGCGAACACGACAGTCCACACAAAGAGGTTTGTGCCGCACAATAACGGCGTGAAGGCCCACAGCGGGGTGAAATCTAGTGCCCTAAGGTAGCGTCGTCGCCGCGGACATCTGTAGCTTACACAGTAATCGTGAGTCTCTGGCATTTCTAATCATCAGAGAACTGATACTACATGGAACTTTCTCGATGATTGCCGCAGCGCTTGTCTGGAATGCTGACTGCAAATGCTTCAAACCCGAACGGTTTGGAGACACATACCGTTGGCCTCGTGATGGTAGTATGCCTCTGTCATCACTATCCATCCCGCGCCGTAGCTCATATTGGAAAGAGTATTTCTTTATTCTCTAGAGGTCTGCGAGGATGCATTGGCTCCCGCTTCTCTCTTACGGAAAGCCTGTATTTTATCGCACGCTTAGTTCGCCAGTTCGAAATGACCTCTGAAGATTGGCTAAGGCTCCTGACAGAATAGACAACTGGATTACCATCAGCTCGGTGAATGCGATAGTGAGACTGAGAGGGCTTCAGGTGTGAGAATGGAGTGCTTGAGCCTGAGATGCATCATCGTTTTTGAATGGACAGTTTGATCCTATACATGTGTGACTCACGTCTCGACTTGTTTATACAGAAATTTTGCGGGATCTTCGTAAGAATTTCGGGATTTATAGAACCAGGGAGCTTCAGCTGCGTGAGTTCCATGAGGGGCCACCATGAGTGTACACGTTAGAACCCCTATAGGCTTTTTCGAAGCAATCGCGAGAAATTGGGATTTTGAATTCCGCACCTTCCAGATCTTAAAATGTCTTCATGGAATTGAAGAAGTACGGAGGGGGTGGAAACTGGTGGAAGCCCTTTGAAGCTCGCCGAAGACTCAAGAGAGAGTCTTAATAGGCCCTCCTGGGACCTGCACAGGGCAGCTCCGGCAGCTCTTTGCCGACCTCAGGGCACGTGCATTCATTTAAGATAATGGGGCTTGCGGACCGACCGGACCGGCCGGGTTAAACGAGCGGGAGACAACACGAGTTATAAGTAGAACACATACCAGCAGGCCATGCAATCCCTACCATCTCTCTCTTCACCCTGTTTCTTGCTATCAGAGAATCATGGCAGTTACCATAACTCACTTCGAAATCCATGGTATTTGAGTTTTGCATCACCGTGCTGTTTGCATGCTGAATTTCTTTCAAGATATCCGATTTCCGACATCATTGACCGGTGATGGCACCGATGCAATGTATGTGTGCACTAGGAACCCTTTTTTTTGTTATGTTATGCTTTGACTCAATGATTTAAAAACAAGGAATACGGACTGTGACTACTCTGCTGCATATGTCTCCTTGTATACTTCGTCAGACCTCGTTGGCCACGGCCTTACTTTCACCATTGGACGGGGAACGGATGTTGTGCGTGGTAGAAATGACGTATCATAAAAAATGCACGCACTGATAGCTCTATAGGTATGTTTGGCTGTCAAAGAAGTTGCTAATAGGTTAGTCGGCAAGGAAATCGAGTCTCTGTTCTCAAACATGGGGAGGACCTGGGACTACCTCGTGGCGGACTCACAACTTCGATGGTGAGATATACTTGTTCCTACCTTCTCATGCTACTGTGTATCTGACATATATTCAGGATCGGCCCAGAGAAAGGTGTTATCCATATCGCGACCGGTGCAGTTAACAACGCTCTGTGGGATCTTTACGCGAGGTCACGGAAGAAACCGCTGTGGAAACTCGTCGTCGATATGACTCCTGTAAGCTCCATTTGTTCTCATGCTCTCCGGTCTCTCATGCCCGGTCATTAGGAGGAACTGGTGAACTCTGTTACCTTCCGGTATATCACCGATGTGATCACGCGCGAGGAGGCACTCGAGATGTTGAAGGCGAAGGAAGCAACCAAAAAAGAACGTGAAGAAAGGGTTCGCGAACTTGGGCAAGCTTGGTTCATTTGACACCAATTTTTCCTCACTTAAACATTCTACGCTCCTCCAGGTACCCCGCATACGTCACTTCCGCCGGCTGGCTTGGCTATTCGGACGAGAAGGTCTCTCGCCTCACGAAGGAGGCCGTAGCTGCAGGGTTCAACCATTTCAAGATGAAAGTGGGCGCGGATCGCGAGTCGGACCTGCGTCGTGGTAAGATCATCCGCTCGATCATCGATGACCCCCAGTATCTCCCCGCTGGCCACACCCCGCGCGACCCCGATGGTCCTGATCTCAAGGGCAAGAACGCGGGCCCGACAGGTGCGGTGCTCATGATCGACGCCAACCAGGTTTGGGATGTCAACCAGGCTATCGACTACGTCAAGTCGCTTCAGGAAATCAAGCCTTGGTTCATTGAGGAACCCACTGCCCCAGATGACATTCTGGGGCATGCTGCGATCCGCAAAGCGCTGAAACCTTATGGCATCGGCGTTGCTACTGGCGAGCACGCACACAATCGGATGGTATTCAAGCAACTGCTGCAAGCTGAAGCTATCGACGTGACCCAGATTGACTCCTGTCGACTCGCGGGAGTCAGCGAGGTCATCAGCGTGCTCTTGATGTCTGCTAAGTATGACGCATCTCAATTTTTACCTCAGTGAGCTGACAGCATGTTCTAGATTCGGCATCCCTGTATGTCCTCATGCCGGTGGGGTCGGCCTTTGCGAATATGTGATCCATTTGAGGTCAGTTTCTCAAACGCTCTGTCGCCGTAGTTGCTTGAATGGGAAGTTCAGCTTGATCGACTACATCGCCGTATCTGGAACTATGGAGCGCAACGTTCTCGAATTCGTCGATCACCTGCACGAGCACTTTGTCACCCCTTGCTCGATCAACTCTCGTGGCCGCTATAATGTGCCCAACGACCCGAACGAGGGCTACAGGTGCGTTATCGTTCTCCGCTGAATCGTCGAAGTCTCGACGCCACGATATCTTACTGATGGTGCGCGATATAGCATTGAGATCCGCAAGTCCAGTTTCGCCGAATTCGAGTGGCCCAATGGGTCGTACTGGGTCAGTCGTGGCAAGGCGCAGTAAATGATCTCTCTCGTCAAGGGCGCGGGTTTTGAAAGTCAAATGCATCACATTTCTACTGTACTCTCATAAACATGTTCTAAATAAGGCTGTATCATAAGCAAAGAAGCCGTTTCTCACCGTCAGCCCGAACCACATATATAGTCCAATGGCGGAGAACCTCAGTGGGTAAGGAAGCCGTCCGAAGCAACCGTCTTCGAGATCAAGTTTGAGAATGTCAAGTGACAGCAGCGCGCAGAACCACGCACCCACAGAGTACGAAGGCAAGCAATCATAAAAGTGCCCGCAATCGCGCCTTCTGAAATCGAAGACAGGTTGCGAGAGAGGCCAATGTCATTTTGATAAACGATCGATGCTGGGGGAAAAGAGGTATCCCAGTGATCGAACCTGCAAACAAACTATCAGGGAACTAATTGAGTGTATTGAACTATCTCAAATTGAGTGCTCAAGCAATGTGAGTAGATACGCGTTCCTCACAAACAACCGATTGAAGGAAAGGCTCTGGAGATATATCCCAAGGTACCGGGCGTTCATTGTATCTCACAACGGGAGATATTTACCTCCGGTACTGCCTCGCAAATAACCCTCTATTTTTGAGCTCTCAACAGCATGAGTCCGTTATTCCAAGGAAGCGTGGACACCCTCTCTTCGTGACAGCTGGCCACCAGGGTGAGTCTGGACAAATGGATACCAGCACAAAGAGGGTTAGGGCCGGGAAGGCTGTGTCCAGTATGAGTTGAGCAAATCCAGGAAAGTCAGTGCTAGACCCGCCGATATAAAATGCCGCTTGCCCGGTTCCTGTACAAAGGCAATGTGTCAGTCCAACTATTCGGCCTATGATTATGCATGCCATGTGTCCATAGAAAATCGATCTTGAAATAAGAAAAAGCGACCCACGAACGGAGGCCGACGACATTAACCGCCGAATTGGTAGAGAAGCATTCCGCAGGTCAATATACCAGCCAAGTATCCCCAAGTTATACCTATAGATGAGAGAAGAGTTTTATCTCTATGTCCCTGAAATTTGTAAACAGGATAGTCAAGGGTTTTAGGATGCCCAATCTGCAAAGAACGCTTTGGACATGTTTAGCGACCTGGTGATACTTAGTTGGTTCACGGTGATCCAGTTTTTGTTGGGCACGTACGACCATTGCCTACACTGTAAGAGTTAGGATCTCCATAATCGTTTCAATGCGACTTAGGACAAGCATAACTATCCCAGACACGACTGCTTGGCCGTGGCCTAGCAGACATCTTGAGAACAGTAGCCTAAGGACTAATTCAGCATCTGTTGCTCCCAGAACATTTCAAGAGCATGGGTAACCTGTGATAGCAAGTAATTATCAGCCTTTTCCCTTGCATGGTGACAAAGTCTCGCACGAACGATCAAGAATCCATCTTTGAATGAGGCAGGTACGGCTCGGTGCGTGGGTGTTGTGTACGGAATTTGTGAACATAATGGTGCACATGACACTGCCGTTGGGGGTAGAATCCATAGCATGCATGCTCACTAGCCACAGCAACGTTGGACGAAAACCACACTGCGTGCGCCGCAGGGTTTTTCCCGAGATAAACCGTGGATAAAACCGTGTATATAAATAAAGTTTTTGCTTGAGTTTATTTGCGGAAACTACCGAAACAAGAACTTGAGGTTTATTCAATATTTTATTATGGGGCGTGATAAAATATCGGGTAAACCTCAAGCTTTTGTTTTAGTGGGTAACCACCACCCCAGCACATCTCGAGTCTCCACGCCCGGTACCACATCGCTCTCGAAGCCCTTGAGAATTATTCTCATTGAATCTTTTTTTTACTAATAGAGGTCTTCTTTAGACACCCGGTGACTTCGCCCAAGCAAACCTTCCCTGCCGGTTATCGACTCAACTGGCAGGCGCGACTTGGCCCCAGCTATCGATCACCTATGATCAGATGTGTGACTCCTACCATGTCTTCTCCTGTCTTCTCTGGCTGGAAATTTCTACGCCTCCCCTGAATCATGCCCTATAAAATTCTTGAGTCGAGGCAAAGTCACAAGCAGCATGCCTATGGTTATTCTCCTGCGTAATATCATGTAAACTTGGTCCCACATATCGCATCGTGCCTCTACTCATGGCGATTTGGGTTGTCCATCTTTCGATTTTGAGGAGTTCCAAGAATCGTCGGACTCGGAACATTCGTCCTTCGTGTTCCTTCGTTATCTGACAAGTAAAAACCTGATCGATCCGGGTCGTCTGCGAGGACAGGCCTTCGCGTGGACCTCGATTCGCGACACGTAAAAGGTATCTGTGCGGAATCCTCTCAGAATCAGCTTGGTGTTCTCTATCCAGGTATCTCCGACGACATGGCCATACTCAGTGGTGCGGCAGATCTCGAGGTGTTCCCGTTCAGGACATTGACTAGCAGCTGATACCCAAGTATGCTGTGCAAGCAACGTAACCCATATAATGGATCCGCTCTTCTACCCAAGATCGGACTCGATAAGTATTCCGACAGCTGCGATGCGCAGGGACAGGCAAAGCACTCCTCCCAAGTTGAGGAACTGTGAATTTCCAACTGTCCGGAGTATACAATCCAAAGAAAGTCTCGGCGGATGCCACAGGGTCTCCGTGCCTGCGACAAGTGGTCAAAAAGAGGCGTGCAAGGAGATGTGTGTCAAGGCGCGGCTCTTGGGCGTGTCTCACCATAGGCCACACCACCGACATAATTACCACTTTTTGCCACCCCACATCCACACTCCCTCCTTACGCCTTTCCCCTTCATAAATCCACCACTGCCCTTCCATACTATTGTCTCACCGTATACGATGACCGACGCTCAGTCTGCGTCTCGATATGCTTATGTGAAATTCGAATCTAACAATTGCCCGTGGTGGGAGGATTACACAGGCTTAGATGCGCTCACATTTAAGCAGCTAGAGCTGGCGTACGCACGCGCTAGGGAATTTATATTGGAGCAGGTGGAAGTATTGGTAAAGTCGCACGGATGGTCTCCTCAGAGCGGTATCTCGACCGTGAGTGCTCGTGTCCTCCATCCAAAGATTGGCATTGTTCGATAACCAGGTTTGTTCGCCCAGGCTGAGCTCTTCTCCCTCGCACGTGGGGATCGTACGCTGTGGCTCCCCACCGCCTTTTCAGCATTTTTCGACACGTACAATTCAGATTGGTGGGTTTTGCAATTTCAAGACGATGAGATGTTCCCGGTCTCCTATCCCGAGATCGATAATTCCTCCACATATCCCGACATCACCATCTCCACGCTTCCATCTATAGTGAATATCTTCTACTTGATACAGTCCTTCGCGCCCGGCATCCTCCTTCTCGTGGCCACAGACGAGACGAAAGGGGTATATGTCACCCGCAGCCTTCCCCCGATGCAGTGGATAGAAGACAATCTCCCGCTCCTTGAGTATTGCCTGGGACCGAAGGTGGCAGATAAGCTTCGCAGAGCTGCATCCGACGATACCAAGTCATTCCATAGCGGATCGGTTGACGAAAAGGTGTGGCCAGACGACGAGCCAATCGAAGATCCCCTCGACGACTGGGGCGAGGAAATGGAGGAGGATTGGGACAGGTACGATGACGAATATGAGGACAGTGCTGCAGAGGAGAGTTACAGGACGGTAAAGGAGACTTACGGGGCGGCAGAGGAGATTTACGGGGCGGCAGAGGAGAGTTGCAGGGCGGCAGAGGAGAGCCCCAACTCGACGAACGATTGGCACCGTGTCGCATCAAACTGGGATGGTTGGGAAGTGAAGGATTACTTCACTTGCAGCGCATCATGCGGATTCTGCGGTAACTGCGGTAACAGTACGTATACACTATAACACTTTACTTTTCAATATTGTTCATCAATAGATACTGTTTTTGCAGATACACCTCAGGAGACGGCTGTGGCGCACGGATGGTGAAGTTTTGAAAAATATTCCATGACGTGCTTGAGACATACTTGAGGGATCTTCGTATGTATATATACGTGGTTTTGGTTTGACTGACAAAATTGAACGCTATATTTTTCTCTGGTCTTGTCATTCCCGTGTCCCTCCCGTGTTTCGCCGACAGGTTCCCGTGCATGAGTTGCTATCTGGTGCGGTTGTGACATTCAACGGACTGGGGATTTGGATCCTTCAGATTGTTCGTTCAAGTACACAACTTCTATGTCTAGGCTACATTTGCAAGGTTAAATAAAGTTGACTGCACATTGCTTCATCATTGCCATGATCTCATTATTCCGAACTTGTGATTCACAGGGGCAGGCGTCAGGCGTCTACCATGCAGCTTTTGAGAGAAAGCCGTGTGGCCAGCAGCGTACGGCGACCTTGCGCGTTTCGTCTAGTCTATATGGCGTACGGGAAATTCCAACATCAGATTCTCCAAAAGGCGAAGCGAGAGAACGACCCACATCAGCAACCCAAACGCGAACGCCATTGGCAAGAAGAAATATTCGACTGGAATACCGCGCGTTTGGAAAACCTTTTGGCTGTAACATTGGATGTTAGTGACTGAGCCCATTTGAAATAAACAATGCACGCACAACACCGGGATGTAGGAAAAGAAAATTCCGATGACGAGTGCTAAGATAGCAGAGGGAAGAACTGCAGGGTTGACACGGGGAGTTGGTGGTTGAGTGATGATGCTCGACTTGCGGTTGCGAGTGGCAAGTAGATTACTGTAGTGAATATTGAGTATGTCGAGTGAGGAAACGAAGAAAATGGTGTACGTACCCCCACTGCATAACGACGAGCGTGAAGAAATAAATACTCTGCGCACGGAACAGAAGATCGTCCGTCAGCCCGGGCCAATTGCCGAAGCCGAGGGCAAGCGAAGAAAAGGGCACGCCATTTCGCTGGAGGTACCAGAATGACCTAGGCGGGGGCAACGTCAGACAACAACTACACAACATTGCCGAACTTTATACACTGACATGGACATTGCCCCCAAAGATTCCGTGACGCCGAGGAAGCCATAAGCGTGGAGTAGAAGGCGCCAGTCGGCAAGACGGTCTGTATGAACGTTGCGTGGCGGTCGAGAAAGCAACCCGCTTTCAGGCGGTTCAAAACACATGCTCAGGGCGGGAAGGACATCCGTCTAGCAATTTTCATGGTCATTTAGCAAGAAAAAGAGCGGTTACCGTGGGAGTTGAAACTCACTGCGACGCAGATAAGAATCATTCTTGACGGAGAGAAAGTAGTGTCAGGTATTTCTCAAGGGAGAAAATAAGCAAGTACTCACTGAATGTTGCTCAGCATTTGTGGCACACCGATCAACACATTGAAGAGGATTGGCATCAGCTCGGAAAAGCTGGAGGGTTCAGCTCAGGACTCTTGATCGCTCCTTTCAGAATGGTAGACAGACCTTCCAGCCGGCAGGAGATACATGATCGTCTTTTTGAGATTGTCATATACAAGCCGTCCTGTCATGATGATCAATATGGGTTGTTGAACAGCCACCACGGGTCTACTGACCATACTCCAATGCCACAACGATGGCTGAGAAATCCTCCATCAATATCATATCCGCTGCTTCGCGAGCAACATCAGACCCGCTCCCCATCGCAATCCCGCAATCGGCAGCACGCAGAGAGGGTGCGTCGTTCACACCATCGCCTGTCATGGCAACAATGCCCCCACGCGCTTGCAATGCCTGCACGATACGGAGCTTTTGCTCAGGTGTCGTGCGCGCGAACACGATCTCTGTGTAACTGCACAGTCGATCCATTTGGGAAGGTGTAATAACGTCGAGTTCTGAGCCAGTGATCACAATGCTATGCGGTGCGGCCGAAGAGTCGCCCGTATTTAGGAGCGAAGCAAGGTCGGAAAAATGGTGAATAGCTTTTGGATTGCTGATAATTCCAGCTTCTGCAGCAATGGCCACAGATGTGGCAGGATGATCACCTTGAAATGATTGAGTCGAATGCAAATGGGTATGATTGTATGGACGCCCACCAGTGACAACGAAAAATCGAATACCAGCTCCACGACATATTCTGGAGCAAGTGCATGCTCAGCTAATGAAATGCACCTTGATTCATATAGTTTGCATACCTGACAGTTTCTGGGATATCGGCCTTTAAGGGGTCTATCAAACCGACCAGCCCAACGATCGTCAGTTCCGAGTTATAGTCGTTGATAAGCTGTGCAAATGCATCCGAGAAACGATCGGCCTCCTTAGGGATGCAATGATAGGGAACAATGCGACGAGCGATAACAAGGACTCGGCGTCCCTGGGAAGCCCAGTGCTCCTGAACGGAAATGATGCGCTCTCGCACAGTTGTAGACAGCGGAAGAGGTTTGCCACCGGTGGGACTGATCACGGACGTGCAGCGTGAGAGCAAAACTTCAGGTGCGCCTTTCACGGCTAGGAGATAGTCCTCCGAGTCGAAAGCGTCCCAAGACGTCAGTGCCGCGACAATTCGCGTGCTGCCTTTGTTTATTTCTTGTGTTGTGTTATTAAGTCTGGAAAGAGTCAACATGAATTTATTCTGGAGAATGCGTCAGCCGTCTCCATTACGATTAACATCGACAGTGATAGACCTGCCTTAGAGTTGAAATTGATTTTGAAAATCTGTCGCCAATGACCTCGAATGGTATCCACGGGTATAAATGAGTCGGCGAAACGCAGAATAGCGGAATCTGCAGGGAAAGAAATCGTTAAAATGTTTCTAACACAGATAGCGACTAGTCCACTATCGTACCGGTGGCATCGCCAATGACGCTCCTTTCACCCAATGCACTTGCTTGATCGAAATTTGCCGAGTTGCAGATCGCCGCCACAGTAGGCAATTGACGAAGATTTTCGGCTATTTCTGGGCTTGCTTTCCCAATATCAACCATCAACGACGAAGTAGTGAAGATTGCATCAAATACAGCCGCATCTTGAACGTGCATCTTGTTCTGAGTCAAAGTTCCGGTCTTATCCTGGAAATCCTGTTAGCTGCTTTCGTGGAAACCCAATAGAGAACATACAGAGCACAGAACGTTGACGCATCCCAGAGTTTCAACGATGGACAACGATCTGCGAAGCCATGAAAAATCACTTCGAATCTGAGTACATATTTAACATACTTGCAGAGAACTTTGTATTTGCTGAGTGTGTGAGCGACTTTGGCGAGCGAGATCGTCACAGCGATAGGCCTGAAAATCGCGCAGTTTCAAGATTTTTTCATTCTATTGATCAGAACAGCTTACAATCCTTCAGGTATAAATGCCACTAGAGATGGAAGTAAGCGACATAAATCTTGGAATAAATGTGAGACGAAGACTCACCCATGACTGATACCACATCAATGAGGATGCCTGGGACGTTGAGAAAGGTAGGAAATCTGCGCCTAAGCCTGGAGATAATTGGTGAACAAGGTCGAAGCTTGTAAGATGGCGATGATCGTACCATGCAGCCCACAGGACGACAATTATGATGGCAACTAGAGTGGCAGCACTAGCGATGATCACGATGAAGCGCAGGATTTCGCGCTGTAGTGTCGTCATTTGCGTAGGGGAAGCAGACGACATCTTGGCGATTTGCCCGCTGTTAAAACAGATGAGTAATTGTACTTGCCGTTCGACCAATTCCAATTATACCAACAAGACCGTGCGATCACCAGTCTGAACAACAAGCCCGATACCAGATCCGTTCACGCAAAGTGTTCCTTGAAGTGCGATGTTTTTGGTCTGATGAACAATGTGAATCATGTCATTGAGAGTATCGTCGGGAAGAAGGAAAGTAAATACCTCCATAATGTTATCATTGGTCGCCTCTAAACGTCCCGAAATTGGCTCGCTCTGGGAGGTGAATGAGCCTCACATTTCTGAGCTTGCTCAACGGCGGCGCTTACTTCTCCCGTGAGCACGCTTCGATCAAACCTCAGATCCCCGCTAACCTCGATCAGCCGTAAATCTGCAGGTACCTTCTTGCCCATGACGACGAAGGCTAGATCCCCGGGGACAAGATCGGCAGCGGGTACGATGGTCTGCACGCCATCGCGTAGGACCAAAACGTCGACAGGAAGCATGTCCTGGATAGATGCCATGACACGGGAGGTAGAGAAATCTTGCCAAGCATTGAAGAGCGTTTGAACGACGACAACGACGAGAAGAACAACGGCGAGGGCGAGGTTGGATGCCTGAGGATGATCGCCCCCGAGTGGCTTCCTGGACGTACGTTGTGAAAAACATGTTGGAACAACAAAGAACTGCGTACCATGCTATGAAGCAGATGACACTAGCGGTAAGAAGAAGACTGCCAAAACCACCGAAAACCCAGCCAAGAACCTTCCGCAAAGTATTGCTCTTGGGAGGGGATATAATATTCCTACCATTCGCAACTATGCGGCGTTGGACCTGCGCAGAATCTAAGCCTGTTTTCGAAGAGACTGAGAGCCTCTGGAAAGCCTCTTGAAGGGGGATAGAGTGCCAATCGAGCGATATGATTTCTGGGTAGTGTCAGTATCCAGAAGGAGTGCTATTAAAAGAAAGAACTTACCCTTGACGGTGTCTTGCCTGGAGCGGCCTGCGGAATTGTCACCGAAACTGCTCCGATGTTCGACTTGCAAGCTAAGGGTTCGAAATTCTACGGGAAGACGAGTGTGAGGATCCACGATCTCATGACGAGAAAGGGTGCGAATGGGACGCTGGCCCCAGGGAACGCCGCTACCCCCTGCGCTCGGAGCGTCGATGGTGACAGTCCTCGGTATTGGTAGCTTCAGCGCCTCGACGTCGCGGGTGTTTGGGGTGATCATCTTCGGTTAGAAGAAAAACGGGAGATACTACAACAATGCCAGATTAAATGAGAATTGAGCCTAAGGATATGGAGAGCCACAGGGGCCTGGTATGCTGGTCCGTGCGCTTGTCCGTTTCCAAAATGCAATCAGCGATTGCGTAACCTCGTCACCGAAGTAAGCAGAGTGACTTTCGCTAGAGGAGTGAGGACTTGAAAATGGAGCTATTTTTGCTCGATACTGCTACGATCCCAGCGAGCATGCAACAGGTAGCCACAGAGCGAATATCGCCATAGGAGCGCTTCGGTGTGCCATGTGCAGTGAGCCCTTGATAGGTACTCTGCCTGTCTTCCTGGCCGTCATAGCACAGATGATTATGAGATGTAAGAGAACAGATACGGAACCTGGAAAGCCTCAGAAAGATTTGGCTCATCCGGTGTGGGGGATGGCATAATTTGAAAATGGACCAACGTGCGACAATCCGAACACCAAATACCACAGAGGTGATAGTCCAGCCTGAATCGATTTTTGACATCGACATAGTCCACTTTTCCAAGCTCCGGTATGTAATGAAAAGTGTTCCGCTTCATGATTAGTTCACTGTTAAAACGCGGTCAGTAGTTTCTGTAGTTTCGCGGTCAAGAGGTTTGAAATTCACCGGCAGAAGCGCCACAATTGCCCATAGTGGAGTGCCAAACCAAGGGCATAGCCTTAGGCGAACGGTCCGTAGTATACTGCTAATAGTACTCCTGCACTAATGATGAACTGTCTTCATAGCAAAAAGCCGACTACAGGACACAGCTACAAGTTGATGACTTCGACGTCGTGGGAGGAACAATAGAGGCTCACAGTCGTTCATGAGGACGATAGTGCTAGGTGGACAGTCCATGGCCCGACGGAGGCAAGGTCGATGGCGGCGACAACGTGTGCGTCAGCGACGATTCACAGGGTCGGAGCGTGGACGTCGACAGAGGTAAGACGTTCGCACAAGAGAGCACTGATTTCCCACGTTCTCAGCTTACAATCTTTGAAACCCCTGTGGAGAGACAAAAGGTACTGTATTTCCTTCAATCATAGGATGTGCTCCTAACGTGAGGCACTGAACTATCACAGAACAGAACTATCAACAATTTGTGGACCTAAGTCTTCAGTGCGCTCCTGGGGCATTAGTGTCACCCACCGCGACTTCAGGATCTCCGGCCCTCTCTTTCCGAAATACCTCTCGCTCTCGAAACTCCACTGATCGTTCGCCCGCACCCAATTCCCAAGCCCGTCTACATACCGCGCTACCTGCGAGTCGATCGGCTCTCCCCACTTCGGCACCTTCTCAAAGTTCTCGTTGAACTTCCGCTCCAGCTCCTTGTGGTACTCATCCACCCATCTCATTGCTCCCGCAACATCCGTCTTCAGCTGGTTCATGGCAATCCTCACGATATTGTGGCTATCGTCTCCTCTCGCTTGCTCCAGGTTGTACGACACGATATCCTGATGCAACGCGGTCGTCATCGCTTGGACAATCGAAATTCATTTGAGGGAATCCTTACGTTTCCAAGGCACAACATATCGATGACCCAAATCGACAAGTCTTGAATCACAGGGTGGTTGATCACCTCGTCTGGGAGGTCCATGCCAAGCTCGAGGAGGGCGAACGATGGCTTTGCGCCGATGGTGTCTCGTCGAACCTCCAAGTAACTATCGATGTCGCGAATATATGCGTGGGTTCGGTCTGCCGCTTGCTGGACCACCGACTGCATGTAGGTGTCGAATGTCTCTACGAATCGCTTCTGAGACTGTGGACTGGCTGTTTTGATGGCGAGTTCCCAATATCTGTTCGATGTCCAGTTCTCAGTGTTGGCTATATAACCCACGGTTTACAAGAGACACTCACTGCCGAGTGACCTCGCCGCCGATCCATTCACCCTTTGGGCGAGGCTTGTGTGGGTTTCGCAGGGCATCCATGACGATGTCGGCCTGGTTCTGGACCTCGTCGACGCCTGCGACGTCGGAATACTCGTCGATGACGAAGAAGAGGTTCATGAGATCACATCCGGTACGTAGGTGCTCTGGAGAGTGTCAGTCATATCGTCAGCCTTGATATACTTGAGGCATACCCTTTGTTGCGAGCGGGTATGCAAATGATGCTAGAAGGTCTGCATCGTGGGAGGTTAGACCGATAAGTCTCGATGGTGTGAATAGTCACTGACTGAAATCGCAGCGATCGAAAGCATATTGAGCTTTGGGACTAAATGCGCCGAAGCTCGCTAGCCATGCCGCCGACTCTTTCTTGACTTCAGGATAATGTGGATTCAGGTGGCGGGGCCACTTCCAGTTGGCGAGAGTGTCTGGTATGTAAATCTTCTGGGCCATTAGGTGTTGGTGAGGTCTAGAGAAGTCTATTGTTCCAAGATCGCGTTTGAGCGGTCAGTTCTTTTAAGCACTGCCGCTGACGCTGGCCCACCATATGGGGAGGACCTATTTCATGGAGGACTTACATGATTCGCGGGTCTAGGCTTAGTTTTATACCGGTCACATCCTCCCCATGCTAGGTTTCGGTGTCTGCGGTTGCATCTGTGCCTCCTATGTAGGTCCGCCGTCGTTCCTCAAACATAGGCTCTCCCATCTGAAATAGTATCCGATTTGGTGCCTGCCAAAGCCGAAACGCTCTTGTTCCTACTTGATGCCCTTCAAATTGCATCCAGGGTCAGATATGATCTCCCCCGAATAGCAGTATTACTGCCCAGGTTTACCCTTGTGTTGAACCGCGACGGCATCCTCGATCGCCACTGCTATCAGCCGGCGCTTCGATATCATCGTCTTCGGTGAAACGATATTGGCACCTGGCGATTGTCCTCCTTTACCACCCCATCGTTCAAGCCCCGTGATTGCCGCGTAGAAGGGGGGCTTCACTCGATGCGCCTCAAAATCGATTACAGGCCCTGAACGACTGTGAGGACTGTTGCAGTCTTCCCGTAGTGCTGGAATTGACACAATCAGGCCGATATTTCTCAGCGGTGTGGAGATACTGAATGTGGTCGAAATTCCGATGATTGGTTCAGGTCTCAGGTAAAATGTTCTGTTCTAGCCCCACGGGCATAAGCATGACAAACTCAGATGATCAAGATTGTGTCACTACCTGTGCACTTGTATACAATACTGTTCCAAACAATTGGTAAAACTCATTCATTTACACCCGATTTGAGAATAGTGTTGATGCTACCGTCGACGCCCGCGCGCGGAGGCGCTCCTCATCTTCGCTCATTTTCGTAATTGGGATCATTCTATTCCATCAATAGTTGATCTTTGGAATCATCGATGTTTCGACGTACAGAGTGGCCCTGTTTCTCCACGCAGTCGAACTCGATCACGATATACAGTCAGTCATAGGCCAACGGCTCGATTCGGAGTAATGGCCATTCAATTCATGAACAGCTTTTATTTTTTCCTCTTGTAGAAATTTTCCAAGAAGGTCCTGAATACCTCTCGTCTGACAGCGGCTTCTCCAGGCATGCTCCAAATTTCAGGCAATTCATCGATGAGAGCACTAATTCTGCCATGCGTGTCCTCATACTCCTCGTAGCGAGCGTGAATGCCAACTTCCTCGAGGACATCCTTTACGCATCTCTCGCATTCAGGATTCTTCCTACCATAATTTGCATTGAGGGCGACATTAATGCACCAGGAGCACTTGTTGTCGACGATGTCTGTGCCAACTTTTCCAATCTGTTCGGGCGTACCAACGAAATTGAGGTAGTCGTCCTGGAGTTGGAAATATTCTCCAAGAGGGAGAAGGATTCTCGAGGCGAGCTTGTAAGGATCGGAGGGGTCCGAGGGGTCTGAGGAAATTCCACATATCAGCATGGCCATCGAAATGGGGAGGTAGAATGAGTAGAATGCTGTCTTATACGTTACGATGAGGCGATGTCTATGAAAGTTTTGTCAAGTTTGTGATTGAACTTGGGAACGAAGATGACGAAACGCGCCGGTCGAGTGAGAACTTGCTGAGATCAACCTTGTTTTGTGGTGCAGTAATGAGGTCCACAAGTTGACCCATTTCTGTCATGTGGGTCACCTTCATGAGGCAGAATAAGTATGATAGATGTTATTTCCTCGTTGGCCTGGAATGTAACAACCTCATACCTCATATATGAGATCTAAAAGCTCGGTGTAAAAGTCGTACCCCTGAAGTGCGCGTGAAGCATACGATAGATAATACCCTCCAAAAGCAGTGCATCCTTGATCGCAATAGTCCCGACGTCATCTCGACAATACCAGCACAGCTGGCCCCGTCGACTGATAGAACCATCCATAAAGTCATCGGAGACAAGGAAGACGGCTTGCAGCTTCATGATAATATGATGATTAGGGAGTGCAACAATAAAGTGAAGGGTCAAAAACGAACAAACCCAATGGACCAGCCGAGAACGGCAGCCTTCAGGTACTCATCATCTATCAACAAGCGACCCTTCAAAATTTTGACTATGTCAACAACGCTGTTTCTTCGGCTCAGCTTCCCGCCAGGGACGTTGCAGTCCAGAGCCTTGAGGGCAACAGATAAACACATAGATTGCGCAATATAGGGGAGCAGACTCACGCAGCGCTACCACTTCACGGCATCTGGCGGCATGCCATGTTCAGTGAAATGAGCGAGAAGCTCAGTACGTATTGTAACAAATGTCTTTTCGAAGCGAAAACGCATCGCCTCCTTTGTGTCTTCCGATTGCCCACTGGCATCAAGACTTCTATGTATGACAATCTCCATTTGTTAAGAGACAATCCTGGGATGAAGAGAAGAGAGGAAGACGAAGAACATCGAAAGACTCATGGAACGGCGACTATACACATGTTGAGGACAAAAAGATCAAAATACGAAGGCAAAGTGGTACAAAAGCTGATTCACGAACCTTGAATCAGTCTGACTGACTCCCACCGGTCCAGGCCCTGGTCATAATCAGGGTAGGCAAGTTCTGCAGGTGACTAGGCAAAGTCAAGTTAGCAGATAATGGAGTTAATGGAAACCTAAATTGCGTTTGTCCGAAAGCTTCAGTCAATCTTTATGCCAATTGAGGGAGTATCAGGGCTTTCTCGAGATATCCAGATGGACGCCAATCAATCAGTCACAACGAACGATACACTGTACCATGAGCCATAAGATGGGACTGTACCTGACGCCTAGAAGTGATGACAGAAGTGAGTATTGTTTTGTGTCCATTCCATGTACTTTGCGTCCTGGCGGCGATGTACTCCACTATCAATTGACTCGCTATGCGTGCTCTCCTATAGCTAGGCAAATGTAAAATATTGAAACTCGAGATTTGGAAGACGTTGAGAACGCCCGAGCATTGGCCAACGGATGCTTCCTACCCTGTAATTACGATATATTAGTAAAGCGCAACATGGCGGAAGGTACTCCACTCCCATCACTAGATCACCGACAGACATCCTAAATCAAAATATAGAGGTGACTTAGCGCCCTGCGACCTGTAAAAAAAGTCACCGTCCGTCCTCAAGTTCTGTGTTCATGCGGGTTAAATTTACAGCGAAAGATTATCAGTGAATTGACAGGGGCGTGGTCCAAGCATGGCCTCATGCTGCTAGGTTGCAAAGACGACCGACGCCCGCGGGCAGGGTTGTTGTGGTGCGGCGTCTGCAGGTCATGACACAATATAATTGATTCAGCGATCTGATGGTCTGTGAGACCAGAATGCAATCGTGAAAAAGAAAGACGTTAATTGGAGCCCATTCGAGCGGGACAGCATGTGTATATCTGGAAATCTGTGTTAGCATGTTGCTGCGCTCACAAGAAATTGGAGCAATCGAGTTACCGTTGACAGGAATCCCATTAGCCAAAGGGGCAATGGGCGGAGCAAAGGACATTAACAGGGATTACGACAATGGTATGACAAACGGAGCGAAGGAAGCGAAGGCGAATCGTAAGACTTAAAAGAGACGTAGACGTAACAAGATGTTGTGCTTGTCCTGGGCCTTGATACAATGTGACGATTGAATCCAATCCGATATATTCTGTAGATAGTCCAAGGAACCTTTGCTGCTGTAAGGTCGGCACGGGCAATGCACCCTATATTGACGCTTGATCAAGTGGCGCAAAATGATAATTACTTAGCCAGAAGACAACGCCTTGGAGATGACTAGTGGCGCCCGTTATCCATTCTTGAACTGGCAGCACAATGTTGACCAATACGAGGAGAGATTGTATTATGTTTGATAGTGAACCCAGAGAGTGAGCTGATCATGCATTGCAATATAGATCCATTCTGAACATCCGAATTATGAAGACAGTCTCGCTGACGTACCTGCGCTCATCGATATGTCTATCGCCCAATCAGATACTCATAGGCTCCAATACTGCTTCAATCAATGGAGGGCCATTTGTGAGGAACGCTGCATCTAACAGAGCGTGAAAATTTCGAGTACGAAATGGAAACCGGGGCGCGCAATATTTCCTATGGATGGCTCACTCCGGTCTTTGGAGGGGATATCCGTGACGTGAAGTGAACGCGATGCCTGCGGCCGGACGCCGAAAGGTCTACATGATGACGCTCCAGCGCTTCGCCATCATATGGAAAAGAAATCGTCTTGTACTTGGCTTTGCGATTCCCTAAGGGCCTGTGATATGGAAGTAATTTCAGTAAAAATCAAGAAGCGGTGCAGCATACATGTATTCAACCCCATGGGTTGCACCAAAAGCTATGATAGGCGACCATGATATCGACATGGCCATCATAATGCATCAGGATTGAAGAGTGCTGAGCGCACTTTGTTTGCACCAGCGCATACCACAATAATGCTGAGTACGAAAGGCTAGTCGAGCGGCTGGTTTCTGAACTCGAATTGTAGCCCGAGAGCACCCACCCTTGCAAAGGTATTAAGATGTCCGTATCCAGAGCCTGTCTTGAGTTACAGTTCTTCCAGCGGAGCGAATTCTGCCGGTCCGAACGTCATTACCACGTATGTTCATATGCCCACAGTCCGATAGCTTCGCAGCTTAGGGTCTGAATGCATTTCGTCGCAACCCCTTGTACAGGTTTGCACCAAGCCTCCCACGTTAGAGTCGGGTGCCGGTGCACTGTGCAGGGTCATTGACTAGTCCCGAGGCAAGCTCGAAGCCTGCAGCTCGAACAATGGATCATGTGCGAGTTCGAGTCATAAGCGGAACCGATGTCTGGCGCGCAAGATAGCTCAGCAACCAAAGTAGTATTCTACATATCATGCAACGTCTAGTTGTACAATAAGAAACTCAGAGTCTAGACAACAGAACTGGGCCATAAGCTTAGTAGCTGCCATAATTATTGACCGAGCAGCTCTTTCTCCTGTTCCAAGAGAGCAATGGCTTCTGGGAACCGGGGCGTGATCTTGCACTTGAATGGCATGGGACGACTGAGCGAGGGATCGATATCAGAGGGCTATTCGAAAAGGCAAGTGGAATATACGCACACAACGAGACCATCCTCGATACAGCCATCTATATCTAATGGAGTGGGCTTCCCTGTCTCGTCCACTGTTCTCTCTATGTTTAATGCCCAAAGCATAATCGCCATGTCAATGAATAGCGAATTATTCGCCACATGCCGGCCGACACACAGCCGCCTACCAAACCCGTAAGTGACATGGCTCTCTTCCTTTGTATCGGGAGGACCAGGTGCGACGTTGCCCTCCTCGTCCAAGTGTCGAGCAGGGTTAAAATGGGCTGCGTCAGCTCCGTAAATCTCCGGGTCACGATTAAGATGCCAGACATTGGCGATGACGATTGTGCCTGCGGGAATGAAATGACCTTCGTACCAGTCATCTTGCGAGGAACGATGGGGAAGGCCGACGGGGTCAATGGGACGCCAGCGCAGGGCCTCTTTGACCATGGCACGGATGTATGGGAGGTGCTCGAAGTCGGCGAAGGAGGGCAGGCGGTCTCGCCCGACGACGGCGTCTAGCTCTGCCTGGGCACGTTTCTGAGTCTCAGGGTAAGCTATCATGGCGAGCATCCACCAGCCCATGACTCCCGCAGTGGTTTCAGCGCCGGCGGCGCTAGAAATTTGATCTGTGATTACCTTGTCCCGAAGAATCGGACAATGGTAAAGGGACATACTACATCGTCGCCGCCAGCCAGGCGTTCTCGCGAATGCTGAGATTATGCCTTGTTTGCTCCTTGATCAGTGTTGCGGAGAGACTCGGCCGGTCATCGCCCTTTTGCTTCATAAAACACAGAGAAGTTAGGCCCGGGCTGAGTGACATGCAGTTGGAGCGTGCGTTACGAACCACACGGGCGTGGACAGATTCGAAGAGACTCTCGAACAGCACCGAGTCACGCGCAAACCACTCTTCGGCTTCACGCTTCCACTTGGCGAACCTGAAAGATACCAAGTTAAATGCGATAGTTGGAGGCTTGTAGATGAACTGGTTCTGTCGTACCTGTTTGGAATGTACATCATCCACGGCAGAAATTCGACGAAGTGAGCGCCAGGGTAGGCGGCGCGAGTGAGGCGTGCAACCATATCGTTGATACGAGTCACATAAGGATCGTCTTCTGCCTTGATGGTCGGCATGTCGTAGAGGACAGACATGATCATGGAGGCGGCCGCCCTGCGTAGGTGGCTGTCCCAGCGGTCCGGCTCTGAGAGGACGCCATGCGTGAGAATCAAGGCCTCAGTGGCCTGGTTATTATGGAAATTGTGGGCTAAGCCTTTGTGTAGGCCTTCATGTGCGGCTTTGCGCATGCGACGCCAGCTGGTCTAAAACATTGAAAGTTGTTCTGGTGATGTGCAGGAGATGTGGGCTTACACATCATTGTGGCTCTGGAAGACGACAAAGAGGCCTCCCGTAAGGATGTCGCCTGCTACGATGTTGCGAGGTCTGTCCGAATAAATACCTGCGCGGCGATCAAGAAGGTCTGCGGCTGCCTTCTGAGAATTAAGGACAACAATTGTCTGGCCCAGTGCGCTCAGAGAGAAAACATCCCCTGAAATAGCATGTCAGCGAATATGCGCAATCAAAGCAAGCTGAGAGCTTTACCATATGCCTTCCCCCACTCTGTGAAGGCAAGCCATTGCTTACTAGTAAGATGATGCGCATTACCGATCAAAGGATAGCCCTTTGGGCCCGGTGGTAGCTGCCTCCATGGACTCCTGATGTAACGAACCGTACAGAAGACAGATAGAGCTACGAGGAGAGCCACGGAGAAAGACTTGTTATCCGAGAGCCCTTGCAAGACGAAGGACGCAGAGTCTGTGAGCGTCGCGGGGAATGTCGCCATGATAATGAAGGGGATGCCTACTTGCAACGAGGCGTACCATGGTGGATATTTATGAGCATTGGGAAATTGTCCCAGGGTGCATTACACAAATCCTGTCTACGCTGGACCGTCGATCGGATGGAAGGCGTCCGCAGAGTGCCGTGCACACCACCATTTGCGGTTGAGGTGAGTCAACATCCAGTAGCGGCGGGGTATTGATAGCTCCGTTGAGCGAGGCGTTTACGGTGATATGCTCGTGTAGAAAGGTTTGTTTGATGGGCGGCCCATTGAACTCCATTCAGCCCTCCGACGATGAAGAATTGTGACTGACTCGTCGAACCTGGAGTTGCAGTCGCAGAGAGTCGCAGTGGCATTGCTGACTCACCAGATGAGATGGATCTAAGTCGAACCGAACCGAACCGAACCGAGCTGAAGAGTATCAGATCATCGAATAATCCGCGTCATAACTGGCATCAACGGCATATAGATTTTTGCGGGAAACTACTCGCTTTCGGGAATTTTTGCCTTGGCTTCAGCTTCAACTCGGTTCCTTTCGACATGCTTCACTACTTAACCTACAAGACATGGAATGGAAGGCAATGAAATCATCGAGCTTTTCTCCGAATAAGACTGTAAGTAATGATACTAACCATGTCATCCCGAACAGCATAACTCGTCTCATTCCCTTTTCGCCTGCAGACCACCAACCGAATCTCGGTTTCTGAGACGTGCCAAACAGCCAGGACATCGTTCACAATAATCTCGTAGACTTAAGATGGCTGTCTTCCCTGCCATATTTTTTGCGGCTCATCTGCAGCATCTCTCGAAGTCTTGGACGCCAAGTCTAAGATTCCTGCGTGTCTACCATGCTCAGAAACCTCTTTACGATGCACGTACTCGCATATATACTTTTGGCCTTATCTGCAGTGACAGCCGCCCCCACGTCGACGACCAGTACATCCGGAGCTCCATATTCGACCCCGGTGCTCACTCCTGCATCATTCGCATTGCAGAGCTTTGACGTCATCATAGTCGGAGGAGGAACTGCAGGCCTTGTCCTGGCCTCTCGTCTCTCAGAGGTCCGAGAAAATCCGCTCTCAATACCACTACGCATAGGTGTTATAGAGGCTGGTCAAGACTGCGCGCACGACTCCCTCATCGATATCCCAAACGCAGGAAACCTACTTGGAAATGCTGATGTTGGAACACTCCTCGGCAACCCTACCTATGACTGGATGCTGCAGAGCGTACCTCAGGCTGGGTTAGGCGGCGAGATCATTCAATACCCTCGGTAGGATAATTCCGGTTTTCTGTAACATCTCTTTGCTGACGAGGGGGAGAAGAGGCAAAGTATTAGGTGGCTCATCTGCGATCAACTCGATGGTTTGGCAACGCGGCTCTCGTGCGGAATACGACGCATGGGGTACTGCGTTTGGCAACGGACCACATTGGACTTTCGACAACCTCACTCCGTACTTCGAGCGCGTTGAGCAATGGACCGCACCTACGGATGGCTCATCCGCGCTGCTGAGGGAAACCTCTGTCGAAATAGACTCATTGGCCGCTTCGCATGGTCACTCCGGACCTCTCGCTGTCAGTTATAACAACTATCTCACTGATCTTGACCGACCACTTGTGCAAGCTGCTGCACAACTAGGTCTCACTCCAAACCCTAATCCGGATGCTGGCAACAGCACAGGGTTCCCGACGTCAGGCGTCGCACGGTCTGTCGATCCGGTGACAGGGAAGAGAACCTATGCTGCCAGCGCGTACTATGCTGCTAAGGAGCGGAGTCGGCCTAACTTGGTTGTCCTGACGGGGGCAATTGTGACCAACATACTGTGGGAGGAAGCAGAATTGGGACGAGAACCAAGGGCCAAAGGCGTTGCATACGTTGTAGGAAATAAGACGTACGAGGCTCGGGCCAAAAAAGAAGTGATCTTATCCGCAGGTAAGTGCTCGCCAATCTAAGACCGTCAAGTTGACCTTGACTGTACACTTTGCAGGATCTCTCAAGACTCCACAGATCCTGGAGCTGTCTGGAGTTGGGAACAAGACCCTGCTCCATGGCCTTGGGATACATGTCACGCTTGATCTGCCTCAGATTGGTGAGAATCTGAACGACCACCCGGTCACGTTATCGGACTTTAAAGTCAAGGAGGGGGTTATAACGCTAGGTATGCACAGAGCTTTCTCGAGGTACACTATGATATCCATGGACAAATAGACCAGCTCGGCTTCAATAAGACTTACGCCTCAGACCAACAACGAAGCTAGTACGTGAATCATTTGAATTGTCTCGACGTACTGATCCCTGAATTGTCGTCCTCAGCAATGCGACTGGCACAGGCGCGTTCTCATATACCTCCGCTGACCTTGGCCCGATCCCACTTCGCTCAATCACCACTCCTACTCAATATGAAACCATGCGCAAGGAGCTCGACTTATCACTGAAGTCTATGCACCTGACCCCACTGCAGCGTTCGCAATATCAAGTACTCAAGAAATTTGTGGATGGAGGGCAAGCAGGTTGGGTCGAATTAGTCCTTGTACCGAGCGGCGGTGTGGTTAGTACGCCTGAGAACAATACAGGCTATCTGACTGCAGTGGCTATTCAACTGGTAAGTGGTTTGTTGAGGGTTTGCCATGATTTTTTGTGCTAAATACTGTTTATAGCATCCATTCGGACGTGGCTCTGTGGTGAGCCTTTCTTGAATTTCATGTGATGTAATTCTTTTGATTGACGTTTACACTTCATAGCACATCAACAGCACAGATCCATTTGCTTCACCCGTGATTGATCCGAAGTTTTTGCAGCTTCCATGGGGTATGTCTGGGTCCATGATCTATTTAGGATGCTCACGCGGTGTTTCATGTCTCACGAACGATGCAGATGTCGATGTCCTTCTTCGTGGAACACAATTTGTTCGAAAATGGGTTGGAACGAACCCCATCGCTGATCTTGTTGATGAGCTGGTGACGCCGCCTGCCAGCGTAGAGACGGATGAGCAATGGACGAAATATATGAAAACGGTTGTCAGAGTGTGTTACTTCATGAGTGGTATCTGCGAACTAGACGCTCATTCTTCTTTCGATAAAAACTAGACAACTAACCATCCCTTGGGTACAACAGCAATGGCAGCGAAACATCTAGGAGGTACGATACGATCTTTGGAAGACCGACCGCAAATCAAACTTCCCTTCTCATAGGCGTTGTCAATTCCCGATTGAAGGTCTACGGCCTAGCAAATGTCCGAGTCGTCGATGCCGGAATCATTCCTCTTACCATCGGTGTTGCTATTCAGCCCACTGTGTATGCAATTGCCGAGAAGGTACATTGAAGTTTCATCAGTCTGTACAGCTGTGCTGATAAACATATCACAGGCCGCAGACCTATTCAAGGAGGATTGGGGGTTGATATAGACTCAATACACATACTCAGCTTTTGAATTCGCTACGTTCTCGAATTAATTTTATCCGCGAACAACGATAGATTGCAGTCAAGGAAACCTCGACGTTTAGAGTTAACAGAATATACAAGACGATTCTACTGACTTCCTACAAAAAACTACTTACGGCTAATGACTACACGGTGGATTTAGAATTTATGGGATGCTCGCGATGTGACAACGACTCGACTCCTCAATCATACCGTTGCTGGATCAAAGCGAGAGCGGCCTGCGATCTTGGCTTGATCACGCATTCGAACGGCGCAGGATGACTGTTTGGAAACACGTTGAGTCTCTGGTTGTTGTTTCTTTTCAATGGGATCCGACGCACCTGATAGTTCCAGGTGCCAATTCGACCGCAGGTGTGATTGGATTTCCGTGGTCGTCAACGGCTTTGGAAATGTCGTAGACGCTGAGCACAGAAGCGATGGCAATCCACACGGTGTCGAGTGCCATGTCCTTGCCCGCACAAGACCTGAGAGCGAAAAGAACTCAGGTAAAGAGATGCAATTCATCGAAGGGCCAGGATGAAACGAACCGTCTCCCGTAACCGAAGGCGCCGATCTCGATTGGGTCGGGAACCTCTGGATGGTCGATGTACCTTTCAGGCTTAAACGCTTCGGGGTCAGGATACTGCTCCTCGTTGTGCAGTATCGCCCTAAGCTCCGTTAGGAAGGCGCTTCGAATTTGAAAGAAAGTGCATTACCATGAGTTGCCCAAGATCGTTGCGCCTGCAGGAATATGGTAGCCTTTATACTGATCCGCGTTTGTAGCACGATGGGGAACAGCTGCGATCCAAATGAGCTTCAGACGCTAGTCGTTTATTAGTGAAACCTTGAACACATGACTCACCCAGAGGGAACACAGGTATCCAACGAAGGACCTCCTGTATGACCGCATGGACATAAGGTAATTGATCCTTGTCGACGAATGTGGGGAGGCGCTCGCTCCCTATGACAGCGTCAATCTCTGCCTGCGCGCGCTTCTGTGCCTCGGGGTAGAGCGTCATAGCCAGAAAGAAGGTTGTGAGCGTGGCTACGTTCTGTAAATATAGCCGGTTAGCGCGCTTAGATTGGATCCTCTAGGAAGAGACTGACAGAGTCTTGTCCGGCGGCATATACGACTGCTGCCGTGATCTTGATGAGTTCTTCACTAAGCGCGTCATCGCCGGTCGTGTTGTGCTGCTCCTCCAGACCGGATGTAACGAAGCACGGCTCGGCGTTGCCTTTATTCTACAAGCGTAATCAGCAGGGGCCATAGAGTTGAGGGAATGATAAGATACATACCACTTTCTCCTTAACCATTTCGTATGGCTCGTTGATCATCGCCTCAGAAAGCTTTCGCCACTCGCGCGCCTTTTTCTTGAAGCTGGCGCCGGGGAACCATTCAGGGATGTGTTTGACTAAAATATTATCATCAGTGAATGTCATGTTGTTCATTAGCAGAAGAAATCTCACGCGAGGGGAACAAGTCTACAAGGAAAGCACCAGGAGCAGCAGCTATTGAAGTGCTCAAGGATGCCTCCTCATTGAGACGGACGTAGTGATCGTCGCCGTCAACAACATCATGACCGTATCTGTCGACCAGGATCACCTGAGTCAATGATTATCCCTTGGTATATCTCATTGAGCGACTTACACTCTCTTCATGATGATGGAAGCCGTATAGCTAAGGTGTGGATCAGACACCCGCGCTAGAGGCGTTCGTGCTAGTTGAACTTACTGCTTGAGATGATCAAGGTACTTTGAAGGGTTGCGCAGGAGATTTCTGAGAAGTTCATGAGAGATGTTCGTCTGGATGTGCTGGTGTTCCAGGATCATATCATCGAAGTTGCTGTGAAACACACGACGCGCCTCCTTCCACCGGTTACCGTAGCGCATAAGAGCAAATGTCCAGTCCCAACCCATCCTAGATAATCGTCAGACGTAGCAGATTATGGGAGTTAGATATGGCATACAAGTCAATAAGCATAGGCATGTCGGGCCTATCGGAGTAGTTTGCACCCCTCGTAACAAAAATATCAGCAATCGCCTCTGATGAGTTCAATACGATGGTGGTATTCCCAAGGACGTCCAGTGAGATCACATCATCACCTGCGATGGTAGCAATTAGCTGCAGTTGTCAACGATCAGGGGCGTGCACAGTACCAAACTCTCGAGCCCAGTCGCGGGCCTTGACATAGACTTTTTCGTTAGCAAGGTCGAGCAAATTGCCTATCACAGGGAGACCCTTGGGACCCGGTGGGAGGGGTAGCCTTGGTCGATTAAACATTTGTTTTAGCCATACGACGCAGAGAATGGCGAAGGCGACGATGAGGGTCCACAGAATCAGCCCCATAATGAGGGCGATGATCAAGTTCAGACGAAAGACTATGTTGACCAAAGTACGCCGCTCTTTTTATCTGAGATACGAAACACAACGGCACCTGTTACACATCCCACGAAAGCACATAGCGCTCTTAGGAAAGTTGCCAGGTCATCGCATACCCATTCGGCATCGATTCACAGGCTTAGCCAACAGTCAGGCATGGTCGAGACAATATTGTGTAGCGGCGTTAGGAGTCAAGTTGACGAAGTCTAGAGTAAACGGAGATCTTCATTTTTACATGGCTCCAGTTGAGCGCCAGGAAGTTCGATGATCCATGTGGTGCTGACTACGGATATCGTTAGTGCTTCTGCGATCTATGAGGTACGGCAATGTTGGGCTGCGCCTCAAAACGCGGCGGGCCGGTTGGAGCTAATGAGGTGATCTAATCTGAAGCAAGTTTGTATGGGACGTGAACGCGAACGCGTGCTCGATGCGAACAAAGGCCGGTCACTGTGAGCCGCTGGCTGCTGCGAGTCATGACGAGTAGATCAGCGGATAAGGAAAAGCTCACGCACGATGAGGCGACCCGCGTCTAACGTTCACCTGGAACGATTTGTTTCTTTCTGTGCCTCTTTTGCGTCGCGTCTCGGGCAGAACCTCGATGTTTCGTAGACATACTGTGTGCGAGGAAGACTGTCGGTGTTAGGGGATAGAGAGCGTTGAAAATAATCCAGGGGAGTTCATGGATCGGCGCCTGAATGGGGCAGGCCACCCTCCCGGACCGGATCAAAACGCGCATCCGATCGTGACGCATCGGTGCCCGATCCGAGAGAGGTCTCCGTCGCTCTCTTCAGCTACAGTCTTTCTCTACGTGTCTTCTTCATGCCCCGTCTACGACGGATAGCGGGGGCTTTGAGTGTTCCAGTATTTGCATTAATTCTTGACGTGGCGCCGGGGAAATGGGGAACGGCACTGGAACGGCTCCGTCCTGGCCGTGTGATCCAAGCTATGTACTCGTGACAGACGAATGAGCAAGACCCTTGATAAATCCATGTCAGATTCAACAATGAGAGTATCCCTGTCGCTTCCCCGGACCACATTTATCCCACTCAATCTTCGCACGAAGTTCTGTCATGCCTCTCGGGGTACCTCGTCCTCTGTTTTTCGCTGCGTTGAGCGGTCTGGTCTTTGCCATCTCCAAGGGAGCGATCCACAATCCGCTGCAAGCCTTCTTCAATGCTCCCATCACTGACATCGTCAACGAAGACCTTCGGATCGTCAATTCTACTTGCGAGGTTCTCACGAGGGCCGTGTCAGCTGCGTCCGACGTGTACTTCCCTGGTCCGTTTGTTTCTCCCGTACAGGGTGTTGTTGAAATATCTAAACTTCTGCTATAGGTACTGTCGGGTATGATATTGGAGTCAGACACTGGGTTGAGTCGAGCACACAACCTAGTACGTGCACTGTTGAACCGGGGAGCGTTGAAGATATTGGAATCATCGTGAGTCGTGATCTCGATTCTGAATTTGGGCTTTACAAATTTAGCCCTATAGCTTCAAATCCTGGGTTGGACACAGACACCGTTTGCCGTAAGCACCTTTTCAAGCTCTGTCAGTCGAGGATATTGAGAAAATCACGCAATTCTAGATCAAGGGCGGAGGACACTCCTATAACCCTGACTTTTCCTCTACGACTGGCGTTCAAATAGCCATGTCTCGTTTTAACCATCTTTCTTATGATACTGAGGCTCAAACGGCAGATATTGGAGCCGGCCTTCGATGGGACGCAGTGTACGAGTTCCTTAATCCCAAGGGCATCACGGTTCTCGGTGGTAGGACTTCCGGTGTAGGTGTGGCAGGTTTTATTTTGGGTGGAGGTATAATATCCTTTTTTGCCTCTTATCAGGCTGTCATATTGACATGTTGTCCAGGGTTATCTTGGAAGACAAATCAATATGGATGGACTCTGGATACCGTCGTCGCATACGATCTCGTCCTCCCGAACGGGACGTTTGTAACCGCGACAGCCGACCACAATACGGATCTCTTCTTTGGACTCAGGGCGAGTATCCCCATTAGTCACGATCTTGAGCGCTCATCAACTCTTTCTTGATTAGGGCGGACTCAATAACTTCGTAAGCTTCATTGTGACGGTGTCATACCCGTCCTCCGGATTTTGATACATGCTATAGGGTATTGTTACCAAGTTTACATTGAAAACCTACCCTCAGACAGACGTCTGGGTACGTTAAACGCTGTTCACACTGATCATCCGCTATAGTAACTGACTCTTGACTAGGGTGGCGTCGTGATTGTCCCTGAATCAGAACTTGATTCTGCGTATCGTGCGATCGCTAATTACGCTGCCAACAACACGGACCCGAAAGCCGTCATGAATGTCTTATTCGAATACTCTGCTGGCGCTGTAAGTGATCTATCAGGAAAGGCACATCGTCGCGATACCGAACTGAGGATGTACGGACAGCTGGTTGCCTATACCATCATATTCTACGACGCGCCTACGCCTCCCGACGGCATCTTTGACGAGCTTTTGTCTATTCCTAATTGCCAAACTAGCATCGCCACCATGCCGTTCCTTTCCATTTTGAAAGCGGGGACGCCCGTTGTAGATACTAGGCGGTATGTGGCATCCTATATGAACTCAAATCATTCTGAAATATATCGGTGTAATGTTAGGTTGCAGAACGAGGCGCCGATGGAGAAATACACGGCTGAAATGCTCAAGTCAATTGCCAACGAAACCTTGGTGAGCTTTTCTCGTTACATAATATTCTTCCCACGACCTCGGCATCCTCCTGACCAGACACATATTTGATCTAGTTCTGGGGTAAAGCCGTCGCGCCATTTTCCGGCTCGCTTATCCAGCACATCGTCGAGATCTTCCTGCCCTCGTACTACTCACACGGAACCGAATCCGCCTTCCCACCGGACCGCGAGCACGTTGTCATGCCGATTAACCTCGTTGTTGCGTGGAGCGATCCCTCCGCGGACGAAAAAATGTATCAGGCGATGGTGCAGAGTGCAGCGTACCTTCGAGTCAAGGCGATCGAGGAGGGTCAGGATGTCGCGAACGTGGCGCTGTATCCGAACGTCGCGGTATATGGCACCCCGCTCGAGGATATGTATGGAAACAACCTGGAGAGGTTGAGAAAGATTCGAGCGGTCTATGACCCTACTAGGGTCATGGATCTGGCGGGAGGATGGAAGTTCTGATGCTGCTGGATACCCGGAACGCCAGAGATTTGTTACGAAGGAAGTTGTTTCTCTCGAACATCTTGTAATATTCAAGAAGATCCCACAGGCTAAGCATAGTAGGAGCCGTAATTGCGCTTGTCAGTATCCATGAATTTTGGAATACAGTTGCTGCATGTCCTAGGAGATATTGCCTACAGCCGCGAGAAGAAAACTGTAACTCGCTGGTGGTTCTTTCCGGCTTAAAAGAATGCCCAATGTAGACAGAAGTTTGAAGTGACGTCATCAAAATGCAACAGACCCACAAATTAAAACACCCTGGATTGTGACGCCGTACGTCTTATCTTGAGATCGAGACTCGGTGAGTACCTCATGGGAGAGAAGGACGGCATCAGGAGGTAGAAGTAGACTGTGCGTAGGTCTTCAAACTTCGTGGCGGGTTTCCGCGTGCTGTGCCAGCAATTTGGGTCTTCATTGAGATAGGATGGGAGTTATGGTAAGCCTCGACTGAGACATCACCATAATAGGCGTAACAGGTGAATGCTACAAGAACGCTACCCGTGAAGATTTATAAGCCACGATGTTGTGCGGACTGTCTGAGTAGATCCCAGCATGACGGTTAAGAAGATCGGCTACAACATTCTCTCCTTTTTCCGGGGGTTGTCCGACAGCGTCGAGATACATAATCTCGCCTTCCATGCTTATCGGGAGCTAGCTTGGAAACAGACTGACCGTATGTCTTTCCCTTTCAACGAATGAAGGCCACTGCCGGTCACTCAGCTGGAGAAGGTTGCCAGTCGGAGGTAGACTGCCCAATTTTGGAGGCATAACGGAGACAACCCGATGAGAAGAGCAGTGGAAAATAGTCCATAGGAGACAAATCACAGTGCCCAGGAGATAGCTATTCCACTGAAATTAATCCCGTGAGCAAAGCCGGTATCTGTGAATGATTGATGAGCACCCGCGACCAAGGACAAGGATGATACTGTTTGCCTTACGAAGTTCTCTTCGTCCAATACATGTCTGGGCTCACAAGGTACACCAAATTTGGTGGGCGCTCCTGCGTTCGACCAACACCCGTGTATCTATGACAAATATCAGTGATCGTCGGGACGGAACGCACCAGGGCTCTTATGGAAAGTGGGGTCAGCGCGAGAAGGCCTCAGTATGCAGATTTGATCCCGCAAGATCTCGCAGTCACAAGCCCACAACGCTGGCTATCATATCATGCATCACAGATTTTGGAAAATGACGGGATGGCCTATGATGGCCTGCATATGAAGCCTCGGCCGGGTGGATCAAACTTGTTAGTCGCAAGGGACAAGCGTTCCTCGCAATTAGCTCTGCAGGTCGAGGAATTTGATACTTCGGATACAGAGTGGAGACTTACGGTGGTAGGTGTTAACGAAAGAAGCTGCAGTTAACTCGTTTCAGATCTCTGTGCGATGCACGTACGAATGCAATACCTTAGCTCTGTCCATACTTGAGTCTCAGGAAGATTTCAGCCGAAACAGACAATCTGTCCAGAGTCCATCGAGAGCCTATCTTGTTCCTGCTGCCATGACGGGAAGGCGGGAGGGTCCGTCAACTACCGTGATTGGCTGAACTTTATCGCCGGCGGTAAATTTCGGCGCTCTACATATAAATGGGGTATGAATAAGCGCTTAACCGGCGGTTGGCAGCTGGAAGGTAAGACGTACACTGCCCGTCGACTAAGATATCCTCATAGTACTAGTCAGCCAGGAAGTGACTCATTGAGCCCTCTTTAGTGTCCCTGAACGGGCCATGATTGTCGGGAAGTAAACCTCCCTTATCGACCGGGGAGGCGCGTCCGTTGCTTGTACACCTCACGTACATGTCTAACGAGGAGAGACATCAAGATCACGAGGACTGACGCTGGTCTTTTTCACTTGTGCAAAAAACAAGAATCTCGGTCAGCAAACGGTTTGCAATATATACCGGCAGTTCAACAGGAGTTTCGACACACCTAGCCTCATACATCCATCTGTCGATATGTCTCGCAAAATTTACATTCCCGACACCCTTGCCAACTGGAAGTGGCCCCGCCACCTGAATCCACATTATCCTGAAGTCAAGAAAGAGTCGGCGGCATGGCTAGCGAGCTTCGGCGCATTTAGTCCCAAAGCTCAATATGCTTTCGATCGCTGCGATTTCAGTCAGTGACTATTCACACCATCGAGACTTATCGGTCTAACCTCCCACGATGCAGACCTTCTAGCATCATTTGCATACCCGCTCGCAACAAAGGGTATGCCTCAAGTATATCAAGGCTGACGATATGACTGACACTCTCCAGAGCACCTACGTACCGGATGTGATCTCATGAACCTCTTCTTCGTCATCGACGAGTATTCCGACGTCGCAGGCGTCGACGAGGTCCAGAACCAGGCCGACATCGTCATGGATGCCCTGCGAAACCCACACAAGCCTCGCCCAAAGGGTGAATGGATCGGCGGCGAGGTCACTCGGCAGTGAGTGTCTCTTGTAAACCGTGGGTTATATAGCCAACACTGAGAACTGTACATCGAACAGATATTGGGAACTCGCCATCAAAACAGCCAGTCCACAGTCTCAGAAGCGATTCGTAGAGACATTCGACACCTACATGCAGTCGGTGGTCCAGCAAGCGGCAGACCGAACCCACGCATATATTCGCGACATCGATAGTTACTTGGAGGTTCGACGAGACACCATCGGCGCAAAGCCATCGTTCGCCCTCCTCGAGCTTGGCATGGACCTCCCAGACGAGGTGATCAACCACCCTGTGATTCAAGACTTGTCGATTTGGGTCATCGATATGCTGTGCCTTGGAAACGTAAGGATTCCCTCAAATGCATTTCGATTGTCCAAGCGATGACGACCGCGTTGCATCAGGATATCGTGTCGTACAACCTGGAGCAAGCGAGAGGAGACGATAGCCACAATATCGTGAGGATTGCCATGAACCAGCTGAAGACGGATGTTGCGGGAGCAATGAGATGGGTGGATGAGTACCACAAGGAGCTGGAGCGGAAGTTCAACGAGAACTTTGAGAAGGTGCCGAAGTGGGGAGAGCCGATCGACTCGCAGGTAGCGCGGTATGTAGACGGGCTTGGGAATTGGGTGCGGGCGAACGATCAGTGGAGTTTCGAGAGCGAGAGGTATTTCGGAAAGAGAGGGCCGGAGATCCTGAAGTCGCGGTGGGTGACACTGATGCCCCAGGAGCGCACTGAAGACTTGGGCCCACAGATCGTTGATGGTTCAGTTTTGTAAATTCTATGGATGGGCTGACTGTAACCTAAAGATGATGAGTAACGATGAGTCTTACTACCAAGAAAGCGACTTGTCCATAATTACTTGCTTATTACGAGCAAGAGACCTATCATATATAATCCATGGAGATGCTCGTATCAACGTGAGACGCCTTGGAAGGTTTTGGGCGATGAAGCTGAGGAGCTGTGGACAGCGAACAAGTCGGCCGACAAGTGCTTAGTGGACCACAAACGATAGGCTCAATCTGGTTCGGAGAAGCCCGTCCCGTTCCGGCCCGGCCAGCTGAGTAATCAATGCAGATGCTGGCATCCACCAAGACGGTAAGACCACCGTATTTTTTCTTCTCATCATTGTACCAGAATATTATGTGACTTCCATACGAGACCTATACAGTCGACAACCAGTATCTTCCACGCTCAGTCAGAGGTCTCTCCTTCCAGCCACTCCCAAAGGCGCACACCAATCTCGGGATCTCTGGTCTCAGGTCGACACTCTCCAAGTCTGGCCCACGGAATCAAAAACTGAAAGAACACATCCAGATCTCGTTTATTTCGTGGTATGGAGAAAGGTGTGCCATGACTTACTTTCCCGTTGTAGTCAACAGTCTCATCTGATGTCCCAGCCCAAAGTTGCGTCAGTGCGCCGTAGGATACAGGGTAAAGCAAGGGCCGCTGTAGATTCAAGAAATATGAGCGTTTGTGATGCAGAAGATATAGTAATGTGGAAATATGTGGGACGCCGTCTCAATTCAGGACTGACCGATACATCTCTACTTACCGTCAGGAATCGCACAATAGGACTTGTGTGTCTCAGAAGTTCAGTGTCGAGATTGCCTGGGTTACAGGACGTAGCGATGATCCCCAAGTGACCGTAACGCCGCGCCAGCTCTCGAGCGAAAATGACAACGGCCTAGTCAAGGGGATTTTGATTGTCGTAAAACAGGATCTCCCACTAAGAATTGTTGCGCTCACGTGTTTACTCTGATAATACAGTGACTCAATACTCAGCTTGTCGCGATCAGGTCCAGGACGGAATGTGTTCCAGTGAATGACATCAAAGTATGCGCCCATGGATGACGTGGTGACAACGCGAGCCTTGCCATCGTAGGAGGACCGAATGCCAGCAATCAAAGCTGGCATGAGAAGCTTCGTGAGCAGGAATGGCGCAACCATATTGACTCCCCATTGGAGATCGTAGTCGTCTTTGGTGAGTTGGTCTTTTGGTGGCCACATCACCCCGCTGGAGCAATTGACTACATCAGGACGGCGAGACATTCGATTTGAGACGGAAGTCCTCACCCGTTATTGAAGAGCACATGCAATTCTTTCTCCTTGCTCAAGAATTCTTTGGCCGCCCTTCTAATACTGGCCTTTTCCGCTAAGTCCAATTCCAAAAAAATCGCTCTCTTGCCAGTGTCAGTCTCGAGCTCGTCGATAGCTGCTTCTGCTCGGTCCTGTGAGCGAGCTGCAAGGTAAACGGTTGCGTTGTGCGCCAAAAGCGCGCGGACCGTTTCCTTCCCAATCCCTGTATTTCCCCCGGTCACAATCATCACGCGCGAGGTGAGATCAGGAATATCATCCACGGAGAAACGAGACGTAGGAGGGAACCACTGAGAGTAGAGACTAAGTTGTTGACCCATTGTTGAAAATATGGTGGCGAGCAGGTATAGAGATGACGATAGTTCTGGCGTCTATCCGGCCAACTGACTGCGATTTATGTAGCTGAGAAGACGTCACGATGTCCGGCTCGCAACCGCGTCCGCTGAAAACACAGTTTCTGCTGAAGGCGATAAAAGTGAAATCTAGCCTTCGCAATACCACCTAGATTCCTCCAACATGATCGGATCCGAATTGTCAGGATTGCAGGAGGTCAAAGTCTTCGGTCACGGAGATCTTTGATCGCAGTATACATTGGCTTAAGGCCGACGGCGCTTGAGAGCGTAATCGAGAACTGAAGGAGCTATGCAGCGAAGGCGTTATGGAAGGAAGCCCCCGAATAATGGCCGACCCAAATCACAATACCTCCGTAAACTTCGAGAGGGTATGTGCCTCAAATTTCTTCGCAGTCCCAAACAGTATCAAAGAGTGGTTGTTGATGATGAAATGGCTACAGACCGATGAAGTCGGGAGGTAATGACAGACTGCGTCAGGTTGCGCGCTTAGGCAAATGACCTGCTTCAAAATAGGATGCGGCGCGGACTTGTGGTGTATACTAGTATGCATCGGTCAGGGCGTCCGAGCTTCGAAAAGAACTGATCCTGAGCTGCGATCTGTGGGAGCACGCGTACAGAGAATTAGAAACCACGTTTATACGGCACCTCTGAACCGGGCTCTGCAGTGGCATGTAAATTTCCAGTTGAGAATTCCTCAACTTAGAAACCTTCAAGGCAAATCCGAGGTTACCCATTCTCTGCCTAGTGATACCTGTGCAAAATTAGGAAGCGAAAGTCATTACTCGTACAGGAACGGTATAATCCCAAACGTATCAATTTGCTTTCACATGGGTGCGTAGCCTCTGCTCTCATCGAGTCGCTCCAAGTTGTATCGATCTGGGTTATTACTAGGGAAAATCGAGGCATTGTACAAAAAAAAGTAAATTAAGTGTATTCATTGATGTATTCGCTTGGCAGATGTACTGTACTATTATAGGAAATTTTACAAATGATTGCGGACCTGGCATTGCTCTCCAATATCAGAGGATGCCTAGATCCTGCTTGATTATATCTGCGCCCTATGCATGTCGTGGAATATAGGGTTTTTTGGAGGTTATTGAAAATTTGTGTGAGAACGCACCTTCTCTGCAATCATGTAAACGGTTTGCTGAATAGCAGTACCAACGGTCAACGGAATAATCCCTGCATCAATCACGCGCACATTTGCCAGACCATAGACTCTGAGACTAGGGTCCACGACGCCTAGAGTACGTAGTCAGTGTTTGTTCGTGTCATATGTCAGAAGAACATGAGGCTGACCTCCGAGATTTTGAGAAGCCATGGCAGTAGTGCCTATTCGCGTGCAAAGTTGGTCAATATATTGTCAAATGTAGTTTTGGGAGTTGATGACAACCTATCGGGTGGTTCGTAGACTTGGAGATTGCATAAGTACACATAATCTATGTAATTGGTAAAGATGATGCTCACGCTGGTTGTACTTTTCACGTATTGCGCATATTGAGCATCGCCTTGGACGCTTGGAGGTGGTGTGTTTGTTGCGTTAATCAGGCCAATCGCCGGCTTTGCACCAACCCATTTGCGTAGAAATTGTGTAGTCTGGGTGAGAACGTCAAGATCTGCTCAAAGTTCATTAGCTATATTTACCAAACAATTGAGCTCTTTTACTTACCCCAAGGTACCGCAAGATATTTTGGGTCTATTACGGGGGCTGCAAAGGGATTCGTCGTGTTGATATGCTAGTTGCGCGTTGTGACATCAGATCAACAAGCAACGTGCAGCTCCACAGTCCACCTACCACGGAGCCTCGACTGAACGGATACTGCGATGCCATCAATACTCACATTGAATTTCAGCTCGAATGATTACTTACCAGTTGTATTGCCACAGTCGTGATGTACGCCTCTCCGGGTAACTGGGCACTGGCAAGCCCTCCGCTTGGCTGGAGGCTGAGGCCAATCCACGTATCCTTTCCGCTGTCGACCAAACGTTTCATGAGCGTGTATTGTGCCCGTTGCAATGGCGTGAGGACAGTGTTGCGCAAGTAAGTATCGAGCGCATTTCGCATAGACTTGAATTGTTTTTGTGGTACTAGTGATTGAAGCGGGGCGAAACCGGCGTTGGCAGCCACGTATGTGAAAAAGCCAGTGTGGTTGTTATTGCTGAAAACGGGGTGAATAGCAGTTGAAAATGGTGCCTGACGATTTGACTTACTATTGTTGCTGCTGCTGCGCTCGAAATGTTTGGTTTAACGTAAGCGTGTCTGTCAACATATGCCACATCAAAAGCGCGCAGTAGATCGATGGTATACACGACCATACCCAGTGTCACAACGCCCTTTTTGACGGTGAAATCGGAGAGTGTGTTTGGATGGTCCATCAAATTTTCTCCGATTGTCGGAAGATCGAGAGTGACAGGAATTCCCAAGCTCTCCAAGATAGTCTGGTTCCCTACACCCGACAACTCCAGTAATTGCGGCGTCTTGAGCGATCCTACGTTGGCGCATAAGAGTCATGAATCGTTCAATAGATGGGGACCTACCGAGTGAAAGGATCACTTCCTTGGTAGCATTTGCCTGGAAGGTCTCATTTCCCACAACGTATTGAACACCACTTGCTCTGATTTCATGGGATGTTGAATTCGCCCAAATAAGTTTGGTGACCACGGCACCTGTCAGGACCACCAGATTGCTCCGTGCCCGTACTTTGTTGTTGTAATATGCGCTAGCTGCATAACTTCTGGTCCCCGTAGCCAAATCGACGGACCTGGCGCAACCTGCTCTGGCCAAAAATACATTATCGCCACCGTCAGGATTCGGATTCGGGGTTTGCCCTAAGGTCGCAAGCGCCTCGAGCATAGGACGTTCGAGATCCGTATAGTCAGTGTTATAACTGACAGAAAGTGGACCCTGCTTTCCATGAACAGCGGCGAGGGAGGCAATTTGGGCTTTTGTCATGTTCAGGATTGGGTTCGTAGGGGGAGTCCATTGCTCTGCACGTTCGAAGTAGGGCAGGAGTGAGTTAAATGTCCAACCAGGCCCGTTTCCAAACACGGTGTTCCAGGAATCATAATCTGTGCGTGAACCACGTTGCCAATCCATCGCATTGAGAGCAGAGGAACCTCCTAGTAATTTCCCTCTGGAGGTCGAGCATCAGCATTATAAACCACAGAGGAGACAAAGAAGACTCGTACCTTGGATAGGATATCGCTCTCCCACCGAGCGCGGCCTGGGGTGTGCTCCGAAAAGCCCAATCATATTCAGGATTTCCAAACACGGTTCCCAAACTAGAATTTTCAAGCAAGTTCACTCCAAACGGAACATCAATCAGAGGGTCGTTCGCATGGTCGTGACCGGCTTCGATGACACCGATGCGTAGAGGAGGAGTAGAAATATTGGCAGGAGGCTCGGACAAACGTGACGCAAGGACAAGCCCCGCGGTTCCACCTCCTACAATAATGATATCAAACGAGGCGGAGGCAAATGATTGGGGAGTGACACTGTCAGATGAGCGGAGAGAGGGTGCTGCGAACGCTATAGGTAAAGAAACAAAAGCAATGGCAAGCCTGCACATGCACACGGGAAATTCTCGCATGCTTTGAGATCGAAGGAGTGCCTTGAGCAACGAAAGATGCGAGAGGATAGATGTGAAGTCCTACGCACCATGGGCTTGTCTTTTAAATGTTATGTTTTTAACATGAATGCAAATGAAACATTTAGGCCAGTACTTTCCCCAGATGTTTGTCTCTGAGGGTAGATTGGGCAGTAGCAAGATGTCGAAACGGACAAGCGCCGCCATTAGTGAGCTTTGAGCTCGCGTGCCTTGTTCCTGCAAAGATCCATACACTTGCCAGCCTAGAATATCATAATGGAGAACGCTAGACGCCTAGCAGATATCAGGCTGTGCAAACGGTAGCCAAAATGATGAATAGCAACTACAAAAAAGATCAGTGTGAAACATACCGTGCTCTGCCACGGATAAGCCAAATTAGAGAATTGGCATTCTAGCGAGCCCAGCAACTCAGCTCCATTGTGAGGGTGAAAACGGCAGGCTCTTTCCTTGTGGCATGACATGAACATACTACAGAGTGCGTACCTTCGAATCAGACAAAGGATCCAATGTAAACCATACCGAATGTGCGCATACTACGCTCAACCCGGATCTACGTCAGCGTTTCATTTGACGCAACGAGCGATATGGCGTTTTGATGTCTTATTGCTCCATGCTTGCATAGCACGGCATCTAGTAGTCGCGGCCTTTCAGGTTACTTTGCACTGACCAGCGTTTAAGACCAGAGAAAGGGGTCAAAACATGACTCTAACCACATAAAGCGCGCCGTGCACCTATGGTTGACTATATAGCTCTGACGAGCTTCACAGAGCCTGGATTGACGCGTGAGTTGGGAACGGATCACGGAAAGGCTGTCCAGAGCAGCCACTCACGCGAATCGCGACGTGTTTCGTTGACACTGTCGCACATTGTAGCCTTCCCCATTCTCTTTCTTTGATTTTTGAGCCACCTATGGCCCAGTGGAAACTTCTAGGTGAATAGCCAGAGTATCTCAAAGCGAGCACTGCTGCGAATTTGCGAAACGTCACTTGGAGCCAAGCTCGACAGAGCCCCGAGATTTTACCGCGTGAACGTGCTGGTTTTGTAATGCGCCTAGGTGTGAGGCAACGGATATCAAGCCAACGGCCGTCTGCCAGCGTCTGCCATGCATTGGTCAAATGCTGCCTAAGGAGTGCCCATGCAAGGAAGCAAAGTCGACGGGCGATTTTCCTCTCAATTTGGTTCCGAAAAGCTCCGAATTCTGGGCCGGCACGTGGGACTCCCGTGCTGCACTTGGTGGCGGCATGGCCTTGGCGGCTGAAGCTCTTCGTGTACCCGAATTATGGTCTGTCTCTGGTATGCGGTTCAATCACATTCAGTTGAGCTGTTCACCTCGGTGCTGAAGCTCTGAAGCTACTCGCTACTGCTTAGAACACATCCATACTCGGCTCGGAGCCACATCATCGAAAATTTCCGATGACCTTCGATGACTGCCCTGAGAATTTCGTCGACTGTCGTGGTGCATTCGACATGTGAACATAATAGGCTTCCTCGGCTCCCATATTCTCCTGGCTGTCGGCCTCAAAACCAGATGTTGGCATTGCAGTCTGATGGTGATCTCCTCTACCATGGACGCGTTCTTGTTTTCGGCTGCCTTTGTTTTCGCCATCATCACCGTTATACGCGTACACAAGACGCTCAATAGAAAATCCTCTTTGCCACTTCCACCAGGACCTAGGGGCCTTCCTCTCATAGGTAATATCCTCGATTTAGCTAACAACGACATCCATATCAAGTCCCGTATTTGGTCCAGAGAGCTTGGTGCGTGATATCTTACCACAATGGTTCATAGGCTCTTGAAATGGCTGCACAGGGGAAGACGTGATATCATTAGATATCTTCGGCAATACCATGATCATTCTGAACTCTGCTGAGGCTGTATCCGATTTCTTCGAAAAGAGAGGGTCCAACTATTCCGATAGGCCTGATATGCCGATGATTGTTGACTTGTAGGTCCGTTTTGTTGTTCGGCATTATCTCACTAACAAGTTATCAGAATGGGGTGGGATTGGACATTCGCACTTATGCGCTACGGGCCTCGCTGGAAGGAGCATCGACGTGTTTTTCATAGTCACTTCAATCACAGGGTATCCGAGCACCAGCATATCCAACTCAAAATCTCACATGAACTTCTGGCTCTGCTTTTGGATTCCCCCGTGAATTATCTGAACCATATTCGACAGTAAGACTACATACCCGTAATTCGTAATCAAGAATGATATTGACACTTCATGATCAGCTATGCAGCGCATATCATCATGAAGAGAGTGTATGTAGTTTGAAGGACTTCAGCTATGATTGTGCTCACGACTCTCTGCACATTCACAGATATGGGCATACGGTAGTTGACGGAAACGATCCTTATGTCCATCTAGTCGACAAGGCCTCGCAAAGCACATCCGAAGCTGCTGTTCCAGGCGCATTTCTTGTCGATCTTTTTCCAAGTTGTGAGTCCCTTTGACATGAACTCTGTCATCAGTACTGGAGAAGTTGATCCGATATCAAATAGTCAAGTATGTTCCGGAATGGGTCCCGGGTGCTAGTTTCAAGAGAAAGGCTCGGGAGTGGAGACAGCTTTCCGAAGCCATGATAAACGCTCCTTATAACATGGTCAAGTCGAAAGTGGTAATTTTGTTGTCTCTACATCTCATAGAATTATCCTCACATGATGATCAGACAGCAGGTCGTGCGGAGCCTTGTTTTGTCGCTGAGTGCTTAGAGCAAAACGCGTCTTTTCCCAAAGAGGCACTCAGTGAAGAACTCATCAAGGATACTGCCGCCGTGGCCTATGCTGCTGGTCAGTGCTAAAAAAGACTCGCTCTGTCTGCACTTTTTTGACCATCTGTATAGGGGCCGATACAGTGAGAATAACAGTTTTCCAGCCCGATTGTATTCTGAAGGGCGGTTTGAGAACAGAGCGTGTCAACTTTGACCACATTCATTCTAGCCATGACTCTTTATCCTGAAGCTCAAAAGCGGGCGCAATCCGAATTGGATCAAGTTCTTGGTGGAGACCGTCTGCCTAACTTCAGCGACAAGGACCGGCTTCCATACGTTCACGCCTTGCTGAAAGAAGTCCTTCGATGGATTCCCGTCTTGCCATTAGGTAACTTACGAGACTGCGAAGGTTTTGTGAATCCCATTCTGATATCACTTCTTCCGCAGCGGTTCCGCATCGTGCAACACATGCAGACCAATATAAGGGGTACCATATCCCGGCCGGTGCCTCAGTCCTTGGAAATGCCTGGTGCATGGACGCCCCTCTTCATCTTTCTGGATTAGTGAACTGAACATGGCGCACATGGTCTAGGGCTATCTTGCATGACGGAAATACATATATTGACCCCGAACTATTCAGGCCAGAGCGTTACTTGGAAAGTCCAAACCTACCTGACCCTGCTGATAGTGGTGTCTTTGGCTTCGGTCGACGGTGAGCTGACTCAATATGTGTTCCGGAGTCAGGCATATGAACAGTTTATCCTATGCTAGGGCATGTGCGGGCAAGACCATGGCATTGGATACGATATGGATCGCGATTGCCTCCATCCTCACGGTATTCAACATTACTAAAGCGGTGGATGAAAATGGCGATGTTGTTACGCCTGAAGTGAAGCTGAATCCAGGATCTATCAGGTGGGCAGTCTTCCATTTCGCGAATCGGAAGTGTTCTGATTTTTTGTGTCGTGATAGCCATCCTGCTCCGTTCGAATGCAGCATCAAGCCGAGGTCGTGCACGACCCTGAGTCTGATACAGCATGGGCGCAATTGAGATTGGTGACATGAGAGCAGTAGTTCTGGACCGGACGTGTTCTATGCATGACCCTGAGCCTTTGATCCCACGTATCGCAGGGAAGATCACCTACATGCTGAGATTATGTGTCGATATAGCTTCTAGAGATTCACCGATTCTTGTAACATGTTAGTGTATTTCAATTAGTGTCTCGTAGATGGGGAGAATTTGCACATCAACACTTATACTAGCATTGTAGTAAATCTTCCAAACAAACCCATTGGTGGACCAAATCTTTGCGAATTTATGGGTCTCCGTGAATTGAAGGCTTGTGTGGGAGAAACGAAGCTCCTGCAATGCCCCGGCCACAAGCTTCAAACCTCAGCTTGAATTCAACGACATCATTATTCGAATGCTCTCGCACGATAGAGCCGAATCGCACTGCTCATCACGGCAGTTTCTGAAGTACATAACACGATGTCTTCGTTATGCGAAGAAAACCGACACTTACATTTTCCGGCATAGTGTTGTTCCAGGACATACCGTCGAGCCCGTTTCAACTTTTGTCGGTATCCATGCGAGGCGTTTCTCGGTACCCGCATTCTTATGACTGCATGATATTTTAAACTATAGACAATGAAGACTCGGATGCCACGCGAAACGCGTTGTGCATTACTCGCCCCTCGGATTATTGGTCATGATAAGATCTGACAGCTTGCTTCTTTGCAACGACAAAACCTCTTGTTCGTCTGAGTGATTTGAAAAAAATCAAGACACGATACGTGAACACACATGGAAACTAGACAATTGACGGAGATCTGGAATATTCAGGGCTACGAAGCGATCGTCGTATTCATGATTTCAAGCCGCAAGCCGCTTCAAGGAACTGAAGGGATGGACGCACGCAATTCTCGTAACCGAATGGTAGACGAAACGCGAGTGGAGGAATATATCCTCGCATTCGGGAGGAAAGGGGAATCGTGTAGCTCGGTATAGCGCTCGTAGGGCGTTAAGAGAGCATCACCTTCGACGTGGAAAAGTCCCGGTCATATCTTTGACCACCCGAAAAAAATAATCCTGATACAAGAGCAAGAAAGTGGCTAGAGGTCAAAGATCAAGCCAATCTTCTCCGCAGCGCTCAGACAACTTGCATCTGAGGACGTAACACAATCGAAGATAGAACGCCTCGCACACACCAACGGTACTAGCAGTTTCCTCGTCCCGAATAGAATACATCGTTGGACGCCAAGCGTCTCTCGTTTAGGGTCTCGGAGACAGTTCAGCGAATAGCGCCGCCGCAGAGATAAGATCCTCAGCCATCGGAAACATGCCGCAGCATACCCAGATACGTCTGTGATGGATGAGGCTTTATAAACCCCAAAGAGATTCGAAAGGGACACCTTTACTCCATACCATCATGGCGCAAAAGATCTACATACCTGACACCCTCGCCAACTGGAAGTGGCCCCCTCATCTCAACCCCCACTATCCCGAGGTCAAGAGAGAGTCGGCCGCATGGTTGGCAAGCTTCGGCGCCTTCAGCCCTAAAGCACAAGATGCCTTCGACCGTTGCGACTTCAGTCAGTGTCCATTGACATCACGGAGTATTATTATTAAAACCTAGATGCAGACCTCCTGGCATCATTTGCATACCCATTGGCGAAGAAAGGTAAGCCTTGGACGTATAATGATGAATAGGCTGAGAACTCAGCTTGTCCAGAGCACCTACGTAGCGGCTGCGACCTCATGAACCTCTTCTTTGTCATCGATGAGTACTCGGATGTAGCAGAAGCCGACGAGGTTCAAAGGCAAGCCGACATCGTTATGGATGCCCTGCGCAACCCGCACAAACCTCGCCCGAAGGGGGAATGGGTCGGTGGTGAAGTGACCCGGCAGTGAGTGGCTTGCCTTGGATCTTTGCAACCACTGCTGCTGATGTGTTTCGATGCCAACTAGGTTTTGGGAACTCGCTATCAAGACAGCTAGCCCGCAATCCCAGAAACGCTTTATCGCTACATTTGACACATACACCCAGTCAGTAGTTCAGCAGGCTGCAGACCGGACACACTCGTATATTCGCGACATCAAGAGTTACTTCGAGGTACGACGGAATACGATTGGCGCCAAACCGTCGTTCGCACTCCTCGAGCTTGAGATGGATCTGCCGGACAAGGTCATCGAGCATCCTATCATTCAAGATTTGTCTATCTTGACTATTGACATGTTGCACTTGGGAAATGTGAGCGTTTTTTGACAGTCTTATAGTGAATAGCTGTCGAACGTGGTTCTTCCAGGACATTGCCTCCTATAACCTGGAGCAAGCAAGAGGAGACGATAGTCACAATATCGTGACGATCGCGATGAATCAGCTCAAAACGGACGTGGCAGGCGCCATGAAATGGGTGGACAATCACCACAAAGAGCTAGAGAGGAAGTTCAACGAGAGCTTTGAGAAGCTGCCGAAGTGGGGAGAACCGATCGACTCGCAGGTAGCGCGGTATGTAGACGGGCTTGGGAATTGGGTGCGGGCGAACGATCAGTGGAGTTTCGTGAGCGAGAGGTACTTCGGCAAGAAGGGGCCGGAGATCATGAAGTCGCGATGGGTGACGCTGCTGCCAAAGGAGCGCACGGAAGACATCGGACCCCAGGTCGTCGATGATTCGTTACTTTAGAGGATGGCTTCCATAAATGCATCTCGAATGTTGACAAATTGGTACCCTCTCAGGTCAAAAGCTACGATCGGAGCCATTTGGCTACAGGAATTGGCCTCTTGTCTAACCCCATAAAAAGGCTTTATGAGCAAAGCCGATTGGCAGCAAATCTTGAACAAAAACATAACCTCCTCAACGATTTTTTTTTCAAGTTTCTATGCTTGTCCTCAATCCACGTCACGCTGTCTTCGATTTTGCATGTTTTTGACACAACGCCCCGTCCCGTTCAACAAAGCAATGCTGCGATTGCAAAACTACTAGGCACGTTATCTTATTCGGAGCCGACCCACTGCCGACCCCCATTAGCACTGCCTGCTCTGTTAATGAACGGCATGTATCGCATGCGAAGGCTCGATCTGCCTCGACGCTCTTCGCTCAGCCATCGCTCTGTAAGCGATACCTCAGGGGGTCGTCGACCATGCTGCAAGCTGCCGCAAGTGATCGTAATGAAAGGGCGAGAGTCTCAAGGGGCGAACTAGATAAGGGGGGAGTTAGGTCTTCCGCATTAGCGGCGCGTCGTCAAAAGGAATGCGGAGAGATTGTGAATGAGGAGCTTGAGGAGTCCATTATGGCGAGGTACCGAAGTGGTACCGAGCTGATGTGAAGTCCTGGGGGCGCTGGTAATGCGTTGTGTCGGAGAGTCTGTGTTTCATCATGGAAGCAGGGTCGCTGACACCCGGTGACGGTCTTGTCGAACTCTCATAAGAACGGCTTCGTACTTCCTTACTCGACCACTGCCGTCATCTCTTTCCCTTTGCACGTTTTGGCCAATTCAAGGCGATTCACATCTACAATGGGTATATTCTCCTCCAGGATTCAGCCTCAGAAGGACCTGATGGATCTCAATGGCAAGGTAGCCATCGTCACGGGAGCAAAGTACGTGCAGTCCAACCTTTTTCTTGACCTCACAGTAATGGCGTCTTCAGCTCTGGAATCGGATTATACATCCTTTTGCATCTTGTTCGCCAGGGCGCCAAAGTGTATCTTGCTGCTCGTTCTGAGGAAAAAGCAAATGACGCCATCGAGCGATTAAAAAAAGAGGGTCTTGGGCTCAATGCTGGCGAGATTGTGTGGCTCAAATTCGATTTGACGGATCCCACCAAAGCGAAGCAAGCGGCTGAATGGGTTCTGGAAAGGGAGGAACGATTGGATATCCTTGGTAACACCTTTGCCAGCTTGTCTTCCCTATCAAGACTGATAAGGGCACTGGGTCGTAGTAAATAATGCCGGAAAGTGGGTTGCGTTTTGTCCGACGCTTCCTCTCATTGTATCTCATTGCGTGATGCCTTAGAATCATGAGTCCATATGGAAAGACTGCTGACGGTCTTTCAGACAGTATGGTCATCAAGTGAGTTGCGTAACGTATTTTCACTATATCAGCGCTTGCTCAATTCTATATTTATTTCTAGCCATATCAGTCCTTTTTTGTTTACTCGGACTCTTCTTCCTTTATTGGAATCCACGGCGCGTCAGCCAGGGTCCGATGTGCGGATTGTGAACGTAAAACTTTGGCGTAAGACTCGGGGAGACATGTCCAGACTAATCATCAATCCAGGTTGCTTCTATGGCCCATAGATGGATTTCGAAACCTCGATACAACAGCCTGAAAGCCTTCAATTCGGATTTCTCTCACACGTGGAAACCGCAGGCCACGCTTTACGGTAAGAACATTTCACCGCTTCCAACCCTCTTCCTTTTCTTAGTCATCCCTAAGCATACACCAAGCTTGCGAACGTCCTGTGGACAAACCAACTGCAAAAACGTTTTGACAGCGATGGCATCCCTATCGTTGCAATGTCCGTCCACCCCGGTAGTGTCATGTCAGGTAGGACCATGCTTCTCCTCCCGATTCTTCTTTTGAAACATGACCTGCCGTTAACAGAAGGGAACATCAAGCTCTTTACCAGCTTAACTTTCGGTCGCCTTATCAATTGGGTTCTCTCTTTATTCTTCATCAGTTCGCTTGAAGGTGGATACACCCCCGCGTGGGCTGCTGCAGCACGAGAAGTACACGACAACCGTGAGAGATACAAGGCAAAGTATCTCGTACCGTATGGAAAAGTCGAAGAAGCTAGTCAGGACGCAAGGAGTGAGGAATTGGCCACAGAATTATGGCAAACGACGGAGAGTGTGTTGAGTGATTACAATTGGATTTAGGATACCTTTCACTTCTCAGGTCGTGTGGAATATGTGTTTTATCTCTTTATAGTCAAAGGCTCGTGACTTCCCCACGACCTACAGATCAGTGGGTGCTGATACTGTCGATCACAGGAAGATGGAATCCTCCTCTGTTTGTTGTGCATCGACTTCACCCGTATCTCATCGTTGTGCATACACACGAACAAAGATTACGTAGTGTTATGTTCGAGAAATTTCGATTATCTCACATCGCTCGGGAAGATCAAGGAGGCGATTGCAGACACACCGTAGTCATGACTTTCGAGCATGACGAAGTCGTTCTTGGGAAATTTCCGTGGTATGTACTCTACCGAACATGGTAGCAAGGGATAAGCCGTAATGCACTAATTTCTAATGCAACATTCTTTGGATGACATTCCGCATTGACTTTGGTTTCCCAGATTCAGAAATATCACAAGCGCCCGACATATTCTGGATTTCTTGTCTCATCAATATCTGAATGTAGCGCATTCCATGCATAGCTATCAATAGTGGTTGTCGTACTCAATGTTGACGGCATGCCTTCAATGTATCTTCACGTGTGGTGTTGCTGTTTCACGTTCCAGTCTTGCACCAATGACCTCAATTCCTCGAGATTTCTGGTACATAACTCGTCTGTATCTCGCCGAGAATAGTCAGGCGACTACCTCCTCGCATGATTTGGTCAGTCTTAGAGCTGCCTCTGAAAACATTCAGTGTATGTTTGCTCCTCTACATCGATTCGCGAGTTCGTGCCTCATTGCATTGGGCTGTGCGCACGGACGCGTGGACTGCCGGCATGTCTCCCCCAACGGTGGTAAGTGTTTCCATTCATGTTTCAGCGAAGTTCAGTATATAAATTGTCTCCTCCAGTTCTTTTGGCGGCAACGACGGCATGCATTTGACTCTCTATCTTGCTATCGCACTACTTGGCGGCGGCGTTAATGCCCTCAAGTCCACTGCCACTGAAGACTACATTGCCACAGAGTCCCCCATCGCTAAGAGAAATGTTCTCAATAATATAGGGCCTCCCGTCGGAGCTTTGGTTCGTTCGTCAAATTATCGACCCTATTCATATACTGAGTCCAACCATAGCCAGGCGTCGTTTCTGTTGCGAGCTCAAACAACACTGACCCAAGCTCTAGGTTTACGTGGATTCGTGACTCTGCGATGGTCATGAAGTCTCTCATCAACGAGTTCACTTTGGGCTTAGATACGTCCTTGAGAGATACTATCGAAACCTATCTCCTGGGGCAATATAGGACCCAGCTTATTACTAACCCGTCAGGGACGGTATCTACTGGCGGCCTCGCAGAGCCCAGGTTTAATTTCGACTACACTGCCGATACAACATCCTTTAGCCGTCCTGAGAATGGTACGTGCGGATTAGACATCTATCGGTCCAAGTAGTAGACTCATGACCATCGCCAGATGGCCCGCCTTTGCGTGCCAACAACCTCATCACTTATGCCAATTGGCTTGTGGATGAAGATAAGAACACCACCTTCGTCGAGAATGTCCTGTGGCCCAGTATAAGCCTTGACATAGATTACATTCTGCACCACTGGAATGAGACATCGTACGCATACAGCTTGCCATTTGACAGTCCCTCGACTGATTGTATTTTACAGCTTTGAACTATGGGAAATTGCCTGGACAGAATCCTACTGGACTGCTGCTGTTGAAGTTCATGCTCTGCGTTCCGCGGCTATTCTTGGCCGTAAGATTGGACGCGATTATGAAGTCAAAGGATGGGAAAGCACGGCGTCTGTGATCTTGAGTTTCATGCAGGTTCGCAGAAATTTTGCCAAAATTGTCTCCGGGTTCCGTTGACACCCGTTCGATATTCAGTCTTTTTGGAATAATCAGGCGAACTACGTATCAGGAAACACTATTCCTGACCGTTCGGGCATCGATTCCTCGACAGTGCTTGCCTCCATATATAATTACGACCCTCTTGCAGGTTGCGACTCCCTCACGTTACAGCCGTGCTCGGACAGGGCCTTGATGAATCTCAAAGCTGTCGTGGATGGATTCAGACCTCTATACCCGATAAACTCGAAGACTGGAGCAGCGGCAGTCGGACTCTGGACTGAAGACACTGTGTTCGGTAGTGTGAGTCGATGATTTTTTCGTCAATGAATATCAAGTGCTCACAAATGATATGTTTAGCCCTGGCATCTATCCACGTTTGGCGTGGCAGAACAACTATATGATGCTCTTGCGGTGTGGAACCAGACCAGCTCCATCACCGTGACGACACTGTCCCTGCCATTCTTCCAACAGTTCTTTATAGCAGCTCTAGCGATAACGTATCGTCCTGGATTTATTGGATACCAAGAAATCCTCGACGGTGTGAAAGCATTTGCCGACAACACTATCCTCATTGCAGCAAATTACACGCCGCAAGATGGTATGCTCCCTCAGATGTTCGACAAGGAAGATGGAAAGCCCCTAGGGGCGAACGGTCTATCTTGGAGTTATAGCGCGGCGTTATCTGCATTCGACGCGCGGAATGGATTGAAGCCTGCATCGTGGGGAGCTCAGGGCCTTGCCCAGTCATGCACATGTGGAGGGCTTCGTGTTTCCGAGGATGCGAAGGATCCCCTGCAGGTTACAGAGAAGCTCATTGGGGAAGAAAAGCATCACTCGAAGGGCCTCCTACATGAGTTGCCCGAAGCGCAACATAGCGCGGATGCTTTCAGTTTTGAGGAGGCAGGGTTCCTGGAACGCATGTACAAGGCAGCTGCCGAGTTCTTCCAGGGATATCGTGGCTATCAGGAGTATGCGTACCATCAAGGCTATAGGATCATTGAGCAGGATAGCTACGAGGCACCGGCAGCCTACATGTATTCGAGGGTTTTTCGCGAGTACGGTCGTTAGATTCTTAGCAGGGCATGGGGATGGTCGATAAATGTTTTGCTTCTCTTGGCAAATGAATCACTCTTGCATTTTGCACAAGACACGGCCTGCCAGTTTGAGATGTTTATGAAAGACGAAGACGGGAAGTAGGTTTCCTTCATTTGGTCGGTCTGCATCAGTAATAGAGGATGAGATTCATGAGCTAGTGCTTTCTCTGACGCCGCTACTGGCTGGCTTTGAACTATTGTATTGGCGCCGCCACCCTCCGCCACCACACTCGATATTCATGCGGCGTTGTCAAACACCGAATCCTATGGACCCCAAAGGAAATACATCGTGCCAACGTCCTAATCATTCCATGCATCATGATGTTCTATGTCGGCTCTGGTCCCGGCTCCCACACTGTTCGGATTAACAAACTTTGCAAGAACGAAATCGTGACAGCCGACCACAGAACCGGCTATTTTCATTCAAGACTAGGACGGCAAGAGCAGTGGTTCATTGCTTGATGATAGGCAGATCGACTTCTCATAGGACATGAACGGTTGCCAGTATGTCTTGACTGCGTATAAGATTTCTGCCCGCACTGGAGGTGCCGCTGATGGCACTTCGCTCGACATTTCGCTCAATGGACGACCTGTGTGGAGCTTTCCTAGCATTTCGTTCCGCATGTTAACATGACGAACTTTTCCCTGACTAAATCTAGGTTTTAATTTGAAGTTGATCACGGAACACGTAGACGTTATTCTGCTCCTTTCTCGCGGTCATGTATCATGTCTTTTGATGAATTGACATGTGCCTTCCCTTCCATACCTCAGTGCTCCAAGCGCGACATATATAAATGACGGTCTGGTGCCTGCTCGACTAGGGCTCATCTGGAGTCCCCCCTCGACTCTTCGCTTCTTCTGATATCGCGTCTTCGCTCCTTAAGTGATGGGACTCGCCGACATCACAACCTCTCTCCATATCACGGGGCTTGGCGCTTTCAGTACGGGAAATCTATCCTTGTGAGCAGAATCAGGTTACCTTTCTCTCACTGTGCTTATGCAGAGCGCTACAGCTCGGAGAAGATGCCTCAAGGATGGTCCTTGGTCCAGGCGATACTACCCACTACCACAACACGAGTGCCGTTCACCTCTGAAGCCCTCAAGGAAGTTATACCTATTCTGCTTATTCTATACAGTTTGGCAGTACTCGTCCAACTTCCCAATACGAAGACCGCTCGTCTGAGCTTACTTCCCATCATCGTCTCCTTGAGCTATAGAGTCATTACTAAGTACGACACGGCAGCACCTTTCGATGATCCTGGATACACTTACCACAATCTCGCATTTGGTGTTAGTGTCTGTGTCTTGTCTATGTATTCAATACTGACCAGATTTTGCTCACAGTGTTTTACTATCTTTCTCTGCTTGCGTGCCATCGATTTTGGAACTGCGGATAAGCCATGGCAGCGTACCATTTGGTCGTGGCGCCCCAAAGCCGCTCCTGATGACTTCGTAACCCGGTTAAAATACGCCATGCTTGATGCCTTCGATTTAACAATGAACAATCGTGGCATAGGTTGGAGCTGGGGCAAAGGTATCTACGATCCTCCTCAGTCCGCGAAACACAGCGCGCCGAGGACAGCATTGGCATCATTCCCATTCTTCATTTCCTTCGTCAAAGCCATGGTCCTTTTTGATTTTACGCTACTCGCGCAGCAGAGTTGGACATTACACCCATCGGCGTACCCGACACACCCCATAGGTGGAACTATTTTTGACCCAACTCTTCCGCCGCATCTCCGGATCGGGAAAGTGATCCTCATGACCTTTCTCTGTGCGCTCGGGCTGTGTACGTCGTTTCAGATGTCATATTACGGACTGGCATTCGCGATGATCGCATTGGGTGGTCAACAGCCAGAGCAGTGGCCACCAATGTTTGACGAACCATGGCGCGCTACAAGTCTTGCAGATTTCTGGGGAAAAAGATGGCATCAAATGTTCAAACGTGCTTTCGTAGTCGCAGGCGGAAAGCCGTTTGGCAGGTATTTTGGCCGTCCTGGCGGCGTCATTGGATCGTTCCTTGTTTCGGGGCTCATGCATGACTTCGGTGTATGGGGGCTTGGACTCGGCATGGATCTGTCAGGAGTGACGTTGTTCTTCGTCATGATGGGCATCGGATGCGTCTTGGAGGGTATTTGGGAGCAGAAGGCGCTGAAGGGAAAGAAGGTTCAGGGGCCGCTTGGATGGGTATGGGCGATGATTTGGATGTTTGCGTGGGGGAGCCTGATTGTGGATGCTTGGGCACGGAGAGGACTGATCGAGAGTAAAATGTTACCGGATGGTGCGAGACCGGCGGTGTGGTGGGCTCAGGTGACGCAGAAGTGGCTTGCATCGCACGCTTAACTGACTGGATGATCCTGTGTAGACTCAGCATGAGCTCCGTGTATCTATTTCGGGAAACTTGCTCCGTTGTTACTGTCAACTCACCGCCTGCTGCCCTCGTCCGCTCCCCGATAAGTACAATGTCACATTTGTCATTCCTCGATCCGATCATTTCTCTCTGATGGAGCTGGGTGTGCAATGCTCCATGGATCGATATATTACCCACTATGCAAGTGCCAGCAGCACAAACACTTACCACTGCCAGAGCTGCAGTTATAAACCACCTGGCTATCAGGGATTAATTGCAATCAACTCTCAACTCGCGCTTAAAATGCTCTCAATCCTTGCACAACTCAGTCTCGGGGCTCTCGCATCCTTCGTTTTATGGTGGATATATCGTCGCGTCAATACTGTCTCCGTCTCTGGTGTTCCTGGACCCAAGGCTGAGTCTCTCTGGCTCGGTGCGCGCATTTACTTCCTCGTCAAGTTTGATGTAGCTCACTTCCGCATCGGTATATGGATAGGTAACTTACGCCAGCTCTTGCGAGAAGAAGTCGGCGAAACCGATCATCAGTGGAGGAGAGCATTCGGGAACATCGTCCGTTTTAAGGCTCCATTTGGCGTGAGCTTACACCGCCGTACCCAAGTCATGAATGGGGACTAACAAGTTAGTTACAGGAAGACCGCCTATGGATTTCAGATCCCAAAACGATTCAATACATTCTCAATACCTCGAGGTATTACTTTGTGAAGCCGTACGATGCGAGGTTTCTCTTGAACGCAGCGACCGGAAATGGAATTATTGGCGCAGAGGGTGGGTCTGTTTTATAGTACCATTCTCATGAGGAAGTTGCTCAAATGGCGTGTGGAAGGCGAAAGCCACGTCAGGATGCGTCGCGTTCTGAGCCCTGCGTTTGGAATCAAAGAGTCTAAAGCGCTTGTTCCTCTCTTTCGAGAGTCTGTCCAAACCGTATGCTACTTGGTCATACACCAGGAATTATCAGCTGATATCCTGTCCACACAGTTGATCGAGCAACTAGAGGACTCAATAGCTCAGAACCCACATGGTTCATATGTTGTAAACATACCCACGGTCGTAGGTCGCGCTAATCTCGACGCCCTTGGAAAGGCTGCGTTCGAATATGATTTTGGATCTTTGCGAGGCAAGAATACCGAGCTGGAAGAATCATTGCATCAGTTCACGTTGGTATCCTCGTTGTCATCGATTTCTTCAACCTGCTAAATTCGACGTTCTCAGAGCGAAAGGCTATGGCCTACCATCGAACTGGAAGCTATTTATGCAGGGTATCATGGCGCATGCACCTCCGCGACTACTGAATATGATGACATACTACCCTAGCGAGAGTCTGGAGTTCCTGCAGAGGCATGTTAGATTGAGCAACGACATATCAAAGACGTTGCTCTCGCAAAAGCAGAACGCGCTCGAGGAAGGGAATCTAGGCAAGGACGTGTTGAGCCTCGTTGGTGAGTACAACAATGCAAGTAAAATGACGATCCACTGAAGTGGTTCCGTATGTAGTCAAGGCCAATCTGTCTGAGACCGAAAAACACCGATTGGAAGACGAGGAGGTCATTCCACAGCTGTCGTGCGTACCCAGACTTCGAATCACATTTCCTTACTGACGGTGTCGTCGTATTAGATCGATTCTGAGTGCAGGATATGAAACGACGACTAATTCGATCGGATGGATTCTTTTTGAACTCGCGAGGCATCCGGAGAAACAAAGGAAGCTGTATGACGAAGTCATCAGAGCACAAGAAGCTGCTGAGGCTCAGGGGCAAACTGAGCTCTCATATGAAAAAGTCGCGAATCTACCATATCTCAATGCCGTCATCAAGGTGAACCTATTCCTATGTTTAGTCTAGAACAGCGCTGACAGACAATTATGTATGTTGGCTCCATGCGCAGGAGACTTTTCGATTTGATACAGTCGTTCCTCATCTATTCCGGCAGGCTACACGGGACGATATACTGCCTTTGTCCAAGGCGATCAAGACTTCGTCTGGAAAAATAGTGGACAGTGTCCCCATACCCAAAGGAATCAGGATCGTCATCTCGAACGTAGGCTTTAATCAGTGAGTGACAACCGGTAGACGGATTCAGTCCTTCGGGGACGCCTGCCCTCCAAAGTTGTTGATCTGTGCTAAACCCCGACTCAGGGATGAAACAATATGGGGACACGATGCAGGAACCTGGAGGCCTGAAAGATGGCTCGATGGAACCGTTGAGAGGTCTGTTTGGAACAAGAATCAGGCTTTAGACGGAGATGCCAATATGAACCTCGGCGTGATGAACAACCTGTGAGTCCATTCACTGACTTGAGATCTGTCAGAGTTGCTGAGTAGCTCACTACTATTCTGTGCCATGGGTTCGCGTTACCAGGATGTCGTTCGGTTCTGGTCATCGTGGATGTATCGGATGGCGATTCGCGTGAGTCTTTGTTGTCGCAAAACGTCTATCGAATTACCACTTATATTTGATCAGTTTGGTGGAGACGCAAATTTTCCTTTTCGAAATGATCAGGAAATTTAACTTTGAAGTAACGGAGGATACCAAAGAAGGGAGAGTCAGAAGAGAGAATTGTCTCGTCACTCAGCCACTGGTAGAAGGCAAGGAGGTGGGATCGCTGCCGATCAGGATAAGCGCAGCTTAATCTTCCCCGCTATAGAATATAATCTAGCTTAACATTATATGTTCGTTCCGGACATTGGTATGTATGATATGTATTTCATCAATATAGTACTGTACTTGTACAATTATACTTCGTCGACAAGAATCTAGTTATCGTTGTCCACGTGGACAGACCTAGAAAAATGCAGAGATCGCGAAGGTATTGGTGATAGGGTAGTTTGGACGATGTACTGTCATCTACACTCATCCCAGGTAGGTAACTTGTAGCGGTAAACTGGGAGTGTCATGGACAGTAGGTGTTGCAAAGTTGAACATCTTCCACACGATATTTTTGTCCGATATCTCGAATTTGAAGCGGGGTATCAAAATCAAGAGGATGACCTCTGTAACAAGTTGTGAGCAGTAGGACATGGGCATCAATATGTACACACGTACTAATTTCCATCTCGGCAAATCTGAATCCACTGCGGGCGAAACTCATCAGCGAAGAAAGAAGATCAAATGATATGTTGTTTTAGCGTACATGCAGGATCGGCCCCCACCCATAAATGACATGCTGAAAGGATATTCGGGTTAGTCTTCAGTAAGTAGACGCATCTGTCAGCCATACATGTTCGAATAGACGCCTGGCAAACGCGCGTCTGTCGTGCTTGTGAGCATAGGCTCTAACCATCTCTCTGGTCTCCATAGGTGTGCATCTGGACCCCATATCAGCGGATCACGATTTACGGCGGCAGCGCCAACGACGACCATCGTCCCTGCCTGCACCATCACTTTTTCGATGGGCGTTCCGTTTTTACCTCGCACAGGGCGGCAGAGAGGAATGACAGCGTCTTTTCGGGGGCTGCGCAAGACAGAATACACGTCATTTATGCTGAGGGTACCGGGCGAATGTGCAAGTTTGCTTACACGCGATGAAGCTGTGTGACTGGCGAATATCTACCAATTACAAAGTTAGGTTATTAAGATGGTAAAACATTGCGCGGACTAGGAGATATGTATACGTACACACGTAACGTCTCTTTACATACAGCGTCGAGGTATTGCAGATCCACCAGGTCCCTGAATAAATAGTCGTGGGAAAGGCTCTGCTGAAGCTCCTGACGTAGCTTCTGTTGTCGCTCTTGATCGAGGGCGAGAGTGTGAAGGATACGTGAGAGAGCAACAGATGTTGTATCTTGCCCAGCAAAAACGAGGGTCCTATTGAGATCACTATCAGCCAGAGGGAGTGAAGCTAAAGCCAGAAGACATGCCCGATAGTGGAAATAATTTCATCGTCGGTCAGCCTCTCTGTCTGTGGCAGGGCAGCATTTTCCTTGACTAAAATACTTCAGAGATGGCATAAAGCGTAGGTCAGAGGATAACTTACTCAAGATGCTGATGATGTCCTTTCCATTCCCAATCATCGTCTTAGCCGCATCATCGCCCTTTGAAAGGTCGTCGAGGCGCTTCCGATAGACAGAAGAGTTAGTCTCATAGAGAAAATAGATTATCTCCTTCAGCTTCCTGATATTAGGGTGCGGCGCGATTCCTGCTAAGAACCCACGTAGACGCGGTGAGCCAAGCTTGACAATATATGGGATTAAGCGCATAAATCCCTGGAGCGGAAACGCCAAGGGGCTATTACTGACATTCAGCGCGCGAGACAAACGGAGGAAGGCGAGAAACAATGCACATAAGCTGTTTCACTGCCACCATATACTTGTTTGGCGGCGAATCGGTTGTCAGGTTGTCGAACGAGACGCCTATCCCGGCTTGCCCTATGAGCTCGAGTGATACGCGTGACATCCAAATGAGCATGTCGATTTCTGCAGGACCGAATCGGAGAATTTCCACTAGGCGATCTTCAAGCTGAGGTTCATAAGATCAGGATTTGCCTTTCAATATTGAACGGAATGAGTACCTTGTGTGTGATAGCATAAAATATAGGAAGCACGTCGCTTAGACGGCTCGTAGAGAAGGCAGGATTTAGCGCATGACGTTGTTTCCTGTGTGCAGAGCCTATATGACATCAGGGTCAATCGATTCGCTTTGAGGTGAGGACACCGACCCGTGGACGACAAAAGACCATGCCCCCACAAGAGTTTGTTTCTCCTGAAAATAGGATCAGTAAACCGAAATCACGAAAGATTCAAAGAATGTACTCGATTATCATCGGCGGCTCGTCGTAGATATCCTCGTGATCTCTGGTAAGGATATGACGTAGACCTTCGGGATCCGTCAAATATAAGACGTCTTCCTACGTTGCGCAGCTTCTGGTCAGCGCGGTCACGCAGTCTTGGTTTGAGGATCACATACCCCAAGAAACCCTCGCAGTCGGACGGCGGTGCCGTATTCGACGATGTCCTTCAGATGAAAATCCCACCCTTGGGCATGGAACAGCTTGTCCATATGGCCTGCATTTCTTGGTTCCCATACATTGAGTATCTAGGTGAAAGATGCACACCTCGAAGCCAGGACGGAGACGGAGGTCCAGGCAAATTGCTCAGAGACGAAGCCACGAAGAACCGTCTACGCAACCACGAAGTCACGAGGCCGATGAGGGCGAGGATTGGAATCTGCAACGACATCGACGGCATTGCTTGGGTAGCTTAGAGTTGTAAGAGTTTGGACGAGGGGAAGGGCGACAAGAGCGACGCGTCCATCGTCAAGCGAGCTTCCATAAATCCTACGGCAACGACTGTGAAGTCATGGAACTCGGGACTCGAGCAAAGGACGAATGATCGATGTCATCACCCTCTCCCTCCTCGGCATGGTATTACGGGGCTGGTTGCGTCCGAGAGTCGGCGCTCTTCTCTGACGAGACGACGTCTTCCCAGAGTCACCAGGCTCCTGACAGAATCTATCAGGAACATCGCGAAGCACTGTCCATCGGATTTACCTTCCCGGACCTCTGATAATACGGTAGATGTCGATATCAATTAGTGGAGCCTCAGGAGACGTCACCGGGACCGACTCGCCTCGGCCCTCCACTGCATAGCTCATCGGGGATTCTGTCAAGCACAGGACGGCGCCGAAGCGAGTGGAAGTGTCAAGACATGAAGTCCGACGTGACTGCGACCATATGGATGGTCATTCGCCGCAGGGACCCAAAATTGTACATATGTCGAGCGCGGCGGACACCTGCCAATGTTTCAGTTCGAAATTGAAGGAGCCTTCACTTGTACCGCGGCCGACTGCGAGCGACGCTATTCGCCTTCCTCTCTCGCATGAGAATAGATGAGAGCACCGCGAGTGCCGTGGGCCGACTCGCCTCCTATCCGGATGTGACATGTCTCGGCTGCGAAGTGAACATCCTGCGTGTGAGAAGGCATTTGCCTGCCTTATATCGGCCGGAGCGATGGTGACTCATTGTCTTAAAAATACGCCTTGAATGTTCAAAAACTGCCTCGGTGTTCATATAATCGCCACTCACCAAGTCATTTCTTCTTGCCGGATCCTAAGCTTTTGAAAAGCGTAGTGGCATTTTCCTGAAACGGGCACGCAGGTGCACCGAGCTGGTAACCTACTAAGCAATTCAAGACTCCTGTCGAGACTCGATTGCGACATCATGAATGCGAAAATGATCCTTGATCGAAGGATGCTGAAAAAGGACGCGACATCCACAGTCGGCATAGCAGGCACGCGACATGATTGTGCAAATGATAGATGAAGCTACAAAGTCCTAACTGAGACGGTAAGCGCACAACAGTTGCAGCGCCCATCCTTTCCATCACGATCACTACTTTCGGAATGCGCACAAGCAAAAAGGCCCATTATCAGCCCGGCGCGACCGGTCTATTACTTCGCTAATATTACAAAAGTCCCGCCTCCACCGTCGAACAAGTAGTAAGTATCGACGCCGAAAACGCGAGCGAGCGAAAGCGTAGGAAAGTGGGATATCAATATCTAAAATGCGAGTTGTCTTCTTGCGTGCACCCCCTTGAATTGTGCCTTTTTTATCGTTCAGGTCTAGTGTCTAAGCATACATACGAGGGAGGGAGCATGAGAGGCAGGCGATGTGTAGTGGGATGGGGTGATGGAGGGAGGGAGGAGTCTAGGCGATGGCATATTTGCGACGGAACTTATCGTCGATGCCCTCGAGGTAGTACGCGCCTGGCCAGATGTTGGCGAGTGAACCCTTGGGCGCATATGGCGCAGCGTTGTGGTTCTCCTCGCGCAGCTGTCCACCGCGACACGAGTGAGTATTCGGGAACGACTAAACAAAGAAGGCGAATGAACGCACCTGCAGGCCGGCGACGAACTCCTCGCACGGGACCACGCTCATGCTCTCTAGCCGCTTCACGAGGTCCATCTTCTCCCGGATCTCGGTCGTGTCGCCCTTGACGCGCAGCGTGAAGAAGCTGCTCGCGCACCCGCTCCCGAACGCGTACAATGACACACGCTTGCCCTTGAGGGCGGCGGGCTCGACGCTCGCGAGGAGCGAGGCGAGCCCACCGTACAGCGACGCGGTGTACATGTTCCCGCAGCGTGCGGCGCAGCGCATCGAGGGCGCGACGCGCGCGGCGTAGTCGGCTTTCGAGAGCGCCATGAAGGTCTTTTCGACGGTCTTGTCGGAGATGGACTGCTCGTAGGGCAGCGCGGCGAGTTCGGCAGGGACAGACGAGAAGGCGGGTGCGGTGGGCGCAGAGAGGTAGTCGTTGAAGAGCTGCAGCGACAGAGCTGCGTTAGCACACGTGGACGGGGAGAGGAGGGACGGGGCAACGTACGAGACGCGCATGGCCCTTTTGCACTTGCTTGCCGTACGGCGAGTGGTACACGGTGTAGTCGATGTCTTGCAGCGTGAAGACGGATTTGGGGTCGACGGCCTTGCCCGCGCTGTCCTCTGCCGCGTGGCCGTTGCCGTGCAGCGCCTTGGTCGCGGCTGCGACCTTGGACCGGAATGCGGAGTAGGCGCCGTCCATGGCGCGGATGTAGGTCGAGACGGAGAGCGGGCCGTCGACAGTGGGGTACTCGGAAGACAGATCGGGCTTGTAGAAGTCGTATGTGTTGGCCATGTACGTGCCGTGGATGGCTGGAACGTTCCCATTGACCGGTCAGCGAGGCCAGAGGTGGAACAGCAGAAGAGACTCACGCTCAAAGACCAGCGGGGCATTGGGGCCAATCAAGATGGCGCACGCGCCTGCACCACCGACGGGGCGTGCACCGCCTTCTGCGTAGACAGCGATGTCGCCGGCGAAGACGATGGCGTTGCGACCGTCCCAGCTGCGGCTCTCGATCCAGTTGACGGCGTTGAAGAGGGCGTTGGTGGAGCCGTAGCATGCGTTCTTGGAGTCGAGACCCTCGATGTCGTAGTTGCCGGAGGCGGCGAAGAGGTCCATAAGAACGGTCTTGACCGACTTGGACTTGTCGATGATGGTCTCAGTGCCGACATCAAGGCGACCGATGGATTTGGGGTCGACGTTGTAGCGCTTCAGGAGGGAGGAGACGACTGCGATGGAGATGAGACGCGAAACGAGGAAAGCGGGTGAGAAAAATGAACACACCCGTGAGAGCCATGGAGTTGATGTCTTCGCGGTCGTCGGCAAAGGCCATGTAGGACTGGCCGAGGCCGATGGTGTACTTGCCCTTGGCGACACCGTCGAAGACTTCGAGCTCCTCCTCGGAGATGCACTAGGAAGAAGAAACAAAAAGAAATGAGCAAGACCGTTACTGTCGTCCAGACGAGCTCGTGGAGTGCGCACGCGTTTGGGGAAGTACATGTCCATTCCGAGGATGCCGACATCCTTAGGGCGGGGGCGTTCTGCCTGGGCGTCGAAGACGGAGGCGGCGGCGGAGGAGGATGCGTTCTGGATGGCCATTGGGACGTGTATGGGGGGGGAGAGAAAGAGGAGGTGCGCGGGTGGTGCATGTTTTTGCGGAGGAGAGGGACTATAAAAGGAGGGCGGTGCGGTGGTACGATCATATTTAGTTATCGTCCGACGTTTGGGAATTAGGAAAAAAATACACCTGATCCCTCCCACCTCAATCACTGCATACAATTCCTCCTTAGCTTTCGCCCGTCCACACCGGCTCACAGCTCGTGCATACAGCAACTGCGAGCCCGTTGCGCTGCTCGCCGTCGCTTGGTCACCTCTCCGGCCGTGGGCCATCAGGCGCGCGCGAGTTGTGTCACCATTCGACGCCCTCGCATTTTTGCTCTCGTCTGCTCTCTCCCGTGCCGCCCCGCGCTACGGTGCCTACCCGAGCGTTCTATGTATGTCTGACACCGTGCTCTGCAGAATAGGGCTTGGCGCGACACCCTGACGCGCCGTCTCGCTGCGCCAGCCTTGAACCGAATCGTGGACAATGGCCCCTGCATGCACGATCAATTATCATCTCTTATGTACACACCATTCCTCGTGCCTGCGCGCTTCCAAGGAGGTGCATGTCTTCCTCCAATCCGGTCCTGACACCAGCCTTGCGAGATACGCGTATCATATCCTATCGCACGCGCGGGGAGATGCGTCCACGATCATGTATCATGATCCATTATTGTCCCAAACCCATCTCGTCGGTGTCGTAAACTCATTTCCGTGCTTGCCTGCCACATTGGGTCTGGTCGAGTCCCTGCACGATCCCCATGCATATCGGGCGCGCCAGACTAAGCTCCTGTTCCAATGTTACCGCGCTGGCGGACTTGCTAACCGCATCCTTGCTCCTCGAGCCCCTTGAGCGTAACGCCGCGGCTCGCGCTGCCGACGGGCCCGTCATGCATTCTCCTGTCAGGAGGCTAACGGATGTTGTACACAGATCCCGAAAATATATACTGTACATGCATACGCGCGGCAAATCTCGACGCGGCTCCCGAGCCCTCTACGTATGCCGGTCCTTCCCATCCAATCTTGACGTCCTTAGAACGTACATGCATACATCAAATCAAACACGCGTTGTGGATGTGCTGCAACGGCGACGGCGAGCGGTAGTAGTAATACAACGTACAACTGTGCGCGGCAGAGGCGTGCGTTAGCGATTGGAATGGAGAGGATGGGACGTAAGGCACTTACTAGGCAATTGCGACGAACGAAACAAGCAGACGTGAAACGGGCTGATCCAAATCGAAGAACCAAACAGCTATAGCGATATCCCAACTTGCGAAACGACGATGACGACGACGACAACTCCTCCCCTGACACCATTCCATGGCAACTCCCTCACACAAGCGCGCGACTGTTTCATCGTGCTGTGCGGTGTTCAAGCCGTCCCGCGGAGTTCTGCACCTTTGAGGCCTGGCCCGACAGACGCAGCGATCAGCACCGATGCGACAGCCAGCACTGCAACGCTCGCTCAGGAATGGGCACATAGCAGATAGAGAGAGGGCGCGAGAGGGAAGAGGAGTGGAGGGGCAACGGGATAATAGACGACTCACTCTTCTCCGACCAGAAATACTTCCACACGCCGACGCCGACGAGCGCGGAGAGGACGCCGAGCCCCGCGCGCAGGGCGAGGACCTGTGCGGCCGCGCGGTCTGCGTGGTCGAGCTCGAAGTTCGGGCTTTCGAACACGTCGAACATGCGTACGTTGGCCATTTCGACTGGGTTTGGATGAGCGACCGATGGGGTTTGTGCGCGAGAGAGGGAGGAGTTAGGTGGATAGATGGGCTCGACGCTGACGCGGGCGCGATGATGTCGGTGTGGGGGAATTGGATATGCAAGCGGTGTGTGATCGTTGCTTGTTGTAGAGGCGGAAACGGAGGTAGCGAAGAATCTCGAGGAAGGGGGAGAAAGCAGCAGGAGGTTTCTAATCGCGCAGAAGGACCGGATTATAAGGGCCTAGGTTTGGACCCCGTTGAGCCAGGGATCAAGGATACGTTAGATCGCTTTTAGATCCGACTCGTGCCCTGCCTGGCATTCAATGCATGAGCAGCGCTGGGATCATTGATGAATTTTGCATTGACGAGCCTGGACAGCCGGACTCCTCCGACTTAGCCCAGTGAACGTTCAGGACGTTCAGGCCCTTCAGCTTCCAGCGCAGAGGCATACAGACGCAGCCGACAATTGTCTTTCATTTGCGTCTAGTGAGTCAAAGCATCGGATTTCGCGCCTCGCCCACTCAATTGGCTCTGCAGACAGGGGACAAGGGTGCAGAGCCTCCAAGACAGGATCCATACATATACCGAGAAAGTGTCAGATGATACATGAGAGACAGGTGGCGCTAGCGGCGGGCTACCCAATCTGAATCACTACCGTCGATGTTAGCGCTGGATATTCCGAGGGGGCCTGCTCGGGGAGAAAACACCGGTAGCCGCCGCAGGGCAGTGGAATCTAGTGGAATGCAGTCGGATTGAGGTGTGCCGAGGCGCTCGTCGGAGGCGCTCCAAGCTTGTCTTTGATGCCGGAGGATAGATCTACTCGTCAGAAACGACAGCGTGCGGCGCATGTATTTTTTAGTGCCTGTTCGCAGCCGAGTAGCCATCGATAAATGGTTTGAGATGGTTTGGGATGTTTGAGGCCTGCAAGCGAGCGTTGGACTGCATTCAATGCCGTTCGCTGGGCGATCTCGATCGATCTCGATTTGGTTCATATCGTAACCCTAACCCCACTATTCGCTCGTCAACGACGCTGACCTCGAACCATTGGACACACATCCAGGTCGACACAGCGGATGGGAACACAGGGATGCACGTAGCACGGAGCCGAACATCCATGGAACAGGGTCCATTGGAAGTGAGCGACGCGTGAGTACAACCCTCCACCCGAACACGTCAGTGCGTTGTCAGTGACTTGGACAGAAACCATTCACCTTGACATAGAACCCCCCGTACGTGAGGGACGTCTGAAACTTGGGACGGCCGAGCAGGGTCGTGCGTGGGTGCCCGCCGAACACCGAGATTCTGTGCTCTGCAGACCAGACCAGACTCTCAGGGCGATCTCGTAACGACTGGACGCCGCGGTCCGCCTGACCGTTCTCAATCTTTGGTCGTTCTCATCTTCCCTTCTTACAGAGCATGCCTGCTACCGTCGAGCCCCTTGGGGGACTCACGTCAATGGCGGGTGTCGTCGTCGGCTCTGGGCGTCACAACCGGTCGATGCTATCATCTAGACAGTACGTACTTGCTACATGATCTGCGCGCTTCTCGCTGCGTTATCGTGCGCCCACACGCCGGCTATGTTTGGATTGTAACTAGAAATACAATTCTTGCAAGGTGTCATTCACTGGCGGCGTATCAGCTTAGTACGACGACTGCTCGCCATTCGCCACTGCATCGGCATGACGGATGCCCTTCCAACCCGCCTCCAAGATGCAACTGCATATCGTCACCTGATGGTTCCAGGCGTGTAGGGCATTGGAAAGCCTCACTTCGCTTCTGACAAACTGGTCGAGCGTGCAGTATTGTGCCAGGATAAAGTGGTATCTGGTCGTGGTGTCCAGTCAGTCCGCTCGCTCGCTCGAGTAGGAATGACGACGCGCTACGGTTCGGTGCGAGGCTACAACTTGGTACCGTTGGCGCCTACCGACAAGTCGCTATCCATCCTACCCATGGCATCGTCTCTGCATCTCCAGCTCGAAAGGGGACAGGTTATGCCTCTAATATTACCCTTTGAACCGGCTGGGGTGAACGATGCGCAGGTTGCTTCAGGACTGGCATGGATGCCCCTTCAGTAGGTGTGTTTCTTGGCCCGTATGTACTTACGTGCCTGTCCTGGCGCTCATGTATAGAATTCGATGATGACATCTTCTCGACAATAAGTACAGCCCCGTCGGGCATTCGCTCACTACTTCATCAAATCAGCGTTTACTTGATGGGCTCAAGATGAGCGCGTTACACCTTGGGGCAACGTGTGGCTTCCCTGCGATCCAGCGTCCGCCTTCTCTGGTTGCTGTTCCGCCCAATCGCTGGTACATCCTAACGGGGGTCGAGGAACTGTGCATCACGTATGTAGCACCTAGATCAATGAACATCATTTGCAAAAACTGTGCTCGAATTTTCCTTGTTCCCGTATTGGCATTGGGATGTGCGATCTCCGTGGATATCGAGCCTTGAAGCTTGGAGCTTGAGGGCTAATGAGATGAGACACTACTACTCCGTGCATCGCCGTTAACGCCGATCTTGTTGAAGCAGTGCCGGTCGCAGAATCGTCTACGGGGAAATCACTGAGTGTCTCCTTACTGGGTTGTTCCCGAAGTCACTACTCCCTTCTAACATATTCGTCTAATGACGCAAGCGTCTAGTTTCACGAGAAAACGAGCTCGTCTACTTTCTCGGATTTGCTCCGAGGTGTATCGTCCGAATAATGGAAATAGACATCACGAAAGCACGATCGAAGGTGGATAGGCATGGGCGAATGGCGCCTTTTGATGGTTCATGTCTCGGGGGCATGCCCAGTCACGACTAAGCAGATACAACGTTGATATATATATGATTGTTGTCAATTTGTGGACATGCCGTTAATCGATGAGGGTCGAATGAATACAATCACTTTAGAGGAGCGTCATGTACGAATGCATCGCGATATAATACTTGGAACAAGAACCACATCATCAAAAATACAATCAGATGCCTCATCTGGGCTGAGGCCAATTCGCAATCTGCGCGCTCTTTCCAGTCAACTGAAAACTATACTTGATCTCCCCCGTTGTGTCGAGCCAAAAATTGTAAGTGCCTGGATAGAGAACGCGATTCCCGTCTTCGTCCACTCGCGCGATCGTACCGAGGGTAACGGTCAGTGTCGCGGTGGATGTGTGCCCAGGAGAGATGTTCTTTAAGCGGGCATAAGACACGAGCTCCTTCAACGGAGCAGGCGATGGCCCGGCGGTGGTGTTGGTGAACAAGAGTACGACGTAGTCGGATGTAGTCTTGCCCGTGTTCTTCACATCCACCTGAAACGTGTCGAGGAGAGCGAGATCAACATACGGCGCACCAGATTTTTTAGCGGACGCGACAAGATCCTGGATATGATAAGACGGCTTTGGGCTCCCCTTCACCCATGCAAGTGCGAAATTCGTGTAATGAAGACCGAATCCAAATTCGAAAATGGGCGTGCCAGTGTACCACTTGTAAGTGCGGCCTGGGGTATCGGAAGACGAGTTAGGTCGCAAGGCCATGTCAGTCATGGGGATCTGATCTACGTAGGCGGCGGGGTATTGGGTGACTGGAAGACGTCCCGCAGGTGCTTTGGTGCCAGTGAGGATGTCTACGAGTGCGGTACCACCGCTCTGTCCAGGATATCCGGCCCAGATGAGAGCGTTAATCTGGGACATGATTCCATAAGCATAGAGAAGTAGCATGGTCTACCGAGCATACACACCGAGCTATTGGCTTTTAATTCTGAGTCGTCAACTTGGCCACCACCCATTTGAACTACGACGACCGGCTTCTCAAGGCTCGCGAGCTGACTGATCAAATCCAGCTGGTTTCCCGGCCAGACGATGGAAGTGCGATCATTTTCCTCGGCCTCAATCGAATTATCTATTCCTCCAACGTAAACGACTACCTCTGCATCTGAAACTGTGGCGAGAGCGGCGCTAAAACCGCTGGTATCGCTAGTCGACACTGCAGTGCCAATTTGAAAAGTGACATTGTACCCGGCGGTTTGAAGCGCCTGGAGAGGACTGATGAGGAATGGCGCAACACCTGCGTAGTTGCCTTGCATCTGCGTCGTTGCGTTCGCCCAAGGTCCGATAAGCGCAATATTCTTTATACGCTTGGAAAGTGGTAGGATGCCATCATTCTTGAGGAGGACAAGGCCCTCAGTAGCGATGAGATGAGCGAGACTTTGAGCGTTGGGTGTATTGACATCTTGCCAGCTCAATTGGCGGTACGGTTGAGTCTCGGCAGGATCGAAATATCCGAGTCTGGATAGCAAAACACGCGATCAGTATCGGCAATACGAACTCGAGTGGCGAGGCGTACCTCACGAGTGATCCGTAGAGGCGCACGAGAGCTTTCTGAATGTCCGCTTCAGTAACAAGTGATTCATTGACAGCTTGAACAAGCGAAGTAGAGAACGAATCTCCGCAGTCCACATCCGTTCCAGCGTGTAGTGCGACGGCAGAAGCATTGACCAAAGTCGTCGTGTAGTGATGAAAATCGAAGATACTCTCCACAGCCGCACAGTCCCCGGTGACCCACTTGTCCTCTCCAAACCCGAAATAATCCCGGATGACGTCTTGGAGAAGGTATGAGCTAGCACAGGACGGCACGCCGTTCACGGCATTGTAGCTGCACATGATGGACGCAACCTTGGCATCTCGCACACAGCTCTGGAATGAGGGAGTGTAATATTCGGAGAGATCCTGAGTCGAGACAATGGCGTTGAAGCCCTTGCGATCATTTCCGTGCCAGTTCTCGAGGTCGTATGCTGCAAAGTGCTTGCAGTCGGCAATGACCTTGTAATAAGGCTCCGGGTCGAACCCGCCTTGCAGCGCGGGGACCAGCTGGTAGACATACTGCGCAATATGGAAAGGATCTTCTCCAGGTGTCTCCTGTCCACGGCCCCAGCGTGGATCTTTGAATGGGTTGATGTTTGGGGTGAAGAAGTCAAGCCCGGCCCAGCCAGCGTTGCCGAAGGCACGAGCTTCAGTACTGATGACTTCTGCGATGGAATGTATGAGGGGGTCATCGAAGGCCGCACTCATCAGGATCGGTTGAGGAAAAGAAGTCGCAAAGCTGAACTCTTCCCCAGCAGGGGCGAAATGGGATCCTGGGCTATTCGCTACACCGTGCTGAAGATAATTGAGGATCATCAGAGTGAGTCGAGCAGATAAAAGTAGATAATAAAAGATACCAAAGCCTCACTCCACCAATTATAAGGGGGCAAGCCCAGACGCTCGACTCCAGGAGACATATTGACTGTGTTGTTAACGAGCTCCTCTAAAGTTAACTCGGCGACAAGAGCTTTCGCCCTGTCAAGGTAGGGAGCGCTGGTATTGCACACCAGGTTCGAAGCGAGTGGTCCATTGACACAATCGGGAAACGCAGCGAGTGCGTGATGAGACAGAGCAGTCAGTGAGATGACGAGCTGCATGGATAGGGGTAGCATCGTGGCTGGCTAAGAAGTAAGTTCCATCGATGCTCGTCCTTTTTGACAATCGTTGCTGTAATAAACAAATAGACGTCGCGGGGACCATCGAGAGGCGGTCCGGATTTGGCATCAAGTCCATCAGGTGCAAAAGGCTTCTATAAAAAATCGGGCGTGCTCATAGCGTCAAACAGGATAGACAGCCTGGTGACAATGGCACGGGATGAGAGTATGTTAAATATAACCGTGCGAATGAAACTCACATGATGCAGTTCCGAGGCATCATGCGTCTTCCACATGGACCCAGTCTACCGACCCTTCTGCGAGATGTTCATTGCAGCAACTGCAGAGCCCACAGAGAATCACCTAGGATGACAGAAGAGGCCAATTGTGGAACTTCCAGCACCCAAAGAGCAAGTCAGCCGCTTTGAATGTTATAAAGAGACATTGTGAGGGTGCTAGATGCTCTCAGAGTCAAAAAAGGAGACATGCGTATGAATTTAAAGGCGATGGCCAGCGTGAGAACGATGGCACCTCGTGTTTGCATGCACCAAATATGGCATCTCTTTGTCCAAATCGAGGATGACGGCGTAGCATCCATCCATAAATCCATCCATCCATCCATCCCTATATAGAGGGCGACAGTGAAGAATTGTGGCAAAACTCCGCCGGCTAATGTCGCGTGTTGTCGCTTATGCTCGCGTGGGCCACGTAAGAAACCACGCGAGCGAAGCGAGCGCCATGACAAATTTGGCGAGCGGAGCGAGCTGTCTCTTCAGCCGCCCGGCAACCTCCGCAACTGGAGCGGGCCGTGTCTCGGCAGCTGTCGGGGTTTCACACGGCATCCCGGTCTGCCCGGCAATGCCAGCAACTGGAGCAGGCCGTGCCTCGGCAGCCATCGGGGCTCAAAATGGCATTCTGGCACCCCACAGGGAACCTCACGGGGGAGCCTCATAGGGCAGAATCTCATAGGGGAGCCTTATGGGCAGAACCTTTCATGGAATATGAAAAGGGAGCCTAATAGGGAAGCCATATAGGCAGGATCTGGCAGAGGAACCTTATAGGGAAATCTTTTGAATGTCATTTTGCAAAATCTCATAGAAGGGCCTTATAGGGGAATCTTATAGGCAGGACATTATAGAATATCATGGGAACTAGACTTTATGGGCACTAAAAGTGATATTCTAGCACCTTATAGAGGAGCTTCACAAGAGAGCCTCACTGGCAAGATCTTATAGAGGAACCTGACAGAGGAACATAATAGGTAAGCATAATGGAGAAACCTAACAGGGGAATATAATAAAGGAACCTATATAGGAGAACCTTATATGGGCCATATCTTGGCAGCTGTTGGAGCTTGAAATAGTATCGCAGCACTTTATGGGAAAGCCTTATAGGTATGACCTTATAGAGGAACTAAATAATACTTGACAAGAGAGTCTTATATAGAGAATATTATGGGCAGGACCTTATAGAATATGATCAGAGAGCTATATTAGGGCAAAATAATTTATGGGCACTGGACTTTATAGGCACTAAAATTTACAGGCACTGGGCTTTACAAGCACTGGACTTTACGAGCACTGGACTTTACAGAGACTAGACTTTACAGGCACATGAGACCAAGCACTGTAACAAAAACTCAGATTAAGCATGGTTGTGCCGTCGCAACGCGACGGGTGAGAAGCTAGTAAATAGAGGGCGACACTGGAAAATTGTGGCGCTGGGCCGGCGGCTCAGGTCGCGTGTCTTCGCTTATGCTCGCGTGGGCCACGTAAGAAACCACGCGAGACCACTGTCCCATAGGCTTCGGGATGCGAAACGGAGCATGTCGGAGCTTGAAACAGAGTTGGTCAGCGCGCGCGTGCCCGGAGCTAACCTAACCATAGGGAATTCTCTTCCCCTGGCACTATCTTGCAGTGATTTCTTCAGGCAAGGGGGCATTCACCAAGTGCTTAGCTTGGCAACCACTCTAGGCTCTTGGTTTTGTTTGCAGGCATTTTTTTTATGTAAATAAATAATAAATAAAAGGGGACAATAAGAAATGGTGGCACTGGGCTAATAGCTCAAGTCATATGTCCTTGCTCACACTTATGTAGGCCACATAAGAAACCATGTGAGCAAAGCAAGCATCCATGACAAATTGGGTGAGCAGAGTAAGCCATGTCTTGATGCTCCTAGCAACCCTAGCAACTAGAGTGGGCTATGCCTCTGCAGCCATTAGAGCTTGAAATGGCATCCCAGCACCTCACAGAGAACCTCACGGGGGAGCCTTATAGGTGGGACTCTAATGGGGGAGCCTCATAGGGCAGAATCTCATAGGGGAATCTAATGGATGGGACCTTATAGGGAGCTTTATATGGGATTATTACAGGAAGGACCTTATAGGATATTATAAAGAGCCATATAAGGATATTGGGGCACAAGACTTTATAGGCACTGGACTTTATAGACACTGGACTTTATGGGCACTGGAATTTATGGGCACTGGACTTTGTGAACATTGGACTTTACGGGCACTGGACTTTACAGGCACTAGACTTTATAGGCACTGGACTTTACAGGCACTGGACTTTACGGGCACTGGACTTTATGGGCACTGGACTTTATAGTCAGTGCACTCTACAGGCACATGAGACCAAGCACTACAACAAAAACTCAGATTAAGCATGGGCACTGTACTTCACAGGCACTAGACTTTATAGGCACTGGACTTTGTGAATACTAGACTTTACAGGCACTAGACTTTACAAACACATCGGACCAAGCACTGTAGCAAAAACTCAGATTAAGCATGGTTGCGCCGTCGCAACGCGACGGGTGAAAAGCTAGTCCATAAATAGAGGGCGACACTGCAAAATTGTGGCGCTTAAGCGACGGCTATGCTTGCGTGCTCCTCGCTTATGCTCGCGTGGGCCACGTAAGAAACCACGCGAGACCACTGTCCCATAGGCTTCGGGACGCGAAACGGAGCGTGTCTGAGCTTGAAACGGAATTGGTCAGCGCGCGCGTGCCCGGAGCTAACCTAACCATAGGGAATTCTCTTCCCCTGGCACTGTCTTGCAGTGATTTCTTCAGGCAAGGGGGCATTCACCAAGTGCTTAGCTTGGCAGCCACTCTGGGCTCTTGGTTTTTTTTGCAGGTATTTTTTTTATGTAAATTAATAATAAATAAAAGGGGACAATAAGAAATGGTGGCACTGGGCTAATAGCTCAAGTCATATGTCCTTGCTCACACTTATGTAGGCCACATAAAAAACCCTAGCAACTAGAGTGGGCTATGCCTCTGCAGCCATTGGAGCTTGAAATGGCATCCTAGCACCTCACAGAGAACCTCATGGGGGAGCCTCATGGGTGGGACTATGATGGGGGAGCCTCATAGGACAGAATCTCATAGGGGAATCTAATGGATGGGACCTTATAGGGAGCTTTATATGGGAATCTTACAGGAAGGACCTTATAGGATATTATAAAAGAGCCATATAGGGATATTGGGGCACTGGACTTTATGGGCACTGGACTTTATGGGGACTGGACTTTATGGGCACTGGACTTTATAGTCAGTGCACTCTACAGGCACATGAGACCAAGCACTACAACAAAAACTCAGATTAAGCACGGGCACTGGATTTTACAGGCACTGTACTTTATAGGCACTAGACTTTATAGGCACTGGACTTTGTGGGCACTAGACTTTATAGGCACTGGACTTTATAGGCACTGGACTTTGTGGGCACTGGACTTTGTGGACACTAGACTTTATGGGCACTGCACTTTATGGACACTGCACTTTACAGATATTGCATTTTACGGGCACTGCACTTTACGGGCACTGCACTTTACGGGCATTGCACTTTATGAGCACTGCACTTTATGGGCACTGCACTTTATGAGCACTGCACTTTATGGGCACAAGACTTTACAGGCACGTCGGACCAAGCACTGTAACAAGAACTCAGATTAAGCATGGTTGCGCCGTCGCAACGCGACGGGTGAGAAGCTAGTCTCTATATAGAGGGCGACAGTAGGGGTCCGGTGGCAACTAGCCGTCGGCTAATCCCACGCGACAAACCACGCAAGACCTCTGTCCCATAGGCTTCGGGACGCGAAACGGAGCGTGTCGGAGTTTGAAATGGAGTTAGTCAGCGCGCGCGTGCCCGGGGCTGCTGCGAGCCTTGCGATACCTAATCTCTGCCATCAACCATCATCATCTCTGTCCCAGACCCTCATCTGTGCTCTCCTCTGCTTTATTCCTCACTGGCTTTTCTCTCAAACTCTACTCTGCTCTACTGGGTGTCTTTGAGCACGGATTCTGCTTAGAAAAAGCCTACAGGGTGTGAAGTCTACCAGCACGGCCTTAGTTTGCTGTAGCCAAAAGTAGTCTTTTCATAGCTGCCTGGACCTCTCTCATCCTGCGGTGTTTCAGTTGCTCAGGTACCTTTTACCACGATCTCACAGTCACAACGACCTGCTTTGCAGACAACGGGTGACATTGAGTCGTCAAAGAGCATTGGGAATCCTCTTCCCCTGGCACTGTCTTGTGGCAATTTCTTCAGGTGAACTGTGAGGGGGCATTCAGCGAGTGCTTAGCTTGGCAACCATTCTTGGCTCTTGGTTTTGTTTGCAGGTGTTTTTTTTTATTTAGCTTTTCACAATGAGTGTTCCACCTTTGTAAGTCTGTGTTGCTTGCATCATGTCCATTGTGCTCAATTCTTTTTTTAGGCCTCCTAACGAGGGTGTGGTGGAAGTCTGGATGCCTGCATTGGCACCTTTGTGAGTATTTTTGGCTTGCTTGGATACTGTTTCAGTGCTAAAATTCTCTTTAGAGATGATGATGAGGATGATCTCTATATGACACCCCCACCTGAGACTGTACATAAGTATGTGACTTACTTTTTGCTTATTGGTTGTGTGTACTCATATTTGCTATAGTGAGAATGCCAATAATAGTGAAGATGAGGATGATCTGTATATGACTCCTCCACCTGAGAATCTCAATGGGTATGTGGTTTTATTTAATCTTTTTATGGTCATTGGCTAGAAAGAAGAAACCATAGATATGTTGAAAACCAAGAGGCTATTGAAGAGGCTGCCCATGTGGATGTGACTATGACAAGGTATGCAGTTTTTGTTAAATCACACAAAATTTGTTTATTAATTTTAGGGTTTATAAGAACTCCTCCTAGGACTCCTGAGCATGAGCGCCAGACTGTGCAGGAGCAAGAGCGTGCTGAAAGGCTTCAGATGACTTCTCCTACTCTTCGGCGCGAGCGTTCTGCATTACGAGGCTCTATTTGTCAGCCTGTCTTTGAGGATCTCTCTAGACCTTCCCATCCTGTCACTTCTAATCCTGCTCAGCCTCCTATTTCTCTTGCACCACCCATTCAGCTTCACCAGCCTGCCACACTTGCTCCTCCTGTCCAGTCATACTATTCTGCAGTTGCTGCTCCCTCTGCTCCATCATATTATCCTGCTCAATATGTTCCTCCCTACTTTTATCCTGCTCCCATGTTCCAACACTCTGTCTATCATGGTGCTACGGCTTACCAAATTCCTGGACAGTATCCTATCTATGCTCTTCCTCCAATGCCTGCACCACCACCTCATTATTGGCCTGTCAATGTTTCTGCCTATCCTAATCTTCCACGACACTTGATTGGGAATCATGATCGACAGGCTCGCACACGTCTTGCAGCAGCTAGCCATCCTGATTATGAGCATCGTATGATGGAGAATTTTGAAAGGACTCATGCAGAACATAGACGTCGTCGTAGAGAAAGCACAAGGCCTGAACCCAATAACCCTCCTCATCCTACATCTTCTATAAGACAACAGGAAGAGAATAATCATTATGCAATTCTTGACCAGCAACATCAGCAAGATATTCAGCAGCAGCAGCACCTTCATCATCAGCTTGATCTTGCAGAGCAGGCACATCATCTAGACCTTGAAGAGCAGGCACATCAGCATAACCTTGCTATCCAACAAAATAATCAAGCTGTAGTGGCTCATCAGGCTCTCCAAAATCTGCCTCTAGGTCGCCGTCCATATCAAGAGCCTATTGCACGTCACAGCCTTGGTCTTATGAATATAGAATGTGCTCACTGTCTTGCACTCCATTTCTCTTCTGAACGTCTTACCAACTCCAGTCGTATCCACCCTCGCTTTGGCATGTGCTGCTTACAGGGTCAGATCAGATTGCCTGCATTTTTGCAACCTCCCCCAACCTTGCGCCGACTGCTTTGGGAAGGTGGTTCAGTTCCAAAATTTTTTAGAGATCATATCAGGCAGTACAACAGTGCATTTGCATTCACTTCTATTGCTGCAAAGCTATCAGATCATGTTACCTCTACCTCTGGGCCTTATTCATTTAAAATTCATGGGGAACTGTCTCATAAGATGGGAAGCTTGCTACCACCTAACAACATCAAACCCTCCTATGCTCAGCTTTATGTTATTGATCCTCAGGCTGCACTTAATGAGCGCAACAACAATAATGCCAACTTGAGATCTGAAATCATGAATGACTTGCAGGATATGTTTCATACACACAATCCTTATGTTCCTTTGTATCGTCATGCCTATCAAATCCTGGCAGAAAAGAACCCTGGAGAGAATGACAAGATTTCAGCTCGCATCACAGTCTTGCCTAATGCCGATCATCGTCGCTATAATGAGCCTACTGTTGATGAGGTTGCTGCTATTATACCTGGGAATGGAGATGAGGAAGTGGATTTGCACAGAGATATTGTTGTCCGCTATAACCATGGAGGTCTAAAGCACTTTAGCCATCTTCACCCTCACTACAGTCCCCTACATTATGTGACATTGTTTCCACATGGCGAACAAGGCTTTCATCCCAATATTCCTGCTCATCCTGGACCTAATGGCCAAATGCTCTCATTCAAGGTGTCTCAGCGCTGTTATTATGCATATCTTCTTATGCGCTGTTTGCTTGAACCTGAAACTATCTTCAGAGCTGGCAAGCTATTTCAGCAATATGTGGTTGATGCTTGGGCATCTATTGAGTCTAGCAACCTTTTCTGGATCAGGAACCATCAGAAGGAGATTAGGGCAGACAAGTACCAGTCACTGTTTGATGCCATTCATGCAGAAGCAGGTATCAACCTAGGCCAACAAGGAAGGCGCATAGTTCTTCCCTCCACTCATGCAGGCAGTCCACGTTATATGTATCAGCTTTTCCAAGACTCTATGGCTATCACTCGCCATTGTCATAAGCCAGACATCTTCCTTACCATGACTGCAAATCCTAATTGGCCAGAGATTCAAAAAGAGCTCTTGAAATATGATGATGGTACAACTCAGAATCCTTCTGATCGTCCTGATTTGGTGGCACGTGTCTTTGCACAAAAGATGAAGGCTTTGCTCAAGGAGATCAAAGAGGGCCTGTTTGGAGGGGTTGCTGGCATGGTATATACCATTGAGTTTCAAAAGCGTGGGCTTCCTCACATGCACCTTCTCCTTTTCTTGAAGCAAGAACACAAAATTCAGAGTGCTGAAGATGTGGATCGAATTGTCTCTGCCCAGCTCCCTGATCCTGCCACCCATCCTATGCTATATGAGTCTGTCACCAAATACATGCTTCATGGACGTTGTGGCCCTGAATTCCCTCAAGCACGTTGCATGGAGGAAAAGAATATTGGCAGCACAAAGGTCAAGGTCTGTAGCAAGCATTATCGCAAGGACTTCAATGAGCACACCCTTTATGGTGAAGATGGCTATCCTACATATGCTAGACCAAACAATGGGCGCACTTTCACTCGAGGTGCTATGCAGTTTGACAATCGCGATGTTGTTCCTCATAATCCCTATCTTCTTGCCAAATATAACTGCCACATCAATGTAGAGGTCTGCGCTTCTATCAAGGCCATCAAATACATTCACAAGTATATCTACAAAGGTCCTGATCATGCCACTATTGAAATTGGAGATATTGATGAGATTAAGGACTATGTGGATGCTCGCTATATTGGACCTATGGAGGCTTGCTGGAACATCTTTGAATTCCCAAGGCATCTGGAGTTTCCTTCAGTCTATCGTCTTCCTGTTCATCTTCCTAATTAGCAGCAGGTCTATTTTGATTCTGATGACAATCCTGAAGAACTTCTCAATAGTAACAAGTCCCAAAAGACAGAGTTGACTGAATGGTTCATTGCCAACCAAAAGTATCCTGCTGCCCATGCTTACATTTATCAAGACTTTCCTCCCTTCTATGTCTGGAATCAAAAGAATAGAGCATGGACACCACGTATTCAACACTCAACTATTGGCAGAATGTACTATGTTCATCCCTCAGCAGGAGAGCGCTTTTACCTCAGGACCTTGCTTACTATTGTTAAGGGTGCCAAGGACTGGAAGGACATTCGCACTTATCAAGGCATTGAGTATCCAACCTTTCGTGAGGCCTGCTTTGCACGTGGCCTTTTGGAGGATGATGGAGAGTGGGATATGGCCTTGGCTGAAGCAGCAGACATGCAGACTGGATCTCAACTTAGATCCCTCTTTGCCACCATCCTTTGCTTCTGCATTCCTTCACAACCTCTTATTCTTTGGAACCGCTACAAGGACAAAATCTGTGATGATCTGCATGTGCGTCTTACTGCCATGGGCTTTCCTGATCCTACTCAAGAGGATGTCTTTGATTATGGCCTCTATCTTCTGGACAAAGTCCTTACTGGAATGGGAAAGCGCCTCATTGACTATCCTCCTATGCCTTTGCCTCTGCAAGATTGGAACCAAGCTGCAAATGTGCTTCTTCAAAATGAGCTCAACCATGATTATGTGGCTCTTTGGGAACAGGTCAGTTACCATGTATCCTTCAAAGTTGACCTTGAGCTGACCTTGCACTTCAGGTGGAGACTAATCTATTGACCTTCAATGCTGAGCAGAGGAATGCCTATGATGCTGTTATGCAGTCAGTCCAGTCCAACCAAGGCCAAGTCTTCTTTCTGCATAGTGCTGGAGGTGGTGGAAAGACCTATGTTTGCAACACCATTGCTGCCTCTGTCCGCTCTCAAGGCAAGGCTGCTCTTTGTGTTGCTTCTTCTGGCATTGCCTCCTTGCTTCTGGATGGTGGTCGCACTGCTCACTCTCGCTTCAAAATCCCCATTGAGGGTCTCAATGAGCGCTCCTCTTGCTCTTGGGAGAAAAACTCTGACTTTGATGGTCTTATTCATCAGACTGGGGTGGTCATTTGGGATGAGGCACCAATGCAGCATCGCTATGGAATTGAAGCCGTTGATCGCACTCTTCAGGATCTCATGGATAACCCTGCTCCTTTTGGTGGTATTACTGTGTTGTTTGTTGGAGACTTTCGTCAGACCTTGCCTGTGGTTCCCAAAGGAAGCAGAGAGCAGATTGTGGCTGCATCTTTGCGCAAGTCCTCACTCTGGAATCATATCCAACTTCTCACTCTCAAACAGAACATGCGCCTAGACCAGACTCCTGAAAGCAATGCCTTTGCTCAATGGCTCCTCAATGTTGGTTCTGGCTATAACCTTGGTGAAGACAAGTCTATTGAACTTCCTCCCAACATGCATCTTGATAACAACACTAAGCAGTCCTTGATTGACTTTATCTATCCTGATATCTCTGATCAGCACCCCAAACCAGACCACTTCTTCCTTAACCATATGATTCTTTCTGGGCGCAATGACACTGTTGCTGAGATCAACAAGGAGATTCTGGCCAAGTTTCCTGGAGAAGACAAGCTCCTGACCAGCATTGACTCTGTCAAAGATATAGAGGGTTATCCTATAGAGTTTTTGAACTCTATCAATATCTCTGGCCTTCCTCTTGCTCACCTCCATGTCAAAAGAGGTTGTCCTCTTATTCTTTTGCGCAACATTGATCCCTCTCATGGCCTATGCAATGGCACTCGACTCATCTTACTTGAGGCAAGGACACGTGTCTTAAAATGCCGCATCTTGGGTGGAGCACATGCTGGAAGAATTGTGTTTATCCCTAGATTAACCCTGGAGCCATCTGGAGAAGCCTGCCCTATTCCTTTGAAGCGCAGACAATTCCCTGTTCATGTTGCCTTTGCTATGACCATCAACAAATCACAAGGACAGTCTGTCAAGTTTGTTGGATTGGATTTGGAGCGGCCTGTATTTTCCCATGGCCAACTTTATGTTGCACTGTCACGCTGCACATCAGGAGATAGAATCAAGGTGTTATTCCCACCAGACTCACAAGGGACCAAAACCACCAATATAGTGTACCCTGAGGTATTGCAAGGCATTTTGGATAATCAATAGTATGTCTTGGATCATAATCATTGTGACATGGCTAACAATTATAATAGGACTTGAACAAGGACTGTAGTATAAAACTTATATAGAAACTTCTTACACTTTGACTCTCAATCCCCACTCTAACTTTTTATATGTATGCTTGAAATAAAACTGCTACTCTAACTTGGCTGCTTGACTAAAACCCAACCACAAACTAAGCACTATAACACAAACTTAGATTAAGCATTGTCACATAACCTCAGACTAAGCACTGCAACAAAAACTCAGATTAAGCATGGTTGCGCCGTCGCAACGCGACGGGTGAGAAGCTAGTCTAAAGAGAGTGGAAGGGCAGTATCTCGCGTGGCAACACGTGAAAACCACGTGAGAACCCGAGCGCGAAGCGCGAGGGGCCAAACCTGACAAACTGCGGCGAGCGCGAAGCGCGAGGCTAAAACAATTACTTTATTGGCCAAATTATTAATTTCTCTTCTCCTGATTAAAGCATTTTCTGCACCAAAAATCCAAAAAGGGAACCTGACAAAATATGACAAAATCCATAGAGCACAAGGCAAAATATTCTGACTCTAACCATCAATGTACCTTATATTTTCAACTCAATACCTGCTAAATCTATGCATTCTGTGTATATGTCTTTTACATTGGTGGAAAACTCTAGGAACATTACTCAAGTTAGATTAAAATGTCCAATAACCTATAAAAGAAGTGCAATGAAACTAATAGGAGCACATATAACAGGAGCACATACAATGAGAGCATATGTAATGGGAGCACACACAACAAGAGCACATACAACAAGAGCACATATAATAAGAGCACACATGATAGGAGTATGGGAGCATACATAATGGAAGCATACACAATAGAAGCATACACAATAGGAGCCTATGCAATGGGAGCATATGCAACAAGAGTACAAGCAACAGGAGCACATGCAATAGGAGCACATGCAATAGGGGCATATATAATCAAAGCACATACAACTAGAGCATATCTAATAGGAGCATACCACACATAATGGAAGCACACCCAACTAAAGCACATCTAATAGAAGCACATGTGATGGGAGTATACACAATAGGAGTATACACAATGGAAGCACACATAATGGGAGCACACTATATGTAATTGGAGCATACTATATGTAATGGGAGCACATATAATAGGAGCACACCTAACTAGAGCATATCTGATAGGAACACATATAATGGGAGTACATACAATAGGAGCACACATGATGGAAGCACATCCAACTAGAGCATATCTAACAAAAGCACACCACATACAACAAAAGCATATCCAATAAGAACATACCCAATAAGAGCATACCCAATGAGAGCACACTCAACAAGAGCATACCTAATGAGAGCACACTCAATGAGAGCACACCCAATAAGAGCACATTCAACAAGAGCACATCCAATAGAAGCATATACAATAGTAGCATACCTAATAGGAGCACACACAATTCAAGCACGCACAATGGGAGCACATATGACAGCAGCACACACAATAAGAGCATATACAATAAAAGCATACAAAATGAGAGCACATGTAATAGGTAATCAAGTCACAAGTATATAGCCAACAATAGATTACACACAGACTACATACAGACGACACTCAGACTATAGGTAGCCTATAATCAATGCATAGTTTGCAACTAACACGGAATATTTCAATCCTCATAGTCATTTAAAACTAAACTACAAAACTCAGATTCAACCCTAACCCCAAGAAATACTATTAAGCACTGTGCAAGAGTCGCGAAGCGACGGGTCGGAACTCGTCATAACTACGGCTTGTTGACCGGACTATGCTGCGTGAGTGAGTTCTCTTGCTCTTATTTTGTGGTCATTGATCTCACTCATGTGGATGGATTGCTCTAGACATAAACAGAGACTGTTGTGATTCTGGCGCACTTCATTGTTTTTCAAGGCATTTGAACGAATACCTCCGTCTTTTCTACAGATTCGCATGGGTTTTGTGGGCGTGATGTCCCGGTGAAGGCAGTGTTGAACGTATATTGCTGTCTAGCTAAGCATCAACTCTACAGGTAAGTGCATGATTCACGGGAATTAGGCGATTTAAATGCTTTGAAACCCGCCATCTTGACATCTTCTCGTCGCCCAAGCTGTAGGTAATCTGGCTCTCGCGCTGCATTTTTTTTTCTGCCGCTATAAATGGTGCACTCGCCGATTCCCCGGAAAACCCATCATTTTCATGGTCGGTGGCCAGCCCTACACAATCGAGTGACGCAATTGAGTAAAGATCATACCGCGTCATAGCAGACAAGATCTAAATGGCCCAGGTATGTAAAGGCAGTTTCCCGGTTGGCGTGTTCGTCTCATCTTGGTCTTCTCCATCGGGTACCTACGAGATATTTTAGCATCATCGCTTCCCTCTCTCTATCACGATTCACTCTGTCCATCTTTCATCACGTTTACATCCAATTCTCCCATTCACTATGCCTTCCATCTCCACCTCCTCTGCTGCTCCTCGCATCTCTTCTTTACTCCGTCGACTTCCTTTCTACAACCGCGGTCCTGCCATGACTTCCGCTCAGCTGCTAGAGAAAAAGCTTGCTAAAGCTTTGATTTCTCTCAAAAATCCTCCGACCATGAGGGAGCGTGTCAAACGAATGGGAGATCGCTGCTTCGGTATGTTCATATCTTTCGACGCTTGACATACATCTCTCATGCGATGTTTTGAAGAGAAAGTCCGACATGTTAAGAAGACCGGAGGATCATCCAACGTCGTAGAACGTGAAGCCCCCATCTGGGTCGACCGCTCTGGCTATGTCACTGTGACCTTCGTCGCGGATGGCGAACACGAGCTGCAGTTCTCATCCAGCCCGGTTAGAATTAAAACGCCCGTTCGATTGGTCGAAAGCGTTATCGCCCCTGACACTACCGCCCTGCACCCCGAGTCGAATGACCCATTCCCTTCGAAGCTCAGCGGCGAGGAGAACATGCGTCAGATAGACCTCCTCCTCACCATGGCCCAGAACACGTTCTCCGACGACAAACACTCCACTCCCGTCGACACTATCACTCTCGAAGCATGCGACATCGCCAGCGGTGGAAGCTCTTGCGAGCCGCCATCTTCACCCAAGCCTATACAGCATCCCGACGTTACAATGGGAATGGGATTTGACGTCCTCGCCTTTCTCAAGGAGCTTGGGGAGATGTCCGAAGCTGAGGCACAATCTAGGTGCTTGTATGCCAGCCAATCCATGGAGCACGAACAAGAGCAGGACGTCCATCTACAGGAGCTCTGGGCGCAATTCATGCATTTCCCGGAGGTCGCACCTGCGGAGATACCAAGCCCCATTCTAGAGCCCATTCCAATCATACAGGTCAACGGACAGGAGGTGGAGATCTTTGACATCGACGCAATCTGGGCGGAAGCCATCGCAGTCAAGAAGGCTAGAGGGCCCGAGGTCGAGGTCTTCACGGAGCTGTGGTGATGGGGAGTGAGGGTAGTACGAATGTGGGGGCCGTGGATATGGCGTTGGTTAGGAGGTGGGGTCTTATATGGTGTTCAATGGGATCTGGTGGTCAAATTGTTGCTCGCGACAGAAATAGGCTGCTGGATACTATGGGTAACCGCCGTTTACGGAGAACCGGAAGGTCTATTTTCTGTTCTGTTCATGGGGTATCTGAACTAAGTAGGTTTCTCCTGGAGATGGAGGCGTAGCGTGCAGCTGTGATTGTCAATGCTAGAGGCAGAGTTCCTCCGGCTGGGGACTAAGCGGATGGCAAAACAGGGTCGGTTGATACGCATCGCATGTGGAAATATAGGCGAGTCATCATCATATTCGAAGATTTCTCTCTTGAATCGTGTTGAACTTTTTCTGCTAATGTATTTGAGGTTTTTTACAGGTTCTCAGTCCATTTCCCCATTTCCAGGTTCACCGTAACCTATACATCATCACGATGAAATGCCTCGCTATTGGGTTTCGGTGGCATCATATCCGCCTGGCCAGGGACTGTCATTGTCGAGTTTCACATCGGAGAGCATTGTGTGGCCATGATGATCATGGACACTGGTCTTTTTACCTGTCATCCGTCGTCTCCAAGGTAAGTTTACTAAATAATGAATCGCTTGATGTTTATTGATTGCTATTACTGTTAACTCCACGTATTAGATGAAGGTTGTCGTTTATGAAGCTTCCAACATATGCAGTGCTCCCCTGGCCAGGAATGTGGAGGTCCATGAATAGCGTTGAGAGGTTTGCTTGGTTGATAGTTGCATGATAAATATTATATGATCTCTTTCTTGGCAGCCTTCGTTATCAGTCTCAAGTCCCTCTACTAGATTTTTTTTATAGAAGAGCTTCAATTCATGTGTCGAATTTTCAAAACCATTCGCAGCGTTCGTACATGAGGCTTCTCTTTTATTGCACCAGCTTTTATTTTGATCTTCTCTCGCCGGATGAGTGCTATATCTCTTCTACTTCTTAGAATATTCATGCTGACCGCACTCGACAGATAATATGAACACAGTTGGAGTGAAAAAGATAAGTTTCTCGGTGTGCTCTCTGTAAGTTTGAAAAGGGCTCATTCGTTTCGTTTCCCTCTAGACATTATATGGAGTTGAAAGTTTGGAAATGTTCGTTTCGTCCCCTTATCTCCTTCCGATGATCCCCGTTGACTATGCTTAACAGATTAGCATGATGTTCGATGTGGGTTTTCATGACTCTAAGTCGCTTCGATGTCCGCCTGATATTAATGATATACGAGCACTGCATCGTTAGGTTGAACAAACTCTCTGCTCGACGATATATTACTTGTACGAAAAGAGAAGGATAGTACACTTCGGTTGAACGCTGCGCGGGTAGCATGATCAAGTGGGAAGGAACCTACCAACGAATATGAAACCTCGGGACTCCCGTTTGAGTGAGTCATCGAACAACCTCGAATCGCTTGCAGTTGGATTACGGAGACTCTGATCAGCGACTAAGTGTTCATTCGCTTTCCCACAAATCAATGAGTTGATCATTTCAAGCCTTCACTCTCATGCTAATATCGTAACAACATTCCCTCATGAAACAGCTCGCAAGCAAAGTAGATGTGTAGCCAAAGAAGGTAAACTCAAAGCCTATGAATACATATCGATGTACAAGTTTGAAAGAAATCGCCATATTCGCGTGACATCCAATTCAACTGTGCGATGGCGGGTGTCAATTCACCAACAAGGTCCGGGAAAAGAGGCACGTACCTGCAGAAATCTCAGAAATTGTTTCCCTCATTGTCTTCTACGCGTATATTACTACCAGCGAATGGTAAAAGTGCGTGAGCGAGGATCCCTGAATGCCTGTGTCGTAAGTCCTCTGATACGCTTGCGTCCATGAAACGTATTATTCTTATCGACCGATGCATGCGGGCTATTATCCAGGTGAAGAGATTGATGTATTCCTGATCGCTCGCCCGCAATTGTTTGCATGAAATACCGAGGTGTGTGACCCTGGAGGGAAAAGGTAGTTTGGGTTCATCGTGGAGAAAATCCCGCCATACAAGGCCAATGAGGATAAGGTGAGACAGGTTTGGGCAATTCATTTCGAGAACTGGATACAGGGAGTCGCCAGTCGTTTCGTTAAGGGAGATGTATGAAGTGGTGAGTCTAGGAGCTTGGAAAGCTAAAAACTGCCGAATGCAGTCAAAATCTTCATCAATCCATCGAATGTGTACTTGTCGGAGGGCGGGGAAGGAGGCGGTTCCGCTGATTCCGTGCCCTTCATTGTCACCGTGTATCAAGGTGATGAAATCGAGGTAAGGGAGTTGGGGGAGAGTAGCCGGGCAAATGTCAGCGCCATCGCCGCCGCCGATCATCACGGTTTGCAAATATAGTTGCTTTCCGAGTAAAGCTGTAATTATTCCACTGTCTGGCCGCGGTTCACTTTCCCAAGATAACATTCGCAGGGATGGCATGCAGTGTGCGCCGATCGTACCACAAACCAAGTCGACAATTGGTCTGTTTGGAGGGGAGTCATCGTCGACATCCATGTCCTCGACCGCGGAAGTATCAATTGAGACGACAAGGATCTGGAGGTTTGGCAGGCGGCTGAAGACATAGGCGATCATAGAGAGAACGCTGTCCTCGATCTCTTCAAACTCTCCGACAAGATCGTGCAGTGTCAAGTCCATACGACGGACCCACCAACCCAGATCTGGTGCTTGCTGCAGGTTGGGATTCCTCAAATCCTGGTATACTGAATATAGTCCATCAAGCCCATGGATGGAAACGGCTTCATACAGAATCGGCATAGCCAAAGTGCGCCATCGTTTGCACACCCGGACGAGAGAATATTTTGTGTCGAGGGCCATCTGTAGGGATTTGATTTGGTGCCCCATATCAAACTTGAGAGGTTGTGAGGCCTCGAATGGGTCGCTGACATCTGCCTCTAGAGCCCCAGGTACAAACGTTGCACACCCAAAAATTCGCAACACGATTTCGTTTGGAATGTCAGAAAAGGCAGTAGGTTGTCCGTTCTGCGAAGTGGCCATCGGGCAAGGTTTAGACTGATCGACTTGCTCAATTGAGTGGGAAAATTTGTTTATAGCAATGAAGACAGCATACGCACATACGGCAGAAGAGTTTGATCTGATATGCCAAGAGCAGGGTATAGCTACGGGAGGTATACTTAGGTCAGTCTTACAAGATTGTTCGCCTGATTTCTGCTGACATTGGTACTTTACCTGTACAGCGCTGATGAAGACTTGGAGAGCAATCGGTCTCTATCACAATGGGGTAGAATCGCTCGAGATGGATGCAAGCCTCACAGCTCGCTTATAAGACAAGCTGGCAAGCTCCTTTCCGATAGCCGGTGGTTCTCCAAGCAAAGCCGCTCAATCAGTCAACATCTTGGTCGGAAACTGCCGTCCACATACACCCACATGCACCCACAAGTCTATCCATCGATAAAAATCGGCCGCGGTGCTCCGCATTGCCTTATCTGAACAGAAAGTTCAGTGAATATGGGAGATACATGTGAAGCACTCTTCGCACAATTCACAATAAACTTTGTTGTGTATTCTACGGATGGATTCGAAGCGTTTCGCTAAAACCTCATCTCTGACCTCCATCGCCGGGCTACATCTCGATTTCGATGCTCTTGGCGGTTTGGTTGTAAACTAATACCTCACCAACTGAAATAAATCTAATCAGGACTATCCTTGGGTTCATGGTACTCTTCAAGTCCGAGTCAAGAGGACGCAGGTCACAAGGTGATCCTTGGACCTTGACCTCTAGACGTGCTCTACACTCAGATAAGTTTTTCATATTAATCCAATCAATTCAACCATATGTGATGAATCATTTTCCTATCAGCGATCAGTTGTACTATCATTTCTCCTCATCTCATCCATAGCTTTCCTTATTTCTGCGGATCGTTCGATGGTCTCCCATAAGCCAGTGGTCCTGCCTGGCTTCCATCCCTCCGGCAATCTTTCATCATGCAACCATCCCTTTAGCATGGCTAATGGTACGCCATCCTCCCCCTTCCCTGGGTTCCTCGCGTCGAATAATCCCAGAACGATGGCCATCTCCCCCCTTGCGATCTCGGCATGGAAGCTATCCAGCACCGCACTGCCATACGTCGCTTCTCGGCGCACCCTTGCTCTGGCGACATCGCGCGCGGTCATGTACCTTCCATCGCGTGAGTCGTCTAGTAGCGCCTTCAGCATCACGTCATCCGGAGCGCTCGGGGCGTATTCATGACGACCTTGGGCATCGTCGTGGACTAGCGAGGCGTTGTGCTCTATACGATTGTGGCGTGCTAGATCTCCCAAACTGAACTCTCCCGCCTGTCCCAGGACGAGTTGGCCACCGTAGCCCAGAACGAACGCAAGAGGCTTGGAAATACCGTAGCCTTCTTGAACGGCGTGTATGATTGTTGCAGCGCTAATTCGTCGCCCGTCACGGGGTCTGGAAATGACAGAAACAGTATCAGCCTGTATGTGACATCGTTGGTGAAAGGTGTCATACAGATACCCATGATTCGCAAGTGTGTTCAACGCAGGACACGGCGCTCGGGAGTCACCTGCCTGTGCTGGGCACCATTCATGGGACTGGCCCGTCATAGGACATGTGCCATTTGCATGTGAGTGGGGAGATAGGGATGTCATCTTTGGAGAGGACTGTAGTTTGGCGTGATCGTAAAGTTATAGCAGAAAACACTTCGAAGTGCCTGCTTTTAACGGGTGGGCTCCTTCCCGTAGAGATGATTGAATAATAATGGACATCATCTTGAAAGGCACATTGAGGCGCGCGAGGAGACATAAGGTCGGTTGCTGTTTGGTCTCAGTCCATACCCCGAACGCAAGGGCTCGCCTAGAAAGGATCGTAATTCACGAAACTCGGTTGCGCATGCGACATATACTCCCTGTACATTTTCGGGCTCTCTTTGCTGGTGTGGATCACGGAGTGACTGATGACATCTTTGAATAGTAGATAGTATCTGTATTCTTTCTTGCATAGGGATTCACATACGAGCTTCATGGTCACCTATGAGTCGGACAGCTCTTCGTTGCCTGGAGCGGAGCGGCAGCTTTTAGACTCCGTGATGCTCGGTTTCCTTGGTATATCTAGGCTGTTGCATATCAGCGTTTCGAAATCGGGTGCTATCTGGGATGGAAAACATATTTTGGAGAATGAAGCGAACTGTTGACTCCGAGGTTTGGGAGTTGCACAGCTAGTTGACGGTCCGAGGGACAGGTTAGTTAGGTATCGACAGCGCCATGCATTCACTGTACCTCGTCTGCCGTTGCCACATGATGCGTGACTCCTGTAACTTTTGATACACCGGACCAAAGATGACCATCCTACATACGCACCCGTAAGTCATGCTGGCACCGCCCGAGCTGATGGGTTCTCAATCTGTTTGCAACCTGGCTGGCGTCATCGTATAATTGTTGGTACGCAACGGAGATAACGAATTCAATGTTCTAACTCACTCATTAGCAAGTGTCAGCATTGGCTGAAGCGGAAGGCGCAGCGCCACGTAGTGATGCTGTGTATTTACGGATATTGTGCCTGAGGCATAATCTAGAAATTTAAACAAGAATAATTCTAGAGCAACAACGAACCGACAAAAAGCGCTCCAACAGGTGCTCATGCTGAAAATACGACCTTCGTTTCGCCGTTAGACGGTCGTGTGACGTTGCGGTTTCAGTGTACGGAGACCACATTTGTTACGTGTGACGAACAGTTGATTTCAGTTCGATACTGAGACACGACTCAAGCGAAGTGTTTTTGATTGTACAGCCTTCAAGAGGGCATCCATCCAAAAGTTTGACATAACACTAGGAAAAGGATTTCTATTTGAATGCGCTGGTCTAAGACAAACAGCGAGATGCAAGGAAACAGTCAGGTCAGAGTAGAGGCTCTTGGTGAGGCAAGACTTGACGTCCTTTGTCACCTAAAAAAATCAATTAAAATGAAGGAGCACATGGAACTCAGCGATGACGATAGGCGCACGGCTGGAGCCCGCCAGGGCACGCCCCACTCCGTGATTATAGATATGTCAATCGATTTGTGAGAAATGCTGAGCGGGCGGCATTTCACGACCTGAGCGGAAAGAACTGGACATACGAGAGAGAAAGTGACTGATGTAGATAACCGAGCGCCCGCAAGCATGCACAGAAGAGGTCAAGCTAAGGCACGCGGAGATGTAACCAGGTGGTTCCCGGTTCATACTTTCGCAAGGCGTTGGAGGAGCGCAGTGAAGCACACAGTTTCGATAGGCGCCTTGCCTAATGGTCCGGGCCGGGTTCCGGGCTCCGCGTTTCACTCTCAACGGAGCACTCCTCGAGTTGAGTGTGTCGGCGCACCATCCTGCTCGGCAGCGGACATCAGAGACATCTATACACAGCAAACCACCACGGAAGTGATGGAAGCGATTGATTCCCGAAACACACTTGTCTCTGAATTTGCTTTTCCAAAGGCGTCAGTATCATAAGATACTGGAGGTAAAGAGCAACCGACTGACAATTCAATGGTTGCACCAAGTCCACGAAGCTGTGAAGGCCCACGGCTCTTGAACAGCATCTATCAGTTTGAGGGAAGCAGGCAGATCAATCACACCATGAAATAAAAAGATGGATTCCTCAAAGTACACCAAGCCCATGGGGCACTGCACCAGCCGGAACATAGCAAGACTACGCGGGAGCATCGAATGCGCTCACTCGATTGATACTCGAAGCCGCTGCGTCGCTAAGCCCACGCGTCAAACACAACTTTGCCGCATCGGCCTTGTTCAAACATCTCGTACGCACTGACAGCGTCTCTGAGGGACACCACGCGCTCCACGACGCCGGCTTCGCCGACCACGCCGAGGACATCTCGCCGCCGCGCAAGGAGGCCGGCAGCGGCGCCAAACAGAGCGCGCACGCTGCACCGCCCGAACTCGAGGGTCACGTTAAGATTATAGAGCTCGCGACCGGTAAACGGGATCGGAGGGGCCTGATGCACGCCACAGGAGGAAAGCACCCCGGACGGAGCGAGGAGGGAAAGCGCCAGGGTTAGCGCCGGAGGGGTGCCGACGACCTGGAAATTGATGAGATTGAGTTGTGAGCGCGGGGAGAGATGGCTGTGAGCGATGGAGAATTGGTAGGTACCTCGAGGACAGCATGACAACCGTGGCGCGCCCATGTAGGGAGGCTTTCAACACCGCAGACGATGAATTCGCTGCCGACAGGGCCCTTGGAGGGGGCCGGGAGAGCATTGTACATGTTTTGCATCTTAGCGCGGCGTGACTTATTCAAGTCACTTGCCACGATTCGGAAGCGAGTGGGAAGCTGACGATGCTCGAGAAGGTCCAAGAGAGCCAGAATCGCACACTGAGGGTAAAAGTGATGAGTCAGGTGTTGGCAAAGCTATGCAGGCAGCAGATATCAATTACCAAACCAACGGGCCCGAGACCTACGACGCCTATTGTGAGCACTCTGTCATCTTCCATCAGCGGTGCCGCGCTGGTGCTGATGTGTGAATACAGGATGCCATCCATGGTGTTTGGCCATGACGTATTGGCGGTGAACGGCGATAGCTTGGGGTGTGAGAGAGCTTGAAGGGCGACGAAGAGACCTGTTGGAAGAATGTCTGCGAGAAGGAGAAGTGTAGGGTCAGGGAGGGCCATGAAAGTCGCGACGTCTAGGAATGGCGCAGAGGCATTGGGTGAGATCGAGGACGGTAGTACAAAGAGCGTTCCGCCCGCTTTGGGGACGCGGGTGTACTGCGCTTGACCTCCTGGGAGCACAGGTGTGCCGAAGAGGAAGGAGGACGTGCAGCGCGCAGTGAAGCCGCGGCGGCAAGGTCTAGTATAGACAGTAGCATTTCAACATCGAAAGCATACGACAGAGACAGAGGAACACACGAGCACTCTCCGCAGGAGGTGGTGAAGGGAGAAACAATTTTGTCGCCAACCTGGAGGGTCGCGTAGAGTTCGGGGCGAGATGGAGGAGATAAAGGAGAGAAAGAAGATCCAAGGGCGACAACATGTCCGATGAATTCATGGCCACAGATGTGACTGGGGCATTAATCAGGTATAAGTGAACAATTGAGAAGTAAGGACAAAGTAGGAGCACGTACATTTCATGGACATCCTCGAGGCCTCTGTACACGTGCAGATCGCTGCCGCATAGGCCCGCGAACTTGGAACGAAAGAATCGGCGAATGCCAGACAATTCACAGGACAGATTCTACAAGCTGCTTACCGTGATTTTGACGATTGCGTCGTCAGGATGCTCGATCCTATACATCATATGTGAGCAATCAAGGCCAACTTTCTCGCAGGACAGGCCTTGTAGAAAGTTATAGAGTCAAGATAATCACATTGGAGTTGGGACGTTTTCAAGGCGCACGTCGAAGGATGCTGGATACCATCGGACAGCGAGCTGAGTTTCAGGAATTGTGGTAGACATACGAGCTCTTAGCAAAAGAAATTCCGTGTACAGAGTGAAGAGTGCGCAAGAGCAGCGGAAGAATTCCAGAGACCCTGGGCCACAGTCCCGTTCTCGTTATCGAGAATGATCTTCCATATCCCACGAGCACGGTACCCGTGATCATCTCGCTGGACATGCGGGTAAGGGCTGCTAGTCGAGAACTATATGAGTATACCAGTGTCGTATGTACAATGCATCATTGGTGAAGAAGACGATTTGCTGCGGGAGAACGGAGACAGAACACGAGAAGCATCGAAGGGAAAGCTGGCGAGTAAAGAGGAAATCCAGAGCACTTTCAGAATAAGCAAGGCCCTCACAGCTGGGAATTCGCAAGTGCTTAGGTCTTGTGTAGCTGACTGAAGAAATGACTCGCCATTGGGACTGACAAACACCGAAAGAAAGCGAGTCATCGTAGTGTCATCGTGCAAGCACAGGTAGAGCGGTCCGAGACCGAGGTCCCACCCGAGGTCCGTGGGACGCAGGGCCAAACAGACCTTACTCATCCCCTCGGGTTTGTCATCGGCCACGGAGGGGTCATAAAACTCGCAGCCCGTCGCACGTCGCCCCATCACTCCCCGTCCCCCCCAAACGTGAGTCCATTGTCTTGCTGTCTGTGCATCCTACGCTATGCCCCCGCTCGCTTGGTGCTGGTTTGAGAGGAAGGAAACGGCGGAAGGGCGATGGATGCGGCTGGATGAAGTTGGATAATGCTTACTGATGCGCGCCCCTGTGGCTTTGTTTTCGGTCTGTCTTTGTAGATCAAGAAATGGGTCGCCGTCCCGCTCGCTGCTACCGCTACTGTAAGAACAAACCGTACCCCAAGTCGCGGTACAACCGTGGTGTGCCCGACTCGAAGGTCCGTTGACGTGAGCCCTCGTTCGCCTTACTGGCCTACTTACGCCACTCGGGCGCGTTTGTAGATTCGCATCTTCGATCTCGGTCGCAAGCGCGCTTCCGTCGACGAATTCCCCTTCTGCTGCCATCTCGTCTCGGACGAGTATGAGCAGCTCTCCAGCGAGGCGCTCGAGGCGGCCCGTATTTGCGCCAACAAATACGTGACGAAGACTGCCGGAAAGGATGCGTTCCACATGAGGGTCCGCGTGCACCCCTTCCACGTCATCCGTATCAACAAGATGTTGTCATGTGCTGGAGCCGATAGGTGCGCTCTCAGATGAGCCATATACTGTGCGTGATTTACTGAAGGCGCGATTCATGGTGTACAGGCTTCAGACAGGCATGCGTGGTGCTTGGGGCAAGCCTTATGGCACTGTCGCCCGTGTCAACATTGGCCAGATCATTCTTTCGATCCGTTGCAAGGACTCGAACGCACCGGTCATACAGGAGGCCCTGCGCCGCGCTCGGTACAAGTTCCCCGGCCGCCAGAAGATTATTGTTTCGCGCAAGTGGGGATTCACGAACGTCAACCGTGAGGACTATCCTAAACTGAAGGAGGACAAGTTGGTGGTCCAGTGAGTGCCTATGTCGAATCGCTCGACGAACGTTGTGCTGACAAATATGCAGGGATGGTGCTTACGTGCAGTTCATTCGTCCTCGGGGCCCCCTAGAGGCGAACCTCCGGGCGCAGCTCCGGGCGTGATTTCAGATTTTGTATCCGTATCGTGAGGTCGTATGCACTTGGACTTGTACCGCGTGAACTGCGTGAGGGTATGGAGAGCGTGACGAGCCATGCCTCTAATTCACTACATCATCCGATTTCGATGGACGATGGTTAGGGGAAACGGGGCAAAGATTAACGATTGTTGTGCTGATGCCAGTATGGCGTGTCGTCTGTCTTTGTTGTAGTTCAGGCGTAGTTATATGCAACGACGACATTTTTGATGCGATGATGAATTGGTAGTGAGTCTGCTTGAGACGATCTGAGAGTAGAGTGATATGGACGGAAGAAGAAGGGGAAGCAGCAGCCCCTAATGAGAAGGGTCGCGGAGCTTGAAGTGGGGGTGTTGGAGCAGGCCAGTCGCGGCGGGGCTGCACACGGCCGTCATCATGCCTTTCGAACGCTACCTCCAGCAGGACGACAACAACGGCGGCGACGCAGAATGCGCCAATCAAGAATATCTGCAGCCCGCACATCCCTCTCTCTCCTACCACAATGCACAACATCACCCCTATGCCCGTCCGATCCAGTTCCAAATGCCCCAGTTCATGCTCGGCGGCCCACCGACCCTCGCTCCAGGCGGCGGCGCAGAGGTCCTTCCGCCTGGCTTTCTCAACGAGCCTGGATCGATGACATCGGCCTGGCTCACAAACAGCGGCTTCACACCCAACGTCTCCCACGACGTGTACGTCCCCGCGTGCTCGATTTTTCTTTTCCGCTCACCGTCGCCACTTGTTCGTTTCCAGCTTCTCTGCCCCTCTCAAGTACTATGACCACTCCCAGAGCAATGTCCTCTCCCCCCACTCCTCCGCTGCGCCTACCAGCTCCGCCGCACCTCTGCCTCCTGCACTCTCTTCCCACAGGCGCCTATCGCTCACCGTGCCCTCCAGCTTCGATCCCTACGCCCCCCATGCGCTTTCTCCCCAAAGCCCTCTCCCCACACCCCCATCCGGCTCCGTTCCGTTTTCTTTCATGTCCCATACCGGCTTCGCGCCCAATTCAGCACATTTCGGAGCCATCCCCCCTCCGTCAGCTCCCTCCGCCCTCGGACTCCCGGTTTACTCCACCTCCGGCTTTGACCTCCTGTCCATCCTCGCCCGCGTCGCAACGCGGCCAAACCCCAAAATTGCCCTCGGCCCCGTCGATTTGTCTTGCTCTTTTGTCGTCGTCGACGTCCGCCGGCATGATAGCCCCATCGTTTATGCTTCTCCAACGTTCTGCCGCCTCACGGGCTATGCAGAGCACGAAGTCCTTGGTCGGAATTGCCGTTTCTTGCAGGCCCCGGACGGTAATGTCGCTCGAGGCGAGCAGCGGCGTCACACAGGCCCAGACGCCGTCGCCTACATGCGCAAGAGTCTTGTCGCCGATAAGGAGTGCCAGACGAGCATGATCAATTATAGGAAGGACGGCTCCGCCTTCATCAATCTTATCACGGTCATTCCCATCACAGGGGGCGTCTCCGGCAGCTCCGAGGAGAGCGAGGACGTCGTTTTCCACGTGGGCTTCCAGGTCGATCTCACCGAGCAGCCCAAAGCTATCCTCCACAAGCTCAGGGATGGATCTTACATCAATCAGCCTTCTTTGGGCGCCCCACTGCAGCCTAGAGAACGCAGAAACAACGCGTTCGCGATCAACGCCGTATCTCAGGATCTCAAAATGCTATTGGGCGACGAGCACTTTTTGAAGCTCGCATCTCCGACGGTCGCGAATGAGGACAAGTCTGAATGGCACGAGGGAAATCAGCCCCTCAGTCTTATGCTCCTCGACGCAACGCCCGATTTTCTCCTCGTTTTGTCCCTCAAGGGCTCATTCCTCTACGTCGCGCCGTCCGTGCGCCGTGCGCTGGGTTTTGGTCCGGACGATTTGGTAGGCAAGTCGGTTGCCGACTACTGCCACCCATCGGACGTCGTGCCCCTCATGCGGGAGCTCAAAGAGTCGTCGACGGCGAGCTCTGCGCCCGGAGAGGGCCAGCCGGGTCTCGCGATGTTCACCAATCTCACGGTCTCGCCCAAGTCGGTCAACCTCCTGTTCAGGGCCCACGCGCAGGACGGCAAGTACGTGTGGCTGGAGTGCAGGGGACGGTTGCACATCGAGCCGGGCAAGGGGCGCAAGGCGATCATCCTCAGCGCACGCGCGCGATCGATGCCCTGCTTGGAATGGACCGGTGTTCCCAGTACCGGACCCGGGCCTGGCTCGGGCGGCGGCGGCGCAACAGGGGAGGCCGGCGAGGTGTGGGGGATGTTGAGCACGGGCGGTACAGTGCTATTCATGGGCGCGAGCGTGAAGGAATTCATTGGATGGGGCGTAGGTGAGGCGATCGGCATGTCGGTGGGCGACTTCATCGTGGGCGCGCGGCGGGACTTGGAAGCGGCGCTGCAGAGGGTGGCGGCGAGCACGAGCGGGATGCCGGAGAGCGTGGTGTGCAGAGTGCGGAGGAAGGATGGGGACGCTGTCGATTTGACCGTTGTGCTCTATCCGCCGCCGCCGCCTACCACGACTCAAGAGTTGGGCTACTCGCGCCTGCCGTCAAACCCGATCGTCTGTCAGTTTAAATACATGGGCACCGATGGGTTCGCGATGAGCGAGGCACCGTCGTCCTCTCCGCCGCCGGGCACGATGGGGAACGTGTTTGAAGAATTGGGGACGTCGCGGAACAGCAGCTGGCAGTACGAGCTGCAGCAGCTGAAGATCGCGAACCAGAGGCTGATGACGGACATCGATGCACTGGAGACGACGGTGCAGTCGCAGGAGCAGCAGTTGGTGAGTTCGCAGCGCGCGAATGAGCCCGTATACTCCGTGCATCCGCAACCGCACACGCTCCCGCACGCGCCTCCACTTCAAACTCAGGCACACCCGCACTCGCATCTTCAGTATCCGCAGACTGATATGTATGCCCCACGTACGTCCCATCAGGATTGGGGTAGCATGCAGCAGCAGCAGCAGCCTCCGATGCAGCATGAGAACCCGCTGAAGCGCCGGTGGGACGCCGTTCAGCAGGATCACATGCAATGAAATTTGATCGCGCCGAAGTTCACGATCGCCGCCCCTCCGTCCCGTCCGTCACTCTCATCGCCCTCGCATGTGTTTGTATCGCATATCATATGAATGTCCGTCCCTCCCGCTCCCCACGGCTGTGGCTCCAATCGAACATTGTTGTGGCCCTGTAGAAGTAGGGGATAATTTATATTGTTGTCAGTCCTTTCATTTCCGTCATCTAGGACTCAGGGAACCCCGTTTCTTCCTCTTTCCTTCTTTTTGTTTCGTGCTCACATCCGTGTCGTCTCGGTTTTGTCTCCATATGTTCCGCCTGTTCCTGCGCATTCGCTCTGCAAACTCTGTACAATAACGATACAACTGTGATAATCATTTCATGTTTATAGCAAAATGGGTGGTATTCATGCTAATAGAAAATAGTAGGTTTCGGGTAGGTGTCGGGTGGCGCCGCGTAACACGACTGGTGTGGGCTTGGTGGTGGTACAATTGCTGGAAAGTTGATATACACATTATAGAAATAAACTGAGCCGAATGAGTCCGGGCTTTCAGTCTTCCGTTCCGAAAATATTACGTCGCAGTACATGGTTCAAGGCAATGGCTCGCGACTGCTGGACAGGCGGTTGAGGTGGATATACACGTCTGTCCCAAACCCATCCATGGAGATCAGTCGGAGGTCGCCTCCGAAATAACGTGCATACTGGACGCAGACGGCTCGGTTAGGGGATGCGGAGATACGGAAGAGGAGAGGAACGTACGAGGCGGGAGAGCGGGAGGCCGTACCCGAACCCGGCCATCGGTGCCTTGAAGTCGCTGGCCTGGAAGTCCTGGTCGATACCTTGCGATTCCATGGTGGTATACATGTACGTCCAGATGAGCGGGATGGCGCTCCGCGGGATACCGCCGCCCTCGTCGGAGATCTTGATCGTGATGTCCTCCTTGCCCTCGACGACGATGACCTTGATCGGCGGGAGCTGGTCCTCCCTGTCGTGGCCGTAGCGCTCGACCACGGCGCGCAGCGAGTTCTTGAGCAGTTCGAAGCAGATGTGGGACAGATGTCCCGGGACGTAGGCAAAGTGCAGGTCTTTGGGGCAGATGAGCTGTACCGGCGGACCCTTGAACATCGCATAGTGTTCTTCGCAGACGAAACGCGCGTTTTCAATCGCTTCGTGTACGATGTCGTGGACGTTCTATTGTAGGACGAATTGCATGTTTGAACCCGCGTGCGCAGAGCGGGCAGTCGAAAGACTCACTGAACGCGTGCAGATGATTCCCACGTAGTCGGGATGAGGCTGGAGCTCGTTCAGAGCGACATCTGGAGCAAAGGCTTCAGGTCGTGGGAGATGGAAGGGAGGGCGCTAGACTGACGCTGGCCGATCAGGAAACGGATGCCGATACGAGACAGGTAGAATCGGTCGAGCCAGGCCTGGATGTCGAGACCGATGTTGCGAGCGTTTTGTCGGCGTTTCCATTCTAAAACGCCCTGTGCCGTCGTCGTCACCGTTGGATCATGTCGCCTCTTGATGGCGTCGAGCGTTTTTGTGAAACGCTTGTTGTAGTCGTGCACTTCTGGGGGCCAATTGATGTTCCCCGTTTTTGCGTAATATCTACAAACACGCGCGGGAACACATGATGGGAAGCTGCTCAGAGACAACAATATTGCACGGCGTACCTCTTCTCCATTGGTATTCGCAGCTTGACCCTGCTCCCGTTTCCGTTTCCGTTCGCGCCCATGTTCCCTGAGCTGTGCGGGGCGAAGTGGTCCCCGAAATCTCCCAGAGAGGGATTCGGGGTCGACTCTGGGAGGTACGTGTCTTCCGTTGGGCTCGCCATCAAGGCCGCACGAATATCACGGGAAACGGAGATGGTGGGGAAGTGAATGAGTTCCTGTGCGCGTGTTAGACACCGTCGCTATGCGATCGCAGTCACGGGCACACCTCAAAAGATTGGGCATACCAATTCTTGACCTTCTTGATCGACGGCATACTGCTGAGGTTGTGAGGGAGTTCATCTAACTCCTTTACGCGGTGCGCTAGGCGCACAGGCAACTCCTCTACACGGAGAAGACGAGCACCAATGAAAAGTGTCGGGAGCAAGGAACAGGACGATGAGCTTACCAACTAGGAATTGACTCGCCTTGAACAGGGTGCCCTGGCTTGGATTCTGTCCAAACAGAACCATTTGCTGCAGGGAAACTGAGATAGACGCTGTGAGGTGATTCCGTGTAGCAAGAATAAGGACGCTTACCGCCTGTTTGGGGGAAGGACGCGAAATGGTGTATTCTGTCCCATAGAGCGGGTGTGATCCTGAAACCGGCAGACATGACAGACCCAAAGAAAGAATCAAGTCACCTTGGTTTGCAACGGCTTCACCCCCACGGATTTTCCCACGGAACTCGTTGCCGGCAGTACCCCGGTGATGTCTTCCTCGAACACATCCAACGCCTCCATGAAGCGCAAATCACATACGGCCTCTTCGTCGCTTCACAAAAAAACAAAAACACGTCATGATCATGTCACCGTGAATGATCTGCCATGGAAAACCGTCTTTCAGCCACATGAAGCAGGTGTCGACATGGACGAGGGAATTTTGGAGCTGGAAGAAGTCGACGATGTGCATGTCATCTATGAGGACACCAATGGGGGGAGGGTGATCAGATTCGCGGTAAGTGTTCCGGACATCCTTCAATGGGCAAGACCTGTCTTATGGCTAACTAGGTAAACGACGCAGAAGAATCTGTAGTCGAAAGTGCGAACGAGGGAGAACAGTCTGATACAGCCGCGCCAGACGCCTCGGATCGCACAGACGATGTAAAAGTCGAGAGCATATCACAGCTTGGCGCTGAATTTTTTTTTGATAGTACGCGATCCCATTCCATATCCTTTGCTATGCTGATGCGAAATGGCCATACAGCGCAAACACTTCTCCCAGAATGGCACTCCTTTTCCCTCCATCCACGCCTTGGGCGCGCCCTGCACGCGCAAAAATTCCAAAGCCCCACACCCATACAGTCACAAGCTATCCCTCATGCCCTCGAGGGACGCGATCTAATCGGAGTCGCTGAAACAGTCAGTGATCTCTGCAATTTTTCTCTACCGTTATACTACGTGATCACGTTAACCACCGCTCGCAGGGATCCGGAAAAACACTCGCTTACGGTCTTCCCATTCTCCATCACCTCCTTTCGAATTCCAAACAAGCTTCTGCGGCGACCAAGACTCGTCGCTCACTGCGAGCGCTCGTGCTTACCCCCACCCGCGAGCTTGCTCTCCAAGTGTCCACCCACCTGAACGCATGCCTGAATGACTATTCTCTAGCCGATCTCGATGTCAAGCTTGAAGCTCATGACGATGCGCAGGAGCGCCATGTCGCAAAAGGGAAAGGTCAGGGAAAGGGAAAGGCGAAGTCGAAGTCGAGGGGAAAAGGTGAGCCAAAGACCAATGCACCCACTGGACCAAAGGCACCGCCATTGGTCAGCGTTGCCGCCATGGTCGGCGGCATGTCTGCACAAAAGCAACGCCGCATCTTGGATCGCGGCGTTGACGTGCTCATCGCGACTCCTGGGCGGTTGTGGGACATCATCGAGCAGGTATGCTTAGCTCTCTGGCTTCTGTTTGATATGTCGGAGAGATTCGAATCAGTCTTAACAAGTACAACAGGATGACAAGCTTGCCAAGGATATCAAAGCTTTAAAGTTTCTCGTCCTTGATGAGGCGGACCGTATGATTGAGACCGGGCATTTTGCTGAGCTGGATAACATTCTCCACTTGACGCAGAGGCAATTTCAGTGCGTTGCTCCTCTGCGAAAACGATCTCTGATTCATTCATTCATACCAATTACAGGAAAGATGAGACTGATCCTGATTTCAAAAAGCAGTCGTTTGCTTCTGAAGAGATACGAGAGGATGTATCGGCAAACGACAAAATGCAGACCTTTGTCTTCTCCGCGACCTTGAGCAAAGACCTGCAGCGCAATTTGAAGAAGCGGCAAAAAGCACGCGTATCGAAAAAAGGTGATCCCCCTGCGTCGACATTAGGTGCGTTTTCCCGTTCATTGGGACCTGAAACTATGTCCGAGTACTTTTCTCACACTCCAGACGATCTCGTGCTGCGACTGGACTTCCGTGATCCCGAACCTGAGGTCATGGATCTCAGCCCCGTTGGTGGTGTGGTTTCCACGCTTAATGAGAGCAAAATCGAGTGCATGTCAGGCGACAAGGTGAGAGGAGTTGGTTATGACCGCTTATTCTGTTTCGTTACATGTGCTGACATATTGTGCAGGACTCTTATCTTTATTACTTTCTCCTGCGTTATCCGGGTCGCTCGCTGGTCTTCCTCTCTTCCATCGACGGTATCCGGCGTCTCCTTCCTTTGTTCGAACTTCTCGACCTGCCAGCTTTCCCACTTCATTCTCAACTGGAACAACGCCAACGCCTCAAGAACCTCGATCGGTAAGTATCGGACCTGGATCTTATTTTCGATGTTTAACTTCAGGCGCGTGTTATAGCTTCAAATCTCTCCCAAATGCCATCTTGCTCGCGACGGACATCGCTGCTCGAGGACTGGATGTGCCCTCGGTAGACCATGTCGTGCACTACCAAATCCCACGCACGGCCGACGCGTACGTACACCGAAACGGTCGTACGGCGCGTGCAAAAAGAAGCGGTTTCAGCATGTTGATGTGTGGACCAGACGAAAGGCGGCTTGTGCGAGCGCTGCTGGGTAGCCTTGGCCGACGTGAGTTCAAGTCAGAGTTTCACGACACAGTGATTGACTATAGGTATATTTGCAGAGGAAAGCGACATCCCGGAAATGTCAGTCGAGCACCATCTCCTGGATAAGCTCAAGCCGAGGCTGCAATTAGCGAAGCAGATTGACAAGCAGCAGCATCAGATCAAGAAGGCAAATCACGAGAGAAACTGGTTGAAGGCCACGGCGGAAGCCATGGACATCGAGCTTGATTCTGATTTCGCATCGAGGTGAGTTGTACGTATTGTGGCGACTGGATGGTTCCTCATACTTCTCAACGGTCGAATGGGGTAGTGAGGAGGAGGATGTGGGCCCGACCAAACGGGAGGTGAAAACACAAAACTCCAAGACGGCAGCACTCAAGGGGGAATTGAAGCGACTCCTCGCCCAACCACTTGTCGCTCGTGGTGTTTCGACGAGATACATCACGTCAGGCAGTCGGCCCATCGTGGATGATATTCTCGCGGGAGACTGTGCGTTCATATTTTTGTTTGATATCATTTTCCCGTGTACTTGTCTAATATTGCGACTGTAGATCACGAAGGCATGGTCGGAGTCAAAAGGACTGAAGCAACGCATGATCTGGTGCACACAAAAAAGACGAAGAAGCCAAACCAGATTCCAGACGCAACCGTGAAGGGCCAGGAGGCGGAGTGGAAAGGGTTCAGCTCATGAGGTTCACGATCCTGTATCTTTGCCAGTCTTCGTGCTTGAGTGTATACAGGAGATCCTCTGTGACAGCATCTGTGACTCAAATGATTTGGGTTAATCTCTGGAGACAGTGGTCACCGGACATTGCCCCCAATTATACCCAAGAGATATTTCGGATATATAGCAAATATATCTGGAATATATCCGGAATATTACACCGAGGTAATATCACCCGAATATCACCCTCTCAATCCACATTGCGGATGACTAATTTAGTGTCACAGACACGTGATGGGTGTGTCGCTGGTTGCATTGAAATTTCTTCAAGTCATTTTGCCTTTGTCCACTTGTCCTTCTCCTTACACATCCCTTTAAGATGGAAAATAACAGATTCTTGTAATGAGAACTGCCCTTGTGCTGTATATATACACACTTTTCCTGTTTGCTAGCCTATTGGGGGGTACAAGGGTGCTGATAAAGCATTGATGTGACACAATGAGTCCTTCCCCCTCCCCCTCCTCAATACCTTACTACATCTGTTAGTATGTCAATATATCAAGTTTGAGCCAGTTTTGGGAATAAAGAAGTGGCTGTAGAGAGCATATATGCACTAAACTGTATGTCTTCTTTGCTCACTGATAAACCTCTGGGATATATATTACCCCTCTAATGGATGCTATTCATCAAGGTCATTGATTCCTGGTCCCCTTAGGAAGCAGGTCTCCTTCCAGAGTTTTGCCTGATTTGTGATGTCACATTCTGAGGTCACACTGCCAAGGCTTCTAAGGATTGTAGAATTTTGTTTAGGACCATGAATAAAATGTTAGCTTATCTTGAAAACTAGTAACTCCTATTTCTCTCTATTATAATCCCCTACCTCTTGTACCTTGTATCATTTGTTTCCACATAGCTAAAACAGCAACAATGGTGAAATAAGAGCAGACTGATGAGCATGTTACTTCTTATACTGTATATACTTATATATGCAACCATGTGTTTGTACTTGTTAGTGTGTATATCATATTTATCAATGGCTGTCAGGCTGCTATTGTGCTAATATACTAGAGATGCCTCTAGTATATCAGCACAACACCAACACAACCTCTGGAGCAAGGGGTGCTAAAGCTAGTATCTAATATGTAGGGAATTATTAGTGATGACTTTTGAAATTGAGAGTGTACTGAGAAGCAATAGGGAGTATAAGATTATAGTGCCTGAATGGTTTTGGGACTGTGCCAAACACCAACCAAATATTCAGTTGGTTGGATTGGGGATTTGGTTGGTAATAAGAAAGGTAGTGCTAAAACTGACAACTATGTGCTTCAAGAGCTACATGGGACTCTGACAATATATAAGAGAGGACAGGAGGTATGAGTGAAGAAATAAGTATGAACATAAGTAAGGCCAAACAATAAGGATGACAAGTTTTTGAAAGTCAACAAAGATAATTTTAATAGTTGAGACAAGTGTGAATGAGCTTTAAACTGTGGGGTACAAAAGCTGGTTTATTCTAGAGTTGTATGTAGGTTTTTATAGTATATAGAGCCCCTAAGTAAATATCAAACAAGAAATGAGAGTAAGTACTGAATGGGTGCCAAAACCTAGTAAATAGTGAAGATAAGAAAGTAGGGCAAATATTTAGATGGGTTCCAAAAGTAATAAGGTAAAAGTCTATCAGTGATAGTAAAATCCCAAATATTTGGGATCTGTTATCCAAGTATAGGTAGCAAAAATAGGTGCTAGAGAGTAAATAAAAAGAAAGAAATAATAAATGCATAACTTAGATGGCAAAGCAATAGTGTGCAATTGTGTTTGACCAAATATGTGGAAGTTGGAATGATAAGCAATAAGAATTGACTAGGTATGGATAATATTAGCTAAATAAGGTATCTAATTCTGATTCTATAATAGAACATCATAAGGCTCCCTAAATGACTTTTGTGTGGTTATAGTAAGTACATGACATATGTGCAAACTGACCCAAGTGCTGCTAAACATTGTTCAATGGCTTGCAGTCATTTGGGTAGAAACTGACCATAATTGGTATGAGTTGATATCTTTAGTACTTGTCTAGAGCTGTTTGGTCTCTCCCCAAAGCTTCTCAAATACCTTTCTTGGACTGTAGAGCAGGTGCCTGCTTATTACCAGACAGACCATTTAGAACAACCACTATGGATTTTATTACCAATCTCCCTGAATTAAACAAATTCAACTTACTTCACATGGTAACCAACAGATTTACCAAAATAGTAGTAATTATACTATGCTTGAAAACCATTGACACAGATGGAATAGCCAAAATCCTACTTGAGAATACCTAGAAATAATATGGCCTACTAGATAAAATTATATTGGACGGCAATTCACTTCAAAAGTAGTGCAAGCCCTGCTTAAAGAACTTGGAATCCAATCCACATTGAGCATAGCTTATTACCCACAGATAGACAGCACTACTGAATAAATAAATCAAGAACTGGAACAATACCTCAGAGCCTTTTATAGCTCTTCACAAGACAACTAGGTAATACTAATTCCTTATATAGAATACACCCACAACATATATTAGCACTTAGCCACAAAGAAACCCCTATTTGAACTTTTACATAGATATCAACCAGGAGTGTATTTAGCTATTATGGGAAACACAAATGTCCCTGCTACTGACACTCACCTTAAAGCTCTGCAACATGCTAGTTATCTGGAAAACCACTCTCTTGTATTAGCTTCAGATTATATCTAATAGTGTCTAAAAGTATCTAAAAGTGTTAATAGCATCTAAAAGTGTCTAATTTCCTAATTGGGAGCAACACATTGTGAGCATTGGATTGGTTTCTAATTTTATAATATTAGCACTAATTATATACCAAGAAGTTTTTAATCAGCAGTAGGAACTAGTAAGTACTACTGCTCTATCAGTGAGAAGGTAAAGATGTGGCACATTCTATACTATTTTAGCATATTACTCTTCTTCATATATGCCTGCATCATTATCTTGTAGCTCTTTTGCTGACTTTCTAGCTGCCTTTACAAAGAACATAGAAAAAGAGAAATATGCATTGATGCCCCAGCCACTTTGTTGGCAGCTTAGCAGCTGCCACAAGAGACTATGAAGACCTTAGTACCTTGGCCTTGCATACAAGATCATTGAAGTTGTTATTGTTAGCTGATGCCTGCTACTGGTCATTACAAGACACAATATGCAGGTTAGGCTTAGGGATGTGCTACATGTAGCCTTGTAGACCTTGTCTATTAGTGTAGTAGTCAATACTGTCTTATGTAGCGCGCAATTGTTATTACCATTGATATTATAATTTTTAGCACCATCCACATTGTTTATTGCCTTGTTATAATAGAAGATGCTCAAACTTGATGTTTTTCTCTAGCTATTGGGCTGTAGAAAAGACAGTCATGTTAGTATGTGATGCTAGAATGATATATTTACCTATTATGTAGGAAATATATGCACCAAGCATATTAGGATTATCTCTAACAATCTTGTGCTTATTTATACATAGGCATGCCATACATATACCCTTGTCCCTACCCTCTACCTTACTGGTGGCTATTTGGAAAACCCCTCTCTCTTATTGGATCTGAATTATTGATAATTATTGATAATATTAATTTGAGTTATTCATAGCTAATTATTCATACTTATTTTTTTGATCAAATTTGCAAATTAAGGTAGCATTATCTATATTAGTAGAGTTCCATTGAATATTACACTTAATCATAGTTTTACACATTCTAAATCCAAATTGTGTAAGTGCCATAATTTGTTTTTACCCTATATAAAGTATATTATTTATTTTCCATTGGTTTATTATCTTCTTAGCTGGTGTTTAAACTAAATCCTAAAAGGCCTAACTTTTTGGGTATTTATTGACCTGTTTATTTATTAGATAGAGGAAGGATAAATATTGAATAAAATCAGAGATATTGAGATTGCCTATATTATGTCTACTTATTTAGATTACCAAGTTGGTATATTAGACCTTGTGACTTAGTGGCTTAAAGCATCTGTCTTGGGCGCTTGTATACATAAGGTTGTTGGCTCAACTCCGGCAAAAGGCAAGTTTGTTATAAGGTATATTCAGTGTTTAGGTATTTAACTAGTGCTCTAATAGACATGACTCTATAAGAAGGCTATGAGAACTGTGATGCTTGATTTATTACCATTTTTCCTAAATTTCAAGTTATAATCAATCCTAATAATTCCTAATTTAGGAAAATTATGTCTAATTTGAACAGGTTTAGGGGGGGGAGGGGGGTAAGCTAAAAATATCTAATCCTAATCATTTATAATTTAGTATAGCAGAGCATCAATTATAGCTAATTAGAGCTTAATACAAGGGGGTGGTTTTCCAGAAGGATATGGTACTAAAGCTCAGACACAATGCCTTAGGCAATAATAGGTAAGAGGTGGGATGAGTCAAAAGGGATAGGAAAGGCAGCCAAATGAGAGTAGGAAGGGCAGATAGGAGTAAGAATGGCCTTAGTGGTGGTTGAAAACCACTGGACTAGTTTTCAGGTGCAGGCAGCTATATGAAATGATGAGCTCTCATCTCTAATCCAACCAAAATACTACTCACCTTTCATTTGCATAATGCTATCCATGACTGACCATATAGAGACAACCACCTCTACCTTATAATACTTTAAGGGGCACTCTCTCTTTTCTGACTTTGGCACTAGCTACTCCTTCAACTTTCCCTTTCCCTTTCCCTTCCCCTTCCTCTTTCACTTTAACTTTCCCTTCCCCTTCAACTTTCCCTTCCCCTTCAACTTCCCCTTTTTTATTGGTGTCTACCCAGACTGGAAGCCACACCCCTTTGACTCTCTGGTACACTTAGTGCATGACACTAGCCCAGGTTACTGGTAATACCAAAACACCTTGGTCTAGAAGATAGTTGCACAGTGATGGCAAGCATAGTTGGCCTAGAAAAAAGATGGTTAGCAATAGGAAGTGGCAGCAAAAGGGAGGGAACTCACCAGTATATCACTAGGTAACAACTTAGGAGGGTCTTTGAGAGTCTTTCTAGCACTATTTTGCTCCACAAGGAACCTAACTGTCAATATTTGGCCCATTCCAGGGTCATGAGGAAGGATGATATGTCTACAAGGTAGCATCTATTGGTGAGCAAACTCAACAACAACAGTAGTGGCTAACTTTTTGCTCTTTACATCAGTCAGGGCAGCAGAGGCAACTAGACCCACACTCATTCAGTCTAGGGCATTGGTAATAAACACAAGCTCTGAATCAGTAGTAGATAGGTTGGAATAAGTGGAGAAAGCAGAAGGGTTGGGACAATAGGATGAGGTGGTAGTATAAGAGGAAGGAGAAGGAAGGAAGAAAGAGAGAGGAATAATGGACTTAGCCTTGAGCTCAGCTAATTGACACTCACCCTCTTCAGAATTGAGCAAGCTATTAAACAATGCATTTATTAGTACCTCTTGGTGCCATTCCCAATCTGCTTTAGCCAACTTCTGAGCCACAGCAACCTATGTTGCCTCAGCTTCAGTAGCCTCCTATTCAGCAATAGTAGTATACTCCCTTTCCTTTACTAGGGCCTGTTCTTTGGCTACCTATTGTTGCTGCGATACAATGCATGCTACTTACTATAGCAGAATTCAAGCTCCCCATACCAGCCAGTCATTGGTGGCTATTAGATCAAGACTGCATTCATCATTAGCAATAAAAGTGGTAAGTTTAGGCATGTCTTTCCCATGTGCTGAATAGTCAAAAACAGCCTACAAAGACATCAGCAGCCAGAAGAAGGCAAGAGAAAGGACTAACTTACCACTTGTTTGGCAAACCCTTGTTCTCAGACCTCATAATCCTTATATTTGGTAACACTATCTGAAAGGGAGAATATGTATTCAGTAAGTTTACCTTTAGGATAGGGATGATAGATGACATAAGAGACTGAGTGGCAGGAAAGAAGACAATACAGGACTTAGTTGCTAGAGAATCAACAATCAATAAGTGATTGTGGTCACTTGACAAAGCCCTATGCCATTGTGCTTGGCAGAGGCCATGATATGCACCACCACTCTTTGCTAACACAACTCTCATACTAGTATCTAGCTGGAGCACTTGGCATTAGCCACTTCCTTACCTAATCAGTTGTCATGCCATAGGACTTTGCTAACTCAGCCCTAGTCTCTCTTGCATACAGACCCAGTCCTTTTTATGACATCTTCTTGCCAATTATTCATCTTTTGCTGTATTACTCCTATGTGCCCACTTCTTTCCACACCACCATTCATTGCCAATTCTTTTCCTATGTAACTTGCCACACCACCATGTTTTCTACACCACTATTTTTCCTACTCTAACTTGTAGCCACCAACCACTGACTAAGAATAGTTAGGATTTTAGTCGAAAGGAGATAATGAGTAGGCACCCACTCTGGAGTCCAAGGGAGATATTCAGGAAGCTTTGGGGAGAGACTGAACAACTCTAAACAAGTACCAAAGATGCCAACTGGTACTAATTGTGGTCAGTCCCTACCCAAATAACTACAAGCCACCAAATAATGTTTGGCAGCACTTGGGTCAGTTTGTGCATATATCATGTACTTACCATAACTATACAAGAGTTATTTAAGGAGCCTTACAATAGTCTATTATAGGATCAGGATCAGACATCTTGTTCAGCCAACATTATCCATAGCTAGTCAGTCCTTATCACTTACTATCTTAGCTTTGACATGTTTGGCCAAATACAATTGTGCATCATTGCTTGGCCATCCAAGTCATACATTTACTATTTCTTCCTTTTTATTAGCTTTCTAGCACCTATTCCTGCTATCTATGCTTAAATAATGGATCCCAAACATCTGGGATTTTATCATTGCTAATAGACTTTTACCTTATCACCTTTAGAACCCATATGGACATTTTTTCTACCTTCTTATTTTCACTGTGTACTAGGTCTTGGTACCTGTTTGGTACTTACTCTCATTTCTTGTTTGATATTTTACTTAGGGGCTCCATATACTATAAAAACCTACATACAACTCTGGAATAAACTAGCTTTTGCACCCTACAGTTCAGAGCTCATTTGCACTTGTCTCAACCATTGAAATTGTCTTTGTCAATCCCAAAAACTCATTATCCTCATTATTTGTCCTTGTTCACATTCATACTCATCTCTTCACTTGTACCTCTTGTCCTCTCTCACATATTGTTAGAGTCCTATGTGGCTCTTGAAGCATATAGTTGTTAGTCATAGTACTACCTTGTTATTACTGACCAAATCCCCAACATGACCAACCAAATGTTTGGTCAGTGTTCAGTGCAGTCCTGAAACCATTCAGGTGCTATAATCTTACACTTCCCATTGCCTCTTAGTGCACCCTTGATTTCTAAAGTTATTACTAACAATTCCTTGTGTATTAGATACTAGCTTTAGCACCCCTTGCACTAGAGGTTGTTTTGGTATTGTGCTTGGCACTTAAAGATGCCTCTAGCATTGATAAGCATGGGTCCACTCTAGGCACTGATACCCCATTTGTAGAAGCTTTTCAGTATTCTTTAACTGTTGGCAAACTTGGGTCTGACCAATTCCAACCCATTCAGCACTCTCAGCCATTTGTCAGGTGCCAACTTTGCATTTAGACCTCTGCACAGTCACTTGGAATAGTTTACAGTCATCCTATGTATCTATCAGTACTCTCAGCATTAGAGGCTCCCTACAGACTGTCACAGCCAATTGCCAATTAGTTTAATATGCTTCATATTGTCGGCATATTTGGTCAGCTTCAGTATTCTGAATTGGAGGCAGCCAAACACTTTGTTAACTCAGAATGGATCTGTCTTTCTATTTCTTATAATTCTTATGCCTTCTGTTGACCTATCCTTTGTTATTTTCAGAGCTCCCAAGTTTCCAAATATTTTACCCATATGGCATGTGGTTCTTATCTCTAGGTCCATATATACTCACCTTGGCAATTTCTCCACTTATTTAGACTTTAGAGTTATTGCTTCTTATCTTATAGTGTTTACCATATCACTCTCTTATCTTCTTTATCTTTGACAGCTCTTAGCACACATTTCTAATTGCTCTATGCCTCTGCTGATCTCCCTATCTTGCACCTATTCAGACTTACTATAAAATAGCACCTATAGCCTTGCAATACATTAGCTTTGGCTCCTCCCTCATTCTGATTCCATTCACGTGCTTGAGTTCATGAGACTTTGAGCCATTGCCTTCTGATCCTCATTTATGTTTTGCCCTTTTGTTTGTGTTGTTGCATTCAATCATAGCCCTCCATTAGAGCCCTCATTATCTTGCTCTCTTCCTCCCATCTAGTTTGTCATCCTTTGCCAGTGTCCAGTGTGGCCTTGCACCTATCCCTTTCCTTTTGCATACCAATCAAATCCCAATCACACATTGGCCAGCCAAGGATACTGATTTTGGAGTTGTTTGTTCAGTCTACATCACATTCAAACAGCCTCTACTCCTTGCCAATCATGCCAGTATTACTTTGATTGCAGCTATGCTCCAATCACTTTTAGTATGCTTCCTTGTTAGTTATTGCATAGCTAACAGTTCCTTGCATACTGAAACTAGCTCTTGCCTACCTGTGCTTGTAGGGGTGTTTTTTGGATATGTTTCACACTTAAAGGCATCACTAGCATATCAGTGTATTACTAGTCAGAGGATAAAGGAGGAAGAAGAGGAGTGGGCACAAGTGTTGGGGAAAGTGGTAGTGTAGAAGTTTAACATAATGTAGTAGGGTGATTAAAGGAAGTAGAATTTGCAAATGGCAAGTAACATGTAGCTGGGGAGCTAGGGAAAGGGTTTGGTTAACAGCAACTTGTATTTATATGAGGTCACCAGCAATTACATAAGAGCCTTAACAAATAGTGGCAATAAGAATAATGATGAGTGAGATAGCAAGGATAGTGGCAGTAGTAACAGTGGTGTTAATGGTGACCTCTGCTAGAGTAAGGTTCAGGATAGGGGCCATAGTCATTTCTATGGCCATGCCAAACCATGGTTCATCTGCCTTTGTAGCTCCTGGTAGGCTTGAATATATCAATCAAAGCTGTCTAATTGTTTGTGCTATAGCAGTGATTGAGATAAGTCTGAATCAGACTTCTTTGGCTGTGTTCCTTAATCCTTGATCCTTAATGCTAATATGGTTGACTACAGAGTTGATAATTGCCTTTTTAACTATATCATCAATTTATTGATTGCTTCTATAATCTGGGAAATTTCCAATCCTGTGGATAAAAGTCTTCTTTCTATTGGATGCTTTCAAAGCTTCTTTTTGATTTGGTCTGATTTGGCAGCCCTATTGTACTCTATTTCAATTATTAAGGCCAAGATTAATGCTTCCATTCCTTTGACTATACAAGGGTATCTGTGATAAAACTCTTTAATAGCTTTTTTAGTGTTAGTAATGTTTGCCACTGCTTTCGATGAGTTGTCTGATTTGGGATAGCCCTTCCACTTGATCAAATATCATAGGGTCTTCCATTATCCAAAGCATTAGGCTCCAACAATTGCTTTAACTTTGAATTCCTCTTGCTCTTTGCTTAGGTCAGGGGCTAGTTTAGGGTAATTGGGGCCATAGACTTTGTTTGCCTTATAGGGTGTGAGTTGACTAGCATAAAAGATGTTATAAATCCACTTCCAGCTATTGGATAGTTTTAGCTTGAAGTTGATAGTTCTAATGGTGTCAATAATTTTAAATGGCCCAAAGCATTTGGGTCTCAGTTTCTCTGAGAGATGATTGGTATGGATATTCTTTCCATCTAGCTATACTTAATCTCCTTTCTTGAAAGATGGTAGTCCTATTCCAAAACAGTTGTGTTGTATCCTCATAGCTTCAGCTATAATGTTGAGGCTGGCTTGTGCTTCCTTTTTACATTTGGAAAACCACCCCCTTGTATTAAGCTCTAATTAGCTATAATTGATGCTCTGCTATACTAAATTATAAATGATTAGGATTAGATATTTTTAGCTTACCCCCCTCCCCCCCCTAAACCTGTTCAAATTAGACATAATTTTCCTAAATTAGGAATTATTAGGATTGATTATAACTTGAAATTTAGGAAAAATGGTAATAAATCAAGCATCACAGTTCTCATAGCCTTCTTATAGAGTCATGTCTATTAGAGCACTAGTTAAATACCTAAACACTGAATATACCTTATAACAAACTTGCCTTTTGCCGGAGTTGAGCCAACAACCTTATGTATACAAGCGCCCAAGACAGATGCTTTAAGCCACTAAGTCACAAGGTCTAATATACCAACTTGGTAATCTAAATAAGTAGACATAATATAGGCAATCTCAATATCTCTGATTTTATTCAATATTTATCCTTCCTCTATCTAATAAATAAACAGGTCAATAAATACCCAAAAAGTTAGGCCTTTTAGGATTTAGTTTAAACACCAGCTAAGAAGATAATAAACCAATGGAAAATAAATAATATACTTTATATAGGGTAAAAACAAATTATGGCACTTACACAATTTGGATTTAGAATGTGTAAAACTATGATTAAGTGTAATATTCAATGGAACTCTACTAATATAGATAATGCTACCTTAATTTGCAAATTTGATCAAAAAAATAAGTATGAATAATTAGCTATGAATAACTCAAATTAATATTATCAATAATTATCAATAATTCAGATCCAATAAGAGAGAGGGGTTTTCCAAATAGCCACCAGTAAGGTAGAGGGTAGGGACAAGGGTATATGTATGGCATGCCTATGTATAAATAAGCACAAGATTGTTAGAGATAATCCTAATATGCTTGGTGCATATATTTCCTACATAATAGGTAAATATATCATTCCAGCATCACATACTAACATGACTGTCTTTTCTACAGCCCAATAGCTAGAGAAAAACATCAAGTTTGAGCATCTTCTATTATAACAAGGCAATAAACAATGTGGATGGTGCTAAAAATTATAATATCAATGGTAATAACAATTGCGCGCTACATAAGACAGTATTGACTACTACACTAATAGACAAGGTCTACAAGGCTACATGTAGCACATCCCTAAGCCTAACCTGCATATTGTGTCTTGTAATGACCAGTAGCAGGCATCAGCTAACAATAACAACTTCAATGATCTTGTATGCAAGGCCAAGGTACTAAGGTCTTCATAGTCTCTTGTGGCAGCTGCTAAGCTGCCAACAAAGTGGCTGGGGCATCAATGCATATTTCTCTTTTTCTATGTTCTTTGTAAAGGCAGCTAGAAAGTCAGCAAAAGAGCTACAAGATAATGATGCAGGCATATATGAAGAAGAGTAATATGCTAAAATAGTATAGAATGTGCCACATCTTTACCTTCTCACTGATAGAGCAGTAGTACTTACTAGTTCCTACTGCTGATTAAAAACTTCTTGGTATATAATTAGTGCTAATATTATAAAATTAGAAACCAATCCAATGCTCACAATGTGTTGCTCCCAATTAGGAAATTAGACACTTTTAGATGCTATTAACACTTTTAGATACTTTTAGACACTATTAGATATAATCTGAAGCTAATACAAGAGAGTGGTTTTCCAGATGTGGGAATGATAATTATACTAGATAGAGGTGTTGCTAGCTGGTGTAGGACATTGATGAAAAAGGAGATAGTTGGTTATATTAGTGGTTCAAGATTGTCAATAGCATAGGGTAGCTCAGCATTTTGGTAAAAGGTCCAAACATTGCTGGCATCTTTAGCAGGTAATTGGTGTGCCAACATGGCTTCCCTGACCTGTAATCAGACTTTAGCAGAGAGAGAGAGTAGTTCACACTGGGTAAGCATTACCTAGGTGGCCATTGCCCTATTGTAGACTTTGGCTGCCACCTCCTTATTATAGATCAGTGCCATGGTCTTGTATACTGGAGCATCTTTCTTTGTCATGGGTATCTTTATTGGGGCTCTTATATTGTATTTATGTGGTGGTACATAAGTTGTATCTAGAGCTTTGGCATATGGATAGATTGGAGCATTGTCCTTGGTGGGTACTAGGAGTGGTCACTGAGTTAGAGTGGTCAGTGGGGGTTTGGGTTCAGAAGTGTTAGTCATTGCTTGTCATTTGGGGACCAGTGAAGGGATAGGTGCCAAATATCCTGTCTGTGCCATTTTATATGCACTAGCACTCTATATTCAGAGTGCAAATAGTTTGTGTTTGAGGCTCATGATTTGCTAGAGATCAGTGAGTTGGTAAGTTGGAGTAATGTCCAGCAATAAGAGTGGATTATGTCAAAAGGCTATGATTATCAGGTGAGTTAGCATTACATTTACTGTGAATATTATCTATCTAGTCACCAACTGGCCTAGATTCCTGTGGTGCCATTTGTCAACTCAATCCTTTAGGTTACCACCTATGATTTCTCTGGGTACAAATGCCCTACTTGATAATATAACCTTTCTCTTGATATTTCCCTTGCATTTGCCAATCCAAATATATTCATTAACCTTGGGATAGGCACACATAAAATGTTCAGGACTACCATAGAACATGCAGTTGTTGCTGCCTTGTCCTGATTGTTAGGATGCTCGGTTAGTTAGCCTAGATATCCCTTGTATAGTAATAGCCTTGATGAAGGTGTTAATGAGTCATTCAAACATGGTTTCCAGGTCTTTGGCCTTGATTGCATTGGAGGTCAGTGTAGCAGGGGCTGCTCAAAAAATGTCAGTTGAGGTAGTGTTGTAGGTGGCTATGGTGCCATGCAAAATAGATTAGGCCAAATTGTAGACATCTTAGAGGTTGTATAGGTCATCTGGAAACTGATTGGGGAACTTGAGTTATAGATGTTAAGATATTTTTGTCCATAGCTCCAGTTGGAATCCTTTAAAGGTAATGTAGGAGTTACATGAGCAGTGACAATCAGAATGCTTACAGATGATGATAACATATCTAATAGCACAACTTCCAGATATAATAACTGTTAGAGTAAGACACAAATAAACATTCCACTGAGAGAATTACTCCTAGACATTGTTGGCTATACTAATTCCAAAGGTAGCTGTATTATATACACAAGTTTAAAAGTTAAAGCATTGTAGTGGTGCTTGGAAAAAAGACCCTTTGTACAAGTGGGTAGAGAATGCAAGTTATTTTATAATTGAGGTTCTTGGATGCTCATTTTGTTATTTCCTTATCTTGACCTGTATGGTATTGGTGGCTTCAACAATCCTTCATGTCAAAGAAAGCAGAAAATTGGGTTTGAACATTAGCTTTGGAATCTTATAATAATGTTTGATGGACCTTTTGAGCATCCCAGGCTTGCAAACATAGGTTGGAATATCATTCAAAAAATAAAAGCATCTTATAGCATGTACTTCAAGGTACACAAGAACATGTTTGCTAGTCTATGTGATAAGATTCTCTGATTAGTCAACATCATTCAAGAGATAAATATTAAGTGGGACAATGATCATGAAGTGCAGCATTCCAGATAGGAGGAAAAAAGGATGTTACAGCTACTAAATAAAATAAAGGTGATTTCTAAAGACTTGAGAGAATTAAGCAGACACAAGAATTGACTGAAAAACAAGATTTGCACACTGATGAAGAGTAATGGATGCCCCATATTGTTTGTCACTATTTATCTATCCAATATTTATTTCAAGCTTTTACATGTCCTCATTAGAGGGGATCCTGCACAATTATATGAAGCCTTATAATAGAAGAGGAGCAGGTGTGTTATAGACAATCCCATAGCTACTGCCATATCTTCTGATATTAGGATAAAGGTACTTGTTGACATTATTTTATGTTATGGTGACTCTACACTAGGTTTGTTTGGTCAGTACAAGGCTTCATCTGGAAAACCACCCCTTTGTATTAAGCTCTAATTAGTTCTATTTATGCATAATTATTAACAATTAGGATTAGACATTTTTAGCTTACCCCCCTCTAAACCTGTTCTAATTAGACATAATTTTCCTAAATTAAGAATTATTAGGATTCATTATAACTTGAAATTTCGGAAAAATCATAATAAATCAAGCATCACGGTTCTTATAGCCTTCTAATAGAGTCATGTCTATTAGAGCACTAGTTCAATACCTAAACACAGAATATACCTTATAACAAACTTGCCTTCTGCCAGAGTTGAACCAACAACCTCGTTTATACAAGCAACCGGGACAGATGCTTTAAGCCACTAAGCCACAAGATCTAAGATATGAACTTGGTAATCTAAATAAGTAGACATAATATAGGCAACCTCAACATCTCTGATTTTATTTAACATTTATCTTTCCTCTCTCTCATAAATAAATAGGTCAGTAAATACCTAAAAAGTCGGGTCTTTCAGGATTTAGTTTAAACATCAGCTAGGAAGATAATAAACCAATGGAAAATCAATAATACACTTTATATAGGATAAAAATAAATTATGGCACTTACACAATTTAGACTAAGAATATGTAAAACTATGATTGAGTGTAATATTCAATGGGACTCTACTAGTATAGACAATGCTACCTTAATCTGCAAATTTGATCAAAAACATGATTATAAATAATTAAGATTCAATAAGAGAGAAGGGTTTTCCAAATAGCTACTAGTGAGGTAGAGGGTGGGGACAAGAGTATATGTATAGCATGCCTATATATAAATAAGCATAAGATTGTTGGAGGTGATCTTAATATGCTTAATACATATATTTCCTATATAGCAGGCAAATATATCATTCTGGCACCACATACCAATATGACTGTCTTTTCCACAGCCTAATAGCTATAGGAAAACACCAAGTTTGAGCATCTTCAGTATAAC